ATCTATAAGTAGCTTCAGATCATGTATTTTTCCGGTTTTACGCCGCTTATCGTTATATCTAGGAAACCTATTAGGGGCCCTTACGATAGTAGCTCTAATTATATCTCTAATAAAAGAGGAATTTACAGGGGAAATTAGAGGTAAAGACGCTCTAGGAAGCTCTCTTTAAATTTAAGTTGTAAAGCGAGTCGTAGCGTTTGCTTCTCTAATTAGTCGATTAGGCGATAGAGTTATAATACGCGTTATAGGCGTTTTTTCCTTATCTCTTTACCTACCCCTAGTATGTTCTATAATATTTGTTCTAAGTGTATTTTTACAAATATACCTTAAGGGGCTTTTATCTCTTACCTGATTAGGGTTAGAGTTAGAGCTTTTTAGCTCTTATAGTTCTCGCTATAATAAGCGATTCTCTTTAGCTTACTCTTGTATTATACTACGTAGTTCAGCGATTTAGTCTACTAGACTCTTATTAGCTAAATCTCTTTATTATAAGCGAGACCTAGGTCTAGCTATAGAAGCTTCTTCTACTTCTAATTAGTCTATATTACTAGCGCTAGGTATTTGTACTCTAGTAGAGGTACCTTAAACTAAGGAGAATAACTTAGCTTCGTTATTAACTCTTAATTAGTTCGATTCGTCTTGATTTTCTGTAGAAGTCGTATTTCTACTCAGAGAGCTATTATTACGACTACCCCGAGTATTATATTAAGAACTTATAGTTCGTACTATTAATTAGCTGCTAAAATCGCGGAAATCGATTAACGTTTAACTGAGATATTATTAAGTGATAATATAGGGTTTTTAAAGGGTAAGTCGATTATATAAACGACCCCTTTAGCGTATAAGCCTAATAAAAGCTCTTTTTATTATTATAACGTAGAATAGTAACCTTTACGTTACGTACTAGCGTATCTTGTCCTATTACAGAATAATAACTGTTGTAATAAGTACTAAAATAACTCTTTTTAGTGTTTTACATGTATAAGTTAAATATATATTCAAACTTAAGGATTTAATTAGTTCTTTCAGGGAGCTGCGCGTATTAAAGAATAGGGGCTATAAAAACGGTCTTTTCTACTGCTGCTAGGAGCACGCTAGTAGGCTCGCTTAGCTCTCTGAAGTAGCTCTTATTCGCCGTCGTAATGTAATAACGTTTCTAAGAGGGATATTAGCTCTCGTAATAGCTAATAGCGAATAAGACGCTAGTCCGAGTTGGGAGTGTTCTTGACGACTAGCACGACGCTTAATGGTCGGATTGTATAGCTAAGTCCCGTGACCTAGTTAGACGTTTAGGGTTGATATAAGAGTGTTAGGTAATAACAAGCACTTATCTGCTTTTAGCTAGCCTCGCAATTCTAACTAATAGTAAAGCTAGGCGATTCTAGCTTTTAAATAACGCTAGGCTAAGCGTAGTCTTATAACTTCATATAAGTTGTCTATTGTCGTATAACTAAGTGTGTAGCGCCGGTAAGGTAGTAACGATAAGGGTTGAAAAACAAAGGCTCGCTTAGGGTGATAAGTATAAGTTATTAGGATATTATTACGCCGTCACTAGTAGTATGATTTAAGCTTAATATAATATAATAGTATAGTTTAGCGTTAGCTAGCATATAAGCGAAATAACCACGGATTAGGTGATAACCTCTCTATTAGCGCGAATATCAAGCTAAGGAGCCCTCGATTCCGTGGAGGGCGCTCGAGCCTATATAGATAAATTCCCCGGGCTATTCCCGATTAGGACTAATTATATTTAACGTAAAACTTGACGTAAACTCCTGTAGTAGCGTAGAGCTATTTCCCTTCACGTATAACTAAGTGAGTAACTGTCGGTAAACCCCTTCAGAGTTAACCGAGCTCCACCGAGTCTTACCGAGCTTTGCCGAGCTCTAGACTCTTCCTAATCAGGTATAGTAAAGAAGTGGTTACTACTACCTTTACATCTATTTCCTAAGAGTAGAATAGTTTCTTATTATTACCCTCTCTCCTTTAGTATATATATATTCTAGAGTAGTATTAGTCTTTTTTCTTAAGTGCTCTCTTGTAATTTTAGTTATTAATCTTAATAGCTATCTTAATAAGTTCTTATAAACTAGTAAGCACGTCTGATCTTACTATCTTATCTTTCACTCTGTCCTTTAACCTCTTATAGTACTATACCCGAAGGGTATTATTATTCTAGCTAGTCTAATTAGCGAATTACTAGAAAGCGGTAGTATACGTAATTACTAACCCGACTTACTTCAGGTTCTAGATATTTCACTTAGTAGTATAGTTCTAATTAATATCACTAAAGACGCGGTTAATCCTATATTCGAAACCTTCGAAAGTTATAAAGATCCTTTAGGATTCCTTAGTTATTACTATAGAGACCCTTCTATCCTTAGTTTAGTTTTAAATATAATCTAAGAGAAAGGTTTTAATCTAGTTAAAAGTAGATCCTTAGAGAAAGGACGAAGCCTAAAGGACTTTATCTGTATCTATAGCGAACTAGTAATTATTAAAGCCTGTATAGAGCTTTACTTATATAAGGTACGCTCTAAGCTTAGATCGATCTCTACTATAGAGATCTGAGGTAGCGATCTTAGGTATATTCTTTACGTTAAAGACCTTAGCTAGAGCCGGGTTATTATTCGATAATAATCCTTTAATAGAGGATATATTATCTTCGTGAGTTAGTACCTCTAATAAGAAAGTACTTAAAGTGTAATAGTCTAGTATTTACTTATTATAAATACAGAAGGCTATAGTTAATCTCTAATAATTAAGAGGTAGGTATATTATATAGATAAGAAGATAGTTACTAAGTATTAGAATACTATTTAAAGTTAAGTATAAAGCTCCTATCTAATAGTAGATATACTAGTCTTATATAAAACCCTTATTCTTATAGATCCTTTTAGTATAGATCTATAGATCCTTAGATCCTTTCTCTTACTATAAGATCCGGGGATCTAGGGATCTATTACGTGATATTAGTTACTAGGACCTGCGCCCTTAATTATAGTACTTAGATTATATAATATATATAGCTACTATAGTACTTATAGAATCCTAGGAGAAGAGCCTTTCTTAGGAGCTCTTACCTTTTAGAAGACTTCTTCTAGGAGCAGGTATCTCCCTAAGCTTATAGTCTCCTAGCCCCTCTTATCTGGGAATCCTTAGGCTCCTAGGTAGTCCGTGATACTTATGCTCTAGCTACTTGATACGAAGCTTACTTACCTTTAAAGTAAGATACGTTCAAGCAGTATTATTAATAGTCTTAAAAATAGTAATAAAATGAAATATTCCCTCCTTTATAAGGTATACTTCCTCTTATACTTTTACAATTGCCTAGCTAAGAATCGACGATTCTACTATCTCTTTCGGAATAGTATTCTCTATATTAAGGCTTAAAGATAACGCTATTACTTTAGCTATTTAAGTAATAGCCTCTCCTATTCTGTCTATTATACTAAGGCTACTTGTTTTCAGTTTCTTAGTGTTACGAAGTAATAGAGCTAGCGAGTCGATATAGCGCTTTTATACTATTATAAGTGTTAGTGTTATAGGAGCTACGATATTCGTTGATTCTGAAGCTTTAGGAGCCTCTTAAGAGTCTGCGGCTTAAGGCGTAGCTTAAGAGGTATCTTAAGGATTAGTGGATACTGAATCTAATCGCTAGGTTCGCAGATCTAAGTATATATTACTCTTATTTTATATATCTAACTCTCTATTAATATTATCTATAAAGTCTCTATAGCCTCTATAAAAGCTGTATTTACTAACTAATAAGCTATCTCCTGTAATTTTCAAAAGGTTATCGAACTAAGGGAAAGGTTCTATCTGCTAACGTAGCTTCTTAGGATGAACCTATTATAGTTAGATATTATAATAACTTATAAAAGCTTACTAATACTGTAGAAATTTGCTTCTAGACTTCTAGCCTTATAGTCGGAACATATAAGCAATTATCCTATCTAAAGCCGGAGAGCTCTCAGAGTGTTTTTACCTCCCTATAGGCCTTCTTTAGATAGCTCTATTTCGACCGGCAGATTTAAAGCTTTAATAGAGGCTCGAATAACTTCCTAATAGCTGTAAATACTAAGTCTTTAAAGCCTCTCTCTAAGAAGGCTCTATTAACTGTTACTTAGATAAGTTATAATACTATTAAATCGATATCTTACCTTTTCTATTCTGTATTAGGTACATGTGTTCGTACTATAGTACTAGCTTCTCCCGAAGGATTAGTAAGTAGAGCTCTCTTTAGTAGTATAGGAGGTAGCTAAGGTACTTGAATTAAGGTAGTTTATTAATAATTATACCTAGATACAGCTCTTAATAATAACAACAGCTTCTTTATTTTTTTCTCTACCTAATTTTAGTAGGGAGCTTAAATCTTAGCATCACTTCTGTATCTCGCTTAGAAATCCGATATAGCTAGACCGTGCGTTATCACTTCAGGAAGTAACACAAAGTGTCACTTCCGATCCAAACGGGCCCTTAGGTACTTGTCGGGATATTCCCAGATTTTTCGAGTGATGTGCATTGGATTGCCAAGATTTGTACGGGCGTTTGAGACTGCCCAGTGGGCAGATGTGCCCAATCTCCATGTGACTTTTGAGGTCACGTTTTTCTGCAAGTCTAGGTAAGGTAGGTACCTAAGGTACCTACTACCTACAATACCTTTGGTACCCACCGAGGTATTCCTGTTTCCGCTTTCGCCTCGAGTATTGATGTCCATGGCGTTATGCTTTAGTCTATGCGTTAGTATCGATTATGATATGCATATCAACCTATCTATCTGATACTGATTTCCATGGCCTTAGAATATCACATCACTCACTGTTTCCGCTTTCCTGTGTACCATTGGTATGGACTTCATCGCCACATGCTGTTCAGTGTGCTGTTCGCCTTGCGAATCTTACCTTACAGAAAGTGGTCTGGAAAGTTTACCTAGCAAGTCTGTGGGCTCGTTGTATCACAATGCAATATGCTTTGTTCACGAGTTTTGTTTTCTGCAAACTCTGTCAAATAAGAGCTCCTAAGCTGGTCACTTTTGATTTCTTTGCCATTTGATTTGCCAGCTTCTGTCCAGACATTCTGTATTCAGGCGCCACCACATGTGTCCTCGCATGAATCTTCAGTACAGACAACCATTCTGCCTAACTCGGAAGCTCGTACGCAGTATATCGTCGATGCTCTCCCTTCTCTCTTCCTACTACATTAGGCACACTTCCAGGTTTCTCAAAGATGCCGTCTCCCCCTGACTCGTACCTTACGGGCACTTCAGCGTCTTTCTCATGGAGACCACCGGTCTGCATATCTGTAGTCCTATATCCAGTCTTCCACCATGTGTTCCTTTTATTGTTGGAAACAGAATCATTGTTCTGGTTTCTTCGACGTCTCCACAGATAAAGTATCCCCAACACAAATGCACATATCACAGCTAGACCGCCGACGATTCCTCCAATGATCACTCCAAGATTGTTCGATCCAGCTGCATCTGGTGTATCATCGGATGCTGTTGTTGAACCTGATGCAGCGGAGCTCGTAGAGCCTAGGAGCTCAGCAGATGATGATGAGGACGATGAAGAAGAAGTTATTGACGGCGAGCCCGAGCCAGATGCTGATAGGGAATTTAACGGTTTCAACGTTGCAGGACTCGTTGTTGGGGCCTGAGATGAGCTCGAGATTATGGACTGAGTGGTCGAGGAAGCAGATGGCGACGGTTTTGAGGCTACCGCAGCCGTCTTAGACGTGCTCTTGCTCGTTGTTGATGTCGCTGGAGTTGGCAGTGCCAACAAAGTCTGCGTAATAGCGAGTGGCCCACAAGCGATATATGAGAAGACTAGATCCGCACCCGCTGTCAATAAAACGCTCGAGCAGAATCCTGCTCCCGGCTCAGTGCTGCAAAATCACACATATTAGCAAGGCAAGCTCCGATATCCCGGAACCAGAAATGGTTACAAACCACGAAAACGTCGTTATTCCAGGAGTACCAGTGACACCACAACCTGACTTGCAGGAATGAGAATCCACGCAATTTCCAGCTAGTCCACAGTCTTTCGCGTTGATCACTGTGGTCGGACAGAAACCCCACAAGCCATTAGCAGTATCGAAACGACAGTTGAACCCAGGTCCTGCTGTTCGAGGCGAATTGATGTCTCCGTCAAGGAAGCCACAGGTGGACTGATCGATATCCTGTCTCGCTCTGAGATCAAAAAATGACGAGTTGGACGTTGGCAGACGCAGATCCGCCTGAAGTACAGAATTCGTGCCTGCTTTCTTCAAAAGTTCATGTCGAGATTGTGGCCATGCAGAGACAATACTCGAAGTCAGTTCGAGGAAGATCAGGAGGAACAAAGACTCCTTCATGATTTCAAGGTTTATTTTGTGTCAGGACATGCTCAGAAATAGCAAAAAGAAGGATGGACAGCAGAAACAAAAGCGCCGAGTACAGAAACGAATGTAAGATTACTAAATAAAGCAGGCTGTAAGAGACGGTTGGGAAAGATACGCCCGCCTGCCTTTTTAGCTACTTTCCAGCGTGTAGCCGCCGTTTGGTTAGGCTGTGTATGCATCTACAAGCGCTTGCTCGAAATCAAGATGGCATGTTTACACCTCTACCAACACTTGGCAGATGGTATTGCCTTCATCTTGTTTCGCATGTGTGTCTCGACCACACACAGGAGAAGGTACATTTCACAATCAAGGATTCAGGGGTTTTGAAACAGAAGATGTCAACGTAGGCGCGCAAGCACGCCTCTATCTTCCTCAACTTTGGTGCCTGGCTCCTGTTCTTACCTCTGCATCTGCCTCTCCCCATGGTTATTGGCGCAGGGAGATCGACAAGGTCAACGGACCAACGGCAAGCGGATGGCAGCTCGGGGCGAGCCCGATATAGGGAAGGCAATCTCAATTGCAGACTCTCTTGCCTCAGATGTACGAATTTGTCCTCGGATCCAGCTTGTCGGGTGCGGAGACGTCTGATTCTAGCGAATAAGGTAGGGTGTGCAGGAGAAACCAACGTTCAGGGGTGTGGCCAACGCTGGACAGGTTGCCGTGTTTTCTGTCTCAAGACACCACACTAATTTTCATGAAACCGTCCTATGAGTACATGGGAAGAGTTCAACAAGAAGTACCTACTGAAGCAAGAATGTTGGAAAGACGTTGAAAGCAAGTGGTTTAGTTCAATTAGCGAGAGGTGCTGGCGCACTTTCAATGAACCATTACTCCACCGCGGACACCAGGCGCGGGAGACGCCGCTGACACCCCATAATAGTGGCTGGGGACGCAAATGATAGCGCCTAACATGGGACGATTACTGGCCACAGGGCCTTGTCATTATGCAAACCCATGTTGATAACTGGAAATATCTGCCTGCCACCAAGGTAAGCAAAGTGGCGGCTAAACCTACATGCGCAGAGTCGAGATCCTCGAGTCTCCTGTCCATCTCTGCTTTGTTCTGTGTTTAAGCAACCTCAATCACCTTCGGGCGATTGTGCCAGTGCTTCCCCATTTCCTTTGCAGTATGATTCATGTATCTTTTCCACGGCCGCTCAGCAAAGTGACTCAAGCTGTCGTTATAATTACCATTACTTTATCAATATGCTTTGGGCTCTCCCATGTCTCAGGAACTCCGTCTCTCTCTCAGCACCGAGTCTTTCCAGACGATAGGATAACCACCGCATCCGCCAAAGGTACGTTACCTGGGATTACAAATTATAGGACAGGCACTGACAGAAATGAAGATGGAAACGCAACGCTCCTGGCTGCGGCACCCGCCTATATTCAAGCGATAATGAACTCGAGCGACACAACGTTTCCACGGCTCGAATGCCGACAGATAAACTCGGCTCGGTATGGATATCTCGGATATTCCGATACAGACCAAAAATACTTCTTCGCGCTCGACCTTCATGAAAGCGCGAAGCTACTGCCCCGCCTTCTCGGGTCGATCGTGGAGACCATGAACTTCCTTGGGCCTGAGCGGTGCTCACTGTCGGTTGTGGAAGGCCATTCGAATGATGGAACGTTCGAGATACTGAAGCTGTTGCGGAATGCTATTGAGAAGACAGGCGCAACGTATCATTTCGTGTCAAGTCCTCTCGATACATCGCAAGGGGAACGAATAGAGAAACTGGCGCAGTTAAGGAATCTCGCTGTTGAGCCCCTAGTCACTTCGTCAAGTATCGCCGATACTACGGTTATATTTTTCAACGATGTTGCTATTTGCTCAGAGGATATTTTGGAATTGCTTCATCAGCGCATTTACCAAGCGGCAGACATGACTTGCGGAATGGATTGGACATATGTTGGACAGGATCCCACTTTCTACGATGTCTGGATAGCGCGAGGCATGACAGGCGACTCATTCTTCAACATCCCAGAAGACGGAAACTGGAACTCAGCCTGGAACCTCTTCTGGAACGACGATGCATCCCGGCAAAAACTCAACAGTCATCAACCATTTCAGGTGTTCTCTTGTTGGAATGGCGCTACGGCTTTCTCGGGGAAAGTGCTAAAAAAGGTGCAGTTCCGGCACTCGAAAAAGAATGAGTGTTATCAGGGGGAGCCAAAACTGTTTTGTAAGGATATGTGGCATCAGGGCTTTGGCAGGATTGCTGTAGTTCCAACTGTGAATATAGAGTACTCGGACGAGGCGGCTATGAAGATTAAGGCCCTGAAGGGCCATGTGTCGGATTGGGCAGGAAAGCCAGAAAGTACGGATGAGAAAATAGAATGGGCAATGAAGCCGCCGGAGAAGGTGAAGTGTATGAGGAACTATGGCGACCAAATATGGGTCCCGTGGGATGAGAATATATAGTGTAATAAAAAAACGAATCTGGTCAAAGCACAGTGGGCTTCCTTCGGATAGCTTTCAGTCGACAGTTCCTTTCTCATGTAACCGAATCTGCTGTGGCGTATGGCGTAAACTGTCTAGCACCAGTGAATAACCACTGAGGCTAAAGAACCTGTACTCAAACAAGGCGCATCGATGACAAATCTAAAATGAGGGAAAATATCTGATTTCAATGAACATTAAGCTCAGCAAAGAGGCTAGCGAGATCGTGCAGAAGCTTTGGTTGTGTGCAAAAAGGAGAACTCGCATTGCAGAACGTGAGATTGGAAATGTGGCTTCACACTGCACATTTTATGCGAGCACTATATCAGTAGGTCACCAAATGTCATCGCTGATACAGAAGATTCCTCTTGAGGGACCGCATAGTAGCCCCTCCTATTCCACTGCGATCATTGCCCTCGTCTCACGCAGCCGAGGCAGCCAATCAAGCCCGAATCGTAACCACCCGAAAGTGGCTGCCTAGTTGCCCAGTTGGCAACATCAACCAAGCAAGTCGACGTATGAGGTGTACGACAGACGAGTATGGCTGGATTCTGCTCACGAAGGTTCCATTCCGCCTTCCAAGCGGTGCAGTTTAAGTTGCAGGTAAGACGGACGAATAGGATGTTTTGCCCTCGCTCTCGGCTCGGAGCTGAAGAACACTTGACCATTTGTCTTCTTTCCTTACCTTTAAATTTCCCATGCTTTTTAAATCAGATCTCTTCAGGACAGATATAAATCTGCCAGAACCACTTGCGAGCCTTCTCCCATACATATGTCCACACAGGAGCATTTAGTGTTTCCAGACTCAACAGGCCAGCTAGTCATGGAGCTCTTTGACCAAGGACGATGGTAACTAACTCTCTGCCATCTCCAGAGAAATGCAAGAACAAGCACTACTAACACAGCTTCAACAAACAGTCCCATATATGCCGTTCGTTCCTCTTCGACAAACGTGAAGTAGTCCCTAACATAAGCAGTCATTCTTTGGGTGCATGGGTTGCGCAGTCGCCATGATCTTCTCGAGTCTAGGCGCCGCGTATGGGATCGCAAAGTCAGGTATTGGAATATCCGCAGTCAGTGTCCTGCGCCCAGACATGATGATTAGAAGTTCGTACAATTCCCCTTCCAAGCCCCAGAGCCAATGTTGACCTAATGCCAGATCTCATGCCACCCATTCTCGCTGGCATTCTTGCCATCTACGGCCTCGTCGTTGCAGTAGTCATATCCTCCTCGCTCAAAGAGAAAGTAGCGCTTCATACGTCTTTCATGCAGCTCTCTGCTGGTCTGTCCGTTGGGCTGTGCTGTCTCAGTGCGGGCTTTTGTATTGGGATTGTGGGTGATGCTGGCGTGCGGGCTACTGGACAGCAACCGAGGATGTTTGTGGGTATGATGATGATGTTGATCTTTGCTGAGGTGCTGGCCATTTATGGGTTGATTGTCGGATTGTTGCTCTTGACTAGTTCGGAGAATGGGGTAACAGATTGTAGTAAGGGGTATTGAGAAGCAAGAGGAGAGAACTTTGGCCTGCAGATAAAAAATTTCAAGACACGTATGAGCATAGGTGATGAAAAATCTGCAGTTCGCAATCAGCAGTATAAGTGCAAGGAAATAACGATTAATAACAGCAAATACAGAAAATCAAGGATACTCAGTTATGAAACGGCACGAAGTGCAAATGTTCATTAATAGATGAGGACTTGCTGATATATCTTGTCAACTCATAGTGGAGAGCGAAACGACCAAGAACTTTCCTGCCAAGAACTTTCCTGGAATCTCATAGTATAATATTTTGATGGACAACGCCGGGATACCAGGATACCATTGCATTCCTAGTACCTGGGTCTGAAGAGTCTTCCCAGAGGAGCACCCCGCCTCATCGCCAACAACCACCAAACAGCTCCAAAGGCCATACCTCCTAAATGGTCCGCATGCCCCCAACCTTGAAGCCACCTTCCCTGCATCCCGCCGATACTGATAACTACCCCTGCCACGGCTCCGACAACCATAGGCATGGGAACAAAGAACAGCAACATTGTTGACATAGGCGAAGCACAAGCCATTGCAGTAAACAGCCCAGAGATGGCCCCGGATGAGCCCATCCCATAATTCGTCTCATATGGTGGTCGAGTCCGCTCCCAAAACTTGACCTGGGCAACACCTCCAGCAATCGCAGCGCCGAAATATAAGACCATGAAAGAAGGTATTCCAGTCATCATAATCGTCGTCCGCCCAAAGCTGTACAGCCCTAGCATACAGAGAGCAAGATGCATAACGTCGCGATGCATGAATGCCGAGGTGATCAATGTGTAGTATCGGCCAGGTTCAAGGCTCCTCGCAGACATGACGAAATGCTTAAGAAAGTCGTTGGCTTTCTGGCGCGCCTCTCTAGTAGCTTTTTTACCTGCTTCGAGCTGCAATTGCCCATTCCAAAGGAAGATTCCTACACATGCTCCCACTATGCTGCCCACGACAAGGGCCCCTGAGCCGACTCGGGGAGGCTGCCATTGTGGTGGTTCGGGCTCTTGGAAATATGTCTTTTGATAGGACCTTCCAAATTGGTGCCGCGCTCCTTTCGCTGAATGCGTTGTTGATTCAGAACTGAAAACTTTCGGACGGCGTTGTCTGCTGGTGCTGAAAGGTCTGGATGGTAGTTTTGTTGAGCAATTGACGCGTTTGGGCCCACTCTGCGTCGCGTCAGTTGAGCGCAGCGAAGCTGTTGCGGGGTAGAAGTTTACCAGGAATTTGATTAATACAGACGGCCGACATGGCTGGCGTAGTCGTAGAAATGCAGTTGATCTGAAGGTCTGCTCAACGAAAATCCTCATCGTCGCGCACCCAGTGATAGTCTCGATGTTGCTGGTTGAATAAGGAGAGTTGTTCGTTCATTGTTGGACGAGAAACAGGCAGCTTTCCTACGTCCTTGAGATACCGCAACGCCACTTACCGTTCGTTCACCATAGCCAAAAACGACGCATCGGAGAAAAATTTCCCGGCATCAATTTCTGCTGAAGTTAACCGACTTCTTTTTCCCTCTCTTTATATACAATGTATTGGTATGCTCTATGGAGTAGACTCCTATGGCGTGTGAAAGTCTGACGAGACGTTGATTGGGGACCTGACGGCCGGGCGTTGACCCCAGAATTGCGGGCCTCTAGAAAACCAAGCGGCTGGAAGGCTCCCATGCATCATGACTACAGATGGGCATCTTCTTGAACTTTCACATCCTTCCTTACAATATCTTTGGTTTTGCTTTCAGCGAGATCCCTGTTTTGTCAACAAACGTACGTGCTCTTATCCAATTTGGCGCAGGCTCAACACCAAAACCCAGCTTTGCGTATCTAAGTACAGTAATTGGAAACGTTATGGCCTCTTATGTAAAGCCTGGGTTTTGAAGTGGAAATTGAAGAAGTGAAAGGTCTGCTCACGAATGCTTGAACGAAAGACTGCATCTCTGAGCATATCTTTGTCCTTCTCCTGATTATATTTCTTGCTTTCTTCTAGGCACCATTTCATAAACTTTTCAGCAACTCCAGTAACGTCTTCCTTCTCAACTTTCAATGCTCTCAAGATATCAACTCTGAGAGCAGGATGCCATTCTCGCTAGGAACTCCGCACTTTATCCATCCGCTGCCGTGTTAACATCGAAAATATTTACAAACGACTGAATAATACAGCGACAAATCCCATCATATATCATCCAAACCAAAACAAAAGTCTTCCAAGGCTTACTCTACTGTCGCACCGGCTCAATTATGTTGGACGCTCAATAAGAACCAGATGACTGACAGACTAGACAATGGCACCTCCTCTCTTGCCCGATCTGCCCGTGAGGAAGGCAAGTACCACGGTTGCGAGGAAGCATGCGAAGGTGAACCAGAGTATGGCCGTCTCCGCAGTAACCATACGGCATCTTGACACGATGTCATCTCGTGCCATCCTTGCAGCTTTCTTCTCCGACGTTGTAGGGTATGTCTTCGTAAAGCTCGGATAGAAAGTAGACTTGTGCTTAAAGGTGTATACCTGGTCTTTACAATCGCCAGTCTTAATGCTCACAGCAAAAGCCTGATTGAATATTGTGAGCATAGTCACGAAGCCCAAGCGGTTCTCAGACGACTTACAATACCTCCTGCCACAAGGAAGAAGGACGCTAATCCATCAAGAGCAAGCATGATGATGCCTTGAAGTTTGTCAAGAAAGAGAGCAAGCACATTAACAGCAGCGACCACAATTGCTGCTCCACCACAGAAAGCACCATAAGAGATCAAAGCAGGCGCAGAGCCAGGTCCATATCCTTTGATTAAAACCACAGATAGAGCTAGAACGACAGCAGCAAACACAAGCTACACCGGGTAAGGTCAGCGGCTTGAAATATCTGCTGGGGATAAAACAGGTACTTGGAGGTGGCCTTACCTGTGCGACACGAGCTGCAAGCATAACGATCATGGAGATTGTGAAATGGAATGGTCGAGCAAAATGTGGGTTTGACGGCAGTAACTCGAAATTATCCAGATAAATTTGAACATAGAGATTGCGGAAGGATTAGAGATGGGATGAGTTCTCTATATAACATCAGGCAGCGGTGAGGATGACTCCAATTTAGAAGTCGGCCAGGAATAGGACTTCAGCCAGGCTGTGAAGGCGCTACACTCTGGCCAGTGGGCCAACAAGCTAAGTTACTTTCGTGTTTTCAAGCCAGTTAGAGGCATATAACATTTCTAGGAATGTGGTACTACAAATCAACGAGTTTGGGGTAGGATTGCGGCACAGCGTTTCATGGCCTCCTCGCCTTTAGCCAGCGATATGCAGACCGCGTCAGAATAATCCTCAAGGGCACAATTTGCTCATGATCTGTGAGGTGACTGCCTTACAATCTGTGCCTGTGTCGAACATTGAAACAAATTCTCTTTCATATGGCAAAAGGACGCCTTCCAAAAGGTCGGCGCGTTCTGTGAATCGGTAATGCCATCCATCGCCTTGCACAAAACATACGAATGGCGGCAGGGAAAAAAGAAGAGAAGCAAATATTTCCATTGCATTCCAAAGACAACTTGAACACGAAAAACTTCTCGGCCGATGTCACTTAAATTGTTGTGACTGTTGGTGACTGACGATGCAGCACCTGAGGCGCAGATGCCTCTGCCCCTAACCAGTCATAGCCAAATCCTTGCGTGGCTATCAGGGCTACTTCGCCACCGTGCTGTAAATAATAGCCAGTGAATTGGAAAGGAATAGACAGTCGTTGCTCGTTACGCCTTGTTGGAGACCCTCGTGACCTGCAGCGTCTTGCATGGCTGTTGGAAAGCGAACCCGAGAACCTGGACGGGAGAGGAGGTGAGATCTTGTAGAGCAGAGCAGAGCAGCAGACACCACCTCCAGCTAGCGGGTCGCTAAAGATGGGACCGAGGCGGCGAGGCGCTTGACGACAAAGCTTTCAAGGTCCATCTACCTAGGAGATTGGCCAACCTCGCAGCAAAGTAGCTTGATGAACCACACAGCCGACTTTTCGGAGTCGCAAGCCCTCCAGGATGAGATCGCCGAGCTTGAACGGCGCTTGGATGTTGCTAAACGCAAGTTGAATGGCAATCGCGTCAACCAAAGAGCTACTCCTAGTCCCTCCAAGATCCTTCAAAGTGTTGGTAGGTTGAACCTTTCGTGTGCCATAGTACTCTCTGATGATGTTCAGGGCCGTTTTCTGCCTCATCTCACCATTTTCTGCTCCTGCTTTCGGATTCTGCGCTCCCACTGGGCTCGTTCGCATTCAGTAGTGGTCTCGAATCTTATCTCGCCCATACCCGTCCGAGCTCCTCGTTCCCCGCCTTCCTTGGCTTCTCTCTCTCCTCATATGCGTCAACCACTTTGCCCTTCGTCCTTGCGGCTTACAGGAGCGTGCTCGTCTTGGTGGAACTCGATGATACTCTAGATGCGGCAATAATGTGTACGGTGGGTCGTCGGGCCTCTGTCGCTCAAGGAAGAGCTCTACTTTCGATTTGGGATCGATCATTCAGCTCTGCATTGCCAGTTGGGGTAGCAGTTGCAAGTGTACAGGCATTGAAGGAATTCACGATTCTTTTGCGCGGGACATCTTCAACTGCAATTCTCAATGACCTGCCAACGGCTTCCGCCCATCTTGGTCCATTGTTCGGAGCAATTGCTTGCATTCTGGGAATGAGTTTGGAGCAGACAGCATATGTTTTCATGTTGAGCCATGTCAAGGCCCTGCTGTCGGCTGCTGTAAGAGCTAGTATCTTTGGGCCATACCATGCCCAGAAGCTACTGGCAAGTATAGATGTACAGCACATCATACAACGAGTCATCGAGCAAGAGTGGAACACAAGCATCGAAGATGCTGGCCAAAGCGTTCCCGTCATGGACTTGTGGGTGGGAAGGCACGAAATGCTGTACTCTAGAATCTTCAACAGTTGATACAAGGCATCTGGCTTAATAATGTTGTATGTTTGGGAGACGCTAGACCATTACATGAAGGTAGTCTTCCGTAGTATTCGCATTTTGCTGCAGCCACCCTATCCATTCCCCTGAACGCCAGATGCTAAATCTCAATCACTATCACTATCATACGCAACCAGAGGACCAGATGGAGCCGGGGGTTTCGGCGTCGGAGCCACCGCCTGGGCGCCTTTCAAAGCTGCCAAAGTACTATTCGAGAATATGCCATTCTCCTCTGCCTCCTCTCTCTCCACCTGGTCAGCCTCAATCATCAACCGCTGGTCAGCTTCGATCATTAAGCGTTGCTCGTCCTCCAGCTCTAGTCCTTGCCTTCCGACTGGATTAACTGCGTTTGCACTTCTGGCAAAATAGATGTCGTCGGGAGCTTCGTAACCCGCCAAGCCAAACCCCCCATCGATCTTCTTCCGTTTTCGTGCTTCTGGATCACGTCCCTCAATCTCTGCTACAAACTCTGCTGGCAATGCTCTTCGCACTGCCTCTGCCGCCTGCTCCTCAATTCTCCGTACCTCGCGCTTCTGTGCCATAGGATTAGGGTCCGCGCTCGCCCATCGAACGTTGAGAATCTCGTTATGATCAAGCGATTGATGTGCCATAGCTTCTTTTGCGAATTGCGCGTTTGCTTCGTTCGAGTATGTGATGAATGCAACGCCCCTTGTATTCAGAACGCGGACTAAAGCCTGTTAGATCCGAGTGTGGGAAGTGGAGCGGGGGTGGACTTACTGCGCTCAACCTGTCCCCATTCTGCAAAGTGCCTAGCCACAACCTCCTCGATGTCGTCGCTGACGTGAATCCGTCCAACATAGATTGTGCGATTCTGCCTCATGAAACTTCCAACACCTCCCATATCATCTCTGTAATCCGAATGTTTGTCTCTGCCGAAGACATCCACATTTGGGTTGAACATGTCATGGATACCAGGTAATCTGTGCAAATATTCGCACTCTTGGCCTTTTGGACAGATTCCGCGCGCAAAGAACAGGCAGAAATAGCTACCAGTAACTTTGTCCGCTCTCGTGTATCCGGTGTCCTTCGCCACATTGCATCGTCCAGCGGCTGCAGTCTTCGACAAATATTTGTCTTCCCGATCCCCACCTGACCATTTATTATACCAGATATTGAAGATTGTGCCTGTCTGCGGAGGAGGCTCGGATTTCATGGTCGAGGGATCGACTTGGGGTCGAGCTGGACGCTTCTTTTTGCGAATGATCTTCTTCATCTTGCGCTCTCCCGTCGTCGCGACCTCATTATTGGTTGTTGTGAGAGCCGTAGATGTCTGCTCCACATCCACATCATGGGGAGCCATCGCGGCAGGGATTGCTACCTCGACGTCGACCATTTCGTTAGTTGTCGCAAACTGGGATCTGAGTCGTCGTGGAAGTCTCAAATCTTGAAGTCGAGGCTGAAAGCTTCGCCACAGCCCGCCGCTAATGTAGCTGCACGCTAAGCGTTCCAGCCACATGCTTCTCAGACCTTGCCCGTGTCATTAAGGACGATATAGCTATTCTTCAGTTTGGCGTGATTCTTCGGTAAATAACGCCGACTCACCGACTTTTGCTATAGACCCCACCAAAAGATGATGACCTAGAATTGTAACCTCCACAACTCCATCAAATCTCCATCGATTTGCCTCTAAATTGGGTTATTTTAAAGCTCTTAAACTCCCCTCTCTGTTTCCACTTGATATTCTTAAATATGCCTCTAAAGAAAGCTCGAAATAATCAAGGGAAACCTTCTAAAAAGAAGGCTCTACGCACTCCACTTCCCCTACCGCTAGTAGCACTTAAAATAACCCTTAAACTTAGTACGAGTTAAGCTAGTAGTTCTTCTGTCGGTTCTACTGTTAGTACTTCAGCTTTTACACCTAATTTAAGTGTAGGAGTAGTTATGCTAGCTATAGGATTAGTAGAGCCTCTATCGCTACTCCCCCCTCCACTTTCTAAGCTTTTATCGATTCCGTAAGCTCTCCCCCCGTTAGAACCTCTTATTATACGGTCTCTTACACCTCTGTAGATTGAAATATAAGCTATAAACTTTAAGATTCGGTAGTACCTTAATAGTGAGCGAATAAGTAGTATGATAAAGAAGGTGATAAACGAGCTAGGCGTTAGAGTTACTTATAAATCTATTAAGGAAGCCGCAGAGACGTTAGTAGATACTACGATTAAGTCAAGGGGTATTTCTCTACTACAGAGAGATTATACTTACTAGTATAGCACCTATGGAAACGTTTAAAACCCTATAGAATATAATATCATTAATAAGGCCGATTTTAACTACTTTATCAAACGAGCTTAAATCACAGGGAAATTAAAGTAAAGAAAGCTTTAAATATACTTTAGTATCATATAGATACCTCAGAATATAGTTCGACTACCTTAGAAAGACTCTCCTACTCTAAAGGCTCTAGTTATTACTATTCCGAAGCGTGTGTATTAAGAGGAGGAAAGCTCGATAGTAAAGAAGCTACGTACTATAATAACTCGTCTTTTAGAGGAAGTTGAAAAGAATCAGGAGGCTAAAAAGGGAACTATACACGAGATTATAACTGCTATTCAGGTACAATAAGCCTATAAAGTCAGTTCCTATCGTTATACTACGAAGTTTTACTTTATTAACGATAGTAAATACTACTACCTTTCCCTAGACGATTTAAGGCGTTAAAGACGTGATATTAAAGATAAATTAACTATAATCGACGAACCCTTTATTCTTTATTGAGTTAACCTTTTAAAAGAGCTTATAGCTCGTTTAGAGCCTTAGTTATTAAAGGCGCGGGGGAAAAAGAAGCACTAGAAGACGTATTATAACAAATCGTTATCTCCGGAACGATATTAATTAGCTCGATACCCCTTGCAGACACTATATTAGCCTCTAAATGCCTTCTTATATTAATATCCGCTGATACCGCCCCCTCTAATATAGTCTCTATACGCTAGTAACCCTCTAAGTAGCTATTCGCTAGCCCCTTACCCTCAGCTAAATATAGCTCCTCCGGTATACGAATATATAGCTCTAGAGCCTCAATTACTATATATTCGACCGCAGGAATAAGTTGAAAGTAACTTTATATTAATAGTAGATCTATAGGAGTTAAGTCTATTCTGTAATAGTAGTTCAGAGGTAGAGGAGGTATTATTTACTTTAAAATCGTTCCTTTGTTAAGTTATACCTCCAATTGTAACTTTAGTAGCCTCTTACTTCGATTTCACTATTAGAACCTTCGTAGAATAAGAATACGATATTAATATAGTTAAAGATATATCGATTTCAGAGGCAATAGAGCTTAGAATAAAAGGTAGTGTTTTAAAGACGATTCAGAAGTAATTAAAGCTATTTAAGAAGTAGTATAATTAATAGGCTCTTATTCAGGAAAATAACAAACTTGACGAAAGCGAAGATAAGGGTAATAATAGAGAACACGAGGAGTAAGTTTCAGTAGTATTTATAGCTATAGTTTCTACGTAGTTTCTGTTTAATTAACTCTTATTCTATATTAACTTCGTCACCTTCTTCAATTAATACGCTTTAATAGCCTGAATAGCGAAAGTAGCCTCTAGCTCTACGTTCAGCGTTAGCTCCTACTCCAACTAACCTTATAGCTATTATTAAAAAGCCTTTAAATTCCTCTTAGGTATACTTACTCTAGCGCTAGTATCTCCTAATCCACGATTTTAGGTCTACAAAGCTCTCTTCGATAGAGTTAAAAAAAAGGCAATATAGAGGGAGATATCCGAGTTAAAAACTAAAGGCTATATAGAGAGCTAATACTTAATAGTTACTATGGATTAACGCGTTATCTATTATTACTACCTTAATTCTAAGCTCTACGTATTTAGGTAAGATACTCTTTTCTAGCTATTCAGTGAAGATTTCAGCTGTAATTAAGCCTTAGTATATTAACAGCTAATAATAACTATAAAGTGAGTATATAGGGAGAATCGACTATCTTATTAACCGTTTAAGTACTCTCTAAACCTCTGTAGAAGCTTCCCTAAGAGCTTATCCTCTACGCCTATCTATTGTACACTTATTATAAGCTAATTCGTTGATAAAGTATAAGTCCCGGGCCTCCTAAAACACTATCTTTCGCTTCTAAGCCGCGATTAATTCGTTGTTCCTTTAACTCGCAGAGACCTTAAGTACTTTCTTAGTATAATTAAGCCTTTAGAGAGCCTTAGAGACCTAATTAACTAACACGTTAACTTCGTAGGCCTCTTATAGATACGCTACGATTTCGTCCTGATATAAATCTAGCTCCCTCTTAAGTAACGCCTTAATATATTCGCTTATATCATTAGTAATAATAGGTAGAGGGCTACGGCGACAACGTTCCGAAGGTAATATCTAATAATCTAGAGTCTGTTTCTGCTTATATATTATCTTATATATCGTTCTAAACTCTCTAGTAAGAGCTTATAAGTTAATATTAACTCTATAGGATAATATTCGGTTGATATTCGATACTTTCTAAGCTAGCAGGTTCGGAGCTATAACGTCAGATAGCTCGTAGGCTCAGGTTCGAATATTTAAGGTAAGAGCTTTAAAATAACCTAATTCCGAAGAAAATCGATAGAGATTTAATAGAGTTATAGAGGTTACAATTCTAGGTTATTATATTTTAGTGGGGTCTATAGTAAAAGTCGGTAAGTCGGCGTTATTTACCGAAGAATCACGCCAAACTGAAGAATAGCTTATAAAGCACTTCGTTAAACATACTGCCGAATTCATGCAATAGTATACTTCACCTTTGGCAGCCGGTAGAATTTAAATATTATCTCTCGTGTTAATAGCATGTTTGTCGGTAGAGTCCATGCCCTTACGAAGCAATTCAACTACGTCCAGATATGCAGAAGAAAACAAATGGCAAACTCCCCTCCCCCACGTCGGACACTGTTGACTTTGTATAGCATGTACGATCTTATTTTGACATACTACTAGTGCGGCTGCACAAATGTCCCCAGACCCTCTCCTCAGATGCCCTCCCCGGACATAAACCAACTACGGAACTCAAGCCGCTTCGAAAACCTTTGTCGAGCATACATTGAGTGATCTGTATGTTCCGCTGTGCTTTTGGGTGTGAATGTCTCCTCTTAATTTTATCTATCCCATACTATCAGATGATCCTTCAGATGATACTGTGTTCCTCTTTCAGATCCATCTAAATTCTGTCAATATTTTGGTGACGTTCGGTGCCTGAAATGCTCACTAATCTTAAGATAACCATACTCTGGAATAACAGGAATCCAGATTCCAGCCGCATGTTGTCCAAAGCTCATTCGAGTCGAGAAGATATTCGACGAGTATTGTAGAACTTGTATGGCAGAGACGAACTGCAAGATCAGTCCGATCGCCCAATGGTAAGTTGAGAATATTCCCCCAAAGCTTCGTCGAGAATCAGGGCGTTCGACCGCCGGGTAGCCGCTTCAAAGTAAGCAATAGAGATCGTTGCAATGTTGGGCGATAGTCTTCCGCCTAGCTTGGACGTAGTTGTGGCTCTTTGGCATGCCTTTTGGGGGGTCTCGTGTGCCTTCTTCAGATGTCTCAACAACCATGGGCCCTTGCCCTGTACCGCGCAGATCTTGGAGACGACTCGGTAAACAAAAATAATCAGGAAACATATGATACAAACAGCCAATCTGGATATCACAAGAAAAGCATAATAAACTCCTATGGTTTGGGGCCACATCCCATATCTGAAGAATTCATTCCGATTGAAGCAGGGATCGAAAGGCGCGATTTTCTCATAGGAAAGAATTGGGGCAATTGGATTATTACAGAACAGGTAGGCATCTACCGCATCTCTGCTGAGTTCTGGTGAAGCCGCCCACTACGTTGCAGCTCCGAGGACGATGGCAATTCCGACATAATCAAACCCGCCCCGGATTTTTGATGTTTTACAAAAAAAACATAAATAGCTCTTGCTCATCAGTTATAAAACTAACCTCTCTCGGTAATTTGATTTTGGCCTCGCAGCCTCGCAGCCTCACAGAAGAATGTCTTTATGCTGACAATATTCATGATACTCTAAATTTAGGAATTCTAGGAGTGGAAGATGCTTTTGTCGATTCACATCGAAGAATTTGGAAACTATATGAGGCTCTGTAAAGGATAGCCTTGGATGTCCCAGTGTTTCTCCGAATTGGGATTGGCATTTCCTCTCCGGCTCCCGGTACCAACGCAGATAACCTTCTAAAGATGTTTATATAGAGTTGTTCTAAGCATCTGGAAAACGGATCCCACTAGTATCTTTTCAGTCTCACGAACTTCGGTTCTGCGACGGAGAATTGGGCATTGCTTCACAAGATCGAATTTCGGAGATATCGCTCAAACTACAATCATAAGAACTCAAGCGGGGCAAGGTAATGGAAATGATTAATACAGTAATACTCAACCTTGGTATCTGCTGACTCTTTGCAGCAAATCTGGCTGGAGTGTAAACACGATACATCAAATGTAAACAAATCCTCATGGCGCTCGCTTAAGCACGCCGACAGGGAACCTTACCGTTTGCCGTAAGACTCATAAAGCTGAATTCAAAGCTGAAAAGCTGCGCCACCGTTCAACATCTGAGATGCAAATCACATTGAATAACATTCCCTACACGATTTACTGTCTATACTGGGTAAGCTTCTTTGTCCTATCATCATTGGCCGGGGAATGACTCAATCAGAACTGTGACGCACCTTCCCGAGCTCTTCTAGGCACAGTCCCGTCTCGCTCCAACTCTTAAAACCTCATATTTCCCGGCGTTTCTCATTCAAACCCCCACAACCAAACATCATGGAGAAGATCACGAAGGTCTACTTTGACCCTTTGGTCACCACCAAAGCCCAGATCGTCGCCCTTCTAGAGGATCTTCCTGTTGGATCAGCACATCCATTCAGGTAAGTCAACCCAGGTGCTTTCGTCACCCCGCAAAAGGCTCCCTAAGACCAGCGCAGACAAACAAGCAGCTTTAACCTACACCTCCAACTTCCACACTTAATTAATATTTATCGGTTTCTGCGAAAGACTATTCGGTATGCTGATTTTCTTTTAGCCCAGAAAAACTACTACTGTGCCGAACAGCCGGTGGAGTTGAGGAGATCGATATTTCTTCGTATGCGGAAGACCATTTCTTCAAGGCCGTCGACTTAGGAGAAATCGGCCAAACCCTGCAGTCACGCATGACTAAGTTTTCTAATCTGCTGCGTAAGTTGCTACCAGATCCATACCCCTCATCTAATCTTCAGTGGATTTCGTTCACTATTGATTTTGATGGTTCTCTTCCATTGGATGTCACTGACATAATTGTAGGTATTTTCAATGATGAATACACTGTTATGCAAGCTCCAGCGTCAACTTTCGAAGTCCCCATTGATTCAGACAAGATCGCCATCCTCGCCGTTTCTGAGCGGTATCCCACCTACTACGACTTATGTGTGGCAGACTCTGCGTGCAAGACAACCTGCTATGGCGCAACGCATACCTTCCCTGGAATCAATCATAGCGGAGATAAGAACGAAGGAACAGACCTTCTCCATCACATGAAAATTAGCGAGCAATTACAGTCCGGCAAAGCATTTGCTGTTTTCGTTTCTGGCTTCCAGTTGAGTATCCCTCGATCCGCTTCCCTTACTGATAGCATATGCTATGTATGAAGTCTCTGTATCATGCTGCATGAGCTTCAAAGCGTTCTTGGCACTTTTGATAATATAATTCAACAATTCTAACTCTTCATTGCATAGGTGCACCAAATTGACCAGATTTCAGGAGCGAAATCCAGTGGTCATGATTGCGAACCATGCAGATAAGGTAAGTAATGCTTTGCGAGGACCCCAACAACTCCTAGGCTAACATTCAAAGGCACTTTACATTGTCCCAGTCCCACTAGATGCAGCATCAATTGGAGAGGCAACCATCTGTTCCCCGGTCGTATTCAAGCGAGAAGGCACCTCGCTCATCTGCTCTATACTGCCAACTCCCACGACCGATCATAATAAGATGTGTTCGAGCTCTTCATTGGAAAGTCCTTCATTCAAGGAAGCTATCCAGCGTGCTGAATGGTCAATCCCTGACCCCGTTCATGCTCGTTCTCAGCGTAAGTGGTCTAGCAGTGTGCCCCGATAGAGACAAGACAATACTAATCCGAACAAGCTACAGTCCCAGCTTCGGAATCAACAATTTCAATGGATCTGGGCATGCCACAAACGCCTCTCGCCTCCCAAAAGCCGAATGTAGTTTTTTCGACGCTGACAACGGTACTTCCTTCAACGATCGATAAAGACAGCACTCAGTTTATACACTTCGGTACAGGGTTGGAATTCGTACATGATGGAAACGCTGCTTCGGAAAGCACTGCATCGACAGTCGTTCTACCATGTCTTTTTGGAGCTCGTCTTGAAGGACCCTTACTACTGGCCACAGGAAAAGTACCACAGAGTGTGCCATTCTCCAGTGAGGAAGCTCTTCGTACCTACTACGAGAGCTTCGAGAGTGTAGTCGTCCTCGTTGATGAGCGGATGACGGACAATGCCCGAAATCTTGCTACCCCATGGCGAATGAATGCTGTCTTTGTCGTCCAGATGACTCCAGCCACCCCAGTAGCAGGAACCGAGGTCACAAAGCTGCTAGATATGGTCAACATCAATGCAGTTACCGCACTGGCAGGTCCACAGTCCTTGGTTCTGGTACAGATTTCTGAGAAGTTCTACTTCTATCGTGGCATGGCCAACCATATCCATCTTAACTCTGCCGAGTTGGATTTTGGCGCGGATGTCACAAGTTCAGTTGGGGAAACTGGACTAAAATCCTTGCTAGATGGTAGAGTCAAGAGACTGGTCAATCTTAGTGAGCCCAACACAGTCCTGCTACCATTCTCAGGATCGATGGTCGAGCCAAAGGATCTGAGAGGCTTGTTCGACAGTCTCCCCCTTGAACAACTACAGACTTTACAGCATGACGTATCTGCAATTGTCCCTCAGTTACAAGTCCTTCTTAGCCAGAAGGATCTCATGGAACTCTCGCGAGTGTTGATATCCTCTCTTTCCAGGAAGGTCAGTGACGGAACTGCTCCATTGAGAACGGCATACATCAAATTCTTGACCAAGGAATATGACTTGGCGGATCCAGAGTCTGTCAAGCAGAAGAACGCTATGCTAGGCGACCTCAGAAGAGATAACAAGACCTTCCAAAAAAGCCTGGAGTCGATCATCACGCTCTTGAGCAATATGACGTCTTCCCAGACATCTTCCAAGAGGACACATGACCTACAAAGATTACAGCGCCAGGCAGCCATTCAGAACAATGTCGAGGCTGTAAAGTCCATGACATTCGAGACTTTGGCAGATTTGTTGGAGACAAAAGCTGCTGATATGGGAGTGATGCTTTTGAATATCGAGACTTCGCGTTACCAGGAGCTATTAGGAACTCTGAAGAGCAATTCTCTGGATGTTGATACATGTTGTGATCTGGACTCGCGAGTTCTATTTCTGGAAGGATTCGATGCAGGAATTATCATGGAGCAATCTCAGGCAAACCATAATGGGCCACTTACGCACCAGCTTGGACCGACACATCCGATTCTCGCTCTACCATATCTCTCTCAAGAACGCGGTACCGGCTCTATGGTAGCATGGGTATGCTGGGACGAATTTGTTAATCTTAAATCACCATTCAAGGTTCGGTGGATGGACAAATGTAACGAAAGCCATATCGCCGCATTGCGTATCATTATGAGAGATACTCTCAGTCAAGCCGTCTCGTCCAGAGAGCACAACATGCAGCCTGGAAATCCAGAGACCGGTCAACTCATGAGTGCCCTGTTGATGGCAGCAATGAGCAAGCTTGCTGCCATGAAGACCACTGCGCCAATACGCACTATCGACGCTGAGGATACCATCACAAAGCTGATGCGTGGTCTGTTCGGTAACCTCCTTACCACCGCAGGCTCTGGGGTCCGTCCTTTGAGCATGGTTTGGCAACTCTTTGGACAGGAGCCCAAATTTGACATCCCGTCAACGGGCGTCGCATGGAGTTGGTACGAATCCGTTGTCAGACTGTACCCCTTCAGCGGATGGCCTCAACAACAATTCAACCTGAACCTGGAGAGACTTCTTGATAAAGTAATCATTGCTATAGTCACGAAGAATGAGTTGACAGAGAATATCAAGAGGTCTCGTGCCGACTGGATGATCAAGTATTGCAAGCTTCGAAACATCCAGCTTGTTCACTCGAGAACATTCGTTACCATCTTCATCAAGATGATACAGAACGATGCAAATCTAGAAGCAATCGCTAGCCGTCTTCTCGACGTCCTCCCTCCGAAGCTCGAGAAGCAAAGTCAGTCATATCAGAAGATGATGCGCTATCTTCGACACATTATCTCCACAGGTACACGCCGCGAAGAAGACGATATCTTAGTGACAAGCGTCTATCTCAAGCGCTCTGCTGTTTTCAAGGAGCTCAAGCAAGCCGTAGCGAAAGCCTGCCTCGATAACGACAATGCAGCTATCAAAGAATCGTGCTTGAAAGTGGTGGCCAAGTTCAAGGACATTGCAGATAGCTGGGACGTACCACAAGAAAAGGTTATCATGCAGAATGTGAAGGCATACCAGGGTTTGCTCGATACCCACTGCGATGAGATGGACGGGATGGATGAAGCAAGCAAGACCATTCGAAAAGGCTTTATGCAGCAAGTCATCAGCGATGCAGAGAAGCAAAGAGTCCCCTGGCAGGTGGGCAAGAGAGGAGAATTCGGCGACGAGATTGAGCCTCTTGATGAAGGATTCGTGACCGAAATTCTGACGGGTGAGAAGAGACCTGCGCTTGAGCTTGACCCTGACTCGGCAAGTGTTTCTGCAACCCAGGAAGTAGTAGCTCAACCCTTGGGAATGAAGCAATTCTCCGAAGTTGTAAGCGTGGACTTCATTACGAAGATGGACAATCTAGTTACTCCAGAAGATGTTTGTAAGATGCTGAATATTCCTGTATCTACATTGCGGGTATTCGCCTCCACGCTGAACCCAGAGTTTAATTGGGAGCAAGACCTCAGCAGAAATTTCAACGCAGCAGTCATTGGTCTGCTGTCGGATCGAAAGGAGAGACAAAAGCAACAACCAATCCGGACACTCTTCGGTATGGACACGAACACGCTGGAGGTTGCATTGGGCGACGAGAATCAGATCGAGGCAGCAAAATGAGGTCCGTGGTCCATTTCCAGTGCTGGCCTATGACTAAATAAATCAATGTCTTGGGAAATGGTAGTGACATTGGGGAATATATCTTTGACTAAATGCCATCAGTTATGTATGATACGTGCCCTGAATTGTTGCTCGCCTCATCATTTGGTGCTTTTGGTATTGCAAGCCCTAGCACCTGGAGTCGTTTTTAATACACCCAGTCAAGCTCTAGCAGGCGGAAAATAGTCCATGCTGTGGTCACAATACAAAACTAAGCTAACTTTGGTGAATGGAATACCTAAAGAGTTCCTGAAAGAAAGCGAGGAAATCCAGAAGGGCTTCTTTGACTGGGGTTGGGGTTGATTGTCATAGTTTGTGGAGTCAGGAACGATCAAGTCCCCGCCGAACCACCTGCCGTAGCCTGGCGTCTGGCACTACAAGTTATGCGACGAAAAGGTTAACCCCGCATCTCCGCTGTCGGGGGTTTCCCCTCGTTTCCAAAAGGCTAAGACAGCTGAAATTTCTCGAGCAGATTTTCAAACTTTGCAGTTCTGGAAATGGGGGGTTCAAGTACCCAGGTCACTGTGACCATCATTGGAGGAGGAATTGGTGGTTTAGTGCTCGCTCTCCAACTCCATTTCGTGGGAATCAAGAACATAACCATATTTGAATCCTCGCGAACTCTTGCCGCCATTGGATCAGGGATAAATTTGCAGCCCTCAGCTGTGCTGGTCCTCCGGAACCTTGGTCTCTTGCCCGGTCTAGAAGAAATCGGTATCAAGACTGAGGAGTTGAGATATTACAATCGCTATGGACACTTCGTCATTGGCGAGCCGAGAGGGATGAATGCCGGATACCTCGTTCCGCAATTCTCAGTACATCGAGGTATGTTGCATGCCTTGTTACTCGGTGCTGTGAAGGAGAGACTTGGAGAGGCGTGTGTGGTAACGGACCATGTGTTTACCTCATTTGACCAAGATGAGAAGAGCATTACCGCAAGGTTCTCGAGGAAAACAAATCCAGAGGTTCCAGCCGACATTCCAGAGAGAACGTCAGATACTGTGATTGCTTGCGATGGTATCAACTCGACTGCTCGACGACTACTGTATCCTAACGAAGGACCACCAAATTTTTCGGGACGCTTACTCTGGAGAGGTGTCTCTTTGCGAGAACCATTCCTCACGGGGCGCTCAATGGTGTGGGCTGGCCATGCCGATCAAAAATTCATAGCTTATCCCGTAGGTCGACAGGCAGAGAAGGAGGGAAAGTCATTAGTGAATTGGATAGCGGAGTTGAGAGTGAGGAGTAAAGATGATCCGGACCTGACACCTCCTGTGGCTGATTGGGGGGAAACGGTGTCGAAAGATCGCTTTGCAGATCAATTTCAGAGCTGGACGTTTGGCTTTTTGAGCATCCCAGATCTGATAGAGGAAACCGAGGTTGTCGCGGAATTCCCGATGTGTGATCGCACTCCCGTTGACAGGTGGAGCTTTGGGAGGCTGACGCTTTTGGGAGATGCGGCGCATCCTCTGTATCCCAGTAAGTTGTTTACATGAAAATCTGAAAATCTGAAATGGCATCTGATCAGGTATAGTTGGATCGAATGGAGCAAGTCAAGCTATTCTCGATTCTGTAGCTCTCTCTTCTGCTCTTCAGCAGGAGAAGGACATCCCAGCTGCTTTGACCATGTATCAGAATGAGAGACTGCCGCCGACAGCGAAAATATGTTTTGCGAATCGCGCGAATGGGCCGGATCATGTGCTACAGCTGGCTCATGAGCGCGCACCTGATGGCTTCGAGAATATAGATGATGTGATTGGGAGCATGGAACTAGAAGAGGTTGGCAAGGCGTATAAGTTATTGGCAGGTTTTGATATGGAAAGTGTGAACAAGAAGGCGAAGGAGACCGAGAGCATGTGGACATCAAAAGTGATAACGAACGGCCTCAGTCGCGGTAAATAGAATGATTACGATTTGACATCAGAAAATGTACACACTACTCTTTAGAAAGTCTTCTCTTCAAAGAGTTTTTCGGACCTACTGAATGCGGTTGCTAGTAAGGTTCGGTGTAGTTCCTGTAAGAGACGTGTTTCCTCTTTCTTGCCTGTAGCTCTGAACATGAATATGTTGATGCATAGGGGCAGAAATTTCGAGATTTGCAACAACAGTGGCAGACGAATCGACAAACCCAAGATGTAATAGTCTCGGAATTTATATTTAGGGAGTATCTAATTCCGAAATGCTGCCACTTGGCGGAGGGTGGAACCTACCGCTTCGTTCATTCTTTTGTTTCCTCTTTAAAAGTGCTCTATGGCGGCGACTCTTCAAGTGTATCTGCCATTGGGCATCGGTGACAACCACTGTGTGGCACATCTCGCATTCTTCGCGGAAATTGAGGTCTCTGGGCTCCACTGACTCGTCTGGATCCAATATTTGGGCAGCAGCAGCACACACCTCACGAGGTGCTACCCGCTCAGTACCATTCAAAAACGATTCTGCAATCCTGATAGCAGGCTGTGAGACAGTGTCTGAAAATTGGGAAACATCACTGCCATCAACAATGTATAGTCTTTCCAGAGCATCGACTTCCGTGAGTGCCGGAACCAGTTTCAGACGGATCCAACGAACTTGCTGTTTTGCATATTGACGTGTAGCTGCCTTGGTCTGCTCGACTGATAGTTCGTATGAATTTTGTACTTCGCTCGCCGAGGCGGTTCCAGAGGCGAGAATTTTGAGATACGGCTCGAACTCCTTGTAACCGATTGAGACCCAGATGCCTCTTGTACAGTCAACGTCGACACCAGATAATGTTTGCTTCTGCAGAAAGCTTTGCATTGACTTGACCTCATCAAGGAGGCCAGAATCTAGCATCTTGTCAATCCTGGCATCGAGACGCTTCTTCAAAATTTCAGACTCAGCGAACACCCAGAATAAGAGCACAGATCTGTCATCTATTAAAGATGCGGCAATGGATCCTGTGTCAAGGCTCGAATGTTTCTTGGCAAGTTTCATTTCCATCTGTTCTGCGTATATATCGGAGGCTCTCTTGCCGGTCACAAGGTATATCTCCAAAGATCGACGAATCTTCCGTCTGTCTTTTGGATGCCACCTATCTGCCATAACTGGGTCCACCTCTTGTAGGCGCGTAAGCATATCCTCGGTCGATGCAGCGAGAATAGGATATTTCTCAGCCATTTCTTGGTTCGTGTAACCATAATTACTCTGATCCTCTTCTGAGGGGGTTGTATGCACCAATGTCTCATTGAAGAGCAATGACTGCGTATAGTAATGTGTCCCACCAACTAGTATTGGTAGTCGTCCTCTGGAACGAATTTCTCGAATAATTTGTCCCGCTTTCTGCTTAAACAAGCCCACACGCCACGGCTCCTCGTCGAGCGCAACGAAACCGAGTAGGTGGTGCGGGATACCCTGTTGCTCCTCAAGAGTCATCTTATTCGTTATGATTGGGAGACCATCGTACATTTGCATTGCATCGCCGTTGATTATCTCGCCGTCGAAGCGCTTGGCTAAGTCAACTGCAAGCTGCAGACAGTTGTGAGCAGGGCAAACAAGAGCAGATGTGAATAAATGTCATACCTGAGATTTTCCTGTGCCAGTCGCACCAAGGACGACAACTAGAGGATCCTTCGGGGGCTTTTTCATCATGATCGCTCGCTTTATCGCATGGCAGACTCGTTGTAGCATCCGTGCTTGCGTGTTGGACGTTTGTGGTGAGTCTCGCGAGGCTGCGAGGCAAGTACAATAAAATATGTTGTAAGCCTTGTCACGTGGAAAATCTGGCAGTTCTTGTCGGTACCTACCTACTTATTTACCTACCTTAGGTACGTAGGTTCCTATATTCCCATGGCACATAAGATGTCTTGGTTAGGAGGAAAAAGAAACATTCAAGCACATCCAGGGACAGAATTTGTTCTTGCTGCCCAGTCATTGCTTCATTGGTATTTCCCGATGCCACATACTCCTATAATGCTAACCCCTACCAGCGCCTTGCTTTGATGCTCTCTTCTAAATTCACAATGCTGTTCGACTCCAGACTAGGATACAATGTCTTCCAAAATAATCTCAAGCTCCTCCTTCCGAAATGGCACAGAAAGAATTTCGATCCCCAAACCATCTTTTCGACTCTGTATCATTTGATGGTCATGAAATCTGCTTAGGTCAGTAAGAGGTGTGAACAGGAATTCGGGGCACATACTCTTTTAGTAAGGTCCTGAAATTCATCTCATTACTGCATATGAATTCTTCAACAGCTTTCTGATACAGCACTCTGTATTCCACACCCACCTCACCCCGTCGAGGGTTGCCAAATTGAGGATCGATACCGTCCTCGCCCTCGGCTCCTTCCAGCAATTCCCCTGGACATCCATCCATTGCTGCCAGTTGCTCTCCTATTAGCACTCTGAATAAGTTCTTGGCATTTTCCGGTAAGCTCTTCAGCACGAAGCTTACTCCCTCTCTGCCCCCGACTCTCCTCCCACTTCTCCCTAGTAATTCGTGGACCTCGTCTACAACGTCGACTTCAGAATTGTATGGCTGGAATGTTGTGCAATCATGAAATAGGAAGTTGTACGCTGAGCGAAGTGAACTATCCCACAAAAGTGGAAAAGAAGGATGGTCGGCTGATGCTACCAGGTGGATTTGAGGATGTGCGCTGAGACGAGAGAGGACTGTCTGAGTAGCAGGCTTCCGAAGCGGAGCTCCGTCAATGGAGTGGATTATGAGAGTTATATCTGTATCTTCGTCTTCCTCGAGCAAAGCTATGAGGTTTTCAATCATTTCAGCAGGATGTGAGCCCAACTTAATCCCTCGCTCTGCAACGGCGGATGCGATAGTGCTTAAGACGTCTCGAATGGTCAAGTTACTGACATAGCCATTAACGACAACTATTTTGGCCTTGGAGTGTTCTGTTTGTGACTTGTAGATGTGGTCTGCGAATCGCATCAAGAGAGATCTTTTGGAACCCCAGCCAAACGCGCAGATATTAAAATTTTGACTCAACTCAAAATGCCATTGATTGAAGGACTCTGCATGTAATTGCTCCAAGAATTTGACATCTTCTGCATGTGGATCCTTTGAATTTCGCGTGTGACTGAAGTATTCTTCGTGATCAAGGAGTGCCAATGAAGCCAAGGTGTTGTTTGAGGTTTTGGCTCTGCCACCGCGGTTTTGGAAGAAGAATTTCTCGTGTGCCGTGAGGTCTTGAGGGGGTGTCGGAGAGCGTCGTTGAGACTTCATCCCTTTCTTCCTTCCCTTCTTAGAGGGAGTCTCTGGAGCAGTGGCCTCGTCCATGTCCTGATCTTCGTCTTGGCCCACCCCTTCGTCCCCTGAGTCGTAGATTTGCTGGGCAATTTCCTCATCTTCATCATCGTTTTCACTGGTGTTGCCGAGGATCGTTCTCTCAATGAGAGTCCTTGTGCTTTTCCTCCTCGCCGAGCGATTCGCATTACGTTCAATCCTCGGAGTATTGTTCTCTACTCCATGAGCACTCGTCTTCACTGGCGTTGCGAAGAGCTTCTTCCCAGGCAACTGTTTCCTAGGTGTTGTCCCAGTCGTGAATGTGTCCGAAGCTCTGTTTGAAGTTCCGTGTGTAGCTTTCCTTGCGCCGGCCACCTCAGCCTCATTGTCAGGCGCACCATTTTCTAGATCATCATCCTCAACATTGTGTCCATTCTCAATCTCTGAAACCTCAAAGCTCTCTCCAGCCTCGGAGAGTTCCTCAGTCGTCGTAGACTTCGGATTGTTCAAGTTTTCCTCAGCACCGAATGCTGCATTCACTGTCCCGCCTGTCGGACGAGTCCTCTTCAATGCTGGCGCATCCTCCGTTGGAATCTCGGCAAGATCCGCCTTTCTCCTTTTCATGATTGTGCAATCTAAGAGATTATCAGGCTGCTGCGCAATTGGCTTGAATTGAGTGTGTAGGAACTTACCTGCGAGGATCTAGACATGGATTTTGAGCTTCGACATTCAACAGTCGCGTCCTCTGCACTGTTAGCGACCGACATTTGTCCGCCATGACGCTAAAAGCGGGACTGATCCGCTTCTGCCCTGCAAATATGCAAGGGTGTCGCGACTCCCATTTTTAATGTCAACAAACCTTCATATCGCGACATCGAGTTTGGGAAGACCACCAATTCGCACGCGCGCAAACACACTAACAAATCTTGCCCTTGACATTAAATGGCAAAAATTTCTCATAAACCAGCTTGAGTGTCAAGGTCCTAGACATGCTGAACTGGTGGTTAGGTCGAACAGCTGAAGGGAACGGCGACGATGGTAAAAGCAAATCGCGTCCAAATTCATCCAAATTACATGCTCACCAAACTCCAGATCAGTATCTAGACCGAGACCCTCCAGAGACTCCTGCTCCCGTGTTTGCTGCTCGTGCTCTGAAAAGTGCCATTTTCGGTGCACTGCCTCAGCAAAACGATGATACAATCTACGAAATCGACACCAAATCTGGACTAGAAGCTGGCAAAGATGCCAGAGACTTACAGCCACGGAACATTTCCCCAACCAAGCCTTCCGGAATCCTACTCACTCCGGGAACTGCAACGACACGACGCAAGACTGTATCTTTCGGGAACGAAGTGGTGGACAAAGACGTGGATAAGAAAACAGCAGCTCAAAGAGTTACCAGGCGAAGCCGCTTATCAGATGATGGTGAGAAACAAGCTTCGACTCCATTTGCTCAGGCAACAGAAGAACCAACGAGGGCAGCACGGAAGACAACTCTTACACGCGCTCTAGAGAAGGTTAGAGAGGAGACACCAAAGATCGAGACCAGGCAACCTTCGAAAGAGTTAGATTTGGAACCCAGGAAGTCCCGAACATCAATAGAAACGGCCTTAAATACGGAGTCCGTCAATCCTATCAAACCACAGCAGAGTAGTCGGGTTCTTCCGCGACACTCGGATGATGACGATAACACGGATCTAGAAATGACTGTGGACTTGAAATATCCCCGTTCGCAGTCTGGAAAGTTTTGGAAAGCCGAGTACCAGCAATATCACGAAAATGCGCTTCTGGAGATGAAAAAAGTGCTCGCTTACAAGGAACTCGCCAAATCGTATGCGAAGCACAAGGATGCGCAGAATATTGAGCTTACGAAAAAATTGAACGACGCCCAGAAACAAGTCAAGGATATGGAGGACAAAATGTTTGAGCTATCTGCTCGTATCACCTTGTCAGGTAAAGACGGCAATGGCGACGAGGCTCCAGAACTGGTACAGGAACTTGCACGACAGGCAGCTTTAGGAGTTCAATACAAGGCCCAAGTTGAGGAGTTTCGAGCAGCACTTGAGGGGGGTGACAACAATCAAAATAGCCCCAGTAAGCATGCCAGAAATCGACGGGCATCTCGCCAGTCGGAGGAGGCGGAAATCGATACACATCGCGAACTGAAGAGATTGCATGAGCAGCTCAAAGAAATGGCTTCAATGAAGGATGAGTTTTCCAGTCTTCGGCAATCATTCTCGGCCGCGGAGAAGTTAGTCCAGAAGCTTCAGGACGAGAACAGCAAGCTAACTCAACAACTCCTTCATGCTGACTTGCGGCTTGAGAAACATTTGGAGAAGTGTGAGCAGAAGCGACAGTCGTTGGATGAACAGCGTCAGAGGAGAGACGAGATCGTTCAGAATCTTCAAAATGACTATGATAAGTTGAAAGAGCAAGCAAAATCACAACGTCGCGATGCAGAGCATCTGTTGAAGAAGCGACATGACCAGGTTGTGGATTTGAAACGGGAAATAGCTTCACTACGTGCTGCTGACACGAATGCGGTGGAATTCCAGAGGGTACTTCAAGAAAAGACTGCTGTACATGATCGAACGGTTGCTGAGCTACAGAAGCAAATTGCAGACCTGAAAGGAAAGTTTCAGCAAAACACAAAGGAAACGGCTTCTTCGGGGCTGTCAAGGGAGAGGATATTCGATGCTTCTGTCCTCGCTTCAAAGCCGCTTCCCAGTCTCGCAAGTTCGCAAGCAAGAGAGAGTCAAATCCCCATTTCGAGCCAATTTGTTTCTCGACCGTCCAAGGTTCTTATGGCCTCCAAGACGTCTAAATCCGAAACTCCTACCGGATCGCCCAGGCGTCGCTCCTCTTATTCTGCCATGTCTGAGATGACAAATAGAGGCCATGGTGAGCCTACTCCTTTCCAGCGTTCTGGACCAGTGCAGCACACTCCCCTTGGCCCACTGACTCCTCTGACAAACCGCTTCTCAACACTGTCAAAAGACTCCGGAGAGGTACACCAACACTACTCAGAACCATCGCTTCCGCCGGCAACCAGTCGAGCTATTCACGAGAGGAGCTGTCGCCCAAGTCCTGGCCCCTCCATATTTAGCATTGCTTCAAGCCCCCCCAAGGCAGCCGTGGTCAGACCAAGGATTTCCAACGAGCTTTCGAGACAAGAGTCACAAAGCAATATCAACTCGCGTCAAAATGCGAACACGGCCTCAAGTCGCCTCTCAAATTTGGACAGCTCGAGGATGAGAAATCCCATTCCGCCAGAGCGAGCAGCAGCGGCGCGGGCCAGACTAGAGAAGAAACAGGCAGAGAAGAAGAGAGTACAGGCGTTGGGGGCAGACAAGGAGAACACACCTAGCCAGCTGTGATACGGCCGCAAGATTGAGTTTGGAGTCTTGGAAGTTGTCCTCACTTGAGTTAGCACATTGTATTCACGGCCATCACATGGATGGAGCATATTGCAGCGGTTGTACAGAGATACCATGTTTTGGCGTTTGTAGACTTACTTCACACAGCGTAGGAGTTAGCGGTATTCATTTTGGTGAGGACACGGCGATGCCAGAATTTTGAGCATGTTACGAAGACCTATTGCCGAAAGCTATGGTGATATTGAACTTTTTCTCATTACCTCATCGCCCTCGTACTCGTACATTCCTCTCTCACTCACGACATGAAGAAATCCTGTAAGGTCCGCCATGCTGGAAGTCCAGCTGTGGCGGGAATGAGGTGAGAATAGGCTGGTAGCAGATTGGTCGAATTTACGGCGAAGTTCGCTCACCTACTTCTGCTTCCTCCAACCAAGCCAGCCCGCTGGACACAGCTGCTTCCATAACGTATAACTACCCTAAGCAGGCGAGCTCAGCGAATACCGTTTTTTTCGATACCTAAGAACCTTTCACTACTTTCCTTGCAAAACCCAATTTAGGGTGCGCAGTGAGCTCTGTCGTCTCATTCGTTCTCATGATTGATTACCATACTGCTGTCTCGTTTAGGCAGGTAATTACGGCAAGCTTCCTTAACGAAATATAAACCCCACCTTCTGCCAACTTCTGGTGTCGTCACATATTGTCAACTATTGAATCTTCTACCGATATACTGTTCATCCTTGGCAACTTGGCAAGATGAAAGACATTCCTACTTCTGAAGGTGAAATTGATTTTGAAGTCAATGGTGTTGAAGGCCCGTGTAAGACTGTAAGATATATTTTCTACAAACCCAATTTATTCCTCTCCTACAAGCCTTCATGCCAATTCCACATAATTCATTCTACAGATCCCAAGACTCGGGATTAATATTTCACAGTGGTACAAAGTGTTCGGTACCCTTAAGTCACACAACAAGCCTCTTATTTGCCTCCATGGTGGTCCTGGAGTTCCACACAACTACCTTCTCCCACTCTCCGCCATAGCTGGCAATACCTCCACGCCCGTCATTGTCTACGACCAACTCGGTTGCGGCAAATCTACTCACCTACCGTCTCAACCTGATGCAAAGAGCTTTTGGACTCCGACTCTATTTCTTGATGAATTGGAGAATTTGGTTAAGAAATTGGGTGTGGACACGTACGATGTGCTTGGACAGAGTTGGGGTGGGATGTTGGGTGCTATGCATGCTATTAGGAGGCCGAAGGGGTTGAGGAAGTTAATTGTTGCGGATAGTCCAGCGAGTATGGAACTCGTGAGTGTTCTCCTTTGTCGCTTGGGTTATTTTGCTCCTTGGAAGCACTCTGAGAGTAAATATGGCAGAAATGGAGATATCAGCGCTAATGATCTTGCAGTGGGTTAAGGCGGCTGAGAAGCTGAAGAGGGGAATGCCGGAAGACGTCCAAGAGGTTTTGGAGAGATGTGAGAGGGAGGGGAAGACGGACACCGAAGAATATGAAGCTGCGGTCATGGTATTCTATCAGAAGCATCTCTGTAGAGTTCCGTTCCCTCAGGATTTGCTGGACAGTTTTGAGGAGCTGAAGAAGGATAATACGGTCTATGGGACTATGTGGGTTTTCATTTCCCATTGGACTCCATTTGATCTAATCTGACAATTTAGGAATGGCCCCTCTGAATTCTTCGTCAGTGGAACGTTGAAGACTTGGACGATTGTCGATGAGGTTTACAAGATCGAAGTCCCAACTCTTCTTATCAACGGACGCTATGATGAGGCGCAGGATGAGGTCGTTGAACCGTTTTTCAAGAATATCAAGAAGGTGAAATGGGTGCGGTTCGCCCAGTCAAGTCATATGCCTCACATGGAGGAACCAGAGGAGTTCATGGAAGTTGTGCAGAAGTTCATTGCGGAATAGAAAGGTGTGCCAGGAGTTGCTGGATTCTCTTTTTGGGTTGGTGCCTCTTTGATGGGCCTTCAGCAGGTCATGTTCTAGCGATAATGAGGATGGTGAAGAGATCACTTAGCAATTCGCATCTCTCTGAGGCGAACCATACCTCTGTATCAGAACTGGGAATGCAAAACCGAAGTTAACGAAGCTGATGCCCCCATGACCGAATCATCGCATCTTGGAGTTCTCCACCTGTTTTCAGACGTTTATGTCACCTGGCCGGTGGTGACAGTGCCGGGCCTAGAGTCTCGTGCACAAGCAGTGGCGAGTCTAGACGGTGGTTCTCGCATCGTCCGAAACCAAAAATTCTCGCCGCTGACTCTGCCTTTTGTCAGTACTTTTTTCCCTGTGCTCGAGTTCCCCATGAAATATTGAGGAAGCAAAGCATCATCTGGCCCTTGCCTGCCCAAAATGAAGGGATTCCGGCATTAATTAGTCTCGTTGAGCAGGTTAGGTTGGGTCTTTTGGGTCGGGACAGTGTGAAGTTGCATTATTTTTGGTGGCTGGCTCCTGGTGCCGGTTGTGGTGTGGTCAGGAGAAACAGACTCCAGGCCCGATAAGCTAGCGAAATGTCTTATCGAGCGCTCGCATGAAGTGATCCCTGCTGGAGTCGCCTTAAAGTAGCCGACCCATGAGTCCCTTGCCCCTGCCGGACTCGAGCGCTTCAGGCAAGGCCACGGGCTGTGAAGGAGGCCAGGACCAGCACCATGCTACCTCCGCCTTCTCTTCACTTTCAAACAAGTCGCCCTTCCTCGACACTCTTCCACTCTTCCACTCTTCTGCTGACCAACAGCTTCGGGCGTCATTCACCTCACCACACACAACATCAAGGCAAGGGATATTCCCACTTCCAATTCCAACTCGACCCCATTTCGTTGCCGTCCGCTGCCATCACAGCCACCACCACCACTTCCGATCTCGAGCCCACGCCCACGCCTGACTTCGACCACACGAGTCATCTCTACAACGGGACAAGCACGTAGCAGGAAATATCTTCGCAGACCAAATCGGGTTTTCATCTGCAATCTACTCCGCAATACAATCAATCAGTCTTTACCAACCAGACCGAACGACACATTACGTCAGAATGGCTACTATGGCGAAGCAACGCTTGATGAGCGAACTCAAGGGGCTGGAAAAGGAGAAATGGGTTAGAGTTGAAGTAGGCACTTCTATGGACATATTAAAAGAGGACCTGCTAACAAATCAACAGCTTAAGGGAGATGCTCTCTTCAAGTGGAGCCTTGGCCTCATGATTATCAACCCAGACAGCGCTTGGAATGGTGCCTATTTCAAGGTGAGCATGTCAACAGTCCGGAGTAATTACCAGTTAGTAACAAGATGATAGTGCGAGATGGGTTTCAGTGAAAACTATCCTTTCTCCCCACCAACCTTCAAGTTCTTGCAACCGATTTATCATCCCAACATCTACTCTGATGGGAGGGTGTGCATCTCGATCTTGCACGCCCCAGGTGAGGACGAGCAGTCCGGGGAGTCTGCAAACGAACGTTGGTCCTCCATCCAGAGCGTAGAGTCTATCCTCCGCTCAATCCTACTACTCCTCGACGATCCAGAGATTGGCTCTCCAGCCAACGTCGACGCCGGTATCTTGTACCGTGACAACAAAGAGGAGTATAACAGAAAGGCAGCAGAGACTGTTCAAGCGTCAAAGAAAGATATTCCAGATGGCTTCGTCATGCCAACTACGCTTGTCGAGGCTCCTCCAGCAAAGATGACTGAGGATGATGATTTCTGGAACGAGTCCGGCGACGAGGACGACTTTGGCGCCAGTGATAGTTCTGGAGACGATCTCGATATGGACGAAGAGGATGGAGAGGAGCAGGAGGAAAGTGAGGAAGATAAGGATGATGACGAGGAGCTGTGAAAGAGCTGATTGGACAAGGGATTTTTTCCCCCAGCACACGACTGTACATTTGATCTTGCGGTAACAAATTGGCGTTTTTGTTCGCTAGGTCTCGGTGGGATTGGCGTCATATTTCATTTACTGCATAGCATAGCGTGGCTTCTTAAGCGGCGTATAGGCAGATGTGGCATCAATACTGCGGCGTCTGAACTGCGGATTCCATCTGGGCTTTTTAGATCTGGCGTAAGGAAGCTGGATTTGCATACGTATGGGGTTAACGTGGACGAAGAATGGGAAGAAGTCGATCGTCTAATAAAATTCAACTTTATATAGAACTTTCCTCAATGTCAGCTCGCGCACTTTCTGTACTTCAGTCTAGTCTCGAGCACTCGGGAGACAAGCGTACGTAAGCTCTGCAAAGACCACATATTTTAATTTCATCAGTTGCCTGGCAATTAGCACGGAAACGAAGCGGACAGGAAATCAACATCACAAAGAACGCACGTGCGGAATAGCAATTGCAGGGGTCAGCCTTACCCTGACGCAGCGAACAGTAGCTCCTCCAGCTTCTCAAGCTTCATCCGTACAACGGTACAATACTGTTCCCCAGTCCCCACTTGCAGATCTTTGCAAACGGTCACTTCCAGGACCTGGCCAAGTGCATTCATCATTGCCGCATATTTACTTCTTCTGCAGCCTCATGCTCCAGAAAGAGCTCTGATAGACCTCTGTCTAAACGGTTTGGAAGGCTTCTCGACGGCGGTGCGCCTGCGACAATGACAGCTCAGTTCCAGCCGTCAGATGCAGATGTTAACAGCTTCTTGGATCTAGTCGGCCACACCGTGCAAAGACCGGAGGCAGTCGCAAGACTGAAGGTAAGCTTAGAGGCTTTTGCGCTGTACTTTACTGATTGAATTTGGCGCCCAGGGTAATAACAATAATGTCGAGCAAGCTTTGAACGAATACTACGATTCTCCAGACAACAATAAAGTAGGCCTACTCTTCTGCTAAGCCTATCAAGTGCTCAGAAATAAATCTAGTACCGGTGGGATGAAGGACAATTCAATAGTGGTCGAGACGGCGAGTACAACAACCATGGTATATGTAGGTTTTTGGGATATGAACCCCGTAAATGCCATGGCTGAGTTTGTCTGTCAACAGCATTCGATATCCATGCGCCAGATGACCCAGGACCCTTCCCAGGAGGACGCTTCGATGGAGGCCCATCTCGCCCACCCTCAAGAACGAGTAACAATAAGTCACCACTGAGTAAGGTCATTGATCTAACAGCAGACCATGCAGCTGGTACGTAGAGTACCAGACCTAGAAACAGACAGCTAATATAAATCTGAAGCGGACGCCAGAAACTCCATGGACAATGACTACAATGCCGATCCGGAACTGCAACAAGCTCTCGCAGCCTCGAGGGCAGATTTGGGGATGCCACCACAAGAGAGCGGCGTAACTGGGACTGAGGTGGTTCATTTTGGCCCGGCGACCCGCAGCCAATACGAGCAAGGACAGTGGGATATGGTACCGATTGGAAAGTCTTCTACGCAAGAGGTGTTCGTCGAGCCTGAGCCTGCGGATAGGAAACGTGAACCAGGGACTCCCGCTTTTTTGAAGCCAAGTATCCAGGATACCCGCCTCAATGCCATCATCACGATCTATCATGAGATCCCTCTCACGAGGAGCCTATTCCTCAACTCAGGGGATCACATCGCTTCTTACGGTTATGATCCGGAATGGTGGTCTGGAAAACAGATTGAGATGCAAGTTGTAATGGTGGATGATGAGCTGACTCAGTATGAGGAGTGTGACAGAGAGCTTCAGCGCCTGATGGCATTTCTAGATAAGACAGAGCGAAGCTATGGCTCTGCTGAACCGCTGGCAGACCGTCCTGATGTGAAGAAGGCCTTCAGAGCTCAGCCTGACATTCCATCCGCTGTATTCTTAGCTTGGAAACTTGCCATCGAAAAAAAGGATCCAGGAATGGTTGATATGATCTTCAGCGCTGGTGTTGCATCCGAAGACCAAGACACAAAAGATGATGAGAAGACGTTTGCAATGCTGGAACTCGACCTTCCTGCCAAGGACTCCTCTCAGGAGACACTATATGACATCGCTGACGAAGTTTTGTGGCCTGGTCTTGGAAACTTGGAGCTCTCAGGGTGCCCGTACCTATCACGAATCGCCCCGGTTATTTCTTTCAAAGTTGATGGTCAGGGTGATCGCAAGCCTATCGAGCTGCCAATGGTGTGGTATCCGGATCGCTATCTGAAATCTGGACGGCAAGCGGCTTTGGACATGCGATTGAAGAAGCATGAAGTCGAGCAAGAACTGACCCGAATCCGTACCTTGGAAGAGAAGCTGTCTTTGGTTCCAATCAGAACTGGGAAAATTGTGAAGGTGCATGATTTGTTCAAGGCTTCACTCAAGCATGATGTTGCAGAAATAGAAGAGAAATCGGAGGCACTTATCGATGTTGACATTGAAATGATGGCCACGCAGCGTCAAAGCAATGCTATGGGGCGACTCTCGGAAGAGCTCCAGAAGGTTGTTGCTAGTATTGATAAGAAGCTTCTAGGTGTGTAACAATCTGTACTTGTGATGGACTGGATTAATGTGTTTTAGCTTTGGAAGGAGAGAAGGAAAAGGCTCGAGAAGAATTTCGCAAGCTTTCCAAGCTGTACACGGAACCTTCTAGCGATCCTGATGCCCCGGCTCTGCATAAGTACACTCTTCGTGGTGTCAGTACGTCCAAGAGCACATTCTACATTTGTAGACGTTCCGAGCCAGACCTTATCGATATGGACATGGATGTTCCCGATCAGTGGTGGAAATTTCATTATGCTCCCATGGGTCACAACACTGTGACTGTTGAGGTAGGTTTAAATTGCATATACTGAATGGTGTCATTCTTACTTTATAGCAGAAAACGACCGAAGAGGAGGTCACAAAAGCTGCCAAGGAAAGCAAAAATATGATTCTCGTGTATGCCAGCGAGGATGCTATGGATACTTTGAAGTACAATCACGCACTTCCCAAACCTCTCGAGGTAGGTTCTCCGATGCAAACAGCATTGATACCAAGCTAAGATTACTGCAGACCTTTGTAAAGTTCGACAACAAAGCTTTCAAGGCCGAGTTCCAGGGTTCTGAAGATTCTCAAACTGTCAATGGAGAGTATCAGAATGCTGCAGACGACACTCTACCGGTTGGACTATCCTCTCCAGGCAAACGAAAGTTCGATGAAAGCTCATTAGTTAACCAGGACTCTAATCCATATGCGCGCGTCAATATAACTGCGAGAGAACTACGGAACAACGGCGATACCGGGGAGACGGAAGCTTCGACCTCACAACAAAACACATCTATGGGTGGAGTGGAGACACCCTTGTCACAAAGCCACGAGGTTCTTGTGGGTGTTGATCCAGCCATGCTTGACAACACCAACTATGAAAGTCCAAGGCCAACCCAGGAGATGCAGGAGCGAAGCGGGATGCCCATGTTGTCAAGAGCAACTTCAGGACCAACAAAATCTCTTGATAACATGGACCTGATAATGGAGGATGATATAGTTGCTGGAGAGAGCGCTGCTGTGAAGCACGTTGGATTTGCGGAATGACTCTGACCAATGAGGAGACCCCCGCTGTAATTAAGGGGAAAGAGTTGTCGTCAAGCGAGAATACCCATTTTGTATGCTGCGTTGGATGATCTGAAGCAGCTGGGCTTTACCTTGTAGTACAGGTATTTCAATCGCAATAGAAGACCCACTGTCTCAGGTATTGGAGAAATGTCTCCTCTGATGCACCTCGTTCGCTGTCAGTCACTCTGTGCATCCCATTCCAGATCCTTTTGGCCTGGGCTAACACGCATTTGTTGACCTTTATCTAAATCCGAGCTGATTTCATCTGCTCGCCAAACAAAAGCGGAGTTACCCGAAAATTGTAAACAACAACCCCACTCGAAGCCTAACCCTGAAAGTTTCGTCTGAGGTCTAACTTCTAGTGGCTGCCTGTCATCTTAATTTCCATGTCCTAGTCAAAGATGTTACTTGGAGATTTATGTATCATATTCTTAGGTGCATATTTATTGCCCACTAGGCCTTGGAACACAGGGTATTCATTCCAGTAACAGCCCGGTAGATACGTAAGTTCAGTGACAGCATGCTTGTGAAACAGTGAACCACAGCGCTATGTTCAGTATTTTCGAAGAAGAAATATATACAAAGAAAGTTGGGTATCGAAACATGGGATGCTTAAAACCAGAACTCCCAGACAGACAGGTCTTGCAGGGGTCTGGCCTTTGAAACTAAAACTGCGACAGCGCCAAAATTATCTATTATCTCTTCAATTGTTCCCTTCTACGCAGAAACGCTAGAATCGCGTCGCGACTCGGATGCCCATGCGCGTCGTTCGCGACGATTGTCGTAGCTGCTCACGGCTTCTCGAAGGTTCCACTGAAAAGATGACCCCGCCAACCAACGTCACCGCCATTCCCGCGAATGGCGGGGAGTCGAGAGGGGACGACATGGGACTTCATGAACAAGCCTGGCCTGAGCGACGAACGTGGCGTGGCCTGCATGATCTCTCAAAAAGACCGCAGAATTCCTTCAATACTCGATTCAATACAAAAAACGCAGTCAGAGTCATTGGTCAATTCAACATCCGCATAAAAAAGGACGGACGAGACCCGTTGTTTGTATGTGATTCCCGACTCACCTTACAGTGCCGTGTGTTTGTGAACAATCAAATCCCTCACACGATCAGCTGTCTTCCCTTGTCTACCTGCCCTGCTGGCAACGAACACAACATTCGAGGTTCTTCTAATTGTTTCGGAAAGCAAAGACCCCTTCTCTCCTTCCCAGGTCTTGTCAAGCCAGAGCCGAGTGACATACGCTGAGCTCGACCTGATCACTTCACTTTCACTGTTCCTCGACATACATTCTTTCATACACGATACTCTCAGTACATCAAAGGACCTGCACGGCTGTCTGCAGTCTACACATCTTGTTACCTTCTTCATATACGACACTGCACATCCACAAAGATGGTCGCGGAAACCAAATTATACGACTCGTTGGGCATCAAGCCGGATGCCTCGCAAGATGAAATCAAGAAGGCATACCGGTGAGCTATACCGCACCTTCAACTCCATGGATCATGCTAACGAGTAGACAGGAAGATGGCCCTGAAGCATCATCCAGACAAAAACAAGGACAATCCCAGCTCGGCCGAGAAATTTAAAGAGGTATCGCAGGCCTACGAGATCCTCTCGGACCCGGAGAAACGCACAACCTACGATCAATATGGCCTGGAATTCATGATGCGCGGTGGTCCACCACCGCCAGACCCAAGCACTGGTGGGAACCCGTACGCCGGAGCGGGAGGTATGCCAGGCGGGTTCGATTTTGGCGGCGCGGGCATGCCTGGCGGAGGAGGACGGACATTCCACTACGAGTTCAATACTGGCGGCCCGGGTGGTGGAGGCGGTGGATTCAGCTTCAGCAATCCCGAGAGCATTTTCTCAGAGTTCCTACGGGGACAATCGGGCATGGGCGGTGGAGCTGATGGTTTCGAGGACTTGTTCGGTGGTGGGGGCGGCATACCACGATCGAGGCAATCTGGTGGCCGAACGAGAACGGCAGGCTCAGGCGCCGAGTCTGCGAGATATAGAGCGCAGACACCAGAGGTCACCACTGTCGAAAGACCGCTCCCATTGACGCTCGAGGAGCTTTTCAAGGGAACGCACAAGAAGATGAAGATCAAGCGGAAGGCGTTCGACGAGGTTACAGGCAAGAGAACGACGCAGGATAAGGTTCTGGAGATGGATATTAAGCCGGGATTGAAGAAAGGGAGTAAAATCAAGTTTAAGGGCGTAGGAGATCAGGAGGAGGGTGGGCAGCAAGATTTACATTTCGTTGTTGAAGAGGTGAGACACCCTTTTTATTGTTATTTTTATTGGTAAACACTTGACACTTTGAATATGACTAACATTTTTGCAGAAACCACACATTCTCTTCACCCGCGACGGCGACGACATCCACCACACTGTCGAACTCGACCTGAAGGAAGCTCTCACTGGCTGGAAGCGTACCATAACCACCATTGACGGAAAGCAAATCAACCTCGACAAGGCGGGACCAACACAGCCAGGCAAGAAAGAGGAGTTCCCCAACCTAGGGATGCCACTCAGCAAGAAGCCGGATCAGCGAGGGAACTTCGTCATTACGTATAATGTCAAGTTCCCCACTAGTCTCACGCCGGAACAGAAGAGGAAGCTGAAGGAGATTTTGTAGGGCGTGGAAGTCAGATGGGAGATGATGATATTACTTGAAGAAGGTTGGAGAAAGAATGATAATGGAGCATTGGAGTTAATGGTATACAGTGTGTCATGAGAGCATGCCTTGGCGTTTTGGGGTTCGGAGTGAGGTTCACCGAGTCAGAGTTATCTGAGGTCGACGTGATATAGGATGAAAGGGAGACGAAGCTACGAGTGGCTACGCAGACGAAGAGGCAGAAGAGCATGTGTCGAACCAAGACGCAACATTTCGAGAGCAAGACGGCGCCGTTTCTCTTCTTGCATGGTACATAGCATTGCGGTTATTTTCTAAACTTTAATGGATTTCTTAAACAGTTGCTTGTGCTCGAGTGCCAGAAAATGATGAACAGGTATTATAATTGTGATAGACCACTGAAAGCTGGATTCATCTGTCCTCATAGTGTGCTGTCACAAAGAATTATTTTCGAGACAATACATTAGAGCCAGGTACCAACCTCTTGAGTGTGAGGAGAATATTGCCACCGGATACCCGTTTTGGCAAAGGTTTTGTGGACCAGATTGTCGATCACAAACAGTTCATTTTGACTTATGAAGCATTCCGAGCTCAAGCACATTACTGGCCACAGTCGGTCTTGGACATTCTGGCCGTGAGATGAAAAGCGGCAACGGTTTGGTGAAAGTGAACAAACATGCCGTATCAATAGACTCTCGCTCTAGTACAAGGAAGTTTGAGCGTTGCTTTCATACAGTCTACAGCAAGCCATGTATCACACAACAATCTTATAAACAACACTGACTACTTGATCTTACAACGCTCCTCCCACCAATTGTACAATCCACATTGCAACTCGAACTCTTATGCCCACCCTCCTCTCTACCTTCACAAAATCATCCATCCCAATCGTCTCCGCATATCTCCCCAGCCCATCCCTCTCCTCCCCCAATCTCCCCTTCAACCCATCATCACTCGTAACAATCACCGTCCCAACCTCTAGATCCAGCCCATAACTCCGCTTCGTATAATTACTACTCCCCACCACACTGATACTCGGTACCGTCTCCCCATCCAATGATACCCAAAGTCCCTTCGCGTGATACGTCCACCCGTCTTTCTCGCCTACCGTCCCATTCCGCCATTCCTTCAATGTGATATCTGAGCCTCGTCCAGCTTTCTGCGCAGCTTCTAGGAAGCGGCGGGAGAGGAGCGTGTATGCGGCAGGTAGGAGGCCGGATACACCCTTTGAGCCGTAGAAGCCGTTTGCCCAGGGGGAGGCTGTGATTACCGTGTTGTTACGGGAGGTTGTGGAGAGGAGTAGGGAGATGAGACTTGGGTGCGGATTGAAGTAGCCGGCTGTGAAGGTCCAGGATGTGGTGTTGGAGGAAGGGAGGGAGAGGGTTTTTAGGATCGAGGTAATGGCAGGCAGTTCGGTTGAGGTATCTGGGGAGAGGAGTTGAGTGAATTGGGAGAGGGGGTAGACTGTTGTATTGTGTTTTGAATCTAGACTTTGGTTTGAGGGGGTGGTACTTGAGGTGGGTTGAATTAGTGATGTTAGGACTTTGGAGGCCTGAGATATATATTTTGATGGGTCCTCTAGTGGTGAGGGAGCGAGGTTGGATGTTGGCCACTCGAGGGTGTAACCAGCGGGTAATTGAGGATCAGGTGTTACCAAGAAGCTGAGATTCGAGACGGCGTTGTGGATTTTGGAGAAAAATTCTGTGATTTCCTTGGACGAGAAGACGTGGTACCTGTCTTGACGATTGGTGAAATAGTCACTTGATAGATTCGCCCTAGTCGGATCAGTCTCCTATTTTCTGGATTCAAGTAAAATACATACCCCGAGATTATAATCTCATCATCCACTCCATACAACTTCATATGTTGCAATCCCCACCCCTCATTGATCCGTTTCGGAATGTACTTCTTCCTCAACCCAGTCAAGTTCGGGGTGTGATACATCCGAATCTCTACTCTCTCTGTGCCAAATTCAGAAACGAGGGGCGCCAGTAGCGAAGCACACGAGGCATTAGGCGACTCCCTCGTCCCTCTTAACGCATCCGTCAAGATACTAAGCTTCAATTTAGGCTTCGCCTTCAGAGCTTGCTGTAATGTAGAAATCTAGCACATGGAATGAGTGGACATTTCCTGAAGAGAGCTTGGAGTTTGTATTACAAGTTCATGTTCCGTTTTTCCTATGTACAATGTAGACAGAAAAATGCGTTCTTCCGCTGCCAAAATCTTGGCCTGTAACCCATTTGAATCAGCACTGAAATCCTCCCAGCTGAGCATATAGCCAAGGACATGGAGCGGACCTTGAGCGTCTCGTAGAATTCTGCTGGCGAGCGGAGGATTTGTATTTGAGAGCCCTGTATCTGAAATTTCGGTGCTATCCTATCCAACTCGTTCGTGAATGCCCCTAACATTGAAGCTGGCGATGTATTGCTGGCGCTACTTGCGAGAGAGGATGTTGAATATCGTCGTGATTTACATTGTAGGTTTCGTGGGCGGCAGATAAGTAATCGACGGCTCGCTGCGCATCGTATGGTACTTCTGACTATCATCTCCTCTGTGTATGATGTTTCCCATCTGGTAGGTATGATGTCGTGGGTATGAAGGAAAGCTGGACGTGGACCTTCAACATCTCAAAGCTATCGCGCTAGTACATTTTCAGTGGAGTCGCGAGATCCCGCCTTGACGACCTTACAACTCTTTTTCAACGTCGGAAGCCATTGAACAACCAACGACATGTCGACTGTTCTGAGAACATTGCGCAACTTGCGCAGAGTTGGTCTGCGTGTACGTGACCTGCTATTTGTGTACTGGGAGCTTGCTGACGCTGTAATCGTAGGATGCGGCACATCAAATGCAGGTATGTCAGAGACACCCCTCCTTAAAGGACGATGGGACAGCTGCTGATGGATGGTTCCTGGCTATAGCATATAGGTATTTAGGACCTGGACATATGAGTGATAGGAGCTTATATGAATACAGGTGATACCAAGGCCGGCACGTTGATTGCTACGGATCGATACGGCAACAAGTACTTTGAGAACCTGGATGAGGAATTGCCCTGTGAGCATGGATTTTGACTTGCCAGAAGGGTGCAACTTACGAATATATAGTGAGAACGAGATGGGTAGACTACAAGGACTACGAACTTGATCCGTAAGGAAGTCTTTCCGAGAGAGCTGGAGAGAGAGCCAAGGACGTTATTGACGGGAATAGAGCACACATCGAGCCCGGCTGGCACGCTTGGATTTCATATATGGTCGATAAGCCACCAACTGAAGACCCCATTTTGAAGACTGGCGTGCGACCATGGGAGCTGCCGGAACATCGACCAAATTTCACTCAAACTCGCGGGGCGTTCAAGACTTATTCTACGTAAAGTTCCCAACGTCTTACAGGTACCCTTTATACTGATATTCTGGATAGAACTAAGCCAAAGCTCAATGCTTGGACTCCAGTTGCGGCTCAGAGAGGGTAGGCTGTTATGGCTGGGAGGACACCGGATTGTACATATGTAGTGGTTTGCAATGGAGTTGAATCGTGTGATGTCTGATTTCACTTCGGCTCTGTCTGTGTGTGCTCAATTGACAGATGCTCCGAGAGCGTCATAAGGACAACTTAAAGGGAAGCTACCAGTCGAGCCCAGAATAAAATTCTGGATGGCGAAAGGATCATGGTTATTCCCTCATCATGTTATATCGTCCCAAGTTTGACGAGAAAACAAAGGAATAACATAGACAGTATCTTTGCCCCGTTTTCCAACCATCATTCTCTATTCCTAGACCAGGCGATAAGCACCAAGATCAAGGATCTCCAGCAAACTCTCCATCTCGCTTCAACCTTACAATTCTTGCTTCCGGGATGTTCCAATCTGGATGAGACTCCTTGATCTTCAAGAATTCGTCCTTCAGTCTGTCCACATATCTCTTCGTATAAGCGAACTTCCCAGCCTTCTTGTCTTTTCTAATCTTCGTCTCTGGAGTTTGGCCATCCTCAACGTCCAGCCCAAGCGCATCCCCCTCACGCTTCATTCTAAGCTCATCATTAACCCTGTCTATTTCTACCTCGCTATCAGCATCAGCTTCAGCTTCCTCAGCCTCGGATGCTGTGTCGATATCCACAAACTCCACGAGTCCCCTGTCAGGACCATCAAAACTGACACAGCAACCGCATTGCGTTAGCTCCCTCATAGCGAAGATGAATTCCTTCAAATTTTTGAATTTCTCAATGGTGATTTGCCCGTTAATGGTCCCGTCTTCCCAGTAGGACATCCACATTAGGTTTTCTGTCTTGTTGTTAGAATCTGAACTCATATATCAAAGCGTAAACGATTACATATTATGAAACATAGATGTTAGTATAATCAGATTCGGAGTGACGGAAGCCAGTAAAGCAAAAAGACGACAGGAAAAGATATAAATTTACCTAGAGCAATTCTCCTAATACTCCCCTTCACCTTCTCACTAACCACCTGCTCAAATCCTATAATGTCTTCCTGCCAACAGCCAGCCGGGAAAAACAAGATGTCGATCTCAGGGTTATAATAAACGTCTTGCTGATTACTTGGAACGGGGAATCCTTTCAGAGAAGCAGCAAGAGCTACGGACCGAGCTTCACTGTTCACGCGTAGGAGAGATGGGAGTGGGGAAGATGAGTAGAATTGACCTGGTCCGAGGGGCGGCGGGAAATAGGCGGGTTCTGATGTTTCTGAGGTGTCGTCTGCCCCGTCGTTCACGGTATCTCCTTCGGTGGTAAGATCGAGAGACCCCTCTTCATTTTGTTTATCTTTATCCTTATCCTTGTCGTCAATCTGGTCATCTCTATCTTCCTTCATTCCGTTGTCATCCCGTGCAGCCCAGGGGCTATCTTGCTTGATTTTAAGATCCTCTTCCTGCTCAGCAATCTCGTTTCCAGCTTCAATATCACTGGGCTGCTTCTGATCCTGATCCTCTTTTTCATTCTTATTTTCATCTGCCTCGTGAAGAGCATCAAAACACAGGTCCACGATGCGGGGTACCAGGGCCAGGTTCCAAATTGTAAGACGTAGTTCCTTTGGTAGGAGGGGAAATGACGGGAACGAAGTCGCCATAATAATTTCGTTGGATATGCCAATTCGATTTTGTGGCTTGGTATCTGACATTTAAGAAAGTTATCGGGTCGAGGTAGGTAGGTTGTTAAGTACCCTTGTGTTGTCGTGAAAATTGAGGCTGACGTCTGCCTAACTTGATATATCCCCGAATAAATTGCCTGATTAAGCAAATCGGCATGAGTCAACAACGATCACTAATGCAAGGTTGGATTTACGAGTATTGCTAGTGTCTGGAAAGGCCTCGGCATATTGAATTGATTTGCTTGGGCTCTTTCTTATTAGCAGTCGTAGAGGTACATTCAACCTTCAAATTGCTTCAACCAAGTGACTTCTGGTGATACAGACAAGAAACAGCATCGATCGTTTCACAACCTACAATATTGATTATCTAATCTAAGCCACATCTGAAGCAACAGCGAGTCTTTCCAAAACAGCAAGAGCAAAACTATAACCATGTCTGCAGTCCCCTACAGGGTATGCGAACTCCTGTCACATCCTTCTTCGTAAACATCGTCCTTCGTGAAATCGTCAGGCACCCAGATCGTAGTAGATGCACTTTCCCGTTCTGAAGTTGTAGATGAACGAGTTTCTCGTGATGTCCTTATTCTGGTGTGCCAGTGTAGTCATCAGATCATGCACTTCACCAAGATATCTCCTCTCCGCAGTTTGAACAGCATGCGTAACCTGTCTCCAGCTTTCTGGATCAGAAAGCCTGGTTCCTCGTATTAAATCCATGACTTGATCGGTAGTCTCGATAGCAGCGATTGGCCCGTCGAGGAACTCATGGACAACTGAGCCAGCTCGTGCTTGAGCTTGCTCGATAATGTTACGGCGATTGGATTTCTTGCTTTTCGTTCCTGCCACTAGAACTTGGACAACTTGTTCATGATCGGGGGATGCATCGGCATGGCTACTGTGGCGCTGTAGTCTTACTCGATGGTGTGTGCCGTTTCTTTGATCTCGTTCGCGGATCTCGCCGTTGAGCCAGGCTAGGAGCTGAGTAGAAGGGATGTCTGCATCTGAGACATCTTTTCTATCTTGGCTTTTGACCTTTAGAATTGAGTCTTGCTTGATGATGACAATCCAGGAGTGCTGATCGTCGCGATATTTGGAAAGTAAGTCTTCTGGGGACCGGGAGTCTCGAGCTAATTCAGCGCTGATGTCGTTCCGCCATAGGGTTTGAACGATATCAATACCGACACTTCGTAATATTGCAGCGTCGTGACTCGCAACTAGAACATCGCACTCAACGAACGTTAGCAAAATTTCAGACAAGGACTTGTATACTGCTCACTCTTTTCGTATTCCAAATCCCATGTACATCCTCCTCTGCCTTCTTCAGGAAGCCCTTCGCGCTTGCCTTTGGAAGACGAGCCATTTTCTCCCAAGCTAAGTTGAACCCAACAGCATGCCTTGCTTCTGAGTTGCTCCCAGTTTTATGCCGATGTTCTCTGACCAAGCTATCATATCGTCCACCAGCGGCAAACACGTCTCGGATCTTGCGGTCGAACAGACAAGAGAATATCACGCCTCCTTTGCAGAACTTCTCGTTCAAACTCCCAAGAGGGTTGATGTAGATCTTACTGCGAACCTCGAATCGCTTAGTGTACTCGATAACATCTCGTAGATGAGCAATAGAAGAAGACGCTCTCTCGAAACTGTCAGTACTTTCGAAAAGGGTTTTCAGTTTTGAGAATGCTTTGTTGGGAGTGTCTAGTTTGATTAGCAACCTTTGCAACTCTCTTGCTTTTGATGGATACATACCACGAAAGTCAAAGCGTTGCAAGTCATCAAGACTGGGTGCTGAAACGCCAATCAGGGGTGATCGAAGCTCCGTTCGTATCTTCTGCCAGCTCCACGAGCCAACATTGAGCTTGCTAAGGGTATCTGCAACAGCCTGACGAATGCTAGGGTCAATCCTGCAGAAGTCAAATATGAGGCCTAGGAGATCTGAGTGATTCAAGTGAAAGCACATTTGCGTTGCTGCAAGTGAAGGAAAGCTTCCAACAATCTCATCTAGGACTTTGATAACCTCAGCTTCCTTGAGTGCCAAGTCCAGGGTGTCGTTGGACACAATATCGAAGTCTACTTCACCGAATGTAAGTGGTTGCCCGCCAGATTCTCGATCTCGGAAGACCCGACCAAATGCAAAAGAGCGTTCAACAGGCGGATCGTGCTTAGCAATAGCTCGTGCATGCGGAAGGGTGAGATCGTATGGCAGTTGTAGCAGTGTACCCCTTTCGTCAAGGAGTTGAACTGCGTTGGTTCCGTAATGACCTGAACGAGGAAGCAAGACAGTTCTAGGAGTTTCTACCGCTCCGTGATGTCTGAAAATCGATATCAACTTTTGCTTCACAAGACCTTGCAGCAGAAGATCGCTCGAACTGTGATTTACCACACCCATTTCCCAGGCGTAGTCTTTGGCTTGATTTGTTGGTATCGAAAACAAAGCTTGCATCATCTTATCGTAGTACGGCGATTTGGAGTCTGTGAGGCCAGCCAAGGCTTGACGGATAGTTTCGTTCTCCATCTGCATTGGGAGTTTGCCGCTCTTCAGGAGCTCTGAGCTGGACGGCCGATCTTTGGGGCTGTGATGCAGGAGAGACAGTACAATATCTGCTTGTGCTGGCATCTCAGACGGCTTGAAATCAGATGGGAGAACCGGTTGCTTTTGTCTCAACCCTTCACCCACCCGTTGACGATCCATACCAGGAATGAGAGGTCGAAAGCACATCTCGAAGAATATGATGCCAAGCGAGTACATGTCTACCTTGCTGGTGTATGTTCCACCAACAGATGACCTGACTTCTGGGGCAACATAAAATGCTGTTCCGATGCTCCTCGTCATATCTCCACTCATATGAGCCGCAGCGGATGAAGATTTATCGGAAATCGTGTATTGGCCACTCGTAGCCAGTCCAAAGTCTCCAATTTTCACGTTTGACGCAGCATCGATGAAGATGTTTTCGGGCTTCAGGTCGCGATGGACAACGTTGAGTCCATGGATGTGTGCCAAGCCTTCCAGAATCTGTCTGAAAAGTCGCCAGATTTCTTCATGGTCTTTTTGCAAACCTTGCTTGATCAGATCCCGAAGCGTCTTTTTCTCGCAGTACTCCATCGAGATGTACAGAACAGTTCTGAAGGGACGCTGGAACCTCGATCCAGATCTGGTTCGCTTCAAAGCCTGGAATTTGTCAGTTCAAGAGGCGCTACTCCAGTAACTGTCGAATATGTAAAGTCTGGACACTCAACTGCGCAAAGTATGCATTACGGAAAGGAACGGAAGTGTTCATTGAACATACTAAATTAGGACGCTTGTTTCCCACACCATTAGGACTTTGTACATCTGGGTTTGTTGAATCATCATCGTCATCGTCATCGTCATCGTCTTCATCGTCCTCTTCATCTGACGCATCGTCACACCCAAATTCGATTTGTGGGTAGCCGCTTGAGGACATAAAATCGAGTCCTCCAGTGCTGACTCCAAATTCGATGTTGGGACCAGTGCCTGGTGAGACGTCACTAACAGAATCCTCGGTTGTTGCAACGTCAGTTGTCGAAGCATCCTCGTCCAGTTCGGAACCGTCATACAACTCCTCGGTCCAGGTGTTGTAATATCCTAGGTACGTGGATTAGTGTGAAGTAGTGTGATTTGGCCTTGATGGCAGAACAGTTCAATTTCCCAAGACCAAATTGTAGAAGATATGTAACCAGCCACAAAGCTCAACATTCTTGATAGTTTCCATAGATAAGAAACAATTAAGACTAAGAGAAAAGGCACACCATAAACTTACGGACTACTGAGGGATGGCTCAACTGAGACAGAAGACGCACTTCTTTCAGTACTTCAGTCAAAGATGCTGAAGATTTCTGTGTGATCTTTTTGATAGCGTAAATTTGACCGTCAAGCCTCTTTCTTGCTTTGACCACTTCACCGAAACCTCCTTTGCCTAGACGGCCTTCCTCTACAAAGTCTTCTCTGTATCTGGATTTTGCGAATGGTCCACCGGTATTCATAGAATCGTGTCTCTGACGGCGTGGAGTCGTAGGGAGTAGCGAAGATATCGACCCGAACCTTGAGGGATTTTCGGAGCTGCTCATCTCGTCCAGAATCGGTGCATCGGTCGCTAGAAATTCAGAAGGTCCAAGTTCAACTGCGCGGGGTCGCTTCTTGGGATCTGCCTTGAACATTTTGAGTACGAGTTCATTCAGAGAATCGGACAAGGCAAGAGAATCTGCCAACGCAATGGGAGAGGAGTATTTCTGGATGACGGTCAGGCCGAAAATCATCTGTAGAAATAAAACACCAAAGTCCCAAATATCTATCTTTTGGGTATACTGAGGGTGATTGGTATTTGCTATTTCAGGCGGGAACCAATACGCAGACTTGGCCATAGAAAGGGTGTCCACTTGCTTTCCACCGCTGAGGTTGTGTAGCTTCCTCTGATAGCCTGCATCTGCAAGCTTAGGTATTACCTCACCGTTAGACGTACGGACCAGGAGCACATTGCCGGCATGTACATCTTCATGAACAATGCCCTTTTCATGAAGGAAACGCAATGCATCAAGCAGCTCAATAGTCCACGACCGAACCTTCTCAGCCCCTAAGCTTCCGGCAATATCAAGAAATTCTTGTAGAGACCCTTTCTCGGCGAATTCGGTCAAAATGCTTACTGACCACGCTGAATCAGACTCTCCATCCTCCTCAATGGTCCTGTGGACTTTGTAATCAAAGATTTCGAGGACGTTCTGATGCTTGATACTCTTGAGGGTCTTCAGTTCATTCTCAAGCAGTTGGAGCTGTCCTTTGAACTTGTTCGAGTCTTTGATTTCGGTGTCCAAATCGGTTTGCTTCAAGACCAGTGTTGGGACATCGCTGGCACCTTGTACCACGACTGGGCGAACAGTAAAGCATTTCGATACAGGGCCTCGTCGTATGCATACTTTGCTTGCCACAACTTGAAATAAGATCATATTATTGTTGACATCCAATAAGCTAATTGGCTGTTCAAAAGATAGAATTTCATGAGGGGCTTGACCACTGACGCTCGTGTCAATCGACGACTGGTGAACAATCTCAGTGGGTGGTCGGCTCTTCCTTTTCGATTCTTTGGCTCTTTCCCTTCGGCGCTTAAGTTCCTCTTGGACCATAGATTCTTGGATGCGCTGCTCTTCCATTGATTCCAATTGCTTCTTCCTCTCCTCGGCCTCCTTTTGTTCAATTGCTAATTTATTAGCTGCGGACTCATGAGCAGCACGCTCTTCTTCCAAACTCGGAAGTTCCTTGCCGGCAGCTTTCGCCTGAGCGGCATCTTCCAAAATCTCCTGGCATGCGGTGACTAATTCCATGACCATAGCCTGCTCTTCTGTAACCAACTCTCTGGGTTTGGTCTCGATGACCTTCTGTATCTTGAATTTCGTCCCTTCACGTAGCCCATCATCATTTTTGATATTCAGTAACGGGGGGCTCTTGGGATATGTAGCGGTCAGAGTCACATTCAAGGTAATAGCAACATCTTCGTCGGACGATTTGATCCGAATTTCGAAACAGGGTTCCGCTTTCTGAACCGCATTAGAAATCAGCCTTGTACAAACCATTCCATCATTATCATACCTTCCAAGCTCCATGATTAGATTCTATCTTTCGGAAGTCTTCGCCGTAAATTGCCTCCAGAGCAATAAGTTCATCTTCCTGTATTTCCTCATACTGTGACTTTGGCAGTTGCACTTTTGGGGCAACATCATTCGATTTACTGTGCTTGAGGTCTGGGAACCCAGACAAAGGTGCAATGCGTTGTGGTGGTTTTTTCCCCCATGGATTGGTTGGCGGCATGATGGTCGATATCTTTGCAGCTGATTGAACTGGTGAGTCAGAGAGAAGATATGTCTGAGTAGAATCTCGCAGCCGAAGCTGCGGATCTTTACGCGCTGGGGATGGACATGTTCGATGTTGGGGAAAGGGTTATTGATTTTCTATCAAGTGAGGACGGACGTAGAGAGAGTGAGTGTGAGAGTCAACATGGAATCTGCCCGCTCGCTTTCGCGAGGCTGTGAAGATCAGCTGGAGCAGCCAATCAGCGGGTGCTTGAAACTGCCCCGCCTGTTTTCAATGCACGAGGCCAACAAAGTTCAGTGACTCAAGACTTTCTAGAGGCAATTGTTTGGAGCTGATGAGTCAAAACAGAGCTTTCGCAATTGAATTCTTGAGATCGGTAATACTTATTCCTGGCACTTGAGGGTCCTTGAACCGCATCTCAACCCTCAATGGCTTTCAGACCTTCTTCGAATGCGGCCTTGTCCCGACTGATAAGACCGTCCATTTCCCCAGCTCACCCCAGCGGTCTCCGATACTATTCAGCTCCAATTGACGGCACTATTCCCGCAGCAAAACAAAAGTATGTGCCAACGAGCGGCACATACCCCAGAGGCTTCATTGTCTCTGGAACTCACGTTGGAGTGAAGCCTACGAATAAAAGCACACCAGACCTGGCATTCCTTGCTTCGGAGACACCATGTGCTGCCGCAGCTGTATTCACGAAGAACAAGTTCCAGGCCGCTCCTGTAACTGTTAGTAGGAACATGTTGAACAGAAGAGGAAATACTGGGGTTCGTTCTGTTATTGTGAATTCGGGATGTGCGAATGCTGTGACTGGAAAGGGTGGGATGGAAGATGCTGAGAAGATGGGCGCTGAGGCAGACAGATGTTTCGACCAGCCGACAGATGGTAAAGGAGGAAGCAGCATAGTGATGAGCACAGGAGTAATTGGCCAGAGGTAGGCAGGCATTTCCGGAGAATTTCTGTGTATATCATGCCACTAACTGTCCTTAGGTTGCCTATTCAAAAGATCTTACAGCGAATACCTTCAGCTTATGATGCTCTTGGATCATCACACGACCACTGGTTAGCTGCTGCCAGAGCTATCTGCACAACCGATACCTTTCCGAAGCTGATATCTCGAACGTTTTCCCTACCATCCTCTCCCTCTGTCGAATATAGGATAGCAGGCATGACAAAGGGAGCTGGCATGATTCATCCAAATATGGCAACACTGCTAGGAATGATCGCTACGGATGCTCCAATCGCCCCAAAACTTCTACCAACTCTCCTCATAAAGGCTGTCAATAAGTCTTTCAATAGTATATCCATTGACGGCGATACCTCTACAAACGATACGGTTGCAGTCCTGGCAAATGGAGCTGCTGGGGGACAGGAAATTGCATCGGCATCATCAGAAGACTATGCCGCGTTCCAGGAGACTTTGACTGACTTTGCCACTGATCTTGCTAAACTCGTGGTTCGAGATGGCGAAGGAGCAACCAAGTTCGTTACCATCCGAGTGACCGAATCACCTTCTGAGATCGGAGCTCGAAAGATTGCAAGTACTATTGCAACTTCGCCTTTGGTCAAGACGGCTCTGTACGGGAAAGATGCCAATTGGGGGCGTATTCTGTGCGCTACTGGATATTCTCAAATTTCTGAGCCTGGTCAACCAATAAATGAGGTTGCTGAGATTGTACCAGAAAAGACTAGCGTCTCTTTCATTCCATCTGATGGCTCCCCTGAGCTAAGATTGTTGGTCAATGGTGAGCCAGAAGCTGTGGATGAAGCACGAGCTTCGGAGATATTGGAGCATGAGGATCTGGAAATTCTAGTCAAGCTAGGTGGTGGAACGGAAGAAGCCACTTACTGGACTTGTGATTACAGGTAGGGTTGATACATCGAAACCACTACGACCGTTTGCTAACTTTGCTACAGCCATGAATATATCACGATTAATGGGGATTACCGAACATAGTTGATCACATCACATGGAATTGCAATGGAGTTCAAAATAGACGAGCGTGCCATCACAAATGATACCTTTGATTTCAACGTCGATCTTGTTCTTAGTGACAGTGTCGCCATGGTGGCCACGAGGGTGAAGGCTTGTGATGTGTGAAAGTGTCTCAATGTTGTGTGACCTGTAAGGTTTCCATGAAAATGTGACCACACCCAGATCCAAGTAGTAGAAAACTGGAGCTTGATGCTGATAGTAGGATTTGACTTTGGAGCAGTTTGAAAGTGAGCATCGGTGGGTACAGTCTCAAAGCAAATTATCAGAAGCTTGACAAGATACCAGCTTGGGAACTATAAATGACAAGCATGTTGACCAAAATAGGCAAGGTGTTCCGAAGCATACCCCTTGTGCGTGAAAGACATCTTCAACAATTTCGTGGGATGATATGAGAAAATTGCATTCGTCTGATGTCAAAGTCAAGGATTGATATTGAGTCAAACAGCTAGTCTCAAATAAGTTGGTCCATCCTTTAAACTCATCACGTGTCTGCCCCTAACTCCACAGCTTAGCTAACAATCCAGAGGCCACATACTCCAGAGTACCAGCCCCAATTTACAAGCGAAGCTCTTAACACGCAGCTTGAGATCTGTTCGGACAACTCCCTTTCGAACACATCATCACGCGCGCAACTGCTTCTGCTACCATAAGAGCAGAGTCGTTGGGCATTTCATTGTCGTTCCTTACTATCTTCTTCTCTTCTTCCACGTCTGTGAGGTTTTCGATACAATACCGCCAGGATGAGTGGCCGTAAGTCGTCCTGTTACTCCTATGTCGTCAACCCCGAGCTCAAAAAGCAATTGCCTGTTCGCAACGCTCAATGGCTAACAATGCGCGTTTGCTTTCTGCAGTTCGATTCCTCGACCTCATCAAACCCTTCTCGCCAATCCTCCCAGAGGTGCAGCAACCCGAGACGAAGGTCCCTTTCAACCAAAAGCTGATGTGGACGGGTTTGACACTCTTGATCTTCTTGGTGATGAGCCAGATGCCATTGTATGGCATCGTGTCCTCAGATACCTCAGATCCACTATACTGGCTGCGCATGATGTTGGCGAGTAACAGGGGAACGCTGATGGAGTTGGGTATTACGCCAATTATCTCCTCGGGAATGGTCTTCCAGCTTCTTGCCGGTACACACTTGATCGATGTCAACCTTGACTTGAAGGCCGACCGCGAGCTCTACCAGACTGCACAGAAGCTTTTCGCTATCATCTTGTCTATGGGACAGGCCACGGTCTACGTATTCACTGGTCTTTATGGTCAACCATCCGACCTCGGTGCCGGTGTTGTTTTCCTCTTGATCCTCCAATTGGTTGTTGCTGGTTTGATTGTTATTCTCCTCGACGAGCTCCTGCAAAAGGGATATGGCCTTGGAAGCGGTATCTCACTCTTCATTGCCACCAACATCTGCGAGTCCATTGTGTGGAAGGCATTTTCCCCAACAACCATCAACACCGGCCGTGGACCAGAGTTTGAGGGCGCCGTTATCGCACTCTTCCACCTCCTCTTCACATGGCCAAACAAGCAACGTGCTCTCCAAGAGGCCTTCTATAGACAAAACCTCCCAAACATCATGAACCTCCTCGCTACACTTATTGTGTTCGCCGCTGTTATCTACCTCCAAGGTTTCCGTGTCGAGATCCCAGTCAAGTCTTCCCGACAACGTGGCGCTCGCGGATCATACCCAGTCCGTTTATTCTATACCTCGAACATGCCTATCATGCTCCAGTCAGCTCTGTCTTCCAATGTCTTCTTAATCAGCCAAATGCTCTACTCTCGCTTCTCTGAGAACCTACTCGTCCAGCTTTTCGGAGTTTGGGAGCCAAAGGAAGGATCTGCACAACTTTTCGCTACTTCAGGTCTCGCATACTACATGTCTCCTCCACTGAACTTCACCGATGCTCTTTTGGACCCCATCCACACCGCTGTCTACATCATCTACATGCTCGTCGCATGCGCTGTCTTCTCCAAGACCTGGATTGAGGTTTCCGGCTCTTCCCCAAGAGATGTCGCAAAGCAGCTCAAGGATCAGGGTCTCGTCATGGCTGGTCACAGAGAGCAGAGCATGTATAAGGAATTGAAGCGCATCATTCCAACTGCTGCCGCTTTCGGTGGTGCTTGCATTGGTGCTCTCTCAGTTGCCAGCGATTTGTTGGGGGCTCTCGGTTCCGGTACTGGTATCCTGTTGGCTGTCACGTAAGTTCCAAAACCTCCTCGGCTAATGCGGCCGACCCTTTCCTCCCCTCAACAACACAACACAACACACCACAAATACTAACATAATTTCAGCATCATTTACGGATATTTCGAGATAGCCGCGAAGGAAGGGGATATGGCGGGAATGGTGAGTTTACTTTATCCAGATTTGATAACATTGCTAACGTGATTGCAGAAGGGAATGATCATGGGCTAAATCTGCTCAAGAATTCCAAGTTTCGCCTTTCATTGCTTCATATTCGGTTGTGTTCAGGCTACATAAAAGCAGTATGTGCATGGGAAACGGGTGGACATGTAAGAAAGAGAGCAAGAAAATAAATGAAATAAGGAAATGTGTTGGAGACGCGGAACGGCAGTGACGGTGGTGTTTATCTTTGCGAGCATCAAGTTCTTGGCTGGCTTTCGAAAGAATAATCAATCAAGACTGATACTTCGCGTGTAATACTACCATGTGGTGCAGAAAGATAGAGGAGGGGGAGAGTCAATTGTCTTTTTTGTCAAGCATGCATTGCCTGGGCTCGATTTTACTTTCTATCATGAAATGTCGCCAAAAGCTTTTGTCACATTGCATTGCGCGGTGGATGGTTTGATTTAAAGGGATGGTCTTAGGTAAATATTCGTCGTGTGGCTATGTACCTATCTGGCTATCTACCGAATGTTTCCACTGGCTTGTGAATATTTTCCTTCGCTTGTACGCTTGCTCGGTATGTTAACGCTGAGTGTGGACTAGTGACGTATGATTGAGTGAGTGACTTTTCAGCTAGCAAATACTTGGACATCTGTCGCTCAATGAATATGAGGGTCAGCTGCTCGCGGTAGCATCCTTTTCTTTTCAAGTTCTGTAAATCTGTTAGCACATATCTCTCTTGTCCTTCGCAGTCCCAAATGTCGACGAGAAGAAAAGTGATCTGGGGGAAGGTCTTCCGACTACGCATGGCGATCCTCAAATTGCCGCCGACGAGCAGGACAGTTTGGCTGTGCTCTTAAAGAGTGTGAGGTGTTACACTGAACTCACCGTTATCCGCTGCTGATCACCCTGTCTGTTCCTGGGAAAGATCAGTCGCATTGCCCGTCTTCTTCTTCAACTTGATCAACAACTTCCTCTTCGAATTCTTCTTCCGATTCTTCCGACTCTTTTCCGACTTCCACTTCAAATCTTCCTCCTCCTTCACTTCTCTCATCTTATCTAACAATTCCAAGAAAGTTATAGTGGAATTCTCATTTGGTGGAAGTGGACCGTAGTCGGAATTGACTTGCTCTCTGAACCAGGCTTCGTTGTAGAAGTAGCAGAGCATGTTGGTAATGTCGGGTGGAGTTGTCAGAACCAGGGTGCTTCTGTCGATTATGTCGGATTCAGGCCCAAGTACATATGATGCTTGTGAAGGTCTTTTCACTTCTTGGTGGGGTTGACTGTCCTCAGGAGACTTTGTTCCATTGACAGGTTTCAACTGGCTGGAAGATGGCTGATCTGGCTGGATTTGAGATGTGCCTTTCTTCGTGGCACTAGAAGCCACGAGTGCTCCTTTCTTGTCACGTTTACTTTCGATAGATGCAATCTTCATCGCAGTCATGGGCCGTTTGTAGCTTAGGATGTAAAATTCGTGATTGATCCAACATAAACGTCCTGCGTTATCTTTCACCTCCTGCCAGTACTTAGGAAGATTAGTGTTGCATTCATCGAGTTCTGCCTCTAGCAATTCTTTTTGCAGCTTGCCATTGTTTTAGCAATGATGTACGCTTGTTTCAGAATCTCTGAAAAGCCATGTCGCTTCGCATACTCAGTTTCAAGCAAATGCGAATAATGAAGAAAGTAGTCAGCCCATCGAGTGGCACCAATGTATTTCGCAATATCGAAACCCATATTAACTTCCGTGAATATACGCTCCAGCTCTTCGCTACTACACTTCAGTGTCGCCGGATCGAGAATAGGTGATCCGCCAGGGGGGCCGGCTGAAGTAGTCCATTTAATGAAGCTCTCCAAGAAGTCCTTCGCTATCTTCCTCTGAGCTTGTATGGAGTACCATCTACCTCTAACATTGAATGGCCCGCGTACTCTGTGGAAAGACGATGAACTGACTGATAAACGGCCATTCAGATCCATAGGTCGAAGTGTGTGACAAGTTTGTGTACTCTCTGGCCTCAAAAGGCCTAGTTGCCGACTGATAACCCAATGAAAAACCGTCTTCTTAGTTACCGATAAGCCTGCGAGAACAAATGATTCTGAGGTGAGCTGGATTCCTCGATAACCAGGGCGGGGATCTTCGAGCTTGTCAAAACTGGCTGATGATATATCTGCCACAACAGCTTGCAAGTCATCAAAACCACATGAAATATCCTGTGTGATGACCCTCATATCGTCAAGCATGAGTGCAGGAATCGTCACTGATGGTGTCCTTTTAGGGAATGAGTCGAAAAAACGGATGAGTTACCAAAGCTGCCAACTGGTCCTGTGTACCAGTCTGTACCGTCTCTGTGAATCGTTCGAAGAAATTTCTCACTTTTTTCAATTGGTTAATTTGTATTTATCTGAACCTGCAATTGAGTGTCTCCAGTCGAAGACCGCTCAGTGGTCTCGTTTGATGCTCCGAACATCGAATCCGGAATGGGATCTTATTTACCCTTGCTAAGTGTCAATGTGCTCACGTCCTGCGTCATTCTTTGGGCCCTCGACAAAAAATTTGTTTTCATCAACTCCATATCATGAGGATCCCTTACTAAGAATGTTTTGGGACCAGAGCAGTGGCCATTGACGCCTATCTTCTCATCAGGGCTGGAAGCAGGTGTTTCGTTTGAGAACTTGCCGTTTCCATCGTTGAATGACTTTTCACTCGGGGTCAGAGCGTATCACTAGTCTGTCTGCCCTGGGTAGTATCAGAATTTCCGGTTTCCATCTCAGCGTCCAGTGTACCATCCCTGGGATCTATTCTGTAATTGGTAGTGTCAACATGCAGACCGGGTTTGTTGACTTCTCGCTTCTCTGCCGAAGCGTGTATATTACTGTAGGAGTGGCCGTTGGAACCCACACACTGCCAGGATCATTTGCTTTGTCGTTCTTGTCCAACGGGTCTTGCCCGCATACAAAGGTTCCCCGTCCCATCACATTTCCGGATGCAAGTCCAACGTTACTCGGGGTAGATTTCCCCAACATGACTTGATGCTTATCTCTCTCGGGCCAACTTTCACCCTGTTCGATGTCGGTACGCTCCAAATATCGATGGATGACTCTACTGTACCAGGCGCCAGCCTCACTTGGGGAACCTTGTGTCGAGTAGCCAATTACAGCGCTCGATGGCGCGGGTTGTCTCGAATCACCTTCCAGAATAGTCTCAAACTCAACGTGCCATAAAGCATACTCGTATGCAGGGCAGCGGTGTGCTGGGATTGGGCAGGACAAATATGCAACCGATGACTCTTCGGTCGGCGTCCAAGCAGAAGTCTAACCTTAAACGAGCCGTGAGGAGAAAATGGTAGATAGAATATAAGGATACTGAGAACGAGTGAATATGCATTTGAATGCTGGAATCTAATAATCGCTTGCTGAGTGCTGATGAAGTTTTTTGTTTGTTATATCTCCTCCTCTACCTACGTGTTGACGCCTCAAGTGGAAGCTGTGACAGCGTACCTACCTACTGCCTACCCAGGTAGGTAAATTTACCTATACATACCCAATAAGGCGCTGGTAGCCCCTCCCCACATCATCCTCAGCCTTACCTAAGGTACCTCCTAGGTACGTGACTTACAATGCTGGAAGCTCCATCGGGCATTGGGAACTGAGCAATTGATTCGCGCTTGCCAACAGTCGACTTCAAGTTGTGACTGCTTGACAGGACAGGACATTTCATTTCGTTTCATTTCATCCGCGAAGAGAAGAAGCATCAACGGCGGCCCGCCCGGCGCCCAGTCCTGCACCTCCCTTCGGGTGCTGTCACTACTTGCAGTGCCCTGCCCTGCCCTGCCCTGCCCTGCCTGAAGCTTCGAGGTCCATTGCGTACGTCTGGTACCTGGATCTGGATTCCATTTACATCCTAACCCACTTTACTAATACCTACCTCTAAGTCTTCATCCTGCTACCTTGTCCGCTGTCCTGTCCTGTCCCATCCGTTCTTCAGCTATCAAATCGCTATCCAACCAGCTCACTCCACTTTTGTACCTTGCTAGTGCCGCCAACAATCGACCCGCGATATTTCACGTCGACCCTGGTACAACGCTGGTATCCTCTGGTATCCTCTGGGGCGACACAAGAACTTTTCATTCGAGTTACTTGTTCTTTTCCTTCTTGCACATAAGTTCCTTTGGCCGACATTGTTCGGTCCGGGACGGTGTATCGCAGTCCACAATTCCAGCGCAGACGTTACAGCCCTCCTCCATTCTTCACAGCTTGAGTGCTTCAAAAATGCTGCCCGAGTGCCAGGGCCCGATATGGCAGGTTGATGATATCACGAATTGTGTGCAGAGGAAGTATGTCAATTGACTCCCTCCTAGAAGTCAGGAATACGTATAGCTGACAGCTGCGTAGTTTTTTAAAAATATTATTTCCATTGATCGTTGTCGGCGCCTCGTTCTTACTTCTAGTATCACAAGCTATCCAGCGCAACGTCCGGTTAAAACGGAGCTCCAAGAGCAAAGCATCTGCGAATGGAAGGAGTGCATACGGCATTACAAATGGGCAGCAGGGACCGACATATCAACAGGTACCTGGAGACGCTGAGGGTTCTATAAGTGCAGACGAGGAGGATGACGGGTTGACCATTAGTGGGGGGCGACTCGTCTTGACGAAAACCACGACGAAAGGCTCTGTCGCTGCAATCGACGCGCCCCGAGCTCAATATACTGTTCTGGTCATCGAGTTACTTGCTATCTTAGCTGTAGATGGTATCAATATCGCCGCCTTCATTCTGCAAGCATATGGCCCCAATGGAACACTGGCGACTGTTGCTGGAATCACAACTTGGTCGTATATATTGATATTGGCTGTTCTTAGGCTGGCATTGTCTAAGACAACATGGCGTGTGCCTGGGGTATGGAACCACACAGCATCTCTATATACCTTGATGTGGTTGTTGTCCTTGGTCATTTTCCGGTCGGCCATTATCCATCCGCGATCAGGAACTGCTCAGGCTCTGGTTATATCCGAGTTTGCCCTGATATCTCTACTTTTTAGCATAGCGATCACGACACGAAAAGGAAACAAGGCGGTAGTGTTGGAATGGGAAAACGACATTGAGCCATCCAAAGAGCCACTTGCCAGTCTGTTCTCCATTGCAACTTTCGGATGGGTTGACTCGATTGTTTGGCAAGGATACCAGAAGACTTTCGAGCTTGCCGATGTGTGGAACTTGCTCCCAAAAGACAAAGCTGCTTCAATTTTGGCCGACTATCGACAGCTCAAAAAGACAACTGCTTTGACTTGGCATCTCATGAGGTACTTCAAAGTTAGCGTTATTATTCAGTGCAGTTACGCAGTATTTGCAGCCCTGTTTGTATTTGCGCCAACACTGCTACTCAAAGCGATCCTCGAGTATATTGAAGATCCTGATAGCGCACCACGAAACGTAATTTGGCTCTACGTTATCTTGCTTGCATTTACCGACATTCTTCGATCACTCGCAGATCAGCAAGCTCTATGGGTTGGTCGCAAAATCTGCATTCGGCTACGAGCAATCATCATTGGTGAGATTTACGCAAAAGCTCTTCGTCGAAAAGTTGCAGCTGGGAATGATACGGTCTTAGGCGAGAAGAAGGACCTGAAAGACAAAGCTGATTCAGCAAAGCCTGGCATGTTCAAAAGACTTCTGACTCTGGGGAGAAAGAAGGAAGAGACCAAGAAACTCACTGCAGATCCGGCCACAGGGTCCGAGAATGCTGGTCCTGATTTGAATAAGGGAGACGAGCAGGTCAATGTCGGGACAATCATCACCCTAATGTCTGTCGATTCATTTAAGGTCAGCGAAGTCACTTCGTACTTACATTTCCTCTTCGCACAAGCACCTACGCAACTCGTTGCAGCGGTCTATCTTCTCTACAGCATTCTTGGATATAGTAGTATGCCTGGTATCGTTATCATGGTCATCCTCCTCCCTGTCAACATTGCCTTCGCAAGAGCATTCGGTGGCGCTCAAAAGAAAATCATGGCAGCTACGGACAAGCGAATCCATACAACAAACGAGGTCCTCCAAAACATTAGAATTATCAAATTTTTCGCTTGGGAACACCGATTCAGCAAGCTTGTCAATGAGAAGCGAAAAGCTGAGCTCAAAGCTCTACGTGGGAAATATATTATCTGGGCTTTCGCAGTTGCTGTCTGGAACACTGTTCCCGTCGCCATCACGTTTTTCTCCTTCGTGGTATACACTTTGATCGAGAAGAAGCCGCTCTATCCTTCGGTCGCGTTCACGGCAATCTCGCTGTTTACAATTCTTCGCGTACCGTTGGACCAGCTCGGCGACATGATTGCACATGTGCAGGAATGTAAGGTTTCCGTCGACCGTGTAGAAGAGTTCTTGAACGAAGATGAAACAGAGAAATACGAGCAGCTTCAACATCCCAACCTGGATGATGATGGAAACCAAATGATCGGCTTCAGGAATGCAGCCTTTTCTTGGGGTGCCAAGGAAGATCCAATGGAGGAGAACACCTCTTCTGCGTTCCGCCTCATGGACATGGATATTAAGTTCAAGATTGGCCAGTTGAACATCATTGCTGGTCCGACAGGTTGCGGCAAAACGTCCCTTTTAATGGCTCTGCTAGGAGAAATGACCCTCATCAAGGGCAAAGTCTTCTTACCTGGCGGTTACAGCCGTGAGGATGTTAGGCCAGATCCCGAGACTGGCTTGACAGAGAGCGTCGCATACTGTGCTCAACAGGCTTGGCTTGTCAACGCCAACATCAAAGAGAACATTCTCTTTGCAGCACCCTTGGACGAGAAGCGGTACAAAGATGTCATCGTTGCCTGCGCTCTTGAACGTGATCTTGAGATCCTCGATGCCGGCGATGAGACGCTTGTTGGTGAGAAGGGTATCACCCTTTCGGGAGGTCAGAAGCAACGTATCTCTCTTGCAAGAGCACTGTACTCGAATTCTAGACACGTTCTTCTGGATGACTGTCTCAGCGCGGTTGACTCGCATACTGCGAAATGGATATTCGACAATTGCATTCGCGGTCCTCTCATGCACGGCCGAACATGCATCTTAGTAACACATAATTTGGCTCTTTGCGTACCGCAATCTCGATATGTTGTCCTCCTTGACAACGGCAGAATCGACGTTCAAGGCTCTGCTGAGGAAGTCATCGCAACTGGCAAGCTTGGTGAAGATGTCAACAAGTCCAGACCTGGATCTGCCGCGATCTCGAGAATGCCATCTCGAGTACCATCCAGTGTCGGCGACGAAAGTGGCGATACTCTCGTTGGGGAAATTGAGGCTGCCAACGGTGGTGGGAATCGCAGGCTATCCAGAGCTAAGAGCATCGATAAGGGTGCCAAAAAGGCTGTCAAGGACGCGATGCAAGAGACTAAAGCCGAAGGAGGCGTGAAATGGGCTGTGATAATTCTCTACTTGAAGTCCATGGGCCCCTGGTACGTAGGCCTCTCGAATTAATTCGCAAACTGGCTAACCTTTTTCAGGTGGTTTTGGGTTCTCGCTGTCGTCGTTTTTGGTGTCCAGCAGTTCGGAAGCTTGGCAGCCAATGTCTGGATCCGGGAATGGGCAAATCAGTACGAAACGGAAGCCATACGAGCACATCATACAGTCTCTCCAAGCAGCTATGTTGGCAATACGATTTCCATGGTCCGAGTTGCGAGTACCCGAGTTGCTCAAGTTCAGCCATACTTCGATCCCAACAAGACCTCTATCTTCTCTAGAATTGCCCCCAATGTCGATGTATCATTCTATCTTACAGTATATGCTTTGATCGGCGTAGCTAGTATGCTCGTTGCACTCTTCAGGGATATGTGGCTGTTCTTTGGTGCCCTTACAGCTAGTTGGAAAATTCATCAGCGCTTGATGGAATCTGTGACGCGAGCAAAGTTTAAGTTCTTCGACGTCACACCTCTTGGTCAACTTATGAATCGATTCAGTAAGGATCTCGAAGCGGTGGATCAAGAGGTTGCCCCTGTCGCCATTGGATTCATGACTTGCGTGCTGGCAATCGTCGTCACCATTGTGCTCATTACTATCATAACTCCTGGGTTTTTGGTTGCTGGAGTTGTCATTAGCGCTCTTTACTTCTTCGTTGGGAAATTTTACCTTCGATCATCTCGAGACTTGAAGCGAATCGAGTCTGTACAGAGAAGTCCTTTGTTCCAGCAGTTCGGAGAGACTCTGAGTGGAATTACGACCATTCGTGCGTACGGAGACGAAAGAAGGTTCATCCGCGACAATATGACCAGAATCAACACACACAGTCGTCCATTTATCTATCTCTGGGCAGCCAACAGATGGCTAGCATTCAGAATCGACGTTGTCGGGGACCTGGTGGCTTTCTTTGCAGGTGCATTTGTTGTCTTGAGCATCGGCAAGATCGATGCAGGTTCGGCTGGTCTATCATTGAGTTACGCAATCAGTTTCACAGAGAATGTTCTTTGGCTGGTTCGACTTTATGCGATGAATGAACAGAACATGAACTCAGTAGAGCGGATTAAGGAATACCTAGATGTTGAACAAGAAGCTGAGGCTGTCATTGAGAAGACCAGACCAGCTGCTAATTGGCCAAGTCAAGGCTCAGTGGAGTTCATAAGCTATACGACCAGATACCGATCTGATCTGGAGCCGGTGCTGAAAAATGTCAGCTTCAAGATCAACCCGCTTGAGAAGGTTGGCATAGTCGGGCGAACAGGAGCTGGTAAGAGCTCCCTTGCTCTTGCCCTGTTCCGAGGCCTTGAGGCCGAGGTCGGAAAGATTTTGATCGACGATGTCGATATTGGTATTATTGGTCTGCAAGACCTTCGAGAATCCATCACGATCGTGCCTCAAGATCCCACACTCTTCACTGGCACTATCCGAAGCAATCTTGATCCTTTCAATCTCTTCACAGACGAGGATATCTTTACCGCTCTGCGGAGAGTTCAGTTGATCGGAGTACCGTTCTCTACCACGAATCCGGCAACGCCGGTAACGGTTTCGCGACCTCCCACAGCAAATGGTATTCCAGACACCCCAACTGGGACATCTACCCCTCCAGCAAATAAAAACATTTTCCTCGATCTTTCGTCGACTGTCACAGAATCAGGCAATAATCTGTCCCAGGGTCAAAGACAACTTCTTTGCTTAGCTCGTGCTCTCTTGAAGCAGCCGAAGGTCCTTATGATGGATGAGGCCACAGCTTCAATAGACTACAATACGGACTCAAAGATTCAGGAAACCATACGGGAGCTCAAGAGCACCATCATCACCATCGCGCATCGTTTACAAACCATCGTTGACTACGACAAGGTGTTGGTACTAGACAAGGGCGAGGTAGTAGAATTTGGACATCCCCATGAGCTGCTCAAAAAGGACGGCAAAGACGCCATCTTCAAGGGTATGTGTGAGATGAGTGGAGATATGGACGCTCTCCAAAAGGCAGCTAAGAAAGCTTGGGACGCGGGGAAGTTGGTGGATGATGAGTGATCAGAAGATGTAAAGAAGGGGTGATACCCATTGTTGATAGCTCAGTTCCCCATTTTGTCACAGTAAAAACGGTTTATTTGGGTAGCTTAGCTCTGGAATACAATTCCCATAGACACTTCACAAGTGTCCAGCAAGTCTCCGTTCGTTCAGCCAGCTCGGTAAGTACTAGGCCCAATCGAGGTCTTGATCGAAGGTAACTGGTGCCAGGAGTGATCCGCTACTTGGATACCTGTATCTAGATAGCTTGATGTGCTTGTGCCACCGCGGCGTCATGCTATCTCCTCCTCACTGCACCATGGCACTTGTCCATCAGTCTGAATCAACCACCCCACCTTATTAATAAACTATGCAACCATTCGGACACTCGTACTGTAGGTACTGGAGTTTGTGCGAATATCGCAATGATCCACCAGAGAAAACAGGATGTTTAGTTCGCTCGCTCGGTTCTTTCATCCACAGCTTGCATCGACTTTTTTTCACATCGGTTCGATCGCTGTCAGCATTTTCTTGAACCTTATTCGTCCCAAGAAACTCTGATGGATGTCAGTTGAGCCTCCTGTGCGCCGCTTTAACCTCACATGATCTTCACATTGTCGGTGTGCTTCAATCGAAGTTTCTCTGCACCTGCATGTAAATTTCTTTCGTGTAAAATTCACCCACTTTCTCTGCAGACTAACCCACGACGGTCTTCAAGTGAGGATCCCTCGATCCTTGAGAGAGCGCATTGCATGACACTACTGCTGTCATTCTCCGAATCCCAACTTCCCAAGCTTCCCAGACCTGCAGTGCGGCGGGTTTGGGGCATGAAGAATACTTGGGTGGACTAGGGTTGTTCTCGTTCCGATGGTGTCTGTCCTGTTCATTTATCCTGTTTGCCTGCTGCCTGCAAGTGCGGTCGCAGATGGGTCGCAGAGCTTGCTGGTTTCGACTTCTTTTTATGAGCACCGCGGTTGATATCAGGGTTCTGGAAGGGAGAGGCACAGCAAGTGGAACCTATCTCTCCGCACTCTGACTAGATCGTTGACCGATCTTCTCTCATTCCTTCTTTCATGTCTGAAGTCTTTGATAAGCACTCAGAGCTTGTATAAACCTTTTTCGTTGTCGAGAAACGAGCATAGAGGCTATTGAGTAGGCCGAAGCGACTACACTTTAACCCAACAAAGTCCTACAATACCCACAGATTGCTCCCAGAGCGGTTGGTTTTGCTTCAGAGCACCAATAAGTCGGGCATGGTGTCGCCTTTACTGATGTCGTTCTATGTCCACTTGACGTTAAAATCTCACTGGCTGCATCTTACGAGCCACAAGCGTTGGAGACCACCCGTAAGCACGGAAAATCCAGTCAAAATCTGAGACACAACAGCGGCCGCATCAAAATCCCTACTGATGCAGCCTACACTTGTCCGAATGGAAGGGCAAAGGGTTCAACTTGTCAATCATAGGCAAAGTTTTCTTCTGTATCTGCCAAGTTCGGGCTCGGCTCGGAACGGGCTTCTCGTCATCGTCACAGAGGCTTTGTGGCACACGTTGATTGATCAGAACGTAATTCGCCGATTTTGCGACCTGCTTACTCTAATAGGCTGAAAATACGACCTCCCGGTGTTCAGGACAATGCCGCCGCCGTAAACGTACATAAGGGACCGGGGTTCTTGTTATATTGTTGAAGAATGCAATATCGACGAGCGATTCATTAGCAATGATGCATCAAAGGAGTGTGTGTGTAGCGATACATCGAACGAAACATGCCTGAACTCAGGAACTATATTCAAGTCGTTGCTATCCAGAGCACTCATGTTCTGAGGATATAATGTCAAAACCGGTCTTTGTTTGTGTTCCGGGAGCCTCACATTCGCCCATTATCTACGAACCACTGAGGAACATTCTGTCTTTGTACGGATATAGCTCGGTTCCTCTTGCTCTGCCCTCGGCTGGAGGCAATCCCCCCACGTACGATTTCAGAGAAGATGTCCAAACGATACGGAACCTCGTCATGCGAATTATCGATTCCGGGGCAGATGTAATTCTTGTTCTTCACGGGTATGGAGGTTTGCCTGGCGCAGAAGCGCTCCAGGGTCTAGGGAGAGACGAGAGGAATCAGAGGGGACTTAGGGGTTGTGTTGTTCGGCTTGTGTTTATCATGTCCTGTAAGTTTTTTTTTTTTTTTTTTTTTTTTTTTTTTTTTTTTTTGGAAACTGTTATGTTTTCTGTTGTTGCATGAACTATGTGAGTTTGATTCACTCCTTTCGCCTTTCACCAAGAGAAAAGCGCTGATCCTTCAACTTGAATAATTGCTAATGTTTCATCGTTTAGACATGGCTCTTGAAGGCTTTCAAGGGAGTCCTAGAGGTGACGTTTCTTCAATGTTCCCATACATGCGCTGTAATGTTCAAGTCAGTCATTTTCGTTGATCTCGCTTCCCACAGCCTTGTTTGTTATTATTATCAGCGCAGCTCAAAATTTGATTGGCCACTCAACTCGCAAGATTCAGCTGAGCTCCTTTCAAATCCCAACACTAACACTTTCCCAGGCTGGCGTATCCACCGTCAGACCCGCCGACGCCATCTCAGTCTTCTACAACGACTTGCCCAGGCAACAAGCAGAATACTACGCATCCCAATTGCTGCCCCAAAGTCTCGGCGTCTTCTGGAGCAGAACAAGCTACGCAGCGTGGCGATATATCCCTTCAACATATGTTCTATGTGCTAGGGACCAATCAATGTCGTTAAGCTACGGAGAAATGATTTTAAAGGCAGCTCAGGAATCGAGACCGAACATGGTGGATAGTGTGGAGAGATGTGATGCCGGTCATTGTGTTATGCTGAGTCAATCCGACTGGACGGCGAATATGCTGAGGAGAGCTGCAGGTGAGCGGGTTTGACGGAAAGAAACAGGTTCAAGGAAATGCAAATACAAAGGATATGATCACCCATACCAAAGTCCAACTTTCCATGCTCAAGTCTATTCTTCCGGCCATAAGCTGCTCTGCTGACTCTTGTGGCGAGACTTTTCTTTGGCCAGCAACTATCCATAGAATTACCCGCCTTTGCAATATGCCGAAGTAGTCAGGCTGCATTACGAGAACGATGAAGTCAGCTCGGCTTCTGCTGTGCATGCAGACAGCCGTGCCTGTCAATTTCTATTTCGACTGACTGCTCCAAGTGTGAACCCGGGAGTCGTAGTATCATACTGAGTTCTGCGCGAGGATTACGAGCTTACCTATGAATTTTACGAGCAAAGTCATGCTGTGATATGCATCTGACGCTTTTCGCCCATATTATATAGACTTCATCTATTGGGGGGCACGTACGGCTGGTCGTCCCGGTCGGGCCAGGACAAGACTTGTGGCGTTTGAGTGTGACACTTGTATTTTTTACGACTTATAGATTATGATTGAATCAAATTAAGTTACCTTCTGCTAAGATGGCGCGGAAATGGGCCAGGTGAGAGCGAGGTGAGATAACAGTAATACCTTAATAAGTACCAAGTATCCTTGACATCCTCGCCGGGACTTCGATACTTAACATTGCTTGAATTAGCGCCGTGTAGATAATTCCTGCGAAAAGTTTGTGTGCTGTGACTTCATGACACATCAGACAGATGATTTATTGTCTTATGTGAAGAGGATGACTGCCTTGTTGGCAACTGTTATCTTGTGACAGAGAGATTTCTATGGATGTAGCACCACAATAACGGAGAGAAAAGAGAGGGGGACTTATCATGCCGGGCATTTTCAGGGTAGGGACTTTACGGCAGGGTATGTGTACATGATGGGCTGGTTCGTAATGAGGTTTCGCGCACATAGTTACCACTCTTGTCGCCAGGGCAAAGTCAATCGATTATCTTTTGGGGTCAAGAAATGGACACCCACGGCAGATTCAGCATGTTTTTTAGATCATAGGATGTGCCCTTTCGCTCTGACCAGCTAAGTCGCTGCTACGGAGCACTTACTCTCACCACTCACCTGCACTTCGCCTAAAGTTTAGAATTAATTCAGTGCACAAGGTCATAACTCATATTGGATTGGTTTGTCTAACTCAATAAGACTCTTCCGTTCATCTTCCTACCCAGATGACCAAGCGTTCATGGAGTCTGTCGATACCACACCACTCAAGACTCTATACAAAAGCGCTTGAATGCGCGATGATAGAGAGGCTATCCTTGTACCAGCAAGCTACAGAGAAATTCACCTACCCTGATCGATCAGGGAGACAGAAGACATCTCAGCCTTCTTGTACGCCACTATACTGTCGCTTATTTAGTAGTTGCTATGATTCACAATGCATATCCATCGCCATCTCTCGGCAGGCTTCATCTTTGTGTGAGGTTTTCAGATCATCTGACTTCAGGTAGTATTCTGGAACCAGTACCCATTTTTTTCGGTCTCGAGTCTGTAATATTTGGGAGCAATGATTTCGCTGCCTTTGGTTTGGATAGAAGTGTGCGTTGGTTGCAGGTCGGAGCCTAAGCATATGCGGTGCGCTATGTACAGTAGGAACTTGCCAGAAATATTTAACGCACACGAACTACTGGCTTGCTCGAGCAATAACTAGGCAGGTATCAGATTATCTAGCTCAATGATTAAAAATGAAAGATTTGTGTCGATTGATTGACTTGGTCTTACATATATCTTGATAGCTTCAAACAGTCTATCAGAAAGAAGGTATTGATACATTATCTTGAGTATGATTTCAGTTCAAATCTTGCACTGATATACACCCGCATAAGTTTTGACTCTCTTTTAAGCACTGTAACTTTCAGAACGTTATGTGTTACATCTTGCCAAATGTTCAAGTCTTGTTTTATTCGTTTGAGCCGAAAGTGAGAGATATCTGGCGATCCTTTGCGATCGTCTTACCGATTCCTTCCCGCTGCCTCGATTGATAACTCTCTACTACATGAGGCAAACCTTCCTTTGGTTTCAGAGAGTGACTTTAGTTTACATCCTCGTCAATTGATTTGGCATTCTCCAGGCTGAACTTGCGCAACAGTCGAGCCCCTCTTCAGTCACAATATGTCATTGGAGAACGTTAAGCGAGACGTTTGTTGACATTGCGGATCTCAGCCTAATCATCAAGCCTGCACAATTGAAGCCGAGAAAACAACAACCACGAAATACAAAGAAAGGCTAGACGTTCACTAGATTAAATGCCTGACAACAAAGGAAACCAGGGTGGAGCACGACACCATCGCGTCCGAGACCTCGGTTTCGATCCGAACTCGCTCAGATCCGGACCTGGTTTTGACAACTAATGTTAAGCCACCATTTGCATCCAAAAATCAATGCGAAGAAGCTCTGTGGGCTGATGCTATTGCGATGTCAAGAAATCCCCCGCGGTCCGTCACCATATCACGGCACCTTGAAATCCAGATGTGGTATTGGACTCCTCACTTCCTACTGTTCAAAAGAGAAGATAGCAATGCCACCATTTTGTCCAACAAAACAATGTAGATGAATACTTGGTAATTGATTAGCTGTACAGAATCGAGTATTTAAAGCGTTCTAGTAAAAAACTAAACAGAACTGTGCAGTCAGTGTGTCTTCCGTCTTTTGACAGCGTGTAGACAAAATGGATGTATGATGCATATATACGTGACGCGTTCGGGAATACCCGCTACGGAGACTGAGCTTCCGAGAACATCCACTAAGTGGCCAAAGAGAAAGTGGTGAATAATGGGGCTACTTTTGGCCCTGAAATCGAGGGTACACGGTTCATTTGCCTCGTTTGACGTCCTTTATAGAGAGTTTGGACGATCTCATGATTGATGCCCACTGTACAAAGGGGGACCCGGACAATCATAGCGACGAGACTCTGTTATCTAATGCTAGCTACTAGACTAAGCGAACGATGTCTCTTTGAAGGAATAAAGCCGTAGATGCATAGGATGGATATTTTGATGTTCGGTTCAAATGGCTAGGTCTGGAACACGTTTCATAATGCAGAAGTGCTGTGCATAATGTTTGTAGACTTCCTGCGAGATTGAACAGGCAAGTTATTACAACATCTTGTGCGCCTCACACAGGACTGTCATGCTGAAAGAGCCACTCCTTTGGGAGACAGATCTCATTGCGTACCTAGTTACAAGAGCCAAAAGTCCCTCTTGAATTGACAGGGAGACAATTGAACTGAAGAAACCCTGAAAAAGTCCAGGTGTTGGCGAGGATTGATGTTGTTGGCTAGTGAAGCAGGCAATAATTTCTTGGGCTGGCTTTGGCGCCGAATTTCTGAGTGATGTTGCAATCTTCTGATTTATAATTAGGTCCACTTCTTCTTCCTTGAAGGGGAGAGTAGCATGTCTCAACGTAATACGATGGCATCTGAATGTTAAAAAGTGGCTTACTTATAGCAAGACACTTTTTCTGGAAAGCTGAAGGGAGAGCAAGGAAAGTTCGAGTTCTCGCGGGTAGTAATGTACGCCGCAAATGATTTCTCAAAACAAAGTGAGTAGGACTTGGGAAAAATAAAAGACAGGGGCAATTAGCTTGCGTCCAGGAAATGACTGTGAACCTCAAGCCTCAATTTGAGACCGCGCAGTTGGAAACGGAAGACTTTCAAACAAATTCGTCAAGTCTGTAATGTAGTTGCAGAATTCCTTCTCGAATCTCGAAAATGTACATGCTGTCTGGATTCGGACGGCGAAGAGAGCGCTCTGAACGTGCGGTTCAAATTTGTTGTTGACATGCTGTGACAGAATGTCTTCAACAATTGATAAAACAGATTCAAAGTTGCCCAGCCCGCGGCCTATTGGGCTCAACTAACAAGAATGAGGAGTTAGTGAGTGAAGAAGATGTAGCTGTTTGTTGAGACAATAATGATTGTGAGGTAATTCGTAAAGAAGCAAACGAGCAGTTTCGAGTGGCTGACTCTCAGCCTTGTCGATTCCGCGCTAGTCAGTCGCGACTCCAACACTCAAATCATCTCGAAATTTCTTAACCAATAAGCACATATCGCTACGCCGGGACAAAACTTCAATTGCAGCACAATGGCGTCCTCCTCCTCTCAGCGTATGGTACACCAGGATTATATCGCAAGAATTCGATATTCAAACGCCCTACCACCTCCTCCCAATCCTCCCAAGCTCCTCGACATCCCAAATACCGGCCTTGCGTCTGGTCAATACACAACACCTGGCTTTGCATCAAGACTTGCGCGTGATCAGCCGCTCAATATCGAGGCAGATGCCGAGTTGGGAATGCCGTTAGATCTGGTTGGTATGCCAGGAATTTTTGATGGTGACGAGAGTTGTAAGTCCAGCGCAAAGAGGTTTGGATGCAGGGCAATGGGCTAATCCTGTCTACAGCGATACAAGCACCGTTACATCCACCACCAATCCATGCACATGATCGCGCTCTACTCCGTCCACTGGCATCTCTGGGAAAGCCTAAGTTCTCTGACTCTGGTGTGTCCTTCCTACGACGTACCGAGTACATCTCCAATGCCAGCAAACCCAACCGATTCGAGTCAACCACATCAAGATCTCTGATCGACAAGACGGGAAGCAGGAACAAGAGGGCTCCAATAAATGCAGACAAAGAATCACCTGAATACATCAAGAGCCAAGCGGAGAAGAGCTTCACGATTGCAGCCAACATGCTTAACAGCATCCGAGACATACGACATCCCAGCGGCAAGACAAACCTGCGCGTAATGGAAGCGTATCCCGTCCTCCCCGATCTCGACTCCTTCCCCGACGCAGGTGGCTACTGCACCATCAAATTCAATACCAATCCTGTGCCACCCAGCTCGACCTACGATATTCGTCTCGAGCATGCTTTGCTGAAGCCCACCGAAGCTTCCGAGGAAGAAGAGCGCGCCAGACAGATCATTAGAGAAAACTACGAGCGCGATCCAGACCACTATCCTCCTCCTGACGAGACATTGGAATACGAGTTCTTCATGGCAGAATCTGCGTCCGACGCTCTATCCTTCAAGCGCAAATTCGACCCCCTTGACCCCGAGAAAGACAGCGACGCGCTATACCCGCAAAAAACTGGCAATGGGCAGCCCTGCTTCAGCTACAAACGGATCCGTCCATACGAGAGCGAAAGCGCATTGGGATCTATCGCCAACAAATTCGACGACGAAATCGTACTTGCCGTCAGTGATGGCAAGGACGGCTTGCGCCAGAAAGCTGCGTACTATTATCCCATCGTGCAAAGGATCAAGATCAGGCCGCAGCGCAATAAGAATATCCAGAGCAAGAGAAATAGGTACACTCCTGGCGCACCAAAGGAGGATACGGACAGGCAGACGGACTACCTGCAAGTAATGATTGAGGAACCGGATGAGATTATGATTGCTGAGCGAGAAGTTTTCAAGACTCAGCCATTTGGGAAGGAGGAAGCTGACGGGGATGACGCTGATGCTGATGCTGATGCTGATGCCGATGCGGAGGGCGATGCTGCTTAAGCGAGTAGGAGGCATATGCATAGAATCAACAGTCGTGAAGGAGAGACAGATGTGCGCATCTCAATTTTGTACAAAGTTTGAGGCCGCCAAGGGCTAATTCCCCAATGTAGTAGCAAAGTAGAAGGCTATAAGAGTCATCTGGTGAAGCAGAGGCGCATCTGCTAAGATTGGTGAAGCAACTCGAATGAGGATAATAGCAAGGCTGTAGACAACTTACCTTGCCATGTGTATAATAGCATAAGGCTTCAAGCCAACAGAATGAAGGCTACATCACGATACCAGCATTACTAGTTTTCCGCAGGCCAAACGATGTGACAAATTTTTCTCGGTTTCCATCGATTGACACTTCCATAGCCCTGCTTCAATTTATGCTTCTGCTTACGTGCTTCATATTCGAAAGTCAGATGGTTTTATCACTTATGTCGAAACAAGCCCAACTCAAATTATGGAGATTTATCCAAGCCATGAATGTTGGCCATTATGTTGGGAAGCAGACGCTTCAGGGCCAAGAGCTGATGATAGATTGGAGCTCTGGAAAGCAAAAAGCTCATCCTCTTTACATCCAACTATGCTACCACCTCGAGCTGAATATTAACCAGTCTTTCCTCTCTCTATGGCAGGATTTCCATGCCTGGAAGGCTGAAACTGATCACTTAGTCCCATCTCGCGTCGCCAAGGTACATACATGGGATCGGGTTCTCCAGGCGAAGGAGCATCCGTGATTGGCCAATCAACACCAAAAGATCCACTCAAAAAGTCTTCTTCAAACGTCATGCATCCCAACTACCAGATCTACCCCACAAACCGCTAGAAAGCCATCTTTTCGGCTCAAGGGCGGGTTTCTCCACATCTCCAATCTCATATCAATAATCTCAGACACTTCCCGCTGTGGTATCCTGATTGTCCACCTCTCAAATGTCTTCCACCTTTTGAAAACTCAAGATTTCGGAAGAAAATGGCGTCTGAACACGGAAACAACTCTTTTTCTCTCCCAAACACCCTACAGCATGATTCTCCCGATGATCACAATCCGGGGCAGCGGAAACCATGGCATCAACGCATTCCCAAGCCTTTTCATTCCTCGTTCCGGGACGAGCCTGTGAGAGATAATGTCTTGCACCAGGCTCAAACAAATGTCACTACCAGGAGTAAACATGTGCCGAAATGGTACAAAGTGCGACTTTTTAGAGGCATGGTCAATGATGTGAGGAGACGACTACCTTACTACTGGAGTGATTGGACCGATGCCTGGGATTATCGAGTGGTCCCGGCAACGGTGTACATGTATTTTGCCAAGTGCGTTCTTGTCCTTCGTTCCTTCGAAATTATTCTTTGGTACTCTGTGCTATCCTGCATGAGTTATTTGCTGAGCTCTTCACAGTATTCTACCGGCTTTGGCATTTTCGTTGGATATGTAAGTCGCTGTCTACCAAGGATAGACGAGGATATGAGGCGCTAATAACTTGAAGGTTTTCAAAAACCGACATGAGCTATGGAGTCAATGAAGTACTGCTTGCCTCTGTCCTCGGTTCAGTGGTTTTTGCAGTGTTCGCTGCTCAACCGCTGGTAATTGTGGGAGTTACTGGACCAATTACTGTGTTTAATTAGTACTTCTACCGTCTTCCAAGTCCCGACTGCAAACTGACATGAACCCAGCACCGTGTACGACATAATGACGCCAACAGGGACCAATTACTTTGCGTTCATGGCACTCATAGGATTGTAAGTGTCCAAAAATCATGATGCTGTACTCCCTCTCTCTATTTTACTGTTGATATTTGAGACGAGCTGCATCTATCAGCCTTTTCGAAAGTCAACATTGAAACAAGCGAATTTGGTTTTCTACGCTCAGGGATTTTTCTAATACTTTGTTTAGATGGTCTTTAGTCATGCACTGGATTCTCGCCATTACCAATGCTTGCAACGCTCTCAAATACGTCACAAGGTTCTCCTGCGACATTTTCGGCTTCTACGTCGCTTTCATCTACCTTCAGAAAGGCATCCAGGTACTCACACGCCAAGGTTCAACAGAGCCTTTCTATCTCTCGATAGTCATATCGCTACTCGTTCTGGTTGTCGGATACCTCTGTGGCGTGATAGGATCAAGTCCCCTCTTCCAGCACTACGTGCGAGTATTCATCAAAGATTATGGCACACCGCTTACGGTCGTGTTCTTCACAGGATTTGTACATATTGGTAGGATGAGGGATGTTGAGCTTGAGACGCTACCGACTAGCAAGGCTTTCTCTCCTACGATTGATAGAGGATGGTTTATCCATTTTTGGGACATCAGTATTGGGGATGTGTTCATTGCTATACCATTCGCAGTGTTGCTTACTATATTGTTTTATTTTGATCATAACGGTAAGTCACTAATGAGCAAACACTCCACTTAGTACATTCGGACAATTATATCCACCTTCTATTCAATCGTGAGGAATATGCTAATGAGATTTAGTTTCGTCTCTAATAGCACAAGGTACTGAGTTTCCCCTTCGGAAACCAGCCGGATTCCATTGGTATGTTCACTCCACAGCAGCCGAGAGTCGAGAACTAATACCTAGCCCAGGGATATATTTCTCCTTGGCCTGACTACCGGAGTTGCTGGGCTTCTGGGAATTCCTTTCCCCAACGGTTTAAGTATGTTCAAATTCCCGACTATTATCTGGTCTGGAATAATGTTACAAGATCACCAGATTTCCAGACCTACACCAACATTGCTGATATCTTCAAAGTTCCCCAAGCACCATTCCACACCGAATCCCTCTGCGTAACCAAAGTCGTCGCCGACCCCCGCGAAGAAGGTTCCTCAAAAGGTCACGTCACGACGGTTATTTCACACGTCGTCGAACAGCGCTTCTCCAACCTAGCTCAGGGTCTACTCACCCTCGGTACCATGACCGGCCCTCTCCTCATCGTCCTCCACCTCATCCCACAAGGCGTCCTTGCCGGCCTCTTTTTCGTCATGGGAGTGCAAGCCCTTGAAGGCAATGGCATCACTCTCAAGATCCTCTTCCTCCTCAAAGACTCCTCCTTAACACCCTCATCAGACCCCCTCAAGCGAATTCAGAGACGTAGCGCGATTTGGATATTCGTTGCAATCCAGCTGATTGGGTTTGGCGCTACCTTTGCGATCACGCAGACTATTGCTGCTGTTGGGTTCCCAATCTTTATCCTTTTGCTTGTGCCGGTTAGGACGTGGTTGTTGCCGAGGTGGTTTGAAGAGAGCGAGTTAAGACTTTTGGATGCGCCGACGGCGAGTCCGTTTACGATGATTAGTGTTGGGGGGAATTATGGGGAGGAGGAGGGGGATGACAGCGGCGAGGCGACGGCGGTGCAGAGTAGGTTGCAAAGTGGATTGCAGAGCGGGATACAAAGTGACGGGGAGGGAGTCTTAGTTGGTGGTAGTGAGTTATATCTCTCCTAGCTCTTTCAAAGCCCCAGTTGCTTGGCTTGAAATTATACGGGCTTGCTAACGATGTGTTTAAAAGAGGATGCGGATGGGGATAGTGACGAGGGCAGAGCGGAGCGCGGGGAAGGTGGATCTAAAATAGGTATGAAGAGGAGAGAGAGTTGGAGAGGAGAGGGACGCAGTGGAAGGTGGGCTGAGAGTGCTGATGGATTCGAAATGCAAGATCGTAGACCAGGTGTTAGCAGGAAGAGTGTGAGTAGACAGTCCAAATAATACGACAGCCTTAAACATAGTTTAGAGAATGGAATCTACCTATAGAGTAATATAGGAAGAGTTTGAGACGCCAAAATGTTGCCTCATGTGTAACTTCTCTCCAGTGTGAGAGCCGCAGTTAAAATTTGGTTGGTTTGGGTAAAGGGGGGTTAGCTCGCTTGGAAAACTTGGCTCCATTTAATTCACCTGCTCCACGTACTGTCTTGAATTCAATAGAAGCTCCCTGCTATACTGAGGTTTAAATGGTACTTAAGATTCAAAATGTAGCTCTTGCCGGTACTCCTAACATTCACTACGGCACTTGAATTCGATGTGGGCGGTATTTGTCGCATTATTTTGAGCATTCGTTTCGTTTCCTTCCGCGGGACATCAGCCGCCGCTGTCAGGGTATAAGCTATTCTTCAGTTTGGCGTGATTCTTCGGTAAATAACGCCGACTCACCGACTTTTGCTGTAGACCCCACTAAAATATAATGACTTAGAATTGTAACCTCCATAACTCTATTAAATCTCTATCGATTTTCTTCGGAATTGGGTTATTTTAAAGCTCTTGCCTTGAATATTTGAACCTGAGCTTACGAGCTATCTGATGTTATAACTCTGAACCTACTAGCTTAGAAAGTATTGAATATCGACTGAATATTGTCCTATAAAGCTGATATTAACCTACGAGCTCTTACTAGAGAGTTTAGAATAATATATAAGATAATATATAAGTGGAAACAGACTCTAGATCGTTAGATATTACTTTCGGAATATTATCGCCGTGGCCCTTCACCTGTTATTACTAACGATATAGGCGAATATATTAAAGCGTTACTTAAGAGGGAGCTAGATTTATATTAGGACGAAATCGTAGCGTATCTATAGGAAGCCTACGAAGTTAACGTGTTAGTTAATTAGGTCTCTAAGGCTCTCTAAAGGCTTAATTATACTAAGAAAGTACTTAAGGTCTCTACGAGTTAAAGGAATAATAAATTAATCGTAGCTTAGAGGCGAAAGATAGTGTTTTAGGAGGCCCGGGACTTATACTTTATTAACGAATTAGCTTATAATAAGCGTATAACAGATAGGCGTAGAGGATAGGCTCCTAGGGGAGCTTCTGCAGAGGTTCAGAGAGTACTTAAATAATTAATAAGGTAGTCGATTCTCCCTATATACTTACTTTATAGTTATTATTAGCTGTTAATATACTAAGGCTTAATTACAGCTGAAATCTTCACTAAATAGCTAGAAAAGAGTATCTTACTTAAATATATAGAGCTTAGAATTAAGGTAGTAATAATAGATAACACGTTAATCTATAATAACCCTTAAGTATCAGCTCTTTATATAGCCTTCGGTCTTTAACTTAAATATCTCCCTTTATATTACCCCTTTTTCAACCCTATCGAAAAGAGCTTCGTAGACCTAAAATCATAGATTAGGAGATATTAGCGCTAAAGTAAGTATATCTAGGAGGAATTTGAAGGCTTTTTAATAATAGCTATAAGGTTAGTTAGAGTAGGAGCTAACGCTGAACGTAGAGCTAGAGGCTACTTTCGCTATTTAGGCTATTAAGGCGTACTAATTAAAGAAGGTAACGAAGTTAATATAGAATAAGGGTTAATTAAACAGAAACTACATAGAAACTATAGCTATAAATACTACTAAAACTTACTCCTTGTATTCTCTATCGTTACTCTTATCTTCGCTTTCGTTAAGTTTGTTATTTTCCTAAATAAGAGCCTATTAATTATACTACTTCTTAAATAGCTTTAATTGCTTCTAAATCGTCTTTAAAATACTACCTTTTATTCTAAGCTCTATTACCTCTAAAATCGATATATCTTTAACTATATTAATATTATATTCTTATTCCACGAAAGTTCTAATAGTAAAATCGAAGTAAGAGGCTACTAAAGTTGTAATTAGAGGTATAACTTAATAAAAGAACGATTTTAAAGTAAATAATACCTCCTTTACCTCTGAACTACTATTACAGAATATACTCGACTCCTGTAGATCTACTATTAATATAAAGTTACTTTCAACTTGTTCCTACGGTCGAATACGTAGTAATTAAGGCTCTAGAGCTGTATATTCGTGTGCCGGAGGAGCTATATTTAGCTAAGGGTAAGGGGCTAGCGAATAGCTACTTAGAGGGTTACTAGCGTATAGAGACTATATTAGAGGGGGCAGTATCAGCGGATATTAATATAAGAAGGTATTTAGAGGCTAATATAGTGTCTGCGAGAGGTGTTAAGCTGATTAATATTATTCCGGAGATAACGATTTATTATAGTACGTCTTCCGGTGCTTCTTTTTCCCTTACGCCTTTAATAACTAAGGCTCTGAATAAGCTATAAGCTCTTTTGAAAGGTTAACTTAATAGAGAATAAAAGGTTTATTAATTATAGTTAATTTATCTTTAATATCACGTCTCTAATGCCTTAAATCGTCTAGGGAAAGGTAGTAGTATTTACTATTATTAATAAAGTAAAACTTTATAGTATAATAATAGGAACTGACTTTATAAGCCTATTATACCTGAATAGCGGTTATAATCTTATATATAGTTCCCTTTTTAGCCTCCTAATTCTTTTCAACTTCCTTTAAAAGATAAGTTGTTATAGTACGTAGCTTCTTTACTATCAAGCTTTCCTCCTCTTAATATATACGCTTCGGAATAGTAATAACTAGAGCCTTTAGAGTAAGAGGGTCTTTCCAAGGTAGTCGAACTATATTCTAAGGTATTTATATGATACTAAAGCATATTTAAAGCTTTCCTTACTTTAATTTCCTTATAATTCGAGCTCGTTCGATAAAGTAGTTAAAATCGGCCTTATTAACGATATTATATTCCGTAAGGTTTTAAACGTTTCTATAGATGCTATACTAGTAAATATAATCTCTCTATAGTAGAGAAATACCCCTTAACTTAATCGTAGTATCTGCTAATATCTCTATAGCTTTCTTAATAGATTTATAAGTAACTCTAACACCTAGCTTATTTGTTACCTTCTTTATTACACTGCCTATTCGCTTACTATTAAGGTACTACCGAATCTTAAAGTTTATAGCTTATATTTCAATCTACGGAGATATAGGAGACCGTATAATAAGAGGTTCTAGTAGGGGGAGAGCTTACGGAATCGATAAAAGCTTAGAAGGTAGAGGGAGGGGTAGTGATAGAGGCTCTGCTAATCTTACGGCTAGTATAACTACTCCTATACTTAAATTAGGTGTAGAAGCTGAAGTACTAATAGTAGAACTGATAGAAGAACTACTAGCTTGACTTGTACTAAGTTTAAGAGTTATTTTAAGTACTACCGGCGGTAGGGGAAGTGAAGTGCGTGGAGCCTTCTTTTTAGAAGGTTTCCCTTAACTATTTCGAGCTTTCTTTAGAGGTATATTTGAGAATATCAAGTGGAAATAGAGAGGGGAGTTTAAGAGCTTTAAAATAACCTAATTTAGAGGCAAATCGATAGAGATTTAATAGAGTTATAGAGGTTATAATTCTAGGTTATTATCTTTTAGTGGGGTCTATAGTAAAAGTCGGTGAGTCGGCGTTATTTACCGAAGAATCACGCCAAACTGAAGAATAGCTGTACTTCGGATGAACTTTCTGCATGCCGATGTTTATACAGACCGGACCAGAAGCGTTCCTAGTGTCAAAGGCCTTCATCCCTGGTTAGAAATTCATAACTGTCTGGTTCTGGCGCAGAAATCCATACACAGATTCTACTTCGGGACAATCAGGCTTTTGTAGTGTTGTATTATTGGATTGAAGGCGTGGAGGCGTTGAGGGCGTATTGATTCTCAAGGCCCGCTAGGCCAAGAGCGCTCAGACCTTCTCAGATTCGGCAGGCAAAAGCTTCGTCTGGTCACTTTTCTAGAACGCCAGATGCAACGCCATCGTAGTTTGTGGCTGATACCACAGTCGAGATACAGTACATCATTAGCATGCGACCGAGATGAGGATTCTCGCCGACTGTGAATGCGCTGAAATAATTTTTGCTGTAGTGTTGTTTTTTGATTGTAAGGATTGTTGTTGTGACCCTTCCAGGGGGGCTGTTTGCATGCCGGACACGGGACAATAATGCTGGAGGTAATAATAGAATCCACCGGATCCTAATGACGGCCTGGAGCCAGCAGCTTTGCTTTGCTTTGCTTTGCTTTTGGAAGTCGGAGACCCTCAGGGTCGTGTTGCTTCTAGTGTCAGCGCCTCTGGCACTACAGTAGGTAGAGGACAACAGTCATCCATTGATTCGGCCAGAATCGTCAGGAGGTTAGGTAAGGTAAAGATGGGTTGGTTACCTTAATTTACATGCTCAGCTGTTGTTCTACGATGGTTCTTCCCAGGCCAGGCCAGGCCAGGCTGACCTTCAGGCAGGACGTTTGTTGAGGACTGGTTCTCCATGTGCGCCAGAGAAAGACCGACATTTGCGAATTGACCACTACTGTAGTACTGACTACTACTGAGTCCTGACCAGGACCAGGAACACGATGGAGCAATTTCCTGCCTGACTCCCCTGACTCCCTGAGCGCACCTGGTTGGTCGTCCGCCCGGTTGAGCCGCTTTGTTTTAGCTTCCCCTGCAGGCATCAGGGCCAGGCGAGCCAGGCTAATAATGCAGACACGGATATACATAGGTCGAAAGAAGAGTAGCCCGCTCAATTCAGGGCTTCTATTCGCCAAAGCTCTTAAGCGAGATGATACCTGCTCTCAGTTTTGCAGTTCTCCATTTTACGGGGACGGGGCTAAAGTCGAAGGACGTCGTATCGTCCCATTTACCGTCCCCGTCCCCGTCCCCTCACACGGTCAGACGGCTTCCTCACAAACGTCGACGACAAGAGCCTTTGCCTGTCTGTCTGTCTGTCTGTCTGTCTGTCTGTCTGTCCGTACACGCACATCGACAGCATCTGGCATGACGGCAATGAGTTGACGCATTGCTCAATTATCGCGTCAATCCGCGGCTTTCGAATCTGCACACAGCGCTGTCGATATAGCAGCACGCAGACTGCAATGGGCGAACATCACCATTTTGGCAGGCCATCACTCCTTCTGGCCAGCCACGACAAAGCTCATCGCGAGCACGTACACCAACACCATCTTTTACACCGCGGGGATCCAAGTGTAGTTGGGGAGATAGTCACGGAGGTTATCGCAACTCTTACGGTCATCCAGCAAGTCACAGTCGATTCCAATGGCATCACCATCGGCCTACACACATTCACCGCCGACTCAACAGGCGGCACCGTCTTTCCATCTACAACAACGGAGAAAGCTACTCCTGCTACCACACCAGCGAGTCCAGGGACGAGCAGCTCAGGCGCTACAGCGCCATCGACGTCCGGATCTGGACCCGGAAATCAAAACGCAAACAATGCAGCATCTGCCTCACAGTCATTACTTTCCATTCAGAACATAGAGTCAGCCTCGGCTGCAACACCCATTTCCTCGATACCCACGACCTTTTCTTCGATTCTTGCTACCTCTAATTCATCTTCCAGTAAGTCGCGGACAGCTTAATTTAAAGGTATCTATTACTGACCAATTGACCAGTAATATCAACCTCAAGTATAAGCGGCTTGACACCAAGTTTCTCTAACTCTTCATCATCATCCTCAAGTCTTTCTGGCTCACCTTCGAGCTCGGTATCCATCAATCTTCTATCCTCGAGCACTATCTCTGACGAATCGTCCACCTCGTCACTCTTATCAACCTCTGTTTACTCGCCAAGTTCATCCTCATCAGCGACGGCAACTGGAACCGATGGCATTGCTGGTGGAGGATCGGGAACAGGAACGGGATCTGGCGATACCTCGACCAGTACTGCAGGTTCTGGTGATGGCTCGGACTCGTCACCGTCAACATCGACCGTTGTTGGGGGAGTGGTAGGCGGTGTTGCTGGAGCTGCAATTCTAATCTTCCTTTTAATGATTTTAATTCGCTGGAAGAGACGTCATTCATCCATGTTGGCTTTGGGTAGTGGGGAGGGAGAGGGAGCTGCAGGTACAACTCGCAGTACACCGCCATCTGGACCGTCTGGAGAAGGAATGGCCGAACGTTCTTCATTTGGTGGTTTCGCTGTTCCAGCCGCCTTGGCTACCCTCACAGGATATAAACGATCCTCGCAAAGAACGGCAGACCGAACTACTATATCATCAACAGCCGGTAGCGAGCGAGGCTTCTACCGAGTTTCTGGAAGGAAGTTGCCGTCAGTACTGCAGACTGGTGGGGATGGCTATGGTGGTGGCATCATGGAATCGAACACCTTGAGTGGGTCATCTTTCTACCGAGACTCTCAAGGCTTCTATGGCGGTCCTGGCGGTCCATCCTCGCCTCCTGTAGGCTTGTCGATGCCACGAGATAGTGGTGTACCAATCATGAGAGAAGGTCCGGCCCGTACACCAGTTACAGAACAAGGACCATTTGCAGATCCTCCCGCCTCGTTGACACCGCCACCACGTCGACCTGATGTCGTTGGGAGGTCACACCCTTCGTTTGATGGGTCTCAGCGCTCCCGGTTCACTGAAGAGGTTTGAAATAAGCTTCTCGTCTCAAAGCATGTCTTTGACTCCCTGCCTGTCGTCTGGTCCAGGGATCCCCGATATGGATGATCACGAATTCCTCTGTTTCTTTGTAGATTTTAGGACTGGTGCCGAGGAGGGAGTGAGGAAAGGCACCATTTTCTTGGCTGGAAGAGCCAGGATATCTTTGCGTTTTGCATTGGATTGGCGTTTTATTCTGATGTACGGATCGGATTTCTTGTTGCGCGTTTGAGGATCTGATATCATTTGTTGAGTGAACAGTTCATTGGTTACACGCGAGAGATGTTCGACGACTGCAAAGGCCTCGACCTTTCAGATGATGGATCGGCGGGGAAGGGGAGAGGAGGACCTGCCCTCTATCTGTCATTGGTTTGTGTCACTATGTATACTACCATGATGATGCTATTGAGTCCTGACAGCAGGTCGATGGGTCACAATATATATTGTCCTGAGCTACCCCTTCTACCTTTCTCCGAGGAGCTTTCTTTCCCGTGCTCTTCTTTTCCCTCTAATCGACAACCAAAACAGTGAGCCCTGCATAGCTGAGTCAAGCTTTTGCACCGCATTAAGCTTACCCTTCCTTGCGGCCCCCCGTCCCGTCTGAAGGGAAGATCAAAACAGTCGTTCATCACCAAATGTGGCTGAGCAGGAAGATGATACACCTGGCACGGAATCTGTCACCTTGGCCAATACGAATGAGGGTCGTCAGCAGTAGGAGGCAGGGAATGCATTGGATTGGTGTCTTGGAGATGCTTCTATGCAGATGTTGAGCGCTGATTTGCGCCATCTGTGTACCCGTTTCATGAGTGTCGGAGGTGCATTGAGATGGTGTTATTGGTGGGCTGCCCGATGAACGGTCTTTGTGTGTATATATGGGAAGAAACCTGTTTGAGGACTCAAGAGAGGCAATGGCTTGAAAAGATGATAGTTGATCGCACGTGTGAATCATTTGTCCAATGTGAGGGTGAAGATATTAATATGGCTCAAGCTTCATCGACTCTCATCCAGCTCGACACAGCCGACGCTCGTTCTCGTCCCATGAAAAAGGGAGGCGACAAGATGAAACACTTCTGAGTTGAATGGTGGATACTTTCGAACATCCATCGATCACATCATCACGGCACCATCCAGACCATGTCAGCAACCTTAAATCGACTTCCCAGGCGCTGGCCAGGCACACCTTGACAAGAATCCGGCACTCGGAGATGGCGACGAATAAGAATTCAGCTATGGTGTCACAGATTGATTTCTTTTATGTCTACTGCGTATCACGATTTTCTGTGATTCGAGAACGTCCCATGGCAGGGCATGGCATGGCATGGCACAGAGCCAGGGAGGCGCAGCACCCTGTCCATATTGACGTTGTGGATGGATAGTGATGGTGATAGCCTCAACTTCTCGTCTCGCGTCCATTCATTATTGCACTCTGTTGGCAATCGGTAATCAAGCGAAGGTAGCGATGTGATGCGTTACACCACAGCGGGTCTAGTTCCAGTTCTAGTTCATGGCTCCTCCAAAGTCTTGGTACGAGTGATCGACACAGTGCCGTGGCAGTCTGCAGCCAGAGAGGGTCGAGACCATGAACTTCGAGGAGCAAGACTTTATCTGACAAGAGTTGCTTGGGTGGTGTGGAGCTTGAATTTTCCGACTCGGGGAGGGGGAGCAAGCAGCAGCAGCACATTGGAAGGCGCAAGATATGGTGCCATACCGTGAAAACACAAAGCAAAGGCAGAGGCAGAGGCAGAAGCAAAAGCAGAAGCAAAAGCAGACGCACGATCTCGCTCTAGCCCACACTTGCAACTCTGTAACCCCTCGGTCCCCTTCCCTTCCCCTCCCTTCCCCTCCCCCCGACCACATCCCGACTCTCCTTGCTGAGAAATAGGAAACTTTTTTGAGCCTTGACTGTCTCTGCTGCATTATCTTATTTACACTTGACGTCCCTTCCTTAACTTGGTCTTCCCTTTCCCTTCTCCCGCTTGAAACCTTCACCAGTCGAGTCGTCTGCACCAAGCCACACCGAGGCCGACAGTAGGCATCATCATTCTTACCCGCTCCCCCTCATTCACTGACGCCAGCCTTCGTCGTCTCCCATCCCCGCTGGACCCTGACCTGGACAGGTACCGATTGGGCACCCAAAGTACAGCTTGGCCCGCATATAACAGCGGCCGCACACCACGCAAGACAGGCAGCATCGACCTCACAGCGCACCGCAGCGCATCGCATCACAGCGGAGGTTATCCCATCGGAGTTTACCAAATTCCGACTGCGCAATCGACAGGGAGACTTCTCTTACGAAAACGAATGAGAGCTGCCGCTGTACGGTACAGGTACAGGTACAGGTACAGTGCAGCGCAGTGAGGTGCGGTTGGATACTCATACCTGCGAAAGAGGCGCCCTGGGCACATCCCAAAAAAGTCCGGAGACGGCGGTGCAACTTTGGCCCATCCCACCCCTGAAATTCGAGTCCTGAATCTGCTCGACCACCCTGTCTGCCGCCTGAGCTGTTCTCGGCATTTTGTGTCTTTCCATCTCCTGTACTTTCTTTCTTCATCGTCCCTTTCCTTGACTCGACACTGGTGATGTCGCATCTTCAATCGCCCATGATGGATCACAACGGTTATCAGATGCCCCAGCAGATGGCAGCGCCACCAATGATGAACCCACCACCACAGATGTACAGCGGATACCAGGATGGAATCCCGACGAACTTGAACATGGCGGATATGTCGCAACCATACCTCGGCGACGGAGGGTTGATGGACGAGAGTATTGAGGCGAAGAGGAGGAGGATAGCCAGGGTAGGGACACTTGCGACACGCCGTCCGGAAGGCTGTGGAATGAAGCGCTGACGTATATAGGCCTGTGACATGTGTAGGAAAAAGAAGATCAAGTGCGATGGAAAGATGCCGGCTTGTACTCATTGCATCAATTACAAGACGGAATGTGTTTTCACACAGGTGGAAAAGAAGAGGAACCCTCCCAAAGGGTATGTCGAACATCAACATGCGACGGATTTAACTAACACGGACTTAGTGCGAAGTATATCGAAGGACTTGAGAATAGATTGGGACGAATGGAAAGTTTATTAAGATTATCTGGTATGTCTTGTATTGGAAGGCCGATGGGCGTATTGTCTACAGTATACTAAGTAATGTAGGGCTTCTCACCGAAGATGACAATGGACGAACGGACTTGGGGACGCTCGAGAAACGACTTGCAGACAAAAGGGAATCACAAAGAGCATCTGCTGCACCAGGATCGCATCCAACTTCGCCGTCGCAAGCTTCACAGAATGAAGGAAGTGGATCTACTCCTCGGAGTACGGTTGCATCCCCAGAACAGTCAGCGACAAATGGAGACAAGGAGAAGCGTAAGAGTGGCAGTTCCGAAAAGTCAGAGGAGGAGGTTGAAGCTCTGTCGGATATGATGTGTTCGCTTGTCACAAATAACTGTGGTGAAACGAGATATATTGGTATGATAGTTGTGATTTGAACTATGGAGTCTCCTCACTAACACAAATAGGATCTTCATCTGGATTCTCCATCTTTTCACCCAAGGGTATTTCATGGGTCAACGAAAAGACTGGAGATTCGTCTTTCCAGCAGATGATCTCATCAGCATCGGTGGACGAGAACAAGTGGATGTATTGGAAACCAGAAGTTTTCGGAGACCTGTTTGAGCGACGCATCTTCAGACGACTACCACCGAAGAACGAATGCTTGTCTCTTCTGAAGGATTTCTTTGAGAACTTCAACTGCATGTTTCCGCTTTTCCACCAGCCTACTTTTATGCATCTGGTCGACCGGCAATACAGTCAAGACCCATACGAAGGATCAGGATGGTGGGCAAGTTTGAATGTTGCGCTTGCGCTTGCTCACAGACTCCGGGTAATGAGTAACTTGGTACCAAAGGCCGAGGACGAGAAGGCTTGGGGTTACCTGAAAAATGCTATTGCAGTGGTCACCGAGCTTACTATGCGTAATACGGATCTGCTCAGTGTCCAAGCATTGTTGGGAATGGCACTGTTCTTGCAAGGAACACCAAATCCTCAGCCATCTTTCTTCCTGGTCGCAGCCGCCATTCGATCTTCTCACAGTATCGGACTGCATAAGCGTGGTTCTGGATTTAATCTGAATCCTATCGAAATTGAACAGCGGAAACGAGTCTTCTGGATTGGTTACATGTTGGACAAGGATATCTGCTTGAGATCTGGACGACCGCCGGCGCAGGATGACGACGACATGAATGTTGAACTACCGAGCGCGGACCCAGAGGACAACATTGGAAACATTCCTTTAGCAGACGGAAAGGGAAAGGTCAACCTGTTCCGCTTGATGTGCGAGTTTGCAACTATCGAAAGCAAAGTCTACAAGCAACTGTACTCTACGAAAGCATCGAAACAATCGGATGGCGAGCTTCTCAATACCATTGGAGAGTTGGACCATATCCTGGAGGAGTGGAAAGACAGTATCCCTGTGGACTTCCGACCAGAACATGAGATCAAGGCGTCGCATACTCCTTTAATCTTACACGTAGTTGTTCTCCACTTCGCTTACTACAACTGTTTGACTACGATCCACCGCATGTCGGTTCATCATGGATACTGGACGAGCCGCTTGTCAAACTATGCTATTCAAGGACTCAATGCGAGACCCCTGAATCCACGAGTCTTTTCATCCGCCGCACTCTGTGTGTCTGCTGCCCGAGCTTCTATTCACCTGATCAAATATGTGCCGCAAGGAGACTTTTCATGTGTCTGGTAAGTCGTTCGAGTTTTTGATATGGATTGTGCTAATACAGCTAGGTTGATTCTTTATTTCCCTGTTTCTGCTCTTGTAACATTATTCGGAAATATCCTCCAAAATCCTCAAGATCCCCGAGCTCGCTCCGATGTTCGCTTGATGAACCTGGTAGTCAGCTTTTTGGCTATGCTTGGCACCGAAGAAGAGAATGGTGGTGTTAAGCGCATGCTGGGAGTCTGTTCAGAATTTGAGAGAATTGCGAAGGTTGTTCTCGATAAGGCTGAAAAGGATAGCTCTTCAAGAAGAAAGCGGAAGAACAACGAGGAGCAGACTGGAAAGTCCAGAGCCGCTCCAGTATCGAGTGCGCAGCAGGGAGCGCCACCATCACAGACTCCAATGGCACCAAATGCCCAAATACCAGCTGTATCCGGAGTCTTCTCACCAGGCATGGTTCTCAGAGACGGCTTTAGTCCTGTACCGAACAATGGCTCCCCGAACTCGAATTGGCAACCCGACTACAACAGTGGCGACTACGCAACACCTAGGCAAGGCATGACACCATTTGCGGAAATCCAAGGCTACACCAATGGCAACGAAATGAACTCTCCCCTCAACATCAACAACTTCCAACAACCTTTCGTACCACAAGATCTATGGCAGATGCCAATGACTTTAGAATGGGACTGGGCAGACATGACTGGTGGTGCGTATCCTAGTTTCGAGAATGGTATTGTAGGCGACATGTCGATGCAAAATAACAATAATCAACATCTGCAACATCAGATGTGATGAGTAGAGCCTGGGGTAGGTATGGCTGTATTGTACACGGATCAGGACATCGTACGGGTGCTCAAGACAGGAGAGGTGATTGGTGAACCAAAGATGGGCCTGAGCATCTTCCAACCAGAGAAATGGAGTCGAAAATGGAAGGGAGGAGATTGGTTGTTCCGGAGCCGATAAATCTGGAGCCGGGACGAAGGCGTTCACGTTATTCATGAGATGATGATATACGTATCGGAGTGGGTTAGTGTGTCTTTCTTGCGGATTTTCGGACTATGCATTTGGAGCAAGCTGGCTGGGCTGTGCTGAACGAAGGCACTTCATCTCTACTTACTCATGGGATTATAGGACTTTGATAACTTTGTGTTGCATTTCGGGCTGAGCGAGGTAAACGAGACAGGACAGGAGTATCAAATGGAGAGAAGTGAACAGGAATGGGGATGGGGAGATTCTGTATTGTATTAATCCTGTAATTTCCATAATGGATTGTTGAGTTGAATTAAAAATGCAGCATAGCTCTTTGCATGGTAGTCAGTGGTCTGATTTTCGCTCACTCGAAGCAACAAGATACACGGAACGCTCTGGAGGTGGACTTGATAATCATAGAAGTGTGAAAAATAGCGGGCCCAACAGAAGGATTTTGATAGCCAGTCCACTTGGATTTTGGTAGCAGTCTTTTGTGATTAATGGGTTCTTCAAAAGGACGATGATCTATTATCCACCGACACTCCCTAGTAAGCCCAATTGATGTATCATTTGCGCACGAGTAGTGTCATGAGAACCTACTAGGTACACTGCAAGAGCCATTTCCAGACAGCAGATATGACGATTGTCGGTGCACGTGATCAGCCAGGCACAGGGCGGAAACGCGGCGTCGGGATTTACTTTCGGTTTTGATAATCATGACCACTTGAACTTTTGCCTCAGCGAGCTTCCAGATCAAAACACCCCAACCCAATTCCCCCACCCCGATGCGATACAGCTAGGAGGCAATCCAATCACTACTTGTGACTCTCCTCCGACTACATTTCTACACAAGTATGCACTCAATCCTGCGACAATCCAGCAATCTTGCTCGGATATCGAGGTCCTCTCTTCAGACTGCCGCGAGAGCATCACTGCGCTCCACGAACCACGCGCCATTATCCTCCTCTGTAAGAGCTGTCCAACAAGCTCGTTTATATTCGAACAGGCAGAAGCCGACGAAGGACAATGAGGTGAAGAAGGATGACAAGGAATTGAAGGACAAGAATAATATTGAGCCACCTTCAAAAACAGCTCCGGGAACAGAGAATCTCTATGATGGCGAGACGCCACTCAGCAAGAAGGCAGAGCAGGGGCAGAATAGCGAGCCAGAGCTTGCAGAGGGTATGGTGAAGATGAATGCGGAGGATGAGATAGCCATGAAGGAGCTATTGGACACGCTGAAGCTTGGGTTGCCAAAGAGCCAGGTTGAGGTTATCGAGCGGGCGTTTGAGAATATCCAGAAAGAGGGCATGCCGAAGGAGCTAAGAGAGCTGATGGATGATGTTAGGGGCAAGCCTATGACGCTGTCATCTGCGGCAAAGTTGACGAGGTTGGCGTCGCAGATGGCGAGGAAGCAGGCCGAGAGGGACATGGGCAAAGATTCTAAGAAGTCGAGCACGGAATCCGATTCGAGTGATATGAAGGGCTCATCTGGTGGGTTTGGAGGCTTCGGAAGCCCCCCGCCAGGCGGAAATAAGGGAGGGAAACAGCAACAAGACGGTGGTTTCAAGGTCGGCGAAATCAAGATCGATATGGGCACGCTGTTGCTCTCAGCATTCGTGTCATACCTGATGTATAGGATGGTCATGCCTGGAGAGAGCAGACGGGACATCACATACCAGGAGTTTAGAAGCACGTTCCTCGACAAGGGACTGGTTGAGAAGTTGACGGTCACAAATGGAGGGAAGGTCAGAGTCGATTTACATCGTGAAGCTACACAGCAGATGTTCCCAGATTCTCCTGCCGTCAACCCTAACTTCCACTACTACTTCTCGATTGGCTCCGTGGAGTCATTTGAGCGGAGACTGGATGAGGCGCAAAATGAGCTTGGAATTCCTACCTCGGAGAGGATACCTGTCAACTATGCCTCAGAAGGTGATGCCTGGGGACTGATCCTCAGCTTTGGTCCTACGATTTTGTTCATTGGTGCGATCTTCTACATGTCGCGGCGAGCATCTGGAGGTGGAGGAGGTGCCAGTGGTGTCTTTGGCATGGGCAAGAGTCGAGCAAAGCAGTTCAACCACGAGACGGATGTCAAGGTTAAATTTGCCGATGTTGCCGGTATGGACGAAGCAAAGGCAGAGATTATGGAATTCGTCTCTTTCCTGAAGACTCCTGAGCAGTTCCAACGCCTCGGTGCCAAGATCCCTCGAGGAGCTATTCTCTCTGGTCCTCCTGGAACGGGTAAAACGCTTTTGGCCAAGGCCACTGCTGGCGAATCCCAAGTTCCCTTCTTCAGCGTTTCTGGTTCGGAGTTCGTGGAGATGTTCGTCGGTGTTGGTGCTTCAAGAGTGCGCGACCTCTTCGCCATGGCGAGAAAGAACACTCCTTGTATCATCTTCATCGATGAAATCGATGCTATCGGAAAGGCCCGTGGGAAAGCTGGATCGTTCGGTGGCGGTAACGATGAGCGAGAAGCTACGTTGAATCAGATCTTGACCGAGATGGACGGTTTCAACACCGCTGAGCAAGTAGTTGTTCTTGCTGGTACGAACAGACCGGATGTTCTTGACAAGGCATTGATGCGTCCTGGTCGATTTGATAGACATATCGCTATCGACCGACCTACTATGGATGGACGAAGACAGATATTCATGGTTCATCTCAAGAAGATTGTCACGAATGAGGATTTGGAGTACTTGACTGGACGTCTCTCTGCTTTGACCCCGGGCTTCTCAGGAGCGGATATCGCTAACTGTGTCAACGAAGCTGCTTTGATTGGTAAGTGCTGTTTCTTATTTCCATACATTGGTTTCATACTGACAATTCACAGCGGCCCGGACGAGTGCGAAATCTGTAGAGATGCTCCATTTCGAACAAGCCATTGAGCGTGTCATCGGTGGCCTGGAGAAGAAGTCCCTTGTCCTCTCACCTGAGGAGAAGAAGACCGTTGCATACCACGAAGCCGGTCACGCCATCTGTGGATGGTACTTCAAGTACGCCGATCCTCTTCTGAAAGTCTCCATCATTCCACGTGGCCAAGGAGCTCTCGGATACGCCCAATACCTCCCAGCAGGCGACACCTATCTCATGAACGTTAACCAGCTCATGGACCGCATGGCCATGACCCTCGGAGGCCGAGTCTCAGAAGAACTTCACTTCGATACCGTCACTTCCGGCGCCTCAGATGACTTCAACAAAGTCACTCGCATAGCTACAGCCATGGTCACCAAATGGGGCATGAGCAAGAAACTCGGCCCCCTCCACTTCGAGGACAACGAGCAGGCCTTACACAAACCATTCGCTGAGTCCACTGCCCAAACTATCGACGCTGAAGTCCGCCGCATCATTGACGAGGCATACAAGCAGTGCAGAGACCTCCTGACAGAGAAGAAAGCCGAAGTAGGGATCGTCGCTGAGGAGCTTCTCACCAAGGAAGTCCTCGATAGAAACGATATGGTTCGATTACTAGGCGCTCGCCCATTCGACGAGAACAAAGATTTCACAAAGTACTTCGGTGGTAGTGGAGAGAAGAGCGCACCTCCGCCGTTCCCATCAGAGAGCACGGACTCTCCACCTGAGCAGCCCAACCCCGTATGAGACGACGTGAGACTGAACAAGGGGGAGAACATGTAGAATATCGGTTGATAAGTAAGGAAGCGCATGAGGATGAAGGCGCGGATGGGGACGGAAGAGGATGGGATTACTACTCACTTACTTGTACTGTACAGCATATTCACGGGCGTTCGTTGGGTCATTGAAAGAAGGAAGAGAAAACCAAATGCATTTTCGCATTCTTCGTCGAGCAGGCATCCGGGCAGGACAAAAAATTTCATCTCGAAAACCACACTTCACTCACCCTGTTCTCTTTTGTTTACGCCTTTTGGATGGTGGAGCGGAGTAGGCTGGAGAGTGAGTGAATTGTGCTGCCTACGAGGAGGAAAAGGCGGAATGTATGGGAGGGATCGGGTAGATAAGCCAGCTATTGTAGAGAATGGAATTGTATAGGTACGCAATTAGGATGAGACTACACTCTTCTGTGTCTAGCTGAACTATCTCTTCTTGGCTGAATATTTCTTTCATAATATTTTGTTTGGGGGAAAGGGGTGGAGAATAAGCGAGGCCCTAGAAGCGAGAACTCACATGAAAACAAAAACATTTTCCCCCAGGTATCATCAACATTAGCTCGACAAACTCCTCAAAGTCTGCAGATCCATTGTACAAGTAACACCCATCGGGCCATGCGCTCTCTCAAAATCAACAGGTTGTGGAAAGCTTGACACCCCGTTCTCAATAATCTCGAGATCTGTCAATCCCATCCGCACACGGTGTACGTCTCCTACTAATCGGATCACCAATGCTCTCCCTAGAACACGATATTTCTTAGTGGTACGTCGAAGTATTATCGCTACATTGGTGCCCAAGAATTGACATGTCAGATCTCCCTCTCGAGCATTCACTCGAGTCAGACCTAAGTGCCATGTATCGGTCACAAAGTATTGGACCGATTTAGCTTGGTGATGAGCGGCCAGAATTGAAGATTTGGTTTTTTTCATTCGAAGCAATTTGAGAAGCCTCGTAAGTACTTGTTCGATGTGATCGCTTTACAGACACTTTCGAGCACTGAAATGGCGTCAATAGGCGCTTCACGTCTTTCGACGTGATGCTGCTGACCAATCCATTGTGTAAATGAGCTCCGTGCAGGCGGTCTGGTACATATTTCTTGAAAAACGTGTCAGGGGACGCAAAGTACACGCTTCTCTCTTCCAATGCTGGGTATAGCTCTTTGATTGTCCCGTAATCATACCAGAAACCTCAAAAGAGGAGTCGAGGATGGCAAATTCCACCAATGGCTATTACGCAGACCAAGGTCTCTCTGCAAGATCCGACTGAGTCTGACGAGCTTTACATTTTGGAACTTGCCATGCTTAGCTTCTGCATTATAGAAATCCATCACACTACTGTAGATCTCGTGTGGCGTTTTCGAAGAGTCGGCTATGAGCTTTCCCCGACAATCTTCTGCAAGTCCTAACAGACCGAAGACTTTATCTTGTCTCCTCTGCGACTCTGAATCTTGGGATAACCCAAGGAGATGACTTAACGTAGGTGGCTCTAAATGAAGCGGGAGTGTCAAAGTACGCTATCTCCGGCCCAATTGGGCTGGCAGTGACAGTGAGATATCCTGCAGTAGTCTTTTCATTATCGAATCCATCGAGAGTGAAGATTTAGAAGAGACTTGCCGCTCTGCATGATCAATAGCACCAATGAAAGTGTCCCAAGATATTGAACATACCTCATCACCCTCCGAATAGCCCTGGTCATAGCAGCAGTAGATGGTTGATCTTCTTGCCAACGCCACTTCTTGGATGATCCGGATCCGCGTCCAATATTTCCTCGTGCAGAGGTACGAGATCCCAACGAGTTCGTCACATCTTAGTTTCTCTGACTCACGCAAGGCAGAGACAGCCCCCTCATTTTCTATATGAGAACGGTTTTCTCTCATGCGTGCGATAGCGTCGAAAGCCCTTATCTCAGCATCGTGGGCGTTGATTGCACGCAACGAGGCTTCGGGGCGACCCAGCCAGATCAACGCCTCATTCGCCTCCGCATAGATTCGATTCATTAATTGCAACTGGACTGCTCTTTTCCTTGGTACTCGTCTGATTGATACAAATAGCGTCTACCCATAGCACTCTCTCCTGCATCTCGTGTCTGAGACCGTCGAGTGCGATTGCGAGGTTAGAAGTGATAACCTTATACTGCCCATCGATGTTAATTGTTTGGTCGACTGATGAAGTACCCCATTGATAGGATAGGGCTTCGTAGTTGGGGTTCATCTTAGGAGACACAATACGTAGCTCGGCTTTATCATTACAATGGGCAGAGGGGTGCGCGCCGTACAGGGTGAGAAGACGGATCTCTTCTAATGCGGGATCGAGAGGGTGGTAGTGGAAATCCTGACTGGGGAAGGCCTGCTTGACCAGCGAATAGTTTCAAAAGGAAGACATCTTCTTGGCTGGTCTAGATATCGGAGTAGTCGTCCTCAAATTAGTGATATCGGTGAACCGTTGTGAGTTGGGAACCTCGCCGACAACTAACATGCAGCCGTCAAGAGCTGAAACCTTTGCAAGCCACATGCTAGCATGACCAATAGTATTTCAGCCATTTCGGATCGTCCCCTTTTTGTTCATTCTATATTTGTAGTGATTTTCATCTTCCTTTTGACCCAAGTAGGACCGAGTGTTGACACTCCGGCAGCTTTCAACCGAGGCTAACTGATAATACTTGCTGGCGGCGGCTCGCACAAAGCCAATTGAGGACATGTTACATTGAAGCGATGCAAGACCAGCATAGCAGCCGCGAATGAATAGCGATATACAAGAGTCGAGAACATCGGGAGGGGAGAAATATAGATGGGTGAGTTTGACCTGATGAGTCCTCGCTCTTGATCAGCGCGGACGACCCAGGTGGGATACGACCTTGCACTTGCTCCACTGAAATAACAGGACTGCCAAACACCCGTTTGGAAGCAAGGTAGTTTACCATAGAAGGCACTGACCCGAGTCAACTACCAAGTAACTGCCACAATACTTCTTCACACCTTTGCGACCGGTCCTCTCCCTTGTTGTCTTCCGGGTAGCACTTGCGACCAAGACCAGGACACTCAAAAGCAATTTTCCGCTCCAGCACAACACACAGATAACGAAGAAAACCTCTGCAGGAGAACCCCAAAAACGACTACTATCAGATCAAAATGCATATATTCTATATCCCAGCGCCCAAGCAAGCATCTTAGCAGGCGATGCCGTCCATGCCATCCAGCCTGCAGCCCTATGCCCATGAAACCCTAAGGTATAGCTCAACAAGAAGGGTGTTTGTGTGTCTCAATCATTAAAGGACAGTATCGTCTCATCTTCTCTTCTCATCTCTTTCTTTTCATTTCCTGTCACAATTCATGTATTGCGTTGAACTGTATCCAGGCGCCAATTCCATCCATATCGAAACTTTTTGTACAAATGATGATGATTCGTTTCGCGCCATCAGCTACAGTGATACAACATGCTGTGGTTCCCCGCAACGACTAAATTCTCAGAATGATATCTCGCAGGGAGAAGTCGATGTGGTAGGTGATTGGGAGGGATTAAGAGCTGTTCTTGGTGTACTTCGTCTTGCCGAATGAGAATGGTACGTAACGGTACTTGATCATATGCTGGATTTGTCTCCTCACTGTTGAGTTGTCAGCTTTCGTCCACTAATTGGATAAATTGCCCTTCGCAACAACGAGGCCCGATGTGGGGACATACTAGTCAAGGTGAATAGAATCAGCCAATAAATTACCAAGACCGGCCAGAATACAGGGATATCGAAGATCGAGAACCAAGTGCAGATGAAACCAATAGTGATAGCCCTTGTACTCGCATACCAGAACTTGAATTCAGGCAGGCGGCGGATGAAGGGTCTGAACTCCTCGTCCTGCTTAGTGGGGAGCCCGCCGGCTGAGCCGTCTTCCATGTCATTATCTATCGCTTCGTTGGAGGGGTCGAATTTGGGTTGTAAGAAGGCGAGGAAGAGGTTGAGAAGATAAATGCCCAGCGAGTATGCGACTGAGATTCATGTTAGCGGTTTGAAGAGGTTGCCATTGAGATGTTGATTGACATACCAATGTACCATCCTTGTGCGAGAAATATGCGGAGGAAGAAGAAGGACAGGAGACCTGCGGTTCCCAACCATCTGAATGGAGTGTAGGGAGTCGACTTGTCGAGCCAAGTTTGGTACTGCTAGAAGTCCTATCAGCCATTACCCACTTCCACAGCTTGCCTCGACCTCATCACATCCCACCTCTGACATCTAACCACTCTTCCCAAAATCACCGCATCATCAATTAACACCATCCAAACTTAAATAAAACTTACACGCTGCAACCTCGACGTCTGCGCGCTCACAGCCGCGAAAGGGGTCTGCTCGGGCTCCAGGGAATCCATCTTGCCGCGTATCGTCTCTAATTCCCTTTCTCTCGGAAAAAAGCTGCAGAACAATCGAATGGTATCGACTGCGTGTATTCGGAATTGGCAGATGTGTCCTGAGTGCTGATTGCGGAGGAGAAAGACAGTGGCGCAAAAGACAGCGTTGAAGGGGGATGGAAGGAAAGGGCTGCGGCTCCTTAAAGGCTGGCTGGCTGCGCTGCGTAATTTCTTAACACCTGTTCGCGTCGGTCTTTCTTGGTCGCTCGCTGGTCCAGATTTCCGTTGAGCTGCCGCGAATCATTGCAGGGGGGCTGCGGCCCGACTGTTTCTCCGCTACAAAGGTCAGGTGACTCAGCTTTGTTGGAACAATGGAATGGAACAAGCGGGATCGACCGAGGTTGTAAAGTACTCGTAAAGTACATGAACGACAGGGGTAGCTCGCTTTGAATCGGTGTATCGGATGTGGGCTTGCTTGCTTGGTGGGTTGCTGTTGATCCTAATGTCATCCAGTTTGGGCTTTACATTACAGCTTCCTTGTTCCACTTACTTGTTAAGCTGGTCTTGACTTCACATCGCTCAATTTGACTCCAAACATAACAAATTGTAAAGCAGTCCTATTCACGATGACCGCAATGAGAAGTTTGAGGCCAATTGCCTCTCAATTCCGAGCTGCGACGTCTGCCCTCCCCGCTATAGCTCGAGCATACTCAGCAGGGCCAGCGAAGTCCTACGAATTCATCGAGACGAGTGAACCTAGACCAGGAGTTGGGCAGAGTACGTTCAATCTCGATCTTACAATATAATATCATCTCCAAAACCGCAATCGAATGCTAACACTCCCCTCCTCAAACAGTAACCCTCAACCGTCCCAAAGCCCTCAACGCTCTCTCCACCCCCCTCATCACCGAACTCAACACCGCCCTCCTCGCCTTCGATGCCTCCTCCTCCATCTCCAGCATCATCCTAACCGGCTCTCAGAAAGCCTTCGCCGCTGGCGCCGACATCAAAGAGATGTCCACGCTCACCTTCTCCGAAGCATACACCAAGTCTTTCATAGAATCCTGGTCACTACTCACCACCACCATCAAGAAGCCCATCATCGCAGCCGTGTCCGGACACGCTCTAGGCGGGGGGTGTGAATTGGCTCTGATGTGCGATATCCTGTATTGTACCGAGAATGCAAATTTTGGACAGCCAGAGATCAAGTTGGGGACGATTCCTGGGGCGGGGGGAAGTCAGAGGTTGACGAGGGCGATTGGGAAGGCCAGGGCGATGGAGTTGATCCTGACGGGGAAGAATTTCACCGGGAAGGAGGCCGGGGAGTGGGGTGTTGCGGCGAGGACGTTTGCGAGTTGGGAGGAGCTGATGGAGGGGAGTTTGAAGACGGCGGAGACGATTGCGGGCTATAGTAAGGTGGCTGTAATGGCTGCGAAGGAGGTGGTAAATAAGAGTCAGGATTTGCCGTTAAGAGATGGGGTGGAGTATGAGAGGAGGGTATTTCATAGTTTGTTTGGAAGCGAGGATCAGAAGATTGGCATGAAGGCTTTTGCCGAGAAGAAGAAGCCCGAATGGAGTCACAAGTAGACTGGTCTTGAAATTGTAATGTGGTATGTCTTGAATGAATTGTTCGCTGAACTCCTAATGCTAAACCGATGCGCCTATTGTCACTCGCCTTGACAGTGCCCAAATAAACGCCCGTGTTACTCTGCTGGCATTCGTGCCCATTTAAGTCATAAATACAATCTAGATTTCTTCTTTCATAATCATGGCTTGCCCTTCCCATTCCTTACAGAACCCAAAGAAACTTCGTCTGACGCAGTGTGACTTTCCACCTGGAGTGTGGGATGGTTTGGATGAGGAAGTAGGGGATGGATCAACGCATATCAGCCCGAACCATTCTTTCGAAGTACATGAGTGGGTAGTCGTAGTCGGTGGTGTTGTCGACGTGGGCATTGGTGGGGGAGATGTGATGGTATGTGACTGGGTAGTCGTAATATCATCGCAACCCCAGAAGAGACCAGGTGTTTCACAATGTGTTGAGGTTGGGTTATTTGAAGCCGGTGATGTGGAAGTGGGATCATTACATCCAAACCAACCAGGTGTCTCGCACGTGGATGTAGATGTGGATGTTGTTGTTTTGGTTGGCGTAGGCGAGCTGACACTAGTGCTAGTGGTTGTTGTAGTCTTCTCATCGTTGCAACCAAACCATCCTGGAGTCTTACATGTCGATGTAGACGTAGTTGTGGTACTGGTGCTGGTAGTTGTTCCTGTTGTGGTCGTTGTCTCGTCCAAGCAGCCCCACCATCCAGGGGTTTGACATGTCGATGTCCGTGTCCTGGTTTTGGTCGAAGTTGAAGACGGTTCGGTCGAAGTCTTGCTACTATTGCCAGTAACTTCTTTCCACAGAGGGCAATCATAACACTCGGGTGTGAATTTACACTCCGGTGCCTTTGTCCATTTCTTGATCACGTTCTCAATAACATAGATGATCTTGTGGGTGATGATCGAAACCCTCGTGCCGTTGAGATTGACCACATCGAATACACACTCTCTTCCGGTATGGCATGCACTCTCCAGTGCATATCCTGCATAAGAACACGAAGCCGTTGCTCCATTGCAGGTGCCCATGTAAATTGGGTCAGCATTCTGGCCAAAATGGAAAGCTCCAGTGTATTCTCGCTGCCCCGGTCTGTCGGGGTCCACTCCAGGCGGAACTGGAAGGCCAAGTCGATTTGCTGGTAAAGCATCCGGGACTGCTTGGAAGGTCAACACAGGCTTACCATAAGTCAACCCGATCATAGCGCTAACAGAACCTCCAAGAGAGTGACCAGACATCCACACTTCAGAGTCCGGGTACATGGCCGTGACATTGTTGTACAAGCTTCGAGCAGCGGCGTAGTATCGATTCTCCTTCTTTAGACTCTTCTTCAAGCAAGTCAAATTGCAAGTATAAGTGCCTGTGGCACAGTCGCAAACCTGGCGGTAGAAAGTGCTTCCTTGTTGGCCACAGCAACAGCTGAAGAAGAGGTTATCGTTCTCCTTGTCGTTTGTAGTGGTCCCATCTCCATCCCAGATAGCCAAAGTTGTCCCTTTCAGCCCAATGACTATCGTCGAGTTGTCCTCATTTCCGTATAAATATCCTCGAAGACCGTCACTATCCCAGCCAAACCCCACATCGTTCGTCCGGTTGAATCCCCCATTAACATCTTTCCAGTCACCAGTGTCCGGTGCATCAACATATGCATTCGCTGCCATTTGGGCAAATGTCAATATCGTTTCCATATTGGTGACATCTGGACCCTGCACTTCATCCATCGTCCATGCTTCGGGCGACGAAGACCATACATCTGAATACTGTCTTGCTGCCGCCACCATAGGGTCTACAACTGAGGGACGCGCATCCTTTAATCGATGAATCTTGAGAGGGCTTGTCCGTACAACCAGCGGTCTGTTGACTTTCTCCACATTCCCCTCTTCTGACTCTATCCACAAGTGTTGCGCGGTCTTCGGTACATCATGTCGTCTGTGAACTGTGGGGCGGTTGAGGTCACCATGGTGGAAGACATGCCGTAATGTCTATAAATGTCAGCAAACTGGCAAATACACAGAGTATGGATAACGTACGAAGATATGCTCGTTATTCCGAGGCGTTGAGGCATCTGGTGGTGAGAGGTATGGAGGCAGTATGGGTATTGGTTGTTGTTGTTGTTGTTGTTGTTGTTGTTGACTCGCGGCATCGGAGGCACCAGTAATCGGCGACGATAAGGCAAGGAACGAAAGCAGCAGTCCGGCAGTGACTCTGCCCGCAGAAGTACATGTCGGAAGGGTTGTGTGCCGGTGAAGTCTCATAGTCAAGGAATATGGCTGTAAAGACAATAGGAAAGAGAAGAGAAGAACGTCGACGAGGAGCGATGATGTGATGGATGTGTTGGAATAGCCTCCGCATGCACACCCAGGCGATCATCAAAGAGGCGTCAGGCGTCAGGTGCATGGGGGGGGGGGGGGGGGGGGGGGTGGGCCAGGCGGGCAAGGCAAGGCTGCACGAGTCACTGACTGGGGCGAGCGGGCAAGTGACAGAGTGATGCTGAGAGGCTGCGGGGCCCTAAAGGCTGCGAAGCGGGATTCAGATCACTGTGCTCTCATTGTAAGACCGCTGGAGTGCTCACATGTACGCAGCATGAAGCCTGAGCGAATAGCACCAGATCCGCGTCATACCTCTGGGTTCAAGGCTCTAACGAAAACCTCCAAGCACTCAGCACCCAGCACTCCACTCCACTGCTGCACTGCAACTCGCTCTCATGTGCTCGGTATCAGCGGCACCCATTGCTGTAGAGCCACGATTCTGATCCCCCTCTCTGCTCGTGGATCACCCCGGATTCGAGAGATGTAATAGTCGTCGTTATATTTTCGGGTTTCTTCGTCTCCGCAAATCTGGGCCTTTCGTTGCCTCAGACTCGTTTATCCAGTGATCTTATCCCGGCTGTATCAGAGTTTCAGTCGTAGACAGTTCATGCGGCATCGTTGGCTGCGTAAGAAGGACTAACAGACAGGTAAATAGAAGCTTTTCCTCCTCTTTTCTCCTTTTCTTCCCAATAGATCCTCTTGTTCAAAATGCAAGCAATTACTGACAAGATGATGTTCACTCTCCCAGATTTTATGGCATCTCCGGAGCGTAAGAAGAGCGACCACCAACGTCCTCGCCCCCTACAGCTGTCCAAGTCCTTCATCAAACCTCCGCCGGCCAGCCCGGACCGTGGAGCACGAGTTCAGAGAGCCAGCACTATACAGAATGGGGTAGCATCAGAAAGGATGATGGCAGACAAGTCGAGTTCAGGAAGGGGAGATAGGCGTCAGCGGACGCAATCAGATCTTTTTGAGAAGGGAGGATCGGAGGAAGAGGGAGACAGTACGGGCAGTGAAACAACCGGGAAATTGCCAGATGACTTTGATAAACTTCCAATCGAGCTTGTCAGTCTGAGTGATAGGTTAGTGATCAAGATCTAGGTAGTTGGGCCTACTGACTTATTGCCAGCTTCATCGATTCGCTCTCTGCAAAAGTCCACCCCACCCCACCATCTGTCGACAAATTATCCGCCTTATTTCAAGACTTCTATGTAGTTGCCGCCAACCATATCAATACCCATATTTCCGCACTCTCCTCCCGCCAGCATCGGGAGAGCTCCCCAGCGCCTTCTGTAGCAACCAGGATAAGGGCGAAAGCTGCCTCGATTGGTAATAAAGATAAGCCCAAGGTTCCACTTGTCAGACAGGACTCAGAACAGCAGATGCTCACTGCTGAGGAAATTGCGGACAGGAAACGAGCTCGGAAAGTTTTGGAGCAGAAGCGGGTTGCCTTGGAGGAAGCTGTGGAGCGGAGAGTGACGGAAGGGATCTACAGTCGAATATGGAGGCATAGGAGTACCCAGGATGAAGCCCAGGACGAAAAGCTGCGTTCAAAGACTGCCGCTCTTTCAGTGGTTGGGATTGGCTTGACAGATCTTGGAATAGACCTGGACCAAGAGTCAAGCGAAAACCCTGATGCTACCGACGATAAAGAAAAGGAAGTTAAGGAGTGGCTTGAGGGTGCGAGAGAGGAACTTGTTGCCATGAATGATGAGAAGTATCCTCTCGGCAAGCTACACCATCTGAAGGCAGCTCACAAAGCTATTGTCGACACATTATCACACTTTCATCCCTCATCATCAGCGGATGAGATTATGCCAATGCTGATATACACCTTGATCACATCTCGACCAGAGGGGATTGATGTAATCAGCAACTTGTACTTCATACAACGGTTCCGGAACGAAAGCAAGATTGATGGAGAAGCTGCTTATTGCTTGACGAATCTCGAAGCCGCTATCACATTTCTTGAAACTGTAGACCTTGCAAGTCTCAGAGCAGATGAGAATCCTTCTGGACCTCCAAAGTCCAACAGTCGACCAACTACTCCAAGATTAGAGAAGGCAGACCCATTGCTCGCACTCACCCCGTCACCAAAACCGTCAAATCCTGAGGTCAACTCGGATAATGCAAGTCCAACAATCACAAAGTCTCATACATTCCCAGCAGGACTTCGTCCGACGCAGCAGATTCAAAATCGACGGCTGAGTGATATGTTCCAGCCACCAGCAGTCTTGGGTGCTGCCGGTGATGCGGTCATGAATACCGCCGATCAAGGTTTCAAGACGATAGGCAACAGTCTTGGGGATAGCTACAAGTTCCTAGTTGGGAAGCTTAAAGAGCGACAAGATGAAGCTAGTGGCAAGAAGACGGAGATCATTGTCCCAAAAACTCTTGATGACGCCCGGAAACTCGTCAGCACACCACCACTCGAGGACGAAGAATCAGCTAGTGGAGCGAGCTCGCTCCATAGCACTGAAGTGACGGGGAGGAATAGAGCTGATTCTGGAACTAGCTCAGTCAAGCTGGACGATAAAGTCTTGAGCATCATTGGTGGCCGGAAATATGCCCGGGATCGAAGTACAGACAGTGTACGAAGTGCCAGTACAACTGGCAGCAACAAGAAAGTTGCTTTTGCTGAAGAAGGAGCCGGCAAAGTTCCATCACCACTGCACAACTCTGCTCCAGCACCAGCGCCATCACCGGCACCAGCGAACCCAGCCATTGTAGAATCAATGAGGAATCTTGGAAATTCACTGAATCCTATGAACAGGATTGCTGGCATGGGAATGATGCGTGGTTTTGGGCGTACTACGCCAGTGGCTACCACGCCTACAACGCCAAATCCGGGGAAATCGATACCGGACGGAGGCATTGCAGACCTCACAACTGTAAGTATCCCTCTAGGAGACACTGTACCTTGCACTAACACAATCCAGGCATTCCCAGATCTGGCCCCGGTGCTCCCAGCAAAAGAGGTGCCCAAGATCGCACCACCGATCAAAAAGTTTATGGATCTACAGAATCCAGGCGAGTTGAGAATCAACGAAGTTTTAGAGCTCTTGCGAGACTATAGGAGGTTAGCAGGGGCGTTGAAGGATATGGGTGCTGTTTGATATACGATTGGGTCGTTCTTTACCGCGTTGGGATTTGGGTCAGGCGTGAGGGATAAGAGCATTATTTGTGGCGTTATGGAAGGGATGTGAGATACATATACGTGTATGTCCTTTGGCGTTAGATGGGATGTAGATGAGTGAGTGAGTAGAGCATACTTCCCGAGTTTGAAAACAACTTCATACAAAGAGTGAAGATACGTCGTCTTGGCTTGAACAATGAGTTGACAGTCAAATTCATCTAGTACTGACAATGGAAGTATCTTTCCACCCGCCATGCGGAATTCCTGCTCTCTAACTCCCTGAGGAATCCTCAATGTTTCAGCCTCAACACCCTGTCGGTCTTCTTACTGAAGCTCTCTACATCCAGCCTAACCTTCTTCCCAAGAACCCAACACCCCCAAACCAGGCCGTCACCCCTGTAAAGACAATCAACTCCCCATAACCACTCCCATACCCCAGTCCCACTCTCCCCTTCCAGCTCTCGCCCTTCAAAAGCGCCTCGCTCAACGGTCCCGCTGCCACAGCGCCAACTCCCCTCGCCGCACTAATAATCCCAATCAACAGCCCCATATCCACCGTTGGATCTTCACCCTTAACCAGCTTCATCACCCCCGCATTCGTGCTGACGAATCCACCAGCAAAGAATCCATAGACGATAGCGAAAACGATCAGGAGTGGTAAGGCTGTGGACAAGCCCCAGAAGAGGAAGACTGAGATGGTCGCCCCAACGGAGCAGAGAAGGATGATAGTCGTGACGTGGAAGCGATCACAGAGCATACCCATTATAACAGTAGCCCCGACGCCAGAAGCATTCAGCAGCGCAACCAACATCGTCCCAACTGCTCTCGAGTGTCCAAGCGAGCTAGCAAACGTGGGAAGGTACAAGCTAGGAATGAAACATCCCACCGACTCAATCACAAGCCCGACTTGCAACAGCCAGAACGAAGGTGATTTCAAGAACCCGAGGCCAACATAACGCTGCGAAGTTGGGTTCCTCGACACTGGAATCCGAGGTCTTAGGAAGCAGATGAGGGGTGATGAGAGGATGAGAAGCGCCGTGCCCCAAATCCGCAACGTGGTGCGGAATCCCCATCTCTGCAGCAAACTGTTCAGCACGAACGGGATGATGAGACCTCCCGCTCCTGTACCAGCCCACATGATCCCGAAGGCAAGACCTTTACGCTGCACGAACCACTCGTCGATATACAGCAGGGTGGGATAATAGATGATGCATCCGCCCAGGGCGTAGAGGACTCCTTGTGTTAGGATGAGGTGTGGCACGTTTTGGGCGAAGGAGGCGGCGAAAATACCGGCTGCCATGAGAGGGAGGCCGGCCCATTTCAAGGTGCTGGCTAGGTGGGAGAATTTTTTGTACGCGGGGAAGAGGACGAGGCCAGACACGTACATCAGTCCCTGGGTATTGTTAGCTTGTCTTTGAGAATCGTCATGTGCTTGTATTACTGTGGCAGTTGTTCCTATGACGGCAATGCCAGAAGAGTTCGATGAGAAGAGTTCATGGTGGCCGTAGAATTCTTGGAAGACACCAAAGGAGAACGGAAATCCTGATTAAGAAATTAGCTAGCGTAGAAGGCACATTATAAACAGTAAATCTCAAAATGTGAAGGAGGTGAACTAAGTATGCATACCCCACACAAGAGCTTCAATCACGAATCCAGCAGCCAAGAACAACCACGCATCTTTCCCGCTGTCAGCTCGTGGGAGAGAGAACTCCTGGTGAGCTATTGCTGCTTCTTCTGGTATTTCTCCCGAGTCGGGATCTAGGTACCCAGATAGGTCGTTCAGAGCGATTGCATTTTGAGCCTCCATCAATTGGGTTCGAAGGTAAGTACTTCAATTATGGGATTTGGGTGTTAGAAGTGGAGTTTCGAAGGGTGAGAAGAAACAAACAAACAAATAAAGGGATGATGTCTTTTATGGATGGCGGGGTGCTCTTACCCCTCACCCGCATGGTGGGGAGTGGGTTGATAGGCACTGCTTATGCGGCGAGTGAGTCAAAGAACCTTGGAAAGCGAATGAGAGATGGTACGGTACTGTGCTGCAAGCGCTTGCACTGGTACCGCTCAGGCTGTTGTTGACAGGGCGTGCTTTAGCGAGCTCAAAGGTGGGGTGCGTCAACCGTGATGATGGCATGGGTGGATTCTAACATCGATATTGGTAGAACAGTGAACCTCAGAGGTAGATTTCGACAAGAACGGAATTGTGTTTGCTGTTTATAACAAGAGCTGAGATGAGGTTAGACCTTGCCCCCCTCTTGGCACTAGTGAGGTAGGAAGATGGGTATGGGAATAGCTGCCCATTTTGAATGAAAATATTGAGACACTTCAACATGAATCTGATGATGAGCCAGGCCACGGCACGCAAGACTCTCAGAAGCGTCGATAAGTTCTGATGCTCATGTGAATAGCAACATCGAGAATTATGGTACACAACGAGGTCCTTCCTAATCAAATGCCTGCAGAGACTTTCATGGAGCAAATTTTGTGTTTCTTGATCCAAGATCTACCAGCAATGTTATCATTATTGATAGAAATAATTTAACTAAGTAGACTCCTTGATTTGGAAAATGACTCTGCTCATGGACGGGAAAATTAGTGCTGGGCGAAGACGTACTTGAAGGAGAAGGCTCGTCTCTGTCAGAAGAGCACAGAGCTCTTCCTAAATGCAAAGAATTTGTCTTTTTGTAGATCGTAGCAATATTGCTGGCTATGAATAGTTCTTAAATCACTGATTATCCTTTTATTACAATATGCTCAAGCAATAGAGATACTTCTTGAACAAATTTCTTTTGCTCATCTTCGTTTGTGTAAGCGAGCATCAGCATTTACATAGTAAATATAACGCCTCAAAAGTGCCGTTGACATCGTTGACCCATTCCTCTCATCTTGAAGCTCAGACAGATACATTCAATAATTATAAAGGTGAATAGGGATTCACTCTTCGAACAATTCTCTCTTCAGGCACACAAGTCCCCTCGAAAAATAAAGGTGGCAAGGTCAACAAACTCAGATCTTGACTCCATCCACAAACCATCTTCCTCGAATTCTCAACTACCATGGCCGAAGTCGACCACACCACCCAAGCAACCTTTGTTGCGCATGACCCCAGATCCAGGACTGTCTTCTGCTGTGCCAACCAGTGAGTTTCCAATGTTCTATCCTTAACTTTGCATTCACACTCCCTTGCTTTTGAGAGACTTGAAACTGTTGGCCTCACCTGAAACAGCTTCCTCTGTCAAAACTCACTTACGATTTATCTTGAGACGAAATGCTAATACAAAATCTCCATACACCTCCAATTGTAGCTCACCCAAATATTAGAGCTGAGAGTGTGAAGGACTGGATCAGCTCGTTCGTTGGCAAGGAAGTTCACAATTCTTCATAGCCTTGCAGATAATCCATATCGTGACACCTCCAAGCACAGAAAGATGTTCTCTTCCCACTTACAACATGTTCAATACTTTTGGGCGTCTTATAATTCAGTGTGGTGACCCACTCTGGCGGTTCCCCTTCACGCTTCTCTTGCAATGATCGCTAACCAATGAAACTCCCAGGTTAGCAACCGCCGAGACCCTGTTCCTCCTCAAGAACCATACCATGGAAAACCTCAAGGCGTCAATCTCACGTGCCAAGAATATCATTGAGGTTGAAAGTGGAGTTATTTTGGCAACGGAAACGGGTATTGGCGTTTTGACATGCTTCGGGAAATCGCAACGCACGAATTCGCTCCTCTCTACTACCCTTGCATTTGCGCCCCTTATTTCGTTTTTCAGGCGCAGAGGTCAAAACTCAAGTTCTACTCTAGACTGATTGAGGTGATTTAAGCTGTAATTTCTAAATTTGTGTGCTTCTGCTTACTTGTAAGGAAGATTGCAAGATAAATTCCTCGAAGATAAGATGCGATGAAAGGACACAGGATAGTGCATGCACCGAGTCGTTGAGTATCTGAAAATTCAGCATTAAACTAGGAATGAAGTAGTCTATTGCTTGTGTCCCCTCGCATAATTCACCATATCCATTACCCGCCCGCATCTAGTTAAGATTCCAGTCCCAGCTTACCAATCCCTTGAACTGCACAGAGTGCGAGCACAAATGGTTCCAGCTTAAGCCTCAACTTCGGCCTCGGCTTCACCCTCAACGCGCTTGTACGAGCCGTAGCTAGCATACTTTCCGTATCCTATGTATTCGATCAGCGCGTTAGTCGACTCAGAAGTGGTAAGTGACAGCAGTATTCAAGTAAGAACGATCTCATGACGAAAGGATGGTTTTAACTTACCCTTGGGAGTTGGAGCTGGGCTAGGAGCTGGGTAGTTATTGTACTTCCCGTAGTCTGTAGGATGGTGAGTGATATGGAGGATACTCTGGTTCAGTGTGACTTACTACCGTAGTCACCGTACTTGCCGTAGTCAGTACGCTTCTCGACAACCTCTGCCTCTGGCTCTGGAACTGGCTCTGGGGCAGCCTCGGCCTCAGCTTCTGGCTCACGCTTATAAGAGCCGTAGCTGGCACTGTAGACTATGGTCAGTATATGTACTGAGATTGGAGATTAGACAAGTATCGATGCTGAGACGGAACCGATGACTCCAGATGGGTATTTTGAGACTGGGCAAGACATACTATTTGCCATAGCCTAAAGAAATCGATGTCAGCACTCATCATACCCTTGATTCTGAACAGAGACACATACTCTGTGGAGTTGGAGTAGGGGCTGGGTAGTTGTTGTATTTCCCGTAGTCTGCAAACATGATTAGCCATTCTTGCTCTGCTCTTCCAAGAGCCACGGCCCTTGCAAGGATACTGACTGCCATAGTCTACCAGAACCAAGTTAGTCAACGATGAAGGATCTGGGTACAGGGATAACTTGCCGCCGTATTTGCCATAGTCAGTCCGCTTCTCAACGATCTCTGCCTCTGGTGCAGGCTCAGGAGCGGCCTCGGCCTCTGGCTCGCGCTTGTAGGAGCCATAGCTACCACTTCAAGTTTTCTCAAGTCAGCATTTCTTCCAAGGGATATCGAGGTTTCTACTAGTGACTCATGTGAGAACATACTATTTGCCGTAACCTAAAATTGGAAAAATTAGCTTTGTTAAATACCTAGTTGTTGAGAGGTTGTTGGACTTACTTGTTGGAGGAGGACTTGGCTTTGGGGGAGCGGGATAGTTGTTGTATTTTCCGTAGTCTTTCAAAACATGGTCAATATGTATTTTCGAGGCTTGCTCAAAGAAATCTTACTGCCATAGTCTAATTATCATTGTTAGAAAAGTCATACAGCTAGTGCGAGGAGAATGGTAACTTACCACCATACTTTCCGTAATCAACAGGAGCGGCCTCCGGAGCAGCCTCTGGAGCAGGAGCAGGAATGGCAGAGACAGATACTGCCGAAGCAGCTGCCAAAATAGCGAAGGTCGAGAGACGCATTGTAGAAGATTATGAGAGTTAGTATGAAGGTCAGAAGGTGACAGAGTAAGTGATGGAAGTGATGCGATTGAGAAAGGATGAGAAGGATGGAGTGCGAAATTCCTCCTCCAGAGGGGAGCAAGATATATAGAAGGACGTTTGACCTGTCAAGGTGGATAAGAAATGACGTTGAGATTCAGAAAGGGGAATAGGTCCAACGTTTCCTTGTCCGAGCTGCACATGCTCTCCATCTGCATATCCTCGCAAAGAAATACCTCAGTGAGACCAGAGTGACACCATCAAAGTGGACATCTCGTATGAATGAAAGTTCACCAACCATAATATGAGGCAGTGAATGCAAGTAGCCTTGAAAACATTGGGTGCTAAAGGCGCAAGTTGGGACAGAAATGACGGCAAACATGACTTGCATCTCAATTGCCGAAGTGGAAGGTTGAGTTTCTTGTAGCACCTAATGCAGCCTTTCGTATTTGCAATCAATAAGTGTATGCAGCTTGCTTTGTATCACAATCAGATGATGCTCACGAGAATCCGATTCGGGGTAGGAGATGCGGGAGCTAGTCGCGATGTCAACTCGGCAAGCAGGAAGCTCCTCGTATTGGAACGTAGCCTTGCATGAGAGAAGACGCCACTGGAATTGGTGACTGCGCATCACACCGCATTCTCGTACTGGATCATGGAGAAGTGTATTCTGTGCATAAACGAGGGGCATAGTATGAGCCAAAACTGCTGGACTATCTGCCATGAGGTCCGGCAGTACGGCGTATGCCGGACCAGACAAATTCAGCAGCTTCCAGGTAGCAGTAGTTGTAGTCGGTCGATTAAAACACGAGGCTATCTCAGACAGCGAGGGATATTAAGGAACGATTATGGCTGATGTCAAAAAGTGATGACATTGCGAAGGTTTCGGCAGTCTATTTTGAGAACCGTTGGTGGTGTAAGCGGGCGACGATGCCTTGGCAAGACCCCTGTGGAGGGGTAGCACTCTGGCACTACAGTAGATACGTGATGCGGGGTTATTGATTGAAAATAAGCCTTTCTCGTATTGTTCTTTACTGAGACCAAAATTGGCTTCTCCTCCTTTGCGAAGTCCACGATGACTGAGGCTGTTGCATGCAGCAATAGAGCCAGCCCACTCTCGTGTTGTGGTGGGCTGCTTGCTGAGACTTATGCAGCATGGCGCCTGCAGAGGGCCGACGCAGACACGAGTATCAGATGGGCTTTTGCGTCATGGAGAGGGGCGGGCAATAACCTTTAGTTGGATGTTGTAAATAGTGGACGCAAGGCTTTCCATTCGGCCCTTGAAAATATCTTTTGTGTGCTCTCCTTCTTGCAAGTATTGCGAACCATTGCAATATTTCCTCAACGCCCCCCAGCTGTCGCGGCAACTGGAGTTTGTCAAAAGCCTCTTCAGTTATTCAAGTAAAGCTCACGTTAAAATATCCTGACTATACAAGCAAGATGAATTATCACCAAGTTGAAGATAAAAGTGAGAGTGGTTCTCAGTCCGCAGATGATTGCGAAGGTCTACTGGCTCAAGATGCTGGGCCAGTATTCAAAAAGCAACCTCGAGGAGTTCCAATTTGGATCGCATTATGTGTCGTAGTTCTCTCTTCGATTGGTTCTTTGGGTCTTGGTGCTTGGATTGGAAGCCATTGGACAAATGGGTCCTGCTTGGAGCACGTCCAGAAGTATTGTAAGTTTCTCTGACCAAGCACGACCAGATCCAAGCTAATCTCTGAGAAGCTCCAATATTGAAGGAGGTGGATAATGACTACCACATGGTCCGCTTCAATGGCTCATTCATGAAAGAGAATGTCTTTCGACTACCTGGAGGACCTGATTCCGGAGTCGATGCAGCCTGGGAATCTCTGGGGGTGGACTGTAAGTAGTCTGAAGCTCCAACGTAACCATACGCTCATAAATAAAAAGACAGAGGAATAGCTGTTCCAGTCAGCGAAGCACCAAAATCGGGATTGAAGCCAGACCAAGTCCAAATCAACCCCAAGTATGGAGGTGGATTTCCTGCCAATGTCGAAGGTCTCCATCATCTTCACTGCCTCAACCTCGTACGCCAGTCTCTCTTTTACAACATCGACTACTACCGCTCCCAAGGCAAAGGTGCTTTCGTCAACAAAGACAATATTGTACAGTATCACGTTTCGCATTGTTTGGACATCATCCGACAGCAATTGATGTGCACGCCGGATACTGGATTGCTTGGCCAGATCTGGTGGGATCGTGAATACCCGAAGGCATTTGTCGACTTCAACACCGAGCACAAGTGCAAGAACTTTGAGGCTATTAGACAGTGGGCAGAGGAGAGGCAGATGCCTGAGGAAGTGCCGGAGGATTTTTTGAAGCCGCCCCAGGTTGGAGATACCATTTATGAAGCAATACCTTGAGTACCCAGAGGGCTGCGAAAGTGTCGAAGATTCACCTCGACTGTTGAGGAGTACGCCGACGCGAGCCTCGCTCTTCGAAACTGGAAGTCGTGGAGTGAGGTATGCATGCCATGGAAGGGAGGAAGTTTGTGCGGCTAAGCGCAGATGCTCTTTGTGGTTGGCAGACATGGGGACACCAGCCTGTAAGAATAATGCAGAGAAGAGCCTGTCGTAAGGAGGGCAGCTTTTGGGCTCCCTCAGCCCCCGAGGCTATCAGAGCTTGATGTAATCTACAGAAATACTGAAGTATTTACAGAAATTAAAATATCTCGGTCTCATCCCTGCCAGTCCCCTCTAGATCACCCACTAATCCTCTCTTTTCTGCATCAGAACTTTATAGCGAGTGGTCTCCACCATGGTCAACCTCAATCGCTGCCAAGCACGTGTGCAATGAGTAGAAAGGAATAGAGGACAAGGAACTTTCAACGTTCATGCCTCGTTACAAACCTCATAGTGACTTCGATTCAGTCCATTTGAACTTGGCATCCTCCTATCATGAAGCAAACATGGGCGAGATTCTGACAGATGGCTGGCGAGAAAGCCTGTGTTTCCTTGACTGTCGAGGCATAATTTGTGACACAGTCTTTTCCAGCTGAGGTAAATAGTTCGGCTGAAGATCATGCAACATCACGAAGATACTCTCAATCAACGCGGCCTGGACCCTTTCTTCATCACTCATATCTTCCTCTTGTCTCTCCATCTCTGCCACAGGCACCAGACGCGAGCCTCCTGCACCACTACGGTCAGGTTCCTGCTCTTCGATCGTAGAGAGATCTTGACGACTGCCTGCACAACTTGGCAATGACAGCGGACTTGAGACTTGCGGTTTATACGTCGTCCAAGAGTGTTTTGTCGATAGAGACGGGAACCGAGATCTCTTCCGCTGTGACATCTCAGGCGGTGTCGTTTGCGGGCGCCTGATCTGTTGGTTCTCGAATGGTCGCTGATGATCCGGATATATCTGTCGAGGAATCTCATTGAGTCCATCCAGTTCAGCCAGACCCTCGAGGATATAAGGAGACCAGGCTGGAGGAGGTGTATATGGCGGTGGAAGGGAATGGCGGTCTTGCAGACGGCTTTTGCTGAACCTTTTTGATCTTTTGTCGGGTCCGTCGCGTATGTACCCGCTGATGGGTATTGCGTAAAAATACGGATACCCGGGTAGGGAGGTGATCGGTGTATTGGACATGTTGAAGTTGGTCCGCAATGTTGTTGTTGCGATAATATTGTTGGTAGCAGTCCTTCGTAATGGCCCGCGTTAATGTAGCTGCAAGTACGTCGTGCAACCTTGAAATTTTCGACAGACTGCGCATTGATGTCCACACGCCTTTATGGACGACTGAAATCTGAATCTCTTTTCCTTTCCTCGACTGTTTCTCGGCCCTGGTACGGATCGCTTGCGGCGACCTTGCCGATGTTGAAAGCCACCGAAATCCTCCGATGAGGTACTACCACCAACCCCGAGATCCCCATCGATACATCAGTAGAATTCTGCTAGACACCAAACAATAAAACAGAACACTCATGATATGAGCCCCTGTGACTTTCGGCTGGTTTCTAGCGAGACGAGGAAAGGTATGAAGCGAGGGTTCATGATCTGAACTGGCGCATAGTAGTGACGTTGTACCTACAAACGTGTAGAATAGAGCAGAACCTGAGAAATCAGAGTAACGCTGTATCATTTTCTGATTGTATGATGAATTGATTTTTTAATCAATCCGAGTGTGGTTCTGAACCGCTTACCTGGTGCTTGCGAGTCCGGTTATGTCTCAGGCTGTCCTATCATTGAGAAAATCTCGGGACTGTGAGATAAGGTGGCAAGCACCATAGAAGAATCGTAACTCTTCATTTCATGTTGCGGCAGGGACCATAGATTTTCCTGCTGCTCATAACCAATTTCAATGGAGCGCTCAGTCTCGCAAGTCACATGACTTCCTTACTCCTGGGTCTCAATCTCTGTTGCGGATCGTATTCTATGGCGCAGTTGTGGAGCACAAAATGAACTCCACGGATAGTAGATCAGACAGACGCTCGGAGCTCTCTCTCCAAGTCTTGAACTGCACGCCAAAGGCTCATTTCTCACCCTTGATACCGGTCACGTGTGTCTTGTTCAAGCTGAAGCTTCCTAACTGCTCTTGAGACGCGACAATCCAGCGACGACTTGAACGAAGCATGCGAGACCTTGAAGTAAATTATTGATTTGGATGTTCGACAGCTGTGAATCGAAATAGCCTGCATCTCACGATCAGGCCCAAGCCAAGCTCCAAAGTTTGACTATGAATCGCGTTCATGCCATATCTGTCCTGATACGCTTATCAGTACTCGCTTTGATATGGAATTGAAGAACATTTCGAATTCTACAGCATCGACAGTCTCAGCCAGACTCAATCCAAACTTTGCTCGCAAAGAACTGTTGATCTGCACTGACAATGCAAGTCTGCAAGTCTTTCTCTGCCTTGAGTATAGTGTTGAGACTGTTCGATGTGTTTGAGACAAACTCATCCTTTATATCTGTTTCCCAATTCGACACTCTGGTGTTTCATTTGTATCTCGGGAGTGTTTTTCCCTGCAACTGGTCAGGTACCAGGTCCGTGAAATTTGGTTCAACTTGAGACGGTGTGCGGGTCGGTCATCTGCGAGCGCTTATGCCACGGTGCGAAATAACCATAAAGCATCTGATCTTTAGAGGTGTTTCATGCAAAGACTCTTGATTGATACAGAGATTGCCAAGACGAGACGTGGAGATGTTTGGGGATCCATACTGGGCCCCTTTCTCTCAGCGGTTTGATCTGTTTGGTCGTGTGGAGGGAATGCTGACTTTTGATCTCGCCTCGCCTTCAGGTGAATTGAATTCCGGCTTCGTTTGGGCTTCCTGCCCCTTTCGCAAATGGTAACTCGCCGCGCAGGAAGCTTGATCATGTTTTATGCCAGTAAATACGACCTTTGGACGATTCCAGGAGAGCGCATCAGTGCAGGCCCGTGTTTGAAATGCACCTGCAGGGGCGTTCCTATCGCAGCACGTGATTTCATGACTCGTCGCGCCTTCCTCCCAAAACGTAGGTATGCCTGCCATCTGAGAACGTCCCATCCGAACAAACCTTACGTTGATCACGCCTTGATCTCGCTTGTGGCTCTTAAAGAAGACAATACTGCGAATCCATCTTCTATACTTGTCGTCGACTCTTTGGCATCAGCTTGACCCACCATCCAGAAGTCCCTAGGGGGAGAGCCTGCAAGGTTCATCCACTGTCGGGTCAGCACCGTCTCCAAACTCTCGGAGCATGCTAAAAGTCAACAATAGGTGGATAGCCGTCCATAAGGCTATGCGAGCCCCATTCTCTTCTCATGCTTATATCAAGAGTTCAACGCGGCCGCCTGAATTGCGCGTTGCTGTAATACGAGCGAGTATCGAAGGTGTTCCAGCTATTGAGGCAAGATCAGCGAGATTACTGTACCAAGATTCCAGCCTTTGTATCAAGAGCAAGTCAGATAGGACAGGAATGCAACCGCGGAAACAAACCGTTTGGGAAACAATAGCCAGTTAACCTCACGTCAGAATGGATACCCGCGGGTCCAGATAGGTCTACATCCGATTGCGGCACGACTAACACATCATAGCAGTGATGGGCATGCAGTGGTTTTAAGCCAACGACCATGGAATTACTCAGCCTTGCTACCAATTCCTATCTCCGTGGTCAATTGTACGACAGCACAGTCAGCAATCGCATGGCCTTCCACTCATGGACCGCCGCTTAACTCCATCTTGAGCGAAGCGATATGATCGTCGAGTCACCGCCAACGCTGTCGGATTGCTGAGCAATACGATCCCCAAGGATCGCAAGGCAACCAATAGGATGGGCCTCCTCGAACTTAAGGTTAAAGCTTGTGTCAAAATCCGGTCGGATCTTACAAAACTCCACAATCACGTCTAAGGCTTGGCTCGGGCATGGAGTTTGCACCGGCCGTAAGAATCCGGTTCGCTTCACACCGATTACTCATGAGCAAGGCGCTAGAATATGGTTGGTCGCATCGTACTTCGTAAAGAATACGTTCTTGTCCTGGTTCGTCCATGGACTCGGACTTCGGATTCGAATGTTTGCCAGGCACCACGAATATGTACGGGAGCGACGACGACATCATCTACGAAATGGTCCCGCGACTGCGACAACAAATGATCATCACAGCGAGCGGCTCGCTGCGGATAGATTGAATTGCGTCTGTGACTCCTCACCTTGAGGCATTGCTGCATTGCTGCATAGGAATCTAGACTTGGGCACTCATTGATGTTTATTATCGCAATTGGAGATGGAATGGAAAATTGCGACAATATGGGTCCTGTTAGGATGGTCACAGCTTCCCATTGGACTCTACCCCAATTTGCACTATCCATTTTGAGCAACCTTCGAGAAGGTGTCTAGAAGGCCAGTTTCGATGCATTGAGCATCTCGCGCGTAGAACGCCGGATGGTCTACGGAGATTTGAGTGCAGTTTTCCATGGTTGAGATGCAGGTTGATGACCTCTACACTTTTGTGACGCCAAGCTAGAGGAAATTTAGAGTTAATCCTGGATTGACGAACGGTTACCCATAGCGGGCAGACGTATCAGCATTCGTCACACAGCGTGGAAGTCATGCAGAAGAGCGGACTCTCTGTTGTTCAATCAAAAGGTTCATGCGACCACTGATTTGAGAAATATCTGGGCTGCCTGGAGGTTGGTTCATACGTTGCAGATGCTTCCCGTTCCAGAAGTTGCTTACGTGCTGCGGATGGCTTGGTGAAAGCCACAGCCTATCCAACCCGATGCAACGATTCCTCCGTATCGGATTCGCATGTTGACCAACCAACAAGCCCAGGGCGCGTCAGGCATGCTAGATTAGGTTGGCAGGCTGCCAGATTATTTGATGGGCTATTCGTCAGGCCGGCGTCGCATTGTCGTGGACACTGCCTGCGAAATAGTATTCGTGCCGCAACGTATATCCAGATCTGGTCAGCAATATGTTCAGGACAGCGGATCCTCCGTATGTTTCGTGGAGGTGGAGGCTGTGTGGCTTACCGCTTCTAACGTGATGCGGAGGAATTCAACTCATCTTTACAGATTGGACAACACTACGTAGAGTAACGAGTTGGGACGAAAGGAAATTGCTCTAACCACAACTTCAATTTGCTCCATGCGTTCCACTGGACATCCTCAATCCCTATTCCTAATCATCGTGCGAAGCGAGGTCTCAAATCAAGAAAGAAAAGGTGACCTGGATCATCAATATCCGCTTTCAGTGATTATTATTGTTTCGGCAAGGACAATTGGGTCCTAGACAATCTGGAATGAATTGGAATGCTTTGTCACAAAGGAAGTCTAGCGACAGCAAATGAACTCGTCTCAAGGGTTTGTCAGCCCAGGCCAGGGCGTGGTCCTAAGCCTGTTAACTCCTAAGATCCAAACACCGTACAGTAGACACCAGCCGTCTCGGCGGAGCTGACCACAGGTGGAGTTGTCATGCACCGCATCCGCGTTTTAAGGCACAATTGGTTGCCTGAGGGCCAAAAGTACTCTGCAGCGTAGACGATTGCTCAGACGGGTAACATAGAGAGAGTCATTGACCATTGATGGCTCATCCAGGCTCACTGCAGTACAGTAGTGACCGAATAATGTGTGGCTTTCGCACTCGGAGTTTTGAGTCTAATTCTCCTGGCTTGATGATGGAAGGCTGATGAGCCGGATGCCATGCCATGCCATGCCATGCCTTGAAGGTGAGTGAGCGGTGGGCAATGGGAAACAGAAGTCCCCGAGCGGGCACTTTCAGTTACCCCCTTGGGTAAGGTTCGTAACTCGCGGTGAGTCTGAAGACCGACCTGCTTAGGAAAGCGAGAAGCGGGGGGACTACTGGAATGCGAAGTGTGCCGGTGCATGCGTGCGTGCGTGCGTGCGTGCGCGTGTGCGCCGTGCGCCCTGGATGACTCGTGGCAGGGATAAGCACAAGGGTGCTGGGGTGCCCCACCACCCCCTGCCCACTGTCCACGGCCTTACGAGAGAAACGGAGGTGTCGGCTTTTACATGAGCCCTGTTCGGGGTACGGTGTCTGTGGTGTTGTGCTGTGCGAGAATCATGAACGGATACATAATCAAACCCACCGACCCTCAAAGGATAACCTCCATTCCCATACACTCATCCACAACACTCAGACAACACTCACAACCGCTTCAACAACATCTCCAAACTCAATCAACAACTACCAGTAACAACAGTCAAACATCAAACAATACTTGAGTTGGCTTCTTACATCTTCGACGCCCTGCCCAACACTAACTCGGCCTGCCTTCCGTTCACCGGTCCTCGGCCTCGCCAAAAAAGTGCTGCCTTGAGTCATTCATCAAAGCACAAGAATTGCACAAACAAAATGTCGTCTCTTTCCAGATCACCACTTTCCTCCTCCGCAACATCATCTCCATTGAAGCGAAAGACAATGTCTGTTACTCAAACCTACTTTCTCGCTCACACTGCTCGCGGCAAGCTCTCATCTGAGGCTGCCCGAGCTGACCACAACCTCCGCCTCCTCGTAGGCCACGCCAACCTTCTCGACTCCCTGATGCTCGAGCTTGCTGAAGCTGAGCAAGAACAAGAGAGCTGGTTCAACCAGTCCGTCAAGAAGGCCACCAAGACTGAAGAGCCAAAGCACATCCAATGGGCCGACACAATTGTGGAGGATCCAGAAGAGGATTGGCAAGCAGAAGATGCCGACTCTTCTGATTCAGACAGCGAATACGATTCAGATGACGATATGGAGATGGACACTGGCTTCGCACAATTGCAACGAGTTCGCTCAAACAACACCATCTCACTGGTCGAGGAAGTAGAGGAGGAATACGAGGATGACGGAGAGGAGGACTTTGAGGGTCTGCAATTACATCTCACACCTTCCCGCTCACAACAACCTCCTGAGCTCGATCACGACTCCGACTCTTCAGAAGACGAGTCGATGCCACCATCCCCTCCAAACGACGCCCTCCCAACCTTTTCTGAGAAGCAAAAGATCGCAACCACATCCTTCTACTCTAAGCCAACCGGCTCGATACCACCGTCCGAACAGCAAGCTTTCTTCGATGAGGGCTTCTACCTCCCACAAAGGACACAACCGAGCTTAATATCCGCAATCAGCGTGTATTGAGTTTGAAAACATCGAGCATTGGTTTTACGGATGGGTCTGCAGCGATTTTTGAGCGAATTCTCAGCGAAGCATTGGGTCGGCGTTTCAGAAGCAACAAAACAATACCACTTTTCATTTTGGGTCATGGGTAACAGGGAAAGGGATTAGATGTACAGGATGATGAAAGGAATCAGAGACGGAGATAAATCGGTTCACACCACTCATCGGAGTTGAAGGGAGGGTCGATTTCTCTACTGTCGATTGGGAGGATGGATATTTCTTGCTCCCTCAATACAGAGGTCGAGCTACTAGCTAAACATTGAACAAATTCAAAAACATACCAAAAACATATTCACACTCTTTCTACTCTGATTTGTTTGTGATATTACTTGTGACTCAACTTTGTTCCTCCTTCACTCGGCCCTCGGGAATTTGTAAACAGTGGAAAACCCGCCGGCTTGTGACTGCCTGGCTGCATCCCGCCTTCAACTCCACAATTAAAATATCCACCACACTACCAGATGAAAAATAAATTTTCAATTCGCCATCCCTTGGAAAAACAGAAACGATCCGAACCCTTTCTCCACAGTTCAATTTTCTCTAGCCCTTGCTATGCCAATTCCAGAGTGAAGGAAAAAATTGTTCATTTGAAAACTTCACGATGATTCATGCTTCCTTGCGCTAATGCGGGACCCTGAATCTCCACTATGAGGCAGGAAGGCAGGTGTTTCCGTGCCCGACCAGCACACGTCCTTCGTCCACGCAGCGCAACACAACACAACGCAACACATCAGGCGAAGCTGGATTCGACACATCGGCTCACAGCACAACACGACACAAGGGTATGCATCTAGATCCTTTGTTTCTTTGAGGAAGCGGTCTGCAAGTCTGTTGAGAAGGGTGGAATAATCAACATTCAATACACTAAACACCCTTAATAGCCTCCCTACACAAACTCCTGAGCTTCCTTCCTCCTGTATCGGAAGTCCTCTCCCTTCTCCCTTGATACTCCCATCCTTTCATCCTTCCCAGTATCCTATCATCCTCTTCTCCATGGTAACCGCAACGGTACTCGGCTTCGGTGCCTTGTGTCCGTTCCATCCATTCATTCATCATTGCAAACGGTACTTTTCAACCGTATCTCTCTCCATTCCTACTCTTCCCACCCCTGCCCTGCCCCCCCCCCCCCCCCTCCCCCCCCCCCAAGTCCACTCTTCAACCCTTCACCGCCAACTTATGCCAAACAACCAATCAGCATGTCTCCTCGTACGAGCATCGAACGAGAGCCGTTGATCGGACGCCGAGGGTCTCTGTCTTCCCGCTCCTCGCGAACTCGCTTGCCGTACGTTTCCGATGCGCTGGATCACAGGGTGTGGACGTGTGGGCACTGGGTGGATGCGTGGATGATGTGATGTGTGCCAGGGCGTACCGGGCTAGGGGATCCATGATCTGCCGCCAGTAGTCAGCCCGCCAGCCCTTTTCCTTTACGAGTTTGCGAAGCGTCTTGCTGGATGTGGTAAGCGCGTCGTTTGAATATTTAAGATTGATCTGGTAGGGCGTGGCATGGGTGTCACGGTGCACTTTTGATGTTTGGGATGGGGATAATTCAGCTCTGCTTTGAGTGGTATCATTGGCATGTCCGCCATAGATCTAGATCTCTGTGTGATGATAAAGATGGATGAGTCTAAGGACATCAGATCATATTCTTGCTAATTTAACACTGTGCTGCTTTGTTATCTGGATTTGGCGGCTGGCCTTGGGACGTAAGAAGTAACTTTCTAGTGTGCGTCATGACAGGACAGATCGGGTTTGAGGACTAATCGAACGTTTGTTATGCTATGATGGGTTAGACAGCCATATCCTGAACAGGACGTTGAAGAGAAGCACGGACAACTCATCTCGATCGATCGCTTAACGTCAAAAATTACTCCTTTTCCTGTCATCACCATGCAAACACGGAGGGATTATTGAGGCGAAGCTCCAAGGCAGGCATTCACGTTAAAGCGTTGCGGCAGTCATCCGCGGCGCATTAAGGGCGGAAATGCCTTCTAAGATGAGATCGGTCAGCGCCGAAAATTGCTGGAGGCTTGAAACTTGAGGCTGGTGGCTGTGGTACTGAACTGAAGCCTAATTGTGGGGTGGAATTTGTTATTTGCTGATACCCGTGTTTACAGCTGAAGGTCTCAGGCTGATATCCAGCTCTTGTGCAGTGTTAACGTTGCCACGAGGCTTACTGGCATCACTTCAAGCTGCAAGTGTGTTCCGATTGTTTCTTGTCTGGGGGGGGGGGGGATACACAGACAGCGCACTGATTGATTATTTGCAAAAGACAGGAGTGTGAGTGAGTGCCGAGATAGAAGTGTGATGTGTGGTAGTTGTCTGATCTGATCATGACCAGATATTTAATTGGTGAGAGGGTATCGTGTAGGCTACGAGGGAGCACCGGAGGTGTGGCTCGTCCGGCATCCCAAATGCTCCCACGCTACCTGCTTATTATCACTCTTTTTGGATCGGCGAAGTGTAGTGAGAGGAAATGAATCATATCCGCTCATCATTTAGATCCCTCCATCCAGTGATACTGCGAAAGAGCAGGTTTCTGCCTACATCCGACAAAATATGGTTCAAGTGGAGTTCCGCCCGTAGAGCTGGCCAGCATCCTCTCAGCTTTCATATTTCCAACCGTCAGCCCTTGGACCACAAATCTCTCCTACTCCTCATTCTTCTCGGAACTATAAACAATCTATTTGAAATGAGTCTTGCTTTGTGATTCCGTATTGGTAATATTCTTGCTGACCTTGGAAGCGGAGTGGCTCTTCAGTAGTGCCAGAGAATCTCTGCTTACGTGGGTTGACTTTGCACAACTGTTCCCCCGCTCGGTAGCGACTTCCTCGATTCCAAACTGCTGGCTTACGCTTTTTCGCCTGTCGTAGACTGCACCTATCAAGAGTGAAGACCTTGGAGGGTTCAAAAGCTTGGCTCTATGGTTCCTTCGGGAAGTATATAAGGAAGTGCTGACTTCAGCAGAAATTGGGGTAGTGTTATGGTACGATGGCAGCGAAGGGATTGGCTGGAGACTACGAGTAGGGTACCTTTTCGTTGGATGAGAATAATTGAAATCACACCGAGCTGGATATCGGCTTCGGGTTACCGCTTGGAGGAGTGTCTACCTCGTCTGCTGCTGATGTTCATACCATGATTTGTATGGTGACTCGTTAATTTGTGAAAGTAATCATTCGTTGACCGCTTGGTAACCGAGGATGAAGAAGACATGTGAATGATGATGGTGATCTTCTAGTCATTCAACGTGATAGGATTCAGTCAGGTGCACCAGCGTTCGTGATTAGGTTCTGAGTTTGAAAACGAGATTGTGATGGGTGGGAGTTGTCTCGGTGTCTCATGAGGTTATATTGTGGGGGTCAAGAGATATTCCCGTGTGATCCGTTGTCCGTTAGAATAGACGGAATAGGATGTTCGAAATAGTTTAGGTGAGAGCACAATATGCGATCAGTCTATTTGAAATAGTGGAAAAGGACAAAGCTTCATGATGATTCTACTGATGATATTGTCCGGGGATGATAAACATGCACACGTGACCTCATTATTTTGATTGAACTCGCACCTTAGTCTCTTACCGAGTTATATCTTTCATATCAGGAGAAGGAAGCGATAATATGAAGCTTGAGGAGTGGATGTGATTTATATACTCTATAGTCCTGTATCCTGTATCCCGTATCCTCTAGCCTGTTCTTGGTATCCGGAGCCCATGCCGCTAAACACAATGAAACAACCCATCCTTTATCGATTATTTGCTGGCCATATCAATACTCGTCAACTTTCAAAAGATAGAGCCTATCCTTTCTAACTTTCTCACCCCAGTCGAACTCCATCTTCTCAATAACCTCCCCCAAATCTCTCTCCGCGTTAACGTACAGTCCACTCAGAATCTTCGCTCTTGGATCTGCACAGAGTGCTAGGAATGTCCCGCTGGCCAGTCCAGAAGAACACCACTCCATATCCTTCGCCATGTCCATAATTTTGTTTCGGAATGCCGGCTCCTGCCCAACATGCTCAGGCTGCGCTACGAAGGAGCTGCTTGGATCGTGCATGTGACTTGGAATCATACCTGGATGGACAGGAAAAGATGCAATACCCTTCTTTGATGTCTCGGCATGAAGGTGATGGTGGAACTTGAGAAGCGCAGCGGATGCTGTTCCGACTGCTGAGAAATAAGGGACTGAAACAACGCCACCAATCGAAGTGGTGCTGATAATGGTCCCTTTTCCACGTTCTATCATGGATGGAAGGACTGCGTGTATCAGTTCTAATGGTACGCGCAGTCCACCTTCCATTGATGGCCACCAATCTTGTGTGATATCGGCTTCTTGGTTGAATGGTCGCATGTATGAACCTGGTGTGATATTTATGAGAATATCAATTGGGCCGCGGTACTGCTCTACCAGCTTCACGATTTGGACTGGTGCATTTGGAGCGAGAAGGTCGGCGGTGAGAGCCAGTGTTGGAGTGTTGAACTTTTCCTTGATCTCATGTAGTAGAGGCTCAAGTGACTCAGCATTCGGACCAACGCAGCACACTGAAGCTCCTGCCTCTGTAAGGACAGTAAGTCAGCAAAGTCACCCTGGCTCGGTTGAAGATATGTCGCTTGTAGGTCTTAAGTTGGAATTGAGACTACCATGGCAAGGGAAAGTGACAACGATATCGGGAGAGATAAATGAGAAAGAGCGTACGTGCGAAAGCGACTGCAGTAGAACGACCAACTCCACGGTGCGCTTGTGTAATCAAAACCACTTTCTCTCTCAGCGTATTCTTGAAGCGATAGGGGTCAATAAATGAATATGTGTCACGACGTCTCGTGAGCGTTGCGTAGTTCTCGGCAGTGTCTTCGAGTGGTAATGTAGTTTCAATAGGAGGCATGGACCCTAGAAACTCCGAGCCAAACTTCAAGGCCATGATAATGAAGCAAAGAAAAAGAGAGGAGAAAGATTGACGGGTAGAATTTGGCAAGGCTGTGACCTTCGTATATGAGGCTGGATGCCTGGCATGGGAAAAAGTTTGCCTTGGCAAAAATGATGCAAGCTACTACGGAGGTACAGCGGTTAAAGTGTTATCCCTGGTCGTTTTAGTATCAAAACTTCTCCCTTGCAAAACAACCACAACAATAGGAAAAAGTTACAAAAAAGTATTCCGCTATATTCCCCTTGTTATCAGGAGTATTCTGAATTTTTTTTTATGAATTTATCTTCAGAATTGCTTCAATTCTGGGATATCAAAATCCGCATCCGGGGGACCCCCCTGTTGACAGGGGACAACACTTAACCGCTGTACCTCCGTAGACATCGAGGATCTTCTAGCGTCGGGGATTGGTCCGCCTCGTCGGCCGATACTAATAGCCGGCGACATACAGTAGAGTATCTCCACCCCAATCTGTACTCATATCTATGATCTCATATCAACGCTGGCACAAGGCTGATTTGATAGCCTCGCGTCAATACGGGGTTGGGTCGCCATATTTACTGTAGTTTATCGAGCCGAGTTGGTAATGGTACGTACCATATCCATCTTAGATCTCAATTTGAGCTTGAGGCAACTGACCAGCTTCCTGGAATTGCTCGTAGGGGCAATGGTATGATACGTAAGTCAGTGGCTTGAAGAGCGTTCTTTTCCAGGCGCTTCACTATGTGTAGATCGGGACATATTCCAGCTTCTTCTTGCATTGGTTACTTAACTGACACCGTGGCACACATATTTTTCTGGCTGATGGGAATGTCCGCGGGGTGCCATTCCCAGAATCGACAAAGCCCAGAACGATTTCCAGTACGGGCTTCATGTGGCTGGATCTTGCGAAGTTCGTGATTCTGATCTGATCCGGTATGTCTCGCACTAGACCAGGCAGCCGAGCATGGAGGCCGAAACCTAAAATATACAAACTTGAAGCCAGATTGATGACAGCATGGGAAGAGGCAGATGATCATTCATCGAGCAGGTGCCGGCCAGAACTCTTTTCGCGAGCCATATACCTCATGCCGTCTGTTCCGTTTCATCGCGTTCTTTCAGCATAAACATAATCTCTTTGCCGCTCTTGCTAATGCCGAGCGTTCAGTTTTCCCTGAAGCTATTAAAGGCTAGGATGTGGCTGGAGCTGGAGAGGGAGCTCACTCCGCACCTAGCGACTCCTTGGTCCTGCTCCGGAGGCCGACGGGTGCGGGAGGGCGGATGCACGAACGAACGGAGTTCGTGAATGAGTCCTTGTGACAGTTATTCGGAAGAATTCGTAGCATATCTCCAAGGCCAGCTGTTGACCTTGTGCTGTCCCTGGATCCGGGATCCTGGATGGCCCGGTGCCACGGTGGAGCGAATTGCAGTCGAATAAATTCGGAGAGAAACGGCCCGGACAATTTTGACCGCGAACCTCCGTGAATCCTCATCACATGACCCTAGCTAGAATGGTGCTTGTTCGTCCGCCGAAAGACGGAGGTTCCTCTTCTCGTATGACCTTGAATATTTTGTTTGTTTACTTGTATAGAGTTGATTTGAGGAAGGCTTGGATGGTATGGCTTGTTGTTTAGGAGAATATCCACTTCCCAGATCCCTGCTTGTTGATCATCTTCCAGAGGTACACGACCGGCATCCATTAGTCATTCCTTCCTGGCCTGACTTCCACTAACAAATGAAGACTTATTCTTCGTACATGCTGCCTTCATGAAATCTGATTTGCTAGAAAAGTACTTTATTATGGGTATCCAGTCAAGTTGCTTGCTCATTTACCCCTGCCATCTTCGAAATGTCCATAACTGAGTTCTCTTAGCCGTGGCGATCAACGAACAATCTCTATACTGTTTCTTTTCTTGCGAGCATCTCTTTCAGACTCACTTTCTCCCACTTGTAATATTAGATTCACTTCCTATAATCGCTGGGTTCTGGAACATTCCTAATCTCGATAGAGCCAATTTTTTCCCCAGCAAGTCGTCTTACAAAGTAGCGAGTTTAGTTTTGCAGAATCCCAAATTTTCTCCGGCTTCCAATACTACACTGGATTTCTGACCTAATTTTCTCCTCTCAAACACTCGAATCACCCCTCGGCCTACCTCCATCCAACTCTTCCTCACGAACCTGCCAAAGACAGGAAGCGCAATGAAAAGTCCACAGCAAGTCGCATCACCTGGTGGCAGTGTAATACCAGGGACACAGTCGAGGATCAGGTAGTCATGCAAGCACTTTACCATCTCCCCATAGCTAACAAAAATAATAAATCCTGATGAGGACGACCCCGTTGGAGTCGGCACCAGCGGATTAAGCTGGGCAGAACAGATACTACACTTGATCTAAGCCATATGGCAAAGGAAGCTGAGGAAAGAAGAAGGAGGCTTGAGGGAGAGGGGGTTTATATAGATCTGAAGAGAGTGTGGTGAGTCAGAGTGTTTGTTTTGTTTGCACTGTTTGCTTTGTTTGAAGGCGGCGTGAGTCAATGGGATCCAGCTGCTGCCTGGAGCTGGGGCCAAGGGCTGAAATCATGAATTGCCTTACGAAACGCAGCTATCAGAGGAGGCCTGACTCAGAATTCACGTTCTTTTTAGGGTCTTGGACTGGCGGCGTCAGCTGTAAAGGGTAGAGATGCATGTTGAAGTCACATTTGCTTTGTTTTGCCCCTTTTCTAAGCGAGAAGCGAGAGGGCGAGAGGGCGAGAGGGCGAAATCCCCGCGCTGCACTGCCGAAATAAATAGTAGCCAGTCAACTGAAGTGGTTAGACTGAAAATAAAAATCCGATTGCCCATGCCAATTGAACCTGCAACAATTCTTTTACTGGGCTACAAAGCAGAATCTCATAATTAAATCGTTGCTGCTTGGCAGCCATGTTCTCATCGACGTGCCAAGATCAACATTTGTGGATATTGTATGAACATAAATCAAATTATCTTACAAGCAACCTACCTATCTGCATGTAGGTAGGCCAATTTTTCTCCCACAGGGTACGGTACGTAGCTATACTCAGCCACACTACGCATTCCGGAAACCGAGCTTCTCAACCCCAATGCCAAGAGTCTTCGGCGCTGCTCAAGTCTTTTGCTCCAACAATATAGAATAAATACGAGGAACATCCGTCCACTAAGACAAAGAGACAACCTGTAAGAGAAGTCTCTTAACACTGAATCCCAAACGCTCATAAGCCCTCAACCCAGATAGCATTCCTACGATAAAATGAGACATTCTCAACTTCTTCGGTTCTTTCACTGCAGTATCTCCCAGCATTTCCAAAATATTTGTCGCAATAGAAGGAACAATGCCGGCTTGTGCTAAGATTTGCAAAAATAAGCATGAGTTGGATATGTCCGGGAGCTAGGCATAGAAGACGAAAATTGGGGGCAACCTGTGACCAGATTCCAAGAATAGAACACGAAGATAAAACACAACAAAGAGTCTATGAAATCTAGAAATTGGTCCTCTTTATGTTACGTCCAAGCCATGCCACATTGATAGTCCCCATATCTAAATAATACACAATGTGTCGTGTCCAGAAAGTGGAGATGTTCAAGCTTTCATCACCACCAGATCCAGGCCCGAGTCGACCATGAAGTGGTTCTCTATCTTTTCGTCGTCCTTTTGGCAAAAAATTGTTGAAGTCCACTGACCACTCAACTCCTCCTCTCCTCCTCCTTGACACTCCTCCATCCCATCCCAAAGGCACAAAAGAAAGCAAGCGCAGAACCTGCAGCGCACATATAGAACGTCGTCACCAACGCGTCACTGTACGCAACCAATCCCGCATGCAGATCCGCTTCTCCAACCAATTCCCTGAACCCCTCAGCGCCAACCCTCACAGCCATCTGTGCATTGAGATCAGGTGTGTATTTATGTAGAGCGGAGATGAGCCGAGAGACGAAGATGTTGTTTCCGATGCCAAGGAAGATTGCTCCACCGAAAAACTGGAAGAATACTGCTATTGAAGTCGCGATTGGGAGGTCGGCTTGGGGAATGAGTGACATGAGTCCTATTAGGGGCTGTGAGGGTCAGAGGTGTTCATGACCAAATTAATGGGGCAGAGTGGGAAATACCATTTGAATCACGCAGGAAGAGCCAATGCCTCCTAGGACTTGAATGCCGTTGATCATACCATTCCCAGTCTCGAGATCGAAAGTAGAGAAGATCCCTCCCGAAATAGCTAGGATACTGGTACCGAAAAAGAGCCACGGGTTGAAGTGGCCGTACATCGTTACTGTGTGATGTCAGCATTTAAATTCCAGCCTATAGGGCGGGCAATTGATACATACCTAGACCTCCCGGGATGATGCTGCCCAAAAGTCCTCCAAGCACAGAGAAAAGGAAGCGAATCCCACTCTCCAATGGCGTATCGTTCTTGATGACTTGAAACCACATGGGCAGATAATACGTAATAAGCTGAACGCTCCCCATTCCCATAAACACTACCACAGCTGCCGTATATACGCTTTGTTGGCACATGATGCGAGGTGGTATGCTTGCCTCGTCCTTGAGGTACCATTGCCAGGCAGCGAACAGACAAATGAGAACGCCAAAGCCAATGAAGAGTCCAATAATTGTGGCAGATTTCCACGGGTGTGTGGTGCCTCCCCATTGCACTGCTAACAACACCATGACCACGGCCGGGATGAATAGGGCGAGCCCGGGGAGATCGAGATGCTTGATTTTTTGAGAGAGCGATTGTTTTGTTGTAGAGCGTTCATTCGGCGAAAAGAAAAATACCAAGATGACGGCAGTGATTGCTCCCAATGGCAGATTTATGTAGAAACCTCCAATGTTAGAATGGTCAAAAGGTTGGAAGGATAGACGACTCACACCATCGCCATGTTGCATGCTGGGTGAAAGCACCACCGAGAATTGGTCCGACTACATTGGACACGCTGAACATAGAAGCAATACATCCAGTGTATACTTTACAACAAAATCAGCATTGCTCGCGAAGTCTAAGATAATTCTTAGTACTTACGAGGTCGCTGTCGCAATGGAACGGAATGTGAGAGAATGACCAAGGCACCAGAAAACAACCCAGCCGCACCAGCACCAGCAATAGCTCGACCAACAATCAACATGACAGAGTTGACAGCTGTGGCACATATCAAGCTTCCTATTTCGAAGATTGTGAGAAATGCAAGGTATGTCCATTTCAGTGAGAAGTATTGATAGATCTTTCCTGAGATAGGTTGAAGCGCGCATCTTTTATATCAGGATCAATACTGAGGACTGACGACTGTTGGGTTCATAACTTACACACAGACCAGGAAAGCTGACCCGTACCAACCCACATCCTCTAGTGAGTTGAACTTGGTAGTAATAGTCGGAATTGCTGTAGATAGAATGGAATTATCCTGCTCTTGGTCAGTAATCACCAATGCCGATGAGTGAGGTGATATGTGACGTACCAGACCTACTAGCAGCACAGCGAGGCATAAACCTAGCACCACCAGGCTCAGTTCGAGCCCTGTCAAGTACTCTGATTCATCTTCGACAGGATTTTCATTGCCATGCGCAGGTACATTCTTCTCCGAGTCCACTGAAGAATGGTCCTGGCTAGAGGAGTCGAGAGGCAAGTCTGTCAGAGACATTATCGAACAGCAGTGAGATTGAAAGCGACAATATACCGGACCCTTAGATGTTGAGGTTCATTGCAATATATATGGTGGGAAATGGCTCGGAAACATATGATCCCTATACCCGTTTGATTGGCCCGGTTCGGAATTTCAGGTTTACTTTGATTCCGGGCTTGGTCTGGAGCCCAGCGGCACAGGGAAGCAGATTGCGAAGGCAGCATACCACTAGAGACTACCGTACAGGAGAGCCTTCCCTTTAGAAGTTGGTTTTATACTGCAGGTCGTATATCTGGAGTCATACATTACGCCGGCTGACATTTTGAGGCATGGATTAAACTGGATAATTTTTCAGCGCTGTGCAGCCTGAAAGCAAATCAGGCCGATCTCCTCCAGTGCTAGAAGCCAAAGTGAAAACAAAAGGGCTTGCATCTTGAAGTCATAACAAAGTCTCGTCAAAAGATACTGCAGATGGATCCACAGAAGACGCCCATTCTGAGAGCAGCTCAGTCCATTGACTGTCCGAGTCCATCTCAGACATTGGTTCTGGAACAGTAAATTCGGCACATCTTCCAGTAATCGTACCAATAATATCGTTAAACAAAAATCTTGGAGGGCCCGAGGGTGACGGATCGGTAACCGTCTGTAGGTACCATGCCTTTGATGTTTGGAAAAGTGTATTCATGTGGTGTTTATAGCTGTTCGATAAAGGATCTTGGATACAGATGAGTCGAGCATACCTGTCACTGATAGAACGGAGATAATAGTCTAGGTTTGCTGACTGGCGTACTTGGTTTTGGTCGAGAGAAGGAGCATCGATGCTGCTCGCGAATGTGCCAAGTACCAAAACCGCGTAAACTAGCTGTAGCAGGTCCACGGTGACCATGCTCGATATCACGCTATCCGAGAGGGAGAGGAATGTGTCCAAATACAACTTGGAAGCTCGCAAACACCGCAAAAGACAGTCGTTTCTGGCGGGCGAGTGATACCATGACGAAAGGGCCAGATCTGATAGTACAGATGAATCTGATGGTGCAGATGCGTGAAAGCCGACTTCATTGACGTAGATGCGCAGATGGAGGAAGCTCATCTTGATTTGTGCTTGGAACTGTCAGTCTCGATCACTCTGACTAAAGGCGCAAACGAGCTTACAATTATCCCAGATATCTTTAGGAAAGGTCCCCTCGAGGTGATCAAGTTGCTGTTCAAATGCTCTACCAAGAATTTCGGTTCGAATGGAATCAAGTTGGGAGAGGTGTGGAGTGAAATCGTGATTAAAGGCTTGATTCGTTTCATCAGAGATCTGTCGTAAGCGAATAAAATAAGGAATAAGTTGATCAGAATCGGCAATAGCTGCATCAGAGAGATGCTGAACACAGCTTTTGATATGTTGGTTGTATTTCATGTGGCTGGGCCTCCTTAATCCTTGACATATGCTTACCAAACCTTGTCAGCGCAACTCGGTGCTCAATTCAGGCAAATCCTTACGATGAAGTGAGGAAGTAACATCCAAGATAGGCTCGCATCCCTTCAATCTCACCAGCTGAAAACATTGATTGGCTCATGAAAGGAAGGAGAGAGGAAGTACCCGAACACGTTTGTCCTTGGCGAGTGGGCTTGTCCATTCCGAGATCAACGGTCATAGAAATAGCTATTTGTGAAAGCTGGTACATCTGTTCCCGATCTGGATTGAAGTAAAAATGATACCAGGTGAGGTAAACTAGCACTCCTTGTAAGAGATCCAGGGTTTTCTCGCCGTTCACAAGAATCCGCCGGCTAAGATTCTCCCTCAACTCAAGTTCGATGTGCTGTTGGAGCTTGAAGTTGTGTTCCGTTGCGCAGCAAAGAATGGCGAGGAAAAGAAAAGGCCGTTGACGCCGTAGTGAGTCTAGCGTCATGTTCGGGGGAATAACGACGAAAGGAAAAACTCTCTGTCTTTGCCGGAACACCTCAAATGCATAGTCGGCTTGATCTAGACTGATGAAGCCTTTGGATATTGCATCCTGTAGGTTGTCGAAGATAGGATACACAAACATGGACTGCTGTTGAGGAATGCTCTGTTCGGACTGATTAGACAATGAAGACGGAGTAGCGTATGCCGAGTTGAGATCTATGAGGTTCGTATCAGGCCGTAGTATGGAAGACATCTCCGGAGCTGTTAGTAGCTGGGTTGCTGTTGCTAGTGTTTCTTTCGCAGGCTGATTGGTCGCATTGGCAGCCACGAGAGCGAGCAACCCCTCCAGCTTCTCTTCCATCTCAGCAACTCGCCTGCGAGCGTAAGCACTGAATACAAACCGGATAAAAGATGGTATACATTCTAGAATTCTTTGCTCTTTTTGGGCGGGGCTTAGCCTCAAGAAAGACGCATCGCTTGCCATCTTTGACACATCTTGATTCATAAGCAGGGGTCCAATATTGATCGAATACTGGATAGCTGGGAAGACATACCTTAGACATCGATGAGGATCATCCGGAGAGGAGATGCAGCGACCTTTCGAACTCCGACACGCTTCACAAGAGCGACGGAGCCTGACGCCAGATTTAGAAGTCACAGCTGCATCTGAGGACACAACGTGACCATTGAAGTCCATCATACCTAGGTATTTAGTGAGGAAGAACTCGGGAGCCTGGAATTACGGAGGGCAGGAATCTTCGGGGTAGCGAAAGGTGAAAAGATCGGAGTCTCGAGAGTGATGAAAATCACAAGTGTAATTTTAACGACAGATTCTTGAAAGGCATCCATCATTCGTGTCGGATTGTTTAGAGGGGGAATCTGGAGTCGGTGAAGTTGGACTCCTAAACTCCGGCCAACCAGCAGTGTGTACTGTACTGTATGCGGCACAGCGAAGCGAGGCCAATCGTGGAGATAGGTGGAAACAAAGAACAGGTCCATGTTAATGATTGTGTCGAGGAACTGCTCGATAAGACGCGAATGGACAACACTCGTTTGAAACTTTCTCGCGTGTCTTGGGGACATTGGGTCTGTCCTGCTTCGAATCCTACCACTGCGATCGGACATTCGGTAAGCAGATAGTACTCAAAATCATACCTAGGTAGGTAGCTTGGCAATGGATAGGATCCAGCGGCAGCAAGCTTATTAGGTACACCATACGCTTGATACGCATAGTGGTCCAAACTGTGATACGATCGGCCTCGGTATTATTCCTCTGTTCCACTTGAGCCCCAGGATCCTGACACCAAAGGGACGAAGCTGAACGGGAAACACTAGATCACGTGTCACCATGCATGTGTTTCCCATTGATGTCTTCCAGGTTCACAGACTCTGCGACCTCGTGACAGAGAAGGACTAGTCTGGTATTGATTTCTTGTGGGATATCAATACTCAAACTTTAAGTTGAGTAGAAAAAATATGGCTCTGTGAGGACACAGGGCAGTGTCAAACGAATCAAAGAAGTTGTCCGTTGTAACAAGACGATGTGAGGACTTTGGGACTTGAGATATGTCAATTTCAATACCCAAGCCAAGTAAGTCAGCCAAGAAGAATACGACTACTGTACTATAAGTATGTGCTAATACTTTCAGCTGATCAACTTTTTTCTCCAGGGGAGTTGTAGATATCAAGACAGTCACCCCATCCTGCCTCATCCACACAATTCTCGAACCAATCACCTTCACCTTTGCAAAATCTATACGGAGAGCTTGCTGTCTCGAGAGCCAAATCTCTTCGCTTCAATCCAGCCGGACGAAATGGCAGCTCCATTCCACCGAGTGCCTTGAGAAGGTCCCTCCTTGCTTCTTGAGCGGACGTCAATTCCAAACCTTGACAGCTATTCACCGCGATCAAGAGTAAAAGTTTGAGAGTATAATGAGCGTCATTGCCACCATTGTGAAGATTGGCGAATGGGACTTTGGTCTCTATCAGAATGTCTAAGAGAGATCTCGGATCGCCGTCTCCGTGGGCAAGATGCTGAGTATCGAAAATCGGTATGGTTGGATGGTCCGTGATTCGGAATTTACCTTTACGGGCTGTGGCAAAATTGTGTAAGTCGTCGACTATGGCATGTCCAACAAGGATAACGTTCCGTGGTTCCGTGACTGACATATCTGGGCTTCCGGTCTCCAAGACTTTTTTCATCAGCCAGCCTTTCCAGCGGGATTGGAGTTTGACTGATCTTCCAAACCTGAATGGCTTTTCATCTTCCGCATTTTTGCATTTCCATGTCCTGAAATTATGTGAGGATATGAGTGTCGAGAGCTGGGCAAATGGTGCAGCGGCATCGAGATTACGGGTGTCCAGGATGGAAATACCAATCTCGCGCATGGGATGGCCCTCGGTATCAACTGATACGAATACAGGCTCCGTCCAGGACTTGACCCAGTCCAAATGAGTTTCAACAGGTGCTATAGCAGACGTATCATCTGCTACCGAGAGTTTCAGGCATCGTCGAAGTGCTTCGAGTCCATTTTGTCGATTGTCACGAGCAACATGACGCCGAAAATAAACCCGGTCCGAGACGATGGATGGGAAGCCTTCGGATCTCATCTTATGCAGAAAGCTAGCGTCCAAGAAAAGGTGCTATGACCTGTTTGAAGACGTGGACGGCACAGGTGCTATCAGCGAAATGAGTCTTGAAGGGGCTGGGATTGCTAGAAGAATTCGCGAAGAGTAAGAAATGGAGAGGAAATAATGACAAGTCAAGAAGAACATTATCGGCCATGATACTGTGGCTTCATGTACTCGGGTGTCTGAAAATCGACTGGTTTTGCCATTTGAACTGGTCTAGTGTGTGACGTTCATACCAAAGTACTGTAGGTAGTGCGGGGATCCGAAGCCGGTTGCAATCGTCAGAAACCGAACTTCCGCTATTTACTTTCAAGCTCTTCACTGCAACCTGCCGGAACCAGACACAAATATTTGAATTTGACTCTCAAACGAAAGCAAAGACGACATGACTCGAAAAGTTGTGTATCAGAGCCAGTGCTCTGTGAAGGGAAGATTGATGTTGTGACAAAGCAGACGTGTCAAACAACTTTGTGTATTGCACAGAACCATCTCTTTCATCTCTCATACGTATCTGCGAAGCCTTGTTGAGAGGACATTGCCCCGCTGGTCAAGAGCTTCTATGTGAATCCTAAATCAACATTCTCCGTCCGCCATTGCGGATATCACGGGTCTGGACCCACGCAATGTACACCTCAGTGCTCCTTTCAAGAAAAATGCAAAAGACGTTTTTCTTCGCATGCAGCCAAAAGCATTCCCAGTTGATGTGCTGTGCTTTATCTGGAAGCGTATCTAGTCTGCTCTTGCTGAATGATCTTCTTTTATGTATAAGAGCAAGAAGTTGGCCTGCGCAGTCGAAGTCCACTTGGAACAATTATTCTTTACCCATATTACATAACTTTTTGTGCTTCAAAACAGTTTTATGGACTTAACTTGAAGGTACTTTACATGTCGAAATGAATAAAGCTGAGATTGGATAAAGTTCGTTGAAACACATCATATCGGCCTGAGATCTAGCGGAATACCTCGATTCATCGCCATCTATACCAGTTTCACCATTTTAATTTTTATGGCCATTGCAGATGATAGGAAACCAATTGGGATCTTGGACCGGTTATTGGGCATGTTATCTAGCAAAGTCTGCTCTCGCCCACGCCACCTTCCTTCCTTCCTTCTTTACTCAGCTCACTGAACCTGCTACTATGGCTGCGTTTTCAATCTAACTTAAGGCAGAAGCGGCATCGGAGAAGCTTGACTTTCAACCACGCCACCTACCTATCTATCTACTCCCTCTGTACACGCCGTCTGTAAGGTAGAGATACTTGTAGAGATGTAACTTACTGTGCAGACACAGTCTTGACTTGCGAGATGGATTTTCATGTTGCTGCAGGAAATTCGATTTTTTACCGATTCCCGGGGTAGAACTTAGAAGGTTGGAAGGAGAACAATATATTTTGGGTATCTCTTCTCTATCGTAGATTTCCTCTCTTCTATTACAGGAATTGCTTCTTACCCAAACACGAGCGCCATACCACCCAAAACTCCATCCATCTATAATACCAACGTCAGGCAGTAGCTGCTGTATGCGGTCTGTCAACGTCTTTCTTCTCCTCTCCCACCTCTCCATTCGCTCTTGCAATTTCCTCCAACTCCGCTCTCTCGTCCACCGTAAATTCGCTCTCCGCCTTCCTAATCTTCACAAAGCACACCAAGATAACCAACGCCGTCGCCGCACACGCAACCTCAAACCAGAACACCGCATGATAGCTCTCCCGCAATCCCAACCTGTCCACTGTATAACTATTCACAATATCCGCAAAGCCCAGACATACCGCTATGCCAAGATGCAACAAAATCATGATAACGGAGCCAGCGAGTCCTTGTTGTTTGCGGGGCAAGGACGTCGTGATGAAAATGTTTGCCACGTTGAAGGTTATATCTATCCCGACAGTGGCGCAGATCATGGCAGGAAATATGTACGCCCAGTAGTTTGCGCCTTGGGGAGCGATGGCGAAGAGGAGCGGCGCAATGATCCATGAAGTGCCGGAGATGATGATGAGTGTTGTTCCTGATAGCAGATGCATGATAAATCCGCCAAATGTGGCGATTATGCAGCCTCCTAAAGCCATGGGGACGTACCATGCTACGACTTGGAGGGGTGAGGCACCCATAATGTTCTCCATGTAAAAGGTTGCGTAAAGGAGGAAGACACCAAGGGAGCCGTAGGTGAAGAATAGGGCAATGACTAGGGCTGACATGCAAGGAACTTTGAAGAGGGAGGCAGGGAGGAGGGGTTCCTCTGCTACACACATCTCAACGTAGGCGCCAACTATGAGGATGAGGGACCCGATGATGAAGACTATGTAGATGTATGGAGTCTTCCATTGCTGTGGTGCATGCGAGGAGTCGATGATGGCGAAAGTGAAGAGAATAAGGCCGCAAACTATGAGTACTGCTCCGAGCCAGTCCATCCGGACTTTTACTGGAGCGTTGCGCTTCTCCGCGATGTCAGATGGAATCGTGATGTAGGATGTGACTGCTGTGATAGCTCCAAGAATTGTCCCGATCCAGAAGTACCATCCCCATGTTGCATATTCAGCTGTTACCCCAGCGAAGAAAATGCCAACAAAGAATCCTAGTGCGGCACAAGCTCCGTAGATGCTGAAGACGAGGTTCTTTCTTGGGCCTGGACGGTAGATACTACCGAGGATCATCACTGATGAGGGAAGATACGCAGCAGGTCCAAGGCCTTGCAGAGCTCGACAGACGTTCATCATGATATCGTTGGTCGAAAACCCAGCGATCAGTGACCAGAGGGTTAGCCACGCGAATCCGGAGACATAAACTGGAAAGCCTCCATACATATCGGCCAAGCGGCCGAAAATCAAGAGGAAGCTCGCAACCACCAGGGAAAAGGCACTTGCCGGCCATGTTGCCGAAGCAGAGGGAATATTCAAATCCTTGACCAAGGTCGGGAGGATAACAGTAAAGCCAGACACAAAGTACTCCTGCTTCAACTTAGAAGTGTACTGTATAAGTTGGAATAGACCATACCGTCAGAACCTGGGACATCGATATCGAGAAAACAAATCCAATCTCTGCCCATATCGAGTTAAACACCTCCGGTCTCTGTCGTCCTAAGCGCTCGAGCATGGCTTCAGTAGATTCTTCGATCGCTGGAGAATCTCCTCCCCGATATCGGTTTTCATTTTCCAGAGGTCTGAAACCCCTGGGAGTACTTGCATTCGCAACGTCTTCCCCATGCATTGAAGTGACGGGATTATTATTATCATGATTTGAAGTCAAAGTTTCGGCTGTTGTTAAATTTTGATAAGGTGACGAAGTGTTTGTGTTGTTTGCCATCTCGAATTTGTGGCCGTCAGAAGATGCAGTCACAGCTGTATTTTGACCGTCGCCAAGAGCCATTTCGAATTTCGGCTCAGTATCAGTAGATTTTATACCAATAACTCGAGTGCACTTCTTTGGACAGAAAAGACAGAAGATGTTATCCAGAGAGAATGGATGAGCAAGTCCCTCTTAATGTATAAAAATGAGGAAAATAAGACGAATGGATTTGAAACGACGGTGCCATATCATGCAGTGTCGATAAAAAGGCGTGGTGATGGATTTGTAAGAGCGGGCGTCACTCTGCTGGACGAGGGCGTCACAGCACATATACTTCTTGAAGTCGAATGGGATGGCGTCTCTGGAATGACGCCCGCTCTACCCCACCCCCCCAGTCTAACGGGCTCGACCCGGAGAAAAGTCTTGCTAGCGAGATCATTACTCAACGGAAACAGCTGTGGACAAGGGGATGGCAAAAGTGGAATTTCTGAGCTAGACAATAAAGAAATGAATCAACTTCGGCGACTGCGAAATAATCGCGGCTTCCATAGCTGTTGGTTGTTGAAGGTCAGCATATATTTTGGTCGTACTGCCGCGAGTGGCGAGCTTGGGGACCAGGCCTTGGCGACTATTGGATGGAGAGAGAGCAGCGGAAATGTGCATTCTGTCAGGCGCACTCTGCTTAACTTTGACGTTTTGACGTCTCGGGGTCTTGCGATGCAGGTGTGGTAGTAGTCAGATACTGGCACAGCATCTTTGTTGTTTGTGCCTGGATCACAACAGTGCAGCTCGGCCAGTCAGTCACCTGCAGAACAGGGTCCCGTCCGATTTGACTTCGCGTTTCACGGAGCATTCCAGTCTGACAAGGCCTTGATCGATAATATCCCGAACGTACCTATGTATCTCTGCAGGGCGATTGAAGCTTTGTAGTCATGTACGACGGGGCTCCATGACCAGTCCTGGAGATCGAGTCCTTTGGCCAGAGAGTCCGCGGGCAGGTTCTGAGCCGAATCGTCGGCTCATGGCAGGTCATGAACATATCTTGGCACTTTTGCAGCCCACTCCCGGAATCCGTGGATTCCGGCAGTCCCGACATGACCGCAGGACTTGAACAAGATTGATTACATCCGCAATGTCAACGTTTCCAACCGACTTCACCAGCTGGTGAGACTGGGATGCTTTTCTCGTCTGATACTTGAATCAACGGAAGTCGCAAGTCTTGTCGGGAGGCTTGCGACCAACAGTTTTACGTCTACCTATACATCAGCGATGTCAAGCGACTTCAGCATCCAAAGCGGATCGAATCGTCCTGTGAGGATGCAACAAGCTCAACGGCGAAGAAGTATTCGGGTTTACTTGGGAACGAACCTGTTATGAATAGAGTGGTTAAATAGGGTTTGTATATGCTGTTTGCGATATTGACTTTGACGATAGTTCAATGTCCCTTTCGCAACATGGGACATTGCGAAAGACACATAGGGACGAAGTAGGTGAGGCTAAGTTACTGAATACGAAAAGTCGATATAATATATGACGATTAAGTGCATACACTACCGATAGAATGAAGAAGTAAAAGAGTTTTGCAAAGGGGAGGCGGCCATGATAATCTTCTTAAAAGTCTGTACTTTGTCCTGGTGCATGAGCGCTATGTCAACTCCCACAACATATGTTAGGATACGCAGATGAGAGAGATTGCAGCTTGTCCGAGATAAGCAACCCGAAATTGATGCTTCTTGCATCTAATGCCCAATTCACGTGATGTAAACAAACAGCAATCAAACATTAGCGTGTGAGCTCGCGCCAAAGCGGCGGCACAGGCGGCTAGCTTAGCGAAAGCTTGGCCGAGAAGAATATATAATGGCCGCCTCCTCTTTGCAAAACTCTTTGCTTCCACCTAGGGCAGCATCTAGTGATAGTATCACGTGATACAAAAGAACCAGCAAGCAAACAATCGTGTACGAGCTCGCGCCAAAGCCGCGACTTGGTAAATTGTCACAGCTAGAAATACCTGAAAAACTTATAGCCTGTCCGGGAAAAAATTCACGATCACATCAAGTCATATTTAAAAGAGGTGGAAATACCAGCTGGGAAGTCTTCTTGATTCGAGGATCACAGCGGCGTATATATCTGAGATGCCACCACTTCTCTTCGATTTCCGATTCCAATCCGTTCTCGTTCTCCCTTGTCAACACCCTGATCTTGATCTCAGCATTGAGTCCAATCCTTTCCATCCATAAACTTCAACATCTTTCTATTCCACCACTTTCCCGCTCGTAAGCTCGTGCCATCGTATCTTCGTTTCCGTCGTTTTTGCATTACTCGTAAATCATTAATCATCAATCGGATTCGTTCAAGTCGTGGACCATTGTTCATTCAGTCGTAACATTCTGTTCATCATATCTCGTTTCTTATCATTCGCTTGGCCCCTTGACCAGACCTTCAGCTTTCTGCATATTCTTTGCATTTTTTTTTTTTTTTTTTGCGATTCAACACCTCGGGCAGACTTGGAATCTTGGCAGATTTCTACATTTTATCTTGTACTTTGATCCGGTACCGATGTCGTATCTATCCTGTTCTCTCGCGTCGGTAGAGACTTACTTGCCTGGCTATTCCTCCTCTTAGGGCGTGTTTCTCCCGATGTTCCTGGCGTGCACCTGGCCTTCTGTCGGTGAGGTGGTACCGTCCAGATTTCCCACTCGCCAGCGGAACTCATCTAACCAAGCATCTAGGAAAACGTCGTTCCGAGCATCATCATCCCAATGATGGTCGAGTCCGGCAGCCTTTGGCGCAGGAGGTAAACCTTGTGCAGCTAGTGCTTCATTGTTCTGTCTAGCTAGACGTCGATCAATCAAGCTTTTGAACTTATACTTAGCGTAGCATTTGCCTGAACTTGATCAGTCACTACTCTTCACAAAATGTATTCGGCTACGTCAACTTACCGTGGAATCCATGGAAGCCTGGTGTACGATGAGGGAAGTTCAAGGACCAACGGGCAACTCCATCAACTGTATGTGGTTCTACTGCAAGGGTGATGTAGACTCGATCAAGAATGTTGGTCCCGTTTTGTTGATCGGCTGCTCGGAACTTATCGAAAAGTCCGCTCAGTGGCATATAGTCACCCCACATATGAGCATCTACCGCAAAACTAGCGAAACCTCGGAGGAGGAAATTGATCTCAAGAGGGATATTTGGGTTGTTGGGCCGCAGTATATTGTCCAAGAGATCTATCAATGCCCTCAGTGACGGATGCGAGGCAATATTGCTAGCGTTGGCTGATGTGGGTATGGGAAGGCAGCCTTTGCGAGACATTACCAAGTAGAAGTTCCGGCGAACAGAGTTATATCCACCGGGACGTTGGGAATCTGGAAGATGGTGGGCCCATTGGGGTATATTACTACGTTGTAGCCATCTCTCGTGCTTCTGCGCAGTAGCAGGGGCCCCAAACAGAAGTCTCAGCAGTTTGCCGATGCCCCCACTCGAAATGCGGCCAACTGTTATGACGAGATAGTGCTTTCCTTCCGGTTCTGGCTCGGGCAGCCATCTCTTGGGGTCATCATGCGCCAAGCGGAAGTCTACTTCGTCCCATTCGTAGAAAGGTTTCGTCCATGGCGCGTCACCATCATCACCACCATCGTCTACGTCGTCATTCTCGCCCGAGCTATTCTCCGTGGCATCAACTCGCTGAGCCAGCCTTGCCACTGACAGTTTTGCTCCGTTGAAGGCTTGTGAAGCCTCGTGCTGTTGCTCCTCTGGTCTTCGACATCCAACGCATGAGGAAACACAATTCGTACAAGGATATCCTTTGCACGGCACATCTTGTCTTAGCTCACGGCATCTGTCGCAGTCACGTTTGCTGATCTTTCTATTGTAAGATGTTGAGACGAGCGGTTGTCGGAAATCACGTTGGCCATATGCTCGCAACTCGCTGTTTTCGATGTCATCGTCACGAACTTGACGACTAAGACCTAGATTACTGATCAAAGCTGCAGCTTGATCAGCCTCATCCTCATCTGGAATGAAACCAAACCCTTGCCAATGACCAATTTCAGCTTCGCTGCTAAGTTCCGCATTATCGTTGTAGAGCCAAATGACCTCCAGGTTGTCATCTCCAACAACAGCAGCGCTAGCAGGTACCTGGTGGACGGCTCCCTGATACTCAATCTCATGACCAGCAGTAACTATACCGATTGAAAATCGCCTGCCAATGTCTCCTCTGACGGCGAGAAGCTCTAGAACAGCAGCTAGTTGTTGGATACCAAGGTTGCTTGTCGCCATATAAGCGGCCATCTCGATATCGTACGTGTTATCGCCAGCGACAGCCCCTGTAGCTGCCAGTCGCTCCTTAACGTACCGAGAATATTCGATGGTGGGACTTCCTTCTTCATCGAATAACAATGCAAACATCTGCTCAGCAGTGATCTCTTCAGCGGGCATCTCATGACCCTCACGTGCGTTTATGCGAAGCCTCACTGTATGTAGAGCCTCCGAAAGTGCTCTTGGCCCACACAGTAGATCTTCACTTGACGTGTACGTTGGCAATGCTCCATAGTCAATGATGTCTTGCAGACGCTGTAAAGTGGTGGACGGTGCGACCAGATTGCCGTTCCATGTTCTGCTAAGGTTTCGGGAATCTGGAATCGTGCTGAGCAGAAGCCGCCGCTCTGTGGGAGCTATTAAACACCTTGCGAGATCTTCAACAAGCAATCGACAGATCAGCTGGGCAGACTTTTTGTCCAGCAAACCTGCACAAGATCCAGATCTTGAGGTGGTGAGCACTGGCGTATAGTTGGGGTTGACTTTGCGCATATCTGTGGATCTACGTTAGAGACATTGACAGATTGGTGGCTTGGCCAACTTACTCTCGTCTTGTTCCTCTAGGTAACGAATCAACGCATTGTTTGTTCTGCTCATATTTACTATATCGATTCGCGTCGTGTTGTCGAGTTTTGAGCGGCTTTGACACAAGAGAAACAGCACATCGGAGCTTAGAGATGTGTAAACGTCAGTCTTGGGCTTGTAGGCAGAAAATTCAGCAGGTCGTGCATGTCGACCTTTGAGAGGTGCTGAATCCAATGGCAACTCAGGCACGTACGAAGGGTCTCTGGCAAGTAAAACCTCATCTTGTTCTTCCAAAGTCTTGATTACGTTGAATAGACTGACACTCAGTGGTACTGCTGGACTCTGCGTTAAGTGTCGTCGTTTCGCCCACAGCGCACGCAGCGCTTGGCGCCCAACCTGAGCATATGTGCCCCGTCGACTGTTGAGCCGATCCCTTACAACATCAGCGCGTGGGCCCGGTAAAGACATGACTTGCGTAGGTAGGAGGACTGGCTCGTAAGTAGGGTCCTCAGCCCTCATTTCAACGTCCTGTCGCTCGAAGGCCTCAGTCAGTGCTTTGCGGCTTCGGATATTCCAAGGGAGCAGATAATTCGTTAGGTCCTTCCGGTGCGCCCTTAAAGCTTGCAACTCTCTTACTGAGAGTTTTCCATATACATCAGACTTCAAATGACCATCACGCTCGTGCTGTGGAAGCTTCAAGGCTTCTTCGTGGGAAAACGGAGGCGTGTAGCCTTCAATTACTTTGGCCAAGGCACGGTCTTGTTCAACGAGGCGATGAAGAAGTTCCTTACGCGACAGTGTTCCAAACATTCGGGGGAGATGGTGCTGTAGAAATCTTCTCGAGTTGTAAAGACTTGCTACCTCTTCGTCATCAAATCTTTGGTATGGAGAGATCCAGAAGTCTGCAGGTGCTATAGCGTGAAGTGCTAAGACTTCGCCAATCGACAACGGCGGTCGATACTGGGGCCATCGAGATAAAAGATGGGAATCTTGCTGGTACAACGTATCTTCTCTTGTAGCACGGCTCTGATTACCGAGTCTGGGTAATTCTGGATCAGAAAGCCGCGACCGTGCCCTGTAGAGTTTCACAAGATGTTCATCAGATATAGCACCGTATCTTATTGTCGCTGACTCTCGCAAAGATTCGAGACCTGTTGCAAAAATTTCACTAGGACCAGTTGTGTTCACTGAGTGTACCACTCGTGGGCCCATCAGTCCATCATACAGCTGGGGAATGTCGGATGGACGACGCTGTACTGTGCCGCCTATTACAGAGCTCGCAGGAGTAACAGTTCTCTTCTGCTCACTAGCCAGGAATCGCTGAGACTTCGATACCTTGCCCTTTTCTGACGAAGGTCGCCCTAGACGAGATTGCTTCTCTTTTGGGCCCTTAGCTTTCGATGGCTTCTCCTTCTTCTTGGTCTTAGACGCAAGCAGAGAATCTTTGAATCGCATGACTAACTCCTGTGTAGTCATTGGCTCGTAAGTACCCCATATCTCTCGAAGTTTGGCATCTTGCGCGTGCAAGCCCCGTCTCATTGCAGGGAAATCCAACTTCGCTTTCAAGTTTGGAGCATCTAAGTCTCCTCCAAACCCGGAGCTCCTGCTTGTATACAAAGCCCTAAATTTGGCCTTGTCGCTTTCCTGGAGTTGCAGATATATATCTTCCTCGCCTTCTGCCACTGCCAAAGGCTCTGTTGCAGCAGCTGAAGGAGCGGACGGCGAAGTTTGAGCCACAATTGTGAACGGGTCTGTGTTATCGCTGAAAATGTTAAAAGAGGTACTGGACTGAAGGCTATAAGAAGGCGGTTCTGCTGAGTCCGTTAGCAGATAATCCTAGTTTCAAATGACTCGAGAGCTGAGAACAACAAGCAGACGGATATCATTATCTCTTGGAGCCACAGTCGAGCACTTACCCAGCTGATTTAAGGAGTGCCGCTGACCAAAAGGACTCTTAGGAGGTCTCTTGGAGCCCGAGAGGCTCTCTAATCCTTTCCGTTTATCAGAAACAGGGAGTGCGATGGCTGGTATAGGTCTTGATGGCGTCGCTCTCGGAGAAGGTCTAAGTGACAGAGGTGAGTGGGTAAAACTGCTTGCCAGTCCTAAGCCCGTTGTTGTACTTCTCGAGGGAGTCTGAGGTCGAGTCTGATTCGGGGGAGAAGGTGTGCGAGGACATACCGTCGGAGGTATCATAGATTCTTGTTGTCGGCGTTCTATATATCTATTGGTTTCCTCCAGTGTCCTTAGGGGTGTGTAGGCTTCATCTTGCTCGAGAATATGTCTGTCTTGTCGACGGAACTCCTGTATGATCAGCCAGGAATATTCGGGCATAATCTCTGGCAGATAACCCAGAAGTCTCCGGGCTTTGTATAGACCTGACGGAATACCTCCCCGTGAGAAGTCATAGTCGGTGTTTATTCTGCATCCCGACTCGCGACAGCGTTGGACATCAAGAGTGTGGGTGCGACGCGTCGATTCCGCTAGACCCTCTGATGAACATTGTTAGTCTCCATGTTAGCTCTTTATATATGGATAGGGAAAGCTTACTCCTGATTTCTGTTGGTGACCGACCTCAGCTGTCGTGGCTTCAACGATATACGAGATTAGCTTAGACTGGGAGAATGTATCAAAATTAGAGTCACGTAAGTTTGTAAAGATCTTACAAGAGAGGAACCACCACAGTGGAAGCTGCAGGTGGAGAAGAATTGGCATGAAGCAGCTCACCTTGAAGAGGAAAGAAGAGAGAAGAGAATAGCAGAAGATGAAAATTGGGGCGAGCTCAATATCTTGTCGCGGACATGTTATTCGGAAAAATCCCACGTGGAGCGTTTCCGGCGCCATCTGCACGGGTAGGAAGGACTCACTACCCCGTTCTGAACGGAATAGGGCAACAGAGTTTACCTTGCTTGGATGCACAGCTGGCAATGGCTGCGTTCACACTTGGTAGAAATTTGTGCAGTGTATACAAGGGCTACAAATGAGCAGACTGGTAGTAAGGACGCGAGATGACCCATAATTATATAGGAGATTGGTCTGACTCGATGACTGGCCATTCTTTATAGGGAGCTCGGTATGGTTGAGTCGTCCTGGAACTTTGGCCTAGGACTCTGGAGATGACTTTCAGCGCCAGTTTCCGAAATGGCTAGGCAAACATCTGCCCTTACTTGGTCGTCTGCGATCAATCGTAGACCATTTTTAACCATATCAAGAACGAAACAACAAACTTTTTGGGGGCCTGATTACGGAGTATATGAAAAGTGAGGGTCACTCTCTTTTTCTATTACTTATGATTTATTCGCTCAAAGCAGGAGAGCCCGGACTTAATGAAATTAAGAATAGATCATAAAGAGAATTGCACTTTGTTTGCTTGACTTGAGGGAAGTGGGTATCGCAGGCGACAAAGATGACTAGATACCTAGCAACATGCGAGAAACCCATGAATAGACGACAGGATCGAACGGCATTATAGTTGCTCAACAAACGCCACAAGACCAAGAAATGGTCGATTAAATCGAATAATCCAACGCTAAAAGACTCAGGTGATTAAAACTGTCAAAGGAGTTCTCCGAATAATTCCATGGTGCTGTTGAAGAAAGTTGCGAGAGACATGCATAGAAATAGTCATGGAGAGGCCTATGGGGTTTTCAGCACACATAAAAGTCTGTGTAGAATGATTCTTCCACCATGAAGTCCTGATATATGGTATTCAACCGTCTCTAAAGCTGCAAGGCCAGTCGAAAAGGCGTTACCATCAGGTAGTGTTGGCTGCAAAGGCTCGCTCGAGCTGCAAGCCATCGTTAACAGATCTCCGAATTTGATAATAGGATAACAGTTTGTCTTGAGAGTGAGTAGCCAGTATCGAGGCTAGAGCTTAGAATGGCGGATTCAACAAGCTCTTTGGCGTTTAAGAGGGCGATCAGCATGGAAGAGGTAGATCATAGGTGCGGTTGACGAGATGTCGTTAGGGCTTTATTACTTTTAAGAGATTCATGCCGGAGATTGTGCCCGGCTCCAGAATCCGCCGACTTCGCCATCGCCCCGCCTGATCAAAGTCACTTTCCCTCCTCCTTAGAAATCTACTTACATCTCGAGCAGAGGCGATTATATAACATTTATATTTTCCAAGAATAAATTAGCGCCTTCAAGAAATTCTTGGCGACTTTGCTAATATTAATGGAATGTTCTTAACTGATCAAATTTCGCAGGGTTTGCAGCTCAAAAACCAGCTTGCTAGTCGCCCAAACGTAAGGCAGTCCCAAAATCAAATGTAAATATAAACTCGTTATCTTCTTCAAATACTATGATAAGGCAAACTTGATATTCTAAATTTCGGAATACTGTCGGGAAGTTTACTAAGAGATCACAGTGAGTAGAGCAGTTGGCTTTACTTATAGTTCAGCCACATGCGCCCACAACGGTGCCGGTCCTCTGTGACTTTGCTACCAGTGGCGTCCTGACCACAATTGTAACCGAGAAATTGTAAGAGTTCTCCCATCAGAGTCTATTGCTTGAGAACCCGAGCAGATTACAAGTGTAAAATCGTATGTCCATCACTTCCAGAATATAAACAGCCCTTCAAAAGTACTTTAGGATAAAGACATTCCCTCTAGACCGTCTGAGATAGGATTCTGAGCCTCTTGAGGTGCCACTAAAATCTAGCAGGATCATACACGCATTTGAACTTGAAGTGAATACAGCACAGCTGTCGACTTCCTCTCAAATTTGGAAACTAAGTCGGCATTTAAGGGGAAATTTTTCGGGTAACTGTCAAGCAGCGTCTAAGTAACCCTCAAACTTTGAGAGTAGTCAGCAGTTGCGGACAGGTTCAGCGGTATTTGTACACAGTGTTCAATTGACAGCTTTTCATTTAGCCTCCGGATGCATACTTCTGTGGTTAGTTTACATTGCATTCTGATCTACTTGATTTCGTACCATCTATCCCGTATTCTGATGCCTTCAAACCGAACAGATTCATGGATCTGTTGCACAATAGTAATCAGCACTGGGTCGCACCACCCAAGCATGGGGTTTAAGGGCAAGACTTGCTCGACGTTAGATAGGTTAGGGCTTCAGGTTCTTGAGGAGAGAAGGTGCAGACAGAAGGTGAAGCGCCAGGTTGGATGTCGTTTGCATCAGTTCAAGGCTGTCAGTAGAATGAAAAGCGCTTTGAAATATTGAACTTGACTGGTATCGCAATGCCCTCTTGAAAGTCCTGAAGACTGCTAGAGGCTATCGTTCTGATCTTCAATCTATCACGATATGTCAGTCGAAGTCTCATCTAGAAATTGAATACAAATGACAGCACAGCAGGAGACCTTGAGGAAGCCAGATTGTGATCAACCACGTGTGAAGTGGTTCAAACAGGACAAACTTTGGAACAGTGTTCTCAAAGAGAGGTTGGAGCGGCTGCGCGATACCACTTCTGTACTAGGCAGCAGCTTTTTTTGCTAGCGCTGATTATGTCAGCATGGAGCCTCGCCTGCCTCTATATAGAATTTCTTCCCACGCTCTTTCCGTTTCTTTTTCTTTTCCTATCTATCATCATTAGGGATATTTCTTAACAGTCATATCTTTATCGACTCTCCACTACGGTGGCTTGCTGAGGGTTATTCTGTGCTTTCGAGTACAAATGAGTTTTCCTCCGTTCCCGGGGTCGTGGATTAACGGTGAACGCTCTTTCCTACCAGCCGACTTCGCCGATTCTAACGGACGTTGACTGTGGGGTGGTCGCTACATATACAATGCAGTACACAATGTGCTGAGGATAGGGGAGAGGAATTGGCTCTGGACTCGATCTGCGAGAATGGTTGGGAGGATGTGCGCAAGGAGGTAGGCTGGGGATGAAAATTTCCTTCGCGGGACCAGGGCTGGGATGACGATCTGCCACCGAGGAATCCTGTTTCGAACTGCCATTCCCGTGAACTTCTGCAGTGACATGACTGGTGCCAATCTGTAATCTGTTCTGCAGAAGCTGAAGATCGTAGCAACTTTGGCTGTCCCAGCTTCAATTGTGCGCCAACTGCAGTCTGAAATCTGCGGTTGTACAAATTTTCCTGGGACTTCGACCCACAGAGAAAAATTCTGCTGTACAAACTGCTGGGTTCATGAATTTGGATAATCCCAAAAGTATGATCAAATCATATGGATATATAGCTCACAGTACCAATCAATATACAAAATCATACTGTTGCAAAGTCTTGATTCTCATCTAGCTATGCAATTACTTCCTTTCCATGCCAGTATCTCAGTGAAGAGTACAACATATGACCCATCTAGTAGACACGCTTGGGAGGAGACATAGAAGCCTTGATCGTCAAGCTGCCAACGTTTTGCCATCCCTTCTTCAACAGAGAGACAAGGTAGTTGATGGCCAACATGATGTTGGAGATCAATTGATCCTCAGTCATTCCAACGTTTCCGACAGCGACACCCATGCACAAGACCTTCTTCAACTGGAACTTGATGGTGGACTTGACTTCGTTGATCTTGGCGCTGAGATCCTCGTTGTGGGAGACTGGGGTTGGGAATTTACCAGCTGCAAAAAGAATCAGTAGATGTCGCAGAAGGAGAAAGTGCCAGGCATACCCTTGGAAAGACCGGGGCCCAAGAGACGTGGGATTTGCTTGATGAGGGTATCGGAAGCGACGAAGGCATCGTACTTGCGAGCAAGCTTCTTGATGAGCTTCTTGTTCTTGTTGAGCTTCTTCAAGTCATCAGCGGACATAGCGTCGACACCACCGTGCTTCGCACGATCAATATCATGCTGGTCACCGAGAATACTGTTCCACCGTCAGCTCTTGCTCTTCATGTTTAATCCTCCATATATGTATGTATCCGGGATCGACGTACCAGATGCTCATGCCTGGGCGGGGGACGACTGGGAGACGGATGGTTCCAGAGAAACGCTTGTCACGTTGGGGGTCATAGTTCTTGAGACCGATTTGGAGCTCGACGGTCTCGAGGAAGTTTCTCTTCTTGGTCTCCAGGGAGTACTCAAGGAGTTGTTGCACGTTGGTACGCACTCCGGCTGTGGCAAAATTGTTAGTGACGAGCGCAACGTGGATGGAGAAATTGTGCGAGCAGGTGCAGGGTATTGGATATTATCTTGACGTACCGACTGTGATTTTCGACATGATGACAGTCTTCCAGTAGAATTGTTAAGGTTCTAATGGTGAGGATTTGCGTTTGTCGTTGGAAATTTGAGAAGATCGTGGATTTTGGGAAAAGGCTTTGGTGCGGCGTGGGGTCCAAGCGATCACGTGCGCCCCCACCAAGCCCGGTCATGTTCTCAACCCCGTTCATGTTCATAACTACCCATCACTGCCAACGGGCAAGTGTATCAGCCTTCGGATTTGAGGGCGAGAAGATAACATTACCTCACTGGGTTATATGCGCTCTCCTATTTTAAATAGCCTCGTGAAAGGCGATGAACACAGGCATCTTTTCTGGACAAGTGTTTTGGCTTCATCAGACTTTGAACCATCCTCATCCATGCATCAATGCATCTATTTAATAATGAATGCGTTGGTCTTTGAGTTCAATGGATTTTAACTCTTGTAGCAATTTCTGTCTTTTTTAGTTTGGTTTTGCATCTTGACTTATTGATGTTCAGTCAGACATTTGCAACAACAAACTGTTGTCCCTTGAGGATGTGGCAAAGCAATCCATACAGATTGACACACTGGAGTTATCGGTAATATGTAGTAAGCATGAAGGAATCCAGTTCGATTTTGATTTGAATTTCTGGCCGTTGCTGTAACCATCGAGTCCTCACAATCTCTCGTCAGAAACAATCTCATCCCAAATCGCCCTGTGTCTAAGCACTTGCTCCCTTCCAGACCCCAGCCCAGACTCAGTATGGGCTCACAGTTGGACAGCCAGTCGTAAGAGTCTCCAACATAACCCTAGTAGCACATCCTACTTGACAAGTCGGGCAAGTTGGCGGTGCAGTAATCGTCACTGTTGGAGTACTTGGACACTTCTCATTTGCACAAGGGACCTCAATGAAGGACTTCGCCTGAATAATGCAGTTTGGATGTGGACCACAGACTGTGAGTTTTGGACAATGGACTACGATATACGATATGTTAGCGTGTAATAGGCTTGGGGGAACGATAGGGTGGTAACGGACCTATACCGGTGTATTGAACTGTCTCTGTGTAAGAGTAACAAATTGGCGTGCTGTAAGGATGGTATTCTGGTGCAGGAGTGATCTGTGCTGGAGATACTCGAGCATATTGGCTCTAGATGTTAGAAGGGGTTTGGTACGGATTTGAGGAAATTCACCTCAGAATTGCCAGCGTGAAGAGGCCATATTGGATAATTGACATTTCTAAGTTTTCTGACAGAGTCTTCTTGAAGTCGTGGCTTGAATGAATTTAATGTTGCTTTTTTGACTTCTGCTATGTTTTGTAAGGGCCCCAGGGAGAGATATTCCAAGGTCTTTATACATCCTGGCAAGATTAAGACCAGGCACGAGATGTCGGTACCAGCAGGATGAACGTTCATCCAAAATTACGGAAAGGAATATTCCAGTACTGTGGATGATCTAAACTTTCAGCTCAAACCTGACAGCTTGCACAAGCTTTCCTGGGCTGTTCAGACGTAGAATGCACTAAGATGCCAACTCGAATTATCGTTTCATCTTTTCAGATTCAATTAACCGTTTGCCAAGTACTGGTGGAATAAAACATGATTTCTATTGTTACGATTAGTACTTTGTCGTTTAAATTCCCAATATATTTTCCCGCTACACCCTGTACTCGCAAGCTCTCAAAAAGGCTGAAGTCTAGGATTAACGGCTGAAGGTTCCGACATCCATGATTAGACACATCGCTAACACAAGATGCATATCCTAGATCCCCAAGCCCGACAAGCATTCATTCAGCCGCTTCCAAAAAGCTTATGTTGAGCTTTGGTGCTACCTTGTAGAACCTGGACGCGTGGCGCTTTGTCAAACGACAGGTTTTGGCTTCGGCGGTCGACGTCAGCTCAGCAGTTTGAACTTCCTCATCTTGATGCTTGAACGCTGTTTGCATTTGGAACCATTGCTAAAACATGACTTTCGTTTCGCATGTGCAGAATCACGGCGAAGCTCTGGAGAATCCATACCGTGGACCCAGGCCCTTGTCTGGTCGACCAACTCGACATTGGTTTATTGCTGTTTACTCAGCCGGTTGTTGGAGAATATTGGTTGAGTTGTATGATATGGTAGGGAGGGAGACTTAGATCGACTTCCTTGGACCCCAAGCAGAGGTGAAGTCCAATCCTAAAGCAGCTCACGTGAACGATTGTGGTCCCATGAAAAGTGAACTCGCTTCGCTTGTATTGTTGTCCCGAAAGTCAACATCGACGTCATCGCGAAGATTTTCTTCCTTTGCTTCAATCAAGTGCATTGATACCAAACTCTCTTCACAAAACTTGGCTTTGCTCTTACAATAACACCCAGCGTTGACGCGCTTAACCAATCTGCATTGCAACACCGCCATTGCTTCATTGCCACGCGTTCGAGGTGATCGAGGATACGTTACTGCTCACCAACACTGCTATCATTTTAAAGGCGATAGGAAGGGAGTGTCCTCAAAGAACTAATTGCATCACTTTCGACTTCATCTTACTCAAATCAATACTTCACGATCAATTGGCCTGTCCACCTCGCCCTCCACTCCTTGCTCTTTCACATCGAGACAACCATACAAGCGCGCTCAATTACCTACCATCGCCACCATGTCAACCACACGTCGCAAAGGAGCTACACCCAAGAAGGCTCATAAAATTGAGGTCTCCTTCACAAATTGGGTGATGGGTGGCTCGTTGCTTTCGCTCAGTACCACGCCTAGCTTGGGAAGTCGTGTTGCCAGCAAGGGTAGCCACAAGAGTTTTGATGCCGACACGGTATGTATACTCACTGTGCTTTAAATCGAGCACTAGTAGCATTCATATTGAACACTTTCAGCTTTGGATTCTGCTGATACGCGACTAGGATGATGAAGAGCCTCCAGAACCTGTTCCAGCAAAAGTTACCAAGAAGAAGAGAGATGTTCCTCCATCAGAATTAAAGAAGCCCGGGGAGGTGGAGGTCGTCTGCACTGATTGTCAGCCCCAAGCCGAGGAATCTACCACCAAGTGCGCACTTGACTGTCCAGTTTGCAATGAGGAATGTGCCTGGGAGAAGCATATGCACGAGAAATACGGCGGAATGGAATGTAATACCTGCGGCAGAGGCGCAAACTGGCTGATGGATGAGTTTCATAAGGGTCGTGGGGAGTACGCTTGCGAGAAGTGTACGCCTGATTGTGCAGCTTGCGGTCGTGGTCCACTGTGGCTCTCCAAGAAGTGGGAGAAGACTCTGAAGCGCCGTGCTAGGAAGCTGCAAGGTGTGGAGAAAGAGAAGAAGGACAAGAGAGATGAAGATGGAAAAGAAGACAAGGAAGATGAAAGTACAAAGAAGAGAAATGGGGATGATGGAAAGATGACGAAGGATATGGGAAAGCAAAAGACAAACGGCAAGGAGAAAAGCAAGCAAAACGAGAAAGATGAGGGTGCAAATAAGGAGAAAGATGAAGCAGAAGACAAATCTGTTGAGAAGGAATCGGTGTCGACTTCGAAGAATAACGAAAGTGCAAAGAGAAATCAAGATGGAAAGAACAAAAATACTCACGACTGGACATCCGAAGAAGATACCAAGCTCAAGGACCTGAAGGCACAGAACAAATCGTGGAAGGACATTGCTTCGGAATTGGGAATTAATACAGGTCTCTGCAAAGCTCGATGCAAAATATTAGAGCACAGTAGAGATTCTGCACACGAGAAAAAAGCCAACTCTTTGAGCGGAAACAAGCAGAATACAAGTGGAGCCGAGGGAGATGGATTTCTTGGAGGGTTTGGTGACTGGAACAATGACGATTCGAACAATTCGGGCAATACAGACAATCAAGGTTGGGGAGCAGCCGACACTTCGAATACTAATGGAGAAAACTCTGGCAATGTAGATAATGGCTGGGGTACCAATAACAACAGCAACTCAAACAAAGATGGTAAGACCTCCAGCTGGGATAACAACAATTCAAGTGCGACAGCTGGTGCCTCTGGAGGAGAAAATATCAATTCTAGCTGGGAAAGCAACAACATTTCCACAGGAGATACTGGAAATCAAGGCTGGGCCGATGCTGCGAACTCTAGTTGGGACAACAGCAATAATAACACTACCGGGCATTCGGGAACTCAGGGTTGGGGCGATGTCGGAAATTCTGTATGGGGCAATGACGATGCGAACAAAACCTCGAATGACACCAGCGGGCAAAAGGAGAATCAACAGAACCAAAACAAGAACGATAACGCATGGAAGAAGCAAAAGAATAAGAACAGAGCCAGCAAGGAGGACAAGCAGAATGTTATCTTCGCCCCGATCACTGAGTCAAACCCAACAGGCTATATTCCTTACAAGTCTGCCAATACTGCAGCAGATGAGACTAACTCCTGGGATCCAAATGGCACTTATTCTTTCACGGACGCCACCACAGCTCAAGCATCTGGTGGTCTGAATACAAAAACTCCAGGAACTGGATGGGATGCGCCGAAGACAGACTGGATTACCATCGATCCCTCGAATGGAAACGCGGGTAACGAGCCAGCCAGAGATCCTTGGGCAGAACCTGAGTCTCAGAAGGTGCCCGATAACCGTACTACGTCTGTGTCTGGAAAGAACCCTTCAACCTCTGCTCCTGCAGGCGACGGTTGGATTCCAGTAACTGAGTCAAATCTTGATATGCCTACCAACAACAATGCTGGACCGAGCTGGAGTCAATTGCAAAACGATAGTGGCAGAGACTTCTGGAACACAGCTGGCAATGAAGGTCAAGAATCTGGAGATGGAGGGAATTCCTGGGGCCAGGGCAACAACAACTCGAATAACACGGAATCTTGGACTAAGCCGTATAATGGCAATCAACAGGGAGGAGGCTCTGGGTGCCAAGGCAATAAATCTAGCAACAACACTGGAAACACCTGGAACCACTGCAACAACACAAATCAAAATTTCGGTAATGGAGGATATTCATGGGGCCAAGGTAACCACTCGAACAATGGAAGAGACCCGTCAAACGGACCAAACGAAGGGAACAACTCAAACCCCTACAACTTCAACAATGGAAACAACGGACGAGGCTTCAACTCAAACAACAATTCAAATGGTTTCAAGCAAGATAGCCGCTCTCGAGGGAAGCTTCATCCCAACAGCGTTTGGACTCCCCAAGACTGCATGATTCTGGAGGTCTTGGAATTGAAGTACAGTGATCACAAGTGGAAGCAGATGCAAGCCGACTTCTACAATAGTACTGGTCGTATGATTCCATCGGAATTGATCGAGCAGAAGTTCAGAGCAGACGGTTATGTATAGTTTGGTGTAAGACTGTCCGGGAAATTGGAGGTGACTTTAGAAGGTGGTTTATGTTTGGCGTTCTTTGGGTCTCAATTTCCTTTTTGGCTTCTTATCAAGAGTTTCATCAAGTGGAGCAGGGCAATAGCTAGGAAAGCTCTTTGTGATGGTACTCCTCAGATGTGTGCTTCGCAGGCTGCTCCTCCCCATGATCCACCACATGGTCATGCCCGTGGTCTGCTCGTACAAAGGAGATCGTGACTTGCTCACTGACTTTCCCTCCATGTAAGCTTTCATCATATGTTGTAGAGAGTAAAAGCAGTCCAAAATAATGGACACAATGAAAATATGAATTCATTTGTCTCGCGTACGCAAGGTAGTAATGGTCACTAGCTCGACTTCCATAAGAAGACAGAACTCAGGCTCATTTCGTAAATCAGTAGAAACTCAATTCAGATGCAACTAATCTTACACCATGTTTGAGTGGACCTTAGTTGTTCTTAGACTCTGCCGTGAGGGATATAACATCATGCATCGCTAGAAAATAGCTAGCGATTAAATTTAGCTTTCTTTCCAAGTTCAGGAACCTAATTCCTGCCAGTATTTAGGCTGCTCAGGCCAATGAAAACAGCTACTGGAATCTTCAAGAAGCGTGGCATATTATTGACTATCTCAAATCAGATCTCCCAATGGCTTTGGCTTTGACACGAGTGAAACCTGGGTTATCTGAGTATTAGCACGTGATGTTTACCTCGCTTACTGAGCCCAGCCCAGCAACCAGCAAATCGATGGCTACAAAAAGAAGTGAGCCAGCTCCTATTTGTACCCATCTGAGGTATATTTCGAAATTATTTTCCGAGCATTCATTTATGAGCCAGATAAGGACTCTCGCTTGAAGCATCCAGCTTACCTCGTAAGTCTCCCAAAGCATGGCCGTGAGGCCCGTGCAAAACACCAAAGTCAACATGTGCAGCGGACCACAACTAGACGTTCAACAATTCAATTGAGAAATTGTCCCTGTAAACAATGTCGAAAAATAACTAGTCTAAAAGGATTCTACTCTCTTGAAGTTACATTCAGCACTGCGTTTTTTGCCCGTAAAGTAGCATCTCGCCTCAACCGGCGACTTTACCCTCGACCTGATATCCAGCTTATTGCTGGAGCCTTGTGGGAGCCCTTGCCACTCATCTTTCTTTCGCTTGCAGTGTAACATTCTCTCCCCCTTGATGAACATCATTCTTGGCTGCTCCCTGTGCGTGGCTCTTCCAACGTCGATCAGAGTCTTGAAGAGGAGCCTGGACATTTAACCTATCACCTGAGCGTACATTCACTGCACTGCCGTGTTATGAGACGACGCTAAGGAACATCAAGGTGAACAAAAAAAGCCACACTTTTCACTAGGTAGTACATCTGAGTACCGTAGGTCCCACTCTCTCCACCGCCATAATTCCTTAGCAGCGAAGTGCAAACAACAACTCTGGGTAAGATTCCTATGCCTACATGTGCCTGTCGCTTTGCCTCCTTTGAATCCGACTGTACCTACCCTACTTTGTCCATTCACCTTCCCGGCTTGTATATGTCACTGACGTTGAAATTTTTACTCTCTTCGCGATTCTCCTCTGGGTTCGTTTCTTCTCTCCAGGTGCTCGCCCAAAATCCAAGATGGCTACTCGGATCTCTACCCTAGAGCTGTTGAGTCTTGACTCGACAGCACTACAGAGAAAGCTCGATGCTGGTCGTCTTACCAGCGTAGAGTTGGTCCAAGCATGTCTTGCGCAAATCGACAAACATGACCAGCGAGGTGCGACTCTGAATGCCATGATTTCTCTCGTCCCCAACCACCTTGTATTGGAGCGCTCAGCCCAGCTTGACCTTGAGCGAGCCGCAGGCCGAGTCAGGAGCCCATTTCACGGGATACCCATATTGGTCAAGGTCTGTGGTCTCGCGTCATGTCCTTGTGGTTGGCTCTCACCGATCTCATGAAGGATGCAATCTCGACCGGCCCTTCTCTCGGTGTTGCAACGACTCTGGAAAGCCTGGTCCTGAAAGATTCGATTGCACCCAAACATGCCGCTATGATTACCAAGGTCAGTGCTTGAAACCTCGCCTTTCTTTGAAAACCTCTGACTTGAGGGATCAGCTTGAGGAAATGGGTGCCACCGTGTTGGGCAAGACAAATTTGAATGTAAGTCTTATTCACACTCAATGCCGAAAAGACAATTGATTCCAAGCAATAGGAGTTTTGTAATTTCAAGTACGTTGTTCTTGTCCCTGCTGCGTGTAATTTACTGATGTTGTTCACGTATCACAGAGGCGATGCAAACTCCAACGGGTGGTCAGCACTGGGGGGCCAAACGCAGTCTGCTTATCTCGCTCGCAAATCAAACGAAACCGGACTTGGACAGACTGTACGATTCGTTATTCCCAGGCCAAGTATGGTTAGCTAAACATTCTCGCAGGATCCATGCGGTTCCTCAAGTGGCTCTGCAGTGGGTGTATCAGCAGGTTATGCCCCAATATCTCTCGGCACAGAATATATTGGATCAATTGTCATGACAGGCGCAAGAGCTGGCCTCTATGCCTTCAAGCCCGCTCTCAATGCCGTCACCATGGACGGCGTTTTCAGAAGCTCGGTCGAGCTGGACGTCGTGGGCGGTCTGGCTAGGTCAACAGCGGATCTAGCCCTTCTCAGCCAGACAGCTCTGACAGAGGAGCAGAGGAATCTCTTGCCAGAGGAAGGCTATCTGAAATATCTAACCAAGACATTTGATTCGCTTCGGATAGGCTTTCTGGATCCTATCAGATGGTCTCTTCATCCAGATATTGTGCAATTAAATGAGATTACTCTCAAGCAAATGGCACGACTCTTTCCATTCCTATGTTTCACAGAAGCTGACACGTACAAAGAACAAGCTTTACTTCGATGCCATCGAACGAGTGAAGAGCAATGCAGCAGGAGCGCACATTGCTTTTCCGGTTGATATAACACCAGCTACGGACCTGTGGTATGAAGGCAAGAATCCGATTGAACTCGTCATGTGTAGGTACAATTTATATGCTGTTGATCCATGCTGACTTTGAATAGCATACGAGGGCAAAGAAGCAGTCGAAGACTGGCTTTCTGAAGTCAATTCTCCAGGGTTGAAAACAATTGAAGATCTAATTAAATTTAATTTGGACCACCACGAAAAGGAACTACCAGAGGGTACGTATCAAGCACTATGTACTTTTGCAGTGTGATTAATGGGCACCTTCACAGACCATCCTGATCAAAACCAGCTAGTGAAAGCCTCACGAGATCCTCCGACCCAAGCGACTTATGACGCCGTAAAAGGTCGAATGAAGAACATATCGAAAGACAATGGCATCGACAAGCTGTTTCGAGAACAGAACTTGAACATACTTGCCTTTCCAATGGACAGCCTTATGGTTTTCATCTCAGCAGCATCGGGTATGTTTCCAAAAGCATTGTTCTGTCATGCAATCTGATCTAAACATAAACCTTCAGGCTACCCAATCGCGAGCATGCCTGTCGGAATTATTCAAGCGGATGGAAGGCCATACGGACTGGGGATAATGGCTCAGGCTGGTAGAGAGGACTTGATTTTTCAGTTCATGAGTGCTTTCGAAGCCCACTTCCCACCACGTGCATTGCCATCTCGTGTCCAAGACGAAGGTGTTCTCGGACAATTGTGAGTCCTAGCTAATAGGTAGGGCTTTCTCTGCCTGTATGAAGTTTAAAAATGAGTATAGAGCATTAGAGCTGATATGTTAGCAATCGCAGATTTTAGATTGAGTTCGGAGTTCCCTGAAATACCATTGCCACCGTCTAGATGGTTGGCTGTCCACTGAACGTGAGACCAAGCGAAATATTAACTCACTTCCTCGGCTGCAAAATAATTACAGCGCTGTAGAGCTGAGGCAAAATATGACACCATAGTCCTGTCTGACACCGTAAATTCTAGCTGCTGTGTATACATCTCTTATTTTGCTGCTGTGGTTGGCTCATGCCCTCCAGAGGTCGACCAAGCGCAGCCTACATTATGCCTCATACTTGAAACATAAGCCGTACCACGCCATAATTCGTATGAAGGTATAGTGAGCGACTAATCTCAAACGAGGACCACATTTTCATGGCCAATGAAGAGTATGCTGGCGAATCGCCAGCCTCCATACCGCCATGGTCCTTCGAAGTATATTTCCTCAAGGTTAACAAACTTCTGGGTCTCTGCTGATAGTTGTAATGTCTTAAATGAGGAATTTGTTCGTATAGCGGTGGAGCTTGACCTCCCAAGACAAGACGGAATCTCAATGTGTTGCAAAAGAGTGCGACCCCACGAGAGGATGGCTCTGTACTCCTGTCAAAGATCTCGAGATGCCTGTCGACAGTCCGTCCAATGAGGTTTCGTGGAATTTGGTACTCGATAACATAGACGACTGGGGTGTCATTAAAGACTTCTGGCCAACAACTGGCCCCGGATCCGTGCTCATCACCAGCCGTGATCCACTGGCAAGATGGCACATTTACACTGACCAGCGAGGTTTAGATCTCGATCCATTCTCTGCATCAGAATCTGTCAAATTACTCAAGACCTACTCCCAAGCTTCCTTCAGGAGCTTGTAGCGTCCATGTCTGCTAAAGTTATTGCCAAATGGGCTGGTGGCCATCCCCCCATTATGACCGTAATAGCCAGTACAATGTCTACAGGGAGTCTTAATTGTAATAGCATGCTGGAGCTTTTTGAAACACAAGGCTTCGAGGCTGTCTGGGCGGATAATGAGCCACAGGTTCACCCAGTCTAAATGGTATCGATCGCCGCAATGGATGGCCTGGCCTCCTTATATAAGCACACTCCAAGTCTGATCCATGTGGTATCATACCTGAATTCAGAGCGCTTTCATCAAAAGATGCTCCTTGGCAGCTCAGATCAAGCAGATCGCCTGGATTTTCCAGGAAGTTGCGCAAAGATAACCATGCTCAAAATAGATTGCAACCAGTTTCTCTAATCACTGGAGATAAGCAAGTAAGATGACTCGTGAACATCGCATCTATCAGAATATTTTAAGCGATTCTCTGAGCCCAGAAATGCGTGTGAAGTCGCTGTTGATACCCCCTCATATCGGTTCAGATGCGTGGGTTCACCAGCCATTCAAACATCGCTTCAACACAGAGTGCTACGATGCTTGTTCCGCCGATTCCCCACGAGTTGACCGCATATTTCAGTATTATGAAGCAAAGCTCAAGCATTGACAACTTGATGCGTGAAAACAGGTAGCTCGTCTGTTCAATGACGCTGAATGGTACGTACCTCGATGGTCCTTTGAGCTGAACTTGGCACGAATTTCTGACTCGAAAATAGGCACTGGTCCGGGAGAGGACTCCCATTTAGCCAATTTCCAGACTCGCACAAAGCGTTTACGAAACATGCCAGCAAGTAAGACTTGGCGAGCAGGTAGCTGCAATGCTCAGCAAAAGTCACAACAACCAAGTCTCGGCCTCCAACCAAACAAACAGCCCGCAAGAACGTCTTCACCATTCATCATCTGTGCTACCAAATTAAAGAACTCCAAGATAACAAGCGTAAAGCAAACGTAGATTTGTTCGTCTTGTGTGTGCAAGGTGGCAATGATGCAGGAGGTTATGTAGACTTCTCTTGAGAAGTAGAAGTAGACAGGTGAGACAGGCAGGCTGGCAGGTTCGTTCCAAAGGTTTCGTCTCTCGCTTGGGTCAACTTAGTGGCACAGGCCCCCCTATTCTGGAGCCCCTATCCGAGCGAATGAGGGCACAGCGGCACATCGTTACAGTAGTGACTGGCCTAGAGTCTTCGCCTACCTGTCCATAAGAAATCGCCCGTTCCCGTGCTGTGGCCCTCGATATGCTCTAAAATTTCTGCCAACTCATCATCCAACAACTCCGACGCCTACATCCATCAAATATGCACCCATCCCCTTCCCGCTGTCCATTCCCACCGGGACTCATTCGCCTGCCCGGCAAACCGCCTCGATCTGTGGCAGCGGTGAGAACCTCAAGTCGTGAAACATTGGCAGGTGCCTGATCCCACGCAGCCGGATGAGGGCTTTGGTAACTGGCGGCCATTCTGCAAGCCGTCCAGAAGATTGAATATACCATATCAAGCTATGCGGTAGTAGTGACAGCAGTCAGGTACGTGAGCCGACCAAGTGGTCGCAGCTGCCACGAAGGATTATTGGTTTTGGGAGTGAGATTGGGTCGAACCGAGTCACGTTTGGGTGATACAAACGCAGTTCCATCTGTCACAAGTGGAAATTTCGCACCTAAGATGAACGAGCGCATTATGTTTGCACTGAGCGCGCTGGCGTTAATTTCCCTTCGTTTCGAACTTTCTCAGCCAGGCAAGCTGCCGTGTCTCGATCTATGTCCAATATTCCACTTGTTTCCAATCATCGTTCTTTGCATCCCTCTGCCACGGAAGCATCCGACCAGCAGGCAGCTTGCCTTGCAGGAATCATGCTGAGTTGCAAGAGTAGCCAGTGATTTCCTTCTTTGCGTCTTCTCTGCTGGGTGCTATCCTTTCCCAACCGAACGTGGAAGATAGTAATTGCTGGTTCATTTGTTACACCAGAGCCTCATTTGGGCTCAACAATCGAAGTCGGCGGCAAGGCGAACAAACATTACATTGTAGTCACTCAAAAACCGCCTTTGGACCGCCAGTGGATCCAGCTCAACCTCTCCCAGAGATCGACGCTGCACTATCATGAGTGATATCGGGCTTCGGAAACGTTGCCGTAGACGCAGAAATGGCTTTCCACATATCTATGCGACGTCGGGTGCCCATTAGGGTGGCAACCTCTTCAAGATGAGGCGAGATAGGGTTCTTATAAGAAAGGGATTGTCACGTCAAAGGAGGATGGTCATATCTCAAACTCTATCAGCGTAATACAAGATTCTCGCAACATTCTTCTTTCAAAGTATTCTCACTATACCACCATCGTGCTCCAATTTCCTCGATCCAAAGTATCTCAACAACGCACTCAGCCATCTAAGATTACCTTCACGTAACTGAGTCACATATACCACCTCATCAAAGTCAACAACCAACAACCTACAAGATGTGCTACTGGTACTCGCACCTATACAACTGCAAGCACGTCACTTACGCGCTGGGAAAATACTGCTCACAAGCGGGCCTTGTCCAAACACCTTGCAAGAAGAAGCACATCTGGCAGACGATCCGCATGGGAGAAGATTGTGAGGATTGTGCCATGCCGGAAGGGCGAGGCAATAATATCGTAGACAACGGAGGGCCAGTTGGAGGAGGTGGAGGGGTAGTTCAACACAAAATTGGAGTCAAGACAAAGAAGAAGGGGAGGAGATAGATTGATAATGGAAAAGGGATGGGAATGGGAGAAGTTTCACGCCGCATGGAGCATTGACGATTGGGAGCGATGGCGTACGGGTTAGGGATATGATTTAGAACAGGCATACTGGGATTGGTCTAGGCTCGGATCTTATAGATTGGATGGATACTGGAGTTCACTAGATGGCGTTCTTTGTTTTCCTGTCTACCTAGATTCGTCCCAGATGGTCACGTGAGCTACTGACTTGCAATTGAGGGTCAGTCTCTTGGATGTCTTCATACCGAGGGTCATAGATATGATGAAATCGTGTTCTATACATTTATAGGCAGTAATATTGGTACCATGATCCAAATTTCCTTCAATAATACATTCATCTTGCTGAGCTTCCAGGAGACTGAATTTAGTTTAGAGCGGGGCTCCAGTCTCCCATTCGTCTCGGCTCAGGATCTTCCCCACCCTAATACATCACCCACCGACCAGAACTCACCATATCCATCTGTATGCGACAGGTAAATCACAACTCAAGATACGTCTCGTGTGCATATTGGCTCAAAATCTCATGTCCAGCTCCGCAATCTTCACTGACTTTACTCTCGAACCCCTCGAACCTCGTTGGAGTACACCTTTGCGAATCGAGTCGTGAGTGGCCTCTAAACTTCTTTGTCAACAGGGACCGAACCCTGGAACCAATCTAGCAGTTTAAGGCAGCTGGAGTATCGTGAGTTAATGCTATGCCATTGATAGCCGCCGCCAACGATATTGCAGAACCAAAATCTATCCTGAATTGGTGCATACAAGATATGGATGTACAGACCATGAGCATGCTTTTGCCAAACATGGTCATGCGGAAGTCGCGAACATCCCCCAGACTTCCTGGAAAAGGATACTTGTCTGCATCCATGGGTGGCTTTTACGATCTCAATAGACACGAGATGTAAGCAAATCTCTTGCATGAAGTTGTTCTATTCTACAACGGGAAGTAGCGAAGTGCAGCTGAAGCGTTCGATTTTTGGCTACGATGACCCACGCGCACAACCTCAGCCCTATTTTGTTTTTATTTATTGACGAGCTATCAAATAGGACCACTCTCACCCCAAGCCACCACGGTGAGCAGTCAGCTTCACCATGTGCAAAGGAAGCTAGGGCAGCCGATGCTGACAAAAATTGGACATCATGGAGAAAATAGTACTGACTGACTGAACAGCTGAGCACCACTGTTCCGGCGACAATTGATACGACATACATCTCAGGCTGGTAGGCTCATTGGTTAACCGCCTCTGTCAAGTGTCAATTGCTTGCATAGGGATTGGGCGGATCGGAAGATTGAACGAAGGCTTGCAGCAATGGGAATTTAGTAACGAAAAAACCTGACATCAGAGAGACTACATTTATGACGCATACTGATCTTGTATAGATGGGCAAACATTTAAAAAGTTGACAGCTTAGACTTTGCCCTCTGTTCAGAGGTCTATTGTTTACCGGACGAAACCAGGTAATCGCACACTCGTCCAAGTATGAAGCTGTATTGGCAGTATTACTGATTCTGTGGCTTCTTTTTCATCCATTAGCTTTGCAACATTCCTGAAACTGCTTTCGCTTGCCATGTTTTACTTCGAGGCTTTCCTTCATCAACCGTCAGCTTCAGGGGCTCATTCACGCAATTCCGAATGTGTGGAGCTGATTTATGGTCGAATGCTTCATCCAAGGAAGTTGACAAGGAATGCTGCCACATTCCTCCTTTTGCTGACTTATGTGTTAAGTGCTCTCCCATGGTATTCCTGAGTCCTTCCAAGAAGCTTGTTTTGTATATATTGCTTATGCCATTGACTTTCTGTATCGATTCATTTCCCTATTTGTGCCGCAGCCACGGTCCTTTTGAACGTGGGGTGTATTTCCGCAATATTGGAGACTTCATCAGCCAAGCTATAGGATTGGGGTGACTGCGCACTCGCTGTCAAAGCACATTCTCCAGCTTGAAGCAATATATGACGGCAGGAGGTCTCCCTTGTTCACAACTGAGGAACCTTTGAGACAAATGAGACTCAATTTGATCTCTTGTACTTTGATCGAGAAAATCTTAATTAAGATGCAGGTCCCAAGCTTCCAGGAGTTGGGGTCAATTGTGGGGTGTCCCTTTTACATAACAACGCTTATGCCGGTGCTCGTGTGGCTTCCTTTTTGTGTAACTACCGGGTTGGCAGCGCTACCTTATATGCAAAGAATTAAGGCACAATTGTGCAAGGTGAGGGGAACAAAAATGGCTTCTCGACCTGATATTACATGCAGGAAGGAGGCGAACCAAAACACTGGCCCAATACAATCACGAGATGCACCGATTTACCCAGCGTCAAGCAGCGGGTCGGAACATCCTGAGCCAGATCCTTACCCCACTTCTCTGGATCGAGAGTGCTCGTCAAGTTGTTTTAGGCAAAGTCCCAAGTTAGACGACGGAAATCCAAAACAAGACGCGGTACTCCTTACCCCTTTTCTGGGAAAATTTAATGGCACATTGGGAAAGCATGGGTAAACTCGGCGGTTTGGGCGGTAGCGAGAGGCACAAGACCTCCAGAGGCGAGAAAGTCACCAATCACCCGAGGAACAAATCGTTCATGCCCTTGAGATTGCGATACAACCCTGCGGATTGGATCAGAGGCAAGGAAAGTAGTCCCGAACAGCAAGTCATATTCTCCCTTAAGACACGGGAAGAAAAGCAAACGTTTTTTATGAAAAGTTTTCACTCATGGATCTTGAATGACTGTGTTCTTGTACGACTATGGAAATCCGGGAAATACATCATGTTCCCTGCTCTCCACGAGGTTCCAGAATTACGGAGATCAAGCAGTTAATCTGAATTGCCGTTCGCCTCTGCAATCTGTTCCATATCCATCGACTGCTCTGGCTCCAAACGCTCTCCGTTAGATTGACTGACTAGTTGCCTTTTTCAAAGGATTTGGCTGGAGTCACATTGTGACTCGCCTATGCGTCTTGGTTCGTCATGGTTCAGCAGTTGAACACGGCGTGTTTGATCATTATAGTCGTAGTTGAGGTTGTCGGCTCCATATTTTGTCTGGGGAGGCTCGGTTCCAGAATGGTGGCATCGAGGAGATCCTGGCGGGGCTTGATGATGTGGAGTATGAGGACTTCGTTCAAGCTTCTTGAATACTTCTCTAACCTTGATAGGTGACATTTGTATGTTAGCAGCTTGGTTCCTGTCGCTGGGAGAAACCATAACGATGTACAAAGGTATGAACCGTTTTCTTTTTCATGCTGTCTTACTCCACCATGACTTGCTCGGAATTCTAACCCAGGCACTTAGTAACTGAGTACGGTCACTATGGCTACCATCGTGAAGACACATTCAAACTTAAGTACGACATGGTTCTCATCTGGAAATACCTCTACGCAAATGGCATCACCTACAATCCTATCCTCGGGCTCATTAAAGCCTCAATGATTCTACTTTACCTGCGGCTTGGAGGCACTAAAACAGGCGTCCGCACTGCTTGTTGTGTTCTTTTTATTTTCAACTTCCTCTTCATCACAGGTGCTCTCATGGCAGACATCTTCCAATGCTGGCCTATTACCTACACTTGGAATCGCTATGCTATGGATCGAGCTGCACAGATAGCTGCTGGTGCGACAGACCCAGGCGTGTACTATGGCTACCCGATACCGACAGGATTCAAAAATGGTAAATATGTCCATGGGGGAGAGTGTATTGACATGGGGAACTTTCTCCTCATCACCGCTGGCATCAGCATTCTCACCGACTTGCTGATCTTGTTGATTCCGGTGTATATGGTCTACGATATGCAACTGACACCAAAGAAAAAGTCCGTGGTTCTATTGGTACTATGTATGGGGGTGGCGTAAGCTGTTACTTCTTCCCCACTTGAACACATGCTAACATCATCCCAAGAGTCACGGCAGTAGGCATCACTCGCCTATGGATACTCTTCCGCAATTATCACCCAAGGAAAGGCCAAGACTGGAGTTACAGCGTCAAGTCAACAATAGCTAATATCGAAACTGGATTGGCGCTAGTCACAGGATGTATTCCCGACCTCTTCCCCCTCCTCCGTCTGTTTTTCCCCAACTTCCTCCGCTCCGAGCCTCACCTGGCACCCAATCCCTACCCCGTCAAATCAGAATCTGGGTCCTCTGTCTCTCGCCGCATGCGCAACGTCTTGACGTCTTCAAGATCCAGACACAGAACGGCCTTTGATGAGGAGAGGAGTATTACCTTCGGACTGGAGACCTTTGGTTGGAGAAGCGATGAGTTACGAATGGCGGATGTGGATGGCAGCTTTGATGGTGGTGGTACTTCTAGTCAAGGGTCATTGACAAGGAGTGAAGAGACAGCTGTTGAGGAAGTGAACAATGCGAATGATGGTATTTTGAAGACCACCATGTATGTTGTGAGGAGTAGACAGAACTCGGATGAGCAAAGTCGTTGGAGTGTTGTTTGACAACACCAGTGAAGAGATCGATACTAAATCATCGCCAGCCAAAAGGAACAGACAATCTAGAAGTTGATAACGGCCACGACCAACTCAAGTTCGACTGCAGTGGACGAATCTGATGAGCCTGGTTGTGACGATCTGCATGAGAAAGAGAGTGGACCGAATATCGCCGAAGTGTTTCCTCACATTCGAAAGATCGGCGAAAGTCCAACACGACAGCTATCAAGTTTCGTATAATGGATGTGAGCCCACATGGGCTTGGCTTGACTTCGTCATACCAGAGCTTGATTTTCAACGAGCAGTTCTCCGTTTCTTGCGTGGATGCTGAGTCATCAGAGGCTTTGCAATCAGTTCCTGGAAGTCATGGTCGTATTGACGACACAGCCTTTCCTCACCTATTTGCTCACAGTCAGTATCACGTTGCAACGATATTATGACAAGTACACGTACAAAATTGCAGAAAAACAGGCTGGAGCTGCAAATATGCATCCTCTAGTGCTGCATCTCGCTCGCCCGCTGAAGCACCAGCCTCATCCTCCCACTCTAGCGTTAGGGGTGTGTCCTTTTCCCGACACAGTGTCCAATACGAAGCTGTGAGTCGTCTGTAGAACGATGCAGCTTTATCGAGGCGATATTGGTGATCTGTTAATCAAGATTGATAAGTATGCGGGTATCAAGACTGGTCTGATTTGGGCTTACGGGTTTTATTATTCGGCAGTGAGATCCTGATCTCATCTCTGACCAATCGATCTCTGTATATCAGTACCAGCCTCAACAAGCAAATTCCAGCGATGATCCGAGCATGTTTTCCGGCTCCAACTATTTTCATGAGCTTGTCTAGCTCAGATGCCATAAGACGCTCGGCTGGCCCAAGTCCTTCGGCGACACGAACACGAACTTGGTCATGGATCGTCTCCGATACATATCTCTCCTGGTTGAGCTGTCCGAGAGGTCGGCTGAGAAGATCAAAGCTGCCGTCATGGAGATTAAGAAATCCGTAAGCGACAAGGTTGTTCAAGCTGGCTATTCTTGAGGTCAAGTTTGCAAGAGACCGCTGTATGTACTTAGCCGAAGCCCCAAAGTTTGGGTTGCAACTTACCATGCTTGACGGTTGTGGTCTACTACAGTATACAGATAGAAATCTATCTAGGTACCATGTGATTGCTCCAGAATGAGAACTAAATTGCATAAGAAGAATCTGCCTTCCGAAGTTGTCGAAGTCGTCAACGCTGGGGATAGAAGCGGGAACAATCACATAGCGTTCATCGTATGTGGTGTCGGACGTGACCAAGATGCCACTTGATCTCTCAAGTCTCTTCCAGCGACAATACGGAGACGAACTGCACCGCATGACTTCAAGATCCAGCTGAGCTATATCTCCACCGATCCCAAGCTCGGATTTCACGCAAAGTTGGACGTGTATTGGCAAGCCAGTCAGTGACGATGTTAGAGGTTCAAGGTTGGCCTTGCGCCTAGGCAGACTTTGGTGGAGATCTGTGACAATGTCAGGTACAGAATCATGGCTGATGATACATCATACTTACCCCTCACACCAATGTAGTCATCTTTCATCTTAGTTCGTATGCAGATGCGAGCTGCCAGTGAGCGATTATTGACATGTTTCAGGCATGTCTCACAGACACCATTAGGAGAGCACTACCGTGAGTTTAGTATAATTATGTGGGAGTACATCGCGATGAGACTCACGGGTAACTTGCGAGCCTTGCAGCATGTGCAAGCTCCACTGGCTCGGACTGCATGCACTTTCCTCTTCCCTTCTTTCGAATAGGATTTCCTTGAGCGCTTTGTGATAGGAGGCTCGGGTCGAAGACTGAAGTTCACCATCATCTCATCCTGAGACGGGAGAGGTGGAGGAATTTGCAGCTCGCATACGTCAAGTATTGTTGACTCTGGCTGAATCTTGAGTTCGTACTCTATGTCTGGTATTTTTGATATCCTCCCAGTACCAGTATTAAGGGACTGTCCGACGGGAGAGCCGAAGCTGGACGATGGAAAAAATTGTTCGTCAATATGATATGGTGCCAATTGTTGTTGATTCGGAATGGAAAAATAATCTGCTGATGACACTGCTTGATTTGGAAGACCAAACTGATAAAATCCATTTTCAGTAATGCCCAGCTGATCATTGACTGAAAGAGTAAGGGCTAGGTTGCTTCGAGGAGAAGGTTTGCTTGTACAAGCAAAACCGGGTTGTATGAATGCAGCACACTGGCTGAATGTGGCATCGGAACCAGAAGTCATGTTGAATCCGCCCTGCTCATAGCTTTCCGGAGAGAGGGTATTAAGGCTTTGAAGTGGGGTCATGATAGCTTGGGTACTGGCAGAATCCCAGTTTCCATTGGGAGTCTGGTCGAGCTGGTCGTGAGTCGCGGATGATTTCCAGAGTACTTTCTCATAATTAGGCGGAGAATGGGATCTTAGACTAAGCTCGTTTGAAGCTGAACTTGTGCTAAGCGGTAACATGGTTGAACTGTCGCAGCTACGATTTGTGATGTAGCGTGGGTAGGAGACGTCTTGCGGGGACATTTGCTTGTCGGAAGGCACTGCCAAGGCCCTGCTCGTAAATGCTGCCTGTGAGAGAGCATTGACTATCAAATCATGGCTCCCAGGGTCGACAATATTGCTTCTCCGTATGTCCTCCTTAAATCCAGAAGGCTTTGCATCAAAGGAGAAGCTTGCTCGGGTTGTATCAAATTCCATGGTAAGCAAGAGTGGGTTTGCGATGGTAGTGGATGGAATGCTCAATGGCAACACCCAGAAGCAAGCTGTGAAGTCACCAATGTCCAAGAGTGGCAGGCTACCAATAGCTGGGGCGGATCTCCATGATATTATACTTCGGGACGGTCGAAACGACACCGAATAGAGGCACGACCATATGACGATATCATGGATCTCGTGAGGATGATGTTGTGAGCCAAAATGGACTTCGGTGAGGTCCAGTCAAGGAATCTATTGGTGAGCCTTGCTTACAGTAGATCACAGCCCGATTGAGGCTTGACTTGTGGGGGCTTGTCGCCGTCCCGCCCCGCCCAAGGGCATGAAATGCCTGCTCTGCCTAACGAAATGCCCAATTAATAGAGCCAATGGGTCTACAACTCAATTGTTTTCGTGATTCAAATTCTTCTAAGAGAGGCGGCTGGAGGTGTATGATTCTCCAACAACATTGAGTGCTGCTCCCATCCTCGACGCCACTGACGTGATCGTGCAGTTTTCGCAGACCGAACTCTGAATTGGGGACTGTTCGCTGTTATCGTAGTGCTAAATTCTGATTAGCCTCCTATCACTCGAGAAAACATATGTGTGTTTCTCGCATTGGAATCAGACAGAGAGACACGATTTATTATGCCCCTTATGTCTTGGCATATGAGTCTCGCGTGTTGACGTTCGCTAAGATATCCACATACCACCTCCCCACGGGTGGGAGGATGTAGCAAAGGGGGAAAATAAAGATCTATAGGACGGTCAATTTTCAGAAAAATCGTTCATTTCCATGCTGAATGACAATAGCTATTGATGGTACAATGCTGCCGAGCATATCGCTCCGCCAGGTAAACACTGCAAAGTTTAGCGAGGGGACAATGGGGCGTCAGGCCCCACAGCAAGCTGCAGCAGCTCGAGAGTAGGTATGCTAGGCAGCTAGGACACCAATCCCATCCACTCCGGAATTTCCAACCCCAGGGGAACGAGTGAAAGATAGCACAATCACCATTATCCAAAAAGCGTGTAGGAATATTTGCAAGAAGTGTCGCATTCTGGGCCGATTGAGCTCGTCGCAAGAACTGCCGACGACTGCAAAATCCTCCACAGACAAATCTAACTCACACTCATTTCTCGAATCATGGATATTCCAAGGCTATGAGTTACGTCTCGTAGACTGGACAACAAAGCCTCCTCTGCAATAACTTTATTCGACGAATCGGAGGTTATCTGGCGAAAGTTAGTTAGCAGCAGTGAGGGAGTGCCAGACACGCCGTGGTGGTAGAAGCGATACTCACTTTCAACAACTTCAAATTTCCTGGTATGGACACCGCCGAAGTAAACGTGGTTAACAGCTTCTCTAAGTCTGTTCCGCTAATTTCTATAATTGAGAGTTGTTCCAAAGACTCCGGGAGTAAAACTGAAAGCCAGCCCGGGGCTGTGTAGTCGTGATTGAGTGAAGATGCCGTTGCGTAGAAAAACATCCAGGAATCAAGCTCTAGACGTATGCGTATCTAATCAGTGGGAACAAAATATTGAGCAAGAAACGCCATAACCGGAAGGATAACTGACCTCAACTTGCTGAAGTGCTTCAATGAAGTGATAGGAGACCATGTTGCTGAATTATGCCGTCGTGCCATTCGCTCCCACAGACTGGAGAGAGAAAGCTCTTCAAGACTATGTCTCGAATTCATAAGTCCATTTACGATAGTCCAATCCTCATATTGGTAAGTTGTGCGGGGTACGCCTATGGTACCTTCACAACTGAAGCTTTTCATATTGTTGAAACCCAGAAGGATTTGGGTGAGAACGCCACCCCTCCCATATGGCACAAAATTGTTCTTCAGGGTGACTTTGGTGGTGCGAAAGCTCGGTTTATTTTCACAAGTGTCAAGCTTGAGTGAGTCCGCCCATCCGTACTCTATTCCAACTCCATGAAACTCCACAATCGAGTCCAATCTGAGGAATAAAGCCAAGCTGCGAAGAAGTCCTGTGCTGCATGAAGTACCTGCACTCGTAATATATAGTCGACGAAAGCTTGAAAGGTATTGCCGAGGGTGCGTACTGTGTTGAGATTCCTGTGCCTTATCCAAGGACCGTCTGCTGAATGGATACATATCATCGTCGTAGAGGCAAATGTCGACTGACTCCAATCTTGTACATAGCACCAAGAGAAGGGCAAACATAGCATCCCATCCCCGATGTGTAAAAGTTGCCCTATACCATTTCTCGCAATGTCTTTTCCCGAAGACTTGTTCTGGAAGAAGCTGTTGAATCTGGAGGTTTGGTCTCACACGCGGACCTGATTGATCAACATCCAGGAATCTCGTGGAGACGACTGCTTGGTAGTCCCAAGCCTTTGCACTAATATGTCTTACATACCTCGCACGATAGGGCTTGAGATATATGGAGCGCAAAAACTGCTGCAGAGCGTTATTTCGGCATTGAATGAGGGTGCTGTAGAGCCGTGGTTCGGCCAAGTCATGGAGCTTTCTTCAGCATAGAGACAGACAGGCTTGCAAACGCGGATTGAGGAAGGTAGGAGAATATCTCAAGCACCAGCTCGGTTGATAACACTTCTAAAGCCATTATTTGACGGAAAAGTCATTGTTTTCAGCATTGTTGATTCCTTTGAAAGTGGACAGAGGGGTGTTAGGCAGAACTGGGAAGGATATGAGTCATGTGACTTGGCTGCCTGTCTTGCGCTCTCAGCTCTCTCATCCCTCCCAAAAAATAGTTCATGCGGACTTTGCTCACTTCAAATCATCTGTATAGCCAAGATACAAACGGCCATGACATTAAATGACCACAGGATCATACCAATACTCTCTTTAGATTACATTCTATAGCTTTGAAGACCCAGCAGGTCTTTCCATTTCCGCCTCCAGGTCCTTCTTTTTCTTCTGGAAATTCTTCACTAGCTGTCTCACAGCCAAATCCAGCATTAAATCTTCACTACCACCAGGAATCCTCGCGCCTGGAATCTCTCGGAAAATTCCTACATTGAAGTCAGTACTGCTTGTATTTTGGAATGGGCAGAAACGGGCAGAAACTTACTCTCAGCAACCTCTCCCTGTCCACTTTTGGTATATCCATTACCACCGTGCAGTAAGACTGCCGTACTAGCAACTAGTTCCAGCACTCTGCCAGCCTGTGCCTTCGCCAGCGCAGTCAAACCTCCCAGCTCTCTATTTGCGTCCGCCTCACTCAACTTGGTCATACAATACGTATAATGTTCGATCCAAGCCCAGTGCGCCTCCAAGTCAGCACCACACTTGGCCAATCGATGTCTAACAACCGGCTGATCCATCAGAGTCTTGCCGAACGCCTCTCTTTTCATACAGTAATCAAACGCATCACTCAACGCCACCCTCGAGATTCTGTTCACCGATATCGAAATCGTGAGTCTCTCGTGGTTGAAGTTCTGCATAATGAAGCGCATGCCCTGCCCTTCCTGACCGATCAGGTTCTCAACCGGAACTTTCACATCGTCAAGCTCGATAAATGTCGTTCCGGAAGTAACCTGACCTCCAACTTTGATGCGCCGCATGCTCACGCCTGGAGTATCAAGGAGTGGTACAACGAGCATAGAGAGTCCCGCTGCTCCTTCACCACCAGTCCGAACAGCCATACTGGCATAATGTGACCAAATTCCATTAGTGATCCATTTCTTTGTTCCATTGACGATATAGTGTTTCCCATCCTTGGATTTTGTCGCCGTAGTAGCAATATTGGCAACATCGCTTCCGGCACTTGGCTCAGTGACAGCGATACAGATTCTCTTCTTGCCGGTCAGGAGCTCAGGAAGGAATTTCTCTTGTAGTGCTTGAGACCCGAATTTCAGAATTGGAGGGAGACCAAATGCCATGCCTACAGTAACAGCACCTGATGGACCAAGGGAGCCGGAACGAGCAAGCTCGTCGACGTAGATGAGAGTGTGGAGGTAATCGAAATCCTCGACTTTCAAACCACCGGGAAGTTCATGGATACCAAGTCTCTTGAGCCATTTGACTGGTAGTGGGGCTGAGAGATTGGGTATCAAGAAGTTTGCGGCTGTGAATTTAGAGTATAGATCCTCTGTTGTTTATCAACGGGGCTGCACTTAATATTTTGAAAGATTGAAGACATACCTGGGACATCACCAGCTGCTTCCCATTCAGTGACATATGGAACGAGAAGTTCTTCCGCCAATGCTCGACATGTCTTTTGCCATTTCCTATGCGATTCATTGTAGTACGCTGAAGGCAATCCCATGAGATATGGAGGGTCGCTGAACGGTATTGGAACTGATTTCGCCATGATGCTAGTTGATGAGATGTTGATTTGAAGGATTCTAAGGATTATTTAACAAAAGCCACTTCACAAGGGATGATCAGATATAATACGAGTCTTCAGATGATGACGTTCCAGTTCGGTTTAAGTTTGAGATGTAAGCTCAAGGTTGGCCGTTAAATCCGGGGTATATACAGCAGTGCGGGGATCCCTAGCCGATACCCTCGGCCCGCTCGCTTGACGTGTCCTGGGCTTCAAGTGCTAGCAAGCACACTGATCTGACAGCTTTGTGAATCGAGCATAGATTACTTTAGATATTTTAGATAAGATCTATCGATCTGGATACACTTAATACAATTTGGTCAGGTCTTTGCACGTGGCTCAACATTCTTCTCATCAATTTCCTGCTCTCGGAAGACCGAAATCCAAATAATGGACCACCTCACTCAACAACAGTTCACGTATTTTGAACAGAAGGTTTACTTTGCAGATGTCTTTTTGCAAGAATAATGTCGTATGAGGATCCCAGTTCGACCTCCCTTTCAATGTCTGCGATCTAAGCGAAGCAGCCGCTCGAAGATGGCTTCAAGAGCAACAAATGTCACAAATGAACCTATCAGTGGAACCCTGCTACATTACACAAAGTTCTCGTAACACTGAAAAGGCTTCAATAGACCACACATACAATTCCACGACAAGTCCACACCCTCCTCCCTTGTCAAGCCTCTCAACTCCTCCAGCCGGCCAATATTTGGCTTCATCGGCTTGCCATCCCGCGTATAGCTGTGTCTGAATAGCAAATGAACAGATCCTAGACCCGAATTGTTGGTATTAAGCATGTCTCTCGACAAGAGCTGCGAAACATAGCATTGAGTTCCAGGGGATATGTTGAGAGTTAAACGCTCTAGGCTGTTGGGTAAGCAATCGACAAGAGCCGTGTGGTCGTTTTCCCTACAGGAGTCGAGGGAGTCGAAGTTAGTTTGAGGCGAATGTCGTCGTGATTTCGAAGGGAGAAGAAATATACTTTCGATCTGTAGGAATCTATCCACTGGTTAGCTTGAACAGAACGAGATACGCCCTTCGATTTGAACTCACTTCAGCTTTGTGAATAACTGTAGTGATTCCACAACCTCAGGCTTGGATACCTCAATATCGGCACCACTGCTAGCAGCGAGCTCACCGTCTTCGTCGCTTGGAGCGCTGTCGTTGCCTGACCACGCCTCAACCTCGCTTGGGATATGAACCAGGACCAAGTCCTCTAGTATATCTTTCGAGTTTGCCAGTCCTCTGCACACGTCGGAAGCAACCAGCGTGGAGATGTCACGGCCAGTATGGTAATATTTAATGTGCTTCAGAGAATGGAAACATAACAAGAACGACCTCAGTGAGTGTCCATTTAAGAGACACCGATCCAGCGTCAAATCCCTCACATTAAAGGTTAACTTGGACGGGACCCGAGCCAGGCTGACATTTGAGGCTCTGAATTTGGTGACGGAAAGGACTTGCATGTATGGGATGATGAGATGTACTGGTGTTTCTGTGCCGTGGTTGTCAATTGGGTTGAGTGTCACTTCTTCCAGATGCTGGAAACGACTTGGAGACTTGGTGGATTTCAAGACCATTTCTATGTACCGATATCTGTCGGCATTCCAACCACATGAATCTATCCGTATTGTTGCGAGTCTTGCCGCAAAAAGAGTCATCAGGAAAGCGGTGATGGCATCCCAGTATATCGGCACATCCAACCAGCTGACTATTGATGAAAAGAACATCTGCTTGAACCATTTATTGCAGGTTGATCTCCCATAGATAGAATCCGGGAGCTGGTTTCTGACCCAAGATCGATCTTCGAGTGTTAAGAAGGAGAGATCAAAGTCCGATCCATACGGGTGACCTGTATACGATATCAGAATAGGTCCGTCTCAGTGGATTTGACGGAATTCTTTGATTCCACAGAAAGGTCAATTCTTGCCTCAGCTGAAAAGCAAAATACTTTCTTACCCACTGTTCGAAAATGCCGAACATATGCAGTCAAATCTGGATTTCTCACAATCGTTCGAATGAACCTCATATAGGACTTAGGGTATTTTAAATGTACACTTGAGTACAAAACAGGCCCGGCAACACCATGCAGCCGCCTCGAGCATCGCAAGATGGCTGTACAGGTGCGTTGTAAGTAGTTGATAATCTCTAGAAGTATTTCATTGGATAGATCTAGGAAAGACATGTCAACGCCGGAGAGGATAAAAGAAAGATGTCCAGAAGGAGGAAGTCCAGATGCTACAGATATTGCAGAAAGTTGTGTGCACCTTTGATATTTCCTCAGCCGTGCTCGGTAAGTCTGAGGCTGAGTCCGAGATGCTGCATGGCGATGCCACTCACGTGGAGGCTGTGTAAGTCCGGTGGTTGGATGCCACTACTGGAAAAAGTTTCTTTCCAGCCTGCTGCAGTGTCTGTAGAGCATTGTGATATGCGTTTAGTCGTGAAATATTCTGGCAATTCTTCATGATTCCATTTTACACACCCTACTTTGTTACTTTGTACCTGTCAAAGTTGATGCCCAGTCTTCTCAACGGCTCTCTTCCAACTATCTGTTTCCTCGCAATTCTTCAACCACCTCTCTACATTCTTGAACCGTCCAGGCTCAATCTTACCTCCTAATCCCCTAGCATAAATGAACTGGACACTGAACCCGCTGCAGTAGAACACTCGTCAGCCAAGAATCTCTCTTTCACAGATCCACAAAGAACCCTCCATGTCAACAATACAAGGAGTGATAAGCGAGGCAGGCAGATCCACTATTATAGACGCAAAACAGTAGACTGAATAGAAACAAAGTAAACTCACCACATCGTATCCGCAGCGCTCACCTCCTCCCCACCAATGAACTTCCTCCCCTCCAACTCCCCATCCAACCAGTCTAAATCCCTCAAGACATTCCCATACAGTCCATCTTCCAGTTTCTGCAAATCGCCATTATTTTTCATATCCTCGGTTGCGTTCCAGCGCGCGTAAGTCACTGCCAGGGCGTGAGGCATGAACGTCCCTTCTGCTGCGTGAACGAAAGACCGGATGCGATTGCGGAGGAGGGGATCTTGACCGCCAAGGAGGCGCTGGTTCGAGTCGTATCTCTCGATTAGATATCTATAGTGAATGTTGTGTCAATATTTCATCTAATCATTTTCACGCTATCCTCTCTGTCCTCGTCCAACTCCCCTGCTCCCTTCCAAATTTTCTTTCCCATTCCATTCCCTCTATATCCTACCTCTAATATCATTTCGATAGCACAAACCCCTAAGTAAACAAGGCAGTCAATCACCAGGAAATAAAACACCTACTCAGTGATAGCCCCACTCTCCAAAACAAGGACCTCCCCATCCCTCAACACCGGCGCTTTTCCCAACGCACTTCCCGATTCCTTTTTAAACGCCGCAGGAGCCCTATTGTTCTCGCGAGGGTAAAATATGTTATTGTAAGGCAGATGGAGTTCTTCGAGTAGCCAGGCGATGCGAATGCTGCGCGAAGCTTGCAGGAAGTAGAGAGTTATGTTTGGGGTTGGGGTCGACATTTTCGGGGTTGGAGGGAAGGGGGGGTTAGTTGACTGTATATGGGCCGGAAACTTCGAATGAGGTTTTGAATAGCTTTTGGGAGACCCAAAATTTGACTTTGGATAACAGCAGGTACACTTGTAGTTAACCTCGGGCAGACGGACACCATAACTTCAGGGGTCCAGACATACGTCATGGGGGAGCGACTAACTCAACCCCTTTGCGGGATGTGGAGTCAACTTAAAATGAAGCTTAACGGGAGATGCAGATCCGGGGAATTCGTGGATGAAAGTTTGAGCTTTTATCTTCTCTTTGCTTATCTTATCAATATTTCAGATTCCGGAATGTTTTTCTCCTTTACCGAGCCAAGCCCAAGAGAGACATTCCGTTCCTGTATGAGAAATTATGCTTTCCCAACACAATCCTTTGTGACTCTCCATGCGCCGAGACCTCGTCGGCCTATAACCCTCTCCAAGGTGTTCCAAAATCCGTCATCGCCGAAGTCTAGATCGTCAAGATTGAGATGCTGCTTGTATCGCCAGACTTCTTGGAAGTGGAGAATCGATTCTTGGCTCGAGACGTATGGATCGAGGAAGGTTGCTGATAAAGGAGCAATCAAGTAAGTGCCTTCTTTCTCATCCAGATATGCTGTTGCATTCTCAGAAGCCTTGTGACATGTCGCAAGAGCTCCAAGCTCTCTCAGCATGAGTGGTCCTTTCATGCCCATTATATCGTGCGTCGTCAAAACCTCGTTTTTCCCGTTCAGAAGCCATACGGGAGGACTATACGTTTTCCACCAGATGGAATGCGTTGCATCTGGCTGCTTACTCAAGAATGTCTGAGTGGGTACAATGCCGCCTTGGTGATATACACCCATTAAAATGCCAAAGAAGGCGTTGTAGAGAATCCAGGTACCAGCCCAAAGACGCAGATGAGTTTTGTTCTTCGGTAATTGTATGGAAGAAAGAATGAGGGGGATCGATGGGAGAAGGAAACGAGCTTCCTGGTGTTCGAAGAAGGAGAGGACGACAGTGCCCGCAATTGCAGAGTAGAGTCGTAAAGATGGATGCGGGCCCAAGATGAGGAGAAGGGCAGCTGGGCCAAGAAGTTGTGGCAGGTTGAATAGAATATGCTGGTACCAAGGATGTAAGCCATGAGCCGCAAGATTACTTGATTGAAGGTTGTATTTGTAATTATTGAGTGGTGTAATGACCGGATTGGAGAAGAGGTATGACCAAGTGACCGAATGATCGCTGTAAAACTGGGTATCTACGTAGATGGCGATGAATGCAGTAAGAAGGGCAGAAAATATCGCTGCAAGAAGTGCAAGAGGCCTGTCGATGTTAGCTGAGGGATCAGGGAGTGAAGCAGAGCTTGATCTACCTTTTGCGAAAGTGAGGAATTAAACGAAGTCCAGGAATTATCAAAAAAGCCGGAAATGTAATCCGGTTGAAGATACCAAAAACAGCGACAAATGCAAGAATAGCTGTTGCAAAGGCAGACGACCGTTGCTGCGGGACTGTCAGATTGGTCCAAAGTAGCACTTCTTGAGAATCTACCTTATTTTCTACAATCCTGTGGATCAGAACTAAGCACCAGGCCAGAGCCAGCGTCTCTATAGAATTCGAAAAGGTATGAGTTTGGTATGTCCATGTGACGTAGGAGGACGCGACGAGTAGAACGGCCACCCTTCGATGCCGTGGTGACTGAACCAATTCATGCAGTGCCCAGTCCTCCAGCACGAAGCTCAACGCGAACATCAACACTCTCAACGTCCAGAACACTGCAATCGGCGGTATCTCTCCATCATTTCCGTTCCCTATCCACAACCATCTCAGGAGGAGCATTGGCAGGCCGTAGACAGGCCATAATGGAAATACGCTTCGCACTGGATCATCGGCGGTAAATTCCCAGGTGAGTTTGACTGGATAACTGAAGATCTGGCCTACAGAGAAGTGATATTAGCAGATGCGCAACAGATAGCTGTAAATCCCGCCCAACCACCCGCCGACGACATCTTCACGTGTCTCATTCCATGTAAACATTACATTCAACAGCGCATTTGTTTGCGCATCAAGATTTCCACCTCCAGGAGCTGCAGCAGATCCAAAACACGTACCGGCTATCACCTCCGGGCCTTGAAAGTTCTCATCAGGGTGAAGGTAGCTCGGCGAGAGAGCAAAATAAAGTCGAACCAGAACCAGAAACAGATATGCGCGCCTCCACATTATTGGTTGTCGATTACATGCGATCGGGGCATTTCATTCGAAAAGAAGGACTCGCAGAAGACGCGATTTTCGAACCGTCTCGAGCATTTGCAATGCTGGTGAACTGGCTCGTTTTGTTGGGTGGCACGAAACAGAGAAGTGTCTGGTGGTAGTGCAGTGGTGGAACTTGGGAAATGTCCCGTCGCGTTGGTTGTATTGACAGGGATCTGCAGGGGTGAGACCATGAGAATAGGGAGCTTCCGCTTGACTTGGTCAGCCGCGCCGCCCAGAACGGAGATTCGCCAGTCAACCAATATTGTACCTCCGTACATTCCCTCGATTCCATATCTGCTATGCAAGACATTTATGATGATCTACACGACTCGAAACAGAATTCTGCAAGCTACAGTACTGTATTAGGTGGGAAAGGGGTTTGTTTGTGTGAGGCTATGACTTTTGTCTGTTCTCAGCCTTATCTTATGCTGGTGCCTTACGAATTCTGGCCTGATCGCCCAGATGCCCTGCTGGCTTTATGCAAGCTCTTCGAACCCACAGGAAGGGAAATCTAAAGATAGAGCAGGATGACATGGGATGATTTGAGATAAGAGAAGCTTCTAAGTTGCCAAGATAGTTTTGTTAGGTCATTCTCATGAATGTTTACTTTTGTTGGTGTTGACGACAGGCACCAGAGATCGGTTCGTAATTCTTCAATAGCTGCATTATCTCTGCCTCGAAACTGCATGAAGCCCCAAATGGAGGACAATTTTTAATCCAAAGGATGGCATCTTGAAAATCAGTGAAGAAGCCTCCCCGGCTTCCCTTTCCTTCCTCCGCTGCAGGATCTCTCGAGGCAGGATCCTTTCTCTGCTTGCATCTGGCTGGAGTGCAGGGAACCTTTCAACACCATATTGCAATGCATTCTTCGCTCACATTGAAAAGTGTCGGGATAATGAATGGCCAGCCGCCTCCCAAGAGGATTCCAGTTGTCCAATACTATGACCAAAATGTCCCATCCCTAGATGTTGGTATAAATTGACTTCAAACGCGAAAATCAAAGATGACGCGCCGTGAGAGAGTTCTGGGGAAGAAGAGCGCGTCTCGACCACTTCAAATCATTTCCGGGCGAGCGGCCTCACTCTTTGATCAGGTTCTTAGGTGCATGAAAGGCGAATGTGCCTGGTTAAGGTACTTTACCTTACCTCTTTGGTAGGCACAGTACAGTACGTACCTGTGCCTTGTCTCGTCGCCAACAAAGAGCCTCCCCGGGTGACTCAGCCGTGCAGGAAACAACACCAGGACGCAACCAGCAAAGTGGAAGAAAGAGGAGAGAAAACAGCGGCTGCCTAGCCAGTCAATATTCGAGTTTGTCTTGACCCGTCCCATTCATCGACAGAACAGAAATACAAAGCCCATCGCCTCATCCTGCGCGTTGTTATTCACATTCGGACTCTTCGGCTAATTAAGCACAAGGCTACAGCAGCGCTAGCTTCCACTCCATTGTCAAGCCACGCCTACAAAGAGCGACCACGATCTCTGCTCTCGAAACTCCTTCCTCCTTCCTGCACCCACAACCACAAACATCTCTCGCCCAACAACCACAGATTTCAATACAGAATACCCCTACAGAACCTTTTACTCGCACATACCATTCACAAAATGTCGGAGAACATCCAAATCACCCTCATCAGCAACGATGGCGTTGCCATTAAAGTTGGTAAGATACCCCTCCAATGCGCTGCGCCGCCCACCCAACTCCTCGAACACGAACTTTACTGACTCCCATCTGCAGACAAGGCCGTCGCTGAGAAGTCAATGCTCATCAAGAACATGATGGAGGATCTTGGAGAGGGTGCCTTGAACACCGATGTCCCCATTCCCAACGTAAGCTCATTCCTCGATGTTGGGGGCGTGTGATCTGGAGTTCACCTCCAAGTAAAGGCAAGTCACTGACAAACTCATGCAGGTTAACGAATCCGTTCTCAAGAAGGTTATCGAATGGTGCGAGCATCACAAGATGGACCCCGTTACTGCCACCGACGATGACTCCGATTCCCGCAAGAAGACCACAGACATTGAGGAGTGGGACCAGAAGTTCATGCAGGTTGACCAGGAGATGCTCTTCGAGATTATCCTTGTGAGTAACTCGAATTAATCTGCAACCTTGACATCAAGCTGACCAGAATTTTGCAGGCCTCCAACTACCTCGACATCAAGCCCCTCCTTGACGTTGGCTGCAAAACAGTTGCAAACATGATCAAGGGCAAGTCACCAGAGGAGATCCGCAAGACCTTTAACATCACCAATGACTTCACCCCCGAAGAGGAGGAGCAGATCCGCCGCGAGAACGAGTGGGCTGAGGACCGCTAAGCAGTTCACTTTCAACGTTGGAGGAGGATGTGGCACGATACCCCACAATTGGACATACATCCACTTTCATCCCTTCGTGCGCTGATACATTCTTTCCCTGCATACACACATGGTGTTTTCGTTTTCCTTTGGCTACTGCCTCTTGATTCCGAAATCATCTGGTGGTTCATCGTCCATTCCGGCATGGTTGTTCACTGGGTTTTCTTTTTCTGTTCTCCACTGGCGATACGAGCCTCACTACGGTACGGCATGGCGTTCGGGTTTTCAATCGAAGGGTTTTGCTTTGGAGACTTCTCCTGACGTCTATACCAAGGGCATTGCTGTCTCTGGATGGTAGATAGTAGGCTTAAAAATTCGAGACCTTGCATCAACCTGGTAGTGCAATGACGCGTGCGTCTGTTGTGTGATAAGTTGCTTGTCTAAATGCTTCCACGCAAACGACGCAGTACTTGTTTCCACGAAGCTTTCCTAATATCATCTGCATAAGTAAACCTTACCCTCTTTTCATTCAGTGCCACAATCTTCTCTGCATATGCTGTTCTCACGTGCAGTTTTCTCATCTCTCAGTCACAACCACACACCAAACATTCGATCTATCACATCACGCCAAGGCATTCCACTCAAACTCCCTTTCCCCTCCGTTTTTCTTCGATGCCCTAAGTCATCATGTGGAACCGAATTGCCCTGTACTTACGGGACACCTCTTCACACAGCTCTGCTCTGCTCTGCTTTCTATAGGTGGAAGGAACTCCCTGTATGATGTACAGGCAGCACCACTGCATGCCTCCAACCCACTGCATCTAGAATCATGATTCACGGTGTAAATAGTACGCGTGTGGAGAGCAGACACAATGTACTTATGAGGCAGGTAGTTGAGTAAAAGAGACTCTTGGTTTCTACTTCGCATTCCTTCTATTTAAGATGTGCTTGATTCTTTTTCCTCAATGCTATCGACTAAACTCAAAAGTGTGGCTTTTTTCAGTCCTCTTGGTGGAAGGGCTTGTAGTGGCCGTGATTCTATAGATCACATGAAGCTTGAGCCTTTGAGAATGAGACCCAGATTTGCCACTTTCCGTTCGCTTTGAATTGTAGAAACTAGACAACGATGGGAGGGATTGTGGATTGGAATTTGAATTGGAAACGGAACTGAATTGGAAGTATCATTGAAACCGGGCATATCTTACCCTGCTTTGATAGAGAGGGAGAAGTCGTGTGCTCAATCCGAGTGCGGGGGAGGAAGAGAATTGAAATACAGGGATCCACAATGCTATCTATGATGCTGGCTGTGGGGTAATGAATGGATTGGAGTCGTATGGGTGGGCAAATGTAATTTTGATTTGGAGGTTGATTAATATCTGGAGAGAAATCATGGAGGTGGGAAAGGAAGGGTAAGTGATCGGCTGGCTAAGATAGAATAAGGTACGCTGGGAAAAGAATGACGATAGTGACCAAAATCACTCTGCTCATCCGGTCCGGTAATTCAACCTGGCTGATTGCTTGCTAAATGCGTGTCGAGCCTGCCTTGGAGGGCGGTTCTGGAGGTTGGTGCTGCTGTGTATTCATCTTCCAGAGCTTCTGCGATTGTCACAAAATACACAAATAGGATTGCACTCCTAGGAAAGCACGCGTCCTTATGTCTCCATTCCATTGTGTTGTGCTTTTACACCCCCAATGCAATGCAAGAAACGAGCAGAATTCGTAAATGAGAAGACGCCCCTCCATTTCCGTTCCCAAAGCAAATCAGTTTCCATTGCAATCAACTACCGACCAATCAAGAAATAGTCCCATCCGCATTCCCAGCTCCCGGCAACGCATCCATCGGAGTAGAAGAAATATCCTTAAGAGTCCCTCCCAACCAGACACTGCCTGTCGAACGTGGACCAGGTGGCGATCGAGAAAATGAAGTGGAATTGACTTTGAGATCGATGGAGAAGAGTGTGTGATGTTGCGTGGTAGAAGGAATATGCGAAGAGGATGTTGGGTGGATGAATTGCTCAGATACCGATGCGCGTCTTTCTCCAATGTCTCCGCTTTGCGTTGTATCTAATCGTACTTGTTAGCTGCCGTTCCGTTCCTTGCCATTGCCATTCTGCTTCTCCCTGCTCTGCTGACTTGCATGTATCCTAACAGAGTGTCCAGGCTGTCGAGCAGAGCGATCGGGAAAAGGTAGACTCAGAGAGGGGTCCAAGATATGCGTACCGGATGGTATTACCAGTGCGAAGACGGATCCATTGTGGGATAGGTCTGTTCTGCTTCTGGGCTCTGGCGAGCTTCACTTTCGTGCGGAAGGTCTTGTGGCTCTGCAGGCAAATCATAATTAGCATCTGTCCATCAAATCTGTATCCCAAGATCCCTTCATCATCGGCCCCTCATTCCATCAGCTGCGGCCACCGTAAAGAGCTTTCTCCATTGCCAGATCCAGCAAATGCAGCACAGCCATCGGGGGATTCATCGCAGGAAGTAGGACGTACCGGCATCTTGACGTTGTCGTGGGTGTCGAGTTTTGGCTTGCAAGAGGACGTTGAATCGAGGTTCGATTTTCCGAATATCGGGATGTGGAATTTCTCTCGCTTAGGCATCACATGACTCTTGCTGCTCCACTCTGGGAGCGGGCGCGCTCTTAGTCAGTCGATTCTGTTTCCGGTAAAGATCTTGCGACTAGCGCTGAAGCTCGGGCAACGGTGAGGCTGGCAGGCTGGCAAGTGACTACTGGCGGGCGGTATTGGAAATGCAAGAAAGCTAGCCTTTGGTTTCAGAGAGAGACTTGAGGTTTAAACTTCGATACCCCTCACCACAATTATTTCTCGGCGATACGTTGCATTTGACGAAGTGAGGATTCTCCAAGCGGCATTTGCGAACGAGGTAACGAGCGTTTTGAACTCAAAAACAGGAAGCTGCGGAAGCGGAGCGGACACAGAGGGCTGCAGAAAGGACACAGTTCAACATGGGAGCCAGTGTATCGTGGTTATCGGGGATGTTGTGGTCAAAGAAGGAGATCAGGATATTGATTCTGGGACTGGTATGGCAGATCATCATTTCGGACTCTGGCTTTTTTGGATTTTTACTAATGTGGATGAGGACTTCAGGACAATGCTGGAAAGACAACTCTTCTTTACAGACTGAAGGTACACACCCCAGCCTCTGCGACCTTCCTTACACAAATGCTGATGGCGGATGACTAGATTGGAGAAGTGGTTACTACGATACCTACAATAGGATTCAACGTTGAGTCGGTGACATACAAAAACTTAAATTTTAATGTTTGGGTAAGTTGCCCCCTTTCGCCTCCTCCATGGACATCCACTTATCAGATTCCAGGATCTCGGTGGCCAAACCTCTATACGACCGTATTGGAGATGCTACTATGCCAATACCGCAGCCGTAATCTTCGTCATCGACTCGACAGATATCGACCGGTTAGGGACCGCTTCAGAAGAGTTAGCTGCGATGCTGAACGAGGACGAGTTGAAGGATGCTGCGCTGTTGGTATTTGCAAATAAGCAGGATCAGCCAGGGGCAAAGGGAGCCGGGGAGATTAGTGAGGCTTTGAAGCTGGGCGAGCTGAGGGATCGGAATTGGAGTATCGTGGCTTGTAGTGCGGTGGATGGAAGTGGTGTTGATGAGGGTATGGACTGGCTTGTGGTAAGTATTCTTGTCTTTCTACACGGAGACTTTGAAGGGCAAAGCTGACTTTGCGCTATAGCAAACGGTACAACAAGAATCGTAGGAAAGGAACGGGCAGGACAATGATCGATTGACCAGCGTGTATCACCAACAAGGGGCATATTCTGGAGTACAAGAAAACATATGGGGCAATGGGCCAGGTCATTACGTTGGCTTTTTGAGGCGCCTTGTACTTTTTCAGCGGCTCTGACGAGCTTGGGAATGAAAGGATGAGTAATCGAGGAGCGTTCAGGAGATGATGAATGGTACGATACGCAATCTGCATCAGCCAGGATTGGGCATTTTAGAATTGGTTTTCTTCCTCTCGTTGAGTGGAGTCGTGGGTTTCGATGTTTTCATGCGTCATCTGAATCTTCTCTCGGCGTCTTCGCGTGTGGCAATTTCACAATCTGGCTCTTTCTTATACTTGGTGTTTGGGGAAATAAACCCCTACCCTGTCTCTATCAGCACGAGCCTCAGCAAGGACAGCTATCCTCTCACCTCATTGGAATAGGTCTATTTGTGGGGAAGAAACTCCTAGAACCACACCTCAGGGTATGGGTTTACTTAGTATTTATCCTAACCACCAAGTAAACCCCTCGGTCTAGCTCCTGTGCTTCTCTAAAGGATGTCTCGCCTTGGGAGGGGTTCTTGTCCCACGTGGAAGCCTATCCCGATGATGCCGGAAGGTTACTTTTAAGCTCTCCTCTTCACCTACGTTCCCACCACGAGACTCAGTCGAAGGTAAATATCTTCTACAGAGGCATGCCAAGTCGGAAGATACATGTGGTGTTGTACCTTCTCTCGAAGTCTCCTGGGATAGGAAGGCCAGAGGTAGTGTCTCGAGACGTACACCAGACTTACAACGGCTTTCTATTGTATCTCATGACTTAGCAGTCTCGCAGTTTCCACCACAGCCCTGCTCGCGTTTATATGCCTGCTTACAATCAAGGCATGATACCGCCTCCTGCTGTCCCATGCAAGTCACATAACCATCTAAAATCTATTTCAATCAGTACTCCCAACACATTACGTTTTCAAATGCAGATAGCAAATCCCGTGTGCTTCTTCCCGTCATATTTCTTACCAAATCCCGCAAACTCGGCAACGAATCAACCTTTCGGGAAAAGCTTACATGCAGATATATCGTATCCCGGAATTAGTCTTTCATTAGAGAAGTGGCTTTAGACGTGAGGGAAGAAAATGCTTACTCAACTTGGTCAGAAGCTTTGCAGAAGTCTTCCTCCCATAAGCCCTCACGCGAGTGTTTTTCATTTCGTATGTGTTTTTTGTAACATGCTTACTATCCCGCTTGTCAAACGCCTGGGCTTGCAATTTGCACTTGGTAATTTCACTCCCTAATAGCACCAAATCAAGTCAACATGGCCGTCTCTTCACATCCAAATTACGGAGAAACAAACTGAAGTTAAGTTTATCGAGGATATACTTCAAGCTTCTACAATGCTTGGCACCGATAAGAAGTGTGGCGTCTATCCAACTGATTGTGAAAAATGCGGAGAAAGACTTTGATTCTGGAAACTGGCAGGGATCCCTGGCGTATCAAGCTATGCAGCTACGCGGGAACTGCGTCATGATGAGAAAGTATTGTCAACATGGATGTTGGTGTGATAAAGAAAGCGAGTCGATTATTTCGGTGCAGAGAAGAAGTAACAATAACAACAGAGCTTGAGCATCTGAACGGAGCATAGACATAAACGCTGGACTGTCGATGGGTACAGCGTACACTCTATGCAAGTTTGACAGCTCAAATCCCTGATTTCTTCAACATCCCAGCTGTATGGGGGAACAGTCCAGACTGCCCATCTTCTGGCCAAAAATCTTGCTTGCAAACAACACAGCAGACTGCGTCTAGGCCCCGAAGATCACCAAATCTCACTTTTGACTTGAGAATGATGCAATTGTAGCCACCCAGCTCCAATTGACCCCTGCAGCACTTACTCAGTCGCCGCTGCCTCAACAAAGCTACATAAGCTCCCCGCATGGCTCGATGTCCAACAATATTTCCGTCGACTTGAGCCAGATTTTAGTCTATTAAACATATACACGACTGGTCTTCGCTACTCTTCAGCTACCAGAAGAAAACAATACTACAAGATCCACATCTGCAAAGTCAACAGCATTGACCGCCATCATGGTCGCTGATGACAAACCCGCATCTACCTTCAAGTATACCGAGAGGCCAGTCTATACAACCTCCAATGGCTGTCCTATCGATAGCCCTGAGGCCTTCCAAAGAGTCGGTAATAATGGGCCACTCTTGCTACAAGATTTTCACATGATCGACATGCTCGCTCATTTCGACAGAGAGCGTATTCCAGAGCGTGTTGTCCATGCAAAAGGCGCTGGAGCTTATGGAGGTATGTGATCCAATCCTCATCTTCTGGTAACGCAGCTATTGATTATGTTTCTAGAATTTGTTGTTACTCACGATATCAGTGACATCACATCCATCGATATGCTCAAAACAGTCGGCAAGAAGACGGCTTGCATATCGAGATTCTCTACCGTTGGCGGCGAGAAAGGTTCGCCAGACACAGCACGAGATCCTCGAGGCTTCTCCATCAAGTTCTACACAGAAGAAGGAAATCTGGACTGGGTATTTAACAATACTCCCGTATTCTTCATTCGCGACCCTGTGAACTTTCCACTGTTCATCCATACGCAGAAGAGAAACCCGCAGACAAACCTCAAGGACGCTACGATGTTCTGGGATTATCTATCTACACACCAGGAGTCTATACACCAGGTCATGACACTCTTCAGCGACCGTGGAACGCCATATTCCTACCGACACATGAACGGATACTCAGGACACACATTTAAGTGGACGAAAGCAGACGGAACCTTCAATTACGTTCAGATCCACTTGAAAACAGATCAAGGAATTAAGACCTTTACCAACGCCGAAGCCGGCAGGATGGCATCCGAAAACCCAGACTGGAACACCCAAGACCTCTTTGACTCCATTCAAAATGGCGACTTCCCTAGCTGGACCGCCTACGTACAAGTCATGTCTCCAGAACAAGCTGAGACATTCCGCTGGAATATCTTTGATCTGACGAAAGTATGGCCACAAAAGGATGTTCCACTCCGCCCGTTCGGGAAATTCACATTAAACAAGAATGTCGAGAACTACTACGCTGAAATCGAGCAGGTGGCTTTCTCCCCTTCTCATGTTGTTCCTGGTATGCAACCGTCCGCCGACCCTGTCTTGCAATCGCGCCTCTTCTCATACCCTGACTCGCAGCGCCATCGTCTTGGTGTGAATTACCAACAGATTCCAGTCAATGCTCCGCTGCGAGCATTTAATCCTTACCAGCGTGATGGTTCCATGGCAGTCAATGGCAACTATGGAGCCAATCCCAACTACCCATCCTCTTATCGTGGCATCACATACCAACACGTCAAGCCGACGAACGAGCACGAGCAATGGGCCGGCAAAGCAGTATCATTCCTCTCCGAAGTTACTGCAGATGATTACGTGCAAGCGAAGGGTCTCTGGGATGTCCTTGGCCGACAGGAAGGACAACAGGATAATTTTGTGGGCAATGTGGCGGGCCATTTGAGTGCAGCAAGAGAGGACACTAGGAGACGGACCTATGAGATGTTTGGCAGGGTTGATGACATGCTTGGGAGAAGAATTGCAGAGGAGACAGAGAAGTTAACTCCTCCTGCTGGAAGTCAAGCTGCTGGCTCAGCTCAGCCTAGGATCTGATTTAAGCGAGGGATTTGTTTTGATATGGAGAGAAAACCCGGATTTGTTGGACAGGGGATGGGAACAGCATGTAGTACAATAAGTTTTTCTGGGGTTTATTGAGGAGCCAACCAATGAATTCCATACCTTCTTGGAGAGATCTAGTCCAGTGTTTGTTGACAGGAAGCAGCCCGCTCACACCAAGCGATAATTCTCCAACCCAAAACCTTTAAAATCGTCAGCCTACTGACCTGCAACTCTCCTTCTCTGACACTCCACACTTCACACACGTGGGACTGAAGATCTCTATGGTAGTAATGATTGCTAATTGACTGCGAGGACGGTATCCAAGCCGGAGACCGTACTTCTCAACTTCTCAACTTTCCTCTTACGCTTCGCCAACCTCACCCTACAGTTCCTCTCTGCAACATCACTCAATAGATATCTTAATACCACGATAACCGTCACATACGACCATAGACTGAAGAGAAAAGGGCATCCCGTCCGCTCTGCCATCCTCAAGCTTCAGATCGGCGGATTAGTAGTTAGGTGGGTGACCACTAGCGAATTCCCGCTGTTGTATGTTTTTTTGTGGGTTTCTTTTGCCCCTCTTTTGCCTGGAGGTGTTCAATAAGTACTGCGTGGATTGGACATGGCTGTTACTCCCTTACGCATAGAGGACCAGGCTGTGGGGTCTTACTAGATTCGGAAAGAAAAGCAATTTTGGGTCCTAGCTCCAGATACCGTATAGCCTCAAAATAGAAAGCCTTGCAAGGTTGTGTGAAAGGAACCTTTCTAGGTTAAGCTATGCTTACAGACGAAGGCCACTAAATTAAGCCTCCACCATGAATCGTTATTGGACGATGATGGCAGGTAACGGCAGGCGTAGACTTCAGTTATATTGGGTAGCATAGCCCTCAGCCCAGCGGGCTCTGAGCGCAGGAAGACCTTGGGCAGAGTGAACAAACATTATGATGGCCGTCAAAGGAGAAGAAGTGCAAATGCGCGCCAGCTGGGTATTATTTGGACATTACGCATACTAATTACAAAGCCAGCAGGTCTGTATCCAGTCTACAGCTCTCAGCCAGACTGTAGCAAACCATAACTCCGATGCCTCCGTCTATATCTAGTTCTATGCCATATTCATTCGTGTCTCATACAGAGAGCGATGCTTGCTCGCTGTCTGAGTTCGTCTGCGATTCCGACTCCATGTACTTGCTCGAATACGGGGAAGTCTGTTTAGATATGTACACTCGCACTATCCTCTTCGTCGGTCTAGACCATACTTCCGTTCAGGATCCCGTGTAGCCGATGATCTCGCGGTCATCATCTACTAATCTGGCGTACCTGTTCTCGAGTCAGCATTGAACTTCCTTGCAGGTTGAGTATTTTGTGAAGAATGAGAACTCACTCTAGCAGCAGCCTGAAGAACCACACCTCTAAATCCTCGTTCCTCAGCACCTTGTTTGCCCATTCTCTTCCTTGCATTGCAATGTGCTCTGCTTCTTGCTTGCCTGATGGCTCACCAGCGAACCATCTCACAGCCTCAACCCACTCTTCGCCCCTCAGACTCAAAGGAATGTAGTGTACCCAAGGCTTCAACCACTCTTCATGCCATTCCCTGAAAACAGCCAGCTTGTACACCAAACTCTTACTTTTCAAGAAAGCATAGAAGCGTCCACTGAATGCGTTGCCATCAATGTCGAGAAGATATTTATACTTCCATGCATCTGTCTGTTCGGCTGGCTTCTTGATCTCGAAAAATTGTTCTTGAGCTTTGCAGTCGCCTGGATCGCACTGATCGACGTGTGTGAAGTGGACATCAAAGATATCCTTGAAGTCGCTACGAGAGACCTCTTTGACCTTCCAATCTTCTGTTTCTCCCTCGCCGCGGTTGGTCATGATCTTAGCTTGGTCACCAGCGTTCATCTTCCTCACTACATGTTGACGATGTTGACGCCTCCAGCCGCCGTCGCGACTAAAGCCTCCATTCGTGGAGCCTCTCCAATACAGTTGACCTTCTTTCTGATTCCAGTCCATGTCTGACGTATCATCGTACGTGACTTTACCAGCCCAGTACCAGGGAGAAGGATAGACAATATCGGAGTAAGACGAAGGTTTTGATGCCGAGAAAACAGGAAAGAGGTCCTGGGCGACATTGAAGGCGTTCGGTCTGTCGAAGAAGCCATATGTTTCTGAGAATGAAGGAGACTGGCAGATATCCGAGAAAGCAGTCTTGTTGTAGATGAAACCAAGTTCACCAACAGCATAACTATCAATATTGTCTTCCTTCAGACCATCCTCCAAGTATCTTGCAGGGCTGTCTGGTGGGCAGGACATTCGAGAGTGTGTCCACGTTGCTTGGTGTGGAATGATATTGAATCGAGTCAACTTGAGATCCTCGAATCGCGTCCCGTCAGAAAGATCCCCAGGCCTCTGAGACCAAGAATTCCTCGGGTTGGTGACTGCATTGGCGGCTGGCATGTTCACGTCCTTAGCACTCCGCACCAGCCTAGCTAGATCGTCGTACGGAACCACAACCCGAGGCTCATCGTGGATGTTGAAGCAGAGATCCATGTCCGGTAGATATTTGGTAAATTTCTCCACCATTCCTCTGGTAGCCTCCATTGCCCATGGGATTCCTCCATCGAGCTTTTTGATCTCACCCTTCCTGATCAATACCCCCAGCAGGTTATTTGCATCGTATCCCAATGACTCCCTCGCTCGGTTCCGAATAGTCTTTGGCTTCAAGCCCCAGAACGGCGTAAGACTTGTGTGTATGGAGTCGTATTCGTCGATCAATTGAACGTTCTTGGACTTCGCGAAGGCGTACCACTTGTCGAAATTTGGTGGAGGGGGTATTCCATATCGTCGTCTGTATTCCTTGACTGCATCTGCCAGTGTCTTTGACTGCCTCTCTACAATCTTCCCAAAGTCCTCCTCGGCGCTTTTGATGAGCTGCTTGATTGGGTGGACGTTGCTCAATTGCGGTGGCTTCTGTGGTCCTGCCTCCTTCCCATCCAATTCATTGGAGAGCTCTTGGATTGGCTTCGTCGATGGCGCGTTTGCTCCAATAGATACACCCAAGGGAATGTATGGTGTGCGCAAATAGAGAATTGTGAGTACAGCCAAGGAGAGGAGAGCGAGGAGGAGTACAGTCTGTCGGGAGCGCATTTTCCTCTTAGCTCTCAGGAAAATCGTGTTGAGAGAGGGTACTTTAGACTCATCGTCGTCTTCGAGGAAGGGACTGTTGCTGGGATTGACACGAATCCGCCGTTGTTGTTGGGGAGAGTTGACATTCGAAGATGAACGTCTGCGTTGGCCGTGGTCTTTCATGTTATTGACTTTCGAAGACATCGAGGTGAAGGGAAGGAACTGCCTCGGCCGCTTTCAACCACCAATGTCGCGAATACTTTGCATGACGTTCGATTTGAAGACATCTGCTGAGAGCTTTCCAACAAGGAGGGAGCTTAAAAAACACTTGGCTACATCAGTTTCAAGTTTTGCATTCAGATAGGGTTTGATGACGAATTAGGGTTGAAGATCCGCCGCCACAAGCTTTCTTTAGCACGGAATTGTGGATGCCAACGCGTGAAGGTATTATTTTTATAAACCAGCCAAGCATTGCCATTGATAATGCACAAGCCAGGAATACGAATCGCTGCTGCATGATTGGATCGCCAATCGTTTTGGTATTCTTCAGTCCCCTCAACACAGCAGAACCAAGCCCCTTTTCATGTGCTCGCGTGCTACAAAGGAGGTTACAATGTTCAGTAAGGCAGCAACCAAATTTCCTGTTTTGATATGCAGAATCATGGAGAATCGAATTAGAAGATCACCAGAATCTCTGGGACTTCAATTTACATTTTCAGACGTTAATACTCAAAGCATACCATGTACTGAGTAATATGATGCTCCAGTGACTTGGCTCAATGGATATATGAAGCATGGGGCAAGGAAATGAATCCTGCACTGGTAAACACAACAGTTCGGGTACATGAGTGTAAATTGACTTTTGATGTATGCTATCTCTCTTCTAAAAGAAGATATCGGATCAAGCGCAAAGCAAGAAAACGAAGTTGGGTATCGCCCGCAAGGAACCATAGGTAGAAACCCAAGTACCTGCTCAAGATAGATACATGCTCATTGTACTCCAAACGCCCCGTCCAGACCTATAATCATCCTCTAGTAGAAGAAACCAATGATCTTTCCGGCAACGTGCTTGCGACGGGCCTCCTCGTGGTCCATGATACCGGCAGAGGTGGTGAGGACGATGTAACCGAATTGACGCGATGGGAGAAGCTTGACAACCCACTTCTCGAGCTCACCGAGGCGGACGTTGTATCTTGGGGAGATGACACCAGTCTTGTTGAGACTATAGGTCCATGTCAGCAATCATTCGCAATCTATCATAAACAGGATATCTTACCGGCCGTTCAATTGGATGACAATCTTGCCAGATCGGTGATCATCGACCTCCTCGAACTCGCCAATGTAACCTGAAGACCATGTCAGTATATGTAGCGAAAGATTAAACGTGTAACGTCAGGACAAAAATCAGAGAACGTGTAAGATCCTCGCAGGATGATATATCGGCAACTTAAAGGACTATGGTCGTAGTGTTTGTGAGACCGTCATCTAGTTATCATGCCGAATGTGTGGAGAAGAAGATGACCTGCAGAAGAAAATCCATATCGAGCGAACGTACCGTGCTTTTGCATGACACTGAGGAACTTGACGATGACCTTGGAGGAGGGACGGATCAGGACCTGTCGCTTTCCGGACTTCTCGGCGTTGTTGATGGCATTGAGCGCATCGTTGAGGACTGAAGTCTTAACCATTTTGACGGATGGAGATTCTCAAGTCTTGAATGTGAAGTGAGGTATCTGCAGGACGCTGTATATTAGCCTTGATGGGCTCTGAGCATGGAGAGTGCCCTCATGATTGACAAGAGGGTTCTTCAGCTCATCGTCGAAAGAGAAGAGTAGTGTCGACATCTTTCAAGTGCTATGGTCGCATCGTGTTGAGTTGAGGTCCAGCTTGTGCACAAGCATTCACGCCATCTTCCCTCTTCAACAGCTCAGGTCCCGGTCGCAGAATGAGTAGATGTCGATTTTCCCCTCTGCCTATCATGAAGGAGCTTTGGGATGTCGTTCCAGGGAATACATACCTCGATTTTGATGGTGGTCGAAGTTGTTGTTGGAATGGAATGTCGAGAAAATGGTAGGTCGAGTTTTCGGATTTTCGTGTGGGTGCGGCCGCTAGTTCAGTGGTGACCACTAGCGCGAAATTGAACTCTCGCTTGTGATGCCTTCTGCCCACAGATTCTCGGATCGCGATCTAACCTTCAATTTTCAATCCAAATCTTTGAGGAAAGTCACTCACGAAAAATCAAAATGGTATGTTGCGGTCCTTGCTCCAATATCTCAAGAATTTCCGAATACACCAAACCCCAATTCTTCCCGAATCCCTCTGGGTATTTGAGCTTGGAACTAATATTATACTCCACAGAGTGATCGAGAAGAAAGCCCTGTCGCAGAGGTCCCTGAGGCCGAGGAGGTTGAAGTTTCTGGAGATGCCGCGTCCAAGGGACAGATGTCAGTTCTTGACGCCCTCAAGGGTGTTTTGAAGCTCGCTCTTATGCACGATGGTCTTGCACGAGGACTCCGTGAGGCCTCCAAGGCTCTCGATCGCCGTCAAGCTCACGTTTGCGTCTTGGTAAGTTTTGGAAAGATGCTGCAAAGAGAGAACCCTGGACATTGCGCAGGAAGACTATGGATTAAGTACTGATTTTGCCATTTTAGAACGAGTCTTGCGAGGAGGAGGCATACAAGAAGTTGGTCATTGCGCTTTGCTCCGAGCACAAGATCCCCTTGATCAAGGTTCCCGATGGAAAGCAATTGGGCGAGTGGGCTGGTTTGTGTAAGTAATCCCGTGCAAGGGATTATGGGCCGGAAGACTAATGGGCATCTGCAGGTGTCTTGGACCGCGAGGGAAATGCACGCAAGGTTGTCAACTGCTCCTGCGTTGTCGTCAAGGATTGGGGTGAGGAGTCTCAAGAGCGATCGATCCTCCTCAACTACTTCAACACCGAGCAGTAAATTTACAAAGCGGATGGTATGGAGTTAGCTTTCGATGGGTAGACATTCGGCCCTGCTAGGGTTTCTTTACGATGTACTCTAGATATGATGCATACGGGTGGAATATCAATTGCATACGGGACCTTCTGATCTGACTTTATGAGTGCACACTGGCCGGGTCGATATTGTGACCAAATGTGGGATGCGCCAAAACACCAGACTCCTTGACCAGTTTGCAGACTCGCCTCCCCTCAAAATCTGTCTTGGAACCGCTCGAGGTGTTCATTTCCTTCCTTCCACCATTAGAATATGATATCCAAATCCTGTCTTCACTTCCGCGTATTTCGGATTTGCAGTCGTACTAGCCTCCAGCTCAAACGCCTTTTCCTCGAAAGTAGGGTCCAAATCACCTCTCTTTTTCCATCCCAAAGCACCGCCTGGAAGACATTAGCCAATAACCCTACACGCTTCTGCGACTTAAAGGAGCACTTACCAGCTCTTGGCTTATCTTCCGAGAACTCCTTCGCAACTTCATCAAACTTAGCTCCTCCCTTCAACTTCTCTAGAGCCTCTTCCTTCTTCGCATGTTTCTCGCACTACAAAGTATCAGTCTTCCCTTCCTATCATTGCAGACTCCGAATCCCGTACCAGTATATGCCTAACATTCACGAACTGGGCGCCCTTGACCTTCCCTCCCTTCTCCTCTTTCTCGTCTGCTGGTTTGCCTTTGCCCTTCCCTTTTGCTGCTCCCCCCTTATCGCCGCCTTTGCCTTTCGGTGGCATATTCGGAGACCGTGGGTAGGTGGCAGACGCGTGGCAGGTTTGGAGGAAGAGAGGTGGCCGTTGGTGAGGGGTTGCATGTCAGGTATGACATCCAATAGAGGGGTACGATGCCCTTGTGGCTGGACCCTTGGGAGATTTTAGCGGGGTACGGGTGAAAAGTCTCACTTGACTCCATTGTCGTCAGGCAGACTCAAAATTATGCAATTCCTTTCTTATGTTTGTGCAATTAGATAATGTGTAGTTATTTGGCTTCTCATTTACAGCTGCTTCCTTTGTAATTTAGATCACCTTTCTTTCGAAATATAGTTTTTCTCTTCAGCTAGCAGTTGCCACCCAGCTCAATACCGAGATAACCAAAATTTTCAATGTCCAAGCTCTCAACTTCAAAATAATCTTATTCCAATTCATATACTATCAACCAAAACCATAGCCATGGCCCCATCAATAGCTAAAGATGCTCTCGGCTCGGGCTCAAGCCCAGCAACAAATTCCACAGCGCGAAATCCCTTTGAAACTCTCATCTCAGATCTCTCCAAGATTCTAGGTCCATCGTCCGGTTTAGACTCCTCAGACATAGATGTCCTGCAACTGCAGAAATTGATGGAGAACTACATATCATCAGAAAAAGACTGGGAGAAGTATGCTTTTGAGGACTTGAGTCGCGGGTACACCAGGAATTTAGTCGACGAGGGGAATGGAAAGAGTAATCTGGTAAGTACTTTCGTTTCCTCCTCACTTCTGGTCGTAAATACCCCCACTACCCTCAAAAGGATATATATATATATATATATATATTTGCATGGGCACATTCAAAGTATAAAAGCCAGCTAAAATTCAACAGTTGATTCTTGTCTGGACACCCAGCAAAGGCAGCCCAGTCCATGATCACGCTGACGCCCACTGCCTCATGAAAGTCCTCAAAGGCAAACTGAAAGAAACTCGTTTCGACTACCCTCGCAACAACGCTACAGCTCCGCAAGTCATCAAAGAGACAATTTATCACCAAGGTGAAGTCACGTACATGGCTGATGAGCTGGGACTACATAAGATTTCGAATCCAGACGAGAAGGAGACTGCAGTGAGCTTGCATCGTAAGTACCTTCGATTGAAGTGGAAGAGAGAACTGCTTTGGGGAACTTGACTTAAAAATGAATAGTTTATACACCGCCTAATGCGGCGAAAGAGGGCTGTAATATCTTCAATGAGGTTACTGGGAAGAAATCACATGTCACACAGTGTAATTTTTATTCTGAGTTTGGTAAAAGGGTTGGAGCTTGACTCGTCCTTCCTTTCTCCTCATGACTGTGAAAGACAGCACAGAACTTCCTGTAATTTTATTTCAGTGCTATGGTATGGTTAAGATCGAATAGACGAGGTTCCCGTCGCATTAAAGAGTAAATGGACAGAAAATAGACAGAGAATAGAATCCGGTACACTAGACGTAGACTTAGACATTATTACACAAGTTCCCGCTTCCAGTCTGTTACTACATCTCTACTTCGCACCCCATAAAATAATCCAAATTCTCGAAATAAAAACTCGATTTCTCTCTTTCCTTCCTCTTCAAAAGCCCTTCCCTCTTCGCATACACAACTACCACCTCAAACCAACCCACCAAACAACCCAACATCTCAAATGACAACATCCACCCCTTCCACAATGTCGGGATCCGAAGATCAAGCTCCATCTCAAGACACTCCCAAAAATCAAGCTAGCAAGCCAGAGCACCCCGGTCCAGCAGCCACCGAGTACGAGCGCGAAGTATACAAACGCGCCTTGAAAGAATGGGAGGAGGGTAATGAATTCATGAAGAGATATGCTGCGGCGCAGAAGAATGGGAAATTACTCAGCGTGAATGATCCTGTGTATAAGAATCTGGTGGCGGATTTCAGGATGAGGCAGAAGATGGGGGCAGGCGCAGGAGCTAAAAATGATGCTGGGGAGGAGGAGAGTAAAGCGAAGTCGAAGCGGAAGAGTTTTGATTTGAAGCGGAGGTTGTTGAGGCTCGTGAAGACTTAAGTGGTTGCTTAGAGTCCTCTCATTTCTGAAATGGTGTGGAATTTGGGTTCTGTGGTGCTGTTAGCATGAACTTGAACGGAGAACCTGTATCACGAGTAAGAAGCAATGCATGGGAGAGGGGGCTAGGTTTGAATCGAGTCTATATTCTTTACTTTGCAGTGCTGTTTACTTCTTTTGAGTGGTACCCTGCTTTTAAAATTCAACCCACACCTGTCATGCATACTCGCACAACTTTTGTCCGCGTATAAACTCCATTCAGATGCAATCATAACAATCCTTCCCATGCATAGTGATCATCATCTTCAAAACAGTTGACTCCCGAGCCCTCATCTTCCTCCACTGAAGTCAGGCTTGTACGTCTTTACTCCCCCTGCTTTCATAAGCTCCCGAAGAGCCATGGTAGCGTATTGGCTTGAGCCAAGGGCGAACTTCACAATCACAGCGATCATTGGCTCAGGCTCCTCTGGCGCCTTCTGCGCTTCCTGATCCTTGCCATTGGTAGACTGTGCTGGTGAAGGAGGAGCAGTTGATATCTCCTCGGCTCCGCGCTTTGGTGCTGCCTCTGTAAGGCGCGAAGCAGTGGAAACATCGGTCTTACTACTTGGAGACTGTGGTTCCTTATCCGAAAGAGGGAGGTCGACCTCGTCATCACCAATGATCTTCTGCGTCTTCACACCCGTACGCTTCTTGAAGTTTTCTGGGTCAGTTTGTACCCATGTCTCCTTGATGACAGGTGCGCTGACGGGCTCATTGCTGGGTACGCGGTTGGCGCGCTCCAAGTCGTAAGCGGCGTTTTCTATTGCTTCTTCGGCTGGGATTGTCTTTCCAGCGTTTTTCCAGAGAGCCAGATTGGGATTATCCGCATGTCTAGCCTTCGCAATGGCGATTTCATCACGTTGGTCTGGGTATCTAGAATTGCTTCCACGACCGCCACGACCTCCACGTCCTCCACGACCGCCTCGGCCGCCGAAGTTTTCGCGCTGGTTATCTTGACGATTATTATGGCTGTATGGTTCAGGACGAGCAGGCTTTCCCTGAGACACTCTCAACCTTTCTAGGTCCGTCTCGACCAATTGCTCCTTCTCGTCCTTGTAGAATTTGAGATCGAAGGTACAATCACCTCCCAACCCTGCCATAAGTTTACGGTAGCTTCCGGACAGACTGAAGTCCTTGATGCTGCGACGCATATTGGCTGGATCAAGCCCACCTCCACGATCACTGCCCATGAACTGCTTGTAAAAGTCGCCAATGTCGTTCTGTGGATACTCAATATCGAAACCTGGAGTAGGGAGAACGATGTCGAAGATGGTAAACTTTCCACTTTCAGCTTCTTCGGCTGTTAGTGGCCTGGCACGCTCGTAGACATCATCGCGCGTGAGAGAAGAATCATCAACGGCTGCATGGACAATGACCTCTCCACTCTCATCAATTTCCTCCTTGACCTCAGTAGCTTTCTTAGAATCTACGATGATCAAGTCGCCAGCGGTGACCTTCGAGCCGTATCTGCTCCAGCGCTCACTAGCGACAAAGTTCCATACCAAGGATTGGTAGGCATGAACGTACATTGTGCGCAAGTTGCGATGGATAGACATGATTGCGCCACTGTAATCTTTGTCACGACCTCGCTGGGACAAATGTCTGATAACGGCACTCTCGCCTGAGAACTTTCTTGGCATCAGATCCAAAACCTCATGGGCAGGACGGCCGTTTCTGTAGCTTTTGATTGCCTTGGCGCGGTTGTAGTCATCCTTCGAAGCTTTGTCGTTTGGCTCGGTGCCGTTAGCCGAGAGAGCATCCTCATTGTACTCCAAGATTGCATCGCATGCAGCCTTGAAGTTATTCTGGAGGAGTTTGAGGCCAATCTCATCTGTACCGATACCGAATGTACCAAATCGCTGCAAACCAAAGTAATTAAGGAAACCATGGTGTTGCAAGTGTTTGACAGCCTCACCAACTACTTTCCTGCCCAGCTGCAACCTAGTCTCTGCATCTAAACCTGCATCGTCACCGAAATGGCAATCGCGCAAAGTGATGTGGAATTGGTTGCCTTTCAGTTCCCCAAGCTCGAGAGGATGCTTCTCGTACTTGTAGTTGCCAATAGCAGAATTTCCCCAGAGTTGCTGGTTTAATTTTGCGAGGGTGGTGTCCAACTGGCGAAAGACACTGATTCGCTGAACCGTCACAGCTCTACGATCCTTGGTACCAGCGAAGTTGAAGTCTTTCGCCTTGATGTGTAAGCTCTTTGACAAGCCGGTGACAATCTCCATTGTGTCCTTATTTTCCTTATAAAGGCTGAAATGAAGATACTGACCACCACGCTCTTCCCATCCTAGCTTGCCAGAAGGTTGACCTTGCGGTTTGTTCTGGCGGGGATTTGGCTTTGAATTTTGGTTTGTTTGTTGATTGTTGTTGTTCCAGCTTGGGTCTCTTCCTCGTGCAAAAAACTCGATTTCACCATTCTGGGTTGACTTGGTGTCCAACTTGAAGTTGAATATCTCCTTCGTTTTTTGGTGGATGGTGCCACGAAGGACTCTGTTGGTGAATGGAGCAGAGGTTACTGAGCCGAAGCTTGCTGCTTTCGCATTGGGCTTGGCTAATATTTGCGCATGGAGCTTGAGAATTTCATCTTTGATGTTGGCACCAAGGTTTTCGGCAAGGAACTTATCGTCATCCGGGGAAATGACAAAGGCAGATACAGCAGCAGCATCTCCAGAGACTCCGTTAGAGACTTCTTTCGAAGTACTGGATTCTTCGTTCTTAGCTGTGGGAGTCTGTACTGAGGCGGTGGTAGTGGTATCAGTGCTCTCAACGTGGCCTAAGCTTGACTCGTCGCCCTCTGCATCGGCCATGACAGCAGCGGGAGATGGGTTTGGTGCCGCAATTGCAACCTCTTCCTTGATAGCATTGTCCTTGAGTCACGAAGTTAGCTGAATGTGCCTGACAGGTGATGCTTGAAACAACAAGAATAGATTGTGATATAGAAGGGAGCTAGGCATACCTTCTCGGCGCCACCATTGGTAGCAGTTGACGAAGATGGCTCACTCTTAGCATTCTCCTTCTCGTCCTGCTCTGAGCGTTAGTAATTTGGTAAAACAAGATTGAAAATAGTTTAGTGTCACGAGATTTAGGCACCCACCTTGTGAAGAGACTGGACTGGTTCTTGCGGAGCGATTTGTGGCGTCTAGACAAAGGTCAGTGGCATACTCAAAAATGACCTCGTGATTTGGCGTGAAATGCAATCCACGAGGTGAAGCTGGTTAGCAGCAGGTGCAAATTGGGCGACACGGATGGAGGGTACAGGTTGAGGAAGGAGCTCACCCTGAAGGTTTTGGCATCAATTGCCTTGTCATCAGTGAGGTGCGCCACTGTGCCATCTGGCATGACTTCATTGACCAAGAAATCGGTATATCTAAACAATTGGTTGTTAGCAATGCTCTCAACTAAAAGAAGACTATGGTGTCGAGCGCCGAGATATTCAATTCCGGGAATCTTGACATGACTGCGGAGCAACAGAAGGATATGATCACCAGCTCTTGGCCAAAGACCACATGCCATTGCGACCGCAGTCCGAATGCTCGTACAGTAGAGAGAAATGGTAGAGCATAAGGAGATACAATAGAGACTAAACACTTGAGATTGGGGAATTCGGGGCTTTACCTTTGCTTCAGAACGCCTTGGAAACCAGGATTCTCGCTGTTGACAAAGTGCGTGATACCAACGGCGATTTCTTTCTCAGGCTGAAAACCAGTATCGGAGATAACCGCTCGAGTCGCGGCAGGAAGAATTGGATTGTCCATGGTGATTGTGGAGTCTTTGCTGTGTTCGGTGCTTGAAGTTGGCTGAGCTGCCATTACACTGCCGCTGGTGTTGTTGGAGGAAGGAAGAGAGTCTGAAGAGGTTCTCTGCTTTTTTAATGGAGGCTCCATGGTGGCTGGGTGGGAAGGGCTAGCCATTCTAGACGAAGTACTAAGGTAGGGTTCTGTTCTGTTCTGTTCTTTCGTATTGCTGTTCACTTTTTCAATACAATTCACCTCCAAAAGTGAACTCGTTCACCTTTGTTTGTTGCATGTCTTGAGTCGTCAAGTTGAAGATTTCGATTTGTACTAGCGCCACATAAAAAGTGGCGCATCGCTTCGGTTGGCGCACTGCAGGTGGATGCTGCAGCTGCGGTGCTGTACGGTGGCCGGCCACTACAGTACAGAGTACTTTCGTACCTTGTCAGCTTATTTGACGGCTCGGCGCTACAGCAGAGTATGTCTCCGCACCCAAACCCCTGGGAGAGGACGACGACGACGACGACGACCATACCATCCTTCTCATGCATCCAAGGTACTGGTCCCACCCACATTGTTCCGACAAAGTAATACGCAATATATTTAATCTCTACTGCCTACTATAAATACAACATCATCCTCTTAATCACTTACCTCAGTGGGTTTGAAGATTATTCGGCTTCCTCTCCACCACCGTGTACCGTCGAATTCCCTCCTGCAATGCCCTGGCCTTGAGGAATTGCTCTTTGTCTGCTTGCTTCTCCTCTTCAAGGTCAATCCATTTCTCAAAGGCCGCCTCCCCTTCTCGTTTCCGATACTCCTCGCCCACGAACCTCTTGTAAAGTATCCAGTCGTCCAGGTGCGATGGCTTGGGCAATCGGAGGACCTCGGCAAATGGCTTCTGGCTTGTGCTCCTCTCCAGCATGATCGTGCATCGATACACATTCTGGGATTCGTCTAGGAGTTGATGTCCAAATTGCTTGACAAGGTGTCTTTAATTCTTTGTGTTAGTATCCATTTCGTTTCTTCAAGCTGGACTGAGTAACTTACAGGCCATCATATCGAACACCTGCCGATGGGGCATATTTGCTCTTTAGATTGCTGCCTCTCAAAAGCCTGATAGGACGACCACGATTGCATGCCATAAGCTTCATCAATTCGTCCATGTTGTGGCCAATCTTGGTATATTCGAACAGGTTCAGTGTTGGGCCGGTGACTTCTTCTCCTGCTAGCAATGCTAACGCCACAACTCCAGACTTTCCCATTGTCAGCATCTTGTCCACTAACCCCAAGATAGAAAGTTAGCACAAATGAATATCGCGAGGAATAATGTTCGTCGGGAATGAGTCGTACCTGACCCGACGGCACCATCACGAAGTGCGCAGTGCATGTTCAGCCACCAGCTAAAATGTCATTAGCCAAGTCATCATCCGCAAGCCACCTAAGAGCAAGTCTTACTCTCCTGGAGTGAAATTCAGATGGCCCTCCAAATCGGCTGGTTGCACATGACTGACAAGCCAATCCAGTCCCTGATCTCCATTACTTCCAATGATACCTAGGCCACGCAGAGGGCCGTTGATCATCTGCTCTGTGCGCGGCTTGTTAATGTTGAAATACAACCCTTTGAATCTTCGCTCCCACTTCCGCCTCAAAGAACCAGCCTTGATGAAGATTGTTACTTGACTCTTATCCATATTTTGACTCATCGTCTCCTTAGAGTCGCCAATGTCTCTGAGAAGCTCGTCTAAACGGGTGTGTATAAGTAGATCAAACTCTGTCGAAGGCGGAACTGAGGCCTCGATTTGCAACAAGGCATCAAGCAGCACACTCAACTCTTCAATGCTACTCTTTGGAATGGTTCCTCTGGTCTAGGAACCTTCGATTAGTAATACCGTAAAAGAGAAGGCCAGGACTACGGAAATTCCATACCTTCAATGCGGCCCTTATCTCATCTGTCATCTCAAGTAAGGAGTCGAACTCCCATTCGCCTCCATCTCCAATTGATGATCCATATGACCTGAAAGACTTGGCAGACTGCTCGGATCTGACAGACTGGAAGGAGCCTGCTAGAGACTCTGGTCTTGAGATATTTAGAGGCGATCCAGACAGACGAATTGGTGCTTGGCACAAAGTTAGCATCATTTTCCATCCCGCCATGGTTTCACCTACACATTTTGGAACTTTTGGAAATGCTCATGTTGCTCTGTAAACTATCGGCTCCTCCATCGACGGCAGTACCGGTGTCCTCAAGATTAATCAAACTTCTGTTAATGTGAGGACTGCCAAACGGTGAGATATCCGAGCTGGCAATCGAATTTCCCTCGTCTCCATCCGCGAAGTTCTGGTCTGCTTTACCTGGCGGGAAAATGATATCAAGACCTTGACAAGACGGAGTGACATGGTCATGTTGCTCAATATCTGGACAATGCTCCGATGTTGGTGATGTGGCGGCAGTATTTCCAAGGGATGAGATGGCGGACGGGGCTGTGGAGGGGATGGTGCTAGCAACACCTGAACTGGTTGCTTCGGCGGCATGTACTGCTGTAGATTCTGGCATGCAATGACCTGATGTCGTGGCTGTTGGATAATTCTCGTTTCTGCTTGGTGAGGCGAAAGGATTCCGGAACGCGAGCGCTCGGAATCTTGAAGGGGTTGTCTCATTCTGGTCTTCTGGCGTCATCTTCTCAGATGAGGCCCTCTGGAGAGGTAGCAGGAATCCAGTGGTGGTATTATCGTGATTGAAATTTTCACATAGACTTGTGACGGCAGAGGATTGAATGAGAATGGAAATGGGGGGGCCGGAGGAGGAAAGCAATTGGGGTGGACGATATCTAGAGCATTTTGGCCTCGCGAGGAAGGAGCCATTTGCCCATGACTGACTGGGACACAACTTAAGTTGTGCGATAACGAGCTCATGCTACGTCGAATTTAACCATATTTCTGATCTAAATCTGAGTATTTCATTGTAAGCTTTTGTAGTTATGAAGCCATCCTTTCTTTTTGGTATTAGAGACTCAGCTATAACTTCAATCTAAGTCACTAAGCAAAGTGACTTTTCAAACATTGGGTTGACTCCATAGGAAAAAAGATGACACTTCTATTTTTTTTACCATTGGGTAATCCTTGGTCTAAACCGGTGTGTATCTACCGGCGAAGTTCGAACTCTCACCTTCAGTAAACGAAGCCGTTAGGCATCGCCAGTTTCAGCCGAAAAGCCCAAGAGAAAACTTAAGAACAAATAAGTAACATGGCGTCCAAATATCTTCTTACTCCAAAACATATCAGTCATGGATTTGTGACCTTCGTAGATATTCGATCAGTCGGGAACCAACCTCAGCATTGCCATTCAGTCAACGTCAAAACGGATGTCACTCAACTAAAAGAGACTGTCCCTGCAAGCACATATTTATCTATTACCATACCTCCATATGCTGAGAAACATGGTACCTTCGAATGATCACCGTTCAACATGATTCGCTGCGGCTAACGTGTGATTGAATGATCTTCCTGGCAGCCATGCAATTCAAGCTGTCAAGATACCCCAATAAGTACCTAGATCCGCCTGCTTTAGCGAGTTTCCGTTTTCAATCTAAACTCCGCAAACGATCTTCAATTTCCACAAGGTATCATGACTGATACGAACTTGTATTTTTAATGCAAAGTACCACGGCAGAAAATACTTACTGCGAGCTTCTCTCTGAAAGAGCGCTGTTGACATCGACAATGCGTCACGCCACCTGCCATGACATCCTGTCGGAACTTTTACGAGTAAATCGCGACCAGAAAACAATGATATGAGGGATGTGATGTATTGGCAAATTTAACACATATCCCGATGAAATACCAAGCAGGTTCTCATAGCATGGCTGTAGGGTTCGTCGCCTTGACTGCTCTCTGAAATAACAAGGGTCGTTCCTATCATAGGAAGCGAAACTACGCTCTAGTACGATATTTGAGATCGCAAAATACAACTGTTAGGAAGACCGAACAGTAGAGTACCGGTATATAATACAAGATGACCTTCTTCCAAGATAAGCGAGACCGACTTGGTGAGATGGCTAACCAGTAGGTAAGTCGCAGATCTGGAGACGGAGGCATTTGATACGTGACTTCGCAAGGGCTTGATGTGTATCTTGATGTGCGTCTTGACTTTGGCTCTTCACTGTCATCGACTAGATTTGCTTACCAACGTCCAAGTCGATTTCAACGATGGTCTTACGCCATTGCGAAGCGGTTCAGTGGGCTGGATGAAACACCAACACTTCCATTTCCACGAGCGTACAATTCATGAATTGTCTCCTCTTGATTTAATCGGTGTTCCCGAAACATCAAATGGGACGATCAATCATAAAGCCCCAACAAAATGACTGCAACAAGATAATCGGCATGACAGGTGTTCAAAGATCTCCGAGGATAACAACCCAACCAGTTTGACTAGCCGCCAGGAGCTAGCTTTGTGAAACGGATACGCTCTGCATGGAAGCCATTGGGGGTGTAAGTGTGCTGCGAATAACGTAATTTACTGTTCGGTGGTATGGAGTAGATGGCGGTTAAACGCTCCGCGAATTGAGTGTCGGCATGACATGGCAGCCGTGGTGTGCAGCGGCGCTCCCTCCACCGAACCGACAACAGGGACGTCGGAATCGGGAGTTTCAATCTGTGATCGGAGTGTGCTGGTTGCTGCTTCATGGCCACCCATTTGGCCTCGTGGGCGCCAAAAATGGAACAGAGATTTGATTTGGGATGTCTTCGCCCCAGATAGCAGACATGTTTTCCAAATAGGATCTTATCAGTCCCTTCATGGCTGACGCTGTCTCAACCGTGATAGCATTAGCAGATACCTCTCTTGCTCTACTTTTGATACTTCAAGGACCACTCTCAAGTTGACTGGGTGGATCGACGGCACTGGCAGTCAGGACACTGGCTCTATCATTGCAGTAGCCCATTACATAGCATGAATATTTTGCTCGCGATTAATGACCGCCGGATAAGATCAATGACAAGTTGGCTGACGGCACAGCGCAGTAGCTCGACGATAATGTGTGGGAGACACTTCGATGTGGCAGCCCATCATCCACTGGTGCAAGAACGCCTCATATCTCTGACGCAAGGTCAGCCAAATCAGAGCTACCAAGATCCCAAACCAGTTGAAAGTTAGCGCCAGACGACAATTGGCGCCAGATCACAACCTACGGGACCAATAGGACCTCATCAATAGCATGCTCGCGTGCGCGATATCGCGGCTATTGAGAGGACTTGTTGTGAACCGTGGTGTCGGGAAGCACAACGTTGTAAACTTATTTTCCAAACAATTGGACCATGTTCCCAGAGCCTAGACGTATCTCGTCAGGATGGCAAGGAAAAGCGCGGCTAGCGTCTCTTGAGATCGCCCATTGAGAGTCCGTAAAATGCTGACATGGGTTGGTCTACGTGATAGCCTGAGATGAACCAAAGTGAGAATGATCAGTGAGGTCGGCAAATGACCTAAACTGACTCCAAAGGGAACTTGTAGAAGGCGGGACAGGTCTGATCAGAAAATGACCGCACCTACAAGCATACCATCCCCCACACCAACACTCAACGATTTTGGTAGAGACTCCTATTATGATCTGATCACCACCCGTTCCCAATGACACTTTGCAGGATTCAGCCGCCAAACTCTTATTCTAGAGTACCAACATGTGTGGGGAGCAGAGTTGTGCCATGGTACAGGTGGTGATGCGGTTATGGAAGCGCTGGAAGCTTTGAGGATGTGGAGAGGTGGCTGGATGGAAGACAACAGCCCAATCAGATGAGAGCTTTTTGAGAGCACCATCTTTGGGGAATCTTCATTCTAACCCTATCTAATATTAGCTCGGATCTCCGAAGCTAAGCTTTGTGCTTTGGACTACTAAATTATGACGCTGGCGTTCGATCCAAAAAGCTTGTTGATACATGGCAAACGAAGAAAGCAAGACCATTAACGGGCTTTGGCCTTCATCCTTATTCGATTTCTTGAGTAGAAAAGCAACAGAACAAAGCTCCCCGCCGAACTTTCGGCCTGTTCCGAGTACGCTAATAATAGCTTGATCTTGCGAACGGCACAGCCAGATTGGTGAGGATTCCCACTTCCCAGGAAAAGCAAGACGCGATCAGCGCGGAGAAAGAGGCATAACTCCTCTTCTTGGTTGGGGACAATAGAAGCTTTCTACAGGCTGCACACTCATCACAGTTCCATGGTCATGGCAGCGCGTGTGGGAGGCACAGTCGCTGACTTTCTTGCCACACCGCCTCGAGCGCTGCTGAGCTGAGGCTTCGAGTGTGCCCATGGTGCTCTGCGCAGCGTATGCCAGATCTGTTCGATTCAACGACGTTTCGACGCCGAGGGTCTTCCTCTTTGGCCAGAAAATGCGGAACTTGACGTCTGAAACGCCAACCGCCGAGGCTCAAGCCAGCAACAGCACAAGATTCGAGGAAGCAATTTTGCTCACAGCAGGAGGCTGGGTTGCTGGGCATGGCCGGGCTTCGCTTGTGGAAATTGGTCTAGTTAACTGCAGGTAAGCGCTGTCGGGTCGCTTCTCGCCCCTTCGTCCAATCATTAACTCAGCTGGCCCTGTCAACATCCATCTCCGCACTCGATAGAGTTAGAGTTCCAACACCTGCATCTGCTGCTGCCAACGCCATGGTCGCGTTCATACGGCCATGCAGCAAGCCACCACCATGTCAACTCTCTCTCAGGAGGCCCTGCGTGCGCTCTTATGTTCCGTCTGACTCCAGCATTTCACGATCTGCTTTCCTTTCATTATTACTCCCATAATTTTCGAGCCTCTTCCTCAGTTCTTTCGGCGTGGCATGCATTCCATAGTAAAGCGTTGCGAAAATGAGGATTGCTTGTTTGCAGTTTGCCCCTCAGGTACGTCCTACTTTGGAAGTATGTAGTTGTGCGACCTGCATGGTTTTCTGACAGCTCACAGGTTGGTGACATTGACAATAACCTCAATCGTGCCGACTCGGTTCTCAGCCGCGCGGGCCCTCAAGACTTAGATTTGCTCGTCCTTCCGGAGCTGGCCTTCACTGGTACGGTATCCCTAGACTTTTGATCCTACAATCTCAGCCTTCGCGTCCCTGTTTGCTTGCAGTAAACTGATAGTTGCATGGCAGGATATAATTTCCGCTCATTACACCATATCAGTCCTTACCTTGAGCCCACAACATCGGGCATTACATCCTTATGGGCGAGGACAACAGCCCTCAAATACAATTGTATCGTTACAGTAGGCTATCCGGAGAAGGTGGATTTGAGTCCGAAATGGCCGGCTTCGCCAGAGTATTATAACTCTGCTATCACAGTTAATGCGGACGGTGAAACTGTGGCGAATTACCGCAAATCGTTTCTCTTTTATACTGACGAGACTTGGGCACTCGAAGGAACCGATGGGTTCTTCGATGGTTCGATCGAAGGCCTGGGAAAAGTGTCAATGGGAATCTGTAAGTTGCCTGCCGAAGATGCCATATGATTATATGAGCTGGCCAACAAATTAGTCCCACTAACCATGAAATTGTAGGCATGGATCTCAAGTAAGTCTTGGACTTTCCTCTATCTGGCCTCGCCTTGCCTCGCCTAACAACGTCAGTCCGTACAAATTCGAAGCAGCTTGGAATGCTTGGGAGTTCGCCCACCATGTGCTGCATCGCGAGTCCAATCTCATAATATTATCCATGGCAGTATGGCTACTACATTTCTCAAGTTTTAGGACCCCTCCATACAGCGCTAATCCGATCCTTGGTAGTGGATGACTCGTGAGAATGGCAGATCATTCAGTCGAACTCCGAAAGATCCTGACATGGATACCCTCTCGTACTGGTTAGCGCGACTTGAACCGATCATTAGAAACGAAGGCGAGGAAGAGATAATTGCAATCTTTGCAAATCGGACAGGCACCGAAGACAATGCCGTGTATGCGGGCACCAGTGCAATTCTCGGGATTCAGGCTGGCGAGGTCAAGGTGTATGGAATACTTGGTAGGGGAGAGAGAGAATTGCTCGTCATCGACACATCCGAGAGACCGAAAATGCAACTTGTTTCTGAGCCGAGGATATCAACTCCATTGGCAAAAGCGGCCACGTTGTCTCAGGACAAAACCAGTGCCAGCTTTTCCAGAGCAGCCGTCAATCCAACTCTCGATGAAGTTGCAGACTCAGAGAGACTGTCCACCTCATCGGACTCCGCTGCCGGTGACCAGAGCTTGACTGGCATTTTGTCGATTTCCACGGGACGCACATCACTCGACCCTCCTCCCTTGGATCCTTGCTCGTTCTCTCCAGTCTCTCCGGTAGACAAGCAGGCGTACTTCCCGAACAAGTCTGGGACGGACTTGCCAGTTGTAGAGCAGAAGCGGATGAAGGAGAGGTTGCCCACCCCTATCCCCGCCGAACCAGATACAAGGCCATCGGTTCGAAGGTATCCTACGCCCGTATCAGTTCCCTCGGTCCATTCAAGACCCGCCTCCCCAAAGTCAAGAAACTGTAGCAGATCACGAGGAGCAGTCTCTACGTTGCAAGATTCACCTCCCCTCATTGGAACCATGTCTCTGCTGGGCAATATCCTCAGTGACGAGGAGAGACTCAAAGATTCTCCTATATTGAGGAGTATCAGCATGCTTGGACAGGGAATCGATTTGGACTTGACGGATGATGATCTCGACCCCAATGAGATCATATACATCGAAGCCCCGGACTCTCCTCCGTTCGAGATTTTGGTCGACACCATCCTCAACAACAACCCACGGATCAGCCGTGCAGACTTCATGGCAAATCACATCAACAACCAGCCAATGCATTTACCATCAGATCCAGCTGTCGCCAAAATCCACCCAGATTGCAAAACCACCGAGACGGTTTTGGTGGACAGTGCAAGAAGCAGAACGCGCGACGACTCAGATAAGAATAATACACCAGAGCTGTCACCTGCGTCTGCTGCTGATTCTTCGCCATCTGCCAACAGTCACTGCGACTGCGATCACTCACCTCCAACCCAACCGGCTTCCGCTGATCCTCCACAACGGCGGAACCGTGCAGAAACAGGAAGAGATGACAAGGATCAATGGCTCTTCAATCCCATTAATCTGTCGCAACTCGAGTCATCCTTTACCAGAAATCCGCTGGGGCCCCGAAGTCTTCACATCACACCTCGTCCGCTCAGTACCATGTGGTAGTTTTGAGTTGTTGCTTGTGACGTCTGTATGATTGGTGCCACGTCCATACTTTTCATTTTGAAAAACCTTTCATTTGTGGTGCAGCAAGGCGTTTGGAGCTTCATTTTCTTTTCAGTTCTTGATGACTTATATGTGCGTGAGATGATACCAGTGCGCTGCTAAAGACAAAGAAGACCGAGCAATCAGCGGTAGGCACAAAATGGAGTAATGAGGAGCATATATGTACAATACCCTCATACATTTCGAGGATTTTACCAAATTCAGAATTTACGTCTTTGCCGACAGGCTAGAGCAGCCAATGTGTTTGATCATTGTGGGGGATTTCCGAGATCATAGTTCTGATGGAGGAGCGTTCTGTCTGGATTCGGTCAGGAATCGGAGACTTCAGCTAATTTGGTGGATCATCTTCAAGATGCAATGCCAACGTATTTTTTCAGCAAAAGCATGAGAAGACAGGTAAAACTTGAGTTGGTGCAAAACAAGATGGATCCTTGAAGTGAAGAAGCAGGTGTGGCCAATAATACATGGCAGAGCGCCTCGGTCTTTTCGATGTCAGAATCAAGATCTGACAGGATGCTCTCTATAGAACTGAACGGCTAGCGTTCTTATTTGAGATATGTGAAACAAGTCCTGCGCCGATTCCAAGAAAGAGCAATGACGAGTTGGCTTGCAGTTCCAGGTTGTTGGACCAAAGCTGTACGAGACACGCAACACAGAGCATGATAATAGTAGTACAGATAGCGCAAAGTGCAAATCATGGATTTTTGCCGAACGGCGTCAAAGTCTGCTCAAACGACCAATCTGCGACCACGGGCTCGCGCTGCAAAGAAGGCCTCGAGGCTCAATGTGTTCAAAGAATAAATGTTTCGTGGATTTCTGGGTGACGGTAGCAATCTCCTCTGTTGAGCAGTCGAGTACAGCATCTATGTCTGCTCGATGATGGCTGCTTATTCGGTAAGGGACTCGGACTTTTCGATAAACCCGTAGAGTCGACGAGTCCACCATGCAGTCCCAAGAAATGACTAGTAGCAGTTTTACTGAGGCTGGTGATTTGTCTTTCGTGTTGCTAAGAGCTCTGACAGTCTTGGGGATTCATGGCTCTCCAGCTCGGTTGATGGATTTTCTGAAGTCCATTCGCTGTCAGCATGATGCTGCTGCAATACTAAGTGCGATATCACGCAATCTAGTGCCGGGTTGGGAAAGTGAGCTGCACTTGTACCTTTTTATTATATTAACCTCCGTCCATTGGGACAATATCGATCATGTGCTTCTCCGGGCCACTTCCAGCCCTGCGGGTTCGTTCCTTGGGCATCCGACCTCTGAACCCACTTTCACCGCCTCTCTTGAACGTCGGATGTGACAAGAGGGCAAGATGTGGGCGGTCCCTATTCGTGAACATCTAGGGCTGAAACGTGGTGTTGACCCAGCCAGGGTCGACTCGGGAATGTAGATTGGTGGGGAAGCTGGAAAGCCTGGAGTGTTTCTAAGTCAGTGCGAAGCGAGCAAATCATAGCGCCATTCCTCCCTGTAAGCGCCCACGGGATCGAGCGCACAGCGCGCTTTCTCGTCCTACACCCCTTGCCAGCCCGGCTCGTTCCTTCCTCAGGGATTCCAGCACTCCAGGACTCCAGCACAAAAGCTCGTCCTACGACACCAATCATCCGCACTACCTACCTCGCCCTCGAACTGCTGTATTGTGCCGCTCTGAGATAGAGAGTACCTGTGGTATCTGCCATCCTTCAGGCCACCAGTCAGGAAACCTTCGGCCAGTAGGCCCTGCCTGTTCGTCGAACACTAGCCAGTTCGAAATTCTTGTCACATCCCCAGCCTCATCTCCTTTCTTCCTGTTCCGTATTGTCCTTCACAATTGTCACACCTCGATTACTCGTCCCTTCAACGTCATTTCCCCCACCCGCTGTATGTCTCGTCACTGTTTTTGATCAGAAGTTCCGAACGATGAGGATTGCGTGTCTGCAGGTATACCCACCGCTATTTCGTGCCCACTTTCCTTATGTAGCTGACGTCGCAAATAGTTCGCGCCGCAGGTTGGCGACGTCAACAACAATCTTAATCGCGCAGATGCAGTCCTGAATAGAGCGAATCCACAGAACATAGATCTACTGGTCCTTCCGGAATTAGCGTTCAGTGGTGAGTCTGGGAACGGAAGGACATACATAACAATACTATTGGATGTGCTCTGCGACAGTTCGGATACACGATTTATCTTCCCCTCCTCTCGATACCGCATGCAAGCTGCTGCACCATTGTTGCGTGATGAACAGGGCAGATCAGAAGTCTTGAATCTGCCAGATCATACAGTACTGCCTCGGTGATATACAATATTAATCAGGCACAGGATATAACTTCAAATCCCTACAACACATCAGTCCCTATCTCGAACCGACTACTGCGGGTATCACTTCCCTGTGGGCCAGGACAACTGCTTTAAAGTACGACTGCATAGTTACCGCCGGGTATCCTGAAAAAGTTGATATTACACCAAAGTGGCCTGCTTCTCCTGAATACTACAATTCAGCGATAACAGTGAGCGCAGAAGGGGAGACAATTGCGAACTATAGAAAGTCTTTTCTCTATTACACAGATGAAACATGGGCGCTGGAAGGGCCAGATGGATTTTATGATGGAGAAATAGACGGTTTGGGGAATGTTGCGATGGGGATCTGTAAGTGGCCAACCAAGTCGTTTGAGCGTGAGTACTTTAGATGCTGGGAAACGTCAGCTAATTTCGTCCTTAGGCATGGATCTGAAGTAAGCTTGTTGATTCTTGTTGGTAGGGGAGGACTGCTGACTTGTTGATAGTCCATACAAGTTCGAAGCGCCATGGAGCGCTTGGGAGTTCGCGTATCATGTTCTCCATAAAGAGGCGAACTTGGTCATCATTTCTATGGCATGGTTGACTCGTGAAGATGCTAGATCTTTCAGCCGAACACCAAAGGAACCGGACATGGAGACGCTGTCATATTGGCTCGCAAGAATGGAGCCTTTGATTCGAGCGGAGGGTGACGATGAGATTATTGTGGTGTTCGCGAATCGATGTGGAACTGAGGATGACGCCGTATATGCTGGGACAAGCGCTGTCCTAGGCATTCAAAGCGGCGAGGTCAAGGTCTATGGTATTCTGGGACGCGGGGAACGGGAACTGTTAGTTGTTGACACCAATCGGCCTCCACAAGCAAAACTCATCTCTGAACCCAAATCTGCTAGCTCAAAACGTCAATCGATCGGTTCCAATCACTCAGCAGGCCAGACTTTATCTTCGAAGGCAGCTAAGCCTATCAAGACAACCAAATCTGTCAATTCGCCAAACCTGAGTGTCTCGATCGGTACGCCTAGCGCAAGATCGCTTTCCTCAAGTCCTCCTACTCCAGACGCGATGGAAATTACTGTGGATGACACAATAGCTCCGTTGTCACCTGTCGATGCGAGAGCACCGAACATGTTCTTCTCAAGGCCAGGAGACATCGATCCTGATCCGCGGCGAGCGAGTCGAGGAAGCCTCAAGTCGAGCACAGATGAGGTGAAGCAGGCAGATGCCGCCAAGCCAGATTCACCTACTTTATATCGCCCTCCGTCGCCAAGATCACGAAACTCGAGCCAGGATCGTAAGTCAAACTACAGTGATGCCTCCCCGACGTCTCCTGAGCTTGTACAAGAAAGCGGGCCAGGATCCAAGACTTTGGGAGTGGAGAGCCCTCTTGTTGTTGCCAAATCTCCTCCGCACTCTGCCTCTGCGATACCAGACAAGTATGAAGGGAATCTCACTAGCAAAGGAGCTGGTCGGGAGAGTCCTGTCGGCTCGCCTCGGCCCAAAAGTGTGACCTGGTGAAGTAGCGTAGCATACCTTAGAGGCGAAATGAGGCCAGAACCCAGTGACAATACAGCGCTTCACCAAGTGAATAGTTGCACGGCTGTCTAGCGCTTGTTAACTATTTAAGGGGTTGTCAATAGAGAGTCTACCGAGAGTCTACCGACTATCAAGCGCGGGGGTGCGGTTACTGTTAACTTAGCGCTGTATTGTCCCTTGGTCTCGGCCGCATCTTTCCTTTAAGGTAGGTACTGCGCGCATGCGAAGGCTCTGCGCTTTGATCATTCTATTAATGCCCTCCAAGAATTTAGCGGTGTTATGACTCAGCCTGGAGTTTGGGAATCATGGGGATACTGGAGCATTGTTTCCGATCGATGAATCATGACTGGACGAAGCAAATGGCATAGGCCTGTGGGCTCTTCTGCTGGAGTACGAGACACATGCTCGTGTATTGATATGTATATATGATGAGTATTCCGAGTTAGGATATTTTCCTCTCAAGTCGCACGCTCTTTGAACTTGATTGAAGTGATACATACTTGTTGAACGGGCTTGGCCGGTGCAGGTAACAAACCCGGTAGGGTGGCTCGAATACGGAGGAAAATCTTACTGTACCAGCTATGGCTTTTGACTTGGCCCTCCAAGAATTCTTTTTACTCGTCTTCCAAAATATGGCTTGCACTGTACTGATTCCAAAGACGGCCATGTACCTTTTTCGCGATGAGGCTCGCGTGTTTGAAATATGAGCGGGCCGAGCCTGTTGTTTGGGCTTGTGCACAACTCGGAGCCCTGTGCAACTGATTTAGCGAGTGAGGCCCCTGAGAATAAGCGAGATAATACTTCTTGGCAGCGTTCCAACATGATTGAGGGTGTAGTAAATTGTCGATGTGACGGTTCTGGGCTGAAGTGTGGTCGGGTATCTTCGGTAGCTGTTGAGACCTTTTGTCTTTCAATTTGAAGTGCGTGGTGTGGAGTCTGGTCGCGTTGGTCGCGTTTTGATGTGGAGTTCATATGATGAAGCGAGGTGCTGTGAAGTAGGTAGAAGATAGGAAGAACTCCCTGGTTCTGCAGATTGTAGACGCACAATTGGCAGAGCGTCAAATTACGAATTGGTGAGTGGCAGCAGCTCGGTCGTCAAGATAGTTAGGCATAGAGGAGAGGAACATACCAAGGTTGATTCACTACCGAGGAATAGATTTTGAGATAGGGGTGAAGAGAACGCCAGAAGGTGGAAGAGACAGACGCCAATAGTAAAGCATACCCATAGAACACTTCCTTGAAGTGACAAACGATGACACGGTCGGTGCATCTGAAAGTCATTTCGACAATGTCCCTTAGTTTGCGAACGTTGATGTTGATTTGTCAGTGTCTGTTGTCGCCTCCCGCTCAATACCGCCCAGTGCTTGGATTTAGGGACAGGTTGCTGCTCAGATCTATATTTGCTCTGGGACTAAGGCAAATACGTCTCTGAGTAGGTGTGTTCTACATTTAGACTTGAATGTAAATACGGGAAGCTTGTTGTCTTGACAGATTGATGGGCCGTCGGAGTGTCAAGGTGGATCTACCACGGCCGCACTGTCCCAGACCACGAAATGTATCTGGTTCCTCTTTATTCACCATATTTATCGTCAGCGCGTATTTAATCTTTCAGAGTGTGGACGGGGATATCGAAATAGTGTAGGCAAGAGAAACAGGAGCAGGATTACCTTGGTAAAGAAAACATCCAGTCTCAAGATCAAGAAGCGCTTGTGCAGAGGATGTCGCTTCAAGTAACTATCTATCTCTAAATAGGTCATTTTGCAACTATTCATGACCTGTGATGCAAGTCTGTCGACCCATTATTTGCTCGTGTTGACGGATTTGGTTTTGCTAATTCCTTGAGAGACATCCGGCGGCTGTAAATATTGATTTCGTGCGCTTAAATCATTGTGGTGTCTCCAATCATTCTTTGAGGTAGATGAGACACAATCTATGATGTTCGAAGATCTGTTGGTGAGGTAGCTCTGAGTGTGGTCAGACGAAAAATTCATTGGACAATCAACAGGTTTTGTGATAGCCCCCAATGTGATGACAGTATGCCCATGTGATGAGTAGAGAGCCGATTAACACTTGATTAATGATGTGAGCTGGAAATTTTGGCAAAATAGGAGCGAGAATGAAGAAGTTGGAAGTTCTGACGAGACAAGTGTCGACTTCACACTTGCAGCGCTACGAAACTCGGCTCAAGGAGGGGTAACAACATGCGAGGAAATATTGATTCTCGGAGGAGACTGCTTATCTGCATACAGATGGGGAGTACCCCTCATCCAGATACACGGAAGGAATGTGCAAGCTCGCGAAAGCTGTCCAGATGGAGAAGCTGCTGAAGGGATTCCACGCGGTAGTCATGTATCTCGGAGGATCCTGTGGATATCAGAGCTCCCCGCTCAAATTCACCACTGGTAATGCATACACAAGCGCTCCCCAAATATTGGTTGTATGCAGCAGATCTTAAGCATGAACACCGATGGCCAACTTGATAAGAGTTGCAGGAAGCTGACATGTATGACACTTGGCCACTGGACCAGGAGGCGCGTCTTTAGCGAGAGTTGCGCAGCGGGCCGTCGCGGAAGGCTGCAAGTCATCGAATAGGTGGGTAAGAGCGCGTTAGTGGCTGAAAGGTGCTGTAGGTATGGCCTCTTATGCGGCTTATCTGCCAGTGTGGAAGAACTTCAAGAAATTCCCAGGCGCTATCTTGCCCCGCTCCAGAAGCTACTCTGCATGAAATCATTCTATGTAAACCATCGCATTGGATAACCTCGAGAAGGCAACTTCCTCGACTCTGTGCCTTCGATCTGCTTGATATCTTCCGTCAACATTCCTGGAAGAATCATCGAAGCGCTGTGAAAGGCCTTCAGCTGCAGGAATATATTGGACGGAAAGTCGGACGACTTTCTCACTGATAGGACTTGGATATGTGTGTGCTCGTCTGCGTCAGACATGTGAGGATGGTGGTGATCAAGACCCTTTGAAAAATAAATGAAGCTCCAAACTCCGGGCCACTCATATGAGTCCTCTGCGGATAGCAAAATTGGGGTCTGCGCGGTTAGAGATGTTGGTACTCGAGTCTTATCGTCGAAGAAGCGCGAAGTGACCACGGTCTCCCGTAAATCTAGTGCTGGATGAGACTGAAGTTGTGAACCGTCCACTGAACTTCGAAAGCAGATGAAGATGTTGATTGTATCAATCATACTACACTCGAGCACCTCGTTGACAATGAGATATACCCCCAAAGCCAAAAGTTGAAAAACTGTAAGCCGTTGAATAATGTCCTTACACTGTGTAAAAAGGCCTGCTTGAGGCGTGACGGAGAGGACTTGAGATCACCCCGCGGTGCACCCCGCTTATCGGAAACGGTTCTTCGTGAAAGAAGGTGGTTGTTCAGCATTGCTGATTTGCCGGACCTTAGGCTCTCAAAGGCCGCATTGATGACATGACTGCATCATGGCAGCGGGAGCGGGCATTCCCAGAGCTTTGAGACAAGCTACAGATGTCCCGTAAGCGCCCACTAAAAGCCTTTTTTGGCCATGACTTGGCCCACCGACCTCATGCATCTGCATGGTACGTACATTCCCTACAAATGTACAAATTCGGGGCCAAAAATTACTCGCGGTGTATCGCATGGAGAGAATCCTAATCGGGTACAATTCTGAACCAGCCTCTACATTCTGTTGATGATATAAGTTGTCGCTTTCGCACTTGACATTCATGCTTCGAGTTGCAATTGGTGCCAGAGTATCAAGACAACGACAGTCAAAACCTCATCGAACCTTCGAGGCTAGAACACTATCTAAACATCAGTCCTTGCTTATCAGTAACCACAATCATGAGAATAGGGTGCTTGCAATTTGCGCCCCAGGTAAGTCATGTTGTACGCGGACTTGACACGAGAAACTCACCCTTCTCTCAGGTTGGAGATGTCGACAACAACCTCAACCACGCCGACTGTGTCTTAAGCAGGTCCAATCCTCAAGATCTGGATCTGCTTGTACTGCCCGAATTGGCATTCTCTGGTAAGTCTGTAAGCCTTCGTATGATATCCTTTCAGCAGAATGATGTTGGTTGTGGATGCGCCACGGGTGATCCCGAGAGGCTGTCTCGGCTATGCGCTATGCGCCCCAGAATCCAGACTGGTGGGATTCTTCAAAACCAATAGCGGGGAACTTCGTGGAGATTATAAAGTACGTAAGCTGATTCAAACAGGATATAACTTCCGATCGTTGCAGCACATCTCCCCTTACCTTGAGCCTACTGCGGCGGGCATCACTTCTCTCTGGGCTCGCACTACAGCACTAAAGCACAACTGTGTAGTTGCCGCTGGCTACCCTGAGAAAGTCGATGTTAGCAAGAAATGGCCTCCAAATCCCGAGTACTATAATTCTGTTATTATGGTTAACACAGAGGGTGAGACTATCGCCAATTATCGTAAATCATTCTTGTACTACACCGATGAGACCTGGGCTCTCGAGGGGCTCGGCTTTTATGCCGGAGCGATCGAGGGGCTCGGCAACATTGCCCTTGGGATATGTAAGTTATGGCCCAACGCAATGTCAACTACATCACTGATTGGAATGCCTCGTCTAGGTATGGATTTGAAGTAAGTTGAACCAATTTGGTGATCAAATTTCTTGCTGACCACGCCAGCCCCTACAAGTTCGAGGCGCCGTGGAGCGCATGGGAATTCTCACATCATGTTCTTCATGTTGAAGCAAACATAGTTATTTTGTCAATGGCGTGAGTAGCTTTTCCTCCTCTACTCTCAGACTCTTACAATTTCCCTTCGTATTGGGCACATTGATTTTTGTATCTGAACACCCTTTTGGGAGAAAAATTCCATGCTAATTTGGCCTCTATCAGTTGGCTCACCCGTGAAGATCCAAGATCTTTTAGCAGAGCTCCAAGCGAGCCTGATATGGATACACTTGCCTACTGGCTGGGTAGGCTAGAACCTCTCATCAGAGCAGAGGCTGTCGGTGAAATCATCGTCATATTCGCCAACCGCTGTGGTACGGAAGAAGAGGTCGTATACGCAGGAACAAGTGCAGTGATTGGAATCAATAATGGCGAAGTGAAAGTATACGGACTTCTCGGCAGAGGAGAAAAAGAGCTCTTAGTGGTCGATACCGACGAGCGGCCACGGGCCAAGCTTGTCTCAACGCCGAACTCTTGCGCCACAGAAGAGCCAGAAACTGCTCCATCACCTGAGCCTGCCGAACAAGAGCCAGTGAGCTTCCCAAATTGGTCTGACCCAGATAGTGGAGATAGGTCTGAAGATATCGATGACTACTACTACAAATTTTCACCTGTATCACCATCAGATTCTCGGTGCCCACCAATTTTCTTCAGTCCTAAGCCAACTCCTATCAGCGAAAGCTACTACGACTTCCCGACTCCAGATTGCTCACGAACGAGCTTCACAGCTGCATCACCAGATTCTCCAACTTTTCGCCGGCCATCATCCCCAAAGTCTAGAAACGTGAGTCGAAATGAAAATCGCGAGGAGGCGACCTCAGAGGTAGTCTTTCCAGACATCCACAAGGTGGATGAAAGTTATGTGGGCCGTAGTGGACGCAATTCCGCCTCTGCAGTGCCGGATGGATGTCAGTCTACATTCTCTCCAAATTCTCTTGGCCCAAGAAGTCAGAATGTCATGCCTCGTCCGAAAAGTACAGTGTGGTAGATCGAGATGGAATGAGATACTTGACCAAATTTATTTTCTGCATTATGTTATTGCTTACGTTCATTTGTATTGCAGCATGGAGTTTGGCAGGGTTAGGAGCATGGAACTCTGGTGACTTACATCAAGATAAGCTTGGTACATTTTTGTGGCGAAAATATGGAGGGGGTTACGTTGGCGTTGAGGAGTTTTCTTGGTGTTGATTTGCATTCTTGTACTTCCATTGATAGATCTTGTACTCGTCTGCATATGGGAGACACAAATATGTCAAAAGAAAAACTTCCAAGACTACAACCCTGCAGCACTCGTTCTCTGGAGACGGTGTCCGTAACAACACTCTCTTGTCCAGCCATGACCTCATGGCTTGACTTCTACATGCATGGAATATCTTCTTGGAATTGCTCGTAAACACACAGCTCGCGTAATTTTAATTTTCCAGTAGGCGATAACCAGTGTCGAAAAAGCCAAGGGCAATTACATTTTCGAGGAAGACTCCTGGGGCATGCAATTCGATGAAACAGCTGCTCTGGGTTGCTGTGAGGGAAGAGAGCTTCCTCGATTGCTCAGGGGTGAGGATTATGTGTCAAGTGAAAACGTGACCTGACTCTGCATATCTACCTAGGTAGGCTAGACGACTCCAACATTGTATACTACCAAGGCAATGTCGAGAGATACTTGCCTCTGGTTACCACATTGCCGGAACGATGCAATTTGCTCAGGCTGCCGTCAGATGGTGAAATCACGTGTGTTTCGCTTCATCTCCCCACGTGCAGTTTTTTCTGTCAAAGGTTCCGCTTCATTGCTCCTTCACGAAATATCGCCAAAACCTATACAGATTTTGTTAATGCGAACACTCACCCATTTTCATCAACCCGCGAAGATATGATTTTTTTTAGTGCACAAGATCTGCTGTATCAGTCATATCGTGCCGCGTCAAGTTACTTCGGATTGAATTCCTCCGCAGGGCTAGTCATCCTCCGCTGCTTGTGGTAGCCATCTCCATATTGCTCTGGATTATGTAAATAGACGATGTCACTGCTAGCAAGACCCAAGCAAGTAGATCTCTTCCATCTTTGTTTTCTGGGCTGTTCGCACTCTTCCTTCGCCACTGCATGCAGAATTCTTCATGGAATGCGCACCTTTTCGGGGTTTCTGCCCTCATCGCCTGGAGAGGTCAACCGCCAACCACCGGAGTCAAGCTTTGAATCTGTATAACCCCAATCATATGACCCTCTAGTATGGGTCTTTTAATATCTTTGTTTCTTCGCTCCTTCTACTTTCAATTAAGTCTAAATTGCGAACGCCTTCTGCCGGCACCGAGTGCCGTTTCACATTCAGGCAAATGCTCGCAAGTTACGTATCATAGCATATCGACACCTCGTGCTACCAGTTTACCCCGGAGATCTCCTCCCCACATTGAGAGCATGTCATGTTTATATAAAACGTTTTCTCATCTCGTGACGGGATGCGAGGCTTTTATAAGTAGTTGGGGACGTTCCTCTACTGTCTCTTGGCCATCTTCATTCTGCTTCACCCCGGTTTATTGTACAATCCAGAACAAGATTCACTTCATTTTTCAGCATGAAGACTTTTGCAACAGCTGTATGCCTCGTGGTCTCTGCTACCTCTGTGGTAGGACACTCCACTTTCCAGCAACTTTGGGTTGGGAGGTACGCAAAACTTTTCCTAACACTTCTCCGCCATTCATACAATTCTCGACAGGAATGTCTCATATTAACTGAGCATTTTCAGCGTCGACAAAGCTGGAACTTGTGCGCGTACAGTACCGAACAACAATCCTGTCACATCAGTCTCTTCCACGGATATAAGATGTAATGTTGGCGGAACCAAGGGTGTGAGCGGGATTTGCCCAGTCAATGGTATGTACGGGGACTTTCTCGTGCACTACAGAGCTGACATAAACCTCCATAGCCGGTGACAGTGTCACTGTTGAGATGCATGCCCAGCCAGGCGACCGCTCCTGCAAGAACGAAGCTATCGGTGGCAACCACTTCGGCCCCGTCATCATATATATGTCCAAGGTTGCCAATTCCCAAACAGACACAGGTGCAGGATCATGGTTCAAAGTCGATGAAGAAGGATACGACACAACGACGAAGAAATGGGGCACGGTAAGCCAAAATTGTGATACTGCTTGGGGCTTGATCTTTCGAAGCGCTCTTGCATGAGGAGGTTCTAACGTTGATAGGACTCATTGAACGCCAACTGCGGCAAGAGATCATTTAAGGTTCCTTCGAATCTCGCACCTGGAGATTATTTACTTAGGGCCGAGGCAATTGCTCTTCATGCAGCTTCTAGCTCTGGAGGTGCTCAGTTCTATATGACCTGCTTCCAACTCACGGTCAGTGGAACAGGAACTGCCACGCCGGCTGGTGTCAGCTTTCCAGGAGCATACAAAGCTTCGGATCCTGGAATCTTGATCAACATCTACCAACCAATCTCTAACTATGTCATTCCTGGTCCTGCAGTATACAAAGGATAAGCGCTGGCAATGAAGTTGTGGAAATACGAGACTATTTGTGTGATGTGTTTTCACAACAGTTCCTTCAAGAAAGAAGTCATAAACGATTTCATATATCGTACTGTACATAAGATGCAAACAGCATCGATCCAATGATATCATGCAGCTGGAGTTTACCGCTCCTGCCGTTTCATCACAAGTTAAGCGTTCACAACTCACTCGTCTCCAATATCTGGGCCAACTGGTGCCGTCGATAGCTTGATATTCGCCCTTGTCGGTGTCGATGTGTAGCATTGCGCTTGTTGCATCTGACTCAAAATGAAGACATATCGCTCAATCATACGGTGATGGCCCAAGACTGTACGATGCAGTCAATCAGTCGGCACCTCTAACCGCCTCTGGAGTCATCACACTTCAAGTCCCGAACCATAACACCGGAAAATGAAGCGAGTAGACGTTTGTTGAGAAGCATCAGAATCTGGCTCCGTAATGACGCTCTATTACTGGTTTAAATATGCCACCAGCATTGTCGAAGACGCTGAAGCAGGACCAGCTCATTGGTTTCCGGCAGAATCATGCTGACATGTTAGGTGGCTAACATAAGGTTCCTTCAGAGTCTGATTGTTGGAATATGCGTCCAATCGACTTACGGCACTACGCGCCCGGTATTTGAACAAGTCTGGATCTGGAGCTCAGTGATTCCAAGCCAACGCCACAATCCGATTCAGCATCCGCTCGGATGTGAACAACATTAAGAGGCCAGAAAGTAATAGTTGGAAACTTATATGGCGTTCTGGAGCGGCCACTGAGAAGGCCTCTTTAGCCCCCAATCACCCCGATCGAACAAAGCCGGGCCGTACCGAACCAATGGAGTCCTTGCTCTCGTCCTTGCTGTGGCAACAGGGGCACCAAGTGAAGTTTGAGTGATCCCTCAAGTCTCCGTAGGTTATTGTGAAGTGCATTGCATTGGCGGCTGTCATGACGGAACTGTGTAGCTTTCATACAGTTGCGTCGCGTCGCATCGCGCTGAAGTTTCTCGTCACTATCACAGTCAGAGATCGATAGTAGGAGTGGGCTTGCGCGAATAATGCATTACCCAGTGTATTTCTTCCAGCCGAGCTTTACGATACTTCCACTTACGGCCACGAGGGCACCAACGGCCCCCAATCATCGATTCTCCAGGCTCAGCCAGTGTGACAGCGTGCTCTGGGGGAGGGACGTTCAGGGATCTTCAGTGGCCCGTAGCGGACGATGGTTCGCCTCTCCAGCTCCATGATCGCGAATCAATCGAGAGCTCGAGCCTGCCATCCCTGCTGTATCATCACTTTGACCCCCTGTCTGCAGGGTGACTGCAGGGTACCTCGCATGCACAGCAACGCTGTTGGTGAGAACGAGGAATGGTGTGTCGGTCTCTGCCGTAGGGGAGGGGAGGGGGGCGGCCAAGGGTAGCCGGGGCTGAGCTGTGGAGAACTTCCCTCGAGATAAGTGCGCATCAAGTGCGCCATCGTGGACTTCTTGACCACAGTCAAGCTTTCACAGACTCTACTCTACCATATATGCCAGCCAGCTACCCCCTCCGCTTTCCAGCAGAAGCAACTTGTTAATCAGCTCTGTTTACTTGCAAGGAGGTAGAACAATCTTGCTGGCCAAGATCAATCAATGCCCATGTAACACACGTCTTCAACCACGGACGTCGGAGAGTTCACCACAATCGTTCAACAACACAGCATCACGGCTGTTGGCCCTTCAAAGATGCGGTCCTCGGCCTTTGCACCTGCTCTCGTTCTCATCACATCCTTCGCACCATCAACAATAGCCTTGAAAGCGTCTACATCGTCTCCATGTGCAGCTCAGTGTGGCAATGAGTTGGGGAGTACCTCTGGGAGTGATATTGTCTGCGCAAATGCCGATTACAAGTCAGCCCCAGCGGGCATAGTATTTTCAACATGCGTTTCATGCCAGTTAGGGAGCCAATATGTTGATCCAGTCACCAAGCAGTCGGATCTTCATTGGGCGATCTGTAAGTATTCGCCGATATATTCCCTGTGTCCAAAGAACCCATTGTTGACCTGTCAAACACTGATAGACAACCTGCGATATGCTACAAGTTGGTGTCTATTTGGGTTTCCAGATAACAAGAACGTAGCAGGCGGGCCGTGTATAACAAGGTATTTCATTTCACAGCATCCATCTATTGAAAATATAATCTGACTTTGTCACCAAGTACTTCCTGCGGGTCTCTTCAAAGTGCCTTCGAGTTTGATTCACTGTCTCTCAATGCCAGCAGTTATGGTTTCTGCCCGCTCCTACCTGCTGTCACTGTTCCGCATTGCACTTCTTGTCTCGCCTTACAGGACGACCAGTCCTATATTACGAACTGTATGCTCCAGCTCACCTCTTCGCCCTTTGAGTGCTCACTAACACCTGTTCACAGTCGTAACAACTCTCAATGCCGGCTGTCAACAGCAACCAGCACCGGGAAGCAAACTTTATATTGAGGGCAGCCTGTTTTCCACAACTCTTGTCAACATAACTTCCCCTGATACGGCACCAATTTCGCACTATCAAGGACCTGGAAACGGAAGTTTGAACTTGGGAGCCAAGATCGGCATTGCTGCTGGAGGTCTCGTTATCCTACTGTCCGTCATAGGCTGTTGCATCATCTGGCGAGGAAAGAAACGTCGTAGAAGGTACTTGATGAAGCACCAGCAAGAAACCGGATATGCAGAATGGGTCTCGCAGCAAAAGGCAGCATCGATGTCACCACCAATGCCGAGCCCTGGAGGGTTCTTCGAAAGTCCTCAGAGTCAGCGACCCTTGGTATCATCGCAGCCATGGGCACGAGGAGTGCACGACGAAGAAAGCCCCGCTAGCGCCATGGGAGAGAAAGTCTACTTCAGCCCATACTCCAGTCAGTACAACAGTCCCGTGGACGCCAACGACCAAGTCCAAAATATCGGGAGCGTCAGAGACTGGCCAATAGACAGGAAAGGCAGCTTTGGAGCGGCAGGATCATCTGGTGTTCGCAGTCGCAGTCGAGAGAAGAGGGAGACCATCGAGATGCAGAATGTCACCCCTGTACTGTTACATCCAGGACATGGCAGGGGGGCCGGTCCGCTGACCGACGAGGATGTGAGGAGGGGACACGCCTTGTGAGAGGCCAGCGGAGGAGTGAAGGCTGTCAGCAAGAATCGTGGTTCTCATTGGTCAATGTTCTTAGCGGGAGTTCTGGGGTTTTGCTTGGTTGGACAACAATCGGGCAGGGGACAGGTTCGGCGCCGCTTGGATAAATGCTGTATTGGCTACTGTACATCCAGTCATCAATGGTTGATCAATACGGATGGAGGTGTGAGTGGCCCCCTCGGCAGTCTCTTTCGGTCACTCAACTCGGCGCTCTCACTCCTTATGAGCATAATTTATGAGTTTGAAGTAGACAGCTTCATTGCATACTTTTCCCAGCTCTTTTTACCACGGAATGCGTGATTTATACAATTCACCGCTAATACTAACGCGCGCTGTACACAGCCGCTCGAGCGTGAACTTGGCACTGCTCCGGATATTCCGTCATAACGCACAGCGGCAGTCGAGAAACTCAATTTACGCCATTAGTTTAGGATGCGGAGCGCATGGCCGATCTTATCGGGGGGTCACGGCAAGTCCTGATACGAAGAGGCTGGTACCAGGGGGCTGCATTTCCAACAATTTCCAACACTGTGCAAGATATCTTCCAAGCGAGGTTACCTGTCCAGGGCATAATGCTGCATGCATGGGATTCTTGATCGGTAAATGATCTTCTGTGTTACAGCGAGTGAGGGATCTAGTTGCTGGGGGGCTTTGTTGGTTGTTCGTATGTGATGTACAGTATTCTTCCAGGCGCCGAGACTTCTTTGTTGACTGAGGATTGTAGCCTGCAGCATGAATTGCTGAGGTGGTCAACATGAGGAAGATGAAAATTCGAGTAACTTGTGACAATGTGTTGGGTATCAAATTCTCAATTACCACGTATCAATCAATCTCAATCTGACGCGTACCACTCCTATTCCTCGTCTCTCAAAGGGGAAAATCAACAGAGCCCAGTTTGTACCAGTATCTCCTCCTTAGACTCCTGACCCTTGGTCCCAGGTCGACGCCAAAACGCCTTGCAAGAAGAAAATTCCAAACCGTCATAGCTTCAGTAACTTCCTGGCCACATCTCCTCACTCGTGTCACTCTCTGGACTCGGTCTTTCAGCCACTTTGTCTCGTGAGTGTGAACTGCTTATTCCCTGCTTGTACAATCTCTCTCTATTCTTGCGTGCCTGCTCATCAGACTCAAACCTATTGCCGACCTTGACAATTGGGCCAGAGATCTGGACGGGACTAGGGACGAATCCTCGTCGAATCCCCAGATTTTGCGTCTGCAGTCTGGATGCAGTGCTTGGATTCCGAGACATTGCAGCAGCAGAACCACCAGGACGTGCTGCTGATGCATTGCTAGCATTTCGACTGTGGGAGTTTGGTAGTGATGTGGAAGAGTTCATTTGGTTCCTTGCCACTGATGCGCCGGGCCCAGTGGCAAGAACGCTTGAGGCACTGCTTGCGTTTCGAGCCACTGAGGCTCGAGGTCCTGAGGGCAAAGTGTTCTTCACAGTGGCATCCAGTGATACTGGAGGCTGGGGTCGCTGGGGATGTGTAGCTGGGACTGGTTGTGGTGGTTGCTGTGGTGGTGATGGAGGTGTTGGGAAGTATAAAGGAGATGTTGAATTACGAGATGGCGGCGTGTACTCGGGTGGTATGTAAGCGTGATGTGCAGGTATTGACTCTTGATTGGGACGAGGCGGAGAGTACATTGGAGGACTGGAAGAATTTGTGGAGTGAGGTGACGGTTGAATTCCAGTGCCTTGCCATTCTCCAGCTCGTTGAGGCAGCTGTCTCACTAAACTGAAGTTTTTGACCTTAGGAGCACGCGACATTTGCACATGTTCTTCCTCCTTGAGCGGGGGCGAGGTCTGTGGGGAGCTGTATGCTCCGTGATGTGGGGCGGTGATGTTTTCCGCTCCGAATCTCTCATCAAGAGGGCTTTGAAGCTGCTTCAAGCGTCTTGCAGTACGGCGTTTCCTTATACATATGAACGCTGCTGCAATCAATACGAGGAACACAACAACGCCTGCAACTGAAATTCCAATGATTGCACCTTGGCTGAGACCACCTTCGTCTTTCTTGTTGGGGGTAGACGATGAAAAGGTCATTTTGACCTGATTTTTCGAGAAGATTGTATCGTTCAAGCCAACTGCAAAACCAGTGGGCGGTCTTTGGTTGCAGCCTGCTTGCAAGGCGGTGAGAACTGCGGAGAGTCAGTGAAAAGCATCGACGAGTCGGACCAAGGTAACGTACAGTTTGAGAGGTAAATAGTATTGCTGTTGGATTTGAGACAGTCCCGGCAGGTACCTAGGCTAGATCCCAAGAATGAATTGTCATATGCTGAGCAGTATGAATACTGGCCGCTTGTCAAAGGTGTTCCCATGCCATCATTGAGAGCTTTTCGGAGTGGTCCACACACGGAAGTTGAGGCACAAGGGGTGGACAGCGAGTCCGAGGCATTGGCGGTACCGAAAATGCAGGTGCTGAAGGCATATCGAAGGTTGTCTTTGGCATGTCATTAGCTGCCAAGTCATTTTTCTTTTCAGTGTTGACTTGAACGTACAGAAATACCATCCCTGATCGTTCTCATTTCCACCAGATGCTGTGCTGGATTGCAGGCAGGTCAAACAACCTTGGAATTTGGTACCAGCGGAAGTGTGGCCATAATTGTCATCACTGCAGATAATGTCTGAACCCACGGTGTTCGAAACATTTGGGTCGGAGAAATCTGCGGGTAGACTGTCTACGCAAACAGATGCGCACGCCGAGTTGGGTGAGACTTGCAAGGCCCAGGTCGGTGTTAACATACATGCAACCAAGATTGAGGCGATAGTTGAAGTGGTCATTTTGAGAGGGCTCATGAGCAGCATGGTCGAAGAAGTACTTGGTGGTCGAAAGGCCATCTCGACTTCACGTCTCCAAAGATCTCCAGCCGCAGCCTTGCTGATGCGGGCATGAGTAGAACGCCCTTCGGAGAACAGTCCAACAAAAAACACAAACACCAACCCAGGGAGAGAGAAAAGACGCAGAGGTGAGGAAAGACTAGATAACGGGAAGCTCCCCATCATATACGGGCACTTACTCCCGGGCTGCAGGTCCAGCTCCGAGTATCGATAGAGGACGCAACAGCGCAACACACCTTACATGCATCCCCTGCAGCACTCCTCCGCAGAGATGCCTCTCAAGGGCCTCGCCCCCAACATGTTTCTCTGCGGCTTGACAGCCAAACAGAACAAAGGCAGCCACTCACAGACCAGCTGTCGCAAGTTTATCCGAACTCCCCAGTCGCCGTTGACCGTGGAGTCGGTACTGAGGACATCAGCCATGGTGTTGATGCTAAATTCTTACAAGAATCGAAAGCGAATGCTCCAATGAGAGGGCCAGGGACAGGTACACCGCGCTTGGTCGCATAGGTGTGGCCCTGCAAGCCCGCAACCACCACGATATGTGTGGATGAAGAACGCCTCGTCAGTGGTGCAGATCTGGGCAGCAAGGGGCACAAGCGAGGCCAATGAAAGGCCTCGACAAGCGCTGGAGGTCCGCATCCCTGACCGCGTTGTGAGCTCTTGCAGGATTTTAATATACGGAGTAGTACTGTACTGTCTGTAGAGTGCTGTGCAACTCAGCCAGGGCACCCAGGGCACCCAGGGCACACTTGCCCGTGGGAGCCTGGCAGGGACAACAGTGGGTGGTGGTTGTGTTGGGTTGTGGTGGCCCGCGTTGTACAGCCCTAGCGAGCCTGCGCCTGAGGGCTGACCACCCATCAGTATCACGCTCGTCATAGGCGAGATAAGAACTTTCTCAGGCTGCCCACCAACTGTTTAAGGCAGGTCAGCCACTTCGTTGCTGCTTTCGGACAAAACAAACAGGTAAATTAAATGTAAATTTCTCTCGTGCCATGCCTGCCCTGCCTGGCAGTCTTTGGAGGTGCATGGTCGATCATACGATTTCTACCGTTGTCGCGCTTAGAGAACCAGACACTGTGCTCAAGAAACGCGGAAGCGGCAAATGTGTGATAGTGGCTGCATAACGACAAGGACTCTGCATGCAGCCTATTCTGGCAAATACCTGCACGTCGCCCAACAGTCGCCAATGACCTTCCACAAGAGTAGATGAGGGGAGAAAAACAAGAGAGAAGCCATTTGAAAACGTGACGAGATGCATAACGGCAGCTCCCGAGCACTTACAAGCAAATAGAGGGCTGTGCTAGCAAGGATATGAAGAAATGGCGTCTGTTGCATCCGGAAGCTTCTGTCTGCCTTGAATCTGGTGGACATTGCTTGTACTCCGATTATCAAGCCGTTATGGAATTCGACCTCTCTGGTTGGTGTGGCGCCACCTGCCGAAGCACTAGTCGATCTCAGCGATCGGGGAGTTCGGGACGGATTGTTTGCATGACCGCCTGAATATGGCATGGTGTTGTTGGTTCTGTTGGTTTTAAGGATATTGTCCACTCAGGACACAGTGGAGCAGGAACGGAGCTCTGGCCAAGGTATCATCAAAGCCCTTATCTCGACACCGATTTCCCACAACTCTGGTTAATTGTGGACGAATAGAGGCAGGTGCGAAAGAGGATGCCTAGTTGGTGATTACATTAAACGTCCGCCCTCTGAAGACATGTCTTCCGCGTCTTCACCGATCATCATTTTCCCCCAGGTGGGTGCCTTTCTAGTCACACTCCTTTTGTGGCCCAACGACAGGACAGCCGAGCGTGATGGCAGAAGCCTGCTGGGGATGAGAGGAAAGGGTCTTGGATAAAGCCTACCTATCAAAGGTGCTCTTGGGGCTACACGGTGAATGCTCTACCACAGCTTCCCTGGTCTCGTTTGGTAAGGAACTTGAACTGGTGCACTTCATGCAAGTCAATCACCAACAATCGGACCTCAGCCTGTTGTGACCTCGGTCCGAGACAGTCCTTTGATGCATGCATCTCCCAGCAAGAAGGATCTGCTTAAAAGCTTGCTGCAGCCAGTCTTAGCAATTCTCGCCGTGACACAAATACTCATCATGGCCATGATGATCGGTGCTTGATAAGTTGTCCCATGGTCGATGGGTTTGTGGCATGATTGGCGTCGTACCCGTATTATCATGGCAATGCGCTGCGGCTGCTTCGTAGAGAACAGAAACAAAATAGTCCCCTGGATCAACATCTTGAGGGAACGGTGACGCTTCTCGGCAGTCCTCTATTCTTAGGTTTTCCTGAGAATCCTGCTTGTCAATAATTCAATGTGTTCCAATAATCTCTCCGAAGCTCCTATGATCGTGCCATTGCTGCCGTCTTCATTCCAGTAATGAGTGCCAGATCGGATTGACATCTCAGGCCCCGGTAACAGTGTCCGAGATAAGCATGGTGAACCGGACGGACTGTTGGTTGCCTTCAGGCGTTGGAGAAGAGGGTAGTTTTCGCATTAGGAACAAATTGAGACGTTCTTCCTTCTTCTGACTCTCTGCGGGCATGTCAAGTGAACCCATTAGGTTCGTAATTTCGTTAACGTTTAGCAGTTGCGACACTGGCGGCCTACCATTGGCTCTCTTCTTTCATCAACTCCACGACACCTCTTTCTAAGACGAGATCTTAGTCGCGATTATTCCCGTAGATGTAGTGACGGTCGACTGTTGTGCTGAAGGTGTATTCCTGTACTGAGATTGAGAATTCTGTCTTCGGATACAGGATGGCCACTGGCAGCAACAGTAAGAACCGCCCCCGGGGAATTCCTGACAGCTGGGTATTGGAGAGCCGTCACCCGCGTCGCTGTACTTCTGCCACGCCTACGTCGCCTCTTATCCTTCGATCCATAGTTGGGCTTTAGGTATTCCCAGCAGTCCATACCGGTCGCAATCCAAGTATTTCGTGCTCGTCCAGACGCCAGGCCAAGTCAGTATACCTCCATGTATCTCGGCCAGTGAACCTCCATCCTTCGACATTGTTGTTCTTTGGGAAATGGCCGAGGACCTGCTATACGTCCATCTCCTATTCCGCAAATGACCAATGGCTTCATGGGTGTTGGCCAGCACCAAGACACATCATCTGCGAGGCCAGCGTCGAAGCGTCCAAGTTCCAAATACCAATCGATAAGCTCATCGACATGGTCCAGAAGGTGCTCGAAGGAGTCTCGTTGTGGACACTGTCGCTGAGGCAAAATTCGAAGCTGTGTTGTATATCGAGACATGCTGGAGACGTCGAATCGAACCCCACGCGACATTGGAGGGAGCGTTCCTTTTTATACCGCTCTGCACGGCCAGTGATGACAGACGTCTGATGAATAGCTGGGTGTATTAATAGCAGTCGATACCGTCCTGGGCTGGCCTGGACCGGACGTGAAGTTGTTCTAATTCGAGAGCATCGTGAGACTTGGTCCGATTGGGCTCGATGCGAGAGGGCGAGCGGACCAATGACGTGGCTCCGTTTCCGAGTCCTGGCCCGAATTGTATTCCATTTTAATCCTTTCCAACTTTTCCGATCATAAAAAATTGAAGACGTGGGGGTCAATTTGCTGATCAGCATCCTTTACAATGACAGCAGCATGCTGAGATACAAGGTTGAGGAGCCGTGAAAGTTATCTCTTGGCTTGAAACTCGCTCCCTTCTGATTTCTTCCTTCACTCCAAAGTCCAAGTCAGCTCTGCTCCGTTGCGCGATGAAAGAAAAAGTAAAACCTGCTCACAAGTTTCTACATGAGATCCTACTGGATACTGCAATCCAGCTAACTGGAATGACCTATTCACAAAAGGCAAAATACAATACACATTGCATCTGACATCCACTACCACCAGCAGCCGAGCTTTCTGCACCACCTAGCGGGAAGTAAACACGACACTCGCTTCTCCAAGCTATTTTGCGAGACCAAACGGAGTTCTGGGCACGATCTGTAGCTGTTCCTCCGATAGTAGTCTCAGGACAGCGACTTCACCCTCTGTCGTACCAGTTCCAACCGAAAAGGTCTTCAAAAGTATTTCTGAACCTGCTTCAAGAACCAAGTGCCAAGTCAACGATGGCGTACCTAAATACCATTCTGTAAGTGCTTCTTCAACCATCAAAGGTAGATGATGAATTTTTTGTAGCCAAACCGCTCACAGCCTCAATTAGATGTAACAACCAAACACAAGGGCTCAACTTTCCCGTCCTATCAATAGAGTACCAGGTGCCATTTCAATCACTAATTCCCAAGGCATGGCATATCATAGCGAGCATAGGTGCCGAAAGCCTGAAACCCGGGAGGAAGATACCCGAGTTCAATTGTCACCGGTTCCAATCATCGCGGTTCATGAATGACAGAGACATCAGCGAATCACGAAACAAACGAGGCACGGATGATCATCCCAGAAAAGCTTGGTTTCGAGCTTCCAGGTTACAGGTTTGGGATTTCTCCGCAAAGCACATCAAAGGTTAGATGATTTAGAGCGAATTCAAATTGATGATGGGATGATTTGAGTTGAGATAAGGTTTGAAAGTTTTTGGCGGTACAGGTCAGACTCAAAGCTACACACCCGGCAATCCTCTCCCGTGAGACGGTTGTCGTCCCATCTAAATCGTCCGCTCTCGGTCTCGGTCTCAGTGATGCCGCCAACCTCGCATGGCACAGTGAACCAGTGCTACAGGTCTGGCCTAGCGTGATTTCATAGGAAATCTTCCGTGGGCGTATCTTTTATTATGTCTTTGCTTCGTTTCTGAGTTTTACAGAATTCAACTAATGTCCTCTGGACTTTTGTTCTTTACCAAATAATGTCTTCATCCAAGCATTTCAACTCTTTCAACTCAGGCTACAGAAAGGTCGCAGGTGCCGAGTCTTGGGATTCTCTTGAGCATGTAAAACACAACGGAAGTGTAGCTCGGCGAGTGTTCCTAGGATATCGAGTAGCTTTCTTCGTTCTATTGGGACTTTATCTCATATCAATGTTTATTGCCTCAGTGATAATTCTACAACCAGAAGTCTTCCGGAGAATGCCAGTCTCGTCTTCGTTAATACCTGATAGTAAGTTGGGATAGCGTCCTTGCTGGTGTTGGCTCTGAGCTGATGCATACGCAGTTCCTCGGGACCAATCGGTGGTGTTCAACGGTTATGTCGAATTCGAGGTAGAGAGGGCGAAGGACGATGCGTGGTCGAAGCTGATCCCATGTACGTTCATTTCATGCTGTGCGCCTCCACTCGCTAACAACGGCTGGCCTTGCAGTAGGAAGAGGTTTCATAGTGATGCCCGTCGAAGTCCCTCAAGAAGATGGTGGAGTAGAGGTAGAGATCAAACATTTCTGTATATCCATGTTCCACCAATTGCATTGCATAGTAGGCCTCCGTCCACCAGCATTTTCAGGAACAATGCTAATGCGCACATTTTCAAAGGCTAGCCTCAAATCAGCTTTCGAGAGTATGATCAACGAGAATGGTACTTCGCGCCTGGAGCACACCTCGCACCTCGCTCACTGCTTCGACTATCTTCGACAGGGCATTATGTGTGCAGGAGACATGACACTGGAACCTGCATTCGAGTTGGCGGGTGAAGATGCAGGTACAAAAGCCGTGAATGGATGGAATGTAGAACACCAGTGCAAGAACTACCAGGTGATGTATGATTTCGCGGAGAAGCATCGGTATGGAAATACTAGTGGAATACTATAATGAAGAAGAAATCTTAATTCTCAAAGCCTCTTATCGAGTCCTCTCACAAAGCTCGCTGGGGCCAAGAACGTCTATCTCCAAAGCATATGGCCCAGAACTGATCAAGACAAAGTCCAGATAGACATCGCACCTGTTGAAAAGAGTCACACCCATGTTTGTAACGGGACTGCTTTAACAAAAATTCAATTTCCTGCAAACTCCGCTTTTATCCTTATCCTGCCCTTCAGCAAGTATGATACACTAACGCCGTGTGGAATATGCACAGAAAGCAAGCCAATGTCCCAAATTAACCGGTTCAATCGCTGTCGCTATCCTCGACCTTCTTGCCTTCCTTCTTCGCCTTCTTCTCTTTCTTCTCCTTCTTCTTCCGCTTGCGCTCGGCCTTCTCTTCCGCTGTCTCGCCCTCGTGTCTCTTACGCTTCTTGCCACCATCCTCTACACCATTACTAATCATGGAAACATCTGGGTCGGGGGAACCAGCTGGTGATGATTCCGCAATCTTGGCCGGGGTTTCCGGAGCGGCGATTGGAGCTGGAGCAGAGCCTTCGAGGGGAGCGTTGAAATCCTTGTACTCATTGTTCCATTTTGCGGGGGTAGCTTCGTTGGCTCGGCCATACTTGTCAAGCTTGCCATCAGCCTTCATCTTCTTCTTCTCCAAAGCCACAGGTCCAAGTCCCCATCTTCTTGGGTAAAGATCGCGCTCCATAATGCAACGCTTGACCTTTGCGACGACTCCGTGATCGCAAGTCGAGAGCTCAACTGTTGACATTTGGGCAATGCCCAAAGCAATGGCCTCTCCCTTGGTAGTCATAAGCACAACCTCCTCGTGAACCTCAATACCAGACTCTGAAGAATTTGTTAGCGCTATCTACTCCAAAGACTTGAAAAGATGACATACCATAACGCAGTAAACCGGGAATCATCAACTTGGCACCATAGCATACAGCATTGACAGCACTGTCCTTTACAACAATTCTCTTGTAGGTGGTGAGAAGTGTTTCCAAAGGTGAAATCACTCTTCTCAAGTAGGACTCGTCGCGAGTGTTATCCTGCATCCACTGGGCATCCAACACATCGTGAAGAGTGACCATACCCTTGGTCTCGTCCATAGCACCACTGCGAACACGGCGCAATTCTTGCATATGAGCTCCGACACCCAACAAGAGACCTAAATGGACACACAGTGTACGGATATAGGTTCCTGCTTCACAGCTGACCCAGAAAACGCCCAGGTGTCTCTCATTGTCGAACTCGTACAGCTTGCTTTCGTGAATGGTTCGGATACGGAGTTGTCGCTTCACCGCGGAGATCAAAGGAGGGCGTTGGAAAAGGGCACCGGTCAATGTCTCAAGAGCTCGCGCAAACTGTGCTTCACCTCCTGGAAGCTTATCGTGTAATCGTATCACGCAGACATACTCCTTTCCAGCACCTTGTTGCGACTTGACGAGTCTTGTTGCACGGTCAATGCACACGATCAAACATCCAGTAACCTTGGGATCGAGGGTACCGCTGTGACCAGTTTTTTCCACTCTAGACTTCAATCAGTATACTTTTCCGAGCAAATCATACTGGTTTTTCGTACCTTAGCATGCGCTTAACCCATGCGACGACTTCGTGACTGGAGGGGTTTGAGGGTTTGTCGAGATTGATCACACCCGAGCTGATGTATGACTTGAGGTCGCGATTGAGAGGATTGCAGCCAACTGGAATGGGAGTGAAGTGTCCAGTGCGTACAAGTACTATCAATCAGTCAGTCCACCATCTGCACAGCAATTGAAGCAGAAGATCATCGTACAATTGGTGTAATTTTTTAACAGAAGCGGCCATTCGCTCGAGTCTGCAGCTGGGGTGGCAGCCTCGGGCTTAATGGTGTAATCCACATCCTTGGGAGCAACGATCATAGCCATTTTGACTGGCTGTTCCGATGATCCCTTTCTGTGTCGTTGTATGGTAATAATGCGAGCTCCTCCAGGACCAGACTCGAAATTCTTGAGCTCCAAATTATTCTTGCCGAAGCTAATTTTCGTGGTGATCTAACCCTTTTTGGGATAGCTCAGAAATCACGTGAATAGACCAGCTCGGTGGCTACAGATACTCTTGTTGACTTGAAAATTGTTGATTTAGATCATTATTATCAGGGTGCAAAAAGTCTTTTGGAGGAACAAATGAGGCAATTATTTGTCCGTCATCTTCTTTGGCCGCTGAACCAGACGTCGGGGGTGATTAAGATAACGATCTCGCTACATGTACACTACAGTTGAGTTGACAGTCATACCCTATGGGCCGCTGGTCATATCTCCGCTTCAATTTGATAATTAAGCTTACAACGAGTTATTTGTAAGGACCGCCTGACCGTTGCTCTTTCCCGTCACCAACGGTACCTGTACAGTCTCGAACATGTAAGCCATGGTGAGCACAGCACGTTCCTCAGCAATTCGCGTAGACCCAAACAGTGGTAGATTTAGCAATTATCTATATTAGAATATCGTCGAGGCGAGCAAATCTTCCGTTCGAAACATCCTGATTTTTATGCTGCCTCGTTGAAAAGTCCTAATGTTTGGCAACATGGGTAACTAGATACAAGCTGATTTGGTGACATCGTCTTACAACCTTAGCTGATATTCGACGCTCTGCCCTGAAGCGCCGTTGTAAATTCCCGCTTCTTCCAGCTCCAAATTGCGATTCACAAACTCTTTGTTTTTCTGTCGCGACGCACATTCAATGTATGGATACCTTCTCCTACCGCACCGAACGGTGATTCGTATTTTCAAATATAGGTCTTTCTAAACGGCTTTACTGATGCAATTCCTCTCTAGAATCCACCACAGAGTACATTGTGGGTCTTCATTCCCTGCGGTCGACGCAGCTGGGCCCAGGAGAAATCTAAATTTTACCGTAAATAGATCGATCTTACGCCCCAGGCCTGTCCTCTCCACAGCAACAGAAGTATCAATTCGTCCCAAAGAAATAAACATCGCTACCAGGGTCCTTCTCTTCCACGAACCGACATTTGTTGTAGTTCTTCCAGAATGCCCACAGATAAGGAGTCTTCATGTCACTCTGGTAATGGGACCCCATCACTGCTTGGATAGCATTCGAAGCTTCCTTGGCATGGTAGAATGGAATTCTACACACGTGGTGATGGAGAACGTGATACTCGATAGCTCCATGAAACAGATTTCGGCCGATGAAGCCGAAGTCTCGGTCGATCGTGGAGGCACAGCCACGAATAAATGACCAACTCTTGGTTTGGTAGTACGGAAGAGATATGTCCGTGTGTTGCAAGAAGGTGATTGCCACTGTTGTGTATAGATCAGCATGCTGCAGATCTCATAGGACTCCATCATCCCTTAGCAGAACAAACGAGAACGACGTACAGATCCAGTGGTTTGTCCATAGCCAGGGCGCTCCATAGAAGAGAAACACAGCGCAGAATCCGAAGCGTACAGTAGCTGCATACAAGAGTACTCCGAACAATCCAACTCCAATCGTACTGAGGACAACATCATTGCTCTCTGAAGGTCTGAAGTTAGGCCCATCACCTCCGAAATAGAAATGAGACCTTTTCCACCATGAATAGGCCCGCATACGTGGTAGAGCGAAGTTGTTGATTAAGAGATAAGCTATCAAGATGGGATGTTCAGTATATGTGCACTGTTTATGACGATGACAGGTAGCATAATCCTGCCGATGTCCAACCCGCAGCTTTGCAAATGCTTTCGGGCGATTTCTTTGAGTGATTATCATCGACACAAGAGCTAAGAAGATATTAAGTATTAGAGCAACAAAAACACTTACTAGGCCATGCAATGAGCTGGTGTCCTATCAGAATAAGCAAATTGACAATCGGCATGTCTTCTACCATCTCCCAATACCCAAAAATTGGTTCTGTAGACCGTTTTTGCCGTGCCGCAAGCCAAACTTCTTTTGTGTCAGGTACAAATGCGATGTCTTGCTCGATGTTGTTGGTCGATTTGTGATGCTGGGCGTGGGTAAATCTCCAGCTGTGATAAGGTACGAGCAGAAAAGAATGAATCAATAATCCTGCGCTGTTGTTGAATGTCCTCGAAGGGGATAGAGCTTGATGCCCACACTGATGAGCGAGTTCCCACAATCCCGTGAAAACAAGACCCTGTAAAAAAGTATAGATGACCCAGGACATGACGCGTAGCGGATGGAATGCAATCGCAGATATCTGAGTTCCGGATGAAGCTAGTACAGCGGCGAAGGCAATGTCGCGAAGGATGTAATTGAACGATCGTAAAGTGTTCCGATGGAAGCAGTGGGATGGAATTGCGTCGTGGATCTGTTTCATGGTGTATGATGGTGGCGAGAAAGATGGTTCTGGTCCTGCACTCCGGTTGCACCGTGTTGACGTTGCGAGGGGCGAAGGTTTTGCCATTATACTTTGTCAATAGATTGCCGAGTAGAGCGAGATCAGCCTCAAAGCAAACAAACTCAGGAAGCATTAGCACAGAGAAGTGTAGAGAAAGTCAAGGCAGCTGGACAGACAAGGAAATGGAGGTGACAGCCAGATGCGAGACCGCTGACTTAGATTTCGTACCCTGGAAGCCTTGTAAGGGAGTGACTGCACCTAGCCACCCCGCCCACCTGTGCCCATGTCCCGACTGCCAGAGATACACCGCAAATCACGAGTTTCACTCGATGAAATCGTGCACATGAAGCCTGCCGGGTGTTGTTGAATGAAACTGACAGAACACGCATTCCAGTCAATCATGTTGCTGCCCCGGCTTTAGGTGGATCAGTAGGTGCAGCTTTTGAGTAAATAGCCTGTGGCCAACAGGCGATGCACGAGGAGGAACATGGCCCAGGACGGTGGGGACGTGCTATGGTACCTGACCAGCCGTGCGGCGGTATGAGCCTACTGAACTTCCAGCAGGAAATCCCATTGAAGTTTTCTTTCAGGTAAAGTGAGGATAGGATTGTCCGCAAAGCTTTGGGAACCTCACCTATTCGCCTCGACTCACGCAGTCTCTCGGGAAAGATGACTTGATTTTACCTTCGTAGCTACTATTTGAATTACACGAAATCTTGAGCGTGCTGTAGACGTAGATTTCCGCCCACAAGTCGCACTGTACTGCTGTTATTTCTGTGCAGCCTGAGACTCCTCCAATAGAAGTTGTTGTACATGACATGACAAGGAAAATGCAAAAATGCCAAGGCTTCCTCAACTCCCTGTGATCCAGAACACCCCCAAATCACCCAAGTACGTCTTACTGGATATCCACAGAAGAAACCCCCCATTCGTGACCAGGTTTTCGCCACCGTCCTGGTTCGTGCCCACCCAATACATTGCTGAGAGTCTCGATTAAGATCCGTCGATGCAGCTCGCATTTCTTGCAAGCTGCTCAAGACTCGCTCTTTTCTTCCTGGACATCTCGGCAATCGGATGGTCCGACTCCCGCAATATATCGCAGAGCTCTTGACAGTGGGTAAGAGCCTTGTCGTAGACCTTCCGCATCTCCCAAAACTCAACGAACTTGTAGAGATTGAAGATCCGGTCCCTTTGATCTCCCTTGACAGCCCCAGACACGCGTATTCCGCCTTGGTAGTGTTTTCGATCAAGCAAGTAGATAAAAATCTGTTCAGCTTCTTCGAACTTGCTTTTCGCGGATTCTCCTTGCAAGGACATTCCTTGCACGGCTAGGATCCATGCCAAACGTCGCTTTGCAGACAGAACTCCGTGATGATCCTCACCTACATCGCGATGCGCAATCACCAATCCCTCCCGCAGTATTTTCTCGGCCTCGAGATTGTCTCCTAGATGATGTTTGGCCCACGCAAGATTGTTCAAAGCCATCAGCGTCCACGGTGCCTCTTTGCCCATCGTCTTGATGCGTCTGTCAACGACGTCCATCATCATATCATGAGCCTTTTGGTAGTGTTCCTTTCCAAGTTCTAGATTCACCACTGCCAGATTCTCCTGGGCTAGAATTGTTTTCTCGTGGTCGGGTCCCATCTCCTGATGACGCGACATTCCATTGAACGCTATTGTGTGTTGCTGTTTACATTTATCCCAGTCAAACATTGCCCAATACAATGATCCGAGTTTATCGATAGAACAGAGCGTGTCAAGATGGTTTGGTCCGCAGACGCGGCGTCTCCCCTCGACAGCTGCTTACAAAAGTTCTTTGGCTTCGGGAAAGCGGCCTTGAAAATTTCGTATCCCTCCTAGCTCATCCATGAGGCTTAGCGTCATCTCGTTCATGGCACCAAGCTCCCTAATTGCAGCGTCAAGTATTTTCTCCGTTAATGCAGCTGCGTCATTGAAACGACCACCGCCAAGCCAGTATGTTGTTGCTAAGAAGCGGGAAACCCGCATCGATAGGCTGTGCTCTAAGCCCAAGTTGGGTACTAGGTAATCCCTTACAGCTTCCTGAAGAACCTGTGCTTCCCTGTACCGACCGCAGAGGAAATATATGTAGCTAAATTTTGCTGACTGCTTTGCTTGAGACCGATCAGTGACGATAGTGTCGGGCTTTGACGTAATGACTGGGAGCAAGCTGCGTGGTAGTCGCCGTGATTTGACATTACTGTCGATCGTAGCTAACATTTCGCGTCTGCGAGCGCGAAGATAAATGAGATGGAGCAAAGAACTCCTTTGCAAGTCTGCATCCTTCGGGGTTGTTATTCCATTGATTGGTAGTATGATCGACTGTTCAAGAGTGTTGGCTGCTGCTTGAGACCAGGCTGCCTGTTCTCCCAAGGTCATCTGTGGCCTCGACCTTACCCAATCATGAATGAGAGGATGTATCGAGTAGCTATCGCGGTCTTCATCGTGTGTTGCCAATGACCATTGTTGCAGCACCAGTAGAGCCATCCGGAGCCGGTTCCTAAAAGTTTCGACTGCCGTGCCATCGTCAGTATTTTGCGTGACGAATCGTAGCATCGCAGGCAGTACCGGATAACTGCGGTCCTTTAAGATTTCTGTTCGCAATGCAAAAATCAGCTCTCGAAAGAAGATAGTCCAAGAGTCCCTAATCCCTTTCTCCTTCTTTCCCATCCTCGCCTGCTTCTCGGCTTTTGCCTCTAAACCTGGATTTTCAGCAGCAGCTATCAACATATCAAATCGTATATTCTGGCGGTCGAAGAAAGCAAATATTTTGAGAAGCTCAATGGCATCTTGATTTTCTTCAGACGGAGTCTTCTCCAGCTTCGAGTAGAGGACTTCATACGAGGAGTACACTCCGAGGTAAACGTCTATCGTCTTATCGCTTGCTGCTGGCTGTTTCTTCTTTGAATATTTGCGCAACCTTACCACAGCATCCTGGAAGCATCCCAAGTACTCATGGAGTTTGCAAAGGCCTTTCGAGATAGCAGTTGCGGCATGGACAAGACACAGCGGTAGATAACCTAGCGCTTTCGCGATTGTATCTGCCAAAGCTTTTGTTGATTCGGACCACGGCTCCTTCACCCGCGCGCGCCTGAGCAAAAGCTCGATGGCAGACTCTTTCTCCAGTTCATTGAAAGTGAACCACTTTCGGCCAATGGTACCGTGTTTAATGTTCTCACGCACACGAGTCGTGATCAGTATGAAACCTCGTTCACCTCCAGGGAAAAACTCGTCAATTTCCAGGTCAGGATCGTCTACATTATCAATGATCAGCAACCATGGTTGGTCCATGCTTAAGCTCGAAAGCCAGTCTTTCGCAGCACGCTCGTTGTCTGCCACGCCTCCTCTTTCGGCGATGCTCTTAAAGCTTTGTTTTGCCGTCTCGCGTGATGACCCATTAATGAAGAAGATACCCCAGAATCTAGACATGTATTAGCATTCAACGTTGCCATCGAGAACGAAGTTTGTACTTCTCGCGATTTAGTTCTGCAAACCTGCAGCAAAACTGGGTCTTCCCAGAGCCACCTAATCCTTCTACCACAAACCGCTTTTGTGTGGAGTATTGTTGGGGAGAGGTATTATGCTCTATCGTGCTGGCCAGTTCTTGTAGATACGCAGTACGACCGGTGTAGGAACTGCCCACAGGCTTGGGCACCGAGAAGTGCCTATTCAGAGTTCCCTTGGACATCTTGGTGATGGTAGCCATAGCCACTTGAAGCTATGTAGAATTGTGCATCGTTAGACTTCAAGACACGTATAGGAAACAGCAGAGTTGCGAGAGACTCACTTCAGTACTATGGTCCTCTCTAGCTGTGGCTATCAGCTGCTTGAGCTGGTCTTGCAACGCAAGGTGGTTACTATCCTCTTTCTCCGAGAGACTTCGAATGGCCATGCCATTTTCTTGGTGACCATCTTGTGTGCTTATTCTGTCGAAGTCATCATCACACTGCTTCTCAAATCGAGCTAGAAACTCACATATTTAAGGCAGTTAGCATAGCCGACAAGATAATCTGATAAGTTTGAAGTTGACGTTGGATCTTCGCGATCTCAGGATCAAGACTTTGTTTTCGTAATGTTCGTTTGATACCTTGCAATATGGTTTGCTTGCCTGATTCCGGTGCAACAGAGCCTGGGGAATGGAAAGATCGACTTTCTTTCTCGCTGCCACTTTGGTCGTTCTCTGCATCATCAATGCCCGTATCACACCTTCCGAGTTTCTCTGAACCACTAGAGGAGGCCCCTTTTGATGCCTCGCCCTTCCCATCAATGATGAACCGGAGCTTGCCTTCCAATCTCAAGAGTGTCTTCTCGCAGGCCTTTTGAGTACTTTTAATGTTGTCCCATATCTCTCTCACTTTGGCAGACTGGGATCCTTGTAAACCTACTCCGTCGGTTGGTTCCAAGTTCTTGATGGTGTCGTTAATCGTTATCAGTAAAAGAATCTCGTCCTCTAGGGAACCTATGTCTTTCTGGATAGTTTTTGAGGCACTCCGTACATTGCTCAGATAGTGGGATACTTTCCAGAGCACATCTATCAGCCCGACAGTGCCGGCAATACCAGAGAATACATCCATCGTGTGCAAGAATGCGGGTTCTGGATGTGATCACGATGTAGCTGCACGTAAGGGGCCCAGTGCAAGAGCCTCACTCTTAAAACGAGCAGGAGCATTTTGCTAGATCAACTCGCGGAGGGATTGCGAGCCTCAGCCTCCACCACATTGCCATGAAAGACTAACGGATGCGGGCATATTTCAGCTCTGCAGCAAGCAGCAAGCAGCATGTGTCTCGCCCGGAGAGTGGTGACGCAGAGCTTGACTTGGTCACTGCTGCCACTTTACAGGGCAAACCAGGACGATTAGGTACTCGTGCGTCGTTGGGGCTTGGGTGGCGCTTGTTGCAGCGAAGGCTGAGTGGACAATATATTGGAGGTGTAACGGATGGTGACACAAGGCGGCCGGGTCAGCGACTTGCTCCTCAGATACCAACGAGTGCATCAACCTGTCTAGACAGTTTTGTGTCGGTGAGCTGCATTTGGGGGAACACATGCTTCACTGTGGTTGGCCCTGGTCCCGACGGGAATGAGAGTGCCGGCACGATATACCTTCCGTTTTCAATCGCTCTCCAACATTCATTCCTCTTGGATTGTACTAGCCACCCGTGCGCCCACGGTCAATATAAGTCATCTCAAGTACGCTTAATTGCTCGATTGTCGCAACTCGCAATAATTTGGGAAGCGTGAAGTGCAATGTTCGAAGACTGGATCATGTGGTTGTTCTACCTCCTCCCCGGCATTGTCACTGCGGCTGTGTATGACCGAGCCCGGAGAGCCTGTCGAGCCCGTAAGGTGAGTAGCTCCAAATCCATCTCCTGAGCGAACAAACAAAGCGAGCAGCGGAATAACGAATCGTATACAGGCAGATACCGAGTACAGCAATAAGTTCCATTGCTTGCCGTTGAAAAGACTGCCAAATAAATGGCCTTTTGGGCTTGATTTGTTGCTTCAAGCATACAAGCATGCTGCAGAAGGACGCATCCTTCGTTTTTTCACCATGCTCATTGCACCATTACCACCGACCTTCGAACAGAATCTCCTTGGAGTCAGTGGGATAGACACCATCGACCCGAAGAACATCGAGGCGGTTCTATCGACTCAATTTACAGGTAACAGTATCAAATCCAATTGTAATGCACAAGCTGATATGATTCGGGAAGATTTTAGCATGGGTGATAGGCCAGCAGTGTGGAAACCGTTCATAGGACCAGGGATATTTACACAGGACGGTGACGATTGGAAGCATTCTCGAGATCTTCTTCGGCCTCTATTCATGTCAAAGCGTGTTGACAACTTCCTTGAGGTTCAAGAATCAACAGAGACCCTCATTAAGTGCATTCCCGATGGGGAAATTGTTAATTTCCAGCCTCTGATGTTCAGCTTCACACTTGACACCACAACCTATCTTCTCTTCGGCAGAGCAATCAGATCTTTGGTGGACGAGAATAAGGAGGCGAAAGCCTTTGGCGAGGCATTTCGCATCTCCCAGGAGTATCTCTCACACCGCGGTCGGCTCGGTGCTCTCCATTGGTTGTTGAATCCCAAAGGGTTTCGAGACTCGAACACGGTAGTGCACAAGTGGATCGACAGAGAGATTAGAGAAGCTCTCCAGAGATACAAGTCAGGCTCGAACGATGCAGAGGACCGTAAACCAACCGACTATGGCTTTCTTGGAAGTTTGGTGAACGAGACTCAAGATCCGAAAGTTTTGAGAGACGCTATGCTGAATGTTCTTCTCGCCGGGAGAGATACGACAGGGTGCCTACTGACCTGGACTTTGCGCTTACTGGTCATGCATGAACAAGTGATGAGCAAGTTGAGGGACGAGGTTCGATCAACTGTGGGTGTTGGCATCAACGCAAGGAGACCAGACAGAAACGATATCAAGAAGATGCAATATCTCTCATATATCCTCAAAGAAGGTAAGCCTCCTGATCCAATTGCCCTCTGGGTTTGTGTTTTAAGTCAGAATTCGTGTTAGTTCTCCGTCTTTATCCATCTGTGCCCATCAACTCTCGCGCAGCTGTGAAAACGACAACCCTACCGACTGGAGGTGGTCCAGACGGCACCGCGCCAATATTCGTGAAAGAAGGGACTGCAGTTGGTTATGCCGTTTATGCCATGCATCGGCGGAAAGAATTGTATGGAAACGATGCCGAGCTCTTTCGCCCTGAGCGGTGGGACCCCCGGGAAGATGACAACAGCATTGACCTGAAGAACATTGGGTGGGGATATCTGCCATTTAATGGAGGGCCACGTGTGTGTATCGGACGTAAGTTCATGCTTGGTATTCCCATTCCCTGACCATTTCTTGTACAAATGGCCTGTGAGGCAGTCACTGATAGACCTTATCTGTAGAGGAATTTGCTATGCTGGAGTCAAGCTACTTGATCATCAGACTTATCCAGAAGTTTCAGAGCTTCGAGTGCGATCCAGCTAGACCGATGCCAGCAATTGGACAGGAAAAACAGGACGTAACGCTCGTCCTGGCGAGTGGGGAGGGATGCTGGATTCGACCATTCGCATATGGTAGTGTGACAGGAGAGCGGTGAGAGAGGGGTGCTCGGATCCATGTTTGGGGTTCGTGAGGCTCAGATCGATCTGGCCAGATGACAGAGGGTTAGGAACCAGCATCAAGTGCCGCTGGGCAGGGTGGATCTTAGGTGTATGATGTAGCATTTTTTTGTCACCTGACTCGCAAGCCAGAATGCAAAAAATCAATGATTTCCCTCAGTGCTTAAGAATTTGCTTGCGACAACACCAGTTGGTTCGAGTCATCGTGGCACTTCATGACTAAATCAAGTAACCAAGTCAGCCGTGGCATTTGTTGTGCACGGGTCTTGAAGAGCGGAGCGACAGGGGTATGTATTCGTTTGGGACAGCAGCTCGTCGTTGTGGCGTGAGATATACTCTCCACTGGGTAAAAGATGAATCCACCATCTCTCTTCTGCCTTCTCTCCACTCGTACCATATCGTCAGCGATACTGAAAGAGCCATCGTCGGTCTCACATTGGTGCGGATCTTCCAATTTCTTACAGAGGGGCTAGGAGCGGTGTGAAAGGGCGGCCATTGCAAGAGTAGACGTCCCAGGAGGGATATTTTGCAGTATCGCGACATCAGCCAAATGAACTGTAGAATAAGAAGAATGATGAAGAGTCAGAAATGAAAGAAGGGGAGTGATAGAGGAAGACCATTAGACACCGTCGTTCAATTAAAGTTTGAGTCGTCCGCAATCGTGCACTAGTCCAAACTCAAATTCAAGGTTGAGGTGGATCCCGATGTCAGGGTCAACGTCAATGTCAACCTCGGGTTCCAGATTTGTGCTTATTATGTAATTAGCTTCTTGAAGTTACTCTACTTTGATGCTCTGTGCGACTGCCTCTCTATCATCATCCATCTCCCTTCAGCTTCCTCCCTGTTGCGCTCCATGTTCCTGCATTGGGCATGTATGTGATATAGTTGGTGAACATCGCTGCCCCGTCTGTGCTGGCTTCTGAGCTTGTTTTTGGTGCTCCGTCCGACTGACATGGCTGATGTCAGCTTCTCCGTCGAGATCTCCCTGGTCCTGCTGAGATTCAACACGACCCTGCTATGCTCTGGGTCTCCTCCGCTTTGCCTGCCGCATCTTACAGTACACGGATTGTGTTTGTGCCCCTTTTCCCCCTACTCCAACGACCCTTCTCATCTAAAACCAAAACGGGTCACAAGACTGAGTGGGGACATGATGCGCCGCGTTACGTTGCCATGCTCCATTGCCGTCATGATCACATTACATTCAGTTCCAATATCGGAGATTGGACGTCTCTCTGCCTCCTCCTGGTAGTTCTGGATGCTGTGGGGAGAGATGTCTGCTCTTTGCGCTCTCTCAGGCTGTGCCCTACGATTAGCTTCGTCAGCACTATTCGAAGGCAAATTCTGGCCTTGGTGCACCAGAACGGCAGGTGGCAATGCCAGCGTGGCAGGACTGGTCGATTGAGCAGTTCTTGATTGGTTATCACAGTCGAAATGATTGAGACATACTTTGAGCAACTCCTCTCGAGGTACGAAAAGTGACCCCAATAAGTGCTAGAACCAGCACAAAGATTCCGAAACCAATGTTGAGGTATGCAAATAGTGACAATTCGTCGTTGGCGGTCTGAAAGCCGGCCTGGGAGGCTGCATGGGGCGAAGACATCTCCAGGCTTGAGGGGAGGCTTCTGGATGAAGAAGGGGTTGCCAGCGAGGGAGCAAGGCTGAGGCCTGATAGAAGGCTGCAATGAGATTCGCTCCGCCTAGCAGCCGCGAAGGAGACGGAGGAGCAGGAGCAGGAGGAGGATGAGGATGAGGATGAGGAGAGGGAACCTGGTTCTGGTCCTGTTGTTGGTAGTGGTAGTAATGGCAGGAGTAGCAGAAGTGGTAGTATTAGTAGTAGCGGTTGTGGCAGTGGTATTATATCAAAGCAAGTCGATGGAGTCAGGCTAAACACAATCGACAAAATTGCAAATTCACCTGGTAATAAGCTGAATCGGCCACAACGTGCCTGAGGATGAAACCCATGCAATGATGTCCATGTTGAGTCCAGCTTCGTGCCACAAGCATCCCGCAGCACATCCGCACCCACCCCCAACAGGCAATCAATGCTGCGTATCAGCCTATCAAGTACGAAATATTTGTTTCCATTCCAGGGTTTGGGTGCTCTCCGGATCTGAAAAGCAGCAGCGGCCCCATGACTGGTCAGACTCAGACTCAGACTCCCCCTGCGACCTGTGGAGGCTGTGGTCCAGGCTCTTCGTACGACTTGACCTGTCCCTTTCCTTTCCGTTCCGCTTTCCCATCGCGTTGCGAGCCCGTTCTGGCTGCCCTCCCCCTCCCTCCCTTGCCTTCCACTGTCTTACCCCCAAACCCTGCCTTGCTGTGACTTATGCCTCATGCCCTATGCCCTGTCCTCCATGCCCTATCCTCCGGTCCTCTTTTCCCCTCTCTTCTCCTGCACAACGCTGCACTACCCTGGACTGCCCTGCCCTTCGCTGTCCTGTCCTGTCCTGTACTGCCTGTTTCCGTACCTACCAACCCCTACCTGCTGCAATGACACTAAGTATTTCTTCCTCTGCAGTCCTCTGGGCAGTAAATTTTCGGCCTCCTTAACTACAACCCATCTCATCCCCATCCCCATCCCCATCTCCATCCCTATCCTTATCCCCATCCTTATCCCCATCCTTATCCCCATCCCATTCCGTACAAGCCGTGATTCCAGTCAGCCCAGCCTTCCAGAATCTGGCAATGGCAATTTCTGACGCCCCAGAAGGCCATACGGCGGCCACCTCGCGGAGTGTGTCAGCAGATGGCGGGGAGAAGGGCGACGGCACGACTTTGCGACCTATGACAACAACAAGCACCCGCACCAAATCGCAACCTCGACCTCGACCTCGACGTCCCCTTCTAGACCGGATCTTGGAGGCTCAAATCCGTATGTTCGGAAGCCTCTCGTAACCCGCCGCCGTGTGCTGACTCTTCATTCATTCAATTAGAGCTAACACTTGCATTGATTCTCGGCCTGGCTGTTGCTCACCTACTATTTCCCCAAGTACGACCCTTTACACGCAAGTTTTTCATCCTATCCTATAAAACTCCCGTATCTTCTGGAGCAGTTTATAAGCAAGGCATTGATGATGTGTATTTCGTGCTGGGATGGATCGTATATTTCACGGCGCTCAGAGCCATCTTCATCGAGTGGCTGTTGCAGCCTCTGGCTAGAGTCCTGGGTGTTGGTAAAAAGAGCCACTTGCGATTCGCCGAACAAGGATGGATCTTTCTTTACTACTCCACGATGTGGGCGCTGGGGATGGTATGTCAGCCTTTGCCGTGCGTAACCTTACACAAACACTCACCTCGGTACTACATAGTCTTTATGGTATAATTCTGAGTACTGGCACAGCCACTCAAACCTGTGGACTGCCTGGCCGTCCAGAGACATGTCCGGCATGTTCAAGCTATACTACCTCGTCCAGCTGTCGTTTTCTGCGCAGCTTCTCCTGGCCATTCATATGGAGGTTCGCCGAAAGGACTATGTGGAGATGCTCACACACCACATCATCACATGTTCTCTGATCTCAATTACCTATGTATATCGATACACTCGAGCGGCGAATGTTGTACTTTGCCTAATGGACTTCGTTGACATTCTACTCCCAGTAGGTTCCATACAATTCTCAGAAAGCCCCACTTGCCTTTGTGACTAGCTGCGTTTCTAACTCTCCAGTTTGCCAAACTTCTTCGCTATCTTCGCTACGAAACGGCTTGTAATATCGCCTTTGGGATATTTGTAGTATCGTGGTTTATTACTCGGCATGTATTGTATCTGCAACTCTTGTGGGATACCTTCAGAGACGTCCCAGGGGAGAGGACAATGCTCTACGGCTGTTATGATGGTGCGACGAGTCAGAGGATCCCAGAAATGCCGGCCCACCCCGACTATCTCTCCCACCTGCTCTGGCCATTCCAAGATCTCGATGGCGTTATCTGCTTAAACACAGAGGTTAAATATATATTCCTCGGCATGCTCTTCCTGCTACATACCCTAAGTTCCATCTGGTTCGTCATGATTCTCAAAGTCATTGCGGGCATTCTGTCTGGAAAATCGGCGGAAGATATAAGGAGCGACGACGAGAGTGGCGAGCAACAAAAGGAATTTTCGATTGACGATCTGAATCCTTGTACCGGGGCTGGCAGCGAGCTTCTTAGCCAAGAATTGGAAAGCTTTTTAGTGGCGACGAGGTTTCCTGGTGATACCGAAGCCCCAGAACAATTCACAAATCTTGGAAGTGAATCGAGTCGTGGAAGGACCATGACTTCCAGGATGCAGAGGACGCCGAAACCGACAACTGCAAGGAGGAGACTCATGGGTGCAGAGCACAGAAAAGAGCTATTGAATAGAATTGGGTGCGAGAAACAGATTGGAGAATAAGGATCATGTAGTCCTTGTGGATCCTGAGACAGAGTCGAAGAGGCGACGAGTTCAAAAGATACCTATTCTGCTACTACTTGTACTCGTGGACAACCAAGGTACAAAAAGTGCATAGCAGTCATCGCGTTTGACTCATTTGTTGGATTCAAGCATTGCTTAGCAGCTTAGAAAAAGATATTGTTTAGGGAAAGCAGGAGTGCCTTGAGCGAGGCCATGGGCGGCTATATACTCTTGTTTCATGTATTTCCACCAGGCCTAACTGGTGCTGTTTGAAATTTCCATTCACATCTTCAGCCATCGATAGCTTGCTTCGCCAACATCAGAATTTATTTGTATCAGTCTGGTCTATGAAACTCTCACATTCCTTCCCAGATCTTCCTTGGTCGTTCGTCTCCAGCGCATCCAATGCTGCCTTTACAACATCCTGAGCCCGTATGAGACTGCTTAGCTCGATGCAGCTACAATTCCCTCCATAGCAAGCTCTGCCGACTGCACGGTGTATATTTTCAACGGCCTAGGTGAATATCCTAGCCTCTGGTTGGATGCGATGGTTTCTTGCAAGCTCTCTGGCCTGGATTTACTAGCGAGAAAGACCGATAGTCAAGTCCCGACTTTTGTCAAAATTTGACTTCATACCTGAGTCAGAGCTGTATAATCTCGTGAGTCTATCCGTTGTGTCTTGTGGAAGCCATGACCGAGCTGTGGAGGTGATGGATAGGAACTTGGGCCCGACAGGAGCGTAGAATTGCAATACCAAATGTCGAAAGTATTTGTGAACTGTTTGTGGGAGGGTATTGTTTGATTGGATTCAGCAAGTCGAGTGAGCATGGGATGGGTGTTCAATTTGTTGCATATCATAGCAGTATGCGTTGCCTAACACAACTTATACAAGTGAAAGAAAGGTATGACAACTTACCTAATGCTCGAAGAGGATGTATTCAACGAGTAGTTGAATACTTGTCGAGAGAGACAATGTCTCAACTATCTGCCCAAGTTTTTGAGCTTTGAGTTCTGCATAGCCAACATCACCTTGACCTTAACATGCTGCCGAAAGACAATCGAAGCATGATAATTTAAATATGTCTTCCAGCTGGCAAGACTTCGCACATCATTCGCTGAGGAAGAGGAAGCTCAGCATATATATCAATATGACAGAAATATTGTTCGAGTAGTGGCAACATGAAATGATTGCATAAGATCGTATTCTCATGCATAAAGTTTCCCACTCATTCCCACAGACTAAAAGGGTATCCTTCTGCCATATACAAGCCGCCCAAAACGCCCTGTAAATGCATGACTTTCCCAACGCCGTCCCAATCTACCAACAACATTTTCCCATGCTCATAATACGCCCAATGCTATGCTATACAGCTTCTACGATGCGCTCCGACTTCCCGACTCTCTGTCCAATTCCCTTCGATAGTAATCCTCGCCTTCCTCCATCTGCTCTCTGATTCGTTTCGCCCTCGCGAACAATTCCTCATCCTCGTCATCAAACGACCTCTTCTGCCCTGAGCTCTTCCTCCATGACATGGCCGCCTTTGCCCTTGCTTTCAAAGCCTCAACTTCGTCGACTTTATCACCAGATTCACTGTTAACCTCGAGTTGTTCCGCAGGTTTACTCGGAACGCTTCTCGGTGTTGATTGCAGCCTCGACCGAGGCGTCGTGGGCTTCATGAACCCATCGAAGGAGCGCTTTGGATTCAACGATCGCTGCGCAGCCGAAAGTGCAGGCGGTATTCCATCGCGAAGGATTGATAATCCTCTAGCCTTGAGGCGAAAGTAATCAGTCTGTACCCCGCTGATCTGAGGCCGCTGTTGCTCTTCTCGCAGGTTGTAGTCTGACAAAAGATGGATTCTTGAGCCACCCTGTAGGTAACTTGGATCAGACAGAATTGACTGACGAATTGGTATATCTGACTTCCCGCGTTTATGCTTGCTCGCTGTAGACGACTGACTAGCTGTGGATCGCTCGGAATGTTGCGATCGCTGTCGCTTTTGAGAAGGTCTACGGTTCTCTTGTGCAATCGCTCTGGGTTCTCCATTTGCATCATGAACTCCATTCAGGACACCGGTTGCACCAAGGAGACTTTCCAGACTGTCCTTGCGCGGTCGAGTTGTCGAAGAGCGGAAGTCTTCCACAACAGCAGCCGACTGTGCTGCTTTGGACGCTCTGAAAGTCTCTGCCATCTCTCGCCGAGCTTTACGAGCTTCCCTTCCTCTTCTTTTGAGCCATCGTAAATGCGCCTGCTCCCTCCATAAGGTTCCATACTTCGTGGCCAAGGTACGGTACCTGAACAAATCTGCCTCCGCTCGAGCTGCGTCGTCTGCCTCCTTTGTCTTGCGAGCATTCTCCTCCTCTAAAAATTGTTTCGCTGTTGCCTTTAATATGATTCCAACTTGATAAGAAGTGAATTGCTCCACGATGCCTTCACTGCCAAAAACGAACCAATCTGTGAGCCCAGCAAACTTATCGAATGGCAAGGAGGGCGGCTCAGCGCTGAACGCTGACTGCCTTGGAACGGCTGAGAGGAGGCTTGGAAAAGCTGAGGCTTCGGGACTTTCCTTTGGCGTGTCGCTCTGGACTTGTGATGCCTCGCTCGGAAGCGAGTTTTGCTTATTGGAGCGTGGTGCCGGTGGTCCAAGGATTTCAGATAGTGGCTGACTTGGTAGAAGGCTCGACTGTACAATTGGCTCTGTTGGGGTCGCTACTGTCGCAGGTGACGGTGTAGTCGAGACCTGCGATTGGGGGAAGAAAGAAACATGCTTAGATATCGCAGCACGTGGGGTGGCCATGGACTTGTTTCCTGAAGGGGCGGTTCCGGACACCAGTACAGAGGATTGAGCCGGAGCCGTTGGAGTAAAAGAAAATATGGGAGACACTTGACCGCCAGTTACCTCCTTAGATTGTGATAATGGTTGTGTGAGGATCGAAGTCTGTGTAGCACTGGGCTTGGGGGAAGCTTGACCGCCAACTTGTTGTGGGAAGAAGGGGGGCGCACCACCTGCTGACTGGCTGGGGAAGAACGATCCTGTGCCATGCACCGGCTGCCCTGTGAGAAATGGCGGTTGTTGGGCAGCTGGTTGCTTCGTGAAGATCGTTGAAGCACTGTTGCTCGGGGACGGCGCAGGTATTGAGGGAGGGGTCAAGTCTATCACACTCGACTGTCTTGAAGGGCTAGCCAACGAAGAGGTCCCTGGGGAACCCCCATTGGGAACAGCCGGGTTCCCAACTCGATCGAAGAAAGATATCGGCTTAGGTTGGCTTTCCGGTGCTGGCGGAGGAACGGACGATGAGAAAGTTGTATTCTGGTCAAAGACATGGCCCATCGATGAGTTGGTTAGGAAGCCATTCCCAATACTGTTTTGCTTCGGAATTGGATCTGATTGCTTGACAAACAAACCCCCCTCTTCATCCTCATCCTTTCGCGGTGGAATCAGGCTCCCAGCTTCATCGAACACGGTATGGTACAAAACGTGCTGTAGAGAATGACTGCCACGCTTCTTTTCGACATAGCTATGCGAGTGATATTGCTTCCCTTCAATGTGATTCAGCACATTACCAGGTTCCATGGACAGGTAAGTCGAGCCATCGGCTTCTTCGAACACGATATCGCGAGCCTCGCACCAGGGGATGACATCGGTCTCATCATCAAATCGCAGGTACTCGTTTAAGACCGGGACAGTCCAATCTTTGATCTGGTTGCGTTGCTTTCGGTATGTAGCAAGAATTGTCCTCACAATCGCTTCCCGAGCGTCGTTGAACCATATTTCAGCGAAGCAAGCCATCGTGTACGACGTTTGCTTGTCTTTCACAATGTCAAAGAATCGGGAGAACGCATTCTGAGCAATATTCGTTGGCGCTGTAGGTTTCAGTGGTCCATGCATATCCCAGGTATTCCCCAGCGCTTCTGCCATGCTGAGTGCAAGCTTCATCTCCTTTGCTTCAAACAGATCCCAGCCCCAGCTATGAACCATTTCTAGAAGCCCAGGGTTTGACTTCCGCTGTATAACCACCAAGTAAGCTCTAAATTCGGCCTCATTTGGACACACAACCCCATTTGCCTTGCAATCTCCGTAAGCTTGCATGAGTGAGATCATTGTATTCCCAAGCTGCTCGAATTCCTGATGAGTGTCGAAGGTTTCGGAGTAGTTTTCAGGCTTCGACATGAGGTGTAGAGATATAGTGTGAAATCTTGCAATTGTTTCGAGGCAGTAGACTTGATCAACCAGCTCTGGAGGGGTCATGAATGAATGAAATACGAAATCTCTGCGAATGGCACGAGTTCTGTTCCAAAGGAAGCCGTGGACTTTGGATATGTTGGACTCAGTCAACACGTCTTTCATCAGGTAGTCAACAGTGCGGCGGAGAGCTGCAGTAGTCCTAACTTCGCTAGGTAACGGTGCCGCTTGGCCTGCAGATGAACGTGCTAGGATTTTTACCATCTTCTCCATGACGGCATGCCGAGTCGGACTTCCATCATCTTGCACACCTTTTTCTGAGATGTCAACCCTGCCTTCTACAAGTCTCTCAATCTTCTCAAGCTGTGGGCACATATCCTCGCATGTTCCCTTGAAGTCGATAGCGTCTTTCAGAGATTTAGGCTTCTCTGGGTCGTCGATTAATCCTGCCTTCATGAGAGAGCTACGGACCTTCTCCTGATAGGCCTTGTAGTCTCGTAGATGCTGCATCAATTCCGGGACTGATAATAGTTGCCGCTCAAACATAAGGTCGTACGTAGGCATTCTGGGTGGGCCGATTTGATCTTTCTTCAGCTGCTGCTCAACCTTAGCTGCTAATGAATTTGCTGCTGGCTTTGGAGAAGCAGGATATTCAAAACTTGAGTTTGATTTGGAGAACATAGGAGTACTCGAGGTATTAGCTGGCTGAGAATTCGGGAAAGAACCTGATTTGGGCAATGTGCCATTCGTCGTCGGGTTGGCGAAGGGCCCTGGTGGACCTGATGTGCCATCTGGAGAACCAGATGCATTCTTATAAGAACCAAATGAACTTGAGCTTGCCAGGGACCCGAATGTATTTGTTGGCTTTGGGGACAGGCTTGCGAAGCTGGTTTTTGATGGTGTGCCGAACGGGCTGGGCTTTGGCTCATCTGGTAGATTGGACATGTTCTGTTCATTTGCAGCAGCTCCTAGGGATGTATTCGGTGTTGACTGGGTACCAAAGACGCCTGGTGATTGATTCGGCCATGAATTCGACGAGCGTGCGCCGAAAACGTTAGAAGCTGCATTCGGGTTTGCAGGGAATGGACTCGACGTCGAGCTTGGCTTATCAAATGGGTTGAACGTGGCTCCTACAGACGATGGAGCACCAAAAGGTGAAGAAGAGGGCTTTCCGAATGGGTTTGCAACTGCCTCTGGTTTCGAAGGCGCTCCAAAAGGATTGATTGGGGTCTTCGTCGCTGATACCGCACCGAATGTAGTACCACCTGGCTTTCCAAAAGCATTCACAGCTGTCTCTGGATTTGAAGGGGCGCCAAAAGGATTCGAGTTCGAGGTTGCGCCGTTCGTTCCTAATGTCGTGCTAGGTTTCGACCCGAAAGGATTAAAAGCCGTCGGCGCGGCCGAATCAAAGGGAGACGATGTAGCTGCTGGAGCCATAGCGAAAGGAGTCATAGTTGTAGAAGGCAGCTTGCTGGAAGGGCCTGGCTTCTGCTTAGCTGCCGTTTGTGGGAACGTCTTTGGTGTGGTGCTGAACGAACCATTGCCTCTACCTCCTCGTCCGTTGCTCATTATGCCCTTATGATTCTTGCTCTCCGCTCTTTTCGCAGCATTCTCAGCGCGCTCTTTCTCGAAGGCGTTCGGGGTGCTTAGTCCTTGTGGGGTACCTGCTTTGGTAGCTTTTGAGTGAGACGTGTTCTTGAATTGCTTCTTGCCTGCGCGTGGCCACGACTGGGGATTGTCGGTAGTCTCGCGCATAATGGCAGGACTCCTTGGGATAGAAGAATCATTTGCCAACTTACTGGAGCTTGAAGCTCCTCGACTCATCGAATCTTGACCTCTTCCTCTCGCAGAACGGCTGGCGCGTGAATTGCGGTTGCTAGCTGGACGGCCAAGCTGCATTGTTCTTGTCGTTTGTCATGAGGAAGGAGCCGAGGGACGAGGTCGAGGAATCATAAAGGACATCCGAAGTGGTAAATTAATTTTGCTGTGAGCATGCGCGCTCTTTGTTGCTACCTGCTCGTCATTGTTGAACCCGAAGTTGGGTAATGTGACTTGAAGCTTGCTTGCAGCGCTAGCCTACTTTAGGCGCGTCTGTTCCGCCTACGTTTTCCCGTCAGAATCGCGGTTGACGCCTTGGCTCGGCAATGCACTCTCCTTGCAAACAGAATCATTTCAAGGCCGGATTTCTTCTAAATTAGTAATTAATACAGATTTTAATGGAGTTCACTGCTCGGAAAAGGAAGCTGAAAATCGATTTCTAAGCTGTTGAACACTGCGCTGGGAGAACGGATATAACTCAATGGATAGTTTGCAAGTGCAGCCGATTGAGGATTTGGAGCAAAATATGAGCAACTCCAGCGGCAATGCCTGATTGTAAGTTTGAAATGTCCGAGTTGACCAACTGTATAGTTCTAGCTTAAAACAGCTCTTAGATATGCAGGTATATGTTTCCCACACCCCAACGCCATCCCATGCCTTTTGTCCGCCTCAACGCCTTTTCAAAACCAGTGTATTCTCAAGCTCTCTGAGATCTAATTATCGCCGGACCTAATCCTTTCCGAACCTCGTCCAATTGCTCCATCCCACTTTGATATTTGCCTTTCTTGACAAACTTCTTTCCACTCATAGAATAATTTCCCAAGAAATCATCCATAATGCCATCGAAGTCTCCTCTGACGGGACCAGTAACACTTGACGCAGTTGATGATGCCATAGACACAGAAGCCATGTCATTCATATCCTCGTTGTACTGTTCTTCAATTCTTTCGAACCTAGCGTCTAGTGTAGTAAGACCTTCGGTTCGAAACATTGAAGAAGAGCTCATGGAATAGCTAGAAGGATTCGTCAGTGCACCCTTCCTCTTCTTTCGTCTGCCTCCATTTGTAGTAGTGGTCATCAAAGATGATTGGACATCCGATGGTGTTGCACGTGGTGCGCTTGTCTTCTGCTGGTCCCTCTTGATAAAGTCTGCAAGCCAGTTTCCGTCGCCATGGTCTTCTCGGTCATCGTTTGCCATCTCTGGAGTGGGTTGAGGAGCCTCTCTGTATTCTTTCGTTGGCTTTGCGGTGTCGTCCGATTCCCAGCCACCATCCTCATCATCCCATGCCCCTTGATCGAACTCGTCTTCTTCCAATTCTTCGCCATCTTTTGCTAGCTCTCCAAAAATATCTTCGTCATCATCAACATATGCATCGTCTTCTAGAGCTACAAGCACTTCCCTCAGCCTCGGATCCATGTCTGGTTGAAAGCCAGCGAGTACATCTGGCACATCTTGCTGAGCTTGGTATGTGACTTTGCGTAGATTCTTCGAAGGCAGAATCTCGTCATCCAAGAGCATTCTAGCCCGCTCTTCGAGACTGACATTCTTCAACGCATCCTCCAACGATTGCTGTTTCGCCTTGCCCTTATTTTGTGTGGTTGGAGCCTCCACGAAGTATGCGTCCCCGGAACCAGATCCAAGATCCCGCATATGTTGCATGTAATCGTATTCGGTATCATCGTAGTAGATACCATGGTTCGCAGCCTCTCCTTCGTTGTCTCTGATATGTTCCACCTCTGAACCAAGCTCGGAGGCTAAATCGTTAATTTTCTTCGTCTTGGTGGAATTGAGAGGAACGGTAGGGTTCAAGATCATGGCAGATGCCGCTGAATCATGAATGAGGGGATCATTTTGAGGACGATGCAATACCATGAAGTGGGTCGCTGTCTTCTTGTCAATCCATTTTTTGCGCGGCATCTTGACGGTTTGTGTTGGATGGTGTTCGCGACTCCTCGTGTGGTCTCGAATTTATTTTTGAAAAAGGTGCGGGCCACCAGGAAAATTGCCGCGGGGTATGGTCGAAATTTGCGTCATGAATTTGCCCCCTCGACTTTATCAGTGCTCGATAATCAGCCCCTCCACACATAAAGTCACACCAAAGTCTCTACATTTATTCAGACAATAGAGGTTTCTTGCACAAATACCTACGGCCCCGTAGCATCGAACCACAACCTACCTTTACCACCTAGAAATTCGAGTCACGATGGTGCTCGCAAAATCCAAGAATGCCGTCGGACTGGGGAATAGGTTCGTCCGCAGTTCTCTAGTGATAGAAAATACTTGCTAAACTTCATCCATAGTTTGATGAATGATCGTTTTGGAAAGGGGAAAGGGGCAGATCGCAAGAAGGTCACATCAGCAGGAATTCACAGAATTAATCATGCCACGGGAGAAACGGTAGGCACAACACAAAGGAGCGGAGGACTGCGAACGAAAGGCTGACATATTATAGTACGTTACCAACGACCGTAAGGAGGCCAGCTGGGTCAAGATGCGATCGGTTACCGAGCAGGCTGCCCTCGATGAGTTCTTATCGACCGCGGAGTTGGCAGGCACAGATTTCACTGCGGAGAAGATGAATAATGTCAAAATCATCCATACCGATCAGAAGAACCCATATCTCCTATCAGCAGCAGAAGAGCGGGCAGCAGTTGGAAAGCAAAAGGCACACAAGGACCGGTTAACCGTCCCAAGAAGACCGAAATGGGATTCTACAACCACTCCCGAACAACTGGACCGAATGGAGAGAGATAGCCTCCTGGAATGGCGACGAGGCCTAGCGGAGTTGCAAGAGAACAACGATCTGCTTATGACACCATTTGAGCGGAATTTGGAGGTATGGAGACAACTGTGGAGAGTTATTGAGAGATCTGATTTGGTTGTGCAAATTGTGGACGCTCGTAACCCTCTATTGTTTCGGTCAGACGATCTGGAAAAATACGTCAAGGCTGTCGATTCCAGGAAAGAGAATCTTCTGCTCGTTAACAAGGCGGATATGTTAACTTTCGACCAGCGCCAATCGTGGGCTGATTATTTTGAAGCTGCTGGGATCTCATACAAGTTTTTTTCTGCCAGTTTAGCGAAAGAGATGAACGAAACTCGAGAATTCGATTCGGATGAAGAAGAAGGCGAGGAGGAAGAGGAGGAGGATGAGGCGGAGCCTTCTGGATCCAAGCTCACGGAAAAGGCCCAAGCTCTTGACATCAAGGATGAGGAGCAACCCGAGGATGATGACGATGACGAGGAGCCAGAGGATGATAGGACTAGAATATTAACAGTGGACGAGTTAGAGGCTCTCTTTTTGTTGCATGCTCCAGACAACCAAGGTAACAATAAGCACTCTTCCTTCCTGTAAGACATTCTAACATTTCGCAGATGCCGACTCTGAGAATCCAAGAAAGACCCAAATTGGACTTGTTGGATACCCCAATGTCGGAAAATCTTCAACTATCAATGCCTTGATTGGAGCCAAGAAGGTGTCTGTTTCTTCTACACCAGGAAAGACGAAGCATTTTCAGACTATTCATTTGAGTGATAAGGTCTTGCTATGCGATTGCCCAGGTCTCGTATTCCCTAACTTTGCTACAACCAAGGCAGAGCTCGTTTGCAATGGAATTCTTCCAATTGATCAACTCAGAGAGTTCACTGGTCCAGCGGGACTAGTTGCTAAACGGATACCTCAACATTTCCTAGAGGCTCTCTACGGTATGAAGATTCAGATTCGGCCACTGGAGGAAGGCGGAACAGGTACGCCAACTGCCGAAGAAATTTTATCTGCGTACGCGAAGGCTAGAGGTTTTACAAGAACTGGTCAAGGTCAACCAGATGAATCTAGAGCAGCCAGATATATCTTGAAAGATTACGTCAATGGCAAACTTCTCTTCTGTCAACCGCCTCCTCTGGATATCGACCCGCTGGAGTTCAACAAAGAGCTTTACGATGAAGGCCACCTTCCCGAGAAGAGAAGATTGGCGCTGGCATCTATGGAGTCTCACGCTGACGATCTATCATCGGTTGCCGGTTCAGACATGATTCCCTTGGAGCAGGGAGCGAAGTCCAAAAAGCTTGACGGTGCTTTCTTTGCTCAAGGACAAGGGAATTCGGCACATCTACGTATGCCGTTCAATCACAAGTACACTGAGCAAGGGACAGCCAGCGGCAAGCAACTTTCAGGTCGGAAACAGAAGACTCTGCTTGCTTTAGAGAAAGACTTGGACCCGAATGATGTGAAGATGTTGACAAGTAAGAAGCACTTCAAGAACGGAACTAAGGGCAACGGGAAGCGAAGAGCAGATTATTTTAAGGATTAGGCAAAAAGTATTGGGTTGCTGATGCTCTCTAAATTTTATGGTTGGGTTGCGGCTCCGGATCTGGCGGAATGGTTCATGCATTTGGAAGGAGTTTGTAACTTCAACTTGTGGATTTTCAGCTATTAGCTGTGCTAGCGAAGCTGAAAATACCATCTGATGGAAATGACCCTTTGATACATCTCCTCTGGTGATCCTAAAACATTAAAAGCATGAGTTCGAAGCTGCAAATCTACTGGTAAGTAGGAAAACTTTAACACGGGGCCTCCCAACTCCGTGTATTCGGTATCTATTACCTACCAGGAGCAAGTGACATGCCATGCAACTATTCCGACGCATGTTTAATTTTAGAATGACGTGCACCTTCCTGAATGCTGGCCAAATCGGAATTGATACGCTCAGAACTAATTCTGCAAAAGGACCAAGAAACAACGAATTATGAGTCAAAGACCGGAAGGATACCCTGATATTATCTCCACAGCGTAGCGACATGGACCTGACCTGGCTGCGTTGGTGGGGCACATCGTCACTGTCTCGGCAGCTGGAGGGCTGGTCGCCCCGAGCAACGACCAGCGTTGTTGATATTTGGTCTTTCTCGCCTCGACCTCGAAACTTTTAAAGCACCGCAGAGCCTTTCACATACCACCGCAACACCTCAGTTCACACTCTCCAGCCACATCAAGCACACCCAGACACCAATAAAACCTACAAACCTACAATCCATCTCCAAATCAACCAACAGAACCAAAATTCGCCATGTCCTCCAACGTTCTCGCCGACCGCGACGTCAACGCCTCTGCACAGAATAAGGTCTTGGATATGGATGCGAAGCCCGATGTAAAGAGCATGGAGTATCATCGCCAGGTCTTACAGTCTAAACTCGAGGAGAACAAGTACGCGATTATGCTTTTCTTTGGCAACAAACATTAGACAAGTGCGATACAAGGGCAATGAACTGACAAATCCTCTCAGGGCCGAAGCAACCTATGTCTCGCCTTCAGACAACATCATGAGCCCCTGTACAGCCAAGCTCTCTGCCTACCGCAACAAGCAAGTCGGAAAGTAAGCGTATACCTACACTTTTCCCTATTGAAACCATGCAGTGCTAACAAGTATCCCAGGGCCAAGCCCAGATCCCTTTTCGCGAAGACCTCTGCCAAAAACCTCTCGGCACCAAACGGCAACGTTTTCGGCTCTGCTGACTTCGCTTCAGCTTCGAGACCCGGTGCAGAAGACCAGAAGATGGATGGCCAATAGAGTATAGCTCTTCGTTTCTTCGAGCGCACGATACATGTCTCTAACCCCGGTTCTTTCTTCTGCATTGCGGTGGTGTACGATATTTTTTCTTAGACGACAGCAACGACTCGAAGGGATGGCAAAGACAGAAGAAAAGATATACTTATATCGACTTCTTCCTATGTTTTCTTGGTTATATTCCTGGGCCGGTTGGTTTGGTGCATACACGCCCAAAAACTCTTTACGAATCCTGGATTGGACCCAAGCTTTCTGGCAATATCCTTAGACACGAAACATGGCTTGCGGATGGGTGGAATATTATGATTGAGGGAAACAAGAAAACCTTCGGAGATGGATAGGATAATGGATGGATGGATTGCTAATGGCATTTGGCATTGGGTACTGGAGTTCTCGTGGCACACTTCTGTTGCTTTTATTATTCTAGGACTGCGGTGTTGACTGGACATCGCGCAAGGCAATGAAATGACCCTCTATGAACACCCAATTTCTCATACCACATTCCCTACATTTCGCGCAAACTGGCAAATGCGAATGACTCATTGAAATGATCTTTATGTGGCATACGCAGTTGTGGAGAAAGCAACGCCCCAACTCCTCCATTGACTATCATCTAAGCTTTAAATGCACTAATGATCGACACCACATCTTCATCAGCAACCATATGCCCCAGGCCGACTCTCTGAGGGATATGTCTAGCACTAGCACCCCAAACCATAGCATACTTGAAAGTATCCTTTAATGTCCTGTGAATTTGATCACACACATCTTCGATCGTGCTTTTACTCCTCACAATCAGTGCCTCCGAGAAATCAGGATCAACACCCTTCCGCTTCGTATAAATCCTAATCAATTTCAGCTCATCCCAGCATCGTTCCACCACATCCTGAATTCCCAAGTCGAGCTCACAGCTCATGACCACGGTATGTGGTTCTCGGGCTAGCTTGTCGAGGAAGTCGAGGGAGACACTGTCGATTTTGTTGTACACGTAAAGGCACTTGATATATTTTCTGTGGTCTTTCATGATCACGTCGATGAAGTCGTCAACTGTGACGTTCTCATCTCGGACAAGAACCTCGCAATTCAGAATTTTGTAGTCGCGGAGAATGTTGTACACCATTTTCTGATCGATGTTCTTCGGTGGGTTCTGGAATGTGATCTTCATGCCTCCAGCTGTCTTGGGCTTAAGGTAGATGTTTCTACTCTTATCAACAGCCACTCATGCGGCTCGGAATGGGAGAAACTCACGGCGGTTCCCTGTTCAGTCTAATCCCCACAGCCTCCAGCTCTGCTTCCAATAAACTTCTTTGTTCGGCTTTCTTCGTAGCATCCAGAATCATCAAAATCATGTCACTCGTCTTCGCCGCCGAAATGACCTGTCTTCCTCTACCCTTTCCCTCAGCAGCCCCCTCAATGATACCTGGCAAATCCAGAATCTGGATCTCGGCTCCTCCATACTCAAGTACACCAGGAATAGCGGTGAGGGTGGTGAAAGAGTAGGCTGCTACTTCGGACTTGGACTTGGTGATTTTGGACAAGAAAGTGGATTTTCCGACAGAGGGAAAGCCCACGAGTGCGATACGTGCATCACCACTTTTGCTCACGTCAAAGCCGGAGCCTCCTCCACCTCCTGCGCCTGGGCCGGGCTCGAGGAGTTGGGCTCTGTAGCGAGCGAGTTTTCTGTGGGATGTTGAGCAGAGTAGCGTGAAGGTGACCAGCAAACATTACCCTTTTAGAAGACCAAGATGATATTCTGCAATGGTCACAGAAATTAGTCATATTTATAGCATGACCCAATTTATAACACGCATACCGGTAGCCTTATTTTCTGTGAAGTAGTCAGTATATTCGTTGTCCAACTGCACGGCGGGGTGGGGGGCACGGCGGGGTACTCACTTTGGGTCCTCCTCATCTCATCCTCGATCCTGCATCATTTCAGTTCATGGACTTCCTTTCGCTTCTGGGTAGACTCACTCCTTGATCTTTTCCGTAATGTTCACCATCTTAGCGATATTTGCCGCACAATACACTTGATATGAGATTCCGCAAGCGCTGGTGACGAGAATCCGATGATATCGCTTCGAGAAATTGAAGTCGGTGTGGAGCGGCAATTTTGAGGCGCTAAACTACTTTGAGCGGGAGGTCGACCAATCGAGCTTCTGCCTTCAAGATCAATGTCTTCATTCTTCCTTATCCTTCACATCCGATCCTTTCACTCATCAAAGCCACACTCTGAAACGGCAGAAATACAACCTGATTCACTCCACTGTTATTCCATATTCAGCATCTTTGGCTCTTCACTGATGAAATATACTCATATCACCAGATTCGGGATATTTACATCATTCGGATCTGTTTCGTCGTTTTACAACATGTTTCCATTTCGCAATAAAAACATTGCTTGTTAATTTGTTTTATTAATCTATTGATCTTTACTTTACTGACTTACCTGAAGTCATGTCTAAAGATAAGTCCCCGTATTGTATCCAGGCAGGTGCTCAATCTCATCTCGCATCCCGTCCGTCATGTCTGGGTCTTTGAAAAGTCCCATAAACAACGTGAGAAGTACGATGCTCGCAAGCAACCAGAAAGACACGATTGCGATGAAGATAATCAATGACAATCTAGGACGCTTCTCGCAGAATCTTTTCATGGGATCGATACACTTCCTACGAGCGAGGCTTTTCTTCTCCGTCTCAGCCAGCCGAGGAGGAGGAAGTTGGATGGCCGCGCCATGTATTGCTGCTGCTCGTACTCTCCCTTGGGGAGTGAGGTCGCCAAGTTCGATGCCGATACTGACTTCTTTGTGATGACTCTCGTTACTGTTCTTCGTCATGGTGGCTTTCTTTAGACGTTATCACAACAGTTATGCGAGCAGGATAATTGGAGTGGTGAAAGGCATTATATGCATATTGTGGCTTGGCTGTCTTTCCGAACAAACAGTTCTTTGTTCTGATAAGGGTTTGCACAATCAGACAGGCCTTCCTGGTTCTTTTGGCTTTGTTTAACATGATATCTGGTCGTTTCATCTCCTGTTTTCTTGTCAGAGGCAACCTGAAGGGTGAGAATCATCATTGTTCTGGATCCAAAATAACCTTCATGTTAGGCTGAGGATACTTCTTACACTCCTTAGAGAAGCTGCAGGGCATTTCTAAAAGGTTACCGATTTGATAGCTCTGATAGCTAATAAGCTGACTAGCATTTACGATTGCCAGAATAACAAGCTTCTGCAGAATTAACGGTCAAGTTCATCAAAAGTACAGACTGGAGCCGTTCTATTATGCATATCGCTTTCACTCTGTATATTCAGTTCATCACAATTTCAACGAACCGGTGTTACATTAAATATTTTAAGCTCGCCTAAATTCTGGACGAAATGTTGAAGTTAACATGACCTAGCAAGCATTTGGGCAAACCTAATCACAACATATAGTATCATATTATAAGCAAATGATCACTTGTTTACCAAGACTATCCTTAACACTTTTTCATCTCTCAAAAACGCTGCGCAATTCCTACACCAGCTAGAATTATGACCTCTTACATAGCAGTGGGACGAGGAACGAAAGACTTGTAGCGGAAGAATTGACAGGCACTACTCTTCAGCAGGTCATGCTGGCGGCACTGGCGCATGCGATTTTGCAGGATCTGTCGGATCCACTGAATCGATTTTTTTCATTACGAGGAGAGTAATGACAACAACCAGACCGAAAAAAAAGAGTGAAGACCAATCATTGGAAGATCACATCGCTGATGGTATTCTTTGGATATGGACAGAATACTCTTCGCAAACGTATGTAGAACCTCGCCCGCCAGCTCATCGGTCGAGCGTGATTTGGGTGAGGGGTGGATCTCCGGACAGGCCGGAGAGCTTGAGCTGCTGGGTGAGCAGGGCAAATTCCTCCAACAGGCTCAAAGGTTACATGTACAGGAGCTGGGGCGAGCCGGTCATCTGTGGCAACAGGACGAGCATTGGGGTAGACGGGAGCTGGATCCCGGTACTCTCCAAGTTCGATTTCTGCTAGGTCCTCCTCCAAGTGGGCTTTCTGTAACCGACTGGGCTTTGACATGGTGTCTGGTGTGCGCAGTGTAATAGTTGAAGGTGTGGAATGTGGCTATCTAGATAGCCTGGTTTGGCTTCCCAGAGAGAATGGCAAGTTGACGAGACTGCATTAATCGAGATGATCTGAGAGAATATATAGTGAGATAACAATCCTTTGTGGTGAAAGAAGAAAATATGTTGTGTGAGAACAGTATGATGTAGCCATAAACAAGAGTCGAATGACGCGGCAGGGATGTGGTGAAAATAGACTGAGGTACTCTGTGCCATTGGTATATAAATGGAAATTGAAGGTCGGGCTTTGTGCTGATCCAAACAAAGGCGCGTTGCAAGTTTCACACGCACTTCGGCACGCTTCTCAATGGGTGCGCAGGCGGCTTTATTAGAAACTGCATTCCATTCATGATATCCTACAAGCGCCTGTGAAGCCAAGCCAGTATCAAAACGCCTACTGTATCTATATTCAGGATGTTCAAATAGCCGTGAATCCCAGTTTCCCAAACAAGCTATCCATATTAACCCATTGCCTTCCACACTTGTCCAGGTATTTCTCTACAACCGTCTTCAATGTCCCAAATCTTATTCTATTATGTTCTGCCAGTGCTAGTATTCGTTCTAGAATTTGTTAGCTCTGTGGGTGGCGATGACACAATGGTGTGCTTACCTCTCTCAGTACCCTTCGCTGTAGTCTTTGCCTTCTCCACATCGAACAGACTTGAGAAGTAGAGCAGCTGATTGTACATCATTTTTTCCGTGTACTCATAATGCATAATGCCGAGGCAACCTTGCGCAAGTCCCTTCGGACCTAAGCATCTGTGACCATACACACTCATTTGCCTAGTACGGTTTCCACAAGCTTGGTCGTTACAGATCAACCAACCTTCATAATATCTGCTGGTCTGCTGTCGGATTTGATGTTCAAGCTGAGCCATGACAGACAGGTTCGAAAGAGCATGTCCACATCGACAAGTGATCCCCGCCGCAGTACAGATGTCCAGGCTGCCGACTAAGCCGTCGAAGCCGAACTTTGCCTTGCAAGCCCTGCATCGAAGGCTCAACCTGAAAGCATCCTTAAACCGAACTTCATCATCGATCAGACTCTCAAGAGGTGATATCTCTGCCTCTCCACCTCCGTTTGAAGCGTTGTTGCTGATACTGTACTTGAGGACGTCAAGACCAAGGCAATCAGCTAACCGAACAGTGTCGGTGCCAGAGATGTTTGCACATAAACGTTCCACGGGTGGGAAAATCTGCTTGTAGAGGTACCACTCCACATCTGGAGAAAGTCCAGAGTCCGTTTTAGCAACATCTTGAGGTGTGTATGACCGCTTGGCAGCATTTTCAGAAGTTGTCTTGCCATCGCCAGTAACAATGTAGGCGATGACATCGTCCTTTCGAACATTTTTTCCCCTGGACAATTCGCGCAACGCGACCTGAACTTGGGGCATACTATCAGCATTGGGATATTCCTTCGGTGCCTTGCCAAGCTTCGTATAGATGGTGTATTTCTGTGTCGGCACTTCACCTTGGCGCATCTTGGTCGATATTTCGCGCAAGTATTCGTGAATTCTGGTAATGACAAGTTCTGAATCGTCACCAGACAGAATTTCGTCAAGTAGCTTGCCCGAGACTTCCTTGGACAGATTGCAATACTCTCGACGTTTCATATCGAGACCCTTGACTTCCATCTTGTCGACGAACTTGCCATCTACTTGCACCAAATTAATGGCAGCATACTTTTTCTTAGCTTGGAGCAGAATTCGTCTGAAGACATTGTCAATGTCGATTTCAAGGAGTCGATATCGCTCGTTGACAGCTTTCTTAAACTCGTTTCCAACTTTGAAGGCATCTTCGACGTTATCGACATTTGCATTGATCATGACGGAATCCGTGTCACCATAGATGACCTGCAGAGAGTTGGATTCTGCAAGATCCTTGGTACTACGCAAAATCTCACGACCTTTATACGTTGTGAGTACTGCGAGTGGCCTGGCATAGAATCTTGACTTGGTGTAACCCAAACACCCATACATGGAGTTAGCGGTCAGTTTGAGGGCCAATTGTTTTATGTCCCAAGTCGCCAGTTGCTCGGACGTTGCGTTCTTGTCTTTCATCAAGCCCTTCACCTGTCGCCGGCGACTGACAAGAGTGGCAATAAGCTTGGGCAAGATGCCAAGATCCTGATCGACTGGTACTTCTGGCACTTGATCGTCATCATCGGACTGACAAGTTAGCACAGGCTTCATGGGATAGCTGTCTAGAATCTTACCAGGTTTGTTCGGTCCACAGTAGTAAAGCAGATGTTAAATTCCTGGATGATGCTCGGGTACAAGGAGTTGAAATCCATGACTAGCACGAACTTGTCATAGAGACCCTTCTCTGGCTCGAAGACAAGACCACCTTTGTACTTATCCTTCTTCTTAACGTCTCCGCTCTCCTCATCCGCATTCTCTTCCTCTACCTGCTGCTTGCCTTTGAAGACCGCTTTGTCGGGACAAATATACTTGTTTCGGTGAAATTCGTGGAGCAGAATGTACTCGTTACGCTCAGCACGGGTGCCAGTCAAAGTTCTTGCCCATGAATTACCAGCAAGATTGGTGAGAACTTTGGTGAGAGGGAGTAACTGGACTTTTAGAGCCAAGGCAGCAATGAAGAAAGTATCGGCCTCGCAATGGGTGACGTAGTCCATCAGACCATCCTTTGTCGAAGCCCAGGTCTTCAGAGCTTGCTCGTTGTCAACCTCCCTACGTATAGTCCCGGGTAGATAGATGCTACACATCTCAGTCAAGCTCCAAGACGTGCATTTGGACATAGCTGATTTTCCAGCATCGTTAGCCAAGTCACAGAGAAGTCGTCCCGAGAGCAATGTGCGCTCAGCGAAGAAGTTCCCGCCCATTTTGCCCATGGAACTTGGCCAGTTAGAACGCCTCATACGACCAATTCGTGCCCACTGGGGGGTCTTTTTGGCTTGCAATCGACTGAGCAAAATACTGAAATCAACACCCTCGAGCTGATGACCCATCAACACGTCTGGGTCAGTAACTTGTAATTGGGCAAGGAAGAAGCTCAGTACTTCTTGCTCCTGCTTCACAAGTTTCACCATACCCTTGGCTCGTCTCTGAACCTCAGTGTCGAAACCAATCGGGAAGCTGTTCAGCGCAGGTCGCATGACTGTGAAAGACCGACATGGCAATTTCTCGGGTGGTGTTGTATCGGTGAGAGAGATATTTTGGTAGATTCGGGCACTGATAGCGAGGATTTCCTGCTTGTTCTCTTTGACGTTCAATGTCGTTCTCAAGGCAATACTCATCAGGGTAAGAGGCGGTGCCTCAAGATTGTCGTTCTCGCTCAGAGCCGTGATCAGGTTGGGTTTCGAGACCTGGACCTCTAACATGCAGAAAGATGAATTGTTGAGAACTCCGAATTCTGCATCTTCAATTTTGAGCCAACACGGGCCCATGATGTTCTTCCAAAGAACAAACTGCTCAAATAGTGGCGTGTTCGTACCGAAAACATGTGAGAAGGTAGTGCCAGTCTGGTGTTCTGGCTGCAGTTGTGGTTCTATCACTGTGAGCCAGAATAGCTATGCAGCCTTGGAATAACTTACTCGAGTACGGATACAGTAGCTTGAGATATTCGCCTTCTCGCGGGATGTCGGGAAGCTCAAAAGCATATTTTCTCGTGCAAGGCTTGATCTTGTGCATCCCTACCCTCAATTTGCCCATCAACCCGTCCACTTCTTCATAGACATCCTTCATATCGACTTCGTCCGAGGTACCTCTTCCATGCTTCTGGCGATACTGCCGCGGAAGAAAGAACAGTTTCCTCAGGATGTTGTCAACTTTCAGGAAACAACTAACGTAAGAGCCATGCTTTTTGTTTTGGACCTTTCCAAAGAGACATAGACTGCCATTGACTTCAGTGTAATCCGTCCAAAACATGCGCAGGCTGCCATCCTCCTCGATCGCATCGGCATAGTCTAACTTCCCGAATGATCCCGTGTCAGAAACCTGACTGCTGTTCACAACGTTTAACCTGTCTGTGACGTTGTTCCAAGCAGATGCGTCAATATGTTGGGGGGGTGCTCGTGTAGGTGATGAGCTCGCAGGCGTGGGGTACATTTCAGTCTTTTTGATCTTTGGTGGTGGTCTCGTGCCAGAGATATTGATTCGGGCAGTTACAATACCATCTGCCTGAGCGACTTCCATCATATCCTCTTCCTCATCATCCTCTACCTTCACAGCAATGTTAGATTTCCTCTCCACAGCTTTTGCAACGGGGGATGACGGCAGAGGTTCATCCATCGCCATATCATCGTCCATAGGCATGTAAGTATCATCGCCATAGTCGTGATCCTCGGGTGGCGAAACGGGTCCTTTCGTATCATCGACCTTCGCCTTCTTAGCTGTGTGTCGTGGTAGTTCACTAACACCCGGAGACAAGGCTCGCGTTCTCCGTTTATCTTGAACTCTGCGAGATCTCGCAGATTGAACACTTGGACGAGGAACGTTCGTATCAACTTCGCCGAGAAGATCCGCCAGGAAGTCGTCATCTGCTTTCGTTTTGATAGGCTACCGAAGGTCAGCAGAGATTTCTTGAGCTGATTCTTGACATACTTTTGCTTTGGGTTGAGCTGCTACAGGGCCTTTCGTAAAATAGTTGCTGATTCCCTTGTCGATTTTCTCCTTTTTGGCTTTGTCCTCTTCGCGCTTCCGCTTTGCTGGCAGACATCAGATGTTTTGTAACATAGACTATGCAAACTGTTCTTACCAGCTTTCCCGGACTTGCCCTTTACAGGCAGATCCTCATCACTTCCTGAGCCATAATTTGGTTGCTGATCCCACTCCTCTCGCCCATCGTCCGCATATCCCTCACCATTGTCGTCGATAACGAAGTCATCTTGGTTCAATCGCTCTCGTACGACTTTCTTGTATCCATCCTCGTCAACTTCCTCGTACAAGTCTTCTTCCTCTTGGACCTGATAAGTGTCGAGTCGTTTCTTGCCGGATGCTCGAAGTTCACGCAGCTCAGCGAACCTGTTGCGTGCGTTGGTTGCTTTGGACATTATGACGATGGGCAAATGATGTTTGTTACAGCATTATTCGGAACAATGCTGTGGAGGAAAAGTCGGATTAGAAGTAAGGTGAAGTGATTGAAGAACTTGTGGTTTGTTTTGTTGTGATGTTGAGGATTTGGAGGGCGGGCACTGGACAGAGCAGTTGCGGTACGAAAATCAACTGTACGCGAGATTGAACTCGACGCGCCAGAATCGCGTCCTTCCCACGCGAACCCCTGCACGCCGCCTGCATTGGTGCCTCACAGTGTCAGGCAACCAAAATATTTTCCCCGTCATCTCAAAAAAATCTGGGGCGGTCCAGGTCCAAGACCCGGGCACCAGTACATTGACAATGGAGCAAATCCGACAATTCTCACAACAACGACAATGTTAACTTGCCACGGGTGTATGAGGCATTGTCTGCAGACGATCATCGGAGACTCTGCTTTCCTCACTGCGGTATCCCGACCTGCATTAACCTCAAGTCTCAATAACGTTCCGCTTCGACGAAGCTATACTGGCACTTCATACGAGAGGAGTCGTGCTGGGCAGGAAGCAAATAGAGGCAGATTCGGGGCTGACATTTCGAACGAGAGATGGCAAGCTGGAAATGGATCAGGTCGAGACAAATTCGAGAAGCATTCTCCAGCAATTCGAAACAACAATGATTACGGCTTACCATCAGAAAGTCAACCCTGGCGCAGAGGGAACTCTGCTAAGGTCTCCCCGAGGACGATAGAGAGGAAGAAATGGCTAGACTCAAGGGGCGTACGACCTCCTTCGAGGAAAGAAGTTAAGGCGGCACGTACCGAGAGCGATATAAGGCACCATCTCAGCCTCCTGAATGATCCCCTGAAGCTTGCGGACTTCGTACGGCAGACGTTACGAAAAGATGATTTTGCTTTCGCCGAAGAGATTGTGCGGGCGGCAAGTAAGAATACTCTGTGTGTTATCAGTTGGAATCACTTAGTAGAGTGGCAATTGAGCAAAGGGAAAATGAAAGCTGCCATTTCCACTTTCAACGAGGTACGAACTTCGCATGACCCCATTCGAACTACAACTCTAACGGTTTGCAGATGAAAAAGCGTGCCCAGGTACCAGATGCATATACATACACCATACTCTTCAGAGGCTGCGCCGATCACAAGGACTCTGGTAATGCGCTGGCGAAGGTTATGGACATTTACCATGGGATGCTTGCAGAAAAGTCCCCCGTCAAACCTAACACAATCCACATGAACTGCGTTCTGAAGATGTGCTCTAAGGCTGGTAATATTGACGCCCTGTTTGGAGTCGCTTCCCAGTTCGCTCGACATGGCCTTGCAGCGCCGAATAACTTGAGCTTTACAATCATGCTCAATGCTCTCCGCCAGGAATCTTTAAGTGCGTCCCGAGGGTCTCTTACTCCAATGGAAAAGCGAGCTCGGTTCCGGGATTGTATTACACGTTCGAGAGATGTCTGGACAGATGTTGTTGACCGCTGGCGAAAGGGAGACTTATGGATAGACGAGGAGTTGGTTGCTACTATGGGCCGCCTTTTGCTCAACGGTCAAGAGGATGACTGGGATGACATTTTCTCATTGATCGAGCAAACTATGAACATTCCACGCCAGGTCCCGAGGCTGGGTACTCCTGACCGTGCCCGTATCGAGCCGGCGCAACAGAGTCAGGAGCTTGAGCGAGACGGAATTTCGAAAGAGCTTCAGGCTGATGAGGAAACACCTGAACACGTCTTATACTCTGAGACACAAGATGGGGCTGTCATGTCCGGTGAGAAGTTTGAAGCAATCAAGGCGCCCGTCACCAAAGAAGACGGCATCGCCATGTACGCCAAACCAGGACAGAACTCCCTCTCTCTCCTCCTCAAAGCAGCACTACAACTAAACCTCAAAGCTCCCGCCACAGCATATTGGGACATCTTCACCAAGACTTACCTCGTACAACCTGACGGCGAGAACTTCCACTCCTACCTTCGCGTTTTGCGTCTCTTCAGAGCCAGCACCGAGATGCTCGAGGTCCTTTCCCAAATGTCAAGACAAGACATGGAAGTCAAGACCTTCCGCCTCGCAATGTCGACCTGCGCCCGCGACAAGCGCAACCCCAATGCTTTCTCCAATGCTGGCAAAGTCCTCGACCTCATGACGAAGAACCTCCCCCACCCTGATATTCAAGCCTTAGAACAATATCTGGAAGTAGCCATCGACTCGCCCGCGCGAGCGAAAGTTCAAAACGCTCAAGGCGAGCAAATCCTCCGTGCTCTCGAGAGACTCAACCCCTCATTCCTTAATCTGAAGTCAGCGATGCAGTTCACTGGTACAACGACCGAATTCAAAGCTCCGCATGCCAGGCTGGAGCTCATCGATAATATCATACGACTTGCCGGTAGGATGATCCGCGCCTTTGATCACCTCATGAACAAAGCCCTTGTACCAAGAGAGATGTTTGGAGATCTCACCAAGCAGCGCAGCAAGATATCTGCATTCATTACTCGCTACCAACACATTAAGTCTGATTTATCGAGCCCTAGAAGACTCGAGCACGGCTCTGATTCCGGGGAACCTCGCTCAGAACATGTCATGAACTCAGATGACTACCGTCAAAGCCCTGGATCCATGCCAGGAAAGAGTCAGACGAGCTCCCGGGTCTCAGCGAGGGCTTAAGAATTTCTCGAATGTATCAATATCAGAGCGGCTGGGCAGGAGGAAAACTATTGCTGTGCCTAGACCATGTATATTAGCGATCCGGAACAATTCCCATGTACAATAAATATATGTGAACTCTACCCCACCATCACGATCCTGGATCTCGTTTCCCCCCCCAAAGGAGATAATGAACTAATTGTCTATTCTTTTCTTTGACGCTATGGTTTCTCCCTATTGAATGAAAAGTCATTGTGGCTATTAACCTGATGCTCTCTGTTTAAGGATAGCGCAGTCCGGGTAACTATCATTGCTAGCAATATTCCCTTATAACATATACGGCAGCAGTCCATCTCAATACTCTCCTGGTCCCCATGCGCTGACCAATCTCATCGCAAGTACTCATGAGAATAACGGTCGCCTTCAGATCCACAATAGCCCATTATCCGTACATTTCAACATCGCGAATGGAGGCATCTTCATTCTCATTCCCTCCGTGCTGCCTGGTCCTCTTCAAAACTTCCCCGAATTGAAAACTCGCCTCTGTATCAATATCACTGAACCGAGAATGCGGTCTGTCGAATATCGAACTGGGCGTCACAGTTCGGTTCACCGGTGATGGGGCAGAATGGGAACCTGCCGACAGAGTTCTGGAGATTCTGCGTACTTTGCCTGAATCTGCACTCGTCTCGGATGGCTCTCCTCTATACCGGCTTGATTGACGGCTGAAGGAGGGCGAAACACTAGAGATTTGAAGTGGTCCTCTGCTTTGCTCAGGTATCAAACCATAGTCTTGGAATATGTTCACCAGAGCTCCGACCTTGGACTTCCCTTTCGCCGAGAGTGGACTTGGCCTAGCAGCCTTGCCAATAGGCCGAATATTCAGGTCTGCGAGAGTGATGTTGTTCTCCAGAAGATCAACTCGTTCAATATCCTTCGAGGCGTTGATGTCAGACTCTGATCTGAAGTCCTGACTGGGGGGCCTTGGTCTGTTTTGGTTACTCTCCATCACCCTTTTTCCGTCAGAAGGCTCTACAGCGTAGCTTGTATCTTTCTGGGGGTTTCTATCGATGGTGACTTCAGTGGGTACTCTGGTTTCAGCAACTCCACCAGGAGTTGATGCCATATTCTCGTCTGCCAGGCAGTACTCGCTATCAATAACATTGTGGTTATAGTCATCATCATCATAAAGAGCTTTCACTGCCTGTGTTGCGTCATTCATATTGGTTCCGTCGGGTTCATCTGCGATGCCATATTTGACGGATGTGAAGTGGTAGCCTGGGAAGTGACCACTGACAATGTCTGGCGATAACGAATTGTGTCTTACTTTGTCCATTCTCTCTATCAACATTTCCGCCATGAGTTCGTATTCGTTACTAGCAGAGTTCTTACCCCTGGCATGATGAGTGATCGGAGTTTCGAAAGTATGGGGGAAATTTGATACGTCGCAGAGTTCGACATTTACAGAACCTTGCAATCCCTGAGATGATTCCTCCTCATTCGGATCTCCTTGAGAGCCTTCAGAGTCATGTAGAGAAACACGGCCAACTGCGTAATAATTGTCAAGAACACTGGCCCTACCATCGGCCTCAGATTCTTTGGGCGCGTCCCAGTTGTCGTACAGATCATCAAAATCACCAAGACCACTTGGGAAGTTGTTATTGGTGGGTTTCTGGCTTGAAGGTCCACAAGAAGACGAGTTTTCGTGCTTGCTCGACAATGAATCTGAATCTCCGCATTGAGGCACAAGAGGTGAACGATATTTCTGGATGGCATCACCGACATCTGTAGCTGCGTCTGCTTCTTGTCAGGAAGATTGAGGATCGTCATGAGCACCGCAACCTGTTGATTCGTACTCACGTGAAGTTCCCAGCCTCGCCTCTCTTGCAAGCTCCGTCCATGTCTTTATCGCTTGTACTTGTTCCTCGAAATCCAATGCTGCGATGACATCTTCTTCAGCCAACGCTTCCCGAACATTTCTTATGGCGGAAGAGTCATCAGTAACCGACACCTGTTCAGAGAACTGACCAGATTGGTCTTCCAAGAAGAAATCGTCGTTAAAAACAGAGTTCGTCGTGGAAAATACCCCAGCCCCTGTCGCCTCCGGAGGAATGTTCAGGTGAGAGGTTGATTTCTTTCCTATTTCATACGAGATGGAGTACGGTTCCTCCAGGAATTCAGCTACCTCAGATGCAAATTCCTCCCATGCACTGTCACACCGACTTGGTTGTCGTCTCATGGGGGGCGATTTTTCAGCCAGAGGAGAAACATCGCTCCCTTTATCCGTCGTAGTATCACTGGAAGGTTGGGTTATCCAATGAAGCTGAAGACCTTTATTCTTTAGATCTGCCGGGTTTGGAACTGGAGAGTCAATCAAGTGTGCATCGATGGTGCGGCTCGTAGGGTCGTAGGCATAGAAATTGGCAAGGTCCCCCAGTTTGTAGTTGTATAATCCAGAGAGGGCATCTCCCATCGACAGGAAATATTCAGTATGTTGAAGCAGATTCACAGTTCCTGGAAATCGAACCTGAACTGTAGAGGTTGAGATCTGGCGACTTCTTTCAGAGCTTGACAGTAATAGCTGGTTCTGGAACTCGTCATCTTCAAGCTTTGGATTAGCTTTCTGGAGGTTCATCTCCTGTTGAAGCAGAACGGATGGTCTCTGAGTGAGAAATCTATACGAGCGTCTCAGAAAGTTTTCATACTCAGGACAGAAGTCGATCTCTTTATCAAGAGTCACCGAGTCATCCACCTTCACATTACGTCGAAGGGAAAAGAACGGTTCCAGAGGAGATCTGAGCACTGTTGAATCCTCCAGTATTTCTTCCATCGTGGAAATGAGAATTTCGTCAGCACATAGAGCTGCCTGTGGGTCTCCTTCCGAGATGCTGCTTCTAAGTATGATGCTAAGGCCGTCAACATCGACCAATGATGTAACTTCATTATTCTCAACAGGCAGGGCAAGGCAACCTGAAATCCGACTTTCACGACCATCAATGCTTTTGCCCTTCGCCTGTCAGTACCACTGTTCAATCAAAAACGGAAAGCCTGTAGAAAGACATACTTCATTCATCAAGTGCCTTCCCACAATAACAGAGTCCCATGTTTCATTCAAATCAGTTTCGAAGCTGCCAATATACTTTTTTTGATCAGAGTCGCTTTCATCTGCTTGCTGATTTGTTTCCGAGTCTTGATAGCGGAGTACGTGATCCTCTGATGAAGAGTGGTAGTTTCTTGTCATTCGTGCCACAGTGGAAGCAATGCTTTGGGCAATATTCTCCTGGTTGTGTCGCCAGCCAGAATCTCCATCCAATCCAAGCGATTCATACTTTTCTGATCTCTTCTCTTGCCTTCGGCGAAATTCCGGGTCCAGATCTAACAAAGGGAGAGAGCAGTTGACTTCCCGCACATTGACAATGGGTCTTTGATCGAGAGCTTGTAGCCTTACAAGTTCTTTTTCATGAAGGCAATCCGGAGTCGTTTCTCTCAAATGATACTGGCAAGACCGAATAAATGAGGCTGGGGTTACTTGTATGCTTGAAGGCTCAACCTCATCACTATCAATAACTGGCAGAAATGCCCTGCCGGAAGCGTTAGCCAAGACAGTTCAATTGCTCAACGGGATCTCCATAAAGACTACGTACAAGTCATTATTGCAGCTCCCGTTTTTGGAAATGGGAGTAGTGTTAGCGAGTTGCAAAGGCGAGGCAGGGGAAAATAGCCGATCATTTTGTGAAAGTCCCCCGCAGGAATCTATTAGTAGCCGAAGATAGGAGTCTGGTGTCTTTGGTCGCTTTTCACCATCGGCATTGGTCTGCAGCTCTTGTGTCAATGGCACTGCGGGATCTGGAGTACAAAATGACGTGCCACTGTTCGTCTGATTCCGCGGAGTTATCATTGGACGCAAGGAATCTGGTGAATCAGAGCTATCCCAGTCCTTTTTGGCCTCACAAGCCTCGCGAAGGATAGTCAAGTACGAATCGTGAAGTTCAGATTTATTGTCGTCCGTTGATTTCTTTCCGATTATGCCTGTGCTTGTCAGCAAGTCCATTTCGTCATTTGCATCTTGGGCCAAAACTCTTACTGTCAAGAATGCGAACCAATCTTGACTCAAATAGATCGATATCGACTTCAATTCCCTCTGCTAACTTAGCATACATAGGAGTAGCTGCGTCCCCATGTTTGCCAGTGGTGGCATTGTCTGGATCGCTGGTTGCCTTTTCTTCTGTTTCCTGGAGCTTTTCAGGCAAGACTATGAGCTGAGGTTGACGAAGCGAGCCGTCATTGGTGACAAGAGAACTGTGACGAAGATATTCTTGTTTGTGGGGTACTTTGTTTGTGATAGTTTCGAGAATATTTGTTGGATTCAAAAGGTTTCCTAAGCTTCGACGTTTCTTCATGGGCATGTCGGAGAACAGGTCTAAACATCGTCAGTTTCACTTCACTACAAGAGTGAATTAACCTTACTGGCATATCTATCTTCATTTATGGTTCTCTCTTTGTTAAGATGCCGTGCCTGATCTGACACATCGCTGCCATTCTGGGACTCGCGAGAGGACAGACTCAAAAGGTCGACAATGGACTTCCTGCGTTTAACCGGTTTTGCACTTGGGCTGCCACTATCAGAAGAACGAGAAAAACTACGAGATCGGAATCTCAAGCTATCGTAGATGCGTTTGTGCAGAGAGCCGGATCGGGAGTTCTCCTTGCCATTGGACATGCGACCATTCTTGCTAAGATTTGATGTTGGGGTACGAGGCAGAACGCCAAATTCAACACCTGAGGCCGGACTAGACGATACTGAATCCATACTGATTTCGGTTCTGGGAGAGATGATTGTCAGCGGCGTATTGTAGTTAGATCTGTAGACGTGGTCGCTGAGGGTTGTCCACCCGTACATCCACAGGAAGCAGCGGGCTTGGCTGGGACACCATATTGCTCCCAGGGGAATAAGTAGAGGATTGTGACTAACCGTAACCAAAAGCTCCCCCCTCATAGGAATCGAAACGTCGAAGGGCGGTCTTGAAGATTGTGTTGAGAAGGGCAATGGAGATACCTGCTTGAGAAAACGGAAGCTGGGCCCTCCACCCGCAAAGTAAACAAAGCCATCCCAGCACCTCGCCTCCTGCCTCGTTTGTTAAAGGGGTCGCCCGCCCCTGCCAAAGCGTTGTGGAGGGCTAAGCGTGGCCAATGACATCCACGACCCCAGCACTCCTTGCTCAGCTGTATTTTGGGCCGCGACCAACGCCTCTTCCTCCAGCCAGATCGCGTTCGCCAGGGCTCGTGAATGCCTTCAGCTTTGATCCGACATCTTCCCTTACATTGACTGCATCTCTCCTGCGGAACCACGCACTGTACTTACGGAACTGAAGTAAAAAGGACATCTGCGCAAATTACTAACGTACTCCTTACTAACCAGCAGTAAACATGGCACCCAGCAAAGCCGCCCTTGATCTCAATGCGATGATCAGCAAAGGTATGGACAATACGCAATGCAGACCCTGTGGGCCTCAGTCGCTAACACAGTACTTGCAGACCGCCAGCGCCGCAAGAATGAAACTCTTGCAAACGAAATATTTGGGAATCGCCGAGCGAGCGCGCCTGGTGTATTAAACAAGCGCAACAACAAGTCGGCAGCGGTACCATCTCTTGCGAGCAGAATTGGGCCTATTGGGGGCGGAGTAGCAAAGGTACAGTCTGTTTGGGAGCGGCTTGGAAGAGCATACCTCTGACTGTCAATAGCGGACCATGTCGACTTCAACACGACCAGCGGCGTCAAGATCAACTGCACGACCTGCTGGAAATGTTGATGCAGAGTGGACGCACGACCTTCACACCTTCAACAATCCTCCAGTCTCGAAATTCTCCCAAGGTCCTCCTCGAGGTCCAAAGGCGGCAGCTGCGCGTACAAATCGCAATGAACGTATCCACTCTGCGCTACACAACTCAGCCTCATCTCCAGCTCTTAATAGCCAATTCAATATCGTCGGAACTGCAAAACCAGCACCAGGTATCTCCATTCGAGGATTGGCCGGCCCCTCCATGGTCATGATAAAGAACTTGGCGCTTGGAACTACAGTGGCTGATATTGAGAGCGCAATGACGCCTGTGGGAGGGACTGTTTTGAACTGCCGGATCATTTCTGAGAAGCCTAAGGTCATTGCGGAGCTTGTCTTTGAGACTAAGGAGGGGGCCGATAACGTTGTTGACACGTTCAATAACCAAAATGTGAGTTCGCCTCTTCATACTAAAGTGTATTACTAACATATAATTCACAGGCCGACGGCCATCTCCTCCAAGTTTACCACAAATCCGGGCCTCTGCCCACCACCATGAAGCAACTAGCACCAGCCTCTCCCGCACCCAGATCCAACACACCCCAAGGCCCACGCGCAGATAGAAACACCGACAGATCTGGAGACACCCGCTCTGGCTACAGTGATGACCGGTACGCACCGAGAGAACGCAGTCGCGAGCGCAGACGAGACTTCGGTCGAGAGGATGTGATGGATGGCTCATATGGCTTCAACGACGATCGCATGGAGACCGACGAAGAAGAAGGCAAAGGGCTGTATAGCGACAACCTTCTTTCAAGCCGAGGTCGTGCTTTCACGAATAACAGAGACCGCGGGGGTCGAGGAGACAGAAATCGGTCCTACAGATGACCATCATCCTGACCGAACGTCCAAAACTCTAGGAATTTTTAATGAGTGGCAGCCTGTCAATTTTACTGGGCTGAGGACAAGACAGTGACGGTCAAAACCTTGCATACTGTCACACCCTCACCTGGATACAGATTCAGTCAGAGGAGCCGGAATCACACGGGGCATCATATCATACCTAGATGCCCCTTTCTGCTTCCGATGGATTTCCCAAACCTATGGGTGGTATTCAGATTCCCCCTGCTGTACAGTAGTAACAGAACGCCATAAGATAACATTTCCTTCGACATGCTTTTCTGTGTGATGTTTCAGAGCCCGTGAGCTGGAGACGAGTTGGGTCAGAGAAGTGATCACAAAACTCAAAGCACGACCGAAAGGCAAAGGAAGTTCCAGTGAAGCCATTGATTCAGTACCTAATCGCGCAGTATTTCCGCGCTTTTCGGTCGTCTGTCTGTCAGTTCGCCCGCTACCTAGCTCAGCAGTTCATGCATGCATGCAATCTCTTTGTAAACTACATGAAGAATGACTCTCTGACAAAACGATAATGTAGGAACACTCTCCGTTGCTTGCCTTCAGACAGCTGTTGAGCTAGCCTTCCTAGCTTAGTAATATCCTCCGCTGTCGAATGCAAGTGTTACTCGTCCCAAGCTCAGCCAAATCATTGTGTACAACCTGCCCCTACCTACGTACGTACGAAATATAGATTCCGCCTCAATCAAAAATCCTGGCAGAGCGAGAACAGGCTCTGCCTCTCCCACGCGCCATGATAACCCCTGGATCAAACCGATGCCAAATCTTGTCAAGCCCCGGAAGCAAATGGGCTGAAATACCAACAGTATTGGGCCACGAAAACCTGAGGCATCTCAAGGGGTCGTAGATGGGTTTCGCGTAGGGAAAGACCTACTGGTTGTAGGCTCTTGGGTGCAAGCACGTGATGCTCAATGCCATTGGGCTTGTCCCATGAAGCCCTCCTCAAGTGTACGATCCTCCAAGTTCCGAATGAAGTCCCGGTTGCTCCTTTGTCCTGGTTGTCCGGGCTGGGCAGCCCTACTCCCTCGTCTCCTTGCACTTCCTGGATTCTCACTGCCCGCCGCACCTTCAGGCGGTGGGGGGTAGTATGCAGGGCTGGGTTGAAGTCGAATGGGTTGATTTGGATCAAGATGACTAGCCACTCTCTGGATTGCAACTGGTATGCCACCTTGCTGCACCTCCATTGTGGAAGCTCTTTGACGACCTGACCTCACGGCAGCTTGTTGTGCATAGAGACTCTGTTGACTCTGTTGTTGCTGATGTTGTGGCGGACCTTGTGTGTATTGAGCAGGGGCCATTTGTGGAGGACCTTGTGACATCATTCCCATCTGGTTGTAAGGACCGGCCTGCTGCTGCTGCTGTTGTTGTTGCTGCTGCTGGGCTGGATATGGTGGCGGCGGCCCCTGCATGGTGGTGTTTGGCGAGTACATATTTGTGTTTGAATACATTGGAGGCTGCTGGGCCGGACTGGCTTGTGGGTACTGGCCAATAGGTACACCAGTCGAATAAGGAGTCTGTGCTGGGTGGACTGGGGTGGTATGGGCTTGGGCCTGTACCTGTGCTTGAGCGGCCTGAGCTCTTTGTTTGCTCAGCGCCTCGGCCTGTTGCTGTTGTTGGGTACCCGGTGCAGGTGATCGGTTGATTGAGCTAGACTTGAGATTCATAGGCGGGACGAATGGACCTGTGTACTTTTGTTGCGTTATGAAAGGATGCAGTTTTGCTTGCTGTGGTGACCAACGTTCCAGCGGATTGATATTAAGCAATCCCCGTACAAAATCGATGAACGCAACTCGATTGTTCATTTCTAGAAAAGCGATCAGTGTCAATCAGATTCGACGAACATGCCTGTACTTACCGCGATCGATCTCGCTCTGCTTCATATTTTTCCTAGGCATAGCATACGATCGAATGATCTCTGGTAATGTCGTGGCCTGGAAGTATTTCTTGCTTGGCTGCTCTTTAGTCCCATGTTCGCGAGAATACTGCTCCATGCTTTTCAAGTGGTACGTCCGCCGTCCATAATCATCAACATCATGCCTCTTCTCGAAAAACTCTCCTGATTGCTTGCCCATTTCGAGCATCCAATTGGGTGGATTGCCAAGCATCTCGACTATGCGAGATACCTGGTTGTATTCCGAAGAACCAGGGAAAAGGGGCAGCCCGAGGAACAATTCGACGACGATACAACCCAATGACCACATATCAATAGCCGATGAGTATGGCAAGCCAAGAAGCACCTCTGGCGATCTGTAGAATCGAGACTGAATGTAGGTGTAAACAGTCTGCCGCTCGTCGCATGCTGAGCCAAAGTCAATGATCTTAATGATTGGGCTTTCCAGGTTCTTCAGTAAAATGTTCTCTGGTTTGAGATCGCAATGAATCAGACGAGCTTTGTTCAACAGACTGAGCCCGTTGAGAAGCTGTTGTGCAAAGACCCGTACAAGCGTTGTGCTCAACCCTCTGAACTGGTTCTGTTTGATCAATTCGTAGAGGTTGACGCTCAGCAGCTCGAATACCAAGCAGAGATGTTGTCTATGGATGAATGTATCCTTCAGACGAAGGATATGATGGTCGTCGTTCTTATCAAGCTTCGTGTTTAGCTGCATTGAGAAGTTAGCGACACCTGTAGGCCCTAATTGGAGGGTGGGCTTACCAGGTCCAGGACTGACACTTCCATCATACTCTGATTGAAATATGCCGTTCTGTTCTTGACAACTTTCACTGCAACAACTTCCTGTGTCTTCAAGTTCTGGCACTTGACTACTTGACCGAAGGTTCCCTGCCCAAGGACATCAAGAATAAGGTACCGGTTCCTAGACCGTCTGTCAGCATTCACAATCTAAAAGATTACGGACGTCTTGACCTCGAGACATACTTATGACCAGTCTCCTCCGACCCGAGAATGTCATTCACATAAAGTATATAGTCACTATCCTCGTTATCAAATCCATCATTTTTCACACCCTTGCTCGGCTTCGTGAGGACTCGGCGAGGATTTCGAGAAGATTCATATTTGAAACTGGGATTGCAGATACGGTAGGTCGACGGGAGATGGCTCGTGAGAGCTTGTAGTGGCTACGATGGCAAATTAGCGCTGGGTTCGAGAAATCACATATCCTGCTTACACTTATGAATCCACCTTCTGGGTTTGCTCTACGGAAAGCTGGCTGCGCATTGATCTTGGGTTGTAAATCAGACACAGAACGGAGTTTTGTGAACTCAGGTACAGGTCCTCGACCTGGAGGGCCAGTGGCAGCTGGCGGCATCGGCCGCCGAGGAGATTTTGGATCATTGCCAAAGACAGCATTCAATTGTTGGGTAGCAGAGGTGGGGTAGCTATCATTGTTCGAGGAGTAGGGTGTAATAGGAGGTAATTGTTGTGGCTGCTGGCGATTGGCGTAATACGAGTTTGGAGAGGAGTAATTTCCAGGTCTTGTTGGTGATTGGCGTGACCCGTACTGATTTTGGCCTTGTTGTGGTGCACCATATGGCGAACTCGGGGACAACGTCTCCATGGGAGAATATCTTTGAGCAGCGGCAGACGGTTCTTGAGGCGAGTGGTGTGAAGGTAATCGGCTGCCAGAAAGGTGTTGTTGGTGAAGGGGCCGCATCGGGTACTTCATGCCACCGACATCTTGCATCGCAACATCACCGTTTCCGTCTCTCATGTGTGGAGTCGCCGCAGGAGAAGTAGTGGATGAGTGAGAATGTGCGCCGATTCCACCCTGGTACTGCTCGTAGGTGAAGCCAGCAGGAGGTTGAGCTTGAGCTTGAGCTTGAGCTTGTGTATTGCCGTTGTAGTCGCGCGCCAGCTGCGCTTGAGATGGTGGGGGGTTGCCGTTATATCTCCTCGAAGACCCGGCCTGGTCAGGATAGGTCTGGCCCCATTGATCCATCTTGTATCAGACGTCGCAGGGGAGGTCGCTGGAGGTATCGTGAGAGAGAGGTGCCAGGTGCCAGGCAGGGCTGTTGTCTGCGAAGCTACCTCGGAGCACAAGCGTCGCACTGGTGATTGGAGAGGTCTAATACGATGAGGATGGGTGCAGTACTGCGCTGTGCGGGCGACTAGTCAAGCCAGAACGCGTCGCAGGAAGAAGAGGAACCTCTCAGCAGAGGCAGATACAGCCCGTAGAGATCCAGTTGCGTGTCAACGATTCATGGCGGGACGGGCGAGGAGAAGAAATGCAGTTGACGGACGACTTCGTAGCGATATGAAGGGAAGGGAAGTGATGTGATGTGATGTGATGTGATGTGAAGGCTGGGCTGGGGTCTGTTCGCGAGTGCTGGAGCAGAGCAGAGCAGAGCAGTTTGCTCGTTAGATTAGCGCGCTGGGTGAATCACTGCCGCTCGTCTCTCGTCGTGTTTCTTCTCCGTGTTGGCTCGCGAAGCGGAGGAGGGGGATCCTGGACATCAACCAGGTATAAGTATTTTACTGTAAAATGGCAATACATATATAAATTTACAACAATGCAAGCCAGCTATTCCAGTCCATTCTAGCCCAGTAGCATTTTCGAAATCCCAGCCTTGCGAGAACAAAGACACTCTTCGAAAGACTACCTATTTTGTTTTTTTCATTTGCCCTCTCCAGATCACGAGAAAAGGCAGGTCATACCTACCTACCTACCTACCTATTTAAAGGCGCTTCCATACAAGCTGATTTGGGCGGCGTCGTCCTCGTTAGGCTGAACTGGGCTGTGTTGGGGGGTTCAAGACTGACGAGGACTTGGGGCACTTGGGGCTTGAAATGGGTCTGCAGCGCCTGTAGAAGTGGATACAAGGGTCAGAACGGATCCCATCCAACCCAATTCAGTTCAATCAAATTCAGCTGATAAGTCTTAAGTTGACTTTTCACATTCCCAAGTCGGTCTCTCTTCCGAGACTACAGTATCTACAATATCATCAGGGCCGCATACTTCTCGAATATATAAATGGGACTGACGACACTATTTTCAGCTCTGTTTGTACGATGGCTACCTTACTTAGTTAACAATTGTCATTGTCATAAATTCTTCGGATCTTGTATATTTATTCCACATGCTCAGAATAGTTTAGGTCGCGACGGGATGGCATGTCCATGTCCATTCCTTCTTTGTGTCATCTTGGCATCGCGATGGCATTAGAAGTTTCAATAGCAAACGTAAACTTTTAAAATCCATGGGACTACCAGTTACAGGTCAAATTCGGACTCTCCCTGGCAAGCTCAAACACTCCTGCAAACGACCAGTCTTCTGAGAGACTCCAAGACAACAATGGCGATCCAAATATCGACCGAGTCTTGGCCGCTGCTTAAGTGCCTAGATTCTGCCTGATTGAAGCCCTTTTGTTTCCGAGAGCTTCAAGGTCAACCAGCTGGCCAAGAACAAACAAGTCAAAGACTGTTCAAAGATCCTTCTGGGTGGAATGTACCATGTTGCTACTGATAGTAATTATAGGCATTTCAGAATTAGCATGCTTCAAGGGTGGCTCAAAGACCGAGTACAGCAGTGTTTTGGCCACCAGCTTGTAGACGTAGAAATCCAAGGCTTTCCTATCTACCTACCAAGAGACCACATACTCGGTGAAAGATAACAGCAGACAAATATATCAATGTGAAGAGCCCCAGTTCTGGAACTGAAGTGACAACTGAAATTTGTTAAACCTTAATAGGTACATAACGTTATAGATTGTCATGTGAAGACGAGAAACGAGGCTGAATGACTGTCGCCAAATTACGCGAACTACAGTTAGAACGCGATTCGCGGGGCACAGGGTAGGGCAGGCAACTGCAGGCTTCAATGACGCATGCGGTCCGAGGTACGCTTGCCACTACATCGACAATTCTGTCTTGCCTTGGACAACGTCTTAATCTTCTCCTTCAAAGACTTCGAGGTTTGGGGGATTCATAGAGTCTAGTTTTTCCAAACTTTGCTACTATCCGTGGCAGCAACTGTTGCCAAAAACACTCTGCAGTTCACCTTTGGCCGCGGATGTGTGGGATTCACTTCTCCCTCATGGCAGACACTTGAAATTCTTTTCCTCTGCGACTCGAAACCCTGTACATTAATCGCACCGCTCTCGAATCTACTTCAGCAAGATGAACACCTCGAACCATGCCACCGCCGACCCAGCGCCAGCCTCGAGCTCTCCTGAGACCATCGAAAGAAATGATAACCCACACTCAACAAGCACACATACAATCGCAGAGGCAACAGCTGCAATCGCAGATCAGGCCACCCAAAATGAGGCTCAACCTTCAGATACATCATTAGCCATGGATGAGGCTACTGCGCTGAAGGGATTGACGGAGGACGTTCGGGATCAAGGTGATCTAGAGAGAGATATCACAAATCAGGCCAACTTGGCGATGATCGAGCAAGAAGACGAACGGGACGAGAAACGAATTTCTAAGGCGAATGGCAATATCGAGAAGCTGGAGGGAGAGAAGCGTAGGAAGATGCAACGTCTGCAAAACCTTGCGAACAACCCACTGATGCGCAAGCGATGCTTGGAGGAGATCTCACAGATCAATACTGATGTTGCCGCACTCAAGAAAGATATATCCGACATCCAGAACCGTATTAACCAGCGACACAAACTTGATGGAGCGGAGACTGAAGCAGTGGGTGGCAATAAGCGGATGCCGAATGAGAGTCAACGCGACTTTCTCATTCGGACTGGCAAAATCACACCCTTCTCGCGCATTGTTGGTAGAGATTCTGATGCAGTTGAGACAAATCTTACATCGGTTTTGATGGATGCAGAGGAAGAAGCCGAAGCAGAGAATCAGGAGCAAGTCCCTGATGTAGAGCCTAGATCTCACCAGAATCTACGACTGCCAGGCTTCGCCGAGGCTGAAGCACCTGCAGTCGCCGAGGAGGAATTTGGGCTACGTCCCCGCAAGAAGAAGAAATTGAACAACGGATCTGGCACTTCTACCCCACGGGCCCGGAGATCAACTCCGGACGAGGAAGGCGACTTCACACCGGAGGTATCAAGTGGTGATATTGATGAGGATGAAGAGGATGACTCCGATGCCATTGCCTTCCGGGAAACGAAGAAGCGACGTTCTGGCAAGGCGAAGGCGGAGGAGAAAGTTGACATTGCGGCTATCGATGACGGAAATGAGCAAATGTATCAAGCTCGTCTAAAGAGATGGGTCGAGAAGAGAAGTGCGGCACGACAGGGCAAGTCTGACCACAATAACGAGGATGAAGAGGACGCCACAGTGAACGATGAAAAAGAATGGTTCAAGCCTTGTCCAGATGCCCCTGACCACCAATTCGACAACGGCATCAAGCTACCAGGAGATATTTATCCAGCTCTCTTTGACTACCAGAAGACTGGCGTGCAATGGCTAGGAGAACTCTATGCCCAGCAAGTCGGTGGCATCATTGGTGATGAAATGGGACTTGGCAAGACCATCCAGATCATCTCATTCCTGGCTGGCTTGCATTATAGCAAGAAACTCACAAAGCCAATAATTGTTGTTGCCCCTGCTACGGTTCTTCGACAATGGGTCAACGAATTTCATCGCTGGTGGCCACCTCTTCGGGTTTCGATCCTTCACAGTTCAGGAAGCGGAATGATGAATGTTGGTAGCGAGAGCCGGTATGAGGACGATGAGGAGATTGACCGGGGTAACGCGAGACCTAGGTCTTCAAAAGCCGCCAAGAAGATCGTCGATAGAGTGGTGCGATTCGGACATGTCCTAGTCACAACGTATGCCGGTCTCCAAACATATGCAGATGTTCTCATTCCGGTTGATTGGGATTACGTCGTTCTGGACGAAGGCCACAAGATCCGGAATCCAAACACTACTATCACAATCCACTGCAAGGAGCTGCGAACGCCAAACCGAGTGATTCTCTCGGGTACACCAATGCAGAACAATCTGACTGAGCTTTGGTCGCTATTTGACTTCGTCTTCCCGATGAAATTGGGCACCCTCGTCGATTTTCGCACATCCTTCGAAGTTCCAATCAAGCTTGGAGGTTACGCCAATGCCACTAACTTGCAAGTCCTAACGGCCACAAAGTGTGCAGAGACCTTAAAGTCCAACATCAGTCCGTACCTGTTACAGAGACTAAAAGTCGATGTCGCATCAGACTTGCCAAAGAAGAGCGAACAGGTTTTGTTTTGCAAATTGACAAAGCCTCAACGAGAGGCATATGAGATGTTCCTATCTTCGGACGAGATGACCTCCATTCTGAGCGGGACACGAAAGTCACTATACGGCATTGACATATTACGCAAGATTTGTAACCACCCAGACCTCCTTGACCCTCGTCTACATGGCAAGCCAGGTTACAAATGGGGCAATCCTAACAAATCTGGAAAGATGCAAGTCGTCAAAGCTCTTCTCGAGATGTGGAAGAAATTTGGACACAAGACCCTTCTCTTCAGTCAAGGTGTACAGATGCTGAACATCATCGAAGAATTCGTTAAAGGACTTGATGGTTTCAACTATCTCCGAATGGATGGCGGTACCCCTATCAAGGACAGGCAGATTCTTGTTGATCGCTTCAACAACGATCCTGAACTTCACGTCTTTCTGCTTACCACGAAGGTTGGTGGTTTGGGTGTCAACCTCACAGGAGCAAATCGGGTCATCATCTTCGATCCTGATTGGAATCCATCTACGGATATCCAAGCTCGAGAGCGTGCCTGGCGTTTAGGTCAGAAAAAGGAAGTCACAATCTACCGTCTCATGACTGCAGGTACAATCGAGGAGAAAATCTACCATCGCCAGATCTTTAAGCAATTCTTGACCAACAAAATTTTGAAGGATCCCACGCAGCGACAAACTTTCCAGATGAAGGATCTCTACGATCTCTTCTCACTTGGTGGCACGGACGAGGGAATGACAGAAACGGGAGAAATGTTCAAGGGCACTGAAGTTCAATTCAGCAAGACTCCTGAACCCGCTGCTCTAGAAGATAATGTTGCTGTACAGGCTGCAGGGTCGGCTACCGCTGTTCAGAATGACGTAGTCTCTCAGGAGGTAGCCCAGGTTACTGATCGGCAACAAGGAGACACAGATGCAGATGTTCGCAATCTCACTGGCGTTGCCAGTCTTGAAGCATTCCGTGGTGATCCAGAAGAAGAGAAGCCATCCTCTGATGAAGCCAGACTCATGGAAGGTATCTTCGCTCGCTCTGGTGTCCACAGTGCTTTGGAACACGACCAGATCATCAACGGAAAGCGCAAGATCACCGCCGACCGTAACATGCTCGAGCGAGAGGCCAAAAAGGTCGCTGCCGAAGCCGCAGCTGCTCTCCGTAAAGCTGGTGAACTCGCACAAACCATCGAACCCGGCACCGTGACTTGGACAGGCGAATTTGGCACAGCTGGAAGACCAGCAAATAATCGTAGAGGTGTTGGTGGTGCTTCGTCCGCCTCTGTGCTTTCCAGTCTTGCGAACAGACAGGGTCTCGCTGCGAATGGAAGTGCTAGCAGCTCAAGATCCGGTACTCCTGGTGCTGTCGACAGACCTCGTCCTCCGAAGGACTTCATGCGCTTGATTCGTGATTTCATTAAGAGACAGGGCGGCTCGGTTCCCAGTCAGGCCTTGGTTAATCACTTCAACCCGATGTGCAGAGACGAGCAAGCGACGACTCGGTTCAAGCATATGCTTCGTGAGATTGCTTACATTGAGGATGGCGGTAGTAATCGACGTATGAGGGGCCGATGGGTTCTGAAGGAGGAATTTAAATAAGCAATTTTTTGTGAGAGATTATTTATGAGGTAATAATAATGAGGCTCGGTAGAAGACATCCCCTAGAGAAAGCACTTCATCTGCATTTAGCGTTGGCGTTTGGAAAGATTCGGAGTGCTAGATAGCGGACTCCAGATACCTGATGATAGATATGACTCGAAATACAATTGATCTCCTCGTGTTCTCATTTTCTTGAAACATGTGGTCTCTAGTATGTCTCCTGCGCAGGGATACCAGTTTGGAGAGTACATTGGTCCAGAGTTCGTATATCTCAGTTCGACTAGTAAGTTAAGTTGATAGAACTCAGCATGAATTGTTTCTCGCCAAATGCCACCATGTCAAACATTTCTCTTCCTTAACCTCTACATTCACAAAGGCATCTGCGTCCTACCATGTACAAGCGGGCTGGAATCGTCCTACATGTGAGAATCTGTGCCAAGATCGAGTCATCGGAGATTTGAGGAGGGTCTTACGGGATTGAAATATCTTTCATACGAAGAATCGAAATAACGGACGGACCATGTGCAAGACCATCAAACAGCATCAATTTTGACAATTTTAAGTTTGTAACTATGAGAGAATATATTAGGAAATTTAATATGCGGATTGAGGAGTAGCTGGTGTTGGAACGTAGCCTCAGAGAGCGGAAGCTGCTCTGCAGATTGGTTTCAGCTGCACATTCTAGGCCAAATTCAGAGGAAGTTGTGCTTGGTAAGAGAGGAGTTCCTGCATCGTATGATTACCTTTTCAAGCAATAGTTGAGCTTGATCAAATAATTATGATTACAATCTAAATCTCAGCAGAACGACGTCTTCAGCAGCCCCACTTAAAGGATGTAATCGTTGGCTTTGCTATGTTGTGACAGGGGTCGTTAGGCGAGTCCGAGACTCCAATTGACATTAACCGAAGAGAGCGAGGAAAAGTTCCCATTTTTCTTCTCAGGATATGGAAGAGGGCTAGAGTATTGATTTAGTTGTTTCTTAGTCTGATTTGAATGACGACAGTCCTTGCTATGTTGTGAACTAGCTGAATAAAGTTCCACTACATGTCGTTGAGACTGGCTTCTATCAAGACTCGGACTCGCCTAATGATGCAGGTATGTGGCATGGGCCGTGGACGTCAACATCTAGACCGAAGCCACTAGCCTCCTTAGCCTACCTCTTATCATGGTGGAAACTTAAATAGTTCGTAAGCATCCTTTCCTCGTGGAGTATTAATACCCTGACCCTATCGCTGTTTTCTCGGTCCTGAATATTAAACACAAGAAAGCACAATTGGACGTCCACTTGTGGAGACAAATCCGTTAAATTTTAAACGAGCCTTCTGAAATCTCGCAGAGAAAAACGATATACTCAATCATGTCTGATTCTTTTATTCCCCGCGTCCTAGGGATAACGGGAAGTCTCTTCCTCTCCGGTTTCGCCTTCAGTGCCTCATATTACAGTATGCTTTATCCCCTCACAATGCCATGCTCATCCATCTCAATGCAATCACACATCTCCAGCCCAAAAGACTAACTATCCCCAGCCCTGCCAGCAACAGCCCTCGCCCCTTCCCCCCTTCGTCTCAAACAATGGCTTGTAGTCTACGACCTCGGGAAACTCATCTCCCCACCGCTTTCCGTCATCTCAGCAACATGCTGGTTCTACAGCGCCTGGGTATCTCACTCTACACATGCAATACAGCTCCATTCCGCAGCAGGAGCTCTCACGCTTGGAACGACGATCTGGACGGTGCTGGCCATGATGCCGACTAACAAAGCACTGATGACGAAGGTGAAGGCTGTAGATGAGGCCAAAGGAGAGGAAATAGGAAGTTCGGAGTGGAAGAGGGAGGCGGAGAAGGAGTTGGCGAGTTGGAGTTGGATGAATTATGTTAGAGCTGTGATTCCGTTAGCCGGGGGTTGGGTTGGGATGTCTGCTGCTTTGAAGTGATCAGATGGATTCACGCAATAAGAGACAATGTTTGTCCCGAGGCAGTTTGAGAGGAGCTCCAACGTGCTGCAGTGTAGTCAGTTAGTGATTAGACATATACCTGTACGTGGTTCTTTGAAAAAGCTTTGTAAGGATCAGAAAAAGCCGACCAATAAAAGGATGTCAAGAAGTAGCGGCGACCGAGCGAGGAGAATGCACAAAGCTATGCCTGAACTCTGTGACTTGCAATGAGCTCTTGACGCTAGGGCAGCCCGTGGGCATCAAACCCTCAATTATCACTAGCACGAAATGATCTCAGACCACTTCACTTTCCATACATTAAGAGCCCCAGGTAAGTGTTTAAAGTTTCATGTTCTGCAGCTGGCTGGACTGGCTCGAATTAGATATTGTACAGTTTATGACCCTCCATCAGCGAATCTTCCCCGTCGTGCTCCCATCTTGTCCCTATCTTCCCCAGCATAGAACAGTCCGACCCCGCTTCCGCTCCCACCCAAGATTACAATACCAGCCAGCCAGGCTATCAGGATAAAAAGAAAATGACGAACGCAACGCAGGCGTAACATTCCCGGTCCTTCCTCATCTGCAAAAGGGGACGAATCCAGCTGATGCAATAACAAAGTACCAACGCAAAATGCAGACGCGTATCGACCCCCTCGCCAGCCGCAGCAGCGAGTAAAGATCAGGTAAGAGCCAAAGAAAGGGAAAACTATTGTCACAAAAGCTTTTAGTCGTTGGCCCAGAGGCGGTCGAATACCGTCCCGCGCAGGTCAAACCCATAAGCCAAAAGAAAATGCAGCAAAAGCAACCTGTCTCCCGCACACCTTCCGAGATATGCGGAGCAAACGAGAAAAAGAAATCTGGTCTATTGGGTCGAGCGTGAGGTATCATGGTATGGTAACAGAAAGGGAAGGAACTTTTAAGACACGTTTTTGGAAAGAGGCCCCGCCGCAAATGCAAGATTAGCCCACCAGTCTATGCACAGAGATTAGGATGCTTCTGAAAGCACTTTTGTGTTGGTTGACGGAATGCTCATGACTCAGTCTCCTTGTCGCCAGACTTGTCTGCTGATGCAGGTGTAGCCTTTGATAAAGCCGGAGAGACAGAGGTCGAAGGTGGCGAGGTTGGGTTCTCGTGATCACCCGAGCCTAATCCTGCAAGAAGACTATAAAGAGTTAGATACAAGATTTCCAGAGGGTAATTTCTGCTGGTACATACCTGAATGCATTTGCGGAAGTAGCAGACTCTTTCTCCTTGTGGGGAGGTGTGCCTGTTCTTGACGAAGCTCCAGAATCTTCACCTGTTCTGCTCAATGAACCGCCAGGACCCATCTTGCGACCGCTGTTGCTGCGCGATGAGAACATTGATGTGGGACCAAAGGACATCTGTTGGCTAGAAGCCCTGCTGGCATTCTTGTTGGTGAGACGACGGAGGTCATCCATACCGACAGTGTTCTTCTGGTAGTCGACAGGAGGTTGGTTGTACTGGTTGGAGAAATTTCTCGAATCGCCCCGACCCATCTGCATACGACCGCCTCCGCGCTGACTGCCTCGAGCATTGTTCTCAGCGGCCTTCTGATTGGCAGCTGCTTCAGCCTATGAGACGTTAGTAAACATTTACGATAGTACAGAAGGGTTGTGGGAAGACATACCTCAACTCGGATTTCATCAAGAGTCTTTGGGCCCTTGTTGTTATCCTTTGATGCCCATCGCTTCTTTCTCAGATCGATGATATCCATAAGCATGAATCTCAAACGACTTGGCAACTCGGGTGTATCAATCATGCTCTGAATGCGTTGGAAGTAGACATCCATCATGGGCTTGCCCTTCTCCGTGTTGTCCAAATTGAAACCGATTGTCTTGAGAAGTTTCGTCAAAGACTCGATTTCAGCCTCATCAGGAATCCCAGTGTAGTCGACGAGTTTCTTCACACACTCGTGCATGATACGTTCTGTAAGCATGCTTAACTTGTAGAGCTCACCGATGAATTGGACTAGACCAAGACCGCGACGCTTGGCAGTTGCGGCGATATAGTACTCGTCGGAGAGCATGGCTGCCTCCTCAGTCTTCGCATCTTCACGCTCACCTTCTGGCTTCTCTGGGAGATCCATCTTCCAGCCACGCTCAAACTCCTCTTGACACCTGTTTAGCAAGTATTTTCGGAACAGATTGCCACCTGACACAATGTTGCCATTCTTGTCGGTGATACTCTCATCCTTGATCTCAGGACTCATGGTCTCCAACATACGCTTGCAGAACTTAGCATACATGGAAGCCCAGTGAGCCTCATCAGTAGCCTTCTCAAAGGTGAGTTGAATGACTTGGCGAAGAGTACGTCCGTCAGCTTCATCCTTGGACTGGGCCGCGATTGCAAGAATCTGGTCGGCAATCTTATCAAACTTCTCGGGAGTCATCTTGTTCAAAGCCGCCTTCACCTTTCGTTGAACCATGTCGGGTTCCATGTGACCAGTAGCTCCAGATGAGCCAGGAGTAGGACCTGCAGCTCCAGTAGCAGATTGAGATTGACCAACGCTGCGAGGCTTCCATCCAGTAGCAGTGACTTGGATAGGCTTGAGTTCCATACCGGCAGTGAGTGGCATTGTCTTTGCAGCTTGTGCTTCTTGCTTTGCATTGGAGCCTTGGAAATTGTCTTTTCTGCTTCCACCGCGTTGTGTTCTACTTTGCTGGCGAGGCGAGTGGGGCATGTTATTAATAGGGCCATTTGACATGCCACGTGCCATTTGACTGCCGCCTGGGAAGCCAGCACCACCTGCGCGAGTGAAAGAGGCAGTAGAGCTGGGTTGAGGACGAGGCATGGCACCACTAGCCATGGCGAAGCGCATCTCAGAAGTAGTTCCAGGAGGAAGGGTCTTGCCAACACCAGCACCGAAAGAACCCATCGCGAAAGCACCGGGTGGGTTGTTTCGTGAAGAGTTCTGTCTTGGACCCATGCTGCCACCACCTCCACCAGGTCGAGCAGAGCCTGGTCTAGCAGATCCTCCATCGCCATCACCAATAAGAGCCTTGATCTGTGACTCGAACTCCATGGATGGCTTCTCAACAAAGACCTTTTGGAATTGGAGCAAGAACTCCTTGTCATACTTGAAACTCTTGCCCTTAGTGGTGACCGCGGAGTTCAGAGCAGGATTTGGAGAGCTGATGTTTGGTGGGTAGAGGGACGAGTTCAGAACAGTGAGGAAGCGAGCCGACTTGAGGGACTGAAGGGCAGCGCTTGGCTGAGGAGGCTCGATAGGCTTGGTGTTAAGTGGAGCAAGATTGAGTGCTGCTGGCTTGCCACGCTTCTCAGCCGGGTTGACTTTGGGAGGAGGACCCATGGAGCTATCAGAGTCGGGAGTTGATGCACCGCTATCCGTGCCCAGGGTGAGATTGGAAAGCTTTGTAGCCAATGTACTGGGGGTACTGGGGCCTGTCTTTGCAACATCCTTTGTCTCCTCAGAAGCTTTGTCAGCTCCCGCGGCCTTTGCCTCTGCCTCTGCACGCTTTCGCTCCTTCTCGTCCTCCAGACGCTCCATTTCACGTTCTTGCTCCTTGAGCTTGAGGTCATTTGCAGCTGCTTCTGCCTTTCTCTTTTCAGCATTGGCAGCTTCGGCAGCCTGCTTCTCAGCCTGACGCTTTGCAAGAAGTTCTGCCTCCTTCCTTTCTCTCTCAGCCTCGGCTGCCTCCATCTCTTGGATCTGGCGCTCCAACTCATCTTCTTCCTCCTGCTTCTTCTTCTCTGCAGCAGCTTTTGCTTCAGCCTCCTCCTTGAGCTTCAACTCCTCGGCAGCCTTGGCCTCCTCTTCCTCCTTAAGCTTAGCTTCAGCAGCCACCTTCGCAGAGTTGGCAGCGTCTTCTTCCTCCTTGGACTTTCGGACCTTCTCAACAATCTCAAGACGAATTTGCTCTTGTGTCTTTTGAGGAGTGGAGCTTTCCGTACGAGCATGCTGAGGAGTAGCTGACTTTGGTGGAGGAGTCGGCGTGGAAGCGATGACGGGTGGTGTTCTGGCGCGCTGACTAGGCGCAGGAGAGGCTGGGGCAGCCTTGAAGCTTCCGATGTCGAGAGCTTCACCATCAGGTCTCTTGATGACAATGGCGGCACTCTTTCGAGTGGGTCTCGCAAAAGCTGGAGAAGCAGGAGTGTTTGCCTTGGCCTGAGGAGTGTGTTGTGTATGAGAGGCTGGAGTCATGGAAGGTGTGCCAGGCTGGCCCATGCTAGATGCAGGCCGTTCTGACATTTGTGATCCATTTCGTGACATAGACTGACCACCAGCATTGTACTGACCAGGAGTGTATTGAGTTGGTTGTTGAAAATGAGGTTGAGGTGATGGTGGTGGAGGATAACCTGTCATGTTCATGTGTTGCATTTGAGAATAGCTGTATGCCATTTGTCCCATAGGCATGCCTCGCGAATCTTGACCGGGATATGGTTGTGCGTATGGGGGATACTGTTTCACAGCTTGTAAGTATATCTCAAAATTATTGTTTGCAGGAGACAGATCAAGATCCTTTGGAATCTTAGGAAAAGGGGGAAGAAGAGGAAGGCTCTCATTTTGAGAAGAGGGAATCGACGGAGCACGTTGCATGCCAGAACCGATTGGCAGCGGCCCGAACCTCGAATCTCTCCCATCGTATGGGACTTGGATTTCACGGACTGGAAGCAATGGCTCTTCAGTCATGTAAATGGAACGAGCGACTTCTCTTGAAGGCTCCCGTGGGCGTTGACGTGAGTACTGCTCATTCGACTTGTTTTGCCATTTGCCCTTCTTGATCTTGGAGTGGGACTTGAGAGGAATTTCTGTAGAGTGATTAAAAGTGAAAGGGTGATTTACTTGATGTTGCATCTGTGGCGGGTAGTAGCCGTTGAATTGTTGCGGATTTTGCATAGGCATCGCCTGGTTCATGTTTGGCGTGCCAGGCATTGAACCAGGAATCGCGCTCGCGAGACTCGGGCTGCGGGTAACCGGGTGCGGCGAGTTTGGAAATTGTGGGCGACCTTGACTTTGGAACGGCGTAGCCATAGCACCGCGAGGTTGGTTACCAGATGGTCTGAAGGTATTCTGCGGTGGGTATCCCAGTTGCTGCTGAGGGTAGGATGGATTAAAGTTGTTGCCACCACCTCGGCCTCGACCAGAGTATCCGCCACGACCTGGATTTCCTCCAGCATGGTTGCTCAAGTCGCTTTGTGCTGACTGGCCCGACTCTTGTCGAATGTGACCTGTTTGCTGGTTGGCTGGTGCCAAAGCACCTTGGTTGCTAGGTGTCCGTTGCCCGTGACGTTGCTGTAAAACATGATTGATTAGTCAAATGGGGAGCAAAAGGAAAGAAGCGAGACTTACATTGTCAAAGCTTCCAAAAGTCATGGGGGCATTGCTACCTTGAGCAAGACCAGAAGGAGGCTTACCACCGCTGGCAGATGGTGCAGGAATTGGCGATGGTGAGTGGGACGGATCCGTGACTCTTGGGTTTGGAATCGCAATCGGCGCGGAAGATGTATTGTGACTGCCCTCAGGAGTACCGTGAGCAACCTTGGGAGAAGCTTCCGGGACTGACCCGAATTGAATCTTCATGCCTCCGACAGGACCTCCATTCATACCGTTTGCGCCAATTGTGACGGAGCTCTTCCGACTGTGATCAGTGGAAGATCCATTGGTTGCAGAGCTGCTGTGGGCAATCGCAGGTGCAGAAACTGCCGGTACAGCTGGAGCAATAGCTGGCTTGCCATTCATCGGCGAGATCGAGCTACTTTTTCCATGTTGTACCGGCCCAGAGCCTCCAACAGCCACGGCGGGTGAGGGAGTTGAGGAGCTCGTCGCGTTCGGTGGCGACGAGACTGCCTTCTTCGCGGTAGAGGCGTACGACAGGGTGGGCTGCGACGCACTCGTGGAGTTTGGGGCCTGGTTGGGAAGTGTTGATTGTTGGGAGACGGAAGTCATAGAGTTATCTTTTTCGAAGGCGACCTCGTGTGATATTCGTGGGAGATTAATGACGTCGCGACGAGCAGAGAGAGCGGAGATTTCCTTCGCAGAAGTAGAGACCAGATGTCAAATCCGATCTGTCCTTGAGAGAAGCCGAAGATGAGTAGTCGCGGAGACCAGTCGAGGAGGGAGTGGAGATGGCGGTAGAGTCGAAATTAATCGCTCTTGGGGTGTGGTGCTTCAAAAGATGGCCTTTGCAGGCGCTCTTTTTCTCGTGTGAAGGAGTGTGTCGCAGCGGAACGTCGAGACGGCGCTGACAGGTCTTAAATCGAGTACGATGGGGTATCGAGGGACTAGTCCTGCCGCGAAGTGTCTTCTACGAGTAGAAGATTTCGCCGGAGTAGTTAGGGGGTCGATTTGCGATGATGGGTTTTCTGATGTTCAGAAGAGTTGGGTAGGGAGAACAGAATTTCTCGCGGAGGGAATAATTTGATCTGGGCTGGGGGGCGCGGGCCTCGCTTAGTCTCTCCACTAGCGCGGTGCGTACGGCTGCAGTGCGGTGCGGTGCTGTGCTGTGCGGTAATACGGCTGGGCTGGGAGGATGAGATACCTAGACTCACTCGTAGATAGAGTAGGCATGGACTCGCACTCGCATCATGCCGATATTCACGATGACTGACTGGGCTGCTGCCTTGACTGACAATGGCTGGTATCGCCATGCCGACGTACCATGGTTACTGTGAATACTTTCCGTGATGAGAACGGCAGTCTTCTATCTACGGCTTTGTGTGGCGACTCGAGTCCGTTCAGGGGTTCCATCTGGAGCCCGATCTGACTGACTCCCCTATTTACCGTGCACATCCAGCTGGAAGCCTAGGGCAAGCAAAATTTAGGTACCTGGCTGGGCTGGCTGGGCTGGTATTGGGACTCGTAATAGGCCTAATTGAGTCTCCAATCGGTATTGGGACGAGTACAATGCAGTGTTGCACAGCGTCGTCAACAAATCTGTAAATATTTTCAACCCATAGCAACGGATCCAGGTATTTATCCTACAGGAGCCGACTTCAGTCATGAGTTTCAAACAGTAGCAGCCCCATCGGCCAACCTATGTTTAGGCAGGTAGTCAGATCCAGGATCTTGGTTGCACAACATGTAATTTGAGGAGCCAGAGATTGTTCGCCGACATGGCACAGCATTGTGTCCTGTCTGGTTTGTTACTGCGCAGTAACCCCAAATCTAACTTTGTCATGAAGACAATTTGAATATAAGCTCGATTTGAAACGCCACAGAGCCTAAGATGAATTTGCAGTGTGCTTGACGCCGGTGATTCCTTTCCTGCAGCCCTACACCCCTAGTTCTCCCATACCATGCGACTTCCTCCCACCAAACCGAGACATATCAATCATGGTCTAAAACATCTAGCAAGCACTGACTCATTGTCCGCAATTCATTTTTCTTTGATTCATGGGTGAGTGCATATAGACAAAGACATTCAATTAAAGCCCGTGTTTATCGGATTATCCTTTCCAGGCACGCGAGGCACGACCTTCTCCTCCCAAAGAGACAGATGGGATTCATTCACGGCTGAAAGCAGACTCAAATATCACTTCGCATCCAAATATAGGCAAGATCTGGAATCTCGCATTCCCACGACTCGGAAGTCCAGAGGGAGCATCACGAGCAGAGCAGAGATATTGTCAGCCAAAATCGTCAATTATTATCCCTTCCAATGACCGGATCTGGTCTAATATCAACCCCAAATGCAGCACCATCCCTGGCTATTCTGTATCTTACCCTCACTGCAGTTTAGCTTCTCCGCATCTGAGGCCAAATCTGTCTTCATCCTACTACAGTATCTTTCAGGTGTTGACTTTCTTGTTCTCCTTTCCAGAAAACTCCAAGTCTTCGTAAGCAGTCTGTTGTCAATAATCAGAAAAAGGCAAGATTGAACGATCAGACCATTTGTGACGGCGCAGGGTCCTGGCGCAAGACTTTTCAAACACGCTACCGCCGGGATTTGGGGAGGGAGGGGCCGCCCCTTGAGTTCCAATTGTTTCCTTCATTTCTGGAACGAAATCCGAATTTCCATCTTCATCCGAAAACAAGGACGGGCCAGCCCTTCTACTCCACTCCACTCCACTTCACTCCACTCCCCGTCTCCAATTCGTGGCAGGAAACATTTCCAATTATTCTCCGTTCAGGATTGTGTATTTACTTACTCAGCGGGGTTGTGGGTTGTGGTTGCATACTCTGCGCCTCAACAAAAGGGACCCTTTGTTTGCTTTTACCCCAGACCTTTTTCACTCTTTTGACTCGGCGCATGCATTGGGCTGGCCTGGGGTGAGTCAGGCTGATACCACCCTGCTGTATGAGACAGCTGTGATGCTTCGCTCTATCTTGGATTTCTGGTCTGTGGCACGGTCACCACCACAAGACAAGACCTTTGAGAACCAACCCTTCTTCACAAGCCAGTGGAAGCAGAAGCCTGGACCAGAGCCCCTCGGAATACTGTACAGTACATTCCTCATGTCGCCCGACGGGTCCCTATCAAGCAACTAGATACTCGGCCAAGCCAACCACTGATGAATCATTGACCAAAGCCAGCATCAGATGATGGGCTTTCTTGCGTACTAAAGAAACTTTCCAAGAGTCCTGTACCAGTCAAAGCCGCACCATGCCAGCCGTACCCCGTATGGCTTAGCCGTTGCGCTACGAAAAGTTAGAGCAGATGCTCGGCATCGCATTTGCTATGTCCCCTCTTCCAGAGTCCTCTAGTCCGCGGTGCAGCATACAACCAATGCCTAGCTAGCTCTGAGTCACTCTGACTTCGCCCTCTCTGACCTGCAGATGCAGTCAACCCAACAGAGGATACGATACTCATACTCAGTTTATCATCATGCGGCACAAAACGCACCGAACCCAAGTGGAATGCTGCAGCGTGACGCCAGGGCTCTGGGGAACAAGAATACGGTAAACCCTCTTAACTCCGTGCCATGGATCACCTCACCACTTTTACCACCTGGGCAATGCTCAATCGCTCACAGCAGCTGGTCCTCCCCCATACTCCCTCATGCCCTGCAATGTCCCGCCACCTAAATGCTACACAAGCTGTAACTTACTTTATACGTCCAGCACCCAATCAATATATCTCAGATGCCCTCCCAGAGCATTCTACCCCTAACACCAACTACAGCCATGCGATGATTGATGTTCTATCTGATAATCGAGGGTCCAAAGAACTGGAAATTACTGGGCCCATCACAATCTTCCAGCAGCCTGGCATCACATCACAGCATATCTCGCTTGACCATGCCATGCCATGCCATGCCTGCGTGAGAATCTGTGCTGCGCTGCGTAAATGTCTTGCATGTGATCGTCAACCTGCAACCCGAAGACGGTCCGGTCCCTTCTCATCTCCTATCTGCCGTTGAGCCGCAATAATGGCTTCGACATCCTCCTCCAAAATTCTCGAAATAGCGCTTTCCCGAAATATCTCCCCTTTCCCAAGCTGAGGGATGCCTCTCGTTTCAGTTATTCTTCTTGGAATTCTCATAGGCTGAAAGCAAGTGCACCAAAAAAAAACTTCTTCTTGTCTCCCTCTGCATATTGCGCTTCTGATTCGTTCGTTTGGCTTTTTACCCCTATTCAGTCCAACAAAGCCCCTGTTTGAGGCGAGGGAGCACTCTGAGCCTGAAGCTCCAAGTGAGCATTGGGATACTCAATAAATTACTATGGAATGTCACGAGTGGAATCGGGCACTTTGTTTGTAGGACGTATATTCATTGCTTCGTTGCAGACCGCAGTCAAATATCACACCCAACGCCTCCTTCCCGGATGCATTCATGATGTACCACGAAAACGTGAGTGCTTAGCAATTGAAAGGCAAATACCGCATCCATGATTGACGGATGTCCCACTGATCTTCCAAGAAGAGCAAAATGCAGCATAGTCTATCGCATATTCATGACTTTTAAGCCTTCTTGCCTCTACCACCACGAGCGGGCTTTGCCACAGCCTTAGCCTGACAAGCAGCCGCCTTCTTAGCTTTAGCAGCAGCAGCCTTGTCAGCCTTTGCCTTAGCCTTATCCTCCTTGGCCTTCTCAGCCTTCTCAGCCTCCTCAGCCTTGGCTTTCTTCTTCATGATGGCTTCGAGACCATCGATATGGTGGTAATTGACGGACTTGGCACTTCTTGTCTTGTTGACCTGTGCATCGACATGGAGATCACCCTGAAGCAACCTACATGATGACTAAGTCAGATCTAATGATTCCCAACTTCTAACGAGGACATGATTTCTTACCATTCATCACGGACAATCGAAATTCCTGGCTTGTCCGGATTGTTCTTGTAAAATGTAACAATCTTGTCTCGAGACAGCGGTCCAACAACCAAGGCGTCCTCCCAACAGATTTCGGTCCGAACCTCGGAGTAATTTCGACGGTAGATGCCCCCGCGTACTTCACAGTCGAGTTGAAACTCAATACCGGTTGATCCGTCATCATTGGAGCTCTCGCGACAGTCCAATACGTCCTTGACATACCAGGCCAAAGTACCATCGAGAGCGTACTGTATTGCGATTAGTTCACCGACAGGCATAGTGTGGCAACTTTTGTACCGACCTTGGGAGCGTCGCTGGGTGGAAGAACACCATCGGGAGTATGTGACTTGTTTTTGGCAACTCGAGATCGAGTACGGCTTGAGACCTGATTCGATATAGTAAGTGGAAGCGCTCTTGCTGAGTTTAAGCTGCTGAACTTACAATGCCAGGCTTCTTGTCATCCGACAAACGACCCTCCCCATCAATGTCTAGACGTGCCTTTTCTTGGGCTTGCCGGAATACCTTCAGATTGTATTTACCGGTGCGTTCAGTTGCCAGCGTGTAGGCCATGTTGTCCTTGAAAGTATTACAAGCAGCTGTCATCTTCACAGAGTTGTAGCCTTGGCGATAAGGGTGATCGTCAAAGACAATATCGAGTTCCTTCAGACCCTGCATAGCCTAGGTTGTCCAGTTAGTATACTCCAGAAGTCCTTAGACTCACAGATAATGTGCGTTAAAGATATCAACTCACCGCGAATGTGAGCTTATACTCTGGCTGCTTGCTGAAAAAGGTTGAGGCATCTTGGATTGATTCGCAAGCATTGATGGAGATCTTTAGCGACCAGAGACTCTTGCAGGAAGCAATGAGAACCATAGTCTGGCACATCTTGTCCTTGTACCAGCCTCTGCCGACTGCCCAGGTAAACTGCATGGAACCTATTGAGCGTCTTCTTTCATCGGTGATCGCAACAAGGTAGGTATTCATGTGATTGTGGAATCGACTAAAGTCAAAGTGATTGTTGCGGTAGAAAAGGTGTGTGAGGGAAATGTCTGCATACATCTCCTTGCACGTTTTCGTCAAGCTAACTACCGCAAGGGGAATAGCAGCAGAAACTTCAGTCGGCTTCTGCGATAATTTCGAGGCTTGATCAGCGTTCCAGACAAACTTATTCGATCTAGGGGTAACTGATGGGGACAATTTGGTTAATTTCATAGCACAAAAATACCCAAAACCGGGTGTACGAAAAAGAACTTACCTTGGCATGGTGTAATGGGTTCCTCGCAGGTTACAGCCATCGTCCACTGTAGGGCTTGAAGTTAGCATCGCCCCTTCTGGAAGGTTCGAGTGTTATAAGGACTCGAGAGATCTGACAGTGGCCTGAAGAGGGCGAAGACGGTAATGTCTATAGGACAGTCTAGGAGGAATACTTACGATAGTCTGCTTGATCTCCATTGGAAGCTTGAGTAGGCGTGAGTTTTGCGTCCTAGCCTACGATGTTTGTAAGCACTGACAACAGTCAAGGACTCAGCTGGTTCTCACCTTGGCAGCACCATTTTCGTCAGTGTCCAAGAGATCGACATCTTTTGTGGTATCCTGAGGTCCTATAAGCTTCTCGAGACATGCAGAGACTCTGCGATGGGGTTACCTGGGCGGTAGATCCATTATTCGAAACCGAGGGCATGCCGGGAACCAGCAGGTTGGCATCCTGAGTGACGTCCTTCATGGTCTGTAAGCGTGAAAGAATTCAAGAGATGAATGCACAAACCTTGTCTGCCAACACATACGCGGTTGGCTTTGAGTCTGCCATGTTGGCGATTAGTTTGCCTTCTTCATTGGTTGTTGTGAAGATGGAAGGAAGGTGCAATTGTTAATTACGAAAAGAGCTGGACAGGTCAAGAGTCGCGTATAACCGATCAAGCTAGATGTGCGGCAAGCTAGTCAGGCTGAAGCAGTGAATTCAAACAACAATAAACGAGCGTCGTGGTTAATTAAAGGTGAAATCTAGAGCCTAGGGGTATTCAGAGTGCCATTTCAAGCCAGAGGTAGAGTTAGAAACCCGGTACTCTACGGGCCGGGAACCTGCTGATTGATGGCGAATCTAAATCTACCTTCCTCAGGGGCGATCTTTCCAGGTAAATAAACAAACCAAGAAGTCAGTTAAAACAGTGCCAGGTTATCTTTGAATTTTATTTGCGTGTGTCTGTCCTTGTTCCCTTTCCTTTTTGGAGCTATGGAGGTCTCGCTGGTGATTTGCCTGAGGAGCAGGTAGAATTCTGGATCTGGCCAAAAACGGCAGCTTCCCGTCAACATAGCTGGGATCTCTGAGACATCTGCAAACGAGAACGAGAGCGACAGTAAAGACATGCAAAAAACGAATACGTCTAACATAGCGTCCGGTAAAAATTTCAACTGGCACTGAAAAAATCTAGAACGAGATCAAAAGTATAGAAGACATGAAAGAATAGTCTCTTGCTGAAGCCCGACAGAGCAGAGACATTGTCTTCTAACATTGTTCACCTCGAGCGGATTTCTCCTCATGAACCTTACCACCTCACTAGGGCTACAGAATCTCCATCAATACCCTCAAGAATTCAAATATCATACAAAGTTACAGCTTTCGATCCTGACTATTGGGGTTAGCATGGTGAATCTTCAATGGCCATCTACTTCTCTGACACAGCATGACGTTTGTTTTCAATTCATTGCTGCCTGGATCACAAAAATCGGAAAAGCTAAGGACTTGAAAATTTTGAGACTTTCTGCAATTACCAGAAACTACAGTTAAGTCTCGTAAATTCAGCTAATACGATTCTCATGCAATTCGGTAACCCGCTTGGTTGATGCCCGGTGAAGATATCAAGGCTGGATTCGGGTGATGTGATGTCGTGGAAGACTTTCGGCTGGTGCGCGAAGTGGGGAAGAAAGTTATAGGGCCCAGTAAAAAAACCTTATGCGCAACCATCTTTTTAAACTCCCCCTGTCGTCCCATTCCTCATCAAGCCAAAGAGTTCCTTCTTGGCCGGAAATTCCTCGATGAGTGTCTAACATTCTACCGTCAGTATGACAAGCTTGCAGATACGTGATGGACAAGCGAACTTGCTTCGTGCCAGCCAGCATATTCGGAAGTCTTCCGATTTTTTGGCAGAAATCACCGAAGCCATCGGAGCAACGAAGTTAAAGCTCTTATCTTCGAAGATGAAGATCCTTACAGAAACGGAATGTCTTGCACTCCATTGGTAGCAAGTACCCCGCGACGTGGCTTATCGGGGTACTGGTATGGCTTTTAGGTTCAAGAGTGGAGGCGTTCTGGAGGAGACAAGCATGACATAGCTACAGCTTTGGTCTCAGTGAACGCGTATTTAACCCATTATCTCTCGTTCTTTGTATCCTCTGTCTCTTCTCTCAAACGCCTACTTGCTTTACGTTCGTCCAATTCAATACCACGCGTCACACAGTATTATTTTCCATACAAGATGTCTACCCCATATGATCTTCCCGAGGATGCTTCAGCCATCAAGCCATTCGAATGGAATGAGCGTTATGATTTCCCTCGAGATCTGGTAGGATACGGGGAAAACTCGTTCAACCCCGAATGGCCAAATGGTGCAAAGATTGCTGTGTCTTTTGTTATCAATTACGAAGAGGTATTTTTGTTTGCCCTATCAACCTGTCATTTTCTGATGCAAATTAGGGTGCCGAGCACACGGTACTCAATGGTGATCTTCATTCTGAGACTCACTTATGGGAAGCATCTGGTGGTAGTCCGAAGATTCAAGAACGGGCTGTAAACATTGAGTCCGAATATGACTATGGATCCAGATCTGGTGTTTGGCGTCTATTTCGTCTATTCAACAAGTATAATTACAAATATACTTTTTACGCTGTCGGAAAGGCTATCGAAGATAACCCAGCTGTTGGCTTTTCGTCTGTGAAGAACGGGCACGATGTTGCTTCCCACGCGTATCGAGTACGGCATTGGTTTCCCCGGAATGTCCTTCTCTGACAGATTCTTAGTGGATTGACTACACCAACATGTCTGTCGAGCAAGAAAAGGCATATATCAAGAAAGAAATCGAGGCAATTGCTAAGATATGTGGGGAGCCACCGAAGGGTTGGTACTATGGGCGACTGTCAAGCAGATCTCATGCACTGGTCTGGGAAGTCTATAAGGAGATGGGCATTCCGCTACTATGGGAAGCCGATAGCTATGCCGACGACCTGCCATATTGGGTTGACGTGCCTGCCGAAAAAGACGAAGAGAAACCAGAAGGCATGCTTATGATTCCATACTCGTACGGTGAGTACTCTATCATCTCTGTCGATATTCACAAGCTAACATTCGTAGACTGCAACGACTACAAGTTCAACGTCCCTACCGGCTTTGGCTCCCCATCCCACTTCTACGACCACGTAAAGAACGCTTTCGACACTCTGTACGAAGAAGGAGACGAGGGATCTCCGAAGATGATGACGATTGCGCTACACTGCCGCTGTATCGGCAAGCCTGGACGGTTCATGGCACTGAAGAGGATCGTGGAATATATTGCAAGCAAGGAAAATGTCTGGGTCGCAACGAGGACACAGATTGCGGAGCACTTCAGAGAAAAGTTTCCTTATGAGAAGGGTTCTTTGGCACCAGGAGTGAAGAGAGTTGCTGCACCGAACATGATCGACGCATGGCCGGCTCATAAAGAACCACCAGTATAGAGTGCAATTTCATGCTCATGAAGTCTTCAATATCCAAACCTTCTTGAGCTGACTATTCTGTATCTCAAATTACATGACTCAAGACAACGAGGTATCAAACACATCCTGGACAAGTTGGGTCGCTCATGTCCTTCCATTGTCTCGTTAAAGTTCCCATGCTGCCCTATTTTTCACCACAACTGCGCAGCTACTCCGACTAGCAGTCCTCTCGCAGCCTGTTGGGCCTGTGAAGATTGGGAGGTTAGCAATGACTCTTTTCTAATGTCTTGGAGAACTTCCGAGTTCGTTTTCTGGGAGGCACTCCTTTGTAACGAGGCAACAATGGCTTGAACAACATACATGGATACGTCTCGTCGAATTGCCACAAGAAATACGGATCTGTCTCATTCGTCAAAATCTCTTTCAGTAATTTTGTTCTGGTCGATAAATCGCGCGATTCCTCAAAGACTTCTTCAGCTGCGATGTCGATTTGACCCCAGCCTTTAGCGATCAGAGTGCGGATACTGGTCCCGAAGATGCACTCTGAGAAGCCTGACCATCGGATTGCAGAGGCGCACTTCCTTGTTAGCTTCAGATAACCCATGGTCGGAAGGAGCATACATACCATGGGACACGGCTCAGCGTTGGTGTATAGACTTAGATTCGAGAAGGCGAGCAGTGCCTCGGCTGGCGTTAGTTTGTACTCTCCCTCAAGATCTGTCAAAATTCGTGAGCAATTGTTGATGCCAGCCATCTCGCCTATCCAAGGCATTAATTAGCATGTTCTGTCATTTCCTTTCTCCGGCCCAGAAATTAGGAATCTTTTTCAATAAAAGTTACGTACCATGCAATGTCGGATTTCCAGTCTTCCTATTCGAGTTCACGCCGTAACAAACCGCCTTTCCATGAGGCCCCTCACTAAGATCCGTATGATTTACGATTACAGTCCCGAAAGCTGCGAAGAGACATGGCGAGTCTAACTCTCCCAAAGCTTCATTTGCACGACGCATCCAGAACGCTCGAGTTGAGAAGGGGATTGGGTCATTTTTATCGGAATTATGATGATGAGATTGAGGAAGATTTTGATGGCCTGAAGTTAAGTGTATCAAGGCCAGTAAGATGAGACTCAGTATGGACAGTGGGTAGAGCATATCGAAAGGCTCTGGCAGCTCTGCCAAAGGGGCGATGGATGAAGGAGGCTGTGATCTGGGAGCTTGGGATCGAGAAAGTCTTTGTGAATGACAGCGAAATAGCCCCAAGTGGTCTTTAATTGGACCTTGGCCGCTAACTGTGCCACCGCCAGGACATCCTGGCTTCATTCCATGACCGATAGACTGGAGCTGTTCATTGCTCGGAGGGGGGCCCGGTCGTCACTGTGGTCCTGTGGACGATATCTTCCGCTTTGAATAATTCGCAGAGTGGGATATTACTGAGAGCCCATATCAGTGAGGACGAGCTAAGTCAGTACGTAAGTACAGTGCGGACCGAATAAAGTAGGCAAACATCCCGATGCAGATACTGAAATTTTGCAGAATTCCTTTTGAGAAACACAATATGATTCCCTTATCACCCCACTCTTATCGCAGCGATTTGCAGCCTTGTGGTTCAGCCTTGTCTCTTATGATTCCATGACATAATACACTGACACTTTCCAGTCACATCCCACTTTCGTGGAAAAGAATCCTCAAAAACCCTAGTGAAGAATCCGAGTCATGATATAAAAACATCATAGGACAATGGAAGGACACATGACTCGGTCCAGGAACAGGGATTGTCGGACATCCGCCTCGACCTCTCGATAAGCCCTCCTTATCGAGATCCGTACCAGGACAGAAAAATGGAATCTGGTTGATACCCCTCAGTGGAGAATTGCAAAGTAGGTGTGAAGGAGTGGGATATTTTGCCTGTCAATGTTTGGTAGATAAGCAATGAATTGAGCAAACCTGAGCTTTGCGTTGTCAAATTTTTTATCGAATAATTACTATTGACTTGTGCATTCCCGAAGATCGCTCTTCACAATGGACTCTATTTCCCGCGCTCCTTCTACAGTCACAGCAGAAAAAGCAAGTCTCCCAGGAAATGGGATTGCTCCCAGAGATTCTGCGCCAGAAGGAGCTTCCTCTGCCATCTTCTCGCCTTTCTGCATAGGAAACGGAAGCATAACACTTTCCCACCGCATTGTTCTAGCACCATTAACCCGTAATCGTGGCCGACCACTCGATCCCGACGCTCCTACTTCAAATCCAAATCGAATATGGTATCCAGACGATCTAGTAGCGACATACTATGCTCAGCGAACCACACCGGGAGGCCTATTGATATCCGAGGGACTTCCTCCTTCGCTCCAATGCAATGGCATGCCCGGCGTACCTGGCATTTTTCACCCGAAACAGATAGCAGGATGGAGAGCAGTTGTGTCCACTGTACATGAGAAGGGAGGATAGATTTATGCACAGCTGTGGAATGCAGGCAGAGCAGCAATACCACAGCACACTGGAGGTCCAACCATCAGTGCCAGTGCAACGCCGTACTCAACAGATGAGATGTACCCATATCCACCCCCAGGCACTTCCACGCAAGTCAATTATAAGAATTTCCCACCAGAAGAGCTCAGCATCGAAGGAATCAAGACGCAAATAACCGACTACGTCGTAGCTGCGCGAGCAGCTATTGAAGAATGCGGCTTTGATGGCGTAGAGTTGCATGGTGGAAATGGATATCTTCCAGAGCAGTTTCTCAGCAGCAATATTAACGTGCGAACTGACGAGTATGGAGGAAACCCGGAGAAGAGGTGCAGGTTTGTGCTCGAGGCTATGGACGCGCTTGTGCAGGCTGTGGGAGAGGATAGAGCAGCAATTCGCTTGACCCCATTTGGACTTTATAACGACGCGAGAGGCATGCAGAGGATGAGGACCTGGGGATTCCTATGCCAAGAGCTGAAAAGAAAGCACAAGCTAAGCTATGTACATTTCATTGAGCCAAGATACGAGCAGGTGCATAGTTTAGAGGAGAAGAATAAGTGTATGTCAACTACAGACCATTTCTTGCCGGACCACAAAGCTAAAACATCCATGCAGTTCTGGAGTCTTGGGGAATGGAGAATGCAGACTTAAAGCTCTTCAGAGACATTTTTGGGGATACTCCATTCTTCTCTGCTGGCGGGTGGAACGACAAGAATATTTGGGGTGTACTTGAAGAGGGGACATATGATGCACTTGCTATTGGGAGGTTCTTTCTCAGTACACCAGATATGATCGAAAGGTAAGTTGTTCAAACATTGGTTTCTCTAGAAGAGATGAGCTAACATCCATAATAGACATAAGGAAGGCTTACCTCTGAATGAATATGATCGCAGTCGATTTTAAGGTCCGTTCCCCGACCGCGACGTTGGGTACACGGATTATCCAAGTTATGAAGACGTAAAGAGATCTGGGCAGAAGCTTGTGAATAGTGGTATCTGACGTGGAATTCAATTGCAAACTACCCGCCATGCTAGCCATGTGATTAAAATTGCTGGTCGTACACACTCTTGTGATATTTGTACATTGTGCTGGATTTTGCATCTATTTCTATGCTTCGCCGTTCACTGGACGAGCATTTATATTTGTTGGCTCCACGGCTGGACTGGCGATATCTGTAGTCTCTGGAGGGTGCAGACTGTCGTCTAGTCTCGGTGGCTCTTTCGCACTGAGAGCTTCACTGTTTGCCATTTCAATTTCCATGCTCATACTCTCTGGCTGGGGCTCAACAACACCGGGAGCAAGTTGTGTATTCTCAACGACCCCCTCATCCTCTCCAAGAATAAAGCGCTCCAAGACCTCGTATGCCGTTTCAGATAAGTCGTCGACCACGACTTTGTCGTAAAAGCCTTCAATCTTAGACTGCTCTATCTCCTCCTTCGCAGTCGTGAGGCTCTTCTGTACCTTTTCCTCGAGTTCGGTTCCCTGCTGCCTCAGCCTGGCCCCGAGCTCTTCTTGGGTCGAAGGGCTGATAAAGATGTACCGTGCATTGTATCCTTGATCTTTCAGCTGTTGTACTCCCTAAATCACATATTAGATTATGGTTGCTTGTATTTCATAGAGGCAAACTCACATGCATGTCCATCTCCATCACGGGGATTTTGTCTTGAGCTATAATACCCTCCACAGCCTTCCTGCTGGTTCCATAGCTGTTGCTGCCACGCATGCTATACTCCAACAATTGATCACCATCCCGCATGACATCAAAGTTTTCCCTGTCCACAAAATTGTAATCAATGCCAGTCTTTTCGTTTCCTCGAGGTGGCCGAGTGGTATGTGATATTTTCTTTCCTAAAAATTTCTCATGTGTCGCAACAAGCTTGTTTACCAGTAGACTTGTCCCAACTACACTGATGACAATTGGACGGCGATCCTTAATTGACTTTGCTGAGTCTTGGCTGTCTCCTGCTTCGTCATCACCATTGTTAAGAGGCTCTTCAGGCTTTACATTATCTTGGAAGAGGACGTCGATCTTATCAGAACGCTCAATCTTATCGAACACACCAAGTTTCGTCGTACTAGCAATACGTTGGGCTCTCCAAGTTTTGCTTGCTTTTGACTCGGTTGCCGCATTCTTCGCTTCGTCATCCATAGCCATTTCAATGTCCATTTCGTCAAGTTCAATTTTGCTTTTAAAGCTCTTGACTACTGGGAGTTGATATCTTGCCGGGTCCTTCAGCCTGGCCAATCCGCCACGGCTAGCAGTCTCTGAAAGAAACTTGAGGTCCAGGGATCCAAGTGGGTTAGGCCGTAGCTTTTTATTTGTTGTTGCTTTGCGGGCCGATAACTTGGAACTGGCATATTCATCTGCGGCGATTGGAGGGTATGCGATTGAAGGACAGTTGACGATTTTCCACCGGGCCCAATTCTTGTCGCGTGAGAGAACAGTCTCGACCATTCGGTAGAAATAAGGACCTTCATTTCCCTGCTTGAGGTATTCTGCGATCGATCTCTTCATCTCTAGTGCCCATTTCGTCTAGTGATATCAGCACGTGGCGCGAAGCTTAAGCTGCGACTGAGGAGACTTCAAGGGTAAACTTACGTCCTCTTCATTTAGAACTTGGTCAGCGTACATGACGGATCTGTTGGGATTTTCCGGCAGTGCGGAACTCGCTAGCTTTTCTTTTGCCTTGGTACTCAAGGACAGCAAAAAGTCCAAAATAATGAGGACTTGTACGAGAATATTCCTGCGGAAGGAAAGATCACTGATCTAGTGGAGTGTTAGTGGTACCACACTTCGAGCACGGCAACAAACTGCATACCTCTAATTCAAATAAGTCCCTGCTCGTGAGGTACTTTGGGTTAAAGGCATTTGCAAGATCGTCATCCCCATTTCCTCGCTTTCGCTTGGTTCCTCGTTTCCCATCTTCGGTAGTCTTGGTGGGACGACCGGTACTTTCCACTGATTTGAACATGTTCAAGGTCGCTTCTAACCCTGACTTGAATCCTGAGAAGTGCGTGTTGTCAAATAGCTTCTTTGGTTGGCTGAAACTCTGCTGCAAGGCCCAGAAGATTGGGTATAGCTCATCCGCAGTCATAGATTTCTCCGTCTTTGAAAAGGTAACGCCTTTGCCCAGGCTACTTGAGTCTTCGCCTGGCTTTTTCGCAACTCCATCCAACTCTTTCGAAGCATCTTGCATTTTCGTGTCGATGTCCATCTGTTCCTTGCCCGCTTCCTTTGGTGTAATGATATCGAAAGTTGTCACATTCTCAATATGAAACTCTCCTCGTAGGTTCACAGAGCTCTTGTCTCCCAAGGGAAAGCTTTGGAACATGAAAATAAATACCCGCCCGCAAAATGCCGTGTCTTCGGCTCGAGAAAGCCGTTTGAGTAGCTCATTGCAGCTTCTCAAAATGACCAAATTCTTGGAAGCAAAGTTCTTAGCTATGATCCGCTCTCGCCGTGATTCAAGGTAGTCGAATATCTTCCGGCATCCGGCAATAGTTTGACTCTCGAGAAGCTCCTCAACTAGCCATAACATGACCGCTGGCTCCGTTTTGTCGTCATCGGAGAGGATGGATAGAATGTCGAACAAATTCCATACATTTACGAATGAAGGAGAGTCGATGGTTGTGGAGGCCTACGGACCGTCAGATGAATGTCCCAATAATCCGTCCACGTTCGTATCTCACCAGTATGTTGTTGAATGCTTCTCGAACAGCTGTCTCGACTGCGTGCTTCTTGGAATCTGCGGAGGCTGTGGACGGGAAGACTGCATCGAATTGTGCGAACAGCCCCGTCAGATCTACTCTGTTCAGTGGTGGCTCGATACTGCTTGTCGTTTTGATCTCCAGCGCCCTCCCCAATGTCTTTTGTAGAAGCTTTCCAAATTCGTCGGCCATCTGCATCGCGCGATGTTCCATGGCTGCGGCTACGTGTCGATAATGACGGGTGGACGTAAGAACAGAAGGAACGCGATTATGCGCCGGCGTGGGTACGCCTTACATATAGATCGTGTAGGTTAGTTGAATCGAGTGGATGGTCTTGCGCGTGAGTTATGCTTTCATCGTAATGTTCGGGACTACTGCGGCATGCATTAGCGGCGGGAGCTAAACTTAAAGGTCACGTGCAAATCAACAACGCGTTTTGGCGCATGAGGTTCAATTTTTAGACTACAGGCCGTTGAGTCGCGCAGAAGTGACGTCCCTCGCACACAACAATCGATATGGCGCCGAGAACCAGAGTCAAGGAGGATACCCGAAAGGAGGCAGAGCAAGGGAGCTCGCTGGGAGGCGCCGCAGATATCGAGAGCTCTTTTGCGGACCTTGCTCAGGCGCATTGGCTGAAGCCATCGAAGAAGAAGGCTACAAAGGTCAAAGTCAAGCCCGATGTTCTGAAGAACGATATTTGGGATGTTCTGGAGCAAGGAGACTTTTCATTCAAGTCACTTCTGGTTTTGGAGAACTTGCAGATTCTTGAAGGGTATGCCAGTCCTCTATGCCATTTTCTGCTGTGATTGACTTGAGTAGTTACCTATGGCCAGGTTATTCCGAAGACTCTTCAAACTTTCACGTTATTCTGATAGTCTTGATCGCCAATGTTCGGACTAGGGAACATCTGCCAACTTGGGGTATGGGCCTGATAATTAAACCAGAGAAGAGATGCTGACCGGCAATAGACATATTCGCCGACAATCCAACAGAATTCTCGACTCTTTTCCGCCGAATATTGTCTATGACGTTGGATAATACATTATCTCCGACAATCCGAACCCATCTGCTTTCCTTTATCATTTGCTCGTTCCAGTCGCTGGACAGTGGAATTGTGAGGAAAGAATGCGCCCCGTTAGTATCCATATCGATATGGCACAACATTTCTTGTGAGGCAAAACGGGATAGGATATTGAACCAAACTGTCCAACTCAAGAAAGCTTGGAGGGCGGCAGCGAAACGTTATGATGCAGCAGATAATGCAGTCAAGGCGAGACTTCGATTTGAGAGGTCATGGCTGTTCACACTTTTACTGGACTTCTTCAATCAACTCTACAATGAGAAGAGCAAAGCTGGTGAGCAATCCAAGGATAACTCTACATTACGCAGCTAATACAGGGCCAGAAAATGTACGGTATTGCGAACGTTTCATCGAGTTCTTGTCGGACCTTCAAAGTCAACTTCCGACTCGACGCTATGTCAATACACTTCTCAAAGATCTCAACACTCTCACAGCTATCAAGATGTCTCCCATGTTCAACGACGAAGATAATGGTCTTCTAAGAGACCTATATGGACTTCTTAAGCACTATACCTACTTTTCTATCGACGACCATACTGGCGTGCAACACAGCCGAACTGAAGCGTACGAGCGGCATTGTTCTGTGCTTGCCACGTTGCAGCGGACAGCGTTGAAGAATTTCAAGGAGAAGTTAACGATCTTGGCATTGTCTAATTATGGATCTATTGACAAGCGTTCAGAGCTTGAGGGCCATCTTGAACCACTTACTGATGACGAGATTGTTCGGCTCTGCGACCTGCTTGACGTCCGCTCTTCCTATCCGTCAACGACTAGGGTTGTAGCCGACAGGAAGTTTCTGACGGAAGTTTTGCTCGCTGGCCATGAGAAACGGAAAACCTTTCAGGAAACTGCGCGTGACCTTAGCATCTTACCAACAGAGGTTACTCTATTTGAGCCAGCACTCTTGAGGAATGATAATTACAATGGCTCCCAGCCGGTAGCGATTCCAAAATTGAATCTCCAGTACTTGACAGTAGGGGACTTTTTATGGAGATCGTTCATTCTGCATCGTAGCGAATCTTTCTATGAAATTAGGAAGAATATCGAAGAAGTTATCGCAAGAATTCGTCCGTCCTTGAATAGAACAGGTCAGACAAGTTTTGATGGATTTTCTCGCATGGCCTTGCCAATCACAAGACCTTCGTAAGTCTCGCATCTATCATCTTCCCAATTCTTGCTGACTATCTCCCACAGTATCCTTGAGGTTGTGCCACCACTTGTTGGGGACGACAAGCCATCGGCAGTTAAAGCTGAGATCTCGTTGGACGTCAGTCGTCTCGCGGACAATGTGAGACGAGAGTGGGAATCTCTTCGGCCAGACGATGTCATCTTCTTACTGGCAATTCAAGCTCCTGATGGGTCCAAAATGACCATGAATGGAGGCGAGATACCATCTGATTCCCAGAAGCTTGGCTTGAAGTATGTCAGAGCTGCTGAGGTTACCCAGGTACTTGATGAGAAGGGACGCTCTTTACGAGATCAAAGCAACAATCAGAATGGCTATGGCCGACCTCGACTTCGGAGATTACAGATAAAGCTCGATGCGGCTATGTACAAAGCAGACCTTGAGCGGGTTGCGAAAGGAAAGCCAGATATTTACGAAAGTATGAATGTCATCGTACGCAGAAGAGGCCGCGAGAACAACTTCAAGCCTATCCTTGAATCGATCCAAAGTTTGACACTATCTGATGTGCCTCTTGCGTCTTGGCTTCACGAAGTTTTCCTTGGCTATGGAGATCCAGCTGGAGCCACATACACCCATCTAGCAAATCAACTCAAGAAGGTTGATTACCGAGACACTTTTTTGGACTGGCAGCACCTGATCGAGAGTCTACCAGGAAAGACTTTAGAACCTAGTGAGGATGTGAATGGAAGTTTCGGACCCCCATATGTTTTACAGATGGCTCCTATGGTAGAGGTGCCAGCTCCAACAAAACCATCTAAAAAGCGTCGACGAGATGCCGAACCCGAGCCACAGCTTCAGGCGCAATCAGTTGAAGTTTCTACGTACAAGCCTCCGAACACCGGGCCATACCCCACCGATACGCCAAAGCTGAATCAGGTCCGCTTTACACCTACCCAGGTGGAGGCAATTGTCTCGGGGACCCAACCAGGACTGACAGTCATTGTTGGCCCACCTGGAACCGGGAAGACCGATGTCGCAACCCAGATAATCAACAACATCTATCACAACTTCCCAGAGCAACGGACTTTGTTGATTGCTCATAGTAACCAGGCACTAAATCAACTCTTCCAAAAGATAGTGGCTCTGGACATCGATGAGCGACACTTGCTCCGTCTAGGCCATGGTGAGGAAGAACTTGATACCCAGGCCAACTTCAGTAAACACGGAAGAGTCGAGTCGTTCTTCGACAATCGCGATGGGTTTCTTCGAGAGGTTGATCGATTGGCAGTCAATTTTGGAGCACCTGGCGCACACGGCTCATCTGCCGAGACAGCATTATACTTCAACTCAGTTTATGTTCAACCCGCATGGGCACGATTCGAGGAAGTTTCCAAATCACCAGATGCTACAACAAAAACAATTGTCGAGGCATTTCCATTTCACTACTACTTTTCCAACGCCCCACAACCTCTGTTCGCAGCCGATGCGGACAAGGACGTAGTCTTAGACATTGCGAACGGCTGTTTCCATCACGTCAAGAAAATTTTCGACGAGCTGGCAGATCTTCGTCCCTTCGAAATTCTGAGAAGAGATCGCGATAAGGCAAACTATCTTCTCACTAACGAAGCAAGAATAATTGCAATGACATCGACCCATGCAGCAATGAGGAGGAGGGAGATAGCAAGCCTTGGGTTTCATTACGACAACGTAATAATGGAAGAAGCTGCGCAAATCACCGAGATTGAAAACTTCCTGCCCCTGGCATTACAAAAGCCTAAAGATGGGCAGATGCCACTACAGAGAGTTGTTCTGTGCGGTGACCACTTCCAGAATTCGCCCATCATTCAAAACCTTGCTTTCAGGCAGTATGCCAATTTAGAGCAGTCGTTGTTCTCTCGTCTGGTTCGGCTAGGCGTTCCAACAATCAACCTTGACCAGCAAGGCAGAGCCCGACCTTCGATAGCATCACTGTACTCGTGGCGATACCAAAAACTTGATAACCTCCCTCTGACATCGACGTCACCAGAGTTTCAAGTCGCCAACGCCGGTTTCAAGTATGACTACCAATTCATTCAAGTACCTGACTACAAAGGGAGAGGGGAGTCAGAGCCGACCCCACATTTCATCCAGAATTTAGGAGAAGCCGAATATGCCGTTGCGATCTACCAATTCATGCGGCTCTTGGGTTATCCAGCCTCGAAAATCAGCATTCTGGCCACATACGCCGGTCAGCGCGCCTTAATTGCAGATGTGCTCGCTCACAGATGTGCTAAGAACCCCCTCTTCGGCCTTCCCAAAATTGTCACGACTGTTGACAAATATCAAGGAGAGCAAAACGACTGTACGTACCCCCTCTACTGTGCTGCTTAAGATGAAAATTAAACCAAGGTTAGATGTCATCCTCTCTCTGACACGTACATCTCGCGTCGGTTACTTGCGGGATGTGCGACGTCTCACTGTGGCTCTTTCTCGGGCACGATTGGGACTGTACGTCCTTGGGCGACGTGAGGTCTTCGAATCGTGCACGGAGCTCAAGCCAGCCTTCGAAATCATGCTAAAACGATCTGATAAGCTGCAACTTGTTGCTGGTGAATTATGGCCTAGTCAGAGAATCCTCAAGGACGAGGAAGGTTCTGATGTTCCAGGCCAAACTGAGATGTCGGGCGTTGAGCATCTGGGGCAGTGGGTGTTTGATATGACGAACACAAAGGTCGAGGAGTTAAGAGCTCAGAGAGGCCTCCCTGTGGGAGCACCGGTCCTGGCGGTCGAGGCTGGTGATGAAGTTGTTGGCGCTGTAGATGAGGAAGATGGCTATCTGGACGAGGAGCTGGAGGCAATTGAAGAGGATGTGGAAGAAGAAGAAGAAATGAATGGAGGATCTGAAGCCGAAGGTGGAGATGATGAATGATTAAAAGGCTAATCTGTATGAACAGATCGCTTCTGCACTGTAGTATAATGTGCTTGTAGTCCAATGAATACCCAGCAAACCTTCCAATGGACACACACGATATCATGTACATTCAGAACTGCCCAGAGAGTCTGGAAACCAATTCAGATGTCACCCCGAGCCAGATCAGCTTGCATTATTCAAGTCTTGCTGATCGGCGTGTCCTCTGCACAACACAGCCAATCGCTTAAATAAAGTCTTGTACTCTATCGAGACAAACATTTTCTCTCTTGATGGCGCGAGACCTCGCTTAGTCTACGCGTGGAAAAATCTGCGGCATGATACAGACATAAATACAGAGGATATCATCTCAAGCTCCTACCAAGAAACGAATAGCAAAAACTAAAGCAGAGAGAAGGTTGTTTGATTCTAAGGCAAGAAAGAAAAGCAATAGAGCGGGCCCGGATTAGCCATTCTTCAACCTTGAGGTGAAGAATGGCCATGCGAGCCGACAACTTTGACGAGAGTTGAATTCCTACAACTGCCTCAATCCAGAATGGTCCAAGCGTAATTGTACATGCTACCGTTGCAACACCAAGCTTTGGGACGTCATGAATAAAAACATTCTATTTGGTTGTTAATTGCCCTTGCTGAAGTGGGGTCCGGGATGACGAGAGTGAGTGAGGCTCCAAGGGCGAATGATCGAACTCCAAACGAGTGAGTGATTTCGCCTTCGAATCTGTGCGCTTGAGCAGACATCATTCCCATGAATAAGTGATCATAACTCAACATGAGATTCTTTTGATACGATTTTGCGGCCGATCTATCCACAATTTGCCTAATCGTCAAAGAGCGACATCAAAACAGCAGCAGCAATCACTGGCCCCAATCCAATTCTTCCACCGGCTTGCCTGGCTCTCGCTGCTTGACCCGCACCCATTTCCATACCCATACCCGTTGCCATGCCCGCTCCAATTCCCAAACCACCAAATGGCGTCGTGCTAAAATACCAGACTCGTCAACACCACCTTAACATCCTAGGAACTGGGTTGGCTCACCGTCCACAAGTTGAACGACAAACATTCCAGCTCCTCAAGCAGGAATAGCACCACTCGGCTTTGCATCGACAAGTCATGTGTAGACAACCTTCAGTCCTCTCCAATATCTGGCTGCATTTCGGACACTGCTTCCAGCCTTGTCTCTGCGCCAGCGCTTGGACAGCCCTACCAGCTTGATCTTCTGTACAGACACCTGAGTGCTCTTTGTTTCCGCAGGCGACGCACGTCCTGGTTTTACAGTACGGACAAACAGCTATAGGACCGTGGATTTCCGCAGGTGGTATGAACTTGTTGCAACGAGACGAAGCGCAGTATTTTGGTCTTTTGGTCTTGAGTTCCAGGACCATGAGGTTATACTTCTCGATGAAGGAACTGGATAGATTGCGGGCTACGCTGGAAGTGGGGATAGTGGTGCCGCAGCACTGGAAAGGACTCCTAGACTTGTAGGCTGATTTGAACGCGCCTGATACGTGAGTCATGGGCCTGCAGCAGAATGACAGATCAGATCATACCTTTAATACAATCTCCACAATATATATGGTTACATGGGAGAATCGCGGTATCCTTCTCGCGCACAGCTTCCATGCAAGATATACAATCCACCTTCTTGGGTAGTCTTGCTTTCCTCTCCTTTTCCCTCTGCTCACGCTGCCACCCAGCTATATTCTCAGCCTCTTTCAGCTTCTTTTCCTCGCTGATTCTCCGATTTCTTTCCTTAGTCTCATCGGCCCAGGCTCTTTCTCTCTGGATCTTCAGCTTTCGCTGTTCTTCTGCGAGTCTTTCTATCTCTGCCTGCTTCCTCCTCTCTCGTTCCTCCAACCTCATGGCTTCAGTCTCGCGTGCAATCGCTGCCATTTCCCATTGTTGTTGAGCTTTCTGCGCGGCTTCCCTATCCTCTCTTCTCCTTTCGGCGCCCTCTTTCCCCTCCTGCTCAAGTTTCTTAGCATATTTCTCATGCGCCCTCAGACGATTTTTCGACTCTTGTGCCAATTGGTCCGATAATCGTTTGGCTTCGTATGCTCGTCTATCCGATTCTTCTTCCCGTTCTTTCTCCTGCATCTGTTTTCTTTCGGCGTAAATGTTGTATTTTTCATCTCTTGACTTCTTCCGATCAAGCTTGGCTGCAACATTTGAATCATTGTTGCTAGTGCCAAGATCATCCCAGACCGAAGAGACAGAAGATGATATCTCTGTTTTATCTGGGGTCCTTGACACAATGCTGGGCATAGGCGAAGAGGATCGCTTCTCGAAGATGTTTGGGGAGATGGAGATATTTGGATGAATGCTAATGGATGCTCTGCTCGGGTGGGAAGATCCTTCGGCAGAGACTTTGTTAAGTTGATCATCGATGTCCCGCCTTCTTCTTCTGCGACGGCGAAGTCCAGGCTATTGCAGAGATGTGTTAGCAGAAACTCATTAAAATGAAGGGATTACTTACCTGAGTACCATGACTTTCAGCTTCATGTCGAGGGGTGTCCTCAATGCTAATCCGCGAAGGCCCTGCCGATAATGGACTCGTTGGAGATATCCAGGCCCCCGAAAACATGTCTAAGAACGATGCTTCATAGCCATCTGGTAGTGAGGCTCTAAAGCTCACCACTTCAGGCTCACCTGTAGCTTCATCATTGCTATCGGTGGCAGCATACTTGTTCCACCTCCTGACACTCTTGGCAATTCTGCTTGTATATTGCAAGCATGTTTCCGTAGCAGCTACACGAGACTCAAAATATTTCTGGGAAGTTATATCGGCTGTTGTTTCAATGTCTTTACCTTGGCGAGGTAACTTGGCTTCTCGCAGCCTTTGGGAATGCGAGAGGAAGGCGAGGAAACAAGTGAGTGCTTCTTGAAGCACAATGGACAATTGGGACTCGGTCATCTCCATGAATGATACGAGAGTTCCCGAGGTCTTAAGATATGTCTGAGATCTTCTTCGGAGGCTGGATATATTGATACAGAACGAAGAGGCCCGAATGAACATCATGTACAACGCACGGCGAAGTAAGAACTATCCTGCCCAGGAACTAGTCTAGTCAATTCAGTTGGGCGAGCATGCAGCCCCCAAGAATGACACTTTGCATGGTGGGGTTCAATCAAGACGTACTTGGAGTCTACTTAATAGAGCCTTGTCAACAGGCAGTGAGCAGTCTGCTTTGTGCAGATAAGCTAAAGTCCACAGAAGAGGCTCTGCCCTTGCCTACAGGTTGCCCAATGTCCAATCAATTGGGAATAATGTACTCTGCAAAACACAGGCAGGAGATCAGATATTCCAAAGTAGCAGAGGTCAACCTGACAATAACCAAATCCACCAAGTCATTTTGCAAGTAGTGGGAGTAGATGCGTGTGTTCCACCTCAGCCTGACGGATGCTGTCGCTAATGATGCTGCTCTGTATCACTCGGCATATGCAGCCCATCGGCAATGAAGAGATACCCAATGGAAACAATCGACGATTGTATGTTCTGGCGAGAACCGAAAGGTGCCATACGAGTCGGGCGTTCTATCAACTTGTGACTTCACCTAGACGATGAGATTGGTAAGTGGCTTATGAGCAAGCCATATATTTCTGGGACACCGAACGGCGCGTGATACTCGGGCTGAGGCGGCTCAAACGTAAGGCTACATACATTACCAAACATCAACGGAGTAGGATATTCCTGTCAAGCGTAAAAGTCAAAGTAGGTAAGGTAAGGATGTGGGGAAAGCAGGTACTCGGTCTGGATCCACGTGATACAGTATCAACGTGGACTGGCCTCACATCCATCGCTTGGCTGTATCCCCCTGATCGACGAACGGAATGGATTGAGAGTTGCCGGAAAACTTCAAAAAGGTTAATAAATTCAAAATTATCCTGTATTTATCGAATTGTAACAACAACAAATTAATACAACCAAGATTTCTTTCCTCCTAGTTCTTGACCAGAGCAGACATTGCCTTTCGCATCATTCTCAGTGTAAACGCGATATCAAAATCTCAGACTACAGTCAATTGAATCCCTTGCTACTGCAGCTGATTGGATTACATTTCTTGCAATACTTCTTTAGCTTTGAGCATGTCTTGGTGTATTTGCGGCATGTTGCCAAACCACGGAGGCCACTCTTGTAGCAACTACGCACATTCGAATAACATTCCAGCATAGAATTCCGACAACTAGCTTTATTGGTGAAAGGAGTGATATTTCCACACCATTTCCCGTTTTGGAATGCACATTTTGGCATTGTTGGTGATGGAGGATTTGTCGTGGGTGGTTTAGCCGTAGGACGTGTGATTAGAGATGATTTTGTAGTTGATGCCGGAACTGCAGTTGTCGTTGGTGTACTTGGCTTCCTTGTTGTAGAAGTAGACTTTGTTGTAGAAGTAGACTTTGTCGTGGAAGCAGGACTGAGAGAACGATACCAGTTGGTTTTTGGATCTTTGAGACACTCACCAACTGTCACACCTCTCCAGCCCTTCTTCTGGATGAGATCGAAGTAATAGGATGAAAAGTTTGCAACGGATTGCTGAACAATATCGTGTTGGATCGAGAGATAATCAGTCACACCCGGGATGGCCAGTTGCTGCTTTACGATATCCTTGGAGTTCTGAACTTGGGAAGGAAGAGGATTTAGATAATCTTGTGTATTGTTAGGGAAGGAGCTACTCGAGGGCCTTTCACTGTATATAACCACAGCTTCAGCGTACCTTCAACAATCAAGCTTGATACAACCCAGAACTCTGTCTCCTAACATGTATCGAGACTGGACGGCAATATGATCAGTACTAGTTCTAAACATCTTTAACGCCAGCTGGGAGCTTCTGAAGAGGGAAGAAGAAGGAAAACTCACTCGAAGTAAACACGATGATAGCCGAGAGCTTTCATGTCATCCCAGCATCCAGACTCTTGAGTGCAGTCGGAATAAGGTGGACGCATGTAAGTAGGCCACATTCCAATAATGTTGTTGAATGCCATCTCGTTCTTCACCATTTGAGAAACACGAAGATCGTGGGAGCTATTGGACAGCGAGTAGTGAGACCAGGTATGTGATGCTACTTGATGGCCCTCAGCAACCATACGCTTAATCAAGTCGGGATACGGTGCAGTGGTATCAATTGATCCCTTTCCATTGTTGTTTCCAGTCATGAAGAATGTGGCTGTGAAGCCATACTTTTTGAGGAGGTCTAGCAGTTCGGCAGTGTACTGATATGGCCCATCGTCGTATGTCAAAGCAACGACGTTAGTTTGATCGCAATCATAGATGTCTTCCGTGTAGCTAATCAAACCTCTTAATGGTCTGGGGGCATTGGCAGTTGATGGTCCAACTGGAGTGAGATCAGAATCACATCTGCCATAACCCAGCATACAACTGCCGGGGTCGGCGCAATAATCTTGACCTAGCCCACAATACCCGGACAAGCTGCAGCATTGATTATCGGAGCACTTCGCACCCCCAGAATTTGGCCCGCAAGTGCCTTCAGGAGCAGGATTGGACCCAGAGGCACAGATGCCGTACGAAGATTGGCAGCCTGTATCACAGTAGTGGGTAGAATTTCCACAATATCCGTTCTGACTACAGCAAAGTCCATTGGCGCATATCTTCCCACCATTTGTTGGGCCACAAGTGAAATCGTCTTCAACTGGGGGTGTAGTAGTGGTCGAACAGGTCCCGAAAGAAGATTGACAACCCAATCCACAATAGTCTGTAGTGTTTCCGCACTGGAAAAAGAATCAGCGCCTGGCTTCAGTCTCTACGGACTCTCAGGTGGACAGAGGATTAAAACTAGGAGTACAATTTCGAAACTGAGGGCCAAAGGATGGTACCTACATAGCCATATTGTGAGCAGCAGCCTCCTGCGTTCACTGTTGCATCACACGAATAGTTTTTGTTGGCACCATTAAAAAGCGTTCCGCAGGTATTGTCCGGGCTGACCATGAGGCGCTTCGAAAGAAAGCTGGGAAGGCGAGCATCCTCCGCGGGAAGGGAAGAAGATAGGCCAGAAAGACTGAGGGAAACCGCCAATGCGATTAAAGTGTTACGCATCGCGAGTGTCACACGAGCGGAATTACACAGAGAACCAAAAATACAGTTGAGTGTGTTAATGAATGATTGAAAAGATTAAGCAGCTTAAAAACGAGTGGCAGAGAGAAAAAAAGCTCCCAAGATTCGAGGGCAAATGAGAACGAGAGTCAGAAGGATGAGGAGAAAACATCATTGTAAATATGGCTTTTGGTGAGAAATTTATGGGATTAAATCGCGTCTTGGCCTCTGCTGAGACTTGCGAACAAGGCATGAAATTCCCATTCTGCAGGGCTTGAAAATAGCTATCAGCCTAGTCAGAGCTTTAAAGTCATGGCGAACTTTACAGCAGTGTGTATTAGACTCGACCTTCGAGAGACGTTGCAAATTGGTTAGCACTAGTTCTCGTCAAGTGAAGTCCGTGTGGACTTGAGGCTGGACTTGTACCTGCCAAGGCCCGCGATGAGCCGTCTCAGCACTCATAAAGCTTCCTGGTCGGAGACTTCTCGAATGCCTGATTTGTCGAAGCTGTAAAAGCTCGGTGGGCGGCACAAGTTGACGAATTGATCGTCGGTGGCTGGGAGAAGGAGAGAGTTAATGAGGTTACGGTCTGTTCTCACGCCCTCGCCTAGCCTAGCCGAGAGTCCTGGTGGAAATTGCAAGGATGAAAAGGGGTTGATGCTTGGATTTTGTTCCCAAGGATCGCGAATTGCAGCCTCAGCAAGGAAATTGCTCCCTGGGCCAGATCTGTGTCTGGAGAGAGACTTCAAAAATCAACTAGAGAATTTTATCCAATGCTTCATTGCGGGCATCTTGCCAGGATGGCCGATTTACCACTGTCATAGCACGGGAGCGACATTTCAAACCAGCAGAATGATAGCTGATTATTCGACGCCAATAAGTGCTGCAGCGCGCCCGAAGTTGATAGCGAGCAGCCTTACCTGAATTACCTTCACTTGTAAAATTGCAGGTCGGCTTGGACCTGGCACCCAACAGCTTGCTAAAGAGTAAGGATGGTAGCCGACTTCACTTAATACGGACACAACGTCGAGCGAGCCGAATTCCTAAACGCTATACTGCGAGATATTCAAGGCTTTCATCGATGGTAGCCTAGGAATATCATTGATAAGAGGAAAAGTATTGAGTCAGAATGTGGCGAACGAACTGACCCACATAGCCCAGTCCGACCACGACACATTCCCCTGTATCTACAGCAGGTCATCTGGAGAATGAGAGCAGCATGTTACTCAGGTCACCTAAAGTTATGGTCATCAATGCGAAGAGAGCAGAAGACGTCTTATTCAACAATCTGTGATCCAAAATGATCCTCCACACCAGAAGTGTTATCAAACCCAGATTCCGCACACCCAATGCTCCAGTCAAACAATTTTCCAGATTGAAGCATCGTCAACCTCAAGCCAGAACCGTATATCCAACGCCCAGTCGAGTAATGCTCCCCCAGACTTGAAGTGTCATGAAACCCGGACATCCGTACACCCGCCCTAGTCGAACAATCCTCCAGGTTGAAAGCGTATTCAAACACAAGCTGACATAGAACCGTACATCCACAGAAAACGCCCGGTCGAACATTCCTCCTTCAGACCTGAAGTTTCATAAAAGCCGCAATCCACATACCCAACGCCTGGTCGAAAACTCTCCTCCACACTGAAAGCGCGGCTTCAAATCCGAGCCAGAACCGTACATCCAACGCCCGGTCAAATGCAATTTACAGGTAATTTTTCAAAGGCAAATACATAAACAAGAAAGGAGGGAAGAAAAGAAAAAAAAAAGAAAGCAAAAAAACACAACGCCCGCCTCCTCTCAAACTGCTCCGCTCTTTTCCTTCCCGTTGTCGAAGCTCGGTGTTGTTGTCCTTGTCGTTGTCCTTGTCGTTGTCCTGTCGTTGTCCTTGTCGTTATCGTTGCCAAAGTTGTAAGAGTGACTGGTTCAAGAATGTTTTTCTCGCGGCGGCAGTTGTTTTGTCAGCACAACTTCTGTCTCCGTTCCTTGCCCCTTTCCTTCGCTGATGAGTACGACCGTTTTTTCCTATTGCAACAAGCCTAGGCCTCTCAATCCAGCCTCCTGATCTCTTTCACTAGGGGGTTCCCAAACAGCATCAAATTGCTCGGCAGTATCTTCGTTGCTGACTGGGGTCGATGTGCCGTTGAACTCGCTGATGTGGTGATTGAAAGCCTGCTCCACATTTCCATTGTTCTCAACGGGCTGAACGACACGTCTTTCCGGCATTGCTTCCACGTTCGTGTCCGCCAAGAAATCAGAGAGACTGTTTCTGAGATGCTCCTCCTCACTTGTATTATCCATGTCCTGATCGAACTGAGGGACATATGATGCTGCAAATCCTTCAATCCCAAAGTAACCAGCGCCGAAATGCTGCAAATCCGGATCCAGATTTTCGGCTTCGTCGACGAACTGAGGAAGATCTTGTGCTAGCCAGTCGGTTAAATCTTGACCGTTCTGTATCTGATAGTAGTTGTTGGCCAGAGGGTCTTGGTTGGATTGTCCAACCTGATTTTGGACATTGAATGTTGCTATAGAATGCGAACCTGGCTGCTGTTTAGCTTGTTCCCCGGATTCCAGGACCTTTGTGGCATTTTCCTTGCGTCGCTTAGCACGATGTCGATTGACAGATCCTTCCTCCTCCTGCCTAGGGGACCCTCTCTTCAGGTCTCTTTTCTCCTTTTTCAGTGGCTCTCCTGCCATCGCTGCTTCCTTTGCCTTTATTCTCTTTGGGATGCAGACAGGACAGCGATCAGCGATAAGTGCTATGACTTCTTTCGTAATTTCGGACGATAGGCCTTGTTGTAGTCTCCTGTATGTTGCATCTCTCCCAAGGTGGACACTCTGTCTATTCCCTTTACTGTCCGTAACTTCTTCAATATGCGCCTCAATCCATAGAGGCCGGATCATTTCTATGGGCGTTATGGGAGCCTGGAGCTTCAACCCAGGCCTGTCAGAATATAGATTGGCCATTGCATTCCAATCTCTACTTCCTTCTTTAACCTTACGGTACAGATAACCGTGCTGTTGTACCATGTCATTGCTTGTTTTGCTGAATTGAACAGCCGTAGGATCTTGAGACAGTGGCGTATAGTCCCAAAGTCCAGGCGTGTCGTGCTTGAGGCTGGCCTGTTTCGACGACGCCTTTTTCCGAGAGAGACTCCCATCCTCAACAAATATAGGAGTTCCGTTGATCAGGTACTCCTTGATAGCTTCTATACGCTTATTTGAGATCATGCAAGCATCAAACTCGCTGGCCTTCCTGTCTCCAATGAGGACTTCTGCAACAATGTCGCAAAAGTCGTATATCGTAGGTATATCTGCTTCGAATCTTGTTTTCCTCATCCAAGCTTCCGGATCATGTTCTGGCGCTATGGGTAGTGTATGGACCAGCACTACGTGATTAATCCATCGCTTGGACGCATTGTATTGGCACTCGATTTCCTTCAAGCAACACAATCTTTCAGCTTCCTCTCGACTGTAACCCTCTCCTACATAACGGTGCACAGCCTGTAACGCGGCATTAAATAGATCCTTTTTCTGATCTGCTTTGTCTCTACTCCATAAAGACTGATCCTTGGAGTTCTGGATCGTGGCTTTATCCATGTCCGTATAATTATTGTGTTGATCCATTTTGAGGGAGCTACAACAGTCAGCAATGCAGATGCTCCAAGATTCTTCAAGAACGTAGAAATGCAGCACTGCAAAATCAAGAATTCTATCGCACTGGAATCCACCAAAGTGAAAGGAGTAATTTTGAATGCCGCAACCGCAAGACAATCTCATATCAGTTGTGAGAAGCATCATCAGCATCGAGCATCACCAGCATCACCAGCATTGAGGAAATCACTAAATCGAAATTGTCTGAAATAAAGTACAGGGGTACGGTTCAGTAATGGGAATTGAACTAAAATGTAGGTGGATACTGTGGATAATCTAATCCCAATGTTAGGAGTTTCGGAGAACACTCAACAGATTTCTTTTTGGTCATAGACACCAGAACCCCAAGCCTCATCGTCCAGCAAGTGAGCAGAACGCTGATGCTTGAAGTAAGAATATGGAAAGAAACTGCAAGCAACGAATGAGGAAAACGTCTTCTCGAGCACATATTTCAATGCTCACAACGAATTCAATGATATCTTGACCTCAATTCTAGGCAGGAAGGAATGTAACACAAAGGTTCAAATCTGAATGATCAAACTCATCCCTAGAAGATCCTCGAGCATGATTTAAACCAAATCTCTGCAATACCAGCTCGTTATTTCCCTCCCTGGTCGGACCAGGTAGGAAGAGCAATGGCTGAAATGCATCAAGGCACATCACGTGTTGGCCCCTTTTCGCTAAGCGAGACTTTGGGATGGCTGTAAAATCAAGGTGCTTGGGTCTAATCAGTGAGCTCTCAAATTGGAGCTTTTTATATGTAGGTCATCACAAGGGTGAAAAGCGGAGGTTTGAATCTCGGACGTGGTCCCAGCTGCGATTGAAGAGGGGATTTCCGCTTCGAATCACCATAACGCCTCCCCTGAGTGGGGCTGGGATGGCGTCAACATCGCACCAGCTCCTTCTCTACAATTCTGTAATTCTACAGTTGGATTTTCTATTCAATCCGCCCCCGTGTACAAGCATCTTCATCGAGCTTCAATCAGGCAGGAGAGGTTTTCTTGAGAGACTTCCCTTGATGATTACAGCTGTGCGATGAACAGAATTTGCTTGCACACTGAGCGACATGGATCGATAATGCCACAATTCTACAACTACAAACGTTCTACAGTTTCTAGATCTACCCAGCGCGCAAGAAATTTCCACTGAGTATCCCTCAAACAGTGTGGGCTTCGTGAAAAGCTACCCTGAAAGAGTTCAACTGTGCTTGAAGAAATAACGTTACACGACCAAGCGATGTTGCAAGTAGGAACTACCCGGCCAGCATCACGATCTAGCGATGCTCCAGACAGCCACACCTGCTATCAGTCACGCATGCACGCCCTTCTCGAGAAGGCTACTACATGCGTCGTAGCAGTACGGGCACCTCGGAATGAGAAACTGGGCCGTCGTACCAATCCCGTAGGATAGGTCGCTTATAACTTCCAACGGCTTCTAGAGGTTGACACCTTATGATTTCGGTGCAACTTAGTCTCAGGGTCAAAGGCCACAAGGTCTGAATAATTACATCTACGTGGGGGATGACGAAAGGGAATCGGGTATCTACGGGTTGATGGATGACAAAAGCAGATAGCAGAAAGCAGAAAACAGAAAGGACGGTGCGAATATATCTTCAACATGATTAAGCGAGGATGGATAGTGAGGGGTGCTAGGACTAGTGCGCTGCAGATTACCTGTCTAGGATGAGCTAGAATTTGGTAGTTATCTCGGGTTCCCACAATGGGGTAGATATTTCCCAAATCCATGGCAAGCGAAGACTTGATGGTTGGCGTTGACACCAACGGTGCAAGCCAAAATGCTGACTAGAAGTGGAGAGCAATGCAATGCTAACATGAAAGGGGTAAAGCTAGGGTAAACAAGAATGGGTGGCCCACAAGGCACTTTCTACTGCAGTAACAGTCCCGGGTATCTACGATAGCCCCAACTCAAATGCAACGTAGCGGGTATAAACGTGACTTTAGACCCAGCACGTGATACTCCAGAATGGCTGAATCACATGCGAGACTTCTACAATGCCAAATCGCACAAATTCATTTTCGTCCCAGTTTGCTATGAAGGGGCACGAGCACGAGCCCTTGTGTGCCTTTGGTATCCTTAGCAGCGAGTCTTGCAACTCAGCCAAGGATACCAGGGACAGTCTTGGGCTGGCTCCACCTACATGCCAGGGAGTCATTTACAGTGTCTATTGAACCTGTCCTCTACAACTATGGCAAAACGCGATCCTTGCTTAGATGGCCAGAGAACTGAGCCCGGAAGCTCAATTCCAAGGCCAATGCCAGGGCAAGGGCTCGCGAAGTGCACACAGGTTTCGGAAACCACTGTCAAGCAGTGGATATCAGGTAATATTGTGCCAAATGTTTCAAGTAAATGCAAATATATGGCAATGTGCGTAAATCAAAACCAAATTAAAATGCGATACGATGCTGGTGATGCTGATGATGCTGATGTGCCTATGATTTACCCACTGGGCTTTCATTTTACTTCTTTTCTCTTTGGATGTTCCACGAGAAGAAGGGGCGATGCTTGTTCTGCATGGCAGAGGAAGGGACATTACGCCCGTGACACGTAATTGTGGCGGTGATGCGATGCTTCACTGAAGCTCATTGCATGGGGAGAGGACTCTACAAATCTACAAGGGTGGGAGTGAACTTACTGTTTTCTTGTCGTGGTTCTTGTGGCTGTTTGTTTGTGTGGTTGTGTGTTTGCTTGTTGGAGGTGGAGGGTGTGTGAGGTTGTTGGCTGTGAAGCTTCTTGTTTGGATGTGATATATCAGAGAATGGAAGCTGCTAAGCTGGAAGATGTGAATGAAGATGTTTGAAGATGAAGAAGGAAAGCTTCACGATGAGGATGGTCAACCTGGTTTTTATAAGAACTTCAGAGGAGTGTGAGTCCACTACCTCATAGCTTACCGTTGTTCAAAGGGAAAAAATAAAGAATATTCGCAGAAGCTGATGGCTGGGAAAGGGTCATCATTGGAGCAACTATCGTGGTTCAACAGTCCGTCGATGAGACCGCGTCAAAGGAACTATCGTGACAGGGCAGTGTTGAGGCTCGCTAAGCCGCACTACCCTTGGCCGTACCATTAACAGAAACAGAAGGCACGACGAGACGCGAGAAAAGCGAGGAATAGCCTCATCTAGGTCAAAATGTTCTCTCCTTCCGAGCCAAAAAGGGCGATCAAGGGTCCGGTATGTCTTCAGTCAGCGCCACCCTCGTCAGAGTCTGTATCTAATTCCATGGTTAGATGAACACTCTCGTCGCCAGAGGAGTCATCATCTTGGTCCATGGACTCATCTGGGTGCTCTTGTTGGGCTTGTGATATACCAGACGATGCTGTAGTGCCCATGAAATTGCCATTCATGGATGGAATGGCCTCCGATGATGTATCGATTCCGAAGGTTGAGTGATGTAAGAGGGTGTGCTGAGGTGTGTCGGTAGAGGAACCGAATCCTGGTTGCGAAGCGACAGCGGAAGGGTCTTGACGAACAGGAGCAGATGTTGATGTATTCTGGGTTTGAAGAGAAGTAGACTCAGCACTGTAATCCATATCCTCATCCTCAGGATTCTCATCAACAACCTCATTGGCAACAGAGCGTGTGGCTGTGGAAGGTACAAGAGGCATGCGTGGGCGTAGTAGAATTTCTACTGTCGCGTCATCAGAGAATTCTCTCGTCAGATGAGGGAGAATGCCGGGGAGAGCGGAGCCATTGTTTGCGAATATTGGGTTCAATATGCTGGCTAACATGGCGTCTTTATTGTGAGTTAGGATCGAAGTTCGGTCAACTAAGGATCGTGTGGCTAGCTTAAGATATTGTTGGGGTAGATGAGAAAGGAACATTGGTAATAGGTCCTGTGCGGCGGCGTTGAGGGCTGGGTTGGCGATGTGGTGCTCCGTAGGGACGGTGACCCTACTACGCAAGAAGGCACCAGCGTTTGGGTTGCCCTGAGGCTTTGATCCAGCATCGTCCACTGCAGCAATATCAACGAAGTTCGGATGAGCCTCTTGTAGATCTTGGCAGCATGCCTGATAAACGCCAGTGAGCTTGTCGCACTGAGCTTGGTTGAAGCTTTGTCCGACATAGAACAAAATCTTGGCAGTCACGATGTAGGCAACTGAGCGAAACTCTGGGCTGTGCTTGCCATATTCGAACACCCACGCCAATTGGTCAAAGCTTTCTTGCGCCAGAGGCAGAAAGCCATGCTCCAGCCTGACCGAGAGCGTATCGACGACTTGCAACGCAGCGACATATACTTGCGGCATGCCAGCCCACAGCCCATCTCGTTCGTCGCGGTCAATGGCAGGGTGGAGACGAGCCTCACTCTTCCCAGCAGAATATTGAGACGACGGAATCGCAATGGACAGCATCCTGGTGATCATGTCCATGATTGCGCCTAAGGGTAAAGCAACAGGCGCAGCCGTCTCGACCTTGAGGTACTCTGCCAATAACTCGAGTCTGCCAGTCAAACGGTCCACGCCAGCATGAATGCCCATCCACGATGGTAAGTCGTCACCGCTCGCAGAGCCCCCATGGAGCTCTTGATTGACATCTGCAGCTTCTCCGACGTATCCAGCGGCAGACTCCCAATCTTCGACTACAGCGCGAAACACATGATCAGCAGTCACATGGATGTCTTTGACGAGCCCACGGACGGCTTTACCCCATTCCTCGCCGCTGGTATTTTTGGCAGCGGTTTGGTGGAGGATGACAGCGAGTCGCCGGGCACTTTCCCTCAGCGAGGACGACGCGAAGAAATCATCTGACGAGGTTGGAGCGAGAAAAGGACGAACAGCAAGACGAATTTGCGAAGCAAAGGGACGAAAAATGGCAGTATGACGTGGTAATAGCATGGCAAACGACTGAAACACAACCTCCTCCAGCGACATTAATCCTCCCGGGGATTTCTTCGACGAAGTCGATAGTAAGTTCAGACAAGACGTTACGAAGGTTGGCAACGTGGGAGTAGTGATCTCGCGGATGAGAGTCTGATACTGTTGGGACATGGAATAAATTTTGGTGAGAGTCATGACACACAACTCTTTCACGGCAGAAGCATCAGGCTTCTATGGGACCATTAGCAGAGATCTAAAACGACGACTGACTTCACTTCTTACTCCTAGGATCGACAACAATCCTCGAACCCACGACTCTACTCCATGCAGAATTTCCCATCCTCCAACCTCGACGACGGCCTTGATCAGTACGATAGCGGTAAACCTTCCCTCGGGACTCTTTCCGTTGAGCAGGGATGACAGCTGAGTCTTCAGCTTGTGCACAAGTACAGAAGAAGCAGATGCATCTGCCTGGGTCGCATTGCCAGCAGGACTGGAAAGAGGAACTTGGCAGAAAGAAACATGGCGGAGGAGAGTTGGAGTAAGGCGTGCAAGATCTGATGGCGCAGTAGAGGAGAGTTTGAAACACAAAACTCTCAGCTCAGGTGGAAGACACATCACGACGCAGGGGAAAATGCGACCGATATTGGGCTTTTGGATTGTGATCTGGACCAAAGGTGTTAATTGTAGGAAAGATAAGGACGTTTGCCCGGATCGCTAACCCTAGTCTTCAATATTACGTATGTCTTAAACCCAGTTCAAAATCGAAAGGAGTATAAGTGCAGGCAATGCCGAATGGATGGTACTGCTGAAAGCCGGCCTGGCGCAAATAATTCCAAGAAAAAATATTAAGAAGCTCAGCAGATATTCATGGGTGGAAGGAATCTTTTCTTGGAGATGTGACCGTCGACGCAAAGCTGGATTTCTTTGAGACCAAGAGAGCTATCTTCAATCAATAAATCCTGTTCCGCTCTTTTCGTCATATAAAGTGCGGAGTATTGATTGTGTACTTAAAGTAATTGGAAAACCGGCCTCTTGATGGTTGAAATTTTCGCGAGGCTGTGGCTTGGAATTGGCGAAACTGTTTCACTGCTCTGATTGGTCAGCCTTCCCCCTAATTGCCTGCCGGCTAATACCTGGTCTAAAGCAGCCTGTCGAGCGTTCCCGTCATCACCAGAATTCCATCGTAAGGGTCCCGTCTTGTCTTGTGCTGGCCAGATATCCAACGCGTCTACAAGGTCATTGAATTTGCTCCTCCTATAATATCGCATCGACTTAGACCACACCCTTCTATAATGTTCGGCACCATGCGAACATATATTTGCTGATCTATAATGCTACACGAATTGTCCGCCTCTAGGAACCAGTGGGGAACACAATAGCCTCAACAATGAGCGTGCGTCTTATCACTTCCCCCGCTGTGCATATGCTGAAAAGACTACTGCTAGCGTGAACAAACAAAAGCGGCCCAATATATCCAGCAGCTGGACGAAGCTCGCTGTGAGGGAAATTGGGATGCTGTTCCAGAGCTGGTGAGGAAGGTCAAGAAGCATGCGCCGCAGCGGACATGTACGTACCACTCGAGTCCAGAATCGACATGTCCTTCGGCAGCTATAGTCTGGATCGACTCCTGAAGAGAGACTGACCATTTCGAATAGGTCTTGTATTGTCAGCCGAAGCCGAGCATGCTATCTCTCAAGCCTCTAATAATCGTCCCAGCACTGCCCGCCCTGGTACTGCTAGAACTGCCAATACCACGGCCACTTCGCAATCTACAAGTGTTTCTCGATACATACCCTTACTTCTAGAAGCAATCGAGAAAGAAGGAGCCCATGTTGAGGACGAGTTCCAGGCGCAAGTTTGCGTGGGCTGGATACATTGGCATTTGGGAGAACCCTCACTAGCCGCAGCACGATTACCAAAAAGTATTGAGCAGGAATTCTCGCAGCTGGATGGAACAAACAAGGAATCTGCCGAATGGACCAAAGTATGTGCCCTGAAAGCATGCTACATCAAAGGCCAATCCCAAGGGAGGGCAGGAGCTTTGACAGATGCAGTCGAAACTTTTGAAACAGGCTTGCCAATACTGTCGAGCGCCTCCTCTAGTACTAAGCAATCGCGCGAATTGAAGACATGGACCGAATTGTACCTAACCGGATTCTGCATACTGTCAAGCTTGGCGATTAAATCCAAAGTCTCATCCATCCTGGAGACCGAGACTTTACCTGCATTCCGAGCGTGGGCAAAATTTTGGAATACGCAGACTTCGGCGCCAACTGGTGGGAGGGCGTTCTATGCTGAGGTCTCGCGGCGACATGTATGGAAAGAATACTACATTACGCTTTCGGACCTTCTCACGCAGAATCTGCCATTCCCAACCACGTCCCTCACGCCAGCCTATGCAGAGACTTCCACGAGACTACAACAACGAGCTGAATTGAAACGGGTGGAGACGAGATATGAGACACTTTTATTGAGCGAGGTTCAGTTTCCCAAGGCGGAAGAGGCCAGTGAAGAGGTCGAAGCCTTTGTAGAGGTTGTCATCCAGAATTGGCGTATCCTGTGTGGTAGCGGCTGGAAAGAGCAGGATCTTGGGGAAGGAGGGGCAGAAGCTGTGAGCAGAGGCGTCTTGGATATCTTGTATCGAGCAGCGACCAAGACTTTTCACTCCACAGCCATCTTGCGACACTTGTTCACAGTTCATTTGGCCGTCGCGGAATTCGACCTAGCTTTTAAAGCATTCGACACTTATCTGGACATAGTCAAGAAAGGGAAAGCTCGAGTGGAGAAGACTGGCGAATCGGAGCATGGTCTTGATGACGACGAGACGGTTCTAGTTGCGGTCTCTGATTGCATTAAGGCGCTCTGCCGGTACGGTTCACTAGACGGCGCAGAGAAAGCTCATGAACTGGGCCATTATTTTGAAGGTTGGCTGGATAAGCATCATCCAGTCGACCAGCGGCATGCGAATGGACATATATCGGAGAAGCACGACTCAACAGATTTGGATTGTGCCATTGCCCCGAGGATTTTCGCCTTGGTATGGCGATCAATTGGCATCGCTTACGCCCAGTGGGCGCGCTTGACATATGAGGCTTCGACTCGGTCAGATATCCAGCTCCATGCCATTAAATGCTTCCGCAAGGCGCTCTTGCCACAGTTCGAAAGCACAACAGATGTTGAAACGCTGTTTGCTTTGGGAACACTACTTGCTGAGCGGAGAGAACTCCCGGCTGCAATTGAAGTGGTTAGGACAGGTCTGTTACCGCGGGCCTCAAATACTACGACCAGTGGCCTTGGTCCGCTTTCAGGCCGTTTTACGAGAGAGCGATCACTAATACCCTTGTGGCATCTCATGGCTTTGCTTCTTAGTGCCCGTCAGGAACTCACGACTGCTGCAAGATCGTGCGAAGGGGCATTCGAACAATTCCAGGACCCGAAATATCTCTTTGGTGAGGAGGATCTCAATGGTGCGTACAGAAGCGCACATTTAAACGAAAAGGCAGTTGCGAGGAAACAGGGAGTTGTTGACGAAATGGATGATTTCGAAAAGGAGAGCGTTCTTGAAGTCAAAATGACACAGCTTGCCATTATTGAGGTGCTCGAAGGACCGGAGGTTGCAGTAAATGCCAGCGATGAGCTTCTTAGTCTTTACACTCGACTCTTTGGTGACCCTCTCAAGGATTCGGCCCCCTTAGCAGCTCCAGGCACAGCATTGACGATAGCTCCCAAAAGCTCTTCCGGAACGATCAAGAGTGTACGAGGCAGTATATTTGGACGGACAGGCCGTTCATCTGTTCGCAAACCGCACCCAACCGCAGCTGGAGCTTCAATTAGTGGAGACCCAGCATCACCACCTAGACCGCAAACTACGCAGACCGTGGCTAGTACGGTAGCCCCGACAATCCAAGTGACGAACGAGAATGGCAGTGCAGCGAAGCAGCATCATTCGCACCATCACCACGAGAAGCTACAGAAACGAACCGAGAGCGTTCTAAAGAAAAACGGAGCCAGCAGGAGCAGGAGTGTCAGTACTGGCAGAAAGCGAAACAGCAGTGGCGGCAAGACAACCGAACCGCACAATACTACAACTGTAGATGGAGACACATTCTTTACTCCTCCATCTGATACCGAGAATAGAAAGCAGTGGCTACAGGACGATCAAGAAAACGAGAGGAGCAGGGTCGCAACATCAAATAAGATCTCCCACCAAATCTCCGTACCCAACCCGCTTCCTCCCAAGTCCCAGCAAATAGCACTTAGAGAATCCTCGCTCAAAGCTGCATCCGTAAACAATGGATTATCACAGGACCATCGTCTTCTACCTAGATCTCCCTACTCGCCTTCGACAACTCCAGTGACTCGATTTTCAAAAGACCAAGAGAGAAGACGACGGACTGCGACCCTAGTGAAAGTTTGGCTTCTGATTAGTGCCTTTTATCGCCGTGCGACCATGTATGAAGATGCGAAAGGAGCAATCGAAGAAGCTGAGAAACTTGTTCGTAGCGCAGAAGTCGATGTGTCCAAAGATACCACAGGCACTGTCTCGATTAACAATGCTGGGTGGGGAGGAGGCAAAACTGTCCAGCAGTTATGGGGCGATGTCCATGCCGAGGTAAGTTCCTTACGATGAATGGGATACTTCTTGCTAATACCACCAGCGTGGATCTCTTTCCTTAGCAGAATCTACCCCGCACACCGCACTTGCGCATTTCGAATCTGCCCTTACACACTTTCCCGACCACCCAACTGCAATCGTTGGCCTTGCTAACATTTTGTTGGATGTATACTCTGAAGATCTCCTCCCACCACCTGTAATTCCAAGTCTCGTTCTCCCAGGAGCCTTCAGTACACCTTCAGCATCTACACTCAATACTTCGTCGGTGACCCCTCTCACTACCCAGCCAGCTCCACATAAGCAATCGTCCATCGCCCCCATAGACTCACACGGCCCTCTGGGCCTCCCGACTGCGAAGCGCTCTGATACCATAACCAGTGGCCCACGAGAACCTACGGATAGCCCCAGTTCCATCTCGTCTGGGCTTCAGCCAAGCTACAAAGAATCGTCTACCGCACTGCTAGACCGCCTCGCAGCCCGTGACAGAGCATACGGCCTGCTTTCCACACTCACCAAACTCGGCACGGGGTGGAACAACAGTGAAGCATGGTTCGCCCTCTCCCGAGCCTACGAAGAAGGGGGCCAGCCCGACAAGGCCCGAGAAGTCCTTTGGTGGTGCGTTGAGCTCGAGGAAAGCAGAGGTGTCAGGGATTGGACAGTCGTTGGTGGTGGAGGCTACGTTTTGTAATTTTCATACTCTTGGTATACCTGCATCAGCAGCAACATGGTGGGATACACATTGACTTGTAGATACCTTTTGTCCTCTAGAGCGTACGTTTGTGCTTGTTTACTGGCAGCAGGCACGAACATCAGTTTAATGATTACAGCAGACTTCCAGCTCGTTGGAGTTTACACCCTCTACCTTTTGCGGGTGGACAACAGCCATTGCACCGATTCTCGAAGGGCCGATCGTACTTAATGATATCTTGCCTATTCACCGGCTGGGAAACCTCGTTCTTTGTCATTTTTTTTAATGATGGACACTTTTTCGGGGTGGTTGCTTTAACATAAGAATTGCGTTTGGATAACGTAGATTGCGTCCATGCCATCAAGTGGATGCGTTGCGAAACAATCTGTCTATTGGTCTCAACTGGTTTACAATATCACCAGCAACAATGTGTCTGCTCATGAGCCGAGAAGTCTGTAACAGCTCTCCAAGACTAGATTCTGCAAGGAAGCAATCGAGGAACTTTCTAATTCCTAGAGACATGACAATCGCCGTCACACAGGAACGGTATCATGATCCATAGCTAAAGCTACAATTCAAAGCAGAGGCTAGCACATAAATAGTCCTCAACATTGGAGTTTCAACCCCATGATCTTGGGCTAGTCTCACGACATTCCCAACGATGGCTTCAACCTCCATGTTTCTTCCAGCAAGTGCATCTACGAGCATGCTAGGCGCTACCCCAGGTAATTCTCGGATCGTTGCCCTCCCAAGTTGAAAGTCAACAAGGGCAGTATCAATTTTCTCATAGCCACACGCATTTGCAACAGCCTTAATCTCCAGCATGACATCCCGAATCAAGTTCTTCGCCTCGGGGCTTGACTGCAAGACCTGTGCGTCTCCGGAGCGTGATAAAGCACAAATTGGATTCCAGGAAGTGTTGACCAGAAGCTTCGACCAGCGCTCAAATTGGACGTCTTGATGGACTTTTGCGCTTCCACCACTAGCTTTTAGGAGATTTGCAAACTGGTTGGCAGGTTCTATGCTTGACGAAGCCGGGTAAGGGCCGATGTGGAGGAACTCGACTTCCTTGTGTAAAATTACCCCCGGGCTGGGTTGACTAGCCGGAAGGTACACCACTGTACTCAGCAATGGATTGTCCGGATACATCTTGGCATAGGGTTCTTCAATAGCAATTCCATTCTGTATCAAGACGATAGTTGTCTTGGGTGAGATAGCGGGTCTTATCAGCTCGGCGGTAGAAGGAACAGTAGGCACTGCCTTGGAGCAAATCAAGACATAATCGAAATGGGATGGATCAGCTGCTGTAGCTTCTTCGACAGATCGGACAACGACAGGGCGAACCTTTAGATTCTGTCCCCACAGCGAGGAGTTTATTGTGAAGCCATCTTTGAATGCAGAGTCAAAATTGGATCGACAGACTGTGACGATGTTCGATGCCGGCACAGCTCGGGAAAACACAAAAGAATACGTCGCACCGATGCTCCCTGTGCCAAAGATCAAGATTCTTGGAGTTGGAGCCATTCTGTGCGTCGTTGTACAAAAACCACGTCCTCTCCCATCGCTTACATACCTACCATTTCGTTTGTCATTGAGCAAGGGTGGGGGAACGAAGTGTATCACGTGGTTTCGTGCAGTGCCCCAGGACTAGCGTGTTTGCTCCACGTCCTCTCGTTTGAGCGCCATATCCTTCTCCAGCTATGGTTCTCAGCAATTCAAACCCCCAGACCCAACAACCGGATCTTCTCAAAATAAGCAGGTACCACGAGACATGGCTTTATCGAGATGTGTTATTTGCGATAAGCCCAACGTCAAAGAGTGCGCAGCTTGTAGATCCTCTGCCTACTGTTCGCCAGCGTGCCAACAGGTTGATGTAAGCAGGTTATGGCCAAAGCATTTCTCCAACTCTCGGCGTCTAACGAAAGTATTGTTGAAACATCTAACTTCGAAGTAGTGGCCCTTACACAAGACACTCTGTAAGAAACTATCGATTCTACTGAAGGCTCCTCGACCTAAATTCCCCGTAAGACTTGGCATCTTGCTATCCGCCGACGATCCAAATCCACAATTCGTTTGGGTACGTTCTCAACAAGCACTCAAGCCGAACTTATCGAGTACTCACGAAGAGATTAGTATACACCAGCTGCTAGGTCACCCAATCACTGAAACAGTGGAGAGCTTCAACATTTCGAAGAATGAGGTCAGAGGATATATATGCTAGACCACACGGTCGTTGTGTATGCAAGAGACAACTGGCTGAACGATAGAAGTAAACCCAACCAAGCCGCACTTGCCTTCACGGACTTGCAGCTGCCGTATGATTGGAGAGGAAATATCTTGGTGATGAATTACAAAGGCCTTGTTGGCAAAAACATTCCGCCGAAGATGAATTCTGGCCAGCCTCTTGTGCTACCAGCCCTTCCGTCAGGCAGTGAGACGGGACCTTACCAGGAATTCCAAGATATCACACTGGCAGATTAAAGAGCCGCGATCGACTACCTGGTAAGTGTTCTTCGAATTATTCTCCTTCATCTCCAAATTTCAATATCTTGCAACTCCTCTTGAGCCCACCGGAACGAATGCGCCATCAATTATCACAATACTAATGTGTACCCTTTCAGTCTCGATATAAAAATCATGTCAAGCGTGGCAACGAACACTCCTATTTCACCATCAGTGCTTCGCCGGCGAATAAGCCGATGCATGAGCTGCAGACCTTAATGAACATGATGAAGGCAGATCAGGCAGAAAAGGAAAAGAAGAGAAAGTTCAAAGGAGTTCTTATCAGATGTGAGGGGGATATTGGTATCAATAAGAAGGAAAGTGGCAGATGGGAGAGATACACCGAGGTCGCAATCTCAAAGGAACATCCAATCTGGAATTCGGACCCAACGCCTGCATCCAAGATTATGGGACTTCCCCTGCTCGTACACAAACAGCCTCACAATCCTGCATGGAGCCAGAATGACCACACCCGATTCGACAATCAGCCTGCCATTTTTCTCAACCTCACTGTGGATCCCAAAATCGAAGATATGTGGGGATTTGCTCCTCCAGAATGGCAGAACGAGGTTGGTAGCACCTTACTGGTCAGGAAAGATCAGAAGAACTTGAGTCGTGAGCAAGCTTGGGCTCTCGTAGAGTTCATGCAGTTCCGTGTATCAGATGCGTTCGAGGATCCGGCGAGGAGCGTCAACGTCGAGCTGCGGTTTTGAAGATGTTGAATTGGAAGCAGTTCGACGATTTCTTGGAGAAATTCAAGGTGGAGAAGGTGGTCAGCGATGGAAGGTCTTGGGATGGTGTCAGATCTCCTTTTGGCACGAAGGAAGGTAGTAATGGTCAGCCTCTCTGATTGGGCATGACGATTTGCTTGGCGTTTTGGATAATTTAGAGCTGGGACCCAGTGGTCGGTCATGAACAAAATGCGCGCTGGTTGGAACCTTTGTCTACCCGCCGATGTATTCTTATCGTATGAATGCTCCAAGTTGCGATATGTTATGGCGTCAAATTTGCAGGGTGTATTCAAGATATACCAATATCCATTGATTTGGATGGGCAGTTCAAGGGGGCTTGAGCTGGTCGGAAAGTCTGCCGCCTCATGGCTCTTGCATCATCTTTTCAATGATATTAACGTGGAACAGAATGAGATATTGTAAATGAAATCTACTACCCTGTATCGTTCTTCTCACTATCCTTCCTCACTTCCCCCTTACAACGTACAGAATTTCGCAGTGGGATTATTCCAGCCCAACAAGGGCAGCTAGCGACACTTGAGGTCGCCTTATCACTTGTATTGTTGCGAAATAGAAATTACCAAGCAGAGAAATGAATACGATCTAGTGAGTTCCGACAAACCACAAGTTTTATTCAATGGTTTAGCTTGAAGTTTGGATTGGAATTCGCACCACAGTCCAACAAAGGAGACGCGAGGCATAAAAATTCTTCGCACTTTCAAATGACTGGTAGCCAATGAATTTTAAAGTCTATGTAGCTGCAATCAGCCTAATTGAGAACCATGGTAGATTGAAGATAGCTGCTTGGACCGAAGCACAAAGAAACGCTGCCGGCCCTCGCTTAAATATGTAAACAAAACAAAACCCCTGAGCACACCCGATACCTAGAAGCTAGAATTTCGAAGCGAGTAATTTCGGCGCCAAGAGCCACGTGGACTTATCACCAGAACATCTTTCAGCCATATATAGACTCCCTTCTGAACTTTAATCATAAAAAAGACGAAATATGTTCCCATGTCCAAGAAGGGTGGCGTCAAGAGTACTCAGGATTAACTCATTCCGAGCCTTTCCCAGCAACACCAAAATCAATCAATAAATCACTCTAGACTTCACAACTTCACAAGTCACTCCTCCATGCCATCAAATCACCTCTCGATCGCCGAACCATCCTTCACTTTTGATCAACAAGGAATTCACAACTTTCTTCTTCCCCTCCCTCTTGTCTCACCAGTAATCGCCTTGCCTTGCCCCGAGCAGCCTTCTTCACCTTACGAACCGCCGCAACAGATCTCATCCCTATCACTCTCTTCCCCTTCCTCTTCCTCTTCATCATCCCCATCCTCACCAAGTTCCTGATCCTCCTCAACTGGAAAAACACAACTATCAAACCCGGAGGCCACACCTCGTGTCCGGGTCTCCACGAGCGTGCTTGTCCACTGGTGGCGCGGAAGTAGTAGCTGTGGTATTACCGGGTATCGGTAGCGTCCGAAAGCGACCACCATCTCTTTCGTCATCGGAACCAGCATAAATTTGGTCTTGGAGGCTGGCCTTTGAGGCTGCTGCTCTCGTGGTCGTGGTGGATTGATTCTTATTCATCGCAGGGCTTCTCGTCAAAAAGCCACCACCTTCTTGATCTTCTTGGTGTCCTCCTTTACAGTGTTCTCAGATTCCCTTCTTGTCCGCCCCGTGAATGTTCCTTGTCGTTCTTTTCTGTGACTTGCTTTTTAACAAGTCTTGGTTGGGATATTTGACTATTCTCAACTACAGGATCCATGAGCTTCGCAGCATCCATTCGGTTCTTGATGCGATTCCAGCAGGCAGGTTCAGTCTCGCCGTTGGCTTCTTCGAGATGCGAAGTGTTTTTGGAAAGATTGCGCGTACTTTAGGACAAGAAACGACACACTGTACAGCAACAAAAGGAATAACGAGAGAGCCGAGGTTCATATTTAGCTTGATATGATTAATTGCAAATGCAGTGTGCGCTTAAATCATTCATCTCACTAAATGCAGATCATCATGCTTCCGAGACTACTACAGCCTACTTCCCATATTGACATGAACAGCCTTAGTCTGTGTATACCCGGCCAAACCAGCCTCACCCAGTTCTCTTCCAATACCACTCTGCTTCACGCCTCCAAATGGAATCCTATAATCCGAATCATTGCTCGAATTAATCCACACCATACCCGCCTCGATATTTTTCGCCACTCTATGCGCACGAGTGAGATCTTGAGTGAAGACCGCACTGCCAAGGCCATATGTAGTATCATTTGCCATCTCAAGCGCCTCTTCTTCAGTCTTGAAGCTAGCAATGACGACAAAGGGGCCGAAGACTTCTTCTCTGAAGATCTTCATGCTGGGCTTGACGCCTGTGAAGACTGTGGGCTCGATGAAGAATCCCTTGCCGGCGGAGGGTCCGGAAGTGAAAGCCTCGCCACCAGAAATGAGAGTTGCGCCTTCGTCTTTGCCAGCCTTGACAAAACCAAGAACACGCTCGTATTGTGTCTTGGTAACTTGTGGTCCTTGGAAGGTGGTCTCGGCGAATGGGTCACCAACAACGGAGACCTTTTGAACCTGCTCCTTGAAGGCGGCAATAAAGGTGTCGTAGATGGAGTCTTGGACTAGAATTCTGGATGTAGCGGTACAGATTTGACCTTGGTTGGACATGATACCTTTAAAATGTTAGCATATTGTGACTCCAATCAGGGAGAAATAATTACCAATGTGTGCCCACTTCACAGCCTGGTCCAGATCCGCATCCTCGAAGACGAGCAATGGTGACTTTCCACCAGTCTCCAAAGTAATGTTCTTCATGTTCACAGCCGCCATCTTCATAATCTCCTTTCCAGTTCCAGTACTTCCAGTGAAGGCAATCTTATCAATACCCAAATGGGTAGCGATCGCTGCACCAGCCTCACGTCCGTAACCATTGAGGATATTCACAACTCCTGGTGGGAACCCAGCCTCCTTGATCAAGTTCGCAAAGTATAAAATGCTCAATGGGGTCTGCTCAGCCGCCTTCATGACAATGGTGTTTCCACAAGCCAACGCGGGACCCAGCTTCCACGCCGCCATGGCGAGCGGGTAGTTCCATGGAATGATCTGCCCACAGACTCCCACCGGCTCCTTGATTGTGTACGCAAACTTGGCTGGTCCGGTATCAATGACCTGGCCGTGGATCTTATCCGCGTATCCGCCATAGTACTTCAATACCCCAGTGACCTCCCCAACGTCTCCGAGCGAGTCTCCGTATGTCTTGCCGTTATCCCAAGTCTCGATTGTGGCGAGGGTATCTTTGTGGGCCTCGCAGAGGTCGGAGAGCTTCATCATCATGTTTCCTCGGTCGGTGGGGGAGAGATCGCGCCATGAGGGGTCCTTGAATGCCTTGCGGGCAGCTGCGACAGCTGTGTCGACGTCTTCGGGAGTGGCTGCATAGACGGAAGCAATCTCGGTCTCATCGCTACAGAAAATTCAGCATTGGTGTTGGAGGGTTAGCAGAGTGAGAGTGGCATACGTTGGGTTGATAGACACAATCTTCTTGCCATCGCTGCTCTTCACCCATTCGTTATTGATGAAGAGACCTGTTGGCTGGGTGTATTTCCTGCCATTGGGAGCTGTGAGCTCGACGGTAAGGTCAGACATTCTGGCGGCAGCACAGCTGAATGATCTGCAGAGAGATAGGTGGAATGTTGTAATGGATTGACGGTCGTATGTGCAGTTTGGGATAGCTGATAATGGCTCTGTTGATTGGCAACTGACCCGGGTGATCTGTTCGAAGAGATTGCGACGAAGATGTGCGGGCAGAGGGAGAAGTCTTTTGAACATCAGAAGAGAGGAAGAGCAGAGCAGAGCAGAGCAGATCTCGGCTTCAGTAAATAGCTGCAGTGTAACTACCTACCTTAGGCCGTCGTTACTACTCTCCAAGTCAAACAAGTCACGATCAAAGGTGGGCGTGGGGTGGCACACAATGGAATGGACGAGCGAGCTGCCTGACAGGGAAAGCTTTAACGAGGAGAGGAACGGATTGCCCTGCCTGTTCAGGTCTGGTGCCCGTGGTCTGCCCCGCCCCGCCCCGCGATGACAGACTCGCCTCGTCAAGACTCAAGACTCAAGAGCAACAGCAAGAGCCCTGGCTGTGGAGAAGCCGACGTTTCCCAAAATACAATACAATACCTGCGAGGATAAGCACGAGGTTGAGCTTGTGACTTGAAGAGGGACATTTGCATTCTATATAGATAGGATAGGAGGTTTGTAAACAGCTCAATCTTCAGTCTTGGCAGCAGCAGGAATAAATCGATTGGCCACATAGTATAATATACGGTAGCCCGTTTTTCGCCGCAGCGATGAAGCTTTTCGCACACATAACATAGCGGGACTTCGCTTAGCCAGAATAATTATTACCCCTCATCCTCAACTGACAGTGCAGAGTGTTCACCTATTGTAAGGACTTGGCAGCAAGTCTGCTGGGCGTAACAGTCAGCGCCCAAGTGTTTACGAGCTGCTGCCTTTGACCACATCGGGCTGATAAGAAGCAAAGGTATCTATCTATCTACCCGATGGTGCCTCTGTGGTCACCACGCCAGGCCGGGATGCAAGCTCGAGAAAATTCATGGTCTAAATTTCCAAATTAGGTACCTACCTACCCCTCTTTGTCACGTGTAAAGAGCTACAGGAACTCAATTTACAATAGGGCAGACTTAGGATCATATCAGGCTTGATATAACTATCGTTAGACTTTGATGTAAAGGAAGCTTTCTAAAATTCAATACAACTCGCATGGACTTCCTTGGATGTGAACCTTTAGCGCCGCCATGACCGCCCAAGCATGAAATTTGGAGGCGCAAGGTCTCACTACCCCTCACTTGGTTCAGGCACGACTATCGATACTTGGCAACGGCATGTTTTGCCTACTTGTGTTGGCTTGCATGCATGATGCAAAGAACCTTATGTCAGAATTGACTTCCACCAGCCCATTAACATGCGTCCGCTATACTGTGAGGATCACAGCTGCCCTTCTCTTTCGTACAATACAGTCTGATTTTTATGTATACCCGAGTCCCGGCCCGTCCCAGATCCAATCTTGTACAAGCAGCCAACCCTCGCTCTGGACGCCCGCTCGCCCTCCTGCTATCTCTCTGGTTCAGCACGAAGCATCAATTTGATAGATCGACCCTTCTAACCCAGTCTATCTCCCTTGGTCCTTTGATCCTCCACTCCCACCTCAAAAAGCACAAATACCAACCCCCTAGACTCCCCCTCCCGAAGCCGAGCCAGAGACCCCAGAAAACACAACCCCTCTGCTCCAAGGTATGCCCGTGCCGTGCAAGATATGGTTGTCCCCCGACGACAGCAAACTCCATGCTGAAACGCAAAAAATGATAGTAAAAAAAGCGCAAAGTCTGATCAGGAGCTTCCAAAGAAGTTCACAAAAAGCCCAGAGATTTATATGGCACCATTGGACTGTGACCAAAAGCAAAAATTGGTTTGAAGGTATATGGGAAAAAAAAGTATGCACCACACCAGGGGGTATAAACTCGCTGTTTTTCGCTGGAAATGAAATACGAGAAGACAAAAATCTGGGGATATATGAGGTCGGTTGCCCAACAATGCTGCTCTTCCTTCTCCCTGTCGCTCCTTGATAATGATGAGGTTGGTGATGAAAATGGTGGTCGATGTGACGATGAAAAAAGAGATATGTGGGATAGAGATACACAGGGTAGATACAATGCTTATGTATGTAGAGTTTGGTCGATAGCTGGCAAGCATGAATCGTGCTCGCACAACAGAGACAACGTATGTGGAATTAGATATTAGGGAGGAGGTATGTTTAGACGCCGCGATTGTCGCGGATCGTCGATCGAGGTTGTTGACCTCGGCTATTTTCCGCAGAGTCCAGTCGCAATGGAACTACCGGCGTCCAGCATCTCCAGTCCAACCGCGTTCGTATGGACCACGCGCATAGGGGTCATGAGGTAGAGGACCAGCGCCCGTCGAAGGGGTGACATTTCCACTTGGCGTCTGCGGGCCAGGGGCCGGCTCCATCCGTAGAGGAGGCAGGTTTGGCGGTCCAGGAGGGCCAAAATATCCTCCAGGGGACTGAACTGGAGGGAGACTTGGAGCTGGTGGAAGAGAGTAGGGCAAGCTGGTGAATTCCCCTTGCGTGTCCGTCCTCCTTCTCCTAGGAGCTCGTTCTGTGGTTGTGTCCGGCGCATGAAAGCTCGTCTGAGGGGGAGGCTGTGGCGGCGGCTGGCCCATGCCCGGAAACGATCCCGATCGCATGCTTTGGGGACTTGGAGGACCTTGCAAAGCAAGGTGTCTCATCTCGGGATTTCTGAGTAACAGATCTCGCAGTCTGTCCCTCTCTAGTCTGTACCGGTCCCGTTCCCCCTCAATCTCCCGCATTCTTCTGTCCTGCTCTCGCGCCTGCTGTTGGAGCTTTTCAATGCTCGTGTTTGCCTCCCTCTCTTTTTCTTTTCTGCGTTGCCGGAATCTTGCAGAGGCGCCTGCGTTCCTTGCACGTTTTTCATCAGCCAATTTGGAAGCCTGGTGCACGTCCACAGGCATAGTATACGAGCCTTTAGACGTGGTTATTGTCATGACTTGAATGGGATCTGAAGCAGAAGTCTGCCTTGAACTGCCTGCGCTGCTGGACTGGAGAGAGCTGGCTTGAGTCTGAGGATCTGGAGAAGTGTACGGACCTTCAGGTACTCCAGAGGGCCCTTGGAATTGCATGCCACCTCCCGCTTGTATTGCAGTCCCAAATGATGAACCGGGATAGTACGAGGTGGGCTGTGTTCCACCTTTGTGGAAGAGGAAAGATGCCGGGGAGGTCTGACTTGATGAAGGATTGTTTGACGATGCTGAAATACTCGGACTTGCGCTTTGCGAAAGTCTTGCGCGGCCAGGAGCTTGCATTGTACCCCCACTCGACCGCCGAGGTACAATGGATGGTGTTGAAGATGCGGGTGGAAAGCCATACTGCTGCTGGTACTGTGATTGCCCAGGAGTAGGCATTGGAGGGATATCCGACGATGCATTGGGTCCAGGCTCGGCCATGTACACTCTGCCTCTTGAAGGCAAAAAAGGCGATTGTTGCGCGTCGATGGTTGCCGGAGCTCCTCTTCCACCGCTCACATTTCGAGCTGATGGTGATCTTGGGGTCAGGATCCGTCGAGGTGCCAATCCCTGAGGCAATTGTTGACCAGGAAAGGCATGAGATGGAGCAGTTGAGGGACTTGCGCCATATGGGGTCCGCTCCATAGCCGAGATGGGAGACTCATTCGTCGCGCCGCTAAGTCGTCGACTCGAACTACCACCACCCTCAGGCTCCGATGGGTTCAGTATAGAATGGACTCCCAGGTCCCTCTGCTGTCTCGCGCCTCTCCAATCCTCTCCAGATCCTATGTTCTGGGAGGTCTGAGCATGTTGAGGGGATATCTGCGGTTGATGAGAAAAAGCTCGATTTTCGGGCTCCGGCTGCTGTCTCTCTGCCTGTCGTCCCTCATGCTGAGAGTCATCTCGAAGCTGCACAGGTGGTAGAACGAATCTTTGACCTTCGGGCGGCGACCGAGATGCAGGACGAGACGCAGATGGCTTCTGCGACATCGGGTCCTGATCCCCTAACCCTGGATGGTCCCCAGGACCGGGACATTGACCTTTCCCACTACCTTCCCAGCTCTGCTGATAGCTGTGAAGCTTGACTACAAAATCGGTAAGACGCTTTTCGAGGACTTCTGAAGTCTGGATGCCCGGGAACCGCGATACTTTTGGTGATATCTCCGAACTGTCTCCAAAAGCAGCGAAGGTCTGATTCTCGCACGACGGACGCCTCAGGAAACCTTGTACAGCCAGATCGAATTTAATCTTTGGGAAGCTTGCCAATGGGGCGTCTCAACGAGCAGTAGAAGTCAGCTGTTGTTGCTAGTCTGAGCTTGGTGGTTCGTATAAAATCCTCTTGAATATCTCAACTGTGGAACATTGCTGGTGCGCCGCACCGAGGGCTGAAGTGAAATACTTGTTTCCCCCCTCTGCTGGTGCTGTGGGAAGACTTATTTGGGCAGGAACGATTCGGTGATGTTTGACGTGGAAGTGGAAGTGGAAGTGGAAGTGGAAATGTCGAGGCGGAGCAGCGAGGCAGTCAGTGTCAGTGCACGGAAGGATTGGACCAAAGACTTGGGAAGCAGAAATCGCTAAGAACTTTAAGACAAGTCACTGGATGTTAGTTGTTGCGCAGCAAGGAAATATAGGACGCCAGTGGTGACCAGTGACCCAGAGGATCGAGGGAACTGACTGAAAGTGGGAGACGGCTGCGGTCGACGGACCAGTCACAAACAGGAACTGCAGAACAGGCTCGCGACTGGTGGAGAAGCATGAATTGAGAGGGGAGAAAGCAGCAGTGTCGCCGATAGGGAGGGACCCGGCTACAGGCTGAAGATGCAGAAGGGGTGAGTTGTTGCTGTTGCTCGTGGATGGCTGGCGGATGGGATGTTTGTTGACAACAGCAGTGTTAGCTCGACGCAGAGGAGATATAAGCAGAGTTGGTAGGCACAGCAGGTAAGGTAGGTAGGCAGGTAGGAAGTTGATGCAGAACTGGATGAGCCAGCATCTTTTTCCATTATTGGGGAACCCCCAAGCTTTTGGTCTTCCAGTCCCACGCCTGTCTGCTCACAGACTCTTGGGACCCCTTCACAAACCAGCACCAAAGGGATCATAATGACCAGGATTCGAGAACCACAGCGGGTCTTTCTGGGAGCAAACTGGGGTGCTCGAAGGTTGCTGTAGGCGAAGGGCCACGGGCCGGGGCACGCTGTGGTGTGCTAAGACAATCGTTAAGGGCAGGGCTCCAGCTGCTAGAGCGCAGTAGGTTAGTGGGCTGCTAGGCTCGCCAGGCTGTGAGCTTGGGTCGATTCCGAATATTAATTCCCAAGAAACTTTACTTTCGCACAGGCATACAAGTACGGGCGGAGTAGGGAAGGGAAGGGAAGGGAAGGGAAGGGAAGGGAAGGGTAGGTAAGGTACAGTACAGTACAGTACAGTACAGTACAGTAGCAAGAGGACAGGGACTACTACTCAGGACGGACGCTGCAAGGCAGGGAAGGTCACAGACAGGCGGCCCACCCGTCGCCCTCGAGGCGGCCCGCGGGTGTTGGCCATGTGCAGGGCAGCCCCCCCCCCCCCCCCCCACCCCTACGCTCTCCAGTACCTTAGGACTAGACTCGCATGGCTGGCGGTGGTCAAGTAACTTCATTTGGTGAACACGCATGACTTTTTCTAAACTTTTTGTCTTTCTGAGCAGGGCAAGTGGAAGAGAAGAGGCTGGCTGCCGGCGACTTAAAGTTCCTAAAGTGCTGGCTGGATGAGACTCTAAGGCAGCCGTTGGCGACGGGAGCTATGGAAGGACGACGCGCTGAGAGGGGAGGGGTGTAGGTACAGTACAGTAGCTAAGGTACGACGAACATCTGTAGCTCCCTCAGCATCGCATCGCATCGCATCGCATCGCATCGCATCGAGCTTGGGGGAAAAGAAAATTGCCGGAGTAACTGGCGGCCCTAGCAGCACTTAGGCGTCCTTCAGGCAAGCCAATGCCATGCTTCTCTTCGTAGTAGTACGGCCGGCGTGACGAAAGAACCCCTCAGCAGCTGCATCTCGTGCGGTGAAATGTTCGAGGCCAGAATTGAATTAAATTTACAATTAGAATTAGACTTAGAATTAGGGAGCTCACTACTCAAGGCCAGGTGGGCAGGGCATGTTCAGCAGCATCTCAACTGTGAAGGTAATTTCCATTTACAATCCCCAGTCCTGTGCCCACTGGTCTCACCCGCGATGCTGCTCACTCTGCTCTTCTCACCGCAAGTATCGTGAGCTAGTCGCAGCCAAGCCGTGACGGTGAAGCCAGCTCGATGACGAGGACCTTACCGCAACAGTACTCCGTACAGTATTATGGCACCATGGCGCTGCTAGTTGAGTTTCTTGCGAAAACTTCTGGCTGTTGACATCACAGACTAGACTAGGAGCGGAGCTCCAACTGCGGCAGAGGTGTGCCGGCAGGACGGAGAGAGGGCGATGGCTGGCAAGAATCTGGAGGCTTGACTACTGGACCTCTATGATCAACAAACGTGCTGTGCCCTGAAGAAATGAGGATAAGGAGGACCTCGGGAGCTTGGAATTGCTCGTTCCAGCTGCGCTGCGCTGCGCTACCAGTGCGCCGGTTCACCCCCTCGGGCGACCCTGCAATTAAACACCGTAGCTTGGGGCTATAATAGTGGCCAGCCTAGACTTCAGCATCATCGTGGTGACCGCGTGGAGACTAAACTGATGCGTCGGCCGTCAGTCTTCAAGCGGTACTAGCTACAGTGGAGTGGCGCTTGGCTGGGACAATAGTGAAGACCGATGCGACTCTTTTTTGGAGTTCGGAGAGAGGAGGGGATAATGAGGGAGGGAGGGAGGACATGCAGGCAAGCGGGTTGTGCACAGGCGTCCTGGATATGCAGAACGGATGTTCTTCGCTGCCCGCTCCTGTGCTGCTGCTGCTGCTGCTGCGTTTCCTGCAGGCGGATAGTGGCTAGTGGATGGATTGCGCGCCTTTGATCTGATTGAACGGCTCTGTATCGCGCTGCAGTAGTTCATCCGCAATGCAGGCCGTGTTGGTAACTTTTCCAGTCACTTGTGCTGAGCTGTGCCCCTCGACCCTCGAATCGGAGACCTCCTCCACCCAGGCTCGAGCATTCGAAGTTGCGACTCGACCACGAGAAAGACTTTCTTACGGTGCTGATAAGTTAATTGCGACAAGAAGGAATAACCTACTCGAGGGCCGCCCTCTTCAAAGCGGGAAGTGAAATGGGAGCCAAAACAAAAACAGTCCTGAAGCACATCTCCGCTCCCTTCCGTACGTAATTCTGCAAACGAGGTTGCAACTGTTTTTGCTAATTTCCTTTGGGCTGCTGGTTGCCAACAGAAAGGCGAGGCGCTGCCCGCGCTGCCACAGACGTAAGTTCATGATCCAGCCCTGGTGATAGGATGAGGATTACGACGACTGACGAGCCATCTATCCTGTGGCTCTTTTGTTCTTTGCCCCGGGCATCCGAATGTCTGCTTGATAGAAGATCAGTAGAGTACAGTAGAGCCTGGGTTGCAGATGCCATGCTGCGTTTAGCTCAGATGCAATGCCACGCATCCGTCTTCTTGAGCTCGAACGCCTCTTTGTGTTCTCTGAGGACTGGGTCAAGGATTGGAGACTTGAATTGATCGTGTGAGAGTGAGACTTTTCGCCTGCGTCTTGTTCAATTGTCATGGCTCTGCCGTATTGCTCAGACTTCCCTTGTCGGACTGGACCGATTCAATTTATTTTACAAGTGCGCAACACTCCCATGTCGTCTGTTCGACTTCCCTGATCCCGGGTTCCCATGATAGACCCCTGCACCAGAGGGACAGGAACATCTGCAGAATGATGTCGGAAGTCCCTCTTACTCGAGGTATACGGTTCTCCTGCTATATCAAGACCTATAGCACATTTCTGTTGCGAAATCTCTTCGTTCATATTCTCCGTTATTGGTCTTCTCTTGTCGTCCTGGACTGCCTCGTCTTCCGGCAGCCAGCTGTACAGTAGAGCCGGCCCCCAAGAGAATACACCTCATTGTTCGGTCCACTTTCTGTTAATCTGTGCCTGTGCACCTGGCTTGGCTCATTTGTGTGGAGCACGAGATGAGCTGCAGTAGTGCGCTCTGATAACGATTTTACTTGGAATGCCCCAGGAGACTGTCTTGGAGGGTTCCAGGTCCAGGACACCGGCTCGATGTGTCGTCAAATCGGGTTGGTCTGTTTTGTGAGGTTATCGTTTTCTCTCAAGATCGAAGGACCTGCACATCATCATCGGCTATTAGTTCTCTCTCTTTAGCCAATTGGTATAAAGCCCCGAAAGCGAATGACGGTGGTGGTATGTGTTGGCGAAGTCACTACTATCACGCGCCGTGCCGCTGAAGTTTTCAATTTCCCAGCATGCATAGTGATGCGCATAGCGGCCCAAATACCCCGGGCGAGCATTTAGATCCCACCTGACTACAGAGCGTTCTGAGAGGGAAAATAACTCCAAATACGGGCCTCTGCAAGTGTGAGACTGGATGCCTTATCTCCACCTTGGAGCCATTGTCGTAGCCTGCGGTCCTGTAATAGGTTTTAATGGTTTGGGCAGGCAAAATGAAGATCGCCCACCACTCGAGAAATTTCGGTTGACCGGGAGAAATTATCGAAGAAATACCTGAAACGCCGGTATCCTGATATCACTCACTCTGAGTCCAAATTCGGCCATTAATTAAGTGACAATGGTAGCCCAATGCAGCGATTATGATGAACATCTTATTTCTCGACCCAAGCGTCTCGCTATCGACTTTTATCGGAGAAAGCAGCTCTTTGCCCCGACAATCCGTAGGCTCGGGTGAGTTCCTAAAGTACACCAAGGGATCCTGGCATGGCGCAGAAACAACCGGCTGGAGCTGTCGCATCCCGAGGCTCAGCATCGCCCGTGTCGAATTAGCAGGAGGCGAGCTCAGGATCTTATTCCATTCCAACAAGAAAGTTTGGATCTCATGATCTGTTTCTTTTGAGGTTTTATAAAATGTCTCGGAGACGGGGAGAGTAACCATGAAGATCCTGTCGAAATCGAAATGAGAAATTCAAGGATCGCTCGTGTCGCCATCTTGTGCCTGAGCCCGGCTCTCAGGGATCTCAACATTCCGTCCGCTCAGCTGTATGATCAACCCATGGCCACAAGTACACCCACAGCTTCCACCATCAAGGGCGAGCCTTCCATGGGATCATGCCTCCTGCAAGGCTGCGAGCTGTCAATCATACCTCACATCTCGTTCGGGGTACAACTTGCGGCTCATATGCCTTTATTTCAGCGCATGGCAAGGTTCCCAAAGCACAATGCCATCTATTCGAGACCGTGAGCGACCATAACAATGATTATGCCAGCTGCTGCTTTTCGAACCGCAACTAAGCAAAGAAATGACATCGCCCAGCCGTGTTGAAGAAAGGAGGATTCTGCTCTGCTTTGATAGACCGTTCGTCTTGTCCTTCGCTTCCCCGAAATAAAAAGTGATCGATTAGGTTTAGGCTAGTAACCCGCCCTTCCCAGCCTGCTGGTAAGGCCTCGCTTTAGCGTGTTCACAACGTTCGCCATGCCCCATCCCGAGAACCGTTCCAGTCTCAAACAACGAAAATGCTGGTTTTCAGACGGGACCGTGCCGCGGTGTAAGCACAGTCAAGTTACCCAGCACCAACCAATTGCATGTGGCGGTGATGATGGCCTGCTCGCCGGAGGCCAGTGAACCTCCCTGGAGCTGCAATGGAGATTCCAATAGGCACTTGGCATGTTCTGAGACAGGAACCCACGGCAGAATTGATCAAGCTCGGGCAAGTCTGGCACGAGTAGTCAATGCAGCGCGAAAAGCACATCATCATAAATCATAATCGACCATGTTGCCAGCCTCAAAAATATTACTGCGGCTGCAGGAACAGGGCGAACGATTGTGGAAGAGGTGAGCGAACCATCCGGCAGTCCTCCTACCGTATCCACATCGAACAAGGCAACAAGATGGGATGAGGCGTACAGAAGCGTCTCGATTGGGTTCCCTTTCCAACATCTGCATGCTAATCCCCGCACATGCATTTACCACGTTGAAAGCAAGTCGCATGAGCATACAGTCATGTGTTCCTCGTTCTGTACTGGAGCACACACAACCAATGAACAGAACGCAAGAAATTTGTAATCTCAACAAAGGGATCGAGGCCCTATCATTCTCTGCTTACAATAAGCATGAGCCTCTTTGTCTTTCCCGGCCTGAGCCCTCTTCTGATGCTGATCTCGGAGCAGGAGTCTAATTCCAAAATCCAGAATCAACTCGAGTTCGGTCATCGTCGTAGGGCGACTTATTTCTCCTCCGAATGTCTCATTCTGCCACTATAAATTTTCGGTATCAAGCACAAAAAGAGTCATTTCGTAAATGCAAATGCATGACAATGATACAACTTCGTCCCAGTCGCAGCAGATATTGGGTTCTCTTATGTAAGCTGCCAAGAGACAGACTCGTAGTCTCTGAAGTCTTCTTACTTTACGGAGAAGTCAGCAAGTCACCATTTGGCATGCTGATTCTGAAGTCCATTAGGCAAGCATGACCAGCGCAGGCCTCGTCACGTGGTTTCCGCGGCCTGGCCTTACCTACCTTTAGGCAAGGTAAATTACCTAGGTAGACCAGGACCCAGGCCTCGTGCCCAAATAAGGGCCAAGATTAAGTTTCAAGAGCCCTCCGGACAATGGTCGGGTTGATACCCGGTGTGTCGTCTTTCTGCGTTGGGGCGTTCTTGCGCGCATGAAGTGATGTGATGTGATTGTGATGTGATAGCGCTTAAGCAGGTGATGGGGCACGGCTTCGAGGCATGGGCAGGTAGTGTCGCTGCGCTGTCGCAAGATCCACAGCTACAGTGCTCTAGTCCAGAAACAAGTAAAGCAGCACAGCAGCGCGATGATCAGACCTCATGAAGTCTGTATTATTGATTTGAGTTCAAATTGGCGGTCAGTGAACACTTTCTGATGGATGCCGTGAATTTCGGCAGGATATGGATCTTGAACTTGTGGCAGGGGCATTGCGGTGAGCAATCCATGCAGAGCTGCATCAATCTCTGCGGTGTGATCATGTACGAAATGAACGTCAAGAGCTGACAAGCTCTGAAACGGGAACACCCCCATGAGTTGCCGGGACAGCAGGAACAATCCAAGATTCGGAAAAACTGGCACAACGTAGATCAACTGTTGACTCCTTTGCGCTTCTTCTCTCTTCCAATTCCAAGGGGACGCCCATATTGCGACACCTTCCTTTCATTCAACATTTGGTATCCGAAAGCTCCCCTCCCAGCTTTTTGGAACTTTCTCTGGCATGATTTTGGTATTTGAGTAACGCCCCAAGCAACAGTGATAACGCCATTACGGCACAAAAAGTCAAAACATTCTTGGGGGATCTGGCTCCAATCTGGGGAACCTCTCGGATGAAAGCCATGATACCCTTGGTCGTCGGGATGACGTGTTCGGATGTAATGCTTATTTTTCAAATTGATTTTTCCATATCTACTTTGAGCTCAAACGTCAAGCGGAACCCTGGGGAGAGATTTCGAAGACAAACTTTCACTGTATTGGGCAGTCTCGGCGAATATCAACTTGAAAAATGCTTGCTCTTTGGCACATAAGCTTCCCAATATCTCCTAATGAAGCCGCAGAAAACTCAATATCGAGTTTTCGGAACTCGAAATGCGGTTCCTGCATCGTCACGATGCTGTCTTCTTCATCTGAAGAGCATGAAGAGATAGAATGAGAAAACTGAAGTGTTCGTAAGGTGAGAATAGCGTGGAAACACTCCCAGCCGAGTCAGCCAGGAACAGAGGACTGATATTGATAGGACGAAAGGAAAGAATCCGTCCTCCTTCTGTGCAACCTACGATCAGATTCACAATGGAGAGTGGCACAACCAAGACCAAGACCAGCAATATAGGCAGAACCGATCGGAATATCCGTCACAACATCCATACATTAAAGACACAGCAGAACTCGCGCCATCATCAATGGAAAGGTTGGTAGGTATATATCTTTCACCAACAGACCTTTGCGGATGATGGAATGTCGGGAGCGATGGAAATATGGATCGGGACTGAGGCCCGACTACCGAGCCTATGGCCACATCGCGACAACGAGGATATTGCCAACCAGAGATGATATAGTTGAGGCTCGCCTTTCGCAAAGAAATCAAATGGTGCATTGTTGTCAGTTATATCTCAGCCTTTGAGAAATCCTGTGCTTGGACTCTACGAAATTCCAGTATTAACAGTCCACAGAAGTTGTAGAAGAGACATTCCCCACCGTCGGAGTTTATTTCTTCGCTTCCGAACACGACCCACTGTTCAGATCGGCTAGCGAGTGACCACACCTAGCTCCCCCGCGATGGCGTTCATGTTCAACAAAAGATCGAGCTCGCTCCTTTCCTGGTGGCGTTGGGTTATTTCGTTCCTTCTGCGTAGAAAGCCAGCAATAATGTCTTCATCGTACCAACGATGGGCCGTCACGGAGCCCTATCTGGACCTTCATTGTTCTCTTGGCGAGGGGCCATACTACGAGGAGGCCACGAACCGATTGCGTTTTGTTGACATCATCAAAAGACACCTGCACACCGTCGACCTGAGCGTTGGGCCAAAGAGTCTGAAGACCTTGCATTTTGATATGCCAGTCGCTGTAACGGCTGACATCGATGGAGTTGATCCGGAAAAGAAGATTTTGATTGGGGGAAAGAGTGGGGTGTACATATTGGACAGAGAGACTGGAAAGTATGATTTGTTGAAGAGGTTTTTTGACAGCGAGGAGAAGGATGAGAGATTGCGGAGTAATGACGGTGCCATTGACCCACAAGGAAGATTCTGGGTTGGAACCATGAATGACTTCTGGGTCGGAGAACCGCAAGCTGAGGGTGAGTTCTGCATTTTTCCTCTCGAGTTTCATCCTTTTTTCTGGATGTAGATCGACAGATTGGTTGTTTTGTTTCCTGGATCCCGCTCTCAAGATGGGATTCCTTGATGCCGAAGTCACTACATCACCCTCCATCGCCCTCACGTGACGATAAACTTATTTCAGCGAGAAGCTGTGCAGGCAAACACCAGGGAAGTGGCTAAATACAAGCAGGCTCTCTCTTCCGTTTCAATTCGGACTTGAGTCGAAAGACGCTGCGGTCTTCCTTGACCATACCCAATAGCATAGGATGGTCCATAGACCACAAGACCTTGTACTTTACACACTCGACCGAGAAACGTATCATTGCATTCGACTTCGACGCCTCGACTGGGGACATCACCAATGAGCGAGTCTTTTGGCAACATGATGGCAATGGAGATCCAGACGGATTCAAAGTCGATACCGAAGGAAACATTTGGCAGGCGATCTATGGTGAAAGCCGAGTCTTGAAAATCTCCCCAGACGGAAAAGTCGTGGGAGAAGTCTCTTATCCCACCAAGTGCATCACATGCCCTGTCTTTATCGGAACAGAACTCTGGGTGACGACCGCGGATGACCATGACAAGACCAAGCCATATGCTGGTGCCATCTTCAAGGTCGATGTTGGTGTTGGAGGGTTGAAGGAGTTTAAATTCAAGTTGGATAAGGAAATCCCGGGATTGTAGAGAGACAATCTGGTCCCAAAAACCGTGAGACTTTGTGACAAGGCTGGAATGACAGGAAAATAGAGATAGAGTATGCAGAGTACGAATAAGGACTCTCCGTTCGTTGAGCGGCAGAAGCCAACCGCTCTACTTTCCAGTCCCGAAGTATGTATATGAGAGATCATGTTTTCTGCAACCTAAAAAATACATTACCGCGAGAACCCTAGGTCGTGGCTCGGTTGTTTGTGTTTTTCCCAGTAGCGGATGCCCGAGGTGGCGATACATTGAATGTTGCGGGTGTTCACTTACCAATCGATACAGGTCGCATGGCAGAATCCTAGGGAGGCTTGTCGTCAACCGAAGGCATTCTATGGTGAAGACTGTTTAATAAAAGGAAAGGCTTCCTCGAACAGCCCGACTATGCTAGAGCTCAAATCTGTCCGAGTAGACAATGTTTGCACGATCTGTTGTCGTGCTGGTGATCGGGCCTCTTTGGATAGCAAGGAGGCAGAAGTCCAATAATAGATACTATCAGGGATCCGTGACAAGTCAGAAGATTCTCTGGGTCATGTAGCGGGCAGTTCAAGGGTCTTGTTGACTCGAAGGAACGGCCAATGAGCAAGCCGAATGTTTTTCGAAGGGGTCGGTGACGCTTTCCAAGCGGCTGCCAGGTGCTCTGACGCCCATCTCTGACTACGTTTCACACGAAGATCGGCCGGTGTTGGAGTTTATTCATTCTTATATGCTGTATGCTGTGTTGGTAGTTGCGCATGCGCCAGATATCAAGAGCAATGGGATGTGCTGGAGGTTATCACGTACAGTACTAACACCAAACGGGACAAGCGCCTGTCCTGAACAAGCGAGCTCGATCTTGGCTGAACACCTCCGAAGCTTTCTCCTACTCTGACTAACCTCCATATCCAAGATTGAGCCACATGGATTTCATGTCATCAATTGGGACATTTTGAAACAGGATCACGCAAAGTAAGTTTGAGACCTCTATTACTTTAAAACACGTTGATTAAAGTGCCCTAAGTGATGCGGAGCTTACGTCACCTGGCTCTAGATCTGTGACTCTCTCCCAGCAACAGCGAGGCCTCCGCTGTGCTATGTAAAAAGTATGGTCGGTCTTAATCACTGTATATCTGGCAACCTCGAATTCGGAAATCATTAATCCGCTTCTGTTGGACGCTTTCCTGGACTTGAGACCTTACAGCCATGTCTGGCTGCAGCGTCAGTGACTATCCCGACTCCGGTGGAAAAGCTTCTCACGTGTGTACGCCGTGTCGAAAGCAGAAGAAAGCGTGTGATAAGCTGTTTCCAAGTTGCTCTACGTGCTCGCGGCTGCGTCGAGAATGTTCGTATGAGACTGGGCCAGCACCCGAGGCGGCGTCCCTTGAGTCACTCTCTGCAAGGCTCGCCAGCCTGGAGGATGAGATGAGCGTGCATCGAGCTATGTGTGAACCACAAACTGTACTTCCGGGGGTCAGACCAGCTTCGTACTCTCCTCTATCGCAAGGAACCGCAATTGGCACATCGTCAGCAGTTTTCTCGACTTTCTTTCTCGATGTCAACGTCTTCCGGTCGCAGAATTCGATGGTCCCGAAACCACAATTCAGCATCAAAGACAAGCTTTTGGATGATATCGGAGACGGGTTGGAAATTCAAGCTATCGCTGGGGCGTACTTCTTCTCGATTGCTCCTTGGATGTCCATAATTCAGAGGAATCGCTTCTACGAGGAAACTCTTGCCGGCCAGATTGAATTGACAGCAGATATTGTCTTCCTCATTTTATGTATGAAGTTGCTGAATGAGACCGTGCAATCAGGAGAAACGCCTCGAACAGAGCTTGTAGGTCATAGTATTGACTATTCTCCTTGTCTGCTCCTAATGTACTCAGTTCAGACACTGAAACAGAGATAATTAGTGGAACCATGCGAAGAATCGCTTCTTGTTACTCGTATCCAGTGGGTATATATCAATAAGGTCGCTTCAAGCAGGGGTCTTGCTATGCTTGTATGAAACTGGACATGCAATCTATCCGGAAGCATATATCTCCACTGGTCATCTTGCGAGACTCGGTGAGGCTGTTGGGCTTCATGACACAGCGGGGATACCTCAACTGGCACTTGAACCAGCAACATGGGACGATATGGAGGAAAGAAGAAGAGTATGGTGGGCTCTATGGATCTTAGACAGGTATGTTACCATATGACGCGGAAGTACATCTTCAGTAGTCATGCTCGGCTGATCACGAGTCAGGCATATGAACGTAGGGAATCCGTCTAGGTCACTAGCAATGGCTGAGATCGGACGAAGAGAGTACCTTCCTGTGGATGATGTGTCATTTGAACGAGGAGTACGTCCCCAAACCCGACAAGTCTCACGACCTAATTTGGGCAAAGGTGCAATCAACAAGTGAGCCATTATTTGTATCATCGTCAACTGACATCACTGCTGCACCACTGGCAAGGCTATGCCAGTCATCTCACTTATTAAGCCTCGTCCTCAAGCACATCAATGATAGAGATTCCACCGCGAATGATCGTCTAGAAGAGGCCAAGCAACTGAGCCGCGCTATTCAGGCTCTCTGTTCTTTCATGGACAGTGAGATCGACTCGGGAGCAACCCGAATCTTTGTCCCTAAAGCAATATGTTTCAGGTAAGTGACGAAGACATGTATATATCATTGTTTGATCATTTTTTCAGTGCGCTCTTTGCTCTCTACGAGCATTCGTCCATCATCAGGCAGAGTTCTTACGCCCTTACCGCCGAGCTTGAACTGAGCGAACTTTGAATCTCGGGATTACATTCCCTTGTACCACATATCGCTGCATACACTGCTCATATTAAGACGATCCTACCATACAAGCTTGGTCAAGCCTCACCATTGATATGCCACTGTCTTTATCGAGTGGCTTGTTGGATCTCAAGCCTCACGACCGAAAATATTCCGCCTGAATACTCCAGAATTTTTCTCTCGACCAGAGAAACTTTGGCAAAACTGAGTATGAGGTGGCAGGTTGCTGGTATGTCTGAGTATCTATCTCATCATGTCTTTCCTAATACAGTGACAGAAGCTTATCTTAAGATGCTCGATTACACGTCGCTTTCTTTCCGTTCTGGCTTGACCATCTCCATTTGAATGTGATCATACTCATTCTCCACTCCTGGAACTTGTGGAGAGTCACCCATATCTCTATTCTCAGTATATTCGGGTCGCTGGAGGCTCGGTCTACTCAAATAATATAACGACACGATACCGACGGCAGTGTTAACTACCTTCTCACGATCTAAGCATTTACTCAATAGGGTTGAAAGCAATCGTTTGACCATACTAAATACAACAGCCGGTCCCCTCCTCCCGGCTCAACACTACCGGGTATTTCCGAACTCAACAGGACCTTCAGAATCCATTCCCTGCCTCCGTTCTATCCCCTTATACCCCGGTAATCCCAAAATTTATGATCACTTGGCATCCTGCTACGATTGGTGCCCGCGGTACGATATGCCACTTTTGTCAACCGTTTTGACTCACTTGGTAGCTCCACCATCGCCCCTCAGGAACCACAAGACATCGCGGCTGATATAACGTATTTGCCTTGATTGGTAATCTCTTTGGATAATGACTGCATGGCAAGGGTTGATATTGGATAAGCAATCGAAATAATTGGAACTTCGTGATGCCAAGATATGCGATGCAACTTCGTTCACTCCTCCACTTTCAGTATCTCGACTATAAAGAAGACTGAGGACGCCTACCTCTCAAGTGTCACAATTTTCAGGTTCATAATGGCGTGTCTTTCAGTTCTCCTGTTTTCTCTGCTCCTTGCAGGTGTCAGGGCCATTCCTCAAGACCCTGCACTTCACACTCGGCAAAGTGCTTTGGATAAGTGTAAATGCTACGAGGGAGATCTCTGTTGGCCGTCAGCATTAGCATGGAGCACGTTGAATTCTACGGTAGATGGCTTTCTTCAGAAAGTCGTCCCTGTAGGTGCGGTGTGTTACAATACCTTCGAAGGGAAGAGTACCTACAATGCATCCGCATGTTCTATTGCTACTGCTAATTGGAATCAACAAGTGTTTCAGTACGTGTACTATTTCCAAATAAAGCTAAACGGCTAACTGGGCCAGACAAGATGATCCCGTATTTGCAATGAATCCTCTCTACACCAACGGGGCATGTCTTCCGACCACAAACAGGGCTGCAATATGCAGCCCAGGTTATCTTTCGGACTATGTCATCATGGCGAAGACAAAACAACACATTGCAGCTGGTGTGAAGTTTGCACGTGAATACAACTTACGTCTGGTGGTTCGAAATACCGGTCATGACTTCGTGGGGAGATCAACCGCTTACGGAGCTCTGGCAATCAATACCCATTCCTTCAAAGATATCAAATTCATCAAGCAATATTCAGGACCTGGAACATACACTGGAGGCGCAGTGACTGTCGGTGCTGGTATCCAAACTCGGGAAATGTATACAGCCGCTTTTAATCAGAATCCAAAAGTCAATATTGTCGGTGGAGAATGTGCTGTACGTATTTTGCCCTGCTTGCTTTTACATCACTGATCCTATGTCAAAGACGGTCGGGTTCGCTGGAGGGTACATCCAGGGAGGAGGGCATGGTCCTGTTACTAGTCTCTATGGAATGGCTGCAGATCAGGCACTCGAGTTTGAGGCAGTGACTGCAAAAGGAGAGTTTGTCACCGCGAATGCCGATGTAAATCCAGATCTCTTCTGGGCGTTGCGGTATGTGATCGAACTGCCTCCCATGCTATGTTTTGAATGCCTCAATATTTTCAGTCGCAATTTTTTCATCTTACTACTTGCTACTTTTTTGCTGACCTCTTCAGCGGAGGCGGTCCAGCGACATTCGCGATTGTCACATCCCTCACGGTCAAGACGTTCCCAGAAGTCCCGTCAGCAATGGTGATCCTCAACATTAATAGTACACACACCACAAACACTGTCCTCTGGTGGCAGGCAGTCACGCTTTTCCACTCATTGTCCAACCATTACGTAGACAACGACCTCTTCGTGTATTACGAATTAACCCCAGGGACTTTGCACATCCAGCCTTTCGTAGGACCAAACATGAACTCAGCAAAGCTCTCCCAGATTCTCAAACCACTCTATGAGGGCTTGACGAAATTGGGAGTAAGATACACAGCTGTGACCAAAGAATATCCTACATTTTACAAGCTCTACGTGGATGTTTTTGAGTCTGAGGCAGCTGGATCTAATCAGTTGACTGGAGGCCGTTTCTTTAACAAGGACGACATTGCCATAAATAATGCCGCCATCATTTAATCGTATAAACAGGTCCTCAGCCCCCCAGAACTCGGATTTGGAGTCATCATCGGTCATATTGTTGGGCCTGGAAATGCTCTCCCCATTTTTGACAACGCTGTCTACCCAGGCTGGAGAAACGCTTCGAGTTTCAGCATTGCATCATTATTTCCTTCACAACAGCAATGGGCTACAGCTAAGAGAGTCATGACTGAGAAGTTGACTCCTGCAATGATGAAGGCGTCCCCACGAGGTGGTGCTTATGTTAATGAGGTGAGTATCTGGTTACAAAAGGCCAATTCGAGTAATAGCTGACTTAAGGGAGTGTGATTTGGGTCAGCCTGATTGGCAGAACCAATTTTGGGGGGCTAATTATCCTAGATTGCTGGAAATTCGAAAGAAGTGGGATGGTGACGGTACCTTCTTTGCCCAGACGACAGTTGGAACCGAAGATGTAAGCTATATGGAGGAAAGAATCTAGATCTTTCGATTCGATTTTCATTTTCAGACTTCACTCTTGATCTAGGGATGCACGCTGACTTGTTGATCATCTCGTGGGCCGAGATTGGGAACCCCCCTAAGCTGTGCAAAAAGTAGACCAGCAACATCGACCTTACAGGAGCTAGTATTGGCTGACTGAGAAGTCATGACGGTAAAAAGTCTAAGCATATGTAGCAGAGGTCCCAACAAAGAGCGGCGTTATCTCGCCAGCCTGAAGTTCCTTTGTCACCAGGGCCGAAACCTCCTGCCATCTTCGCAAGGTATCCGCTTCAGCATCGAAAGGATACAACCAGCGGTTCTGTAACTGGTCAGCACATATGTTTATAGTATACTAAGAAGTTCATACCCTAATCTTGACATCTTCAGGATCAATCACCACGTCGTCGTCTAGATTTTTCAGTGCGTTGTGCCACCTATCTCTGACGTCTTCGCCATTCCTTTGGGACTGTCTTACTCTCTCAAACCGAAGCTTTTCATAAACGCGTGTCTACTACAATCAGCAGAGTTTGGTCAAAATAGTTGAGATCACTTACCGCAAGCGGAACATGACCCCTCCCAGCCAATTTTAGGCAAAGAGCAAGCACAGCCGCACTTTCCGTAGCCTGACTTGCACCCTGAGCGCTAGTCGGTAGATGAGGATGACAAGAGTCTCCTAGAAGAGCGATCTTATGACTTTTACTAACCCACGAAGGAATTGGATCTCTGTAACAGATCTTCCAGTCCAGACACTCTTTTGTTTTCTTTACTGCAGCGGCAATCCTCGGATCACAATCATTAATGATCTCCCTAACAACGTTCATATCTCCCGGCTGAAACCAGGACTCTTTGATATCTTCAGTGTCTTTATGAGTCAGGATCCAATTAAACTCGTCGCCGTCACGGAGAGTGTTCTGCACGAGATGAACGTCGTTGCCGATCCAGATGTTGACACATTCTTTCTCAACAAACTCTCGGCAAAGGGGGTTGTCCTTTAGATAAGCACCTTTGAAGTATGCTCGGAAGCACGCATAGCCGGATGATTTGGGCTTGTCTTCAAATCCGAGGACGAGTTCACGAGCAGTTGATTTGATGCCTGAATGTCACGACTCAGCACAGAATTTGAGGGTCTGAAAAAGGGAAGAAGCTCACCATCGGCAGCAATGATGATATCAGCCTTGTGGACTTCGCCATTGGAGAGAGTCAATGACGGCTCATCTTCATCATAAGATACTACCTGTCTCTAGTCAGCTTTTGCTCAATCTGTAGCACGGAAGCCTAGAGCCTTACATTGCAGCCCATCCTAATCACAATACCCAGCTCCCCTACTCTCCTCAAAAACTCCTCATGATAATCACCTCTGTGCCCAATATATCCCGCCATATCCATCAGAGGCTGTTGAGCAAGTATCTTACCATCTTTCCACCGCCTGATTTGCATCATCTCACTCTTGTTCCCGATCTCAATCAAACGATCATGCAAACCCCACCGCTTGAGCAGACGGAGAGCATTCTCACCTAGCCCCAGAGAGTCACCTAGGCGGCCAAAATTGTGCACTTTTTCGAAAACTTGGACTTCGAACCCCTGATAGTGCATTGCCATTGCTGCTGCACAGCCGCCGAGGCCAGCGCCTACGATTATGACTGAGTGTGTCAGTGGAATTGCTTGTGATATATATGGATGCAGGCATACCTTTCATGGGATCTGACATGATGTCTAAAGGCAAACACTTGATAATCGTGCGAGGAAAATTGAGCAAAAAAGCCAGAATAAGAGACCTGAAATGCTCGGTACCAAAGCCAAATATCTAGATCTTGAGAGGTCGATTTAGGACTTCCTCCATGGAAAACCCCCTGTCCAGAGCAAGCGGCTGGAACTCAGTCGGGACAAAACCCGCGCCAACATTCTCAAAAGCTTTCAGCTGCCAGCAGATACAGATACCTATGATTAGTATTCAGCCTTACATTCGGTTGGAGAAATTACCCCGCAGCCCCATCTCAGGTATATCGCCCCACTATCCAAGGGTCCAGACAAGGGGAGGACGGGAAACCTCCTTATTTCCCCAACTCAAGGAAAGAGAAGTAGCGTTCATACAATTGTATATTTGATTCATTCCGTGTAGATGTTGGAAATAAGTTCGTCTCTCACAGTTTCCATCCTCGATTCTCCAAGTCCAACTTTCTCTCAAATATGTCACAATCTCAGATTCCAAGCCTCAATTCGTTACACAGCGGCGTCCCAGAGCGTCTGACGAAAGAAGCAGACGCAGCTCGAGCTCGGCTCTACTCGATCAGGACTTTACCAGAGAGTAAGCCGCGTGGGAAGCCTGTGCGGCTCCCTCCAAATACCACCCAGGATGATTTCAACACGGCAATCAATGCCTTGGTGAAGGTTCTTGGCGAAAAAGGAGTTGAGTTGAATGACAAAGAGTTGAAAGATGGGTGGTACATGGAACATCCGTGAGTTGGCCATTCTCGGGCTCGAACTAGTTCAAATGCTCACAGCTGTCTAGAAATACGCATGATGCATATCATGTAATCGATCAAGAAGAGATGGTCTGTAGCGCTCTGGCATACCCCTCTTCTACATCTGAAGTGCAGTCCATCGTCAAGTGGGCCAACGAATACAAAATCCCCCTCTGGCCCATCAGCATGGGCCGCAACATTGGGTATGGCGGCGCCGCACCCAGAGTGCCAGGCTCCGTGGTCGTTGATTTGGGCCGGAACATGAACAAAGTTCTCAAAATCGATGAGAACAATGCTTCATGTATGGTGGAACCTGGTGTATCATACTTCAAATTGTATGAAGAGATTCAGAAGAGAAAGTTGCCTTTATGGATCGACACCCCAGATCTGGGCGGCGGAAGTGTGTTAGGGAACGCGATTGATCGCGGTGTAGGCTACACACCATATGGAGACCACTTCGCGAATCACTGTGGTATGGATGTCGTTCTTCCAGATGGATCACTTCTTCGAACTGGCATGGGTGCAATCCCAGGGAAGGATGGTACTGACAATCCTACATGGGAATCATTTCAGCACGCGTATGGACCAGCGATCGACGGCATCTTCAGCCAAAGCAACTTCGGAATCGTGACCAAGATGGGCTTTTGGTTGATGCCAGAAACTGGCCATCAATCGTACATGATCACATTTCCTCGCGAAGAAGACTTCGAGCAGATCGTTGATATTATCCGACCTCTGGCACTCAAGAGGATCCTTGGCAACATCCCTCAACTCAGACATGCTATCCAGGAACTAGCTGTCACTGGCAAGCCACGTACGACTGTAAGTACTTTCCTCGCGTGTAATCCTCTGACCTGGAACCACGGATCCAGAGCATGTGTTAGAATCTTTCTTCGGAATAAAGATCGGGCACGATCTTAAGGTTTTGATTTCTCCAGCGCTAATATCTTCAAGTGGTACACCGGCTCCGGACGGTTCCCTCGGGAAGTTGTAAGGGAAGGCGTCAAAGCCTCGCCAGTTGGCGATATATCCTGGGTCTTCTATGGCACGCAGTACGGCGATACAGCATCCATCAAGTCTCAACTCGACATCATCAAATCAGAGTTCTCCAAGATCCGAGGCAGTAAGTTCATGCTGCCATCCGAGCTCCCAGCAGATCATTACATCCACAGCAGATTGAACGTCTGCAGTGGTGTCCCTGTACTGAAAGAACTTGACTGGCTGAACTGGAAGCCCAACGCCGCACATCTATTCTTCTCGCCGATCACACCCACCAACTCCAAGAGCGCTCGTACTATTCACAACTTGATTGACAGGCTGCATCAAAAGTGGGGATTTGATACCTTTCCCACGCTCTGTGTTGCGGGCAGAGAGATGCATTATATCGCCAATATTGTCTATGACCGTGCTGAAGAGGATGAGAAGCGCAGAGCTAGAGGCTTGATGCGTGAGATGATTGCTGCTGCTGCAAAAGAAGGGTTCGGAGAGTATAGAACGCACCTACTGTTTGCAGACCAGGTAGCGGAGACCTATGGATGGGGTGGTGGTGCGTTGAGGAAGTTCAATGAGACGATCAAGGATGCTTTGGATCCAAATGGGATCTTGGCACCAGGCAGGAATGGAATCTGGCCAAGATCTTATAGAGACAAAGGCTGGGAGCTTGTTGGCGAAGGTGCTTTGAAAAGTGTAAAGGCTAAAATTTGAGAGAATCCTAGGCCAGGAAGAGTCTCTTCACCTTTTCCTTCCCTAACTCACAGTATTATGGAAGAGTACCATAAGATTATTTTTATCAAACTAGGTTTCTCATTAATATCCTGCATCTCAGAGTAAGCAATGACTGCCCTCAGCAGACAAGAAATCGCTAAGGTCCCCTAGTCCCTATCTCATCTCTTATCTCATTCTCGATTCTTGACTCTTGTGAGGCTTCCTTCTCCCCACTATATTTTGTCTCCACGACCCCTCTTTTTTCTCAATTCCGAACCCTGCTGCTTTCACGTCTCTCTTCTTTTCAACTTTCCCTCCAATCTTAGCCTCGTATGGCATGTCAGGCGACATCACGGAAGCTTGATTCATGACCCTTAGTGGCTTGGGCTTTGAGGTGGAATCGGAGTTGGGGAAGGTGGTTTTAAAGTGGAATTCTAGATATGATTCAGGGCGCCTTTTCCCTCACTCATGAACATCGCCGATGGAAATGTTTGAATCTAAAATCACAATCATATCGAATTATGTCAATATTCTTCATAAGATAGCTTTGATCAATCAATATTGTGACTCTCGGTACCCGCTACTTGGCTCTGTCCAGATACAAACAGCATTTGACCAAATCACTCGAGGGCCACTGCGCGAATTGATCGATTTAGAGACTTGATTGTATGCTTTCCCCTGTTTCGTTCGCTGAAAAGAAACTCGTTGCTGCGCCTCAAATAGACAAGTATGGTGGCAGACAAAGACTTCAAATTGATGCCGTGTTAAGCGAGATATTGTAAACAAACCCCCTTCTCCTTTCCCTTCCCCGCTCCCAACTCCCCAATTCCGGCACGCCTCCCTCCAGATTCTACGATTATGCAATTTCAAAGTTGTTGCATGCAAACTAGCAAGTAGGGAGCAAGGTTCCTGCTATCTTAGTTCAACTCGGCAATAACGAAACATCCCGAAAGCCTCATAACGCACCGAAAGAGAAACTTCCCGCTCTTTCTTCCACTTTCTTTGAATACTACATTTGTAGAGTCGTGGAAAACTTCCCACTTTTCTCATCACACCACCCTCTCTCTTTCCTATCGTCTAGAGAAAGGAATTTACCGAGAAAGAACACCTACGCCTAAACTTGCTCTTCAGATTATACTTCTAGATATATCAAAAGACTTGTGCGCAAGCAAGCTAGAGCACTGATCAAATTTGTCGGCGCAAATCGTCCCTGTGTCGGTCTGTGCCCGTGGAGATGAATTCGGGGCTCGAGCTGAGATCAGATAAGAAGAGGATGAGGAAGCGAGTAAGTTAGGCTCGATTGATGTGTAGTGCTGTAAAACGATACATTGGAGTTCCAGACAGGGTATTTGGTAAGCGTATCAAGATGTCTGGTTGCCTAGTGGTTGGGACTATCTCAACTTTGAACCTGTGGCTCCGAGATTGAAAGGCGAGAGCGGGTGGGAACATGGCTGGGGGCCGTACTTGAATTTACTTCACCGGATAAGGTTCTGGATGTTGTTTTATATGGGGTGGAGTAGAATGGTTCAAGGTTGATAAACCACGTATAGTGTCGTGAGTGAAGTATGGTGGGTGTGTGTGAAGTAAGCAAGCGAGAAGTTCACAACTGTGAAAAGAGATATTCCATAAACGCAGCCTCAGACAGCACTAAAGATAGGTCACGGATAAGGGTAATAGATATTTAGATGCAGCAGAGTAGTGGGTGGTATCCATTCATCGATAATATATCTCTCTCTCATCTATATATGTCTCTTTTCTCCTATCCCCGCAGTCCTACCCTGCCCATCACATCCCAACCATATCTGCATACAACCACCAGTACTCAGCCCATCACACCTCTTGTTACAAATCCAACCCTCAACTGTCGTCTAGCCATTATGCATTAAGCATATATCATATCATATCGCGTAGCATTGCATAGCGTATCATCGACCTCGCACTACGACGAGCACATCAAACGTGCTATATCTGCGCCCAGCGCCGAATATCCAAATCAAATGCAAATCCCAACCAAATAAAAAGTGAAACACTTCCATGTGGATGTTCCCAATCCCATTCCTCCATGCTTACTTGCTTGCTAACTCTGCTGCAGTAAGGACTAATGAAATGCCGTGATGCGATACTTTTGTTGTTGCGATAGTCGTGAAACGGATCAGAATTCGTGACAATGCGATGACATAAGCGTTAACTCTTATTCGTCGTCTTCCTTCGTTGTGTCGATCTCGTGTTGGGAGATTGAGATGTATGAAAAAGCGCCATCATCTGGTCCGGCCAATGTCACGTGAAAAGCATCGAGTGACTGGGCTAGGAAAGAAGACTCTCTTCTTTCAAGTTGATCCCTCCTCATACCATAATCCACTCCCCATCACTGCTCTCCATAAACTTCGACCACCTGAAGGGCACGCCAAACTCTCCATTGCCTGCACAAGTACCCTCCTCCTTCTCCGCCCATAGCTTCTCCAGGACCTCTAACCCGGCAAGGTTGTTCAGGTATCCGCTCCTGCCCATGATCTCTCTACACTTCGTGCGGACGATGCTCTGCTGCAGCTCATTGACACACTCGCTTCCACTGATGAACAATGGCCAGAGGAGGAACTTCTCGGCACCAGATCCTTGTTCGAGACTCGTCACATAGAACAGGACTTGTGAGACTAGATTCTGGAAATTAAGGTGCGAGGATGGGAGGTTAGGGCATGCGAGACGTTCAGTGTAGAGAAGGGCGGCGTAGCGGAAGGCTTCCGATATGTAGCCGAAGTCGCGGAGTTGTGTCGGGGAAGGCGTGACGGGGAGAGTGGTGACTAGCCGCGAAGGATCGAATTCCCAATCTTGGAGAGCATGACGGGCAGCCTTCCACTCGAGCCAGAAAGTAGTACGGAGGTCGTCGTGGGAAGTGGTGGATGTGAGAGCTGGGAAAGCAGCGTCATCGTCGAGGGTGGAAGCGAATCCGTTGCCGTCGAAATTGTGTGCGTGCAGATTGTAGAAGTCAGCCAGTGCCTGGCCAGCCAATCCAGGGCGAGGGCGAGGAGGTGCGGGACGTCGTGATTCCATGTCTGGTGGTCCGGCTTGGTCTAGGACAGGTCGGTGTTGACAGAGCATGTTCAAGCGGCCGAGCTTGCCAATTGTTTTGAAGAGGACGGAGTCGCAACCTGCCATATTTTCGAGAGCATGGTTAGGGTGCACTGGATTGGCGATCATCTCTAAATAGCCGCCACGGAGTTGGGCTTCCCGGTCATTGATGCTGGCTGCGATGCCGTCGAAGTAGGTAAAGAGGGTTTCCATCCAGCCCCAGTTGCCAGTTTCGACACCTGAGTCCCGCATACCAAGGATCTTCTTGACACCTGCGAACTGGGTGCGGAATTGTGCGACACCAGATTCGCACATGCGGTAGTGGCAGAGAATAAATAATGTTGCGAGAACACAGTCGTGACGGGCCTTCTGGGGGTCGCTTAGTTGCTGGTTTAGGAGGTGGACTGCTAGCGTCCTGTGTTGATACTCTTCTTGGAGCGAAGAATCTGTAGGTGGTGCCTCGGGTGACATTGGATGATTTGAGGCTCTCCTTACGGGAACGGGGCGGCTGCCGCCGTTGATTCGATCTTGGAACTCAAGCTCGATGGGCTGACGCCAGTGATCTTGTCCGAGCGATTGTTTTCGCTTCATGCGAAGATTGCAAGCTGCAAGAGCACAGATTGCGTGCTGTAAGCTCTTACTCGTAGAAGCGAGGCCGAGGATATGTTCTCGGTATGGGTTGTTTGGGCTGTCGAGGATAACAACTGAAGGACAGATGATCTTCTCGTAGTAATCCAGGAAGAAAGATATGCGAGGAGACATCTCTGAGGAGAATGAGGATGACATAGAGTCGTGACCGAGGTGATATGGATCGGAATCCGAAGCAGCTTGAGAACGCGAATCATCATCATTGACCGAGGTCCATCCAAAATGACTTGATCGAGCACTGGTAGCATACAACTCTGTGTCTTGGGCGTGGTGGAAGCCCCCTTGCTCGTTAGTCGATGCACGAAGTATTAGGCTGATTTGAGGTACTTACCCAGAATGTCGTCATCGTAGAACAAATCATGAGCACCTGGAGACGGTTGATGTTGACGGCTCTCGATAATATCATATTGATTCTGGTGAGAGCTGATACTGGAACTGATTTCTGATTGCGCGTAGAAGTGCTCAGGACATGAGGTCGGACCACGTGAATCTGCCATCATACCCGCAGCAGGACTATCTGCTGTGGAATTCCTTGAAGAGTAGCTGTTGTAAATCGGGATCGGGCTGTTCATGAAAGGAGCATCGTGGTCGGGAAATGATTGACTGATAGGAGAGGCATAATCGCTCTCTGCGTAAGTACTTAATGAGTCGATGGAACTTGCTAGTCCCATACCATCACTCCTTCCCAAGCTCAGTGTGTGAAGTCGATGTAATTGCGGCAGTTGTCTTTGATGGTTCATGGCGTCTTGGTGATAGTCATGTATCGGGTAATCATGAGATACAGCCATATTCCACTCCGGCAGCTGGTGCAACGAGGGTGCAACTCCATTGGGGGCCATGTTGACAAAGTCATAAGTTGTAAACGGGCTGGCAGGGATGGAGGCCATATTCTCCATCTTAATCTTGATCTTAATTTCATCATCGCTGCCATCGAGATGTCTCGAGACTGTCGATGCAGCTCTTGGTCGATTCGTCGGGGGACTTTTGGGAGCTGGAGCTGATCTCGCGACGGGTAGAGATAAGCCGCGTAACTTTCCTCGACTCGCCACGCCCACGCCCCAAGTCAATTGGGTTTTGTATCCCGAGCATTCGTTGCCCACCTCCAAACATTGTGAACAGTATGGTCGTCGTCGGTCGCACTTGAGGCTCCTCTTGGTACATGCGAAGCAATCGTCAGAAGCACCGCTAGCTGGAGCTCGACGTCTTCGCTTGCGCTGTGGTACTGTCGGGGGGTCCGAGGGCGAGCATGAGGAAGGAGGACATGCGACTGGTAAAGTCATGGTTGAGAAGCAGAATCGAACTGGGGTTGGAAGTAAAGTGAAAATTTGTTAGATCGGTATGGAGCACATTGAGCAAGCTATGTGTAAGAAATGGAAAATTTGAGGTTCAGAAATCACTCGTGGGCCAACGTCTGGATACGAGAGAGGTTCGAGTGGGCATTGGCGTCCATTATGAGGAAGGCGGTCATCGATTTGAACGAACTAGCTAGGGCCCGCTTGGAGGGGGAGTGGAGGGGAGTGGAGGGGAAGGGAAGGGAAGGGGGTGGGAGAGGAATGAGAGAGAGAGAGAGATGCGGATATGCAGATGCAAGCGCAAGTGCAAGTAGTGCAAGAGCAAGAGCAAGAGCAAGAGCAAGTGCAAGTGCAAGTGCAAGTCCAAGTCCAAGTGCAGAGGCAAGAGGCGATGGGGATGGGAGGTATGGGACGAATAGATTAGCAGGGTATGGTAGGGGAGGGGAGGGGAGGGGAGGGGAGGGGAGGGGAGGGGAGAGGAGAGTACGGAGGTAGGGCATGGCAGCTTTGGCAAGGCCGGGCAGAGCAGGGCAGGGCAGGGCAGGGCAGGGCAGGGCAGGGCAGGGCAGGGTAGGGTAGGGCAGGCTGAGGTAGGTAGGGATATGGGATGTGGGATGTGGGATGTGCGCGATGGGGGATAGATTTAGGATCAGACTACTGCTGGTTCACGACGACTGGCTGGTGAGTGGATATGATTTGATAGCAGAGACGGATGGGATTGGCTTGGAGGGAAGAGAGAGCAGCAGCAGCAGCAGCAGCAGCAGCAAGAAGCAGGCCGGCGAAGAGAGTGCCAGGGCAGGGGAAGGCGAGACAGGCGAGACAGGGTCGCGAGTAGTAGAGTAGTGATGGATGGATGGATGGATGTTTAAGTAAGTAGGGCATTTTGTCAAATGTCGGCTTCGCCTGATGTGATTTGCTCTGATTTGGTTTGGTTTGGACTCGGCGATGAGGGGTGGAAAGGAAAAGCTACTTACTAGTCAACGCAGATTTATATTGAGGAGAAAACAGAACGGTGTTTGCATTATCACTACTACTACTACTACTACTAGAGAGAAAAGACATGAAGGCGACTCTGCTACTGTGAAAATCTTGTTTGTCGGAGACAGCAGCAGCACTGTGGGAGAAAAGAGATAAAAAAGGTGCCCGCTAGCTTTCAGCGCAGACAGACAGAGAACAAGCAGAGCAGATCACAGCAGACCTGACCTGAACTGCCATCCGCCAACCGCCAACCCTCACTCGCCTCGCCTCGCCTCAGCATCAGAATCCAGTGCGACGATCAGCTCGGAGCGCGCGACAGGGGGCGAATCGCAACCAGACAGGGGTGGCAAGGGGCCAAGCAGGAAACGACAGGGGCCGACCAAGACACAGACCGGGGCTGCCACTTAGCCTGCCTTAGTCCGGCAGGGGTCTCTCCACCGACGACAGGGGCTGACGCCGGACCAAAGCCAAAGCCAAAGCCAAAGCCAAAGCCAGAGAGGGCACCCGGCACAGAGAGGGAAGAGGGACAAGAGGGACAACGGGGACAAAACTCGAGATGGACCTGAGGGACCATCTTCGGGCAGGGGTCGCCACAGCCGAGGCCCTTCATTGCTCCGTCGCAACAGCCATCCCCGAGATGCGCCGCCAATCACCGCAGCCTGCCGGGCCCTAGATGCCCTAGATGCCCTAGATGAGTCTCGGCTTCAACGCTTCTCTGCAGAGGAAGCTCTCTGCAGCATTCCATACAGGCGTGAGGCCAGGGCAGGGCAGGCCAGGGCAGGGCAGAAAAGGCCTCATTCCATTCGCCTGCTCTGATGCGCTGCTTCGAGTGAGCTTGCTCCCCTTCTCTTCGCTTCCCTGCCCCTGGACAGCTGCTCCTTCTGCTGTCCCCGCCAGCTCTGCCAGCTCTGCTTCAGCGCTTGATCTGTGAATCCCCTCCCCGTCCCTGGTCTGTACATATCAACATGCATGCATTTGTCGTGCTGGCCTGCCCCTCCCCCTCCCTAGCACCAGAAGGGAACTGCTCCGTCCCTCACCAGGAAAGCAGGTAGTCGAGACTCCCCCTCCTGAGAGTCGAGGTGAGATGAGTTGAGATGTTGCGGAGACTATCGAGGAGTATGGTCAAGCCTTGAGCCTCAAGCCTAGAGGATGAGATAACTACAAAAGTCCCTCGAATGCAATTTTGACTAGCCTTCCCAGTCATGGAGATCTCGTTTGCACTTTGTCATTCTTAGCAATTCCAAACGCCGCCAGTAGTATCTTGCTAGAAGTGCTCCGACCACAAGAAGAACCTACCATAGAGCTTGCGGTCTTCGGTATGTGCGACCTGGCCCTAAGAATCAGGGACCAGTTAGTCAAAACTTTAGCACTGACATTAGTCGGGCAAATCTAAAGTTCCAAGCACGAATAGAGCTGTCGGTATTGCTAGCTGGGAAACCAAATTCCAAGTACAACGTGCTGCACCAAGTCGGTCGACGATCCCTTCAAGACTTTTCGCATTTTCTTTCATTTCAGCTGTAGTGAAGACCTATCAGCAAGACAAGCAAAACTAGTAGCAATTAGCACAGCTTTCCCCCTCTTTTACAAACTTGTTTTCTCTCAGCTCTACAGCCTACGAATCTAAATATCCGAACTTCATAGGTAATAGTGTCCAACGACAATTCGCTCATTAGTCAAAGCCTCTTGTGTTCCCCTCATCTGCCATTTGCAATCTGCAGATGGGATGGAATTCCTCCGTGCCGCCCATGCACCACTGGCTTGCTTTGTCTTGCTTCTGCAGCGGTACAAAACCGTTCTTGAGCTCCCCTTCCTAACCGTCGCTCAGCATTTCCAATTCGCAGCATCACCCACACTTCTCCAAATCTGAGCTCCTCTTCCAGAGTAAATTTAGATGATCCATCAAATGTGCTGTCTCGAAGTAGAGCAGAAAATAGCTACCACCACAAGGCTCTGCCAGCGCAAGCTCTTTGTGATAGAAGTATGGCTGTGGAGGCTGATCACAAGCCGCTATTCGCTGCACCGTCTCAACGAGGGCCGTTGGATCAGGGCTCATGACGGGATGGCGCAAATCAGAGGGTTTCAGAGCTTGAACTTGCTTGTGCTGACAACTTGCTTGCAGCGAGACATTAAGCTTAACATTTTATTTCTCCTTGTCTTGCCTACTTGCTAGGTACCAAGGTAGATGAGGTATCTCGGGTATCCTGTGGCTTTTGATTGACTTTCGCTCCTTCCTTCCTGATCTTCGAGATCGCATGACATCGCAAGCCACCCCGCTAGCATCTCATCTCAATCTCAATCTCATCTCGAATCTCATCTCATGATTGATTCTCCGACATCCTAACAATCAGATGGATGCCTTACCTAGCCACCTGAAGACAGCATCAGAAACACACCGTCGCGCCAACTTGCCGTCCGCACTTCACCCGCAGCCACAGAGAATCACCGAGCCCGTCGTATGTTTCTTCCAGCCTTCCACCCTTCCAGAGTCACAGAGTCACAGAATTCTTTCCATGTGAAGCGCCGCGGTATCGCTGGGGAGCGTGTCTCTCAGCCGGGACTTCAAATGGGGCCCTGTCCTGGCCCTGGCTTAGGTTTGGAACAGGGAGCTTCCGCTAAGGATAACCTCTTGCGCTACTGTACAGTACAGCAAATGCCCGGGGTGGCTCAAGCCTCACACGCAGCCAGCACATCGCCCACTACTACTGAAGGAAAGGGTTTGCATCCACCACCAGGGCATTTCATCACCAGCCCAGCCAGCGCCAATAATACACACATGATCCGCCAACGAGCAGAAATATATTAATTCGCTACTCATAGTTCGCTTATAGCCCACCCGTTACCAAACAAATGCATCGCGAGCTAACCTAGCGAATGTCCTCACCGTCGCGTGTTGTGGACTCGACTCACGCGCACTACTTTACTCCCCCGAACCTAAGAAGCTCGTTCTGTAGCGCGTTTGGGAGTCTGCACCAGCGGAGATGAGATGAAGTGTACAAATGAAGGAAGGAAGGATGATGAGAAAGCTGTGGCAAGCGAAAGACGAGATGCAAGACATGACAAGTCAAGCCGAGGCGGGAGAGTTGGCTGGCTTGTCGGCGGGGCGTTCGATGGCGTCTTCTCTGCCTTCTTCTGTGATTCCATACTTCGCGCTTCGCTTCACCTCGGGACATCGAAAGCCACAGGCGTCAATCAGCCATTGACGGCGAATTTACTGTCTACTGGTGTGTGGGTGTGCGTGATGCCATGGGCGGCCATGGCTGATGTCTGTGGGGGGCAACACGCAGATGCGATTGATCGATACAGATGATGTGGATGGATGGTTTGGCTCCCGCGGCAATGCCGTGGAAAGAAGCTTGAAGCCCTGAACTGCCAGCCCGACTGTTGTGTAATGGCGTTTTTCAAACTCTTTTACACGCAATGATCCAGTTCCGGACGGCCAATCACATCGACTGTAGGCAGAACATCCCGTATTCCAATCATGATTGCCTCTTTACTGCCGCGCTCAGATGAAAGAGCCAATTCTCAAGACGGGGATCTGCCCAGCAGCACGCTCAATGACTGGCGTACCAATCTATTTTGTCCTCGGCTTGCACCCATACCTGGTCCATTTAAAATACATCCTTGTCGGGTCCAGAGCGCGTTCAAGGGCATCAAGGCACAGTGCTGGAGACGGAGCGATAGTTAAGCAATAGACCCAAGATAAGGAATGCATTGATGCACAGTGCAGCGAAACTGTCAAACAACCGCAACAGCAACAGCTTCCAGGACAGAGATGGATGCGAGTGGTTGGTGAGGAGTCACGAAGAGGGGCTGCCCGCCCTGAGCGCTGCTATTTCCATCCCTGCGAATCGTATCCAGCACATCACATCAATGGCATCGTGTTTGTCATGACTGACAGAATCCTAACACCAAGATCATGGCCCAGGCCCTCCTTTCCCAAGACTGTTCCTACAGTGTGCATGCGCCGGCATGACTTGGGCAGCATGACTTGGATCACAACGCGCATCTGGGAGGGATGGTAATGTACATCAAAATGCAGGCCCGAAGTTACCCTGCCTTACTTCTCATCATCGACAGCTCAAGCTCAACAACAACTTCAACAGCATGAGCCAAAATCACGTCAAGGGGTCCGTGACAGCCTTAGAATGTCAGGAGGGAGGAGCTCAAGGCTCATGTTCTCTTCGGTAACACATCCACCTTTCCCCAGTCACCCTCATCCCACAGTGTCTGCTTTCATGGACATGTGGTTCCACAACCCATGCCATTCTCTCGCGATGCCCTTTCTTCATCGTTCTAGAACGTGGCGTGCAGCGTCCTTGTGGATTTCGTGGAATTCGGATGAACTGATTGCAGAGCTCCTCAGACCGACGGTGTACAAAGACCAGCGTTCTCGTATACTCTCGACGGTCTAGTCCGATTTCAAGATAAGAAAACAATCGCAAGTTATACTCGGTAAGTTCGGGGTTTTAAGGGAGCCTGAGTGATCTTTCCTTGTCTACTCGGCTATCTGTGTACATCACGAAAGGTGAAGCTAGCTATCTAATCTCGGTTTCTTAGTCAAATGTTCACAGAACCCCTCCCCCAAAATGTTCATGAAGGCCTCAGACTTTCATCTGGTCAAAGGTAATTCGAAGATATTAGGGGTGAGAATCGGGCGGCTTTCTACGCTTATCTACGCTTCAAAGTCATCATCTAGCACTGACAATTCCAGCAATTCCGCGCTCATGAGATGAGATGTCAAGGCCGGTCGGTGCCGTCAGTGCTGGCGTGGAAGGATCCCGCTGGTCAAAGAAAGTCAATAACACCAGCGCCAGCGCCATCATCACGAACGGGAACTTGTTCGCACACCGCAAAGCGAAGCAAAGCACAGAGCATCCTCTGCTCTTGCTTGCCTCGCTGGCAGCACTTCGCGTCATTATTTCGAGGCAAGTTCGAGCGTGCAGTAAAGCTCTTCACGCGGGCACAACCCAAACGGGCTTCTATTCAGGGCCCTGATCATCTCCACGAATCAAATAGCTTCGGACCACGGATCCCAGTCGTGACTCGGCACTACTGCACCTCTAGTGGCGGGCGATGCGTGCTCACATTGCAGGTGCGCTATCTCTAGTGGGTCCTTTTGAAGTGGAGTCTGACCAGGGGGCACACGGCTCGGGGCACTAGAAGCCATCGAAGTCTGCATCGAAGGTTGGGTCCAGCCACCATGGAAGCCGCCGAACAACGGTCGAAGCATTCCATTATTATTCGACTTGGACTTTGGAGACAAAACCTCGTCTCCAGGAGCTGTCACATGAATCGTCTCCTATCATCCAATGACAGTTGCATATCACAGTGAGCCCCTGAGTCGGTGAACTGAATTTGCGCTGGCGCGAATCCTCGTTGCACGGCACGGGATATGGATGTCGATGTCACTGGTGTGCAGCCAAATGTCACCGTCGGTCAACTAATCCAGCTGTCCTTCTTGTCTGCCTGTGCTATCTTCGGCATCACGTAAACAGACCTACTGAGCGTCAACTATCATCACTAAAAATTTGACTTTGAGCATTATAGCTTCACACTAAATACCACTGACCGCCGCCGACCCCGTTACCCCACAACTTAGCATTTTTCGCTCTACCGCGCGCCTGCGCCCTCCAATTCGGCTTGCTCAAAAAGGGAGAGTCGTCGCGATCCCCAGCCTCTTCTGATAAGGCTGGTTCCTGACCAGTTGCAGAGCTATTGAATGCCGGGCAAGATCTTTACAAACCAGTTCCGGGGAAACATACCAGGACCACTGTAATTTCGGATGATGAAAGCGGTCCTTGATGTACGGAGAGGCTTCGGTTCGCTTCAAGCCGACGAACTAACTCGATTGTGTTTTCTGACCGTGAAAAAGCCTAAATAACCAGGGTTTATCATTCTGCCTTTTTGCCCCCCACCGAATCAAAACGGGGAGAATATTAGAAGAGACAGGAGGAGCTATCCCAATCGGGACATATGTCCGCGTTCGTGATATCCTTGGTGAGAGACCCCTTTTGCTTCTGATTATGAGAACGGGAGGAGGAGATGCAGATGAGACGAACATTTGCTCTTACGAGATGAAAATGTTGGTATTCATTTCCCCGCATTCCTAATCCTTCGTTGTCGAGGCAAAGCATGTGAGCAGAAGATTGAAGGAAGAAATGACGATTCCGGTTCTACCAAGATATCAGCATCAGCCTTGCCGTCCCGCGTGCGACAGCGAGTTCTCAGCTCGGCCGCTGCTACATTTCACTGTACTAAGCGGCTGACACGATTTGGATTGCTGTGTTGCAATCACGGCTCTGGGAGGTCCCAATTTCCAATTGAATTTGAAACGTTCCCAGAAGCATCTTCCATCTTTAAGATGGAATCTTAAACTTTCTACGCAATAGTATCCACGAAGAATTCTGAGGGGGTCTATTCGTGCTTCTTCTCGTCTCTCCTCCTTCAGGTCTCCATCCAGCATCCCAGGTAGCTCTCCTATCTTGTAGCCCCAGACAGAACAGCTTCGCGACTGCTGCCCTTCTCTCACCGCTGATTCGACGGTCCATCTAAATCCCATCTGTTCAGCAGTCACCTGTACTGTAAGATAACGCTCAATCTCAGCCTAGCCAGATAGCGCAGCCTAACCTAGCCTATCCGCGGCCTCTGATCGATGGCGTTCTGTGGCGCAGGTGGATGTGGATGTAGATCTGAGATAGGAAGGAGATGGAACGTTACTCGGAGCAAGGCACTACTCGGGAGACTTGGCGCGCTGCTGGGATTTGGCAGGGATGGATTGGAGGAGAGGAAGATGGTAGAGAAGGTTGAGGGAGGGAGAGGCAAGTCGCTGATCGGAAGGTCTGGGCTGGGCTTCTAGAAAAGTTGATGGAAGGGTGGGTGAGCAGGATGGGGAAGTGAGGGGATTGTGAGTTGCAAATCGCGAGTCGCGAGTGAGTGCGAAACGTCGAACCTCATTCATACCGAGGTAGTAACTCAGTATAGCATCACAAGATCATGGAATATAATATATGATTGTCAGTGAGTCGATGCGTCGATGACGAGAGAAGGAGAGAATGATCAATACTGCTGCACATCGGCGGCAAGCATGTCGAAACATCTACATTTCGTTGACATCACAGCTGTCGGTATTGGTCATCGCTCGCGTCAAGGATAGAATATTGACTGCTATCTACCTGCATCGTCATCTATTGATCTCAGACGCAAATATTCCAGATCCTGAAGTAAAATCAGAATTAGGAACGAATAATATGAATCGAGGCCTGTGCGCATGCCAGTTCATAAAACCTGGTAACTCATTCCATGATACCAGACATTGATATAGTTGGTATGGGTACGTATGCAATTTTAAACCATAACGGTAGGGCTACGCCTTGGAGGCCACAGCATTGGGTCACTGCAAGTCATTGTCAGGGTCGAAGAGTGTGGTATGTACTTTATTTGTGTGACTGATATTTGGAAATGCGATGATGTGATCGCCGTTTGGAGAAGGCATATTTGAACTTCAAGTTTCTGCGTCGTGAGTTGCCTCATTGAGAAATAGATGAGGAGGGAGGGATGACGACACGAGAGATGAGAGACATGATGACATGTGAGTTGAGATTATCATGATCGGTGTGTGGTGTGGCAAGCAATATATCTGGGCGTGCTGATAAGAGCGATAGAAGGATTCCATTTGAGATAGGAGGGCGTGGGGGTTTGTGCTTTCTGAGATGATGGTCTCAGTGCGTGGGTGAGCAAGAAACTCTCCTTCGTTGGATAAGCATGCGTCTGACATCTGCACGAAGACGAAGATACATTAAGAGATGTCTTAGAATAGACGTCTCCTTCCCTCTTCGGTTTCCTTCTCTCAAGCTTTCGAATCCCTGAATTATCAAGATTTGTAGGAGCTGGGGTTTAGGATCACGCTGAGGAGGGGAGGCACGTGGTGGGGCTGACCTTATCGGCACGTGCGCAACAGTGCGATAAGGATTTAAGCTTAAACAATTTTCTCGACTTTTCATTTTGGCACTTGGAGATTGCGAGCTTGGATGTCAAGACGACATCAATTCGATTCCGCTCACAGATAACTTCCAAACGACCCACTAATAGTGAAATATAACACTGATACGGAGAGGAAGGCCTGAGAAGGAAATCAAGCAGCCATGGGTCGCGAATTGCAGAAGAAGAAGAAGAGATCTTCGATCCCGAAGATCAAGATGAAGCCGAAGTCGAAGAGAGTCAATCCTTTGGGCAATCCAATTATCGCTGCGAACTGGTTTGTACCCCTTCTCTTCCATTCTACTGTACCCGGGAAGTGTCTGCTTTGGTATAGCTTTCTATGCCTTTGCGCAATTGCTCTCACATCTCCCACACACTTCAATGCAAGAAAGCCAACAACATCTAACTCACCTCACCACAGGAACCAAGATGAAACCCTCACCCAGAATTACCGCCGTCTCGGTTTGACTTCACGCCTCAACTCTGCCACAGGTGGAACCGAAAAGCTGCGCGCTGGCGACATCTCCAAATCCTCCACCACCTCCAAACTCGCCATCTCCAACGCCATCCCCAAACAATTCACTCCTGCCTCCGCACGCGTGGAGCGCGATCCCACAACCGGCAAGATCCTGCGCGTCATCCACGAAGAAGACGACAATCCGCTAAACGACCCTCTGAACGTCGTTGAGGCGATGGATTTCGACGGCGCGGAAGATGATGGAGAGGTTTTCGAAGGGTTCGAAGGCGAGGTCGGGAGTGAGAAGAAGAAGGGCAAGGGAAATAAGAGCCAGAATGAGATTGTGAGGAGGTTGGAGGAGCAGGCTAGTATGATTCCTGAGAAGAAGGAGAGGACACAGAGTGAGCGCGAAAGGGAGTGGATTGAGCGGCTGGTGGGCAAGTGGGGTGAGGATTTTGAGAAGATGGCGAGGGATAGGAAGCTCAATCCTATGCAGCAAACGCCGGCGGATATTAAAAGGAGAGTGGGGAAGTGGAAGGCGAAGGGAGGTGTGCTGCCTGGTGCTGTTGAGGCTTGATTTCTACGAGAGATCTTGGGGTGCAAAATTTTCAAGAGGGATATATAAAAAGGTTTGGTGTTTTGGGCGTTTTATGGAAAGCGGATTCATATGTGCCAGGGTCCTAGATACGAATTGCTCTTTGTGCGACGATGTACTTCCTCTGTACAGCCCAATTGGAGTTTTATTCTCCTCGTTCATTCAAGTCCACCACAGGCCTTCAAGCGAGCACCGAAGTCGGAAGTCAACAAAGCGAGCACATACATCATTCTCCTTCACACAGGTTGTTCAATCCAGCATCGATCAAGGCGATGAAATTCCAGCTTGCCTTTTTTTTCTATTCCATCTACCGATTGGTCTCGGATCCTCATCGTCGTCATATCTCGGGAAGTTTTTCGATTCGCAATCGACTGCGAGAATGATGGCAGTGGCGTCGGCCGACCCCACCTTTTCCACAACTTTAATCCAACGTTCCGATATCCTGCTCCCCCAAGTCTGCAAGAAGGTTTCTGCTCGGTTGTGGATACCTTTCTGGTAATAGTTGGATGTGGTGGTGGCTTGGATGAGATGTTAGGTGTACTTGGCTGGGTGGCATTGCATTGTGGCTTGTGTATACTCGTTTGAATACCTGATTAAGCCGTTTCAAGAACTTGAGGTTTCCAGAATTTAAGCTTGACTTCTGGTTGGTAGGAGGAATTCTTGAGCCACTTACGTTGTAAGAGCGAGTAAGTGTCCTATCCTGTCATTTCGCTGTTGATACTTCAAGAAGAAAGCAAAGGAAAATACACGTTATCGAATTCTTGAGAAACGAACTACTACAATACAGTAAACTCAGGCACAGGTTAGCCCGTTCTCCATAATGTAGCATCCCTTCCTGCCAACAGACTAGGTCAAGAGAGTCTCTACCAACCTTTTGCTTCCAGGACTGGACCGGATTGGAGGCAAGGAGCTGACGAAATGGACACGGCGCGGCAATGCAGGTGTCTGTTTATGTGGGCTGTCTGGAAGCTTTCGTCACTCCTTCAGATCCTTGTTTCATGGTTTCATCCTACAGAACTGGAGGTGTGAGGAGTGTGAAGAGCGGAGGAGGAATAAGAAGGTATACAGGAGAGGATGGAGGGGGGACAGATGGTATCAACCGCTCGGATTTAAGGTGCTGAATAAATCCCGTTTGATACTGTATTCACTTTTCCTTCGCATCGTCGTTTTGAGTAGATGAGGTGCGACCTTCTCTACTCATCTTCGAGGGACTGTCGAAGACGAATTCCATCATATAAAGCAATACAGCTCTTGTAATGAATATTCTCCATACTTTTCTTCAATAACGTCTACATTGATGAAGCTCAGGATTCAACTTGTGCGCGAAACGCGTCACCCCCTGTCGATGTAGAGCTTTGGGGTACCACCCTATCGGTGTTAGAAATAAGTGGCCGATTGAGGCACGTACAGAACAACAAAATCAACTTCTTCAGGGCACCACTTCTCAACGTATAGTATTTAAAAAGAGAAGTCCTTTTCATAAGGTCTTTAAAAATACTTCTGAAAAGATTTTATTAATTAATATTATATTCTTTCTCTTAAGTTGCGATAAAAACAGCGCATTCATTACAGTGTCGCGTCCTGCCTTGATCGGCCACTTATTTCTAACAGCGATAGCCACCGTCGGCAAATTATTTCGCTTATTTTGTTGTCCCCATCCGCCTAGCGCTTTCACCTCTAATCTTCTAGAATACAATGCCATTTCAAGCTGAAAAACAATCTCGATCTAATAATAACATAACACTCCATGAGTTATTAAAGTGCTATAAACTACCACGTAGGTCTTTTTCGGAGTGTAGAAGCATGATCAGGATGGCTGTAGGGTCTTACACCGCAGTGTGGAGAGGCAGGTCTCACAGACCCATAATTCCACGAGATCTGCTCGAGGAGTCCGTAAGCAAAACGTAAATATACTTGAGCAAGTGAAACGATTTGTTGTACAGACAGCTACAAACCACGAAATCAACACAGGCCGAGGATTTTGAGATCATGGACGAAGCACTACTTCTCAAGTTGCAGAAAAGCAAAAGAGAGGAAAACAAAAGACATACAACAGCAGGGATTCGCTGATGGTCACCCACTCAACTACTAATCTGCCGATCTGGTGCTTGTGTATGGCAGAGCGGACGGGATGCCCATTTCTCACCAGTCTATGGTCGTATGTGACAGCTATCTTTCTATTCGAGTTCTTGGACTGTACAAAATTTGATTTGATGCCACCTTGTACACAGTTTTGGAACCAGATTCACTATAAGAAGAATTATTCTCACTATCAGAGTTCGTAGATGGCATTGAGATGTTGAAGCGTGAACAACCTCGGGGCCGCTGGAAGATTGACTCCAAGGTTTGTGCTCGCTACAGCTAAATGAGGTAGGTAAGACATCTCACACGTGTCATGGGATGTACATGCCACGGAATTGACAAATAATACAGTACTGAGCGATAATTTTGGGCAATAATGTTGTGCTATGTAGCATCAGGTTGTCATGAGACTCACCCGAGGTACAGCATCTTTCAATAATCAGGCCAACGCTTTACCCAATTCTTCGCCTCGGTCTGCCGCTGCCTTGACAGCTTTGCTCACTATCCCATCCAAACCCGATTCCTGAAAGCTCTTCAATGCGGCTTCGGTTGTTCCCTTTGGACTGGTAACATTGATGCGTAGCTGCCCTGGGGATTCGGTAGATTCAACGAGCATCCTTCCAGCACCAAGACAAGTTTGCTTAGCAAGTCGCTCAGCCTGCTCTCTCGGCATGCCGAGAGCAGTAGCACTGGATACCATATGTTCAACGAGGAGAAAGAAGTAAGCTGGTCCGGATCCTGTACAGCTATATTAGCGAAAAGTCAGCGAAGCAGCACGCGAAGCATACCTGAGAGCGCCGTGACTACATCGATCAACTCCTCCTTGTCAACCCACTCCGATACTTTACTGAATCCTTCTAACAATGCCGTAACTAGCTTCTTCTCATCCTCCGTAACGCCAGCACCAGCAAACGACCCGGAAGCACCCTCACCCAACAAAGCTGGCGTGTTTGGCATGACGCGAACCACTTTTGGAGCCCGTCCATCACTGACCGTAAACCAATTCGTCAGAGCATCCAGCGGGATTCCAGCACATATAGACACAATCAGTGGTAACTTCTGCTTTCCGGATTCACGCCACGAGGTCGCCAAATCTTCACACACGCCCTTTGCGACCTGCGGCTTCACAGCAAGCACCAAGACATCAGCATCCTGTGCAGCTTCGCTGTTCGACGTCGTGGTGCGCACACCGAGTGTGTCTTCGACCTTTTTCCGAGTCAATTCGAATGGCTCTGAAACGATGATGTTTTGCTTAGATGTGCTTCCTTTAGCGAGGAGGCCTCCGATGATCGCAGCCCCCATATTTCCACCGCCAATAAAGCAGAGCTTGCAGTCTTGGATCTGAGGTGTGGCCATCTTGAATTAGACGGTACGTGTCTAATTGAGTGCTGAAGAAAGCGAAAGACTGTTTTTGGTGGAGCGATTCCTTGTCGGAGTGACTTCGTGATTGGAAAGGAGATGTATTGAAGTCTCTCGATTGGAAGCGGTGACGATGTTTTACCTCCAAGTTAGTGGCTCACGTGATTATTTCACATTTTCTTCCCTTCCAATATCATCTTATTTCCAAAATTGAAAGACCCATACTTGAAGAGAATTAAGTTAATGACCAAGGAAGTCTGCTCCAAGTTTTTTCTCTGAGCGTTTTATTTGAATGGCCTCGTATTGTCAAAAGTGATAGGCGAGTTGCCACCTGGTACACCAGAGGCCATCAAATATCAGACACCTGTGATTCCCTGCGGTACGACCGACCTTCCTTGGCAATATAACTTTTTCTCTAACTGTAGTTCATTCCAAGTCATTTGAGACGAGTTGACGAAGATCAATGCTCTATTTTCTTGCTTGCTTTCAACCTCGAATCAAGCCCCGCCAGCTTCCAGAATTTATTTACATGATCCAAAGGGTTGTTCCATTAAGTATAAGTTCAATTTGCCAGATTGACTCTGTTTCAATATTAATGGCTTTTTTGCTGGTATGAGGGTATTTTTGTTGTGATTCATCGTGGACATCGACCTTGTTCCAGGATACCAAATATTCCTTCCTCGTCAATTCCATCTATATCGAAATATTCGCATCGAGGTTTCAGAATCCTCAAGCGAGCATTTCTCTCAGTGATATCAGGAAGTGGCTCCAGGCCTAGACTTCTGAGGCTTGTCAAGGTGCGCAAAGCTTCGGGTGATGAGTAGCCAGAGCGGAGATCATGGTACGCCAACATCAGTAGCGCTCGAAGGGCGTAATTCGCATCATTTCCGGCCAGATGAAAGTTTTCGACAGGACAGAGTAGAAATTTCAGCAGACCCTCAAGTCGAAAGTTCATTCCTAGAAGATCTCTGGCAATATATGTAGTATCGAGTAGCCCAACAATACTTCTGATGTTCTCGAACATTACCCCTCTCCTACGAAGGACAAGAAGATCAGTCCGAAGACCGTGGCCAACGAGAATCACGTCACGGTATGCTCCGGGCTTCTTGTCATCAGGAATATGGAGAAGATCGAGGATAGCATCATTGACATGCTCCTATTTGGTAATTTAGCACAGGATCTGAATTGAATTTTGAACCTTTTGCAGTGAAACAAAGGGTATTGGCATCATATGCAAATACAAAGTTAACAAAATAGATTTTGTAGATATTAGCATGAAGAAAACTACTAACCTGACCAACCAAATGCTCCGAAATGCCAAAACAAAATTTACTGCTGACGTGGTAAAACCTTCTCTGCCCACCAATGATAAAATGCCGTGTCTTTAAGTGAATGGTTTCGCGTTTCGTCAGACATCGAGTGTCAAACATTGAGATTCCAATTTCTGTGATTTCGTTCTGAATATTGTTCTTTGGAATATACTTCTTGACTTCTAAATCGAGCGAAAGCAATACAATGTCTCGAGGAGTGTTGGTTCGAAGCCCAAGAATTTTCTCGAATTCCTCGAAGCCATCCTGTGGGAAGTTGATTTTGCCGCTCATCCTTGGAGCAGTTCTCGGATTTCCCAATGTCGGTGATCCAGATATGGAATTTCTGTGTGGAGTTCAAATTTTGGACCTTTTGATCAAATTATTTCTGTAGTATTGCACTTAGGGAATGTGTGTCGAGGCAATTTGGGAAAGGGGTCGTTATGTTTCTAGTGGGAATGTCTTGCGGTGGGATGTTCGCAAACGTGGGGAATATACTGGCCATTTCATTGGTATCGAGTTTGGTGAATTTTTTTTTCGACTGATAAATCCTTCTGAATAAAATCATAGCCACTTGACTACCAACTAGTCAAAATTGAGAATATCTGGTAATGCTAGTTTGCTGTTCAAATTAGGTCCGCGCCGTCGTGGGAAAACGGCCGATCTGCCGCCTTAGTGACTATCCAGGTCGTCGGCATCACCTCAAGATAGCTGAACTCCCACGACATGTCAAGTACTCTAGTAGCTTGTAAAAGAAATGAAAAATATGTTAATTTGAAACCTCATTTCAGAATGCCGAATCACGTATCAATTAAAACTCTACACAGGCCGACTGCGGCCGCGATACTTAATGCTACAACCACAGTCATACTAATTACCACATTTGCAACAGACACTCTTTCGTTAAAAGTAAGGATGAGCAAGAAGTTCATATAGAAAATAAGTATTCGTAGATGGCGTAAGTAGTTGGCTGTTGTGCTCGCTGCTGTTTCAATCGGCGTATCCCTTCACAATGTCAAGTCAGCAGGCTATGAATTCATCAATTGAAGCAGCACTGGGATTTAGTACTTCTCAGGCTCTGAGATATCCGCTACCCCTCATTAAGACGATGTTTTGGCCCAATTTCCCCCTTGATTCTCGACGCTAAGATCTTCGTGACCTTTTTCTTCAATTCTGACCTCAACAAGACATCTTAAAGTTTTCTTCACTACTGCAAGAATTTTGCTTCCAGAGAATCCTAGGATTGTGCAACCATGCATATTACTTCCCCAAGTTCCGGAGAGACCTCCGACTCCATCGCTACATGTCCAGGGGATTCATAGTAAATGCCAGTAAGCAACATAATTCAGAAGAATGATTTGACATTATGATATTATGGTATCTAGATATGTGATGTACGGTGAGTAAATATTTTCTAAGAAGCCTTCTACGAATACCAGTCTAATTATCACCCCCAGCCCTAGAACGCCGACCAATTTAACAGCCCATATCTTAAAGTCGCTCACAAGAATTCCATCATTACCTGGTACATCATGATTTGTGTTTTACCACGAGAAGGTCATCAGGCCTGGGTTCAGAGCGACGGGAAGCAACAGATGACAAGCACACAGCATTGCCAAAGGGAAGATTGCCACGAACTGATCAATGTTCCATGACCATGGGATGAAGTCGCCAACAGCCATGATGACCATGCCAGCAATCGTCAAGAGTGACAACGCGATGCTGTATTTGAAGGACTTGAACACTTTTGGGATCTCAATGAAGAAGTTGGAAAATTCGACTTCCTTCGAGGTGGCTCCCCATGACATGTCAATGCTGAACATGTGGCAAAGCAAAGCTTGGGAGATGTGGAGCGACATGCCGCCGAAGAACAAGACAAACATGAGACACCATTTGAAGTTCTCAAAGACTAGAGATATGTCAGCAACTTGTTGGAGCTAAGAGGCAGCTAGATCAACTTACGAGAATAGAGAAAGTTCTTCTCACTCGTCCGATGACGCTGCACAGCGAGAGAAACATTTCCAGCCACGGTGAAAACCATGATAATCGAGATCCAAATTTGCCAACTCTCAACATACCACTTATCGAGAGAGCCGTTGTATAGACCGACGGCAATATAGTTGGAGACGGTCATGATCCACGCGGCACCGATGGCATAATATGTCCCGATGTATGAGATGATGTTGATCTTGCTACCAATTGGCATGCCAGACCAAAGGAAGCGTCGGAAGAGTGGTGTGATGGGGCCCTTGGTTATCCAGTACTTGACTGGGTGAAATACCAGCTCGCTGCAGCCGTATGCGTACTTTTCCCAGCGAGTAAGCTCATCATAAACGGTCAGAGAGACGCCTTCTTTGAATCCATCTCCGGCCCAGGCTGCCATGCGTACCACATAACCATAGACTTGGAGTCGGAGAGCAATGTCAAAGTCTTCGGAGACGTGAGATTCACTCCAGTACTTCTCGACACCTTCTTCATCCTTGAAAGCAACTTCTTGGAGTGCACTCCATCGTAAAATGGCATTATGTCCCACGAAGGGAGCCACGTCGCCTGAAGCGACACCGAAGCGGATAGCGGTATAGATCAAGTTGGTGAAAAATGTCACTCCGTTCTCAAAGTAGTTGTTGGCGACCTGCATGACACCACTAGAGAACTGGATGATGGCAACACGTGGACTCTGCTCCATCTCGGAAGCAGCATCCAACAAACAGTCTTCGGGCACACGGGTGTCGGAGTCGATGATGAGGATATAGTCTCCGAGACGAATATTTCCATCAGCCCAGGCACGACCTTCGGCAGCCAAAACAGCTTTGAGACAACGTTCATATGCAATGCTTTCGTCAAAGGCAGTCCAGTCGGCAGGACGATCGATGAGCTGCAGGGACTCTTCGACACTGTTGGAGATTGTGAGACCGTAGTTCATGTTGGAGGCTTTCTTGAATTTTCCCTTTCTGATAAACCCATCCACATTGTGTCCAGGACGAGCTGTCCAGCCAATCTGGTTGTCGGCATAGAACTCAATGCGAGCTTGGCGCTCCTCGGCTGTGATGATTTGGAGGCCATCGTCGTTGATGAAGATATTGGCAGATCCACCTTGGAGCTCGTAAGTAGAAATTGCCTTCTTGATCGATCGAACAGTCGGTACGATAACGCTGTCAAGACCTTCTTTGTAGACTGGGCATTGAATCGTGATATGTGGAAGAACATTGGTGCGCAGTCGCATAGGCGGGGTCGCTGAGAAATATTTCGAGTTCTGGGTGAGATGCTGGATTGGACCGATGATTTGCGCAATCGCGCTGACTATGACAGAAGAGAAGAACTGAAGTTGGAATCATGCCGTCAGTATAAACTTTACAGCGGCACTGAGCCACGCTTGGTGGTTTCGTAGAACTTACCAGTGTCAGGAAAGCGTTAACTGGCGTCATCGCCAGGAATGCCAAGGATACCCATTGCTGCAGCTCGAGAAGTTCATCGGCGATTTTGACGTATCCCAACCCAATGAGAACGGTCAAGAGGCACAAACTGCATGCAACCAAGAAGCAGTTATATAAGAGAATTGGTCTCTCCTTGCTAGCCATCAACCCCGTCTCTTCATCTATCGTCAAGTTGGCATTCTCAAGCTCCTCCTTCTCGGTCTGGGTAGCATTTGCAGTCTTCCAGACAAATTTGAGAAGCTCAGCTTCGATGGTCTTGGCTCTCTGAAGCAAATGAGTTGGCTCGTCATCCCAAACGACGAGAAGTGAGTCTGAAGCGATGAAAGCAGCGTATTGATGTCGCTTGGCTTGATACAAGTCTTCAAATGTGGGCAAGATCTGGATTCTCAAGCCATTCAGAAGAGGTACATCGATTGCATCGGCGGACCAGCTCAGAAATGGCTCAATGACCCCAGATGAAACAGTCATTGCAGACTGTAATTTCTTTGGTCAGCATTTGGTTCTTGGGTATTGAAGCATTGAGTAGTTGCATTATCTTACTTGAACATTCAACATTGTCATTGCTTGTGCGAAGCTTGAATTGGCAAGTCCTGGAGGTTTGAAGATGTAGTTGTTTCGTCGTTTTCGTACCATCACACCTTCCTGCTCTTCGGCTAGGTCTCGGATCCATAACGAACTACATTGGTGTTGGAAGAGATGGTTGACGACAACTTGATGTTTGATCTCATCAACCAATCGGTCTTCTTGAGCAGCTCGACTTGAAGGCGCTGGAGAAATTGAAGCAGTATCGGATTCAAGGGGAGCAAGTCTGCCAGGTAACGACCCAGGAAAGTTCTGGGCACTCGTGACGACGGAGACAGGGTACTTTTCGTTTTCAGCAGAGTGTTTGCTTGCTGCCGCCTTTGTAGACGTCTGAAAATATGACATGAACCCCATGATTAAGTTGTTATAAGCAAGGACTATTAGGAGAAGGAATGAAAGAATAGAGAAGCTCAAAGAGCAAAAGGGAAAAGCGAGTGTGTGAAGACGACCGGTATTAAGAGTGTGGTGTTGACGAAGAGAGAAAGTCCTTATCCTGCAATGGACATGCAAGATAGATTGTTTAAGTGGAGATCCGATAGACCAAGTCCCAAAGCGCTCATCAATTGCATTTGACAAGGGATGAAGAACGCTGAGATGCAAAGTACAGACATGATAGTCAATATTCTCTCACCTACCTAGATCTGGCTGAAAGTCCCAACAGGTCACATTGAGTAGCCTTCAGCCGTGTCCGCGTCCAAAAGGAGGAGATTGGAGACGGCAGGTAAGAAGGAGCCAGCTAGATCTGGAAAGAAGCATAATCACCAGCTGAGTGTCGGAATAGCCGGCGTCAAGGAGGGTGTGTCTATTTACTTGGCAGTGAGCCACGGGACGATGTGAAGCCTCCCATGTGGCGGCCAGACCTACACTAATTTTCAAGGGAGAAATCCGTAAAACGGCTCTTTTATAGAGCAAAGGCATCATGGACTCAGTCGGAGCTAGACCTTCCTGGAATCTGAGCAGCCAGAAATAGACCTCTCCCGCAGAAGATCAGACGGAAATGGCTTGGGGGGATAGACGAAAACGGGTCAGCGACGATCTCAGGGACCTGTTTCCCCTGTCATCCCAAGAAAGTCTTATCTTCTTCCCTGGCCCCTGGCCCCTGGCCCCTGGCCCATATCACGGGAGGGAGCGTGGGAGACGAAGGCGAAGTATCTCGAAATTTCCGTAAAGCAGCTCTGTTAAAACGGCAACAAAACAGTTAAGCGAGAGCCTGCCGCTTTCGCCAGGGGTCGGGCATGAGACCCGCCTCCGAGACTACCTGCACTGGCCACTGGCATCCTCCCCCCCTCCGTTCCAGCCAGCCACCACTGCCAACGACTTGCTCGAAACGCCGACATCTGATTGATTGCACAGCACCAGTTGTTCAGCAACCAATGAACACAACAAATGTGCACATTTCCTTCCAATACTTCTCAATGGAGGACGTATCGTATTTCCAATGCAAAACTAGACCCAGACAAGCGGACGCTTCCTCTGATGGAATTGTTCCTTTCTGCTGTGCCAGCAATGAGAATTTCAAAGGTAATCAAAACAATTGCATATGTTGAGAGCCGCCGGACTTCCCGCTTTCAATCCCGAACCTTAATTAATTAATTTGAGCGTACTCCCAGATTTCAAAACCCTTTGGTCAAGGGGACTGTGGACAATGCACCACTAACTTTGGTACCGAGAGTCCAAGACAACCAGATGCGTCGTACCGCTATCACAAAAGATCGTCTTATTGCACGAGTTCAATAGTATGCAATGCTGGCCTGACTCTTCATATTCCTGCAGAATCACAAAAGTGTATCTGGGACCCTGCGAAATCCCGGAGACTGAGATTCCACTTTTGCGGCTTGTCTCCAGGAGTTCAAGCAAGCCCAAGTCAACCCAGTATCCATCCTATCCTATCCACATTTCCCCTTAACCCCATCGTGGATACGGCGTGCATTGATCATGAGGCCTGGAGCCAGTGCCAAGTCATATACCCGGCGAAACCTGGATCTATTCCGAAGCTCAGACCCAACCACCACCCACGGCCCACGGGCCATGAGTATTTCCAACCAGGCCTGCGCCCGCGCGAGGCTTGTGTGGCAGGTGTGGATCCGACGTTTAAGCTTGCCAAACTTCCGTAGCTGAACTCTATTGCCTTCTAAGTCTATTCTAGCTGCGATTTCGCGATGAGCTTAATTGGACGCAGAGGATCGATGCGATGCAGCAGCACAGCACTGAGCATTTGGAGAAGCAGCCGGGCCTTCTGTCCATTGTCCAGGGATTTGAGCGCACAATCGCGGTCCATTCTCGCCACGCTAGTGAAAGGGCTGCCGGGAAATGTAAGGGACAATCCATGTGCACGATATATTCTATCACACGGCAAAGCAAAGCAAAGCTTTTGCGGCTCCCTGCATTCGACAGCTTCCTCAAAAGGAAGCAGAAAACAAAGCCTCAGGCTTGTGAAATAGATCCACAGATTTCGACCAGCCAACCAACCGGATCGTATCTTTCAAGCCCCATGCAGGTACCATCCAGGAACAGCCACTGAGGCGTTCTTCTCGCCCAATAAGGCTGTGTCATAAATCATCATGTTTTGACTTGCCCGAGGCTTGAGACGAGACGATTTAAGTGAGACTGCCTTTACCCTCCCGTATATCTGAGACATTATTAGTTATTATGGAGTAGGAATACTGAAAAGTTAACGCCGGAATTAAGGAATTAACGCTAAGACTTCTAATAATCCTTAAAGCTTAAGGGACTATTAATTTAGGAATCACTAGGCTTAATTAGGTATCAAGGTACATTAGCGAGTAGCTGTTTTAGGCTAAAAATCCCTTAATTTAATAAACACCTATGAAATCCCTAGTTTTACAATTATCAGTTCACACTACCTATAAGTATATCCTCGTCGTCAGACTCTAGTTCGTTCTCTATTTAAACGATATTATCTTCTATATTTAATAGCATCTCTTCTAATAATACCTCTTCCTCTTTCTCCCTTCGTTTACTCTTAGCTTTTATCTCTTTTTCGCCTAATCGAGCAGCCCTTAGGGAACGCGTATTAATATAAATAAAGTATAGTATATCTATTTATTCAATTAACAGCTTATTTCGCGTTTTAGACTATAAAAGGTTTATAGTAAAGAATACTCGTTCACTAGGAACCGAATTTACTATTATATGGAGAAGTATAAGTACTAGTCTTAATAGTTCAGGGGAACCTAGAGTCTACAGCTTATTAGTTATAATATTAATTAGAATAGAGATATATAACTTATAGAGATCTGCTAAAAGAGAATCTTATTATTTATGAAATATTCCTAATAAGGCCTTTACAAGTTAAAGTTACTTACTTTCCCACGATATTATATCTATTACGCAAAGCCTCCCTCTCTAATCTTATTTAAAATAAAGTTATTTATATTATCCTCTTACTTTGAAGTAATAACATAATGTTAATTCTCAGGGGAAAGTAAAAAAGCAGCTAAGTAGATATTAAGAAATTACGTATTTATACGATAGTTCCACCTACCCTTACCTTCTCGAGAGTAATAGGTTTCAACCTCTTACTACTAGCTACCTATACCTAGAACGCGATAATCTTAAAAATAGCGATTAAGTCTTATCCACCGAGGATATACCTTATTAAGGGTAGTATAATTTAATTCAGATATCTTTTATTTATTATAGATCAGCTCTAAGAAGGTCTTTAGCGAAGTAAGCTTTTACTAATTAGAGTAGTCCCGCTTCAGCTCGGATTTAATCCTTACTAGGTTATTACTATTATCGTCAGGTCGATCTACGTATAATTAAAGTGATTCAGAGCTCCTAGTAATAGATTGAACTTAAGAGTATTATATTCCCTAGCGTGTTAGTACAATAGAAATCAAGGCACGAATACCGCTATTAGCAGCTATAGAATCACAAAAGTAAGCGAGCTATTTATCGCTTTTAGCAAAGAAGGATATAATAGTATTCGGAACAGACTTAAAAAAAGCTCTAATTTAAGTATAAATTTACTATCTCCTATTATCTTTTCCTAGAAATAGAAGATCCTTGAATATAAGCTAAATGCCGTAGGAGTTACATAGGGACGAAACAATATAGCTATAACCCGGTTCTAAAGGTAGGGTTTTCTAGATAGCTCGTTAAGTACTATAAGTATCAGAAGAGAAACTCATCTAGCGAGAAAGTATATTATTAGTAATTAAATTAATATGTTTAACGATATTTTTAACTATCTATTCTGCTCCGGCTTTAATAGCTCCAATTGCCTCACTCTTCTAATAGTATAATATTCCTCTAACTAAGAACGATATATTTTCAACGTATACTTTTCCGATATTTAACGATCTATCGCTAACGATTTATATATAAGAGGCTGCGTTAGCAATTCCTTGAACAGAGTTCTTGATTTTATTATAGCAACTCATAAGAAGGGAATTACTAAGAGTATTACAGTAAGGAAGCTTATAGTTGATTTTATACTAGAAAGCTTACTATTCCGGAGTCGAGAACATAGAGAAGTTTACTATAGAGATATATATAGTAAGAGCAAAAAGCTTATCTGCAGTTATATCTTTAGAATCGTAGAAATCAGCGACAGATAGTTGTTTTTTCCGTAAAGATTCAGTATCCTTTCTAGTCTCTTTCATAGCCTTCTTATACTTCTCGCACTTTACAAGATACAGCTTTTACATCTTTATAATATTCTATGATTTCTCCTACCTATAGTATTTACACTCCCCTTAATCTCGTCCTTCGACGTCTTTATATCTCCTGAATTATTCTTTTATATATTTATCCTTAGAGCTAGCTTACCTATTCATAGAAGCACGCTAGGTATTTATACCACGTTATACAGGTATCGTAGTAAGTCGTGATATTAATAAAATAAGTAAAAAGTCAATTTTAAGGGATTTAGATCTAGGTAAGATTTTTAAGCAAATAGAGGCCTCTAATTAGCTGAAATAAGCTAAGCGAGAAATAGGCCTGTTCCTTAGCAGTTAATTCACAGTTAATACTTAAGGACTATTAATCTTGGCATTAAATTTAATAACCCTCCCATTAAATTTAATAGTGTAACCCTATTATGGAGCACATGGCAGGGTGGTGTGCTGTCGTTGGCTCATGGCACTTGTTGCGGTAAGTGAACTCACTTCAGACTTCGGATTGGGTCTGTGATGCTTCTTGAGGAGCTGAAAGCCTGGAGGGGGTAAGAGATAACGGGTTGATCGTGCCGGACGGGATAGCGTGGAGAGCCACTCTTGGGCAGTGTCTGGGGAGTACAAACCTTCACGTGGATTCAAACAAGTTCTATCTGCCTGTAATGGCATCTGGTCAGGTGGAAACCTTGAAAGAGTATTATTCAATTACGTGTGACTGTAAAATTATATCCGAAAACTCCGATTTATAACCGGACCCTGAGAGTTGACACCGCTGACCTGTGATCCTATCTGCCGTCAAGTGACAGTTGAAAACAATACACCATTACATCCTCAACATTGTTGCCACATTCGAACACGATCGACAATCATTTCGCTATTCTCCTTCCATGTTGGAAACCATTTATTTCTCGCATTCCAGAAATCTGTCTTTGCAGTTGGACTGGCATCGACCCAGGGCTTTCCGTCTCGACCATCTTGGAACCAACCATTCGACCCTCCAACGGCAACATTGATGATAAGATAGAAGTCCTGATCGAATGGTGTCTGCGGCCTTCCGGTCTGCGTCCAGGGATCAACAAGTCGAATTCCTTCCGGGGTTGCCAATGGAAATCCACCTTGCTTCCAGAACGGCTTCTTGAATGTGTTGTACGAGACTTGCAGGAGTCTTGTATCAACGTAAGTGAACAGATATTTCTCGGACCACTCCAGTCCAAAGTTGTGGAAGTCATCGCCATACTCAGAGTGTAGCGAGTGTTTGTAGTTGGCAGTGTGTCTGTAGGCATCATTTGCGGGGTTGGGCCCCCAATGCAGTGCTGATGATACTACATCGTTGCCACCAAGACTGTATGTGTGGTTGTTGCCTCTTGATTCCATGATGTCGATCTCTCCACTCGCTGGCCATGCTCCATAAGTCTCTTTGACAGGCATCATCCAAATTGCAGGCCACAGCCAGTCTCCTTTTGGGATCTTCGCTCGCACTTCAACACGTCCGTATTTGATCGTAGCACCAACCTTCGTGTTCAGGCGTGCAGAACGAACTGGAGGAACAATTGTTCCGTTGGTGATGTTGGTGGATGCGACGCAGTTGTTCCACAGGTTTGATGTGCAAAGTCCAGTAGCCGTGAGATTGATGACGTTGTTCATGACGATAAGCTTCTCGTCTTGTAACGTGGGCTTGAGGTGGAGCAAGCCGTCCTTGATGAAGACGTTCTCTTCATCTCCAGTCGTCTGTTCGAATTGACCGTTGCTATACTTCCTGTCAGCCAAGGTATTTGAAGCACAAAGATAGGAGAACATACCCATATCCACCGACCTCGTTCTCAGCTGTCCATATATTCTTGTTCAAAACTCCAGAGGAGAAGTCATCATCCAGGACAGGACAGTAATTGTGAGTCGCTAGTCTTCCAATCTTAAGATATATCATAACTCCCGTAATGGCTATTCCTGTGAAAAGCCCAAGCATAGGTATGATACACAGCCACTTCTCCTTCGGATCTTTCTTGAACGTCGGCGGTTCATGACCGGCATCATCTTTGCGTATGCGTCGCGATCGGAAGTATTTGCCGCCAGCAGACTCTGAATATTGATAACCAGAAGTTGCTCCGAATATCGAGGCTGGAGGGGTTGCGAAGGGATTTGGCGAGTTGACATTCGAGGTGGCTTGACTCGTTGTGGTGAAGGTCGAACCTGCCCTCGAATGGTCAGGTACGGCGAACTTCCTCATCTCGATGTTCGTTAAGGAAGCAATTTTGAAAATTTCAAAGTATAAAGATACAAAGACTGGAGAAATTACTGTCACAGTAAGAGCTCCGTGAAGGGCGTTGGTGATCGTTGGATTTCTGGCTTGCAAAGGTCAGAACAGTCGCAGGCCTGTGATGAAGGACCGACATTCATAGATATCGCATAGAAAATCTTATCTTCAACCTATTCGGGACTGGACGGAAGGCTTCTATCGACAAAGATTGAGGAAGATGCAGCTTGACTCTAGCGGCTCGACCGATAAACATTTTTAGAACCAGTCGATAACTCCCAATACCATGGGAGTCCAGGGTGGATAGTTCAGCTGGATCATCCGCACCCCAACCATGCAAGGTGCCAGTTGTGGACCTTCACCTGGAACAAATCTTGCCGCGCAGCTTTTTACGAATGCTTACGATGTATTGAGGTGAGGGTGTGGCAGGAGTGGTGGCAAGCGCTAGCTTGTTTCGCCAATCTCGCTAAGCCCTGTTGACAACAAGAGGCATCTCACGACTCCTTACAGGCTTACACACCGCACTTTTGCATTTTGATCATAGGAAAGAGTCATAAGTATTCAATACAGTTTAGTGTACGCCTCTTTTGCTTGAAGAAGCTGGCACCTGCAGAGCTTGTTCCACGTCTTGTCCCAGCAAACCTTTGGCCTTGTCCAGACCAACGCCAGCGATGGCTGGGACAAAGCTGAACATCGGCAACTCCTTGAACAGCATGAGCCGCATTTCTATGGAGAGTGGCACTCATGGCCGGCATCGTGTTGTTCCTCATTCTGAACCCGCGCTTCGCCATATTGAAGGACTGCTCCGTTTTCATCAACTCGGGCTTGCCGTCCCCACGGGCTAGCACATTCCAGCCTCGATTTGTTGTGGTTCTGCCTTGCACCGCTCAGTTAATTGAAGCCACCGTTATTTTTCAATATTTCGCATCGAATCAAAATGCGATTTAGTGTCTTGCTTTTCAGGCTATCGAAGCAATATGCGCTTTGTGCTGACCGTCGCTTTGGGAAAAAGTGTACATGCTTTGTTTGGCAAGCCATGCGAGCCTTGAATGCTTATATGGTATATAAGTTCTTGATCCCAACTCCTGAAGTTGATCATCACTGCTTCAATCGGACTCAATCTACTGCACACTCTTCCAGATAGACCAATCTTCAGTTCAACTTTCACTTCGATCAGCTTTCCAATCAAGATGAAGCTCTCCACAGTCCTCCCCGCCGCTCTTCTGAGCTTCGCCATGGCAGCACCAGTTGCCGAACCCCAAGATATCGACTTCGAAGCCTATGAGGCGATCGAGATCGTCCCTGATGCGACTGCCCCTATTGGAGCTGTGGTTCCAGCAGCCGTCGTCTACGACCAAGAGGGTGCCATTGAAGATGCTGTTGCGTCTGCCATTGATCCAGCCGACCCTGATCTTACCAAGCGTGGGAACTGTGCCCCGGCTCCACCTGGCAACGCTCCAGCGACTTCGTCTCCAGATACCGCCGAGGCATTCGTTGCCAATCCTGTCTATTCAGCAGCAGCATTGGGAGCTGCTACTCCCCCAGGGTGGTTCCTCGTTGATGGCTACAAGAACTTGCATGCCAGCGCCGCAAGCCCCACATACATGACCTACACCAGCAGCCCATTGACAAGCTACGACCCAGCAAAATGTGCCGCGATCTGTGCTTCCAAAGCTGGCTGCACCTCGTTCAACATCTGTACGTCTCCCTTTCGCAAGCACTTCACAATTTCATGCATGCTAACAAGTTCGCAGTCTTTGAGAGAGACCCAGTCAACAACCTTGACAAGAAAAACTGCCCAGACTCTGCTTCTCTCACTCGCATCAAGTGTTCCTTCTTCGGAGGACTAATCACAGTGGCTGATGCCACCAATGATGGACAATACACCGGCGTATTCCATGTTGTGACTGCTGGATCAAATGGTAAGCTTTCTGTGGAACACTTTACCTTCAATGCTAACCAGTACCCAGCCTACACTACCAATCCTCAATCCATTCCTGGTTTCACTGGACCTGTCTCTCTCGGCAGTGCCACCATCAAGGCTCCAACCAGCGATAAAACATATATGGGATCCCAAACTTTCCCGCAGACACAGTTAGTAGCCCATTTAATAATCCATAGAGACCATTTCTAACTCATTCAGGCCATATGACCCCGCTGTTTGTGCTGCTACCTGTCAAGAGAAGAGCGCCTACAACCTCCGCCACGAAACTGTTCCCGGAACTGCTCGTATCTGCAGATTCTTTGACGCCTACATCCTGTACAAGGATGGACAGAACCCCGTCTTCACCTGCGCTTACTACACCCAAGCTTATGATGCGTCCTATGCTACCAATGTTGGGCAATACAACTCCGCTGGTGCCCACTTCACCAATGAGCACAGCTACACATACACTCTGAATGAGCCTCAAGAAGCTTAGAGAGTTGTAACAAGTTCCAATCTTGAATGTTGCTGTGATGCACTGTTTAAAGGAGGCTTGATTGAGTTTGCAGGAGTTTCTTCGCTTGATTTTGAATTTGGCCATCATGGGGTCTCAAGATACCATTGGGCTTCGTTGGCTCGGGTTGGAAATACACGAACTTTAGTAAAATGTTCAATTTAATATTCAATGACATCTGCCATTACCTGTTTCAGAAATCATTTGCTTCCTGTACATTCGTGGTGTTCTTGGTACGGTGGCTTCTCCCGCCCTGTTCTCACTTCAGACAGCCAATGACTCAATACATTTACCAGATTTATGATCTTATTGGATTCCGTGGACAGCATCTTTGCGTGGTACAGCATGAGAAAATTTTACAGGCGAGTTTTGCAGAAGCCACAATCTTCAGAACTCCTTACATGATGGATGCATTGGCACTTCTCGAACTATTGCCATCTCACAATTTGTTTTCAAGACGAATACAGGCTATAGAAACCAGTCATATGTAGCAACCTAACGAGGAAGAGCTGTACAAGCCTAATCCACACTTCATCAAAGTGCATGTTCATATTCCCAGGCCTCACCTCGGTAGTCGGCATTCAGACCAAGGGATTGGGAGGCTCCTATCTTCGGATCATGCAACATGAGCCCTGTCAAGTTATCCAAAAATAATCACTTTCACCAGCTGCGTATTCCCTTTTCTTTCATTGGTAGCCCGCCACAAAGTCCCAATGAAGCTCCTCCTGCCAGGTGTCTACCAGTGTTCTGGATCACGTGATGTGACCGAGTGCGCTAAAACCACCCCAAGTGGCTTGGTGCATGTGGTCAGAGCCAAAAGCGAGAAACTTCATCACACCCATTCTCAGACGTGACCTGTCACTCGTCAAGATACGTTTGAACCACGTATCGCTTGGCTGCAATGCTCTTTACGCAAGATACCGGGTACGGCAGTGTGACCAAATCCAGGGTATGGCGATCTGGCCAGGAGCTGAGGACTTTGCTGTCGTCGCGCGCGGAATGGAGGCCCACGGGCCCTATCTCCTTCCCTGTGAGGATCGTGAACTTCCCTACCAAAATACAAGGACTCGCTAACCCTTGAGCACATCAATTGCCAAACAGGTCATCTCCATGCGGTCGGATCAGCTGTTGTTGGACTTGGTACGCATGAGTGTGCCCAATCTGCGTTATATTATGCGGGCGAAGAATTGGAGGCTCGATTCGGCCATCCTGCCGCCACGAGCCTCCTGCAAGTCACAGGGGGCAGCCAGCAAGAGCCAGCCCGCGACGTGTCCTGGGTCTCACTTCTTTTTGATTTGGCATTCGGAAGAACACTGCACTCCGACCTTGCACGACCCGTTCTAGCGTACCGCCTGTCACAGACACTGATCCCGGCCAGGCCTGACGGCCCCTGCCTACAGGGGACTCATCAAGTCCAGTGCCGCTGTAAGCAGTGATTCTCGACTCTCAAGTTGATACTCATCCCACGTTTGTTCTTTCAGCTTAGAGTCCTTCACGCCACCACATGCGTTCTGGGTGGTGACTGTTTGAGTCTGAATCAATTCAATATTATCGAAGTCGATAGTCACAGCTCTAGACTGCCTTCCGTCAAGAAATCTCGCTGTGGCCGTGTCGTTGCCCAGATCCTTTTTGAATGCTGAGCTTACATGCCGCCTATTGAATTGCGCAGGGTGACTTGGCCTGGCTAGTAGAGGAGCTGCGGATTCTGTACCGGATTAGTACCCTGTAGCTGTTGATGATCTCTCTCCACACAGTCTTTACTTGAATCATTGAAGCCTTTCAGTCAGTCTTTACTCTTGGGTCTTCCCAACCTTACACTCGTTCATTCTTCGTTGTGCTTTGAGCGTTGGTGCTCTGTAATATAATCGAAAGTATGAGGTTCTCGTGGACTGTGGTGGCTCTAGCCTCACGGCTTGTGAGCAATGTTCGTGCGGTTGCTGATACGGACTCTCTGATGGATGCAGGTTAGTTGCTGCCAAAATTCTATCTACTTGAAGTGCTTGGGCATTCTGACCATCCATAGATCCCGCACAGGCAGGATATCTTCCAAACCATAATATGGATCCCAGCATCATTTCCAGTGGAGGATTCGGTCAGATCTGGTCGTATTCTACACCCACTGGCGCATCCGAACAGTTCTATGCCAAGCCTCTCGTTTTCACACCTTCGACTACTGGACGTCAGACTGTTCTCTCCTTCTCCGAACAGAACAGAATCTACGCTCTAGATGCTGTGAACGGTACGCTACTTGCAACTCGCGACCTAGGACTGGAAGGAGAAGGCCCATTTGCTGTTTCCGACCTGGGACAGTGTAATGATATCAGTGGAACTATTGGTGTTACTGGTACACCGGTTATCGATCCTGCCACCGATACTGTCTACTTCTGGGCCAAGAGTTATCTTAGTACTGTCAAAGGGTTTCAAAATGGTGCATATCGATTCCATGCCATTGATGCTGTCACTCTTAAAGAGAGGGCGGGGTTTCCAAAGAGCATTCAGGGAACACCAGGTAAACCAGTTCTGTCAAAATGCTCTGTTCAGAGCTGACAATTGTAGCCGACAATGATGTGAGCCGAATCTTCACCGGTGGAACTGTGCTGCAAAGGCCTGCATTGAATATTGTGAATGGTATTGTCTTTGCGGGTTTCGGTGGACATTGTGACCAGTATGTAAACCAATGCCTCTTTGTTTTCAAGCCCCGCTGACAGTAGGAGATACAATTTCACTGGATGGGTTGTTGGTATGCAAACAAATACTGGCAAGTTGATGACGGCATTCGCAACTGTCGGCGGCCCTGGCTCTCCAGCCCCAGGTGGCGAAGAATACAAGGGTGGTGGAGGTGGTGCTGCGATCTGGATGGGTGGTTCTGCTATCGCGTCCGATCAAGCCGGGCGTATTTTCTTCGCCACAGGAAATGGTCAGAAAGGAGCTCAGAATCAAGGACAGCCAGCTTCTGGTCGACTAAAGCTGAACACCATGAACGAAGCTGTTGTGAATATGGCTGTCAATCCTACTACGGGCGTCGTAACTCAGTCTGACTACTTCGAGCCATATACATATTCAGCCCTGGATAATGCCGATCGAGATCTTGGATCTGGTGGTGTTGCTCTTCTGGACCCGAATACTTTTAATGGAAATGGCGTTGCCCGGATTGCTGTTACTGTGGGGAAGAATGGAGTCTGTTATGTGCTCAATGCGGACAATCTGGGAGGTTATAAACTAGGAACAGGTGGAACAGATGCCATCCTTCAGACGATCACAATGCCAGGTAGGCTGCAAATAACTCTTTGTCAATTTTCAATTGACATCAAATAGGTAGCGGCCCCGTCTTTGGTAATCCTGGATCCTACCCATTGGAGGGCGGCTACATGTATATCACTCCTAATGGATACCCTACTCTCGTGTACAGCTTCGGAAAGACTTCAACTGGCAGCCCAGCATTCACGTTGGTTGCTCAGTCCGCGGATGTATCTGCTGGCCGTGTCGGTACTGGTTCAGCAACGATTACAACCTACAAAGGACAGCCAGGAACTGCGATCTTGTGGGTCGTAGATCCAGATGCAGGACTTCGAGCGTACAATGCGGTCCCTTCCAATGGCCAGTTGACAAAGCTTACACTTCCACCCACGCCAGCGGTAGCCAAGTTTCAGCGTCCTGCATTTGGGGATGGAAGGTATTATCTCTCGACCTCGAATGGAAAGATTCTTGTAAGTGAATTTATGAAGGGTTTGTCTACTGCTAACTCGTTCCAAGGCTTACGGATCCCCTGTCGCTCTACCAATGACCTGCAATACCCCTATTGATTTTGGACAGGTCGCAATTGGTGACACAAAGACCTTGATTGTGACGTGCAAGACCAACATTGCAATCACCAAACTGAATGGGTTTGCTACCAATAAGCCTGTTTTCCAAGTGTCGAACTCCAGTCTACCAACAGGACCTCTTGCCCTTGGAGCCACCTTCAGCTTCCCTGGTAGGTTCATGCCGAAAGAGTATCTCAGAATGCACATGCTAATTCATTTATCAGTAACTTTTAACCTAACAGCACTCATCCTCACTGGCAGTACCTCCTCTCCCTCTGTGACCCCCGGTGTTCAGACTTCCTCTGTTTGGATCTCAACTACGAATGGGAAGGCGGGATTCGCTCCCCAGCAGCCTATCAGTCTGACCGGAACTGCAATCAGCGCTGCACCATTCATTACAGTCAATCCTCTCCAAGTTGATTTTGCCGGAGTCGTTGTTGGCTCAGCCAACTCTGAATCTGGAAGCGATGCCACTTTCATTCTCAGTAATGTGGGCTTGAGTGACATGACAGTTCTTGGTATGGTCTGGACAAGCGATGCAGTGAATTCTCCGAATGCCGTCTTCCACAATCTAACAACAGTCAATGGTAAGATGTTCCTTGATGGCCCTGGGTACTTTACCTCGACGACTTTGCCATCAATCGGCCAAGTCATTCCAGCGGGAAGCACAATGACTGTGAATGCAAATTTCAATACCAACGTAAGATATTAATTTCGGGAAATGAGTAGCTTCGCTAACCCTCAATAGATCACTGGCACCTACTCCTCAATTGTGAAATTCTACACCAACGGTAACACCGCGTACACTCTGTTCACTGGATCTGCCGCTACAAATCCTGTTGCTCTTCTCGAGTATTCTACAAACGAAGGTGGTTGGGTCACGATTCCCCACTGCACCGATCTCGTGACTGGTTGCATACCTCAGGTCAACTTCGCTCCATCTGGAGGCTTGACTGCCCAAACAATTCAGCTTCGCTTGACCAACAATGGTGGATCCGTTTTGACTGTTACAAAATCAAAGCCTCTCGAAGGAGCCGAGCTTGGTGCAACCAACCCTTCTACTGACTTCTACGAGGGTCAGACCATCCTGCCGGGGAAGTCTGCCATCGCTTCTATCCTGTTCTCTCCTGGAGCAGCGATTCTGAACGCAGATGATGTCACATACAGTGGTGCTTGGACTCTGAATACAGACGATCAAACATTTGGCGTTCACGTCATAACGTTCAATGGTGTTGTGACGTCCAAAAAGACTGGACCATTGACATCTTCTGGACAGTCACTTTACAAATATCTCGGATGCTACCAGGACTACGTCAACAATGTGCGACTAGAGCCAAAACAAATCAACAACGCAAGCCTGACGAACGGCTGGTGTCAATCTCAGGCTCTGGCTGCTGGTGTTGTATTTGCAGGCACAGAATACATGACAGAATGCTGGGTTGGAAACGTCATTCCAAGCCCAACTCTCAAAGGTCTAGATTCCCAGTGCGCCTACACATGTGGTGGATCGTCAAATGAGGCTTGTGGAGGCGTCAATGGTTTCATTTCACTATATTACGATTCATCAAGATATTTCCCACAGAATGGTACAATCCTCGGCACCTCTGGACTCGGCCCTCAACGACCTAAGACTATTGGAGCATACAACTATGCTGGATGTTATTCGGATTCACAAACTGCGAGAAGTCTGGTTGGTAAACAGACTGCTGGAGCCACCATATCTTTGGATACGTGTATGTTGACTCCTAAAAGTGCACCTGAGACAAAGTAATGGAGTATATGCTGACTTTTCCGTGATTAGGTGCCTCGTTCTGCCAGGGTTTCAATTATTTTGGAGTTGAATATGCAAATGAATGCTACTGCGCAAATACTTTAGCAGCTTCGTCTGTGCTGAAACCAGATGCTGATTGTAGCATGAACTGTGCTGGCAATAGCTCGCAGTTTTGCGGTTAGTCCTGAGCGAGATCTGTCTGAGATATTTACTAATTCGGATACAGGTGCTGGAAGTCGTCTGTCGCTCTATTTGAAGAACAGCACAGTCCTACCCTCCTCAAGTTCCTCGCCTTCAGGTTCCACGGCAAAGCCATCCTCGACTTCGGTCACCGTTGGACCAACCGTCACACCGGTCTCTGGCGGATACACATCTTTGGGCTGCTACAGTGACAATGATGTAACCCAGAGAACATTAGTCGGGGCGGCATTCCCTGATCCAGGTCAGACAATTGAGATGTGTGCTTTGAAATGCAAGAATTTTGGCTTCTTTGGGGTGGAATATGGCGTAGAATGTTATGTAAGTCAACCTTCCCTGAACCCAATGAGATTACTAACCGTTCTAGTGCGGGCCTGCAATTGTCGACTCCAGTGTTCTTACTACAGATGGAAGGTGCAATATGCCGTGCGGTGGTAATTCAGCCCAGACCTGCGGGGGAAGCTACGGAATGAATATATACAGCTACAATCCCATTAGCTCGAGCTCAACAGTCAGCACTAGCTCGTTGTCTAGTCGCGTCTCGACCGTCACCCCCAGTATCGCTTCCACAAAAAGCACCTCTGTCTCAACAAGTGCTCCTACTGGTACTTCAAATCCATTCACGTCCATGGGCTGTTGGACTGACAACGACGTCACCGAACGCACACTTATTGGTGGCGCGTACACTGATCAGGCTCTGACGCTTTCGATGTGCTCGGCCTTCTGCCAGGGTTTTGCCTACTTTGGAGTGGAGTATTCAGTTGAATGCTATTGCGGAAATAATTTCGGTTCTACCTCAGCACTTGCAACGGACGGCCGTTGCAATATGCCTTGCAAAGGGGACACAACTCAGACATGTGGAGGGTCATACGGCATGAACATTTACAAAGTCCCAACTCTCAGCTCAAGCTCCAGCTCAAGTTCTGTTGTCGCGGTATCAACTTCAACAGCTTTGGCTAGCCGTACATCGACTTCGTCAACAAAATCCTCCACTCCCACGCCTTCAATACCTGCGGTCATCAACGAGTAAGTATTTGAGAGTTTCTTTCCTTCTCCCTCCTAGTGTGTCGATGCTTCTGGCGCCGTTTTATGTTCACTCTGAGATTGGTCTATAACTCGAGTTGCTAATATATGCCCTACTAGATTCACATATCAACATTGCCGCAGTGACAACACAACTAAGCGTACTATGGTCGGTAAATACATTGCAAAGCCCGATATGACTTTAGAGAATTGTGCTGGAAATTGTACGGGTTACAGGTTAGTTACTCCGCTGTTAAAATCAGAACGGTATAGAGTTCTGCGCCTGATTTCAATTGATCCTCCTCTTAATCATGATTGAATTCAAAGCTAATTTATTCTATGACAGATATTTCGGAGTTGAATAGTAAGTCCTAATCAATATCTACCTAAACCACTTCGCTTGAGCAAAATTGACCAATGTACAGTGCTTCCGAATGTTACTGCTCGAATCAATTGAGTTTCGGTAGTTTCATTGCCACCGATGGGAGATGCAAGATGCCATGTCTCGGAAACAAAATGGAGATCTGTGGCGGCTCTGGGGGCCTTACCCTTTACTCGAACGAAACACTTCCTGGAAGCTCCTCCAGCAGCTCATCTGTCCTACTATCCACGACCTTGTTTTCGGCCACGGCATCAGTGAGCTTAACTTTGTCGAGTTCTGTGAGCTCTGTTACTTCGAAGTCCTCCACCTCGGCAACCTCTTCCGCGTCAGCTCGACCAACGGCAACTGGGCCAACACCCGCCTATATCAACGATTTTAATTATCTGTACTGTGCAACTGACGTCAATGATGATCGCACTCTTTTCGGCAAGTATCTTGCATCTGGATCCATGACCCTTGACTTGTGTGCATCGACGTGTGTGGACTATAGATTTTTTGGGGTGGAATACGGTAAGCGTAAATTCCGGTCTTTATAAATTGTTACTAATGTTCTTCCCAGGTAGTGAATGCTTCTGTGGAGACACACTCGCTGCAATAAGTACCAATGCCACTGATGGCAGGTGCAACTATCCTTGTCCAGGAAATGCTGCCGAGACTTGCGGCGGACTAAGCGGCTTGACCCTTTATACCAAAGACTCAGTTTCACTCGTCTCAGGCACATCGTCGGTGGTGTCATTTTCAAGCTCTTTGAGCACTCTGGCGGCATCCAGTTCCTCCACCGCGCTACCCTCAATATCCCCTTCGTCGGGTCTCTCGAGTCTGTCAAGCTCTCTACAACCGTCAAGCTCATCGAGTTCCACCGTTGTACCCTTAACTACGTCTCGGTCATCTAGCTCTGTTCCAGCAACAAGTTTGCCCTCGTCTAGTGTTCTGAGTACTATAAGCTCTACAAGCTCGTCATCACTGTTAATGACATCCACATCATCGTCTTCTTCTTCTCAGTCAATATCCAGCTCGACCCAGTCAACATCCAGCTCATCTCGGTCCAGTTCAGTTCCAACCTCCTCAAGTTCGAGCAGCACTAGGCCATCAAGTACACTAGTGTCTACGACCGGCTCCAGTACACCTTCAGCCACAGCATCCCCAGATACATGGAATTATCTTGGCTGCATGAACGACACTACAACTGCTCGTGCAATCTCCGGGGCTACATTAACAAATACGACTGCGATGACCGTTGGTATGTGCAAGGACTTCTGCGAGTCCAAGAACTACCCGCTTGCCGGGCTCGAAAATCTAGGAATCTGCTTCTGCGGCCTTGCAGTTAAGAATGGTGGATCTCTTGGTCAGATAGGATGCACTTCCGCATGCCCAGGCGACAAGTCTCAATTCTGTGGTGGGTCTAAACGTCTGAATGTCTATAAGAACACGGCGTACATTCCTCCGACCATTCCAAGAAGCAGTGGGCCTTACAACTACACTGCATGCTACACGGAATTGACGAATGCTCGAGCCATGACAGGTTACACATTTACCAACACCACAGGGATGACTGTGGATGTGTGCACCAGTACATGCTCGACCAAGGGCTACTTGCTTGCCGGTCTGCAATTCGGAACTCAATGCTATTGCTCAAATACCATATCCGCTGCTGCTCCTGTTGTTGATGATAGCCAGTGTCAGGTCTTGGCTTGCCCAGGGGAGAAACTGCAATACTGCTCGGCAGCAAGCAGACTTCAAGTCTACTCTAGCTAGAATCCTTCAACACTTGTACTAGATCTGTGGAAAAGGAATGGTCGAGATGCCGTACATGTCTGCATGAACTTCCTTCTTTCAGTTGCATTAAATTGGCACACATTGCCATCTAGATTTCGTTTATAATACCAGCAGATTGGGTCGCAGAAAAATGATATTTAAAGAGTGAAATGTGGCGAGAAATATTCACCTGTACATTTGTAACTTCTTGCTTTCTTTAATTGATCTTGATATAACTTCTCGATTTCGCTTTCAATTTCAATTTCTTGATCTCTTCGAGATCTTCTTGACTTCCTGACTTCTTGAATCTAATCTCTTAGCGCCTTCAACCTGGCTTGAAACTCAGCTCAATCCAGCTTGTAATATCCTACCTGGATACACTTGTATACTTCGATTGAGGTTGCTGCATTATGCCATGACTCCTGGACCAAATGAAGTTTGTTGCCCGCATTACATGAACCGATACAAATGTTCAAGAGCCAGTAACAAATAATGCAGTGTATATACAATGGTATAAGGGAAAACACATCGTTCAGGATAATTCAGCATGACAAGACAATGACAAAGAAGAGATGTCTTTGAGATTTCGGAGTTGATCCATGATGAGCTCCGACAATAGAACTACCCCATAAATCGAGTGCACAACCCGCTGCGCAGTGGGCCCTCGCCATGTACAGCCTGTACCACTGAAATGGCAACCCTGCAGAGCAGCCCGCTCACTGCAACTTAGTGCCACTCTCCCCCACATCCCACTGTTCTGACTGAGACTGTACCTGACCCGACATCTCGGAGCTCTCCACCCCACTTTCGGACCCATTAAGGAGATACAAAATACTCCTGCTACAATCTCATACCTTCATAAATTCCTTGAAGCTCCCCAAAATTAGCATCCTTCAGATCGCTAAATTTTTCAACATGGCATCTTCAAAATCCGGCACAGCGAAAGCCCGCCTCGCAGCCATCCAGAAAACCCTCACACGTCCATCTCTAAAATCGACATCAGAAAACCCACCCTTCCCGTACCCAGTAGCAAATGCCACCATTCCATTCTGGCGAACACAACTTCATCCTCTGGATTCTCATCGAAGTACGCCTGAATTGCCTGAGAAATGTGAAATCGTTGTTATAGGTGCGGGGTACACAGGTGCTTCAATGGTGCACTATTTACTGGACGAGAATGACGCTGCAGGGAAATCGATTGTGATTTTGGAGGCCAGAGAGGCTTGCTCAGGAGCTACCGGGAGAAATGGTAATTGTCTTTATTCTCAGTTTCTGGAAGGAAATTTCATTACAACGAAATTGACTGACATTCTGGGGAATTGTAGGGGGTCATTTGAAGCCTGATGTCTATTTCAACAGTAAGCCACACTTCTGGGCAACTCAATTGATACTGATTCTAACTTATTCTAGTCCCTAAATAGTAGGTGTTAGAGGAGCCCGGGGGTTCAAGTTCTGTCTTGAGCATGTTCCAAGATTTCCACAGGCATATTCTACCCAGTTCCTGAAACGGCCCAGATCTGGCATTACTAATACTCTCGATCCATTAGTAAGAAGATGTTTGGTGACGAGATGGCCACAGAAATCGCCAAGTTTGAATCATCACAAGTCTTCGCAGTAAAAGATCTCGTCGAGAGAGAGAACATCGATTGCGAATTCCACTTGACTAGAGCCGTAGACACCTGCCTAGACCAAGCACATGCAGATAAGTGTAAAGCCGAGTTTGATCAATTGATTGCAAGCGGAGAGCCTTCTACGCGGGATGTACACTATGCAGCAGGGAAAAATGCTGAAGCATTATCGGGTGTAATTGGAGCGAAAGGGGCATTCAGTTTCACGGCCGGACATATTTGGTGAGCTCCCTTGAATATTGTAAGGATTGTGAGCTTACGCCACCAGGCCATACAAGATGGTGATGCACCTTCTCCAACGAGCCGTTGGCCGGGGCGTCAATCTGCAGACCAATACACCCGTTCTCTCCATTTCAGAAACACCATCGAAAGATGGATTCTACTCTGTGAGAACGCAGCGAGGGATCCTCCTAGCAAAGACTGTTGTTCTGGCCACCAATGCGTACACCTCTTCCCTTGCTCCAGAATATTCTTCCAGGATTATTCCAGTACGGGGAATATGCACTCGTATCAGCGTTCCAGAAGGTACCACAGCCCCTTATCTGCCGAATACACACAGTATAAGGCACGGTCCAGGATTGTATGATTATCAGATCCCACGCACAGATGGCAGTATTATCGTAGGTGGAGGCCGAAAGATGTTTTGGGATGATACGAAGCAGTGGTATAATATCACTGATGACGCGACGTTGATTGAGCCAGCCGTTGACTACTTCAAGGACGATATGATGCAGAAAACGTATCGAGGATGGGAAAATTCGGGCGCGAAGCTGGATATGGCATGGACGGGCATCATGGGATACACGACTGATCTGATGCCACATGTTGGTTCGATACCAGGCAAGCCAAATCAATTTGTTTGTGCAGGATTCAATGGTCATGGAATGCCTTTGATATTGCTAGCTGCCCAAGGAGTCGCTAAGATGATTCGAGAGGGTTGTGATTTCAGAGAAACCGGGATTCCTGCTGTGTTTCAGACGACAGAGACTCGGCTGAAAGATGCTTCGAATGCCATACTGGAATCAAAGCCTCAATAGAATGAAACCCGAGATGCGAATGTTGTACTCTTGACATCGGTTTCTCGATGAGGACGGTATGGCAAGGTGGATCAAAAGGTTTCATAAGTGAAGGTATCAAGATGTTCCGGGAATTTTCCCTTTTCAGAATCTCGAAATCCCTTTAGCCCTAACTTTGGAGAGCGCTCTCGTGGTTTATCTGGACTTTCTCTGAAGAAGTGCACAATTGAGCGTTGAAGCACTGGCGACATCACTGCAAGACCATCGCCATGCTCAACACAGTCCATAATCTTGACCTTCAAGGTTTTGATCCCCTTCATTTCCAACTGAGACAGAGCCTTTTCCCAGTGCGACGGAACCGGCTTGAAATCGTATGAAGCAATATAGGCTGGATCCTGAATACACGCCATATCCTGGTAGATGAACATCCTGATCTTCAGTACGCGAACTAAGTCCTTGTTTCGGCTACCGACTTGTTGTTGGAATCGAAGAAGCTCTCCCGGTCCAGTAACGGAGAGTTCGTTTTTGGAATAGAGAATCTCGGCGGCTTCTTGACTGATCTGCCTGTTCAGGTACAGCAAACTGGGGGTGGCAGGCTTTCGACGGTCGTCATCCAAACTGAGATGTTGAAGTTCTTGTGGCTCAATCCTGATCGGTTTTTCTGCTTGAAGCGCCAAAAGATAGATTTGGTCACGTATCTCACGAGGAAGTTGCAAGAATGGAAACGGACTTTTGTTGTGTCCTAGGAGATTGGTGGCTGCATCGAGAGCTTCTTTAGTGCGGATGTATTTTCTTTCCATGGAGCAGAGGGCACGTCGAAGTCTCTCGTTCGACTCCTTTAGAGACTGAATGTCATTGTCACCAGGTTCAAGCTGCCAGACAGGAGTGTCCATGTTGTGATTTTTGGTGGGAGATCGACCTGGCCTCGAAGCACTGGTGAATTTTCGGAATTTATGTAAGTTGCAGCAAGCTGGAGAGATCCAAAAGACGTTGACGTGATACGAGCTCGTCAGAATGATGCAATTGTGACAAGTCACTCGCGAGTTGTGAAGGTGACAAACTCGTTGTCATTGTCACCAGCCAGGTGATTCATGTCCCAATAAGGTTAGTGCGGGGCAGTCGCCAAAACCTCGGGTACAGTAAATCTCCTGGAAACTCTTCTGGACTGCGGCTTGTCAGGTTGTGAATCGGTGGATATTTGCGCATTTGCGCATCTGCTCATATTACGGCTTTGTAAACTTTCTTGATGAATTGAATGCTCTAACTAACTATGCCTCGATCACCGGATAGACTGGTCTTGAATCATAACCAGCTCATGGCGCAAAGAATATACACATCAGCAAGTGATGCCCAACGGAGATGATATACAAAGATGCCTCCAGGCCCCTTCCGAGTCGAAGGCTTAACCTGTGAGCCACTTGTGTACATCTGGGATCCGTGATACTCCCATGGTAGCCCCATAGGAATGGTGGAGAATAATTCAGTTGAGTGCGGGGAAATCATGGAGGGCAAATGCCGGCTATGAGGCCCGCTGCTATGTGTATACTTTGTCCTTCTTCAGAGCGGAAGACGCCATACCGAAGAAATCCTTCCCCGTTTCTACTCCACAATCCGTCAAAAGAAACGGAAGCCGGGAAGACTTTAACCCCTGCAGTTTCAATTGGCCCAGATCGTTGTTTCTGCCCTTTCTAGGAGTGTCCTGTCCTGGTTCTCGGAAACCCTGCATTGGTCCCCTGGATACTTTGGATGAGAGATCCAAGCAAACAACTAGATTCTAGCGAAGGGGTGTGTTCATCCACTCACCACGTCCCTTAAATCTCATGTCCAAAGCTACTTCTGCTTTCAAGTGACGCTATATTGATCTGCATTTCTGTCACGATATATTTCCTCCGTCTCTACCTAAGCATGCCTCGCTCTTTCTAGAGAAGATTGGTCAATGTATCTAATGCAGGGCAATTGACACGCGAGGAGATCACTGAGTACAATTTCAAGAATACTTTGATACCGGCCCGACGGTGTATTTAGTTCCGGATTAAAGTCTATATATGTCGTGGTTTACTACTCAATAGAGAAGCTAGAACTCAGCAACTGAACCAAAGAATTCGAGCAAAATGAAATCATTCACTCTCCTGACGGCTGCCTTAGCGATTATTGGTGTGAATGCACAACAGCCTGCTTATGGCCAGTGTAAGGAACCATCCTGTCGGCCAATGCATGGGGCTAACAGGAGCAGGTGGTGGTCTCAATTGGACTGGTACAACATCTTGTGTCGCCGGGTATACCTGCTCTTACCAGAATCCGTACTACTCTCAATGCGTTCCTGGCACCGGTAAGCTTCAAGATCAACAGTGGTGAGTAAAATATACTTACCTCAAATCATTAGCCAGCGCTGGATCTAGCACGTCCACGAAGCCGGGAAGCTCTTCCAGGACAACTCTAGTAACGTCCACTGTTAAGCCTTCTTCAAGCACGTCAAAAGCATCCACGACGGCCAGCGCAACATCGACACCAAGTGGTGGTATCACGGGCTATGCAAAACCGAATGGCCATGCTTTTATAATCAACGGCAAGGCAACCTACTTCATGGGAACAAACACATATTACATCGGCTTCCTTAACAACAATGCCGACATTGACCTGATTATGTCCCATCTACAGACTGTGAGTGTTTCCACACTTCGCACAAGATTGCACTGACAGAAGAAAGACTGGCCTTAAAGTCCTCCGTGTATGGGGCTTCAATGACGTGACAGCACTTCCCGGCGGAGACACGGTCTGGTATCAATCTTTCATCAAAGGCCAAGATCCGGTTATCAATACAGGCGCAAACGGACTTCAACGTCTTGACTATGTTGTGAAATCTGCGGAGGCCCATGGAATCAGTCTCATCATCAATTTCGTGAACAACTGGAACGATTACGGCGGCATGGCCGCATACGCATCCTACTATGGCATTGCAGTTACCGATTGGTATACTTCGACAGCTGCCCAGACCCAGTACAAGAAGTACATCGCTGCCGTGGTTGCTCGGTACAAGACCTCAACAGCAGTCTTTGCCTGGGAGCTAGCCAACGAGCCACGCTGTACTGGTTGCGCAACATCCGTAATTACCAATTGGGTAGCTTCTACATCCGCATACATCAAGTCTCTCGACTCGAACCACATGGTCTGTATTGGAGATGAGGGCTTCGGGCTCGATGGGGGAGCAGACACGTCGTACCCGTATACCAGCGGTCCAGGTCTCAACTTTACCAACAACCTCGCCATCTCCACCATCGATTTCGGTACCTATCACGCATACCCAGGCTCTTGGGGCGAGACAGATGATTGGGTTCCCTCTTGGATCAACACACACGCCGCAGCAGCTGCTGCTCTGGGAAAGCCTGTCGTCCTTGAGGAGTATGGCACGAATAATGCCAAATCCAATATGGCTTCCTGGCAAACGGCAGTATTGAATACTCAGACTGCTGGTGACATGTATTGGCAATATGGCGACTCACTGTCGATTGGTTTGACCAATGATGATGGACATGCAATCTATTATGGCTCCTCCGATTATGCTACTCTTGTAAGTTCGGTTTCGAAATGGTGATGCTGGGTACTAACTGAAGATAGGTGACTGCGCATGCCGCTGCTATGAATGCTAAAGCGGTTTAAGAATATGGCATCTTGTACCAAAAGAACTACTTTCCTTGTAAATATTCCCTGAAGATGCGCCGGATCCACCTTCTCCATATAACTAGTCATCTTTAACTTCATCCTGCACCATTCTTGAGGTTCCGGTGAGAATAGATATATGGATTGGTGATCGCCAACAGCGATCCATAGACCAATATATACAGCTACTCCCGTTCACTCCTGGCCCCCACAGCGTAGATACACCCATGCTTTCCTGAGAATTTTCCCGTATGTGCCTCAGTTGGTATGCTGCCCGAACCACTATACCCCATCTCATATACCGTAAAATCTCCCACTACACACTCGGCAGTTCTTCCTTCCTCTCCCCTTCCATTCCACGCGCTTCTAACCAAGTCTGTTCACTAACCCAACACGACCATTTCCTCGTCCCGCGCCCCGTAAACCTAGTCCCTGTCTCCGAAACTGCCCTTCCATCACAAATTCCCATCTTGACACTCTCAGGCGTAACCACACAGTCCGCGAACCGATTACCCATCCGTGTCAAGTACGCCACCTTGTCGAAATAGTCATGGATTTGTAGGCCTTCAACCCCGCCGAGGGAGAAGATGCGGTGGTCGGAGCAGTCGGCCGATTTGATACACCAGTCTTTAGGGGTGTTTTCTTCTGTTCCCTGCCAGGCGACGAATGTCATTGTTGGGGGGTAAAAGGATTCGCCGAGGTAGATTGGCTGCTTGTGGTCAAGGTTGGGGATGGTGGGAACATCGGAGCTACCGAGCGCTAGATGGATGATTGAGAGGAACAGGAGGGACTTCATGGTGAAGGAAGCTTTGCAACAAGAGAAATTGAATGATTTCGGAGGCTGCAACGCGTCTTGCAAAGTACGTACTCTCCCAGCGTCTGATATCTTCTTGCAGCCATTGAAGATACGTGTACTTACCATAGCTCGTCAATTGAAGTGCGGTATTGGACCGACACAAGTATTGAGCCTAAACTAAAACACATAATTTCGGTGTATAACTGGCGGAAACTGGAGGAGCATTTATCCGCAACTTCACAGATAGAGTTGAGGTATGAAGTTGACAGCATGTCCCTGGAGTCCTCGCTTAAAAAGCACGCCACGGCGTTTTTGGGATAGCTTGATTGTGAAAGCTTACCACCTTTCCGTGGAGTGTCCGGATTACACAACCTCAGCACAGAAATTTTGGAACATCTTGAGATCGAACCATTGCCCTGTACCTTGAGAAGAAATCCTCCGCCGCCTGACTCATTTATGTAGCACCTGCTAATTTAGGACAAAGTTGTCCTTGTCCTGTCAGCAGGTACAAGTCTGCCTGATCTCCGAATTTTCTACTTAAACGCACTCTTGAACTCTACTTTCGAATCTTCCACAAAGTACCATTCCTTAATATTCAATCATCATGCCTCTCGTACTACGTCCCGCGACTCCAGCGGACGCAGCAGTTTTCACAGACATCTACTTCTCCGCCTTTTCAATCGACGCCGTCTCCCTCCTCGTCTTCCCCCGGGACACTTCATCCGCGCGTAATTTTCCCGCCTGGACCTGGTGGTACAATTCTATCATCGAGGAAATGCAAAGCCCTAATGCGCACTTCATCTGTGTTTACGACTCGGATACTCCCGACCAGAAAATCATCTCATACGCTAAATGGAACGGGCCTGATGAGCACTTTGGCACTGATCTGCCGGTGTGGCCAGAGGGAGCTGATATCGCGCTCGCGAACCATTTCTTTGGGAACCTGGTGAATCTTCATGCGTCTATTATGGAGGGGAAGAGTCATTGGTATTTGGAGCTCGTTGCTACGAGACCAGAGTATCAGGGGAAGGGGGCAGCCGGGAAGCTGTTGAGATGGGGCATTCAAAAGTCGGACGAGGAGGGCACCGAGACATACTTGGAGGCCAGTCCAGACGGAAAGCCAATTTATGAGCATCTTGGATTCCACGAGGTTGATCGGTTGGTGGTGGAACTGGAGGGGAAAGGAGAGGGTGTGTTGAGTCAAAAAGAGTTCATTGAGGTCTGCATGGTAAGGCCAGCAAGGAAGGAATGAAAACAAAGCTGAAGGTAATTCCTAATCCATGTTGAAATATCACAATTCTATGCTCAAAACAATATTAAACTCCTCATAACCCACCCATAACCATGACGACTGAACTTTCTTCTAACTATTGTCGCAGATTTCGAGCTATGCAGAGAACGCCATGACAAACTTCTTCCAACCCAGCCAAACAGATGTCACATTGTTTCTCTGACCGGATCCACTTTACACACCTTCAGCCTTGGCTCTCCCAACCACAACCGGCCACCGGCTGGGAAACCACACAGCCAGAATCGTAACAGCAGCCACAACAGGTGCAAACTCCAGCCCAGCAAAATAGTTTTCATGGCTCGACAGATGGCCAAAGACACCCTGACTCGTCTCCGCTAGTCTGAAAATGGTTCTGATGAAAATCAAGGTACTAGCAAACGCCAACACAGCCAAGAAGGGGTTCTTTCCTGCCTTATGAGCTGTACCGCGGTCTCGGTAAATCGCTGCAATGACAACTACCAAAAGTGAAAGGTAGACGAAGTACGCTGCTGTTTGGATCGCGAGACCGGCGAGGAGAATGTTGTTGGCGGTGCTGGGATCCTTGCCATTTGAGGTTGCGCCGCCAATGAGACCTGCGCCGGTAATCTGTAGGATCGTACAGAAGACGTCGATGGTGATGAACGTCCACAGGACGACCTTTCTCTGCGAAGCAAGACGGTTCTGCTGCTCAAGTCCAGGCCTTCGTCGGCTGCCCATGCCAGCACTTTCGTCAAGCATACATAGATGGATGCGGAGGTCAGGACCGGGGCTGTAACGATTAGGAAATACTAAAGACGCCAAGGTCAGCTCAAAGCTCAACTCAGGCAAGATATCGGTTAGGGAGCTTGATGCATCAGACTGCACGAGAGGCCCAGCTTTCTACATCCAAGCCGGTCTCGCACGGGGTGGAGGAGAAGAAGTTGCTTTGACAACTGAACCTACCTGGACAACGAAGTAGCTAATATGGTACGGATTCTTGCGAGATGAGAGTGCTCGAAATGCGTAGCCTACGACCTCCATGACACACTTCACTGAAGTTAGTGGTTATCTATACAGGCACGGAAGTTCGCTAATCCTTCACCAACAAGCCACCCCCTCTAATCAGAACTCTGAGATCTGGGGTTCTTCGAGAAAGAAAAGAGCAATGTACACATACAGCAATGACCAGAGGTACAAAGTACCAAAGACGTGCGCGGAACATTTGGAAGAGGTGGGCGAAGAAGAGAATGGTGAAGAACACGATGCCGAGTATGCAGAGCGTGAAATTCGGTGTATATCTGTCGCCATTCAGTCAGAACTCATACACCAGAATGAGAGGACAGTTTACTCACCCGTATATAATTATAGTCGCATCTCCAGGACCCATAGGATTAGGGAAATTCGGGTCAATATAGCCTCTGCTAGGTCTTCCGCTAGACATCCTGATGGCTTGATAGATTGATGCCGTGCGAACCGATTTTGATTGCGAATGTGCTGTCGTGCTGAGATGGTTCTGGAAAACGTATCTGGATGTGTTCAGCGGTCGTCTGCAAGCTGCGACCGTGAAGATATATATCTAATTGATTAGTGTACAGAGGCTGAGAGAGTCATTTAGCCCTCCTTGCTTGGCGAGACCCAGCCGCTGTTTAGCGTGTCGGCGCGACGGTCTTGAATCGCACCTCTTGTCACTCCGGGCAAGTCAGAACGAGCATCGGTCAAACACAACTTTAAGCATTATGATAAGCAGTCCCAGAGATCCAATTACCGCTTCCAAGCTCCATTTTTCATGTCAAGCCGGTACAAGGTCAAGGCACGTGATCGGATGATGATCTTGATTTTGGCTCCGATGTCCAGTTCAGGCCGTGTGCCAAGCGAGACGGCTTGAATTTCACTAGCTTTCATTAGTCGCAGTGGAAATACCGTCGTCATAGATAGTCGTATGTCTGGGTAGTGTCCCAAAGGTCATATTGGTGGCTTTTCCTTTGTCGGTATGGCTTGTTGATGTTATTTTTGAGCGGTACTAGCTAGGCAACCTGTCAACGGAAAATGATGCGGGCCTGTTTACGGGTTATACTCTTTGACGATGTGCCGGGCATGGAAGTAACATTTATCAAACATGTTGCGTGCGGGTGTCTCAAAGGGGCAAGTGCTAAACGAACGAGAAGGCCAGCACTTTCGCCAGGGTACATTAATCGCCCAAGCAGACAAGCAGTTACGAAAAAATCCAGTATGTTACACCTTCGATATTGGGTTATCAAGACTCTCGAACTCGGCAAAATCGACCTATCGACAATTATAAGGTCTACCATAATTCAATACATGATCGGACACTTCCTCTTCTGCTGTCCAATTACCACCATGTAATATCGTCCCAAATCATCGAGGACTCGGGCTCTATGCCATTAGGATGTCTGTTCTGAGGTATTTTTCCAAGCGAGTGATATGACTCTGGGTATAAACAGTCAAGCAGACATGTCTTTATAACGAAGAATTGTGACCCCCTTGACAATCGTAATCGTACATAGCTTGCATTTGGCTCGCATCAATACCCCCGGCCATACCCATATCAGGAAGCCAGTTGTTGAAGCCAGGGTTGAACGTGTCACTGGCGCCCAATAACATGAATTGATCGATATCTAAACCATCACCGAAATCGTACTGAAACTCTCCCATATCTTGTGTGTCGAATTGGTTATGCATGGCAGTATCATGGTCAGTGGAATCCTTTGACTGAAATTTGGTTTCGATGACAGCATTTGACGAGGCCATGTCCCTCGTGCTGCTATCGGCCTTTCGTTGAAGCTCGTAAGTGACGCGAGGCATCGGTGGAAGCCAGCATTGGTCCACAGCAGGCGAGTCGACTGGAGGTGGCGTAAAAGTTTGACTGCTCTCCTGGCTTTTGTACCATCCGTAGAACCGCATCAACATACCCAAGAAAGTGTAAGGGGCTCTACATTCCATCGGCCCCACAGCTGCAATTAGCAGGTCAATTAGTGCTTTGAGATAGATCCCCAGCTTCAAGCGCTCGCTATCTAAAACCTCGCCGAGCTTGCTTGTAGGGGATTTCGACGATATATAAAGCTTTACCAGAATAATAATTGAGTATGACATGCGGACGAAGTTGTACACTGGAAGGGAACGGAGGACGGAGAGCTCCATGGCGAGAATTATGTCAAGCATCGAATGAGCTGACGAAATGAGGTTAGCCGTAGCATCAATAAAGGAGTGTTTGGCCCCGGGCATAGTGTGAATCGACAAGATTTTTCCAAGGTTAAATGGTGGTCTAAAGTCTTCTGGTGGGTGGTCATCGTGTAATGCGATCTCATGAAGAAAGAGCTGAGAATGATGGTATTGGATCATTACCGCATCTAACAAACTTTAGCCAATGCATAAATACAAGACCGAACATACCATTGACATGTGACCCAAACAAAACTTTCCAGGACTGGAGCGTTTTTTGAAGTCCACTCATTACGATCTGAGTTCGAGGCTCCGAGAGGCTTGCCATATAACTGATGTCTTCAAAGCCAAAAGCCAGCCCAATTTCCTCAGTAATTTTCATAAGTTTGATCCAGGAGACCAAGTGTTTGTCCATTTGGGAGGCGTTTGGGTTATTCTCTAATGATTCAAGGCATTGGCCTACCCAGCGACTGTAACGGAGCATGTTAGGACGTCTACTACTGAGAGAGACTCTACCAAAAATTAGCACGATGTTTTCAGAAGTTGCAGCTCTTAATTACCCTGTAGATATCAGGTAGCACACGAGAAATGTTCGTCTTCTCTCAATTTCCGCAGAGTCCACGTAGTTTGAGAGTGGATTATCGTCCTCAGAATTACGCCTCCGGTCCCTTGAGGATTGAGGGTTTGTTCCGAGGCCAATGTCAAGTCCCATGGTAGCAGCCATGTGGATGTACTCGTAGTATTTCAGCTCTGAAAGGGCGTCAGTGAGAGAGGGTGGAATATTGAAACCAGATCCCGTATTTTCAGACGCAGGCAGTAAAATGCCGTCGAAGGAACTCACGAGCAAATTTTCCAGGTGGGAAATACCACTAAATTGATATCAGTATTTAAATCCGATGCACTGAGTTTAGATCCTGCAGAGGTCCAAAACGTCACTTACGACTGAGAGAATGATCATAACTTGCACAAGCTCAAGAGACTTCTGACCTTCTATGACAGTTCTGTGTGCATAAGCACACAAGAGCTCCGAGTTGAGGATACTATACAGTTGAGAGCCCATTTTCCCCGAAGCTGCTGCTACAGTGGCCAAGAAGAGTGTTGGCTTGGTCTTTCGAAGTTCTTCGGCAGAGACAGTTGGCTCGAGAGACACCGCAGGGTAATGTTGAACGAGATTGTCATTGTATGACTTGAACAATTTGGTAGCTTCTTCCATGCTAATAAGTCCCCTCTCTATGAAATCGGACTCGGGTGAAAATGGTTGAGGGTTTTGGTCCTCCTGGACTGGAGGGGTCAGGTTGGTTGGAATCGACCAGGATGCAGGGGTTTCTCCGGACTCTGCACTCTGGTCTTGAGCATCCGATCTCATACCATAGCTCATACCAGTTCGAGGTGTATCATTTTGGGAATCTGGCTGGGAAGCTTGTTGGGTATATGTGGCTGGAATGTCGTCGTTGCCTTGCCGGAACAGAGCTCTCATCGCAGAAACCTCTCTTTCAAGCTCAGCAACCCTGGTATCTGTCCGCTTTCGCTGCTTCCGCCTCATAGGAGCAGCGAATATGCATTGCCGGTCTGTTTTCGCACATCTCTGACATATTTTGGATGATCCTAGTGTATTTGGAAGGCATCGAACTTTGTGGGCTCGGCAGGCTTCACAGGCACGATTACTGGCTTGCTGTTCGAACGAGCTTTTGGGGCCGCTCTGGTTCATCGTGGATAGAAAGCTCGAAGCTCAGGTGACTAGAGTTTATGCAGACGGGACGATACCGTCGGGAAATGGCTTCTATAAGAAGGAGAGCCACAGTATATTGATCGAAGAAGTTGACGTTCGGAAACAACAAAGCTAGTCCTGTATTCATGAGGTGGGGTGGCTGAGGCGGGGTCGTCAGCATCTGCAAACACTGGCGACTGCCAAGTATCCCAAATTATAGTGGTGTCGCATCAGCTTTAAACCGTCTGACTTTAGCGTCAATCAATGGCCTCATTTGGAGAATGAGATTGGGCTGAACAATCCTGCACAGTAACTTCGTACAGTAGGTAAGGGCTCGGGTGCAGCAGAGACGTGCCTCGAATACTCGTCACCTTTTAAGTATACCAACAGTTGCTAAAGAATGGTGTGCCACAAATAATTTTCTTTCCGTACCATTTACTAAGAACTGCAGAGAACTTTCATTACCTTATCAATGCATTTAGTGATCTGAAGCCTGCAGAGGTCCTGAATTGGCCAAAGTTTTGCCTCGGGCCTCAACCAGCACAAAATTCAAGTTTGCTATTCCAAGATGTAGGAGTAAAATCCTGAACCGATTGAGTATGTAGGCCGAAGAAGAAAAAAGCAGCATCGGCTGCCAGTACCTTCATCGGCTGTGTCAGATGTGGTGCTACTAGCAGTTCCTATTTCGATTCTCCGGCTCTACTCCAGTGGTACGAGAGTACGAGCGGAGAGCTAGGTAGAGCGAACAGTGAGCGGATCCTGTAAGACGGAAGTGCCTGTAGCCACTTCTACAGCTCTATTGGTTGAAACTGTTCGATTGGATGTAAGTGCTTACTTTCACAGTTTACTTAAGTTACTCTTGCAGGCGAGAATTAACCGAGATCAAGAACAAAACAGCGTAAGCATTGTAACCAGTCCCGTATAAGTTCAAAATTGCTCCCGCTATTCTGTCGGCGGTCTGATAAATTTTCACAGTACTCTATTCATAGTACAAGCTGCTTTACGTTCTATTCAGATTTGATAAGTGCAGGACAAGAAAACATCATGTCACCAACCCTCGCCCTCCAGAGCAATGAGATTCAACAGAAGATTACGGAGCTACAACCCGGCAATGAAATGCAACGATTGGATCTTTTGCAGTGTGCCCGTGATCTCGTCAGCTCTCTCGAAAAGCCTCACGAGCGTATCATGCGCATGATTTACCTCGAGGCCGCAGTGTTTACAACAACGAAAATCCTCATTGACTTGGGCATCTTCAAGACCCTTGCTGAGGCAAAAGAACCACTCACCGGGGTAAAGCTGGCGCAGGATGCTGGCGCAGATTCAGCTCTCGTAGAGCGATTGCTGAAGCTCATTGCGGTCGAAAAATTTGTGCAAGAGACAGGCCCTGATACCTACACTGCAAACGATGTCACTCGAAGTATTGCATTACCTGGACCTCAAGGAGCTATCGAAGACATGTTCCACAGCGCGCGTACTCTAGCAGCGCTTCCAGAGTTTCTCGAAAAGACTAAATACGCAAATCCCACGGACAAGGACAACAGTCCATTCAAGTATGGACACCAGACAAAACAGCATTATTTTGAATACATCAACACTCCAGGACGAGAGAAGAACCTGGAAGCATTCGTCAAACACATGGCTTTCAAGACTGTGGGATTAAAGTGGTACGAGGTGCCAGAGATTATGGAATCTGTTTTTGGGGATACAAATTGTGGGAAAGACGATGCACTCCTCGTGGACGTCGGAGGTAATAGCGGACACGATCTAATTGACTTTCACAAGGCACATGATTCCGTGCAAGGCCGTTTGATCCTCCAGGATCTTCCATCGACTATTGAGACTCTTGATTCCGTCGTTCTCGCAAAACAAGGCATTGTGCCTATGGGCCACGACTTTTCCACGCCTCAGCCTGTTCACGGTGCCAAAGTGTACTACCTGAAGATGATTTTGCATGACTGGCCCACCACACAATGCGTCCAAATTCTCACACAACTGAAGGCTGGTCTCAAACCAGGGTACAGCAAGATAGTTTTGAATGAGATCGTGATCCCAGAACAGAAGGCAGGGTGGTTTGAGACCAGCGTGGATGTGTTGATGATGTATGTTCATTCTGCTCAGGAACGGCGGGAGAGAGAATGGAGGGAGTTGGTTGGTAAGGTTGATGGGCTGAAAGTGACGAAAATCTGGGATGTGGAAGGGGCTGTGGAGAAGGTCATTGAGATCGATGTGGTTTGACCGCGGTTTTGATATCGTTTGTTGGGGAGATAGAAGGATAAGGTAGGCTCGGTAGGATACCGGCCTTGGTTGGTAATAAGCGAGAAAATGGTGGGCTAGCCAAACAACCCAGATCATAGCATGTACCTCTATGGGAGATAAATCAGACTCTAGTCATGGCACACTCATACTCTCACGTAGATTCGGTCTATTTCAAATATTTCAGTACCCTCCTGCCACCTTGTGTTGCCCCTCGAATTCATCCCTTGTGTGGGTGGGGTGCAAGCCGCCGGGCCATCACGCCGGGTTGGTATCTTTCGGCCTCCTCAACTTCGTCAAGTGCAGAGGGCCGCTATTGACGAGAGAAACTGGCTATCGCATCCTTGATGAGCCAGCGTGACAGATGACATCAGTTCCGTGATATAAATGGGCCAAGGAAGGGCATTTCGGCCATAGCTTTTTGTTCTTGTCAACCTGTGCTTTTCGGCGGAAAAGCGTCAGCTGGAGCTGAAAGGCAAGCGCTGAACCAGGGTCGAGATCAGTAGGGTGTCGAGAGTTTGCCCAAAGCAAACAGTTTGACGATCCTTTTGAGACTGAAGTATAGTATACATTACGAGCATCTGATATGAGAGACACGCTTTTTAGAAGGATCTGGATGATATCAAGGGACGGCTCATCTGGACAAGGCTTAGTCAGGAAAAGTGGAGCAAAATCAAAGCCAATGGAAAGGTTCAGCCTCGTCTGTTGAACCTCGTCCCTCTTTGAACAAACAATTTCCAAACAATAACAAAGTACGGTCTTCCCACAACTTTCAGCAACTTGAACCGGGAGACGCAACTTCAAAACGCAAACAACTCTCATCATGAGTGAAAACTTCGTCCCCCCAGGTCAACAGCGCAACCTGCGCGCCTGCATGGTCTGCTCTATCGTTATGTACATATTCCCCTCTCCTCCGTGGCCCCTCACCCTCCTTTACCTACTTTCAAAATTAACAATGCTCGGCCTTAGGACGCAAAACCGCTTCCTGAAGGAAGGCTGCCCCAACTGCGAAGACTTCCTGCATCTCGAAGGCTCAATGGAAGCAATCATCGACTGCACATCTCAAGTCTTCGAAGGATTGATCACACTCGCGGATCCGAGTAAGAGCTGGGTCGCGAAGTGGCAGAGACTGGATGGATATGTGCGTGGGGTTTATGCTACGAAAGTCAGCGGGCAGCTGCCGGATGAGGTGATTGCTGTCATGGAGGATGAAGCGAGGATCAAGTACATTCCGTGAGTTTTCCTTGAGTTAGAGTGCTGCTCAGGAGTGTATGTCAGAAGGCTGATATATATTAGGAGAGATGGAACTGCCACGGATGCAGATTAGAGGTGGCAGATGTGACAGATGGAGGCTAGTGGGGTTTAGGACAATGGAGGTGTTGAAGAGACGCATGGGCATATTGCGGCATAAAACGGGTGGTTAGGAACAGCGAAATGGAGTTAAAGGAGTTGCGGAATGAATTGCAGTTTATTCTCTACAGCTAAATGCAAGTGGTATCTAGCCAACGCCATGTTTATACACCTAGAAAGTGCCCCAGAAAACGCCTGCGATCCACAATATGAGCCTAATAACGCTGCTTCTTTTGTGGAGGACCTCCAAAACCTGGTGGGCCTCTTTTGTTGTTCCGCTCCATTTCCTCCCGCATTATACGCTCTGCTTCGCCCATTTTCTTAGGTTGTTCGATGATCGCGGCTTTCTTTCCTCCAAGAGCATTCTTCTTAGCAGCGGCGAAGACATTCCTAGGCTTGCTTGAGAGTCCCATCTTCATAGATATCTTGCCTGGTGCTGCTGGCTTAAACTCTGCTGTTTCATCTTTGGAATCTTTGGGAATCTCGTTTTTCTGTTCATCTGCCTGGCCAGGTTTTGATTCTTTGATCGCTGGGCTGTCCAGAGCAGGCCCTGATATCGACGCAGCTTGTTTTGTACCAAAACTCAGCTTTATCTTTTCTCCATCCGCCCGCTTCAATTCTTTCTCGGTGTCATCTGCATCCCGCTCCCCTCTTCCTTCCGCATCGAGCTTCGCCTTCCTAACTTGCTCGCGAATAGCGGCCTGCTCTCGCTCCTCATCTCCTCTATCCTGCCGCTCCTTCTTCCGAATAGCATCTGCCCTCCTCAGCGCTTCCGGCGAATTATCAATCCACGCAACGTGCAACCCCTTCTCATCATCCTCCACTCTGCAGATACCCTCTCTGCCCAGAAACTTTGCAAATTCGGTCAAAGAAGGCCATTTCGTCGAGTTCATATGGATGTGTTCCTTATTGTGGATGTATTCCTGGTAAAAGTGATTCAAGTTGACCTTTTTCTCGCCATGGGATGTGCGTAGCAGTTGCAAGAAGTCTCTCTGAAATTGATTGCTATAGTCGTTAATATATTTCTTGGGGTCTTCGCCGACCAGGAGCATCTGTCGGACATGCGACTCGGATTGTGTGTGCATTTTGAAGCCATTCTCATCGCGCATTTGACGCTCGCAGACCTGGAGGCAGTTAGCAAATGCGTGGTAGTGAGGATAGATGAGCAAGGGAATCAAACATACTTGGCAATACCATCGTAATCGCTGGAGTCCTTTGGACTTGAGCTTGTTGTTCAGGTGCTTTGTGGATCCTACTTCAGCTTTCGGCATCTTTGCTGCAATGCTATGCGATCGAGGTTGGAGACAGGAAATTAGAGACTGTGGTGGGGAAGTATGGATAGGGTGGGCTGGGGCTGCGAATCTGCGATGCACCTTTCCAGAAGGTGGCGTTCAGAGGCACGTGCTTCAAGCTAGTCAAAAGAGGGAAGTCGATTTAGGCGAGCCATTGTTTACCTCTTGCCTCGGTCGTTTCTTGGCGCATTGGCTGGCAGAGACGCTAACAAGTATGCGATAGTAAGTTGATGAGGCTCTGAAGGCTCTGTGACCGTGTCCAACACAAAATTGTTTTTGGAAGCTTAATTAGATAGGCCGAAACAAGCCTGTGGCGTGTCTGTTCCGTCGGCCTGCTCTTCGTACGTGGCTCACTTACTGAGATAAGATTACTAGTACAAATTGAGAGATATAGATGGCAATCCTTACTTGCTATGATTAGTCATACTATGGGCTCAGTCTCTTTTAGGCCGATTGCGCAGTGTTTCAAAATTCTGCTCCCAAGGTTGAAAGGGATGTTGAGGCCGTATCGAAGTATGAACGCTGAAGGATGAGAATACAATAGTGACTATATGTACTGAAGATCGTGAGCCTATATACAGCTGATTACAATTTACAATGTGTCGGTTTAATCCCCAGATTAAGAACAAGTTGGCGCTCCCTTTGCGGTTTTTAGGACCGTACTAATGATTAGACTGGTACTTTTGACCGTTGTTGTCTTTATAACAGTACTGGTCACAGTGACATAGGGATCGGAATTTTTCGACGTTTTGGTCTTGGTGACCAATACCGTAGAAATTGGCAGCGTTGTGGTTGTTTTATGGACACTGGTGGCTAATTTCAGGAGTGTGGAGGTGGTTCCTGAAGGCGTGAATGTGGATTTGAGTGTCACCGTGAAAATTTGGCTGATAACGACAGTGGATGGGGGTAGAATGACCGGTGCCTTGGCCGTTTTTAGCGATGTGAAGGTGGTGAGAATCGTTTCGGCTGGTAAAGTGAGTGTAGATGTACCGAGGATTGTGCTTGTTGTCTGAGCTTGAATTGTGACACCTTTGAGGGCGGACGTGGATGTTTTGATGGTGGAATATATCGTTTCGCTAAGCGTTTGAGACAGGCCCTTCAAAGATACCGTGAGAATCGATGTACCTTGCAAGTTGACAAGGATCGTGGAAGTAGATTGGGGGAGGGTGGTCGTCTTGGGAACAATTTTCGTAATCTTAATAGTGGATGTGAACGTCTGCCCGGGAACAACACTCGTCTTCAAAATGTATGAGGTGATCGTGGATGTTTGAGTGGATTTGGAGGCTGCCTTGGTCATCGTGGATGATGCGCTAACCGGAACCAATACTGTACTTGTCGATTGAGGAAGGGTGTAAAAAGTAGTGACTGTGGATGTCGAAATAGACGAGGATGAAGAAGCGGTTTGTCTCTTAACAATGTTCTCGTCTTGGACCTGGTTTGCTGCAAAGGATCTCTTGACATTAGCTGCCGTTGGAATACAAGACAGAGTGCTCGTGGTTTTTTTCAGCTTAAATACTAGGGACGTCGATGAGATAAATGAGGTAACTCCTTTCTTTGCTTTGACTGTAATTGTAGGACTGGCCGGGTTTATTATTTGATACGTCATAGTTTTGGTGACATCTTTGGGTACAGAGGTCAAAATAGTAGTCGTCCAAACCGTGCTTGTCAGAGTGAGCTTCATCTCTGGAGCTTCTGCAGTAGTACTCTGCCCCAAGGTTGATGTACTCTTCACAGTATCGGTTTTCTCTTTAGGCGTTGACGTGGTAGTAGATACCACTGTTGATATCGACGTGAAGACTTTGGACACTGGCTTTGAGTAAGAGTTGAAGTTTGCAGATCCGATACGATTACCGTATGTAGTTGTGTGACAGGAGCAGGCGTAAATGTCGATAGAGCCGTAATCTTTGAGGTAATAAGCTTGGTAGAGGTCACAGAGGGATCTTGGATTACGAGGGTCGATGTTACAACCTCGTCCAGCGTGAAAGTAGTCGACTTCGCGGCCGGAGTTATCGACTGGTACGAAGTCTCAGTCAAGGTCACAGCAGTAGACTTGTAAACGTCGGGTTGGGTCGATAGAATCATGCTTGAGATCTTTTTGGTGACATTTTTGGTGACAATCAGAGCAGGAATGGAAGTCGTGAACAGCAAGACAGAGGTTCTTGTTGATGTGACCACTGGTGCAGAACCAGTAAGAGATACAGTTGACGTAATCGTGACCGTTGCTGGAACATTCGAGACAGCAAATGGAGATATTCCGACAGCCGTAAAGTCAATCCAAGAAGTGCTGGAAAAGAAGTTAGTGAGCTGGAAGGCTGTTGCCTCATTTTCTGTCATTTCGTGGGAGAATGAAACTCTCGAGATCTTAATGGCCCCCGGACCGGTGTTCTAGTATTCTCCGAAGAAAGCAGTATTGGCATTTGGTGTAATCTTTGACCAGACAGACTATCCAGCAGCGTTGATACTAGAGTCGAGATTCGTCTTGATGTAGGCAACTCTGGCAAAAGAATTCCAAGGTCTACCCAGATAGATAGTACCAGATACTACTCCAGAGCCTGCTGCTGGAGCTACTGTGCATTGATCGAAGACAATTCCGCCAATCGACGTATGTTAGGGAAGGAGCTACTTGAGGTTTCCTCTGTATATAACCGCGGCTTCAGCTTACCTTCAACAATCAAGCTTGATACAACCCAGAACTCTGTCTCCCAACAACGTATTTGTCGCTCGCTTGTCAGCCGTGATTGAGATCCCATTGGTATTCGGCGCCATCATCGAAGCTAAGAAGTACATGGAACCAGATCCCCAGATGAAATCTATTGAACCTTCGATGTACGTGTTGTACGTAAAAGCGCTGGCACCTGTTGCTGACATTAGCCTTGCGTCATGTAGGGGCCGCTTTCACTTACCAACGTTGACATTGAACGTGTCCTGGTTACCAAGGATTTGGCAGCCGTAGAATGAAGCGTTCCCATTGTTACCGACGGAAAAGGCCAGCGAGGCGTAGTCAGCGGCTTTGCCGAAAGTATTGACCAGATTGATATTGTAAAACTTGACGTTCTTTCCTCTGGAATAGAAGGTGGCGGAATCTGAGTTACTCGCGTCTCCTTGGGTATCAACTCCAGCAGAATTGGTGATGATAACTTGATTGGTCGAATATTTTGTTGGGTCTTCTGCGTATCCTTGAAAGATAGTAGCCCCTGATCGATTGAATGTGAGTTGCTCATTGTATGTTCCAGGATGTATGAAAATTGTTCGAACGTCACTAGTAGTTGGAAGAAGGGCAGTGCATTGAGCGATGGTCGTGTACGAAACCTTCCCATCAATCGCTGTCTTGGAGACAATACAAGCTCCCGGCGGACGAGTAGTTGAGTTACCAGTTTGGACAACGGCTACCGTTGCCTGAGGAGTGACAATCGAGTCCCAGTATGTCATGTCGATCCATGATGTTGAGGCCATAACACTGTTCAGGGAGTAAGTATCCGAAGTCAGCAGCGTTGCATTGCCAAAGCCAACACGGGCTGCAGTATTGTTCTCCCAGTTACCGGGTCCTGTGTTCTGGTATTCGGCAAATGTGACATAATCTGTGCGTGGATCCGTTCCGTTGCAGACCATACTTTCCAGCCAGCAGGTTGGATAATTGAATCTAGGTAGGAGTATTTTACCACAACTCTAGCGTAAGCATTGTAAGGCCGTCCTAAATAGACCTGTTGATTGAGATCGACAGTCGTATTGGCCGCGGCCGTGAAGAGGCACTGGTCAAATACATATCCGCCCACAGCAGATACGCTAGCTCGGCTGTGAGCAGTGATTCTGAAAAACGAGAAGTTAGTAAATATATTAGATGATCCAAGACATTGCGAGTTTGAAGAAGGCCTTACGAAGCCACCTTGGAGGAATACAGGGAATCGGCTGGCCCAAAATCATAAACTTACGCAGATTTTGCTTTCTTTGCTCCGATCGTGCATCCCTTGAAATATGACATTGAGTAGCCCCAGATAAAATCGATTGCGCCATCAATGTATGAGCTCTCGTAGTATGCAAAGCCCGAAGGATTTCCTGTGAGAATAGTGTCTTGCCATCCGACGAAGCTACAGCCGTAGAATCCAATCTGGTCACCGTAAATCGATGCTGCGAGGGTCACGTAAGAGGGAATAGCCCCATTCAGATTGTCAGTGTTGATGAAATCGATGTTGTAGAACGCAATATTCGTGGACGCAGTGGCAACTACAGCTGTTTCGGCATTCGTATGCCCTGAAGCAACTAGTGCAACAACGGAGAGACCTCGAGCAAATGTGAGGGTGACTTGATTGGAGGTGTACGTCTTTCCAACGCTTGCAGACTGATACCCAATAACGGTGACGGGACCCTTCCTGTTACCAGATAACTGCTCGGTATAAACTCCAGGATACATGAAAATAGTCTGAGCGTTTGTATCGGCGGGAAGAGAGGCCAATGCAGATGTCAGACTTGAAAATGAGTTTGTAATTGTGCCACCAAAAGAGACCAGGACCGCACCTGCAGGAGGCGTTGTGCCACTTGAAGGGTGGATGACCGTAGAATTGGCCGTGGAGGTAGCTGATGGAGTGGGATGTGCTGATGTTGGAGTGCCGCTGAGTCCGCTTGAGGAAAAATTAAATGATGGAACGAAGTTGTAAGCTTCAGTGTCGATCCAAGACGTGCTGCCCAGGAAACTAGGCAAGTCGTATACTGCAGCCTGAGCGGCTGTGAGGTTCGTTGCAAAGGATGCTCTGGTAGTGGACGCACTCCATGCACAAGGGCCAACGTTATTGTACTCCCCAAAAAGGACATTACTAGTCTGCGGGTTGGTCTTGGACCACACATTCCATCCAGCAGCGTTGATGTGCTTGTCAATATACGAGTTCTTGTAGACGACGACAGAGAAATTGCTGTATGGTCTGCCTAGATACAACAATCCGTAAAAAGAACCGTATGTGCCTGTGTAAGTGACAGCGCAAGCATCAAACACATATCCTCCGGTTGCGCTGGCGGACGATCTACTCTGTGCAGCAATGCAAGAGCCAGGTGTATTTGTAGCAATGTAGCATTGTCCGAAGTAGGCTTGCGAGAATCCCCAGATTAAGTCAACTGACCCTTCGATGTAGCAATTGGAGAACACTTGAGTACCCTTGTTGGCGAGAAGACTAGAAAATCCGGAGTCAGCGTCATTTACTCAAGGTCTCAATAAAGGATCAGAAGTTCTGATGGACCGAGAATGGGATGATCACCCACGTATCTTGGAACCCAATGAACGAGCAACCGTACGCCGCCATATTTGTCCCATAAAAATCAGCAGCAAGCGCAGCATAGCTATTGGTCTGCGGGAATGTATTGACAAAATCGATGTTATACAACGCCAGTCCACTGCCATCGGTCTTCTTAGTGTTGATAACAGGTGTCAATTCGTTCTGGCCAGCGCTGGTAGACACGCCATAGGTGAACTGGATCTTCACTTGGTTTTGTGAAAAATCGTTGACGAAGTTGGTCATTCCTAGTAGCATCACTTTTCCTGTACGGTTGATGTTGATCTGCTCGGTGTAGGTCCCAGGCAAAATAAAAATTGTCTTCTCCGCTCCATCGAAGGGAAGGGCAGAGATTGCCGCTTGTACACTCCCATATTGTCCGTCTGTGGGTGTCAAGGACACCACATAGGTATCTGTGGATGGCTTTGCAGTATTCGTCGAAGACGCAGTGGAGGATGTAGCTGATGTGGTTGAGGATGACACTGCAAATAAGGATGCTGGAAATCCCGAGAATGGAACAGTGGCAGCGCTATCGATCCAGCTAACATCCTCCAATACGCTGGCAGCAGAGTAAGCGCCGCCATCTGTTAATATCTGGACTTGGGCCGGCCTTGAAGATTGCACGAACCCAGGTCCTGTATTGTTGGACTCAGCAAAAGTAACATTCGCAGAAGTAGACTTGATAAGCCACCCGATGGGCTTGATGTGGGCATCCAGGTAAGAGTTTGTGACTGCAACTCTTGCCGAGACTGAATAATCCCGGCCTATGTACGTTGATTGGCTCATGGAGGTAGTAGTACTCGGGACGAAAGCACACTGATCAAAGACGAGCCGAGATGGATATGTAGCGACATAATTCTGAGCGGAAATGGTGTAACCAGGGGCATTTGAGACAATAATTGAATTACTGATGAAGGCAGCTCCATAAACCCAAACAAAATCCGAAGAACCCTCGATTCGGCAACCTGAGAAATAAAAAGTGCCAGTATTCGCAAGAAGAGTTCCTTGTCCAGATTTGAAGCCACAAGAGTAGAATCCGATTTGGAGCGCCTTCATGTCCATGGCAATAGCAACATAGTTCGGCGTGATTGGTGCAGTGTTCTCAAAATTGATGTTATAAAAGGCATGGCCCTTGGCTGCAGAAGTTGTCGATCGGAAGACCGAATAGGTCCCTGCACCACCAGCAGAGCTTAGCACACTGCCAGGATATTGCAGAGTGACCAAGTTGGCTGCCTGAGATAGAGGGGTTTTTGACTCTCCACGGAATATTGTGGCACCAGCTCTACTGAAAGCGGGAACTTGCTAAGTGTATGTCCCGGCCAGGATATAAACGTATTGCGTAGTGGAATCCTTTGGGAGTGCTGCAATTGCTGAACTGAAGGTGTTGTATTGAGCACAAGATCCGCTCGGACCGACGACAAGTGCGGTCGAAGGGATACTCGCGGGCAGATCACATGTCGCGGTCGGTGATACTGAGGAGGAAGTCTGGCTCGTCGTAATAACAGTCAATGAGCCGCCTGTTGCTGAAAAACTAGCAGACATAGACGTAGCTGTCTGTATGGAAGTTTGGGACTCAGTACTCGGCGAAGAAACGTTGGATGAGCTGGTCAAGGCAGATGAACTCGAGCCCGAGCTTGACACGACGACATTTGCCGCGGCGATGGACCTCAGCACCAAAGAATCCACCCACGACATTGCAGCACTTGTAAATCCAGTGAAGGAATTTGCAAACACATAATCGATCGTACAGTTTGAGAGCATTGATGAATTCATGTGAGCATCAATGCGTTTAGAGTCATACGAGAAACTACCAAGACCCGTTGTCTGGTATTCTCCGTAAAAACCATTCGTGCCCCATGTTCTCACTCCACCTGGAGCAACGAATCCTGCTATGCTTGAGTACTTGTAAACAGCTTGTGATCCGTCGCCATTGGCTCCAGCCAAATACACATAGGTGTTGGAGAGACCAGTCTTTTGAGAGATTGTGCAGGAGTCGATGACTGTTTGAGAAAACTGAGTCGGCGTCGAGTACCCCTTACTATAGACGACTATGGATGAACTGGCTGTTGGAACAATGGTGGAGCTATACACATAGACCCCAAGGTAGCCAGAGAACAACTTGTCAGTACCTTCGATATATGAATTCGCAATCAAGATCGTCCCGACATTCGAGGCCGTTATTGTACCAGCTCCGGAAGAGATGAATTGGCAGTTGTAGAATGCATTCTGCTTTGAGCGAAGGGACACAGCAGGAGCGGTACCTGTGTTGGTATTGATGAAATTGATGTTCCGCCATGCTGTCCCCTGAACACCACCAACTGAGAACGTCAGAGGCGCAGATGTGTTCGAGACAATGACTTGGTTCTTGCTGTAGCTGGTTGCATCTGCGCTTTCACTGATGACGTTGACTTGAGCAGTCCCGGATACGGTGATCACTTCATGATACGTTCCGGCTCTGACGAGGACTGGAGGTTGGGTAGATACTTGAGCGTAAGCCACAGCTTGGTTGATGGCTGTAAAATGTCCAGATCCAGATTGATCAACTATAACAGTACCTTCGAGAAATTAGAGAGATGTTCCGAAGCTTTCACTGTTTTGGGCATTACCTGACGGCGCTGCTATTGAGGAAACTGTGGGCGCCATAATGACACTTGACGCTGCCGCCGAGTCAGAAGATTGTGCTATGACATGACTTGAAAAATGCAACACAGCAAGCAATCCAGAGACAACTCTTTTGAAGCTTGACATAATTTCGACCTTACGACTTCAAATGAGAACAAGCGGACGGAGAACCGAGACAGCCACTTTCCCACTCCCGGGCCCGGGCACTCCAATTCCTTATACCTTCCCTACAGAGCAGGGAGCCATCGATCCAGCAATATGGCAGACCGTGCTCTCTCCTAGCTACCTTGCTGAGTTGCATGAGATCATCGCCAGGACCACTGAACGCTGGGACAAAGGCTTCCAATGAACATTACAATACCATGAAAATCATATGAGCTGAACAACCATTTTCGGCCGTGGGTGGCGACTCATTGCAGTTTCCTATCCACAGTTCACGATCTAGACAAGTCAAACCCTCAAAACATCACGGAGATGCGCCTGCATCTGGTAGATATCCATGCCGAGGCTATCGAACCATCAAGGCTTTCATCTCGGCCACATGGCCGCACAGACGGGTCGAACCTTCATGAGCTCGCTCTAGACGAAAAATAGTGTTTATGTCACCTAGCTGAGAATCGTCTGATGCTTGGAAATTGGGGCAAAAAGCTTGACCAGGTCGCTGGGAGCCTCATGATACGCGCAAAAATGATTAACCGAACTCCTGCCGTGCCATCCCCTGTCAGAGGGCAGGGGTAACTCCGGGAAAAGACCTCTGGGAAGTTTGGATGCGGGAAAGCATGTGCTGGAACAAGTCTGAGAACGTGGCGACCTCGACTCCGGGCTTCATCGGACCCGATGTCACCTCTTGATGTTGTGGTGGTGTTCATAAGTCACTCCACAGTCGACGTTGAAAGATGAGGCAACTTTGGCGAGAGATCCAAGAGCTCGGTTAAGCCGCTTTGTGCAAGTGGTAGACGACATGAAGACCTGAGAGCCACAAGTCAGTGTGGGCGAGAATTCTGCTTCTACTGTGTCAGCCAGTCAGGTCGAAAGTGCTCGTTTAGCTCCGCAATCAGGGCCGCCCCTTAACATCAAGACTTCCAATACTTGGAGCCGCATCTGTCTTCAGAATGCAAACGAACTTTCGAGTATTGAGCCAAGTCAAGAACTGAGCCCCTCCATAAGATACCCTGGAAATGCAACATGAAAGCCATGCAATATCCTTCACATTTGACCTGAGGCGCATTCAACAACAATGACGCAAGTGACAAGCGAGTCTACTTAGAAATCAACCACACAGAAAATCCTTGATATTCAAACAAATGCACCGCATTAAATGCCACCCATCGAACGCCGTCCCATCTATTTACCTTCCCTCACCTATATGTGATCTGAAACGACATGCTTTTTATCTTACCCCACCGCCCGCTTGATATTGGTATGGTATTTTCTGGAGGCCTCTCTCGCTTAATCTGGAGTTGATTTGTGATCCTGATATGCCCAATTCTCTACTCGAGGAAGGTGAATAAATTTGTATGCAGTATGTTCATGGCACGCGTAGACTCGTACGCGTTGATGACACAGCTAATGTTGATTTCGCTGGCACCTGGGAGGAGAGAACGAGCAGTGAGCATTCTGTTCCAAACCAGGGTGTGAAAAGGGGCGCGGAACTTACCTTGTGAGATCATCTCAATATTGACATTATTCTCGCCCAGCGTACTGAACATCCTGCCCGCAATACCAATCATATTTTTCATCTCAGCACCCACCAGCGACAAGATAGCCATCTTATTCAGTATGCTGACCTCACCGCACTCCTCCAATTCTTCTTTGGCTCTCAAAAGTTCATCGTCTGATATATTGGCTGAGTGTATGGCCATGGATACGTGTACTTCAGATGTGGAGATGAGATCTACGGACAATTGCCGCTTGTCGAGGATACGGAAGACCTTCGCGAAGAAACCGTGGGAGATAGACCGCTTGTTGGAATGTACGTTGATGACGCAGATCTTGTCTTTAATGGTGACTGCCGTTGGCCGTTTTGGCGTTTTCCTTGTTTGTGAGACGGTGCTGGCACTTCGAGCATGCAGTAATTGATTGGAGCTGAGCTTAACATCTGGGAGAACGATGGTACCATTTCCACGGGGGTTCTTGACGTTCTTGATGCGGATTTGGATCGGGGGGGTAGCGTGCATTACCTGGTCCATAGTGAGGTGGTGGATGACTTCTGACCCGTAGAATGTCAATTCTGCTGCCTCGGCTGGAGTAATGGTGGGTAGGAGACGAGCTGTTGGAACCTTGGTTGGGTCGGCCGTGAAGATACCGTCAACTTCTTTCCAAACCTGGAGCTCATCTGCTTTGATTCCGACAGCAATCAGTGCTGCACAGAGATCCGTATAACCTCTTCCAATTTCACCATCCATTAATCCACCTGGCACCGTTCCAAAGTAGCCAGTAACAACTGGTACCTTATCCCCACATGCCAGCACCTTCTCCTTCAGAGCGGCAGACAGCTGCTTATAGAATTCCAAGTCCAGCCCTTTCACGGGCTTGAAAGTGACCACATCTGAGAGATCCACAAATTCGGCATCCACTCCCCGGTCCTGCAGCAAGGAAGCCACAAACCGACAACTCAGCTTCTCTCCAAAACTGACTATACGATCCTTGCTCCTCCCATCAATCTCTAAATGCCATCGTTGGGCTGCCTCGCGATACTCAACAACCTCTCTGCATTCGTCCTCAACCTCTTTGACCAGCGCTGCTCGTATACTTTCGTCTCGAATATGTGTGCGCGCGGCATAGACATGGTCTTCGCATATGACCTGTACTAATCGCTCGTATTCCGCGACGAGACTCTCGTAATGAACGGACTCGATATCCTTGACCGAATTGACCTCTTCCAGTACACCAAAGACCTCTAATAACCTGTACCACACAATTAGCCCTACGCAATGAAAGAGCTATTCACAACTTACCGACTTGTGGTCCCTTCAACCTTCTTCCCCGTACTCCTGGCCGAACAAACCACCGCAATCTTATTGTCTTTCAAACTCGCCCTGCCAATTGCCTTTTGTCAGCCCGTTTCTCGTCTGCCATGTCTCGCAGTCAAAACTGCTTTCCCTCCCCCGCGACTCCCCTCCTTCCCAATACTCAGGACAATGCGAAAGCCACAACGAACCTGACGATATCCTCTGCAATATTGACCGCGAACTTCCCTACACTCGTGCCCCCAAACTTCTGCACCACCCAGCCGCCCTCACTGTCATTCCTCCACCTAGGAGCCTCCGCCCTGCTCGCTACGCCATTAACCCCCACCGCACCATCCTCCGCAGCCTCATTGCCGTTCGTACGAACCGGTAACGAAGTCATGATGCCAAAGAGAGCGACTGTGAAAACCCTATCCAACAGACAATCAAAGGAATAAACACTTGGAACAATTGGAGCGGGACTGGGCAGTTGATGAGCGAGGGAGTCATATGCTAATTTTTTCTGGGACCTGGCGCTGACTCTGGTCGGGTTCGAGCTTTCTCTATCCGAGATCGGGCAAGGATTGAAGATGACAGCGGGCGTACACGCTAAGATAAGACGCCCCGCGCCCGGAGGCAATGCAGGCAGGGGTAAGGAGGGGAGGGGAGGGGAGGGGAGGGGAGGGGAGAGGAGGAATCTGACCTGTTGCGATATTTAGGTAAGATGTAATTAGAGGCTTTGCTTAGAAGATACATCAGCTTGAATGTGTAAGAGATGCGCAAAGGGGCAAATGGTATAATATCGTTTGAGTTCTGCCAGCCGTGATTCATGAAGACTTTACACATTGAAATGAGTCAAGACTAGGAGACAGAAGCCACAACAGCAGATTGCCCGACCAAATCACACAGACGTGGCGGTCATGATGCTTCATAGGTGGCAGGACGGATGTAAGGTCACGGAGGCGTTCTTTTTCTTGCACCATGGATCGTTCCTCCTATTCGTTCACACCCCACGTAGGTATTTTCCCCGCATCCAGGTAGGAGGTATCAATGACATGGAAGGATCAGAAATTGCTATTGTGTATCCTGTGTCTGACTGTTCTGCATTTATTCAGCCTACAACCTATACCTAAGTAATCATAAGTACACGGGCCCAATAGACCTATCCCAACCGACAAATCAATAGGTATCCTACTCCCGTCAACCCCCAAATCGCAACAGCTCAAAGCAGAAAAGATATTAATGATCGCATAACTCATAGCACCGCATACAGTAACACTTGATCCCCATTGTACACCGATACCTCCCAGATCTACAGCCCAGTCATTTCGTCGTCCGCGTCGTAAAGTTGATTCCCCTAAACTCTGTTGTTGTCCCCCTAAAGCGAAAGAGAAGAAGCTTATGTCGTAATCCAATATCTGCTGGAATTATATTAAACCATTGATGAGTGTTGGATCGAATGATTCAAATCATGGGAGCCAAGCTGGGAAACATGACGATTGAATTCATATTTGCCCATAAAGTCATCGGTTGGTGTTCGAATCTCGATGCCGATGCCACTGTCATCGTGACTTCCTGCAGCAACATTCATTGCGGCCTGGCTGGCGATGTCCATTGGCCGAGGCATTGACATTCTATTGTCCGTGAGGCCGCTTTCTCTTAAAAAATCGTCCGTGCCGCTACTGTATCTGCTCTCGTGTTGGCTGACAGCTCGACTGACCACGGTCTGCTTTGCCTGATCACGAGTTGTTCGACAAGTCTTGAACTCCATGAAGCCACCCTGCTCAGCCATAAAAGCAATCATTTCGTCAATCCAACATTTGGTGACCCACCATGCGCCAAAGCTCTTGCCTTGTGCAATTGTTAAGTCTCTCATGACAGCAGTGCCGACTCTTTGGACGCACCAAACGATCTCGGCGTGAGTAGCATATGGAAATTTACCCGGAAGAGCCTGCAAGAAGTTGACCCAACGGTCCAACACATTCTCGGTTGAAGAGTCGGCGTGGATGCTGGCCTGCTGTTGACGACCAGTGCGCAAAGCCATCTCTCCGTATGGTGTCATGCCCTCGACCTCCCAAGGAACGCCAACAGGATCGAGGAGATCACGAAGCTCAGTGAGCAAGAGGGTGACAACATCATCCATACCTCTCGTGGGAACACATTCGGCAACCTTACGTGTGCGAACCATCGTGATCCAATCTTCGTACATCTGATCCCGATTGGCAGGATTGGAAAGCATGTTTGCTGCTGCATGTGCAGTCAAATTCACCCTTAGCTCACGATCCAATAAGCCGGCGAACAGCGTTGCTGGTGCAACCTTCGCAGCAACAACATGACTGGGATGGCCGTGAAAAGACGATTGGATGTGAGGAACAAGCTTCTCGGAAATATTTCTCAGGGTATCCAGCACTGGTTTTGGTGCAACTTGGAGGGTCAATGGTGCAACGACTCGCATCATCTTTTGGTACATGACAAAGTCGCATTCTTCAATCCATGGAGCGATGGTAGGGTTGGCGAATAATTTCTGAACAGGCATGGTAAGAGTGCCGTGGAAGGATGTAAAGAGATGGAAGAATGTCTTCTCTTTACAGAAACGAAGAGCATCGATAAGCGAGGTACAGTGTGATCGGTAGAGCGCTGTCAAGGCACTTGCAGAGTCTGGATCTGTGCCAACAGGGAGATACTGTTCGATTTTGGGCAAAGATATTGGATCATAGTCTTGCGTCAAAGGCTCCGTGGCTGGTGCGAAGTGGAGTCGTTGAGACATCTTGCTAGTGGTAGACTCAAGTTGAGGAATTCCTTGAATCTCGGGTTGATGATAGAGACTGTGAGGTCTCATGAAGCCCTCTGATGATTCTCGCTTTGGCTCGGGAATCTGGGATACATCTGGAGATGGGAATGCTGCCCGGTCAACTGGATATTGGGTGCTCATACTTTGGCTAGAATCGTGAGCAGGTACACTGATGGCAGGATAGGAAAACATACTTGAAGCTTGCTGTAAAGCTGGGTGTCTCGGTAAATGATTGAGCTGGCTGACTCTTTTGCTTCTCAGTCAACTCCGGTTGATCGTCTTTGAGACTGAAGTTGACGTAGTGGTATTTGGATTCTCCTCGTACTCCAAGTCGTCTGGTCTTGAGTCCTGGAAACAGTACTCGAACAAGTTTACCAAATGAAGCAGGGTTCAAAACAGTAACTCGCTCGGTTGCACATCTTGACACGTAATTCGCATACACTCGTCCTCTGGGGACCGATCCTTTTCCATTATCACAGACCGAATCAATCCTATTCGGAGTATAGCGGTCAGTTCTCTGTTTCTCCCAAGGGCGATCGATGTGGCTTACCAAAGCATAGCAAAAACCTGTCGCTGTCTTTCTGATTGCGGCCCTCTTTCATTTCCATGAAGCTCAGTAGCCACTTCTGGCAAGCTGCGGTGCTTGTTTGCTTGGAAGAGCTGTCTCATTTCCAACTCATTTGCGGCGCTTGACTTCGATGCCTTCTTCGCTGGTGCGCCGGCGACAGAGTCCACCTCATCTTGCTCATCACTGCGTCCTTCCATCATCTGGCTATCTGCTTCTCCATAGGTTGTCCCATAGCCGTCAGCTGGCATTGATTGGCGACTGGGTTCCGTCTTATATTGTTGTTCTTGGGGGTACACCATAGGGTGATGATGGCTCACACCAGTGAGTGAAGGATCAAGATCATATCCGCGTGGGTTTTGTAGTTGGGAAGCAGAATGTATAACCATATCTTCGGCAGTCATTTGGTGGCTCATGCTTCCGAAACGTTGTTGATGCGCGTGTGAATTTTGCTCAAACCATTGTTTATGGTATTCGGTGGCAGCATCTACAAGCTGTTGATCGACCCCAGGTTGGGTGACTCCGCTGTGGATACTAGTTGTAGATGCGCGCGAGAGAGGTCGTTTTCTGCTTCTACTGGACGCAGCAGTATTTGATCGTGACCGAGGGTTTGGGGGTCTGCTGTCTACGGATTGTTGATCTGCATTGATTGACAGGATTAGCCCCAAAGCTCGTGGAAAAGACGAGAGATACAGCTCCCACTGTCGCGTCAGGTGCTGCTTCGAAGAGATTTACTCACCCATGATGTCCACGGAGGGTTCAGGCTGTTTTGAGTCGTTGTATTGTGGGTTGCTCGGAATTGGAGTGGCTGGGCTATGTTGTTTATTTTTGCGACCGGTGGGCGGAGAGCGTCTGTTCCTGATTTCTCATGAAGCCAGTCGTCGCGTCGAAGAGAGAAGCCTATAGCCAACGGTGTGATTGAGGCCTTGGGCGGCGTCGTCGAGTGCCAGTGTCGTGGGGCGGCGTTGAGGGTGTCGTCGAGAAGGAAGAGATCAGAGTTGTTTACTCCTTCTGTGTTGATGAGGTCGGGCATGGCAACGGCGATTTCTGGGCGAGAGCGACTCGCTTGGCCCAGAACCCCTGCACCTGCTAGCTGCCCTTCCGCATTCTCAGCACCATGGTACGGCACGGAGGGAGGGCAAACATCATTTTGATGGGTATGACAACAGTTTACTCCATGCTGCTGATGTCGATGTTGATGTTGATGTTGATGTTTACTTTCATCAGATAGGCTCGTTTATGGTAGTGACAGGTCGTACTGTCCGGAACTGTGAAGCCAGCTGGCCCAAGTCTTGAGAAAGCATGCAAACAAGACAAGCACACAATGGCATTGTTATGATATGTGGCTCTGAAAATCACATTAAGCATTCGGGTACATGCTCAAGCCTCTCTCCAAGCCGGACCCTCATCCGTTGGGGCTGCTCAAGCAGTTGCCATCTGCCTAATCCTATGCTATGTAATTTCTTATCTAGACGGCTCAAAAGATATCGTGCAAATCAAGAACACAGACAAGCAACAAGCCCCACCAACTCGTCTTTCACGGGTAGTAGCCCTATCAGCAGCGCAGACAAGCAGGCATCTACGGATGCGAAGGAGGTAGGGCTTGGATGCACACGGTTTTCGAGCTCTCGGACGTGAAGAGACACACTGTAAGATGATATTGAGAATGGAAGATGGGGCAAATTCCGGATAGGAAAAAAATCGTAAATAGTCCTCACACAAACAAAACAATTGATCCAGATGATTTGCATGTGACTGGGACACGGGCTGAGTTGAGTGTCTGAGATTGGAAACTGGAACTGGCCACTCAAGAGCCACTGACGCTAGTGAGGCAATCCTCCCACATTCTGCCAACGTCGTCATTCCTCCTCCTCATCGCATCGTCTTGAATTGCTCATCCATCATCTCCGTATCTATTCACTACACCACAGACTCAAACTGCAACTTGTCCACTCTAACACAACTCAGCAATAGACTGTAACATCTGCAATTTCGAAGAAGTCCGCAATCCTCCTCCCAGTCGAAATGTCTTTCCAAGATAAGGCACAGGCCCATATCACCCAGATCGACAAGGAGGTAAGCACACGATAACATCCTTCCCAGCGTCCTGCACACTGGCGCCCAGCAGCTTGACGCTCTTCATCATGTCTGTAGCCAGGTGCTAACTTAGTCTCAACAGCTTTCCAAGTACCCAGTCTTGAACAACCTCGAGAAGCAGACATCCGTCCCCAAGGTCTACGCATTCCTCGGTCTGATCGCGACCTATTTCTTCTTTATCTTCTTCAACATCGGTGGTCAACTCCTTACCAATGTCGCTGGCTTCATAATCCCTGGATATTACTCGCTCGAGGCTCTGTTCAGTGTTGGAAAGAGTGATGATACCCAATGGCTTACTGTATGCTTCCCAACAAGCTTTTGAGATGGTCTAGCTGACTCTGTAACCTAGTACTGGGTTGTATTCGCTTTCTTGACTGTGTTTGAGAGCTTGGTTAGCGCCGTTTACTGGTTCCCATTCTACTACACATTCAAGTTCATCTTCGTCCTCTGGCTCGCCCTCCCAGCTACTAGGTAAGCTTTCCTTTCCATTATCACTTCAACCACAAGCTAACAGATTTGCAGCGGAGCTCAAATTGTTTTCCGCTCGTTTGTCCAGCCAGTCTTTGCCCGCTACTTCTCTGGCCCTGGTGCCACTGCTGCCAACCTCCGTTCCAAGGTTGACGCTGCTGGTGACAAGACCTTGTAAGCGGCTCAACTACACGACCTCCCATTATGGACTGCTAAGCCACGCAACGCCAATTCATTGATCGGCTAGCATCAGGGATGCAAACAAATATGGAAAGGGTGGGAAATCGGAAATAGGGATGGAGGAGAATATCATCATATAGGGACTGGATGGCTTTATGACGAGGGGGTTGTGGTGAAATAATGAAGGCAATTATGACATTCATGGCTTTTGGACGAATCTCATCCGGGCTTGGGAACGTTTTTCAAGGGTTTCTATAGATTGATGTACGGAAAGTCAATCAACAGCGTTTCGAACGAGAGAAATAAACTACAACTATGTGATTTAGCTCAAAGTAGCCCCAAGTATAGTGCCATTGACCTCAGAACTCCACGGCTTATTGGCATTCAAAACACCGTATCAATAGCTATGGCATATATGGCTTGTCAGTAACTCTGAGAATGACCCCTCAAATGTGGCTTGTTGGGTTTGATACATCAACCTAGAAGCAACAAGAATTTGGACCCTTGAATTTGGCCTTTTGATGCTCCTACTCCTCAATTTCAGGCTACAGTTGTAAAACAGAATTAGGTGCATCTGGTGAACTCCAAATCTCCCCATGCTGAGGCTTCATATGCTTACAGTTCTATTGGTACTAGCGGCCATCAGCCTAAAAATACACCTAGTTTGAGGATCCATGTCTATCAAACACCAAAACCTAAGAGCAACGACATCCCAAGGTAATTCGAACGAACCACGTCCAAATCGCCTCAAATATGCTATGCGACCCATGATCCAGCTTCGTTGACCGAATCTAGCCGTTCAATCTGAAAATCTACTCGAAAATACCAGTTCCAATGCGTACGCTGCTCTAGAACCGCAATGCCCCTCCCAAAGCTCAGTCCCCTCCAATCGCGGCTTGCAGCATCGCTCATTGCATCGATGATTTTGCTGTTATTCTACCTCTTGTTCACAGTTCCGAGTTTCGCATATGCCACCGACGTAGATTGGATACAGCCGGAAGATCACAACCACGAGCAATTAGTGGACTTTCCCCTCCTGGATGACATCGACGGGCTGGAGTTGAGAGAGGCGGAATACGAGTCGGAGTTCTTTGGGATTGATAGATCTATTATTGGGAGAGCTACCACGCAACCTACGGGCTTGGTGAACAACCGGATTGAAGCTACGAATGTTCAGCTGGGACAGAGCTTCTATTATGTGTTTACGAATGCTTCACTTTGGGGGGAAAAGTCTCCAGCAACACCCGGCCTGCCATCCCAAATAACCCTTCACAAGCGGCAGCTTTTACGATCAGACGATCCCATATTCCGACTCAACAGCATGGAAGGGCAATATGGGGAGGAATCCGAGTTGAGTCGCAGGCAGAGCACGACAGTAACGGAGACCAACAGGACGTTATACATCACTGTAACGACTTGCGATCAGCCTACATCGGATACTACTACGGATCCCCCGCCGCAGCTTCAATTATACGTGTCTCAGTCCGCGAATAATACAAACCCTGGGCCCGATCAGGATACGAGTCTCCAAGAGCTCATTATACTAGAAGGAGGGTATGCTCTGCATGAAGTAAATGCTACTGGCGACGTTTACATGAGCATATACGCGCCGAATGCGACCGAGTACTCTTCCGGAGTTTATAGTGCCCAGATCGCTGCCTCAATCGATGCGCCGTTCCACACATACTGGAATAGCTCGGATCCTAACCTTTTTCTCGTTGATAGTGATGACTTCTCTGCACTGCTTTTTACCGACCCTTTCATCACTGATGCTACGAACACGACCTTGCTCGCTGAATGGATGGATCATGCTCCTCCGTACGTTATATTTGCAAGCGATGCAACGGATACATCGTTGAAGGGTCTTGAGCGGTCGTATTGCGGTCTCAAAACCAAAGCGCAGGTTCAGGAGAGCAGACCAGGACAGACGGTTAGCACTATTGTGACTGGGATGACCTCCATAGGGAACTTGACTCTTCCGAGACAGCAATTCTTCGTCAACGGGCTGGGAGCCGGCAAGTCATACAATGTCATGCTAGCTATGGATGGGAACTCAACGAATTCAGGCAACTTTGTGGTTGGTGGTGGAGGTCAAGTTTTCAAACAGACAACGTTTGAAATGCTTCAAGGTAAGTCGACGATCACGTCTCTTGAATACTAGGCTAATATTTCAAAGACGGAAACTGTGCTGTGATATACGATCTCTCATTCTGTGATCAGACAGCATACTCTGTACCCTCGAATCCCAACGTGTTCCCCAACATGAGTGCCCTAGCTGCGTTTTATGACAACGCAACCCAAGCCAGTTTCGCAAACTTTGAAAAAGTTCTGGCACAAATACCTTGCGAGACCACACCCTCTGCTCAGTACTCGCTTGCAAGAAATTGCGACGATTGCAGAGAGGCATACAAGTTGTGGCTCTGTGCAGTGAGCATTCCACGCTGTACAGATTTTACCAAGGAAAAAGAATGGCTGCAGCGAAGAGCAATGGGACAGCCCTTCCCAAACGGCACCTTCCTGCCTGTTCGAGACCTAGAAATCGCGAAACAGACAGCTGCAATCAACATTTCCCGCAATGCTCTGATTGATGAAAAACTAGTACCGGGTCCATATAACGAAGTCCTACCCTGTGATGAGTTATGCTTCAACCTGGTGCGCAGTTGCCCAGCGATAATGGGCTTCAACTGTCCGCAACTCGGCGACATTGGTTTTGCTGAGAGCTATGGTGTATATCCACAGTTCCCTGGCGATGACAGCGGCCGCATCTCGAACATTACTTGTAATTCTCCTGGGATAATATACTTCAAGTCGACTGGTCGTCAGGTACTACCTTCGATGATGTTCGTGGCTTTGACTTTGGTGCTGGGACTTTGTTTCATATGAGAGACAGTAATAATCATGGGACTTGATGCATGACACGGCGTATGGTTGAGTGGGCGTTCTGGGGCTGATAAAAGGCAAGGGAGGAGATTTTGAGTATTTCAGAGGATTAGACATCTCACTGTAGTATTATTTCAAAGAAGAGGTTGAGGCTAGACCAGATGCATCTCTTAACCGACATTCATCTGAGATCGTCTCATGAACCTTATCTAAGTTGATATGTCGTGCATAATCTTTCCTTATCCCGCTAAGCTTTCATAAAGTAAACATAAACGGAAACACAGTTATGCTATCTTTATGTATCTTCTTCACCCTCAACTAGGCATCAGCTCACCAAAGCCACGCCCCTCCGGCGATTCCGAGCTCTATCTCTTGAGGTCTCAGCTCATGCCGTCATAATCGGACATATTTCCTAGTGTATATCTGGCTGTATCCCCATCCAGCCTGGATGGTGATCCAAAGCAAGGAATCGAGGAGCTTAGACAAGGACAGGGTTACCATTAGGGCAGGCTTTAATATCTGCCGGGCTGATGCACGACCTTACTGTAGTAGTCACGATGCGTTGTACAAAATCTAATTTTACATTGGCTGGCGGGCACGGATGACCTGCTCAGATCTGAGGACTTTTGACCTTCAGGGAGTCAAGACTGTGGTTTGCATGAATTCGTAAATTAAAAAACAGAGAAGTGCAAGGAGGGGTTGTATTAACGAGGAGTTTTATAGGAGGGATGGGAATGGTTTTGAGAACAAAAGGTTCTTTTCGTGTGTTTAGGAAGATCATGAAGATGGGAATTTGACCCGATGACAGGACGGAAAGAAGAAAAAAACCTTCATGACAAAGTTTGCTGGAAGGAACATGCCAGCTCGAACCTGAGCATCTGATCTTAATTCTTACTTTCATCTTCTTCATAGCGGATGCTCGTGCTTTCGTTTGATCATCGAAGCACATGGGATAGGTGTGAGTTTCGAGGCCGCCTCGTCTGTCTTGTCTGCAGCACTTCTGATTGGCCGACGCGTGATTTCCAAAGATAAACAACGGGCGCGTCGAACGTGTTTTAGCGCCCTGCCCCGACGACGACCTTTCCACGACCTCTCCATCGGGATCAAGCACCGCCAATCAATGCAGCAAGAGCTCTCATATCCCAGGCAGCATCACATCGCGGCATCATCACTGGCTTCATTTCTCTCGCTTTGCTTTGGACTTTACAGCTGATACAGAGCAAGACCACGCGTGCAGGTGGTTTGGTGTTGAAGGCTGTTTTCGCCCGCGTTGTTCCCCTCCTCCACACATTATTGCAACACACGAACATCCCAAACGTCTGCTTGTCCTGGCGGCTTTTACCCTGAGCCAGTGCTTGCTAGAATTGGCACTACTGGTCAAACTAAAGGAGCCGCTTTCTATCTGATACAGTCCAGGACTGCTGCCGGTCTGGGTTGGGTTGCTGACCTCGTCGGCGCCTCGGAGGTCTGAGAGCGAAGCAGCGCAGAGCAGAGCAGAGCAGAGCAGACTCAGCAGACCCAGCAGAGATTAATACCGAACTGGACTGTACTGTATGGCGTCGAGGCTGGATGATATCTCCCTACGTCGTTCGTGAATTCCAGCGACCCGCTCTGCTGCACACCCAGCATCCACATCGGACCAGGGCCTCAGGGCCTCCACCCTTCCCTTCCCAGCGACGCCAGCGTCCCACGCACGTCTTCCTTGCTTTCCGCCAAGGTGTCCGGCACTCAGGTCACTCGAGCCAACCAGATCCAGCTCTTCTCGAGGTCCTTTTCTCGTCCAGTCCAGTTCCAACGAGCTGTATCCTTCCCCGCTGCTCAGCATTTTGCATTTTTCACTACTGTCCGCTACAGTAGCTGTATGCCCCAACCCGATCCGACCTTTGCTTGCTCTTGCCCGCTTGCTTGCTCCTCTCCTTGGTGCCGCGCCGCTCTCACATCATACCACACCACCACCACCACCACCACATTCCACAACCACACCTTGCCCTCTTCCGCTTCCCACCTGGGAACATCAACTTCATCTCGACATCCCGAACTCCTCCTCCCTTCCACCACTCCCGAAATACCAACATTCGACCCAACAATCGACCCATTTCGACCCATTACGACAACGGAATCTTCGAGACTCTTGATGCCATTATTTCCCCTTGCTTCGACTGTCTGACGCGGAATCCACCGCAATCTCGCTCCACAATCCGATCGACGATCCTGGCCAGACGCTTCAGCACCCACTTCAGTACAGTAGGCTCCCTTACCCAAACCTCGTTGAAGGCTTTTCGACTTCTCTCCAAAGGCTAACACCAGATGCTGCAGCTCACCACGACATCAATATCCACAAAAGACTACACATCCACGCGTGTGTCCGCTGAGGCTCCCAACAAATCCCACAGCTAACCACCGCGTCGTCGACCCACGATGTCGTCGACGCGTTATTCGCAGCAACCGCTGCAAATCTACCAAGATCCAACCTCCTCCTTCGACCGCGCCCCTATGCCCTCAGGACAAAAATCGATTACCAAAAAGCTATCACCACTTCGCCCTATAAAGAATGCTGCGTCGAGGAAGAATATCGTTTTCAACCCTCCACACGCTGGACCGAGCAAACAATCCCCTCTGAAGTCGGCTCAGCAAACCTCCAGTTCCCCTTCCAGGGCTCCATTCAGCAACAAGTTGAACATGATTTCAATGCCACCTCCTGGGGTGTCCTCATGCAGTACAGATTCTATGGAGAAGAAGCAAAGTTCAACGTCAAACTATAAGCCCCAAAAGGCTCTGTTCTCGAATTATTCGAACAGTGCGTCGTTTGATCAGGAGAACAACTACCCCCCCTACCCAGTACCAATAGCACCATCTCATGATAGACTGAATGCGTCAAACTTCTCCCTGGAAGGATTGTATGGACAGAAGCCACCAAAACGCTTGATGGATGCCGCCCCGATTCATGAATCTAGACCTTTTAAGAGAACCAAGCTACCCGTTTCGGAAGTTCAAGAGGAGGATAATATGGAGTTTGTGGAATTGCCTGCCCCGGACTCGTTCCCTCCTCTGGTCGATGATGGATTGAAGCCACCTCACAGCTATGCTCAGCTGATTGGAATGTCTATATTGAGAGCACCAAATCGACGACTTACTTTGGCCCAGATCTATAAATGGATTTCAGATACGTACACCTTTTACAGTGCAACAGATGCCGGATGGCAGAACAGCATCCGACATAACCTCAGTCTCAACAAGGCCTTCATAAAGCAGGAGAGACCGAAGGATGACCCAGGAAAGGGCAACTATTGGGCAATCCAGCCAGGGATGGAGCACCAGTTCATCAAGGATAAGATTACTCGCAAGCCACCTGGACCAAATGAGAATGTGCCTGTCTTGTCAACCAACCTTTCTCCTGTCAATCTACCAGAGACTACTCAATTCAAACCTCCACCACCACCTCCTGTACAAGCACCCGAGCTCCCTCCGCAACAATCATACACACTCCCAGAGCCTCAACTTTCTACCATTGCAGAGCTATCTTCTGATGCTACGATCCCAGGCTCGGACGCTTGCAACACAGAACCAGAAATCGAAGATGAGCCCGAGATCCCGTCGTCACCTTTGATGCATTCCTCGCCTCCTGCTGCCGCTATGCATTCATCACCTCCAATCGCACGCCATATACAGAAGAGACATGATACACCTCCCCCCGTTCCACGCTTTCCTTCTTCCTCGAGAACCCGATCGCACAAGCGTAAATATGCTTCAATGGACGATAGTGGATACTTTTCGTCCCTTGATTCATCTGCTCTACGTCCTCATCGACTACTCACCTCGGAAGCTGACCGACCTCGGATAAAGCGTGGTCGTGCCGAGGAGGAAATCGCTAGACTACGCGGCTCTTCATACGACAGTCCAACAAAGAACCGATCACTCTTTGCTCCAGCATCCTCATCACCTATGCGTGTCAGTTCTAAGAACGAGCCTTCGCAAATGCTTCCACCTCTGACCCCAGCCGTGAAGCTAAAGCCTCCTGTTCGACCTCCACCATCCGTTTCACCCAATACCAACCTCCGACTTCATCGGGATCGAGTACGGGAAATGGTCGGTTCCCCACTTCGTGGTATGACAGTGCTTGATGAGAACACACCCTGGAGCCCTGCCTTCAATCTGGACGAACCTTCTACCTCAATGTTTCAGGACTTTAGTTTGGACTTTGATATATTCACAGACGCTTCTGCAAACCTGCTAGGAAACTATGGAGCAACTTCACCCGAGAAGAAATCCGTCAAGCGACCTCGCTTAGACAGATCAAGATCAGCCAGCATGCTTGCGGATCTGTCGCACAACAACCTCAACAAGAGTATCACCTCTACTCCCTTGCTGAAGTATACACCTTCACTAGGGATTGGATTCAGCTCTCCTCTCAAAGGTCTCGGTCTTTGTCAATCACCAAGCAAGCTTCTCGACCTCGGTTCTCCGTCTAAGATCTCAAGTCCAAGCTTCAATATTTCCCATTTCGAACTTCCTCAGGAGGACTTTTACGGCTCTGAGTTCCTGGCGGAGGATATCGATGAGGGTTGGGACATCATGCAAGGTTTCCAGAAGATTGGTTCTGGCACCAGCAATGCCCCAAGTCAAAGTATGAAGAGATCGCCAAAGGCTGGTGGATCGCGACCGGGGCTTCCTCGAAGCTTCACGTCTCGCTTCTAAAGTGTGGATGCTGATAACGAATTTTCTTTCTGTCAACGTTGAAAGCAGTGGAAAAGAAAAAGTGACGAATTCACGATATTACGAATAGGTAAAGGTGGTGCTACATCGTCAGCAAGCACCCCTGCTTGGATGTATGCACAGGGATTGGATGGATATGAATTTGATGGAGAAGTTGATTGAGGAAAGAAAGAAAGAAAGAAAGTGAAGGATAGGATACGGATACGGATACGATAGAGCTGATTACGATACAGCGGCCTCACGGCTTCACTTTGCACATTTTGTTGTTGATGATAATGATGTTGGACTACCTTGGTTCTTGTCTGTGGTACATATTTCGTCGCTACTTGGTTCTCGTCTTACTGGGATGGATTGGGCTTTCTTGTCTGTTTTTTCTTAGCCCGTTTCTTGTTATCTCTTTTGTGTCTCTTCGGTAGCGTTGCTTTTTTCCCCGCTGATTGGGATTTCCGATGGATGGATGGATGGATGGATGGGTCTGCACTGCGGATTATGAGCTTTCCGGATTTGAGTACTTGAATTGATGGATGGACGGAGTGTGAATGGGGCATAACTGAGAATACGGAACGGGCGAGAATCGAGCCGAATAAATGAGATTGATTACCATCTGATTATCTGCTTGCCTGCCTGGCTGCCTGCAAGTTGTTGCATTCTCTCGTTGAAGGTCCTATCGTTGTGATGTTACATGTCTCGCCCACGTCCAGCTCCCAATCTCTGGAATGTTGACAGCAAATGAGCACAAATGCGGATGTCTGACATGGATACTTGGTATCCAGACTCTACGAAGTACTGATGTCGCTCCCTCTCCTTCTCATCTTGTTATAATGACATCTCACATCTTGTTGCATATGTTCAAACCTGCAGTCATCACTTTGACTTCATGACCATGAGTAGTTGATGAGAGTGGTGTCAAAGCCAACCATTCAAGATTGAGAAATTCGTACAGACGTAATTCTAACCTATTTTTCTTCCGCCGATTGTCTCCTTCTCGCTTGTAAAACTCTAAGATGGAGCCATAGCTCGCAGGGACTCATACCCATACTCCAGTCCAAATACAGATCTGTTCTACTAATACACATCAATGTCCCGTTCTTTGAAGCCATGATCGATTATCTCCCAAGTACAAACCGAAACGTAGGCTTGAGTATCGCAACTCCGCCTCCTTTCTTGACTCTGTCCCGTTCTCGAAACTCGTTGGTTTCGAGTATCATCTCCTAGAAGGCGGGCTAGTCTGCGCACTTCCATCAATTTTCGAAGTTGTGCTAATCATCGGATACGCCTGACCATTATCCATCTCCCACCTCCTATCTCCTGTAATAATCCCATCCATCGACACCGCGCCCTGCTGTTCGCCCAGGCCAACAGCCACACTTACCCCGACCCCACTAGTCGTCAAAACACTTCCGCTGCCTCTCTCCTTCCTCGCCATCACATACGAATCTCTGCTTCCCAGCTCCTCGGCATCAAAGTCCCACTCCCGCCAGAAGTCACGCTTCCCCCTCACAGCACGCTTGACCCAGCCAGGGAGGAGCCCACCTCGTACTTTGTACGTCCAGTAGTCTTTGTATTCGTGGTCATGCGGAACTATTCGTCCACTGGAGAGGACCGCCATGAGCCAGGCGCCAGTGTTTAGGATGGCGTATGTGACAATACCGACGATGAGACCGTAGGCGATGGAGTATGTGAAGGGCATAAGTGCCATGGTGAGGAAAGCAGGGATCGAGTCCCGATGTACCTCCAGTTGATCTCGGTGCAGGCGCGAGCCATCATCGCTCCAACGAGGATGAGTGTGCAGCCTGTGGCCCAGGGAGGTATACTGGCGAATATTGGGGCAAAGAATATAGATATGAAGAAACAGAGGCCAGTCACACATGCGGTTATACCTGTTGTGCCGCCTTCTGAGATACCAGCTCCGGATTCGATAAAGGCCGTTACGGGAGGACAGCCAAAGAGTGAGCCGATTGTGATACCCATCGCGTCGACGAGATAGGCGACAGCGCTACCTTCGAAGTCCTGCGTATCTTCGTCCATAGCACCGCAGAAGCGAGCCATGGAGTAGAGTGTTCCAGTACAGTCGAGAATGTCAACGTACAAGAACGTGACGAGAGCAATGGCGAACTGGCCTGCGTTCGAGCCGACCATGGCCCAGTCTTGGACGCCAAGAGTATATTTGATTGGATAGAATGTTACAATCTTCTTGAAGAACTCAAAGGATGAGTCGCCGCTATCAGTTCGTGGAAAGGCGGTTATGGTGGTATCTCGGGGCCAGGAGATGACCGATACAAAAAGTATTCCGGCGATGATGGCACCTTTTACTCGATACATCATCAGAAATGCTGTGAGGATACCTCCTCCAAATACGCCAAGCCACAATGTAGGATTTCGCATCTTGTGAGACTCGCAAGCTCCTGTGTTGGGATTGATGAGTTTGTGTACACATCCAGCGAGTGCAATAGGCTCGCTGGTGCCTCCTCCGCCTGTAATTGCGCCGATACCAGCATCGTAGGTGAGTCCAATGAGGGCGAGGTATAGACCAATTCCAGCGCCGCTGGCAATTTTGAGACTTCGAGGAATCGTCCGAGCCAGCCATTGTCTAAGGCCGAGAATGGACAATGCAACAAAGATGAGCCCCTCGACAAAAACGGCAGTAAGAGCCAGACGGTATGATATGACACCAGATCCATTGGGTCCAACCACCTGATATGTGAAGTATGCATTGAGTCCCATCCCAGGAGCCAAGGCAATAGGCATATTTGCGAAGAGTCCCATGCAGAAACTTGTCAGGCATGAGATCGCCGCTGTTGCAGTAACCAGATCTCGATTTATTTCGAGTTTACAGTTGTTGTATGTTACTGTTGAAGGGTTGTTGTTATTTTGGCAGTACTTATCGTCTGAAAACAGGTTGTTTGGTTGACATATACACGTCCCACCACATGCTATTTTCTTGTCAGCCCTATTGTTATATTATAATATATAAGACTTACCGGCAACTATGGAAGCATTCACTGAGATGATATATGCCATTGCAAAGAATGTAGCAAGACCAGCTCTCATTTCGGTCATGAACCTCGAGCCTCTCCTCTCACGAGGATGTCCAGAGAATTCTAATCTGAAATGCCGCCCTATGGCACTCCTGGCCACGACCATATTCGTTTTCTCAACCTGAATCCGGGAATCAGCAGAAGCACGAGCAACAAGTCTTCTTCAACACATACCCAACCCATGGCGCTCGAATGTTGATCTCAGAATTGTATTGGTGAATTGAATGAACGAATGTCAACAATGGCTGAGGTCGCCAGGTCGTTATATGATCAAGTCGTGTCTCATGAAGATATATCCATCACCCCTAGGTGTCTCAACAGTAGCCAAGCAGCCCTAAGCATTTACAGCTGCCGAGCTTCCATCAACACCTCGTCCTAATTTCCAAGTTCTGTCTCCAACCTCTAAGCGAGGCCTTCTGAGTGGTATGTTTGTATCTTCCGTGAAACCAGATAAGTTTGCGCCTGTAATCCTGCACCTGAAATCAACACGAAAACAGAAAGACCAGCAGGAAACATCGGGAGCAAAAAAGGGTCCTCAGCATGGGAAGAAGGAAGATGTTTGGGAAGTAGTGTGGGGAAAGGAGAGAAGGGAGGCAGAGGTGGACCGGACCGATGTGGTGGGATGGACGAGAAGTCAGTCTGACCGGGGAGGTGATGGCCTGAAGGGACGTACGCATGGCATTGCAGCACTAACAGGTATGACATCTGAATGGCATGTGCCAGATCAAGCCACTCGGCATCCGTGAGTACAAGGGGCTGGCAGCGTAGTGATAGGTAGTGAATCGAAAATATCCACATGGAGAAGCAGAGCATCTCATTTGTTCCGCCCGCTTGTCCCCCTCTAGCAGCCTCTTACAATCTTGAATCGTATCAAGAAAGTATGGAGAAGGATGGTGGGTCTGCCCTACGAGATATGTGGACAAACAGAGGGGGTGGAGGGTTGATTGTGCTATGGATCGACGGACTACACTGGATTTGTCCTTTTGTGCAACTTAACCATGCACCTTGGAGCAGAAGTACCTGAACTGTGCTGATTTGTACTTCCAAGAGCTATCAGATCGACTCATCAAAGCAAGTAGCAACAGAGCGACAAATGAATACCTCCAAAACTTTGGTTGAAATGCGAAACCGCCACTGGTTGGAAGCCTCCAGATGACGAGGTCGGGAGTCACCACACTGACTTCGTCACAATGATAAGCTTCCTAGATAGACTTTTGCTGCATGCAAATGCATCTAGGGTAGTCAACCACGACAGGAGCGTCAAGACACAACATCGTGCTTTCCCTCAACGTTACAAGTCTAGGCCCAAATAGATGAGGCAGTAAAGTGCAGTATCACTCGACATCTTCTCCGACTAGACGAGTGGAGCAGCGTTGTCCGAGACTGGTAATACTATTAAGAGGAGGGACGGGTGAACTTAGGTGAGGTGATGTGAGGTTTAAGTCTCTTGTTTCAGGCCGTCGGGGTTGTCTAAATCGCTTCTAGCACGTCGTCTTCCCTGCCAAAAGCTCAGCAACCCCAGACTCCAAAACAGGCAGTTCAACCACCGAAGGTAAGCCAGAGCGCACGAGGCAGAGACCGCGTTGAGATTCTCTCAGCTCCTTCCAAATTGACGTCCCATGCAATATGTTATTATATCTTAACTTTTCTTGCCATATCCTGGTCGAGATAAGACCTGGACCTGTTGCAGTGGTGTCCCATCTGCGTGGCGAACGTTCCAGCCATACGTTCAGATGACGTGACCAAAATCATGGGATGGTTACTTCGTATCTGACGATGATATTTCTCTTAGTAATGCGGGTTTATCAATCATTAGTGCCTGAAGATGTGTGTACCAACTCTCTTGTCGTGCAGAGTACCAGCCCATGATAGGTGCTGGGTTCTGGACCTTCAGGTCGATGTGCGCTTCTTCCAAATCGAAGAGGAGTTCTTGCTCCTGTCTAGATTTCCTTCCCGCCTCTCTGGTTCAGCTTGTCAAAAGTCCAGGAGTGATACTGGAGAGAACATCGGATTCTTCTTGAGCCAATGAAGCATTCGTCAAAAACTGGCGGGCCGATACGGCAGCTGGCATTGTGATGTCTCGGCCGGCGCCGAACACAACAGCTTGTACGGCCATGCATAAGTCAGATGCATGAAATGTGCAACATGTGCACGAACACAACATCAACTATTTGAAAACTTGTACTCCTTCATTTACCTCCTTCTCCAAAATGGTTTGAAAATTTATTGCTCACTTCAGCTGCTGAAATACTTCCAAGGAGCTTCTGGTCAACTCACCAGTCATGTCCCATCGAATAAAACGTCTCGAGAGTAAGCAAGCTGAACGTCAACCAACTCAAAGTCGTCAATCCATACTGCTCGCCCTCAGCTCTACATCTATTTCAAAGCACAAGTTCTCTTGGATTACAATCTAGGTCGTAGAGTCGGGGATATCACAGCAGCTGCGGGAATGTGCATGCATAAGCAATGTACAGTTTCTCTGCATGCCTGCATGCATAACGTTCTCGATCCAGGGACCAGGTGAGCAGGCAATAACCTACATTCGGAATGCGCAAGCTCATTTCGGTGTCTGGCATGCGATCTTGATTGCTTACAGAAAGTGGTTATACAAGACAAGATCCAACTGGCGAGATGTGGCAATCCGGCGGGGGGGTGCGAGGAAATAGGGGATAACTATTCTGACTATATTCAATGACTTGCTTCATTTGAGTTTGCGATAGAAGGAACTAGAATTGAAGTTATAGATAGAAAAGGTTGTAATTTGAAAGCAGATAGCAACTTGGAAGTTCATGCTCACATCTCGACTCATTGTCGTAAACACTGGCGCCATGTTACAATTGCACTTACATCATTCGTACGCCCTAACTCCTTGAAAAGGGTCTGATGTTAATACATTGTATACAAATAGTTCACTTTTGCCTCAAAAACCAGGTTTGGGTTGCACGATCAGAGCAAAGAAAAGTCTACTCTATTTGCAGAATCCCAGCGGCAGAGCGAAGTTCTCATATCAAAGCAAGCATCAAATTCTGTTATCAGTGCCACCTGAATGTAAAGTTATTTGACCACCAGGTTCCCAGCAGAGTCGTACTATCATAATAGATGCACGTGCCCTTTGCTTTAAAGCTCAACTCAATATGCGGCGAGAAGGATCTTCAAAATTGCCCGGCAACAATCAAGTACTTGCTGAATCGACTTCTGCACGATCCCGTGATGTACGACAACGTACGACAACGGTTACCACCTCAACCTCTTCCTTCACAATCTCAACTACAGGTCCAACGACCTCATCTCATTCCGTCTCAACCTCTCCTCCGATGCGTTGCCAAGCTCCCACTACAGAAGATTACAGCACAACGTCGATTTCTTCAGCACCGGGACAAGCCCGAAATGAGCATGCATGCATGATGAGAGGAACTCTAAAGGGGTACAGCTGTCGTGTTCTTGCAGAGGCGTCATCATTGATTCAAGACGATGAATTATGTTGATCAGACAGGAGCTGGGAGGAGCCGCTGTCAGGAATAGGGACTGGTGAGGGAAGTCTGGCACTGAGTCACGTTGAAGACCTCTTCACGTTCTCGACACATGATTGACAGACGTTGACTGTGTATAAACGTGCCTAGCGACAGGGAAGAGGCATTGTGATAAGCATCTGCTGTAAAGGCTGATGCCAGATTGGGTGTAACTCCACGTCCTTCGATTCAGGACGTTTTCGTCCCTGAAGTGGAGAGATTCAGCTTCCAAGATATCGTCCATCAAACCCATTCGTCTTTCCAGTTAAAACAACAGGAAATAATTTGGGTTTTGAAAACATTGCAAGGTATGGGCGATGGGCGCTGGTCATGCAGTCGAGAAACACACATATCTTGTCATTCACACCTAAGAACCTAAGCGAGCCGGAAAGGGGTTATCAAAATATGCACAATCAGAAGATGGCGGACAGAGGGAAAGCTCTTGGCTGAGACTCTTCATCCCAACGAATCAAACAGCCAACAATGTTCATCTGCACTTGTAATGAGCATCTCAAGTTGCGTGATTAATCATTGGTGTACAAAGTCGAGCACACAAGTGACCGAAAATTTGACTGGAAGGTGTACTGGTGGACCTCGCTGAGCAGCTCCCCACCTTTAACAACCAAACAGCACTGGGTATATATTCGATAGCTGGTCTGCATGCCCTTCAGTCAATAAATACATCGTAGCGTAATAAGGGTTTTGAGGAAGATATGAGCCCACTTGATACTGTCTTGAAATCTGTTAACTCTGAAGAATCGCAACTGGAGCTTTGTTTACTCACTCTCAACCAATCTCTTGTCTCCACAAATATGGTTTTCATCATTTCAGGCTTTATTCCTTGGATTTATATAGCTTGATATATCTTCTTAACATACCCCAAGTTTTCAAACCACTTTTCAAATCCTCAGATGTATCTCTTTGTTCAACACTCCGCTGGTGCAACCTCAAAAAGTCGTCAGAAATAATGGACTACAAAGTCATTGCCGTAGAAATGCAAGCCCGGCGATTGGAAAGAACTCCTAAGAAATAGCTACTACTGAGAAACATGAAGATGGGGATCAATGTTAGTACATACAAATCCTCTCCCAGAATGTTCCCTTAGAGGGTAGTTCCGAGCCGATATCTTCCAACACCCCTGCCAGGAATCCTAGAATCAAAGTTGATGTCTGGAAGTGGACGTCCCAGTAACATACGGACTCTTGAGTAAGATGGGATTGCATATCACTTCTGACTTTGACGTCACTGCCCTTCTTGAGAAATTGAAAGGGGGACTCTGGACTGTCGAACAAGTGACAGTGGCTTGTGCAAGACAGCAGCCACCGCGCGGCAGCTGGTCAATTTACCATTCCATCTCGCATCTCCCTGTTAAGACCACAGGTAGTCTTATAGAACCTAATTAGTCTTAGGAGTCGCGGCAGACGAACTGCTTAACTGAGATATTCTTTGATGATGCAACTGCAAGAGCGGAGAAATCCGACTTGGAAAATTTACGCGGAAGGAGAACGGGCGAGATCTTCCACAACTGTTGAGACTTCCTATCTCACTTAAGGATAGCAATCAAGTTCGAGGCTATGATACGTCGACAGGATTGGGTTGCTATGTGGGCGAGCTAGCAGAGCAGGATAGCGCGCTTGTGAACTTGTTACTTAATTTGGGCGCAGTGCTTTATCTTAGCCCAGTGAGTACCCCCAGACTTCCTCCCCCTTGTGCCTGTCGAACTATGGACGAATGTTTGAGTTCGATTCGGATACGTCTCAAATGAGTACAAAATATTGAACCCACTCACATTGCAAGTACCTGTCTGTAAAGACACCACTGACTCTTTCCTCTACAGATCTGCCACAATTATCACGACGGGTGACAGTCACAACAACCTCTTCGGGCGAACTCTCACCCCGCTGGAAAAACACGTCAACGCAGGCGACACCAGCGGAGAAGGAGCCCTGCTCGCTCTCAATGGTAGCATCCTAGGTGTTGGTACTGACATCGGTGGGAGCATACGAGTTCTGTCAGTCTGTAATGGTCTCTATGGATTTCGACCCAGCGTAAGTCTCGTACCGCACGGTGGAGTGCGATATCTCAACCCGCCAGGTATGGATAGTGTGCAGTGAACAGCGGGACCCATGGCGACTTCTTTGAGGGATTGTGAGATGTTTCTGAGAGTGATATGGGGGGCGGAGGCTTGAAAGTACGATTGTTCGGCGATTGTAGTGCCATGGGTTGGGGTTGATGCGACGAAGCAGCTGAGTATTGGTGTTGGGATAAATAAATGATGGGTTATTAACTCCTACACCGTCTGTGAGACGTGGGTTGAGGCAGGCAGTCGATAATCTCCGTGGTCATGGTGACTTTAAGGTCATTTTATCGAGCTGCCAGGCATCGGAATGCTTTATCAAAGTCTTCTTGGAGTGACGCTTTAGAAGCGATATAAGTTCGCGAGTATCAGAGCCTAGTTAGGTCGACCTAACAAATAAAGCACTACGTCGAACAATCTGCACGGACGAATGAGCCTATCATCCTAGCTCTCAGGAGTACAGGGGCATTCAAGATCTTATGAATACCAATCTATACAAGATTACGAGCACAGGAAAGGATGTTGTTGATCAAGGGACGTTCTTTGGCTCTTAAATCTAACCGAAACCTCACCAACCCATGACAGGGATCTGAACCACCCCGGCTCGCTCCATGAAGCTCAACATCGAACTCTATCAGCAAACTCCATCTTCAACTCAGCTTCCACGACCAACACAAGCAAAATGGAGGACTCACTGCCCATGGAAATAGCATCCACGATCCAAACCGCATCAATAAACCGTGCGCCCTCACCAACGCATGACCTGAATCCCTCAACAGCAGCCTCGCAAAAGCAGCCCGTCACCCTCTCCCACTCCGATCCCTCTCTAGACAAGTACGCCTACGACTCAGAAGGCATCGATGGCTCGGATCTGGAAGATGGAGAAGACGATATCCCATACAGCGTGCTGAAGCCTGTGCCGCGAAGGCAGAGCTTCGGGCCTCTGCCGGATTTGAGATTCGAACAGAGTTATCTGGCGAGTATTGCCGGCGCAGATAGTAATTGGAAGGTGGCGTACATCACCTTTAGAGATCAGGTCAGTTATTATCGAATTTGCGCATTGATGCGAATGCTACTGCTTGAGCTTGAGCTGATTGCGTCTATAGCTCATTCTCCCTCTCCTCCAAGGAATGGTCTGGTCCCTCGCTCTCCAAGGCTGGCGATACTGGAATCGAACTGCGCAACTCAATGGTAGCTCAGTAGGCTCAAAGGTCAGGCGCTGGTGGTACAGAACAAATAACTGGAAATTGCCTGAACAGATGAGAAACTATGGGAGCAATGCCAAGCTAGCGCAGGATATAGGAGATGTGAGTTGGAGGAACCACTCTGGTGGTGATGTGTGGGCTTTTTGCTGATTGCTATCTTCACAAGCAGTACTATCAGAATCAGAGCTCGAGTGATTAGGATAGATGGATTGGAGTGGGATGAAAAACGGGCGTTTGGATAGGTTTGGCTGGCTGGGAAGCATATCGAAAGGCGTTTGGGGAGCTTGTAGCAGTACAAATTGATGGCGGACTTTGATTCTGAACCGCATCTGTATATTCCGACGCTTTTAATGAAACCAGAGCGCAGCTCTCACAAACCACTATCTCCAGCGAAGAGTGACCTCCGTTTGCTGCACCTCTTCAATCGGGGATTAGTCACCAAAGACACCTTCAATCAGCTGATGTGATCTATATTCTTGCTGAAGTCTTGTAAACTATATGTGAAGTATCGGGTTGAAACCTTACAGCCCAATATTGAAAGCAGGCATCATCATGAGAGCTAACATCGGGGAGAACCTGCCTCAGTCCAGATGTGGCCAAAAAAACCTCAAAATTATTTGGGTGCAACATTGTATTTCCATACCTCATCAAGACAGCACTGACTTAACAGCTGAAGCTGCTAGCATCCTTCTATGACCACAAGAGTATCCTCATCGCACAAAGATACACAGTCCAAACGCCATTCTACCCATCCATTTTACTTCAAGTGTGCCTCCCACCTGCGCCTATATGGCTACCTCAGAAGATTATCAAGAATCAAAGAAAAATCAGTCAAGGTCCAATGACACTTCTTAGCGGCCGGTATCAATGGATGGTACGTAGGTAGTGGTTGGCTTCTCTGGGCTTCGAATAGCGAGAGGAGAATGTGGTGCCTGAAGAGATGGTGATTTTGGAGGCAGGGGTGCTGATTTAGCAGGAACTTGCGGATTCTCTGCTACAGCGGGGATGCTGGCAGGAGAGGAAGCTGGCTGAACATTCTCTTTGGTTTCTACAGTGGCAGGAATGTCAGAGCTCAAGACCGGATTCTGAGTGCCGTTCGTGACGCCTGGGAAGAGAGCCTTTGGCGGTTCCTTCTCAGGGGACTTCCGTGGGGAGAACTTGAGCTTGATAGTAGTCTTCCGTTCAGGGGTCGGGGTCTTGACAGGAAGCTTGACAATCAGTTTCTTGTCTTCTCTATCATCCATCTCCTCGTCCTCGTCAGAAAGCTCATCCTTATCATCAACATCGCTCTCCAAGGGCACATTGTCGTCTTCTTCTTCGTCGTCTCCATAATCTTGCTCACTAGCATCGCCCTCGTCATCGCTGGTCATCTCATCGACATCGTTGTAGCCCTCAATGTGTCTTCCAGGCTTTGATTTCGACGCTCTTCCGTTGGTCGCAGCAGCTCTTCTAGGTCGACCTCCGGCACTCTCATCATGGCTAGGCTCATCACTCACTCCCTCGAAGCCGCCGACAGGAATTCCGACGCCTTGACCACCCAACATGCTCTCGCCGTACATGCCACCATGACGTGACTTGACCTGGCGTCCACTCTGGGTGATCGTTGGGCCACTGGGCTCGGCCGGTGTATGAGTACCGGTGTTGCGGGTCGATCTTCGTGTGGTGGTCGAGTCTGAGTAGATATCTTCGTCATCGGAATAGGTGTACTTCATTCTCTTCCCTCTTGTACGACCTTCATACATTGAATAGTTGGGCTCCGGTCTCTTGAATTGTTGCTTGCGGATTTGACGGTATTCGCGACGCTTACGTTTCTGACAAGCAAATTAGCATGTGGTGAAATGCATCTTTTTGAAGCAGCCTACCTCTTCTGTAGCCTCAAAGCGAGGAATAGCTGCCAGCATCTTAGATGAGAGAAGTCTGGCCTTTTGTCCACCGTCGTCATCCGCAAGCTTTTCTGCCAGAGCCTTCAATTCATCGATATCCCCAGCAACACTCCACCACGTTCGCTTGATGCCCATATGGTTGCTCTCCCGGTATACTCTGAAGTGCGTATCGTCTAGACCCTCAATCAAATAGTATCTGCGTTTGTCACTATCGGAACCCCATGGCTGGACTGAGAGTGGCTGGTTGAGATCGTCCTCGTGGCGGCTCTGCTTGTAAGAAGCTTGGATTATGCCCTTGACAGTGTCGGACGAGGAAAGAGCCCAGAGAATGAGAGTTCGCAGAAGGGTGAGCTGTAGATGCGAGTCAGCAAACTATCCTCTAAATCGGCAGAGGCCTTCTTACTCGTTGGGTGGGTAGCATAGAAGCAAATGTTGCGCCTCCAGACAAGGGATTCTTGGCCTCCCAATCCTTCGCCCATTGCGATTTGTGTGTCTGTATAGCCTCCTCTAGAGCACGATTGTAATGTCCCGATCTGTTTTTGAATATCGAAATCAGTACTGAAGCTGATCTGCCTGGGGGTGCCAGCCTATGTTGACCTACTTGACGTCTTGTTTCCTATTCAGAAGCAATCCAAGCACTGCGCAAAGAAAATGTTCCGCGCCTTCTCCAGGGACACTCTCAACAATATCTCTTTCAAGCTCTTGAGGGCCAAAATTGACCAGAGACTTGGGGAAGGCTTCGGTGAACCGCGAGCGGAACATGCAAATAAACTGTTCAAAATGCGCGTTAGCAGCTATTACGAGACATGACCACGCGTTTTGAACGTGTAAAGCCATGTAGAACGCGACGACGGATGCGAACACATACTGCGATGTCTGGATTGTCTGCGAGGACAAATTCATGGGGTGGTGAAGGCGCGCGTTGCTTTCGTGGAGGAACTGGAACCTCAACGACGGGGACAGATGCATCAGGGCGGGGAGTCTTCGAGAAGAACTTGAGGATTCCATCTTTCTTGGTTAATTGGAGATCATTCTCAACATCTGAGGGGACGGAGGAGAGCTCCGAGGATTCATCGCCGGAACTCATCGTTGGTGTTGGTGTATTGTGGAGATGGGGCTCGTCCTTTCGAGGATGAAGTCAGAGGGAGCTTTGCCGACAAAGCGCGCGGCGACAAGAAAGAGGTTCATTGGACTAGCTAAGCAATCTAAGTCACGCAAGTCCAACACATCAGTCAATGGACAATGTTGAATTCATTCATGGTTATTCCCAACCAGCATTCCAATATTTGGCTATTATTCGAGCCTAACGTCCATCGTCCAACCTCAACTTCACAGTATCGTTTGCTCCGTCCGCATAGCCTTTGTCCCAAGCTGCTTGATCTCATGCTTCTTCAATCTGCCGAATCCCAAGAATGATTCATCCCCCAAGCTTGGCGCACCACAACGAAGGCGTTGGAGGGCCCAACCAGCCGAGCGTGTCTCATGCAACCTCTAAACGGCTTTGTCCCACAACACATTGGAGCATTCGGGTGCCCTGCTCCGTTTGAAGCCATTCCCCAGCGCTCCCATGACATCAAGAGTTCCTCAGAATTGTCCAAATCTATAACTCAGTTGTCTGTTCGAGAAGCTAGCTGTCACATTCCTAGCAATTGGAAATCATTGTTCGATCCAGGCGCACTGTTGCAATTCTGTTGCTTGCCATTCAGGGTGGAGAAAAGCCCTAGGGGTGGCCGTCTGGTTTTGCATGATGAAGGTTATACGCATCGGTGGGACAGCGCATCCCCCGCCGTCCAAGTTCGCTTATTGACAGAGCCTGGAAGCCCTTGTTGCTTATACCATATTGAATGGTCCATGAAGTCAAAACAGCTCTTCATCAAGGCCATAGCCACTCCCACAGTTACGTTGTTTGGGTGTGCAGAGGCTCAGCGGGTACGGAAAGAAAACAATTGTAGCAAAACAATCAACCCTCGAATGAGACTATGCACACCTATGCACACATACGCACCAAAAGCTAGGAAAATACACAGTCTTCTCAATTCTTAGGAACACGACCCACGACACTGGACAGGAAATAACATGTCTAGTTGGTCGAGCTAGTCGTGCGAGACAACAAAGGGTGCGGCTTGACAAACCAGCACACACTCCTGCACTGAGACTTGCAAAATGTGCTAATACTTGGAATAACAAATAAAGGGCGGATGAATGTAAGAAGATAAGTTCACCGGTTTGCTGGGGGAAATAGCATTTCGTAGCCTGAAGCCTAGCCCGCAAATTCGTTGCGGCTCCCAAACACCATAGAAAGCCAACGTAGTGCGCAATCCCCCACAGCATCTCGAACTGACAAAACAAGATGGAATCATCGCAACAACGAAGTTTTCGACATGTTCTGATGCCACGTAGAGAGAAACAATACATATGACAGATCATCTCTCCAGAGTCAGAAAACGTCTTAGAATCCACCGCAAATGAATCAAGAGTAGCACATATTGATAGGAAATGAATAGGAAGGGCAAATCTTGAAAGGAGCAGCCCTCTCGTCGTGGCATGGGCCGGTCGTGAGACCAAGAGGGTTATGATCAACTATGAACATCGCCCACCCTTTGCCAACATGCAGCCAGAAAATAGAGAGTTTCGGGACCAGCACAATACATAGAATGCTATTCTGGCCATATTGGCCGCAGCCTGGGCCGTTGCAGAGTCTTGGTCGAGGAGTGCATCCTCGTTAGATATGCAGCAGTCATTCCTCCATGAGATGGTCGTTAGGAGTTGGAGCTAACGAGATCCTGGAAACGAAGATTATCGCTGCCTCATTGACGAGGCAGCTACGGTTCGAGTACAGCCCGACTGCTTACTAAGCTAGGTGGAGCGCGGGCAGTCCTTCTCAGCCTTGCGGGTTCAAACAAACACTGCTTGTTGACAAACTGCTCCTCTCGTACTCTCAGAAGTTTTCCTTCCACGACCCTCCACCACAACGTCGCATAACATTCCCAAGCATGGCGTCGGATCTGTCAACTGTGGTGCAGCTTCTCCAAGCAACACTAGACCCTAGACAACATAAACAAGGCAAGTTTTCCTCCTCTCAGATGCGATTGTTTTGTTCGGGCTAACCTCTTAACAGCTGAGGCAGCACTCAAGAACGAAGAACGACATCCTGGCTTTTCCCTCCTATTACTCAACATTGTTGCATCCGAATCCCTGCCTCTCACAACTCGACTCTCTGGAGCTCTGGTCTTCAAGAATTTCATTAAATTCAACTGGGTGGTGGGTGTCTCGAGTTTCATTTGCAGAAGCAAGTACTGATTGTGGGACCGCAGGACGAGGATGGAAACTACAAGCTCTCAGAGAATGAAGTGACAACTATCAAGAAAGAGCTGATTGGCTTGATGATCGCGGTACCTGCCAGCATACAATCGCAACTTGGAGAGACGATCAGTCTGATTGCAGATTCCGACTTCTGGATTAGATGGGATACATTGGTGGATGTAAGTTCTGGGATATAAGACGGTTGGCTGGGTTGCGCTGATATCCTTTAGGACCTGGTCTCTCGCCTGACGCCCGATAACCCGAAGGTCAATATTGGAGTCTTAGAAGTTGCACACTCAATATTCAAGAGATGGCGGCCACTCTTTGCTTCTGATGACCTCTACACCGAGATCAATCATGTTCTTGGAAAGTTCGGCTCGCCATTTGTCCAGCTACTTGCGGTATTAACTCGCAATTCCCTTCATCGGATTCTTCAACTAATTAATGAGAATAGAGCACCGATAGTCAGATCGAGGCGAACAAGGACAACAAAGATGTGTTGAAGCAATATGTGGAAGTTATGAATCTTCTGGTCAAGCTCTTCTACGATCTCTCCTCGCAGGATCTTCCTCCTATTTTTGAAGAGAACCTCGCCGAAGTCACATCCATGCTACACAAATACCTGACGTACGAAAATCCATTATTGGCTACGGACGAGGACTCGGAATCCGGACCATTAGAGTTTGTCAAAGCTGGAATCTGTGAAGTAATGACTCTGTACATGCAGAAGTACGAGGATGCCTTTGGAGAGTTGTGCAAGCCGTTTATCACAAGCACTTGGAATTTATTGACGACAATTGGCCCGGAGACAAAATTTGACATCCTTGTGAGCAAGGCATTGCATTTCCTCACAGCTGTAGCAAGCATTGATACCCATGCCCAAAATTTCAATAACGACGACATCTTGGGACAAGTGGTAGAGAAAGTCATCCTTCCGAACGTCAGTCTGCGAGATTCAGACATTGAGCAGTTTGAAGATGAGCCAATCGAATATATTCGAAGAGATCTGGAGGGCTCTGATGCCGACACACGCCGAAGAGCAGCCACTGACTTCTTGCGGAAGCTTCTGGAGAAATTCGAGGGAATTGTTACAAGTGTTGTTGGACGTTATATCCAACACTACTTGGAAAGCTTCTCCAAGAGCCCAAGCGAGGAATGGAAGTCCAAAGATACTGCGGTGTACCTTTTCTCTGCGATTGCAGCCAAAGGTAGCATCACGGCAAACCACGGTGTCAAGACCACCAACTCCCTGGTCAACGTGGTTGAGTTCTTCCAGAACAACATTGCCAACGACCTGATTGCCGAGACTGGCGTAGAACCAATTCTGAAAGTCGATGCCATCAAGTTTCTCTACACTTTCCGTAGTCAGCTGACTAGGGAACAATGGACCGCGGCATTTGCACCTTTGGTCAAGAATTTGGCATCATCTAACTACGTGGTTTACACATATGCTGCGATTGCTGTTGAGCGTGTTCTGTTCCTCACCAACGACGCCGGCCAGCACATTTTTGGAAAGGACGAGGTTTCTCCCTTCGCCAAGGATCTACTGGAGCATTTGTTCCAATTGATTGAGAAGGACTCTGCCCCTGAAAAAATCCAGGAGAACGAGTTCCTGATGAGATGCGTGATGAGAGTTTTGATCGTCATTCGAGATGGCGTGCTACCTATTGTGGACAGCATCCTTCAGCACTTGATCACAATCACTGGAATCATCGCTCAGAACCCAAGCAACCCTCGCTTTTACTACTACCATTTCGAGGCGATGGGAGCACTCGTCAGATATGCTGCTCCAACAATGCCGGAGAAGCTGGAGGAGCTGTTGTATCCTCCTTTCGCCGGTGTTCTCTCGAATGATGTGCAAGGTAAAAAACACTTCTGCTTTAAAGGTTTCGTGCTTACTAACTCAACTGCAGAGTTCATGCCATACGTATTCCAATTATTTGCTGCTCTTCTGGAAGCACGTCCCCAGGGACCGCTATCTGATTTTTACAAGGCTTTGATTACCCCAGTCCTCTCCCCTGCCCTGTGGGAGTCAAGAGGCAATGTCCCGGCTTTGGCTCGTTTGCTCTCTTCGATCATTCCCAGAGCCGCTGCAGACATCGTGGCACAGAATCAAGTCGAGCCAATCCTGGGAATCTTCCAGAAGCTCATGGCAGGGAAGACGAGAACCGAGCTCTACGGTTTCGATGTCTTGGAGGCTGTTATCACTTCATGCGAAGTGTAAGTTCCATTCGAATCGTTATGGAAATTTTTACTGATGTTATCGTAGGACTGCTCTGGAGCAGTACTTCCCTACAATTCTCACCATACTCTTTACTCGACTAAACGGCAACCCACCAGAAAAGTTCAAGCAACGCTTTGTGCGATTCTATCATCTCATCTCGTCTCGTGATCAGTCTGGTCTAGGTGCAGATTTCTTCATCAAGAACTCTGATGCGGTCCAGGACAGCGTTTATGTTCCAGTCTACCTCACTATTATTCTCCCTACAACCCAGCAGCTTGCACGGCCACTCGATCGTAAGCTTGCAGTTGTTTCATTAACCAAGACACTGGCAGATTCACAGGCTTTTGCCGTGAAGTATCAAAAGGGTTGGGGAAAGACCTGCGAGGCATTATTGAAATTGCTGGAAAATCCTCCGATGCCAGTAACAAACGATGATGTGGTTGTGGAGGTTGATGTCGACGATTTGAGCTTTGGAGTTGGCTTTACACCACTCAACACATGCAAAAAGGTGCCACGAGATGAGTGGCCAGAAGTGACAGACGTCAAATCTTGGGTGGGATCTTATCTCAAGACAGCTGACGCAAAACACGGAGGTGCAATTGGTGGATACGTGAACGAGAGACTGTCACCTGAAGCAAAAGGAGTGCTACTATCATACATGAGATAGTCCGAAACGATGTAACGACGGATAATAGACGACGAGATGATGCGAGCATGGAGCGAAAGTGTAATATTCTCGGGGAGCTGTCCCGACGCCAATTCTATGAGCGAAATTTAAAAGCAGTAGACTTGATTCTATCTCAGATAACACAGTTTGATCTTCAACTTTTGGTGAATTCCCTCATATGAGCTCCCAAGTGGGAATACGCAACTTATAGTTGCTTCTTGTGAGATCGGGATTATTGATTCTCATTACTTGAAGGGTATCTGTAGCGGGCATATGATATTCGAGGCTCTATGCCAGCTCAAGGAAACAGCGGTCTGACAAGGAATACATATCTCCTCGCGCGGAGTAACTATTCCAGGGCCCAGAAACGACCCTCGGCCTAAGTCTCAACTCAGGAATGCCACTCGCTGTACCCCTACCCTATATCAGGCTGAATGGATATTCGGCAGCGATCCGTTCGTCCCACCTCGCATTTTGACTGAAACATAATTCCAGTCGCAACAAGCGTTGCCTTGGTTGAAGGAAGTAAAAGCTTGCAATAAACACCACACGGAAGCGAGATACCAGGGCCACGGAACAATGTTTCAACACCCCTGTCTCCCCTCCCCCGAGTTTCCAGTGCGCTAGACAACGTGGACTTCAGGCAGAATCATTAGACGAGAGATGACTAGATCATGAGATCTGGAATTTCTGTACGGTGTAGACGGGACTTGATTTAGGCAAATTGAAGAAGTAGCTTTAGGTGCCTATTCTCGATGCGTGCCTTGTCGGCTCACGGATGGCTAGAGGACGGCCTTTGGCAGCTTGAAGGGAGGTATGGCATCCTTGTTCGTCTGCTTCGGAGACGGGAAACCTTAAGGGAACTTAAGGACGACTTCGTGGGTCTGAATGAGGAGATGAGAACTAGGATGGGCATGTTATTTCAGGCTGAGTGCTTGGTCTTTTGCGGAGGGTTTTGACATTGGGGAGCAATCGGGGTCAGGACTTGGCGAATTAGCATTACCTCCATGGGCTTGTATAAGACGGCCGACAGTACAAAGGAACGTTGCTCTTATTTTGAAGTCCGTGGATTGTATCTTTTTACTTTTACTCATTGCCTGACTCTCTTCTTCGCTGTATATTTTTAAACTCGAAAGTCAACATGCTTAACTTCAAGAACTTGGCCGCTGTGGCGGTATTGTTGAGCAATATCGACATTTCTCAAGCACAAGGTGGTGCTTGGACACAATGTAAGCTCTGTACTTTAGAGGATGTCTCCAGAGTGAAACTGATCCTGGATATTAGGTGGTGGTGTAAATTGGAATGGAGCTACGACTTGTGTATCTGGCTATGTCTGCAAGTACTCCAAGTAAGTGGTCGCTCTTCACATCTGGAGGAGTATAGCTAACAAATCACTTGAAAGTGACTGTCAGTATTTCCCAAAACCGAAATTAGGCCATTCGCTTCTGTCGAGATCCAGTCCAAACCACGCAAGCGAGCTGACTCTAAACAAGATTACTCCCAATGTGTCCCGGGCACCGCAGTTGTAACCACGACCACCACATCCAAGCCCACAACCCTCGTCACAACAACCAGTACATCTACATCCGCAGCCAGCACATCCACGCCAACCACATCTCCCGGCACTGGCCCAGGAGATGCAGGATACAGTACCGGCGGGGCCAACAGTATCGATGTCAAGTTCCGAGCCCGCGGCAAGAAATACTTCGGTGTTGCTACAGATCAGGGACGTCTTACTACTGGCAGTAATGCTGCCATCATTCAAACGGACTTCGGACAGGTCACCCCGGAGAATAGTATGAAGTGGGATGCTACCGAGAGTAAGTGAGCTGTTCACAATTCGAAGTGTATGATATTGACATGAAATCAGATACCCAGAACTCCTTCACTTTCTCGCAGGCTGATTACTTGGTATGTTATATGCAGTATTGGTGTGGAAAGGATATACTGACTAGGTGTTAAGGTGAACTGGGCTGTGACGAACAAGAAGTTGATTCGCGGACACACCTTGTGTAAGTTGCTTCGCTTAGTCGGCTACAAGACTGACTGCTTTCAGGCTGGCATTCACAACTCCCAAGCTGGGTCAGCAACATCGCGAATGCTGCTACTTTGACCAAAGTCTTGCAAGATCATATTGCAGCTGAGGCTGGTCGGTACAAGGGGAAGATTTATGCCTGGGTAAAAGACCCTTGGATCCTTCGAAGGGTACAAAGCACCCAGCTGATATGCAAAACAGGATGTCGTGAATGAAGTCTTCAACGAAGGCATGTCGAAACATGATCTCCAATCCAACTCCTTTCCTGTTCTCTCCCGTTTCGCATGCTTGCGATGAATCGCATAGCTCCACAGCAAGAACAAACAACATACTGACCCTTCGGGAAATCAGATGGATCCATGCGTCCTTCAGTCTTCTTCAACGTCCTAGGCGAGACATTCATCAACATCGCCTTCGCCGCCGCGAAACAAGCAGACCCCACCGCAAAGCTCTACATCAACGACTACAAGTGCATATCCCCTCCTCCCTTCTCCAATCTCCCATCTCCCATCTCCCATATTCTCCTATTTCCCCCTGATCCCATGCCAACCAAGCTAACAAACCCACAGTCTCGACTCAGCTACCTACGCAAAGGTAACAACCGGGATGGTAGCCCACGTCAAGAAGTGGATCGCAGCGGGTGTACCAATCGATGGTATTGGATCGCAGGGCCATCTCCAAGCAGGCCAAGGCTCTGCTGCAGCAGGTGCGCTTGCGGCTCTGGCTGCATCTGGTGTGGCTGAAGTTGCGGTCACGGAGTTGGATATCGTGGGCGCTGCTTCAAGTGATTATGTTGCTGTAAGTTGATCCCGAAATCTCTTTTTGGATGGGGGCGCAATCGCGGTATGATGAAAACGTGCTGATGAGGAGTAGGTCACCAATGCTTGTCTGAACCTGGCTAAATGTGTCGGTATCACCGTGTGGGGTGTTCGTGATCCTGTAAGTTCATATCCTCCAGCCCCGTTTCTCCAAGATCTTTTGTTCGTAGCGAGGATTTCCAGCTAATCTGCAATGTAGGATTCTTGGAGAGCAAGCAACAACCCTCTCCTTTTCGACGCAAGCTATGCGCCAAAGGCTGCTTACAACGCCATTCTCGCTGCATTGTAAGATGCTTCTTCTCTATCGTAGAAAGTTGAGTAGTGTTGGGATGCTGGAGAAAGACTGGGTTCGAAGCTGGAACATTCGCTGTAAATATTGAGAACGTACGAGAATGAATATATAGGTTTGGATGCCGCCTGCATTTTGAAGCTTTACATAATCCAATTTGGTGAACCTTCCGTAGTGGAAAGTGATGAGTGACGAGGAGATGTGACGTATAATATTCTTCTTTGAGGCGGAGAAAAGCTTAATGGATATCACATGTGTGACGGATCAGCGAGTGACGGATAAAACACAATAGCTTGAGAAAATGGCTTATGAATAGACTGCGAGCCCAAGACCAGCTAGAGAAAGGTGAGGCAAACATAGAGGCCGCTAGGACGAAGCTGTGTAGGAATTCGTCCCGAGTATCGAGTATGGGAGCTCTAGGTGTGGCGAGAAGGATATACTGCTACCCATGGGGAACATTTCAATATTGATATGTGATGACCCATTATTTCCAGCGAGTAATTTCTCGTGAATTGTCTATTCCATCATGATATGTGCAGTGCCGATTGAAGACATAGCGAAAGATTGTAAACAAGAATCAAACATGTTCTCGCTTAGGGCTGCATCCAGTCTCTTTCCATTTAGCGAGACCCCACGTTGATGGCATTTCACCGAGGCCGTCGACGAGGAGATAAGAGTTCAGAGCACAAATCCGAACATGGCCATATATGTTGTTGTTCTCTATTGTCAGTAGTTTCTCTCATCTCGATGGAGTCGAGAGGTATGGTCGCTCAGGTAATCAGCAGGCATATGGCTGGTTCGGGTGTCAGGTAGAAGTATTTGCGGTATTCCTCAGTCTCGAGCTTACTGAATGAGAATTTGATATATGATTGTCGAAAATTGATCTGAAAGTTGCTGTGTTTTGAAGTCTAGACTACCTGAGACATGGAGGAGGATATTCAGATTGGGAATCTCGGAATATCCAGATCCAACAATGATGCTTACCAGCATGCGAATTAGGGAAGTAAAATAGGGTTTCAGTGAAAGTCATATATTTCGCAGCTCCTTGCACTTTACTTACGACCCCACCCTTGGATCTGGCTGGTGAAAATCGGCGAGAAAGAAATGCTTCGTTAACCACTAGACACATGGTGATGGAGCGGAGATTTGTGAGGGGACGTAAGATATTGGAAAATCGAAATAATATAAAACTTAAGAAGGCCGAAGTACGCCAAAATGTAGTTCTCGAAGTCTTCCCAGCAGTCAAGTGCAGCGCGAATCCATACCAGCAAGACGAGAACGACACGAAGCTAACAAGAAGAATACGTTTCTTGGCATTGATACGCTCATAGGGCTGAAGGTCGCTTGAGGTGAGCTCTCAGAGTCAGCAGAGCTGAACCCTGTCCGTGCGCTTGATTCTGGATATTTTCCGGGGACAGTTCTTCCGTTTGACGGATAAGACTCCGTCCATGAATCTCGACCCTCGACCGTGTGTTAGTCGAGAGCTGTAGAGGGAAATAGGAATGGAATGTGCTCATCCAATGGCAGTAGTGAGGCAGCACAAGAATGAAAAGAGAAAAATTTCTGTAAAAATTTGGCAAACATTTAATATCAGATTTTCAACCGGGTGGCGGGTTAGAAAGAAAATTTAGAAGAGGAAAAGTGAGGAACTAATTTCCAGAACGTCTGAGCTTTGGAATGAGAGTATGGAATTTTCCAATACTATTACGTAGGACACGAACGATTGGACGCGGCCCAACTTTTTTCTTTCATAGTCTGGGAGCTCGTGATTGATAGCTCGGGGCGAAGGCGCAAAAACAAGCTTTTATTTGAGCCTGAGCCGGTTCTGGCCTGCTACTAACCAATACCCGAAGTGCCTAGCCATAGCCGAGATGCTTCTCTGGTGTTGGCACACAGAGGGAGAGGAGAGGGGTCGGGGATTAGGGTTGCTTCAGAGCACGCTGCACGAGGGGCAGATCGGAACGTGAGGAGGGATGGGATGGGATGGGATGGAATTTGTCAGCTCAGGGGACACCACACAGGTAGCGTTCGAAGCGGTGAGGAAGACGAGGGTTCGTTGGCGACCTCGTGGTCGTACAGTAGTAGTGCTAGAGGACCTGTAGGTTCGTATTATGCACCAGAATGTCCTCGTTTGGCCGAGGAAGTGGAATCCCCGGGTAGCGGACGGGGGGCCCGAAGCATGAGGACGACAAGTACGAATGCAGGAGGGAAAGTAGGTGAGTGAGAGCATCGGAGGGAGAGAGTGCATCGTGATCGTGCAAGCCATCGCAGCTCATGCGTAACACAAATGTGTGTTTGAATGGTGCAATAATGCCTCAGCGAACGTGCATTTACGGGCTTGCAGTTGCAGTGCGCAGTGCAGGTATGAGTGAGAGCCGGAAAGACAGACGCTGACTGAAGGACCGAAGAGCTCACCAGTAGTAGTACTGTACAGTAGAAGAGACAGCAGATTACAGTATTGTTCCAGTGGTGTGGTAACGAAGTTTGTACCCCTCCTTTTGCGACTGCCCCTCCCCGGAGCTGGATTCTATCGACCAATGGAGTGGAGTGGCTGTTCTCTGAGCTATTTACCGTACGATTGAAGGATCCTGGCCATGTGCATGCGAGCTGGAACAGTAGTGCAACTGGGGAATATACCACTAAGTAATAGATTGCGGCCGATGGTACTTTAGTAAATAATAACAATGAGGGATGAGGTAGCAGTGAAATGAAGGAGAATCTGGTGCTGAGGGGCGTTCTGGAGCCCGTTGAGCCTTGAGCTAGGGAGGTTATGTTCGTTAGCTCGAGAAGGTCCTGAATATCGTTCCGCAATTTGCTTGTGATATCGATGTCTGACAGCAGGAGGAAAGTTTTTCGAATATCCCGGCAGTTATCTGCGGTGCAGAGGGACTGCAGATAGAGTAACTAACTGTTCGCGCATTGGAACAGACGGCGACACTGACAGCGGTGATCTTCGGGTTGTTGTGCAGGAGCCAGGCTCAGTGACGTAGGAACAGGCTTGGGGGCCACCAACCTGAGCATGCAATGTTGCTCTTGATAGGCCAAACCTTGACCTGTAATGGGAACGAACTTCTAAGCAAACATTATCAAATTCGGATATCATTCGGAGCATGTAGGCTGGAGCTATGCCAAGGAAGATGACCAGCAGGTAATGAAAGATCGGCCCTGAAAACGGATGGATAAGATCAGACATATCTCTCAATAGGATTTACCAGGGGATGGTGTTGCTGTCCATGTAAACAACACAGCTCGCAAGATTGGATGCCATGCGGGTGTTCTGCCACAGCGATAGGGGAATGCCGTAAATGGTCTCATCCATTGCCAAATCAGAAGCTTCAATTAAGGGAGGTTGTACAAAAGGAGAGATCTCAATGGCCAGAAGTCAAATTGTATCAGAATGATATCTTTTCGATCCCAAAGTCCCTCATACAGTACTAGTAAAAGAGTTGAGCTTGGGCGATTGATAGTGCAAGTACAACTCACCAAGAGGTTGCACCGCAGCATGCAAGATGGCAGAAAGTGATGCCAAGGGCTTGTGAGAGATATCCGAGTCAAGTTCGGACTTGAGTGTTGTCAATAATGGGTCTCGTCTTTCCCCTGGCTCTGTCATGATTTGACTCGACTCGAGTTGATTCTTTGTGACTTGCTGCGCCTCGTTTGACGACAGCAGCCGAGACCATGAAACTTTCGAGGTCGTCTGAAGTTTTTATAGACGGAAACCGGACTGATGTTTCCCCCGTGGGTAAACAGTGGGCGAACGGTGGGCTTGCGGGCAAGAGGAAAGGATAAGCTTTGAAGGGTCATCCGGATGCAACAGGTGTTCGTCTTGGTGTCAAAACCCGGTGCGAGAGGTAATATATCCTGGGCTTGAGACTCTTCATAGACTCATAGAGACAATGGTGATTCGCTACATCAGTTTTGGTAGGACGATCTCTAGTTCGTTGCATGGCAGTACTGTAGGAGAAGCCAAGTAGCTGGATGTGCTGCATCTAGCAACAGTTGCCTACCTCAGCAAGCTACCTACCTAGTCGTCTTCCGGCATTGAGACTGTGGTATGAATAGCACCAATTGACTTTTAACAATGTTTTATACCGGAAATTACGATATCTAATTCCAAACAAGACGTAATCCACTTTCCCACGGGCCGGTTCCTCTCCATTGATTGCAAGATGCGAGGTCATGTAGATGGATCACTTTCTAAGCAGCCCATAAAGCTTACTGATAATCGTAATAACTGAAGTGCAGCTGCATCTCTCTTGCTCTCCTGCTCATCTCTCTCATCTGGCATCTGGCATCTGACATCTGCTCCGGACCAACCAGAAGAAGCAAAAGCCGTTAGAAAGTCTTACCTTGCTTCCTTCTTGCAAGTGCCTCCTAGGCACTCACTCGTACATCGGCCGCTGCAAGGCGATTTCATAAATCCCTCACCAATTTCGTTTCGCTCTTCGCTCTTCGCTCCTCGCGCCTCCCTGCCCACACAGACAGACAGACAGACAGACAAACGTACCGTATTCGCGCCAGCGGGCAGCGAGAGGGGAGAGGGGAAGAGGAGGGAAGGGAAGCAGAAGGGCAGCGCCGTGCAGCGCCGTGCAGCGCAGAGGAGAGAGAAGCCAGGCCAGGCCAGGCCAGGGCAAGGCACGCAGGCACGACACCACACGACTTGTACTATTAGTACAATACTTACTTACGAAGCCTTACCTTACCTTACCTTACGAAGTTACCTACCTACTGCACGGACAGGGCCACATCAGTCAGCAACGTTTCTTCACTGGCTCTGGCTCTGGCTCTGGCTCTGGCTCCGGGCAGTTATTTGCGGCTAGCAGGCTACGAGTACTGTACTGTACCTAGGTCCTAGGGTATTTCTCTCGGATTCCCGCTGTGGTGCGGTACTGGACTGGTGCAGCCTGTTCCTCTCCTATTATTCACATCACATAAGCTGGCCTGGTCCCTCCCCTCCCACTCCCACTCCCACTGCCCTGCTGCTTGCCGACCTGACTTGAATAATATCGAGCGAGCCCGCACCGCACCGCACCACGCCAAATTCTTTCTTGCGAGTTCGCCATCCTCCACTTCCTTGCGCTCGCTCTCACTCACTTACTCCTCCTCACCTTACCTTACCTTACCTTACCCTACCTTACCTTACCTTACCTTACCTTACCTCAGCTCACCATCCTCTGCTCCATTCCAATCTCGACCTCCTCTTCTCCTTCTCCACGTTCTGCGACATCTGCAATCCTCACCCCTGCGACACTGCTCGGTCGCTCCAGCTTCCTTCTTCCTCACACAAAGGACAGGCGCTGTCGGCACGCCTTGGCTCTCGGGTTCCGCGCTACACCCCAGCCGAGCGCAGTGCGAGCAGGATCTCTCCTCTCACCTCTTAGACCCCCCCATCGCCGAGGAAGCAGAATCGCAAGAAAATCCAACACCTATGGCGACCGTCACCACTCCTCGGGACTCCCTGATCGCGGAGAAACTCCGTGGATCACCAGCAGCGTCTCAAACGTCATCGAGGGCCGGCTCTCCAGATTCTCTGCCTAAAAAGCAGAATGGCATTGCTGCTCCCAGCACCGAGAACCTGAATGGAAACGGCTACGCTGCGCCACCATCCGAGCCACAAAAGTCGACGACCCTTGCTGCACCGCAGCCAGAGAAGCCCTCAATGACAAAGCGTCTCACTCGAATGTTCTCTACGAAAGATGCTACAAGAGCCGAAGGACATATAAGTTCTCAGCAATCTTCGACGGGTCATAGCACTCCAAAGCCTCCCCCTACACCGACAACTGAACAAAAGCCAAACCCTCCTTCACGCAAGTCCTCCACGACCGACAAAGCAATTACCAAAACCGAGAAGTCTGAAAAGCCCACCACGACGCTTGCAAAGGATAAGAAGGCAGCGGGGACTGCCTCTGCACACCAGAGGTTTGTCCTCAATGCCGATGTCAAAGGCGGCCATGAGCACCACCTCAAGAGCGCAAAGAGGCAGGAGAAACTGTCGGACATGCTTCGAAATGTTATAAGTGGAAAAGCAAAGGCTCCAGAACACGTACACGAGGGCGAGCAACAATTGTCATTGATGTCCAGTTGGGTTGATCAGCTTAAGAGCGAGCGGGATAGTTTGGTTTCAGAGAAGAAAGGCGGTCCGAATGCCACTGCATCGTTGGTAGAGAAATACGGCAAATGTCAAGAGATTGTTGGACGAGGTGCTTTTGGAATTGTTCGGATATCACACAAGAGATCCGAGAATGGAACTGGAGAACAATTATATGCTGTGAAGGAATTTCGAAGGCGCCCAGAAGAGAACGAGAAGAAATACAGCAAACGACTCACATCTGAGTTTTGTATATCTTCGTCATTACGCCACCCGAACGTCATCCACACTCTCGACCTCTTACAAGACTCGAAAGGAGACTATTGCGAGGTTATGGAGTTTTGCGCTGGTGGCGATCTCTACACTTTGGTTCTCGCGGCTGGCAAGCTCGAAGTGATGGAGGCCGATTGTTATTTCAAGCAAATGATGCGAGGCGTGGAATATATGCACGAGATGGGCGTTGCACACCGAGATTTGAAACCCGAGAATCTCCTTCTTACGACCCACGGCTCTCTCAAAATTACCGACTTTGGTAACGGCGAATGCTTCAGAATGGCATGGGAATCTGACGCGCACATGGTTACTGGTCTTTGCGGTTCAGCGCCTTATATTGCCCCGGAAGAATATATAGACAAGGAGTTTGATGCTCGAGCCGTTGACGTTTGGGCTACTGGTGTGATTTATATGGCGATGCGAACTGGTCGTCACCTCTGGCGCGTTGCAAAGAAGGACGAGGACGAATTTTACGAGCGCTACCTAGAAGGACGTAGAGATGAGGAGGGTTATGCTCCTATAGAATCGTTGCACCGAGTATGTTCACCCCTCTGCTTTTGACAATACATAAGACTAACAGAACCAGGCACGGTGCCGTAATGTCATCTACTCAATTCTCGACCCCAATCCATCTCGCCGAATCACTGCTTCACAAGTTCTCAAGTCCGAATGGGGCAGAGAAATAAAGCTCTGCAAAGCCGGCGAAGAGGGTCTCTGACAATATGAGTTTGATCGTGGATTCAAGCAAACGAAAAAGGTCTTCTCAAAACTAATCACGGAGACCAATTTTGCTATAGGCATCCCTCCTTGTCCGACCGTTGGACAAGAGGGTACTCATAAATTTCACGCTCATAAACCCTTCAAATGTGAAGGCTGTAACTTTGAATACGTTTACGACGACGCTGGCCAGGGACGAAAAGCGACCATGTCAGCCTGAGTGGTTTGAGCCTGACGGCTAAATAACCAGGGTAGCAAACAAGGGTCTGGGGGTTTACTCTTTGCATTTTGGAGCAATGGTGTTCATGGCGTCTCATCCACTTCTCGTTTACGTCTACTTTTCTGTGTGTGTTTTTGTCTGTTTTTCACGGGAAATGGCGAACCGGGTTGGATGGTGTGTGATGGTCGGCATGCGGAACTTCAGCAGATTCAACGACTGAAATGAACGAACGACATTGGGCAATTATCGAATTTTCAGATTATCAGGAGAAGTCAAACTCAGTACCCTCGGTTGGCGGACATGTCTTTCCGGCTCATGAGAGAAAAGAGCGTTTTCCTTTCGTCTCACGTCACTTTTTTTCTGCCTTCTACTTCATATCGATCGTTGCAACAGCTAGCCAGCAAGCAAGCGTTCTTTTTGCCTTTGTGCACCACTTTTTTCTCGCATGGTGTTTTGAGCTGAGATGGTGTAGCTGGGAATGACTGAGGGTTGGAGCGGAGCTTAGCTGGTAGATAGTTGACGAGGTTTAGAGGGATGAACAGTGGATTTTGTAGATATGGGAAGAGCAGTCGTTTGCCTCAGGATAGGACGAAGCTGTGAGCGGGATAAGAGCGCTGGTGGAAGTACAGTAGAAATGGAATGAAACGAAGTTCAAATGGAGACTTGGTCTTCCATGTAAACAAACATGCCTGTCTCGTCTATTCTATTCTCCGTTATTATCGAACCGAGTTGTACTATCGTCACTGTCCCACTTGAGGGAGGCGGCCTAGGTCCTTTCAAAAGTCACAGGTCTCAGGGAAGCTTGGAAAATATTCACACCATGCAATCTCCCTGCTAGATTTGCACAGTCGAGTACCTCAATGTCCACATTGTACCTTTGGACTCTCGCCACTCTTCGAAGTCGAGACCTGGAATATTTTAAAACAAATGAGTCCCTCTCAGCGAGCTTTCTTCGCCTCTTCCCTCTTCTCTACCCAAGTACAGCAATCTACTCGCTCGTCTACTCTCTTAACTTATCTCAATCGGCTGTCTATCACTCCATAGAACCATATTCATTCAACCCAACCGAGGCTCAAGATCAGTCTGCCCCCTTCGGACTTGACCCTATCTATGCCCGAAATACTACAACCACTCACCGCTATGTAAGTAAGGTCTTAGGTCACCATGAACCGACGAGTATAAGTCTTCTCACTTGACTCCTACATAGCCATCGGTACAAAAAAAGAAGATCCAAAAGGGCCAATATATCCCAGCTCAGGTACATAGATAGATAGATACATCAGATGCAGATGCAGGAATGGGACAACAATCGTGATTTTGGAACGTGATGAGATGAGGGGAGCTTCGATAGCCATTGCGGCTACGGCATTGAAGAACTTTCCTTCTTTTCTCGGTGGGCTGGAGATGCTTCTGGAGAGGGGCGAGAGGGTTGAGGAGGACTTTTGTTTGGTTTGTAGTGTGGCGTGATTCGTTTCGATTTGTTTTTTGGTTAGTTTTAGATGTCGTTTGATGCTCTGGATGGAGATTGGGAAGGTTGACATGAAATGAATTGAAAATGAGATGGAATGGAATTGATTCGATGAAATTGGGGTTCTCAGGACTTTGACGGAGAAGCTGGCTTATCATAGCTAGTAAATTGACTGACTTGAGCTTGTTATCCCTTATCACCTTGATGAGTTCGTTCGTTCGTGCTTCTGTGCTGAGAATTCTTTGAGAGGTACGAAGATACATACATATCCATAGGTATTGATTTGGGTGGAAGCAGATTTCTCAGCGAACATCTAGGTAAGGTTACAGTCAGTCAGTGAAATTGGTCAGCCAGTCAAGTGCATCTTCTATCCCCATATACTCCGCCGTGTCTCTCTTCTTTCAAGCCTCTTCTACTTATCGTGGCAGTTTGGCGAATGACGAGATAGCAGGGCAGGACAAGATAGCAATATGAAGAGCGGTTCGATTTACGGAAAGCGGTAATATGGCTCATGAGGACCGAGGAAGATACATTAGGCTGAGAGGATATGATGGATGTACACCCTGACAGGTAGGAGGACACTGAATTGACAAGAATGATGAATGAGCAAACGAGGAGGCTCTACGATATCTGGCACTTGTTAAGATAGACAGTGTCGAAGGCTGTCCGATGTAGACGCAGAAACACCCCTCTACCCCGTCTACCTTTCTCCTTTATACAGTAGTACTATTTATCATTATAAGCCAGGTTCTACATGCTGTACAGTGCTGTGCTGCGCTGTGATGTCAACATACATGACATAAGGCTGTTGTTGCTGATCCTTGTTTATATCAAGGAGGCCTGTCGCTTACTGTACGTGCCTATTATCAAATGTCAGCCTGTCAGTGCCTGGTGGTGCTGAATTATGTCATGAAGCAAGAACATCGTAGGGCTGACTGGCATGGGTATATGCAGGCACTGCATTGTCAGCAGTCGGTAGATGAGAGTTGAGCTATTGGCAACCGTGGAGTAGGGGAGAGGAACTATCGCGAGATGAGATGATTGACGAGGTGGACTGAGAGGTTGGGCACTTTGGATGTCGCTTTGTCTCCACCGGCCATAGCACTGGCGGTCATATCGTGGGCACAAGGAACAGGAACAGATGAGTATTACTTCTTCAATGCAGCATTGAGAAGGGACACGATAGCATTTTCTTCCCATTTTATTCTTTTCAACTACCTACATACCCACGTTCAGCCCCCCCCCCCCGGAAGTCCAAATTCCCGCACAACAAGCGAAAAGGTAGAAAAGGAGTAGAAGCCTCGCTTCAAGCAGCTATAGACCAACCATCCATCCATGAAATAGAATACAGAGTGTAGTTCAATAAACAGGTTGGAGTGGAAAGAAAGCAGATTCATTAACCATAGAAAACGCCTATTCCAACGCCAACCTGCATATCCCTCCAATAGCAAGGCGGAAAGGAGAAGAATGAATACAAAGTAATGTTTGCCATTCCAAGGTTCCCCAAAGTAAACGCATGAGAATTAGATATAGGTAGGTAGATGCTTGAAAAAGAAGTTTCAGTCCTTGCTATTTCGCCTCCTCTTTTCTTGATATTTCTGGTTTCTGTCTCCTTTCCTCGGCCCAGTACGACGTCCACGTCTTGTCATTTCATCCCGTTCAGATCCCATCCCATCCAATCCATTCCTATGAACATCGTCCTGCGGTCATTTGGTATGCCAAATCCCAGAACCTCATGACCCCCCAACCAGTCCAACCACCAATCCCATGCTCCATCATATCCCGTTTCCGACTTTATTAACGCCAGTCCGGTAACCAGCCTATTTATATGTTGTTTTCAATGTTGTCCCGAGACAAAATCAACCAACGAGAAAAGTGCAAACCCGAAATGTCGAGAAATATATAAACTCCATATCCTCCTTCTCCAGTCGAACGGTTTGGTATCATACTTGAATCGAAAGAACCAGTTATGAGGAATTTTTGAGCAATTTAGGAGTGGAAAAGATCCCAGGCTCGATCACACAGACGCATGAATTCTTCCTTCTTGCGTTGCTGGCTCATAGGGCTGTCACGGCCTTCACCGAAAGGTCCTCGTCTCGTTGCTGAAGGTCCAGATCCAAGTGGTGGGCTTCCACCTTCTTCGTATTCTGCGCGGGCTCGCCTCCTGCCTCCTCCACTGCGGCTTGCCTCGCCTTGTCTCATGGCGTTTCCGGTGAGAGGAGATGGTGGAGTGGGAGGTTGATGCCCACCATAGTGTACCAATTTGGGGAGGAGCTCAGGTCGGCCACCAGCTAGTTCTACCTGTGCGTCTTCAGCTGACCGGTATTCACGGGGTCTGGCTGAGTGTGGCGGCTGGTTGTTACTCTGTCCAGGCGATGGGAATGTGGGCCTTGAATTTGAATGTGAAGAGTTTGATGCAGAGCCGGAGTTGTTTGGGAAGAAAGCTGCACGGCTGGTTTGGGCTTCACGATGAGCACCCAGACCTTCAGCAGCAAAGACGTCAGTAATCGGTGGTAGTCGGTTCGCCGTCTGTGTTGCTGGGACGTGGTGGATATGTGAGGTGTTGGAAAGGTTTGAAGGTTGATTCGCGACATGTCGAGTGAGAGGGTGTGGTTGGTGGCGTCCAGTGAAGGATTGATTAAGAGGTGCGGATTGAATTACTCTCTCGTTTGCGAACTGTTCGTGAGATGGTGCTACAATGCTGAGTCCTGGAGGTGCCTTCCTTTTTGACGTCCCAGGAGTTTTGACTGGGAAGCCCGAGCCGCCAAGTTCTCGCTCCTTTGCACTCTCCATGGGTGCATCTCCTGGCTTGGCCGTCTGTTGTAACCGTGACTCGATGATATGCCTCTGCTGTTCCCGGACTGAAATGCTGCGTTGCAGCTGTTCCCTCATGGTAGGGTCCTGGGTAACAAAACCGGGGGACAGACACGCCAAGCCGACGTCGTGAATTAAAAGACCACCGCTCTCTCCTCCTCTCGAAGTCAATTGACCCGCAGATGGTCTCGAGGTCGCGGGGTTTGTGCTGGAAGTGTTTTTCGAGAGGTCGAGTTTTCGAGGCCTGTGTCGAGAGGTTGGGAGGTCTGGCGAGGACGGAGGTTCCTTTTTCACGATTATTTTTGGCGGGATTCCGTTTCGAGACCTGCGAGAAATTACGATGTCAGTAGTGGCCTATCGAAGTAACAACCATGTCACTGTCAATAAAACTCACGTAGTTGGCGAACTCTTTGAAGCCGGGGTGGTTTTTGGGCTGCCACTTCCTGTCCGCTGCGCAGAATGATTCGGGGTAGCCGATGTCGATATGCGATGTGCTGGAGGAGATGTGGAAGGTTGCTGAGGCGCCGATGGGGCGATATCGACATACGACGACCGGTCATGGGGAGCTGGGGACGGAGCCATTGCGATGGCGGCACTCATTCTGTCTGAGTGTTGTAGGGGAGAGTTGGGGTCGGAAGGTTTTGTGTTTGAGGTGATTACAAGTATTCTCGTTCCGCGACTGGGAGGCTCCGGTGCTATTATCCAGGCTGTACTCAGCTTCCCTCCTTGTATCGAAGACGATCCTCGTGCGGCCGATGCACAGTTTGTGTTCCTCCTGTCCTTAACGAAAAACTTGTGCCACAAATTCTGACAAACGCTTCGTTCTGCTGCTCGAGGAGACTTCGTTGCTCCGCTGGGGGTTGGTGAGAATTATGGGCTTCGAGCCGAGTTAATAATGCGGATGCGCGAGACAGTCGCCTTGACCTTGACCTTGACCTTGCACTTCGGTACTGCAACACAACCAACAGCAACAACGACAGTGTGGGGGGGGGGGGGGGGGAGGGGGACGAGCAGATAAAGGTAGCAGCAGAGGAGCGCGGAAGCAGTCGTAGGAGAAAGAGACTTCGACGTTTGCAGGCGGCGGTGAGGTTTATGAAGCAATGCAATGCAATGCAATCGAATCGAATCGCAGCAAAGGCAGGCAGGGCTGGCTGTTACCCGTCCTGTGCAGAGAGTGTTTAGTCGTCCTCGTCCCCGTCCTAGTCGTTTCAGAGATCGATATTAATCCTGACGGGCGGAGGGAGGAGAGCAAGCATGGGCAGCCAGCGAGCCCCATCCCTGGATGGCTGGCAATGGGGGGGCGGTGGTGGGCGCTCGGGGGGTGCACGAGCCCTGGGAAGACAGCGGTAGCGCGACTTTTGTTGCAACGGGGGTTTGGAGGCAGCAGAAAAAGAGGAGCAGGACCGCCAGGAGTCAGGACCGCCAGGAGTCCAGGACAGGACAGGACGAGCAGGAGGGCGCGAGGGCGCCCACGCTCCGACAGACACCGCGGCATGTCCTCACGGCTGCGCCCAATCATACCCTCCAGAAGAGCGTCTTGTAACGAATGGCAAGGCGGCCGTCAGTCAGAGTCAGCTGTCAGCGGCGCACTGCTTTCAATAGTTTGGTTTGCAGCAATCGCCCGCCGGCGAATCGATTTGCAGGCAGGCAGGCAGGCAGGCAGCCCCTCAAGCGACTTGATACTTGGTACTCCTGGTTCTGCACAGTTACGATTCGTACCTACAGATCTACCGTAGTCCCCGCCCGCAGGATAAGATACGATGGATGCGATAGGGGAAAGAGGGGAAAGTAAACAGTCAGTCAGTCAGTCAGTCAGTCAGTCAGTCCAGATTGTCCAGATTGTCCCGGCCCGTGTGCAGTACTGTCAACAATGCTGTTACAGGCAGGGCAGGCCTTTGCCTGGCTGGCGAAGATTGAACTTGTTTGGAGTAATAATAGCCTGGAAACACACTGCCACTCACTCCTGTACTGTACTGTACTCGCCGACTGCGTCCGTCTGCTGTCGCGGGTATCTGGATCTGGATCTCCCCCCAGCCCCAATAATATGATGCCGATGTTTCTTGTAGATGTTAATAAGGTCTGTTCCTTCTGCAAGAGTCCTGGCTCGCCCCCCCTCAGCGTCCCCTTATTTTCACCAGCCTCAAAAAGAGGGGCCAAAAGGGGGGGCAAGTCTCGTTGAAACTTTTAAACGAGCGGCGAGCCTATCCGACCAAACAAACTAAGATACCGATATGAAAGATAGTCTAGCTGCGGGAAATGATTGGGACCTCGTGAGTTTTGGCTTCAGTGGTGCGTAGAGACTACCACCAGGTGAGAATATTCTTGCAATTCTAACTGGCTTTCTCGTCCTCGTGCTGTGCTACTATCAAGCTTTGCCTGAGTCACTACTGAACTGAACTCCACCAGACATCCATGGATCAATCAGGTCGACAGCTTGAGGGGATCGCAAGCATGGCAAGACACGACTCCATTTCCACCTTCTTGAGTTTCGTGTCACAGGAAACCCAATCGAGTCTTGGAGTTGCAGCAGGATCTCTGGATTCAATAGTTCCTTTGACGATCCATGGATCATTTGCATCACTTATGCCCCTCGATATTAGCCGTCCTATGGCCATGCACATTGGACGACCGTTTCAACGAGACGGCCTCGGCCTGCAAAATTAATCTAAGCCACACCAAGTCGTGCATGCTATCATGATATGAAATGCTCCGAAATCAGTTCGCTTCGAACCGTTGTTTCCTAACCATGAACTGTAAAGTCTTACTTTGGCTTTGCCTTTCCATCCAAACGACCAGCGGTGCGGCCCTCAAGCCTTGAGTCCTCCTAAGCTCCTAGACGCACAGTAGCGCAGCGATGGCTTCAGTTCTCCTGAGCCAGCAAACAAAGCTTCTGTAAGTACTGCAGGCGAATAATTAAATAGGGGTTCGTATTCCAGTAGGAGCTGAACTGAAGCCAAACAGATCCAGAACATGGCAGACCTGCTGAAATGAAAAGTGTTCCAAAAGCGACCAGATCATGATGCAAAAATCTGACATGAGTCCCTCACCAAACTCTTGTTCCGAGCCACTTGAAAACAGTGCCCCTCCAAGACATCACGAAGGGGCCCCCTGCTGGGACGAAGGACGGGGATACAGACGCCATCCATGCGACGTGCCGACAGGGTCGCGTCAGAAAATGGCACCCACCCACGAAGCTTCAGCGAGTCACATCGCGCTGAGTTCCCGCCCATGAAACGCGGCTCAGACTTCAGCGTCCAATCATACCCCGCATCCTCCATTGAGGAGTTTGTCACAAACGCCTCACAAAGGAACCAAAGGAGCAAAGAAGGAGAAGGAGTGAGAAGAGACGGGAAAAAGCAGTCACGATGTACCTTCCTTTTGGGATCTCCCGATAGAGTTTGGGACGGTGTGAGCTCAAATCACAGGTGTACTCTCCTGTGACTTTTGTCTCGGACTCCAAAACTTCTCTGCAGGAATCGTCAGGATCGCCAGGACCAGCCTGAGAAATTGTCTTGCAGCATCGTGACTGACAGTCTTAAAACCTCGAAACCTGCGCCACGGCACTGGGGCGTTTCCGCCATTTCAATATCAGATCCAACCCCTCCTTATATCAGACTTCCTTCAGACGAAAGAAGCTCAAACTTCATGTCGGGAAATATTTTGAAATGCCAATGTTGATGCATCGAGGCTTTCTTCACAAGGCACACCATGCCTCTTCACGGGAGCCGAGAGGGCTTCTGCAGTTGGTTCTCCTTTTCTCCTGAGTTAGGTTGCCGCGCGGTAGGAAATATTGAATTGCACACGCGCAGTAGCTTGACTTCCGCATTCGGACGCACCGAAGAGCACAATCTCTCGATATGACGTCTGACTATCACACCCCTAATCGATAACTGATCCCTTTTGTCGGGTAGTGGTTACATGGCGAATCAGGGGGACGAAGCGAATCGACATTGCCGCCGTTGGAGGCTTGAGATCTTCGATGGGCTGAAAGCGCTGAGATCAATCGGACCAGTCGATGACTGGCAGCTGTTGGTCTTCTTTGCTGCTTCTATAGATTCTATCAAGTTGAGAATTTTCTGGAATAGTAGCTGCAGTAGCTGCCCCTGGCAATAAGAGTAGGCAAGGCTTAAGATGATGAAAAACATAAGAAAGCCTCCAGGTTCTTCTCCCTAATACTGAGAAATGTATATAACGAACTGGAGAAAAGTTTAAAGAGGATACCTGCTTCTGTGAGGATGAGAGAGTAGAGAATCGAGGTCAGTTGCGTGCACAGTCTTTCGACATGAAAGTGAGGGAGGATATCCCGGGGTATCTCGAGAAAGTGTTGTTCCTGAATCCCGTCACTATCGGGGCGACGCTAGCGCCCGCATGTCGATAAGAAATTTCTACAATCAGCAACATCGGTTGCGCCAAAGGCAACATCCCAAGCACAACATTTCTACACCTTGAAGCAATGGCACCAAAGAAGAAAGCAGCAGCTCCAGAGCCAGCTCCAGTGGAGGAGGACGTGGCGATGGGGGAGGCCCCTGCAGCGGCAGGAGAGGAGACAGCACAGGAAGATACTGTTTCTGTTTTCGATGAGGAGCAGCGCATCAGAATTGTATGTATAACCTCCCTCTAAGGCTGGATATGTATGAAAAAAAGTCGAGTGCTAAGTGTTGGGCTTATAGCTACCGGGGTCGTCGGATACAGCTGCGTCGTTTGAGTTCAAGAAGGAGGATCATACATTGGGCAATGCTCTGCGGTACATCATCATGAAGAAGTATGTCTATCACACACCCTGGGCCAGATATGTGAGATATGGAGTATGGGATGAACTATGGCTGATCACTCTGAGTAGCCCTGATGTTGAGTTCTGCGGTTACTCCATTCCTCATCCGTCCGAAGCATTGATGAACATCCGCATCCAGACATACGGTTAGTGGCATCCGTGCGGAATAAAAGCATACCAGATCCGAAATAAACTGACAATGCTGTAGAAGGTACAACAGCTGTGGACGCATTAGACAAAGGGCTTCAGGATTTAATGGACCTGTGCGATGTGGTGGCAGCCAAATTCTGCGTGGCACGGGAACAGTTTGGTGCAACTCCAACTGCATGATTGATCTTCTTGCGTGCATGAAATTATGGATAAAGAAATGCATAGCATGGCTCGGCGTACAGGCATGGAAGGGAAAGGAAAATCTTGACAAATGGAGTTTATGATTTGGTTTGACTGCGGCTCTTTCATTTGGGATATGTACAATGAGCTATGAAACGATATGGAGCAATTCAGTTGCGGCCCTGGATTCGTTGTTAGTTTATGAAATTGGAGGAGCGAGATGGCTTTGATAATAAGAGAACTTGCCTCAAGGAATCCATTCATGAAATTTTTTGGCCTGTGTGATGTTGGATCCTCTTCTGCTCGGAAGTACTTGAGAATATGTGGTAGTTGCTTCCAGTAGTTCAAAGTTTCCTGTAGTAAGTCAGTATTGCTCGTCCAACTGACACCAAGCTCCAATAAAAGCCCCTTTAAACTTCACAATTATTCCTTCTGCTATAATTATCCGAACGACAAACGATCCTCTGCTGACCTGCGTATGCCATCCCTCTCCGATCAAGATATCCATCCGGTGTGAAATATAGAATCCACGAACCTGATATTCCGCATGGCTCTGGAAGAGTAATGTATCCACCACTTGAATCTGATTCACATATCGATGCCTCTCGAACTCCTGCCGCATCTTCGTCCTCAGAGCTGGCACTGGGATACTGAGAGAGTACATGGTCTGGATCTCAGGAGCCTGCCATGGATCATTAGCTCTATCCTGCCCTGCCCATCTGATCTTATCCTTCACCGGTGCAATTTCCGAGCCCATCCAAGGCATCCCTCGGATATAGCGATAGTAGGGGATACGTACAGATCGAATCCATTCGCGATAGTTCTTCAACACTCTACGTTGGGCATCATGCCAATTGACCGCTGTCAGCCAATTAGCCTTCTGCTACCTATTCCTCACACCTCAATGTAGAACTCACACTGGCGCGTCCGCTGCGCGAGAAAGGTAGGATTGATAACCATCGTGGCGTTGTATGCTTCAATTACCAACCGGTGACCTGCCTGTCGTTTAAGCTCAGATGAGGTTCAAAGAGCAGTCACGTGTAAAACCTAAATCCTGCATTCCATGTCTTGGCGCGTAAGGGAAGGCTGATAAATTTCGAAGCCTTCGATACACCCCACCACGATCATCCAACATCGCCACTTGAGCTCTTGACCCACGCCCCATACGCTCCAAAGAGTACTATCTTCTCCCGAACATCGCATTCCAAGATCTTCTCTACACAACCCAACAAAGAACCCCAAGATGCCCGCCATCCGCCACGCAAGCAAGCGCAAGGCGCCGCCAGCAGGCTTCACTGATATCGAAGACGACCTCCTAATCTTCAGCAACAAGATGAAGGACGCTGAGAACGCACCCTCGACCAACGTACCCCGCCACGCCGTCCACTGGCCCATCTTCCAGATCAGTCATCAGCGCAGTCGCTATATCTACGAGCTGTACTATGAGAAAGAGGCGATTAGCAAGGAGCTGTACGAGTACTTGCTGAAGAATGGTTATGCGGATAAGATGCTCATTGCGAAGTGGAAGAAGACTGGATATGAGAAGGTATGTGATGTTACTTTTCCTCGGGCCTCCACTTTCATGGAACTGGAACTTGATATTGCAAAGTTGGACATGGACTTTGCTAACATTTCAAATAGCTCTGCTGCCTCCGCTGCGTACAAACCAAAGAGACGAACTTCAACTCAACATGCATATGCCGTGTTCCAAAAGCTCAGATGAAGGAAGACCAAGCAGTCGAGTGTGTCAGCTGTGGATGCAGAGGCTGTGCTTCTAGCGATTGAGCGTCCCGTCCGACTATTTCTATTTTCAGCACTTCCAGCTTTAATTTCCGGAGAAGCGAAACTGGAAGGCAATTTGCTACCTCGATTTGGGGTTTCCGTTATCATTGTTTGATATTACCAGCATAGGCGTTTCTAGGACAAAGGAGAAAAGCTCGTATCTCGCGAATGGTGCTATGGTGCTATGGTGTTAGATGGATGGATGTACCAATGAATGGATAGCATAAATTCTTTATCCATGCATGGTTCTGGCGTTCGGGAGGAAATCAAGGGCTAAAATTCCTTGCTGCATTGGGATGGAAATACTTATCGCATGGGAGAATGTTGCTTCAGAAATGAAAGAACGAAATGTCCCAGATCTGTGCGTCTTCATTTTCTATCTTACTCCCAATCTTAGCACTAATTTCTGTGGCATAGCACCAATAATGGGGGATTCCCAAATTGGCTCCCCTGGGGGGAAGATAGATGTTAACATTTATTGAGTAGCCAAACCTTATCAAAATTACAATGTTCTGATTTCTTTTTTCTTCCTTGATGTGTCGTGGGAGGCTCTCTATATGTGTCAGTGAGATACGACAATTAGTTTCTCTTGAACCCCCCAATGACTCCAGTGTCCTGGATATTGCTAATGTTCCCAAACAAATTTTTCACATTAAACGATTTACATTGTCTGTAAAACAAAGTAAGACATTCAAATTCTCAATGTCTAAAGTCTTGCAGAAAGCTTTGAACGAAAGTCAAACTCTTTCCTTGGAAAAATTGGAGGGCTTCTCTGCAGCGATCCCCCTGCTGGTTGTCCAGTTTGTTCTTTTGCCCTGTTCACAGAATAGCAGCCATGGCAGCAGCGAATTTTACCGTTTACTTAGGATTTGAAAGTCAACTTGGAATGCATTGCTATGCTTTTGGGTATTTCTCGTTTCTAGAAAAGGAAGAAAGTAGTGAAATCCACCAGGCGCCAAAAGATTGAAATCAAGTTCCCCACCGCTCACTCGATTCCAGTGCGCTTTCGCCATTCTCCAGCCAATTACCATTTCAGCCTAAGTTCAGACCTATCCGCCCATTCATCCCAATCCACGCCAGTCGCACCTCACCTAGAAAAACCATGTATACAGAAAGCGACATTAGCACGCCATCCACGTCCCTTCTTACTCCTCGGATCATCTTTGACCCTGGCTCTCCCTCTCCCTCAATTCCTTCTGCTCCTTCTGCACATTTCTCTTCTCTACCGCCTTAGCCAACATGCTATCAACCATGCCGCCTCCACGATCACTCAGACCCCTCCCAAAAACCCTCGTATTTTCAATCGCCTTTGACGCGATCTCAGAAAATCGGTTTCCACCTCCCACAAGCCTCTCTTTATTCTCAGGCTCGACCCTCTTTTCTCTCGCCTTATCGAGCAGGTCTTTGAACCCGGCGGTGGCACCGCCGATAGTTTCATTAGCTTTAGGAGCTTCAACCATGTTCTCGTCGTCTTTGTATTCTTTCTTGGAGTCGACGCGGCGGGTTAGGTAGACGGTAGCTGAGTGTCCTTGAGCGGCGCGGATACGGTCCACTTCCTCTTGGTAGGCTTTATCATAGATGTTGAATTCTGCTGCAGCGGGAGATTCGGCTACCACATCTTGTGGGGGTGCATCGAGGGAGTCGTGACCTCCTGTACCTATTCCGAGAAATAAAGGCTCCTCCTCCAGAGGATTTTGAGCATGTCCCTTGTCACCGGATTCTTCGTGATGTAGTCCTGGCGGGTTGAACTTTGGCATGTCGTCTGTACTGGATTTCTTACTATTGTTTCCATCACTTCCTGTAGATTTCTCCCCAGCTGGTTGTTCTGGACTCGGATCTGCTGCCGCGGTCTTGAAGTGGACCCCTTCGGTTGCGAGAGCAGTTTCAACATGTCCTCGGTGATCGAAAGTTGCACTCCTAGATTTGTGAAGACCCATGTCAGGGGTTTCATCAATGCTCAGATTCTGCATAGCGCCAATTCCTTTACCTAGAGCTCCGGATAGAGCGGTTGGTCTTTTCGTTTCTAGTAGTGTTTTGAACTTCTGAACTGCTTTCATCTGTACGAATTAGTAATTGCAGGCAAGACTATGGCAAAGAAAAAATACCATGACGAGTAGATTTGCCATCTTGGCTGTGATGGCGTGGTTCACTTCGATTTGACTCGGCGGTTCGACTAGATCTGCCGTGTTTTCTTCTGCAGATAACAGAGGGTCCGTACCATTCTTGGTAACCCACGGATGATCCTATTAGATTATCAGCTTATGTTCAATTCTCCTTTGATATGTACCATACCCGAATCTCTGTCATAGTAATTCTCTTTTTCGGATCCTTCTCTAGCATTCTCTGCATCAAGTCACAGAATTCTGGCTCAGCGTCGATTTCAGGATGATCGTTTCTGATAGACTCGTAAAGCTCCAATACCCCAGATCGCTCAAATGGTATTCGTCCAAACCTCAAACAATAGAGTGACACACCCATCGACCAGATATCTGCAGCCTTGCCAGATACGTCACCATGTTTCGTCACGCACAGCTCGGGTGGCAAGAAGGCTGGTGAGCCAGCTGATTTGGCAGTCATCATATCTGAAGCTTTCTCAAACATCTCAGACACACCGAAATCCACGATCTTGAGAACGTCGTCTTCAGTCAGGAGGAGATTGTCTGGTTTGATATCACGGTGAACAACACCTTGAGCGTGGACTTCCCATAATCAGTAAGTGAGGTAAATAGAGGGCGAGGTCGCTTACGGTACTCAATTCCCAAAATAAGGTCTCGGAACCAATGTCGACAGTTTTCAGAATCGTATGGGTCTGCTTTCTCATTGAGACCAACCTTCATCACCACGCCTTTCTTGCACATCTCCAAGACCATGTAAAGTGAGTCCTCGTCCGGGTCATCCAGAACCTCGATGAGTGATACCAGATTGGGGTGATTGAGTTTCTTCATGATGGCAATCTCCTCCTTGATAAGGTATAATGGGTTGCCCTGCTCCTGATCATTGTGGATGTCTGAAGCAGAATGTCGATGAAGAGGGGCATTCAAACCAGAACCCGCAGCCAAATGTCCTGGTCGCCTCATCCCATGTGGCCGTCGAAGGATATTGGACTGTGCTCTTTTCCGCAATCGAGATTTTGAGAATTCTTTCACTGCCTAGGTCATTGTCAGCTCCAGCTAGTTTGAAAATCTCCATAAACAAGTATGCTCCTAACTCAAACCAATCACTGCTGCGAGGATCTGAAAACGAAATCTCTCAAGCAACCGTTTATGGGTGAACACTCATCTGTCCAAACACCAAAGCATTGCCCAAAACTATTACAGCACCGGAATCTTATCGCATAAGGGAAGCTCACATATTCGGTCCCATACTGATCCACGGCCAAATGAACCGCCCCGAACGAGCCTCGTCCAATTTCATCCTTGATGATATACTGATTGATGTGGTGTTCGGCCCTCCCGTCCGTTTGATTATTCGTATACGCAGACCTCGCATTGAGTGTTTCCTTGACCTCACGATGCTGTGAAGGATTGCGTCGGTGATGTCTCAGGGGACTTTGGTATGCTGGTGTGGAGCTGTTCCATCTCGTATCGCATCAGCAAACAGCTCTCACTACCCCGCCGAAGGAACCCCGCGCCAACAGCTCAAGCAAGATAACGAAACGGATTAGTAAAGCTTACAGATGTTGTAATATGTGCGGTCGTTCTAATTCTGGCTCTCCAGGCACATCTATGGAAATGCCTATCCAGATACAGTGTCAGCAGCTCTGCTTGCAATGCCGCTGGAGCTTGAAGCATGGAGGGGCAGCTCAGCATTACCATGTGACGGCAGGATCCCCAAGTCAACTTCCTGGCGTGAGATATCGCCCGGGTGGCCAGGCGGATCGCATTCTCTCGCCGTCGGATCCATATCGAAGGGCTTGTTGACTCTGGAACGAGAACTAAACCATTTTTATGTGGAAGCTGCAGGTTGCAAGTCGTGGGCACATGCAGCTGAAAGGATCAGCTTGGGAGAGATGAGGCTGCCAGAACGCTAGGGACGAGTGCTGATTGGCCAGCACGGAAGAAGCACGGCAACGGAAAGCTTAGGTTGATATTATAAGTATCCGAGTGGAAGCCTTGCAATGAAAGTGAGCCGACCCCTTGTCTCGAGCCTTGTTTGTGCTTCTGGAGCGAGGCAAGGCCAGCAATCAACAACCATCCGTCACGATGGTCGTTTACAGCTTCTACATCTTCGACCGGCATAGTAAGCTTCCCAATTTCTATATCCATCATGGATGAGAAGACAATAGCTAACATAACCAGCGGAATGCATCTACTCCCGCCTGTGGGCACGGCAGCCCGAACGCCCCCTCTCCTCCTCCGGCGGACGACCTATCTCAACGTCCAGCTCAACCTCCAACACCACAACCCTCGTTCCCCAATCGCAGAATTCCACAACCGGCGCCGCAGATCCAAATCTTGGACCAGCGCGCGCGCGGCCAACACGGCTCTCAGCACAAGATGACGCAAAGCTCATCTTCGGCACGATCTTCTCACTGCGGAATATGGTGCGCAAGCTCGGCGGTCCAGACGATAGCTTCATCAGCTATAGGACGGGACAATATAAGCTGCATTACTACGAGACGCCGACGAGTATCAAGTTTGTGATGTTGACCGATACGCAAACGCTGAATATGAGGAATGTGCTGCATCAGATATACGTCAATCTCTATGTGGAATTTGGTAAGTTCTTCGTCTGGGGAAGAGTTGGTTCTTGAGGAGAGGAGAAAGGAAAAGGTTCTGTTGGAGTTTTGGCTGACGAGTGGAACAGTGGTGAAGAATCCTTTAAGTCCGGTTGAACATCCTGGGGGCGTTGGCGTTGCGAATGAGCTGTTTGAACTGGCGCTTGACCAGTTTGTTAAAGGGGTTCTGTGAACTGAGCATGATCAAACTTGCAGAAATGATCATGCTCAAAGTTAGGGCAATGGTAATGGAGAAAGAGAACATATCACGGCGTTCAGGGGAGCATTACAGGCGTTACGGATTATTCAGAACATGGATCAAATACCAATGCTAGAAGATTCCATCTGGTATCTTACACATCTTGTCTTCAAGACCGCTTTAAGTATCCCAGTTCCTCCCTAAAACCCTCCCATTCATAATTCCAAATACATCCCATATCTGATCCCCTGACCGAACTCCACATTATGTATCTAGGTATCATTTAGGCCGAACCGCCTTTCTCAACACTATCCACAGCTTTGCCCCAAGCACTCTCAAAATTACTTGCTGGCCCTAGATCTATAACACTCTCTTGAACTGCGGTTTCCTCTGGTGCGCTTCCTTGGGCAACAGACTCATCCTTCTCAACGAAGACGGTACTGCTCTCCTGTTCGTTCACGGGGCTAATCTCGTTCTCCCAATTCGAAGAGTACACCACAGCAGCAAATGCCTCTAAGTCCCGCACTTGCTCCATGGATTGGAGATACTCGTTCGGTACTCCATTTCCAATGGAATGTGCCTGTCTCGTCAAAGTAGCCAGAAGGATAGGTAACTTAACAGGCTTGGCATCGAATACCTCTGTGATTCGAGGGCCACCAAGATCAGGAACGTCAGGAACAGTCGGCATTTTGAAAGATTGTTGGGCAATTTTCTGATCGACAAGTGTGGAATATCCAGCATCGAGCAGAAGAGTCAACACGTGAGAGAATGGAGGCGAGTCGATCAGATCCGAGGTCTCGTCTAGCAGACGCCGTAAAGGCGATGAACTTGACACGACTGATTCTGTGGTCATGCCTGATTCTTTGAGCACAAAATCCTCTTGCTCCCTTGGTGGCAGAAGAAATTGCAGCCATTTTCCCTCCTTCCGCTCTGCCTCCGTTGCTCCTTCGACTTTCTTGCGCACCTCAAGAGTGAGCTCTGAGAACCTCTGCATAGAAATATCATCTCTTGGGCTAATAGCGCCGAAGACTTCCTTCACTGCAGCCTCTACTTTCAGCATGACCTCTCTCCATCCCCTGTGGAGCAGCCACCAGCTGAATGTTAAGTATCGTCTATTCGTCTCGAAATCGTTTCCGTATGCTTGATCCGGGTTATCGTCATCGTTATTCTCCAGGCTGATTGTTGACTGTTCCATACCACCTGTTGCTAAAGACACTACACTTGATAGATAACTTCGTCGTCCTAATAAATTGAGTTGTATCCGAGTAAGAAGGGTCAATAATGCCAGGGTATATATCAGTGTAAATGATCGAGTGATTGCTAACAACCAATTAGTCTCAGTAGCACAACATTTCAGAGTACACTTACAACTAATCTTCAGATCATTCCACAATTGCAACTTTGACTTTCTAGACTTCTGCGCCTGCTGTCCACCATCCTGCGGTCCACCATCCTGCGGTCCATCTCCGGGGGCAGAAGAAGGTATACCCATCTGACTAGCATGTATGCCACTCTCGCTCTGCATACTAACCATGCTCCTCCCATCATCATCCGTCACACTTGGCGGTCCTGACCCTAGTTCCGAAGGATGCCCCTCTCCATTCTTCGCCAGCTTCGCAGCCTTCTGCTGTTGCAATTCGAACGTTATCATCTCCGTCTGCAGCTCGCCCATGATATTATCCGTAGCCGTAGGAAGCAAGGCCAAGACGGTGAAAGTGCAGTCCTCTTGGTTCTGCTCGAATCGCCGGCGAAGACTAGGTACCGTTTAGCTTGAATCCAGAGACATATCAGAGGAGGATATCGTACTTTTCTCGAGCTATGCGATCGCTGCTCATGCGCTCACGCGCGTCCGAGATCTTTCCCAACACATACTGTGTAGCAACGTACCCGGCTCCAATCACGCCAAATCCAATTGCTAATGGAGTTCTGTTCCGGCGCAGCCATCTTCTCGATGCAGAAATCATGGCTTGGTCGGGTACGGGAGGTGATGCTTAGGTGCTGTTGACTGTCCTGGAATCTCTCGAGGACATGAAGGGCTGATTATTCTGTTTGTTGAGATCTCTCGGAGCAAGGCTCTCTCTCTCGCGTGATGGGCCGAGGTCGATGATGAGGTGTGGCTGGGGAGCGAGGCAAAGGCGGGCAGGGGACTCGGGGAAGAGTCGGGGTCAAAAGCGGCGAGAGACGAAGCGTTTAACCTGAAGGCAAAGGAAAATGAGACAGTAATGCAGACATAGCACCCGGAGTATTTTGATTCATTGCCATGCTACGTGCGGAAGTCTCCTTGATTAAGACATTTTTGAGATTAAAGATTAAAGTTCCTTGAATGTTACAATCCAGATCTGTGACTTTGCGCACTGAATTGGGAGTGAAATAAATGGTTCTTGAACCCACCCGCCTGGCACTTATCCCATCGATAACACCACCGTATGATTCACAGCTGGATACAAGAAAATATGGAACTTTATGTACAGATTTTTAAGCAGGATTTGTATTGTCACAAATCCCGCAAAAGTCCCAGAAACAAGAACCATTATTGCTGATTAGGTTCCCTCCTGCCCTCTTCAGCCGTCCAGAGCTAGCTCTGGGCTTCGGAGCCACTGTCAGCCTCGCCAAGGAAACGGAAGCACGCCCGCGCGGATTGGTCTGGGCTTTTTCTCTCAATGTCCCAAGTGTCATTGTGAGCCCCTCATTATCCTCATCCTCATCCTCATCTCATCCTCACCTCACTTTTGCAACAACCCGATTCACTTTCTGCTGCAATAGACGGCCGTCAGTCCTTTGTTTGTTGTTTCTCTCATCTCTCGCCCTAGGCATTCATTCCATTCTTCTCGCTCGTCTGGTCTGGTCTTCCACGCTAGTGCCGCTCGCCGGGAGCAGCTTCACATGAGCTTGACTATCGAAATTTTGACCAACATCTCTCGAATGGATCGCAACAACCCCCCTCGATTTGCTGCGGATCTCCACGCGCAGATCTAACCACCAAGTCGGCCGTGGGGTCCATACGCCTACACCACATTTACCTAGAATCAAAGTCACGAAAACTTCTGGCAACATGGCTTCCAGTGTCGCGGCGCAAAACTGGCAATATGCTCAGCAATTCGAGGCACAGCTCAAGGCTCTATTAAAGAGAGACCCTCCTCCCACCTACGATGAGACCGAGCATGCGATTAGTCAACTACGCATTGCCTCCGAAGCCGTCATATTCGCCGATTTCCAATTCGCGACTACGGTTAAAGCTGAAGGACGACTGTGGGACGCGCACACCCTGATCAATGGTCGCTATCGCAGATTGATGGAGAAGGTCAAGAAGCACCAGAAGAACCATGTGGAACGCCGAAGCTTGGCTAAGCATTATGCCGACTTCATCAAAACCAGCCAGTTCTTTTACAAGGGATATATCCAGAGATTAGCTTCGCACTTCGACGCTCTGCAAGACTTGCGCCGGATTGCCAACAGTCTATCCCTCAGCAGTCTTTCGGTAGATCGACGAGTACCGGTCTCCCCGGAGGTCGAACTCTTGATCAAGAGATCTTGTCATTCTACCCTGATGCGCTTGGGCGATTTGTCTCGGTATCGTAACAGCTTTAGAACTAAGGATCGCAATTGGGCACCAGCTTTAGGATACTATGCTTTGGCGAATGACTTCTTCCCGGAGAATGGATACGCACACCAGCAAATGGCTGTGATTGCTCTTGCGGAGGAGAATCACCTGGACGCGCTCTACCATCTCTACCGCGCGCTCAGCACAAAAGAGCCTCATCAACTTGCTTCTGGTAACCTTGAACACGAGTTCAAGAAAATTATCAGCGCTTTCGAAAAAAAGCTTCCTCAGCCAAAAAATGATAAAGTCTCAACTATGTGTGGGTGGTTCAATTTGTTACATGCCAAATTCTCCGAAGGCGTTGACTTTACTGCTACACGGGAGGAGCTCGAGAGAGAAATCCTCTCCCGGCTTGCATTGTTGTTCAAGGAACAGACATTTGGCGAGATTTTGGAGAAGCTGGTCATTGTTAATATAGCCGCTCAGTACATTGCTGGGAACAAGGCCAAAAGTAGGTGAAGGTTCCAAACCACCGGATGTTATTCTAATTTCAGCAGATGATTCCAATGAGAAGAATCTCACTTCGTACAAGTTCTACCTGGGGTTCAATGTCCGAATGATGTTTCTCCTTCTCCAGGCTCTTGCTCCGGAGCTCGAAAATGACTCGGAAGGAGAAGAAATCCCGAATGGAACAAATGGCACTGCTGATCGTCCAGAAGCCCCCAGGGAAATCATCACCGCAATTGCTCGTCGACTTCTCCCAGCTTTGCGTCAATACAGCACCTGGTTAGCCTCCAGCGCTTCCTTCCTCATGGCTGTGTCTACACCACAAACATCTGATGTTGTTATGGCTAATCGCATTATCGAACTATGGAAACTGTATGCCGTGGTTCTTACAAAACTTAGCTGCATGTTTCCTGTGGCAGAACTCCCCTACGTCGAATATCTCCTTGAGGAGGACGAATCAACTGTCGGTTTTGAGCCTCTTCTTGATCCCAACCTTCCCACAGGATGCAACCTCTTCAAGTCTGTCAAGGGTGAGATCAAACCTCGTATCACTGATCAAGGCCGTGCGCGCGAGCATCCAAATGTCGAAATGCAGTCTCGAATCCGCGACATTCTGATTATTGGACTTTCCTTAGCCGTGAATAATGACTTCCCAATCGGCATGGATCGGTCGGATGGTGGAATCACTTTGGTCTTTCGTCCGCCTGGATCTAAGCCCTCTAAGCCGTTGCAGTACTCCACGTCCTCAGCCTTTCCAACCCAAAGTCATACGAGCAGCAGTTTCTCTCCACGAGAAGTTCGCCCTGTACAGAAGCAGGTCGAGCGAGACGAACATGTGGGAATTCCGGATGTTCAGCATAGCATGGACAGCGATATGTCGCGGATGGTCGATGACCTTGTTGACCCATCTTCACAGAACAACGAAACTTCATACGGCATGCACAGCCATACCGCAAACGAGGTATTCGCACCTATTGCGTCGAATGGATACGACTCTCAGTACAGATCAACTCCCAAAATGCTCCCAAGCTTGCCTGGACTTTACAATTCGGCATTCACGCCACAACCGCATGAGTTGAAGCCAACCAGCCCTATTCGCCCGGGTACTGGAGGTCAGTTGTCTCCACTGTCTCTCAACTCCGAAGAAGAGCGAAGGGAAGCTGCGGCAGCTCTTGATAAGATGACCGGTTTCCCCGCATCAGCGAGCGCGCCATGGTGTCGCCAATCTTCACATGCAAGCTCAGCATCATACAAGTCCTTCGCGAAGCAACTGGAAGAAGGCGTCGACGATCCGGATGCTATTCCCCCGAGGAACAGTTCTTGGGTTAGACAATCGTCCAGACCTGCCTCAGGATCACTGCCACGACCTGTTAGCCACATTCTTCAAGAATCTTTGGCTCAGCAGTTCATGCCAATGTCCTCCAACTTCTCGGATTCGAGCAGCCTTTACGCCAATTCTACGCCAATGCCCGCCAGAAATGGTGCCATTGGCTCTTGGAACGGTGCGTTCAGTGCTACTAACGGTGGCAACTCTACTGTATATGCTGGAGACAGTGATTTTGATCGAGAAACGATGTTGCAGTCTTCCATCTGGAACGGCAGCCAAAATTTCCCTGGTCCATACGTCAGAACTCCGCCTGGTGGACAAGGTGGCTGAGAGCGTGTCAAAGAACGAATAATGTACAACAAAAGTCACGATTACATTGGCCAGCAATGTCGAGTGTCTGTCTGCTCACGAAAATTCAAAGATCGGGATCTTTGAGAGCCACGCAAAATCGTCGAGACATACTGGCATCATCTTACTTCATGTCACTAGGCACTCCAGCCACCGGCATTGTATGGCAAGGGCTTCATGTTCTTCAAATGCAACGCAAGCTATCTATGCTTTGATCGTGGAGGATCATATCGGTCATCTCATCATCATACTAGACGTCGAAATCCCACCAGATTTTAGACGCTTCCCTGGTTGTTGTTGAAACCTTTTTCCCCCACTGAACGCCGTCTAAAATCTCTAGGTGAAGATATATGCACGTAAGGAAAAAAAATCATGGGTTCTACGCAGTGGTTGGCTTGTATGCCTGCTTAGGCAATGGGAATCTGCGGTTGTTCGTTAGTTTATCTTTCGGGGATCGAATTCTTGGAAGACATGAAATTTCTCGAGATGGAGAAAAGTCTGTGTAGCCAGAATGCAATAAATTGACATCTGACCTTCTTTCCCATTCTTTTTTTGGAAGTGAACGAGGGCAGTAGAGAAAAGATGAACTTACGAAGGACCCAATTCCTGGATGCTCAACTTGGCCAACCATTGACCTTGATCAATGCTCTGAGCCAAGCTCTCTCCAGCGACCAGACCAGCGGTGAACCCAGCAGCGAAAGCATCGCCAGCACCGGTAGTATCATTAATGAGCTTGCTGTCAATAGCATGAACAGGGAACTCCTGAACATCCTTTCCTCCAACACTGACAACAGTAGGCTTAGTACCTTGGGTGATAATAGCCACTCTCTCGCGCTTCTCATTCTTCTTTGGTAGCGAAGCCAACGCCTTCGCAATCTCCTTGATATCCTTAGTCTCAAGGCCATGGCTCTCAGCATACGACAATGCCTCAGTCTCATTCCCAATAACGTAATCCCAGTATGGTGCCACAGCATCTAGGGGATCCTTGAAGAATTGCGGGATGAAAGGTGCAGATAGCGAGAATACAAATGCCTTGTTCTTGGCGGCTGCCTCTTCAGCGAGCGCCATGATGGCTGGTGGGCACACAGTCAAGTGATATCCACCGACAAAGTATGTAGTTGCTCCCTCGACAAGCTTCCACACCTCAGGGCTCTTCAGGTGCTCGAGATCATAGTGGTTCGCTGCTCCCAAATCTGTAACCATAGAGCGGTTGTGATCTGTGATGACGACTCCGCAGCGTCCTGTGGGCTGCTTCTTATCGACTCGGTACTCGACTCGTAGACCAGCGGTCTTGACAGCGTCGTGGAGAATCGCCGCATACTTGTCGTCACCGACACCGCCGAGGTAGACGACGGAGTTGGGAGGAAGCATGTATTGTGCTCCACGAGCAGTGTTCTGGGCGCCACCACCGGCGATGAGTTTGGCTGAGTAGTTGTTAAGGAGGTCTTCGTAGATGCCAAGGTGCTTTTCTTCGGCGAGGATGGCATCGTTGGCTTTCAGGTTGTATTTCTCAAGGAGGGCCGGGTTACCTACTGCTTGGATATCTAGAAAGTGGTCAGTACATTTATTCAGACACATCGATGAGCAATTGCTGTATATATGAGAAGTCTGGGGATATATCTTCCATTTTGTTGCTGAAGTGAGGGGTATTGAAAAAAGTAGCTGGTATGAATGCAATTGAGTTTTCTAAAGAGAGATTGACTTACCAAGCAGAGGATTCTCTAAGCAGAGGAGCGCGAACTCGGTGTTGGCAGCCATGATTGTTATTTTTTTGGCGGTTGGTTCGTGAGGTTTGGTTTGGGAGAGAAGAGTGAAGAGATGTTTGAAATGGTGGGGTCGGTGTGCAGGTGGATATTCTGTTTTGGCGGGGTGCGACCTGCCAAGCCATACCTAACGGTTGTGTCTTGAGTGCCACATGTGAAGAGGAAGACAGTCTCTGTGAAAAATAATTCGCCGAAGTGTAATTTTGGCGACTAAGTTGAAGGCATACACTACTCTCGAAACTCTATGACAATACAGCAACTAATCCAATCTACAACAACTATGGACGTGTGGATATTTTCTGGATAACGGCTTCTCAAAGCAAAGCTTGTTTGATTCTGCTTTTCGTTTCGAAACCTTTCCTATGCAAAATGTTGTTGTAATCCTCACTCGTTCCCGCCCAGCCCTTAAATAATACTTCGGCGAGTATCTCTGGGTTGTCGTTCATTCCTGGCGGACTTCCCTATGAATGATTTGGATCTCACAACCCGGTCAAGGCGGAGGTTCCACACTCGATAGATTATCCTCAAGGACTGTAGAACCCACTCGCAGGTATACTTCACTTCACATTTTCGAGCTCTAAGACTGATACCACTGGCACTGGCCACTTCGATGTGGATTCCTGAAGTCGTGTAGACGTGCCCTCTCAGATGGCCACTGCCGGCTGGCTGGGACGATTGGAGTTAAATCATGCCTATATGCCAGATCACTTCCTCACGATCCGTTTAGACAGGGCAGATGATTTATGAATTCATTCCATTCTCGCAATGCTCCTTCCTTTCAGGTTACATTCATTGCGAAACCAGCAAATCCGAAGCAAAAAACAATCCCATTGATCAAAACCTTTAGTCCTTGACCTTTTGAGTACCGCGCAACAGACCAGTTCTCCGAGCAGCGATAAGACCAGCCTTTTGTCCCTGGACAGCGTATCTTGAGATAGTCGAGGCCTTACCGATATGTTGATGGTTACCACCCTATTGTTGGTTAGTATATTTTTTCTCCGTCTAGAAATGAAGGTACATACTCCGTGAGGATGGTCGACGGGGTTCATGGCAACACCACGAGTCTTTGGCCAAGAGTTGCGCTTGACAGCGAACTTATGCTTAGCACGCGACGCCTCTGCATGCGAGTCAGAAAATGTCCAAGCCATAAAAACATGCGTCATATCGTACTCATCAATGGTTTGTCGGTACGTCCACCACCTGCGACGATACCAATCATACCACGGGCATTGCTTGCAATGACCTTCTTGGCGCCAGATGGGAGCTTGACACGGGTCTTGCCCTCATCTGGGTTGTGTCCGATAACAGTGATGTAGTTTCCGGAAGTACGTCCCAACGCACCACGGTCTCCAACCTTGCTCTCAACGTTCGAGATAACGGTTCCTTCGGGGATGCTGGCGAGAGGGAGAATGTTTCCGACGGTCAGAGCAGCGTTCTTTCCGGCGTAAATGAATTGACCAGTGTACCTAGACTGTATTAGCCCAATTTCCTTCTCCTACCCCATTATTCTCCCAGACGTATAACTCACATTCCCTCGTTGGCGATGAAAGTCTCGGTGTGAAGCTTGAATCGGTATGGGTCACGGAAAACGACGCGAGCGAGCCTGAGAATTGGATCAAGTCAGCGTTTGTTCTGAACCGTCAAAATCGAGGAAAATGGAAAAATTGACGAGAACTTACGGTGCTCCTCTCCCGGGATCGTGTATGATGTTCTTCACAACGCTTTATTGTTGTCAGCTATGTTCGAGCAGTTGTGGAGGGTAGAAAGTCGTAGGAGGAATCGTCGGTTAAACTGAAGCCATCCAAATGCCCCCCAAGGATTTCCCAGACGTACCCTCGGATGTAACCGTGAGCCTCCGCATAATCGAGCTGGCGGAATTGAGCTGGGTTCTTGTTCAATCTGGTGTTTGCTGTGAAGATCGAGCCACGGCCCTTTCTCTGATTTCGAATGACCCTGAGCGTCGACGACGTTAGCAACCGGACTCCAGGAAAGGCGAGGGATTCGCAGCATCGGAGACGCGAGCATATCCAACTCTCGATACAATAATGCCAGTATATGAGGAGGGAGAGCTTACCGTCCCATGGTGGCGGTTGTGGTCGACTCGAATTGCTGTGGTGTTGAAGTCGCGAAATTCCCGTCGACGAGTTTGAAGTTCTGAGTGTGCGGCCAGAATAGATCGGACCCACTTCTAGGCGAGGGCTTGGGATTGGTGGTACACATCCATCGCGTCACATGATCCGCTCCATCCTCTTTTGGGGGTCGACGACTTGCCATTCTCTAGCCATTCCTAGGCTCAGTGCCAGAAACATTGTCTCTTGTGCAAGGGATATGGTGGACCGACAAACTTATGACATATATCTGTAACAAATATAGGACTCCCAAGGCACGCTACGCACCCAATTGGCAATGTCTGCTACCGGGCATGCGCCGTTGGAATAGATGTACTTTCTCAGGCTGAGGTTGGTTGAATGACTGACTGTTCGTCTCGATCTTCTTTCTATGCGACCATCATTTGCAACACAATTATTGCTAGGTGGCCTTCATTTTATGATAATATCCCACTAGCTACATTTGCTCTTCTTGTTCAACTTGCTAGCCGAATCTCTCTACCTGCCTCGTTTCTGCTCTCTTGCCCTTTGCGAAAAAACTAGCAAGTCGTTGGTCAGAAGTGCTAATTGCTCCTGTGATTCAGCTTGAAACCAGGTATCTCTCATATAAAATCTAAGTAGCCAAACACTACTGATGCACATGCTTCTTTGAGCTTTGCCTCAGTCAGACTTTAGGTTTCAGATTAGAACTCTAATGGCATCTATCTTGGATTAGAACTAACAACTTGTCTGTATCGATCCTTCTGGCCATACCTTTTGATGATATGTTTACCCAGTTTGTTGGCAATCTTGAGTATGCGAACGATTTCCCTTACTTGATATTTCTCTTCGTACACAATAGAGCGATTTAGTGACTGCGCATTTCACATGAACTGAGTTTGCCGCTATACCCTTTTTTGACAATTGTGCAGAACCTGCATATTCTTCAGATTTGAACATTTAGTTATGAATATTTCAGTTTATAAGCTCTAAGTTATAGTTGTCGTTTCAGCCCCTGAGATACTCTTTCAAATCTCTTATACTATTGGTTACTGTACCTAAATAATAGGCTTCTTTATCGAGTCAGTTTTACAAAATACACAGAAGTACATGATTCGGACTTCGCAACTTCACTTTGGATTATCACTTTACAAGGGTGTTAACTATGTACTTCACAAGTAGGGATATCAAGGTTTTCTAAAGACACGACGCTTCCTTGGCAAGATTTCCCGAATAGGCAACTTTTCTGAAGTACGGAGTCGCGAACTCTATCACTAAATCGCTCTAATATCTCCTTCAGGGTGTACAGCCCCACTCCTTCGTCACTTCATCATAATGACATGGATCTATCAATTAGCATTGGTCACTACGATGTGTGCATGCCATGCAGCAGAGGCTACTTTGTTAGATTCTTCCTCGGCATGATTTTGGATGAACTAGAGTGCGTTTCTTGAACCTGGCTACCATAGGCCCTGAACAGCCTTATATCTACAGAGTTGAAACTTGTTTTCTCTTCCTAACCCATGTTCGGAATAGTAAACATGTTGCTAAATCTTTCCAGCACGCCAGGAAAATGTAATATCGCTGAAGTCCAGGAGAATTCAAAGGCATTCACCCTACAGCCAAGTTCCTTGTGAATGTTATCCCAGCAAGCCACTCATAGATTTCAACTTTGAGAGGTTGATAGGTACGGTTATCCCACTGAAAGAGTGGTCATGAAATTGAGGTAGTAGGCCAGATCTTGTATTTGATTAAGAGAGGCAAGGGAGAAACAAATAGAGAAGCCAACTCGGCTGGTCATCTAGCCAGCAGCCAGATTTTTAGTGCAGTGAACAAGCAAGCCACGTCGAGAAAGGATTTTTAAAGAGTGTACTCAATTTATTCACTAGCCCAGTCGTTGTGGATTATCCACACTAACATTCCTGTTTCGAGTACTGTACGTGGGGAAAGGATCTGGAAAAATATAAATGAAGGTATTCTCTGGCATTCAAGTCAACATAAGTGGTCGTTGACACAAATCGCACGCGAGTTTGAAGGGATCCATGTCTTGACAATCCCAAGTAGACCGTCAGTCACACTTGAGGCTCAGGAGGCAGGTCCGTTCCGCCTCGTTATCGCGCCAATCATTAAGCAAGATCTTTTCGAGGTGGATCTTCGGGGCGAAAATATGTTTGCCCGGCGCAGGGAAATTGGCAGGGTACAGAAACAGGGACACAAGACAACCGCTGCAAGCCGAAGGGGAATTGCGAATTCGACCATGTTGGATTTTACCAAAAGTACATCTGAGGTATTTCGTAGCCCCTCACAGCCTCTGTCTCTCCGTTCGTCAATTTTTCCAAAGTGTCCAGATCGACTGACAATATTGAGGGGTCGCCTGCCTAGTCGAGCAGGGATCTTGCTGCCAGCTGACCCAGACGAAGCTCACCTCAAAGACAATTGACGTCTTCCCGTAACCACATCTCACTCTCCCTCCTGCGACAATTCTCTTCGCCAATTTTCTTCCTCCCATCGAAGTTCGGTGATCCAGATCAGACAAATTTATTGACATTCATGGAACTGCGGCAACCGAAATAGGCTAACATCGTCGCCGTTGACTGGGCTTATCAGCACCTGTCTGATATGCTACTGCGAGCAGTGCTGGATTTGTCTCACAGGCACACGTAAGTGTGCTGGATTGTATGTGAGTAAGATAGATCTTCGCACCTTCTGCTTCCTCAGAGCTCTACAAATCGCATATTTGTAAGTCTGCTATGCAGATAGTTCGTCGAGCACAGCTTGGCCAACCCCTCTTCCTCCACACTACGACTATGCCACGTAGAAAGGACCTAGCGACTGTAGCTAACTCTGCCTTGGAACAGAATTGCCCCATCATCTTGTACCGCAACCTCAAGTTTCTATGTCTCCGGCGGCTGGAGACGTAGCCCAAACGCCAGAGCCGAAATCAACAAGCGGCTTTGCCAGCGTATTCAAGAGCTTGACTGGAAACAGATCGGCGAAGAACCCAAACCCTAGCTCTCCAACATCCCTAAATGGCACAAATATTCTGCCTACGGCCCTCTACGTGCAACCGGCGACATATGGCGGACCACCCGATTACGAACACCTTTATGCACAACTGAAGCATGGAAATCCTCTGGGAGAACGACTGGCAGCGGCAGAGGCCCTCCGTCACGCCGTACAAGATTACCCATTGACAGGAGTATGTGATATTGTGCTGGCCAATGGAAGTGGCTAACGAGCTGTGCAGGTCACTAGTATATTCAAGCAGGGTCGAGATCTTATCGAATCGAAGAACCCTCGGGAGGCTCGCATCGCTGGTTTCGAACTCCTGACTGCTTGTGTACAGCAGACCATCTCGACGGACCCAGAACGACTGTTTTATTTCCATGTTCTTACTGCTCCAGCAAATCCCGAGGACTTCCACCTCCAGCTTGCATCCCTAGTGGAATTGGCAAAAAATGGAAAGGACCTCGCGGGGTTTCATTACGAAACGCTGCCCCTCTTGACTTCCTGGTTGAAGCACAATTTTTCAGTGACTTCTGCCGCTAGGAGAGAGGCGGGTCGTCAAAATAAGACCTCAAAGAGTAAAGCTCCTCTAGGCGAGGAGACTAACTTATCGCTCCTATTTGCCTTCATTGTTGATGTTATCAAGTTCAGTTTCAGTGTATCGAGTGAGGAAACTACTGGCGACCTTATCGACGTTGTCCTATATATATGTGTGAACACGCCACTATCAGGAGATCTGAAAGCCTGCATCAACGTCATAAACGCGATCGTCACATATGGTGATATTCCAAGCATAAAACTCTTGGGCTGTGTCAAGGTGCTCTGTTCTATCCATTGCCTTGTCACTGACGTTCAACCAGATGCATGGCGTTCCATCAGTAACCTTTGCAAATCCCATAATGGTCAGAAGACAGTCAGGATTCTGCTTAACATTCTCCAAGAACCACCTGTCGATGCATCCAATGGCAAACAAACGGTACGCGAGATTAGAGGGGCGCTGTCTGTTCTAGAGAAGCTTTTTGCCAAGGACGGAAAGAATGGGTATCCTCTTGTTCCATTCACTCTGCTTATCGCTGCACTTGAGAATGTTGTGGAGGTCGAACACACGAAGGTCGAGAACGACGTCCTACGCTTGATTCTATCTCTGTTCAGTGATGACAGTGAAGAGGTCAAGGTGAATGTCATGGAAGAGGATTGGTCTCTAATGTTCGATGTGGTCACCAAATGTGCACAGCGTGCACTAGAAACCCCGGATGGACGCCAACTGATCAGCCGCTCTCGTGTCAACAGTCCTTTAGCCAAGGAAGATACAAACGAGCAAAGCCTGGCCACTAACTTGGCGCAGACCTTGTATAGTATCATTCTGCGTATTGAGGAACTTCTTATTAAATTCGCCACTATCGATTTCTTCCAGAAAGAGGATTGTATCAGGTTTTTCGTCACTGTCCACCAGCATCTCCCGGAATCGTGCGCAAAGCTGGTCATTGACCACTATATGGAATACCGCTATTGCTACCCCTCAGACTTGGATTGGAAGGAAAACACCAAGATGATACTTTCAGCGTTCTTCACAGACCGATCTCAGCCAACTCATATTCGCCTCCATGCACTGAAAACCATTACCGATGTCTTTGAGGTGATCGAGATGATGGATGAACATGAGGATCCGGATACAGTGCAAGTCTTTGTAATGTCTATTCTCGATGATATTGGAGATGAGAAAGACATTGCAATTTTGCAGAATGTTGTTGCTTTCGCAGTGACGGTCGCGGAGAAGGCTGATGAAGCGCTATTCACCTACGTAGTGGACGCGATTCGAGGAAGCATCACAAGTGACCGCCTGCAATCACCGCTTGGATCCCCCCCGGGTTCTAGACGGGGGTTGATGAATCCCAGTAGGCCTACATCTTCGATTGTGTCTAACACTTTGATTCAGACCCCGTCAAATGTTGTCACAAGAGGCCTCATTCTGATATTTATGAAGACTATGGACAGCTCGAGCGCCAAAGCTCTACGCGTCTATGACGAACTTATTTGGATCTCCAAGTCTCACGAATGCGAGACTGATGCACGAATCTCGGCATTAAAAATGCTCTCGAGATTACGAGCGGACTGGGCAAATGGTATTTTCTTGACGCCATTTACGGAATCTGATGGACTGGCAGCCACTCTCTACCGAACTCCTGCCTCGCTTGCAAGAAAACAAGCTATCGATGAAGCAGCTCAGCAACAACGCTCGTCACGAACTGAAGATAGCTCTCGCATATTAAGGAGCACATCGGTCGGTCAAGGTCATCCAGCAAATCGGCAGCCACTCCGGTCTACCAGCGGTCTTACGAGAACAATGCAACGCCACCATCCTCAGATGTGGATGTGTCCCGATCAGGATGCATTACCCGAGCCCGCGTCTGGGAAAGCTAGTTCAGAGCTGAAATCTTGGCTGAGAGCAGAATCCCAACAAAATGAAGATTCCATCATGGAGACCGGCGACGATAAATCTCAGAATGTGGAAAAGACTGAGGCTGCTGAAAAAGAAGCGTCGTTAAGTACCAGTTCCCAGACCGCCCTGAACATTGGTGTATACCTTGAGACAATCATCAGCCTGATGAAGAATGGCTGTGATTGGGAGGTTTACAGCTACATCCTTGTTCACTTGGCTTCACAGTTGACAAACCAAGCTCTGTTTGTTGGCGCTATTCCGCAAATTCGGACTTTGAGAGAGCTGCTTTGCGATCAAATCAAGAACAGCACCTACTACGACCCGCCCTTGTCATCTGGCCTGCGGAAAGCCGATGTTGCCATCTGTATCTTCCAGATTCTAAACATGGTTATGAGTTATCATCGTCACTTCTCCAAGGTCGACCAAGGCGAGATTGTTCGAACATTCCTACAAGGTGTCGGCGAGAAAACCTCAAAGTGCTGTATCCACGCACTCTCCATCTGCTGCCACGAGCTTCCTGGGTCAACAAGCAAATCTCTTGTGCACATCCTCCAGAAAATGTCCCAGATAATTACCCAGAGTCATGTGGCCATCCATATTCTCGAATTCCTGGCATGTCTAGCGAGGTTGCCAGATCTTTATGTGAATTTCCGCGAGGAAGAGTACCGCATAGTATTTGCAATATGCTTTCGATATCTACAATATGTTCGTGACCAGCAGGCGAAGGATTCCAGTAACCGCAACAGTAATCCTCTCGGCCGGAGCACCACAACATCACCTGATCCTCGCGGACAGACTGAATCAAGGATGGCAGAGAGCAATTTTGAGCCAAATACATCAGACGACTTGCCTCAATATGTGTATGCATTAGCGTACCATGTCATCATTTTCTGGTTCCTTGCTTTGAAGCTCCCAGATCGTGCTGGACAGGTTAGCTGGATCACCAGGAATCTCGTCTCAACCGATATCAACGGAAAGGAAAGAATCGATGAGCAAGCCCAGGTCACTCTGGACTTCATGCAAAGAGTAGCTTATGCAGATGTTGATGAGTCCGACGCTGATCCTTCTTTTACAGAAGAGATCTTTGGCGAGATTCAAAAGAAAAGGTGGATCATCGGAAATAGTCTGATCACGGTTGAGCAAGCGACCCGAGGTGATTGGGCTCAAATCACTAAACGTCAACCTTCCGGTACATCTTGTTATATCATTCAAGAGAAGTTCATTAGACCGCCACCTCATCAGGACCCTGGTCTTGCTGATGTCATGAAGGATGGACGCCTCTCTGACGAAAATGTTAAGTTGCCGAGCCATCTTCTGCTTCAACTCTCGGCTTCAATTCCTCAGATAGGTGATGCTACGCGGCCAATTCCATTGCCTAATAATGAAGATATGGAGCGTGCCGTGCAGGGATTTAACCGACTCTTTACAGTGGATGGTCACAAAGTGGGAGTGATATACATTGGCGAGAACCAAACCAATGAGATCGAAATCCTTGCAAACATACAGGGCAGTAGTGACTATACCGAGTTTCTCTCACGTCTCGGCACACTCACCAAGTTGCAGGGAGCCAAGTTCAATACTCAAGGCCTAGACAAGGAATACGACTCCGATGGGAAATACACCTTCTGCTGGCGTGATCGAGTCGCAGAAATAGTGTTCCATGTAACGACGCAGATGCCAACGAATTTGGATAGAGACCCTCAATGCATCGGCAAGAAACGCCACATTGGAAACGACTTCGTCAACATTATCTTCAACAATTCTGGGCTTCCATTTCGCTTTGACACATTTCCATCGCAGTTCAACTATGTGAACATAGTCATCACACCAGAGTCTCGGGCGTCATTCGTTGCAACGCGATTCAGATCTAAGATGCATGCAGATGATGCATTCTACAAGGTGCAGGTCATGAGCAAGCCCGGGTTCCCAGAGATATCACCTGCTGCGGAGACCAAAATCATGAGCCTAGCGGCGCTGCCTGGATTCATCCGTTTACTGGCCCTCAACGCATCCGTTTTCTCACTGGTCTGGTCAAATCGAGAGGGAGGAGAGCATGTGTCATCCTGGCGAAGCAGATTGCAAGCGATTAACCGAATAAAAGAGAGATACACACCCAAGAGTTCTAGTACGACAGCCACGTCGCCTCCAGGAACATCCAACGGGGTGAACATCCGCGATAGCATCAGTAGTCTTCGACGATCTTCAGTTGCGAATTTCTTAATCAATACAGCGCCTGAACCAGCCTCGCAGCGTTCATCGGTACTTTCCACTGCTGAAACTGAGGTTGGTCTCGGGACTGGCGAGGAGAGTCTGTTAGAATCTCTTGATTTTTCAAAATGGGCGTAAAAGGGAAAGGACATGGAAGCGTGGGAAAGCATTCGGCGTATGGAAGGGGAAAATACCACAAAAGTTCTTTGCATTCGTTGCATTATTCGGCGTACGGAAGCCTTGGGGTCCGGTCTGTATATTATTCCAAGCTACATAGATCAGAAAGTCTCACAAGGATCTCTTCACGGGCTTCTTCGTGGCTTCGAGCTTAATTGCCAACGCAAGTTCATCTTACATGTCTTAAGCCTCCTATCGGTTCGTTTCCTGGGGCGAATTAAGGTCAACTCCGCGTCCCTCGACGGCCCTCCTTATCCTTTGTCTTGTGCTGCTGATGCACGGACTTCAACGATGCGACAGTGGGCCTAACCTCGCAATTAGCTCCTCCAAAGACTGCAGAAGGCTGTCTAGCTCATCAAGCGCCTGGGCTTAGCGCAGAGCACGCTGTGATCTGACCAGTGCTGAAGTTTTGAGGCCTCAGAATCGCCCCCTGCGGACCGCACGCGGCGCACACGGGATAGTAGCATTCCAGGTTGCAAATTAAATCTCCAAGTTTAACGTTCCGCGGGCTATGATCTTGCATCAAACTATCTAATTCTAGTACTTTTCGTAGTAGCGCTGCCAGCCCGGGGTCCGTGATTCGCTGTCGGCTGGCAGTAGCCAGATCTAAAAACTGTCAAGAGATCTGATGCACGCGCAGGGACTTCATGCTGCCTCGCTGCTCCAGGGCCGTCTGCTGTGAACTTGAAGCTATGAACGCCCGCAGGCCCTTCCATTGCGTAATTGCGACTTCTATATTCCTAAACTCCTAGCTGCTTCTTAGCAGCAGGTACAGCTTCTTAACCCGAGCCGTGGCCCTGGATCGGACTACAGTCTGCAGACGGAGAAACAAAGACCACCGCTGCGGAGGCAGGCCCGGCATCTGTTGACGGACTAAATTCAAAGTTTGTATGGAATATACGAGTATGGCTCACTTGCGACTATCACGATCGCTTGGCTATTGGGTGGCAAACTTGACATGAACATATCATCGTCTAATCATTTCTCTTGTTGTTGATGTCGAATGACCCCAAACACATCGCAAAGCTCTGTTCAACTCACTACTCAAGTAATAATTGCTAAACATTACAGCACACACTCAAGGCTAGTGACGATGTTGAAGCTAAGATCTGCAAGATAACGGCCCCCAACCGCTCATCCCGGCACAATAGATCTGGTTGGCAGGGTTTCTCTCCACATGTTTCTTTTGCTCAGCTTTTCATTTCGAGGCTCAATCTACTGGACTGCAAAGAAACTCGTGGGATATTTTCTTCTCAGGCAAAGTACCAGTATCATTCCCGAGCCCATTGTAGACAATATTTTGTTCTCAGAGAAGTGACAAACATCGACGGCGTTCAGCTGCATCGCAACCAGATCAGCAACAAGAGTCTTGACTAGCTGCTGACCCCTCTTCTTAACTAGACGCCTCCTCCTTGGGCTCTAATCGGCTTCACACTACTGGACACCACGGTTCAATAATAGGACTAAGTTTCATGCGGATCCAACCCGAAGTGTCGACTAGCAGGTTCAACAGTTCCCCGAGTCCCCACTCCCAAGGCACAAGAGACAACCAGGACCCTGAGCTTCCCATCTAGCCGCAATCCTTTTGCGTAATTGTGCGTGCAGCACCACTACTCCCTGGTGCTCCTACTAAGTTCACTACAGAACAGAGCAGCTTGAAGATTTCATGCATCGGTCAAGACCCCCCGATCTCGTTGGCGCCAGAGGATGTAATCCATGCATGCATACAGGACATGCACAAGAAGTATTTTCCGACAGCTGTTGACCTTAACGCCAGGTACCGCTTGTGGTTCCGGAAATACCTCCGACTTCTCCTCTTTCTCATCCTCACCCCCAACCTTCCATCAATCTTCTCTTTCTCTCTCTTTTCCCGGTCGTCAACGTTATTAGACGCTTCTACGTCGGGAGAGTCGATGGCCAGCTTCTTGAGCAGCTTCGTTACTTCGCAACTCACGTCCGGGTTTCGTTCTTCCCGTTAGAAGCATGGATCCCGATGCTCCACCAGAACGTCACGCACCACCTCCCAAACCACCAACCTACAGCTTCATCACTATTAATGACCCCAAGGAAACCAAGTCTCGGTCCAAGAAGCGAGAGGTCAGGTCTGCAGTGGCTTATTACCAGCATCACAAAAACGACAACGATGAGGCTGAGATGGGCGGCACGAGAAGGCGGGGTTGGAAGCGAAGAGATCAGACTAGGTCCCCAGTGATGCTCAAGCATGAGTCCAGCCAGTCGACGATTTCCGAATCGACATCCACTGCTCAAACAACTCCTGCTGAGGAGAAGCCAGAATGGGTTACTGAATGGAATGTTGCCTACCAGCCGGATACCACCTTCCGTAGGATAAGAGCGGATCCTTTCAGTTCTTACCCCGTGCCTTGGAATCCTGCCTACGAACCCATACTGAATTTTTGTAAGCTGCATTCTCTTTATGACTGTTACGAAAGTACAGGCACACATCTCGTGGTCGAGTTAGGACGGAAAATGCTAATACGTGCCAGATATAACCCAAATTTTAATCGACACCCCAGCAGTATCCGAGCCAGGCAAAGTGTTTCGTCTCAGGACTGTCTGGTTCCCCTTGGTCATGATGAGCAGTACGACTTTCTACGCAGCTCTCACACTGGCAGGTTCTATTTTTCATGCACGTCGTCAGCTCCCTCTCGATGCTCCAGCCTTGCTTGAAATCCGCCAAAAAGCAATCTCATCCATCAACGCCACGCTCTCCAACAAAGAGGATTGCAAGACTGATCAGACAATCGGTGCTGTACTTTGTCTATCCATCTTGGAGTCTTTCCTTGGCCACCCGGAGCTGTTTCAGATGCACATGGCCGGTCTAGCGAAGATGGTGCGAATGAGAGGAGGACTGGACGGCTTGGGGCTCGAAGGGCTGTTGAGAAGAATGATTGTCTGGTTGGATTTCAATCACGCCAGTTTATTCGGTACAGACCTAGTGTTCGACGAGAGTATCGAGGTCGAGACGAGGCTAAGTCCGTTTAGACACCCAAGATCTAGAGGCTCTTCACCCACAGATTGTAATGCGGTCACGTAATTTCTCCAGATAATTTGTTTGTGGCTAGGTTTGGCGTTGGGGATGGAGGTTTCCGGGAAAACAGATTAGATGGGATGGATGCATCACATTCATAAGATCAGCCCGTTGTTATTGTGTCTAAGGTCATTGGAATGGGAGTGGTTCGTTTTTTCTTCTAGGTTAATGCTGAGGGTGACTGGATGGGAGCTTTGCGTTGCATTATGATTGCAGAATGAGTATTGGTGCCAAAAGTGTACATTAAGGCGTTTTCAGGAAAGGATATCAGGGCGAATGGACAACTAATGGATTCTTGGATTATATGGATGGCTGTATCAACACTCGCTAGAGGTCCATAGAGACCAGTGTATTAATAAGATCTGTCGATCAACTTCGTCCTTTCTATGTGGTCTGCTCTCGATCGAACAGCAGAAAATCAATATGGGTGTGCTCCTGTTAGCGAAACAGGTCTCAACTTGACATTTTGTAGCAGCCGTCTTACGTTGGTAAGTTTTAGTGCTGGAAGATAAAGTTTATGGATCATCTGAACATCAAACCCAAGACACGGAAACAACAGTGGCATGTCCAAAACCCTGAAATGAGTCACTTATGGAAAGTTGCAATTAGTGATCGAGATATGTAAGGGTTCTCCAAAGCCAATACCTCTCGGAGGTTCATAATCAACGTCGGCGGGATCCAACCGTGCGCCAAGGCAGCCGTTCATCTTTTTCTGCTACACTCAACACTTGGTATTCTAGGCTAGGTACGGGTCACCGTTTTAACATAAGGGTATCACGGCCGGCGTTGAAAGACCCGAGCGGGTAATGAATGTACCGAGAACTACGTCTGGATATGCATGGACACGGATATTATTCCTTTAGAAGGGATCGAGGAGCTGAGCCCTGAAAACCGTCCCAAACCGATTCATAAATGTTAGCCCTCCTTCACCTGTCTGCAAGCAGAACTTAAATCAGCAGTCCCGACGATTCACGATTCCATGTCCCCGAATCTGCAAGAAACATCCTCCTTTGACCGACGTATCAAGCGACATATCTCATCGTAGTCCGACTAGGAGAATGACTACTGCAGGAGAGTAAACTTTCTCTAGCCAGAATGCAGAAATCTTCATTGTCACATGGAAAACCCTCTCTGGCGCGTCCAATCCATCCCATCATCCACTTTCCGGTCCCTCAGCGACCTCAACGAACGCTTACTACATCTTACAAGAAGCTTATAGAAAAGCCATCCCTCAATACGCCACCTACAGCTCTATTTGCTATTTTTCTCTATTCTCTGTGTATGTTATAACTTAAGTGATTTCAGGATATCATGACATTCCGCGCCAATGGGTATTCAAGCAAACGGCTAAAGCAGCGCTTTGAGTGACACATTAAATAGAAAGTATGTACTTCGTACTTCCTATCTGCCGAATGATGAAGGATCTGTCCCGAAGTCTCCATCAAGCTCGGCATCAATTAACTTGAACTACTCGTCAAACTCATAGCACGCCCTTTGCATACCCCTCAGCTCGGTCCAGATTCTAGCTTCTGATGCAAAGTGCATACTTTAGAAAGCCGCACCACGATAACTGCCAGGGCAGTCGAGTAAATTTAAGTTCCGCGAAAGTAGATCTTAGTATCGTTTTATCGGCTGGAAGTGGCGGGTGATAGTGGGGGATTTAGCCGACGATGGCTTTCCTAACGACAATATCGGGCGAGATAGTAAATTTAGATGCAGTGAACATGGAGTATTCTGTGAGGGATGCGTTGAGTTTGAGATTTGAGATTTGAGATCTGAGATGGTGTGCATTGCCGGGGTTGGCCTGCTGTGAGTATTACATGCATATTTGTCAATCGAAAGTCAAATAAATACTTCTGCGGCGTGCATAAAACGAGGTTGCGGCAACGACTATTTTGGCCATGTGTACATAATTCCTGCCGCTACTACTTGAAATGGGTTTGCACAGGCCAGAGTCCAAGCAAGTTTAGATTGGGATCTGTTTCATTATGGTGTGTATAATCAAGATCAGGATGTTGAGAAACGATGGTAAACCATCGTGCGACGCGCAACCAAAATATGTCTAAGCGAGAGCGTGTTGTCAGATTGACAAAGGCAATTCACTTCTCATGTAAATTACCTAGTCTAGCCAGGAACTCATAAGCTTCAAGGTGAACAGAGTTGGAGGCGGATTTAACTAGAATTTTATTTTGCTCGTCTTCCACAACAAATTGATTGGAGCGGAAAAGATAGCGGTAACAGCTACAAAGCCATAGAAAAGGCTAGAGCATCTATCTGCTCTCAGCAACCAATTTTAATCATTCCTATGAAATGAGAACCGCTCAACATCTGTTAGTCCAAGCGAGCAATTTCCCGATGATATAAGCGAAGACAAGTTTCTACTACTTGAGTCTGCTCAGCGCAAAGAAGCCTATCAATATAAGGCACACCATGGCAACCGAAAGTAGCATGACCTCATTCTCCCCGTGACATTGCTCCAGTCTGTTTTGTAGTGCTGCTGAGGTGAGCGACAGAAACGATGGGGTGCGCCATGCTCGCTAAATGCAAGGGGAAGCGAAAAGGGTAAACAAAAGGAGAAAACAAATCCCACGAAGCGAAGAAAAATCGATAGAGGTCGCTACTGCCTGAGTAATTCACCTAGTCATTTGAACCATCTTTTCTAGATGTTTAGCAGTTTCTTGGGTGCGAGAGAAGCAGAGAAAGTCGCCTATCTCTTGACAACTTTTTTTTGGCTGAACATTAATGAAATATACTGATATGGGAACAAAGAGATTCATATCAGGTCCTAGGTTCAGATAAGGATAGAAAAAGACATATTTATGGATTAATTACTCAGGTCTTTGATTGTTCTCAAGAAAAAGAGCTTGGCGTCGGCCCTCATATCTAGTCAAGAACAGTCACACGAGGAAGAAGTCCCATCCGTATTCGACCACTTCCAGCCTTTGATGTCAACATCAATGGTCGCGTGGCTCAGCTATCATTGTTACGAAATATCAATCCTGAGAATCTAGATTCAAGTGCCAAGAGCCGCCTTAACTCCAGCCAAACATTGATAAGGTATAACATGTGCTTGCTCCGCACTGTCGGAATGAAGCTGGGTTTGGCAAATCACCAGCATCCAGGGAGTCGGCTTGAAGAAAAAAATCCTATTGTATTTCTATAGTGGGGTGACAGAACTTGAGTATACTGCTGTTGCACCGCCAAAATATCACTGCTATATATTCGGGCTATTCATTAAATGTGAAAGCATCACTGAAACTCTTTCTTCTCGGAGCTAAGAGTCAATTCCGAGAGTATTTCAGCCTCGAAACCTCGCTTGCTGACAACGGATTGCTCCATTCACATTCTTTCACCTCAATCGATATATGCTCAAATCCGGCTTCCATTGACCTTCTTTTGATTCCCGTTCAAGGTCTCTAGATCGCTGCCCTCGCCTACCATCTCTTCGCTCACTTTCCACAGCCTCTCCGCCACAACCGGATCCGATGCCCATTTTGACGGCTTCTTGATCTGACAGTCGTCCAGATATACACCATCACTCACTGTGTCCCGAGTCAGTCATCCCATTTCGCGTCTCCTCTTCTTCATTAAATTTTCAAGGTGGATATTGTGACACGTGGAGCATAGGTTGGGATCGACGTTAAAGTAGAAGGAGAGAGACGTACCATCCAGCCGTGGATCAAATCCAGCAACAACGAGTGTAGCTGCCCCCTGATCCACAGTCTTCCATTCGGAATTGGGTATGCCCGAGAGCATACCTTTCATCATCTGCTCATCCGCTCCTCGGACGAGGTTCGTCATGATGTCTATTAGTCCATCAATATCACCTCTAACCTCGTGTGTCATACGGAAATCTTCAAAACAATTCCCAATTCCAAGAGTATTACAATAAGAAGTAACTCGGAAGATAGTAGTCCAGGGTTAAAGTCAGAGCTTTGAGAGAGGTAAGGAACTTACTACCAGGACTCACAGCCCAACTCCCCAGTCCCCTTCCCCTAAACCTCCGATTCACCTCCACACTAAACAACAAATTCGCAGTCTTACTCTGCCCATACGCAACAGCCGGTTCATATCCACCCTCACCACGCAATACACCTTTCGGCATACCTCTTCTGGGCTGTTCTTCCGGCGGGATTTTTGCCCCAGGCGTTTGATGCAGATCTGAGAACCGGATGGGTGAGATGCGATGGGCTTCGGAGGTCGTGTTGATGATTCTCTTTTGGGGGCTGGAGCTACCGGATATCGAGGTTGCTGAGAATGGCTTATATTGAGATTTGAGCATCAAAGGTAACAAGAGGCTGGTCAATAAGAAACCACCAAGATGGTTGGTAGCAAACTGTAACTCATATCCATCAGCAGTCAACTCTCTCCAACTAATATTGATCCCAGCATTGTTAAATAGAACATCGATTTCTCCTTTGCCAATGATGGTTTGAATTTCTTTGGCAGCGGATCGTACGCTAGCATGTTTTGATAAGTCGAGAGCTACTGCTTTGACGGGCACGGTGGGGTAGAGGGCGTGAATGGAGGAGGTGACAGTGTGGATGTTGGTGAGGGTGCGGGAGGCGAGGATGAGGAGGGATGGAGACTCTATGATTAGAAGGAGGTCAACATAACATCCAATCATATTTGTATTGAAGGCAGTTTTTGATTAAATTGTAAAGAGGCTCGCCAAGAGGAGTGATTTGTAGCCAAATACGTACGAGAGGCGATGGCCATAGCTAAGCCCGAGCCGATTGAGGAGGGGGAGATCCCTGTGATTACGACTTTGTTTGGAGGTACTGTCAGCTTGTTTCTCTACTTGATTGTAGGAGAGTTTCGAATCGCCGAAATCCAGTCTGTATATGAATTTAAAAAAGAACCGACGGCTGATATTTGACATGGATCTAGCTTATAAAATATGAAATATGAAATAGTGTCAACAGAAACGACTTGAAGCACAATTACGTAGAGATATCATAGCAATCTGATATCAAGCAGGTAAAACACCAAATGAATCAATTGATTTCTCTGATTGATCATATCCTCGCTCGCTGTCTCACTTATCACAGGATGAAATCAACACCATAGAAAATCGCCTGATAAGCCTAACAGAAGACCTTTAATTCATAGGATCAAAGCCAAGAACAAGGTCCGTAGCCAACCATTACTTCATGGTAGCAATAAGCATACTTAGGCCATTACTCGCTGAGTCCTGGCACTTGCGGAACACACTGAACAATTTATCTGTCTACCCTGATTAACATTTCCAATTAGAATTGTCGAGCCGAGCAGACTACAAAGGCTTCGCTTGAAACTCAATTCCCCACGACGACCACTCAACCAGTACAACAACAGGACAACAGAAACAGCCAAAAAAAAAAAAAACGAAAGCTACCAGGGATAGCCAACAGAGCCGACTTAGTTACCCCACTCAGCTAGCCTGGAACAAAACTCTACAAGACACTGAAGGTTGCATCTCGGCTCCAAATCAAAACAAAACAAAACCAAAGGAGGAACCAAAGAAACCAACAAACTCACCACACTTCCCTCTAATCTCCTCCGCAAACACCCTCGCCGCCTCCAAGGCACTAGTACCAAACCCAAAATCCGGGTTCGACAACATCTTCCCTTCCCTTCCTTTCCCTTGTCCCTCTTCAACGCCTCAATATTAATAAGTTCGTAGCTTATCTTCTCGTTGCCGTGGCAAATACTATTGTGCTTTGATTAAGTTTATTTACCACAGCCAATGCAGGTCATCGATTCGGCCACCGACGGCCCTGTTGGTCGATAAATTTACTCGGCGGCTTGATGTTTTGTTTGTTGCTGCTTCGTTGCCGCTCTGTTGCTTACCTTACCTACCCCGCTTTCTTGAGTTGCGCACGGACCACAGTTAAGGGGCTTGCGCTTCGAGGCGGCCTAGCTTGCTCGTGTGCCATTGAAGCGGATGATACTTGCGGAAAGTAAACAACGCCCAACCATAACCACAAGATCGGGCGAGAGCAATGGTCGGGGAGAGGGGGAGGGAAGGGGAAGGTCAATGCAGCTGCATGCAGGATACTGTCAGGTAAATGCGTAGCAGACTACCTACCAGCTGATGAAGAGGAGGTATTAGTTAGTTCATAACGGGTGTTTCACGAAATCAATCTATGCATTGGGAATATATGTAGAGTGGGTAATTATCTGGTATTTTCAAGTCCGGAGATATCTAATACACAGAAAAGCGAGTTCAAGCAGGGAATCTCCAATGCCCCCAACTGTCTGCGACACCTAATGATAATAGATGCCACGTCCAGCAAGAAGTATACAAAGATAGTGCTAAGAACTACAAGTGAAGGTAAAATTTTACCCTCAACCCAACTCATAAATGGAGGTCCGTGAACCCCCCGACCCATTCCAGGTCATGGCCATGACGTTTGAAGCCATGATCACGGCTCTTCTCCTTGGCCCAAGGGCAACCCTTGCCCTTATCCCTAGCAGCAGTATCTTTAACAGTAGTATTCAACTTGTCCCAAACTCCAACGCCGGCTCCAAACCCAGAGAAGCCCAATCCAACATTCCGACGTGCCTTCCACAACTCGGGAGATTTCTCCGAGTCTGACGTACCAGTGTACGCTCGCCTGCGTTCTCCCAACTTGGACCACTTATCGCCAGTGGTTCGCTTGGGTGGTGGTGAGTATCGAGGGGAGTATTGCGGAATGACCATCTCCTTTGGGGTGTCATGGAAGAAGAAGCCATCCGCAACGAGGTCTCCATCGATATCATTGGCGGTGGTAACAGTATCGGGCTTCGCAATATTTACAAAAGAAGAGCTCTTCGGCTCCAACGGTCCGCGGCGTATCGTATCATCTTCATCGTGCTTGCTCTCGTGACTCCAGGTTCGTGCATTCTGCATTTGTCGTGCCTTCAATTGCTTGTCGGTTTCTTCCTCCTCTTCGATGTCCTCATCCCAAAGGTCACTCCAGCTCTTGGAGACGACCTCGTTCTTTTTGCCGAAGATTGATGCAAGGGATGGCAGAGGCTTTGGCTTTGACATGGTAATTGGAAGTGAGCCTGAGATTGGGGTCAGGCTCGCCTTGGGAGGTCCAGACTTCATTGGCCGTCTGATGGCCATCGACTTCATCGAAGCTCCAAGAGACGAGTCAAGCATGGATGCCAACGACGGGGTCTGTTGACCAACAGAGAACCAATCCTTATTGCTTTCCTCCGAGCTGGGAAAGAGATCCTCAGAGTCGTAGCTCTCGTCGTCTGCAATGACTGACAACTGACGGAATTGTTGAGGTGGGCTTGCATGCAAGGCCTTGGCCCATGGGAAGGAACCATTGTCCACTTGAGGGCTTTGAATGGATGGAGTACGAAGAGGCTCCCGATTGGCACTGGCGATGCCTCGTCTCTCAGCCATACAGAAGTCATCCAACGATTCATCGAAGGTGGTGAAGCTGACGAGGCGTTCGAGAGCCTCACGTGCACCTTGCAATGAACGCTTGCGTGGGTCCAAGCTCATGCACTGGGCAATGACTTCGTAGGTATCTTGAGACATGGTTGGGAAGACATCGAAAAGTGATTGCTTATCGCGGGAGAAATCCAAGAACAGAGGGTCCGATTCTGTCGGTGTGGTGAACGGGTTGCGAGAGAAGAGAATGTTCAACAAGCAGATACCAATGGCCCAGATATCGGCTTGTTCAGGTGCATATCCAGCTCCAGCTGAATCGTACTGTTCTGGAGACATGTATCGGTCACTTCCAACAGTCGTCTCGTAGGTCCACTTGTCGGTGGTAGCGAGGCCAAAATCACCGAGCTTCATCTCTCCGGCTTGGGTGAGGAAGATGTTCTCTGGCTTGATGTCTCGGTGGAAGAGGCCCTTGTCGTGGATATAGGCAACGGCGTCGACCAGCTGAAGCATGAATCGGCGAACGTGTTCGGTTTCCAATGGGCCGGTGCCAGTTCGGATGGCCTCGTACAGGTCACCCCTTGCACAGAACTCGAGGACAATGTAGATGTGGGCATCGGTCTCGAATGAATGGATAAGATTGACGATGTTCGCGTGGTTGCCTAGGAGTGCGTGGCAGGCCAACTCCTCGGACTTCTCATCAACAGCAAATGAATAGTCTCCATCAGTGATGGCTGACTTCTTGGTCAAGCACTTGATAGCAACCATCTCGTGGTTTGTCAAATCCTCGGCCATGAAGACCATGCCGAAAGAGCCATGGTTGAGAGGAGATACGGTCCTGAACCGTCCATCAAGGACGACTCCGTCGTAGAATCTATCTCGGAGGCACTCCATTTCGAGAAACGTGCAGGTGAGGTTGTTGAGTGTTGGTGGGTGGATAACGTAGATATGTGTTAATTAGGTGTGAGAGCGGCAAAAGCAGTAGTAGTAGTACAACGGCAATGTTTTTGGTCCCAAAGAGAATGCAGTTGAGCAGTACGGTTGGGAAATGCTTTTGTCTTTCTCTAAACAAAGTTGATGGCACACGGAGCTAGACTCCTGGGGAGGGTGGTCGAAGAGCCGAACCGGAATGGTGGAAATGTCGAATAATCAAACTGGCAACGCTATATAGATGTATTTCAACCGCCGAAAGAATGATAACTGGCGAAAACTCCGGATGTGTATCGTGATGGGTAGGGGTCAGAGGCTCATTGATGGGTATTCGAATCGCTAACAAAGGGAATTGTGTGGTGGTCGTAACAGATGGGACGAGTGTCCGGGAAAGAAATGAGAAGTCGTTATGCTGACATGGAAGTCAAATGTGTAAAGAACGAGTGTCCGAGGTATGGAGATATCCTCAGGAGCAGTACGAGCAAACGTACTGCCGGAGCGTGTTTGTTGTGGAAGAGTGAGGTGGGTGGTCGACGAGTAACGGGTCAACGGACGAGGCAATACAATCAACGGACGTCAATTGCAAAGTGTCAAGATGGTAGTCGTGAATGAAGTGTGTGTGATGGATGGGGAAGGCTCGAGAAGTTCGTAGATGATCGGAGTTGTATGACTCGACGGAGTTCGAGATTGTCAGATTGGAAATCGGTGGAAGCTGAAGTCTATCTGGAGACAATCTCGGGAACTGTTGTTGAAATCATGTGTTGGTTGTTTTGGTTGTAGGGAACAGGTAGTCGAAGAGCTTGCTCTTCGTCTGCCTTATCCGCTTGGGACGAACTGAGTTGTGTCGTGGATGGAGAACTGAAGCTTGAAGCTCGGAGCAGTGGAAGAGCAACAAGGAGATGATTCGCCGATGGTCGATCGATGATGTTTTCCGAAAAATCTATCACAGAGAAGTTGCACAAGTGTGCAATGCTCTTGTTGATTGGTTGTGTGGGTTGAGGAATGTTGTTGTTGCTTTGAAGCACTTGGGAATGACGCAGAATCGAGGTGGTCAGGGCGAGGTCGGCGAGATGACTCGATGGAAGAGTGGGAAGGCGAGGATGAACAAGAGAAGTGATGATTAGGCGGCGAGCGAGAGCGAGGAAGTAGGTAATTAGGAAGGAGGTGAGGTCGGAGAAGAGAAGGAAGGAAGGAGAGGGAAACTGCGAACGACGATGGATGTGACCAGTCCTAAGTATCGTGCAGCGTGCTTGGGGTTGGGGTTGGGGTTGATGGATGGATATGGAGATGGGGAGGAAAGAAGAGGTGAGAGAAGCACTGGCAGGACGAGGATTCATCCAGGGCAGGGCAGGCAGGCAGGCCAAGCCAAGTCAACAGCGAGTCGACGAGCGGGACCAGCTATGCCCTTTCGAGTTAGAGATCTCTGACGAGGACGGGGGTGTCGGCCTTGGGTTGATGTCGCAACCGCTGGCCACCACTGTTGTTGAGCCCTGCTTGTTCCTGCTCGTCCTGCTCTTGTTGTTGGCCACTGGCCAGTAGTAGTGGTGGCCACTCAGTGCACCCAGTCCCCCAGTCCCCCAGTCCCCCAGTCCACCGCGGGCTCGCAAGCACCGGCTCTCCGCTGCCCTGGCTCGCCTGGCCCAGCGCTGCTTCAGGGAGCTTCCAGATGGATCGAATCCGCTGCCAGGCTCTGTTTTAGTGACCAACCAGACAGTTCCAGCGCTGCAATTGCGCTACTCTTCGTACTGTAAAGTACGGCAAACCCACCGAACCCACTGGGCCACACGCCAGTCCACCACACCACACCAGACTCGTGGCCACGCTTGCCAGAAACAGGCGGGCTCGCTCAAATTGGATCTGGCACGGTGAAGGATCCCAGCAGGCGCAAGAGCGGCGGCGGAACTTAATGTCGGATAAAGGCAAGTGACAGGAACGCGGCCAAGCTGGCCAGTCATATGGAGAGTGCGGCAGGATGTGGAGAGGGGCTGATGCCATAGTCCAGAGCTGCTTTGGCAAGTTTCCACGGGTTTCCACCGCGCCAATGCCCACTCAGCTTGCCACCATTGGCTGGCGGACGGTGCACCTCTCAGACTCAGACTCAGACTGCTGTGGGGCCACTATTTAATGTTTACCTTATGCATGCATGCGCCTGGTTCTCCTGTGGGCTGCATGCGTAGGCGCAGCCTGGGCCAAGCCAAGCTGACCACTCCCGAACCTTGGAGGAGACAACCTTGAGCGAGATTTTGGTAGGTTCTCGTACTGTGCTGTAACGTATTTCATGCCTGAGGTTACGGACACACAACACAGCAAGACAGCAAGACCAAGGTCAAGGTCCACCACAGCTCGAGACACCCCTCCCTCCGATGACCGCTTCTCATCCCAATCGAGCAATCTGCAATCTTGGAAACAGACCACGAGGCATCTTTCAGAAACATGAGATCTGTACACAGAAACCGTCGGAATTCAAATGCCGTCTGCACTTCCTCATTTTACTGTACAGTACCAATTTACAACTGCCGCTCATGACACATCGTAATCTTGCGTACACACCAGCTAAGGTAAATTTCCTAGAGTTCGGATCCGCTCCCCTTTCTTTGAGAGTAGGTAATGAGTGAATGAGGTGACTCGCTAAAAGAGGAAACATCGTCAGCAGGGTCGTGTGACCTCAATCACCACCAAAGAATGCTTGCTGTGACGGGTGACGAGACACCTGCGAGACTTCCACCTCAAAGGATCTCACGACACCTCTCCTGACTCGTCGGACGAGAAAGAAGAAGAATCTGTCGACTTCTTTCGACGTCCACAAGGCATGCAAGCAATCCATTCTCCGCATTTCCCACTACTTTACTTCGAAAGGATCAATTGATCCTCCCCGTCACCGAGACATCACATCAGGCCAATTATGTCGTGATCAGCTCACAAAGGTTTCAATTCCCCTTAGCCGTCTTCCATGGCTTGAAAGCATCAAAGCAAGGGAGATGTTGAAGATATTCGGATACACCGGAGACCACCGAAAGACCCCCCTATCTCCCCGCCTTGTCGTCAGCTTTGGAGGTGACTTTACTTGGTCAATAATAAATTGCCTTTATGACGACTTTACATGCTCACACAAGCACCAACTTCGTATCGCCCGTGATGAAACGCCGCAGATCACCCATCTATCCAGACATTCATCCAGAACTCTGATATACCAGTATCTCATTCCTCGCCAACAAAACAGCCGCCGACCTCGCAGTCTGCGAAGTCTCCCAGGACCTCATCTCGATGTGCAGTTACTAGCGACACACAGTCTCGATCCTTCTCACTACTCTGAGGATTCATTCGCCAGAATAGACGCAGTCATGCCTCAGGCCCGAAAATCAGAAACATCTAAAAATGCCTAGAAACTACGGCCAACACACACAACCTATCACCAGTAACCGCCCTACACCTCCTCATCTATCTGAAGGGTTGTCTCGGGAGTTGACTGGTTGCCCATGGGAATTGGCTTTTGAATACCAAGTATACTCTGTGCTGTAAAACGTCTTTCGCTTCGTTGAGCCCTGCGAGGCCGTCGCGGCGGTCATCATCATTCCATCATATCTCATCTAAATGAAAATGAAAATAGTGTTTGGTCTGTGGTAGACGACGAAGGGAGCTCTACTAGGTTGTTGCTTGGTTGCTTCAGTTTCGTATGATGATCCCCACGCATCGAGCTTCCCTTCTTCCCTTTTAGCCAGTGGGAACTCTGATAAGCTCAGAGCATCCAACTCGCTCCCAGCGGCAGATCGCTCTGTTGGATCGCCCCATACATCAACTCAATCGAGCCTGTAGGGGGGCATGATATCTTTCGAATTCGTATCTCCGACTCCTTGGGGCTGGAGGCTGGATTCGCATGAGTATCATAGGTGCGGAAAGACCAGAAGGACAAGACGGGACCCTGAAACTCTCCAGTAATCTTGTCTTTGTTTTCCCACACACTGAAGGGCTGGCGGAAGCCGTCCGTCAAACAGTGCAACTGCTTTCGCTTCGTGGCGCCAAAACATCGTACTGCCACAAGACATTTACTTTCTGGTATGGCACCACCAGATGGTAAGGCAAGCAATCCATAGAGCGGAGCAGAATGCACGGCAACCTTCCGTAACGCCATACTGTACCACATGGCGAAAGCTGTGGCAGCTCTCCCTTGCTTGCCACGAAGCTTCAAGCTTCTGTACAACGGAGGTGAAAACGAAAGCTCTCAGCGTGCAGGACCCCAAACCTCCACCTGAACTCTCCGCCAAAGCCATTTATTTTATTTCTGTAAACCATCCCAAATTTGACCCACCTTCCATCCCATCACAATACCGATCGATCGCTTGAATCTTCACAGCACAGTAGGGATCTGTGACAACCCCACTGCTGTCGCGGGGACTCAAACCCCACAATTGACTTCAAATCTGATACAGTCATCACGTCACGTACGTCGAGCTTGAAGATTCGTGCGCTGGCGCTTCATGACCCCACAGTGAGCCCGTTTCAAGAAACGACAGACAGCGAGCCCGTCTGGAATTTCGTTGTTCCCATCGCGAGCTTCGCTTGAGATTTTCCTCCCAGCCTGCCAGCTTCCCAAAGTCCAGGAGCCAAGGCTAGCTTAGCGAAACAACAGCAGCACCAGAAAGCGGTGAAAGTCTTATTTCCATCCACTCGCTGCATCTACTATCAAGAAACGAAAAGATCTCCAACAGCGAGTTCACATCCGCGAATAAGGACCCTAGATACGGCTGAGCTTGGGCCTGGACAAGATTTTAAACCTTCACCAGAGGTTGGCTGCATTAAGTATTGCATCCCTAATCGATAAGATAGAGGTCTAGACCCTCTTCTTCTCTTATCCGGGAAATCTCTTCTTCCGGGTGGGTCCCAGAGATCTTGTTAACTGGATCTTGATCTTGAACTTGACAGTACGAGTAGGTAGTTGGACCTTGGGGGCCTGAGAAGGGAGCTTCCGCTGCAGCGAGCCATGAACAAGCACATGAACGGTGAGGTGAAAATTTCCCGTTGTCTCCAGATCCAAATCTATTGGGATCCACAATTCTATCTGCCTTGCCAGCAGTTCCTGAAGCTATCACACTCGTTTTATAGTACAGTCGTAGCCTTAACGCATCTGCCGCAGAAGATATCTGTTATTGTAAATAATGAAAAGTGGCTGTCCGAGGTGCACATACTTGTCTCCTTTGTCGTCTTCCTCCTCACTTTCGATCTTTGAAACAAGATGTCTTCAAGTAAAATTCTTCAACGGCTATCAAATCGAAAGCAAGACATTTCCAAAACCTCTCCATCCAGAAGAGCACAGAGAAATAAAAACAAAAACAAAAACAAAAAATTCTCCCTCCCGCAGCGGGGCCGTTGAACTGCTGGTCTTGTCTTGCCTTGCCTTGCCTTGCCCACCAACCTGCCTGCTTCCTGCACATGCGAACTGTGTGGACCAGAACCCATACCTGCCATGCAAGTCTCCAGTCCCCGAATAGAAAATATCCGAAATATTGAAAACGAAAATTCCTACATGTTCACCGCCATCACAATCTTAAAATTCCATGCATCTAGTGTATTGTAAACAGAGGCAAAGAATTTGCCACATGTCCCATTCCCCAGTTCCATTCCCATTCCCATTCCCGGCTCACGAGCCCCGAAGCGAGCGAATTCTCCCGGCGTGCCAACCACCAAGGAAGTAAATCGACAACACACAGACTCCAGCGCAACAGAAAACACCAGCAAAAGCCACATACACTGCAGCAAAAGTATCCATTTACCTGCATACACCCATTCCTCCCATCTTCCCAGATCCATATTCACGCCTCGCAGCTCGCATAACGCAGCTAAATCTTCCCTTACCCACTCGTATAAAGGGAAGGCTTGCATGAGCCCCACTGCATCTCACCCAGCTGCACCTTTTCCTGCACGTTACCTTACCTGCCCTCCTGCCCTTCCCATCCATCCACCCACCCAAAATCCACCTTCTGCATCCTTCCTGCACGCCCTCTGCACCACTACTGCAAGTTCCGCAAGTTCTGCAAGCCCCCCCAGCTCTTCCCGCTCACCTTGAGTGGTTCCAGATCCCACTACTATCCCCAGAGCAGAGCTTTGCGATTTGCTTCTCGTTGGTCGCCAGGGGGCCTAAATCAGACAGACACACATCCAGCGAAGAAAATTTTCCTTTACACCGCTATCTCGACACGACGATAATCTCGGATTCTCCTATTGACTAGGTGGTTGATCGATACTTGAGAGGACACGGTTGGGAAGTCCGTACAGAGCGACAGGGAAACTGGGAAATTAGTTGGAGACGGTGAGAGAGAGAGATGGCTGAGAAGTTGGAATTCGATGGGGTGCTGTTGGATATCGGTAGGTTTCTGACTCCCGCTCAGCTTCAACTTCCATTTCCCTCCTGGGAATCTTTCAGAGGGAGCTTGGACCAAGATGGATCTGATATGAGAAACTCTCCAAGAGTAATGAGTCACGTGAAAAAGATACATGGCTGACTCGTTGGTTGGTTCTTGCAGAAGGGACGGTCTGCCCAATTTCATTCGTTAAGGAAGTCCTCGTAAGTACTGATTCTTATATTATAATCAATGCTTTGCCTCATGGTGCGCTGTCTCTAAGTTTAAGGACACTTGATTTGCTCGTTCTATTTATATCATGGGATTTGCGAAAGCGAGGTTACCAGAGCTGTACTGCAAGTACAGTACCGTACGAGTCCAACACACAGACTGCCGCGCTTCCCAACATGCCGATTTCCCTTTCTCAGTCAAATACTTTCCTTCATACTTAATCCGCGATGCCGGTACCATTTTCTCCGGCCATCCATCCCTCATCAAGCAAGGCCATCCGTCACATGACTGCCGCCTCATACAATTCCAATGCCGCAGCAAGCGATGAGAGACCTACCGAATGAGCGAGAGATATTCCTCTTTTAGGGTCACCTGGGCGAAAAAGAGGCACAGACAAGTGTTGCGATACCTCGAATCCTCTCCTCCCCGATCCAACCTATTACCCAAGTCAATTCCATGATTCGCCACCTCCTGCGACGGCGAGAGAGCAAGGCTGCATCGTGGAGGTACACCAACTGCTGTATCGCCCGCCTTTCGCGCTCTTGTCCAGTCTTGTTTCTGGCGCTGTGGAACGATAAAGTCAACCCAGCCCATAAATCGAACGTCAAAGTGGCACGAGATCAAAATACTCGCCACGCGGTTGGTTGCATGTTCATAGCGTACCAATTCCGCAGCTGTCATGTCAGTCAAGTGGCTGGGCTTGGGGACTTTATTCTCCGCGCGCATTTGTTTGGTCAATCATCTCCAGACTTCCCACCAGAAGTCAATAATGCGGGGGAGGGGTGGTTGACTCGCGGGATATGTGCCGATTGAAATCTGTTGGTCTTTCTCTTACCTTACTCCCCGCAGTCTGGACTCTGGGGTAATTGGTCGAAGGTTACACGAGTCGTTGAAGGAAGTCGGATGTCTGGAATGGGCAATTTCCACTATCACAATCACATCTCTCTTCTCAGCTCGCTAGTCGAAGGTCTCAGTTGTCACTGAGTCTCAGTTTTGTTTCTTTCAAAGCGGTCCCTGCATACGCCACCAGTACCCCGCAACCCCAAGCAGTCAATTGACTCAATTTCATTCTCACATCACTCAAGTCACTCATTTAGTCCCTTACACCAAGAATTATCACTTGACCACATCCCCCAATCCACAAAGCAAACAGTATCCCATTTACCTCCACGCACTCACTCTTGCGCCCAAATCACCCCATTCTCAGGCAAGCAAACTAACCCAAGCCCCCTCTCTCTAGTTCCCCTACTTCCTCCGCACCCTCACAACCAGCCTCCCCACTCTCTGGACCTCACCCACTTTCACACCCTACCTCGCTGCCTTCCCGCCACAACATACCACCTCACCCGACACTTTCCTCACGCACATCCGCTCCCTCGTCGCCTCCGACATCAAAGCAGCACCGCTCAAGAACCTCCAAGGCTACATCTGGCTCTCTGGCTACCAATCCGGCGAGTTGAAATGTCCGCTCTTTGCCGATGTCCTTCCCGCATTTAGAAGGTGGGGAGAGCAGGGGAGGAGAATCGTGATTTACAGCTCGGGCAGTGTGGAGGCGCAGAAGTTGTTGTTTATGTACACGGATGTGACGGGGGATGGGGCTGAGGATGGGGATCTGAGGGGGTTTATCGAGGGGTATTTTGATACGGTTAATGCGGGGATGAAGGGTGAGAGGGGGAGTTATGTGAAGTTTTTTGAGGCTATGAGAGGAGTGGAGGGGAAGAAGATAGAGGATATTAGTAGGTGGTTATTCTGTAGTGATCGTGTGGAGGAGGTTGATGCTGCGAGGGAAGCAGGTATGCAGGCTGTTGTGGTAGTGAGAGAGGGAAATGCTGCTTTGAGTGAGGGGGATAAGGAGAGACACGTTCTGATTGAGAGTTTTAATGAGATTGGTGAGGGTGGGAAGGTGAGGTAGGTATCTAAGTATGGTTGATATGGTTGCGAGTGCTACTAGGACTGGCCCCTAATTTTATGCTCGCATTTGAATACTTGGAAACCTGATGGTGTTTAATCATAGATACTAGAAATAAAGCAATCGATTTCCGCAAATAGATCCACACGTTCTTCCCGCTCACTCAATCTGAATCGAACATCTTCATCCCATTCCCACCCCTATATATCCTCCCCATTTGTAAATCCTTGATTGAAGTGCCGTATCTTCGTCATCAGATGGAGTCATCAAGTTCTATCTGAATGATTACTTCCTGATCCCACTCGAGCAATACAGTGAGTTGCCCTAGCAGACCATATACTTGTTTCGAGTTAGTGACCAGTCCTCAACACGACATCAAAAGATCTCTTCTGTTTCCATAACTTAATGTCAACCGCCTGTATTTACAGTAACTGTCTCTCGTTTCTCAAAGAGTCCGATTCCATTGCCTCCGCCCCCATCAAGCACTAATCCCTTGCCCTCCTAAAAAAGTTACATCCCCTCATATCTCATTGAAGGTGAAAACCATAACTTATTGTTCAAGCTCCAAGCTATTCTTAGGACACACGAATCGTTGAATTGGTTCATGAAGTATGTGTTCGTAGACTAGACAGGCCTGCATCAACCGTCGTGTAGGTGACACAGAATTGCTGACATTGCTTTGTTTATTTACTCGCTTAGTGGAGAGCTGGGACATAATCAGAGGAGAGAGCGAGAAGGCCGTGTCTTGGTTGAAAGCCTGTAGACTCGCAGGAGGTCGCTCATGGATTCAGTCTATACATTGTATAGCTCTAGGAATACCAAAGCACGAGCCCTAATGTTAACGTCGGAGTAGACTACTTTACCAGCTGTGTATGGCACATCGCAGCACGGCTAAGTAATCGTACATAGATCAGATGGTGACATTCACAAGCCAAGAATAGTCGTATTTTCCAGATTCATCACCCTAGCTCGCTATGCTATATATACAAAGATTTCATCGCAGCCTTCCCAATGCTGATGCAGAAACCCGCTAAATGCAATGAGATGACCACCAGTATTTCATTATACGCTTGCCCGAAAACAATATACAAACTCACTTTTCTTCTCCGCAGGCTCTCGTTGTGAGCCAACATAAATACAGACACATCAAACACAAGAGACGGCCTACTCAGCACCAATCAAAGTCTTCGGCAAGAAAGCCCATACAGTTCCCACAACAGCGAGTATGGAGCAGAAGGCAATAAGCACATAATCCAGTATCCTCTCTCTCATACTAATCTCCTTGCCAAAGATCTTTAGATAGAACATGAGGGGCAAGATGACGCAGATAGTGAAGCACAGGGAGCTGCCCATAAATGCCATAATGCTATCGAAAGCCGGGAAGACGATAGCAATGATAACGAATACGACAACGACAAGGACGCGTACGATGACACGCAGGATGCCACGTGTATAACCGGAGAGACCTGTTAGTACTGGTGTATCGGACACGGACAGTGTGTCGAGTCCGCAGATGGCTTCGACTGTTGAGACGATGGGGCGGGCATTGAGAGGTACTTTGGTGAGAGGGATAATGGCGATGAATACACTCATGATGATGGACAACATGCGGGGATAGCCCTTGGTGTTGAGCAAGTTGGCAGTGATCTCCGTCGCCACACCGTCTCCGAACATGAGGATCCCTGCGACAGCCGTGGCACAGTCAAGGACGTAAGTAAAGGTGAAGGTGACTTTGACAGCGCGACCGAATTTTTGTGGATGTCGCATGTCTCGGTAGATGTTGGGAAACACGGAGTGACCGCCCCAAGGAGACATTAGGAGTCCGAAGGAGAGGGGGAGGGTAAGCCAGTTGCTGGGAAATAGGTACGTCTTTGCTGGCTCGCGGAGAGATCCTGGGGTGTGCGGCTTGTAGAATCCATCGATGAAAACAATTGAAACAACTGTGTAGGGTTAGTGACGTGGGCTAGTAAGGAACAGTGCTCGCCTGCTGGAAGATCTAAAAGAAGGGGGAATTGACGTACTGCAGAAACACGAGAAAATGCCAACCACACTACTGAAACTGAGCAGTCTCAATGGAGCAAAGTTCAGAGGTATCAGAAGAATACCACACAGAATCTTCCACTCATTAACACCAACACCGGGAATCAAAAGATCAAGGGTATCCGCAAAGAGAACAACCAATGCAACACACGCAGCCAGCAACTCGAGCATGAACAATACACTCGTGGCTATCCGCGCCTTTTGCCCATATGAGACGTAGGCCAAGTCTGCGAAAGTTATCAGACTGGCATCCACGTCCATACATTTCGCCAGAATCTTAGCCGTGTAGGCTGTAACAAGCGCTGAGAACGCAAGGAATACCATCCCCATTATCCAACCAGCATACTTGATACCCATCGGCAGACTGAGAAGCCCCACGCCAATGAGGACGTTGGTGGAATTGAAGATAGTCTGTGGAAGTGTAGACTGGCCGGCGACAGCGAGAACAATCTTCCCGTCTTGCTCAACTTCCTTGACGAGAAGAGGTTCCCGATCGCCTTCACCATGTATCCTTTGTCTTGCTTGTTGTTGCTTCCATAATTGACCTGCGTGGATCATAGACGATTCGCTCAATCCGGATCGTATTGTCCCATAGGAAGTCCCTGAAGCGCCAGAAAGTGGTGTGGCCAGGTGTGGAGGGATGGCAAACACAGAAGGGCTCCCTCTGATACTACCCTGCACACTTGCCATATCACTCCCAAGTCGCATCTTCTGAGATGCTTTGTGGTCGAGCGGACGCGGCGTAGTAGGATCGGATTCGGGTTCAAACACGGAGTCTTCCTCCACAGCATTCTCGGGACTGCCATGTTCTTGCAGATGTGCCCTGATCAAAGACGTTCTTGGATGGTGTCCGTACTCCTCATCCGTCCTCCCATACTCAATCGTGTCATCTATGCCTTGCTCCTGCTCCCCAGTAAATATGAACGACGGTCGATGCGGGGTAACCTCGAGAAAACCAGCAGCTCGAGTCCAACTTCTGGCAAAGTTCTCGATACTGTTTACACCTCCAACCTGTGCAAGGGAATTTAATCGGAGACCTATTGAGGATCTAGTGAGTCGTGTTAGTGGACTTGTTGTGTGAAGTTCACGGGAGAAATTTACCTGCGTCTTCGAAGATCTCCCTGTTGACCACTTTCCGATCTGTCTCTAGGAGTACCAAGCAAAGCAGAAGATTCCGGCTCCTCTTGGTCCCCAAATCTCACACTCCTGCCTCCGGTGGAGCTCACGGAGCCTCTATGGCCAGCTGAAGTACCATATTGGTATTCGTCCCAGTTCGACGGGTTGCTTCTCGACGTCATGATATCTGCAAAATCGCGATAGACCTATCTATCAAAGTTCCCCAGCTCGAAATATATACAACGAATAAATAAGTCAGAGACAAGAAAGCTCTGCAGAAAGAAGGACGAGTAAAAGGGCCGTGAGGAAAATGTTTCGAGGGCAAGGACTTGGAACGGGCTTTTGGTTCGAGGCTGCTGCAGTTGTGCAGGCTTGTTTGCTCTTATCGCCCCAGTAGGGATTGATTGCCAATTTGAGCAGCGCCACAAAAATCCCCAGGAAATAGCCCGCTTTATGGACAGAACTCGAAGATGCAGGATGGTGTCATTGGCAGATCGAACGTGATCAATGAAGGTCTTGAGATTTGAGAAATTCGACGAGAGGAGTGCATTTCACACCGTTTCTTTACCCTTTCCCGTCACCAAATCTTCAACATGGTAGCGCCTGTCAGGGAAGCTTTAAAGTGAAAAGAGTTTAGCTTTGGAGAGATAAGAAAACTGCAGGCAAAAGATCCCTGCCGCTGGCCACAAAATATTCGATATCCGACGGCAGCCGCACGAAGCGAGAGTGTGCACGGGCTTGGGGGAGATTTGACCGTCGATTTTTCGTCGTCCTTCCCCACAAGTCCTGTATCAAACTTGTTGCTTTGGAACGGCCCATGCCGTGCAGATTCTTCTCCTCGGGGACTCCGATGGTTATTGGATGGAGGAGACTCAGTTGCAAGATCGATGTTTGGTGGCATGACTCGCGAATGCAGAACATTGAAACAGCAGAGCAAGCGAAGGTCATTGTTTACTGCCTGGAGTTGCACGTAATGAATAGTGCTCATTCTGTGCTGACATGTTTTAGAAGTTTGCATATAAGCAATCCTTTTCACAAATTTAGTGCATGGCTGTGTCATGAACTTCTCCAGGGCTACCTGCGTGCTGGACAGGTTAGTGCTGGAGGAGGATGAAGCCACAATCAAGTGGAAATGTATTTAAACCATGGGATTAAAGTACAAAGTTGAAGTTTCTCCATATGCCATAATAAATACAAGCAACGACCCTCTCAGCACTTGATCGGGATTGTCTCGAGAAAACTTCCACACCGCTGCTACTAGCAACAACCTTGACGGGGCGAGTACTACCAGCTTCGCGTCACCGAAAATCCCAATGTCCACGACTCCTTCCAGGCCAACAGCACAGCCCAGGCATCAGATGCACCATGATTCACTTCAGCACAATAGCGAAGTTGTTCCTCGAACCTCCTGACCGCAGTTCCTCTTTTTTGAACGGAATCGTCCGATGCGGCTTGGGAGCATCCTTTCGCCACAAGTAATAGACGAGTTTATTGGATAGCTTTTTCTTGACCTCCACATAACCAAGGCTTCGCATAATGCTCTCCAGCTTCGCCTCATCCAGGTATCTTGAATTCGTAACACAAGAGGCCGGTAAGACAAGGAAGAGACTGGGTAAGAAGCTGGCCAGCCCTTCCGAGGCTGATGCAACTTTGAGAAATTGGAGAGTCCTCAGAAGCATTTTCCCTCTTCCAACCGCATCCGGGACAAAGTTGAGAACCAAAGAGAGACTGATGATATCAAATTGTTCTTTCCCATCAAGAGGAAGAGGTCGCTCCATGAAATTCTGCTGCTTGATACCCTCTGCCTGGCTGTTCAAGTCTATCCTTTCCACATCAAATAAACGTGACTTCGAGCAAGCATTACTGATACTCAAAGCTCCAACTTCCAGCAACCTAGCAGTCTCTCCCTTGGTCGCCAGCCCTTTCAACGCTGGCACAGCAGGCTCAAGCCATTCCATGAGAGTCTTGGAGGAGTCTCCGCCTCGCTCATTAGTCTGGCCCGTGAGACTTGCTCGTTGGTAGCTTTCAATACCGCCTTGTTGCTCGATTTGCTTCGTGATGATTGCAGCTTTGATATCATCTCCATCAGCAAGGGCTTTTGCTTTCTGCTTTTCCAGGGTGTGGTGTGCACGGATGAGAGTCCTGGTTGCTTTTCTGGATATTGATTGTTTTTGAAGCTTGATAGTCGGTGGTCTTCCTTGGGAAAGTGATTTCAACTTTGTCGTTTTCTTCTTGGCCATCTTGGAGTCTCGGGGCTAAATTTGTTTTGCTTCTTGGAAGAAGTTCTCGCCAAAAAAGAAGTTTGATCGATAGTCACGTGGTGCGGAGCCTAAAAGAGCCGATTGCGCTACTGTACCTAACCGAGAGCGAGAAAGAAATCGCACATTCGCAATTGAGCTCTTTCTCATCAACGACAAACGACGACAACCTCGCCAAAATCCTTCACAATGGCCCCAAAGGACTCAAAGAAAGGTACAGTCTCCTTTCTAGCGCATTGAAATATCTCGCCCGGTCTGGTTACATACTTTCTGCAATCCTAATCCAAACTTTTATTTCGAGTCTCGAAAAGTTCGAGTTCGACCACAAATAAAAATGCGACGATGAAAGATTGGAGGAAGGGGTGCGCGCACCAGCAGCAGCAGATATTGCGAGTTCTTCGTCAAGACAAGAGCGATTGCTGATGCGTAAGTTTTACAGGTGCTGCCACCAAGGGCAAGGGAAATAAGCAAGCCAGCGCTGCTTCTAAGGCTGCCTTGAAGGGTGTAAGTGCTACTCAGAATCCTCACTACCCAAGGCGATGCTGATGTACTGTTCAGGTCCACTCCCACAAGGTCCGCAAGGTCCGTCTCTCGACCACCTTCCACCAACCTAAGACCCTCCAACTCTCGCGCGCTCCCAAATACCCACGCAAGTCGGTTCCCCATGAGCCACGCCTCGATGAGCACAAGGTCATCATCCACCCTCTCAACACTGAGAGCGCCATGAAGAAGATCGAGGAGAACAACACTCTCGTCTTCATCGTCGACATCCGTGCCAACAAGCGTCAAATCAAGGAGGCTTTGAAGAAGCTCTATGATATCGACACCATCAAGATCAACACCCTTGTTCGGTAAGTCTCCATTCGTATCAGCCTCTGAATATGTGCTAATATTTGCCATAGCCCTGATGGATCCAAGAAGGCTTTCGCCCGTCTGACCGCTGATGTTGATGCCCTCGACATCGCCGCCACCAAGCTCGCCATTGTCTAATTGTCTGGTCATGATTTGGCGAGGATGGTTGGGAATGGGATACGATATGGTTATGGAAATGCCAGTGAGTCTCGTGGCTACGAACTCTGCGGTTGTCTTTGCATTCAACGGCGTACATGAGTTACATACCAATCGGAATTTGCACGCAAAAGTGCCTTTCAATCCCTTCATGATTCCGCTTCCACAACAACTTCCCTTGATGTGATATAAAAACCTTTGTATTGGGCGATGATATGACCAGCCGATCGCCTAGAGTGAAGTCCATTTCGCCCGTAAGTAATTTCTTTATACACTGCTCAGCCAAGTATATGGCATTACGGAGCTATATTCATACAATGCGCCTGCTCTGGCAAGCTGCGCATAGACATCCAGTCCCCGAGTAACATGATCCTCTCTATCCCATCTATCCCATTCTAACATAGCCCAGCCTTCATCCCTGAGTCCTCATGTTATCGAGATGCTTAATGACTGCAAAATTCGCATCCAAGAACCTATCCACACAGTTCTGCGCGCAGCTCTCCTCGCCCTTCTCCAGCTTGTTGCTTCGGATACTTCCAGTGACGCATTTCTTCCAGCAGATGTCCGTGAGGTTGTGAACGGCTATTCAATAACGCTTGTCAGCAAATGCTCCTTCCATCCCAAACTCAATCTCAATGAGTATAGCTGTCCATCCACTCCTCAGGCTCCGGTTGGTATGGTCGAGACTCCTGGGTATGCCATTGGGAACCACAGGTTCCTGGATGAGATGGTTAAAATACTAAATCTGAGACTCACATTGCTGTATCCTCGCCTTCTGGCTCTCGTTCACGATGAATTGTTGTAGCTCTTGTCTGTCCTTTGGTGTGAGCTTCGAAAGATCGATGTTCTCGAGCGCGGTGTTTGGGGAATCCATCTTTGTTTGTGTCTGTTCCTGTCTGTCGCGAGTAGATGTACGAATGGGTGGTATGGAGGAATGTTCTGGTTGGGTTGTGTTGTATAGTAATTTGTGTTTTGTTAAGGTAAATTTTGAGCTTGAGCTCGCGAAAACGATGATGCGCTGGGCCAGGCAAGCGTGGATTGTGATTGGCGGGATGGAGACTCACGTCAACGAGACTGGACTTCTGATAGATTTTCGAACTCTATTTTCTTTACAACCTTCTAAATTTTGTGTCTTTGAATTTGGCTTATTCCGTTCGCAAGGGCCTCGAATCTTATGCTTGTTCAATACTGCTTCGTCCTTTCATGCTTTCGTTGCCCTATTTCGTTCTGTTTCCTTTCTCTGCCATGTTTGTGAATGTTGATACTCCAGTGAGAATAACTTCTATGAGAAAGTTTCGATTCTGCAATTCTGGGGAAAGGTTTTCTTGGGGCTCAAGTGCCAAAATGCATATCGACAGCAGGATATGCGTGATAGTGAAGGCCTGAGGAATACCACCAATAGCGATTCTATTTCCGTATTTCCGGTGGACTTCTAACAAGTCCCAGAAGCAGAATGCAAATGCCAAGTAGTACGTAAGCTCAAGAATGGCATATATAGAAGGATAAGTTAGCCATACCCCCATCAAACAAACTCTCAATCCTCTCAATGTCCTCAGTCATCATGGAACACTCAACCCAATACCAACTCGACTCATTTACAACTCTCAACGTCGTCTCATCAGGGACTCCATCCCTCACAACACCCTCCCTCATCTTCCTCCACTTTTGGGGTGGCTCCTCCCGGAAATTTAAACCCCTTATAACGTCTCTAGAAGCTCAAAATCATACTCTCAGCATCGACTTCCGTGGATGGGTTTCTCCACCGGCCCTCTAGATCCATCGGCCTACTCAATCAACACATTCGCCTCCGACATTGAGACCCTCCTCCCGAAACTCTTCATCCAAGATTTCATCATAGTAGGGCACTCTATGGGCCGGAAAGTAGCACAGCTCATAGCAGGACGAAATCGATTCCCTAGACTTAAAGGTGTCATCCTCGTCGCGCCTGCTCCACCAACACCGCTTGAGCTGCCCAAGGAGATGAGAGAGCAGCAAAGGACTGCATATTGTACTGCTGAGTCCGCCGAGTTTGCTGTACGAAATGTGCTCTGCTCTTGTAATCCTCCACTGCCTGACAGTACAGTCATTTTACTCGTAAAAGATATTTTCAAGGGCAGTATATTCGCGAGAGAGGCATGGCCAAGTTATGGGATGGCAGAAGATATTGTGGCTGCAGCGAGGAATATAGACGTGCCTGTTCTTGTGGTTGCCGGAAGTCTGGATCGAGTGGAACCGATTGAGAGGTTGAGGAGCGAGGTATTTGGGAACATCAAGGGAGCGATTGTGGTTGTTGTGGAAGGGTCCGGTCATCTCTTGATGGTAGAGAGACCAGGGGTGGTGGCGGGTTATGTGGAGAGGTTCTCGGAGCAAGTTACTGCTAGGATAGATGTGAGATATGTATGTAGAGCAGGATAGCCAGATATGTTTATGCTGAATATCTGCGTGAGTTTGGAGACTTCCAAGACATAGCGCTCCTACATATATATGTCGCAGATGTATGGTCTCCCCAATCAAATTCACCTCACCCTTCACGATCAAGCACCATTTGATTATCAATATGAAAAGCACATTTCATACACCACACTAGCAAGTTTCATGTTTATCATTTATCATAGCGGAGTACTTGTACCACGTGTGTAACATCCAGCACTCAAGTAGAACTATGCCCTTAGCTTTTGTCCTATCCTCGATCATTCATTAATCGCAATCTTGCCAAATATACATCCTACAAGTACACATGATCGAACAACTTTTGTATAATACCACAAGCGCATATCTAGTCAGATGGCGAGTCAGACTCCGAATCAAGTTCTCTGAACAGAGTAAACTCGAACTTCCCATCAACCGTATCCTGAATGCTCTGTCGTATCATCTTCTCCTGACGTTCGCTGATAGCATTCTCGGCCCTTTGGTTCATGACTGATAGTAGCAGACCTCGATTAGTGTCTTTGAGAGTAGAGACGTAGCCATGCATTGCACGGTGTGAGAATGATGTGACGGCGTGGATGTTGAGACTGCGTAATTTGGGGAGCTGAGAAAGACCATGCCAAACAGCATCGTTAACATCGTATCCACTGAAGAATACCTCTTCAAGTTCTTTGAGGTTTGCGGCGAGGTTCAGAATCTCATCTGTACAGAAGTAATCAGAGGTAGAAAGAAGATCCAGATATTTCAGGTTTCTCAATCGACAGATGGAGGAAACGAGAACATCGATGTCGTCACGGAATGCGGTCTCAGCGTCTGCTCTCAGCTCCAAAGACTCGAGGGATGTTTGATGTGACAAGGCTCTGTGGAAATCTTGATTACCAGCCAGTGAATATCCAACGACTTGCAACTTCTTGAGTCTGATATTGTTTTTCAGGCAGACGTGAGTAAGGATCTTAGGACCACTGATAAAGTTCCGGAGAAGAAGCTCGTGAAGTCCTTCACAATGACCCAACCAAGTAATGACTTCCAGGAAGACATCGTTCTCCGTGGCTTCCAAGTCAACTGCTCCGTTCGAGTCAGAAAGCTCAAGACTCTCAAGTGCAGTGCAGCCTTGTAGAAAGGACAGGCTTTTGACGGCATCTGATCTCAACCCATCCATCTTCAACTTCTTCAGCGATTTGGCGTGATGATTCAGCGAAAGTAGAGTCTCCGGTCCCAAGGCACCAGCACTGAGCGCAGCAAAGGATCGAAGAGAGTTGGCACGGAGTCCACCAAAGAATGATGCCAGGTCGTGGTCAGTGTCATTCCTGAAACAGGTGAAGAATGTCAAGTCGTCGAAATTATAACAGCTCTCCAAAATAGCTTCTGCAACGCTCTTGTCGAGAGCAGCACCATCCCATAATGTCATGCTCTTCAGCTTCGACAGGCGGCTAATCCAATTGGCGAGAGCAGAAGTACGAATATTGCCTGACAAGTCGTCGACAGCGACCGTTGTTCTGTTTTCACTCGCTGCTTGGCTCACAAAGCTGGTAATAGATTCCCCAACCAATTCAAGAACGTTGGCGACATCCAGTTTCTTGAATGATGCCTTAGCTCCTCTCATCTTCTGCTTCATCGGCGTTTCTTGGGATTTCAAGAACTGTGTCATGTCGCCCGCGAAGAAGTTGTCCAATGCCTTGTCTCGGAATTGAGGATCCTCGAGCAGGTCGGAGAGGTTTCTGAGGTCAAGGGATCGGATATATAGACAATATGGATAGGCCGTGTTTCCGAGACTCGATCGAATGATAGACTTCCATAGCAATGCCCACTTGAGCAGTGTTGTCGTTTGCGCCTCAAGTCGGCCTTGGAAGGTATCGTTTTGAGTTAGGTCAGCGTCATTGCCTTCACTGCTGATAATACTTGACTGGAGGTGGATTCTACGATTGTTAGAATGGCCCTTCGCTTCCAAAACGCTATACGCACCTGTAGAGCCAGAGAAGCGCCGGCTGGACCAGATTCTTCCCTGCCAAGGCGCAGTTGAAGAGGGTGTGGAAGTCTTGTAACTTGGATACTTCCTCACAAACCAGGTACAAAACATCGGCTGGAAGCTCAATCATGGTGATTTAATGATGAATGAAGAGTCTGAATAATTTTGTTCCAAAACAACAAACATGAATAGGCAGAGACTTGATGTCCCGTGCCGTAATATATGCTGATCGTGATGGAGGTGGGTTGCCTGCAGTGGGATATTTACTGAACCCCGCAGCGCGTCATGATTGGGGACGCGACGGGAGCTCGGGCCACATCGAAATTCCCCAAGTCATGAATTCCATCTTCGACACTGAACGCCAATTTGGAGTTCAAGCATGTATTCCAAACATGTTCGTTACGGACTCATCGCATTTGATCGAGGGATGTCATAAGTGCTGAGTACACTTGTCATAATCTCGATCATGGCGATCCTTAGCTTTACTCTCAACCCCGAGTCCCTGGACAAGCTTCACAGTGCTCTGGCATGCCTGTCGAAGTTCTCAGAGGCTGTGTCTATAGAGGCATCTCATGACAAGGTCTGTATATTTCATTTCTATCCCGAGGCGAGTGCTGATTGCTGGTTCAGCTCGTTTTGACAGCTCTCAACTCTTCCAAATCAGCATATGCATCCTTCACATTAGGGAGCAAGTTCTTTTTAAAGTACCTTTACAAGCCTGTGAGAACCGCGGGATCTCTACCAAAAGACAAATTCACATGTAGGATATATAATAAGGTAGGATGTCAACGGTCATCTCATAGGTCACAGCTAATGGTATGAGGCCTTATTGTCTGTTTTCAAAGGCCGCACAGTCGATCCTACAAGAGAGAAGGACACCGCGGTTGAGAAATGCAATGTGTCTGTTGAAGATGGCGAAGGCCAAACCAAGAGTCGTTTTGTGATCAAAATGATTTGCAGACATGGTATGTCATCTGTATTGAAAGGTTAGGCAACTATTGACACGTTCAGGCGTTCTCAAGACTTACCGTCTGACGTTCGAAGCTGTTGCGCCTATGCATGCTCTGTTCGTCAAGGAGAGTGCCAATAATAGCTGGTCAATCTCTTCTCGGACCCTCAGGGAGTTTGTTGAGCATTTCGGACCTGGGACTGAGCAGCTAGACATCTACTCTGAAGATGGTAGGGTCAGCTTCACCAGCTACACAGAGAAGATCATGTCAGGAAGTGGTAGGTTTGTTGTTAAGTTGCTAGAGTCTTACTGATATACTGCTAGAAATACTGAAACAGCCATTACATACTACAATTGCTGTGGACACTCTTGAATTTGGCGAGTTTTCCGTTGAGGAGAAGCTTCACATTGTCATCAGTGTCAAGGATTTCAAAGCCATTGTTGCACATTCAGGCATATCAAACACTATGGTTAAGGCATTGTATTCGCACCCAGCAAGTCCAATGCAGCTATCATATAGCGAGGATGGTATATTGAGCGAGTTCATTCTTATGACTATTGGTGATTCGAGGGGTGCTTCAGCCACACCAGCGCCGAACGCCTCTAGAGCCACCTCGAAGAGACCAGCGTCAAGGCAGCCTTTGGAGGCGACCTCTAGCTCCAAGAGAGCAGCAACCTCGATGCCTCCACCACCAACTAGTGCTGCTCCGAGTCGAGCTCGTGAGGCAAGCAGAGTTTCCAGACCATCTCCTCCTCCACCGCAGCCTAGTGTTCAGTCGCAGTCGCTGTTCCTACCAGCGGATGATGATGATAGGCAGTGGGATCCATCGAATTATGATGACGACGACGAGCCGCTGCTCTGGGACCAGGGTGACGGAAAGGTAAAAATTCTTGATTCCTGCAAGCTCCCTTATGCTAAATTCTTCCAGAACTCGTTGACTATGAATTCCGGACCAGAGGCCTCCAATAATCAAGGCCCAGGTGAAAATGGAGCTTCATATCCCGAACCAACACAGCGTTTGGCGCCAACACAGAGGCTATCAGAAGTATGCTTCCTGTATTCTATGCGAGGCATTATAACTAACAGCCCTAGGTCAATAAACTCGGATTGTTCGACTGAACTCTGATGAGACCCGAGACCAAACATTTCCTGGTTCCCAGAACGAGACATAGCATTGCAATACACCAGGAGGAAGAACATTGCTGATCTACTTAGGAACAGCTGATGGATCTTTGGCCTGGGCCACGATCCTAGGCACGCAGATGAAGCAATAGCTCAGCTAGTGATACAAACCCAACTAGAAGCGCATCCCGCTCCGATACTAGATATTTTACTGCCAGGTGGTAGATATTGTGAAGAAGCAATGATATTCCACCTGCCCTTGACGTCTCCGTTCGTGGTACTTGGTCCGCAGTTGCCATGCTCACCCCAACCCCAGGCGAGAACCTTTCCATCATTTGTGAGTCCCAACGCATGCTCACTGCCAACTGAAATTTGTGATAGTGGTGGGAGCTCGGAAGGAGGCAGCTGTCCATGATCATCTCGTCCCCAAAAGTGTAAGGTTCCGTCCTGTTGCAAGAGAAATATGCTGCCCCAGGTCGCACCGACATCTTTCCACCCAGGAACAGCTTGTGGTGCCGAAGATCTAATATGCCACTTGTCGGACCCCAGAACAACATGTTTCCCAGTCTCAGGCTCACCAAGCAGGTATGTGAATTCTCGGCCACAAACTGCTCGAACAACCTTGAAATCCAGTCCAGTAAACTTCCGCGGTTCGTAGACAATGCCTTCAGGTTGACTTATCTGACCTTTTCGTCCACTCCCCCATCCATAGACATCTCCATTGCTCAGAACAGCAACAACATGGCTTACTGAAGCTGCCAGATCTACGACTTCGAGACCTTCCGGTGGAAATTCTTTGATCAGCTGCGCTTTTGATGAACGAAATAGAAGCTGTCCCAGACCAAGCTCCCCCTTGTTTCCAATTCCAAACGAGAATACCTTCGTAGCACGGTCATCTTCACCTCGTTGGACGATAATAGATGCTTCCCATGTTGCAGCACATAAAACGACCTCAGGCTTGGTTTCTTCAGTTTCGAGCCGCACTTGATGAAAATGGGCGTCTAGGACTTTCTGGGTCGGTAGAAGACCGCATGCGCCAGTAGTATAATCTCCAGAGCAGTAAAGATTTCCAGATGCTAGCAGTAGCGTATGGTTTCCTCCAGCTCTGACTTGAGTGGCGTGGGAGATAGTAGTGTCGGGATGGAAAAGGACCTGCTTAGGGACCGAGACGTCTTCTTTATGTCCAATTCCAAGCTGACCCGACCCGTTGGATCCGAGAGCATAGATCACAGGCATTATCGTATTCTGCTGCTTTTCCAAGCATGTTTGTTGTCTTTGTTTGAATTCAACCAGGGAGAATCCAGTCTATTATCACGTGACAGTACAATATGCGCTAGGTCGTGTGAGGAATGGTCGGTCTCCCTAGCGCACACAGCCGACTTTCTCCAAATTTCAATTCTTGCGAACTTTTCCTCGACCAAGCAACTCGACAACGACATCGACAACCGACCGCCACGATGCCTTCCTCGTACGTCGCCCATACATCCTATTCCCTCGAAGAAGAACCATGAATAAGGCGTCGAATGTGTTGGATTCAGTCTAGTCGGTGTCCCCTCGCTGGAGCACAATTGTATCGAAAGTCAGCTCCAGAGTGACCGATGCATGGCTCGCAGCTCGATTCTTCCTGAGCTTCTCCCTCATTGATCTAGGTCTCAACCTGTATCATGAGAGATGTAGCACGGGGTATTGAGGCTGAAGATCTACTTCTCCTTTAAATCTATTGCCGCGCACAACCAGTACATATGCTTCACCCACAGGCTACTTCACGGTTGATCAATGCGTTGTGCATCTCTCCTGGACTTTGTCCGGGGTATTGTTGGATGAGATCCAGGGTCGATTGGTGCAACCATCCTACAGTCCTTGCGGATTGCTAAAGCGGTATAACCATCGAGCCTCTCACCGATCAAAAACATACCTTCGAGTTAGCCATCTGCGAGAATGCTGCGCTTCAGCTGCAATTCTCATTCGGCGCTCTAATTCATACATTTAATTGTATGCTGGACACAAGACTGACCTGCAAAATAGAAGCGTCCCCACCAACGACCAGATTCTCGTCCCAGAGACCCTTCTCAAGAAGCGCAAGTCCCAGGAAAAGGCCCGCGAGGAGCGCACTGCTGAGCTCGAGAAGAAGAAGAATGTTCGTCAAATCTTTCATAGATATACACTGGGTGGCATTGTCGGACTTATATGATGCATAACACCATTTTTGCGACTAGACACCTAGGTGTCGATGCTGTCGCCAATTAACCATCTTTCGGGTCTGAACTTTGTCACCGATGCTGCCCTGTGTATATTGAGATTGTGTTTGCCCTCATCGCTAACCTTCTCAATATAGGCCCAGAAGGAGAAGCGTGGTGTCATCTTCAAGCGTGCCGAGAAGTACGTCAAGGAGTACCGTGACCAAGAGCGTGAGAAGATCCGTCTTCAACGTTTGGCCAAGCAGGAGGGTACATTCTATATCCCTGCTGAGGACAAGTTGGTCTTCGTTGTCCGTATCAAGGGGTAAGCTTCACATGATACTGTTCTTTGTAGCCCTGCTAACAGTTTCTAGTATCAACAAGATCGCACCAAAGCCCCGCAAGATCCTCCAACTTCTCCGTCTTCTCCAGATCAACAATGGTGTCTTTGTTCGCATGACTAAGGCCACTCTTGAGATGTTGAAGGTTGTCGAGCCATGGATCGCCTATGGTTACCCCAACTTGAAGACTGTCCGTGAGCTCATCTACAAGCGTGGATACGGAAAGGTCAACAAGCAGCGCATTGCTCTGACCGACAACTCCATCATCGAGACCAACCTGGGCAAGTACGGCATCGTCTGCATGGAGGACTTGATCCACGAGATCTTTACCGTCGGCCCCAACTTCAAGCAAGCCGCCAACTTCCTCTGGCCATTCAAGCTCAGCAACCCAACTGGTGGATTCCGCACTCGCAAGTTCAGACATTTCGTGGAGGGGGGAGATCTTGGAAACAGAGGTATGTTGTATCTCGGATAGTTCTAGGCCGCATCCCCGCTCTTCCTCTTGTGGTCAGTCAAATGAATTATGCTAACGAAAGGGGGAAAAAATAGAGGAGAAAATTAATTCTCTTGTTCGCCAGATGAATTAGACTTCTGGTTGGACGGATAAACTGTGGATGATACCAAAGTGCTTGGGGTTATCTGCTGGATTTGGCAGTTTGGCATGCGCGGCGTTTGATGAACAAAAATGAAATGACTTGCAAAAGCAAAATCTTGCCTTCGTGAGCTAAATTAAGCGAGAACCCCTCGAAAAGTCAAACACATTTTTCGATCTATTATTGCTCAACATTGAAATTTGACAATGTATTGGTGTTTAGATGAGACCCATGAATACTACCCCTCGATTTTTGTTTTGTCCCCCTAGGGACCCGGATGATGTTGATATTGCTCACAATCCGTAAACTCTCTTTGATGTTCTGTGTTTTTCGTGGACATTGTTCGCCCAGCGTCACAAGTATCACCAAGACCTTTCCAGATCCATAGAAGAACTCAGAAAATTCAAATATAATAGAAGGATTCCATTTAGGCCTTGATATCAAAGCTGGTTCCACATCCACAGCTACTTGTAGCCAACGGATTATCCACAATCTTGAACTGGCTCCCAATCAACTCCATCGTATAATCAACCTTACTACCCTTCAGCACCTCCAAACTCGGTCCATCCATGACAACCTTGGGCCCAGACCCATCATCTGCTGCAAACACCGTGTCGTCCTCATCCAACTTCTCCTTCTTCCCTTCTGGATCTGTTGGCGACGAGGGGGGCATCGCTTCGGAGTTGCTTGAAGATGTATTCGATGCTGGCGATGACTCTTCCTGTAGAGAACTGGAGTTGAAAGGTGGGAGTGTGGTGAGAGACATGAGGTATTGAAAGCCATGACAACCGCCACTTTCGACAGATATCCTGAGAGCTAGATTCGGGTTTGAGTCTTTGGACATGATTTCTTTCAGACGCTGCAGGGACAATTAGCTCTTAACACATCATAATAGGATATGATAGGACATACATTCGACGCCCGAGGGGTAATCTCGATTTGCATGGGATTGCCATCATCGTCATCTCGGGGGTTGAAAATAGCTGTTGTCGCTTGCCGTTTAGACGACGATGTGAAAGCCCTCCTTGTTGTAATTTCCTTCTGCGATGACAGGCGAACATGGGCAGCTCTGCTTCGGGTGTGGTATGGAGCACTTGGAAGGAGGAAGTCTAAGACCGGAGAGCTGGTGCGGATGTATCGTTGAGGGGCGAGTTGGAGGAAAGCTCGAGCGGCGGAGAAGGGAGTCGGAGTCGCAACCTGTGAACAGCTTCTAGTGATACACCGAGAAGCCATGATTATTGTGAAAGAGAGCGCGGGAGAGCCCAACAGAAGCTCGACGGTAGGACGTGGGGGCGGGGATAGAACGAATATCGTGACTGATTCAGGACTTTTTGATATCAGCGTCGGCGATTTCCAGGAAGGAAAGTACAGAAGCTGACCCCTGTAGTCACGTGCCAATGCTTGAACTGCATGGGCAAAATCTTTGTCACTTCACTGATTGCGGTATTGAATTCTTGTGTTTGTTTTTCGGCTTTCGGTTCTCTGGATTTAACAGCTGTAAGTCCATCGTGAATTGCATCATTGACGTCAACATCAACAATCATTTGGATTGGTAATACAGTAGGTAGGTGTCGCCGGCCTCTGTTGAAAGCGGAGCACAGTCGGTCGGCTGCATTGCGGGACGCGAAGTAGCGAGAGATTGTCTGATTGTGTAATCATCCGCTATTGTGATGTTCGTCTGATTTCCTCCAATGAAAGTTGTCCCAGCGTATCGCATTCCTGCCATTTTGGCGATGAAATGCGAGAATAGCATCAAACTGCCTAGTTTTGCATCGAACGACGCGGGTGCGTTTTTTGAGTATATAAGGTAGGTGGCCTCTCTTCAAGTTCTCTCTCATTTCCATATCCATTCATCACATCTTCAATCTATCAAATAATCAATCAAACAATCCAACAATACAACACTTTATCAGTTGTTCCCTCGTCCTGTTAAATCTATCCACTATCAAGACAGACAAGCACATCTTCACAATGGTCAGCACCAAGGATATCCGCAAGTCCAATGCGGCTTTCAAGTCCTCCGATCAAGCTTCTGGTCTTGTTGCCGTCTTCGTCGGAGCAACTTCAGGCATTGGGATGGGCTCTCTGAAGCAATTCGCAAAGAACGCCAAAGCACCCAAGATATATATCCTCGGGCGATCATCAAGAGCCGCAACTCCTCTTCTCGACGAGATCAAGGCGTCGAATCCCGAAGGAAGCTACGAATTCATTGAAACGGAAATTTCCCTCATCAAGAATGTCGACAAGGCATGTGATGAGATCAAGTCAAAGGAGAAGAAAGTCGATCTAGTATTCACGTCACCTGGATATTTGGCTTTTGGGGGACGCTTAGGTATGTTGCACTCCTCCTAAGTCATAAATCAAGATTCTGACAAATATTTAAGAAAGCGAAGAGGGAATCGACATACCCCATGCACTTCGCTACTACTCGCGCCTTCGCTTCATCTACAACCTCCTCCCACTTCTGAAAGCCAGTCCCCTACCTCGAGTGATATCCATCTTAGCCGGAGGTCAAGAAGCAGCTATCGATGTCCATGATCTCGAGGTGAAGAATAACTTCACATTCATCAAGGCTGCCGAAAACGGCACCACTCAGACGACACTCGCCTTCGAGGAACTCGCCAAGTCAAATCCAACCATTACCTTCATCCACAAGTATCCAGGGTTTGTGAATTCCGGCGTCCTAGACCGTCTCCTGGCTTCGGCTTCTGGGCTCTACACTATTCCCGCTACAGTAGGACGTTGGTTGATATTGCCAGTCGTCAACCTTTTCTCGATGACTGTGGACGAAGCTGGAGAGCGTGTGCTATTTCTTGCAACGAGTTCGAGGTACCCTGCTTCGAAGACAGCGAGCTCAGCTGGTGTACCTTTACAGCCTGGGATGAAAGTTGCGGAGGCGTCGGTGGAAAACGATGGTATTAGCAATGGTGTCTACAGACTGGGTCCTAATGATGAGAGTGCGAAGGAATCGCCGGTCTTGCCTGGTTACCGTTCGGATGGGGTGGATACCCTTGTATGGGAATCGACACAGGCTGTCTGGGAAAAGGCATTGGCAAGGTCGACGTGATTGAAGGACTGAAAGCGGCAGTCAGAATTTGGAGCGCTTGATGTATAATACTTAGTTGGTGTCACCCTTAGCGAAATTGACGTTGGATGTCTACGGTTTAATTCTGTTAATACTGCAAGTGGGCATTTGGTCCGGGGACATAAATTTGAACATCCTTTAGACATATTTTCTCCTGATACGTATCTAAACAGTACCGATATCATACGGTCATTGCTATCGCGCATGCCACTTGCTTTGTCTCTATTGTTCTGGTATCTTCGCTTTGGCCACAAGTCGTTCCTCCCTGGATGATCCACCGAGTGAGAGTGAGGCAAGTATCAGACGCTGTTTGAACAATGAAGCATCAAAGCATGTAGCATATGTATGTCTCTAGGCTTAGTTCGAGCTATTGGAGAATTCTTGAAAGCAAATCGTACATAAATGACAGTCATTCTGTGCTTTTGAGCCTCAGCTTACTGGTTTATCTGAAGCAACACAAAACTAGTCGATCCTGTACGATCAGTGGTCCATAATGAATGTACCAAAAAAAAACCGGGTCTCAATGTATTCAAGAAGGTTACCAAGGCCTGAGATTCCCTTGTGGCTAATGGAAGATTATGAAATGCATGCTAAACTTTCGAAACATATGTCAGAATATGATCACTGGCTGGTGTGACAGAAAAGATCGTCACGATCGTGCGGTGAATGGTAATTTGCCTTCGAATGGTTCCCAACTCGTCTAGACGCCATTTGACTTACTGGGCTACTATTACAGACCAGACACATGGGTTTATGTTTATTAGGGTATTCATCCATGGAACAGGAACCATTTTGGACACAATTTATGTTATCGCAAGTCTCAATTATGTCTTCTGCATACACAAAAGGCTGCTTGTTCCTCGTATTGACGGTGCATTCACAACTTTAACGGCTTACTTGTCAGCCTGGGGAACGATCTTGTCCCTCTTTGCCGCCAGCCACATGTCATTTCGGTTTCGTTTTCTGGCCAATGAAGATTCACCAACAAAGAGCAAGTCTGGTAGACTCCCAGTTTCATTCGGATGTCCCGAACACGGATACTCGAGAGCAATAATTTGTACGTGTAAAGGGATTCGTGTGCCTCTTGAGCTCGTTTGTCCTCGCTTAATATGCACCTGTTGAAACAGGTCAGCGATCAAATACAGTAGACGCAGCAACTCGGTAGCTGAACCTCCATTGGGATCCTTGCAGGAAACCCAAAGGACCTGAGAGCTGAAAAAGCAACAAAGTATATGCTGTGTTACGTATACTCGGGACAGGTCGTGCAGTCGGTCGGTTACACTGCTTTTTTATGACGCGAGATTAGCCGGAGCCGCCATGCTGGTCATCGTCTAATTTTTCATGCTGAGTGGTTTCTAGCTCTTTTGTAGCACTCAGGTCCCTTCAAATGACTCTATCTACAGTGCCAAGATGCCATATTCTGTCTTTAACATCTCATTGTCTCATTCGCTTATCTTCACCGGGCGGCTCGTCAACAATGGCGCACCTTTCCCCTGATCCAGACCTATCCCGCATATCTGATCGAGCGTGACTCAGCCAATAGCATTGGAATGGATAGATGTATCATTATTTGGGTGTGTATGGCCCTGTCTTGGGCCAAATGTCGGTCAAGCACTGCGCCACCCAACTACATGTAGGCGCGAGTACGCATTTGACCATGACTGCGCCAGTTGAGGGGTCAACACATGCAAACTCACCCCCTGAATGATGCTCCAAAAGCCTTTTCGGACCTGTGGGAGCAGATTCTGCCCCTGCTCGTTTGTTTTTCTGCATGCGGTTGTACTTAAACAAGACATTAGTTGCTGCGAATGCAGCTCGACGTGGCATTTGCGCCGGTTCCAGGCCCAAACCAACATTTATATACCTTGGCATGGCACCCTATCGATGATGTTGTCGTCATACCGTTGGTTCGTCCATTGAGATTGGTGCGGCTTTCGAACCTGGAATTCGCAATACACGCGTGAATTCCCGAGAACCGCGGCCAAATATGTTGCACGCGATCCTATGGACTGGCTTGGGTCGATAGCAGAACTGTGATCGAATTTGCAGCCGCGATAGGTCGATATGAATAGAGACCGAGTCATGTTGTGCAGATTTTCTTCCAAATGTTGGCTGTCGCGGATAAGCGGGCGCGAGCATCGAGGATCAGGTGTCCTTCCACACGTCTCGATACTGGGCCCATTTTCGAAAACCTACGTATGCAGATCAGCGCTTTAGATCTCACAAGTCAATCTGGTTACATACCAAGTTTCAAGAAACCGTCTGCTTCTTCGCCAATCCCATCAGCGAACATCCTCTTCATCCCCTGCTCATGTAGAGTTTCAACACAGGCGTCAAGAAGGCCGCCCATCAACAGGTCTCGCAGATTTGCTATTGATATGTCAGTTCGTGAATTCCAGCACACGAAAGGAAGTGTTGTGTGAGATGAAACGTAGAATAGGCTATCGGGAGATGGGAAATGTCCTCTTGTCTGCGAGATACCTCCTTGCAAACTCCTCTTCGCGAATACCCAGGGTTTATCTCGCTACTTCAACTTGTATGTCTTCTATAAACCAAAATTACTCACGATGTACACATATACACGCAACACCTCCTACATCATTGCCTATCTGCCCTGCCCATGGCAGGTTCGTCGAGATTTGGGAGGCGCAGGAAGGTGTGTAAGTCAGAGCAGTGGCAACCATCGCATTGTCTGCAAAGCCCAATATCACATCTTTGACATTTGGTCCATTCATGAGAGCTAGGTACTGGTCGAACCAGCCCATCCTTGCCTGCTCAAAACATGTCTTCGCCACAAGTTCAAGGACCTGGCCCATATCTGCTTGTGTACATGCTCTGTAGCTAGGTGTTGTGGGTGGAAATGGATCCTCTTTGTAGCGCCATTCGGGGAAGTTCAATATCAAATCATGAATAATCAGTCCTTGACCGGCAATCTCTCTGTTTAGCTGCCACCCTCTGCGACGAAACCAAGCATCATTCAGTGGTATATCGAGTGGGGGACCGTAGAGGATACGAGGAAACGTACTTCCGAGCTGCAAACGAACGACGCCTCGGGTTTTCTTGAATTCACTGAGAGCATGGCTGTGGAGACTCAATCCAATCCCCTGTTGTCGGCTCGCAGGCTTGACATAGAGGAAAGCCACCGATGCTATCAATCGTTCTCCCTCTTGATCCGCATAGGAGAGGTATGTAGCACAGAATCCGAGGATATCCCCAGGACCATTGTCACGAACGACTGCTTAACGAGTTACCATGATGGTACTTGGTTAACTCGGGGATTGGACAGGCTCTGCAAAGAAACGTCGATTCCAATGGAAGCAAGTGGGAAACTGATTGGTACTTACTATAATGTTTGGCATAGCCAGGACGGCGCAAAAGAGACGCTAGAGTGTGCTGGTTCAAGGCAAACCGACTGCTCACACAGTCTGTCCATAGATCCAAAACCCGGGACAAATCTCTTGCCTCATTCCATTGCTCAACAGGCCACAGCCTAGGCTGCTGAGAGCTGGAAATGGAGAACTCACCCAGTCCACCAGCTTGTGGGTGAAGATTTTCGCCGAAAACCAATGCTGCTACGGCTTCAAGAGCTGGCGGCGAGTACCCAGAAGCTTGCACGATCGTTGGAAACGGGCCGGGGTTGTCGGTATCTATCGTGTTGTTGCAAATGACAATGATGCAGGGTTTATTATCACTGACAGCAAAAGTAGTATCGGCAATTTTGAGCTGCAGTGGCAGGTTGGGCGAGACAACAAAGCAAAGGACAATTACATGACCCCTTTTGATAAATCCTAGATGTGTTGATGTTATTCCATTTCTATGGGGATTAATCAGCAGATGATATGATGGAGAAGGAGATCAAATCTCATGACCTTGAGGTGTATGGCACGTGTCGAACTCTTGGGTGCCTCCTGGCAAGTGCTTGACCAAATGGCTCGAACGGGTCACTGGTGTCTGTGGGATCCTGACTGATAGGAACCACAACCGGACTTAAAAGTATTATTACATCCGTCTCTTGTAGAGCCCTGATGTAACCAAGCCAGTCTGGCAAGTCTCTTGAGATAATCGCAAGGCTACGTCTGTTTGGATCCAGGAAGGCAGGGGGTCTGTGATGAGGCGAAGAAGGTGCTTCAGAATCGATGCTCCTAGTAATGTTGAGATTCGGACGAACACGAGGAGTAATATGCAGTCTAGCTTACATCTCATCCGTCTCCTCTGCAGCGGAGGCATTGTGTTGTTGATTAGACATATTCAAAGAACAATAACGAGAAATATGCTATCAATACAAGAAGTCAGCTTGATACAACGAGAGGGCTGCAATCGTGCCTCACTGTGAAACTATCTTAATAACGAATATTATCTGGGTGTGGTATTCTAAGTGTCTAGAAATCGTCCCAACGAGGGCAGCTTTCCGACAGCATGGCTTCGCTGGTCTATTCTCGGGTATGGCGTGCTGGGATTTGGCTGGGCGTGGACATCAGATTTGCCTCGAAATTCTCAGATGCGAATTCTTTGTGAAAAAACCAAATTACTCTGGCAAATCGGACTCAATATCGGTCCTCAAAATCTGACAGGCTGCGGAACACGAGAGCTTGCAACTGGGGCCTGGGCTCGATCGCGGCTGCAGGAAATGGAGACTACAAGCTGCATACTTAAGAGCTCCTTCTGTCAACCTAGGTCTCAGGGGTTGTCATAGGTCGTATGCGCTGAGCATCTACCTAGCAGAATATTGACTTTCGAGGTAGGATATTGGGCCCGACTACTCGTAGCTCCTACTCTGTAGATCCAGCAAATTTTCTCCCATTCCAATTTCTGCTGAAGGACTAGTAGATGGCAACCTAGTGTTCGAATTCCCAAATCATCTGCTCGCATATTTAGGCTTGTTTGTGTAACGAATGCAGAAGCCCCTGGTAAATAGGCACACACACTGGCCGCCATGCCTGCAAAGCTGGCTTTGCAGAAGCAGCACAGCAAGGATCGCCATGGAACCATGTTCATGTGGAAGCGTCATTGACCTGGATGCGCAATAGTTTGTCAAAACCATTTAGAGCAATTCATCCTCCTAAGCTCATAGCCGAGCGAACGGCAAGCGGCAATTTTGCCGGGCTTGAGGCTTATCTTCCAAACGCATGGCTGGCGATCTTGCTCATTTCCCATCAGAAAAAGCACACTCGCTGAAGATGGTCACACAGCGTACGGTGGCTGTGCTCTGGGCTGCTTCTGGCGTCAATGTCGCGGATCAAGCACCTGATTGCTCCATGAGCCGAGAATGCATTAGGCATCTCCAAAGTCGGTGGGAGTCCCGGATGACAGTTCTGACAGCCTCCACAAAAATGGATCTGTCCCTGGACCCAGCGTCTTGGTGGAAGAAAATAATGAAGCCTCGAAGCCTCGAAGCCTCAAGGTTCCGTATGGCCTCGCGAAAGGCCTCGCGAAAGGCCGACCAGAACTAGACGGCGGGGCAATGATACATATGCTGGCAGCACAGGTAATTGACAACCATGACCTGGATCGTGCAGAAGTAAACGATAAGTAGATACTCCATCAAAGATATGGGGTCAACGGGGTCTGCAACGTACCAATTGTTTACAGAAGCTTCTATTTCTTAGTTTCCAGTGGCCACAGTGGAATCGATCGACGGCAGCTCCAGTGAGATTTACCCAGTGCGCAGTTCCACGCCGCAAGCATCTCCTGGCACCAAGCTGTACAACGTAATTTCCTTCTGCCTGCATCTTTTGAGGTTGCATAGGTACTTCCCGCTCCCGGCTCTGTCTGCTTTCGAAATTCCCCAGCACTCCCGGCTTTGAATCTCGACTGCCATTTCCAGAAGGATCTTCAACCCGAGTCTGATGAAGGTTTGCACAGAAGGTGCCTGGTGGAGTTGTTGCCATTAAGACCCTGAAGACCGAGCCAGTACCGATTTGACGTTTCTTGGATTTGACTGTAATGCCAAAGAGCTACACCGGTAAGCAGCTGTCGAGAGCAGCTTTTCCACTAGGCAGGCCTAAGTCCTCAGCCCGCCACACGAGGGTTATATGCGGTCGAATGTCTGACATGCCACCTCAGCAGACAAGCTGTGTTGATAAGTGGAATGACAGAGCACTTAGAAAGGGGCCAGGTAGCTGATGCTTGATTTTCATACAGCATGCGCATACTTTGAAGTATCCGAAATTAGTTGAACAAGAAGACGAATGAGATGTATAAACAACGCGCGTTCCTGCCTGAACCTTGCCTGTTCAGCATAATGGCAGTGATGGATGTCGGAAAATGCTGCTGACATGCTGTTGTTTCGCATCTTCAACGATGAAGTTGATCCTTCTCGGTTACTGTGCACAACCAATCCTGCGGGAACAGCGATACATCAGATAAGCGACTGTTACACCAAATTGTGGAGGGGGCGATTTGCCAACAGCCACAGCACGCGCAACACCACCTAGATCTAACAGCTGAAACCCATTGCAACTTGTGCTGCTCACGTATTGCGAGCCATGGCCACGACACTGGACGATGATGAGACTATTTCCGACCTAATTGGGACCCTTCAAAGAGGTAAGGATCCTACGCGTCGTCGAACGCGTGATGAAGGGTGGCTACTTTGTGGGTATAAGCTCACAACATAAAAGCTGCAAACAAACCTGCGAAACAACGCACCGGCAAGATATCGGTCCTGATCAATAAAGTCTGCTTGCAGGCCTACGCAGATGGATTGTCAAATGCTTCCCTGGAGCAGCTGGTGGACATCATCACGCGTCCCAACGAGCTCGACCAAAGCAGTCTGGGGAACTTGATACGCAATCTCTATCCCGCGACCAGAGTACCCAACATTATCGTCATCAAAATCGTGGGAGGGCTGGGTCATGGCCGGCTGAAGCCGTCATATTCAGCGCAGGCGGCATTATTGAAATGGCTTATTATGGTCTACGATGTCCTGGAGGATCAAAGGGTACTTTCGCAACTTTACAGCGTGTTGTTTAACCTGCTGGATACTTCGACTCTGAGGTATCCCCCCAAACATCGAGCTTAGAAATCTGTCTCTTCTGACATTTGTAGACCTCAATTATGTCACGTGCTGTCCCTTATCACTCGACGAAAGCATGTCAGACCATTCAGAATACAAGCATTGTGAGATAGACAATAGTCCATCGCAGCAGAGTATACTGATGTTTTGTATAGAATGGAGTTGACGCGGCAAGGTGGAAATGAACCGTCTCTGGTGGGATTGATGAGAGTTTACAAAGACTACTATCCAGATGTTATTGCTGGGGAGGTCATCTCTGGACGAGCATCTGTATTCACTGTAAGTCACTCAGATGGAATCACTTGCTATGCACGCTGACAGGTCGGTAGCACCCGAACCAAGAATGGCGACAACGGCTTGGGGAGATCCAAGAACTTTACATACAAAAGACGCAGGACGGTCTTCCAGTTGAAAAGAGAACTTTCAGAGTAACCCGCAAGACTAGCACCAAGGCACAAAAATCGTTCCTACCTCAAGTGTACACTTCACACGCTCAAGAGGTGAATTGTTCCCAGGCGTCATATAAAATGCACTGCTAACAAGACAGACCTCTGTTACGCTGGAGGAGATTGAAGATGTTCACGATTTCATTCAGAAGCTTGAGAAGATCGAACCGCCCAACCAACTAGTCGCAGTCATTGATGACCCCCTCTTGCAGAAGTTTCTGCAGCTCCGGTCAAGCGAGACCAACGCAAAACGTGTTGATAGTTGGTTGATGGCTTTTTTCGAGGACCATTTGCAGTCAGCACATACTGGAGAACGACAAATACTGGAGATGCTTGAATTCATGCTTGGATATACCCGATATACTAAGGTACACTGTTTCTACTTATTCAAACAGTGTTAAGCTAACAACGGACATAGATACTCCCCTCCGCATGCCTAACATACCTGAGATCCATGCTTCCAAGCTGGAATGGTGTGGCTGGACGCGAAGTAGTCCTTGGTCTATTTGCATATACCCCGATAAACTCGTGGGAAGGTGTGTGTGTATCCATCCATCATTGGTTCTGTCCTGACTCGACAGACTTGTACGAATCCACATTCCAACCGCTCGAAGATTCCCTCCTAGAAACCGACACGACTACTTCTCAACTGGCTCTCCTCACATTCTACAAGAGTCTCCTCGATCAATGGATGGTGTTCCTTCTATCCCAGCCTCGCTCCCTCCAGGAAGCAGAAACAACCATCACCGCCCTTATAAATCACGCCAGCAACCTTTCCTTGACCATAATCCAAAACACCAACACCATCGTTGCACATTCTACGGTCCTCGACTTCTACGAAACGACCACCGCGCTCATTACCCACCCTACCCTGAAACCCATAGTGCGGATCACCATCCCTCCAGCAGAAGTGATCTATAGCCTCCTCTTCTCCACCTCACTTAGCACAGTAAGCCGCCTTTGTGCGATCCTCGCGCTTTACAAGAAAGCCTTCGAACTTGCCATGGCTCGTAAACCCAATAGCGCATCTGTTCTAGATCAACAGTCCTACCCTAAAGACTACGTTAATCATTTCAACGGCTTCCTGATGGATGTTTGCAATTGTTTCTGGCGCTCTAGAGCATTCAACACCTCGGATCCAAATGCACTCGGCTGCTTACTTCCCTCCGATGTCACGCAAGCACTCGGACAGTACGTCGCAAGCCTTGACACGAACCTATCCATACCGTCGCTCTTCAGCTTCTCGTACTCGCCTGTATTCTCCTCGCTTGCTATCGCTTATGTGCGGAATCTGGAGGATAGCTCAGAAGATCAGATTGATCGGAGACATGCTGGACCCGTTACTCAGAACTCGTTGAGGTTGCTTGAGAAAGATGGAGGCTTGAGACTGCCATGGGCGGATTACAAGCTTGGGGTTCTGACTTATATGGAGAGCCAAGGAGCTGTTGGTGTGGGAGAGTTGATGTACAACACTATGAAGCATCTCATGACTGTCAGGGAGAAGGCAAAGGCTGGAGCTATATCCTGACATCTCCGTCTCAACGTCGAGATTTCAGCGTTATTCATCATGTTTAGGCTCGCTTCTGTTGAAAGGATAGTAAAACTCGGGTTGGCACTGGACAAGAGGGAAAAAGGTACGGAGTTCTGAGGAAGGCTAACTTGCTATGATACCCAGCTCGTCTCGTATTAAACACTAAGTACCATGAAGACATTCTGCGCCGACGCCCAAGTCATCCTTGTCTATGATATTATGGTACATCTAACGTACCGTGCCCTTTCTTGGGCTATTGGAGCCCACCCCAAACGCCATGTAACCAGGGCCCCATCGCCCGTCCTTCTACACGACGGGTGTCCTTCCTCAATTTCACATCTCACTTGGCAAAAAGCAGAATTTTGACGTCCACTTCCGACCAACTCTATCCTCCCTTCTCCATCCATCAAAACGCTTGAACCCATTCACTACTCTTCTTTCAGAAGCCCTCTCAAGTCATGTCATCCCTCTATACCGATCCAATTCATAAAACCATCTTCCTTACAACTCCTTTCCAGCACCCAAAAGTGTCGAACCAGCGGTTCCTCCAGCCTTGCTCGCAGCCACAACACTCTCCTTAACCTTTTGAACAAGCACCGCACCAGTCGGGCTCTCAATTACAGACTTCACAGCCGTCTTCGCGCTCTCGTCGCCATTGTAGTAGAACCAGGCGCGGTTGGTGAGAAAAGCGATGTGCTGGGGAAGGTAAAGCGTCATGGCGATTATGACCATGCTGAAGAAGAGGAAGAGGAAGGAGTCTGTCGTTGAGGATAGCTGGTTAGCAAGTGCCGTGCTGTGTAATTGTGGGGATTTGGTTGAGATGGAGGGGGAAAAGGGGGGGGGGTTGTCTGAATTGGCGGAAAGGATACGTCAATGAAGAAGGGCGCTGGAGGTCTCACTGAAAATGAATTTCTCCGTTGGCGTCAACATGTAAAGTGAGAATGTGACCTATTTCATTAATCAGTATATGTTCTCTCTTCATGTCGGCGGGTTTCTCGCATAGCATACTTCATATTGGTATCTCTTCCTTTGCAGCCATCGGAACGTTGATGCGAACATGGTCATTGTATCTGATATCCTGAAGTGATTGGTAATTTACTGAGGGTAGTAGGTACTGGAGCTGTACAACTGGAGAACAGAGGAAAGACGAGGGTTTCAGAGGACGCCGTTGGATCGTGCTCGTGTTCCCGATCCGATGTTTCCAAATAATTGTCTGCGCGAGATCATGACCGGGTCTTGGCGCTGTATCATCGGCGAAAACCAATTCCGTTCCGATAGATAAAGTTCCAATTTGGCCTCGGATTCTCAATCCTTATCGCGAGACACTGCCAGAGAAAGGACTTCAACTTTCAAACAATATGTACAATGATACGAGGGTGGCTTTCCCGTATCTCAAAGGGAAGACGGCCCATCCTTGAAACCCTCGGAGGAAGGACGCTGCTACAACATCCAACTGGTGGCTCAGCGCGAGGAATCGCAGCAACATCGCCGACATGGGCGAAGAAGATGCCGGACCGGCCACAACCATTGGATGAGAGTGAGTTTACAGAGGCATTCTTGAAAGGCAGTGGACCTGGAGGTCAGAAGATCGTAAGTCTGTTTTTGTATTCCGTGACTTCCCCCTCGGGTATCTTGTACTAGACATAAATCGAGAGCTAATTCATTGTGACGTATCAGAACAAAACATCCTCTGCCGTGCAACTAAAGCACATCCCAACCGGTATGGTCCTCAAAGTACAAGCCACACGATCGCGTACCCAGAATAGGAAAATTGCGAGGCAGATGCTGGCTGAGAGAGTTGAGGAGCTCGAGAAGGGGAAGGAGAGTCGAGTTGCGGTTGTAGGCGAGACGAAGAGAAAGAGGAAGAGTAGTGCTGTTAAGAAGAGTAAGAGAAAATATAGACTGCTGGATGAGGCGAAGAGGGAGGGTGAGGTGCAGGAGTCAGAGGAGATCGACTTAGGGATTAGCAAGGGCGACGACTGAGAATGGAGACCATTGGCCAATTGATACGCTTCTACTTGAATATTGGTTGCAATCTCCTGAATCAAAGACTTCTCAGTCTTGTTGCACACAGATGATGTCACATCTGATCCCCAATGCGTGTATGAATAGTCATAGAATCAGATGTAGATCGTTTATCTCTATTTGCATCTAACAAGCAAGTATTCGATTTAAGTACAATGACAACTCAAAGCAGACAAAACCATAGTATCAAGGCAGAGTTCGAATTCACATGACCAGCAGTACGTACTTGCTCCACACCCAAGCTGCGTTCAAACGATCATTGATGAGTAAAATGTCTCTCAGGCCGCATTGAAATCCTTTGTTGCTTAGATGTATCTCAATCTCCTTGCAACGCCAAGAGCTAGGACTGTGAAAAGTACCAAGAATCCCAGGATGCCGAAGAAGGGCCCAAGGCTCTCAGAGTCTTTCCAAGGAACAGCCACGTTCATGCCGAACAGACCGCATACTAAATTGAGGGGAACGAGGATCGAGGCAAGCATGGTGATCTTGCTGAGGACTCTGTTAGAGTTGTTGCCTTGTTCGATGTTCTCAATGGACAGCTGAGCGAGGTAATTGCTGTGGGATCTGGAGAGCATCTTCTCGAAATGTGCCAAGTTGGTCATCATAGTGACAACGTGATCCTGGATATCGCCCAAGTAGAGGCCTATATCCATTCGAGGAGTGACTCTGTAGTTGGCATTGCAACGCTTGGTGAAACCCCTAAGGACATCTGCTTTGCCACCCAATAATTTCATGAGACCCATTACGTTTTTCCGCGCCATACCAATCTTGCGGAGAAAGGTCTGCATATCATCGTTGCGGGAAATAAAAACCTCATCTTCGATAACATCAGCTTCGCGCTCGATCCTGTTGATGATTGGAGCGAACGAATCAACGATGTTATCACTGGAGGAGAGTCAGTACAGGAACTTATCCCACATTTTGCAGACAACTTACATGAGGGCATAGCAGATCCAGTCAGAGCTCAAAGCAACAAAATCCTTAAGCTTGGTGATTCTTTGCCTGACCTGGACAGCGTGTGGGTTGGGTGCGAAGCTGAAGCTGAGAGTTCCCTCGCGGAAAACAACAACATAGATATTGAAAGGCTCATAATCTTGTCCACCGTTTTCTTCTTCCTCGACATGGAACGATCGGAAGCAAGCGAAGTAGTAGGATTGAAAGAGCTCAATCTTTTCGCGAGCCTCTTGAGTAAGAATATCTTCGATAGTCAAGGGATGGATGCCAAAAGCTCGGCAGATGGTGGTAATCTCTTCCTTTGTGGCGCTGTTGATATTCAACCACCAGACACCATCCTCATCATCAGTGGTTGGAGGCAAAGTAAACAGGCTCCGAACGTCTTCTCCGGGTAGAACCAAGTCACCAAACTCAGCGGCATGGATGGTAGACTCTCCCAGGGTCGAAAAGAATTCAAATCGGTTCTCTAGTCGCGGCTCTGTAGACTTCTCATCCAACTCAACCTCAGAAATCTTGCCACTGAATGGAGAGGTTCTACCAGAAGGAGCTTCAACGATGTCACCATTGGAGTTGACGATGGTCGGGATTCCAGTCTTCTGTGGGCGTAGGTCATGGAAGATACGAGCCTGTGGCTGGCCCTGAGGCGGTGTTCGCTCGCGAGTCTCTTCCTCGTCAATGAACTCTTGCAGCAGCTCAAAGTTGATGTTGAGCGAATCCTTTCCTCCGGCAGGGTGCAATGGGAAGCACACATCCTCTTCAGCAGTGTGGCGTGAATCGGCAATACTATTGTTGTCATTGTCATTAGTATACCTTCTGCTTCTGAGGCTGCGTCTGCTTCGGCGGCTGTCGCCCGAGAGAGTCCTATGGAGATCGCAATCTTCGTATCTTCGATTCTCCTTGTTGACGTCGGATAGGTCTCGTTCGAGACGTCTCGCTTCTGCAAAAGCCTTAACCGAGCTTGGAGGCGAGACTGATCGAGGGTCTAAGGTAGTGACAGTACCCCGACGGCTGCGACCAGATGCTGCTCGCAAATGAAGTGGCGAGACACCAGCCGATTCTCCGTCCTCGACAGCTTCTTCAAAGTCTCTCGCAATGGTTGGAGAAAGTCCTTGGTTGACAAGTGCAAGGTCCGGGCCCAAATTGCGACGGAAGTTGCTATGCATGGTGTCAACAGTACCACGTCTGGAGCGTGGCTTCTGTACGGATGTACTCTGATGTCTGTGATCGTCCAACTCTGGAACAGGAGTGCTGTATCCAGAATTGTTGGTGCTAGTGTTGCTTTCTTGGTCAGACATTGTGTCGATATTGATTTCCAAAAGTTAGGCAAGTATATTGTCCTGAAGCTGGCTTAAGCCGTGCAAGTTTCCTGTTATTGTGTACTTTCTCAAGCTCTCCCCTAGCACTCCTCTCTCCTAGCCCTCCAGGTCTGTTAAGGCAGGCAACGAGCGCCCACCGCGTGTTGGCGTCAATTTGATAGCGTTTTTTGCACAGGATGCCCCTGTACAGCCTTGATGCGAGTATCTTATCCGCCCAGCTTCTACCCCAATGTCAAATGCGTTGTTGGTCAATGTGTTATTTCGTTGTCGTAGTGGACCAGTTATGGAGGCTTATACCCGCTGTAGGCCCAGGTCTTTGGCCCAAGAAGCGGACGAATGAAGCAAACCGAGTAGTGATTGAATCCCGCCAACTTGAAGGATTACTTGGTAATGTGGTTGTAAATATTTCTCGGGGAGTGTGACGGAGAGCACGGCTGTGTCTGCTGCTATCGCAGATTTTCAGGGTGGTATTGCTAGGTGTGAGAGATGAAAGAGGACCTTAATATCGCAGTCGAAGTATCTGCTGTCGCCTGCAGATGTTCGAGACAAATTTCAGAGATGCGAAAATTCGAAGCTAAAGTCGTGAATGGCGACGAGGGTTTGGTCGGGCGATGACGTGCCAAGATGTTTGCACAAAGGCCGGAGCCGTTGATCTCAGAGAAGACTGCTCTGCCCTGCGCGTGCTGGAATGGTGATTCGTTGTCTCAAGATGTCGTGGTGTAGATGTGAGGAGATGGTTTGAGAAATCTCAATCCTTCGAGGTTGTTGTGGTGAAAAGGAGGAAGGGGAGAGGCAACTCGAAGTCAAGAGCCAATTTTTGGTCGGCTAGCATGCTAGTCCCTCACCAGCCCCACCAAAACACGGCCAGTGACTCCGCCAAAATGAGCCTCGAAGCATTTTCCACCTGGGCAGATGAGGCTGTAAATGCAAGCATAGGACGGCCACCGCATTGTATCAGAGATCTTTGTGAGACTGAACTCTAATGCATAATCCTACGGCATTGTGTTTCCATTATCCAGTATTTGACTTCTTGAACAAGGTATGCGTCCATGAGATATTTGATCACAGCCTACTGAGTGCGTTATTCGCAAAATCCCTCAGTCCCCTTTAAAGTCACGTGGAGCGGCGGCAAGGCTGAGCTGAAGATGCAAGCTCGCCTGTTTGGTCTGGACACCTAGGCACTTTGCCTTGAACCAAATCAAGCACGGCAGCCTCAACACATCATCATGGCGGATCAATTACTGGATCAAGTGCGAGAGCTTGCGGAGGGTCAAATTGATGTATACATTCCGTCCTCCAAAACGTCTTCATGGCTAACGGATGGGAGTTTGAGGGACAACGTCTGGCAGAATATCTTGCAACAGCATTGCTCGTAAGCCCCTCAAGTCCAGCATACCTGGACCTTCTCACTAACATGATTCACAACAGGCTATCTTCGGAGTACGATGAGTCTCGATCAAGCAAGCAGTCCAAAAACTGATTTTTTTTACAGGCTATCTCTTTCATTGTCGGGTACTTTCAACAAGATATCAAACGTGCCCTCCTCATCGGCTTGGGCGGCACCGCAGCTACATTTTTGCTAGTCGTACCTCCATGGCCCTTCTTCAATCGTCATCCCGTCAAATGGTTGCCAGTTGGTGGAAAGGAGTCACAGTCGCAGGGGATCATGGTTGATGGACAGGTCGTAGGTTGATCAGGGAAGGAGGGGACTACAACGGAACGGTTGATGGATGACGAGCAATCCTGGCGTTGAACGCTGGGAAACGATACCTCTTATTGCACCATGGAATTTCCTATTCACCACAGCTCGTGTCCCGCTATGGAATCTATTCCGTATGAACGCCAGTGTTTGGAGACAAGTCCTCCATGCGCCCCCGAATGCATCAACATTCATGTTACGGGTGGTGTCTTGATTCCCTCCTTGCCCCTCGATGTCCATGTGTCTCCCAAATTCATTATCATCTCGTTGTTCGTACGGCGCTCTTTGTAGAACCTTAACGACCATATTTCTGGAACTCCCAGTCTCTGTTGTCAAGTGGGCAAACTTGACGAGTCTTCAGCCAACGAGAGATGCAGTGGAAGTGGAAAGCGTGCTGTGAATTCATGTCAGCCTCAGATAAACCTGAACCGACAATATAACCTACATTGCAGATTCCCCATGCAACGGTACATTCTTCGCTGGTAGCAGAAGCTTGGTTGGCTTGACATTCGATGCCTGGACTTGTTAGATGGCATACTCCATATTATGAGCCTAGAACTTACAGAGATCCATAATGTGGTTTCTGCAGATAGCACAATTGTCAACGACGATATCCCAAGCCCAAAGAGCCACAGCGGACCACTGTGGAATGTCAGTCCTTCCATATGATAGGCAGTATCATTACAGATGCTCACCTTCTTCACTTCGAACCGCTTCTTGCCATCTGCCCCTCCTTCAGCAGCTGCGCCTTTCGCCTTAGCAGCAACTTTCTTAGGCGCGACCGAACCAGAAGGAGCATCGGTCATGTCTACGTCCGCCATGTTTATTTTCTGGTTGGTCTGTCGGGGGCGAAGAATTTGGTTATGGTAGGATGTGGGGGTAGCTGGGACTTGTATATGTATTTGTAGCGGGGGAGATGATGCTTCGTTTGTACCAATATCGGAGAAGCAGGACTGGGTGAAGTGGTTTAAACGCAGACTCCCGCAGGTATCCTCAAAGGTGAAAGTCGAAATCTATAGCCTCGAAACTGCTTTGTCGTCGAGGAGGCGAGGCTACTGGCATGAGTAGGCAAGTGGCCAGGGAAGCTGCAGGCAGGAGCTTTGGAAGTGAATGTTTGTACGGCGGACGGGTTGGCCGAGGGTGCAAGAAAGAAGGCTCACTCCGTACAAGGAATCAACTGACTCCCTCACTTCCACCAACCTCCCTCACAAAGTATCATTTCGACGATACGACACAGAACAATGAATAGAATGCTCTCATTTATCGACTCTTCAAACACCATACAAAGTCGTCGCCGATACTGCACCACAAAACAGCCATCCTCGAGCACTTGGCCGCCTCCTCCTTAAGAGCCTACCTCATCACCAACCCGTCACTCACGAATCGTCACGATAGTTACACGCGCCTCTGTCGCCCAGCGAAATCAAATATTGCTTTATTGTTTTCTCTCTTGCGCCCTTCCACGGCCGCTTATTTATAGGCCAACGAAGACATGTCTACAGACGTCCCATCAAGCCGTCACCGTCATACACGAAGTGCAGCCATGCCGCCTGCGACAGCCTCGTCGCAGAGTCCTGGCACCTCACAGAATCCGCAGAACCCTCATCATCTCAACGCGCAGGCACATACGCAGAATACGCAGAATATGCAGAACGACATGAGATCGAACTTTTTCCAGCCGCCGACCACGCCTCCACGTACCCCGCGAAAAGATAACCAGCCCACCTCACAAAATACATCAAGCTCCGCCGCACCAGAGACTGGTTCAAAGCAAAGATCGCGTAACAAGAATCGCCCAAAAAATGTCATGACATCTCCTGTAGCTTCAAGAAAAGATCGAAATACTCCGCCTTTGACAGGCGGCCAGTCCGCAGGAATGCCGTCATCTGCAAAGCCGATCAATACACCCTCTACAGCAGCTTATGCAGGCTCGACATTTCATGCTTCTCCAGCTCCATCAGCTCTTCCTATACCTAGCTTTTACTCGAAGTCCGTCCCTGACTCACCAGGTATCAAGGGGTTGAAGTCATTGAAAGGAGCACCGTTCCCAACTACGGACTCGACGCCTACACGAACCACACCATCTATTGAACAGATGCAAAGAGAAGAGTCACCTCTGGACCTCTTCTTCAAAGCAGACAGGGAAGAGAGAGCACGAAGTGCAAGCTCCACCCAGGCCCTAGCAGCCGCCAATGGGCCGTTCCCTCCGCCATTAGAGTCTCCTCGCAATAGCCAAACCCCACCTGCTCGCTCAACCCAAAGTCGTGCTCGTCAGAATGATTCTAATAGGATTTCTGCCAGTGGAATGTTTGCCATGGAGCTGGACGGTGATCGTGCTCCAGGAACCCCTGTTGGACCTGCATTTTCTACACCATACTCCGAGAGGATCAATGCCGCACGATCTGGTGGCCAACTTGACGGTTCCTATGAGCAATCACAGCAACATACACAGTCATCTGCAGACCGATCTGAAGCACTTAAAGCGTATCTATTCTCAGGATTACCACCAGTCGCTCCAAACTCTGTGCCGAGATACTCTTCCGAGGCACCACCAAGTGGCCACCGGAGTGCTGGGACTCCCAATAGGCAACAAACCAATGGATACCAATCAGGTCCTGAGCCAAGGATGATGAATGGTTCACGAGCAGGACGATCGTCGGGTTTGCGCCAGGAGGTTACTCCAACAAAGACACCAACCAAAACACCTGACCGCAATAATGTTTTTATGAACTCGCTCACTCCCTCACGACTACCAGCAAATGCATACACTAACGGGAACGAATTTACTGCTCAGCGCACTTCCCGCACACCTATGGATGCTCCTACTTTTGCCTCCAACGTAGGCAACTCAGACCCAACGATCAAAGGCATGGAAGACAGCCTTCGCAGAATCTTGAAGCTGGAACCTCCCGTTTCTTCTGATTCAGATGTCACTCAGGGACCAGCAGCTTCAGGATCAAGTTTAAACTATGTTGGTGGCCGGACCCCACAGATGAGCGGTAGTAATAACGGCATTATGCGATCATGATTGGGCCTGTATAATGTCACGAGGAGCTATGAGGACATGGCGTTGGTAATCGGACTGCATAGAATCCGCAAGTTCTCGAAATTCACTTGTTTGGAACGAAGATATGCGGATAACGGTATGTAACGTTGGATCAACTTCTTGACTTTCTGTAGAAATGTGTGATATCACTCGGGTCTAGGTCAGAGGTTCGGTGGATTGGGATTTCATTTTGTCTGTCTTCGGGCACCACTGCACATTCTGCACACTTACATTTCATTTGTCGAAGGGGAAGCAAGTACGTCAGAGATGCGCATGCTATCAAGGCTTTGGTCTTGGTTATAGCGAGCAATATCAAGTAGATGCAGTAATTGCGTGAGGGTTTCCATTCTCATGAAATGGATCACCTCAGTCAGCCACCCTTGTTGTTTATTGTAGAAACAATATGCTATCCTTAAACATTGAGATCCAATGGGCATTCACAAAACTGAGAACGTTACCCACGGCGTACTCGAATTAAGAATGTCGCTTGCAGGTACATACGTAAACCAACAAAGTCTTGCCCCATAAAATGTCATCCACGTCCCTGGCCCACCAGCCGAGCCCTTGCACATTAGGCTTAATCGCCCGATAGCCGCGTTCGCGGCAAAATAATATTTTGGCCACCCACCACTCCCCACTGCATCGATACTCTTTCCAGAAGGGTTTCATTATGCCATCATGAATCGACGGATAATATGTACTCGGTCTGTGTCCTTGGGACGATCGGTTCGGCCTCGACAATTTCAGCTTCAACAGCGATACTTTGCTGCTGTTGCGCAGGATCATAGGTAGCCAACTGCTCATCTCGGCCAACTCTTTATTGACTGTTTTCAGGCCATACGATGTTGTCGTTATAGGAGGAGGCCATGCTGGATCCGAAGCATGTGCTGGTGCAGCCAGATCCGGAGCCAGGACTGCGCTCATTACACCGAAACTCGAAAACATTGGGGTGTGCTCATGCAACCCAAGTTTTGGAGGGATTGGGAAAGGCACAATGTTGAGGGAGGTCGATGCTTTGGATGGAGTTGCTGGAAGAATTATTGATAAATCCGGCGTGCAATTCAAGGTTCTGAATAGAAAGAAAGGCCCGGCTGTGTGGGTATGTTCTTTTGGACATGTTGCGGGCTATAAATGCTTATACTTTATAGGGTCCTCGTGCCCAGATCGACCGCAAACTGTACCAGAAACATATGAGAGAAGAATTGGATACGTACCCAAATCTGTCGATTGTGCCTGGGAGTGTAGCGGATATCGTTGTCACTCATGAAGAGGGCCAAATACCAAGCGGGAAGATTACGGGTGTTCGACTGGAGTCGGGAGAGGTCATACAGACCAACCATGTGGTAATCACGACCGGAACTTTCTTAGGCGGAGAGATCCATATTGGGCTGGAGTGCCACCCTGCTGGGCGAATGGGCGAAGCAGCCACTTTTGGCTTGAGCAAATCATTGAAGGACGCAGGATTTGAATTGGGAAGACTGAAGACTGGTACTCCCCCTCGCCTGGCCAAAGGAACCATCAATTTCAGCATTTTGGATGCCCAGGCTGGCGATGAGCCACCAATGCCCTTCAGTTTCCTGAATGAGTCTGTTTCGGTGGAGGATCAGCTACTTTGTTATGCGACATATACGAACGAAGCATCGCACGATGTGGTTAGAGCCAACCTTGCAAACTCGATTCATATCAGGGAAACAGTCAAGGGGCCGAGGTATTGTCCTTCTCTAGAATCTAAGGTCATCCGTTTCTCGGATAAGGAGAAGCACATAATATGGCTAGAGCCAGAAGGTTTCGATAGCGATGTGATTTATCCAAATGGGATTTCCATGACTATACCAGCAGAAGCCCAAGAGCAACTTCTGAAAACTGTCAAGGGCTTGGAAAATGTCACAATGTTACAACCAGGTTATGGAGTAGAATACGACTACGTCGACCCTCGAAGTCTGAAGTCAACACTCGAGACTAAGAAGATACGTGGGCTGTTCTTAGCAGGACAAATCAATGGAACGACAGGTTACGAAGAAGCGGCCGCACAAGGCATCATAGCCGGTGTCAACGCCGGTCTGTCCTCACAATCGAAACCTCCGATTATACTTTCCAGAAGTGATGGCTATATCGGAATCATGATCGACGATCTCATCACCAAAGGAGTTTCAGAACCATACCGCATGTTCACATCACGGAGCGAATATCGTATGAGTGCCCGGGCAGACAATGCTGATCTGCGGCTCACTGCAAAAGGTCGAGAAGCAGGTATAGTCAGCGACAACCGCTGGTCTAGATTTTCAGACGAACTGTCCCAAATTGACGGACTGAAGGCTGCTCTTATGGCCAAAACCTCCAGTGCCCCCATATGGATCAAAGACGGCTTCAGAGTCGGCAACGACTCGACTCGACGATCGGCTTTTGAAGTCCTGCGCCTAGCAGGCGTAAAACTCGCAGATATGGAGTCCCTCGTCCCAGAAATCACACAGTATAACTCTCGCATTCAGACACGAGTCGGCATCGAAGCCGTGTATGCTCCATACGTTGAGCAACAGACAACAGCCATGCGCGTATTCCAGAAGGACGAGAATCTAAGACTTCCGCTGGACTTGGATTATGATAGTATTTTCGGGCTATCGATGCACGAGAAGTCTCTGCTCAACGTTACGCGGCCGGAATCAGTTGGCCAAGCGAGACGTATTGAGGGAATGACGCCTGCTGGGACATTGAGGCTATTAGCTTTTGTGCAGGGGAGGCAGAGGACTGCTGCGAAAGCTGTTGCCTTTGAGGAGATTGCTGCGAGAAAGAAGGAGTTCATGGTTAGTAATGGTAAATGAGTCGGTGATTCTGGGAAATAGATGAGCGGGTCTTGCATATTCCGGAGTTGGATTTGAAGTACTCTCTCGATTGAGAGTTGTACCTGTAACGTCTGTAACAACATGTATTGAACAACTGAATTGTACGATGAGACACACAAGGAATGTCAAAGCACCAGATGCTCTCCGGCCCCTTTTTCCGTTCTTCCGTGTTCTAGAGTGCAAATTGATTCGTGCGCTTCTCGGTATGGAAAAACTGGAAAAATATCATGTGGGAGCCGTCCGCAAACTTTTCCAACCCTTGTCAGCTTCCCCTTACATCTGCGTCACATTGACATTTGGCACTAACGAGACTTTCCCGAGTCTCATTATCTTCCTGCAGGCAAACTGTTGCAAAAGTCAAAGGATGAAGCTTCATGGTCACCCCTCTGCCAGTAGTGTAATTATAAAAACTCAAACTATTTACTATATATAGTACTTGTACCATGTGGCGAATCACCAATGTCCCTAAAGGCGCCAATGACTTTCAACCGCCGGCTGTATTTCTACATCCCGAATCCCAGTCTGTCTACTGCTGTTTTTTCCGCTTATCCTCTTCTTTTCCGAATCGGACACCGTGGGAGAGGAGGAGGTACTTGCTGAAGAAGTCTTCGGCGAATTCATCGAATTTGGTGTATTTTGCTCCTACTAGGATTGGTTTTAGCATGGTTCAGGACGGAGATGAGAGGGAGGAGTGAGCTGATGTATACTCACAGCGGTAAGCTGCTGCGATGCCACTGCATTCTTTATTAGCATAGTGTACTTTTCTGTTCAAAGGTACCAAATGGCGCTGGGGACAGAAGGACTAAGGATGTGGACGGGATAGCGCACCTAACGCAAGCCAGTTCGTGCATATTCTACATCTTGTTAGCAAGCCAAAGAGACTTTGGGCTGGAAAGTACACGCACCACTAGGGTCCACGACCCAGCAAATAAGGTGTTGTTCTTGCCATTGATAAACACCATTCCTTCAGAAAGTCAGCTGCTGTACAACACGTATGACTGAGGTCGAGGGAGGCTTGCCTGGCACCACTCGAACATAGTGCTGCCATTTATGTCCCAGCTGATGCCACCACTTCCTCTCAATGATCTTCGTCTCATCTATCTCGCCAATAGTCCAAAGCTCATCATGCTGTTTGTCCAGGAATATGCTTTGATACACATGTGCTTTCTCACCAGAATCTTCGCTTTCGGAGCTCGCTCGAAATTGATGTTGGTAGTTGGAACAGTCGAATGACATTTCGATCTTCTTTGGGTCCTGCTTGTACGATTTGGTGTAATACATTGGTCTGAAACCTTTCTCTTCTCCGTGTGGACCGCATTGCTCACCTTTAGCAAAGGCGATTTGATCTTCTTGTACTTTGGACTTTGGATCAGCACAAAGCCTGGGATCGAACTCAGTCTCATAGTGCTTGTTGAAATAGGTACTGTCCGAGTGTGTGATTGTGATATCATCGTAGAAGCTGGCTCCGCCCAGAACAAATCTCTCCTTTCGGCTTGCAGTCTTTCCCAACAGTTTCAGTGCATCATCAGCGAGTACGCACATCACAAGTTCGTCGAAGGTTTCGGTTTTGGTTGTCGAAACTGTGCTATTGCCGAGCTTGTTGTCGAAATAAGGCCGCGTTTGAATGGTGACACCTTGACTGTTCCTTTGTGTGATCTCAGCCACTTCTGTCTTGAGCCGAATATTGACTCCATTGGATTGCAAGTCCTTCCTCCACTGTTGAGGCTATTAGTCTATTGTGCCGAACAGGAGTTTCGAGAGTCTGAGCGGGGATCATACGTCTTCATAGAAATTGTGCAAATTGGGGAATGTAACCATAGTAGGTAGATTAGGCAGAAGGGTCTCTGGATCATAGTCCCACAACTTCATATTAGGATCATCAAACAGCCTCTCAAGAATAGCACACGAGACGTTCGCAGTTTGGTTTCCGGTACCTAGGAAAAGAGCAATGAGTGGATACACCATCTTGTCTCCAAAATCCTTGCTGAAGAAGAACATGCGGAGCATGATACGAATCGGAACCAGACCAAGGAGTGGCATAGTCCATTTGATGAGTTTGAGGACTTTGCCGAATTTTTTAATGTCACCGGAAAACTGATTGATGAGGTTGCTTGGGAAGCAATTGGTCCAGAATCCATCAGGACCCTTACCGAAAGCCACCTGCAACTTGACCTCCTGGGGCTCATGGCCATACTTCTTGAAGAAGTTGAAGGTGTGTTTGAATATCTGGACAGAATTAGCACGAGAGCGATATCTCAAGGAGTATTGAAACTACTGGAGAGCCTCCTTGGACACCGTCATTTATCCACCCTGCACCATACTTCCCTTCATCTATAGAAATTGACGTTGCCTGGCCTCCTGTAACTTCATTACGTTCTATGATTGTAACTTCGAAATTCTCGGGATGCTGGGCAAGAGTTGCTGCGCATGACTACAGGTACATATCAAATTGAATTTAGCCAACAATGCTTTAACTTGATACTTTGGAGTTTCAATTTTGGATGTGAAGAACGTATCGAAGTCCAGCTTACCATTCCTGCAGCTCCTGCGCCGATAATTACAACCTTCCTCTTAGTTTTCACCGACATTTTGTCCGAGTTGCTGACGAGAACGGAACTCAGGGTAGATGGAACTTTGATTTTCCCAATATCGATCTTGGAATAATATCAACGGTGGAATGGTCGTGGTGGTGATGCTGAGTAACAGTGTAACATAAAGTGTCGTATGGGGGCACGAGTCGTGAGGTCATTGACTAGTCTCTTCTGCAAGAGGCGCTTCCTACAAGTCTTCCAAGGCGAAGTAGACTTTCCTAGGTAAATGGAGGGAATATTCGACAATATTCGGATTTACTGGGCTATCGCAGCTGTCCAAGTCTTCCAGCTTGCAAAGGACTTATGCCTGACTTCTGCATCGCGTATAAGGAGTAATAGGTCTGTCGCCTGGATGACGTTGCTTCGGTCGTTGCTGCTCGCTTAAATAATTGCAAATGCCCCCCTATCTATGTTTAGGGTTATGTTAAATGTCGCTTGACGATCTGGGTATTGTAAATCCCGTGGTAGCGCAGATCATTTCTCAGATCGACGCGCCCCTTTGAAAGTCAACCTCGAAACAATCACGTCAAAGGTTCAAAAACTTGGTAAAGACAGCAACAAACACCGAGACCGCGACGGTAAGGCAGAGCTATACCGGGCTGATGCTGTTTTCTTGAAGAGGTGCTCTCTAGATGCAGATTCCAAATCCATGACCCTCCTCCCTACTGATACCCAGCGACAGGCAATCATCAATCATCGATCATCGTACCTTCCACCCGGCATCGTTTGTGCACTCACGTGACAATATTTGAGCTCACCTCAACCAACATCCACTACAGGGGCGAAAGCAAGTGGATTCACCTCCGACTCATTGTCATCTCCAGGTTTTTCGTGTTGTCATACACTCGAGGAGCCTGTGCATTCTTTCAGTAGGCTGTCAGGGAGATCTCAGCTTCGCCAAACCATACAATCGCCGGAAAAAAGAATCATCAAGATGTCAGAGACCGAATCTGATGAAGATTTCAAGAGAGCAGTGGCTCTATCTTTAAAGGACCAATCCACTGTTGCTGGTAGCAAGTCTACTGTCATCGACCTTGTCAGCGACAGCGACGTCGATGATGATGATGATGATGATGACGATGATCTTGACGCTCCGGTGACTGCACGAAAGCTTCCAATTTTCAATGGTTCGGCAACAACGCGATCTGGACCTATCAAGCCAAAGGCAGCAGGAAGTCTTGAATTCTCGCACATGTATGGTGATCTGGGATCTGTATTATCATCTCCTGGAACAAAAGCCATGAAAGCAAGTCAGCCAACTGGAGGTATGCTTGGATTGAATCGAAAGGCGATGGAAGAAGAGCGCCTCAGGCGACAGAAACAAAAGCAAGAAAGTGGTCAGCTCATAGCTAAGAACAAGAGACACGCTTCACTGTCCCCACTATCTGTGAAGGAACGAGAGGAGGTCTCCACGTACACCAACGGGCTTGGCCCCAAAGCCCATATTGCGTCGAAACCGGAGGAGAAGCGGCAGAAATTAGGGCATACCACGTCGAACGTTCTATCACGGTTTGAAGAAGAACTCCTCAGCAAGCCGGGAATCCGCTTTCCGGACGGTGTTGTGAAGAAGACTTGGGTGAAAGGAGTTCCTCGCTTAGGAGACGACATCAAGATTGAGGAAGTCCTTCAAAAGGACGATCTTCAGCTCGCAGTTCTCAGTGCATTTCAAGTGGAGCCTGAGTGGGTGGAAACAAAACTTGATCCGAAGACAAAAGTGATGTGGGTTCTGCAAGCTAAGACTGCTGATGAGGTACGTGAACAAGATTTGTTTGGCTGCGTTGAATGGCCATTCCCTTTGCCGGCTCGTTCGGAACGAAACCCTACGAAAATCATTAGATCAGCATCAATATAGAAGATAGTTGACCGCGAATACCTTCGTAGCTCGCTCTCCATTGCTTTCAGAGATTGCTGTGTTATCACTTGGCTCACATCGTTCGATGCATGCACTAACATATCACAGAAGCAAAAAATATGCTCGATGGCTCCTAGTAACTATCGCTTTTGTTTTCCCTCCATGGAGGGGAACATAAACTGCATGCACTCCAAGCTTCAACTTCTCGCATTCTCCACGCACCTCCGAGTCGTCATTCCCAGTGCCAACCTTACATCTTATGATTGGGGAGAAACAGGCGTTATGGAGAATGTCTGTTTCCTCATAGACCTTCCACGACTACCACCAGGTAGCCCATCAACCGAGCCTACGCACTTTGCTGAGGAGGTAAGTCTTGGGACGACGGCATTTTCGTACGAGTGTCTCAACCAATCTACCACTGAGACTACATTGGAGACAGACTTACATCCAGAAAGGCTGATTTTTTGACCATCTAGCTGCTTTTCTTTCTACATGCCATTGACCTTGACCAAGGGATAATAAACAGCCTGAAGAAGTTCGACTTTACTCGAACATCTCAGATGGCATTTGTACACTCGATGTGGGTTTTGTTTGGTCTTGTACCATGTGCAAAGCGGCTTAATTTGCAACAGAGGGGGTTCTCACCCAGATCAGGGAATATGGAAACGGACGGGATATTGCGGCTTGTAGGTAACAATCTCGTATCTCATACTTCCCTCTGCTATGCTAGACACGCAGATGATTGCTGTTGAATGCCACTTCATGCCAGGATATACTGAGATTCAGGTCTAATTCGAGTCTTATTGTTTAGGGGAACGGCAATTCGAAAACTTGGCTTACAAACCGATGCAGCCCTGGATATTGACTTTCTGGTGTGAAACTCTTACCCCAGGTATCATTACTCGCTACCCATGTGCTGATTCTTACTAGGCAGCATCAATCGGCAGCCTTAACCAAACTTTCTTGAAGTGCCTGTACAACGCTGCACAAGGTATGTGTGTCTTTTGTCCTTGTTTGTCCAGCCGTACATCGTGAAGATGTGGCATTACAAATATGGGAATTTTCCGATCTACAGGGACAGGGGTTTGACGTGCCAAGATTTACGTGTGACGGATCCGATTGACATGCCTTCCATGAACAAGGAGCTGACAAGGTAAATGTCACAGGGGATGACGGACTCGTGGAGTATGGATGGCGTGCCGAGAAAAAGTCAACAAGGAACAAGGCAATGTGTGAGACGGAGCGCAAACTATCAGACACCCTGAAAGACCGTTTCCGTATTTACTTCCCAACTGGGGAGACGGTGGCTAATTCCCGCGGTGGAATTGGGGTATGCAAGGATTTCCACACCATACCTTCACGCGTTTAAGCGCCTACTGCACGAATGCCAACTGACATGTTCACAGTGTGGTGGTACTATCTGCATACAAGCGAAGTGGTACGATTCAGCCACATTTCCGAGGCATCTGATGCACGATTGTCAGAGTCTGAGACCTGGTATTTTGATGCACAGCAAAATGATGTTTGTCAGGGGAGTAGGCGATAAACAAGATAGTCAGATTGCGTGGGCCTATGTGGGATCCGCCAACTTGTCTGAATCTGCCTGTAAGTTTCATTATTTCATTTCCGTCCGATTCGAATGTTTGCGTTTTTCAGCCTTGATCTCGCCATGGCGCCAAGTGAATCCCATATCAAGTGTCTCTCAAGTGCTGCGCATTAGATGCCAAGATTGACGAGAATAAAGATGGCTCCCATCGAGGTGTTGTGCTCGTCACGAGACCTCCGCTTACAGGCTCGCCGTAACTTACCGCAAAAGGAAGGTCATAAAGTCTTGTTTTGAGCAACATAGCTAGTACTCCAGTGTAGGACAAGAGCTTGCCAAGAAGTTCTCCACGTCAACTCCACATAGAAGTTATTTTTCTACAACCGATTTCTTGGAGCTCTTGCTAACAGCATTCATCCGCAGGGGGACGCCTTGTGCAGGACAAAGATACCAGAGAACCGAAACTTACCTTAAGAAATTGGGAATGTGGAGTCGTCCTACCGATCAAAGTCGATGGCGAACAACCTTCGGATCGCAAAGGCGAAGACAAAGACAAGACATCTTTGGGTATGGATGTCTTTCTTGGTCACATACCTGTGCCCATGCAAGTTCCTGGCAATCCATATGGACTTCATCGGCCTTGGTTCTACAAAGCCCATTATTGAGATCGGGATTCGCCAATAGCTCTGATAATGCCACAAGCAGTTAATACATGACTGCAGGTATTGGATAACTATCTTTGAAGCCTCAACTACACCTGATAGCAGCAGTCTTTAAAAACTGGACCGGAATGTTGGCTGCGACCTCTTTGCCATGGTCATACCCCTGACTCATGTAGATAAGAGACGCGAGGTACTTTTGTCCTTGGATGACATTGATATCACTGATTGCATAGCGCTGTATCAGATGCCATTCCTGAGTAGTGATTGAGTATGCCCTGAGGTATGGACATCTCGATGTTCTCAGTGCCTAACGACGCTGGAATTCCTGTGCGTGAGTACTCTGAGGTATCCCTTAGGGGAGGCCAAAGGGCGGTGGTGCAACAGCCAGCAAGCTGTGACCTGCATCATCCTAGCTGTTCATCATGCGCAGAACAGCCCATCAGCAAGCGTGCACAGGCACTTAGTCGGGAGCAGCCTTCCATAGCAAAAGTTTACCCATTCTTGTCTTTCGGGACTCTGAGCGTCGAAGTTGTCCGAGCCCAGGTGAAGTAGAATTGGCCTGGGACCAGATATTCCTGCAGGCTTTCGTCATAGGGGTTTACACTGTGAGAGATTTGGACCCTGGAGTAGATCTCGCATCGGGCATTTTGACACACAGCGCAATTCGCTCTACAACCAAGTTATGGAGCACTACTGAAAGCAGGTCAAAGTCAAGCACTTCTGCAAACACACAGACAACTGAGATCCGGAAAAACAGCTGATGAGGTTCTAGAACATGCAGCTACTAGGCTCGCACGAACCAAGAGGAGAAGATGAACCAAAGGGATCTCGTTCCAACTAATGTTCTCACCCGCGGCAGACATGAGAAAGCCAACCACGTGAGAATGTTTCAAGAGGTGAAACAGTAGCGACGATGACTACGATATGGCCGAGGATCAGCTGCATTACAGTCCACTCTGCCCATGCAGTTATCGCAGGTTTATTAGATGGAGGTAGCAGCGGCGCCCGTGGGGGAGGAGTGCGTGTTCACGCAAGTTTGCAAGTTCGTACGAAATGCGGACGTGGAAGCTCTCCTCGTCTAGTCAAAGCGTCAGGAAAGCAGCCCGAGCCACTGACTGTGTCTACCGACCCTCGACCATTCAACCAGCCAGCATCTATCCAGATTCCGGACCTCCTTTATCTTACCTTACCTTACCTTACCTTACCTTACCTTACCTTACCTTACCTTACCTTACCTTTGACTGAACTACTGCACTGCTTTGCTCTGCTATCGGAGACGGGATGGATAGTAAACAAGCTCGGGTTTTCTGGGCAGCGAGGAGCGGGTGGGAGCCGACGGCTTGTTTCGTCCCGGAACAGTGCCAGTAGTCCAGTAGTCCCCTCGTTGCAACCACCGCCGAATAGGTATCCTCTCTCTGGTGGTTGCTCGCTCGAAGGGGTTATGCTCTGCACTGGCTGGCTGGCTGGTTGACTGGCTAGCTGGCTTGTCTCTCATTTTTCGAACCACGAGGGATTCATGTCTGTCTGGCTCGGTCAAGTCAAGTCAAGTCCAGTCAAGCCCACGGCGTCCCGTTCTTGCAGAAACGAAGCAGAAGTGTCGCAAATCCTTAGGGGTTCCGATGTCAAATTCCCCGATCCGGTGGCTGCCACTGCCACTGCCACTGCCACTGCCAGTTGCCCGCCGCCCATTCGTCCCACCCAATCGCCTCCACCTGCCCGAGTTCTCCCCACCCCTCCCCTCCCCAACCCACCTCACCCCACCCCGCCCCCGACACCAAGCAAGCAAGCAAGCAAGCAAGCAAAAATTGAGGTGGTCACTGACCCTCTATTCTTCAGATGACCTGTTCATGAAACGAACCGAATGCAAGTTTCTCACGTCGTATCGCACTTCTACTCTACTGTACGTGCTGGTTCCACGACATGCTTGTACGCAGGAGAGGAAAGTACCGTATTCTAGGGCAGAAAGTCCCGAGAGTTTCCGGCAAGACGTTCTAGATGTCGTCAGTTGGACTTCCGGCGGAAAGCCAGGTATGTTGATGCTGATGCTGATGCTGATGCTTGTTAAATGGAATGGCCCGTGACGTTCAAAAGGGATATGCGGATCCCAATATACACTACACTACAATACACTACACTACAATACAATACACTACAATACACTACACTACACTACGCTACACTACACTACACTACACTTCACTGCGCTGCACTGCACGCTGAGACAAGACATAACCCAGATACCCCATCTGGTCAAACTCTTCCGCATTCTTTCCAACCCCAACGATCGCACTCGAAAATTGAAAGAACGTCTCAGTCTCCAGCATCATGCGCTCCGCTCCCGCTCCCTGGCCGCTTTTGCTTTCAGAGGCCGCTTTTGCTCTCAGAGGCCGCCAATCGCCGAAACAAACTAGGAGGGGAGGGGAGGATCAGGGACCTGGACCTGGACCCAATATCTCACTCAGGGTCCGATGCAGTCAATCTAACCGCCCAACCTATGAGCGTTGAAAGCGATGTCCTGGCGAGAATGGCGCTTGCAACAGATCAGATGCTGCTGAAAAAAGATAGGCAAGAATGATTGACATTGCCAGCGCATTTCTGAAATGATTGATTCTGTCGTTCGGTGTCATCATTGGCTTTGCTACTCTAAAAAAGCTGCATCCTCATCATGATCTGACCATTATCGTCGATCTTGCAGAGTTACGCCTTCTACCGCGCCACTTTGGAGATCGATCGACGACGAGGAGCCTGCCGTAGCACAGGAGCACCATTAACGCCCTAACCTTAACAGCTATGGTTATCTCCTGCCGTGGCTTGGGAAACTTTACCCACGGAACGGAACTTCTAGTGGCATCTGGGCGCACGCTAGACAGTCTATTGTTACGAATTGGGAGTGAACGGATCAACCACGTCTGACCGACAGAGCAGTGCCAATAATAATAATGATGCACTACTATCTCTCGCATGACCTCGAGTCAGACTGCAAGACGCGGCGGAAGCAATCCAGTCAATTTCCATCCCGCCTCAATCAAGCCAGCCGACCAACTGGTCTCTAAGTCCTGGAGGAATATTCAGAAGCAGGAAATCCATCGCGCATCGCATGGAAATCGTGGCACTTGGCTCAAGGCCTGGTCCCACAACGCCCAAGAGCTAGCTGCGATCAGAGAAGCGCTCTGCTATTTGCCCCAACCAGAGGAGAAAGTTTGGATCGCGCAACAATGGGTTGTCGACAGAGTTCAATGGACTTTCTAAATCCCCGATTTAGGGTTCCCATCAACTGTCACTGAAGCTTAGGTTGGAGCCTTATTCAAAGTCAAAGAGATTAAATCAACTTCATCTCTCGATTGAGCCTTACTTACTTACTCACGAGAGTATTAGAAGTGTCAGGAAAAGGGATCTCAGAACATGACTCCCAAGTTGAAAGTCGCGAGTCCGCACCATCAGTCCGCGTCGTCTACGCACAGCATCGCGACTACAGTTTTCGGGGAATTTTCCCGTTGTTTGTGCCGCTCTTCGACCGTGCCAATTGAAGACTGTGCTTGGTGCCCCATATTCACCGCTATGACATGTCGATGAATTGACGAGTGAGATCTTTGCCCATGATGCTGGGACCTGAGATTTTGACTTTCATAGATTTTGAGTTTGAGTTTCGACCCAAGTGGCGGCTTGTCCCTGGGGGAGATTGAAGTTAGAATGATCACGAAGCAATGCACATCGTGGGGGAACTGATATCACATGTCTACCACATCTTCAACAATTCCTCAGGGTCTTCGAGATATCAGCGAGGGAGTGTGACACAAAACATGGAGCTAGAATGTCTTAGCCAGCATGTTGGCATCAACTCGCAGGTAAGCTACTGCCGGTGAGGAGAATAAATATTACGTTACACCCCAACTGACTGAGCCCACCAGTGACCAGTAATGTATGAGGTGAGGATCAGCAAAGCAACTAGAATAGATCACATCGAACAGCTTTCAATCTGTGCGTGTCAACAACAGTAGTAATCAGTAGTCTCATCACAAGATCTACATTCCACGAAGGCTGGGTAGGCTTGCGTTGCCGTACACTTCAATTGAAATATTCACCCAGTCGGTATGATTGCCTAAAGGCCAAAGAGTAGCGTCCTCTATCTTTCGTCGTCATGGTGCAGCAGTCCAGACCAGATGCTCGGCAGAGTGGTGGCTTGATCGATACTACTGTCGGATCTCGCAGGTTTTACTACGACAACCTGTGTGTAGTTAGGCCGGCTGTGTCAAATTGTGCCATGCGCGAGACGCAGTGAGCGAGTGGCCCCCTGTCTCTGGAGAATGCGCGAATGCGCGAATGCGAGTTCGAATAATAACGCCATGACTGGGGTCAAAAAGACCTGGCGTTCCACGAATCCACAGTCGGCTTTGCCCAGCTTCCCTGCTTACTGCCCCTTTGATACCCTTGCTGCCCCATATTTTATATCGTTATTTCGATCATCTCACATCACGGAGTGTACCCATCTCGGTACCTTGAGCTATCCGCAAGCCGGAAAGACCTTCCTTCGCCTTGCCAAATCTTTGTATCAATTTGGCGCGCGCTGTCGGAATGCCGCTTGAATACCGGCAGACAACAAGAATGGGCTTTTAAAAATTGCAGGAATTTTGATCTGCTTCCGGGACGTCCGATTGGCTGTGATGATGCCCTGGTGGTCGTGAGTAGCTTGCGAATCTTCTCGTGGAGAACTGGGCCGGGAATTGTGGTCTGTTTACCGTCTTGCACCAGATACAAGTAAACGTATAGAACCGAGTGCCGAATTGACTTCTCACTGGCAGTAGTGCCAAGTCGATACGTGGACAATGTAATTACCTTGGTATTTTCGATCCTAGGGAGAGCAGCAAGCACAAACACTAAAAAGCCCAGTCAGGTCACAACATTCGCTATTTCGGCACGCAAAATACTCCACATAGCGAATACCTTCACTGGGTCTACCTGAGCAACTTATCCCCACCTTGCCATACCCATTCACTCTCACGTCACACAGAAGAGTATTCTGGGAATTCCAACAGAGCGGGAGTTTCGTTCGACCAAGCAGTCGGGTTTCTAAGAACCACATGAATGGTAACTCTAAGAATAACAAGTCTGGGCAACAAAGCAATTGGGTTTCTGATGCGTTAAAATGCCCCTCCAAGAATAAATCTTCGAGCAATCAATCAGTTGATGGGTCTTGTTTCGCTCCAGCAATCCCCCTGAAGAGATGGACAGCAGGGCTGAGAGCACAGGATCTTATTATTAGAACCACAAAATGATCGATGGAGAATGGATATTGGGGGTTTTGGATTGAGTGAGTGAATTGTAGGTGCCATGAATAAGAAGTGGTCCATGGGTATCAAACGATGACTGACCAAGGAGCTACCATACCGTTCCGTCCGTTATTTTTGCATCACAACGTCACAGTGCAAGGCAAGGAAGGAGTTACAGAGATTCTTCTGAGTCGTTCTGTGATGATAAGTTCACTGGCAAAAGACAGAAAACAGTAACTCTGGGGACGTATCTGAACACTTCTGCTCCTGAGTTGCATATTTGAAGGGTAAGATTTAGTTCTGTCTGTATCGAGCGAGCTTGGGTTCCAACTCAGGGATGGCCTACAGCCACGGCATGATGTATGGGCAAGAGATATGGTGTGGTGAGTAGGGCAGCGACATAGCCAGACTTAGCAGGGCTGGTTTGATTGGACTGGGTCGATCTTGGGCTCTTGGGCGCGGTTCTTCAGCGAACGGTAGTGTAAGACACGGCCAGCTAACCTTGCCTTGCTCGCCCTTGTCCTGCAGTACAGATGGAGGTGCATGTATCCATGCTGTACCGCCGCATTAGGCCCAGTCCCAGTCACCATCGGGACCCTGGAGCTTGAATCGAGTCCTTGTGCTGCGCTCGCTTCGTCCGGCTCCGCCAACGTCTTTCGCTTCTCCTCGTCACTTACTGACTGCTCTTGGCCAACAGTCTCATCTCCTTCAGTATTGCTGTACCTTTGCAGATAGTGTTGGCTGTGTTCAGAAGCGATGTGTGTTTTCCTGTATGTACTGTGGTTTGTACTCAAGACTCGTGGCTGGCAGCACTTCCACTTCTCTGTCATGGACCCCCTGTTGTTCCCCCCCCCCCCCCCCCTTCACGACTCCTACAGTAGGAGCTAGGGCAGCGGTGGGCAACGGTCCACAGCCTTTTTGGTCCCTGTTGCTCCTCCCCCCCGTCTCTCCTCATCAGTGCGCCACGCGCTATCTAGTGTGCAAGTAGTTTCGCGCCAGGTGTGTTGGATCCCTGCTTCCTCGAGGAAAAGAGCTATGGACTTGGAGGAAACCCTGTCGGGCTTTGTGGACTCTTCCCTGCCCTACCTGCGGGAGTGGAGTGGAGTGGAGTGTAGAGAGCACAGTACAATAGCAGTAGTGAGAGAGTCTGTGTGAGGTCTGCTTACGGACTCCTTCCCTCAAGGGCCTCAACGGCCTCAACAGTAGTCAAGACTCTCGAGATCCAAGCTATGTTCTATGTGTCTTAGCGGACGGTAGTCGCCGCCTCTGTCCCCTACTCTACCCTTACCCTTACCCATACCCATACCCCAACCCCGGCCTGGATTTGTTTATGAGTTGAATGAATCGCAGACTTGCCTTTCCCTTTCCTGTTTCTTAACCCTCCCTTGCCCTTGTCCCTGCACGCCGCCCACTTCAAAGTGTCTGATATTCCTCCCTGTCCTCTCCTTGCCTACCCTGGCCCAGAGTTACCCTGCTCTGCTCTGCTCTGCTCTGCCCTGCCCTGCACTTTCCCTCTTTCTCCTCTCCTCTCCTCTCCTCTGCTCTCCTCTCCTCTCCTCTCCACGGACACTTACTGCAGCACTCCACCACGGTACTTCTCGGTACTACTCAAGAGCAACGCAGGACGGACAGGCTTGAGCAAAGCCCCCGAACCCAGCAACCTCAGTCCTCCAATATCGATCGAGCTGGTAGCACTTGGGAGCTCCACTTTCCGGGCTGCCAGTGCCAACCCCCAAAACCTCCCGCCGCGCCGTCAACCTTACGACCTTACCTTACCTTAATATCCAAAGCTTTCCAGCAGCCTTCTTTCTTCACTACTGTACTGCTGTAAATTTACTTGCATGCTGTTCTGCCCAGACTTGTGCTCTTCCAGCCAAGCCATCACCCCTCAAATATCTGGCTCAGCCTCTCCGCGTCGTCGTCGTCGTCCTCGTCTCGTCGCCGCCATTCTTACCTTACCATTCGTGCTGTTTCTCGTCCTCCTCTCGACTCTCGGCTGCGCGTCACTCATTCTCGCTCGTCCCTAGTCCATCCCGGCATACCGCAGAGTCAACGGCATTTGTGTTGCTCCAGGATACCCGACCTGGATAGGGCTCCCCTTGGTCACCCCCGATTGTGCCAAGCGAACCTTGAGAGCAGACAAAACGGAGAGCACGTACATTCTACAGCTCACCTCACCTCACCTCACCTGCACCCTGTCCTACCCTGCGAACCCACCATCCCCTTCCCTTCCTCCCCTCCCCGTCCGTTTCTCGCGGGATCAGAGCAAGACCTTCCGCATTGCGCTCTTCTCGTCCACGGATGCTCTACCATCAGCTTCTTCGGTCGAAACAACCTTCGGCCCATCCCTTCGTCCTCGCTCTTGAACATTGGTCAGCGAACTAGACAGAGACCAAAAGCCAAGGCATAAACATACCCATCCAGCTCTACCCTCCCCTACCTGAGCAGGGAACATAAAGCTCACACTTGCAGTTGCAGTCGATCCGAACCTCCCTCTCCACCAGCATCCCACCGCCCCGCCAACTGAAGGTTTGATAAAGAAGTCCTTGCTCCCCATTCCCCGAGGAGCATCGGGGCATCGACTGAAGCCATTCCTTTCCACTTCAGGGATAACGTCCGACGACATCTCATAATATTCTCTGCTACTTCACCTCGACCTCCTAAGTGAACAAGCAACCACCATTTTCTCCCCCCAACACTCCATACCACATCCATAATGGCATCCGCATCACCACTCTCACCGACCTTCTTTGGTCATATTGCTTCTACTCAGGATGCTCTTCTTCTTTTCGAGGCTTGTCTCAGCGGTGCACTGAATCATGTTGCGCGCCGTCCCCATGATCGCGAGAGAGTCAGCCTGATCAAGAGTGGAAATGTCTTCATCTACGAGGAGCATTCATCCGGCATTAAAAGGTGGACTGATGGCGTACCGTGGAGTCCCAGTCGGATCTTGGGCAACTTCCTTGTGTACCGTGAACTGGAACGACCTTTCCCACCTGGAGAGAAGAAGAGGGCAATGAAGCGCAGCAAAAGATCCCCAGGCATCAGCAAGCCGGAACCTTTTGGTGGAAGTGGCATGAGCAATGGCTACAATCCCGCTTCAGCAGCAACGTCAACCTTTGATCCCCAAAACCCCAACTCTCTCAGCAAAGAAACAGAGCGTTCCTTGATTGGATCCTTGGTAGATTCTTATGGATTCAAGGAAGAAGGTCTGGTAAAGAAGACTGTCAGCGTTACCGTTGGGGGTGTCTCTCACCATCTTGTCTCGTATTACACCGTCGCAGATGTTATGAACAACAAATTTACGACACCTTCAAAAGATCCCAGGTTCCAGCATATCACGCCCAGACCTGATCTCATCACGAAGCAGAATTTCCGAACACCAATCGACGAGGTCGACTCCATGGACCGAATTGACGACCGATCAGTTTACGCCAGCTACCCGTATGCCCGCAACGGCTACGAAATGACCAACCAGACAATATCACATCGACCAATGTCACTCCCTACACCCCCCATCACCTACGGGTCAAACTCGAGCATGTACAATGGGTATGGGCAATATGATGGCCTCGGGCAAGGTCAACCTCATGGAGGATACCCAGGGCAATTTGGACACTCTCCAGGCCTCTACCCTGCGGTCAAGTCTGAGAGCTATGACGCTGGCGCGTATAGAACACAACGATACAATTCCGTCATTGGCATTGGTTCTGATCCATCCAGGGCTCAAGTGCCACCAGTTACTACCAATTTTGCACGTCGCTCCTCCAATTACGATCAGGGTGGCTCTGTTGACTCCGGGCTCTCCGGCATGTCTTCCTCCTCATCCGATTCAAAGCTCACAAATGATTCCGGATACTCCTCGCAAGGATTCTACGGTGGCGGCATGAGAGACTCGAACCCTTCGCACAGCTACTCAGCTAGGTCCCTGCCAACACCAACTCACCAAACAACTTTTGAGCGAGTACCTTCTCAATCATACAGTGGACCAGAGACTCCGAAGAGTGAGAACATGTGGTTGGGCCATCCGGGACTTGGTGGCAATTCGAGCGTTGGTCACGGTCATTACATAGCGCCTCAGCAACAGTGGGCCAGCACCGGTACATCCTAGTTTGCTCTCATTCTATGGAGGAACCAAAAATCATATATTGACGAATTTCTTTGGACTGTGGTATTAGTGCGGAGATCTGAACCATGAAGGCTATTCTATTGGCGTACTTGGGCAATTCGGATGGGATCATAGGCGGGAGAGGCTTTGGGTTTCATGGAGCGGCATACCCTCACTTTCGCACTAAAAATGTTCGGATCGCTCTACTATCGTTTTGCTTTGGACGACGTACAAATTCGGGGCGTATTTGGGGCATGTATTCTTTGTAATGTACTTTTTTATTGTCGTTAAACACTATAGAAGAAGGATACCAGTGGATCGCTCCCAAAATACTTGAAATGAACTATGTTCAAGCCATATCAAATCACATGTTGAAGCTTCTCTTGAACGAGTATGTTATGTTTTGAGCGGTTCGGAAATTTGTCGCCAATAGTGGCAGGGATCGAGGTCAAGATTTGGATCTCCCAAATACGATCTCTAGACATTACGGCAGCCCCTTCAGTGAACTTGATGCGGGAACATGATCTCGAATCATGCGAGGTTCGAGCAGGGGCGAACAAGTGACGGAATTCTCCATCTGAACCAATCCGTTCGCATTCCAGGTGCCTGCAACAGGGTACATAACGTTACAGAGCATGAGCTTGACAAATGTCAACTGCTACAGATGCTAGCCATATCCAATGAAGAGACATTTTCATATTGGGCACAAATCTGTCAAGATCCCTACAGGTTGGAGTCTAGATCGTTCTCTGAGACTTCTAAATGCTGGGATTGGGTTGCTGCATGCAAGCTGGGAAGGTTGTGTGACTTGTGTCTAAGCAGAAGTGCAACATATTGGGAACCATCCATTTGTGGTCTGGGAAATCAACAGGAACGAACACGACGAACAAACACCAGTCATCAAAACCTAAGCTATGTTCTCGTTATGCCGTTTGGCTGTCCCAAGAACAGGTGTCGTCAGGAGGATTAAGTTTAGGGCTGGTGGGATGGCTTGGTAATGGCACCGTACGTTATGCAAGTAGTGCCTCCCAGGTTTAGGAGCGGGAGGGGTGAGGCTGGCATGGGGGCGGGAATAATTTGATACTCGAAGAACGGTCGGGAAGGATGAACGGGAAAAATTGTACAAGATAGGATAGGATGGACACGAAGCAGGGTTGCGATAGGCCTACATCAAGCGTTATGATCTTGCGGACTTGTCTGGGGTAGAAGGGTTCGGTACAAGAACCGAGCGTGCCTTATCGAAGAAGGGCTCAAAAGCTTCCCCTTGCCATCAGTCCAAATGCGGGTTTCACGCCGAAACTCTGAAAGTCCAAAGTGCTAATGCAGCGCCAAAACTCTAAGTGCTCCACCAATTGCTGGTGCTCCTGGTCCAAACTTGCCCGTTTCGAGAACGTGCTCCGAAGCAGCGATTCTTGAGAGCGGTGCGGTACGGTAGGGTGGCCGAAAGTCAAATCCAAATCTAAAAGTCAATGCCGTGTCTACTACTAAGTAAAAGCCGGCGCAGGAGTAGTGGAGTTAAATAATGAGGATGGGTGGTATGGTATGGTGGTATCTGGAGACGGTAGTGCATGGGTGCGGGTGGACGGGCGTCCGCAGCACAAAGTCGATCCGGCTCGCCTGAACGGTAGGTGCAGTCGCGCGCCTAGAGACGGCGCCTAAAGACTTGGCACTCGCTTAAGACCTGTTTTCGCAGGGCAGGGAACTCTTTGAGTTTTGGCTTCTAACGGCCACGGGGGTGAGGCGACTCAGGACTCAGGAGGCAGAACGCAGGAGGCAGAACTCAGAACTCAGAACTCAGAACTCAGAACTCAAGAGTGGACGTGGACGTGGGATTGCAAGTGGACGTGGACGTGGACGCTCGCTTGCTTGTATTATTGGGACCTCGTAACGCTGGCACTCTTTCCGATACCGCCTGCTTGCCTGCCTGCCTGCTTGCCTGCTTGCCTGCCTGCCTGCTGGCCTCCGTGCTCTGAAACCGGCACTTCTCTCCATCTAACTTTCTCGAGCACCGTTCTATTCGTCGCCCTACTCTTCTTTTGTTCCGCCATTCCTTCGACCTTCCTCTTCCATCTATCTACCCTACACAACGTGCTCGCGCTACCATGCGATAGCCATGATGCTGTCTCGGAAACCCGGCCCCTGCCTTCAATGGGCTCAGGGAGCTGCTCGTATCTACAGCAGACGATTGCATCCAGCACCAGCACCAGCGCCAGCACCTGCTGACTCGAAATTCATGCTATCCCAAGGCTTGGCGGTCCTTCCCCAGAGCTCGGCCTTCCTGACGTCGTCGTCACTGTGGACGTGTACTCGATCCTCACGATGCATCGAGCGTTCTTGGCACAAGTATGTTATCAATTTTCCTGCCAAGACAATACCTACACAGCCAGCCTCGGCAGCCTGATGTTGATTTGAGATTATTAGGACTCAACTCAATTTCCTGCGGCACAAGGGCCTTCCCTACTCCACGTCCAAACAACCGGGTGACACCCAAGTGAACCAAAGGTATGCTGGAGGGTGATTTCCTTGTTTCATTGCCTCGATGTTCTTAGTCTGGCTAGGAATTCTCCCATCGCCAAGAGCATGGGATTTCGCCGATCACGTGTGCCACCTCATCCTCGACAGAGCTGGTATTCACAAGGCGCAGCAGCAAGACGATACTAACAGCTTCGATCCAGATCTACGGCTGCTGACCCCAAAAAGCCGCTTCTCAAAGTCCTTACGAAGATAACCCCACATGAGAACATCTACACGATACCTAACATCCTCACATTTTCTCGTCTCATAGCCGCACCAGTTGTGGGGTATCTCGTCCTCCACGATCATCATGCCTGGGCAGTGGGTCTCTTCGCATATGCTGGAATCACGGATCTAGTTGATGGCTGGATAGCCAGACGGTGGAACCTTCAGACCGTTGTGGGAACTGTCATTGACCCGATGGCGGACAAGACTTTGATGACGATTCTAACTGTGTGCCTTGCCATCAAAGGCGCTCTCCCTGGTAGTTCCAACCCGTGAACTCCGTTCCCGGACTACAATTACTGACCCACGATAGTCTGGCTCGCTGCCATTATTCTTGGGCGTGATGTTGGCCTTGCAATCACAGCCATATACTATCGCTGGATATCCCTTCCTCCGCCGAAAACATTCGCGCGATACTGGGACTTCTCCTTGCCATCAGCAGAAGTTCATCCTACGACCATCAGCAAGTATAACACTGCTCTACAACTGGCTCTGATTGGGGCCACAACGGCCATGCCGCTGGTGACTGTTGATGTTTCAACGGCAATGACGGCTATGCAGTATGTTAATACCCTGACTCGCTCAAGGACCTTCTGCTCTTTCGTTCCTCGACTCAGTGTAGACAAACTGCTGACTTAGCTACTCCAGATATCTGGTTGCAACTACTACGGTGTGGAGTGGCGCGAGCTATATCTACTCGAAAGATGCCGTGAAGATTTTGAATCAAGAGAAGGAACCCCAAGCTGGAGAAGCCAAGGGGAAGAAATGAAAATGTAACATCAGTTTGTATAAATACATAGCTCTGCCAAGCGAGCATTGAGCATTCTCGAGACGACAATGTCCCGCAGGGCGTTCCATCCGGAGGACAGCATAGTGTATATAAGCCATTTTGACTCCTTGGACATTCAAACAATCTCTGTTTATGAAGAAGTTCTGCTGAAACTTTAGACTGGCCAGTCTCTGTTGCCTTCCAAGTCTTCCATTCCACAACACCACAGATCATCATGCCATCAGCATTGTAGGGTTTGGAAGATCCCAGCCAGAAGCTGAGTATTGAGAGAGATCATTATCGTCTTCATCATCGCCTTCAACTACATTAAGGCATATCTCTGCGTTCCCACAACAGAACAGCCCCAAAGATCCTTTGTTTTTTTCAGATATCCCCATTCCTGCCCTTAGCCCAATCACTGCTCTATCGTATATTGACATTCTATCACACGAGCCATTGAAAGCTGGGAGACATTCTGCTCTTACTTGCGGACATCTCCACACCCAACCCTCCTCGCTCGCTCTTTCTATCGGCTCGATGTTGTTATCTGCTCGTATATGTCCCAGTGGTCTTCTTCCACTACTCCTATTGTGCCCCCTTTTCCTGCCAACTCAGAGCAGCACGTATCGTCAAAAATGTCCACTTCGTACCAAGAGATGGCACTGACTGGTGCTCCAAAGCTTCTTGAGCCTCTCCGCTAAGCAGCTCCGCTAGATGTTAGACGCCTGGTGCGAAAGTAAACAATGGCCGTAGAAAGCCAAATCGACTTTGAGTAGTTTCAGATGGAATGAAACTTTCTGCTGCTTAATTTGAGACATTCCACTTGGCTGGTTGGACAGAATGTGGTGGTCAAAACGGGAGACCTTGCCAGACGGTAGCTGAAGGCTGCTTTAATCATTGAAAGCTAAAGGAATGGAATTCTGAACTTGATAGATATCTATAGCAGTCTGTCTAGAAATCGACTTCATGCTTGTGATCCATAGTCGTTTGCTCAGGGGACATATGTGTACGATGAAGGAAAGTTTAGCTTGTAACAGCAGGGAATTCAATTATATTCCGGGGGATTGAACTTCGATCCAGTTGAATATAGTAGAACATGATGTCCGAAGCTGCCAGTGAATGATATAAAGACAGGGACGGAGTATGGTGGATATCTATTGGATCCTTATGGATGATGAAATAGTTGCCTGGATGCTTCAACAGTAACTGCTGGCGACACCTGTCATTCCAATAACTCGAGCCTAGCCAAGGTTCTGGCAATACAGTCAGCTTCTTAGTCTTCGATCTTAAGCTCTGATACTTGCCAGCATTTGCCAATAGGCACATTACATTGGTGGAAGTAGAGATTGTGAAGTTTCCCAGCCGCGCAGCGGCATCATGATATATTGGCGAGCTAATATGAGTCCATATCACGCACTTCCAGACAGACAATAGCGATCTCATCAACAGCCAGGGACATAGGGCAGCAATATAACTGTTGATTTGCGGCATTAAGCGAGTAGATTGTTGTATTGATATACTTCATTTCACTGAACTCCAAACACCTCATCATGACACCCCCGCTCAAAATCACCTTCTCCCAGTCTCCTTCCGTAACCTACCAGCCGCAGTCGTAGGTGGAGGCTCAGGCCAAGATGACACCGCATCCTCCATTTCTTCCAAGAAAGTCGTGCTGTTGTGTACAGTGGTCCCGCCAATGACAATGCGAACACCTGGTGACGAAGCATTAAGTTGAGACACCGTCTTCGCTTCTTCGAATGTGACGCCTCCAACAATGAATAAGATGATATCTTGAGGCTTGTCCCTCGTTGATCCGCCTCCTTCCACGAATGGGTACTGTTGCTCCCTGAGACGGCCTTTGATGAGATTTTGAAGTGTTAGTTCCAGGCGAGGCGCGTGTTGAGTGTAGACATTCTCTACTCCTTTGAGTCCTTTGAAGCGGTCTCGAGCACCTGAGAAAATGCCAGCTGATTCGAACATGTCAGAGATACCTCCCGCAGACTGAGTCTGTTGCAAGGACGAATGGTAGATGAGCAGCTTCGCGATGAGATCGATTCGCCGCTGTGGAACATTCCCAGCTGCACCGAGTAGGTCCACAAGTATTGGCAGTGCATTTTGAGGATGCTTCTCGTATCTGAGAGAGTACAGCGCGACTAGGCGAAGCTTAGAATCAGCAGTAACCGTTGGTGACTGAATGAGCCTTTGGACATTCTGGACACTGTCAGTCTCAGGGAAGGGGGTGTCTTGACGAGCTCGTTACCTTCAAATCACTAGCATGGTTATCATTACATGCTAGACTTTGCTCAACCTCACTGACTTCCAGCAGATTTTCCGCTCCAACTTTCCTGCTCAACTCGCCAACCAGCGTTACATGCTTACTCACGTTACCGGAAAGCTTTCGAAATTCTGGATACTCTTCAATGAAGCGCTTCATGTCCGCTATTGATTCGATATTCGAACTGTTCTTGGTTTTGGACTGGTATTGCTCGACGTAATCTTTAATGTTTCCACCAAGGTCTCCGAAGTTGAGATACATGTTCTTCTTGAAAAAGGGGTCTTGATCTTGAGACAGGACAACCTCCTTGAGCTCTGGTCGAACATCTGGAACATCGCTCAGATCCACTCTCCCATTCTGGATACCAAGTAGTTCATGGACCATTGCCTGGTACGTCCATTGGGTAAGGAGAGGCGTGATTGGGTCATCCCTCCGATCCAAGATGAGGAGTATCGGAGGTGTATCGACTTTCCTGAAATCAAATAACTGATCCTCTTGAGTAATATGGTACCGAATTTCCGTAGCCAGTTTCTTAGCTAGCAGGCTGTTCTTCTCATACCGTATCAGAGGCTTCTTCTTCAGTGATAAAAGCACTCCAATCAAGCCTTCCGTTGTTCTCTGCAAAGCATCTGTATTCCACATATCTGGATTCGAACTCCAGATCCGCTGCCTTGGAAATGCCAGGTCCAGAGTGAAGAGGTCTGGATTGACAACGATGTAATCTGCGAAATGCTCCTGCACCACTCTCACAACTTCATGATCGTCCGCCTCAGCCAGGCGCTCCAGCGATGACTTCTTGACCACATTACTGAAATATATGTTGTACTCGCCGTACTTGGGTTCCCGAAATTCGTCTATGAGGAATTGTATCGAATCTGCAGAAGGTCGCACGAAACACAAACACCGCAGATGCCTCATCTTCTCCCGATTCTGATTGTCTAGCCGGTCTATCAGATAAACTTCATGGTTCAGCAGCGCAGATTGGGTGATCGCTGTCGAGACTATAGATACAGTGTCGCTGTCCAACAGTAAGATCTTCATCTTGGCAGCTGGAGTTCCTGATGCGCTATCTCCGGCAGAAACCATCTTGGAGATGTACCCCGATACTGCTTGTACGACGTCCATGGTGTCAAGGTTCGAGCAGTATTCTCATCTCTTCCAGGTCTTAAACCCTGCCACCCAAGTCAGGAGCTCGATGGGTGCGGTTCTCGATCGAAAGGCCCGACCGGGCTCGTCGTGTGTGGTTTGAAGCTGCAGACAGTCCTTTCCAGTATTTGTACTGCCTAGCCTCACTCTTGCGCCAACAGGTGGCTTGTAAATTCGAGTATGGAGGGGTAGAAGACGGAGGTGGATGAGGCTGGTCGCAATTGTTCTAGAGAGCCGATCTATCAAATCCTTTCAGTCGAACAAGATGGAAACCAACTCCTTGTAGTGTGCCCTAAAGACGCAATGTAGCACCATGGGAGTGTGAATGTTGCGGCGCAGCAATACAATTCCTCAAGGCAGTCACAATTCGAACAGGTAAGTTACAGAACAGATGATCTCAAGTCCCAACAGCGGAGTCTACCTAGTACCTTGCTAGGGAGCAAGGGCGTCAGCTAGCCCTGTTACCCGTAGCACGCGCAAACACCCGCCTGACCGCGGCAAATAGCGCCGAGGTCCCCTGACGCCCAGCCCAGGCGTTAGCTCTGCTGTGCTTCTGATCATACCTTAAGCTTTGTCCCACCAAAACCAAAACCAAAACATCTCAACCTCCACGTCAAGAAGCTCTGATCCTGTTCCACCGTCGCTGATGGAGAAACGATAGCACCAAAGCGCAACATCCGCATCTTGTTCTGCAGCTTCCAAAACTTACCAGTACGGCACAATGCTGCCCTACATCAATCTCCGTAAGGCCCAAGAGAGATGTTCCCTCGTTCTAATGCGGCCGCGTCTGACGTCAACCAGCTTTTCAGTATGCTGCTGGCATGTTGGGAGCTTCAACAGATGAACGTAAGTTATGAGGCAACTAGCTTTCCTTGCTCCTGCAGAACTTGATTGACAATCAATAGTCAAGCTCATCACCTCCTTTTTGCTCTCATACCCGCTTGCTGGGCTGTTGAAGCGGGTCCCAGACGACAAGCCATACCTGAAGAACCTCTTCACAATAGGGCAAGTCCTCTTTCATCTAAACATCAAAACTACTGCTAACGAATGCAGTGTATCTACATTCTACCTGGTTGGACTCTTCGACTTATGGAGCGGCGTAAGAACCCTAGCTATAAGCTCCATCGGCGCCTATTCCATCGCACAATATGTTGATGGGCCTTTCATGCCATGGATTGGCTTCGTTTTCCTCATGGGGCATATGTCCGTGAGCCATCTAGCACGTCAGTGGGTGAATGACCCTGGAGCTGTGGATATCACAGGTGCACAAATGGTTCTCGTTATGAAGCTTACGGCTTTCTGTTGGAATGTGGCGGACGGTCGACTACCAGAGAAAGACCTATCCGATTTTCAGAAAGAGAGAGCCCTTAAGAAGCTCCCAAGTCTCCTAGACTTTGCAGGTTATGTTTTGTATTTCCCAGCTCTTTTTGCAGGCCCGGCTTTCGACTATGTGGACTACAGACGCTGGATCGAAACTACAATGTTCGAAGTTCCACCTGGGGTGTCACCTTCAAAGAAGGCTCCAACGCGAAAGAAGAGAAAGATTCCTCGGAGCGGTACTCCTGCTGCTTGGAAGGCAGCAACAGGACTTTTCTGGATTCTGCTGTTCTTGAAATTGAGCGGCTGGTACTATCCTAATTTATTAACTGGCGACAAATATATGACCTATGGTTTTGGTCACCGGATCTGGCTTCTTCATATGCTTGGGTTTACCACCAGACTGAAGTACTACGGTGTATGGGCTCTCACGGAAGGTGCCTGTATTCTTTCTGGTCTTGGTTACAAGGGTATTGATCCAGTGACTGGGAAGGTATCATGGGATCGACTACGAAATGTGAATCCTTGGGGTGTCGAATCTGCTCAGAATACCAGAGCATACCTGGGAAATTGGAATATGAACACGAACAATTGGTTACGAAACTACATCTACCTCAGAGTAACTCCTAAAGGAAAGAAGCCAGGATTTCGTGCTAGCATGGCAACTTTTGTCACCAGTGCATTCTGGCATGGATTTTATCCCGGTTACTACTTGACATTTGTCCTTGCGAGTTTCGTACAGACAATAGCAAAGAGTAAGTCCCTCATCCTTTCTTATAAAGACTTATCCAATACTAACAAAATCACAGACTGCCGACGCTACTTCCGTCCTTTCTTCCTCGACCCCAAAACTACCCAACCAACATCATACAAAATCTACTACGACATCTTCTCCTACCTTATAACCCAGCTAACTTTCTCCTTCACCACTGCGCCCTTCGTTCTCCTCACGCTTCCAGCCTCCTTCCTAGTCTGGGCACGGGTCTACTTCTACGTCGTAATCCTCACCGCTCTTGCAACCGCCTTCTTTGCTTCGCCCGCCAAAGCCATTCTCATCAAGAACCTCAACAAGAGAGCAGGGACCACTGGCCCACTGCAGAGGACGCATAGCCAAGATAGTCTGGCGAGTAAGGAGCCCGTGCTTGGACTGCCCAGTGAGCCGCAGAAGGATTTGGAGGAGTTGATGGATGAGGTCAAGAGGGAGATGGAGGCGAGACAGAGGAGGGGTAGTTTGAAGAAAGCGGCTACTGTGCCGGCGGGGAAGGCGAAGGCGATTTGAGCCGTTTGAACCGGTCTGTTCCAACTTGATTGACGGAAGGAAGTGTTTGAGCAAGGAAGGGGCCGCGCCAGATGTGCGTCTGCTTAAGCGCTATGCTGTTGACGCATAGAGGGGATGAACCCGGGACTTGGTGGGGCCGGGGGCCCAAGACTGGCGTCTCGAGACACAGTGCCGCCTTCAAACATGAAGCGTGAGAGCGAAACTCAATGCAAAATATACAGAGCACATGTGCTCAACTGTAGTAAAACTATACCCCAAATACACGGTCACATGAAAAGACACAAGCTTCCTTTCATTCTCGTGGATCTAAGCGAGACCAGCAACTTCGCAACTCTAAACAATCGTCACTGATCGAGGAGCTTCACAGATGGTTGTTAATTGTTAAATATTCTATTCATTGTCGTTCTCGTCCTTCCCCCTGCCTCTCTTATCTCTCTCCTCGCCCTCCAATTCCTGCTCTTTTCAGAGCACTCGATTACACTAATTGAACCAAGCGCCATATTTCTCGTCTCCCCTCTCTATCTAAACAAGTCCTCAACGGGCGTGAAAGAAATACCCAGTCGCATCTCGCATAGTTCGTAAACCAGAAAACATTCAAAGTTCCGCATTCAAGAGGGTATAATGGTCGCAACCCGCCGCCTTTCCCATCCCAGTTCTTTAGTTGTGGCAAGTGAGGTAGGCAATAGTTCATCTTCGTGATGCAATCGTCTAGACCTGACCCGTGCCAATCGTCCAAGGTGTGTTGTATGTATAATGTACAGAAAATCGGAAATTGTAAAATAGGTGGTAATAAAATGTGTAGTGATGTGTGATTGCCGTAAATGGAACATGGTAAATGAGATCTAGTGTCGCTTTTGATATGTGATGTAGGAAATATGATGTGTCTATTTGTGACAAGTGTGGATGAAATTCGTGAAGTGATGTGGCGTGAGGTAGACGATCGGAGGCGCTTTTCACCACCCTGAATTGACGCCAACGACTACCAGAACAGCCTGCCATGCATTAGTTACGTGCAATGACAACACACAATGAAAGATAACTTACGATAGCAGCCAGGACAAGTACTCCAACAAAAGACATGCACCGATTCAACCTGCGCCACCATTTCGCGCTCTCATATCGTGCCTCGTCCATTGGGCCGAATTGGCGCGTATAATCGTTCGGCGTTTCGTGCTGGTTCTCGCGGTCGTAAGAGCTGTCCAGGTTGCTCCGACTGTTGTCCCGCTCGCTCATGTTGCGTAATGGACGCGGGGGGAGGGGAAGGAGAGCTGCAATCATCCATGCTGCAGATATGAGTTAGCAAGGGATTCTAGCATTCAACTTTGGTAGCGTGAAAGACTTACAAAAGGGGAAAATAAACCCCACAATAAACATTACTATTTGTACATTCCGTCGTCCGAACCATCCACCTTCAGTAGACCAGTTCACTGACGGCGGTTCCCAGACACTTCGACGGGTAGCCCGTCGATCGAGTCGTAGGTGTGGTGACCAGATGCTCGACATGCTCCATGTCCTAAAGCGTCTCGAGTATGGGTCATTGGTATTAAATCGGCCATCATCGTCCCTTCGAGGCGCCGGAGTGATCTCCATCGACCCCCGCGTCGACTGACCATTCATCTCCCGCAGTCGCCGCCGCGGACTGTATATACTTAAAGGAAAGTGATCCGTGTTGGGTGAGCCTGTTCGGAAAGAATTACTGCGGCTGTCGGTCCCCTCCGTGGAACTTCCTGGCGCACCTATATATCGCCTTTCTCCACTTCCATAGTACAGCTTCGCCCAAGTGGGTATGGATCCAGCGAGCAAGCTGTTCGCTCGTGAACTGTTGGTTGAACGCATGGTGTTCGTGCGGCCGTTGTCCGAAGATCCACTATTGAAATAGCTGGATAGTCGCGTCCGAGACGGCCTCGCCCGCAAGTCCTGCATATCCGTGATCCCATCTCCATACTCGTCTAGGTCCTCAACCATCCTGATCGAAGAAGTGCTATTGTGACGTCCACCCCGCGCAAACGCTGGGGCTGGAGCTTCGATCGAATCGGTTCGTGATCGGGAAGAATGTTCCTCTTGAGCGACGGAAGAACTGATGCTCAACATCTGCCTGCTGTGCCGACTCTGCGAGCTCGGGTATCCGCTGCTCCTCCTGCCATTGTCGCTCGATGCCCACGAGCGGGAGTTTCGATCGGTGCCGCCATCCGACACCGAGAGCACAGTTGACAGCTGTGAGCTCCATTGATGCGGGTGCTCGTTCATGTGTGACCGCGGTGGGTGTAAACTTAGACTTGGAGGCTCCGCCCATGAACTCGACCCCTTAGGTTTCTGTTTGAGGATGGGTAATTGTATGAGTGCGCCACTGCCTACGATTGCTCGGAAAGCTTCCTGTTGGCTAAGTACGGTTGAAATCGATGTCAGGGAACCAGTTCGAAGTGATTCTCTGGACCGAGACTTGTAGTATCCTAGGGTTTCGTTGGATCTTCGACTCCAGAGTTTGGTATTGAGCGGAGGTACAACGAGAGATTCTTGTGAATATCTTGCCCGGTGTCTGAGGTCGGTGTAGGAATTTTCTGGAGAGAGGTCTCCGTGTAACTCGTAGTTGCTGTGTTCTTCTTCTGACGGTGAAGTACGTGGACGGTAAATGACAGACTCGGGTGGGGAAGATTCTCCAATTACTTGGTAGTTGGAACCGCTGGATGACGGAGGTGCAGCGTCAGAGTTCGTGGCAGAGTCTTCACCGTAGATTTTGTAATTGGTATTCTCCGAGGTGGTTGTGGTGGACTCCGTAGATACAAAGGACGGTTTAGTGGAGAGATCGTGCGACACAGAGCCGGTAGGTGTTCCGTCTGATGTCTCTGGCAGAGGTGGGAGAGGGCTTTCCGACGAAGTAGCGGCTCTCTGTTTGAGGTCTGGAGTTTTGGGCACCTTTCGAAGACCGCCAACGAGCTGATAGTTCCAGGGAGAGTTGGTTATATGATCTGCAGATATAGGTTGCTTATTACTTTGCGAGGCTGATGGGGTGGCAGGAATCACAGCTGATGACGCTTCCGGAGCGCATAAATTCGTGGAATTAGATCTATTTCTTGCATTACCGGTATTCAAGGGGAGCGAGTCGGACGACTTTTGACTGGCTGAGAAGAGGGAAGTAGGCGATTTCGAGCCATCGTCTACCGATTGAGGTGATTGGGGGTCGTCTTGTAGCAGGGAGAAAGTCTTGTTGTCCTTGTGAATGTGCAGGCGCTTCTTTGCAGGGGGCTTCGGCCGCGAGCTGGGAGATCCTGTAGCAGAACTGGGCCTCTGAGGCTGATGTGTATGCGTTGTTGAGCCAGAAGAGGTACTGGCACCACTGAAGCTCCTCTGTGCTTGGACAGTGGTGGTTCGTTGAAACTCCTCGTCTAATGCAGGAGTGTGTGATCCCTGCCCGAGCCCCAGTCCTCGTTGCAGCCCCTGTGTCTTTTCCTTGCCCTTGGCTTTGCCGGGCCCTAGAAAGTGACTTGGATGAGTTGGGAGGGGAGTCCGTGAATAGATCTCGTCAATTCCATCTCGTCCGAGGAGTTGCGGAGGAGTCGAGGGCACGAGTCGGATTCTGGCGAGTTCGTTGTTGTGGGAAGGGCTCCTCTCGTGCAAGATGCGCCTAGGCGAGTCTGATTCCGACATGAGTCCGAATTTCTCGTTCCAAGCCCTATTTCAATCTCAATGATCGATTGAATCGTCGTCCGGCTGCCAGCAAGCCCATGAGTGTTCATAACGAGAGCATTGAGGAGCTCAAATTTGATGGGGTCGTGTCCAAGGAGGGTGAAAGCACCTATAAGCTGAGTTTGCCTCTCTTCCTGTGTCTCCGGCGTCGAGCAAGTCCCGTCCTGTATGCGTAGGATCTGGTCAGAGTATGGGCGGGGGATGGGGTCGATATAGGAGTGGGATCTGAGTATCGGAGGAGTCGTCTATTATGAATTAATTGTCATAAAGTCGTGGAAGCGCGTGATGAGTATAAAGAAAACAAGGTGACGAAATGTCCCAGGAATGAGGTGAGGGGAAGGTCTGGCGGATAAGCTCCAAGGCTTGGGACGACGAAAGAGGGACTTGAACAGGAATAGAGAGAAGGAGAGAGGGGGGGAGAGAGAGAGAGAGAGAGAGGAGGAAGAAAGCCCGAAAGATCGCAAATCTGGAATCCAATCTGTCGCCTCGGCGGCGACATATCTGGATGGATTTAATTTCGAGATGCGCCTTGCCCTCTCGGTGCTGCACCTCCCGATCGAGCGGCTTCAATGTTCAGCCTCTGGGGAAAACCGGTTTGCCATTGGACGGCTGGGCACCTGGTGCATAATCCTGCAACCAGCGGGCAAACCATTCGATAGAAGGCGGCATCGCGACAAGGGCTTGCGTTTCTGCAGGTCTCCAGGAGTCCAGGAGTCCAGGGCAGGAGAGAAATCAGGGACGGGAACGGTGTAGGGCCACGTCGGGTTGGGGTGTTTGTTTGGTACGGAGCGAATCTTTGGCGCGACTTACTGCCTGCCTACTGCCTAGCTGCATCGCGAACCCAGCAAGCCAGCGCCAACGATGAGATCCGCCCTTGTGCGCCGCGTCTGCTGGCTGCTGTGGAGAGGCTAAAGTCGGTGTGTATGTAATTACAAGGAAGAAAAAAAGTCAGACCTTGAAATTATTACGATGTCCTGTCTTTTCATAGGTATCTATCTAAATGACAGGAACAGGAGAAAGGTTGGTTAGAAGACGGTGTTATTGTTTCGATTTAGGGATGGACCTGAGTTGCTCATGCACTGGCAGATACGGAATGCCATTGATTGGCGATAACGATTGCGATTATGGGAAGATCATATCGGGATATCCACCCTCTCCCTCTCTGTCGACCCCTCGTGTCCGTCGACGATGGGTGAGCTGTTCTCTCTCCCCCTTTGTGTCAGGGTCCCCCAGCTGGTGCAGGTGGAATGGATCTTTTTGGATGGGTGCAATCTCCGCCTTTTTCATTTTCTTCTCTCTCTGCATCCAGCCGCACAATAATTGGTGGCTGGATACACATGCACATGCACATGCACATGCAACGCACCTTGTTCTTGACATATCTGCTGGACGCGTCCAGACGCGTTCGAGTGGATCTGTTGATGACTTCATTTCGCAAGCGAGTGCCGAGCTTTCCATTCAGGGGTAAGGGGGGGAAACATCAGCCACCTCCGTGATCACTACTAGCCGGCCCACCTCCTGTTTTGCTCGGGGCTCGCGTACAGTCGGGGCAAGCAAGTGTCACGGGTAAGTAAAGGTGTTACGCACTAAATACACTAAGCCTCACTTTTACACGTAAATTCGCGTATTCTATTATCACTCTTAATAACAATTAATTATACCTATTTATTATAAATTACTATTATAATATATCCTATTTAAAAATATACTTTAGTAAGTATACTACGGAATCTAATTATAATAACGCCTTTACTAAAGCTCTTAAATAGGGTTTAAAGCACTCTACTAAAACTCCTATAATAGTAGCGCGTATATTCGATATAAAAGAGGATTCTATATATTAAGCTCTTTATAGGAGATATAATTAGCTAAGTATATTAGGTAAAGAGACTCTTATAAGAGGTAGCTATAATAAGGTTCTTTTAAAGGTTTAAGAAGAGGCTATTATAAGGTATTACTATAAGTAATAGGAGGTCGGTTTAGGAGTAACTTATCTAATAGTTAAAGTAGTAATTAATTACCTTCTTTTAATAAGTCTTATATACTAATTTAATAAATATCTACTAATATTATATAGTCTAAAGTGCCTCCTTATCCTTTACTATTAAAACGCTAGTTTTCCTTCTAGCTTTAGAGCTACCTTAAACTTTATATAATTAAGACTACACTTATAGAAGTTAAACGAATAAAGGCATATAATATTAAAGCTATTTAAGAGTAGTTTTAAGAGCTTAAATAAGAGATAGTAAGGCTTAAGATATATTATAGCTACTAGGTGTTAAATATAAACGAATTAGGCGTTTAAGTTAGCTATCTTACCTTTAAGAAAGTAGTAGTTCCTAGAGCTATTTCGAAGCTTTATATAGCTATATAAGGAAGCTAGAAGTAAATCATAGTTATAGAGATAATCTATAGAGATAGAAAGTAAATATTACCTCTATTTATAATAGCTCTTAGAGAGTATATTATAAAGAATTAGATTTCTAAGAATCTTCTTAGAGATAAATATATTAACTTCTCTTCTTTCGGTTATATTAATAGTACTCTTATTATAAATTATAGCTGCTATTTAATTAAATATACGTATATAGGACCGAATAAGCCATAGAAGCTCTTACTCTTAGATAGCTATAAGTCTTACTACTTTTTACTCTTTTAACTACTCCTTAAAGAGAACTATATTTAACCTTAGTACTTTCTTAGTTATCTTATATATATGTTATAACTTTTAGACGTTAGTGTATTTCGCCTATAGAAGTATTACTACTCTCTTACTATTAATTTAGCTTTACGTTCTTTAGACCTTTAGTATATTATTACTTCCCTTTTCCGAGATATTACTAAAATATAAGTAAAAACTATATAATAGTATATTATTTATAATATATTTAAGAAATCTAGAATATAGCTTTTAAGTTATAAAGTAGGAATTAAGAATATTAAGAGCTTTATAAAGAGTAAAGCCTCTATAGTAATAAATACAGAATTACCTTAACTCCTAGTACCTGTAACGGTCCGGTATTTACTTGCTATAAATACAGAAGGCTGCAGTTGATCTCTAATAATCGAGAGGTAGGTATATCACGTAGATAGAAGATAGTTACTAAGTATTAGAATACTATTTAAAGTTAAGCACGAAGCTCTTATCTAATAGCAGATATACTAGTCTTATATAGAACCTTTATTCTTCTTAGATCCCTTAAGATATTAGATCCTTAAATCCTTAGATCTGTTCCCTTATAAAGGGATCTAGGGATCTAGGGATCTATCACGTGACTTATCGTCTACTATAATCTAGGTAACTATTACTACTAAGCGTGAGTATATAGTAGTACTACTCGCTGTCCTATATTATTCCTAGTTAGTACTACCCTATTAATAGTACTGCTCCTTCGTTAGTACTAATACCCCTATAGTACTACTAATAGTACTATTAGCATATAGGTGCTAACTGAACTATAGTACTAAGAGGTTCGTAATACTATCCCCCTCTTAGCCTAGTATAGTCCTTATACTTAAGTATAACCTTAAGGGACGTCGATAGTTACTAATAACTATCTTCCTTATCTATTATATCTAGTGTTATAAAGAAATCGAGTGTCGCTTAGATAAAGAAAAAATAGAGTATCTAGCTCGCGCTCTGTATTAAGCGTACTACGTAACTCGTAAAGCCTTATTCCTTCTGCTATAGCTTTTCCTGTACTTACTTCTTAGATTTATCTATTTTAAAACGATACTTTAAGTATATTCACTTAAAGTGTTACGATTATAATACCTCAGGGTATATTAAGAAGTTCACCCTTAAATAACCTGTGTGCTAGTTTAAGATAGGAAAAACCGTGACTCCTACTCGCTTTCTAACGCCTCCCTCTAAGCTTATTAAGGATAATCTTACTTCTTAGTTCCCTACTTTTGAACCTAACGCTTACTTAGTATCCTTTTCCGAGGGCCTAGTCCCTAACCTTAGGTTCCTTTCTTTTTAGGTAAACCTGGATTTCTTTAATAGAATTCTCGTAGAAGCCTAGGGTAGTAGAGGTTAGATTTAAGTTCCTAAGTGTTTTCTGATTATAAGTACTCTTTCTATTTAATTAAATATTTTATTTTACTATAAAAATACTAATAATCGAGAATAGCCTCTACTTCGTATTTAGCGTTCGGATTAATTAGTTATATTTTAGTAACAGGAGCTAGTAGTGCTCTTAGTAGTGCTAGTTTAAAGAGAGATATATAGAATACCGGGTAGATATTTATTGTTTTTAGTAGAGCTAGTTAATAATTAACTAGTCCCTTGACTTTAGTAATCCTAAATAGTCCTAGCTTCTTATGATCTAATTTATAACTTAGTCGTTTAGTTGCGATATTCTTTCTAAGTAAGTAAACTTTATCCCCCTCCTTAAGTGTTAATCCTATACTACGCTTTCTATTATAGTAGATCGTAGATCTCTACGTGATAAAGAGAATATTAGCTAATAATTCTTTATAGAGCTATTTAAGCTTACCTACCTATAGTATAGCTTCTTACGCGGTACCCTAACTAGCTATTAGTGAGTTATATACCGTAGGATTATACTTATAATTCGCGTAGAATAGCGATACTCTAATAGTCTCTTAATCCGCGCTATTATATATAAACTAAGTAAGTAGGAGTAGTTATACCTAGTCGTTCTACTTATAGTTCATATAATACTAAAGATAAGTCTCTATTATCTAGTTGATTCGTTCTATTTATATATTAGTCTAAAGATAGAATATAGTTAATATTTTCTACTTTATTCTTAAGAGCGTGATAAGAGTTTTCTAGAACTTTAAGGTAAAGAGCTTATCTCTATTTAAGATAATCTTATCTAGTATTCTATAGCTTATAAAGATTATTCTAAGGAATACTTACGCTATTATAAGCGCGTCCTATGTTCCGAGTACTAGTACTATATATATATACTTTATAAACCTATCTGTTATTATATAGATCGAGTTATATATAATTCCTATAACTAAGTCTTTCAAGGGTAGTAGCTTAACTATAAAATCTAAAGTAATTAATTTCTATAGGCGAGGTAGTATTATTAGTAACTTCATAAGCCTATATAAAGCATAGTATAATACCTTATTCCGGATATATATATTATATAACGCTACTATATCTTTAACTACCTTCCTTATTCCTGGGAAGTAGTATTCCCTAGATAGCCTAGATAGCGTCTTAGCTGCCCCCTGGTGTCTATAAGCAGGTAGCTTATATTAGTGCGTAACGAATTTAATCTTATCTTTAGTAAGTATATAGATTCGTCCTTAGTACAGAAGCGTGCTATCTAAGGTAAAGGAGAATCCTTTACCTAGCTACTTCTTCTGTTTAGCTATAACTAGGTTATTAGTATAATCCTTCTAGATTTTCTCAGCGACTTAGCCTGTTAAGGCTAGCTATTAGTAATTAACTATTAGTAAATCACTATCCTTTCGTAGTATAGTATAAGATTCGTGAGTTTTATTTATAAGATATTCTAGTTTCCTACTTAGGGCGTCGGCCCTAGTGTTCTCTGTTCCTTTAATATAAGAAATTCGAAGTTTTATAGTAGAAAGTGTTTTATACTATTAAACCTAGCGTTAATTTAATTCTTTAGTAGTTATAAAGTAAATAAGATTCTTGTAGTCTATTAGGATCTATATTTCATAGGCGGCGCCCTCAAGGTAGACCTTCTATTCACGTACTATGTCTATAATTACTAGTAACTCTTTATTATATATATTATAGTTAAGTTCTACTAGTAATAGTTTCTACGAATAGTAAGTAACTAGTTACTATCTTCTGTTCTCGCCCGGCTAGCTGAGTATAGCTCTAATAGCGTAGTCTAAAGAGTCTATCTCTATATATATTTCTTTGTTAGGAGTGAAGGAAGTAAGTACTAGTTCTGCGATAAAAGCCGCTTTAAGTGCCTTAAACGCTTTTTATATACTATCGGATCAGTGGAATTCCTTATCCTTATAAATTAACTCTATAAGTAGCCCGGCGATTTTTAAGTAATCTTTAATAAATCGCCTATAGAAGTTAGTAAACCTAAGGAATAATTGTACTTCCTTAATATTCGTAAGCCTTATCTACTTGATAATTACTTTAATCTTTTTAGGATCTATAGCTAATCTTGTAGTAGTAACTATATAGCCTAGAAAGATAACCTTATTTATATAGAAGTTACACTTCTCTAGTTTAAGTAATAAGTAAGCGTCCTCTAACCTCTAGAGAATAGCTATAATATCCTTTATATATTACTCCTCTGATTTAGAGTAGATTAGTATATCGTCTAAATAGTATATATATATTACGTCTAAGTAAGGCTATAAAATATTATTAATTAGACACTGAAATATAGCTAGTGCGTTAGTTAAGCCGAAGGGTATAACTGTGTACTTATAGTAACTAAAATAAGTGCGAAATACTATTTTTTCTTCTTCTCCCTTAGCTATCCTAATAAGGTTATACGCTCCTCGTAGGTTAAGCTAAGTGAAAATCTTAGCTTTAACAAGTCTATCCTGCAGCTCCTTAGCTAATAGTAGTATATAACGATCCTTCTTTATAGCGTTATTTAATCGATAGTAGTCGATATATATTTGTTATCTACTATTTCTTTTTTTTACAAATAAGATATTACTCCCCTACGGAGATTTAGACTCTTAGATAAATCCTTTCGCTAAGTTTTCATCGATATATTACTTAATTATTATTAAGTTTATCACTGAATATTCCCTAAGTAGTTAGAATATTAGTTTAGTACCTAGTTCTAACTTAATCTGATAATTATAGTCCTAGTGTTTTAATAAGGCCTCGATACCTTATTCCTCCTTAAATAGTACTATAAACTTCTTATATACTAATAGTATATCCTTTATTAGTAGACCCTTATCTTAGTATCTAAGCTCTTCCTTAGAAGTAGCGCTAACCTCTTAAATACTTACTACTTCTGTTCCCGGTGAATAATAGTAGTCTTAGTAATAATTAAACTTAAGTTTTCCTATCTACTAATTGATAATAAGATTATACTTTTCTATCTATAGTAGCCCTAGGATAATATCGTGCTTTCTAATTCTAATAATATTAAATTAGATTATTTCGGAGTGCCTAGCGATACTTATATAGACTAGAGTAGTCTGAACCTCAATTAGTCTATCGAAGGCGACCTTACTATCCGCTAGTACTAGATAGTATCCCTTATCCTTTACTTTAGTTAATAGGTAGTACTTAAGTATAATAGTAGGAGATATAAAGTTCCCTTATACCTTAGAGTCTACTATCGCCTAAAGCTTAACTCTCTTAATTTTAACCTCTAATATAAGATATTTATCTCTAATAGTAGTAAGTTACTGCATATAGAAATATTCCTAATATATACTATAGTTAAGGACACTTTCCTATACCCTTCGATTATTATAGCTTAGGCTGACCTTATATACGAGCCCTATTCCGAGTTTAGTATATATTACTAGGTTATATATCTTATAATAGTACCGGCTGTTATTATTAATATAGACCTATATCCTATTATATTAGTTCTTAGCTATAATTTCCTATTTCTCGCCTACCTCTAGTAGCGCGCTAGTGTTAAGAATAATAGTATTCTAGAGTAGTAAGTGCTATATAAAGGTCGTTAGTCCTTCCTAGCTGCCAGCTATTCTCTATCTGATACACTTATAGTCCCGGTAGACTACTTCGTACTTTACCCCCTACAGTAGACCCCTTAAGCTAATAAGGCCTAGTTCTTAATAAGTAACCCTAGTAGCTATATTAGTCTAGTAGCAAGTATTATAGCTAACCTGATATAGGCTCTCTTCTCTTTAGGTAACTTCCTAAGTTTTACCTACTCTTAGTCCTAAGAGTTTAGGTTAAAGTAGCTCTAGTTCTAGAGTTCACTTAGGTTCCTAGGCCTTCTCCTTACTATTACTTAGTATTAGCTCTATATTATTATCTAGCCTAGAGCTATTATTATCTTAATATATATAGTCCTTAGGAGGCGTGCTAATAATAGTTTACTTAAGCTAATCCATAATACTCACGGAATCTCGCTTATTATCGTTAGAATTACCTAACTAAGTATAGATATAATTCTCCTTAAGCTTATCTATAGTTATATATTAATACGTCGCGGTGAGTTATCGTATTAGTTTATTATAAGAGCTACGTCCTATTGCGTTAGTATATTTCTTATCTATCCACGACTTCTTTTATTGATAAGAGCTAGCTATATAACTAGGAAAGCTATACTCGAAGTATAGCTTCTTCTCTTATTACTCGCTTATAACTTTCTTAGATAGCTCGCTGCTATATAGCTTTCTTTAATAACTTAGCTTTCGGAATATCGTATTAAGTTCTATTTCTTAAGGGTAAAATAGTTTCTTATTATTACTCCTTCTTCCTTAGTATATATACGTTCCGGAGTAGTATTAGCCTTTCTTCTTAAGTGCCCTCTTATAGTTTTAGTTATTAATCTTAATAGCTATTTCGATAAGTTCTTATAAGTTAGTAGGCGCGTCTAATCTTACTATCTTATCTTTTACTTTATCTTTTAACCTTTTATAGTATTATACCCGAAAGGCGTTATTATTCTAGCTAGTCTAATTCGCGAATTACTAGAAGGTAGTAGTATACGTAGTTACTAACCTGACTTACTTTAGGTTCTAGATATTCCGTTCGGCGGTATAGTTCTAATTAATATCACTAAAGACGCGGTTAATCCTATACTTAAAACCCTCAAAGGTTATAAAGATCTTCTGGGATTCCTTAGTTATTACTATAGAGACTCTCTTATCCTTAGTCCGGTTCTAAATATAGTCTAAGAGGAAGGTCTTAATCTAGTTAAAAGTAGATCCCCGGAGAAAGGATAAAGCTTAAAGGACTTTATTAGTCTCTATAGTGAACTAGTAACTATTAAAGCTTATATAGAGCTTAACCTAAGTGAGGTATACTCTAAGCTTAGATCAGTCTCTATAGTAGAGATCCGGGGCAGCGATCTTAGGTATATTCTTTAAGTCGAAGACTTTAATAGGAGCTAAGTAGTTATTCGATGATCCTTTAACAGAGGATATATTATCTTCGTGAGTTAGTACTTCTAACGAGAAGGTACTTAAAGTGTAATAGTCCGGTATTTACTTACTATAAATATAGAAGGCTATAGTTAATCTCTAATAATCGAGAGGTAGGTGTATCACGTAGATAGAAGATAGTTACTAAGTATTAGAATACTATTTAAAGTTAAGTATAAAGCTCCTATCTAATAGCAGATATACTAGTCTTATATAGAACCTTTATTCTTCTTAGATCCCTTAAGATACTAGATCCTTAGATCCTTAGATCTATTCCCTTATAAAAGGATCTAGGGATCTAGGGATCTATCACGTGACCTATTATCTACTATAATCTAAGTAACTATTACTACTAAGCGTAAGTATATAGTAGTACTACTTACTATCCTATATTATTCCTAGTTAGTACTACCCTATTAATAGCACCGCTCCTTCGTTAGTACTAATGCCCCTATAGTACTACTGATAGTACTATTAGTATATAGGTGCTAACTGAACTGTAGCGCTAAGGGGTTCGTAACAGTACCTAATACTCCTAAGACTCTTTAGAGAATAATAATAATTATAAAATCTTTTATTACTAGGGATCTTACTTAGTTTTCAGATAATATAATTAAGGCTTTCTAGTTAATAATAAAAGAGATATTAGTTCAGCTATATAAAGCTTATTTAAACGCTACTAACTACGCTCTACTATAATAAAAGCTTCAGGAGTATATAAACCGGTAAAATACCTCTTATTATATATTAAAAGATAGTTAAGCCTTCAGCGGAGGTATAGTTAAAGACCTATAGCTTTAAATCTAAGTAAAGGCAGAGAAGGAATAATTCGAAAACCTCCGGAAAGCTAAAAGGCTACTCTCTTAAGCTATTAATAAGTATAAAAAGTCTCTCTAAGTAGCTGGAGTTATTATAAGGAAAGCTAATTAAGCTAGGAAACAAGAGGCTTTTAAATATTAAAAGCGTAGAAAAGAGCCTCTGCTAGAGCTTCTAATTATTAACTAAGAGCTAGATAAAGCTCTTATATTAGTTGAAGCTATATTTTATATTAAAGAGAAGTATCTAGGTCTATTATAAGCTATTTAAGAGAGTTAAAGGGACTATAATATTAATAATAATAAAGAGATAGAGTTCTACTTTAAACTTACTATAAAGCGTGCTAGTAAAGGCTTAAGTAGTTATAATACGGAATTTATACTTAGAATAGCTATAAATACTACTAAAGAGGACTATATAGATAATATTCGAGCTAAGAATAATTATATATCTTTTAATATTTAAGTGTTATTAATTCATTTGAATATTTATTATTTATAATAGATTTTTAGTAAGGGCTATACTAAAAATAAATCTCTGATATTAATCCGGTGCGTAACACCTTTACTTGCCCGTGACACTTGCTTACCCCGACTATACGCGAGCCCTGAGTAAAACAGGAGGTGGGCCGGCTAGTACCTATCGATTGTGACCTCTCACGAGACCCAGGGTCACGATCTTGGAAGTGAGACAGTGTGAGGCAGAAGGTCAGCCTTATCGAGGACGACTCCGACTGTGACTTTCTTCTTTGGACTGCTTGGTGTTTAAGAAGGCTTCGATGCGACGGTATTTCTTGACATTTGAAATACGACATTCCAGCGCTAATATATTAGCATTCTGTTGGCTATATGCCGGTCATGGTTGACCACGTCGTCGAGGAATGTCTGTAACAAATAATAAATAGAAACAGTTCATCCCTCCGCATCCTTATCATGGTGATTGGGTTCGCTTTGTAGTCTATGCGCCGACAGTCTTCGAATGCCATCTGGCTGGCCAGGCTAAATATGCCAATTCATGCGTCCCCCATCTCGAAACAGAACAAATCTCTCTTAATTTGGAATTGCATGTTCTTACTGGCATCAAGCTAGTACAGTAGTGTTAAAGCTCATGGTAATTACATAAGATACTTCTTCAACTGGGATAGGCATATCAACGGGTACACTGATTGCGGAGAGTGTGGGTTGAGATTGTTGATCTGGAAGCGAAGCTGACGTTACTGGGCCGGCTAGAGCCGAGCGTCTTGATTCGTTCTCTCGACCATACAGTACATACAGCACCAATAATGCCCTTCCTTATCTTTCGAGTTGCCTAGCAGCAGCGCTCTGAACACCCGCAGCCACAGCATTCGCAGCTCGCTGATTCTCCTCCACGCATACCAACCTCGTCGCCCATAGCTGGGACTGGCTTCTAGAAAAGAATCAATGTTAGATCTGCCCTTCCCGGAGCTTCATCTATCTACAGGATTGACTATCTTACTGGCTGTTGGGTCTCAATGTTGCCAGTGCTAGCAGACATCGGCTCAGGAGCCTTGATTTGTTGTTGGACAATCTGGTCGGCAGGCATGATGACTCGTCGATTGTTAGTCCAAACGGCTCTCACTTCGAATGGATATCCCTACTGGTAGTGTGTGAATATTGTTTGTATCTCAGCGTCTGATATGGGAGGAAAACAGTAAGTCTTGGGGAAGAGAGAGCACTGCGATGTTTTATGCTCTTCAGCAGGCGGGGATGAGCCCCGTCTCGACCTCCTGTGTCAGGCTAATTCAGCTCAGCTGAGCAGCTTATGCTATTCTTGTTGTTGGCCACAGCAAATCATTGCAGCCACCGATTTGTATGCAGTTAGCACTTGTCACACCGCCCAATCAGAGAGACCTCTCCGGCTCGTGGCATGGTTCCTAGGTAGTGTCCTGTCACATACAAGCTTTACCTGCCGCATACAAGCCTTGTCTGCCGTTCATTGATGGAAATTCTAAACGGCGCCACTTGGTCACATACCAGCATTTCTACTCATTGAAACATATCGTATCACAGTTCATGGATGTATGGAATGCACAAACAGCTGAATAGCTTCGTGTTGAGTTCGCTGATACCATGGCTTGCACGCAGAAGCACCACATCTGTTGCATCGGGGTCCCAACGCTACTCATCAATATCAGAGCCATATCCAGCTGGCTCGTGGAGAAGCTCAAAACACCAAATTCTCTCCAACTTCAATTCGATACTTGACTTTCTGGCAGAGTTGAGAAGCTTGCAGACAAGCAGAGGCTTTCCGACTCGCGTCCCAAGAACCTGTCTGTTTAACAGAACAGCGATCTGTATATTACGACTTTCAGAAAAAGAAGTCTTGGGTAGAGTTGCACAGCGGTGTCATATACCAATTCAGCTTCGAAGACATAGGTACCTCAAAAGACCAGATATCGCCGGTGACAGACACGTGACTGTACCTCAAAAGCTACCTTGTCACACATGAGTGCACGCACTGCTTTGGTCAGCCGGCTATGTTACGAGCATCAAGTAGCCAGTCTCTGGCAACAGAGGAAGCTTTAATTCCTGAAGGACCTGGTCGGTGGAATTTTGGGATATCATTGCACGTGATTAGGACTTCAACCTCTCACGCATTCGTGCTTCAGTATCGGGCGTTCCCCCAAGGTAAGTGATACAATGGGAAACTAATCTCGGGACTTACCCTCCGTATGTCTTGCAGTAGTGGCTAATGAGTACATGGGTGTGAGTCTATCCGCTCATTCGAAGGAGGCGGAATGGTCTCCTTTCCTGACACCACTCTTAACTCGCTCACTCATGCTTTTGTTTCTGGCAGACTGGCTAATAATTTAAGCTTCTTATCTTCAATGGGCGGCGTTGAGAATTTGGAAGATGCAAAAGAGTGAGAACATATTTGGCAAGATATCCAAGGCTTCACCACTGCTTTGAATACTCTTGAGCAAGTTGATTTGCTCATCTATGACAGATTGATTTCTATTGTACTTCAATTGACATACTTGACTCATATTTTATCTTTCACGTGCCCTTCTTGACGATGAATGCTGGAGACAACGTCATACCAATGCAAGTTTGGTCCACAATTTTGTGTTTTGTTTCATTTGATTCCACGATCCCATGCATTGCCCAGTATCATTGGCGCTAATTGCAACTCGCTTTATTGAGATCCATAACAACACAGCGCCTTCTAAGTAAGCTTTGAGAATGTTCTTTTGTCTTTACATCATAAAGACTCAGACACTTCCCAAATCTCATGGGCTATTTCAAGCGGCACCCCAGAACCCTTACATTCCTCAAGTCAAGCTCCACACTGCCATGACTCTCGATAGGTCTCACGTTCCAAGGCTACCAGCATTCACATTTTGCCTCCGATATGCTCAGCTTCTCGTTGCCATCGCTGTGTTAGGTCTGTCCGCTTATGTCGTCACTTACTTCGCCTATTCCGGTGCATCCCTGTCATTGTTCACGGCAAGTACTTCCCATCATCCTCAGAAGGCCACATCTGACTTATGTCAGGCAATTGCCACAATCACTATTGCCGTCTACTACATCGCCAGTGTTACCTTCCGTCCAGTGTTCTTCAACTACTGGGCAGTCATTGGTCTCGATATCTTCGGCTTGATTTTCTGGCTCACCTCCTTTGCCCTTCTCGCGTCGGAAGCAGCAGCATGGACAGTCATCACGCACTTCGGCGACAATCGTGCGTACTCGACCACCGCATACTGCTGTAGGAAACGCGCTCTGGTCCAAAAGCGCTCAACTGACCATCACACCTATCGCAATGCCATGGCGGCTGGTGCTGGGCTTGGCGGGTTGGAGTTGTAAGGTTTCCCAAGCATTCGCAGAAAGAAGGAACTAATATTGAATAGTTTCATTTTCTCGACCACTCTTGGCTTTACTGCCTTTGCTGTCTCAGAGCATCGGCGGAGGGGCGGACACTGTATACCTACCCCTGAGGTAGACCTTTTGGCGGCTGAGCAGAGAGACCAAGAAACCCTTGCACCACCACAGCATCAGACTCAACCTGTATCCTTACAAAGCCAAGTTCGGTTCTCGAATGATCGGATAGGTACCAATTCTTATGTTTAGATCATCGCTGCTCTCAAGACATCTTTAGTGCGGCTACTGCTGCTTGTAATGTTCCTTTCGAGATTAGAGCGAGCCAGAGTAAAGCATGCAATTTGAGAGGATTGGGTCAATCTACGGAAAATTCATGATTGGCATCCTTTTACTATAAAATCTCTCATATTACTGTGTCTACCTTCAACATCACCATAGATCTGCCCAGGAAGATGCGGAGGTCGGAACTATCGTGAAGTTGCGAGAGGCAGACCCGACCTGTTCTAGAAATTAGGGTCTCGAAGCTTCTCAATGACTTTGCATGTATTCAATCATCATCAAGTTAAACTCTATTCCATTTTACCTTCGTCAACAGGTACATGCACTACAAACTTGTTTAATCGTCATGTCACTGCGTGTTCGGATGCCGAACTAATCTCCGCGGCAGTGTAGGTACCTTTGTTCCACAGGTCCCAACATGACAGCCGAGCAACGATCGAGTCTAGGACATTTTTGAAGCTTGTCTTCAAATTACTACTGTAATGCTTATAAGTACCCAGACCTGGATCTGGTATGAACTGCTGAGAAAAAGAGTTGAATATTATGTGTAATAAGTGATAAGTCAATCAATAGGTATGACACTCTTCTCCACGGCCAATACTTCGAGGTGGTGCATCCAGTACGAAGCCAAAAACCGATCCAGCGCATCCGCAAACGGAATGTTACAGACAGGAAACAAGAAGTACTGAAGACAAGCGATCTGCTCAAAATGATGTCTAAATATGTTGATTTGACTTGTGACTGGATATCTTAATCCTGTTGCCCGGCAATTTTAGTCCAATTATGAATGCCTGGCCCACGGTGACAGATATTCCCAACCCTGTGAATGTATGGCTGTCTCAAGAGTCTTAAAACTTGGTTCTAAAATAGTACTCATCGATATGAACACCTAGCCCGATATGCGGTGCCAATGAGGGCTTAAGACTTCTTTGCTGGACGGAAACTTGGCTTTCTTCACTTTGTTGTTGCCAGCTCGCTTAAGACAAGTCACCGGGGCAATACAAGGGTCTTTCCCGATTTCATTCTCAATCAGTTCAGGCATTCTTGTATAGTTCTGATTCATGGTTCGCTATAATTGAGTAAAATCTACTTTAGATCTCCCCAGCGACTTATCTGTTCATAGTCTAACCAACGGCGGGTTGGGACCACTGGGCCTGGCCAGCGGGAATTACACAATCCCATATTCCTATAGGCTTGTGATCGTCCGGGTTTGATGCGGGCCTTAGGCCGAACTCCACAAGATATTATAAATGATGCAAACTCCAAGCCCCCTGCAAGAATTTCTGCTGCTGCTCCACCTCCCCATTTTGGTCTCTTTTACCCCCTGAGACACCACAGTCCGCTTCAATGGGGATGATGCAACAGCCACAAGTACTCGGGCAAGAACAATCAGTTGGACAGAAAGGAGGAAGAGGACGAGGGCGTTGGCCGTGGAGGAGGTCGGCATTTTGAACCTTGAGTTCGGTCTACCGAAGGTCTTCCGGCAGTCCATTGTGCACAAAGCTAACATATTAATCTAATAAATGAACTCAAGATCATATATTCAGAGATTAAGACATCCAAAGCATAGAGTGTTGTGGAATTTGGTGAATTCGCCCCCAAAGTGTCTGACGAGTCGAGCTAGTGAATATTGTTGACTTCGCTTAAGTATCAGCAGTAGGCTATCGCTTAATTTCAGATCCTTGCTCCAAGTTCCCATAAATGCCACTCACTGCTCGTCTTCAGACTCCATACACATTGCAAGAAGCTATTCACAGAACACAGGACGTGTGTCTCCACTATTGCTGTATGTTGTACACTCAGTTTCCTGGGCTGGCTCGTCCAATTGTAAAACGATGAATCGTAGATGTAGATGATCCAATGTGATGGACACCGCGATGATGTTTCCTAATTGTGAGAGGCCACGAGACTGTGTATTTACTGCCAAGATCTTACCTGTTGTTCATTCCTGAACTTATTTCCAAGACAGTTAGATATGTAACTTGGAGATTCTCTAGACATATTCAGATATGTTGAGATATTAAATCTGAACCTGTCTCGATGCTCATCTCCAAATGTCCGCAATCATAGAGTAAGAGTTTGTCAAGCTCTAAATCTCTGGTATGTTTTACCTCCCGAATTGGCATTGGCTTGAGTCATCCTCCCTCCCGGCCACGTGAAGGTTTTATGAAGCTGCACCATTGTACCAGAAGTCGTTCTTCCGGAGTGGAAGTAAATAGAGACGTTTGAGCTCTGTAGGTGCTATTACAACCTGCACGTTGCGAGCAGCTAAAAGTTGTCATTTGGCGCAGTGCAATGATCGACGGGGGTTGGAGCGTTGAGACGTTTATAAGAACTTCTCTTGTTTGAATATGCACCACGGGTGCGAGATTAAGAGAAAGGTCTCAAAGCATACCAGGTTTGCGAAGAGTGTGCCGATGATGGGAATCTGAGGGACGAACTTTACGCGAGAGATAGGAATCTTTTCGTGATATGAGTGCGTATGCTTGATACGGTCACTTCCAATTGGGAGTACATATTTCATGACGACAAGTCTTTGCGACCCAGTTCTTCGCTGTCAAAATTGAATATTTTCCATGAACTATGACACCTTAGTTTTCTATTGAGTTGGGAACTATACCAGGCTGCCTTAGACGTTTCAAAACCGAAATGAGGTATCGGCAATTCGCCTAGAAGGATCCAGACCTTCTTCATTATTACTTCTAATACGTGTGATTTCTCTCCTTGTCCTCTTCAAGTTAAAACTTCCAATTTCCGGTGCGTTAGTTGTTCAACCTGTTAGGAATACTGTATGTATATTCTTGGATATCATTAACTTTTCGGTAGTTGTCTCTGCTGATGGTCTGTCTCCCACGAGATTCACTCGCATCTAGAAACCAATGCAGTCGATTCTGTGAGAACCATCGACCTCCTCCCCATTCATACTTCATTTGACATATAAAAACCCTTACACTCATATTACCAGCACACCAAAGAGCTCTCACTGCAGCTGTGCGACCGGTGTCATGGTGCGGCTTGTCCCACGATATCCCTTCCATACCAGTCCCTCTCATCCAAGAATGCTCATGCAAAGATATTTACTCCTCAGAACGCCGGGGGTCATGTCTATGGGTCCTAGAATCTGAGGTGAGGAAGAGGGAGTGGTGACTTTTGAAATCTCTCGATCTAGCTCTGCTGTCGAAGTAAAAATTGCTGTCACTCTCCATGGCTACTATCATTTGGCCCTAGCAGGACATTTGGAATCAAGATAAAATGAGATTGAGTATCAGTGCTGATGAGATAGGGAGGAAGTGACAGAAGAGAGGACGAAAAGGAATAAGACTTCGGATAGTGAAAGCTGAGATGGCGCATGTTTGTTTCTGTCAAATGTTTTGACTTCATGACAACAGGTTGACACACGCCAGGTGCTATTGTTTGGGGTAGAAGCTGGCGTGAACAGTATCTGTTTCTATACTTAAGGCTGATGGTCTGTTTCGTTGCGAGGAGAGGCTGACTGCACTTGATTTTCGCTGTTGTTGTATGCAAGTGAGATGTGTAGGTCTCTGAGCCTGCCTGCCACTTGGCTGGATTCTAGAGATGGAAAATCTATGCCAGTGCTACTAGCGATGTAGATGCGCAAAGAACATATGGGTTCTGGATGTGGAGAATGTGTGATATTATATTTGTGTTGATAGGCAGGGCAAACGTACCACCCAAAAAGAAATCTAAAAGAACAGCCAAGAAAATCCTCAGATTAGAATATCTGCCATCCGAACCGTTCCAAACGCCATGTATGCAGTCAGTCGTTCATCCATCATCCGCTCACCCTATGTCTATTATATACAATCTCCAACCCAGTTGAATCCGCTTGCACACCCAACGACATTACGCAAGCCCGCCTTCCTCAATTCCTGATAAGGAAACCTGAAATTTAGATATTCTTCTTGACAGTCTCAGGAGCACCATAGGATCTGTCATCCTCGCCTTCAACAGCCTTGACCATCGCCTCCATTTCCTTACATTGCCTCTCCCACTCCTTTTGGCCCATCTTGCTTTCCCTACGGAATAGCTCCTCGTTAGGCTTGCGGTAGCTACCTCCCAGACGATCCCATAGTGTGGTGTATTGTCCGTAGTTGTAGTTGAAGTACAAGTGGTGCATAGTGTGGCACGCGGCACCGTTGAGAATGGGGCTGTTTGCGACGTACTCGCCGTCGTGGATGAAGACGGTCCAAACCTGGACGAAGAAGAAGAGTGCAAGGTAAGCGATCTTCTGAAGCGGGAAGATGAACGGGAAGACGTGGTAGGGGAGAGATTGCGCCCAGCCGTCGACGGGGTGGAATGCGATCGCTGCGTATGGGGTGGGCATAATCCATTTGTGGTGGGGCTTGTGAAGCGTCTTGTAGACGAGTGGGTGGTGCAAGCCGCGGTGTATGAAGTAGACGAACATATCGGTGAAGAGGATGAAGAAGGGGAACTGTAGGAGGTTGTAATATTTGAAAGGCTCGCTGTCCAAGCTATCGTAGAGTTTCGAGTAGCCTCGTACTTCGGCAAGGAAGAAGGGCATGGTGAGGAGGGACATGACGGGCATGGCGTCGCAGGCTTGTCTGATTTCCTGGCGGATCTGGTTCTTGAGGAACTTTGGGTGTTTGAAGGTGGTCTTGTCGAAGACGAAGATGTATGAGAGGGATGAGACTATGAAGTAGAGAGCGCCACCAGCGAACCTAGGAAGTTAGCGGCAGTACTGGCAGATCGATTGGGAGACATACCACATAATGAGGAACAGAGAGAAAGCTTGTCGGTAGATGTTGTCCCTGTTCAACTCGCTCATGTATGCCGCGTCGCGGGGCGTAAAAGAGACGAAGGAAGTGGCGGGCTTGTATTGCCATGGCGAGGCTGCTTTCAAGCTGGCGATAGTAGAATTCGAAGCTCCGTCAAAGCTGTAGGGCGGAGGCGACGCAGGAAAGACTTTGGCAAAGACATGGTCGAAGAAGAAGGTATCGCAGAATTCGAGAGCGATATCCATGGTGGCGACTGTTGATGCGAGAGGGAAAGGGGGAGTTGGGTAATTAATGAGTGACGTGCAGCTCGGGGTAGGATAGAAACTCCAAGTAAATGGGTTTACAGCGACTTCTCGTCTTCGAGGTCGCGGTAGGTGGTGCAAAAGTAGGTGGCGGTGGTGGTGAGAATGTTGGAGGGAGAGAGGTCAGGATGTGTTCTCTTTGTACAACCGCTGAGGTGCAACTGGGCTGTGATTAATTTTGTCGATATCCGTACCTGACTGCCTGAGTAGGTACCTAAGGTAAACTTGCTGGGTTGAAACTGGCGAATGAGAAGGGCGGAATCGGAGATTTCGGCGGTGAATGTGGGGCAAGTACGGAAGCCGTGGGTGACTTTGCTGACTTTGGTGACAGGTGATCCGGTTACTTCATGTCCCGGGCGATGGAAATCAGACGAGGAGCTTTTATCAGGAGCTTTTTGGGGAGCACGGGTCGATCGAGCACGCGGGAGTAGTGCTTATCAGATCCAAATCGTGTGGTATTTGGCAGAATCTGCCCAGTCTGCGGCCGTGACTGATTTGCCTCTAGATTTATATTTACCTAATGAGCTGTTTGGTCCTGTTTGGCTGCCTTCCAAAGCTCGGTGAGTTTAGCTTTCAGTCCCTCAGCCTCACTGTGATTGATGGACGAGGCTGTGGAATCTCAAGAATTGAAAAGACTTTGAAACTTTCTTCGATGGTCAGATCTGCCCCTTGAGACAAAGGATGGGCAATGAGATGCGAGTAACTATAGACACTGATGGAATGCAACAGGTCAAGCACCGAAGAGAGGAGGAATCAAGCTCGAAATGGGCATGGCAATGATGTTATCTCGAGTCATGTCACACAAAAAGGTGTCAAGTTCGGTCCAGGTCCAGGTCGAGGTCAATCACATAACCTTCACGCTTATGTATGACAAGTCCGTTCAAGGATGTCGCTGAGATCCTGGTGGTCAGAAGGTTTGCGCTTGGGTGCGAACCATACTGTAGGAAGAGATGAGGAGCCTCGACCGAATCCGGGGTTGAAGCCATGTGATTGGGATCCAACCGTACTTCCAATCTAGAGGGACTTCTCATTCAGTAGTGGGAGGTGAAATGAGTGTCCATAATCTACGTTTGTGTAAAGATGATTCCTCTTTTCTCTACAAGATACCCCTTCAAGCACTGCAAAACCATCATATCTATCCTACCTTCCTAGGGTACTTACCTACCTTGGTAGGTACCAAGCCAAGGCAGATGCTGCGGCCGCAGAAATCACGTGGGAATGGTTCAGATGCAAGTAACCACAATGTCTCAGGTATCTCCTGCACTGTTGGACAAGAACGGCAGATGTGAAAAGTGACCGCATCATACTCCTCGTCAATAATACTGTAATCAGAACAGAAACATCAACCCAATATCTGATGGATTTAGATCACATCAAACCCCACGCCGATCAAATTGGTGGTAGCTCCTCTCTTACTTGCTAGCCCTCGCTTGATGAAAGAAGGAAACAAGCAAATGATAACTGCGCAAGGCCCCTGGTCTGGGACCGGCTGGGAGCAACAAGCTGGGCATATGCAGCGGCATTCATTGGGAATACAGGGTGTCAGATCTCTTCTGTAACATGCGCTTTTCCAACATACTGTGCCGTACCATAAAGACTCCTCGGTTCGACTAATTCTTTACAATTAATTGACTTGGGACTCACACGGACCTTAAAATGCGGCTCGGGCGGCTGTGAGGCGGACTGAGAAGAAGCAGAGGCCCCCGCCGATCGGTAAAAGTATCGTGGGTTTCTGACCCTTACGGAGTAAATTCCGGTGTTGACTCGTGATGTAGGGCGTAATTTGAACGAGCCTCGATATCAACGGAACGCCCAGTAGGCAGCTAGTCGGCATCATGTACGAGTAGTTCTCTCTCAGATCTACTGTAGCTCGTAAAGCAGTGACTTGACCCCCGAGCCCCCGAGCCCCTCGGCTGCCATACTTCGCCTCCTCGTCCACGGCATGGCATGGCAAGCCCATTATTATTGTTGCATCTCCATCGGACGCTAGAAGCTGGTGAGAAATGCGGTGGTCAGGACTCGGAACGGAAGCAGAACCCAAGCCAGACCCAAAGAGGCTTGAACCATCCCGCCAGTGGAACCCTTTTGGAGGGGCGGGGAGCTAACCTCACCCTTACCACTTTGATAGAGTTCTTCCTGGGTGCTGCCGAGCGGCTATCTTGCCTCACTTGCTCGACTTGTCACGACTTGTTAGCCGGGGGCCTTGATCTTTTCGGTGTGGCTTTAGCTAGCCTGTTTAGCGGCACTGGGCTGCATCCACATGCACATCCACACCTCATGCAGGCTGCAGATGCACGACAGGGGGCAGAGGACAGGGGAAGATCCATGTTTGTGCGGCGTCCGGGCTGGGTTGTCTTTTGCGGGTAGTGGAGGTTAGGTGAGTTTGGCGTGCTCCACAGGCGAGGCGACTTATTCGAAGGGAAGGGAAGGGAAGCAAGCGTGCTGGCCCTGCCCTGCCTGCCCTGCCTGCCCTGCCCTTTTGTCGTTCTTCCCAGCTTTGATCTTCTGCTCCTCTTCTTACCACCTCTTCCATCCATCCATCCATCTATCCATCCATCCTGGAGAAACCCACCTCCTTGCGTTCCTCCTCAATCGACGCGACAACCATATCGCCGCCTCTGCCCGTCTCAATCCCCATTGAAGCTTCTCGAAGGCTCCTGTCAACAAGCTGTCCGTAGCTTGAGCAATTCCTGGGCGTGCATCTCCCCTCCAGGTCTTGCAAAGAACCGGACTGCAACGACCCAGCCTGCCCTCTTGGTGCGCATCTCGGACTCAACCTCACCTCGAAGCGCACTTCAGTCAACAATTACTACCATCAATCATTATCATCTTCAACAGCGTACGCGGTATTACCCTGCCAAGCGCATATTTTGGAGCTGGTCGCAAACCTTGTTTTGATCAAGAAATCAGGAGAATAGCCCATCGCTATTGACGACCATCATACAATGTCGATGTATGCTCCTCATCGCGGTCTGGGAGGACCAGCGCCGGGTGCACCTAGCGGCAATACTCGTCTGAACGAATTGCTGGATAGCATTCGTGGAGAGTTTGAGAGCCAAGCTCGTCAGGGACAGGATGTGGAACATGCAAGTAAGTAGCACCTGCCTCCGTACAACAGAGACACATCACAATCCCTCTGCGGACAATGACTACTCTTGCTAACTGATTGTTCACAGTGGCTGCCCAGATAAATGAGCTGCACACCATTAGAGAGAAGGTCTACGGAATGGAACAGGCGCACATCGCGCTGAAGGCAAAGTAAGACAAAATTGAGCTACATCGAGATCAATACTGACTATGGCAGGTATGATGAGGAAATTCAACGGCTTCACCGTGAACTCGAGGCCCGAGGAGGTAATCCGCGCGCTCTTGGAGGCCCTCCCCAGAACTCGGCTCCATCACAAGCACCTCCAGCCATTGGCCACGGTCCAAGCAACCTCTTTGGAGGTATAATGGCAGGTCAAGGAGGACAAGGGGCTCCAGGTCTTGCACCACCACAGCAAACTGAACAACACGGTCCCCCTCAGCACCAGATGCCTCAACCTCCACCAGGACCGCCAAGCATTCAAGGCCCTCCCCCGCCACCACAGCAGGCCCCCTTCCAAGGTGGGTATCCTGGAGTGGGCCCCAACGGTTACTCGCAGCCTCCTCAAGCTACAGCTTCACCTGGTCCAGGCAAAGGGAGACCGCTAAACCGTGGACCCGGAGGACCACCTACACCTCAATCGAATCAGCCAATGCCATATCCAGACCCAAGAGCTGCTCAATCGCCACAAGTTGGCCACCCAGTGCCAAATCAGCACAACCAGTTCCGAGTAGGAAACGCTTTGGCTGAATTGGATCTAGAGCGCCTTCCAGCTCACCAGAAGAAGGTTGAGCCAGATTGGTTTGCGATTTTCAATCCTGAGGTTCCTCGCGTATTGGATGTGGATCTTCTCCATACTCTTCAACACGAGAGTGTCGTATGCTGTGTTAGATTCAGTCACGACGGAAAGTACGTTGCAACTGGATGCAACCGTTCCGCTCAAATCTTCGACGTCGTGACTGGTCACAAGATCTGCATTCTCCAAGACGAGTCTGTAGACTCGGTTGGCGATCTTTACATCCGAAGTGTCTGCTTCAGTCCAGATGGAAGGTATCTTGCAACTGGTGCCGAAGACAAGTTGATCAGAGTAAGTCTATCGGCCCAAGTGTTTAGGATAAATTGCTAATTATCACAGGTCTGGGACATTGCTACCCGAACCATTAAAATCACCTTCGCCGGTCACGAGCAAGACATTTACTCTTTGGACTTTGCTCGTGACGGCCGAACCATTGCCTCCGGTAGTGGTGACCGAACCGTCCGTCTGTGGGATATTGAGGCCGGACAAAACGTCCTCACTCTCAGTATCGAGGATGGTGTCACAACTGTCGCGATCTCTCCCGACACCAAATATGTCGCAGCTGGATCGCTCGACAAGAGCGTTCGCGTTTGGGATGCTACCACCGGTTACCTTGTCGAGCGTCTCGAGGGACCAGATGGACACAAGGATTCCGTCTACTCTGTTGCTTTCGCACCAAACGGAAAGGATCTCGTTTCGGGCTCCTTGGATAAGACCATCAAGATGTGGGAGCTCGTCGCACCACGCGGTCAACACCCAAGCAACGCGCCCAAGGGAGGACGTTGCATTAAGACTTTCGAAGGTCACAAGGACTTTGTCCTCTCCGTCGCTCTTACTCCCGACGGAAACTGGGTTCTTTCGGGATCCAAGGACCGTGGGGTACAATTCTGGGACCCAAGAACCGGCAACACGCAGCTCATGTTACAAGGCCACAAGAACTCTGTTATCAGTGTGGCGCCAAGCCCAAGCGGTGGTAGCTTCGCTACCGGTTCCGGTGACATGAGGGCGAGAATCTGGAGCTATAAGCCATACAACCCATAATCGAAAGGAGAAGTAAAAGATGTGGAATTTTGATTGATCACCAATGGCAACATATGGACTCGATCATGGCGAACGGACCGGCGTACTTGGTGGCTGCAACTAATTGATATCGGCATCCCTCTATTGCGATATTGATGGGATGGATGGATGGCTGGGTGGGTAGGTTTTCTTATTATTTGCTTTTTGCCCGATGTATTTGAAGTCATGGGTACTGTCTGTCGTTTTCTTCAAGATAGTATGGATGGATGATGACGGATGGATGGATGTCCGGGCTAGGCTCAACGAGACCGGCGGTTTGGCTGTGAGGAATGGCGGGTTGATACACAGTAGTATAAAAGAATAAAAATAAGTTCCATAATTATGTCACACTACTCCGGCTCCTGCCATCAAGGCTCGTCAAATCGTCCAGCATTATTGAACCAAGTCGAATAGAAATACAATGCAAGAATCTCAAATGCCTTTGGCATTTTTAGTCAAATTTGCCTTAGAAGCATTATTGCACAGGGCAGGGTCGAGGTGAGGAATGGAATTGCAAGAGGATTGTGTGGGGGCTGGGTTTGTTGACATCAAGAGACAAGGATGGAAGTTTGGAAGCGAGGGAACGTGGAAGGTTTGGTTTAGTTTATTTTAGCGAGATGTTTGTTGTTGTCGTTTCACTAACTGCTGTCTTTTCAGTGAGTGTTGTAGATTCTCGAGAACTGTAATAAACGGCGCGCACGCGCGTTTTGCTTAGGAGAAAGTGTGCACGTAGATGATAGGATGGAGTGCTGGGAAAATCTAGAGTATATTAGTGGTGATTTGGTGGAGGGAGATGGTATGGCGCTGGAGACCCCTTAACACACTGTGGGATTTGTCTCATGGTTTTCTGGTCGTCGTTGAATCTTTGCGCAGAAAGGGTGGGATAGGTTTTATATTTGTCTTCGCGTGGGTCGGGGAATGGATTGTTGGAGGTGATTGAAGAGTGTTGATGGGATGTCGAGGTGTGAAGGAGTGGGTGAGAATGTTTGGTTGTATGGTTTTGTGCTGGTGAAGTGAGGAGGTCAAGATGAGGGTGAATGCATTTGATCACTGAAGTGATCTATGGCATTGCGAGACGACTGTATAAAATCAACTTAACCTCCTAACACAGTCCTTCCCGGTCTGATAAATCATATCGCTGAAAGCTCATCTGAGCCAGTTGCGGTTGCTATTGTCAGCTATTTCGGTTTCCTGTCATGCTAGGATGCTGAAGGTAAGAGACAGTCAAAATATCAGGTTGCTACGATGCTGATTGTTGTGTACAGGGATGAGAGACGACGCTGATCAGCCCCAAGCGGTACATGACTGTGTACGAGAAGAGCAAGGGATGGGCCAGAATTGTTAACACCGGGTCTTTTGCTGTCAGGCTGGTCATTGCTGTCAAATTCGAGCAATTCCCATCCTCGGCTGATATTGTTTTACTAGTCATCCACTACTTGTCAGTATTTGACAATGGGAAGCAAGTCTGGAGTTCAACAACCTTTCACGAATAGGTGCAAGTGTCATGTCTCAGTACAAAATCCTCTTGTTGACTGACGCGTCGCTTGAAAACGCTGTTCTCCATACGCATATTGCAATCCGGGACGATGTATCCGTTGCGGAGGTCAATGGGCGAGATGATGATTTTTATAGGATTGTGTATGCTAGCAAGGATCACGTCGACTCATAATCCAAAGCCACCTAAATTGATTAAGAATAGGGCTTGGTGAGGTGAATTGCAGCCCTGGGATTGGATTCACTAACCGACCCAAACAAGAAACCTTTGACTTCTGATAAAAGGCTTCATCAATCTCGAATCACTCCTCGTTATAGTCAACAACCAAACATTCCAGACTATTCTTGGGCGTCCAGTACTGGGCCGCGTTGTATCCTCGCGGAGAATACTTCTAGTGTTCAAAGTTTGGTGAAGTGATCGTCTTGATCTAACTTGACTAGATCATTTGGTCGAAATGTAATTGGTCTGAACCAGTTGTTGTTGCCAACTTTGTTGCTACCAATGAAGACTAATGGAGTCGACCAACCGACACCTCGGGCTAAAATGGAGAAGAATTCGAGATAATGTAGCGAATGACAGTGAACAAAGAGCCCGATTCCTGGCTCGTGAAATATTCCAGCACAGTAAAAGTTATTTTACACCGCAAAGGTGTCAAAGAAAGACACAAAGCCGTTTGCGAGCTTCTGACCATCGTTTTCTCCTGATTCAAATCTTGACAAGCATGATGAATGTACTACAGATACTTTAAATGTGTCAGTTGATTATTAGGTATTCTCGCTTAAGGCGAGGCTAAGTCAACACAGAAAATTCGCCTTTGGTTACCTCCTGCGCCGTTTAATACTTTGCGTAAACAAGCCTCGAACTCCTATTATAAAAAAGCCGGAGACAGAAGTGTGTGAGCTTCCAGCCAGGAATATATATATTTGGCATTTCTCAGCTCGAGAACTGATACACGCCTGGAAAGTAGACCAGGGACAACGCCCTAACGGTGGATCCAGCTTTCTAGATATGTATCGTATTAGTAGTAGTCTGTTCAGCAACATTATTTACCACTATGTACCTCCACTTAGAACTTGGGCAGGGTAGTCCTTTTAACGAAGCCGGAATTAGTTTGAGAAAGATGTTGCCAACCGTAAGTATGCCGTCACTTATCATTCCTTTATTTCAGCTTTCTCTTGAGTGTCAATATCTTCGGAGCAACAAATCAAATTGTGTCTCGCTATCAAACTCTCTACAGTTTGTCTTCAAATTTGATGCAGAATTCAACATTTGTTGAGTGAGGATTCAAGACAGAAGACGTACAAGGATGACATGGTTGAGCGAACCCCATGTAAGTTGACTGGTTCAAGTCTCTGTGCGCTCAAGTTTTAGTGTCCAAATCACCAGTCTCGTTCCATGAAATCTTAGTGACGATGGTATGAGGAGTGCACTGATTGTTTGATGTTTCCCGACACTCGAAAATGGTTGGCATAGCCGAGATTGTGGCACTTTACTTGGTACCCTCATTCTTGCTTGGAGGGAACTGATGTCTTTGAAGTTCGTCGGGGGTTTGAACTAGGAGTTCTGTGTGAGTTTTACCCCTGTTTACGCTGGGATGCACTTGTGCGTGTTTGAGATGATCGTAACGTGCGTCTGGGCTTGAGTGGCTGCCATTATGGGAGATGCTGAGAAAGCGGATATTGGACACGATTTGCTGGCTCTAGCCCGATGGTAGACGATCAAACTAAAAGGTGAATTTGTGAAAACAATTCGATCTATGAATTGATTTCGCTACTCAAATTATCTTAACTGAGGCTGTTTAGGTTACCTACCAAAGTAGGTAAGCAGGCAGATACCTAGGCTAGCGGCGGACCCGCTTCATGGACTAAGCGACATAGACTGAAGGAAGTAAACAACACTCTCCAGAAACCAATCCAGGAACAATACGCTGAGTAAGAGAAGGGTGATTTGAGTGATTGCTCAGAGATAGCTCTAGGTGATTCACCTTGCAACATTTTGTACAGCATTTGGGCCTTTTCTCGTTCCCTCAGAGATCGGCAATTCTTGGGGATGGGAGTCAACACAAAGCCTGTTGGAGTCCAGAGAGTCAGTCTGACGAACACCACGATGGGCCATCTCACCCATTCTCACGACAGCGGAATTATGCAGCAACTTCAACGAATGTGGTAGTAGGGGCAGGTAATTACAGGATTTGTTTCTTAATCTCAGCTTTGACGTAGATGATTGTTCTTCTTTTGTCCATCCTATTGAATTGTTATTCCAATTTACATTATCGCAAACCCAGCTGTTGAAAGATATTGTAGCTTCCCAGATAGTTGGCATATGTCTATATTCACAATGCTTTGTGACTCGATTCGGGCCGATTCGGCTAGCGTATCGTTTCTTGCAGCCTTTTCAGCACCCGAAAGGAATCATTGTCTACTGATCCAGTACCTCCACCTCGACATGAATATCACATTCAACGAATCTTCTTTCATGCAGCCACGAACTGTCGATCACACTTCTCATTCCATTGACTTTAAGTAGAATGTCAAAATTTCAAGACCCCACAAAATGGACAATTATCTTCGTCCTCGGCGGACCCGGTGCAGGAAAAGGAACGCATTGCAGCAGGCTGGCGGCGAACTATCCCATCGCTCATCTCAGCATGGGTGACGTTCTGAGAGAAGAACAGGAGAAACCTGGGAGCAAGTGGGGTGAATTGATACGAAAGAACATTCTTGAGGGTGTGATTGGGCCTCCTGAAATGGCTGTGTCATTGCTAGAGGCTGCTATGACCGTGAAGCATAAAAATGAGGGTGTTTCCGTATTCCTACTTGATGGTAACATATTCACTCAACTTCATTGGGGTGGATCTGGGGTGCTGAAGAGAGTGATACAGGATTCCCACGTCGCATCGAGCACGTTAAACTCTTCGAATCTACGTTCGGTCCACCATCTACTGTGCTGTTTTTGGACTGTCCTGAGGAGGTCATGCAAAACCGCATTTTGAAGCGAGCCAAGACGTCTGCCCGTGTGGATGATAATATTGCGATCATCCAGAAGCGGTTCAAGACTTTCACAGAGACGACTATGCCTGTCATTGAGCACTTTAGGTCGCAAAATAGGGTAGTGCAGATTGATGCGTCGAAGGACACGGATGCTGTTCACAGAGACATACAGAGCATGATGGAGGAAAACTTCGGTGATGTCTTGGGAATGACCCAGTAATCATAGGTTGGTAGTTAGAATGATGAAATGCCTGGATCGTATCGCTTCTGGCTATGTACAAGGCTGCCTCATCATGATTTCCAGCACTTTGAATTGCTTAGAACCTGTTAACCCAACATAAACCAGATGCAGAAACACCTGGGTTGGACTCTGACGTAGCAGTCAACTTCACGATACCCACCAACGAAGCCAATGGTGAATCAGGAGCGACAGCTACATAAACAGTCTTTTTCTCGCCAAACTTCGCAGTGACCAACTCATTTGGCAACTCAACTTTCCATCCCCATCCTGTCACGCTAGCCGAAAGCCGATAAACATCTGACTTCAAGTATGCGGTGACATCTTGAGGGTGTGGTGCAGCAGCTGCTGCCGACGAATATGTGCCAGTGTTGTAGACTTGGAACGAGCAAGCAACGCCCTTCTTGGTGGGACGACTTCCGAGACTCAGCCAGTTCACGGCGACTTTGCGTTTATGAGGGTCGCTGGTGGTGCTGTTCAACGAGCGAACAGCAGTCGTATAGGATAACACGCCAGTGGAATCCCGGTTCACATCCACGATATAAAAGTGCAGATTGTTTGACTTGTCCACGAACTCATACTCACTCCCTGAGCGCGTGCCAGCATGGAAAAGTGCATCCGCCAACTGCCTGTAATCACCTACGGTGATGTATGCTGGTGTTCCATTCGGACGATAGAAATCCAGAAGCTTGATATCTTGAGGATTGGCGTCGATGGTCCATTGATAAGTTCCTCGCGCATCGTCCTTCGATTTAGAAATCATGACTCCTGAGTCTGGCTGGAAAGAGTCGGCACCCATTCGGTCAATGACTTCGAGATCAAAGTTATTATAGCCTCCGCCGTCACAGAATGGATCCGTGTTGATGTTGCATGCTGGGGATAGGTCTGCGTTCATCGCGACTCGGACTCCCATCAACTCGCCTGGGCTTGGTTCTACAGCGCGAGCAGTTATTCTGGCCACAACGAGGCCAGAAGTCGCCAGTGCTTCGCGAGATAATTTAAGAATGCTTTCTTGGCCAATCAACCCAATTTGAGCTTTGTCACGCAATGTATGTAGTGAACCCATAGAGCCTCCCTGCTGAGGAGGAATTTGCCAACGTGTGTGAGGCCCTCCTGGACCGTTAAAAGATCCCCGAGACAGCATGGAAAAGGGTCCGGTGTAGTCCCTACGAGAAGGCACACTGAAAGGATTGTTGTAATTGTCCCCAATATTGAGGAGATGGCTAAGCTCATGAGCGTAAGTACCCATTCCAGAGCTTTCGGCTTGGGTCGATGATCCACCTCCGGCATTTGGCCAAATACTGGAAGCAGATGCCCAAGATGACCATTCAACGTATCTAGTTTTGGCATAATTGCGAGTTCCATTTGCTGTGTTGGGACCAGGAGGACCAAAAGAATCTGGAACGTCCTCCTTCGTTTGGAACTTCATCTCGCCAAACTCTTGCCATGTGGATGATTCATCTTGCCCTGCAGATAAAATGAACACCAGCTCGTACGAGTCGGCAACAGCATCGCCAACATCCGCTCGCCAGGCACCAAGCGCATCGGTGCGGATATTGAGATTGCACTGGAAGCCAATAAGACACTCATTTGGATTCATGTCATTGCTGGTGCCGTATTGGAATGCTCTAGAGGGCATCCTGTAAGGTCCAAAAGCAGTCAAATCGACGCCAAATCGACCGCCAGAATCACCCATCCAGTACTCGTGGATCGTATGACCTCTGTTGAGGTCGTTGGGCTTGTTCAGAAAGTCTCTATAAAAAGCCGGGACAGCTTCGCGTGCAATGGTTGGCGCATGTGGTTGTGGATTGTTGAAGACTGTTGATCCTGGGGCAAGGGTTATCACGAATGGTCCATCTGAATAATCAACTGTGACGAGGGCGATGTTGAAGTTGCGATTTGAGCCTTTGACTGTGGGATCAGACCAATTGGTCCCTGGGGGACTTTTCCACTGTGACTAAGGTTAGCAGTGGAGACTTGGTTCATGTAAAAATTAGACCCATGATTGTGGAAATTCGAATTGTTCTGGTAGTACCAGTTATGCAACAGTAAAAATCAACATAATGCGAAAGTCGTATTCGCAAAAGTGAAGAAAGAGAGTGTCATACATCGTCCCAGGTCATATTGTCGGGATTTTCCCAGTTTTGCAAGTCAAGAATCGCAAAAGGGTCATTGTCGCTAAATTCGCTACGCGAACTCAGTGGCGCTGCCGCCCCATATTGAACAAACAAAGCACCAACAAAAGCCGCTGCGAGGTACTCCCACTGGCGCTGAGATGAAATTTGAAGCCTCATCGTTTGATGGTCGGAAGGACTCCAGCGAGATGTTTCCTTTCCAGCAACCGAATACCTTGAAAGGACCAAGGTTGGTAGACAGTTGTGGAAGGCGAGGTTCTTATAGTTATACCCAAGATAAAGTGTACGACCCCTCAATTGCCCTGCACAAAACTCTGACGATCTCCTCGCATCGACTTGGTACGTTATCGTCCAAACTCCTCAATAGGAAGCTCAGAGGCTGCCAAGCCTGCTGCCAAGATGCGTTCTCGGTTGATCGCTAACAAGTGCTACAATGTTACCTGCCATATGGAGATGTAGAAAGTTACTACCTATTCTGAAGAGTGGGATACCGTCTATAAGAGTGTTTAAACTTGAGGGGTCAGCCGAGCAATTAAGCATATGACGGATAGGACGGAAATTGTGCCTGCAGGTTCGGTGTTTCTCGGCATCACACAGAGTTTAGCCTGTATACTTGAGAGAGGGTTTCGGCCCCACGAACAAAGTTGCATCTAGATCAAACACGAAGTAGAGAGAGCCAGGTAAAGGAGATATACTTGTCGATGAACGATCTATAATCTTCCAATTCTCACGGTCTGAAGCCAGGCTTAGGTGTCCTCACGGCCGGATCATAAATTAGCTTCACACCGTCCAAAGATACGGAAGCCCGGGTGTGTGAGGAGATCAATGTGTTGGTTCATCGAGTAATTTCTGAGGTGTCCATTACACAGAAAGTGAATTCTGTGGCTAGAAATCCACCTTCGGGCTTGCATTGAAGCCAGGCAATATGTTCCATTGCCTTTGCTACAGCTATGCAGAGTTCTGAACAGCGCTGAAGTTTTATGGTGAAGGTATTCATTTAGTTCGCTGGACCACTTGTCATTCCTGCCTTCAAATGGTACAAAAGTTCCACTCTTCGGCTTCAAGCAGACTTGTGCTACCATCACTCGGCGGTCCATATTTCTGTGATCGAGACGTCCATAACTCAAGTGCATCTCGCTGAAACTTCGCGTGCGAGAGAAACCCAGAAACGAACAGGAACGCGATGAAGAGCAGTCTGCTTATTTGAGAACTTCGAAAATGCGAAAGAGGACTAATTGTTGAAGATTTCTCAATTAGAAAAGAATCTGTTGGGAGATTTGAAAGCGCGAAGTTCACCAGCTGCTTATCCAGAAAGCATGACATTGAAGAAGATCTCAAAACGACATGGCTGATGAACAGAACTGATGACATCTCGTCATCCAAATGATACACCAAGCAACTTGAACTGATACAGTGGCAAGAACAGTAATAACAGAGATCAACAGAAATGAAGTAGAAACATGCTGAATCAGGATATCTAAGTTTTTCATTCAAGAAAGCAAGAAAAAACACCAGCGAGACCGGTTCAACCACCCGTAGTTCACGATCTCAAACAACTTTTCCACTCGTCGGTCAAGCTTTTCTAGAACAGCCCACCAGACCCAATAATGAAAAGCAAACAGCAGGATTCCCAAACGTCTTCGTCAGCTCCCACCACGTCACATTTATGCCTCATTGTCTGAGTCGGTATGCTCGGCGTGCCGAGAGGGTTTTCCTGGTCGGATGTCGAAGTCCGTGCTTCGTGTTTGTACTGTAACTTTGCTTTGCCACTTAGTTTGGAGTGAGGAAAGCAGGAGGTGGGAAGGAGGGTGGCGAAGATGGTGGAATGCTTGTGGGCTGTTGGAGGGTTGATACATGGAGAAATTGGGCCCTGAAAACCTTATTTCGAAAGGTGGGTTGGTGGGGGTGAAATGATCTGCTGTGATGTGATATGATGGAGGTTTCAGGCTTGAGGGGTACTTGGCTCAGAGAAACTGGGGGGGTTTTGCAGGTCTTCTTAGTATGAACAAAACTAGAGATCGGGAACTACCCAAACAATGACCAAGACACGAGAAAGTTGAGCACTTTACAAGTATTTATTTCGAGAAGAACATGAATGTTGCGGTTTTAGGACCCGGAGTCCGTCAATCATTGACACTTAATGGATAGAGTCTGTAAAGCCTGCGCCGTTGTTCAGTAGCAGTGACAAAAGAAATTGGCGTCATGTCTGACAACCATCCGTCCCTAAATGCCCATCCAAACTCCTTCCTGCCTTCCTTCCTACCCGAACCTTGTCCCAAAGAAGAAATTCAAAGAAATCTTTGCGTAGTGTGTAGATACCAGAGTCGCCAGGGTCAGTTGGCGATTGAATAATGTAATTGTTGTAGAGAAGTCAGGGCGCCAATTCAAACAATTGTGCAGGTCCATAACCAAGTAAGGAATCCGATCAAGTTAATGAGCAGATACCGAGACTTGGACCGTGTCCGGCTTGCCGGCCCCAATCTCTCCTATCTCGCGACAACTTCCCAGTCTTGCAATCTTCCCCCGGAGCAACTATATTCTTTCGTATGTTGGTCTTGCTTGCTTCTATCATAAATTCACTATGAAAAGCTGACGAATTTCGGGTCTCTCGGTAAGCCATCAGGGCCGATGTTATTCTTGGCGAATCGTCCCTCTGTATGTATCCTCCTTGCCTCATCAAAGTTTACTCTGCGGCTCTTCATGATCTTCTGAATCTCTCTTTTGCTCTTGTCGTCCAATCCTCGTCTCGAGTCTCCCGAGGCGACGTTCCCGGACAGGTCGAAGGCTGACGACGACAAGCCATTTTCGATGTCGGCTGAGAAGGATGAAGGAAGGCGGGAGTAGAGAAATGACGATCCGGGTAGTGAAGGCATCATGTGTAGCCAAAGAGAACGCGTGAGGAATAGTACTGTTGAATGTTAGTCGCGTCGATACAGAAGTTGGGCGACCCGAGGCATACCGGTTGATATAACGAGGAGGCTGAAGACGGTGCTGTAGAGGAGATAGCCCATCTTCTCAAAGGCGTATTGTTACTCGGGGAAGTTGACTTTTATAGGAGAATGCTCGGAGTGCCCCTCTTGATGCTCCTGAGTCCTGATCCAAGTATTTAGATTATGAGTTGGGGCATGAAACTCGAATAGGGATGTTCAGCTCATTGGATTCATGCCGCGCTGCCGGTGTCAATGCGATGAGGCGGAGTTCGAAGAGTGACGAGGCTGTGAGCTAGTACGTGTACAGTCTAGCGGGTCTTAAAGTGGATCATCGCTTAGCCGCCAATCAGCAGCTTGAAGATCTCCCACCTTGGGAATTGCCAAAATCGAGGTTGAAGGGACGAAGTTGAGGAACGACTTGTCAAAGATCAGATCAACTCATCACAAAAATGCCACACCACTCGAGCCAAGTGTCTTCGGACTTGATCTGGGAGATCGTTGGTACGTTTGAAATCTGCGAAAATCTTGAGATACGCGATGGGGCGAGCAGGGAGATTGAAATGTTGCTGGTTAGGGTTTCGAGAAGGGAGCTGATTCTCGACTTTCAGGAGCCCAAAATGCCTTCCTCGTGAAGCGCGCCCAATCCGGAGGTGTCCGATTCTCTCGCGATCCTTTGAACTTGGTCAACAAGCACTCCCGCAAGGTACGCTATACATATCAAAATATGTCTGGACTGGAACTAACATGGAATGTAGCACGCCGGGTTCGTCAACGAGAAGGTACGATTTTATACGAAAAAACGGGAATTGGCATAATCGAAATACTGATCTGGATAGGCTGTCGGAATCCAAGCTGCTGAGGGCGACAAGGGAGGAGTTACTTTGGTCACCAAGAAGCAACAGCACGCTCAAAAACCAGGTGCCGCTGCCCACAAGACCACCTTCGGCGGAAACAAGACCACCAGAAAGTATGTTGATGGAATGAAGTTGGATATTGGCAGCATGCTAATAGTTTATTCAGGACCTACAAGGCCATCGTCTCCAGCACCGCCAAGTCTGGATACCGACCTGATCTCCGTGCCCCAGCTGTTGCCCGTGCCTCTGCCATCCGTTTCTCCCAGCGCCCTAAGAAGGATATTCCAGAGTCGAAGGTTCGTGGAGCTAAGGCAAAGAAGGCGGCTGCTGCGAAGGATGAGTAAATCGGGATGGGCATAAATGGAAATGGGAACGGTCTTGCTAGTTACTCATGAATAGAGCACAATTCCAGGAGTTACTTTGGCAGCCATTGAGATGATTGTTCAAGCTTCATGCATCAGTGAGATTTGGAATGTGACCCATTGGGGCTCTTGAGGACGTGTTGGGACTGGATTCTGTATGAAAGCTGCAGCTGTCCCGAGATCAATCGGCTATAGCGAATTTCGGAATCTCAAAAGCCCATCCGACAACTCCCAAACTTACAGCCGTGGATGCATGTACCTTATGAAAGTAGGTTTCCGACACGTGAAGATCGTGAACAGCCGCTCCAACAAGAAGAAGCCTCGTCCGATCCTCTCCGAAACAAAGCTACCTCGGCGAAGCGTTGTTCCTAGTGCTAAATATAATCTCAAAATCCACCTGGGCTCGCTGGGGACACATCCATCATTGTTGCTTCATTTTCCAAAACACAAACCGCACGAAAAGACGTTGATCCAGTTTGATACCTCCATTGTAACTTGCCCAGGTAAGCACAGATCCTCCATCCATCAGCCCTTGCCTGACCTGCCCTCCCGCCCGACAACCCAACCCCACCTCATTGCCTTAGCGCAATAGCGTGCCCAGCCCAGCTCAGCTCAACCCCTCCAACAGTTTCGAGCAGTCAGAAGACTTCAAAAGCTCTACTCTCCTCGACCCTAAGGAACCGTATTTTTCAAGCAAACAACTTTCTGACTTCTTCCCGCTTCTTCAATACCCAGTAATCCACACTCTAGGTATGTTTACTTGACTGGAATGTTGATGGAGGGGCATAGTTCAGTCAATGCGGGGTAAATGCTAACGTGGAGTGCAGATTTCAATCACCACAAATACCGCAAATATGGGAATCAAAGCCGGTACGTCCGCAGAAGCTGTAGAGGTTGTACAAGAGCTATACTGACAATAGTTCAGTTGTTGCCGGTGCTGCTGGAGGAATTGGACAGGTGAGAAGCTCCTTACTGTAGCTCTAGATTGTTGCTAATTCTTTTCTCAACAGCCATTGTCGCTTCTCCTCAAGGCATCGCCTCTCATCACCGAGCTGTCTTTGTACGATGTTGTCAATACCCCAGGTGTTGCTGCCGATCTCTCCCACATCTCCTCGCCTGCCGTAGGTCCAATCAAGCTAGGGGCAAGATAACGTAGCTGATGAAATACAGAAAGTCACTGGCTACCTACCGAAGGATGACGGAGCGAAGCTTGCTATGAAGGATGCAGATATCATTGTTATCCCTGCCGGAATTCCTCGTACGTACAAAGTTTTAACAGTGAAAATGATGTATGCTGACTCTGGGGATTACAGGTAAGCCAGGAATGACCCGTGATGATCTCTTCAAGATCAACGCTGGTATCGTCAAGGGCCTCATCGAGGTCATCGCCGAGGTTGCACCAAAAGCCTACATCCTCATCATCTCAAACCCTGTGAACTCAACCGTTCCAATTGCAGCTGAGGTCCTGAAGGCAAAGGGAGTCTTCGACGCCAAGCGTCTGTTCGGTGTTACAACTCTCGATGTCGTTCGCGCCGAGACTTTCGTTGCTGAGATTGTTGGCGAGAAGACCCCATCAAGCTTGACTATTCCAGTTGTTGGTGGTCACTCAGGAGAGACCATCGTGCCTCTCTTCAGCCAGGCTGGTGTTAGCATTCCATCTGATAAGTTGGACGCTCTGGTCAACCGTGTCCAATTTGGTGGTGATGAGGTTGTCAAAGCTAAGGATGGTGCTGGATCTGCTACCCTTTCCATGGCCTATGCCGGTTTCCGGTATGTTTCCTCCCAAGTTTAGAACTCAAGTTTCTAACAGCAACATAGATTCGCCGAAGCTGTCCTCAAGGGACTTGCTGGTGAGAAGAACATTATCGAGCCATCTTTCGTTTATCTCCCAGGTGTCCCAGGTGGCGAGGCCATTGCCAAGGAGACTGGCTGTGATTTCTTCTCGGTTCCAATCCACCTTGGTGTAAGTCTTGTTCAAGCCTCGAATCCACTCCAACTAACACTTTGTGTAGACCTCTGGTGTTGAGAAGGCAATCAACCCTCTCAGCAACATCAACGATGCCGAAAAGGCACTTCTCAAGCCATGTGTAGAAGGGCTCAAAGCCAACATTGCAAAGGGTGTTGATTTCGCCCACAGCACACCACAAAAGTAGTCTTCCCATCCTTGATCCCCTTTGATCCTATGTCTTCAGCCAAAAACGAACAAAACAATACCACCACATCTCTCGTTCAAACAGGATGCATGGCTCAAAGGACTCTGCCTTTCGTTTTGTCTATCTTGGTCTTAGCGTGCTTGTTTCTCAAACGGAAGCAGAGAAAATATCATTGACAGGTCTGGCTCTTCTTTGGTAAGGATTCCTTGACTGATCGTTGGCGCTTGCTTAGATAGGCTGTAATGGCTCCTTTGACTTCGATGTATTCGGATATTTGACACGAAGGCGTGTGTGGCTGGAGTTCTGTTCGTTCTCCTCTTTCATTCGTGCTTTTCGGACTCGAAATGGATGGATTGATCGAGAGTTGGAGAGTGCTGGTTGAAGGGGCAAGCGATGATGGATACTGGGACCTGACGGTGAACGGGATTGTGATATGGAATGGAAAAGTAACAATATATCCATCGGTTCTGATATATGGTGAGCCCGATCTAACCATTGAAGTCTTTCGACCGCTATGCCTCCAGCCCAATGCAGTCTTCCATGAACTCCAGAATTCCCCAACCCAATAACACCAAGTATGCCGCTAAATCGCACGAGTATGATCACAAACCGCACCATCAAAGAGTCACTTTTCTTTCCTCCTTAATCAGGGCTTCGCAACTATACTCTTGATCTGAAAAGTCGCCCCAGGTAGCTCGCTCGTCTCCGCCTGAACTGTAGCATTTATCTCCATACTCGCCAGTGCACCCCTTATGATGCCACAGGGAAACCAGAGAAATGGCTGGGCTCGGACGACGGCTTGGCCACCTGCTTCTGTTGACATGCGTGCGAAAGGTCGGAAGGAGTTATCTGTGAGTACATAGACGCCCTATTTAGAAGATTTGGATTAGTTGACTGCTAGAATTGGAAGAGAGACAGATGGGAAGGACAGGAAGACTAACTCGGTGGTTCGTTTTCAGGTTATCGATTTGTTTCCTGAAGACTAGCATCCAAAGGTCCTTGCAAAGGAACTTGATTACATCCAGCGTGTCTGTGAAGCGTGGTCTGTCGCGGGAAAATCTGTTTGCAAGGTTTCGGTCAGCAATGGTGTCTGTAACTTGTTTCCTCCAATATCTCGCCCTTCCTTGCCATGTGCTCAGTAGTAAGTCTATTGGCTCTCAAAATCTGTTGTACCCGCAGAGCAAGAGTATAATAGCATATCAAGGGTAGCACATACCGTTCAACAAGCCCCTGACCAACCCTATACCCCAGCATCTCCAACCGGTAAAACACCGCATCTCTCTCCTCATCCTCATCCATCTTCCTCGCAGCACCCGCACCCACTATATTTCCTCCCCCAGTCCCCGCACCGCCATCTCTCACATTCGACGCCACACTCGAGCTCTTGACACTGTCGTGCCCAGCTTTCGCAGGTAACCTGTCGTCCAGTGCTGCGGCGTCGACTTCGTTGACGATTCGGTATGCCATGGGTACAAGCTCGATCATGAGGAGGTCGAGACAGGAGGAGTTGAGAAAAGTGGCGGAGGGGTCGGACGCATTATATGGTGGAAGGGGCGCGTCGAAGGACATTTTCATTTAGGGTCCGTAGGGATGTGAGTTTGCTTCATGGAGGGGGTTGAAGCTTTGAGCTTGGGAGCTTGATATTTGGAGGGTGGATTCGAGATGGATCGGAGAAATGAAGGGCCGAGGTTTGACGAGGATGAAGGAAGCCGACCACCCTTTTTCCCTTTCTAATTTTCATGCTCAGTGAGGATTTTAGAATAATGCTGGTCCCCGGTTCTCATTAACAAATCTTGATTTCCATGCTGTACTTGTACTTTTGCTGCGTTAGGTCTCTTTCCTGACTTTGATATACACAAGAATGCCGTACATGCCCATCGTGCTTTGAAAGTACCTGTAACAGTTTTCTCCTCTTTCATTTCTTATCAATGAAGAACTTCGAAGACTTGGACTAAATGTTATATATTTGGTCTCGAAAATCACAAATTAAGCGGGTTCGATTTTTCTTTGATGGTGCAGAATGATGAGTTGGCAATGTTCTGGAAATATTTATGCTTCCAGCAAAAGCAGCTCCATTTCTTACATATGCATGTAGCTACTAGAAGTTGGTCCTGTTTAAAGCATTCTAGTCCATCTCGAGCATTTCACTGTTGGACTACAAGAGCCTGGAGTGCGGTTTGATGTTGGGATATATCCCGGACGGAAGTTGTGACTTTCGTGCTGTTAGCCCTTCTCATGTCCAGTATCAGGACCAAGTAAGAGTTAGAGAAACCATTCAACAGCCAGCACATGATGGCCAAAGCCAAGCAATGAATTTTATCCTAGTGAGGAGGTTGTGCAAAGTCTTGAATCGCGGGTATAGCCACTGGGCGAATGCCAGCAACCTTCATTTGCTTGCAGCTAGACTAGGAACAAACCATGGCTCGCCCAGCAATGAGGAAGTGACGAAAGGGGTCGGGGTCCCAGATTTGATTACATACCTGCTGGACAACGGGAAGGATATTCACGCAGTCAACAAAAGAGGATTGACTCCCTTCAGATACTTGCATTGCTTCGACCTTGTAGACAACACAATTAGATGCAAATCGACTTTGCAGTGGTATTATCTACGGACAAAAGCCGGGCATGACCTCCAGGCCTACCTCGTCAAGGAGTACCAGTTTACTCGAGGTCAACCCTTCTTACTGGAGGAAATACACAGGAGAACCACTCAGAGACTTGGGACTCCGCACTGGATCCTTGAAACTATCAATGGCACGGAAGATCTCATTTTCCATCTCATATTCCATAGTCCCATTGACTTCTTGTCTCACTGCGAGATATCATGTACCAGGCGCCAGGAACATGACCCGCGTGTTTCTGGGTTGTGGAACTCGAGGAAGCATAGCCATTGGAAGCTCAAATCTCGAGCCGCATATGTCCAGAGCTTTCTCATTGGGCCGCGGATCCATGGCAACAACAGCATTAGGAACTGGCATTTTTACTGAAAATTTATGTTGTTCATAGCTGCATATCTTTGAAGCTGTCGACACTTGTGTGCAGGTCGAGTTGAGGACTTCGAAATGCGTCGACTTACGCGCTCGAATGTAAAGTACAATGCAAAGAAAACTCGTGAAAGCCTGCCGTGTGATATCGTGTGTTTTCATGCCCACCTCTCCTTATGATGCAACCTCCAATCTTTGTACTCCACCGTCTCATTCCACATCTAATCCCATCCATATCCCTGATGCCGAATCCGTCCCAAATGTCAAGAGGAAAAGCCAGAAACTGTATTTCCAGACAGTGTGAAGGTCCATTATAGATGAGAGCTGACATTTCTGCTCGCAGACATGACCAGATCCGCCTCCGATGACACCAGTTCGAATGTAAAGCAAATATGAAACACAAAGTTAAGTCTTCATCGCGTCAAGTGCTGCAGTGTGACTTCGGTCGTTGCGACCTGCTAAAGTTTATTTCTTCAGTCCTTGGAAAGTGGATTCTCCTGAGAAGTGACTCTCGCTAAGGGGTTTGATTTCTCTGCTGTGGGCGTGCTGTGGCCTTGCGCAGGAGTGCCAAGTCCAGAAAGAGGGCTCACGAAACCGCTTGGTGGAACTGGAATGCGAATATCTTCCGGGGAGCCAGGAATTAATGAAGGGTTCAGGTCAGGGATATAGATTCGTTTTGCCTCGTTTTGGTACGAAGCCGGAATAATCTAGACACTATGAGCTTTCTGCCAGTAAAATGTGGAAGAAAAATATGAAATTTTACAGCACTTACCTCGATGATCTGGTTGCGGGGGAACTTCAATGATGGGATGCTCATGGCATCACAAGCCATTAGGTAGCCATACAGGACGCGAAGAACAGATTCATGGGCAATAATAAGAAGGTCGTTCTGTTCTCTTTCAAGTTCGAGAATGATGGGCTCAAGGCGTACTGCAAGATCATGGTATGACTAGTGTATTGTTAGCTATGTAGCAGCGTAAAGATTCCTCGTCAAAGTACCTCAGCTCGAGGGTAACGATGGTGGTAAGGATCCATTTCGTGTTTATGGACTTCTTCTGGATACATTCGGCGAATGGCATTCTCAGATAGCTTCTCGCAATCTCCTGGATTTAACTGGCTCATTTGAGATCGTTGCCGAACTCTGAACCCCTTTTCCTTGAAGTAGTCAGCAGTTTCGACGGTTCGCTTTCTTGTCGAGGTCCAGACTGTGAGGGGCTTTAGTGGTGCATCTGAGCCACCAGCAGCAATCAGAGCTTCTCTCTCAGCATTTCGATGAGCAAGAAGAGTATCCATCATCTTCTTGGCATATGCTTTGCCCTCTTCGCCAAGAGGTGCATCGGTCTTGTATAAGTCTTCCTGGTTTGAGGTCCCGGCTCTGGCAAAGAATGTAACGCGAGACTTGATGTGGAGATTCATGAGGTAGAAGACAATTCGATGCGACAGATAACCAAAGCTGACGTTATTATATTCGATGCTCTCACCCGCGTTGATCATCTTGACAAAATTAAGATCATCCTCAGTCATCGTCTCGAAATGAGGGATCTTCATGTCGATTCTCTTGAGGTACAGCTTTGCAGCTTCATCGGGATTCATATCAACAAACTGATGCCTATTAGCCAAGTGGGTGCACGAAGGCTACTTCTGCTTACATCGGGTGAAGATATCTTTACACTACGTGCATTCTCCTCCAGAATTCGCTGGTCCGTGACGTAAGATTCTAGGAAGAGGGTCTTAAAGATAATCAGCAACGTCGGCAATCATGGACCATTTGCCACTCACCTGTACGTCGTGCTTTGCAAACTCCTTAGCAAGTGACCGACGTCCACCTGCAAGTGGATTGACAGCGTCGTAAATTGCGACCTGGCCATTCTCGTGGTTCAACCAGGCATAGATATCCTCTCTGCACTTCTTCAGTATCTTCTGACGGAGCATTACAGATGGAGCAGAGGCGTTGATAAAGAAATAGTCTTCGGGAATGTCGACTCCAGCCCCCATTGTTGCTCGACGGTAATCACCGAGGTGGAAGACTCTGGTCTTTACACCAAGCCTATGGAAAATGAGTAGGCGATTCTGACGAAAGAAGCTGGAGAACGTACCACTGCAGATACCGGGATAGAGAGACTGAGATGTGACTAAGGTTTTTCATTAGCATCGCTGGGGACTGCATGGTGTTGCAACTTACGTTTTTCCTCGCGCTGGAAGACCAACAAGAACAATTGCGATTCTACCAGAATGAAAGAGTCTTCCGGACATAGTACTGTAAAGTTGGGCCGGAGCCATATGAGGAGTCTTGTCATCCTTGACATCGTGAACGCCGTCTATGAATGTAGATGAGCGTCTGCGATATCTCGGCGAATTTGCCGCAATCTCAGCTGTTCTGTACTCATGCAGATCTGCGTTAGCAAAGACAATGGAGCAAAGTTCTGGTCTGGTGTACAGCTTCGCCGCTCGACTGAATTTTAACTTCTGGAAACGAACAATTGGTGCCAACTCGTCACGGCGGATATTTTTCAAGGTCGCGGCTGCCTCAGCTTCGAAGAAATCCGATGCCTTGACAGGTTGCTCGACAGATGCAGAGCGCTTCTTTAGGAAGCTCAAAAGTTTCATTTGAACAAAGAAGTTTCGCAAAGAAATGGATGACGCGAGAAAATCAAAGTGTGGATGGTGGGTGATATATTCCTTTTGATTCTGGGCAAGATGTGTCTGAGAAAGGAATGAACCATCACTCACAAAAGCGTGTCCATGGTTCCAGAGTTACGACCGCAATGCTGACGGCCCGTGAATCAGAAGGGGAAGGTACGACAGCAATTGGCGTGCAAACGAACTGAACGATCTTTGGTTGCCAAACTGCTCCTTGGTTACCCAAAGGGCCAGCGGAAGCGATAAGTAGATAACGTGCAGCGTAGAGTAGAGTAGAGTAGACCGAGAAGATCGAAAAACGTCAATGCGTTGTTTGAAGATTGAAATGTGGACAAATGCCCGGTCGAAATCCACGACTTATCTGGATCAGTGCTCCCGGTCAACAAGTTGTGCTTATGTGTTCTTTGACGACGATATCTTGAGGTGTTTATGAGAAGGGAAGAGAAGCCGGTTACAGCTGCAAATCAAGCCCTCAAGGAAACAACTAGGTGCAGCCAAGCTGTCGGCTATCAGGCCAATCGTCCTCCCATGCCATGCTGGGACCCCACTGTTCTAGCTCCCTTGCCAGCTGATTGGCAGCCTGACTGCCTGACTGCCTGACGACCTGACCCCAGGAACCAAGCTCCTTTGGAAAAAAGTTGAGCGCATCTCTCTTTCAGGTGCATTTGCGTGTCAACCACCAACGATCCTACAGCTCCCACCACCTATTCCATCCTCCCCCATCTCCGTCTACTGCGGCAGATACCCTCCACGCTCAATATCCAACTTTCTTGCACCGATTCCCGTCATACACCTCCTGCAATGTCTGCCGTCGTAGAGTTCGAGAAGGAGTCGCCTTTGGGCTTCCTGTACAATAACCCAATCTCAGTGGGCCTTGCAGATTCATATGTTTCATTTTCGGAACGGAGGGCAGCTCTGGGACTGTCGAACCCAGGAACGGTTGAGAACATTGCACGAGAGGTCCAGCGCGATGTCTTCCTGAACAACTACACCTTCTCCGGTCTAAGGGCCGATCTTACCAAAGCTTTCAGCATCGCACCTTTATTCCAGGTCTCTCATGCGTTCGCTATGGGGTCTCAAGGGCTTCCTCCTTATACCTTTGCAGCTCTCTTTGGTACCAACAAGGTTCGTAGCACGCTCCAGGACGGTTTCTTTGAATCAAGTCCACATGGACTACAAAAACTAAACAAATATCTAGATCTTCATGCAAGGAAATGTGGACAATGAAGGACAACTTTCAACTAGATTTAACTACCGCTGGACACCGTCATTTGTGACGAAGACTAACATTCAGATTGCTCCTGGCAATCAAGCAATGGCACAGTTTGACAACGAGTACACCGGAGCCGACTTCACTGCATCCTTGAAATCACTCAACCCATCGATCATTGATGGCGGTCTTACTGGTATCTTCATTGGAAGCTACCTGCAGTCTGTTACACCCAGCCTTGCTCTTGGTTTGGAGGCAATCTGGCAACGCGCAGCTCTGAACCAAGGTCCCGAGACAGCCTTGTCATACTGTGCTAGATACAAGGGAAGCGACTGGATTGCGAGTGCTCAGCTTGCTGCAGGAGGCGCAATTAGCACATCGTACTGGAGAAAGTTGACGGACAAGGTGGAGGCTGGAGTTGATCTTAACCTCCAATTTGCTGGATTATCAGGAGCTGGAATGATGGGTGGACCTGCACGCAATGAGGGCATCACTACTGTTGGTGCCAAGTATGACTTCCGAATGTCTACTTTCAGAGCCCAGGTAGACTCCACTGGAAAGTTGAGCTGCTTATTGGAAAAGAGAGTTGCTCCTCCAGTCCAATTGACCTTTGCAGCCGAAATGGATCACTTTAAGGTCAGTTTAATTCACCGCGTGTTGGAGAGTCAGCACTGACCCTCCCTAGCAACAAGCAAAGATCGGACTCGCTGTTTCAATCGAAGCTGGCAGTGAAGAGCTCCAAGAACAACAAGAAATGGCAGGCGGTGCGGCTCCCGCTCAAATCCCCTTCTAATCGACTTGCAACTCGAAATCCCCACCCCTCCGCTCCTACCTAATCGAATATAATGCCTCCACCGAAGTGCTTGTAAGTCGGCCACCTTGAATATATCGGATGTCCCATCAAAACCCTCTACTTCGAATACCCTGTCTTACTATAACCACTCTGGTACATCATGTGGTGGTATTTCCGGTGTTACATTTGCGAATTTGGCGACTGTCATCCCTGGGAAACTCCCCTGCATGGGTTGGTGACGCCTAAAGATGTGACGATCATAGATTTTTTCCTTTTGCTGTGTCTTGTTGTCGCGTGCATCTCTGGGTAGCAATGTGAGCGTATTGGCCCAGAGCTTTTTGGGGGTACGTTATATGTGTGGATGGATGAAATACTGTATTATAGTGGTGGCTTTTGTGCGGGACAGGTTTGGGCATGCTGCTAGATACCTGTGTACAAAATGAAAAAAGGATATGGTCTCAGCCTCTGTTGATTTCTGTGATGTCGAATCAACTTCTGATGGATGAGGACAGCAAGGTACGCTCCCGTCTCACTGATTCATGCGGCGCTCGACCTGTTCATTTCCACTCCCTCTACCTAGCTACTTTCTGCTTTTCGGCTTTCTGTTTTGCCATGTTGAGGCGGTGGTCCATCCAGCCTCTATTTCGTGTAACAGCTCAGCGCTCGTCCCCTCAGCGTGTTTGTTCTTCACGCCAATAGAGCAATTACAGACCATTTCCCTCCTATGGCATTGCGAATGTTGAGCCATCGTTGAAGCTGCCCAGAGATGAGGCAAAATCTGCGCTGCGACGAGACGTCGCCAATCCACCAGCCCTTGCCACTTCAATGTGGCCTTCACGGTAATCTACACCAGCAAGAGCAAGGAATTTCGACTTCCCATTTCTTTGTAGCACAGCGTCCGATCCTTATGTCTTGCTGCCAGGCGCAATGGCTTCCAATCAACGGGCTGATCTCACGACTAGCTTTCCTACTTTGGCTGGCTGTATTGCGTTCCCTTACCATATCAAGGAAACGGCTCGTCGATGTCGTCAAGAACCTGAGACAGGGACCTCCAACATGCGGCATCCATCGCCTGTAATTCTGAATGTCCCTGTCTGCATGTGGCGGTCTAACACAATTGGAAACCTGCATCGCGTACCCTTTTAACTTCGGTAGAGCTGCTTCTCTACGCTGCGTATCCACACAAAAAGGGGGGACACGGTGAGATCTTCCGATTCCCGCCTACCTACTCATCTTTCCGTCACTTCAGAACGGCAGGCGAGGGAAATCCTCAACTCATTCATGTAGTGAATTAAGCAAGATCCAGCCACATTTGCTGTTGGCCAAGCTGTTGAAGAATTCGTGTTCTTCGAACAGTGATTCGTTGACTAACATGTCCTAGGCAAGAATTCGCGGTGCACAATTACGATTAGCTATCACCTGCGGGTGTATGCCAAAGGCTATCATCACGGTCTACAATTAGTCTCGAATGGAATATCACAATCAGGCAGTGCGGTGGAGTCCTCACAATTATCTCCATTAGTATCTCGATCAGCAGTGAAGAAGATCTCAACAATTCACAATGAAGATATCAGGCGAGCTGGAAAGCTCAATATCAGTAAGTATATTCTATTCCTAACCATTTAATAGCTTGGCCACAGTAAATTTCTTTTTTCATCTATTTTTGTTTCGGCTCAATTCCTCCTAACTCTTCCCGTTTCTCTGCTCTACCCTAGGTATACTTACAGGTCAAGAAGCAGCTCAACCGCAACTGTTTTGCCTGCGGCTTGCAACAGATTAAGCGAGAATCCGTTCCTTTCGTTGTTAGGCAAGCTGTTTGCATATCTCTTCGGCCAGCTGAATCCGCGAATACCATATCTCACAGGATATGATACCTCAGCGAGGATATCCTAAACACAGGCCATCGTTTTGATCAAGAGATCAGAAGGGAAGCATGCTGAGAATGGATAAATCTGGGCCCGCTTTGCTTAGGAATAAGAGCATCGCAAGCTTAATAGTCCTGTTTCAGACAATCAGTTCAGGGCACTTAGTGCTAATACGAGTCAAAGTCAAATGCGCAGTTGCAATGTGTAAGTACTTAACTTCTTTCCCCTCCCTCTCTATCTTTAAATAGCTTAGCCATAACAACCATTTACTTCTTTCTTTTTAAGACTTCCTTCTGTTAGCAGTCTCACCTTCAGATTGATCAGGCAAGCGAGACGAATATTACCTGATTGATGATATAGGTCAAGCCAATAGCTCCCGAGGATCCCAACAACTCTCAAGGCAATTAAGCATAATTTGGGCATCTAAACAGTTCTTAGAGCTTGAGAAATTACTCATTGCGATTGTATGTATTCTTTTCCTGCTTTCCATTCTTCAAGTAACTTGGTCAGAGCACATTGTGTCGCTGAGCTTTTCCTTCGTTAGATCTTGAGGTTGGCGCAAGCGGCAGTCAGTCACAATAACCAAAATAGCGAGATTTCGCCTTTAACCAACGTCTTTCTTTCGGATTGTACACTACCCACGCCTGAGTCAGTCACTTACGTTTGAGGCAGGCATTTCAAGAAGACTGGCGCAGTCTGCGATTCTTTGACCCTTCAGAATACAAAGGCATTGATAATCTGAGTCGCTTCCTACGTCAACACCACCACATGATTGTTCCTTCCCCACGCAGGAAGTCCATATATGCCTATAGGTACAAGCAGACCGGCCACACTAGAAGCCCTACGGCAATCTAAACCCCTGCTGGAATGCGTTTCCATCATCGTCACCAAGCCAAGACGTGACTATATCGCATCTGCGCCGCAAATCTACGCCTGCTATCAAGTTCATCACCATCTCGGCACTCTCTTGGGAACAAATGATCTTTTTGGACGCGTGAGTAACAACCCATGCGATTGGAGGAGTACCCAAGGCTCTGCCATGTGGTGACTCGAACGGGACAGAGGATAAGGATATCACCGATCTCGGGCGGGTCATCACATTCATAGTTGGCAAGCTCGTTATATCAGCTCGAACACGTCCAGCGCACCTCCACAGAGAGCTCCCTTGGCCCAGAAGTTTCGGTTGAAGGCAAACAAATCTACTCAGAACATTCTCTTAGACTGCAACAATTCTTGGCGAGGTGGTAGTTCTCGGCATTCAATTTCTACTGGTGAGTCGGGGCAGGATTCTGCGGGACTGCTCGAACTAGGACAGTAGCGAAGGAATAAACATGCGCAGGCAGTCGATATGCCCAATATCGCACAAAGATCCAAATTGCTTGAACGACACCAGACCAGTAAGGACAGCGTTTCCTCCTCCAGCCCCTAATCATCCGTCCTCGAACCACGTTTCTCTCTTATCCGCTCTATATCGTGGCAATCCAGAATACCAACAACCACGGAGTCACAAGATCATTCACCTCTTCAACTAAACCGATACTGGTATCCTCGTTACAGCTTGCATCGCATTGTGCAGTGTTATAAAAATCTATTCTACCAGGGTCTCAGATCGGAAGAAGCGTCAAGTATGACCACGTAGTATATGGCAGGTGGAAAGATGAAAGGAAGCGTGATAGGGTCTTGTTAGATCAGTGGATGACGGCCATGCAGGGCATCGAGGTGAAGGGATTCATTGGAACCAAGACTTCTCGAACGGACGTGTTCGCGATGCGGGTTGAGCCGTTGGCTGGATCTTGGGAAAGGGCATATCTTCTATTTACTAATGGGCTTTCACAATGGTTCGCAAAGGAGTTGGCGAAGAATAGATCGAAATGAGGACCGGGAGGCGCCCCCACTTTGAATGGTTGGAAAATTGGCGAATAGCAAGCCAGAAGATGCTGCACAAGATCGATACGCGGGGTGAGGCTTCGTGGATCAATAGGAAGCATTCCGAAGCAGAATGGCTAAATCGAGTCGATTCATGCATAGGAGAAAATTGTCCTTCTGGGCTTGAGGGTAGACAATGCGTGGCAGGCGACGCCTACGATGGCAATAAGTCATGCAAATGGCCTTCTCGATACGTACCTCTCGATATGTGTACGATCTCGCGATGAGAAGATGACACAAAAGAGAAGAAAGATCGAAATTGCGGTGACTGATCGATTTCATTCTTACAGATTTTCGGTGGCAAGTCTATTTTGTTTCAAAGGGATGCGATCGTTGTGGCACAGACGAGCCTTTCATTGTTACAGTTTGCTGAAGCTTTGACTATGGGGGACTAAGCGAAGTTACTCGAATCAACAGGTGAATTGCCGAGAGTAAGTTTGCGATTGACTGCTAAATTTGCGGTGTGGCTTACGCTTGAGCTGAGCTTCCAGTTGACATGGCTTGCTCTATTAGGCTGCGCTGCGATTGTGATGCCTGGATCGATGTTGGGTGGTCTCAAGCATCAGGTAACACCTACTCAGTTGGCTTATTTCTTCAGCTTCTCTTCCATTGCTATCTTTTATCCATATTATCCGGCGATAAATGCCTTTTGGTCATGTTCCTATCCTTTCTGTGAGTTTCTGTTAATCATAGCAGGCACTCAAGTGGCATGGTCGTGGCGAATATATAGAGTTCCGTTCTGAGCGATGAGGTTCCCTACTAGGTGCGACGCACTGATCTCAACAAGCACCCTCCTCTACAGCTCAGAAGCTCCAAGATCTTGGTTATTTTCGATGTCGGTGAAGTACCAACGTACTTCCACATGAGAATGTGTTGCTGTAAAGCATGTTTGTCATGGCGGACCAAGCGAGGGGCCCTTGTTTTGAAAGTGGTCGCTAAGCACATAAGCTTGCAGCTAGCAGATATAGGGCTCTTTATTGGCTCTGAAATTTGGTGCTATCGAACTGGCTGGTTCTCGGTACAACCTTAATTGCGGTTGTGCACTAAGACGACATGGTCAGTGACAGCTTTGACTTCTTCGACCATGAGGGTCGAGCTCTTACACAAAACGCAGGTCAAACCAATCGAAATGACCACAGACAGAGAGATTATCAGTTGAAGAGAGATGATTATAGATATTTAGGGAGCTGCTCCATTCTCAGTGTATCAGCTTCTTTGTGTTTAGAAAATATATGCGTCAGCCTCTTCTCAATCACTTGCTCATATTCCTCGAAGTTTTGTCCATATGTTTGAATAAAGCAAACCACGAGTCGCTCGGAACGTCCTCATTTCATGCGAAGTGACGGTCCTTACTCGTTGTGTGTTCTCTCGGCGCAGATCATAAGATATCGAGTTTTAGCTCGAAGGTGATGACGGCGCAACCTGCGCACTGAATCCATTGGTCCTACATCTTGAATTACATGGCTCAGACGACACGCACTGCAGTAGATTTGGCGCAAAATGGCACGGCATTGGCAAGTGGAACGGGACAGAAGACGGATGTCCTTCAGACTGTCAACGTCGTGACGACTATTCTGGTTATTTCACTCCTTACGCCGTTGATGCTCGCGAAGATCTACATCAAGAAATTCGTTGTCGGTGGCTGTTGTAGAGAGGACGGTGAGTCCATCCTACACCATTTGCAAAAAGAAATTGTCTCTGCAAGAAAGCGAGAGGGCAGTCGCGAGATGAATACGTGAGCTGTTGCTGACGAATCATGTGCAAAATAGCCCTCTGCTTCCTCGCTTGGGTATGTGATATGCGACTTTGTGTTGGCTGAGCCAAATCTGATCGTAGTAGTTCATGACAACAGGATACTGTGTGACAGGGCTTCTGAGTACGTTACACCTACAAGATTCAAGCATTGTCAGAGCTTAAATTATCTAACTGGCGACGTAGTGGCTGGTCATGGAGGAGGAAATCACGAATGGGAAGTCCCTCGGGAAGAATTGATACAGTTTCAGAAGGTCACCTCCCAAATCTCCCAATCCCTCTCCAACTCGTACATAGCTAACTGTTCCGACTCCAGATTCTTTACGCCGACACCATCCTCTACGGCCCAGCTGCCTTCCTCACCAAGACAACGCTCTTACTGATCTTCACAAGAGTCTTCTCGCACTGTACCAGGACGGTAAAATTCATCTATGCATTCATTGGAGTCATGGCATGCTACTACGTTCCCGTCTTAATTCTAAAGATCCGACTCTGTACGCCGATTGAGGGTCTCTGGGATCCGAGTGTTGAGTCGATGTGTTTCAATCAACAGAGTATTTTCTTCACGGATGCGATGGTGAGTGTAGCAACGGACGCGACGGTTTTAATTCTGCCGGGACCACTGTAAGCTCTTCCAAGACTTGCTGCAATTCCAGTACCTCTCAGATAACGGACATGATCGGGTTTGAGTTCGGTTCTGAGGAATGGATCATTGCCCCAGTCTCGCTTACAGCAAAACAAATGACAGCCTAGCTGACCATGATACACGAGCAGAGTCTTTACACTCAATGTCGGCATATTCAAGAGGATTCGGATTGGGATCTTGCTGGGAGTCGGTGGTCTCGCAACAATTGCTAGCACGTGGAGGGCTGTACTTGTGTGGGCCCCTGACGCATACGAAGATATCACGGTTACGTTTGTGAGGATCAATTTACTCGGGTTTGTGCCCCTTCAATCCATTCCAAAGACTTGAATCGGAAGCGGGTTACCTTGGTGACAAGGTTCATCTGAGCTAACCATCAAACAGAATTGCAGAAGTCGGCATAGGTATTATGTGTGCCTGCGTCCCGACCTTCAACATCCTCTTCACGCGGTACACCAAAGAGCACTGGGGTCCTAATGCCTACTACGCAGCGACGGGTGAGCGCAGCCCGGCGCTGAAAACCCCAAGATTACGAAGGTTAACGGGAGACGGGATGGGGGTTCACGTCTGGAGGAAGGGACATAGGTATAAGAAGAGTCTGGAGAGTGAATCTGGAGAGGGGATTGAGGATGGGGAGGTTGTGGTGCTGGAGACTGTGGTGGCTTTGGAGGAGAGGAGTGGTGAGGGAAGTAAGAATTGCAAGGTTGCTGCGTGGTGTAAGAAGCAGAAGAAGAGGAAGATTAGAGAAAATCAGAGGCGGGAAGGGGAAGAAGAGTGGAAGAAATTGAAGTGGGGCGTGCATGTGGAGAGGGATGTTGAGAGTGAAGCTGGGATTGTGGATGTTTTGGAAACAGGGGTTGATATTGGATATCAGAACGGCAGTGTTACAGACAGAGACAGAAATTTGAGCAGGAATAGGGAAAGGGAAGAGGATTCCGGATGGCCGCTTTCGGGAGGTGGGAATGTGTTCCCAGTTACCGATGTTGAGAGAGCTATCTGATGGATGGGAGTTCAATGGTTGAATTTCCTGGGGAGAAGGAAGAAAAATACCAAGTTTGGAGTTTAGCATTGATTGAGCGCTCAATAATGAATGAATATATATATATATATATATATATATATTGGCAATTCGGCTGAGCTGTAAATATACCATTATTACAGTGTTGAAGTGCTTTGATATTCGAGAAGTCCAGTCTAGGATAATGCTAATCCAGAGGCAAAGCCTGTTCTGCCCACTGGCCACTCTGAAGCGACTCCAGTACAACGAGAAGAAAGAATAACCAGGAAGTCTCGTAGACATGGAAGGTGCATAGCATGCACTGTAAGACTTTTCTACTTCCTTGTTGTTACATCACTCGATGATATGTGCTTCTTTTCCTTGTCGGAACAAGAGCTCCTTCGTCACTCAATTTAGTGAGATCCAACGAGCTCCAGGCTGGCATGACAAAGGAACGCTATGGTATTATCGATTGACACATGCCAAAGTACCGATTTTGTCTATGCGCCGGGGAAAACAAAATGTGACTCCAAGCGAGGAAAAAAGAAAGAAAGAAGCGGAGGAAAGGAGTCGATGGAAGGAAAGAACGAACGAAAAAGAAATTTATGCTGCATACGGCGCAGATGTAGATGCGCCACTAGACTGGGGAAAAAGGTTGAGGTGGGTCTTTGGTGTGTGAGGATGTTCGTTGGGATTTTCTAGAGGAGGTTTGGAAGCGGTCTGTCTCGCTGGGTGTTGGACTTTGAGAAAAGGAGTAAAGATATGTGGTTGTTGGGGCGGGATGGTTGGAAGATCGAAAGGGCGAGAGATGATAGATGTGAGTCATTTGCAAATTGCCTGAACTTTTTGTTAACGTGGAGGGTTAAGAAAGGAGATGCGAACTCAGCCTGGGGTGGCCGGGTGGAGATCCGATGTAGCGGACTGCGGGAGGGAAGAAGCGAGTTTTGTAGATCTGTGGATTTGAAGATTGTCTAGGCATCTACAGATTGTGCGACTCTCCATCACATCGGTACCGTACCTAGAGACATACATTGTCAGCATGGCATGGCAAAGTGGTGTTGAATAGTTTGGGTCAGGCTCCGTGGCACCCGCCCGTCGATTGTGCTGGGTTGTATAGTTATTGGCTGACTGGATAGAGTTGAGATTGTGGATGCAGAGGTGCTCCTATTTTGATACCGTAGGCAGTGAGACATCGTGCTGATCATGTCAAATACATGCATGTCGCTCGAAGCAGAGCAATCCAGTCCGGATAGGGATGGATTCTTGCTGTGGCGGCGGGAAAGGGGTTTGGCGAGCCGTTCAATGCACGTGTTAATCCTCCATCCAGAGGTAAGAGATCTGAGGTGTGTTAAGTGTAGGGGCTCGGCATGTATATCTCATGTACGGCCTCTGACCTGCTGCGTGCCTGCGACAGGTAATTGGTGATTGGCGCTGAGTTGTTACGAGAGGGTGTACGGTGTGATGGGGGGTGGCGATGACGATCCATCTACATCATGAGGTGTATGAGATGCGGATATCGGATTGGGCTAGATGTCAGCTTGGCTGGATGGCAGGGAAAATGCCTCATTCACTCCTCCTGTCCCTGTCGGATTGTAATGAGGGTTGTGCATATGTTTCTGGCATGCTGGCTACGAGCGGTTTGTATTATTGTGTTGTTGTTCTTCACACAAGGTTGTGAGTTCTGATCCATTTGAGCGAGTGATGAGAGAGTGACATGAGTTTAGGGATATCGATATCTGATTCCGAGCATCGTCACTTTTTGGGACGTGGTGTTGTGGTAGGCTTCTTTCCTGACTTCCTCACTCCCCCTAGTTTCTACCCCACTTTGAGAACAGACCATTCATTACCTTTTTATTGACCCCTCATTCACGTCCCACAACGACGGTATCCCAAGCGCCATTGTTGACTTTGGCGTCAATGACGAAAGTGATAATGATGGAAAGATAACAACTTGATCCGTATGGATGTGAAGCAATTCTTGCCAAGTGCCGTCGCCGTTTAATCGCGCGCATAGAACCCGGTCTTGATATTGCCATGTGAGTGATAATCTCATCTGGTTTGGCAATCAGGCGGTCCGTTGAATCTCGAATACTATGCTTTCCAGGTCTATGATTGGCCGATAGCATGGCAACACGATGGTGACTCGCTTGAATTCTAAATGGCGATGAGCTGATCTGGATTTGTAAATATTCTAGGTTTGGAAACAATCATTGGTTCATAACTGACTCGGGTTACACGCCTCCAGAGCACATGCAAACTTAGAACGAGACGTGATGGTAAAAGGAGCAAAGAGATTGAAGACTGAATGGCCAGACCGGCAGGTGTTCCGGGGTCAATATCATCAGCTGGCATGAGGAATTAGATAATGCCTGCTGATGGAACCAGAGGTCGAATCGCATCAAGGAGATGGCCGGAGTCTGGCTAGAATGAAAGGAAGGCCTGATTGATTTCTTCGCCTGTTCCTGCTGCTCTGCTGTACAGTGCTGTGTTGTGCCAGGAGAAGCTGTGTGAGGGCGACAGGGAACTTTAATGATCGTTTTGCCTCTCGTGCAGCACGCTTAAGCTTGCAGCTTGTAACGTGGGCTTGTTGGAGCCCGAGATATTGACTCTGCTACTGCTCGCTGTAGGCAGAGGCAGGGTAGACATGCAGATATCCGTTTGCTCGTGCCAGATGCCCAGATTCCAGCCAACGGTAACCATTGGATAGCTGAGGCTGTTTTTCTGGTTCTGCTTCGACCTTCTCTTTTCTCTTGCTGTAGCCTGCGTGTGTCACTACGGTTCATCACTTGCTGGCCACCTGCATCGTGCTGTGTAATTGAAGTCACGGCAATCTACATTTGCCCTGTTGATTGCTTGGATTAACTGCTTTCTGCTGCCATGATTGGACCGGTGATCACGAAGGGTAGACGACCAGATCGGAGGGGGAACAGTTTCGCTTCCCGAGTTGCTTCAAATGGCCCTGCTCTGCGTAAAATGTCTCGTCGCTCGTGTTCACTCAGCGGCTTTTCGATACCTACTAACAGCAGTATGTTACTGTCTTTGATTTGCAACCTCATGGGCCTGGATCTCCAAAGATTCGAGATCTGGATACCGCCACTTATTTCGGGATTGTGGCGGCGGCCGGCTTGCCTTGTCACTGGTCTTGCTCGGCACCCGTCGGACCAGCAAAACATCGTCAGTGGTTAGAATTGTGAGTAGTGGTTACAAGTCAAGCCCGTTTAGCCTCCTCCGAAGCATTTTAAACCTCAAGCTCCAACAAGGGGTTTGGTCACGAGCTCCTTCTGGAGCGCTAATTGTGTCTGAGAGGAGCAAGAGTGGAGCATAGAGGAGGGGCAAGAGGGGCGAGATGTTGGCGCCCAATTGGGAGGCATGGAGCTTTTGGTGCACCGCTCGGTACGGTACAGAATCGAACTTTGATCCTGGATTCGACGGCTTGCTCGTGGCTTTACCCATCATGTAGGCGTCTGGAAAAACGGTTTGGGAATGGAATGGTATGTCCTGATGTCGTTGTGCGTCCACAGCACCCCGTGACTATCTTCCTGCTGGGGCAACCTGAAATATAGTGAGTCCTGTTTGGTTGATTGGTTGATACAGTAGGATGAGGGTTGTGAGATGCAAGAAATCCGGCCAGGTTCACAAATTTCAACCTTGATGATGGAGATTCCCATGTTGATGGTACTCGTCCCTATTGGCTGTTGAGGTTGCATTTTGGAATGCTCACCCGCCTGCACATGATTTATGATAGTCAATTTGCTGCACAGGAAGTAGTGTAAGCAGCTGGAGTGAGGCATACAGTAGCATGGCTCAGCTTCCTCCGAATAGCTTCAATTCTCTCCTCTTCAAGCCTGAAGCTTCGAGCTCCAGGCTCATCGAAAGTCAAGTCAAGTCAAGTCAGGAATGGATCATCGGGACGGACGTTTCTTCTGCAACTCTAACATGAGATCGAGACAAGCCAGTGCGCTTTGCAGGTCTTGGCAGAGAGCTCACTGCCAGGGGCTGCTGTGCTGTGCTGTGCTGTTACCAGTTAGAGGAGGACAGCCTGCTGGAGATATTTGGCCGAATGGTCTGGTCCGCATGCCTCGCCGTAGCAGCTAGCCAGCCCGCATGCCGGGCTCTTAGTCAAAAGTTTGAGTTTCTCAAGAGTCAAGACTGCCTCACTGCCTCTACTGTACCACTTCTGACCTGCGTCCTGTTCAGTAATTACTCTCGACAGTGAAATTTCAAGATGAAAAGCTAGATCCGCGGTCTGATTTCGTGCATCTCGCACCGTCACGGTGGTCTCGTCTTCCCCCTCCTAGCTTCCGAAGCTCTTGACAGCAGGTCTTTTCTCCTGTCTTTATGGTGCATTATTATTGAGAGACGTGACTGAGGTGAGGTTTGGGATTGTTAACTACTGGCCCGTGCCTGCTGTTCCCTGCCCGTGTCCAGGTCAGGCCTGCTAGGCTCTGCTCCACTGACCACGAGCCTGTCAAAGATTTCAACCCGAGTGGCCAGTGGTGAGATGGCCGGTGGTCAGCCATGGTTAGGGATGACGGACAGCCCGCGAGCAGGCGAGTCGAGGGGGCGACAGATACAACTAGAGTACGAGGCTGCGCGGCAACAACCACAAATCGGCCTGTGCTTGCTTAAGAATTCTATTTACAATTCCGGTCCTTATGAGCCTCTTTATCAGGGGCTCTGGCTCTGGGCTCCGGGCTCTGGGATTCTATCAAGAGGAAATACTAGCGCAGCCTCCCTGTTGTTCACAGGCACAGGCACAGGCACAGGCACTCATCACATCGCATCGCATACTAGTTGGTTGAATCGATCTTACCACTCTCGCGCTCACTCGATCGATATCATTTATCATCAGTCTCGGGATCACGACTCGGCGGCTCGAAGACAACTGAACTGCAGGAAGTAGATCTCGGAAAGCTAACCAGCTACCTGGTTCAAATCAACTCAGGAGAGGCACAGCATAGAAATATGTACTGTACTGCAGCTGTCACTTGTAGTCACGGCACGCCCGCGTACAACAATGGGTGTTGATGTCGCTGATCTGACAAGAACAGGAGGGACGAGATGTAAGGATGTGCACGCGAGGTGACAAGACATCTATGGCTGCAAGGTGCGAGATGCCGGTATTTGTAACTCTGCCTGTCCTACCTTCTCTCGTGAGGCTATTGCCTTTGTCACTCTGGACCAGCCTGCTGGGAACGCTGTACATTCAGCTGACCAGAAGTGGATGCAAGACGGATGTGCTTGCTCTCAAATTTGTCCGTTATTGTGTATCGATACGTCATCCATTGGATGTTAGGTACTGGAGAGGAGGACAAGAGTATTGATACACTGACGAGGCTCGACTGGAACGCATTGCTTCGTGATGTTGTGGTGCGTCTCGGCCCCAAATGCTTCACTTTGTACCTGACTCTTGGCATGAAGTGGCCCGGTTGATCCACTTGACACTGGATCTGGTAATCAGCTTCAGCTCCTATTTCAAGCTGCAGCTTTGAGCAGCTGTTCAAGCTTGAGCTGTTGCAGATCGGCGGCGACCCAATGGCATGACTTTAATCCAGGGCTGATCTTGAAATCACCAGTCTTCAGCGGTGCCGCTTATCCATTTGTGTCTGCATTGGGAGGGGTTGCGATGCAGTACCTATGCAGTATTGGCGTCAATGACCTACCATAGTGGCGGATATCGACGACAGACAAACAGACGGACAATGGATTGAATTCCTTTACCTGACGTTACGAGTGCTGGACCAGCATCAAGTGGTCCCATGATCGTAAGTGCATTCTTGGCTCCGCCGTGAGGGCAAAACGAGGGTATCAAAGGTAAATTCTGCTGTGGCATATATGAGGAAAGGGAAGAGAATACAAGAGATGTAGTCCTGACTGACGTAGTCAAGTCATTCCATGCATTGAATATGTAATAATGCACAACGGTCATGCTTCCAGTAGAAGAGGTAGGAAAAGGAAGTATCTGTTGACGTCGTGGTCGAGCGAGAATGGGCTGTCTCTCTGTCTCAGCAAGAAAATACATGGTCCGGGTTTGTTGTCTTCTTTCTTTCTAGAACAAAGAACACAACCCGAGTCCCTCGAAAAGCCAATCTAAAACATCCTTCGTCCCTCGAAAATCGCATTCCATCACCATTTTTACAGTTTTCCAATGCGAGTTGCCCATTGAAGATCCAGACTTCTGCAGCTACGTCGCCAGCCAACCACAGGGCTCCCCAGCCCCTCCCGCAAGCCAAAACCCAACGCGCAAAATCATCACCGTTTGCCCTGCCATCGTCAATACCAGAAAGACCAAAAGTTTAAGAGTTACCCTGTCAAGGTAATTTATTGATTTTCTCCTGGCACTTCCGTCTGAGGCCAGGTTCTGCTTCCTGCATCACACTGTGGCTCGCTTGAGCATCAAGCTTCACTCTTCAAATTTCAATTCTCGAACCTCTAGCTGCACAGAACTTCGCTTACGGCCCTCGAGCTCGAGTCTCCAAATAATAAGTACAATAATACCCCGAAAGCCAGCGCTTATCTTGCTGCCCGCTCCCATCTCAAACGCTGTTAGTTTGCCGTTTTTTCGAGGTACCTAGGTAGGCACTCTTGGGACTTGAAGATCCATCTCCTGCTGTTCCAGTCCCTCCTCTCCTCTCCTCTCCTCTCCTCTCCCCTTTTCCCCTCTCTCCCGCATCTCCACACTGCAGAAAGTCGCACATGGTTCCAGTGCAAGTGCGAATGCAAGTCCAGCATCGTGGATCCAGAGTTTCCAGGTGCATTGCCGACCCGTTTGCTCTTTCCACAGTCCCTTTCGTACGGCACTCTTGCAAAAGATGTCTGTCGGGTCTTACCTGCTCTCACTCATCCACATCCACTGGACCATTCTACTACCTACCTTACCTATACACACTCCACTCTTTGCTTTGGTCAACAGCCTCACCACGTCCCAGAGCATCGTTCGGTTCTTATGAGACTGTCCTGGACTCCTGGACTCCTGGTCTCCAAGACCTGGCCAACCCCTGTCATTGTAGGATGAGGATGCGCAGCACAACGTCAGTCAAGCAAAGCTAATTTGGTAAGCGATTACAGGAGGCCGGAGCCACCAGACGCCCACTCACGCATGCACGTACCGTAACATACCATACAGTAGGCCGGCCCCGCCAGTCACCTGCACCGCAGCCAGGCAGGGCATGCGATTCAACAGCGGAGTCAGCCAACCATCGGATTCCCAGACCCAGACCCAGACCCAGACCCATTTCGCGGGCTCGTGAATGACCACGGTGGACCACAACCGAAGTTCAGGTCAACCCCAGCACAGCACCACAGCACCACAGCACCACAGCACCACAGCACCACAGCACCAAAGCCTCCCGACTCCTTCTTTCTACCAACCAAGGCCTCTCCTTTCTGCTTCACCTTCACCTTCACCTTTCGCCTTCAGTTCTCACCAACCCACCTACCTATCCACCTACATACAGACCTAAAAGCTACAGCTTCAGCTTCTGTCCGGCTCCGACACTGCGAGTCTACTCTCCCTAGAACAAACGAACGAACGAACGGCCGTACATCTCCCACCACATCCACATCCACAGACTCGATTATTCGATACTCCACTTCGAGGTCAATACGCGACACACACCGCACGCACTGCAGTAGGTAGGCTGATTCCTTTGAGGCACGCACACGCATAACACAGCACAGCACAGCACAGCACAGCACAGCACAGCATCCTCCGTACTGCACATACCAGCTCAACGACGCCAGCAAGCAAGCATTATTGTCCTTGTCGTCGAGAGCATCAACGCCCAGCCAGCCCGCCAGAACGACACTAACAGCACACACCGTCCCCTGCCGTTCACCCTACTCTACTACTACTACTACTGCCCGCCTCCACCTGTCCCAGAAAGGCAGCGCTCTTCCCTACGGTTGAGCTCAGTGCTAGTGACCACGTCCAAACGGTCGTCCCTCCCCCTCTTCCAACCACCGGCCTGGAAATCAGTCCCTTTCCCCTCGTCTCGTCCTCCCCTCACCTTTGCTACTTACTACTGCACCTGCAAACCGCACTGCGCTGCGCTGCGCTGCGCTGCCCTCCTCCCCTCCCCTCCCCTCCCCTCCCCTCCTTGCCCTTGCCCCCCCCAGTCAAGTCAAGTCGTGCTTAGTCCCAACTCATCTCAAATTGGAGCGCGTGAGCAGAGCCAGTCTTTCGAGCCAAGGAAACCCAGCACCTTACCTAAACTCCTGCGCCTGTTTCCCTACCTTACCTCGCTCGACCTTACCTTGTTCTCTCCTCTGACGACCTTGACCTCCACACATTATTCACAACCTCACCTCACCTCACCTCACCTCACCTCACCACTCTTCGAGACCGCATCGAGTCGAAGTTCGCCCAACCACCCTTCGACAATCAGCATTCCAACGCCCCGGCAACCCCCTCTCTTGCACAGCCATTCATTCCTCGCCTTTTCAGCCTCAGTTTCACTCGGCTGCAATTCCGTTACAGAAGCAAAGACAGTGAATCAAATCGTGGTGGGACAGCCGTCACGTTACTGCCTTATTCACTGGAGTTGATCGCAGACCGGTCCTCGTCGCTCAACCCTGCACTCAATTGCCCAACACGGACTTCACCAGGACATCAGCAGCTCTCTCGTCAATCCTGCTCGTCTTCAGCCCTCCGCACTCAAGATAGCAAACGTTGTTTTGGACCTCAAGATGTCGCAAAATCGGCCGGCAGCCTTCTCGAGTCTGAGAATGGGAGGTAAGATCACTGCAAGAGCTCAGCTTTGCACTCAACACATGCTAATCTTCAATCCGTAGAGGTGATCCGCGAAAAGGTCCAAGATGGCGTTACCGGCGAAACTCGAGATATGCAATACACACAATGCAAGATCGTAGGAAATGGCTCCTTCGGAGTTGTCTTCCAGACCAAGCTCTCGCCTTCTGGTGAGGATGCCGCTATCAAGCGCGTTCTGCAAGACAAGAGATTCAAGGTGCGCAATGGACTAATCCGAGTCACTGGGGCATTGCTAATGTAAATTAGAACCGTGAGTTGCAGATCATGCGCATCGTCCGTCATCCAAACATTGTCGAACTCAAGGCCTTTTATTACTCCAATGGTGAACGAGTGCGTATACCCCGCTACCAGATTTCTGTCCGAATGCTAATGGGGGTGTGGCAGAAGGATGAGGTCTACCTTAACCTAGTTCAAGAATATGTCCCCGAGACCGTCTACCGTGCTTCCAGATATTTCAATAAGATGAAGACAACCATGCCAATCCTCGAGGTCAAGCTCTACATCTACCAACTCTTTCGCGCACTCGCCTACATCCACTCTCAGGGAATCTGCCATCGCGACATCAAGCCACAAAATCTTCTCCTGGATCCAAGCACTGGTATTCTGAAGCTCTGTGATTTTGGTAGCGCAAAGATCTTGGTAGAGAATGAGCCAAATGTTTCGTACATCTGCTCCCGTTACTACAGAGCCCCTGAGTTGATTTTCGGCGCCACCAACTACACAACCAAGATTGGTAGGGTTCCCCGCACTTGCAGAACCGGAATGCATTTCTAACCTCACAACAGATGTCTGGTCCACTGGCTGTGTTATGGCAGAATTGATGCTTGGTCAACCATTATTCCCTGGAGAATCGGGTATCGATCAGCTTGTGGAGATTATCAAGGTTTTGGGTACGCCTACGCGTGATCAAATTCGTACCATGAACCCAAATTACATGGAGCATAAATTCCCCCAGATCAAACCACACCCATTCAACAAGGTCTTCCGCAAGGCTGACGCGAACGCAATCGAGCTTATCTCGCGTCTCCTTGAATATACTCCCACCGAGCGACTCTCAGCCATTGATGCCATGGTTCACCCATTCTTCGACGAACTGCGGGATCCTGCAACCCGTTTCCCAGACTCACGTCATCCAAATGGCCCTGTAAAGGATTTACCAACCCTCTTCGATTTCTCTCGTCATGGTATGACCCACTCCCCTCGAAACGAAATTACATAGCTAACATGCGCGTCAGAACTCTCCATCGCCCCACAGCTCAATAACCGGCTGGTCCCGCAACACATTCGTCCAAGCTTGGCGGCCCGTGGTCTGGATATCGATAACTTCACGCCCATGGCAAAGGATGAGATGATGGCTAGGCTGGATTGAGAGCCTATGCTTTCCCAAAGATGATTGATGAATAAATGCTTTCCTGTCGTTCGGCAACTGGGCTCTATGAGGAGTCGATTGTTTCGGAACGTCTCCCACCGGCAAACCACCATTCAGCATACTACCTGGTCCTGCAAATAAAAAGTTGTTTCACCACCTACTGCAGACCATGATTGATTGTGGAAATACGGAATATATGGGAGAATACGGGATCTATGATGGTTATGCGTTTGGAAGAATACCCACGAGATGAGATATTGGCTGAAAGACGGTGTTTTCTTCTCCCAACGACATATCTTGGTCTCAATTGGTCAAAATTTCCGTGGACACGACTCGATCGACTGGTTCATGGGTTCTGGCTGTCGATCAACCTTTCCCCTTCAACAAACCTCGTTTTTTAGACTTTTTGCATGACGGAAATAGGCCTTTGCTTTTCTATTCTTCTTGTCCAACTATTGGCGTGCCTCCTTCGATAGCGAGCAGATGGATTGGGCTGCTGGACTTCCACTGTTGTTTTTCTTCTACATCCCAAAGATTCAGGCGTACTTTTACATTTGATGGCACGCTTGTGTTCGATGATTGCATGGAATGGGTTAATTCCGCGATGGGGAGGGGCGACCGCCTGGTCTGGCACGGTCAAAAGATTCCTTTTCCTTTACCTAGGTCAATGTGCCATTAGTGGCTATTAAAAGGGGTTCCGGCTGGCAGAGATCATCAAAGATTTTCCATACATGAGAGATTGGGACTGACAATGAGACTGAAACTCAAATTGAAAATCCTCTCAAATATTACGCTTGTAGTATTGATACTGACGTGAGACCTGGTTTATGAGGTCGTTTGCGACAAGTCAAAATGAACTTTACCACAAGTGACTTTGCAGCAACTGGAATTTTTGACAGCTGGAAATGCACCTCAACTATGCTAGAGAACTCAACATACTTTCTCATAGGCTCATCTCAGCCGAAATAAACAACTTTCAACCTGTAGGTTAATTGTTTGGGCTCCCACGTGACGAGCTCGCAAGCTTCCAATTCGCGTGTCAACCCAAGCGTAGCCGTGGACCCTATTTTATTTCGGGACGACCAAAAACAACTCCAATTCCTAACTCTACGACAGTATCTGCTTCGTAACAATGGCAGACTATGACCAAAGGCCGCGCGGAGGCCGCGGGGGATACAACCACCGCAAAAGAAGATACAGAGGTAATTTTGAACCTGAGCTCTCATTCAAACGTGGTAACAAGCAACAAGGCTGACGGTTTGGTGTTTCTCCCCGAAAACAGATGAAGAAGACTACGACCGACGCCCACAGCGCCGCCGCTACGAGGAACCCCTCTCCTCCCGAGTTCGCAAGCAATTGCTCGCCATCGCCGAAGTGCCTGTCAAGCGCGTCGAGGATGAAGTCCACAGCATCGCCAAGACCGTGTGCGACAACTTCGAGGACGAGGAGCTCAAGGAGAGCTTCTACGAGCTTGTCGTCCAGCTGGTTGTCGAGCAGCCGTTCAAGATCCCCTTCGTGGCGGCGGTTGTGCTGGTTGCGAATACGATGCGGAAGGATGGAGAGGCGGTTGCCGAGGAAGTGCTTAAAAGGACGGTGCTGCGAACGAATGCTGCTATTGCGAAAGGCGAGTGGAGGGAGACGAAGCTGCTGATGAAGTTCTTGGGGAGCTTGCAGGGCTTGTTGGATGGGGAGGGAATCTGGACTGTTCTGCAGGATATTTTGACCAAGGCAGTGGATTTGCAAACGGAGAATAATGAGGAGGTTAGTCTGGACGAGAGGAAGAGATACATGGCGAGCTGGACTTTTGCTAACATGATTGGTACAGACTATTGGCCCGGAATTGGTCAAGATCATTCTTTTTACTATTCCGTATGTTATGGCTTCTTCAGCAACGGACAACCAGGACAAGGCTGCTAGTATGGTTGAGAATACGGACATCATTGCTTCGGAACCGCATGTTTTGCAGGCGCTCGTGGATCCATATCCCGGAAATGGAAAGGAGGAAGCTGCTTCACCGACGGGTGTATTGATGCTATTGCAGAAGCAATTGCAGAACGAAGCATCGACTGGATGGGAACTCTCATGTCTTCCGAGACCGTGGAAGGGTGTCTTCGAGGAGGGTCGCGAGGACGTCTTGGTCGAAGCACCAAAGCACACCCTTCCTGCGATTATCATCCCCGAGATCGTCAGCAATGGTCCAAGACCGCTTTTCCCGGAACTTTACTTCTCGGTCTACGCAAACCAAGATGTCGAAACTGTTGCACCAACATCTGACATCGCGTCATGTTTGATCAGAGACGCTATTGTTGATACCATCAACATTCTGGACTACAACAGAAATGCTACCGCACGCTTTTTGATCGATATCGACTGCTACTTCTCTCCAGGGACCTTCGTCAAGAGAGCTACACCGTTCGACAGACTTCGAGATATTGAGGGTGATCGCTCGACTTGGAAGCCAGAAGATGTTGCAGTTGATGCGGTGTTCTCCCAGCTCTTTCAACTGCCAGCACCAGAGCACAAGTTGGTGTACTACCACTCCGTCCTGACCGAATCGTGTAAGATTGCACCGGCTGCAATCGCACCCAGTCTCGGCAGAGCCATCCGTTACCTGTACCGCAGTGTGGATTCCATGGATCTAGAGCTGAGCTACAGGTTCATGGATTGGTTTGCTCATCATTTGAGTAACTTCGGATTTACATGGAAGTGGACTGAATGGATTGATGACGTGGAGCTGCCGTCGTTGGATCCGAAGAAGGCGTTCATTGAGGGTGCGTTGGATAAGGAGATTCGTTTGAGTTTTGCTCAACGCATCAAGGGAACTTTGCCTGCTCCATACCAGGCTTTGATTACCGAGGAGAAGGAGAAGGACACTCCTGACTTCAAGTATAATCTTCCAGGTGAGTCTATTCGACAATTGTTACGAGGAAGCGGCTAATGTGTATCAGATACTCCGTTCGCTCAGGAAGGTCAAGAAATCATGACTCTCCTGCGTAAGAAATCCCCAGAAGATGCCATCCAACCTGTCATCGACCGAATCCACGCTCAAGCACTCGAGATGAAGCTCGGCGACGAACTAGTCTACTCAACTGACGCCTACGTCACAGCCATCTGCTACATTGGCTCCAAATCCCTCTCCCACGTCCTCTCCTGCATCGAACGCTGCAAAGAGCGTCTTTTAGCCCTCGGCCCCACCTCGCCGGCAGCCCGCAAGCAGATAATCGACAGTGTAATGGAGTACTGGAAAGACCAACCCGGAATCGGCGTCAACATCGTCGACAAGCTCCTCAATTACACGATTCTCAGCCCAGCCAGCGTAGTCGACTGGGCACTTTCCAAGGATGGCTCCCGTTTGGGCCAGGCCCACGTCTACGAAATGATCTCCGCAACTATCGGCAAGGTCACGAATCGCGTGAGGCAGGTCGTCCGTGCAAAGAAGGTCCCTGGTTTACTGCCTGAGCAGAAAGCCCTTATGGATGAGACGGTCGAGCGGGAGAGAAAAGCTATGAAAGATCTCTTTGATACGATGGAGGACCAGCTTGTTGCTTGGGCGAGTGGAAGTAAAGACCAGATGGTGCAGAGTGGTGATGCTGGTGGGCCTGAGGATCGCATGATCAAGCAGTGGGGCGAGCGATGGCTGAGAGTTTTTAGACGGAAGATTGCTGTCGAGGAGGCATGGGTGCTGGAGTTTGAGAGTCAGAAGGTTGAGGAGTTTGTGGGTGCTGTGGAGGCTGGCACAGAGGCAGGTGCGACTGTTCCCGCGGCCAATGGTAATGCTGAGGGAAGTGGAGTTGCAATGGTTGTGGATGAGGTTGATGGTGGTATCTCATAGACGCCTTTTCCGAATTACGGAGGGGTAGCATGGGTACAGGTTGCACATCGGCTGGCAATGGAGAAGAGAGGAAAGTCAGCGTCAGGATCAGCATTCTCCTTCTCAGCTGCAGCTCCACTGCGGAGGACGATCTAGCACCTTTTGATTGTGTTTTCTGGTCGCAAATTTGTACTGTACAATAGGCGCTACGTCCGCAGCCAAAAGAATAAAAGGAAGGAGAGAATAAGGAGACTTCTCATAGATCTTTCTAGTCTAATCTGGGAATTGATGATGTGACAGCTCTGACTTTGAAGTGTAGGGGTGAGCTTTGGCTTAAAGTCAACATTCTTAAGCGAATGTAACAATCATTAAGTTACGGCCTTTAAAGGCTTGACAGCCTTAATTTCACTACGGCCCCCAAGGAAACTTTCAGGCATAACATGGTGGCTCTGTCGCTCACAGATAGATAATTGATTGCGATCCTCGTGACATCACTTCTCCGTGCGCAATTGTACAACATTCTCAATTAGATATTTTGGTATCTAGCTACTAGGTCCCCAATGCCATTTCAGTAAGAAGGTAAGTAGGCAAACTCTTCTCGCTACACCTAGCCTAATGACTCTTTGTTATATAACACTCCATAAACGCCTGCAATGCCCCCAGAACACCGTTGACTTTTCGCAACCTTTCAAATCATGCCCGGTTGCCTCGCCTTGGCTTTCGTACAATCGTCTCCGTTCCCCAAGACGTCCCTATTACCTCCTACCAGCGTAGCCTGGAGGAGCTTGTTGTTGCTGCTGCTGTTGTTGGAAGCCTGGTGGAGGCATAAAGCCGGGTGGCATCTGGCCAGGCGGAGGACCACCGAATCCTGGCGGCATAGCCTGTGGAAAACCAGGCGGCGGCGCAAATCCCGGTGGATGGAAGTCTTGAGGACCACCGTACCCACCTTGAGAAGGAGGAGGACGCTGTGGTAGTCCTGAAGGTGGAGGAGGCAGCGGCATATTCGGTCTCTGAGCCATCTGCTGCTGTTGCTGAGGCGGCGGAACAGCATTATATCCACCAGGACCCGGGCCGCCTCCGAATCCAGGCGGGAGGTTTGGCGGCGGAGCTCCATACGCGGGTGGAATCCCACCCATACCCATTGGCATACCGTTATCCATCATAGCAGCTGGACCCTGCGGCACACTCCCATTCATCAGCAGCTGCGCAGGCATGCTCTGCACCTCGGGCATGACATTATTCTTCTTGCCCGAGCTGGCGAGCATACGCTCCGCCTCATCACCGTGTCTCTCGCCCTTGCCGTCCTTCTTGTACGCGTACTGCACGGAGATGTCCTTGTTCATGAGGTACTGGCCGTTCATATTCGCAATGGCGTCGTCGGACGCTTCGAAGCTGGCGTACGAGACGAAGCCGTAGCCTTTCGAGAGACCGGACTCGTCGCGTGCGATCTTGGGGGGTGATTGGAGGGAGCCGAAGCGCGAGAAGGTGTCGTAGAGGGTCTTTTCGTCGACCATGGCGTCGAGGTTGCCGATGAAGAGCTCGGCGCCGACTTCGATTGGTTTTTGCTTGTCTGCTGAGGCCTGATTGAAGATGTCAGTATGGCACTTCAAGGTGAAAAGTAGGAGAATCTGTAGAAGATAAGGTAACCAGACATACCTTATTTACTCGAATCGGCTTCCCATACAAACGAACTTGGTTCATGATCCTCGCAGCATATTCGGCATCCTCCTCACTAATGAACTCCACGAAACCATAACCCTGATGAGTTTGCGTAACCCTATCTTTCGGCAAATGTACGTTGACGATCCGTCCAGCCTGCAGCATGAGCTCCCATACCAAACTATCTGTAACTCGCTCGTCGATATTGCCGATATAGACAGTAGCTTCCTTGTCTTGCTCCCTAAACCTTCGCATTAACTCCAAGTTCTTTCTTCTTTCTGAATATGGGATAAGAAATGTAGACTTACCAGTGCCGTGCGCCAGACATCTTGAAGCTCTTGATCTCGTAGATATGTGGTGGGGAGCTTCCTTTGCGAGGCGCGTTTGTTTGATAGGAAGCTTTTGAAATATTTAGCGCTAGTACGGACTAGGCGATCTGCGATAGGTCTTGAATGTTTTTTGGGAGCCGGGGTTGCGTTTGTTCAAGCTCAGGACAACGACCTTGCCAGATTCAACCCAGTTCAAGTTTGTGAGTATATGAGACGTTGTATATGATATCTGGATGGTTTGCTGATGGTTTGGTAGCTTCGCAACGATATCCAAAGCAGTCAAGATGCAACTTTCAGAGGAAACAAAGGTCCGACTTACTGGTCAACTGCTTTGGAGAAGATAGGAATTAACGGGATGATAGGAGCGCATTGGAAAGGTCATTGACTTGTCTCGTGTTGCTATTCATTAGTATGATGCCCGTTCCTACAATGGATACGCAGTTGCTGACCTTTGCAGTGGTTACCTTCCCCTGATCATCTACCTTGGTACGGCATCTATGGAGCTTGGAACGAAGTCTGAGGACTAACAAACCTAGGTTATACTCGCAGCGAGCCTCGTCCGTCTTTCATCAGGTACGCTGACCTTCATACTTTGCATCTAAATCTGTTGCTAATGGGTCTACAGACTCTTTTCACCTCTCGCATAAGTTTGATATCCAAACCCCACGATACGAACTACCCAGCCTCCTACGAGCCTGCCAGGATTGAGCATCACAGAGGATGAATGTATATGGGATGCAATTTGGAGGATACGATGGGTTGCGTGTAGCATAGAAGGCGTTTTTGTAGGGCACATGGGATTGTTAGGGAGCCCATGAATGGATGGATGGAATGACTGTTACACCACCAATAACTGTACTATAGCACGTATTAGTGCAATCACCACTTGCAAAGATATCATGGAATTTAGATCTATATGTCTTATGGCTGTGTTTGATGGCAGAGTATCTCCTGGGAGTTGTGCAGTGAAGCAGGATCTCCAGTCGGAGCCTCGGCGATAAAATATTTGGAGCTTCAACCTCGTCATCTGAATTTGTAGCACCACAACCCATCATGACAACCCCAACACTGCCCTTATGACATGAGTGAAAACCATGCGCGCCTCTCCTCCGCGCTGGTTGAGACCATCGCCGGGCTCTCCGCCGGTACCATTTCCACACTGGCGGTCCATCCCCTCGACGTGATCAAAACTCGCCTTCAAAGTCAAGCTCCCCTCCGCGAAATACTCCCATCCTACCCAACACTAACGCTCACCAGTCCAACGCAACACTTCTCAAATCCCGGCGAATGCCTTCACAATCCTCCGTTCTCTCCTCTCCAACAACCATCCAGTCCAAAGCCTCTATCGTGGCCTGACGCCCAATCTCATCGGCAACGCCAGTTCCTGGGCTCTTTTCTTCTACTTCAAGTCCATTGTCGAGACACAACTCATTGCTTTCCACACTCGGCCGTCCCAACCGCTCTCAGACTCAGGCCATAATGTCCCACCTGCATCACGTAGCGTGCTCACGCCTTTTGATTACTTCCTCGCATCAGGAATATCAGGAACCTTGATCACACTCTCTACGAATCCGATATGGGTTCTCAAGACACGCATGTTGAGTTCCGATAAAGGAGCTGAGGGCGCATACAAGAGTATGTGGCATGGAGCAGGACAAGTATTCCGGAACGAAGGACTACGAGGTTTCTACAAGGGTGTCGGAGTTAGTCTCCTGGGGAATAGTCATGGCGCTGTGCAGTTCGCCGTCTATGAGCCTATGAAGAATGTCTGGCGGAATTTCCTCTCCCAGAACGCCCTCCAAGAGTCAACACAGGATGGAAAAGAGGAGAAACTGGGCAATACAGCTACGCTGGTGATTTCTAGCTCAGCCAAGATCTTCGCTGGTACAGTCACGTATCCGTACCAAGTCATCAGGAGCCGATTGCAGACTTATCATAGCGAGAAGCTCTACGGGAAAGGCATCACAGGTGTTGGGACGAAGATTTGGAGGGAAGAGGGAATGAGAGGCTTTTATAGGGGCCTGGGAACGAATGTGTTGAGGGTTTTGCCCGCGACGTGGGTAACCTTCTTGGTGTATGAGAATGTAAGGTATTATCTGCCTCTTTGGGATGGATCGGCATAGAAACAAAAAGTCTCCCATTTATGGCCTTGCATCTGGCTATGATTCATACTGGGAGACATGTGTACCCAAGGTTCCCAGTACCCATAAAGAGCCCAAAGAGCTAGGGACAGGACCAGGGCGAAGATACATTGGTATAGCACTGCCACGAAAGACCACTCTTGTGTTACATGTCATATTTGTTTGGAACTTTCTCCTACTTTGGTTCTCCTCTTATGATTTTTCGCATCTCCCACAGTTTTCAAGCACACGATGACAAAGCTATGAATTGGCCAACCGTCTAGTCTTAGCTATGGGTCCTTCTGAGCCGTCTTCCTGAATATGTCAAAACAGTTTTGGGGCCCATACTATTCTTGACATACTCTTGCATTTTCCCTCCTCAGCTTGACAGAGGCATATACGGACGTCGAGTGCGTATCCAGTCGTTGTGTGTGATTTGGAACTGGAATTTCTCAAAGTCAACACATTACACTAAGATAATTGAAAGAGCTATGGACGAATTCATTACTCCTGTCTCTCAAGGATTACCCTCTGTTTGATTTGATACAGTGTTTACAAAGGCACATAAGCGAGACACAAAAAATGTGCTGTTCCAGTCGAGAAAACATGTACAGCAAACCATCATGGTTGGATTTCATTATGATACCTATTCAAATCGCGCCAATCTGATCAAGACTGCGCCATAACTATTCCACTCACTCATCATCTGAGTTGACAATGATATACGCATTCTCACTCGAGCTTCCCGGAACTTCCCCAATCCTGGGCTCCCAATCCAAGATCTTATCACATCGCCAAGTCTCCAGACTGATATTGCAGCCACGATCCTGCTCTGGTGAGCCAACATCACTCTCAAACAACTTCTTCCTAGCATCCCGAATCCTCAGGTACTGCTCCATCATGTTCTTTGCCGCACGCTTGAAATCATAAAACCAATCCTGCCAGTCCGCGCTCAGGAAAGCCTTGTTCAGACTCCCCTGCACAACTCTGTCTCGACTGTGAGTGTCGTACTGGCTGTCAAACCGTTCTTGGTACAAGCGAACAATTCGTCGCACCTCAGGAGAAAGATCTCGAACAAAAGCTCTGGCGCAATCTTCCAGAAGTAAGGTACCTTCAAGCAGGTCCTCCATTTGCTCGCCAACGTCGGCAACCTCGTCATTCCGGAACACTGCATCTGGACTTAGGATGCCGGGCCGCCCGTTAACTACTCCTTTCTGCTTGTTCACAAAAGCTCGTAGTTGATCCATGAAGTCGGCGATTCGCTGATACTGTGGCTCCAGATATTCGAGGATGACTCTGCGTTGCACTTTGAAGTCATCAAGGTCATTTTCATCGCAAGCGAACTTGGCCAGTTCGAGCGAATTCTCGACAGGATGTGTGACCGATGTCTTGAACGGATTGATGAACTTTCGGTCGTGCCTCGTTTGGCGGAGGAACTTGTTGGGAGATGGCATAATAGCCATATGTTCTCGACAGCACCAGCGAACCTTGCCCATATCGCCACGGAAGATTTGCGAACGTTCGAAACTTTGGGCATAGCCAAGAACTGATGCGTACATTGAGAGTGGACTTGGGCTTCCTGATTCAGCAACGATTTTGGCATCCAACTGAATATCATAAGCGACCTCCTCTGTTCCACTTGCTTCGAATTTCAGCTCTCGAAGATTTCGGAGGATATTCAATGGTGCAAAAACTGTGGAAGCTGGGAATATTTTATCTCCTACAAAAGGGCCCTCATATTCGTGGAATCCTCTCCATTCGCGAGTGAACTCCTTGCCGACAGAAAGAACTGTGACCGACTTTGGCTGGGTGAAGAACAGCAATCGACAGAATTCGAGCAACTCCGTCGTTTGAGCGTACTCATATCCTGCGAAGCAACTGACCATGACCTTCCAATGCTTTACTTTTCCGAATTGAGGCTGTTTCGCAAACTGGGCCAAGTTCATGTTGGTATCACTATCATAACGTGTCAAAGGACATTCGAGCAACCGAGCGCTACCCAGCCCTCTCGTTCCGTCACCACTGAATCCGAATTCATGCCCAATGCAAGAGACGATGAAAGTATTCTTTTCGTAGAGAACATCTGATGCCTCTTGGTACACCTGTCTACACGTCCTCAATACGGCTGGACAGAGTTCGTATTGATGATTGGCTCTGGATTCGAAGCGAGACTCAATTGCCTCTATTTGGGAGAGCAGTGGATTAACGAGAAGGTAGCCATAGACCATTCTACGTACTTCCAAGGGAAGTTTTTTGAGGAATGACGAGGGTCCTTGAGTATCTTTTGCGAGGGTATGAAGGTTGGTTGCTCGTTTCTCGTTGTTGATTGGGGGAGAGGTGGTAACCGATTTGGTAGAAGTCATACGACTCAGTATTTCGTCCAATTTGGTGAACTGTTGATCAAGTCCGGATAGATCGACTGGTCTCGGGAATCTATTCGAGGCCCCAGAGAGAGTACTGGACGAATATGAAGGGACGGGCACACTAGTTGTGCTTGTAGCCGTTGAAAAATCATAAGGAGGAGGAGGCGAAGAAGGCGGAGGAGACGAAGGAAGAGGAGAAGAAGCAAAAACACTTTCTAACTCACTTTTTGAGGACTCGGATATCCCAACATATACGAAGCTTCTGTTGGACATGGCCATCTTTGACTGAATATGGTGGTGGGGGTCGTCGGTTGCAATCGAGTAATAAGTGTCTTGAAGTTGTTTTGGACTGGAGTTTGGTTATTGACCAAGGAATGAACTTGAACGGAAGAAGAGGAAGGAGAAGAGTGGAGGGAAAGAGATTGAGAAGACATGGCTAAAACATTGCGTTATGGGCCTGTTTTGTGTTCCTGTTATCATTGTCTTGAGTTTTCATACTGTACTAGCCTTTTCCCATTGTCCTAAGCATTTACCATTGTCCTGACCAGCCATTGTTCTAACCACTTCCCATTGTCCGAGTCCTGTTGTGCTTGACCATCGCTCCGCAATGCGCCGATTTGCCTTGTCCTCACATTTGAGATTTTCTCGAAGTTGAGCAGGCAAATGAACGCTGGTACTGTAACCGGCTGTAAAATCACCAAAGCAAGTAAGGTGATCGAACCTATTATCGAGGCTATATGAGTATATAACGAATGTTCATTTGCAATGCTGGTTCGAGACGATAGGAGCAAAGTCCGGCAGAATTATAACCCCTTTTCTTCGTCGCTTAATTCTTGAGCGCGGACGATGCTTCAAATATTCCAAGCAGAAAAATGAGCATAACGCACCAAAATTTCTCTGTTTCACTTTTGAGATCTGGTGATTTTGAATGGTAGAAGTCGTTTTGGTATAGCGAGAAGGACCTCTAGGGATTCTGCTGGTTCCACTCTCTATTATTCTTGGATTCGTCAGTACAGGGATGCGAAGACGAGAATAAGTAATCTATGTAACTCCTCTCCAACTGCGTCGATGTCCTACAAGAGCTCCCAATTAGAGGTTAAACAAGCTAATTTGGATGGACATTTGGCGAATGAAACTTGGTTTCGTGTGGATATGTTGGTATCTACATCATCGCAAACCCAGCAAGGAGGATACATGCTGCCATTCCCCAAGATTATTCCTGGTTGTAGCCCATAATCTGCCTCTTTTTGTCCTTGACTCAAAAACAGAGAAACGTCATGGAGTCACTTTTCCTCGCAAACAAAAGCGAGGAGATGTCTCAAACGAATTGCGAGCACACGAAGTGCAATGCCTCGTAGACGAATGGGAGCATCAACTTGGAAAGACAACAAGACATGACTTGAAGGGAATAAGGCAGAAGAAGACTTCTCATATCTGCTTCCCGCTTGTTCAAATATAGAAGAGGATAACAGCCTGTAACAAAATGGCATATATTTTGAAATTCCTAGACCCTTCGCTATGCATCGCCAATCCATGCAATGTTGTTTATATACAACCCAAGCCAAATCCAAGACACAACGAAAATGTACAAGACCGTAAAAAAATCTTCCTCCCTCATCCTCCCTCTCCTAAATGTTTCGTTCAAGTCCAAGTTGCCAGACTGATCGTCATTCTCTATATATCTTTACACATCATCCTTGTCCCCACCCAAAAACCTCTGCCACACCCACAGTATTGATCCTCACACCAACCAACGCTACCAGCACACCCACCACGTCAACAATAAGTAGCACAAACGCCGCACTCATAAATTTCGGGCTAAAGATCCTATACAGCATAAGATGTCTCCTCAGATGCCCCGCCCACATCGTAGTCGCCAGCCCAATAACAGCATAATACGCAAGATGCCACGCTAAAGCCGATACCACACTTCGTAGTATCCCCGTCTTGCGAGGCTTCTGCTTCCATAGAACCACGAGCGGAACGGCGATAACGGCGAGGATCTGCGCGCCATAGGTGTTCAGACCGACAAGGATGGGTGAGTATGGGTAGACGAGGGAGTGGAGTGGGATGAACGCCGATTCCCATTGGATAGAAGAGAGAGTTGCTTGGTGTCCGGTCTTGAAGAAGTGGAAGGAGCCGAGGAGGGCGAGCATGACGGGGCCGATGGGGGAGCTGGTTAGGGCGTTGAGGTCGAGGATCTCGACTAGGGAGAGTATTTGCCAGGCCATGAGACTGAGTGCGCCAGCGCCCATGGGCTTCTGCACGAGCAGGAGGATGAGTAGGAAGTTGATGACAAGGAGGCAGTAGCGTGTTCCATGGGTGTTGGCAAAGCCGAGGATCGTGACTGTTGCGCCGGAACTATTGGTCATTTGTGCGTTAGGGGACGAAGGAGCGGCGGTTGTGCTGATTGATACGCAGGGTGGTGCATAGACAAAGGCCGGGCAGCCTACGCCGAGAGCTATGGCAAAGATGGTTTGAGCAATTGGAACTCGGATGGACTTGAGTCTTCCCTCTGGGACGTAGGACGAGAGCCATTCGCCATCGTCGGCAGCGTCAAGTGTCCAGAATAGGGCACTGAGAATGAGGAGCCCTCGGAACACCCAGCTTATCCAAGCTGGTGCGAAGCCCTCAAAGGATCGGCTACCAGTGTAGTAGGACTTGATGATAGAGGGCAGGATTACAGCAATGAGAAAAGGAATAGCCAGTTGCCATGGCGCAGATGTGGAAGATGTCGACGAGGCATAGTAAGTCGATCTGCAAAACGGCATCTGCTCCTCTCTGCAAAGCTTAGAGAATGACGCCACCCATCCCAAGGCAACAAAAAGCACAGAATGATATACCGCAAGTGTTCTATCCGGCACATTCTCTATGCGGAGAGAAGACACAGCTGCTGCAACTCCAAACGTCGAGATGAAGAACAGCAGAATACAATCCTCCCAGATCGTGTAAGAGTTTGAAGCAAATCCAATCGACTGACTGACTGTAAACACAACAGCAAGCCAGCCCCAGAAAGTGGTCGGAAAAGGACTAGCAAAAGCCATCCTTCTCCTCATCTCTTGATACAGAACCCCAACGAGACCGGAGACAGCACAGACGCCAAGGACAAAATTGGGTAGTGATTCCGGCTTGACGGAAAGGAAGATTGCTGGTCCGCCAGCACCTCCAAGAAGCGTTCCCAGCAAAGCGCCACGCACGAGAGATCGACTACTAGTCTCGTCGTCAGCGTTGAAAGTTGAATCCTTAGCAAAAGTGTCAAGCTCCAGCTGTAACTCCTTCCGATCCAATTCTGGATCATCAACTGCATCCCCATCGTCCGAGTTGCTATTCGCAAAGAGAATCAAAGCCACAACACCACCTGCCAAGATGGCGATACCGAGCCCCATGCTAGGGACGTCAAATCGAGCCCACAGGCTTCGGCATATCCTCAAAGTCTCAGCTTGAAAAGCAGAAAATGCCTCATAGCCTTCTTTCCACTGCTGTTTGCCTGTTCCAGCGAGAGCAGTCTCGGCAGTTTCCCATAGGGTATGCGGCGACCCTTCAAGAGTGCTTTCGTCGATACCTCGAGCTTGCCAGTATGCAGCTTGATATCTTTTGATACCAGCAGCCGTCATTCTCGCGACAGCTGCAAGATTCTTCCAAGCATTACCTTTCCTGCCTGCAAAAGCCTCTTCAATAGGCTTGCCCAGATTGCTGAAGGGGATTGGTAGTCCCAGTAACAGAGCTAGTGTCGGCACCAGATCAATCTGATTCACCGGCCTAGATCTTGCGGTCTCGGGAGGCGTGACAAATGCAGGATCAGTACGTCCGAAGATCCCTTTCTTGGAATACATCCACAACGCAGCCTGAACCTCGTCATCGCTCTCCCCACCATGATCACCCTTCCCATCCATCCCATGATCCCCCATAACCACCAGTAGTGTATCGTCATCCAATCTTTGCACAACCTCTCTCAGCACTCCATCCATCTGAGCCAGCTTTGCAGTCATAGCTGGATGATTAGGACCATACCGATGACCCGCATGATCCACACCAAGATAATGGGCAATCATAACATCCCAATCGCCCTTCTTCTCCTTCCCAAGTAGAGGCATGATATGCTCATTCACACCATTGTCAAGCGTGTGCAAATCCCAGACATCAAAGCTCGGATACGCTCTACTGATCGCCTCCTCGAAAAACCCGGGGAAAAGAGCCGTCCACGTATCATCTCCCAGATGTACAATCCTCCTGCCCGCATTCTTCAACTGCATGAGCAAATTATCCTCTGTGATAGCCTCCCCTCCAAAATTCGATCCCATCTCCACGAAAGTCGGTAGCGTCCCTGTCGTCAACCCTTTAACCCTGACCAACGTGGTAGTCGGCGGATCCGCAATAAACGGCAGTAGGAACGCATTTTGCGGCTCCTTAACAGCAGTCTCATACAAGAACGGTAACGAATTATGGAAAGCTTGCGCGGGACCTGTTTCTGTGGAATTGGCGAACGGGATGGTGAAATCGTAGCGTAGAGCATCAATTACAATGACAACTGCTTTCTCGAAGGTTTTAGGATGCCAGCAGCCTGCTTCGGGAGTTCCTGACCCTTTGAAGGAGTTGTGGATGGCGATTGGGGGCGAAGAACAGCTGGATTTCTCTTCGAGGACGAGGCGGGTGAGGAGGAACCCTTTGGTGAAGAAGTAGATTCCTGATGCGTGGACGAAGCTGCGATTTCTGCATTAGCCAAATTCAACTGCCTTTCAGATCCCAAGTCCAATTGCAATTCCCTCCTGTTCCAAACACAGTTTCACACATAAGTTCCCAGTTTCCCCAACGCTCAGCCCCCTACATCTCTCCGTCCAAGAACCCAGACAAAGTAAAGATATCCAACTCACAAAACCCAGCAAAAGAACGCCGCAACCCAACTCCACTCCCCCTTCCACCTCACCACCTTCCTCTCACTCAACCTCTCCACCACACTCTTCTTCTTCCCCAACCCACCCAATCCCCCACCAGCAGCATTCCCATCACCCAATCCCGCATCCTTCAGCAGCCCCGCAACCTTCTCTCTATCCTTCTGATCCCGCGCATCCTGCAGCGCTTTGGCGCGCGCATATTGCGCGGCGATGGAGTTCGGGTTTCCGGTTGAGGAGGCGCGGGGGACGGTGTTGCGGACTGTGTGAGGGGCTTTGGATTCTGTTTGTGGTGGTTGGGGGGAGGTGGACATTGTGCTGGTTTCCATTCCTCCGAGCTTTACAGCTCGGGATGAGAATGGGAGAAAGGAAGTAGGACTACCGTGAAGCTGGAGAACAGTCTAGAGAAGCTGCCATCAGAGAATTGGCATGAAGGAGTGTATGAATAGAATGTATTGAGGAAGTATAGTTTCGCTAGATGTTGAACAACGGCCGCGTTGTGAAGTAGGGTTTGGCGGACGCGACACTATTTTTTGGGTTCAGGGGCCGAGGTTCCGACTTTCTGATTCGCTAGAGCTCGAAGCTTGACAAGCTCCAGGGAAAAAAAATACAGCTTTGTTCAACCAAGAATGGATTGTTTGACGAGGAATATCGCCTCAACTAAGCAGTATTTTCTAGACAAAAGCGCCAACCGTCATGATCTTCCGGCGTTTGCGGATTTCTGCAGCATTTTGGCCGCTTCAATACTTTAATCAGTACGATATTTCAATGTCAAAAGTTTTTGAAAGATATCCGGAAATCTGCAGCCCGTTGGACATTTACGTGTATCTGAAAGGAGGCTAATCATGTATCGAATGTCTCATATTTCACTAAGACAAAGTCCCAAAATCGTTAACTGCTTGCTCGCTCATAAACACATGACTATACTACAATATATGCTTCTCAGGCCTTCTCAGTCCATTCCTCTCACTAATGATTGTCCTGCCACTTGCCGTTGCGACATCGATGGCCCGTCTTCTTGCCCGCCTAAATCCTTCCACGAGTCCTCCTCCCCTGTATCAGCTTCTCAATTTGCCCTCAGTCTTTCCGTTACCCCAGATGAACTTGCCAACCCGCTCACAGAGCCAAGTTATACGAGTACTCATCCTCCATGTTCTGGCTAATCCAAAGCACAACCGAGCTATCATCAAGTCAGCAAACCGCAATCTAACCCTCTCTCGCTGAAAGAACCATCAAACTCACCTCAACATAACCAACCCATTGGCCACCAAATTCGCAACTCCCATATACATAGTCGGCCATGGCGCACTAGGCACCACATACTTCAACACCAGAACCGTCACACCACCAGCCATACCTCCCGCTAGACTCGCAAACCCCAAGAACAACACCACGCGGGCCTTCCAGGCCACTCCACTCCCAGAGTACGAGAAAGAGTCGGCGGAGAGCCGGGTCTTCTCGATGCTGTTAATTATGAGCATGCCGAGGGAGGAGAAGATGAGAGGTAGCCAGTCGATGAAGGTTATGTGGATGTCGGAGCCGTTCTTGGCGCTGTGGGACCAAACGGCGGCGTCGAGGAGGACGAAGAATGCGAGGGAGAACTGTATGATTAATACTTATTAGCTGGATATCGTTCGACTTGAGCACTGTCTCCAAATGTAGCTCCTGGGTTTAAATACGCCATAGCAGGGTGCTAAGAAATATCAACCCCAACGAGGCTCTGCTATCATCCCGCCAGCCATCTCTCCAACACTCTTCATTTCAACCCTCCAGAGAGATCGATAGTAACTCACCAAAGCCCCCGCGCCATAAACACCCGAACTCCTCGCCGTAGCGCTATTCATCCACTCCGGCTTCCTGAACTTCCAAAGGCGCTCTTCCGACATCTTGGCTTGTCAAGCTTCGTTCAACTGTCCTATTTCCTTTTCCTTTCTGATCGAACTCCGAAACTTCAGCTCCTAGTTTAGCTGCAAAGAGTCGATCGATATTGTTCGGTGTATTGTTTTACTGTTTTGTTGTCGCAAAGTGTTGGTTGTAGTGAGCTTGATGCACTGAGATGAGGTTGATACAGCTGGGCTCGGCCTGGCTTGCGCGGCTGACAAGGTGGGTCTTCGAAGATCTTTAGCGCGAACAGCACGTGAGGAGGCTCGTTCTGAGGTTGAAGCCCATGGTTTAGGTTAGAACTGCTGTATGTGCTAACTGTAAAGCATTTCCGCAGTAGAGCATTTTGGATTAAGAAATATTCTCTAGCCATCAAGTAAACATGTTCTCTTTTGGATTTGCTGAAAATGCACAATGCTATGTTTGGATCTAGCAAAATACCTTCGTTTCGTCCACTTCTAAGTCACAAGACTTGCTTGCCCAGCCAAAAACATAGAATATTTGGCAGGAAACAACCCAATCGAACGCAGTAGCAGACTAAAAATACAGAACGTTTAAGTTTTTACCCTTCCATTCAGCCTATCATTACATACGACACACACTCCTTCTTTCCCTTTCCTTTCCTACAAACTTCGTTTCCACTATCACCATCCACCTTCGCCCTCTTCCCCTTTCATCATGCAATGCCGCACCATCTATGGCTCCAAATTAAATTAAAGCATTACTTACGTATACCTCAACCACCCATTTACTCCTCAAAACACGGTATCGAGGAAAGGCAAAGAGTATCGAAAACTCCTCCCAGTTCACTCATCACGCAGCCACAAGAAGCACCACCCTCCTTGAGGTGAGATCATAGGTAGTAAACAGAAATTTGTCACAACTGTATAGTACAACAAAGCCTTGCCTCCACTTGTACGTCTGCTTCCTTCTCGTTGCCAAAGCCTACCAAAGTTCATCCAGAAACTCAGCAGCCAGAGACACACAAGGAAAAGAAAGCTCGCTCCGCCAAAAGCCAGGTAGTCTCAGACAAGAAGTGATGAGGGTACAAGTATTTAGTCAACTGGTCAGCTCAAAGAGTAACGCAGTCCAAGTTTCGTATATGCTATTTGAATTTCGCTCAATTCTCATATTCTCGAATACGCCCCTCCGTCTGTGACTCCGTTACACTCCACTCCACTCCACTGCTCTGCACTCCTTAGACACACAATACACAGTTATACATGTCTCGCCCTTCCCCTCTCTCACTGGTTCAAGTCCTTCTCACTTTGTTCGTCCAAAATACACTCTCTCATTCGTATGGTGTGAGAGAGAAAAGTAGTAAAGCCCGGCCACAAGTACCGCAGAAGAAAAGCAACAAAACCTCCCAATGCATGCATGCCGTCAATCAATCAGTCAATCAGTCAATCAGTCGAAATTTCCTTTTCCATTATGACAGGTCTCCTTTCTTTGGTGGTAGAAAGAAAACTCCCCCATATCAAACGCTGCGCCTCGTAACGCCTTCCTTTCATTTTCGTATCTCTCTGCTCGCGGTAATAAACAAAGTGGGTGGGGAAGGGAGACCTTAGATCTCAATCGTCTTCATCGTAGAATCATCATCCTCAACCGTAGCCTTCTTGGGAGTGCCGTTTGTCAATCCGCTGGTCTTGACGGTCACATCCACCTTCTTGTTCTCTTTGTCGTCATCTAATGATACAGGCTCCAGTAGGGATTCCAGGGTCTTCTGCTTCTGAGGTTCCCTAATATCGTCGCTTGGTCTTGGTGTCTCTACCTCCACAAGCTTCTCGGGCTTGATACCGTTTGTATTTAATCGGATTGGGGCAGCACGTTCTTCAGTAACTCGGGCAAGCGGACTGGATTTGCCATAATTTGGTCGGTTGGGACTGGCCACAGGGGAAGCTCCACTAAACCGTTGCATTGACCGTCCTCGAGGCTCACCACTGACTTCTGCAGTTGGACTGGCATATGGCGAACCGGTTGGAGAACCGCTAGGCTGGCCATTCATGGGAGCTGCTGATCTGCGTCGAACATTCTTTCTGCCATACTTTTGATCCATTCTCCACCTCAAGATATCCAGGTATCCGGGTTCGACGTTTCTTGACTTGAATTCCCTCAACTTCAATTCCTGGGTGTCTTCATCAACGAACCATTTGCCGCTGTTCAGGTCATCTGCGAATGTGGCCAGGAAAGCAGACCAGGATCGAGCTACCACGTATTTGCAGTCATAATCGCGGCCAAACAGAATCACTTGTCCCCATTTTCCAGAAGGTCCTGGAGCCAGATCGACTGCCAAATTGTTTCCACCCCAATCTCTAACTAGAGGAATCCATGAAGGATGAGCGTAGACTTTTTGAATGGCACCGGCGGGTTGGGAGTCCTGGCGAGAAAGTAGCTCTTGTCTCCAGTGAGGGTTTTGTGATGATCTTGGTGCATCCTTCGAGGAAGAGGCGGCAGAGCTGCCACCAAATGCCTTTACCGGAGCAGCGGGCTTAAAATTAATTGGCTCTTGCAGATACTCCGCATTGACTTTCTTCCAGTTCTCCCACTCCTGTACAATCTCCTCGCAATCTAGCAGCATAGAACTGAAGATGATTCCGGTTGGGTTGCCGCCTCTCTCTTGGCCGTCGTGTACCTGCAATGATTCACGGACCTCCATTGGCAGCGAGCAGTCCAATTGGTGTTCCAGCTCATTCAAATCATTCGACGTGCATCCCTCGCACAGCTGGTCATACAATTCTGGATAGTTCTCTTCTGCCCATCGGTCAATTCGCTTCCAAGAGTGTCCAGGGGGAGGAGGTGGAGGAAGACCCTCATTGAAAGGTTGTAATTGGATTTCTCCAGGTGTAGCATTCTCGAAATTCTCATTTGTGTTTGTTCTGTGTAGAGCAGCGCTCGATCTCATGCCAGGTGAGTAAAGGGATGGTGATAGTGGTGAAGGGCTATGTGGGAGAGGAGAGCCAGGATAAGCGCCACCGTTCAACGCGGATGTCGAATGTCTTCCTGCATCTTCAAAGTATGGAGAACTGACATCGGCGCGAGATTCTGATGCAGTGGTAGCGACGGAGGTTAGAGGGGCATGTCTGCTTTGTGCGAGAGGGACGTGTTGTCCTGTGCGGTAAGGAGAGTCGTAAGAAGAGTCTGTTCACATTGTTAGGACGGCTGTCTCTAGGGAGCTAACAAACCAACGTACGTCGGTCATAGCTGGTCATCGTATGCCAGAACGATCGAAAGGCTGAGCCGAACCTGGTGACACACCTGCTGTTAGCATGATTGCATATACTTCTCGAAGAGCGTGCGGGCGGAGAGGGGGTGATTGTCGGTGGTTGAGGGGAGCGCAAATCAAAAAGGGGAACACTCACGACGCCATATCTGGCGATGGTGCCGTAGTTGCAGACAGCTTGAAGTTGTTGTGTTTATCGGCCTGCCGTGTTGGCTCTGATGATACTGCGAGGTCAAGTGGACGAGCGAGCGATGTCAATGGTGATGGTGAAGCCGTGAAGAACTGGAAACGACGGTGGGTGGTGGTTTAGAATTCGCGTTGTTGGAGGTTTCGTAGCAGGTTATGGTAGGGTAGGGGAGGTATGGAGTCCTGGCACGGCAAGGTACGGTGGTACTGGTACTGGTACTGTTCGGCCGGGGGTCCTCCTGCCCTGGCCTGTCTGTGTTTTGCAAGCTGGAGCGGAGTCCAGTAGTGGTGCAGCGAAGTGCAAGTGCCAGTGCCAGTAGTGCAGTGCAATGCAGTGCAGTGCAGGCGCAGGTGGAAGTGATTAAGAGCGGGGCCGTGATTGGCTCCGCCTGCCTGCGACCTGGAAATGGAAATGGAAATGGAGGTCGATCCAAGATCGTTGACTTTTCGACTTCTGGCCTGGAACGATGCCGAATCAATTGCTGGTTTGCCCACGATGGCTCTTAGTTTTTCTTATTATAACTTGTCTTGTCTCGACTTGGTGAGGGTGTTCCTGAACGCGGACTCTTCCTAGCCAGCGGGTAAGGTACGGCTCTGCGATAGCAGATAGGGGAAGGGCGGGTGTGGTGCCAAGGCTCGATCTGAGGTGAGGTGAGGTGAGGTGAGGTGAGGTGCCTGGGTGCCTGGGTGCCAGTAGTGGAGAAAGAAAGGTAGAGAGCCACCAGAATCAAGATCAAATTGTGAACTCAGGTCAATAAAGTTTTGAGTATTCTAATAATTGACTCCAACGGTTTCTTACCCTCCCGTTGTGGGCATGCGTCGGCTAAAGGAGGTAATCTTCTCGAATCAGGGGAACAATGCTATTTTAGAGTGCCGTCGTGAATAGGGGCCATTCATTAGATCTGTGTCGCTTGCCATCGACGTCTGTCTCTGTCTCCAAAAATACATCTTGTTCCCAAGGGAGATCAGTGACCGTCATCAGCTTATCACCCAGGGAGCAATCACTAATGAGCAGACCAAAGCAGAACCAGAACCAGACCTTTCTCTACTGGTCGTAACTTGAAAGTTCAGACAGAATCCTTCCGGAATGAACAGTATCCAGCCGAGCCAGCCCCCCACTGGCAAGTTGGCAACAAAAGATGAAGAAGCTTAAAACCCTGATGCTTGCTTGATCTCCTTCATCCGCAGGTCGAGTCGAACAGTACGTCACTGTTACCATAATTCTCCAGTTCAAATTCTTGAATCATTTAATCTGCCGGCTATTAACCATTTTATTAACAAATTTCCTACGTACCAACATCCAGTCCTCTGCTTACTATTATTACTCCCTACCTATACCGTGCAAGAGAGGCCTCCAATATCAACCAGAGACCTCCTCTCCCAACTCCAAACATAGCTATAATATCACCACAGAATCTTACTATACTTCCATTCAACACCAGCACCTACCTATGCTTCATATCAAATCACCAGACTCCACCAGCAACAAATCAAAAAGCCCCTCTCAGTTGTTCTGCAGCTGCGTTTCATGTCCAGGAGAGGGCGGGGGCAGACAACGCCCACACGCACGGCATCTGCAGGTCCCTGCGAACGCCATTTCTTTCCCCCCCCCCCCTCCTGCCACACCCACACCACGCCCACCACACCACACCACAGTGGCCAAACAAGCCACCATCTTTGACACCCCAGCCCAGCCCAGCCCAGCCAAACTGTACAGGGCATTAATATTCAATTCGCCGTTCACCCACCACACCACATCCACAAATACAACGAACGCGAAAGCGAAGTGGCTGGTGACGAGCTGACTATCGTTACTGGCGCCGCCCGTTTTGCAACCTGCCACCCAGACGGAGCGAAGGCTAGTTACTCGCATCCCAACAGCCAGCCTCTTGGCGTCATTTTGCAGCTGGGGCTTGTTTTTCTATTCTGTCATGTCAGCCCCTGAGATATCCTCCCCTCGCTTGCGCTCTCTGCCGAGTGGCAACAAGCACCTCCAGCACCTTCAGGAGGAAACAACAGTCGCTCGAGAGTCGCTCGCCCCTGTAGCGTAACATCGCATCTGCATCTGCATCTGCATCTGCATCTGCATCTTCATACCCAACAGCAGTACTGTACTCCTTCCACCCACACGACGTAAATCGGAATCCAAATCTAAATATAAGTCTAAATCCTATTCTTGCCCAGTTTTAAGCATATCAATTCCCCCATCCATTCATACTGTATAAATCCCGTATCTCTGTAGATCCCTCAGGCGCAGCACACACCCACACCCTTTCAGAAAACAACACGACGTTTGATTCGCTACCCCCGCATTCCAAGGCCGGATTGGAAGGGGTCATACGAGTACAGAGCACACAAATGACAACCCTACATCCGTATCCAGTGTTGGAATGCTGAGCCACACTTCCGGTTTGAATGTTTGAATTTGCCACAGTGAAGATCTACCTTCGTACGGACGATTGAACGCCATACCGTGTGGTGTGGTGTGTGGCGTAAGGATGGGATGGATATGTTGATTGTGTCATGGTATTGTTGATGAGGGTGGGGATGGGATTCTGCGGAGGTGGAGGGTACCAATAAGAGAGAGCGGTTCTAAATATACATGCTATGCCCTGTGACTGTGCCGTATGAGGCGAGGAGTGATGAGGAGGAATTTGGAAATTGTTGGAGGGGAAGCGAGTGCTGTAAAGCTTGCGTTGTTTGGATTTGAATTTAAGATCGGGGCGACGAGGTGCTCACTACTTGTGAAAGTCTCTTTTCATTTTGTGTGACAGGTCATCTGTTTTGTATAGAGAAAGTCGACAGAGCCTCATAAGTAGTCATTCATATTCAGAACCTTCAAAGTCCCGCTATCTTACATATAAAGAAGTTTCGAATCCCAACTCCTTCCCAGCATTGTTTATCTAAGCAATTCTGCCAAACCCTAACTCTCCCACATATACTCACTCAACTGTAATGAGTGCTCGCCCATTCCTCTCTTCGCAACCGTACTTATCCCTCTCTCCGGACTAGCAAGCTGCTCACTGTAGCACAACTCGACCAGCATCTTCAACTCCTCGAAACTAAACAACTCCTTCGCCCCACTGCCACTCTCTTTCTCCTCCTTCGCATGCTTAACAATCGCATCAGGACCGGCTGTGAACAAGTCGAAGAACTTGCCCGCCCGGTCAAGATTGACGTTCGCTTCGATATTCTTGAGGTTTTGTTGTAAAACGAGGATGTTGAGTTGCATTCTGCCGCAGCCGTGTGCATTCATCGCTTTCACCATGCCGGCGTTGCTGACGAGGAAGGTATCGACGAGGAGGCCGAGACCGGTGCGGATGAAGGAGATCTCTTTCTCGCGGAGGAAGGTCGTGACTGTTTCGTCGTAGGAGACGAGATCGGCATTGAGACTCAGTATTCTAGGGTCCGGATCATTGACCACTTGCTCGAGGAGGTATGGTGCTGACTCCGGAGACAGGGCAATGGCTAGGGAATGGATGATCTGGCATCTGATATCCATATGGAGTGTGAGAAGGACTGTGGCAGCGAGCTCTTGGTAGGATGAGACAATGGAGTCAAAAGCACTGTGATTGGGTGAGTGACATGCAGTGTTCGAGGATTGAGAGTACTTACACGACTGTCTCCTGAGTCATCGGCAAGTAGACTGGAATTTGGTCATCTTGTACCTTTGTGACATCATTGAGTAAAGTCCATCGTCTATTTGTCGGCTTCTGCATTGTCGTCCGGGAAGAGTCAGCATCATTGCGAGTGATGTGACGCAGCTGATCTATCTTGATAGCAATCCACTTCATGCTCGTGTAAAGGACACATAGCGATGAGATGGTCTCACGATCCAGAATTATATCGTCCAACTTCAACGGCGTTTCGTTGGTCTTGATGATGAGCAAACCTGTCTCTTTTTCAAGCAGTTCTCGATCCTCCTCCTCTGCTGTCCACAGCTTTTGCATGGTTTCATGAATATCATCTGGCTCGCTTGCCAGCAGGGCAGGTAGCTTCAGGGTTGTGCCGTCTGTGTCCCGGACTCGAGACACTAACGACTTGAACCAGTCGTAGCATCGATCATAATAACGCATCATCTGGGTGATGATAAGCGAACTTAACGCCTGATCATGAGGAATTGTATCCAACATCCGACAAAATGCAGTGATCAAGGCAAAGAACGCAGACGTTCCCTTGAATACTGGTCGCCGGGCGATCTTTGTCCATTGAGGATCTTGCTGGAAAGAGTCTGTCTCTTCGAAGACCGTATCGCTGAGCTTCCCTAAGGTTTCATCCAATTGGGGAAGAAATACGTTGACGAGGAAATTATCCAAAAATGATGTCAACGTGCTTGTGACCAGGTCAGACCCGGGTGGAACGATGTTCTTTAGTCTCTGCAAGAAACCAAGCGTGGGTGGTAACAATAAGCTCATATTGAACACACTCGGCTCTACCAGTGACTTGTGGACACCAATCCCTCCAGTCTTGTCATAAATGGATGTGCTTGCTCCACGACGTGATCCGGCGGGGCCTATCGTACTCTCAATCCGACCCTGGCCCTTCTTCCCATCTACGCCTTGCTTTCGACTTGACATGAGGCCTGGTACGGCTGCCCTTATGATGCCTTCGAGTTCCTGGTACTCTGTTGTCATCTGCACGGACTTTGAGTCTGCATCAGAGAATGAAAATAAGTGCTCTCGCTTTGAGTCTTGTTTTTTGCCACCTATTTTCGGTGAGGAATCAAACTGGTATACATCTGCGTCGGTTGTGACATAGTTGTGCAGCAAAGACCGTATTTCATTCTGGTACAGATTCCAGAGTTCTCTAAAGCCTCCTAAAAGCATCGACGAATTTCGTCCTCCTTCTCGCTTCACGACAGACTTCACGACATCGTGAAACACTCTGTGACTTTCTGCAATTGACTCGAATTTGGCGTACAGGGTCCAAAGCAAATCGTAGATGACATCAGATCGGATGCTGTTTTCACGGCTTCCAAATGCTTGGTTGCCTTGAGCATTAGACAAACCACCCCGCAAGGAGCTCGGGTGCTTTTGATCAACCTCACTATTTGTCTCATTGACGATTCCAAAGAGCTCGACTGGGAGCCGCTGCTTGATGGTATTCACAGCAGATTCGAGGCGCCCAAGCTTATTCAGAGACTCGACTAACAGCTCAATGTAATAGAATGTGTCTGCCTCCGGATTCCTCGAAGGATCCTCCACAAGCGGATCCGTCAAGTCCATCGCGTCGAGTACTTCGTAGAACGGCCGTACAGCAGTAGCCTTTTCGGGTTCCTTCTTGCCTGGTGCTCCCTGACCTTTTGCCAGACTCTGCCATCGCTCCTGGCAATACGGTGATTTGAGGTACAAATGATCATGAAGCTCCTCCACAAGGATGTCCGTCAAGGCATTTTCTTGATTCGTCAAGTAACTTCTCAGATCACTCAAAGCCCCGATGTCGTCCAGTGCGGGGGTTCTAATACGCCGCAGGGCAGTCTGGAGTATTTCCACCGCAGTCAAAAATCTCTTTTCTGATATTCGTGCCTCCAGCTGATCTGGTACCAGTCGCAGATCTTCAATTTCAGAGAGTGTGTGTATTAAATCGTCGTATTTTTGGGATGCTGTGGCCAGCTTTTTTAATTCTGGATCTGTAGTGGAGAGACTTGCTTTTGACTGGGTCAAGGATTCTTTCAAAGTTCTGACCCTCTTCTGCGAGGTCTGAATGCTAGCCTGGATCTTGTGAAATGTGCCAATTGAACTGTTGAAGCCCTGATGGTGCTCGTGAACAATGGCTTTCAGAGAGTCCTGAAGATAACGGTGCGTCTTCTCAAATTGCCGGTACTCGTGTGCTCGCCCGACAGAACTTGTATCTAACAGCTGAAGGGCAACATGGACAGGCACGCATTCGTTCTCACACATGGCCGGCCATTCTGTCTTTATGTGTTCCAGGACTACGCCTATTTGTCTTTCCGCATTGCTCTCTGGCGCAAGCCTTGGAGGACGCGCGAATGCACTCCTTGCTGCTGGAGGAGAAGGGGTCGTTATCGGAGGAGTTCCATATCGGTCATCATATCCAGTTCCATAAGGATCATAGTCGTCCGCTTCTCTGATCGGTTGCCCATAGCCCCCTCCATTGCCATTCCCATTCGCATAGGGGTCCTCGGTGAAGCCCCCGTACCGATTCCGGGACATGGCTTATTCTTCGCAGTCGCCTCGTCTGTATCGATGTATGGGTGCCATCCGCAGACATTCGGTTATCTGTCAAATTCTCGAAATGTTCAAGCTCATGTCTTGTTGACAATAGATTCAAGAGAGTCGTCGGCATGTCGGAGCTTGAGCTTCAAAGTAGGACTAGCGTATCCGGTAGCGCGAAGGAGCTAAGTATTTATTTTCCTTCACACGCAGCTCTCATGTTCTTCCCACAACAAAAACCTTCTGCACTTCGAGCTATGTTGAAAGCATACAACTCTATTCTAGCTTCTGTGCGAGGCAAGGTGTCCTCAAAGAATAGATCACTTCAACAGTCCCAATCTAATGGCCCTACAGAATTTCATCTGTTTGCAGACCTGCCACCTGAGTTGAGAAGGCTCATTTGGAATTTTGCTTTGCCGGCCAGGATAGTGGAAGCTTCTTTGAAGTATGGTATGTGTAATCTTGTCTGGTTACAGCTTCGTTGCATGCTACGGGACAATGCTAACATTCCTACCAGCTGAAAATAGTTGGCGATGCCACATTGCAAACTCGAGGTTGGACAGCCCAGACTCCAGGCAGATATCTGCACTATTTTCTGTCAATGCCGAGTCGAGAGCTTTTTGCCTAGAGTCTTACATATCCTTCTGTGGCGTCTCTTTGCATCGCAGCCTCGATGTGCTATACCTCTCATGGCAACAAAGCCAGCCTGGCGCCACTATTCAACATCGATCAAGTTCGATCGCCATAGAAGGGAAGCCTCTCAGTCAACTCCATACTGTTGCTATCACCCTGATGCGCAATAACGAATATAATGACAATCGATTTGGAGCTCTGGTGGATTGTCTGCGGACTTTCGGAACACCTCGCAAGCTTCTCTTGTGCCTTGTCGGCCCCAATCTCCCCAATTTGTTCTCGGACATCACGGGCTTCTCTATTTCCACTGGGAAGAACGTTGTCCTTTTGGACTGGCCAAACAGAGTCGAGGAACACATGGGAGAATCTGTGGTAGGGCATGTCATTGAAGCATTGGAGGCAGAAAAGTCCAACAACCCTGGCTTCGAGATTCCCATTGTCGATGGAAGGCTGCGGTATATAACCGTCAGCAATCCTTCTCGACATGTTCTCAGAGATCCTCTTCCGTTCTAGCCTCCGGATCTGTGACATGAACGGTATGTCCCAAAATTACGTCGGCTCGTGGGAGCTGGGAGGTTCTGACATGGTCGCCGTTTCTTAGTCTTTGCATTGTTTCTTCGTGCTTGATATCTTGCAGCATACAAGCTACAAGTTTGTTGTCCATTTTCCTCTCCTATTTCTTCTTACACGGACTCGTCTCAAACACTCTGGGCCTTGCTTCCTTTCCCTTGTGGATCGGTTCAACCTATGGCATAGCCCTATTTTTGGAAGACGAAGACTGATTTCGTCCGATTACTCACCGCGATATCTTATCCTTCGGGCGTGGATATAGTGGTCCATATCTTCTGGTCGACATTCTCATGCTTTAAACTCATTCCTGGGAAAACATAAAGTGCCAAGGGGTTGTAATGTTAATGATGTGTGAAAGACTTGGCTACAGCAATACGAATATTAAACACATCTTCATGTACCAGCTTCCTGTTCGCAAAGTGAATAAAGATTTTTTTTTTGGCTGAAAGTATTTTCCGAAATGAAAGTCCATTCTAAATAACCCCTCTCGTCTCGAAGTCCGGTCCAATTTCTGTGCAGCCCTAGTTTCTCAAGAGTGGTTAGTGTTTCCCTCTGAATAGAACATTCGGCATCAGTTTCATCGTTTGATCTATAATGAATTGGTTTGGACCAAAATTCGGGAAGAATCACTCTACTAGAGAAGATTTGCTGGAAGTGCTCACCTATTATCACACGCTGTGCTCAAGGACTTGATCCTTCCATGGGCCCCGAATGTTGACGAGCACATTACCAACGTTAAGGTCGTTCAGTTGGTTGAGCACACCATATGAGATGGAAGATGAAAGAATTTGTGAGATACATCTGGAGGGAAGGCAAGAGTGAATGGCTCGCCACCTTGTCAATCGTGAAGAAAGAAGAATGAGATACCGGTATTCTCAACGCTGTTGATATTTATGTTGGTATTAACCGAAAGCGAAAATTCGATTCTTACAAAAGGGTCACTTCTCGCATCAATTAGTCAGTAGATCAAGCCTATCTTTGTTGGCAAATGTACCTAGGTAAGAAAGCCAACACCGGTCTTAATAGCTAAATGCCCTCGCTTATAGTTCTTCAAGGGATGTTTTGGGGAAATCGTGATCTACTTGCCGATGCCTAATTCATCTCAATCCAGCCTCTATCCAAAACCCCACACATTGTGGACTTTAAACCTAGAACGTCACAAGACGTGAAAAGTGAGGCTGGTACAGCTCATCTAAGATGTGACGTGCTTTATCTTTTATTTTCAAGCTCGACTCACAGAATTATTCATACTTCGCCTGGCACCATTCTCCTATTGTACATGTTCAACTGATTTCATACACGATCACTCGCCTCATCATGTTCTCGATCACTTCACTCTTCCTTTTGCTAAACTTAGTTCTCATATTTGTCCCCAGTATCCTCGCTCTACCCTCCAACAACCCGGCTTTCTCGCCCCGCCAAACAAAGCCCAGGAAGCCATATGTAAGACTTACTTTCTCGAATCATAGCCTCTTCTGCCCTCCGTACCTTAGGAATTCTCCTATTATGAAGCATATTGAATGACTTACCACCTCACAGCAACTCCGCGGCGTCCAATCCCCAATCTTCCACCTGTACCTGCAAACCCTGCCTTCCAGCAAGTCAACCAGCACCCCCATTCCCGTAATGGGCCCTGAATCTACTAGCGAATACTTCACCATCGGCAACACCATACAAAGCGTCAACAGCAGCCTGTATCTCAATATTGGGGAGAAAGTCGACGGGAGGAGCTACCTGCCGTTGAGTTTTGCGAAGACGGCTAATACGACTGCCTGGGGATTGGAGGGCGATACGGTCATCACGGTAACGGGGAGTGCATATGGGAGGCGTAAGTATTTCTTTGTGTACCTGCTGTTTTCGATGATTTACTGTTGGTATAGAGTTGGGTTCGTGAAGTCACTGCCTGGTTCCAAAATACTTTCTCTGTTTCGAGCACAGCTAGTCTGGCTGGTTTTAGCAGCCTAGAAAAAGGGAGGCTTCACGATTGATGAACAGGTCTCGCAATTTAGGCAGTCACTTGTTGATAATAGGACCGAGGATGTGACAAGTGTTTCATGGACATCATCTTTTTACCCTACTCAACAGACAAATCTAAGTGCCTATCGACAAGGGTAACACCAGTGTACTTCACGCGCTGGACTCCAAGCAGGTGCCTGTTTAGTACGTTTCGGAGATCATTCAAATTTTTTCATACTCCTCGTTAGCATTTCCTTTCAGCGTAGGCATCAATACGATTAATAGCTCAGCTCTGCTGCCTGCCTCGTTTCTACATCTTCCCATAATTTCGAACGTCAACCTAAGCAAATAAGCTAACCACTCAACTACCTCCAGAACTCAACTTCCTCGCCTGCAACTCTAGAACAAACGGCTACTACGATCTGTACCTACAGACCGGGAGCGACGTTCCAAGCGGCGTGACCTGTAGTAATTACCAGACGATTCATACACCTTGTTTGTGCTAGGTTAGAAGTGACAGATACTTGTACAGATGAGGTCGCTTGTTGAGTGAGTGAGTCTGAAGCTGCTGGAGATCAGGTCGTGTGAAGATTGGAAGGCAGGGAGGTGAGAAAAGACCCCGAAATCGTTTCGATATATATGAGCAAGTCTGTACATATCAAGACGTAACGAATATGTTGTATATATGCACCAACATAGATCTGTTTCATATCTGTATTACACATTTATTCCGCCTCTTTTCTGCTCCTCTCTCATTCTATCATCCCATTGACTCCCTAAGGAACCACGCTCGACACTCCGTCTCCCCTCAGATCCGTAAAGAATCCCGCTCCCTTAACATCCTCCATAGCAGGACTTCCCGGCGCCTTAACACCACACTTCTCCACCAAATCCCCCGCCTCATCCATCTTCCCTTGCAAGAACTTCACATAGTCGTTCATCCCACAACTGCGTCCCGGTCCGTCCTGGCATGACGGAACGGGGTACACGGCGTCGTTGAGAAGAATTCGGATGTAAATGTCTTTGTTGGCTGGATCCGGGGTTGCGGTGCTTGTTGGAGTTGCAACGGAGGATGAAGATGAGGATGTTAGAGTTGAAGTAGCGAGTGTGGTGGTAACGGAAGATGAGGTAGCCGTGGGTGTAGAGAGACACGAACAAGCGGACGAAACTCTACTGGCCAACCCACCACAGTTGCTTACAAAGGTTGGGAGTGGCAGACCTGTCGTAGCAGTGAATGTAGGGCAGAAATTCTGCACTTGCGCCGAGGCACCGATCATTTGGCGGAGACAGTTGTCGTGTGCGCAGTTTGGTGCAATCTTTTCTGCGGCCCGCTTCTCCTGTTCTCTGGCCATGACCTTTGAGGCCGAAGCTGGACAGTTAAGTCTTTCCAAAGCGACAGTTCCACGCATGTTGACGAAATGACTCGCAATATACGTATGTCCCTCTGGAATCTCGGTCGCTCCTAGAACTGTGGTATTATCCCAAACACCAGTAGCAGCACCTAATTCTGTAGTCTGTCCATCATTAATAAATGCCATAATAATCTTTGGCAACTCAAAGGTTTCTCCAGCAGCATTCGTGCCATTGACACCTGGTCCTTGCGCTAATAGTCCAACAAGGCTGTTCAGGTACGGAAGCATCATCTTGGAAGCGAGATCCACACCAGGTCCAATGCCATAGTAGTAGCGAAGATCTTGGGCGTACTCGTATTGTTTGAGTTCTGCGTCGGTGAAGATGGAGCAGAAGGGAGAGAGAATGCCAGTAATTTGAGATTCGAAACCACAAAGGTATGGGAAGATGAACACATCGGCGTCGTTGAAGACTAAATCACCCGTGATCATGGCGTTGAGACGGGCTGTGATGGGGGGGAGGAAGATAGATTTGTACGTTGTCACTTTTCATATCGGTTAGTATTGCAAAGTTGTTGTACATCCAGGGCAACGAGAATAGGGGGTCAGATAGGACTTACTATAATCACCACCATTGCCATCCACAAAGTTCGGGCAAAGGTTACTCGGTGACAGCGAGTTGAACAAAGCATTTGGAGAAGCCGTAGCATTGACTGTGATGACTTGTCCCAGGTTAGTGGCAAGATGGCCCATGAAGCCTCGAACAAAACTCTGAGCAGTCTGTACCACGCGAGCATACAGATTAGCCCAAACGATGAATTTGTCTCCGTATGAATACAGGTTGGGATATCTATCCACATTAGTCAGCTGTGTGGTCATAGATAGGAACAATGAGGACTGACCTGGTTCTCAACCGGTAACCCATATCATGTGCCTCCTTGTAGCCAGTAGTACTCTCCTGAGCAATTTGCGCAGAAGGGTCCGTCAGCACTGGTTTCCAGGTGTGAAAGAATGCCATGCTGCCAGTGGCTTGGAAGGATGCGTTTTGCACCTGTTTTCATTAGCACCAGGACCGTCTAGGTCAAGCCAGGAGGAAGTTACTGACCTTGTTGTAAAGTGCGGTCCACTCAGCATATGCCCCAGTATCAGGGTATCTGCTGCCGTGTCTCGAACTATACGCAACCTGCTCGACGGTACAGCCCTCGGGGACCTCATTGCTGATACCATGGATATTGGGTCCTGTATTGATCAGCACTGATTCCGCACCCTCGTCCATTCTTTCTATAATCGCTTGCCCCCACTCCCAAGAACTAGAGAAACTGAAAGCAGCGAACTTACCAGCAAAGTAAGGACTGTTAGCCGCAAGCCACTGCAATGGCTCCTTCGCAGAGTCACTTGCAGGAAGCAAGATGTCATTCGGCGGAGCCAGAAAAATCTGTGCACCAACCACTTGAATCCTAGCAGCAAGTAACAAAGCACCAGCGAACTTAAGTGAGCTGAGGACTGCCATTGTTGCTTCTTCTTCTGCCCTATTCCTGTTACCGAATCAAGGAAGATGTGAAGTCAAACAAAGACCCAAAGACCAAAGACAGCAGAGGTAAGGAACAAAAAGTCAAAAGCTCAAGTCAGAGTATGGAATAGGACATACTTATAGACTTTCCTCTAGGATCCCAAGATCCCAAGACCGAGGTGTCGGCACACAAACCGATTGGGGGACCACCACCGTTACCACGTTGTACGCTGCTAGGCATTGACCTGACAAGAAACGAAGCCGCTAAACTCCTCTCCGCGATTTTGTAGATCATTGATAGAGCACGTGGGTTGATGATCTGGTTGTCCGATGTGCGTGAGTTTATCGCTCGGAGATGATGCCCGCATATTGCCCGGGGACCCATCCCCTGCCAAGATAACACTCCACACTTCATATATCCTCGCTTTTGTGCTCGTGAAAGAAACTGGGCTGCTCCACAACAGGGCATGCCTTGCATGAGGTGTCGGTTTACCGGATCGAAGATATCAGGGCTAGATACGCATTGAATGTGATTTTGGGTTTCTAAACCGTTTAGTGACAACCTTTCCTTCATTGGTTTTTGTAGAGAAACATGCTCAGCTATGAATGAAAAGGAAACCGCAAAACCTAAAAGAGAACGCAGTAGAAAAGAGTTTGTATGATTGAAGACCGGTTAATTGATCGATAAACGACAACGTGTTGACCTATCCTCCAAGCAAAACAGCCAGCTAAAAACAAGCCAGATATCCGTTCTCTGAAAGAGACCACCCAATCGCTCGACCGCTACCAGAACTTTTCGGAATGTAAACACGTTGTGGGACAGGAAAACACGGGAAATGGCCCTGCTCGAGTCTTCTTCGTCTTGATCAAATTCGTCAAGTTCGTGATGTACGCACAAATTGTCTGTAGAACGCTAGTATGGGTCAGCGCAAGTCTCCTTTAAGAATTGAAGCTGCATACCTTAGAAGCACTTGCGGTGGACGATGGAAGGTCCGCTCTCGTCGTACTCTTGCTTCGAGATCCACATTTGCTGGAAGGTAGATAGGGAGGCGAGAATAGAACCACCGATCCAGACGGAGTACTTTCGCTCGGGTGGTGCGATAATCTTGACCTTCATGGAGGATGGTGCAAGAGCGGTGATTTCCTTTTGCATACGGTCGGAGATACCTGGGTACATAGTGGTTCCACCAGACTAGATTCGATCAGCGAGGTTCGTTTGGCTTCGCAGATTTCAAGACTCACCATGACGATGTTACCATAGAGATCCTTACGGACATCAACGTCACACTTCATAATGGAGTTGAAGGTTGTGACGTGGATACCACCAGACTCAAGACCCAAGACAGATGGCTGGAAGAGCGCCTCAGGAGCACGGAAACGCTCGTTACCAATGGTGATGACTTGTCCATCAGGAAGCTCGTAGGACTTCTCCAAGCTGGAGGACTGGCTGGCGGTTTGGATTTCTTGCTCAAAGTCAAGGGCGACGTAGCAGAGTTTCTCCTTGATGTCACGAACGATTTCTCGCTCGGCAGTGGTGGAGAAAGTGTAACCACGCTCGGCCAAGATCTTCATCAGGTAATCGGTCAAATCGCGACCAGCCATATCAACACGAGCAATGGCGTGAGGAAGAGAGAAACCCTCGTAGATGGGGACGACGTGAGTAACTCCATCACCGGAATCAAGAACGATACCGGTGGTACGTCCGGAAGCGTAGAGGGAGAGAACGGCTTGAATGGAGACGTAGAAGGCTGGTGCGTTAAAAGTCTCGAAAACAATCTGGGTCATCTTCTCTCTGTTCGACTTGGGGTTGATTGGGGCCTCGGTAAGAAGAACTGGGTGCTCCTCGGGGGCTACACGCAGCTCGTTGTAGAAAGTGTGATGCCAGATCTTCTCCATATCGTCCCAGTTGGTAACAACACCGTGCTCAATGGGATATCTCAGGGTGAGAATACCACGCTTGGACTGTGCTTCATCACCAACGTAGGAGTCTTTTTGACCCATACCAATCATGATACTGCAGTCTTCGTCAGTTTCGAATTCTTTGTACGCTGCCCGCGCAGGCGGAATAGCGGGGTCAGAAGGCCTTACCCATGGTGACGAGGACGACCAACAATGGATGCTGTGGTGATTGTTAGCTGTGATATTCGTCAAGACCGATGAATCGCAATCGAGCAGAGCTAGAGATTTTGCGACTACCAGTCGTTCTAGCTGGTGGAAATCTTACGGAACACAGCTCTGGGAGCATCATCACCGGCGAAACCGGCCTTGCACATTCCGGAACTGCAGAATCCGTCAGTCACATCCCTCAACAATATATTGTATTCGAGTATCGATGCTATCGAATCAAGAGGCTTGATAGGAAGAGTCCAAGCATTCGTTCCCAGCTAAAATTCCGGGCTGGGAGCCTCCAGGCGGGAGCTTACCCATTGTCAATGACGAGAGCTGCGACTTCTTCTGTAGATAGCAAGCAGCATTAGCAAATATCCAAGGAGGTCCAGCCCGATGCGCTGAAGGTCTAATCGCAGTAATGGGGATGGGAGGTCTGCTTACCCTCCATGGCTGCTGATTACGACTGAGCGTCAAATAAAAGTGAGTATTTGTGGGATGGCGGTGTGAGGTCCTCACGACGATAAGATCGAGAGAACAAAGAATAGATGGCGGAGGACGACGAAGGGATGTTCGTGGTCTGGAGTGGACTCGAAAGGAGGTGGAAATTTCTTGACGAGGTTGAAGTGAAGTTGAAGTGGAGGAGACAAGGACAAGTGCAAGCAGGCGGAGGACGATGCGATGTCACAGCGAACGAACGAGGTCGGGTTGTGTGGGCCGCGACTGCTTGATCGGGGAAGGCGAAGCAGGATGTTGATTGGACTGGAGAGTATGCCGCTTTAAGGGGCAAGGAGAAGGAGAAGGAGAAGGATCTCGAAGTCTGGCGAGACTGGCGAGCCTGGGCGGATGCAGCAGTGAGTGAACAAAGAGCGGCGACGGGGATGTAAGTACGAACAGCTGTCCGTTGATGACAGTGGCTGGGAAGGATAGGCAAGAGTGGTTAGGTAGAGTCAGTCCGCTTTTGAAATTCAGGTCAATTCCAGTCAAGGCCGAGTTATGTCGGCGTTGGACCTGTTCAAATAATGAGGTGGCTAGCTATGAAGGATCCAAAGGCTCATGCTAATGCTATGCTCAACAATATCCCAACCTGGCCAAGCCGAGACACATCCACTTCACACCGCAAGTCAACAAGCAGGCAGGCAAGTCAGCACAGACAACCTGGGATCAATCTGAATCCCCTCAAATCCCATCTCATAGTCGGAAGCCTGCAAGGCAACACCAAAACCGTTCCATGGAATATTTCTGTATCGCCGCCAAACGCGCGTCAACCAACATCCGTCGCCGCCTTTTCTACTATATTTACATCCAGCCAAGCAGGCACTTGTGCTTGTCAGACACACAACCGCATCATCCCTCCCTCTTTGACTTCTCTTTGTGATGTAAATATGTCTTGCGTACGTATGCAAGGGCAGCACCATTGAAGCTCATAATAAAATTCAGCCACCAGCCACCAGCGGATCGGCTGGGCTTTGGAATTCCGATTTCCCCATCGATTCGAGGAGACCTCGACAGCTGTGCCCTACGGCGCCCCAGGGACCAACTTGACGCAATTAATGAGGGGCAACTCATGGTGGGGTAAATCGCATCACTCGATTTCGGGTTGAGCCTGCCAAATAAATTAATGCATGAATTGTATTCGCCACATGAAACTCAGCACTGTCATGGTTTGTTGTTCAATTAAGCTCAAGGTTAGGAGATCCTTAGTCCAGCAACGTACCATGGTTGAGTTGGGAGTGACAGGAGGAACGATGATGTAGTATCACGTGGGAGCGTACTTTGACGGCCAAAATGTGTAACCAAAGTTAGACAAATTAATGGAAAATGGTGATGATGATTTCTATGGCCATAGTCTCCAGTACCTTGCTCATGAATGTTCTATTACAAAACCAATACCAAAAGTGCCATGCTCATCCAAGCATGATACTCAACTCGGAACATATATTTTCCGTTCCGTACAAAAGTTCAGAAGCATCCAGCAACATCTCGAACAACCTCAATTTAAAATCTTGAAATCACTAAGTACAAACCGCGACTACCGCCCCAAAAGTCAATGTTTTAAATATTAGACCTCACTTAAGTATTCTCGTCGCCTCATACAAACACAATTTGAGAATCTCCATCAGCGAATCTCAATCCTTCCAAGGGCAAACAAAAATTACCCCTCCATCAACCCACACCTCACTGCCACAAACCACAATACGCCGTCACAATGGATCCAAATCTCCAATCCCTCCTAAAATGGAGCGTCGAAAATACCTCCACCTCCACAGCCACACCTCCCTCAGCAGACGGCAGTACCCCCTCCTCCCGGCCCATCAACCCCGACGCGCTCAACGCCCTCTTCGGAGGCCCCAGCGACGCCGACCTCATGAACCTCTCCATGTCCGCGATCCTCTCCACCGATCCCGAAATAAAGCTCGAAGACAAGCTCATCGCCTTCGACAACTTCGAGCAGCTCATTGAGAACCTCGACAACGCCAATAACCTGTCCCCGCTATCCCTCTGGGCGCCATTACTGTCTTGCTTGAAGCACGAGGAGGCGGAGATTAGGAAGATGGCGGCGTGGTGTGTGGGAACCGCGGTGCAGAATAATGAGAAGAGTCAGGAGAAGCTGGTTGAGATGGGGGAGACTGGTATCCCGGAGTTGGTGAGGGTTGCGAGGAGGGAGGGCGAGGAGGAGAGTGTGAGGAGGAAGGCGTGTTATGCGTTGAGTAGTGCGTGCAGGAATTTTCAGCCAGCCATGGATCTTTTGACGACGGAGATGGGAGGGGAGAAGGTGGATGCGGCGGATATGGATGAGGTTGATGTGTTGATTGGGGGTTTGAGGGATGGGGCTAAGTCTGGTGGAAAGGCATGATTTATAGGATCCTGAGAGTCGGTGAATTGCTTGCATTTGAATGGCGTTTAGGAAGTTGAAGGCAGGTTCAAAACTTTGGGATGGCTATAAAGGCTCATAGCAATGGAAGTGGGTGGAGAGCATGGCTTCTGGATTTTGAGGCAGGCGAGCAGCGGACTGTCTCCAGCTGTGCTTCTCCGGAAAGGTTATAGAATGGATTGTATGTCGAGCTACTGAGCTCCAGATACCCTGATAGAAAAGCTTCGAAGCAATTGCACAATGACGAGCTGATACATCAGTATTTTACATACCATTTGGTGCGGTGTGATTTATGTCATACAATGTGTTGATTTACAACTAGTATACATGGTGTACATTCTATCCGCACCCCTCTAACTCCTCCCAGACCTCTAGTCAATCAACTTTCCATAAAATGGAACACCCATAGCAGTCATAAGTAATCTGGCATGTCTATCAGAAGTCGCTGAGGTCTTAACCGTAACGTGGAATCCTGGAATGAGCTTTGGTGGGTACATCTTAAATAATCTGTTAGTATATGAAGCATAGACCACAGGTAAAGACTCAGCTTACATCGTAGTTTATCTCAACTTCCGGGAATAAAATTGCTCCCTCTCTTGTGAAACCCCAAGTGATATTTCCACTGCTATCACCAGTAGATCCTGTATCCAGTTAGTCAAGCTCAAAATTCAGTTGAACAGCTTAAGCTTACCCTTCACACCCGGCCAATCCTTAATCCTTGGGAAGACCAGATTTATACACTTATCCACAAACTCATACGCTTGGTCTCCCCTCATCGTACATGTCAATGAAATCGGCATCTGCTCACGAATCCCAAACTGCGAGACACTATGCTTCGCCTTATGCACCACGGGCTCTACCCCGGTGATAGCCTGCAACATCATACCCGCTACATGCAAATGCGATGAATCGTCGATAGCTCCCTTCACCATACTGTGCACTGTAACCTCCTCAATCTTGGGGATGTTGCGGAAAGTGATATCCTTCTCCACGATCCGCAACTTCTCTCCTGGACCTCGTGGTCCACGCTTCGGTCGGCCCTTGTGATATGGAGAGCTGTCGTCCCAAGTCCTTAGTCGTTCTGCTTTGGGGACTTTGACTGTTCCAGGAGGTGTGTGGACGTATGCGATGGTCATGAGATCTGGTGCGATCATGGCCTGGTAGGTCTGTTCGAAACGGCTGCTATTGAATGGGCCGGGGACGAATTCTCTGGAAGCAGGGTCGGATTTGGGAGGAGGTTGATGGGGATGTAGAGGGCCGCGATAGTATCTTGGAGATTTGAATTGGTAGCTATGAGAGTGTCAGTAAATACAGATCTAGACATGCTTCGCCCACCCATTTCGAGCTTACCGACTGGCAGGAAGCTGCGTCCTTCTCCCCTGAGTCCTCTTGATCGGATCAAAACTCTTCACTTTCTCATCCACAGCTCCATTGGACAGAAGTGATGATTTGGACTCCAGGTCCTGGAAATCCTCAGATGTCTCCTGTGCCCCTGCTTCTGTTGAAGCAAACCGTCTGCAGCTTCGAGTTGTAGAGAGAGTCGCAGGTCTAGCATCTCTTGTTGTCAACCTCCGCAGAGCTGACGGCAGCTCCCTCAAAGCCATTGCAATAGTTCGAGGTATCGTATTCCTGGTCGTCCCAAAATCTCCTTGGACTTCTGTCACTGAGGCATCAAATAGCGAGGCAGAAAAATAGTTGTGGCTAGCGGGCAGCTGTGATTGGCCAGGTCGGCTTCCGCTCATACAGTAGCTAATTACGTCGGGGCGACGGGCCTCCCTGATCGATCCGGCAGGGATCCAGCAGGTCCCCTACACTGCACTGCACTGCACTGCACTCACTCACGTATTCGGTCACTCACTCCACAGCTCGCCTCGACTTCGCAGCCTTCAGTACAAGTACGCCGGCACTGACTGACTGACTCCTGGACTGGACTGGACTGGACTGGTGGGGTTGAAAGACCAACGCCTCTCCTCTCCTCTCCTCTCCCAACCTAACGTTGCTTGCCTACTTCCAAGGTGACGACTCTCTTTTGGCACTCTCAAATTCTGCCGAACACCTACTTGGCATGGAATCACGCTGAAAAGCCACAGAGGAGAACCAAGCTGTTCTACTTCGAAATCCTTCTGTGACCCCGCCATAAGAACAGCGCAACATTACATGAAAGTTCGAGCGAACAATTCAGTCAAGACACAATTGTTTCCCCCACGGCGGATCTCAGAATATAGAAGCACCCAGACAAACACACACCATGAACATTAATCGTCTCATGAGTAGGCGGGACAAGGATGGAAGTTCGCATCGCCGAGAGAAGTCGCGCGACAAGAGCACAGACAAGAGTACAGACAGAAAGGTAATGTAGCTGGCAACCCCGTCTATTTCGTCCCTTTACTGCTCATTGCTCATGCTGGAATTAAGCCCCAGCATGCGCATTCTTTTTCATCTCTGTCCAAAGCTTTTTCGAATGCAAGCAGCAAATCCAGCCCGCTCGTTCGAATTTCGCGGATTGTTGTACAAGGCATTGGCGCTGACTTTGGACCTCGTTTCCAACTGCAGTCCCGACCTATCTCTAGCGATGGACTTTTGTCTATCTTCAAGCCTGATCCCCAGAAAAAGCTCGAAAAGGAACACGCGAAGGAATATGCGAGCAAGGTATGCAACTCTGGACGTGGCAGGCTACAGGGACGCATACTGACTTGGGATTCTAGGTTCAAGCAGTCAAGCAGCGATTGAAGCAGGAAGGGATTACAGACGTGAAGGAGGAGCATATTAACTTTGCCCTGGGATCCCATAATGCGGATGGAAGTGTCGAGAAGGCTGTGCAGATGCTACGCATTTTCCAGCAGTCCCTCGAAGGACTTATCAAGCCTTATAGCCCCGACGTGTACATGCGAGGGGCCATAAACCGGAATGCGGTCACTTGCTATATCGACTCGCTATTATTCGCAATGTTCGGCAGGCTAGACAGTTTCGAACCCATCATACTACGAGGATTTGAGCAGGAACCGAAGCGTCGCCTTGCTGCGATCTTGAGAGTCTACGTTAATATGCTGAGGCAGGGAATATTAATCCATACTGATATCGTATGCTAGAACTTCCATTCTACACACCCATTACTAACGGGCACCGTAGACTGAGCAGCTACAAAAGGCGTTGGCAGAGTGTGGCTGGGAAGAGGCAATAAGTCCTGACCAGCAAGATGTTTCCGAAGCTTTCAACCAACTTGCAAGTATTCTCGAGCTACCATTACTCTCTTTGAAGGTGGACCTGTTTCACTTTGGCCGAGACGACGACCCAGACGATCATAAGGTCATTGAAGAGCGCCTCCTTGACGTTGCAGTACCAGATGAGCCACCGGAAGGAAGGTCGCACGTTCGACTAGAAGATTGTCTGGAGAACTATTTCAACAACCGTGTGCTTGTATTGAGACGACTAGAACGCACAAACACGAATTCGTCTCTCAAGCCTTCGAGCTCGCATTACGAGGAGAAGGGTGAGGCATCAGCCCTACCACACATCAACGTCAACGTCAACGAATTAAATTGGTCAACGCCTGATTCTCCCATTACCCCAGGTACTCCTCTTACTCCAAATGGTGGCCGAGATGGTGGACGAGACCGTGCGACTAGTATCATTCGACATGTAGTGATCCAGGAAGAGGGAGATCCTGATGCTGCAGCTGAAGCTGGTACGACGGTTGTGGAGGTTGATGGCAACGCTAGCATCATTTCTGGTAGCGAGGCGTTACGCAAAGGTTCTGTTCGCAAGGAGATCATGATGCCTGCGTGGCAATTCTTCAATCTAATACGTCCGTCGCCATTTTCACTACATATTCTGCCATATTTTTTAGATCCTTGCGAAAGACATGTACTAATTGGTGATATAGCTTGGTCTACGGACAGTCAGACGAAGAGTGATGCTGCCGTTGCTGCTCACCTGAAATCAAAACCAGTTCTGGGAATCTGTTTGAAGCGATACGGTTTCAATAAAGGCCAACCCTTTCGAAAGAATACTCTCATCGACATTCCTTTGGATATTCGATTACCTCATTTCATCAACGACCATGGCGAAGTCGATGAAGATGGTCCATTGATCGGACAGTTCAAACTCTCTCTGCAATCAGTTGTGTGTCACCGAGGCAACTCGACCAATTCCGGGCATTATATTTCCTTCATCCGCGGTACGACTCCAATTGTCGACGGAGACTCGAGGTCGAAACGGAAACTCAGTGATACGAATCGACCCCCTCATTATTCTGAAGAGCGTTGGATCAAGTCAGATGATCTTGCTTGTCCTCGGGTCATAAACGTGGATATTGAGGAGGCTCTTAAAAACGAAATGCCTTATCTACTGTTCTACCAAGTCCAACCCTACGAGAACGTGTCGCCTCCGCCAGGGCCCGAGCCAGATATCGAACCTCCTTCGTATACCGATACATCCTTCAAGGTCAGCCTCACAGAGAGCACACCGGTTGACAATCAGCCAGGCTATTTTGATGGCGCTAGAGACGAGCCTGCTCCTAGTGTCAGGGTTTCCAACGAGCTCGAACGGCCGCAAACCCCACGACAAAGCATCAACCTTCCAGACGATCGAGCCGAATTCCGACGAGGTAGCCTGGCTTTCACCGAGAACAGCATGACGAGCACTTCCAGCAGCCTATTAGGAACTTCGACCCCAGTGACTCCTATCGAGGAAACGACTGCTCAAAGAATGTCACGAGCTGCTTCTCGATTCACAAAGCTACCTAACAGAAGCCGTCCAACAAGTCAATCAGGGGAGAATCGGGTGGAGAACCGCATTAGTGCCACATTCTCACGTCTGAACTTGATGAAGAGCAAAGAAGGGCTCAATAACCCCGAGAATGTCAAACATTCTATGAGTACCGGAGATGTCACATCAGAGCCACGAAAATCAATCACCTCCGACGAATATCAAAATGAATTTAAAGCCCACCTTGCTGAAGGCCCTCCTGTTATCGAGCGTTCCAAGAGCAAGAAAGAGAAGAAGCGAGACAAGAGTAAGGGTCCAAGCGAAAAACTAGACGGAACCCATCATCATGGCCACTCGCACAAAGAAAAGGGGACGGGGAAAGGGAAGGTGAAAGACGGCGTTCCGGACAGGGAGTGTAACATTATGTAAATAGGCGCTTCTTTTCGGCTTGTTTTTGTATACATATGGGAGGAGTCTACTTTGGCGCTCCATGGATGCATTGCATGAGCGGCTGGGCTGGGACAGGACAGAAACATGATAGAGCGAGCATCTTCATCGGCTGGCGTACAGGGTTGCCTGCCTTCGAGCAAGGCTTTTAGTTTGGGCGTGTCAATGTTTTCTGGAAAGCTAATTGTTATGTTTCTGTTGAAGTACTGGAAGGTGTGGACATTGGACTCTAGATGGGGCGAGCTGTGGGAGCAAAGGGCATTGCATTCTCATATGTGGGATTGGGTCGAATATCCAATACATTTCATCTGAGCTCATGCGAGGACAGCAGAGACCCCAAAGTTTTGTCATGATTCCAATTTCAGGTCAAACATAACGGCACAATTTTCAAGGCCCCTCTGCGCTCGGAGTCGATATATACCACATTGCCAATGCCGACATAGGTCTGCTCCAAGTGTCCATTCCCAACAATTTCACAGGACATTCAGCCCTTTGGGTGTCTTACCATGACCCCTCTAACTGACCAATGGACGGCTTCCCAATGGAAGGTGCTGCTGAACATCAAGCTTCCTCCCCGACATACCCCAACTCCACAGCAACCTTTACCCCACAGCCTCCCCAAAAGCCACCAGTGTCCCCGCTCTGTAGCAGGAAAGTCTCTCTGACCCCACCATCGCCATGTACAAGTTGAGAAACAATGTGATATTTTCCTTGCAACACTTTTTCATTTTCCTGTTTGCTTCCTCAACTTTTTGTGCCCTTCCCTCCACTTTCTCATAATATGATCACTTACATTCATCGTCTCTTTCAATTACAAATATCTGAATAGGGACGGTATAGAACAGGTAGCGATGGCACTCCTTATCCTCCTGCCTCTGCTGCTCCTGATCTGTCTCCCACCTTCTATATCGCCCCAGCGCTCCTCGATCCACTTCGGTATATCCCTGGTCCTTTCTGGGCAAGGTTCACGCGCTTATGGAAACTGATTGAAATTTATGGCGGGGAGTTTGAGAAGACAAATATTCAGCTGCATAAACGATATGGTGAGTTTTGCGGGTTTGGTTAAACGCTCTGCCTTGGGTTTCTGCAAACTTGTCCTGTCGGACATGGTACTTGACGAAAATGCGATTAAATCAAGAGAAACTTGAAAGAGAATAAATTTGTTGCTGATGTCTTTCGTGTGTTCAATTTAGGACCCATTGTTCGAATTGCCCCCGGCGAATACAGTATCGATGACCCCGAGGCTACGAAGGAGATTTATGGCTTGGGCGGGAATTTCGTGAAAGTATGCTTGTTTCAACAAGACCATTCGTTCACAAGCTTACTAGCTCCTTAAGAGTCCATGGTACATTGCAAGCAGCAATCCGGATCCTCATGCAACGCCCGACCTGTTCACTGATCTCGATCCAAAACGGCATGCGGCAAATAGGAGGAAAGTGGCTGCGCTGTACTCTATGACGAATCTAGTGCAGATGGAGCCGTTTGTTGATGAGTGTTCTGAGTTATTGATCAAGAGATTTAGGGAGTTTGGGGTGGCAGGGAAAGAGGTGGATATGGCGCGTTGGTTGCAGTGTTATGCTTTCGATGTTATTGGGCATATTTCTGTACGTACCGCAAATTTTGTTGCTTTCACCCCATTCCGCGACATTGTTTTCTTCTACTTCTTTTGTGTACTTGGATGTCGCTTTGGCTGACTCGGCACATTCCAGCTAGCAGACCGGTTCGGCTTCCTCGATGCCGGCGAAGATATATCCGGCATGATGGCCGCCATCGATGATTACCTCTCTTATCTCACCCACGTCGGAGTCTTCTCTGAGTTCCATCGGACAATCGCCGGCCTCCTCTCCCACTTCTCTCAGAATGACACCGGAATGTCTGCCATCCGTAAATTTGCTCAAGCTCAACTATCCAAACGTAAATTCGAAATCATTCGGTCGGACAAGAGGAACTCCAATCAGGGCGACTTTATCACCAAGCTCTTGCAACTACATGAAGCTGACCCGTCCAAAGTTGGCATGAAGGATGTTTTTATCACACTCATTACAAACATTGGTGCTGGCTCTGACACAACATCTGTCAGTCTCGGCTCTGTGATTTATCACCTCTGCCGAAATCCAGATACAATGCATACTTTACGGAAAGAAATCGACGACATGGAGAAAGCAGGCCGTAACTCCAATCCCGTGACATTCATCCAGACTCAACAGATGCCGTACTTGCAGGCTGTTATCAAGGAGGCGCTGAGAATTCATCCGGCTACGGGGTTGCCGCTTGGGAGAGTTGTTCCCAAGGGTGGGAAGGTTATTGCTGGGCAGCTGTTTCCGGAAGGTGTAAGCGCTGCGTAATAGTGCCCTGATAGATGAACTTCTTCTGATATACTTGGCAGAGCGTCGTAGGTATCAACTCTTGGGTAGCACACGCGAATACCCATATATTTGGGCCCGATGCGGCAGTGTTTCGACCTGAGCGATGGCTGGAGAGTAAAGAGAAGAGTACTATGCTGGACAAGTATTTCTTTAGCGTAAGCTATACAGTCCCTCATCTCAATCTCTTAGACAAATGAATCAAATTACTAATAAGAAGCAATAGTTCGGCATGGGATCTCGCACTTGCATAGGCAAGAACATCAGTCTTTTGGAGATGGCGAAACTCATTCCGCAACTCGTGAGGAATTTTGATATTGAGCTAGTGAATTCGGGAAAGGAATGGAAAACGACGAATAAATGGTTTGTGAAACAAGGTGATTTCTTTTGTAAGGTTAGGTTGAGAGAGGGTGATTCTTAGTGGATGTTGAGATGTAGTGTACGAAGTGTTGTGAATGTGGGCAGAACAAAATCTTGCATCTTCCTCATTGAATCCGCAGAAGCAAATCTCAGATTACTGACGAATTTTCTGCAACGCCCAGAATTGTATGCTTCATATCTGATATTGTATTGTATTGGATGTTCAAAATTTTGGTCCGAGCAATCAAACTCAGTCATCGTACACGACCTTTGCTTTGTTTATTATTGTTTAGACACGCTTGGCTGTCTCGCTTCCCCTGAGATGGTCGGGTGCCGGTAAAATTTCGGTCGGACTTAACAGAAAGGACGTACCTAATCGCGGTGATGGTGTTGAGCACCTCATCGACAGCCAAGACTTGACACAGGTACCTGAAGAACATATCTGGATCTTAGGTGAACATAACTCCCCGGTTCGTTTAGTCCGACTAGGTTTTTCTGAAAAGGACTGCAGACCAGTTGCTGGTTGCATTTTGTTTGGCTCAACATCAAGGCCCTGCCTTACTGCTACATTATTATCCTGGTCCATTTCTTGCAACTCCACTGGACAGTTGATTTACTGAGTCGGGTTATATCTAAACCCGTTGTTTCTTACTTCACTATTAAGATGGATGGGCAACCCGTTCAATTCTACAGCTATGCTCAAGAGCTGGCTCTCCAAACCTTCCTCCCACTACTTCGTTCACACCTCCCCACCAGCAACCCACTCTTCAACCGACTCATCGCACCTCACAATGTCCCATCACGTCACTGTCTCTTTGCTGCAACAGTTTCTCCATCAAATATAGACTCCTCCTCGATTCCGCCGGTCATTCCTGAGATCTACACCCTCCTCTTCGCCGACCGGTCGCGGCATCTTGAATCGCAAATCTGGCTCTTCAACCCTCTGATCACATATCCCCAACCCCTCTCTGCCTCAAATCAGATCCACCTCATGACTCATCTCGAATCCACGATTCTCTTTCTCAAGAACATCCAAATCCCTCAAGCGCCAGGCTGGCCTTTCTTACCAATCCTCAAGTTTGGCTGTCTGCACGAAACACTTGCCACAACGCTTCTCTCCATTGGTAATGCTAAAGGTGTTGTACGTAGACAAACTATCTGGAATCTATGGCTGGTCGAAACGGGCCCTGTGTCTAAATCGAAGAAGAAAAAGGAGTTACCAGAGGGATTCTCGATGACTAGAGTTCCGGATGAGCAGCTCGATCTCGTGCTATCTACTTCGTCTATCCCTCGACAAGCTGAAACATTGAAGCAGCAGCCAAGCGTCGGATTACTAGATCAGGATGGCAAGATGGTGGCATGGGGCTATATTGGCATCGACGCAAGTTTCGCCACGTTATACGTCTTACCCGAGTTCAGAGGCAGAGGACTCGCAAAAAGTGTTGCTGTGGAGTTGATTGGAAGGTTAGGGAGAGGAGAATTTGTGGACTTGGGGTATGATGGGAGGAGTGGGTGGGTGCATTCAGACGTCTATGAGGGGAATGAGGGGAGCGAGAGTGTGATGAGAAGTTTGGGGGGAAGGGTAGGATGGAAGAGTATCTATATGTGGATTGATTCTGAAATGTTCTAGTTCTATGTAAAGGGAAGAGAGGCGTCTACACCGTCTTCAAAGTCTATCCTTTCAATTCGGTATGTCAGTAATGACTTCCATGTGTGTTGAGTTACTCTGATCCGTGAGCTCCCTCCCTGCATACAATGCATCATGTCGACTTTTATGTGTCGGTTTCAATTTCAATACTTCCAATATCCGTCCTTCCAATACAGGTGTGCAATGCTGACTTCAAAGGTGTGATACATGACCCCGTCCATTCCTTCAATGTCCGTTCCATCGCAATGATTTGGTATCAGGAAATCCGAATGGGAATTGAGGATTACCATTGGCAGCCATGTCTTGGGCAGCATGAATACCATAGTTGCCAGTGGGGTGTTGATGATCATCCAACTGGTTGAGCGAAGTACTAATATCCTGGCCCTGGAAGTCCTGACTTGGAGTGCTTGAGACATCCGGTACATTTATATACTGTGCCTGGTTCATAGCAGGTGAGGTGTCATTGCACTGATTTGCAACATGTCGAGCGTAGCTGGGAGTATTTGGCTGTTCTGCATTCTGGGTCTGGGGAAATGACTGGCCGAATGACTCGAAGTGGCCTTCAGTAGCTAGAGCGTAGCTGAAAGGGTTTGGCTGATAGGTTTCTTGGGCCTGCGGAACCGGCTGACCGACCCACTCGAAGTGACTTCCAGCGACTTGAGCATGGTCAGCAGCATCCAAAGGATATGAGTTCTGAGCTTCTGATGCCGGCGAATAGAATCGAATCCCAAGGCCATGACGAAAGCTTGTTTTTTCTGACGAGTTTCCCTCGCACGTCTCTCCCTCAGGAACGTACTGAACAAACTCGAGGGGAGACTCAATAGTGCGAGCTCTCTTTGTACGCTTAGTAGTCTTCGCCATCGGCTCCTTCCTCCTGCTTGGTCTGCGATAAGGTGGAGTCTTGGTCTTCCTCACTGGCATCTCCTCAGTCTCATCTGCCTTGTCGGGTCGCTTGCGCTTTTCCTGGAGAGTTGCACCGATTTCTTGGATTCTCTTCTCATTCTCGGAGATCTTGTCCAGAGTTGCTTTGGTACTGGCTTGTGTGATTGCGATTTGCTTTTTGAGCTCCGCCATTCGCTCTTCGATTGAAAGGGCTGAATCTTCGGGCTCTTCCTCGTCGACTGTGGTAGCGTCATTGCCTTCGTTGCAATAGAAGCTGGCGGGGTCGTCAGTGTTGAGATCTGTATTACTGCTATTGTCTCCTGGAATGCAAGACTCTTCTTCGAAAATTTGTTGGCGATAAGTCTCGGAGCGGGTTTGGACTTGATGTTCAGTGAGTGCGATAGAGAATTCCTGATCTTGGTAGAACTGGGAGTATCGCTGGTTCTTTGGGACGTAAAATGATGGTTGAAGATCGGTCTCATCACGATTGACCAGCTGTTCGTATTGCCGACTTCCCGAAAAGTAGGGTCCTGGCTGATGGCTTGGTTCATCGAAAGACTCATAGTATTGCTGGCTTTCTAGAATCTCGTACGTCAGTTGGGACTCTTTCTCGTTTTCATAAGGCTCGCCGCTCAAATGAATTGTTGGAATGCGAGATGTTTGTTGGCCACCATTCTCGCCATTCTGTTGAGTTGCTGGGAGGCGAGTTGCAGGCTGGCGGTCTTGTTTGTAATGACGCTCAGATTTTTGCTGACCAATCGGACAGTATGTCTCAGGCTGAAGACTATTCTCATTGTTGTAAAGGTCATCGCTCTGTTGATTTGTTTGAGAGTAGGTCGCTGGTGAGCAACTGGACCGATGCTCCGTGTGTTGCAGAGAAGGAAACCCTTCCCAATCACACTTGACATTGAGCTGCCTCGCTTCGTTCGAGTCTTTTGCTTGCGAGAGAACTGACTCTTGGGAAGATGGGTGTGCAACTTGAGTGTTCATGGCGCCCGATTCGAGATATTGCCACAGCTCATCTTCAGATGCCAGCCTTCCGAGGTTGGCCCAATCTTCAAAGAGAGAATCCATGAAGTTAAAGATCACATCATTATTGCGGAAGTAGGCATCCAAGATTTGCGAGGTGTGATATGAGACTTTTGGATTAGTGAGGACTTCGCCAATGTCATTTTGACAGGAGGAAGCTCTGTCGTCTTGACCAAAGGTCTTACTTGCCTGGCCAACTAGGCTGCTGGACTCTCGGTCGCTCTGAGAAGAGCTCGATTGATCATCAAGAGTATCAGCGTCAGAGCAGTAACATGTTGCAGGGGTCGAAGTTTCAAGTGCGTCAGTCGTAAAATCCTCCTGGTCAGACTCAGAGACAGTAGCAACATCCAGAGTAGGGTCTGTCTGGGCAGCATGAAGATCGGGGTCTTGACCCGCCAAGCTGGAATTGGTAGCAAATGCATGTTTATCTGCAGTGCAGATTGACTCTGATTGGACTCGAGGTCTCTCTGACGCAGAGGTATCGTTGAGGGTGTCTGACTTGCCTATGGGATTTGCGGTATGGCTGGCCATTTTACTATTCCAACTGGATTTGAAATTGTGACTTCGTTGCAGAAAAGAAAGGGAAAGGAAGATACTGAAATATGAGAATTCAAGAGGTTGTGTATGGGACATTTGCACGACGATGCCGTTGCCATTGTTGTTCCGTCGCCAGAATTCACAATGGTAAGCCAGGAACCTCAATGCTTCGCTTCAGTGCTATTGTAAAACACCATCCTATTGTGAAGCGAGACAATCTCAGTGCACCCATAGCAACAATGGAAATGCTGAACTGATGTGCATCGAGTAATTGATCTCTGTTTGGACTTTCCCATGGGACGATGTGCATTTGGTAGATGTTCCACATCGGGGGACATTGCGACGGCCACGGCAATGATGCATGTCCCACGGAATGTTCATGCCTAGATGACACCAATTTATGAGCTTCCAAAAGTAATACTTCATCAAGTGATGATGCGTGGGCTAGCATAAAATGAAGCTAGACGATAGTGAGAATTCTGCATGGCTGAGTGAGATTGGACGAGCAGAAGGAGAAACAGCAAGAGATTTAGCCGTGGAAGCCAGGCCAAGCTAAACAAACCTTTCAAATGTATATGGGCTCTCCCCATGGTGTGCGGCTTCCTTTAAATCTGCGTGTTATCCTTCGGCGAAGTCAAACAATCAGAAATCTGTCTTTCCAGGCACAAATAGAGGTATGCGCGTGATCCAAATATGCATTCTCGCTGTTTTCTCTGCTGTCACGACTCCCAGCTGGAAGTAATAGAGCTGTACTTAGGCGTCAGGCAACTAATAGGCACTGTCTAGCAGTCGTCTAGCAGGATCCATCCACAATTGGGATCATATTCGCATTAATGAGAAAGTTGCCATGCTCCCAAATGCGCATTGTCCGCTTCGCAACCGCTCTTCGCACAAAGAACGTCGATTGTCAAATATCGGGAACAAGAGCATAGATCCTGACCGGATACAACTCTTTTGGTAGCCCCTTCTGAATCTCAGTCTTCTTGATCTTCAAACCTGCCTTCTCGAAGATGTCCCTGAATTTCTGGTCACATCTACTCGGCCTTAGATCAGCAAAATTCACCTGTTCTGTATTCCCACCAGCCACGAGATACGTACCTCGTAACACTACTATCCACTTCATCGAAACGGTCCTCTCCACTCGTACTCAGATTTTCCTTGACGATCACCAAGCCACCCTGATTAATCGCTTTCGCGCACTTCTCCAGATAAGACTGCATCTGTAAGTCTGTCAGGTGACCCAAACACCATTGATTCCAAATCAGGTCGTATTTAGCGTCGGGAGACTGCTCTGGCGACCAGTCCTCCAATCCAATGTTGAAAATCTGGCCAATACCCTCCTTGCCCTTGAGGTTGTCGGTGAATTTAGTGATAGGCTCGACGATGTCGACCGTGGTTGCAATGCCGAGAAGGAGGCCTTCTGTGATTCTACCAATTCTGAACAATTGGTCAGCTTAAACGAACTCAATGCTGTAGGAATAATGAACTGTGTTTTTTTCTACTGAGCAATGTCTGGAGAAAAGGTGGGCGAGCCGAACTAGCCATGCCCTACAGGTAGGAAGAAAGCTCACATACCCAGCACCACAATCCACCACTCTTCCCAGCTTCTTCACACTCTTCCCTCCAACTCCAAGCTTAGCTAGGAAGTTTTTTGACCCTTGCAAATCCACCTTCGAGATATAGGGAAACCCTCCTAGCATTCCGTTCACATCAGCATCGATGGATTCCCAGTACGTGAGGGCATTTTTGTGATTGATTTGTGCATCTGCCATTTTTTATTCTGGCTTTTAGGGATTTGAAACGGTCATGGAATTCTCATTGTTTTGAGTTGAATCGTGACTTCATTTTTGAAAGATGAGTGAGAAAAGGAGGTGTGGTTAAAAGGTTCGAGATCGCTCGCTTAAAATGGTACAGTAGCGCGAGGCTGATGAGTGCAAGGCTGAAAGCCTCTTCTGACGGCAAGCTCGATTTGGTGTCCAATTGCCTTGAACAGGGGGTTAAGTGGGTTATTAAAATGAAGCGTGACGGTAGGGACTGCTTTTCTTGTTCAGGTAGAAACCAAAACGAGGTAGAATAAATGTGGCTTAGGATATACATTTCTCATTAAATACTACCTGTTCCTGAAGAACGCCGTCCGTCCGAATACTCAGCCTGGTCCCATGCCAGTTGGTAATACGCAAGTCCAAGTCCGTATCCAGTACTCCATCCAAATAAGTCATTACTCTTCATCACTGCTATCCACAATGAAACCCGCCTGTACTCTCCGCCTGGTCGGTCTCGCCGCAGGAACCACATCTTCATCATCGTCCTCATCATCAATGACCATTGCAGAGGAAGTCTTGATGACTTCTGGTTCTGGAGAGACAGGACTAGGTTCCTTGGAGATCCTACGTCTCTTGGGCTGCGAAGGTCTTGTATGTGGACTTGACAATGGCGTGTCTGTTGTTCCATCTTCAGATTCAACTAGGACGTCATCTCTAGCAGCTGAAGAAGATCCTGCGCTTGCCCTGTCGGCACCATCATCGCTCTGCTCAGGGGAAGCACTCGTTCGGTTCCTTCGAATGTCTGTCGTGACGACATCATCATCTTCATCACTGTCCACGGTAATGGCGCTCGACTGCCTCTTCTTGTTCCCTTTCTCTTTGCCAACCTTTTCGCCGACATAAAGCAGATCCTTCATCTTCTCGATATTATTCCTATGCCGCATCCTCTCTTGCTCGTCACGGAAGAGACGGTTTGTCTTCTCTCGAATCTCCTGTTCCTTGGCAAAGAAAGCCGCATCGGCCTCCTCATCGTCGTCGCTGTCGACGACATACATCTCACTCTTGATCTTCCGATTCTTTTCAAGTTCTCTCTGCCTCCGTGCTTCGGCACGTGCTTTGAGCTGTTCCTCGGTCAAGCTCCTATCCTCAGCATCCTCAGCATCCTCTGTGCCTTCCTTCCTTCTGAGTCTACGCTTCTTCTTGAGTTCTTTTAGAGCGTCTGATTTTCTTGCAGTTGGTCCACCAGGTTCAAAAAGTAATTCCTCCTCTTCGTCATCATCGTCAATTCCGTCATCGTCATCAAACACCGCCCGCTTGCGAGCGGCAGTGCTTGCCGACTTGCGCTTAATGAAGTCTCCAGCTTCTTGCCCGTCATCGAAGACGGGAGGGCTGAACTCAAACTTCTTGACTAGATCAAGTGCTTCTTTCAGCTGATCACCTGACAGGCTTGATGGAATGATCCAAGAACATTCTGGATCATCCTCATCGCCAGCACGTCTGAATCCAACCAGGGTCATGAGAAGTCGCAAGTGTCCATTCTTGAACATAGCAATCTTCCGAGCGCTATTGTCGGGCTTCACCACTGTACAAAATCAGCTCGGTCTTTTATATTGGGAAGGGGTTCACTTACAGATCGAAGGGGGCTTGGGCTGTTCGACTTCAATGACAGACGTGCTCTCAGCTTCCGTAGCTGGATCCTGCTCCACGGAAGGCATAGCTGTATCCAATCCCTCCCAGCTCCTGCGCTCAACCTCGGCTTCCACAAGTTGCGACTTAGTCCATTGAATATGTTCTCCTTCGTTCCGATCCAGCATCGCACCAACGACGATTCCAATTTGATCTTCCCATTCTCGTCCTCCTTTGACCTCGAGTTCAGCTGCAGCTCTTGGCTTTGAAGCCACAGTCTGCTTCTCATATCCGTATTCGAGATAGTGAGCCGTGCTATTGATTTTGGAGAACAGCATCTCTACAACCAACTCAGGGCGTTCCTGAAGCTTCTTTGTGCACTTCCGTATGAGTTGCTTGACCAATTCATCCCATTCCTTGAAAGAGCTTGACTGCGAGTCTAGACCTTCTGGGCCTTTAATCATCTTATGCAGAAGAGCAATGATATCAACTCTGAAGAGCATGACACTCATCTCCTGTTTGAAAGCAACCCGATAGAAGAATCGATGGCATCGTTTTAACTGTGCTGCTTTGAGATCGTTGTAGTATGCTGTGAATGTGACGAATGTGTCGATGCATCCTTGGGTCACGAATCTCGAACTGAAGCGTTTGAAGTCGAATTTTCGTTCGCCCGAAACTCGCTCTGCTCTTGCTTCATCTTCCCCATCCGACTCATCTACAATATCATCATCCGCTCCATCTTCACCTGCTGCTCGGGCAGCTTTCTTCTTGCGCCTTATCCTCCTCCGTGATCTCACTTGCATGTCCGTGTTTTGTTTGGAGTACTGTTCTAAGATTCGAAGGTAATTGTGTGCAAGCTCCGTACAAGAATCAAGATAGCCAAACCCTTGGTCTTTGTAGGTCCTGGTAATATTTGCAACTCTGTCGTGTGTCGTCTCCTCATAAAATATGCGATTGAGAATATTTTCGGCAATTTCTTGATCCTCCTCAAGAGGTGATTCGGACATTTCTTGAACAGTGAGAAGAATCTGAGTGAAGCACTTCATTGTTGCACTCAAATCTGCCCATGCCTTATTCTCGTATGTGAAATCCATGGTTCTGTTGAGAGTGACAAACATTTCCTGATTCAGTACAGTCGCCACGAGCGAGTAGTTATCCAAATCTTCTGGCGCAGAAGGCTTTTTCGAGGCTTTCTTGTTTCGTCGCCGAACGCGTTCCGCCTCTAAAAACCAGGACACGAGGAAGAAGAATTGTCTCGGGTGATATTCCATAATGCGCTCTGCCTCTCGGTCGATAGCTTTACGAATGTTATTGAAAAGTGGATTGAAGCCCGAGTCCAAGAAGTCTTCTACGAATGATCGGAGATGTTTGTTCGCTTGTGCATTCAGCATGACTGGTGTGTCAAAGTCCAGCGGGCCATTTTCGCCTTTTGGTGCTCTCCTCGGCGGCTTGAACTTCTTCGTGCTGTCCATCTTGGCGAGAGTTCGTGTACCGTCTAGCAGAGCGGCCTGTCCGGAGATTGTAGTCATTTTTGCGTCCTCCCTCTGCATCCATACCATGGTACCAAATCGATTATGCCTTGTGGGAGCATTTGTCTGGTATCCTCTCAACATAGCAGCTTCTTTTTTCCTCAGCATCGCTAATTCGTTCATATTGCTGTTGTCGGCTTTCCGTTCGTCCATGAACAATTTCTCGATGTCCACACCCTTGATTAAATGGAAAAGAATATCTAAAACCACCACATCTTGGGTATTGAAGTCTTCTCCCATCGTAGACGAGACTGTCAGTAGCAAGTGAAATATATCTTGGTAGTCGAATGCGGCGATAGTCGCTGATCTCGATATCTCAGCCTCGTCACCATCATATTGCACATTCGGAGGCGGTGCAATCTGCGCAATGTTCCGTAGAAAGTACAACAGTAATTTGATGATTCCTTCATCCCTAGTACTCCGGTCTCCCATATTCTCCGCCATCGATGGCAATGCAGATCTCACTGCCGTATGTAGGATTCTCGCCCCATCGAAGTTGATAATCGAACGTTTGTATCCCAGCTGTGCGATTTGCAGGTACGGAATGTGCCGATGGTGGTTGACAGTCATCTCCTGAGTACTCCTCTCTAAAGGCCATGTCAACGGTACCAGTAGTTCCAGACAGGCCAGGGCAATCTTAGACTTCAGTCTATCCTCCGTAGCGTTTTCTTGCCATGCGGCAAGAATCTGAAGAAGATCTCCTCCAACAAGATTCGACTCCGCCAGACATCGTGCAACGTCCAATCGATTCGCTTTTTCGTCGTAGAGTTTCAACCATTTCTTCAAGTCGCGCAGACAGGCCAGCGCATCGTCTCCAAGAACGTATCGACCATCTTCGTCCGCACCACTTCCTCCTAACTAGACGCGTCTGTCAGTCTCGAGCGTCAACACAGCAAGAAAGAATATTCCACTTACAGCCGTAACAAGACTCGAAACATATGCCCTGACCTCAGGGTCGACAACATCTCGATTTCCATCAGCCAATTCCATAATGCGTCGATAGTTGCTGGAATTGTCCAAAACTGTGTAAATACTCGAAAAACGGCTTTACGCGTATCTGAAGTTGCAGCGACGCGCACCCCTGCACGCCCCTAATGTCTTAGATTCTCTAGCGCTCCCGCTCTTGAGCCGAAGCTAAGCTTCACCTCGGTAAGATTATATGGGGAATATCAACATCCATCCTTCCCTCTTACAGCCTTTCCTCCTTGACACTTTCTCCGTCCCAACGCTCAATCGACAAAATGATTACGCCTATACTGAGAAAGAGCCTGACACAAGGTGCCCGCCACACTAGATGCTTCAGTTCAAGCCCAATGCTTGCGGCGCAGGAAGTTAAGAGGCTTGGTGTTGTTGGCGCCGGGCAGATGGTACATCTATTTCCTGGCTTTAATCCGCCGAAAACAATTGCTAATACCTATGAAGGGCTTGGGAATAGCACTTGTAGCTGCGCAGAAGGCTGGAGTACCTGTAACTCTAGTAGACACCAACCAGGCGTCAATAGACAAAGGTTTTGCCTTCGCCGGTGCGTTCTCCTCCCCCTACAGTCCTCTAGATAACCCCACTAAGTCATCCCTTTTAGACAAATTGCTCGCCAAAGATGTCTCTAAGCAACGAATCACCCAATCCGAGTCCGATACCATCCGTGAGCTGCTTAAACCTTCCACAACCATGGATTCCCTCTCCGAAGTAGACTTCGTCATCGAAGCCGTTCCTGAGATCCCCTCTCTGAAATTCAGCATTTTCTCCTCCCTAGCGCAAATATGTCCACCACACGCGATCCTTGCTACAAACACCTCTTCGATATCTATAACGAAGATTGCCGCTTCGACGACCAAGGATCCAACAGATACAAGTGCTAGCTCGAGGGTTATATCCACACATTTCATGAACCCGGTGCCGATTCAGAAAGGTGTAGAGATTATTACAGGCTTGCAAACAAGCCAATCGACGATCGATACAGCGATTGCGTTTTGCAAAGCAATGGGAAAGATCCCATCTCAATCTGCGGATTCGCCTGGATTCCTTGCGAATCGCATCCTGATGCCGTATATCAATGAGGCTATCATCTGCTTGGAAACCGGTGTTGGGAAGCGAGATGACATCGATGCTATCATGAAGAATGGAACAAATGTCCCTATGGGTCCATTGCAGCTGGCAGATTTTATTGGTATCGACACGTGTTTAGCGATCATGAAGGTACTGCATGAGGAGACAGGAGACTCAAAATATAGGCCTAGTGTACTGTTAGGCAAGATGGTTGACGCTGGCTGGTTGGGCAAGAAGAGTGGTAAAGGGTAAGTTGCTCTGTTCTTTACCGATGTGACAATGTCGCTGACCTCATCCAGATTCTACGACTATTAGATCATTCAGCAAGAAGTCGAAAAGACAAATGTAGCAAGGGAAAAAGTTATTATGATGGCCCCAGTACCCAGCTAGCTACACCGTAGATCCCTACTCATTCCTTCTACTGTGCCATGAATGACCATGAGACCCCATCTAAGAAGTCAAACAAGCCCTTTCCATTCCAACCCGATGTTAACACTTCCACCACTAAACCTTCGCGCCTTCTCACTGTTCCTCACGATTTCCTCTCCTTGGACTTCACATCATCTCGATCACCTAACAATTCAGATGAGATCACCACCCAGTCTCTGACTTACAGCGAAAATCAACCAGTCAATCAATCAACAGAATCAATCACCTTAGAAAATATGTAAAAAGAAAAAGAAGATTGGAAGACCAGGGTATTGGAACTCATCAGAACCAGAAAGACAAATTTCGTAGCACAAGAAAGACTAAAACTATCTACAGCTGTAAAAGTAAAGGTTCAGAACCAAAAAAACGAAGACACCACCAGAAGGAGAAGAAAACAGTACTCGGGCCAGTCAAAAAGCGATAGAGGCCAGCCCTATACCGAAATTCGACGCATGAGTGTGTTGTGGTGTCTTGTACAAGGAAATAAAGTGAATCAAAAAATATACACAAAAATAGAGCCCGGATTTCCATCCACAGTCGAGCTAGCCCAGTTCATGACATGGGAATAGCTCGAGATTTTCTCATTCGCAAGCAAGGAGTGGGTTCGTCCAACGGAGGTTGAGAGCTGACCTGCTTGCGAATAGGCTTATTACAACCAACTGCATCAATCAGGAGAAGAAGAAGAGTGAAGAGTGAAGAGTGACGAAGGTGTCGTTGTCGAGAATTTTTGTTGAAAGGAAAGGTTCAAAGAGCGTTTAGTTACTCCTAGTTGCCGTCTCTTTTCTTTTCCACCCGGTATCCATCTTGATCTGAGAGGGACAGGCTTCCCAGAAGTTACTCAAATACAAGCCGGCATTGTGGTCAGGTGTGGGACGAAGTCGAAGTAGAGGCGACAGGCGAGGGGAATACTAAATCGCTGGTATCGGGAAAAGTACTACGCTCCTCAACGACAAAGATGTCGGCGATGGAGCGGTGAAGGGTACGGCTTGTGCAGAGTATCAATTGATTGATTGATTTTGTAGGTGTAGCTTGGTAGGCAGGAAGGTAGGCAGACAGGTAAATGTCCAACTTGACGCTCGGAACGCCGAAGTGTGATGCTTTCGTAACCAAAAGAAAATATTTGTCGTTGTTCGGATATAGTGCGAAACAAAACTCCACCCAGGGAATGTTAAACAAAAACTTTGCATGCAGTAAAGTAGAGCTGATTGAAACGATTTGGAATAAGCATCGTCAAGTGTCGTCGTCGATGGTTGATTGTTCTGCACTGGTGGAATGCATGAAACCTAGGAACTCGCTTGCGGTCTTGGCAATTTTAGCTTTCATTCCACCACGTTCTGGGTGTCACCGCGTCTGTTCGTCTCTTCTATGGACTCTCGAAAGTCGCCGGGATCTCAAAGCTTCTCTTGCGCTTTTGCCCAGTGTCATATTCTAACGGTCTCAAATACGACGCTTCTTCGTTGTTTCTGACTTGTTGTTGCTGCTGGTCATCGACATGGCTCTGTCCTTGGCTGTTGTGGTCCCCATTGCTGTGCCCCTGGCTGAAATCTCTATCGCTCTGTTGGGTACGAACAGGACTGAGATTCGAATTGTACGCATTTGAAAAGTCTTGCGGTGGAGCCATTGGAGCAGAGAGCTGCGGGATGTTGTAGTCCCGGTTTGCATGTGTTCCATCCACGGGAGTTCGTGGCAGAGAGAAATCTACAGGCGCGGTTAAAGGCGCGCTTGCATAACCGCCAGTAAAAGCATGAGCGAAAGAGCTGCTGCGAGGAGTGATGCCCTGTGGTGAGTGGCTCTGGTTTGGAATGATACGGTATTGGTTTCTGAGGTCCAATCCGGGTGGGAAAGCTGCCGACGACGCACGAAGACGCGACATCGAAGAGGAAGCACCGCCGTGCGAGGGAGGGTATGTCATGTGAGTTGGTGAGCTTTGGATGTTCGAGCCTGTGAGCAAGAGTAAGTTAGCACGTGAGATCTTCGTCAGGGGCTGAAACCCGTTTTAGATCTGGTTTTGGGACGAACCTGAGTATGAGTTTCCATCGTACTGGTGCGCATTAACGGCGCTACTGCTCATTTGCTCTGGTTGATACACGGACTGCTGGCGACCGCTTAATTGAGGACTAGGCTGCCCCGTTTGGTAACTATTGTAGTCTAGTGTTTCTCCTTTCCACGACATACTTGATCTCAAGGGAGACTGAATAGTATCAGATCTTGCTCTTGACATCGTTTCGCGCAGCTGCAGAGGTTGAAGGGGTCGAACATGCTGTCTCGAGTGAGAAAGCGCTTGATAGCTATTCTGGCGATCAAACGGATTTGAACTTCGAGGGCCGGAGCTCATCGGACTCGAGAGGTGGCTCGAGTAGTACCTGTCCTGAGAATTCATTGATAAAGGAGACAGGATGTCCGGAGAACCCATCGATCCTCCAGAAAATCCAACATGGCCGAAAGCTGGGCTCAGACCAGTAGGTGACATGTGGTCCTCGTTGTCGCTCCTTCTCATTGTATCCACCATGAGTGGTCGCATCATATGGTCGGCGTATCCTGGGACGAAGTCCACAGGCGATTGCATCGGGGTCCCAACACCATGGACAGCGCCGTAGGGTGAGTGCAGAGCTTGCACATTGTCAAAATCATCTGGGACAGCACGCATCTTCATCATGCGCTCCCGGTCGTCCGCTGTTAGTCGCTTTATTTTTGCGCGTCTGCTCTTCATCAGTTTCTGATCCAAAACAACATTGATGCAATACCTACCGATTTTGGAACCAAACTTGGACCTGGCGAGGGCTTAAACCAGGAATCTCCCGAGAGAGTCTTTCTCGGTGAGCCGCGTCAGGATGCGCCTGCTTCGCAAACTCACTCATCAAAAACCGAGTTTGTTGATGTGTAAGTCTGATAGTTGGGTAAGGTTATGTTCCAAACGGGGACATAGGTGTCGACTTACCTAAATCTTTTCATTTTTCTACGCTCCGCTCGACGCTCAGCAGCTGTCTGTGGCGGAGCTCCCTCCTCCACCTCTGCATCAATCATATCATCATCATCATCAAGCTCGTCATCCTCGTCTTTAATATCCCCCTCGGCGCCTCCGCTTTCATTGTTGGGTAGTGTGCTTTGTTGTACTGGTGCGCTTGAGGCAGAGCTCAGTGGGTTCGATCCAAGAGATCCCAGGGACAATGCTGTGGATTCCGTGGAAACCAGGGATTCATCGCGCGTATGGTTATTTGCTGGACGATTGCAGTCCCCTGGTGCCGAATCTGGCCGTTCTATGATTGGTAAAGTCTGCTGGGCTTCCTGTCTTAATGGTCCAAGGCTGTGTCTGTGCTCCAATGCCGGCCTTTCGCTTCCCGAATGTTGTTTTTGGCCATTATCTGTTGCGTTCGATGAGCTCGTTTGGTTATATGATGGCTGTATTAAACCACTGTCACCGGGAAGAGGGAACGTTGAGTACTGTTGTCGCCAGTCTGGCTGCGCCGGCAATGGATCAAAGTTCGACATGCGGGAAGACGCGACGTTTTGATATAAGGCCTCGAGCTTGCTGGAAGACCAAGTGTTCCGTCCTGAATCGAATGGCCGTGTGACAAGCATTGAGAGAAGAACTGGTGGCGTGTGTTGATACAACAAGTCGTGGACTATGATGACCTAGTCGTGTAGATACTGAAAGCTCAGATCTCTGGTCGAGGCTGAAAGGAGGCCAGCGAGTTTGTGATATCTCGAGCCTTGGAATAAACGAAAGTGAGGGCTGCTGAGAACAATGGCTGATCACGGACCAGAGGAGAACATATGGCCTATCGAAGGCAGGTTTGGTTGTGTAGTCGAGGCCTGCCTAGAAAGAATGAAAGAAGGGTGGTGGTGAAGCTCTTCTCAAGTTTTGGGAAAGTGTAGAAGAAATGTAAAAGCAGATCGTCCCAACGCAGTAATTTGATTTCGGTCCCTAAGTAGATAAGGCTGTCCAGATCCCTCCACGGCGTGATCTAAGGTGGATCAGACTGCCAGACTTTCGACTCTGGGCGTGCTTCAGAACGCGTATTGTAGCCGAAAAGGGTCGATAGCTTGGGGGTGAGAGTTCACAGACCACACGGTCTATATTTGAGATGAAGCGGCGGGGCAAGTGCTGTTCAAGGATGAGTTGGGTTCTTAAACAGTTGTGGCGAGTGTCCTGCGTCGTCCAAATGAAGGGCAAATTGCTTGCTGGCTTTATGACGTGCGGCGGAGTCCGTTTTGGGATTTCTGAAGATCCTGTACAGAGGGGACAGGATCCGCTGCCAGCTTGATTTTCCACGTTCGATCGACGAGCGTCGGATGATATAAAGCAAGATTGAAGGGAGTTGATCTGATGCCTGGCTTATGATCACCATTAAAACAAGGGCACTGGACCCGAGAAGCGCCCTGTAGCCCTCGACCAGATTCTTTGGACTAGCAAGCCAGCCCCTGCTTATGCAGACCAGGAGAGAAGCGTACCGCTGCTGAGAAATATCAGCAGTCTCTAGACCCTCTCGTACAATACCAAGTCAGGCGCGGTTCCACACCGGAGAATTTCTGGTGCTGAGGAAGATGAGTACAGGGCTTGCACGGTGACCCCTGGCAGTTGTGTGAGAGTTCGCAGCTCAAACTTTAGACGACAGGGCAAATCATTACGCACGTCCAGAAACAGTTGTATTGGGGTCGTTTGGCGGGGAAGCCCAAGTGAGCAACAGTAGCAGCATGTCGCGCATGAAAAGCTGCCTGGCTATCAAGAAACTCAGGACTTAGCCACAAAAGAGAGAATGATATCCAGACAAGAAGAGAGAGGGGCTACCCGGCTCAATGACTAGTGCGGGTGTGGCAGCCCTTGTTACTGGTGTGGGGAACAGCAAATGGCAGAGGAGGCAGCTCGAAGACAAGCAGCCACACGAAGAGGATTGTATCGAGGATGTTGCAGGGCAAGATGAGGTGTGACGGGGGGAGGCCTGGTGCCGGCTCTATCGTCCGATGCTGGAGGGAGAAAGCCGCCAGAATGGACCAACAGCATCTTGCGAGCAAAGTAGGTTCAGGGGAGGGGACGGCTTGTTCGCGAGGTGCATCGATCTCGATTACCCTGGTACTGCAGTGCAGTTGGTACAGTACTAGATGGTACATCGAACAGCTAATCGACATTAGGAGGTGGAGGTACAGTAGCTTACCAGAGACTGCACTGATGAAGGACGTCGACGTGTTACAAAACACGCAGGCAGGCAGTCGAAGCGAAGGGATATGATGGAGCCTGGAGGCAGGACAGCCTGGGTCTAGCTCTCGGCTTCCGGGCGCCAGCCATTATTATTATTGGACTCCAGAGACTGCGAGGCTGTTCTTCTGCGGGCCAACGCAGAGCCGTTGTCACAACGAGGGTGAGGGTCTCGAGAGGATGGAGGTCAGGTAGGGATACCGGTGCCAAGCGAGTACTAGGTGAAGGACAGCGGCAGAGCAGCGGGCAGGGACAGGGACCAGGATAGGGAACAGGCAAAGGGCAGGGAGCTTACTACCCAGAACGTCTTCGAGAACGATTCGATTCATATCGACTCGAGAACGTGACATCCCTACCCGAATTACCTTTACAGCACAGCGCAGTACTGCCATCTCATCGTCGGGATCACTTTGTCGGGAATGATGGTGGGCTGGGAAGGCCGACTCTCAGACAGCCCAGCCCAGCTCTCAGAATGGCATGTCCTGGATTCAACATGCGAATCCGGGACGGAGCCGAAAAAGCCCTAAGCTTCTCCAGTATCTCGGTCGAGTCAAGGCAAGCCAGCGGAAATGCTGCCGGTAACGAAGTCTGCTCATACATGTTCCTTTCGGAGCAGAAATAGGAACAGGGCAGGTAGGGAAAAAGGCCTCGGTTACACCACGTCGTTACTCGCTCGCTGGCTTGCTTGCTGCCAACAAGAGAATCCTTAATCCTGCCATGCTGGGGATAAACTGTCTGGAGTAATGCACAATGCACTGGGTGCCGTGCATATGTTCGGAGCGGTGCGGTGCGGTAAAGGATAGAGTTCGATAGGGTAGTTAAGCAGGCAGATCAGAGCCATGCGAGCCAGAGGACCCGACCTACGGCCTTCAGGTTGAAATCAGCAGCAAGCTATTCTGTCGAAGGTTCCAAGAGCCTTTCTGTCACCAGTACAGTAGTGACCAGGCTGGATGGATATAACTTCGTAATGGAGATGTGTGGTCAGGGTGGGGGTGCCTGCATCGATATCTGGCTGGACTGGGGTTTTTGGGACACTAGCTCTCGCAACATCGGCCGTAGAAGGACTAGAAAGAAGCCATAGAAGGCTTGGGCATAGGGTTGGGCTTGCAGCCGCTGGTCTGTTCTCCCCAGCCAGTTCGCCAGCAACTCATTTCTGCCGCAGAGGAGAGGAGATGAAGTGACGTGCGGTGGGCGGTGTCTCTCCTCTCCGCCCTTGTTTTTCCATGTTTTTCCGGCCAGAGGAGTCGACGACAATTCTTGTCTGGTTCTGATGGGGCCGAATTACTGGCGACGTCGACGGCTCAGGCTCAGGCACAGGCTCAGGCTCAGTTTCAGGACAACTGGGATGGCATGGACGGGAGGCGAGACTGCTCCCTACCTATAGGTACCAACAGTACAGGTATAATAAGGCAAGGTACTGTACCTAGGTACCTAGGTAAATTTACCTAGGCGAGCTAGGTCATACAGCCCCTCCATGGCTACTTACCTAGGTACGGTACGGAGGTAAGTTAGGCTGGGCGTGAGCTACAGTAGAAGCTGTTTGGGTGGGCGGGGCCGTAAGCGACGCTGAGACGAGACGGCAGCGCAGCGCAGCCCAGCGCAGTGCATAGAACGGCCAGAGCCAGAGCCAGAGCCAGAGCCAGAGCCAGAGCCAGTCTGGTGGTGCTACAAGCTAAAAGCATGCTGCCTAGCATGGCCGTAACTTTACCTCTTTACCTCGCTACAGTATTAAATTTACTATTTACCTTAACTATTTGACCAGACCGTGCCTTGGACTCCTTGTCCCTGTCTGGATTCTACCTACTACTGTAGAGTAGAATAATCTCCCATCTCTCACTCCGTAAGGTCTGCGTTTGGCTCGTCCATGTCCATGTCCATGTCCATGTCCATGCTCTTAGCAGCCTCACAAAATAGCTGCTGCCCTACCGGCGGATCTCGCACCGAGGACCGAAATCTCTCGGACATCAAATGCAGTATCGGTATCAGTATCATCACTGGATGACTTCTACAGTTCTACTTGTCTTGTTCTGTTCCGTGCTGCTCCGTGCTGCTGCACTGCACTGCACTGCACTCTTATCTGTACGTCGCCAGTGCAGAGCTGTTCCGGTCTCTGCGAGTATCTCGTATCGTGCCTGGAGGTGCCTGAAAACACCGCCAGCCTCTACTCATGTGCGTCACGGAAACCTTCTTTTCACGGAGGTACGGTCCATGGACTGATCACGGATCACTACTGATCAGGTTCGCAGATCTGCACAGAGTCCGCAACGCACGCCCTCACGCACGCACGCACGCACGCACGAGTACCGAGGCGCCGTACCCGTTCGTCGCTAGTTCAAACGCCTAGCCACAGGGTCCTGCTGGTCTGGCACAGTGAGACAGTAGTAGTGCACTGGAGATAGACTTCAGATGAGATCGTCTGTGCGGTCGGTGAGCATCATGATTTCCAGCCCATCTCCCATGAGTCCCATCCCTCCCGCGCCCGCCCCTCCTCTCATCTCATCACTACTGTACTCCGTAGGTAAATTACTACTGTACTTCACCATAATCCCGAACTTTAGATGTCGGCCAGAGACCTCCCTGTCGCCCCGACCGTGGAAGCTTGCTTTGCCTACCTTATGTTTGCAAATATTGAACTGCACCGCACCAGACCAAAGTTTAGGGCAACACAGCGAATCCCAGCTGGCCGGTCCGTCGCCCCGGGGCCCCGCTCCTACTGCGGTGCAAGGTAACCTCAACCTCTCCACGACATTCCCTTGTAATCCTATCTACTCTCTTATGTAGAGTGACTCGACACATCTACGAGCAAGCTGGCCCTCGGTGACATCTGGCATCGATAGAGTTACATCCGGAACGCCTACTGTACGCAATTCCTCTGGCTGGCTGGCTGGCCGACTTACGATGAACGGAGATCATCTGGTCCGTTTTCTTGTTCTTCCCCCGCTAAAGGTTCCCGATTCAACGCACCTGAAGCATGAAACCCTGAGCCTGGTCGGTCAAGATCAAATTTGCAGGGCTGATTCTGGACACTCCAAGAGGATCTGATGCCAGGATCTTGGCGACGGACGGAAGAGAGTAGTGGAGTGGCAGCACGATGAGACCGACCGACCGACCGACCGACCGCCCGAAAAGTTGCCTTTGGCAGCGCAATCTTAGAGCCTCCGATCTCATCTCTTCAGCGTATCAGAAAGTACTCACTCATCCGTCACGAAAATCTGCTCTCTTGCTTTGGCAATAATTAATTACCTTTCCCTGGACACGTTAACCGTCCGGTGTCGTAGTCGCATAGGGCTGAGACGGATCAGAGACACGAATTGTTCCACTGCTCAAAATGGGCGGGCACAAATGCATAAGAAAGAGCATAAACGTTGGCCTACTAAACTAGGAACCGAAAGTTTGTAGTGAGACTGCTATATTCCTCGAATCACCTGTGAGGAGTTCTTGGCATGCTCGAAATAGGATGCGGAGGCCATCTTTTTGGAGTCGGAAGGATGTGGGAATCCATTTTCGGAGTTTCTTGGAACATTGGGAGCACAACATATCTTTATGATTCGCTGAGGAAGCGAAATTCTATTCTCGAGGGGGAAGGCTCCGGGTTGGAGACAGCTTCCCGTGCAGATTCATACATAACAATAAAATGCATGTGGCAGATGCTGGATATGGCTCGAGCGACTAAGTACTCTCGTACTGTTGTCACCGCATACAGAGATTTGGGGTGATGCAGGAACACAGGTACGGAAAATTCTTGAAACGGCACGGGTGCTGCAATTCTCCCGTGAGTCGGATGGTTGGATCGGAGTGCAGTGGGGGCGGCCTGTTGTGTCTTCCAACTGGTGCACCTGCAGCAAAAGTCGGAGCAGTGGGACTGTGGGGGACTCATCCTGAGGCTATTTGCCGGCGGTGTCCGAAGCGCTGCTGGCAGCTGGGATGTGAAGCACACATCGCATCGGTCCCCTCGAGACTGCGACATCACTTCATCACCCACGGTAACCTTCCTGTCGCCCTTCTCATGTCGCAGCTAGCTCTTACCGCACACCATCTTGGATCTTTTCTTTCGCTTTCTCAAACGCTTCCGGCTCGCAACCAAATAACAGCGCCCAAGCTTCGGCCAGCTGAAATGCAGTCTTTGTTTGGGAGCACCGCTGCATGCATTTCACTCCCCCATCACGCTCTAGCCGCAGAAGAACTGGTTGGTAGTTGGGTCGCACACATGCCTGGCATCCATCTCAGCCGCTGGGTGAATCGATCTGTGGGATCTACCGGCATCTTCAACCTCTTCTCAGTGTTCCCGCAGCAGCGAAGGCTTTCTCTAGGTAATGCTACCTCGCTTACCGATGCCGCAGTTGCTTGTCGTGAACAAGCCGGGCAACCGGGTGGTGGATTGGGCGACAACAACGGTGCATGCTGACTGTTAGGTTGTCCCTCCATCCATCGTAACGGTGAGACCTCGTCCACTTATCCTCTTGTGAACGTACCGAGTCGGGAACGGCCGTCTGAGAAGCGGATGCGGCGTCTATCCATCGGGCAAAATAAGCAAAGAAGGCAGGTGAAGACGACAAGGTGGAGAATGATCTCCGCAAGTTTGAGAACATGTTCTTCTTCGAGAAACCGTAACGGCATCTCACCCACCAGCTCTATATCCTCGACCTGCGTGCCTATTACGCAACAGTCAGTCAACTTGTGCACGTCTCCAAGGCAGAGTGTCGTGGCAACCACATGACGATTTGTTGTTTTCAAGAGTCCGAGATTGTAACGCAATTCATCGCATCCCCAACCCCCATCTTTTCTGTTCCTGCTCACCTGTCCACCCCTCTCGCGGCAGCTTCATCAAGCATATCAGCCAAAGTCATCGGCGAGTTCTGCACGATGCAAACGGACCAGTGGAAAGTCAGTCTGGCTTTGCGGAGCGGTTTAGCCGTGACTTAGGAGGCAGATGAGGGGTGCATAGCTCGCTTAAGCCCCTGGTGCTGCTCAATGCTCATCTTATGGAAGACCCAGTCTTAACACAACCCTTGTACACGACCCTGTACCTGGCTGTCAAGCTGCCTCCGTGCGGCGTCGATCAGTGTCCTCGATGAGCGCCACAGCAGCCACGAGGTGACAGTGAGTCTGGCACTACCAGTCGGGTTGGAGGGACAGCCAGCATGATGCTATCAGGACTTCCAAGCCACACGATACCAGTCTGCCAGACCTGCATGCAGATTATCAACAGCTTCCATACCTACATGTTCAATGCTGTATAATTTCTGCACTTCTTTGCAACCTAGAGATCACGATGCATTCCTGCATCGCAGCACATAATCTTCCCCACCCGCTCATCTCGTTTGGACAATGTTGACCCTGATCCTGATTCTGTTAGTTCTTATGCTGTCATATCACGGCGCCTCTCTTCCTGTTTTTTTCTCCTCGGTCATGTGTGTTCAGGAGCTTGGAGCATCCGCTGGACGGAAGTTGGAATTCCGCGATAGCCTCTCGACCTATGAAAATCTTGCGAGTCGGTACTTGGGGGCTTTAATCTATTTTATATTAACTGAGCGGTCTCATAAGATTAAGGTACAATATCACGCAGGTTACGAGCTGCGTACCTGGTGGTCCTGCTAGGTAGACTTTTTCTAGATGCTGTCCGACTGGTAGTTTTTCTCCGGGCAGCATCCATCTAATCTCTCTAGGGCTGCCGGGTTTGGCTACTTGACTGACCGACTGTTTCCAACAACCTGAAACCCAGATTCAACGACAGCTCATCAGATAGAGGCGCTTGCGCAGGTGGGGAATTTCTTGGCATTCGCGCAAAGGCTCGGTCTCGAGTTTGAACAAACGAGAGGTGGGCCGGGACAGACAAAAATGAGGTAAGCCCCATTCTTGATGCTGATTTCAAAAGACTGAACGGTGGACGGATGCGAGGATTAGGGGGCGACGAACACCTGCGCTGCGTACTCCGTAGACGCGCATACCTTCTTCCCACGTGTTTCAAGCGCATCCGATTGGATCTAGGTGGATGACTGGATATAGGTGGACTACTGGATCTAGGTGGACGGCTGGATCTCCTAGATGAGTGGACTTATTGTGGTCCTAGTTTCAGTTCCTCTTCAGTTTCTATGATATTGTGCATCTCCTTACACCATTGCACTTGAAGATCCATTTCCTTTCCCTGGCCCTGGTCACATGCAAAAAACCTCACTTTTCAAGATTCGAAAATGTTGAAATTCTCCATTGTTTAATCAAGTAAGATTAGATGGAACCGTCTAGCTACTTGGCATTTCTGGTTGCTGGAGATTCGTCGGTAATTCGATCTCGGGGATTTGGCAGCTTCAGACCTGCCCTGGACCTGGATTCACATCGAAAACTGACTCCATCGCAGCACCTAGCAAACACGTTTATCCAATTCTTGGTAACTCGGTCCGAGCTCAAAGTTCGTGACCAGCATGTTATCTTGGGACCATCCTCAGTCTCAACCTTCTTCCGTCTGATTTTGATATCCTCAGTCAGCTACACAAACTCCCGGGAGTGCGGAAAAACTGCGATGCGATTTGTGTTCCAAGTACCAATCAAGATGGGACGACTTCGGTGTCGCGCCAAAGCCAAAAATGATTTTCTCATAATGCGAAACAAAAGTTTGTTGGGCATGGGACAATTTTAGATCCTGATAGACCACCTAACACAAGGATTCCATTTCCAGGCGTCTCTCACGAGAATGACAAAAGAGAAACCTTTTCATCCGCATGTATATGAGTCTTCACTTGGCTTCGTATGTTTCTTGACTTAGTCAAGTATGCAGGCATATTTCCGTCGTCGTCGTCAAGTTTCTCCAAATATACATCCTGAACCTTTAGCTGAGAAAGCTCACAACATCTAAGTCTCATCATATCCACAGCACTATTGGTTCTAATTTTCAAAAGTCTCAATATTTCAATATCGAGTTTCCCCCACCTTTCCCACGCTTGTAGTGTGACCTTCCCAGTTAGGGCTTGAAATAAACAAGCTGCGTCAATCAGCCAATCAAGTACGATTTGCCGAGCCTACGATATTAAATCAATCCACCGCCTCAATTTAATCCACAGCATCTAAATCTACTCCCTGGGTCTATCATTCAATCTATTTGTCTATACCATGTCATTTAAGGAACTCCCACCATTGTTAGTTTCTGTATGACCTAGCAGGGCACAACGTCCGATCCGTCGCGCACGTTAAGCCACGCGCACGTCGTCAAGACACACATCGCGCTGGCCAGGGTAGTTGGAAGTAACGGTACATGTCTCTCTATCTCAGCGTCTATTCAGCCGCCGATAATGTACACGTACACACAACACATCTCAGCCATGCCTTGCCTTGCAATGTCGAGGTCATGCCACGCCAACGGTATTGTCGTCAACAATCAAACCCGGACTTAGCGACCAAACGTTGCCTCGAACTCCATCTAAATCCCTCACTACTTCACTTTCTTTGCAATTTGGCAAGTCGGCACTCGGCTCCCTCTCGCACACTCAAAGGTCAACTGCATTCCCTTCCAGACCGTGTCTATGACCTGACATCCGCAGCCTCCTGCCTTTTCCTTGTCCGCATTTGTCACTGCGGTCCTCCTTTCGGTCGCCTCATTATGACCTCTCATCTATCTCCCACAACTCAAGAATCTAGAATTCATATCGACGCTCCCAAAGAAGAACCCATCCTGCGGGACCCCTCGTGGAGAATAAAGTGTCGTACATGAACTCCATCAACAGGATTTCCAGGGAACAGACGGTCCCTACGCTCGCTCTCGGAGAATATCTCATGGCGTCCTATACCCTTCTTGCACACAGAACCACGTTCCCTCTTAAGCTTTTCTCTCATATTGCGTTCGTTATATGTACACCCAGGATATCTTACTTACTGGAGCCAACCTACTCTATTGTGATCTCCGCTAGACCAGGTAGCTAGCCCTATCTACTTTGACTGCCATGTGCTCATCATCTCATTTCCATCTATATTATATGGTGTTTTCATTAACCTTAAAACCCTCGCCGCTGCCGCCAACTTGGCTTAGGGAGCTAGGCGAGCATGCAGCTTGTCTTTCTTTTCCTCTGCCTTCCTTGTATCCGTTTCCTGCCTTGCACGTCGCCAAATCCCCCACTGCCTGATTCTACTCCCCTGTCTCTTTCTCCACGATCTCCCCGCCCACGGCACGTAAGCGGTTCCTGTCCCTGTTTCTTTTCCATCTCGTCTCCTCGTATTTCGCTCATAAACCTGCCTGGGATATTGTGCCAGCTGCTGTGTAACGGACGGGCCAAGAAGGACTTGGCCAGTCAGTCGGTAAATGGAACAGAAGACCCAAGGCCCGTTTAGCCGCGCAGAAAATGGCATAACATAGCATAGGATAGCAAGCCTGGTTCTTATGTTATTTGGATCGATCAGGAACCCGAGGACAGATAGCTTATTCGGAATGCAATGTCGCCATACCTTTATTCATTCTCGAAGATGGTAAGCCTCCATGTTGAATCATCACATCATACATATGAGTCCTCGCTCCATGTATACTCTCGGTGGAATGGAATGGGAAGGTGGCTTGCTTTGCTCCTCTTCTCATCACTGTCATGTGCCCTAGCATATCTTCATTCTTAAGTGATCATCAAGTGAATCGAAGTGAAAAATTACTGCGAAGCCGATGCTTCTAAGGTTATTACCGGCACACTCCGGCCTACACAACTGCCATGCCATGCTACGCACGAAGCACACTAACAGTAGCACAGAACGCAGCAGCATCATGTGGATAGCAGAAAGATCGGACGATCAGCATGGCAACCATTCACTCAACATTTCATAGGCAAGCAAGCAAGGTAGCCGGCCCGCCCTTCCAATAGGAGGCTCGCACTACTCTTCCCCGACAGTCAGCCCATATTAACTCTGGCTGGGGGGTCAACAACTCCAGCTGCAGAACGCGAAGCAGCGACGCATGCGATGGAAATCTAACATCAAAGAAGAGAGGACAACAGCAGCCAAGGTTGATCTGGTGTGGTCCCCCCCTCACCGTCAGCTCGTCCTAAATGCAGGGTGTGGATATGTCGTGTGATACTATACCAGCTGGTGAAACCGTACCAGCCAGCCGTCCGCTTGTCCGCCAGCTACGCTATGAAGTGAAGTGGAGTCATAGAAAGTTGTTTGGACAGTGTTGATTGGTGTCGGTGTGATACTTTTGTTTATAATACCTGCCGAGATATAGCTCGTTACTGCGACATGATACGGGTGATCTGCATATTGACTCTCTCCGAAGATATTCCGCTCGCTGTTAAGATCAAATAATTAGCTCACTACGTCGAACTTTCCTTCTTTCTGTCTTGGTATCATGTCCTATATTGCACATGAAAAGTAGGATATCAATATCAATATCATAGTAACAACGTGAAGGTGGAAGGAATGGACCCAGACCGATCGCACGATCAGAACCATACACAGCGAAGTCAAACGAGAAATATTGAAACCTGGTGAAGATTATCATGCAAGACTGATGGACTTGGAAAGCATGTTAGATTGCAGACCGCAATAGCATCGAAAGTAAGGGATTGAGTTTCGACGGACTCTTGTCTCCACGGCTTAGTGGATGAGAATCGCGGAACCGATGGGGGAATTCTAAGGAAGGGAACTGGAAGGGAATGGTAGGAAATTGGATTGGACGAAGAATCGAAGGGGTGGTAAGGGGAAGGTTTCGAACGATGGATCGAGCGAATGAAGGACCTGAAGGGGAGCGGCCGGAACGGCACACGGGATATCGTTGCACGAGTCTAATGTGAACTCTACGCAGGTACGGATTTATGACTAGCTAAGTGCATTAGAAAATTAATGGAGGCCATGTTTTTCCCATTTACAGTCAAATTCTATATCTGGGAAGCGCAGAGCGGAGAAGTGTCTCCACGGCATTCGGATCCACCCACGACTTACCAAGGTGCGGACTTTACTCGAAGGACGTGATTTGTGGGCGACGAAACTCCGGGGTAGTGAATAGTAATTATAATGAGTAACGAGTGTTGTTTTGAAGACGTGCGCCTTTCGTACACGGTTTTATTCACACATCTATCACCTGCTTCTCGTGTTTGGGGAAGGAGTAAGTGGGACACGAAGGTTGACTGCAAGACTGCATGATACTGGGGACAACTTAGTTTCAGGTATTTCTACGTGAAATTTTGGTGCTGTGATGACAATTATACCTTTATATTTTGTGAATGCTGTTTTGCAAAGATGTCTTAACGTTTTGGTTGACATGTGGCTGGTGAAAACCATTTCTGTGCCGGGAGAAGTCCGAGATGTGTTTAATCCTAATTTCCGTTCAGTTTTCCATCCTAGTCCCAATGAGAAGTGGATAGAGAAGCTGAATTACTGGCTTTTGAGTTGCCAGTGCCCCTCATATATCGGTGCTTGAAAAGTCTGTAGATGGGAGGAGCTTTACGCAAAAGCTGTTTGTATTTGCGAAGTACCAGGCAGAGCAGATTTCAAAGAATTGATTGAATGAAGCAGTTGATTCTTGGAATCTGACCAGCTCCTATTTTCTAAAGCACTTCTTGGTTTTCTGATCGTGAAATATCAAGCTCTTTCAGCTGCTAGCCGTCCAAAGTACATCCGTATTAGTGACCAAAATCAGCCCAGCCTCACCGTTCATTCCTGAGATATGATGGTGCAACTTTTCATAGTAGTGTGGGTATTCTTAGCTCTTGGTAATTGTGTTTTCCATGGCATTCTCATCTCGTTGTCCAGTTCGAGGGCATGTCGCTAAGCGAGAAGGCAGCAAAACAAAGCAAGCAAGTTCCAAACTAGTCTATATGATATCACAAAGGAGGATATACCAGGAATTTCCTAGTACATAATTGGTATTCGAGGATCATATTGCCGTAGATGAAGCATCGCATCGAACTTTTGAGCTTCCATTCTCTCCACGGTTAGAGGTCAATACCAACTAAGCACATTCAAACTTCTCCAAGTTATAGTATGGCGTAACGTGCTGAGAATAAGTGAGCATCAGCGCTCTCTCGGCTTTTCACTATAATCGGCCAGTGTTTAGTTCTCAAGACCCTCCCTTCTGATCCTCTCTTTCTTCCTCTACGGCTAAGCAGCTAGGTTCTACGAACAAATCACGTTGATGTTGTTCTGGTGTACAACACCCGGACAGATGCATTTATCGAAAAGGTTACATCATCCAAGATCGCCAAACAACGCGACCGAAGCAAGAGCTAAGAAGGGGTTGCCGGCTTATGATCGCACCAGATTGTGTTTCATCTTGCTTGACGATGCCTCGGCGGTTATTTCTAGCTGACACATTGTGGTGGATGGGCACGCGTTCGCATACCAGAGCCATTTGGTGCTGGCGTACAAACTGACCTAGGCCTATTTTACAAAATTCGAGGTGGGCATGTGGTTGGGTTGTACTTCGCATTGCTTTGCGTCACAGTCTTTGGTTGCGTCTAGGAGTGAGTGCTTTCCCCGTGCTCCGTTCTCGAACAACTCCACGTGTATTGTGGACTACAGGTTCTCATTTCGATACACAACAGGCCCAAAGCTGAAGAAATGGTGCACGGAGTCTCTCCTTCCACAACACATTGATGAGTAGGCCTATTGGTAATGGTATCATTTTTCTATTGCTATACCAACTATTCTAAGCCATTGCCTTCTTCCCAAGAATCAAATTGGTGGTGTACACGCCGTCCGAGCCTTCGACACCACATCCCAATACCCCGAATTCCAATGACCATGGAACAAATGCATACAACCAATCCATCCCAAGAAGACAACACCAGGGTAGATATACCATTCCAATCCAATGCTCACATACCACGCTACGACCCGAATGCAAACTCCCTCCTAATCCCTACCAAATCCTCACCTCAGACAATCATTCTGCCTTAATTGTACCCATTCGTCTTCCCGCTTCCGTTTGTACTTGCTCTATTTGGACTCCTTCCATTAGAAAGATCCGAGAGAGCGGTATGTTGCTCCTCCTGCTCCGGGCCACCAAGTAGGCCGTCCATAAAGCTGATATAATCATACTGGGGCATTCCCCTATCTTCTTGAAGATCAGGACCTTTATGTGGCGGTACAATCTGCGTGAGTTTCTCGATCACATCGTCTGGCACAAGACTATGTCTTAGATCCATTTCGGTCACATAAGGTTTGCCATCTGCGACTTCACGGAAACTCTGGAAGACTTGCTCAGCAGTGTTTTGGTCCTCGGTTACGTCGACCATGAAGCGGATGAATTGCTCAAATGTTACGTAGTCTCGGCCATTAGACGTCTCGAGGAAGTAGTCGTGCATTTCGTCTTCGCTGAAAACGAGACCAAGGGAAGCGAGAGCTGCGCTGAACTCGAGTTCTTGCAGACTATTGGTAACGTCTCTATCGAAGTGTCGGAATACGCTTTCGAATTCTTCGAGTTGAATGGGGGTTAGATTAGTCATATTTCGGGCAACGACTTGGTTGTCGAGGAAAGCAAGTTTCTTGGAGACGGAATTCTTGACTAGGCTAAGCTCGTAGCATAATTCATCGTAGGTGTATGTTGTAAAGTCGTTTTCTTCAATGTTGGCCTCTTCGCATTTACGGTCCACCTCTTCGATTTTCTCAAGGTATTGATTCATGGGTGATAGGTTCTCGTTCAATCGTCGGACATGCGTTAGCTGATCTTCGACATCGCCCTCCAGTCCTGATATAGCTAACTGCATCGTGTTCAAGGCCAGGGCGAAATCGTTGGCTTTGTCTGCGAAGGATTTCCGCAGTGCGTTCTTGATGCTAGAGACTGATTAGCTTAGGTTTTTCACAGGACGATATAAAACACTTACTCTCTGATGGTCTCGTTGATCAACTGTCCCCTTGCCATTTCTGATCTCATCAAGCTCGCCCACTCGTCGTCCAAGACACTCAGTCTTAACTCTGCTGGTGGATCGTACGGCCGCAGCCGATACGTGCTCATTTTTGTTTTGATATTGCCCAGCAGGGCAGCCAGATCACTCTTTTCCGCCACCCATTCCCTCTTCTTCCCCCTCTTGTATGCACTAAACTCCGTTGACTGCTTCTTCGCATCAACATATGTGCCCTCAAATTTAGCTCCGTCCCATCTCAATCCCTGTTCGTGGATCTGCTTCAGCAATTCTCTCATCCTCCTCTCGTAGTTACTTTGCATCTCCCAAGCACCCTGCATATTGTTGACGAACTTCTCAACTCGTCGCCCAGCATTCTCGACCTTCTCCATCTGTGAAAAGGCGTGGAACCAGTATGCTATGTATGTCATCAAACTGCGTTCATCCGGTTTGGCAACATCACAGACATCTTCCACATCCAGCAGGTCAGGGATTCCAATTTCAGTCTTCGCAATATCAAATGCTAATTGCATGTTCCCGCGGTGGTCGTTCTTGTCTAACGCATCGTAGTCGATCAGGTCCGGTCTGTGGATATCCAGAAGAGCACAAAACGCGAGGCCATCATTCCAACTGTCCGTGAAATTCCGCACGTCGACTTCGTCATAACAGGCAGTCTTTCTTTGACACCAAAGCAGCAGACCTTCTTTTGCAGTCATACCCTCCTCATTGATGTCCGAGATCGTGAAGCGTAGAATTAGGGTCCAGATTAGACCCAGTATGATCTTTCGATTCCCATCAACAACATCCTCAGCACCAATGTTTGTCATTTGTATGCCACGAGATTTGATGAAGTCGAGTGATAGATTCGCATTTTCAAATCGTTGCACGCGGAGTTTGGGCTTCGCGGCATATCGACCCAGGGATTCGTTTGAAAGGCATTCGAGCAGGTGTATTAGAATAACCTATGATGGGTGGATTAGCAGATGTCCCTGCTGCAAAACGTTTGGGCATTTTTACTCCATCGCTAAGATCTTTCACCAGATCTACTACTGCCAATTCTCTTGGTTTGATTTTGGTATTCAACCTGTATACTAGTCAACAAACGATCCCGCACGCATCTTCCATTCTAGACATACCATTTCGTAAATGTCTTTTGCTGAACAGTAACCCATTGTTGCTGCTCCGCAAATGCCATCTTCACAAGTCCCTGTTCATGCGGCGGTTCAATGGCCTTCAATCCGTGATCTGCCGGTAAACTGGAAATCTGTCTGAATCCCCGCCCTTTCTTTCGGCCCAATAAATCGCTGTCTGTTCCACCGATTGTAGCACTGCGTTGAAGGCGAGTAGTGAATTGTTTGGAGCGGTTGGCTTCTTTTTGCTGGGACGAACGATCGCGACGTGCCTTGATGCTTGGTGGCGGTGATGGTGGAAATGCAGGAGTGACGATGCTCTTGTTTACTTGTTCGGGGGTTGCGGGCGGCTCCGCACTGCTGGTCGGGCAACCAGCCTGCCTGGCGTCTCCGTCATCTGATGCTGGGGGCGTGATTGCCCCTACGCGAGCCCCTGAAAAGCCCTCCATCATTCCGAAGTCAACAACGTCAAAAAACAACAAAACGCCAGAATTATATCGCTTTCTGGAATCTTACGTCTCTTCCTCAAGCGCTGTGCTTTTCTCAAATGGCTAGATGCAGGTCCACAAGGCTATTTAAGAGGACGGAGAGACCACTCTTCTGTGTGCAGGGTCATGCATGTTGCGGGTGTCGTCCTCGATACCGTCAATGCATAATGAAACAAATCTTTTCTCGTCGCAGTGAGCACTCCGCCACTCAGCTTTCCGAAGCCCATAAACCCCGAAAGTCGGTATCCATCGCCAGTGTATCATCAAATCCATGCCGAAAATCATGATCGCCTCCCCGTTCCCCTTCTTTCACTGGGAATCTGAGGAGATCTTTCTGGGGCTATGGTCGCCGGATCGAGCAAATTGGTCTAGCCACCGAGCCCTGATATATAATAGAGTGTCTCTTATGAGGGTAATTGCTGCCATTTATATGATACAAAGCACGTCTTCGCCTCCCCCTACATCTTCAAATATCCAAGATGATTGTGTAGGTGGCCAGATATGTTCAGGGAGTGCTTGCATAAGATTCTCAGGTGTTTGGAAACACTTTGCCCAGCTGCCATCCCAACACGCGACGCGTTGCATAGCCTAGTCCACGATATCCCCTGATAGATGCTCTATTTTCTCGATTCAGGGGTTCAGAAGATCTGCATCGAAGAGCCTCGACTTGCCTCAGATCTGTCTTCTGTCGGACAGCGAATGACGGCGGGCGTGGCAGTCTCATCCAAGGGCTTCAATGGCGGTTAACTGTAGGAGAACGAAGGTATGTAACCGGAAGAGATATTGCAATGTGGAACTTTCAAATCACTGCTCCTTGCAATGTTGTCATTGAGGCCCAGGGCGCTTTCATTGAAATCGCTGCGAGCATATGAGCTGGGTTATTTTGATCGTGAAACACTCCTCCTAACTTGAACCCATTTCGGGATTTGCCAGTACAGGTTTATGTGAAGGCAACCTGGCATACCTTTGACCTCAAAGTTCTGAAATAGGTATATCAGGTTGATGGAGGCGTGACGATAGTAATCTTCGAAGCCTGCTACTTTCCATTGCATACCGGCCTTCTTTTCCCTCAATGTCGACGAGTAATACCAGCACATGCACCATCTACTGAAGGTAAAAAGCGGTGAGATCTAATCCGTTCTCATCGCCACTCCCCTCAAGAGCCAATGAGCAGCTGATCACGTGATGGTACAACAGCACAATCAGAATATCGTCTCGATGATATTCTCGTAAGAACGCAAAATATCAACAATGTCCACCGATTCCACGGCTACCCTTAGAGCTCTCGACGAGGGCTACGAAGCTACACAGTCTCTCACACTTCCGTATAGAGGACCCGCACCAAGCACGAAACCACTCAACGCGACCTCGCAAACTTTCATCCGGAAACCCAACACCCCAGCAGACCCCAAGAAGCTCTTCCGAACGCACGTAATCAACACATACAAAACAGACCGTCTAGGATCAAAGTCATGGAGATGTCAAGTCTGTGGAAAGAATGCCACAAAAGTGTACCATTCAGCTGCCTCAATTTTGTCGCCACTCGGATCCAGCCTGGTTGACGAGCTCATATTCACGTGTAACGCCCCGCGCTGCAGTAATTACGGCTCAGATCTGGCGGATCATTTTGGAAAATACCAGGTTCCGGAGGCGGCGGCCATCAGTTGTGAAAATTGTGACAGAAGATCGAATGTGAAGCTCTGTGGGGGATGTACTTTCTCATGTAAGTTCAATTTCTTCATGTATTAATAAGCGAGACCTTGCTGAACAATGAACGAGATGGATCGCGGAATGGAAGTACTCATATCGTCGGTCATCAGAAGAAGCCCAGGAATCGCCGAGCAAAGAGTCAGCAAGGTCTCAGAAACCCACAGTTGGATCCTGTTGCAGCGGAGCAGCTTCTTATAGAATCTGGCAGGTTCTCTAACAACGACGAACGTGACTTGCCTTGATAAACTACAAACCGATTATGGGAAATGATGGGTGCATGGCTGGCTTTCGTTGAGCCATGGACGGGTTTGGATTTGATGGACTTGAGTGGTCGAAGAAGGCTACGCAGCTTCATGCTCTGAAGATTTCGAGATGGCTTCACGTGGCGGGCTTCCTCTAAACGTGAGAGCATGGACAGCATGGGGTGCATTTGATAGGTAAGGTCATGTGGGTATGGGTATGGCAGGAGTCACATCTCAATCGGCCCTTTGCTACCCTTCTGCCACTCTTCATGCACGAATGAGTGTGATAATCTTATCGCTGTCATAGTCTCTGTCCAATTCAATACAGAGCGTGTCAGCTGAACCTGGAATCAACGAATTACCTCGAGGTATGAAGTCAAGATATGAATAAGGCTTCTTCATTGCTCTAGAAATTACTTTGACATTCAGTGACCACTTAGCAACTTCTCAAAAGAAAAATCCACCGCGATAGCGCCATTTACATCGACCACTGGAAGAACGTTAGCGCTGCAAAGCCCAACATCTAGGGATCAAGATCTCAGAATATAGGAAATAACAGGCGAGCAAAAGTACATACTAAACCCTGAACATTGCCCTCCGAATCAGTAAAATAAGCCACAAAGCCCATATTATTGGGAAGCTCGACCTTCGGGCTGTCCATCACACAGTCAGTCAATCAAACTCCGCTCCAAGCATGACCGCAGCTAGCTCACATATACAGCTTCCCACCTGCCTCCTCAACTTTCTTCAAGCTCTCATCTACACTCTCAACCGTAATCGTAGCCCTTACAGAGAGACATTTCTTGTCACCATTCCCCGGATGCAGAGCAGCAGAGAGGAGCTGCTCAGGCTCGACTTTGACGAATCCCCCGTTCGTGTGGCCTCTGCTGAACATGACGAAAATGGGCGAGCCTTTGTCGTCGAGCATAGGGGCCATGCCGTCGTATGTCCACTGTCGATTGTTAGTGTCTGAGTTTGAGATTGTAGAGTCAGGATGGGCGGCAGAGATGATGGAAGGTGCATACCCCGAAGACATCGGAGTAGAATTTCTGTACGCGGGCCATGTCTGTAGCTGGAATTTCGGTCCAGGTTATTGAGCCAGGCTGAATCTGTCAGTGAGGTTCAGAAAGATGGAGTCTGGCGACACTTACAACCGGACGGCCTTCTGGGCATGCGGACATTGTTACGATGTCTTGTCTTAGAATTAAAAGTACTGTTTTTCTGTGTTCGATATTTGACTCGGACAATCAAGCTATGGAAGACAAACAGCTTATGGCAGAGGATGGCACGTTGAATGCAACTTCAGGGGACGGAGAGAGAACTTAAATAATTTCAATCGAAGGCGCAAGATGTTATCGGTGCCAACATTACCCCGCATCATTTGCGATGAATATGAATCGTGCTTGCGGTTAGTTTCAGAGAAAGCCATGTCTTGCTTCTTTTGTTTGGTATATTCTTGGCTTCGATCATCAATTGGCCACTGGCCTGATGCTGCCTGGAAAGCCGCAAGCCACGCACATGATACCGCGATGAAGATCGCGTTGAGCGGGATGCAGAAACGCGGTGAAAAATGTAGTTGTATTAATCATTGGCTGGACTGATCAGTAATCAGTTCTATTCCTATTATTGTAGCTTGTTTGTTATGCCAAACTAAATCTCCGTTGCTTTGGCACCTGTCGCAGGCTTACGGACGTACGACGACAACCCTGGACTAGAAGACGGCAGGCAATTACAGTACAGTAGCGTTGAGAAACGTTATTTCGGTAACCTCCTCTAAAAGACCTCCAGCCATCACAAGGGTCAGAGCACATTATTCCTTTGATTTCTCGAAAGCCAGAATTTGCTCTGTAGCTGCCTTGACGGACTCCTCGAAGGTGGTGAAGCCCGATTTCCCAAACTTCCTGAGCACCTCAGCAGCGCTTTCATTCGTCACAGTACTGAGATCACACCCTGCATCTGGAAGGTCATTCATGAACTTTCGAGCAGGATACAGCCGTCGGAATACAGCTAGCATTTCATTCCAAGTATACGGCTCGGCGTAGCCAAAGAGACGCTGATTGTCGATTGTCGTCTCAAGCAAGGCGCCGACATGGAGACGGGCACAGTCGATTGTGTCAATGGCGTACTCTGGAGATGGTCAGATTGAGTCACGGATTCTGTGACAGAACCTACGCGATGGAACAAAGCTATGCAGTGTGATCTCTCCGTCGAAGAGGCTTTTGAGCCACCCGGTTGTACTTGGGAAACCCTGATGCTCAGGATCGCACACGACCCCAAAATTTGCACTTGGCAAGACTGCATGTTGTTAGTTGTTGGATCATACCACGCGAGAAGTTGACTTCTACCAGCATTGAAGACAAAAGACGGCTTCGTATCTTTTATATACTTCCACGAAGCAGCCTCTGCTTCAGCTTTTCCTGCGGCATAGACGTCCATCGTTCTCTCTGGGCCGTAGGGCGGCGGTGCCCATGCAGCCTTGATGGCATGTTCGTTCCAAGAATCTGGTCCGATGCTGTAATCGACGTTCGGCTGAGGATTGGCTGCAGCCCAGGAGGTGGAGGTGTAGACGAAAGCTTTGACGGAAGGCTCTTTTGCCGCGGACTTCAATGTGTTGACAGCGCCGTCAATAACACCTGGAATGCCAGTATTGGGATCGAAGGAGCCGACGATGGACGCAACATGTGCAACCCCAGAGACTCCTGAGCTGAGTCAGCATACGGCGAAGCGAGTCGGAAGTAGGAAATATACCTTTGACGGCTTCATCGAAGGCTCCTTCGTGCGCCAAGTCAGCGACGGAGATCAGCTCGAAGTTGTTCTCGCCGTACAGTTTGTCGAACTTTTGCTGCATCCAGCTTGCTTTTTCCACGTTTCTCACGGTGCCACGGACTTTGTAGTCCATCTACTGAGAGTTATTTTCATTGAAAGAATGTAAAGATGACAGAACATGATTGTCTTCCTGACTCCTTTGAAATGGATCGAGGATATTGAGGCACTAAAAGACGAGAAGGGTCTAGCATCACTTACCTCAAGCAATAGGTTGGCAATGTTACTTGCGACTAGGCCATTGACTCCTGTCACAAGGATCCATGATCCAACTGGTATTCTCGGGCTTGGATACATGATGAAAATCGGCCAAGTTGCACAATATTGCAGGTTTGTTGAACTTTTGGTTGAAAGGACACACAGGGGACGCTATGAGGCAGGAACAGGCTCACACTTATATATTCTGGTGTCTTGGTATGAAGTCTAATCCATTGCCATCTAGATAAGTCGAACTGACGTGGTGAATGCGCAACGTAGCCGCATCCATCGGTTGCGATATGTTTTGGAAGTGAGGGGAACGCTGACAAGCACTTCATATGCTCGTCTCTAATTATTAAGGAGATCAAGATACTTTCAAGGACACACTTGGAATTCATGCCACAGATAGTCATTTTCTTTTGGGGTTTATTGTTTATGCCGATCATCATCCAATCAAATCGAGAGGCAGAAAGCTTCCAACAGGTCAACCAAGAAGGACGAGTTCCGACACTATCCTCGATCGAGGCAACTTGATACATCTTGCATGCTTCCTCCCCGCTGGCGTACATCCAGGTACCGACACTATGTCCCCGAAAATAAGGCTGCCCGAAAACGGAGACAAACTAGCAAGCTTACGGCAATATGATAATTCACTCGGCTTATAAATCAACGAAGCGTCAGATTCGCTTCCGTTGTTGTGAACCATGCCGGTTGAGGGCAAGCAGAAAGTGACACTAGTACATTTTTCGACAGTGTCACTTCCTCCCACTCACATGTCAATCTTAGGAAACTGTGGCTTTTGATGCTTACAGCGATGCTGATAAGTTCTGTGCTGCCCTTGGCAATGCTCTCTCGTAATCAGTGTGGGCCTGTCCATTGGCTCGCTCGTTCCAGGTGCCTTACAGTAAGCAGAGGTACCTCATGCTCGAGCTTCTCTGCCAGCTCTTAGCAGGGCTTCTGATACTAAAGCTTTTGGTCGCTTCCTTTAATTTCTTGATTTGCTCATCTACATTCACTTTCGTTGCTGTTGCAACTTTTTCAAACCAGTAGATAAACTTTGAATTGAACGTCAAAGTTGTTCCACGTACAGCTACTACCCCACGATGTCCGACATCTTTCGCGATGCTCCAATTGGACAGATCATTCGTCTCATCACAAAGAACAAGATCCTCCAATATCCAGAAGAAAAAGCCGATTTCAAGTATACATCGGACTATCTTATGCCGCCTCCAGCAGAAGAGAAAGCATTGGTGACAACAACAACATCTAACACAATACCTGTTGCAAAGAATGAAGAAGTCGAGGGGCAAGCGGAAACCGCACAAGAAGACCTCGACACATCTGACGATGAATCGACAACTCAATCGTTGAGAGCGAAGCTGACAATGTCAAGAATTCTCAGTCGTCCCATCATAATGGAGAGAACGGTTACCATGGCGGAAGTGGCACAAGCGTACAATGCAGCCGTAGATGTGGAAAATATCTCAGAGCAAGTCTGCCAGAGGATCAAGCCAAAAATTAATGAAGATGGTATAATGATTGTGGATTGGTACTCGACCACTGATCCCGAAAATCCACAACATTACTCAAAGGGAAAGAAGTGGGCAGTGGTTTTGCAGCTCTAGTACGGTATCCCCTCAACAATCGAGACGCACAAGTTCTAACACATTCCTAGTTTATACACCCTCGCAGTCTACAGTAAGAACACTCATACTTTCATTTGTTTGAAGATGACTTGAGGTATCTATTTTGCTAAGAAGTTATTGCTTCGCTTCAACGTCCTGATGTCACCTACCAGCCTGAAAGCAAGTACTAACGGGAGATTAGTGGGGTCTGCCATCTATACCCCAGCCATCCCATATATTGAGCATATCTATCACACCATCCCAGTTGTCGCGTCCTTGGGCCTGGCTCTCTACGTTCTCGGCTATGGAATTGGACCTCTGCTCTTCTCACCGCTGTCCGAAATTCCAGTAATCGGACGCAACCCGCCTTACATGTAGGTCTTCGAAATCAATTTCCTCTAGCATCTCCAATCGACTAATTTATTATACACTTCTGAGACACATTCCCATACTTTTAATTTACTGCCCCAATCTTGCACATGCTTACACATTACTCAGGGCAACTTTCGGCATCTTCGTCATTCTTTGCATCCCAACTGCACTCATCGATAATCTCCCGGGATTTCTCGTACTCAGGTTCTTTCAGGGCTTCTTTGGTAGTCCTTGTCTATCGACCGCTGGTGCCACTATTGGAGATATGTACTCTCTCATCCAATTGCCGTACTTCCTAGCTGGGTGGGCAGGGTTTGCTACCGGAGGGCCCGCGCTAGGACCCCTGATCAGCGGATTTTCTGTTCCTGTGAAGGGCTGGAGGTGGTGAGTGTTCTCCCCTTTTTCGCAACAACACTCCGAAAAACTCATAATTATGTGCCATTACATGTCACGGAAACTCTGAATAATATTGCATGAGTTCTTTACTAACTTGTCGATCAGGTCCATGTGGGAAATGATGTGGATAGCAGGTCCTGTATTTTTGGTGATGATGTTCTTCTTTCCGGAAACATCTGCGCAGAATATCCTCCTCCGACGTGCAGCACGCCTTCGGAAACTTACCGGCAACCCGAACCTCAAAGCACAATCTGAGATTGACCAAGCCAAGCTCAGCGCCTCGGAAGTCGTCACCATCAGCCTCTGGCGACCTATCCAAATCAATTTCCTCGACCCTGCGGTAGCTTTCACGAGCCTCTACATATCTCTCGTATATGCTATCTTCTACTCTTTTTTCGAGGTCTTTCCACTGGTGTATGGCCCGAGTCCGGATGGGTACGGTCTGAATGCAGGTCAAATCGGGCTGATTTTCCTGAACATCATCGTTGGTGTGATGATTGCCATTCCAGCGTACTTTGCTTTCCTCCACTACCACCTGGAACCTAAGATGAAGAAACATGGATTTGGGGCTCCTGAAGAAAGACTCATACCAGCTCTCTTCGCCTCGTTCTTGACTCCTGTTGGCCTTTTCATGTTTGCATGGACTGGTAGACCAAGCATTCATTGGATAGTCCCAACGATTGGCGTCACCATCTATACGGTTGGCATATTCATCATTCTCCAATGCGTCTTCGTCTACATCAGCATGACGTACCCCGAATATGCTGCCAGTTTATTTGCTGGCAACGATTTCTGTCGCTCGGCATTGGCTGCAGGTGCAATCCTCTTCTCTCGACCACTCTTCTTAAACGTTGGAATCGCAGAAGGTGTTACACTGCTTGCTGGATTGACCATCTCGGGGGTCATTGGGATCTTTGTGCTGTGGTATTACGGCGCTAATTTACGTGCGAGGTCAAGATTCACGGCTAAGTGACCAAACATGGGGATCTATGATTGCGGAATGGTACCTGGGCTGCACTCATCAGTAATCGTTCACCCAATGGGCTACTCACGGTAAACGAATTCCACGATTGTTGTTCAGCCCCTTTTCTCTCGGCTAGCCTATTTACTTTTAAGCGAAGCTTTGTTTGCGTTGAAACAGTAGAGGGAATGCCAATCTGAAAAGTTAGTGACCCGTACAGGTCAGAGGGAGAACCACTCAGTAATATAAAAAGCATGAGAGAAGCACATTTGCTACTACAGAAATCCGCGTTTAGGGACTTTAGGTAGTGCTACACCAACACCGTCAGATGTGCAAGACGTTCATGTCGCCACGTCACAACTGAGCAAAATGTGCTATATTGATAACATTTAACGTAGTTAAAGCAGGGCGTAATGTATAAGGTGATTAGGTTTGCCTAGTTGGGTTAGATTTGCCGGATTGCATTAATCTGCACAGAAAGCGAGGTGGGGCGACCTACCTGCAACTGAGATTTGTAATCAGCAACCATCAGAATGAGAATCGGATAGACTCAAAATCAGCATTGGAGACACTACTTTAATGTCTAAGATGCGTGAATGCTTTCATTGATCTTTGTCAGCAGTGTTATAAAATCCTTGTTAGAGTATTTAATCCTCATTCCGCAAGTGGAATTATGGTCCAAGGATCAGACAGTTGTGGGGGGAGTTATCATTTTGTGACATATACAGGAGCTCCAATCACTGATCGAGATGCTCGAAGATTGGCTAAGCGTAATGTCATGCAACATATCCACCGCAGTAGGAAGAATGCTCTTGCGGTCCGACGGCACAAGCCGTTACTATACAGTCTTGACGTGCTGCACGAATTCACTGAACGACAGGCGACTTCTTCAGAACCACTCGACTTAGATCCTAGCCACACCAATTTGGTTCCGTTTAATGTGCCAGATAATGCATGCTGCTCGGCATCTCCCCAAAAAGATGCAGTCCCGGACAGCATGTCGACAACAGTCCTTCTGCCCGGCATAATGACCATGTACAGGCTCGGAGCTGGTCGCGGTGACCCGTTTTTGAAATTTCCAATCAACATCACTCCCAGATCTAGGGAGCTTGTAGACATCAGTCAGTGAATTGCCCAATTAAAGTGTGATTCTAGATTCCACAAAGCTAACAGAACGAGTAGTCTTCAAAGAACGGGGAGGCAAGGCAAGCCCACTCAAGGTTGCATGGTTCCAAATAAGCATACTCGATGCAGCAGCGTTCCACCAATTACTCTCAGGTGCCGCGACATATTTCAATAACCTTCGAAATGGAGATAGTTTGCAAGCAGATGAAGAATCTCTTGCCCATCACACCTACTCGCTTCAGTTGATCAACCGGCAGATGCGAGACGTGAAACTTGCAACAACTGATGGCGTAATATCCTCAATCATTGGCTTTGCTTGTTACTATGTACGAATTCCCTGTAAACATAGCCTATATTTGAAACTGAGAGGGTCATAAAGCACTTGGTGGGAGATCTAAGGAGCTGGAAGATGCACTTAGATGGACTGAAAGAGATCGTTCACTCGCGAGGCGGTATCCAGACTTTAAATTCTGTCAGATTTCTGAGAATCATGCTGTCTTGGTAAACTCATTCTTGTACTCCTTCAATTGTAGCTGACTCCTTCAGTATCGACATATCGGGCTCTTGCACCCTTGACGACGTACCAAACTTTCCTCTAGCTTATCCGATTTCCACCATACAGCCGTCGATGCCTTTCTCAAACCTAGAGTCGAAGTACCGACGCATTTCCAACAACCTCGCTTTTACCTTCAGAGACAACTTCGCACTGGTCGAACTTTTGGTAGATCTGATTCGAGAATCCTCACACTTACAAAGCGAGATCCAACTAACCGAAGGAAAGATCCTGATGGACTCGATATATATCTGCGACTACACCAACCCACTTCTTCACAGACTGTTGTCACTCCCAAGGCAAAAACACGCATCGAAAGTTGCTGATATGGCTGAGATGATTCGGCTGGCTGCAATACTGTACCTGATAGGCATTCGGCAAAGCTTTGGGATATACCCAACGCGGGTGACGAGCCAGATTCGAAAGTTGTCAGTCTTGCTGATGACATCTGAGACTGATAGCGCTCAGGCGAGAATGTGGAAAGACCGTGGGTTGGGTTGCATACAGCTCTGGATTATCGTCGTAGGCGGAGTATTGTGTGACGAGAAGGATGGGGCATCGTGGTTTGCGAAACACCTACATGCTGCCATGCATAGGATGTCTGTAGCAACCTACGGTGATTTGGAGGGATTTTTGAAGGGCTTTTCTTGGGTTGATGAAATTCACGGAACTCTTTTGAAAGATTTTAGAAGGAAATTGATTACTTGAAACAACTGACTTCAGGTGGACCACATCATCGGACCTTTGTCAAGCTCTACTAAAATGCACCCTGGGCTTGGAAATGCACTCTCATTGGTAAGTTAATTCAGGTGACTCAGCATAATGCTCTCGCAGCGTATCTTCGCAGTCTTTGTTCCTCTCCCGATTTCACCCTTTCCAGTAGGAGGTCGGAGAAGCTCGAATAAAGCGTGCCACAACCACTACAAGAATTATACAATACTTGGAAAAATGACTAGTTCACCTGAATCAAAGTTTTGCACTACTTGTTATTCATTTATTAAAGATTATGACAAGTCCGGCAAATCAATTCCGCTCTATGTCGACGGATCTTTGAAAGCTCGAATCGTGGAAGGCTGTGAAATATGTTCTCTGGTATATAAAAGTATGAGCTCAGAGATTTTGCTTGACTTCAACCGCTCCGACTTCCGTCTTTCAACGACGTATATGTGGCGAGCAGATGAATCAGCAATGCATCTGTACTTCAACGAGCAGATCAATCTGGCGGGAAGCAAGTACGTCAAGAGTGTCACAAGATTAGAGAGAACGTCTCTTGTTCGGGAAGGTAAGTGCAGAATTGCATCTGAAGTAACATTGTTTTGACAGAAATTACTAGCTACAAGGGCTGATATGGACTCACCTGTGGTGACGGGCAAAGAAATTTCATCTTGGGCGTTGGTGAAGCGATGGGGAGAAAATTGTTCGAGACATAGCAACTGTACACCACTCGGATCTCGGACGCCATTCCTTCCACGTCGTCTGATTGACGTTGGAACTGATAGCTGGGACCAAGTAAGGCTCCAGGTAAATTCTGAAGATATGAGCGCCGCTCAATACATGACTTTGAGCCACCGGTGGGCTGGAGACATGCTTGGAAGACTCACTACAGAAAACATCGCGCAGCTTCTATGTGTGATACCTGAGACATTCTTATCGGCAGTTTTCAAAGATGCTATCATTGTTACAAGGCGCCTTGGTTCCAAATATCTGTGGATCGACAGTCTTTGTATCATCCAGGACTCCATCAAAGACTGGGCATCTGAGTCGGCATCAATGCATTTGATTTACGGCAACAGCTCCTACAATATTTCGGCTCTGGCAGCATCGAACTCTGCAGACGGGCTTTTCTTATCGAAAAGCACATACTCACCAATCCGCATCAACATGTCCATTCGTGGTCTCGAAACTTCATACATACTGCGGATGAATGACACATGGTACGACTTTGTCACTTCGTCTCCGCTCAATCTCAGAGGCTGGGTCTGTCAAGAAAGGCTATTAAGCCCCCGGACACTGCATTTCACCAGCCATCAACTATTCTGGGAATGCGGACAGCTATCTGCCAGTGAAGACTGGCCGGATGGAGTTCCCTCACACCCGCCACCAAAGATAAATCCCAATTACCCCAAATATATTCTCCCGCACGATGACCATGGAATCAAACACACTTTTTCTGAACTCGCCAGAGCAGACCATACAGTCGACAAAGTTACAGCTAAGAAATTTTGGGCAAAGGTTGTGAAACTCTACACTCGCGCATCCCTGACATATCCCACGGATAAACTGGTAGCAATTTCTGGTATTGCAGCCCGATTCCAGCCTCACTTTCAAAATCGATATTTGGCCGGATTGCGGAAGATGACATTGCAACAGAGCTGCTGTGGAAAGTCGAAGATACAGATAACGTCGACACGGTTTCGTCCACGAGAATCTGCAGTCTCGCCCTACTGAGTATGTGGCACCGACTTGTAAGTATTGGAAGAATCAGACTTATCCAAATGCTGAGACATGCATTAATCTCATAAGGTGTCTAGAATCAAGCAGAGCTGACTTGAAGCCATTCTCTAGGGTCATGGGCGTCAATTGTCACCGCCGTGGATTTAGCAAGTCTGCCCAAATCCGAAGATCCCACAAAAGACGCCTTTTTGGGCCAAAAGGCCCTAATACGAGTCTTAGAAGCTTCCCTGCAACACACCAGTTCAGATCTGTACGGACAATTGAAGGGCGGACACATTCAAGTCCAGGGCCGGCTGGCAACAGCCCACCAACGGCGCGGTGAAATTGGACGAGTTGGTTTCGATTTGGATCTCAAAGTATCGACTGAGCTCAGAAGACATGAACTCCGACATTTCATAGTAAGCATCGAATGGGATACTGTCGAAGCCATAAGAAATAAGAGCGAGTTCGGTAAACACCTGTACCATCTTTTGCCTGTGCGAGAAACCAAGCTGGTGGTTACGAAAGATAATCGGCTGTCGAGCCGCGTAGAAGGACTAGTTCTCAAAGCTACTTCAAAGCCTTCTGAATTTCGAAGACATGGAGTGTTCGACTGGTATAGGATTGAACGGAGGAGGGAAGATGAGAACTGGATTCATTCTCTCAACGATGCACAAACGCTCTCGATACAAGCCCAGAAGCACAGATGATGGACAGGATTCGGGACTTGAACGGATGCTACCAATATACTTTCAATATCATCTAACAGGAATGGTGAAGTAAAAGGTAAGGGACAGCGAAAATGGGGTTTACGATAAATTTGGTGCTTTCAAATCATGATAAATACTGTCGACGGGGATAGCATTGGGGTTGGAAGCACCGCTTCGTGAGCGGAAATCGTGCGGGGGAAGAGATCTTCAAGGAATTACTAGATGTTCCAAATTGGAGACGCTGGTGGATTTTAGATGCTTGAGGTTTAGCATAGGAAGGGCATAAAAGGCATTTCAAAAGGGTGAGGGGAGACTGCCGCTTACGAAAGGGGTCTCGGCTATTGGCGAGGTGTTGTTGACAATCGAGGCGGTGCGGTATTGAGGTGTGGCGTTTGCTTGAGCGAAAATTCTTGCGTAACGTATCATGGAATCTTTGCTGAAAGTAATCTCAGAAAGTTAGGAATCATAAGATTACCGAGCAGACTTGATGCATGTATACTGCCTGCTCTCTATCATTGCTAAATGATGCGGGGTGCTCACGAGAGGGAACAAAAAATGTCGATCACTGGTAACTTCTGCTCCAATTGCTCTTTTGGACGCATCTGAAGCCGAACGGTGTTGTATCGCTCAACGCATTGATATTGCACTTATAAGTGGCTAGATAAGAAGATTTCTCATGGGATGCAAGTGCAGCTTTCTTTCCAGCTTATTTTGAAGAAGCGAAGTCCGTACACACAGGAATGGCCGGGGAAAATTTGACTTCCATCTGGCAGTGTCTCAGTGACAATGCCGTAAACAGCTTCTAGCGAATAAACACCCCATCAGATCTACCAGAACAAGACATATGTTTTCAACAAGCCTAGAATACTTTTGTCGAGAGAAAGGCCCTTTTAGATCCAGTCTGAAGGCTAGTAATGCACGGGTGTATAGAACTGGGTTCCAAGTACTACAATAAGTTCTTCCAGGCATTTCTTTAAGGGACTGAGATCGTACGAGAGTCAAAATCTGAAGCAAAGAACCAAGGTCGAGACACCACATAGCACTTGACTTCGCCATCGACCCTTGAGCATTGACATGTCAACTGCGGTAAATGAAGTCGACTACAGCCAGTGAACTTGTCACGCCCCGACATTCACTCCTGCCATAAGCCAATGGCACAGACCCACTGGAGAAGAACAGGTTCGTGGAATTTGATAATCCAGTCTCTACATGGCGTGGGGTGGTATAAGATCCATGGAGGGGTTTGAACTTTGGGAAGCGCTTGCGAGAACTCGCTGTAATAATGCCCCTCAGCTTCATGCAGAGGGGTAAATAGACCTGAAGCTGCCGGGTCTCGATTGTGCAGGGGCTCAGGTAGCGCTGATTCGGCATATCTGAAATGGCTTACTTGAAAGGTCAAAGCATCTTCAGAGTCTCCACCAAGGTGCATCATCTCGACAGGACTTTCTTCAACAGGAAGGTTCAAGACACGGATATAGTACATAGAAATTAAGCGTCTCAGCGGGAAGGAGCTTGACCAGCGCGTTTTGATAGTGGCATATCCTCAACTGTAGATTTTGGGACCGGAAAAGCACATGCGCAAGACTGATTGTCGCACAACAAGGTGAATGATAAACAGAAGTACAATTACGACATATGAAGCCTTGTCAAAGCCGTTTCCGCTTTCCAAACATGGAGCCACTCATCATCTCACCACTTGCATCCGGGATGTCTTGTTAGAGGCTGAAGATCAGAAGGCTACAAAACTTCCTTCTTTGTTTTCTCTTGGGGTTCGGCAGAGACGCCAAAGAATAGCAGCCGCCGAAGAGAAACGGGGTTTGATATCCGGTTGAGGAATCTATGATAAACAATTGTCATTGGAGCGGGAACATGTTGCATAAACACTCAAATCGCCCAGAAAGGTTGCCCTTGCGAATCTCATGTGCTGTATGCAAATCATGACTCGGATGAGGCTGGATTGTACCTTCTCACCCCCGAGAATATCAAGATCTAGTCACGATTGACACAGCAGGACAGACATGCCGTGCAATTGAGTCTGTGCTCCGCAAACTTTGTGTGAAGGAGAAACCTCCGAAGACTTCAAGGTACCCGCTTTAGATATGAAATCGTCACCGTCATCCAGACGATTGAACCCAAAACAGCGAAGCTTGCGAAAATGGGGGGGAAACCGGGTGTAAATGTTAGGGCTTTGTACGGAGCGAAGTGAGATGACAGGCACATATGTACCTGTGCACACCTGCACATGCGCACCAACACCTTCATGGTTGCCAGGGTCCATTCTCTTGAGCTGAAACGCTGCCAATTTGAGTTTCCAGTGACCCAGGGTATTTGTTTGACGAATGCTGAAGCTGTGTAGGTCATGTTCATCTGATTTGATATCTGCACAGATCCAAATGAGACCAAACCAGTAGACTCTAACGGTAAAACTCTAGCATCTGTCCTGCCGAAAATATCGAGATCTGGTTGAGGAAAATTGAAACTGCATGGATGTGAGAAAGGTGCAAATTTAAGCAGCCAATGAGCAGCCCGAAACAGGCATGGGGATCTTGTAAATCTCATGCCGGATCCCAGAATCGGCGTGGATTGCGAATTTTGAGGCTGTGGCATGGACCTTGAGATAATGAACTTCTTATATCTCCTGAAGGAAGCTCCTTTGATCGGCCCTCTTTGGTGGTTGGGATTGGTTTTCAGCATCATAGAGCTGTATGAAACGAAACCTCCACCGAGCACCGAGATGGTTCCAGTAGATTGCCGACCGAGACGGACGCGAGATGCCTGGACCTGCATCATGCAAAATTGCCTTTTCGTTCCTGCCAGATACTGCAGGCCCCGGATGGGTGCGTGAGATCTATTCAATGCGTCGCTCTTGAATTTCATCGAATCGTGTTCGCTGGTGTGGAAGTTGTTTAAATCAGGGCCGGGGCAGAGAAGAAGGATCTTCACCAGGGGTCCCTCCACCAGATCCCCAAAGCGCTTCCATTTTGCTTTTCTCATGAGTGCGGCTGCGGCTTTGGCGGGAAGCTTAAACCTGAATCCCGAAGAAGACTCTCTCTGTTGAATCATAAGCCGAGCCAAGAAGACGCGCTGGTCTGGCCGTGTCTGCACTATCTCTAGATAGATATCAGGCGGCCCGGAACGGTTGGACACCCTTCAACGTCCGTAAGCAAGTACAACATGTGGAGAAGTCGAGCAATGGCCTAAATGTAGTCTGTGAGTGAGATTCTCATGGGCGGATTGAAGTAAGTGGTGCAAGTAACGAATATGTACATGAAAAGGAAAATGGAAGAAGACGTCACTCCTTCTTTCGTCGCTGACCTTTGTTTCGACGAACAGCCGCTTTCTCACAGCTGAGAGCAATGCTTCGAGTGAAAGTGTCAGCATAAAGATCGGCGATTAGTCTTTGAAGAGAGAGAGGGGGGGGGAAAGCGAGTAGCCTCAGCGGGGCAGCAAGCCAAGCTTTGGGTTCTACAGAGGTACTCCGTAACGTCGTTCAGTTAGATCAGCGAAATCATCGTGGAGATGCAACCAAACGGGCTGCTCCCCCTGCTGGCTCGTTCGGTCGGGCAAGCATGGAGCAGATCTGCAGGTGGGCATCACGGGCGAAGACGCCTGTCGATGTCGAAAGGATAATAGCAATTGTCGCCACGTTTGTGAAATGTGCATGTATCATGACGGTCAAGGTCAGCCCTGAAGTACATTACCGACCTATCTCCCCCTACTTTAGTATGGAATGGAATGCTCTGAGTTGGAATGCGGCATCACGTGCCTGCGTTCGTCCCAAAAACAGAGGCGCGGGTTCGTTGCACCTGCACTCGCATTTGCAATTTGTACAACCACGCACGCATCCCGTGTCCAGGACCAAGCCAACATTCTTCCGACCTCACCTGGGTATACTATTTGCAACTAATGGCGACTTTGCTACTGTTCTCTTCTCCTGCATCCGAGATGTGCAGACACGTGCTGAATGGAGACCAGGACTGGTTGTCCCAGTTCCACAATGTGCGTATTCTGTCCTGTTTATGCCGTCGGCTTCCTTGCCTCCAATTTCTTCTTCCGCCCCTCCCGTCCTGCTGCCAGGTGCCAATGAATTCTCGAGGAGAAGTAAATACCACTAACGACAAAAGGGCCATGCCATGATGGCATACTGTAGATCTACCGAAGGCTGATCATACACATTGCTTCGGCACTTCAAGCGAAGCAGTTCAAAGTTATGATTATCTCCCGCGAAACACTCTACACAAAAGTCACTTTGCAAATCCTCATGCCTTCACTCGCAATCCTGAACACTTTGGGACTAAACCCGGGGATCTGACGACCCTGGCCCGACCAGCCGGCTGGGTCGGCAGGGGCAGATGCATGCATATCTTGGGTCCGAGCCCCCCTGGTCGGTGGACGCTCTCGTCGATGGCAATAAAGGTGCCACAGCTCGAGCATGGGTGAAGCGATCGTTGGGTCGAGATCCCACGACATCTAGCCTCAGTGAGGCGCTCTACCAGCATTAGTTGCCCAGTTCATCCTATAATTTCATCCCATATAGGTTACATTGTTTCTTCGACGGATGCTCTCCGCAACCAATTGTTGAGAACATCGGTTATTGAGTTCTTGGGAAACCTGGTTGTGTATTCTGAATCTTTGAATACTGCAGCTGAACGTTGAGACGCAGCAGCTAGTTCAGATTTCATGCCAAAGCCATCGTACAATCAATGTTCATGGCTGGACCAATTTACGTCTATCAGGGCTGAAGAATGTCATCGAAAGACGAGTGGTTGACAACGTGTCAGAATGGTACGCATAATCCTTTTTCTTGGAAATAGTTTGAGTTTCCAGCGCGGTTTATTTGGTCTCCTTGCACAGATTACGCACTTTTGAGATGAACACGATACATAGTTCCCTAGAACTGGCAATTTCACTGCCAATCTCAGCTTGCGCCGAGAATACGAAAGGCTGAAGTACCTTGCACTGGCTGCAGCAAGGCTGCCAAAGGAGATATGAGGCTGTGGATGTGGCCTATTGAGGCAATAAGAGTGGACGGTGTGCCACAAGGGTTGCTGCCCAGCCAGGGTTGCACTGACCAGCGCGTACCGTTTCCATGGGATCAGGGCTTGCAGGCCAGCCGTCAACGCATGCTACCCTCCGCTACTGGCGTTGTTGTTTCGAGAGTTCTGGGAGCATGGAAGGGACACTCCACGAGGATAGGAGACCTAGGAGTTTCAGCAAAGTGACATAGTCTCATCTCCCCAGTTCGCAGCTTCGCCTGCTACTACTGTCATGCACGACGATCCACAGGAGAAGGAGCTGGCAAGTACAGTCACACAACAAGCGCCAGCGAAAGGGAACTTGTTGGTAATGTTCGTGTTGTTGAACGAATTCCGCCGGACCTGGACTTCTGGATTCTGGAAGCTGGATGCTCAGTAGCAAACCGAGACAAGAACCCGACTCTGGAGTCCTCTGGAATGCAGCGAATGCACCTGAACTGTAGTGCAGTAGTGTCTGTAGACTCTCGATGGCATTGCACTTCTGAGTGAAATATTACCTGTCGCACTGACCAAGATTTATGGTTTCGGCGGGAGGGTGCTTTCCGGTTCCCCGCCCGCACGGCCAATCTACAGCCAGATTTGCTCCCGGGACCGTCGAAGCGACGTACTTCTGTCATATCTCAACCAAACCTCATCTCAATCTCAATCTCATCCCATCCCCTCCCCTCCCCTCCCCTCCCCTCCTATTCTCTTTCCAGGTGCAGACGCGAGATCCTGAGATGATGCGAGCCTGAAGGAGACGGACGAGTCCTGTCGCAGCCGCCGTTTGCGCTGGAAACCGTCGAAGCCTCTGCCGACGGCTGACCGTACGGCAGGCTATCTCCGCACATATGAGTATATTCAGTTTTCATTGGACGACGAGCTGTTGGGCTCAGAGCGGGCGCCAATCGAGAAAGCTGGGATGGCTGCGGCCGGTTCCACTGATTCCCATGGCCCGTCGAACCCTAACTGATTTTGCCTTCAAGGCGACTCTGGACGGCCGTCGATAGTTTGCTCCTACAGTAGAGTCCTAGCCAGTAGTGCTTAGGAGGCTTGGAGTGCAGCACGGGCATGGGTGGCATTGATGGCGCCCTGCCCGAATCCTGCCTGCTGCTACTCGTAATTTACTTGCTTGTAATTTAAGTCAGCACCGGAGAGAAATTCTGACATAGGTTGGCCTGGCCTGGGCTGCCCTACCCTGCCCTGCCCTGCCCTGCCCTGCCCTGCCTGGAAAGCTCGCTACTAAGTAGTAAGTACTGGGACCAGAGGCAGGCGAGGCAGGAGGCAGGAGGCAGGAGGCAGGCTATGTCTGTGGCCCCGAGGGCCCCTAGGACCACCATACGCACCGTTCCGCCCCGGCACCGATCAGGGCAGGGCAGGGCGTGGCCAGAGGGCACTGGGCACTGGCACTGGGGGACCACCACCACTCACCTCACACTCACACCCAGACAGAGCAAGCGATTTTATTACTTCTCTCTCCACCACCACCACCACCACCACTACCACCACCACCACAGCACAACCACCACCACAACCACCCACACACCCCCACGCACTCCCACTCCCACTCCTCGAGCACGATGTCTTTGCAAGCTTAATCCCTCCCGCAATCCCTCGCTAGCAGCGCTGGCATCTGCTGCAGGCCCCATCAGGGCCATCACAGATCGTGTTTGGTGCCTCGCAAGATCCCTGAACCCGGGTTACCAATGTCTTTGACCTCTTTCCTCTTTCCTCCTTCCTCCTTCCTCCTTCTCCTCCCCCTCCCCCTCCAGCTACTCATCCCCCCATGCCGTCCCTCTCAACAGGACAGGGCTCCACGTCCACCACCCTGCTTCACGGCTGCTAGTCGAGGTCGATCGATGCTAGTCATCTTTGGCCAATACGGAGAATTGCCCCAAGCTTTTACTTCCCCATTCTGACGTCTGGAAATCACCTCACTCGATCCAAGGGCATCCACCGACAGACCCACGCCATCCCCTGTAGGGTTTGGCCTTTTTATCATTTACACTTGTCTCTGAAAATACCTGCGGCCATGACAAACCCCTGTCACTTACCCCCTTGTCAGGTTTGGCAAGTACTGGCACTCAGTCCCTTAGTGCCATTTTGCAATGATTCTCAGGATGTTGTCGCTCAGTTTTGGTATGGGAGAGTCTTCATACAACTGCGTCTTAATGAAGACATTTACTGCTTGCCATTAAGAGCCTTGTCCGTTTCATTGCAATGCCTCCTGGCCTGTGGCTTGTCATTGGTGCGGTCTCAATCGGCCAACGCGGGATGGATCTTCTGAACCACTTCGAAATATTGCTCTAGGCGGTGGGGGCTCGTGGCAGACTGTATATGAGGAGAGCGGTAGCCATCTTGTGAAATCTCGGAATGAGATACCGAACGATTGGTAACCCCTCCAAACTCGACCCCAGTTGCACATCAGCTCAAGCCAGACACTTCACCACAAGGTGGTCTTAAAGTAACACAGCCAGCACCTGTCGATCATCAACATCTTCAGGGCATACAAAGCAACGAAAGCCCACATATCGCCAACTCACTCACAGACAAACTCTTTTCTTCAGTTTCTTTCGGCGGACATTTGCTTTGATTTCTTTCCTGCATCGACTGCCTATTTCACGCTTTGCACACCATACATACGATTTCTGCAGCAGCAACACAGCAGTTCTAAGTTATAGACGTCTTGCCTCAAAGCAAGACACAACCGGCACGCTGGCAATTACAGCACAAGCGCCAGGCCAGGCCTGGGGACGTTGGGCTGAGCAGAACACACACCAGCCGATCCAGACATTCTACACAATGGATATTTCTGGTATTGTTCAGTCATACGACTCGCGGGCTGCCTCGTCAGCGGCACTTTCTCGAACAATCATGGCTCCTCAGTATTCTCCGGCGCAGACATATAGCGGAGCAACTAGCCACAACATGGTAGCAACACACCCACAACAGCAACAGCAGCACAATCCGTTCAGTTTCACTGGTTACTCTGGACCCAACACGAACATGATTGTCCCAGCGTTTACGAACTGCAACTTCATTCAGCAAAGACCACTCCCGCGCTTATTGCAAGTAGACGACGATGGAAGTCGACAAGTCTCGTACCCCCGAACGTCCCGAACTGGCTTCATTGAAGAACACCATAGTCAAAGCCCACCGGTCAAAGCAGAATCGATGTGGCCTGCCCCAGCCAGTAACCCTGTGTTCAACTCGGCCGAAACTAAGACTTCTCCAATATCGACACGGGCGCAAGAGGTTAACTTCGGAACAGAAGTCGATACTTTGATGAAAGCCATCCAGGCGAAAGCGCAAACCACCCCCCCACAGGCAACCTCCTCTGCCGAACAGATCAGACCTGTGGTAGGTGCTTTCCATTCTCCCATTTCAGCACAAGCTACTTCCTACCTCGGAATGTACGCTTCAAGAGAGGAGTCGAAGTACAAGCTCACCCATGCTGCTCCTCAGGAAGAATCAAGTAGCCCGAAGAACTCGAAGAAGCGTTATCAATGTACGATTGCGAATTGCAACAAGAGTTTCTATCAGAAGACACATCTGGACATTCACGAGAGAGCTCATACAGGAGTCAAGCCATACGTAAGGAAGTCAACCTAAAATACAGTATAAATTCGCTAACATCTATGCTAATAGGCATGCAAAGAGCCCGGCTGTGGTCGAACATTCTCACAGCTTGGAAACCTGAAGGTACATTAGACACCCCGAAAACCGACGATGCAGCCTCAATTCACCACTCCAGCGCTAATGTCTTCTCTCCAGACTCACGAACGTAGGCACACTGGAGAACGTCCATATCAATGTGAAATTTGTGGAAAGCGGTTTGCTCAACGAGGCAATGTCCGCGCCCACAAGAACGTCCACGACAAGTCAAAGCCCTACCACTGTCGCCTTGACACCTGTACAAAGGACTTCACCCAGCTGGGAAATCTCAAGGTACGTTGATTTGTTGCCTTCTGTAAATTCATCACAATTATCCACTCTGGCAATCGCATAGTGGCGATTTTTGCCTCCGTTTCAACTTCGGTCCTTGATCCACAATATGTTTACTTCTTCGCTTGCACCCCTCAAACAACCTGTCCACTCCGCCACATCTTCCTGAACCATTCTCTTACGCATGAATGATGAAATCTTCCTCCCCTATTGCTTAGTTCGTCGATAAGCAGACATACGAAGCAAGGTTCACTAAGACCAAAGCTGATGACATTACCACAGTCCCACCAAAACAAATTTCATATCGAGACCATCCGCAATCTGACCGCTAAGTTTGCTTCTATTAAGGACGGCGACATTGTCCATGCCGGCGACAAAGAACTATGGGAGTATTTCGCCAACCTGTATAAGAACAGCAACAAGGGTATCAAGGGCCGTGGTAAGGATCGCAAAGTTGGCTCCGTATCTAGCCGGTCCTTCAATTCCGGTATGCGCAGCTTAGGTGTCCATGGGAGAGGCTTCGGTATGGCGGGCTCCGGCCGCAGTAACATGGTTGTTGGTGTCGGCGGTATGGGGGCCCCAAGTGGAGGCAGAGCCGATGGTGGACAGTACGACATGTTTGATGTTGATGACGGGAGCCAGAGTGGACAATCACACATCGTGAGTAGAGGCGCAAGCTCAGTTGGAACGTGTTACGAGGACGCGCCGTCAGACGCTTATGAAGACCATGGACGAGGCGCCAACGAGTTGGCGTTCGGTGACAGGATATACTAATCCTCATTGTCGAGAGACGCACGAATGACAAAGTGGGAGATAAGGAAGATTGGACATAAATATGAAGGGCGGAGTTGTAGCAATACAATGCAGGCGCAAGTACAGACGCCATTTACGATTGTTGATGAGAGATGAACGAAACACGAACTGGATTAAGCATGGAGGAGCCGGCGCAACCCAGCAAAAAACACAAATGTGTACTACTATCACGAACACGATGAACGACACTTGATTCTGAACATAGAACTAGTTGGATTATGGACGGCGGGGAGGGGAAATAGACGGAACCGGACTGGATATATGGTTGGGCTGGTACTCTCGAGGCATCTTTATGGTCATCTGGTTCTCAGGAGGGGTGGATGGTTTTCTTCATTTCTCAACGTCATCACATGCGATTTTATATCCCTATTCTCATATCAACTATCTATCTAGCCATCTCGTTGCTTGCATCAAAGTCGATCTTGGGTCGCGATCTTGTATTTTCATTCTTTTTGGTCGTTTTGTCTATCTTCACTTCGCACATTCACTACGGAACTCTGTACGGAGAGCAAAATATTTTGTACCAATGAAGGGTGGGTATTTGTCAAAGACTTTACTGTTCTAAGACTCCTTCTGTCTTCACAGAGAGAAGGTTGGCATCATCAGGAGGCTTTCTACTTTTAGCTCTACCCTGGTCAGGGAGGCTGTCTGATAATCGGTCAAGCATTACGCTTTGCTCAGAAATATACTTTATTAGCAATATCAACATTACTCCAGATTGTGGACTTCTTGTAACCATCAACCTTTGTAATCCCATTGGTCATTGATTGGCTTTACAAGCATCGACGCGAAACTTAGGATAATAATATTATTACTCAATATTTGCCACCAATGTTTCTAAATATTGTACTGCTTGGTAGTTGTCTCGATTGATTGACGTTCCAGGTTGTGAGAACGGAAATGCACTTTCGTCCCGGGCTCTGAGGTTGGTCGCGACCTCTCGGTTACTGTAGCGTTTGCCTTCAACTCCCCCTTTGCAAGTGCAACAGCCGAACAGACATTGAGTAACCCCAGCGTGGGAAGCTTAATGCACGCTTATCTTCAACACCACGTCCTCGGAAAACTCATGGCGTAATTGGCAATCGAGATCTGGCTATCAAATCTCATAAGAAGCCGACTAATTACTAGCATTCTCAACATCGGAGGGTTGACCGTCGGCGAACGTGGGCTCATATCTCTTGCTCTTTGTGTGCCCATTGATGCGATCACGTAACGCCTCAGGGCAACCAGCCCATGAAATCCCGCGCTGCGACAACTGATAAAATGCTCCCTAAAGTGCAAGCGACCTGCCTTTTCTGGGTCCTGGTCCTGGGGCCTGTTGCTGGTGGTGCTAGCACATTGGCCTGCGCACTCACGCAACGAGTGATAATCCGGACCCGAAACCCGTGCTCGTGGTCATCCTTTGCTCAAAAGGTAAGTTTTTCGCGGGACAACGAGTTCAAGGGAGGGATTTACACTGGCTAATAGCCTCGCCAGAAATTAGACGATGGGAAGGCTCGGCCCAGAGCGGTACGGGCTTCACCGCCGAGCCGATTTGGATAGCAGATCATGAAATCCCAAGATTGTGGTCCATACCATGGAGCATGCCGTTTTGTACCCCCGGAGAGACCTCGTGCATCGATTGTTGGGATGCGGAGTGTGATGGCTGGTGTTGGAGAATGATGTGTAATGTTACGTGCGTGATGGCCGAAGTAGGTCCAGTCACTACGGTAGTACAAGACCACAATCAATGCACAGACGTCCGCCTGCGGGACGAACCTTCGTGGAGAATTGACATGCGTTCGTGGTGGTCTGAGTCCTGCACCGTAACTTGTGAGATGTGATTGTGCGACGGAAGATTATCCTCGGATGCAAATGTATGTATGTGATGGCGTCGTGATATTGGCAGTAGTCGCCGAATTGCCACAGGTGAGACCGGGAGGTGCGGGTGTGTTGTGATGTCTTGGAAAGCAGTGGTGGTAGTGGAGTGGATACTCGTAGTGGATGGAGAAACGAGGCACCACAGAACGAGGGATGATACAGAGACGACCCCCTGACGATATAGAGACGACCCCTCCTATATTAAATATAGCAGAATCCTTAGATTCTACTACGTAACTGTAAATAACTATATATTAAATTATATAGGTAATACTACTATTATTAATAATAAAATATTTAGAGTAAAGGAAAAGATACTAATATAAAAAATAACTAATTATACTATATCCTCGGGATTACTTCTAACTCCACTTCTACTTCTTAGTCTTAAGATAACTATAATACGAATACTAGCTTATCTAGCTGATTTTAGCTTTAAAAATAAGGTATTCCACTTATCTTAGGTATTACTACTATTCTCTCGTGCAGAAAGGGATAATTACTCTTATTATACCCTATATAGCGGTAATAAATATACCTCTTTTTATTATAGTTATACGAAGTATAAGCTAAATAATAAGCTAATCAAGCTTACTTATTTCCGTATAGAATACGCTTAAATTAGCTAAGAATATAGCTAGATTCTGCGAGTATTTACTAGTTATATTATTTACTTAAGACTCTTTACTCTACCTCCTTAGAATAACGATTTTACTTTAATATTAAGTTAAGAATTAGAAGAGAGAAGAGCTTAAAAGTATATCTTGCGTTAGTTAAATTAAATACTAATAAAAGTGGAAATCGAATAGTATTATGATAGGGTAGTGTAGTTCTAGGTTAGAAGATAGTTAACCTGTTTTATAAGGTTATATAGATAAGCGTAATAGCGTATAATAAATATATTATCTTCTCTCTCCTACTCTTACTACTTATTTAGTTAGTAGTCCTCTATATCCCTACTTATTATATACTTTAATAGCACTACCTTACTTCTTTTATATTAGTAACTTATATAGGGATCTAAAAGTAAGGCAGAGGAATAGCTAGAATATATTTAAGCTAGTAGTAAAAGTAAGAGTTAGAATTTCATCGCTTAGTATCTTTATTATAAAAATAAATAGACACGTAAGAAGCAGCTAGAAAAAAAAAGCTCGAAGAACTCTTATTTAATAAGTAAGATATTAGGAAACAGTAGAATATAAGTAAAGAGAGCTAAGAAAGTATAAAGGAGAAAGTTATTATATAAAGCTTAGAAGATAAAGTTACTATAGTAATAGAGAAAGTTTATATAAAGAAAATAAGTAAGGAATAAATAAATACGAAAAGAAAGTAAGTTTAAAATAAAAAAGAAGCCTAAAGTAAGGTATAAAAGGAATATAAGGAAAAAAAGTTAAGAAGATTAAAGTAGTTAAGAGAGCTAAGTCTAGAGGTTATAAGAAGTATAATCGCTACGCTCTTACTAGTAACTCTAGTACTTTTAACTTTAGTAATATTAAGTATACTATACCTTATAAGTAAATACTAAAGGTTTAAATTATTTACTAAATTCTTTAATATAACTATATTTCTAAGAGATCCTAAGAACTAAAAAACACTAAGTATAAAGGAAAGTAATATAATAGAATATATTTAAGTCCGAAAGGAAAGCTATTAAGAATTAAAGATTATGAATTCTAAGATAGCGGAAGTTAAGTATATTTCAGTTATACTAGCCCTAAGTATACTAAGCGCGCTATACTTTAAAGGAGCTAATATTACAGAGTTCTTAAAGTGATATACTAACTAATATAATAATACCTAATTAAAGGATATAAACTAAATTAAAAGGCTTCCTTAATATTATAATCTTACTATTAGTTAGTATATTAAGACGCTACTAAAGTAGATAAGTAAGAATTAAAAAGAGCTAGTAGTATCTCTTTTAGAGAAGTATAAGGATTAAGATACTTTTTAATAAATAAACTCCTAATTATTTCTTAAGGCTCTAAAGTTAAAACCGTAGACTATAGAAAGTGATATAAAGTAGTTTATTCGATAATTCACTATAATCTTAGCTACCTTAGTAAAAAGAAGCTAGTTAGAAAATTATACTCGAGGAGTATAGTTCTTAAATAAGTTACTAAGGGACGTTTATAAGAAGATAATATATAAGAATAAGATTAATATTAATAAGCTAAGTATAATTAAGTTTAACAACTTAGTTAAGATAGCTACTAAGATTTATATATCTAATAAGATAGTCCGGAAGTTTTCTAATAGTTATATAAAATAAGAGAGCCTTAGTAAATTAGTAGATTTACTTAGCTAAGTACTTATTACTCTTAAGGTAAAGAGTTAGCTAGTTCTCTCTATTATTAGCCTAAAGATTATATCTATAAAAGTAGTAAAAGAAATAACCTAGGTATTTAATATGCTAATACTAGCTGTAAGAGCGTCGCAGGTTCTATAAGCGCCTAAGGGAAGATCGGGATTTAGCTTACTTAGCAAAGGAAATCAGTTAAAAGCCTACTTAGTAGAACCTAGTAGTTAAGTTAATTTATTTAAACTACTATAAGGGGTATACTTAGGCTAACCTTAGCGTCCGAATAACTCGCTAATTAGAATATATACTATAAGTACTTATAAGAATCACTAGAACTAATATTTCTACTATTTAGAAAATAAGTACTTCTATAGAGACTACCCGGACTTCCTAATAAATATAGAAAAGAAGCTTATATATAATTATTAAAGCTAGATATATTATAGACGCGCTAGTAGTAAGAGATAATTAGTTAAATAGTATAGGGGGGTCCTAGTAATAGAGGCTATATAAGCTAGTTAAAAGGGAACCTCGATATAAGGAGCTAATAAGAGATAAATTAAAGGGAGTAATTTAATAGTATAGCTAATATAAGTACTATAGTACCTTATAAATAAAGCTAAACTTATAAAAGTAATAGTAGTAAAAGTAATAACTTAAGATAAGTCGGATATTAAAGAAGATAAGGGAGACTAAGAAGCTATAAGAATATTAAGAGCTAGAAATAAAAAACTAAAGAGCGGAAAGAATAATAAGTAAGTAAACCTAAAGAAAGTATTAAAAAAGTAAGTTAAGAAGG